ATTAAAAGAAATATTAAATATTAGAAATTATAGGAAATTAAAAAGATTATTAATAAATAAACTAATTCTATAAAATATATTTAATATTTTATTTACTAGAAAAAATATAGTTTTAAAAATAACTAATAGTTTTTATTTATAAAGCTTTAAAATATTAAAGAAGCTATTATAGAATTCGAAATAAAGTAATAAGCTATATAAGGAAATTATATTAAGAGAAAAAGAATTTATAAAAAAGGAAAATTATAGAAATTCTAATTATATTATATTCTAGTTCTTTATTATTATAATTATTTATAAAAATATAATATTTATATATAAAAATAAATTATAACTAATATAAGTAAATAAATATTATTTTAGATATATTTAGCTATTATTACTTTTAAAACTTCTATATTTTATTCTTTTATATTTATTTAATAATATTAATAATAACTTTAATTTTAATATTAATTATTAATTATTATATCTGAAATCTTTTTCTAGGAATTCTAGTATTTTATTTATTTCTCTTAGTTAGAAACCAGATTATAATCCGATTATTCTAATTTTAGTTTTAATTATTATAGTTTTAGATAGTAGTATTACTATATCTAAACTATTTCAGAATTCTAATATTATTATACCTGAACTATTTTAGAATTCTAATATTATTATATTTAGGCCTTCTTAGAATCCGGAGCCTAAACCGCCTGAGAACTCTATTAAAAGCCCTAATAAACCTTTAAGAAATTAGCTAATAATAAAAGAAATAGGTCTAAATATATATTTAAAATTTATAAAGGCAAATTTTAAATTAAAATATATACTAGAATTATACTAAAGCAAATCGGGATATAAGAAATATATAAATAAAATATAATAAAATAATATTTAATAGGTTTTAATTTTTAATCTAGAACCCGAGAAATCTAACTAGAAATTATTATTTAAAATTAATAATAAATAAATATTTTATCCTAATCTAAAATAAATAAATTTATAATAATTAAACTATATTACTAAAATCGAAATATTAGTAATTAAAAGCAGAAAAATTAGCTAAAAAACTATAGCTAATTTCGTATTTATATTTACTATTAAAAGAAAACTTTTTAAAATATAAGAAAATATTAGCTATTTTTTTTAGGCTCTAATAAATTATTTCTTATAATTTAAGATATAATAATATATGAAAACTTATTAAACTAGGAAAATAAAATTAGTATCTAGTTTCTTAAAAATTATATATTTATAAAAGAAAAAGAAAAAGAAATAAGTAGAATTCTAAATCCTAAAAAAGCAAAAATAAAAGTAATTATTTCTCTAATATTATTAATTATTCTAATAATAAAATAGTCTCTGGAAATTAATCTATTTTCTAAGAAGATTTCTATTATTATTAAGGCCAAAAATATAAAGCTTTAGAAAAAGATTTAGTAAATTATAGGTAAGTTCTAGAACTTAATATAAAAATCTAATATTTTAGAAAAGATAAATCGGATTTTAATAAAAAGATTCCAGAAAATAGCTAAATAAAGAATTTCCGAAATTAAGAATTATATTAAATAATTTATTATAAATATAATAAAGATTTCTATAAAATTTAAAGAAAATTAAATAAGTAATAGAATTACTATTATTAATAGATTTATAATAGTATTAAAGAAAGTAATATTAAAACTTAATAATTTTAATAATACTATAGCCAAGAATAGTAAGCCTATTTCTATAAATAATAATATAAATTCTGAATCTAAACCTGAATTTAATTCGGATTAGAATAATAATAACTAAAAATAATAAAAATAAAAAGCTATTTTCCTAGCTTTAATTACGGATTTAAAAGGCAAGAAATCGGCGAAATTAACTATATGAAATTCCCTATTTTATAGCTATTATAGTTCCGGAACTCTAAATATAGAAAATTTAATTAATTTTAATAATAGTTTAGTAAATTTCCTTAATAAAAAAGAATTAGATTTACTATTTCTAGTAAATTTAAAGAAATACTATAAGATATATAGAAATCTAATAAACTTATACTAATAAAAGCTCGATTTTTAATAGTAAAATATATTATAAAGAGCTATTAAACTAAAGCTTCCGAAATTATTAGTAAAGTAAAATCAAAATTAGTTTAATTTTAAAAAAATTTAAAAAATAAAGAAATCCTAGAAAATTTTCTTATAGTCTAGAAACCGGAAAGAATTTCAGGTAAAATAGGCTATAGCTATAAAATATACCGAAAATAAAGCTAGTTTAAAATAAGATTTCTTAATTTTAGTTAAAAAAAGATATAATTAAATAATAATTTTAGGAGAAATATTAGTATTCCGGGAATTTGAAAAAACTTATTTAAATATCTTATTAGAATATATATAATACTATTACCTAAAAAATAGTTAAGTAAAGCAGCTAGTTTAATACTAAAGTTCTTAATATATAATATAGCTAGATAAAGAAAACCTAAAAGGCCACTTAGCTAATAAATAAAAAGTTAATAAAATAATTCTAGTTTACTAAAAGCTATTATTATATTAGGACCGAAACCTAAAGGCCTAATACTAATTAAATTAGAATTAGATAAGGAAGAAATCCTGGATAATTCTGATCTTATCTAGAAACCAGAAAGAATTATAAGTAAAAAGAGCTTTAATTATGAAATATATCAAGAAAATAGTATTCTTAAAACAAGATTTCTTAGTTCCCGGAATAGAAAATATAAATGGAAAGCTATAGAAAAAGAAGTTTTAATATTTCTGATTTCCGAAATACAAGTTCTTTTACTAATTCTACTTATATATATAATAAGTTCTTATAAGAAAGACAGTTCTAATAAGCAAATAATTAAGTACTAAAATACCTAATATTTAATATAGGAATCTGGAGCGAATATAAAAGGCCGCCTAGTCCTTGAATAGGAAATCCCGATACTAATATTCAAATAGAATCCTATTATAATTAATAATAATTAGGACTCTAACCAAGATTATTATAAGCTGGATTCTTCTAAATAGAATCAAGCTACCGAATCTCAACTTACCAAATCTCAAACCGCCGAATCCTATAATCAAACCGCCGAATCCCATAATTAAGCTACCGATTCCGAATCTCAGAACTAGTATATTTCACTTGCTAAACTTTGGAAGAATCGAGTACCGAATTCGAGTTTCCAAATAATATATTACGAGGGTAATTAGTATACGAGCTGGGTAAAAGATAAAGTATTTCGAGGTCAGGTAGCTATAAGAGGAGAAATTAGTCTTATTATTCCCTTTCTACCCGATAATAATAACGTAATTTGGGGTCAGATCGAGAGTATTATATTAGCAGGCATGAAATAAATATCGGAATTACTAGGCTGTTTTCCTTTTCCTTTTCTTTTTTCTTATACGGGAATCTAATATCCCTTCCAAAAAGGCAGGAATTTAATATCCTTAATGAATCCTAATATGCGGATTCTTTTATATATCTTAGTACTAAATTCTGATATGCGGATTTCAGTAATCTAGTATAGGCGCTGGCTTTTTTCAGTTGCGGGGAGGTTACTAGGGAATCATGTTCTTGCTTAGCCTTACTCAGATAGTAACTTCTCGCTAGATAGAATTCATTAAGCTTCATAACATACTCAAGATTCCAGAGCTTGCCCAGCACTTTCAATATCTGCCATACCGCCTTTATTATAGTAAATATATTCTTTAATATGGAAGCAATTCTTAAAGTTAGTTAATTACCTATTAAACTATTTAGGCTCTAGTTACTTATAATATTGGAAGAGAAGGTACCAGATTTTGTATATCTTTTGCTTGAGAATATCGCCCGTAATTATCGCTTTTTACTACTATATCTTCTACTACCATTTAAAGAGTACTAATTCAAGATCAGGCCAATTAGATTAGCTCGAATATTAACCTATAAAACTTATATCTTTTCATATATTAGTATTAAGGTAATTGCACTGAGTACTGAGGCTAAAGGAAATAGTAGATTAGTTAATTTTATAGTAAAACTCGTCCTGGAACCACTTGGTAAGATTAGTATATATAGCTTTAGGATAGGATTACTTATACCTCCGTAGTACTCGGCAATCAGCTTCTGTCATGCCTCTTCGTCTTTTTTTTGGGCTATTCAGGGGCTAGAGAACCAGAGGTAAGATCAAGGGACTATAATTCGGTGAGATTGAGAGCCTAAGAGATACCGGAGGGCCCTGGAGTATTAATAAATTAATCCATTTTCAGGCTAAAGTAGAACAATATACCACCAAAAATTAAGGATTGGGACCGAAAAACCTTACGATAATCGTAATGCCAAGGATATCGTAAGCCTAAGGCTAAAAAAAGTACGGGACCCTACGGCCGTATCGTATTACTAAGGATATCGCTATATCAGGGATCGCTATAGCGAGGTTCTGCTGTAATGACAACTTTATAGACTTACTAAGAAAAAATTTGTAATTGCAAAACTATAGATTCGTCTCGTGACAGGGTGCGTCTCGGGACGCAGGGACGGACGTTAATGGATTTGGTTTTCTTGGCTTGTTTCTTAATAAACCGCCTGTCTAGTCCTCTGGATCTGTTCTTTCCCTGCTTCTTTGGTATAAAGGGGCTAGTAACCGAAGGCAAGTGTCGGCAGAGGGTATATATTCAAGCGGATCGGAGGGTTTTCGATGGGAGAAGAAGTATATAGTCGGAGAGAAGTGAAGTATGGTGGGGTTTAACCGATAACTCCGGCTGGATGGCGGCCTTAACGAAAATATACGTATAGCAGAAGCAGTTGGTAGTGCGGAAAATTGGAGTAGGAAGGTCCTTGGATCTTGTTAAATTATTGGATACAATTTATTCTCGCATTACTACCAGATATAAGAAGAAGCAAACGGAGGCAAAAGACATCTCTCTTTCTATCTAAGCTCGAAGCCCTAAATGGCTTCGGCTGACTAACTGGCTAGCCGGTTCCTTCCCTGGTGGCGTCACCACCCCCACACGTCACCCAACAGATCTGCATTCAGTTGGTATAGCTCCATCTTCCTGTGTACTGTACGGATTGACAGGCAGACTGCTACAGGCGAAGAAACCGGCGGCGCCTGCTGTTGCTGTCGCTCCAAACAGCATTCCCATTGATGATGATTGAGGCAGAGAAGGATGGTCTGCCGAAAGAAGCAATCGATCTGGGATTTCGGCGACAGAAAGATATCTGCGACGAACAGACACAAGATACTTGTTCTTGGTGTACTCGCATTCTGAATAAGTTTTTCGTCCTTCGGACCTCACAATCATGGTACATCACATCTTCGCTAATGCGCCAAGTGCACTAGGCTGCAATGCCACCGACCCTAGATAGTTCCCTTCTCCTCTTTCCGTGTTCTGTTTCCAGGTCCCCTTTCCCTTCGCCTCCGATAAGCTTTCTCGCTCCTCTATCACAGCAAGCACTCCCACTCCCCCACCTCCCCTCCGCACTCCAAGTCGCACTCACAGAAGCTCCCACAGCATCTCAACCCCTTCTCACAAACACAGACTTCGTTGTTCAATGCGAGTTGCAGCTGGGATATCCGGCCTGGCTTCGCCATCATACGTCCTGAGAGGGCGGAGACTTGGGCAGGTGGGAAGGTGGGGAATTTATGTGGTTGGAGTGTGTGGGATGCGAGGACGGCCAAGAAGAGTGGAAAGAAGAGGAAAAGGGGTTGGAGAGGCATATCGAGGAGAGGGTTGAAGGGGGTTGCGAATCGCGATTTAGGGAGGAAGAGTGTGAGTGCTCAGTTAGGAATTGAAAGTGCTAGTTGAAGATGAAGTTGAATAAATTAGAATAGGAAATAATCCAACTTACACAGCTCATCATAGAAGTACATTCCTCCCTTCTTTGACAAGGTAATCTTTCATTGGGGAATGAAAATCTACATTCCTGCTGCTCCTGTACAAATATTAGTATTGTAGTAACTCAATAATCTCAAGAAAGAACAACTCAAGATAACGGGCAAACATCGGGAATCAGATAGATTAGTGCAATAGCAGCCAAGGTAGCAAGTCCCAGTTTGTGATGCTCCTTCCTTGTGGTGGGTCGCCATGAGCGGAAAGCTGGAACGGGGGATGACTAAGCACCCGTGGAATTTCAACCTCACTGGATCTCAAAAATCTTTTCCTCTCCTCATCCCATTTCCAACAGCCCAGAGATCAGCATAGTTGTTGCCCATGAATATTGGATTCTTATTTCCAATCCTTTTTGAGGGACCATGGCGCCCAAGTGGGCTCGCGTGAGAACATTGAGTCTCGAGGAGAGAGGAAGGAAGCGACGAATGAGGCCGATGAAAGGAGTTGTTTGCTATGCTTTTTGATGAAGAGACTTTTGATTCTTGAGTGTTCAAGTCAATTTTTGTTTTGGTTGCCTTGAGTCAAGTATACAGAGATGTGGCTTGATGAATGGGCTTGCTGGAATGGATCATCGATCGCGCGCCAGAGTCCTCGTATAATAACACTCTTGGATCGGGGACAATTGCGATACTCAGAGAATTGGAAGCCCATCTTGAATGGTCCAGCTCGAATGGGGCATTGATGCGGTGCTGCTGCTGGGAGATTAGCATTTGCATTGATGTTCAACCACTCTCATTCCATCCTAATGGGTCGGGAATTGAGACGATAAGTTTGGTTTCCTAGCATTTTTCATCTAATATTGTCCAAACATTCCACTTCAGTATAGTCCGAAACTCGATTGAAGAATAATTCTGCTAGATGTATAAGTCCGATGCATCGAGTAGATTTGTGTAGACAAGGCTGGGGATGCGGAGTCAGTTTCCTCCGAATCCGGCCGGTATCGCTTAATTTTTCGACTGGTATATAGCGAAATAACGTTTTTTTTTTTCGCCCGAGCCATCTGGCTCAGGGTTTCTCATTCTGCCAGGTATTTCCTATCTACTAACTATCTAGTTGGCTTACTGTGTACAGTGGTGAAGACTCACATGAGAGATTACCACTCTCGAGTCAGATTATAGACTGTATGATCCTCGATCGTTTAGCTAGGATTCGCTCCAGGCCCTTCGTTGTTGTCTATTAATCAAAATCTTTGGAACCCACCTTCTGCATTATTGCAGAGCCTCTTTTTTTTTTGCGATTTTTTGAGCGGAGGCTCTTTTCGCTTAAGTTACCGGCTCGATGAGTTCGGATGATGGAATCACTTCACCTTCACTGACGGTATCACGCGGCAGTCCTTGGTTACTGCTATTTTCTGTCTGAGTTCACTATCCGCATTGGGGGTTTAATCTCAACCCCTGTAGGTAGATGTATCGAATATCTCGCGAAGTACAAGGGATACTCCTCGGCTCACAATGAATGGTTCCCAATTGAACTCTTGGGAAACGCAAAGGAGCTAGTGAACGATTACGAAAAGACACTTTCTGCCCTTCCAGCTCCAAGACGTCGGGGACGATCAACCAGGAACTCAACTAGCTTAGCTCCTGCACGACGCGGACGTCCTCCCAAGGGCGCTCACCAGCGTCACTTTTCACCTTCACTCGCAAGTTTTGGAGCTAAGAATATCACTTCACCGTTCATCTTTACAGACTCGCCATTCATATTGCTCGCTTATGGACCGATCTCTCGACCGCGTTTTCTGTATTTCTTAAAACTTCCACCATTATCAACCATCTTACCTGCACATCACCAGTAATGCCACCTGAGATTCCTTCCGCGACTCCATCCCGGTGTCCTCGTGGCGTTTTTTGTCTTACAAGCGCGAAAGCGGGTTTCTGCTGAAGTTCGAATTCCATCATCGTGTTTTAATATCACGGACGAAAACAGTGCCTCTCAGCTTCTTGGTCGTTGAGTTTCATGCCAAGGCTGTATATATTATTTGGATAATACACATGTATAGACAGTTCTTCATTGCCCAATTGTAGTTCATATGCTTGCTGCTGAGAGTGAATATTGATGCTGTGACGTGGGTAAGGCTGAGGCGAAAATACGCTAAACGAGACGAGATATAATGCTTCGCGCTCCCGATCTCTTTCTCCTCTTTAGCAACTAAGAGCTGTAAGTACCTACTCCCCAAACTTTGCGTCTTGCATCTTCTGCACAGCTGTGGATGCAATTGAGAGTCAGCAGTTAGTAGAATCTTCGGATGAAAGTGCTAACTTGTTGCCCTTGAAGCTGCATATCATCCCAAGCAAACGCGGTATGTAATTTCGTCGTCTTTCCCAACACACACTCCTACTATTATCCTGTCTCTTGGGGGGCCCAGATGAGAGCTCTTGCTCTTCCCGTCGTGCTGTTGTCGTCTGCGAAGCTCTCGCTAACTTGAGATGGATATACAGAACCAATACCAACCCCAACTCCGTACGTTCCTCTACCCTGCCTGAGCTGCACGATTCATATGCCACTTTCTTCCCAGAGAGGTGCAGAGAATATGACAGGAATAGGATTTCAGACAGCAAATAACTAACTATTTATGGGATGCCAGACACAAACCACAAACATGGGTACCAACCAATCCCGTATGTTTATTCCTCATTTTTGTTCGAATTGTGCATGGAATATTTACTAAGCATGATACGCATAATAGAAGAGGAGAAGCCGAAGGAGACGCCCGAGGAGATGAAGGAGGAGAAGGAGGAGAAGGAGGAGAAGCCGAAGAAGAAGAAGAAGAAGAAGTCGAAGACGCAGAGAAGAAACGAGAGAAAGAATGCCTTTGAAAAGGCGAGGGTACGTAATGTCCCTGGCCAAGTCGGGACATTCCGAGATATAACAAGAAGCTAACTGGTATTTGCAGGAGAAGGCTTTGGCCGGTCTGGGGCCGGAGGAGGAAGGCGACGAGGAGGTACGAATTTTCGATTGTGCTGCCCTTTTCGGAACATCCTGATACCTGGGAGATTATTTACAAGCTCCATCCGAGCTTGTACTAGAGCCAGATGGCATATTCTAGTAAAGGGGTATGCTGACGGCCATATAGCAGGCGAGATACCGGGCGCGGGTGCTGGCTGGAGTGGGATTTGGAGAGGAAGAGGAGGGCTGCAAGCCGGGTGGGGTGAAGCGGGGACGGGAGAAGGATGAGGATGAGGACGAGGATGAGGGCGCTCCGCCGGTGAAGAAATTCCCCGGCATGACTTTGAAGCCGTAAATTTGTTTTTTTATTACCAAAAGAATGTTTTTATAGAAAGGAAGAGTGTTCTGCGCTGCCACACAAGTCATGTCCCTCATGTGATTTGCACTAACTTTCAATGTCCCAAGTCAAGTTAGACTACTTCAGATATTACTATACGAAAGCTCCCCCGATCTAGCTACTTCCTCTGGTTTCCCCTGAGGTTCTGGAACAACCAGGAATCGTCTCCCTCGAACTCTCCAAAGTCCACGTTGAACCAAAGACATTGAAAATTAACACCGCCTTTGTTGTTCACAGCGAGCGTGGATAAATCAATCTAAAAATAATGCCAAGTTCATCAGCGCCTCTCCTCCTCTTGATTCGTGGTCTCAAATCTTTGTTGCATGTCTACTGCATACGGGTATTGCAGATTCCGGTTCAAGAATTATCCCACCCTACAAACTGTCAACCCTGCTTTCGGCAACACTTTCCGCCTCTCAAGCCCAGCACCAGTGACGCCGCACCTTGTCTCCTTTTGAAATGGATTTGATTGGCCTTGGATTTCCCATCCGAAAGGTGGCGTCGGCTTCACATGCTGGGTTTGGATTTTTGAGGAAAAGGAGGGGTGTCACGTGAGGTGGCGGGGTGAGAAGGGAAAGGGGAGACGAGGCGAGGGGTTCGGATGTGTTTCGTTCCGGGGGCAGGGACGGCGGCTGGTAAATTGTTTTGAGTTTTAGAGGGCCGTTTGATTCTTACAATCCGGATGCCGTTTATGTTTGAGTTTAATATTGTAGGGATGTGTGAGGGAATCTTTGAAAGTGGTTGGAGATAGATATTTAGGTTGATGCATAGCTGGTCCGGACGGAGCCGGTGGAAATATTAACTATCTTGAATCCTTTGGATCTGATAACATTAAAATTCTATGGAGAAGGAAAAAGATGCGCAAAAAGGAAAACACAGAGCAGGATGGTTCTCTACCGGTTTTCTACTAGCTTGGCACCACATGTGAAGCGGCAGCACTTTCCTCCCTCACAAGGTTCCTTACCCATCCGAGAGGCGCAACTGAATTCTTCCAGCCATTCGTATCGAAAACATGGCGTGAGATGCAATTAAACGGTCGGGTTTGTTGCAAGTCGCAGCTGCTCGGCTTGTGAAGCTTCCGGGGCTGAAATATATTGACAAGCGTTAGGTATAAACGGGTGCGGCGTTCAGCACCACCGAATCGAATCTAAACACCACATTCTCGATGTAACATGAAAGGTGTTTGGTTTTCATTTGAGTGATTTGTTTTTGTATTGTTTTTGGATGGGATTCTGATCATCAATACACATTTTGGGTTTTCCCCCAAAGGTTGGAGAATATTTCCTCAGCGATTTCTTCGCCGGTAAAGAGTCTACACATAGGTTCTTGCTCCTAACTTGCCAGGTTTGTTGATTCGATGGCACTCGTCCAGGCGGTCATTACTCCATCCTTCGTTATCGTGCTTTCGTCCACCGTGGTGTCTCTCATATCTTCCTGACCTTCGTGAAGTACCATCCCACAATTGCTGCCGCGATGACGAGCAGAACGACAACGCTTGTGATGCTCGCACATAAAACCCGACAGTGTCTCTTCTCTCTGTGCTGTTGTGCAAGCCATTCGTCCCTACCATCCTTGTCAGTACCTCTCCTTCGGCTTTCCAGCTTGTAGAATTCAGGCTTAGACATACTTCGTACCAACGCTGGTCTTTTCGCTCTTCTGCAAGCCTTGCTCCACATCCCCGGTAACTTCTGACATGTGTACTGCAGTCGAGAATCTCTTCCAGCTAGTGGATTTCACGGTCAGCGCAGGCCAAATCATGCTCGAAAAATCTCGGGGGTTGACATAATATCTCATGAGCACTCCACCCTGATGTGCGAGGAATGGGTTCGAGACTACTTCTGAAAGGGACTCGTGCTAAGGGAAATAAACCTACAAGTGCGGATCTCTGACCAACCCAACCGCCGGGGGAGCAGCCTCGGGCTCAGGAGCTTGCGAGAGAGGTCTCGTGCTGTGGACTTGCTGCAGAGGCGAAGGCCGCTTGACATGCGGGCGATGAGCTCTTGGTCTCCCCATCTTGTCGGTCTATCGAGGATTGTGGTGGTGAGATGTTGAGAAGTGGAGGTGTCGAGGAGCGACCGATCTCTCCGAAGTATCGTTCATCCAGCCTTCCGATTCACTCTGGATGCCGAAGTTAGGAAGTCCCCCTTATCGACCGCTGATGCCCTCCGATAACCGCCCAGGCAAGGCTGTGACCTCTGGTCCTGCAGGAGTGAATGTAAAGACCGTTGTTGGAATTTCTTGCACAAATGAGTGAAGTGCAAGGAGACCAATTAAAGAAGGTAAGAACGACTGGTCCCAACTAGGAGACTGCAAGTCACACACTTCACCAGACAACACGAGTGGGAGGGAAACAGCAAACAATTCATGAACACACATGCATCACTGGAAACACTTGCAGAAATTAATAATGGGGACGCTTCGCATATATAAACAACTGCTGTTTAAAAACTCTGCCTTGTGTTGCTGGGATCAGAAGTCATAGCCGGGTAGAAAGATCTGAGTGGGAGTTTTGCGATATGGATCCTCTTAGTGGAGCTATTCTAGCCGATCAGGGAGGGAATTATCCACGTTTTCTAGGAGAAAGAGCAAGGCAGTGCCTGTCGCTGCAGTATATGCCGAGATTGGGGCTCGATCGGAGGCCAGGGAGCAGAGCTTGTTTGCTGGAGGCAGTAATGTTGGTTGGTGATGGGGGAGTAGTGGGGGACCGAAAGTTTCTTCAGAACGGAGATTGCGGTGGGGCGGCGTTACTGGCAACAGCCTGTGGAACATTCAGGGGGAGGAGAGAGTCTAGGCGCTGAGCGGCTGAAGGTCAGAGAGCGGATAGGAGACGCGAGTAGATTACAGTAGTGGAGGAGGTATCAGCATGGGCCGCCTCAAAAAGTTAATTGGATTCTACAAGAGAAACTGTGAAGTGATGTTTCCAAAAGGCTCAAGGCTCAACCTGGCATCGATGTCTCTCGTCACTCGACATATCTGAGGGGAACTTTATTGTGAAAAGCCCTTTTCCACATTCGGTTAGCAACGGCCCAGCTCGGTGTTTGCTTTCAGCCAATCAACATGCATCTCCCGACAACTAGATTTCTAGGTTCATAATAGAACGCCACATCCTCCACCCGACAGCTCGAAACTGGTCTCCACAGTTTCTCAGCAATGGGCAGCACGATGCCCTTGCCTTACTGGCAAATCAACGTCCCTGCCTCCCAACGAGAAACTCCTTGTCCTCCCTTCCTAGCCAATCTCAATCCGAAAGACCTCTCTATAATCAGCACTCCTGACGCCTTGTACTGTACGATTACTTGGCCCGAAGTCCGGAAGATCATCGCCGAGAATCGAATCGATGCCTTCCAACGCGTTCCTTCAGATCTTCGACGATACTTGGCGTATAACTGGAAGTTGAAGAAGGAATATGGCAGTGTGATGGAATTCGTATTGTCGGAGAGACTGAGATGGAAGGAGCCGATTCGAGCTGAAGGGCTGCCCTTTGAGAAGGAGAGCGATATCAAGATTCTGTACAATGATTGGCCATATGGGATTGACGAGAGGATCGTGCACCTGGTTATCTGGACGAAGTTTGAGTTGGAGGATGATCCATTGACGGATGATTTGACGGAGAAGGCTAGGAGAGAGATTGATGACTTTGTTGATGAGACGTTTGGCAGGAAGGTTGGAAAGGAGAATGTGAGTATCACGTGATCAATTGGCTGATCTTAATTGCTAAGACGGTCCACAGGTCATCTGGTTCAAGAACTGGAAGTCGTTGAAGTCTGTTCATGCTGTGGAGCACTTTCATGTCATGCTATATAATGCAGACCCTGTCTTCATTGAGGAGATTACCAATGGCGATATTCCCTTGAGCAGGAAGGTTTGAAGCGAGAAAGGAGAGGAGAACAAGATATGTGCAGTGGAGGTGTTTATTAGAAGTGTTTAGAGGTTCAAAGGGCCCCATTGCAATCCCTGAGATTAGAATAGATACCCATCAGCTCAACGCCTTCGAAGCCACACTTGTTTAGATTCTACCATAGAAGGGAATGGAAGACTGGAGCGGCTTTCTTGCATTTCAAACATCGTATACAATCAAACAGCATCACGCTTGGACAAAGAGATGAGGAGGGTTGCTACAGAAAGAAACAATTTGTACAAGTCATCATTGATTGATTGGAATATCCGGAATATTGGTACATTTCGGCACATTCGCACATATCCATCCATCTTTTCTGTGCTATCTAAACGCCGAATGTCCAAGACTCGAGACAACCAACCTCCTTACGCCTAGCTGGTCTGAAGAACATCATTCAGTATTCCATTGGTACACCCAACCCCTGTTCTTTTGGTCGCCTGGCTTCTTCCTGCTGCTCTCTCTCCTCCCTCAACATATCTTCGACTTCATCCTTAAGTCCAGTAAGGTCGGGAGGAATAACCTGACTTTGAACACTTGGCGCACTGTTGACAAATCTCAGTTGCTCTGTGATGGTGGAAACAATGTCCTCGACTTTCTTCTTGGTATTCCTGTTCACGCGTGGTTCGCCAAGAATCTGTTCCAGAGTGGGGAACAAGGTGTTGTGTCTGAAGTGCTCTCTGTAGGGTGTATGCTCCGGGATGATAGGATCGAGTGTTGCATCGCATCCGATCGCAATGCTAGTTTCATGTGCCCATGCTCGTGCCACGTTTCGAGGTGTGTATCCTCCTCCGCCAACAAGCAACAGAGGTATGTTGAGGGACTTGCAGAAAGCAACACAAGCCCCATGACCTTGGACTTGTACATTGAAGCGACCAAGGCGATCTCCAGCAAGTGAATCAGCCCCACATTGAAGGACAATTGCCGTCGGTTGGAATTTCTCAACACACTTTCCGACAATGGTTTTGAACAGCCAAACGTATTGGTCATCATCGATTCCGTCTGAGAGTGGGACATTGATCGCATGGTGAGCTCCTGGGTTGCCTTCATTGTCCGGTCCAGTTCGGTCCAGGTCTCCGGTGCCGGGGAAGAAGTTCAGACCATCATATTTGTGCATGGACAAAGTCATGACTCGATCTGTCGACCAGAAGGCTTCTTCGACTCCATCCCCGTGGTGAACATCGATGTCTATATACAAGACTCTCGGATGTTTTCGTAGGAGCTGTAGTATAGCAAGCACGATGTCATTGACATAACAGAAACCCGATGCTTCAGCTTTCTTGGCGTGATGCAGTCCTCCCGACCAGTTGATAGCGATGTCGGATTCATTATTGCAAAGTTTGCGAGCAGCGTCGATGGAAGCACCGGCGTACATGGAGCAGTAGTTGAAGAGACCTTCAAAGATCGGGCAATCCGAACCTCCAAGATTGTAATCTTTCGGTGTCTCATCATCCGGCATTGCCACCTTTGCAGTCTTCAGGTAATCTAGGTAATCTTCGCTGTGAAAGTCTTCCAGCTCCTCCCTTGTTGCTAGTCGTGAGACATACGTATCCATTGCAGCATGCATCCCATAAGACATGATGAGACCCTTGGCCAAAGTGAGGCGCCAGGGCTTCATTGGATGCGCATGGCCAAAGTGATGCTTCTCGATCTCAGGATTCGAGTGCCACGAGACCTGGTATCCTTTCGGTCTAACGATGCCATTCTCTTGAATCTCGCGGTTGACCTTAGCAAGAAGGGCGGCGTTGTGAGACTCTCCATGTTGAGCCAGTGGTCGATACTCTTGAACGATGTTGTTTGTGGAGAACACCATTTCAACAAAGAATCCACGTCACGCGCGGGTGTACACCTGGGAGAGTTTGTTATTTGAGAGCGTCCTTTTGGAATTCAGGAGCGCGCGCGTGAGGGACAACTGTTGTGCGCTGTAGGTGTAGTTCGTGGGTGAGAGTGGTCGCGCAGAGAGGGATTGCGGAGGATAGGAAGGCGAAGCATTGGGATATAGTAAGAGTGTATTGCAGTGAATTGACGTCCCGCAGTACTGTAGGAGGCAGGGTCTCTACCCTCCACGTATCGATAAGGGACGAAAATCGACCTTAGCCTCACCCAGAAGCCATGGTCCAGGGCTGGGAGCTGTCGCAAAGGATTCCTGGGGTGCAAGATAAGAGTAGGGTTCCTGGAACTGGTTCTGCGTAGCTTAATGAAGCTTAATAAATCTTCAGTGAAAGTTTGAGGTTATAAATATGAATGGTGTTAGAGATGCTTGTGCTAACGATTTTCTGTCTCGTTATCAATGTCTGGGCCAAACACAGTGATGTTTGACGTACATGAAGCTAGTCCGAGTTTGGCCCTAGCGCGAGGCTGAGGCGTTCTTTCTCTTACGAGAGCAGATCGCGCCCTCGGCGTCATTTTTCCCTGCCTCCCAATTTCACTTTTCAGCACCACCCGATCCGAAAACGCCAGGGGCAAGGGGCTCCATCTCGAAATAGAAAGGCGGGACTGGGCAAATACATCTTTCGAGGTGAGCATACGACTTCATGACTTATGCCAGCATTTGAATTATCTGGCGCACCTGAGGGGCCGCCATTAACATCATGCCCAGAGACGATCTCACCATCGATTTCAACAATCGGAAGGGCGTGATGCCTCAAACCGAGCATCAGGATGCCGCCGCCGTTCTCGATGAATGGGTGAATCGCGTGGCAAACCTGCCGGCGGAGATCACATTCATGCAGGAGGAGATTGAGCAGAAGGACAGGCAGATGCAGGAGTGTCTTACGATCATCACCAAGAACGATAACGCCATCCAGAAATGGATCCGCCTTAATGGAAGCCACACTCCCAACCCTAAAGAAGAGGCCCACAGCAGAATTATACAAGAAAACTACGATAAAGCCCAGATCCTACAGGAAGAGAAGATTGCCTTGGCTCAGAAGACACAGCAGGTCATGGACAAGCATACAAGATGGATAGATAGCAATATCAAAGCTCTACAGGACAGAGGAGAGTTTCCAAATGATCCAGAGATCCCCTCCCTCCTTCGACCTCAACCGGAGTTGGCCAGACCCCGCATCGATCATGCCGCTGCAGCCATGCCCCTTGGTGCTATTGCTGCCAACAATGCCTCCCTTGGAAATCCTCGACATCCTAACCAGCATCCACCTCGAATGATACCAGCACATGTTCAAGCTCACCAGATGAGTGGCGTATCATCCTCCTCTGCCCCGGCTACACCTGCAGCATCGATGTTGATGAGTCGACAAGCACGAGAATCGTCACTAGGTGCAGCCAACAAACGACAAAGATTGACTGGAGGACTGGGAGTTCTTCCGCCTAGTGGCCTCGCACGCCAATCTTCTATGACACCGAATACTCCTAGAGCCGGTACACCAGGCAGTGCAGCCAGAGCCGGAAGCGCCGGCCCACGGTTATCACAAAAGTCTGTGGTGAGCAAGAAAGTGGCACCTCAAGGAAGCAGACAAAGCGGCGCTCTACGCAAAACCAAGAAGTCAGGTCTCAACAAACTCAGAAAGCCTGGACATAAGAATTCTCCAGGATCTACCAACGACAGCGAGCTTAGCGACGCCGATTCAGGGTCTGCCGAAGAAGATGACGAAGCAGTCACGCCGCCTGCAACGAAAGATGGTGATGGAGATGAGGAAATGGGTGATGTCGAGGATGATGAGGGTGGAGATGACAGGAAATACTGCATCTGCCATAGCGTTAGTTACGGCGATATGGTTGCTTGTGATAATGAGAGCTGTAAGCTGGAGTGGTTTCATTGGAGCTGCGTTGGTCTGAGAAGCGAGCCAGTTGGGACCTGGATATGTCCAGTCTGCACTAAGGAAGGAATCAAACCGGGCGGTTGATCTGATAAAGGTCGAGAACACAATGGCGTTTTAAGGGAATGGCAGGCTGGGAGCTGGCGTTTGCCGGTATGGCGTTACCATCATGCATGGAATAAGGTATCATATGCATACCTAGCTCTAACAGATCAATGATCCAATATTCAGAGCTTCAAGTTGATTCGATGGATGCCATTTTGAAATGCCGTGATCTGCAAAGAAAGGCGGTGTAAAATAGCCCCCCAGATTCTGCCCGTCTTAAAAAGTTGCCCCGCCTTTACCTCAAACCACCTTTACACCAAACTTCAATCCTATTAAACCACCATCCTCCTACCTTCTTCCTCCTCCTTGAAATCCCTCATTCCAAACACCGTTTATTTAAAAACAAAAACTGCAAAAATGCCACCCCTCCTAACGCCCCACGAACTCCTCCGCAAAAACCCCGAACCACACTCCCAAATCTTCGTCCACAACCTACAAACCACGCTCCCCCTCGCACGCGACGCCTGGGGGCGGCCCTCCAAGCCTCAACCCCTCTTAATATCCTGCGCTCTCTCCCTCCGGTACCCTTTCTCATCCACCTCCGCCTCCGACAATCTCACAAACGCAACAATCCACTACGGGATATTATCCAAAGCAATATTAGAAGCATGCCAAGAGTTCAGAGAGCTATGCGAGGACGAGGTCATGCCTGTGCCAATGCATATCAAAGCCTTGGTTTGCTATCTGCAGTTTTATCTTACGGGGTGCGATACACTGCCTAGAATCCCATCCTATGTTACTCTTCCTACAAATCAAAACTCGACATCGGCGTCGAAAAGTGGTAAAGAAGGGAAGCCGAGGGAGCCGTTAGTCCCCTGCTCGATGTTAAATGCTCTTTCGTTAGAGGTTGTGTTACCAAAAGCGAGCTTGATGGGCTCAGGGATCAGTTTAAAAGGCGACTTTGTCTATGAGGAAAGGCACCATGGGCCGAGCGCGTATAGCATGGTGTTGAAGCTCCACGAGCTAAGGGTCCCGACTATTGTTGGGGTAAATGGGAATGAGAGGAAGGCAAAGCAGGTTGTGGTTTGTAGTGTGGAAATGGAGAGGTGGGATAGGATGGTTGATGCTTACAATGAGTTGGAGGAGATTGTAGTTAAGGTACTTACTTTTCTCTGCTTCCCTTTCTGCTCGTCCCTCCGGGGCAGGACTAACGAGGGATATCAGAGCATAGAAGAATCCGCCTTCCAAACCCTCGAAGCCCTCTGCACCCACCTCGCCCACCGGATAATAACATATTTCCTACTCCCTCACTACCCTCTACCATCCTCACCGCTCGCTCATTCCCACCAACTCACCCCCTCTCAACCGCAACCCCTTCCACACTCACACCTCGACACCTCGCACCATCCCCACCAAACCGCCCAGTCGCAAATCACCCATTCCCCTTCACAATCTCCAACCCATACAACCTGGAACTACCAACGCATCCGCATCTCCCTCTCCAAACCAACAGCCGTAACCTTCGCCGACGCACCCTCCGTCTCTATACTCCTCGATTCCGACCCGAGTACGAGTCAAGACGTGAAGGAGCTGTGGCGAAAGAGGGAAGGGGGCAGGAGGGAAGAAGTGATGGTTCCGTTTCCGCTTGAGGGACGGCTGGATGAGTGGATTGAGAGGTGTGAGGGACTGGGGAGTGGGGAGTGAGGGGAGGGACGGATTTTAAGGGGAATACGGGAATGGAAGGAAGGGTTGGTGATCTGGTGCGAGAGTTGGGGGATAGAGGAGAGGACGTGAGGAGAGTGAAGGCTGATATACGGTGCCTGGGTGAGGAAGATGGAGTTCGGGATCGAAGTAAGGTGTGAGGAAGTTTGGTTGGACAGTCAAATTTGGTTAATCGGAAAAGAAACAAGAAAGCACGGAACATTGATTACTGAAGAAGTAGTTTTGAAAGCGAGTAATTTTTAATCCAATGTTATTTGATGTGCGGTATGTTGACTCTGATATGCACAATCCAGATCTCCAAATCCTAAGCACCTATGTAGCAAGAACCCAACAAACGCCAATCCCCAACTTTTGCCGCGAATCAGTATTCGCAAACTCCAAGCGATGCAATGAGCAGAGAGTGCCAATCTCATTTTTCCACAAATTCGGGTACAAGCTCATGCTTTACAATCTGTCCGGGCTCTGTGCCCCTGGCATAATCGTCTCCCTCGTCCACTCCGCCTCATGAACAAGAATTTCCCTCCTCATCTGATACGCCCTATACCCCACAAAACCACAAAGCGCTGTTCCCACCACAAACGCTGCACTAAGCAGTATAATATTAACCGGCACCGGATCGCCATTAAACACCATATGCGTCACAGCATCTAATCCACTCTGTGTGAAGTTGAACAGTCCAGCAAGGCAGATGATAAGGCCGTACACCGTGCCAAAAGTTCGGAAGCCGAAGACCTTGGCGGAGAAGTCGGAGACGGTGGTGTAGTAGAATGGTCTGTAGAGAACGAAGAGGCAGATGTTTGAGTAGGCTGCCCAGGTGTAGGGGAGGCAGCCGAGAACACCGATTGTGGTTGCTATTGCCACAAGAGCGGAGAGGACGAAGAAGGTACTTGTGTGGTCAAGCACCACGCCGATAAAAGGGATAGCGAGAAGCCCGCCGAGAGGAAGGGCGATATCGAAGAATGTGTTGATTTCGACCGCTGCACCGTAGGAGCCAAGGAGGAATTCGTACTGTTTCCTAATCGTTGCAACGAAGAAGTTTATTCGTGTCATTTGGATGACGGTGAAAAGTGCAATCAGGATAAACCATGGTGAGGCGATTTGTTCCGCTGCTGTCTTCCCGTGCATAGCTCCCCAGACACCGGAGATCTTGTTCTTCTTCTCTTCCTTCTTCAGATGTGTAACTCCTGATTTCGAGCCGATGAGATCCGTGATCTCAGAGACAACAGATTGGCGTTGTTGGTGCTCATCGCGGAGCAGAGCCGTGTTTTCATCAATCTGATCGTCGTAGACGTCGTCCGCTTCTTCAACCTGCTTCACTAGTTCTCCAATGGTTTTGTATGATGCTTTTGGCATCACAAAGATCTGGACGATCAAGATGAAAACCGGCACTACCAAGTAAACTAAAAAGAACTTCTTGGGCCAGAAAGTGCCACCGCTCCACTGATATATGATACGATATATCAGGAAAAGCGCACTAGAAGAGTCGAATGCTCCGGTCAACAATGCGAGAATAAGACCGGAGTGTTTTGGGAACGCATTCGACAACTGAAAACTACTTATAAACACGAACGGCCCTCCAAGAGCCAGAAACAAATATCCAGGAATATAGCCATCGAACGGGAGTTGCGAGGCAAACGCAAACAGCAGCGCTCCGATGGCGAGCAAGAAACTCCCAGTGATTCCACAAATTCGAGGGCCGTAGGTATCCAGGATATGTCCAATAGGGAGAGCAGCTACGTTGGTGCCGACTGCTGCAATTGTGAACATAAGGTTTAGATGAATCTCTTGCTCGTAACAGGTTCGCACGCCTCGTTTGATTTCGTCCGGTGTGCAGAAGTTGCGGTAAACTTGCTCGCGGATCAAGACCGGCTTGATGGCTGCATATCCAAAGACGATGCCGGCTGCGAAAAGGCAGTAGATCACAGCGATTACGACCTGCCCTGGTTCAAGAATTATGTTAGCAAGTTAACTCTTCTTGGGATGAAAGGAATAGATAGGTTCTTACAAATTCTCTTAGCATAAGGCACTTCAAATGCGCCAATTGGCTGCTGGCCTTCTGTTACCATGGGAGGATCCCATGATTCTGGCAGTGGCGAGAAGCTCAGCTTCCTGTCTCTCGACGAAGGCGACTCGGAGAGATCCCTTCCCCTCTCCGGAGCAAGAGACTCAAACGAGGTTACTCTTTCCAATAACGACATTACAAATATATATTCTTGCACCGATGTGGAAGAGGGTTGGTTGCAGGACTCGGTGATTGGTGTTGCAGTTGAAGCTTCGAGATGGCGGGGTAACTTGCGTCACTTGTGAGTCTCGAGTGTACGTTTGTGGCGCGCGATCTCTAAAATAAAAGAGAAGATTGTATGTCAAGCATGAATACAGAAGAGCAGAAGGAGGTCGTACGTATTCTGCCGGAGCCCCTCGTCCTCTTCAGCTCACGCGACGAAGTAGTTGGGAGGAGAGCCGGGGAAGACATGAAGCCCTGCCCCGGCTGCCGCTAATCGGGGGAGCTTTGAAGATTTAACCCTGCCCGTGCATTAGCGGGGATACACAGCTCGCCTCCCTGATAAGCTCCGGCAAACTTTTAAGGGGGGAGGAAGATTCTATAATTGCTTTTCGGAGCCGTCCGCCATTGGACCTTTTTGCACCAATGGGCTGGCGAAAACCGCCTGTCACAAACGAGGCAGGCATATTGATATTGAGGGGTCAAGTGGATGCAATGAATTTTCTTTCATAAAATTCTTATGGTATCATTCGTATGCCCTAAGCCCGGCTGCCACGGCCCGTTGATTGTAAAATACAATCTTGAAGACGGCTCTTCGCCTAAATGCAAGTCCCCTCGAATGCAAGAACGCCAGAAGCAAATGCATAATACGTCTAAACCGCAGATGGGATCCGAATCAGGTCTACATCCCGTCAAAGAAGGATGCGCCCGCCGTTGGATCCATCATGCCATAGAACGCCTCGTCAGTATAGTATTCGCCGAACGGTCCAACTCCGATGGCCATGCCCATTGCCTGTTCCAAGCCGTCACCCATCATGTAGCCGTCCATTCCCAACGAAGGGTCGATGTTTCCCGTGCTCAAGTTGCCGTATGGAGCCATTGGCATTTGGGTCATCGAAGGATAGTTGGTGAAGCTTTGCTGCTGTGGTTGCTGCCAATCGTTGGTAGAACCAAGATTTTGGCTGACACTGCCCGAACGAGATTGTCCGCCAGGATTAGTTGCAACTTCACTCAGAAGCTGGAGAGGCGTGTTTTCGGTGCTATAACCTTGCTGTTGTCCACCGCGTTGTTGAGGATTTTGCTTGTCGCTAGCGGCCTCCGCAGGAGTGTCCATCAAGAGAGCAGACTCGCTCGATTGTGGGGCTGGCTTTCCTTCCCGTTGACGGGCAAACCAAGTCTTCAGCATCAGAAGCACCATCAAGAACTTGTGCGATGGACGTGACTTCTTTTCCGCAGCGGATGCGCTGAACATGTTTACCAGACCATCCAGATACTGCTCAACTTTCATGTTATCCTTGCTGATGACCTTTCCAAACTCACTGGTTGGCGTGGCAGCTGCAAAATACATCTTGATCAGGACCACCACAGCATATGCAATCCGAACGAAGTTGATCACGGGCAGGCAGCGAACAGTTTCGACGTCCAACTTCAGGAAGGTTTCGAAGATACCATCAACGGAGTTCAAGCAAACACACAGAGCTTGGACATGGTCAGAACTGAGCGATGCTTGGTCACCGACACCGACTCCGCCGAGGGTATCCTCTGTGAATGGCGGCTTGAACTCCTCGACGTTATGGTCAACATGCAAAGCAACTTCGTGCATGTAGAGATCAACAACGTACTCCGCGATCTTCAACATAGCTGCATTCAGTGTCAGAAAACTTTGAACATTTTTTTACTGTAGATGCGACTTACGAGACTGAGACTTACGGGACTGAGCTTCCGGTGGTACCTGGCTGCTCCATTGCTTCAAGTTGTTCTCGAAACCCTTGAGTGCATATTGAACTGTCGCATCAGCAATGGTAACTTTTGCAGTAGGATCGTCCATCTTAAAGGTGATGCCGATCTCCTCTGCAATATGCTGAACTCGCACCCAGCTACACAATGCCCGATCAGTAGGTGCTGCATCAGGAGAGGTCTCAAGAATTTCGACGCAGTCCTCCATGAACGGGGCCCATCGGATCAGATTCGGTCGGCGAAGTCCCATGGCCGCATTGCAGCATAAGAAATAGCAACCAAGCCAGGCACGTCTAGTTTCAATGCTGGTGGCATCAGGATACGGAGTTCGGCGCCATGGGTTGTCTCTCCACAGTCCCGGACCTTTGGTCTTGCTTCTCTTGCCCATACCAATATCAATTGCCATGACAGCTGCTATGTGAATGAGTTGGTAGAATTTGAGCTCCTCAAAGTGTTCCGGAGGGTAGTACCAAAGGGAACTGATTTGCAGAGCTTGAATCAACTCTAAAGTCTTCTCTCCATTGCAGATGATGCGGTCGGCGTAGATGCTCATGACCTCCTTCGTCAACTGCTTTTGTATATCGGGAAAGTTGGATCCAGAACTAGCAGCGAGGATGGCCAGGAAGAGGGTTGGCTTGGTCTTGCGAACTTCGGCGGAAGTGGTGCCAGCCTTGAAGACAACTGCAGGCATGTGGGGCGCCATCTTCTCAACATAGCAATCGAACATCTTTGCGGCCATATCTGCAGTCACAAGTCCTCTGTCAACGACATCTGAGTACTCATGCATCGGTGCTGGCTTCATTCCTCGGTCCATCAAGAATCCAAGAGATTGCTGAGCATTGGAACCATCGACCGACTTCCGAGTGGCCCCTGAGATTGGCGAGTCGGATGCAGTTGAGAAGATTTCGGCGTGCTTTCTCTTCTGTCCCGCAACGACCATGGGCGGAACAGACGACTTCCTGCTTTCGAAATCGGGGGCCTTTCCAAAGGCGTTTCCCCACTCATTAGCTCGAGGCTCTGGAGCCTGAGCGAATACGGATCCGTAGCCTCCATTTGTGACTTGCTGATATGGTGTTTGTCGAGCTTGTGCAGTCATAGGTGGCACCTCAACACCACCGCCGCTGTGAGCAATCGCAGTCGAGCCCGATTTCTCAGCCATCATTGCCGCCATCGCCTCAATCTTCTTCTCTAATTCTGCGACGCGACTGTCGGTCTTCTTTTGTCTCTTCCGACTTGGTTGAGTGACAACGCATGTTCGATTGGCCTTGCCACATCTCTTGCAAGGTCCGTCGGGGTTGTTTGCATCCGGCTCGCACTTGACCTTGAGTCCTCGACCTATTCCCAAAAAATCGGGGTCAGCATACTTTTTTCAGGCCTTTTCGGGAGTAGAATGTTCCAGCTGCTGTTGGACGTTCCTAGTAGATTGTCCCAGGAGCTGCTGAACATTGCTGCGAAGAACTAATACTCCGAGAAGTTAAAACTTACAAGCTTCGCAAGCTCTAGGTCGCTTGGGATCATTCGGGCCGCCATCCTGGGTTCCGTTTCCCGCGTCATTGTCCTCGTTACCGCCGGACTGGGGAGTTTGCGGCAGGTAGTAGTTTTGCGGGGAGCCTTCTTGGACGGGTTGGTATTGCTGTGGAGCAACTGGTGATCGTGATTGCTGGGGAGCAATTGGAATTTGAAGAGACGCTCTCGGGGGATGGGTCTGTGGAGTATAGGAGGTGGCAACCGGGGTGTCCCTCAATCGAGGGTCGATCTCCATCTCGTCCTCGTCCTGGTCGTGAGCACGGTGAGTGGCGCCCATGATGCCGGAACTCGGTGCTTGCAATACCGTGATGGCGATGGATCTCTTCAGCTGAGTAAGGTTTTCATAGGGCAGCTTTTGCGGTTGCGGCGTCGGCGTCGGCGTTGTTGTCCGTGTTGGCGTTGAAGCGAGGCTGACGGGCACAATAAAAGCGGCGATGGTTTCCCAAAGCCAAAGTGAACGATCCAAGTGCCGCCTTATCGTGATCCTTACATAACTGTACATTCAAAGTCTACTCCCTCCGAATGCCCAGGAGGTTCTGGGACATTTGAGAACCACCTCCTTCCATTGTACAACTTGGCTGTTGGATACTGAAAAGCTGAGCGCCGCTTTAGATGTCCTGGGGGTCTGGTCAAGTAAGGTTGAAAGTCGAGCCTTCCCCTCCTGCCTATCTTAAAGAGGCAGCTTGATATTTTGCGGAATGTACATTCTCTTGAAATCCCATGTCAAGCATGTTCCTATCCCAGGTTGGCAGGCATCTTTCCCAGTTTATTGTTCCTTCCCGGACAGGAACAATCAAGCAGTTGTCCTGCTTCAAGCTTATACACCTGGACAACAGCAGCCTGTGGCGGCCAGCCGGAGTCACACCGCCTGACTCGGTGCTTCTGCAGTGCGGTAATCAATTCAAAAGGCTTCCCTGTCAAGCTCGTTGCATTGACTTTGAGACGGAGCCAGCTGCAGGTAGAGTTACTGCGGGTGCAACATTAGCCGAAGCCCCTTTTCCTTCTGCTCCCAACCAATCCTTGGGAGATCCTATATTCTTCTTTCCTAGGAAGTCTATTCGTGCCATCGTGCTCTATTTGTCTTCATTGACCAGGTTTTCGAGCTGTTGAAGAAACTCCTAGAGATCCAAAAATAGCCTGTTCAGGGATAGCCACCGGATGAAGCCGGCCCTAATATAGAATCTTTATCGCGCAGCCTCGATAAGAAAGTATCCAACATAGTTGAAGCCTTGTCGCGTGTCCAACTCATGCTTGAATTCATCTCGCCCGATAACATTGCTTTTGCCTTTGCAGCAGCTCATAAAACAAGAGCGACCCGTTCTGTTATTTTTCCATTTGCACCATCCAACCTTCGGCTTCACATGCTGAAACAAGTGAAGACGTCACAGTGGGTGACTGAGGTGCGACCGTGACGGAAGGCCAGTCAAGTCTTGAATGAGAGCTGTTTAAGGATAAGGGACTCCTAGAGGTCGCGAATGTATGCAAGAATCAAAGCGTTGCCCCTTTGTTGATGTGTCATAGAGGCTTTGCTGACCATGTCTAGCATCTCGAGTCCAACTCATCGACACCAGGCTTCGAAAACTTGGTGTAGCCTTGATCCTCGCAGGAGAATCGACCTCTAATATTCGAAATATCACCGTGCTGGAGATAGAAGGCCATTGTTCGGTTTTAGTTGAGAATATTGAGGATTCAGAAAGGGTTCTTGTCGCCTCCTGTCGTTGTTAGCAGCGATCCCATATAAAGGGAAGAGCCTGGCGCTATTCTGTCCCGGAGGCGGCAAAGACATAGAAAAGAATCCAGAGCTTCGAGTATCTAGAGGATTTCTTCTGCAGAACAGCCGCCAGGACATCTGGCGGGTCTGTTGTTCTCGTGGGGCACCGAAGCCCCCATTTCTTGGTGGCAATTTCAGCCTCCGCTTTATCAGCCCCGAGATGGACAACCCAGGCCCCAGATCTGGGTCTACCACGCCGCATTCGGGGTCTGAACATCGATTTGAGCGACCCCTACCGCCAATCCCAACTTCCGAGCCGATCCCCGTTCTCTGGGATAATGACGGAGCTGCGAGTGAGGCCATGCACCCAAACCCGCCTGGTGATCAATTCCGTATTGATATGAGAGATATATACGATGAGGATGCTGAAGAAGGACCAGACATCAATCTCCATGGAGTAGATGGAAACATTCTCGACATATATAGGTCTAGAAGTAACTCATCTTTGTCAGTCATCTCACATGAGATGTTGACAAGGGCTCCTTACCTGGAGGGTGTATCAAATAGCTCGCCCAGACCTTCTGCTATTGTCGATGGCCATTCTACTCCGCAACGGGGCTCCCCAGCACTTCCACGTTCTCACCAGCGGGAAGGGTCCGGAGTGCCAAGTAATTCGGCTCCCGTCAGTCTTCGAGAGTTCCTCGGGGATAGTTCGTCCACATCTAGAAGTGGCACTTCAATTCCAGCCAGATCTGGTGCTAATGATATAACCTCAACTGGAGTCTCCCGTGTTCAATCCGGAGAAGCTCAAGAGCGTCCGCAAGGGGGGGTATGGCGAGAATTGGGACCTGAAAGCACTGCAAGTGTGTCAGTTCGTACTCCAACACGTACACCGACACGTACGCCAATTCTCAGTACAAGATCTGGGCCTGAGGATGACTCCTCGCTGTCGGGGTCATCAAGAGACACTCTTCTGTTGTCTCACGACTCTCCTAGTCAAGTCAGGCATCGATTGCATCCTCCTTCTCCAGAGTTTGTACTGCCAAGATGGCAACCAGATGCGGAAGTTACGTTTTGTCCCATCTGCAGAACACAATTCAGTAAATTCTCCTAACCGGGATTATTATACACAGTGCTAACCACATGAATAGGCTTCTTTGTCCGCAAGCATCACTGCAGGTATGCCCTCCTTCATATTGCGTTGTTGTTTGATGTTGTTTTGTCGCGAAAGTCAGTCTTACCGATTTTAGAAAATGTGGGCGAGTTGTCTGTAACTCTTGCTCTCCCCATCGCATCACAATTCCATACCAATACATTGTCCAACCACCGCTGGACGGCGGATCACCAACCTCACCAGATCCTCATCCCCCACGTAGGACAGACACCGCGGGCAGCTCAGACGTTGCGAGTCTTGGTGGGGGAGAGCGTGTGCGACTTTGTAACCCCTGCGTGCCAGATCCAAACACAGCTCCGCCAGCCAACACCCAACGGCCAACCTCATACCAGGGAAGGCATTCCAGATCCGTAAGCACCACAGCAGTACCACAAAACACCTCTGGGGACTACTCGTCAAACCCTGATGCAGAGTTTGGTCCAAGATTAGGGAATATCCAACGAAGGATAAGGGACCCGATTGTTCCCAATCGCTACTTACAAGCACAGAATCAGCCGCGTGGGGCACCATACAACGAGAGAGGGGACCGTCTACTGAGGCCTGACGAGTTCCAAAGCAGATCAAGAAGTAGTACTGTAAGTAACCTGCCATCCCTCGCCTTCCAAAATTCTAATTGGCACACAGGTCGGAAGTTCTCGTGACCAGACGATGGTAAATACCAATCCGCCAATTCACACGATGTCATTGATATCCAGCTTTTGAAATTTAGCTAACATTTGCATCGAAGGGCGGGTATCCAAGTTCCATAGGAACAAACCTTGAAAGATCACACTCCGTTCGAGGACACCCTCACTACCGGCCATTCATCCCCAACACTGCTCAATCGGATCTAAGAATGGAGCGTCAAACTACTCCCGAGCCTCCTCGCCCCAACCCTCCTCGACGCCAGATCGCTGAAGAGGACGAGTGCTGGGTTTGCCACGAGGAGCTTCCATCCCGAGAACTTCCTAACTTCCAGGACCTACGTGACGCTCACGTCCAAGCATGCCTTACTGACCGTATGGCACGGCTGGGAATTGCTTCTAGTCCTTCCTCTTCCCCTCCACCAGCTCAGCAGGCTCCAAACCAAACCACAGATCCCTCGCAAGCAGGTCCATCAGGCACTTCACCCACTCCAGCTGCAGTCCCCAACACCGCCGAAGGACGAGCCGCCGCCCGCGAACAAGCCCACGCAGATGTCGTCCTCGGCCAAAATCGCCCATCTCCCGGTGGCCACCGTTTCGGAGGCACAATTTTCCCATACAAAGCTTCGGAGAAAGATTGCGTTCAGCAGGCGGAATGTAGCATTTGTTTTGAGGAGTATGAGCCAGGACAGGATATGGCACGGCTTCAATGTTTTTGCCGGTTTCACTTGCAGTGCATCAGGGGCTGGTATACTAAGATGCCAGGAAAGTGCCCATTACATGATCATGACCGTGGTGATTAGAGGTTTTTTGTGATAATTTTGGAGGATTTATGGCATTTTCGGCGACAGGCATGAATTGAGAATAGATGAGAATAAGAGCAATCTCCAGTCTGAACATCTTGTCCAATTGTGGTTTTTGTCTACCTTCCATGCTATCCGAATTTCCTTGCTGTCAACAACTCTTTTGCTGTCATTCTGCGTTTCTTACTACGCCTTTCCAAATTTTCTGCGCACCACTCCAGTGTTGTACCCGCCCTTCGGGCCTCCCTCAGAAGTAGTAACCTTACCTTCCGCCGAGCAGTGCTGCTGCAGGTAGGTTGATCCTCCAATATCTGGTGACCTTCAAGAAGTCTCCGTTCTGCTTGTTGTTTGTAGCGATGAGCCATTGTCGCGCTGTTTTGGTCTTTATATATGGTTGGAACATTGCCTTGTTCGCATGCAGGTAGACAATGGCAAACAAACAGGCTTTCAATTTACCTTCACGAAGCCAAACGTTCATCCCCCACAAAGCGGCTCTAACGCAAGTGCATACTGTTGAGCCGAAGCTGTGCTCGACAACAGGCCCGCCCCGACTATTTAAGCGCTCTTTGAACTTCGAAGAATGCTTCAATCCGTTGCAGCTACCAAAGCCAGAATCCAAGAAAGTCCTCCTGCAGTTAGTTGAATCTGTACGCCAAGAGGCTTTCGTTATTCTACTCCCAATGGCCATCTGGAATGAACAGGTTTCAGGAAGTCCAAGGAGCTAGTTAAGTCTCTCTTCACTCACATGTATTCTTCTATTGATTCCATTGATGGCGACAGCAGTCCTAGGCCTGCCCTCTTCTCGTGGCTTTCTTCCGAACTATTTCGGAAGTGACAGCAAGCTGGTTGCTTGACAACAAAACCTGCTTCTTCAGTAGCTTGACAAAGGAGTTCTCATACATCTCGAGTCTCGTCGTAGGCGTTCTGGCTATACAAACTTGCCCCTTTGACATAGAATTCAACTTCCCGGTTGCTTCCAAAGGCGTATCGCCTCGGTAAGACAATCATCTTCGTTTCTGGGTCTTCAGGTGGGCTGTCTGGCAACCACTTCTCAGCTCGACCCGCAACCCAACCCCACTCTTGGTCAACTCGTAGAAAACATCAACCAAGCACAAGCCAGCTCGTTTGCAAGGAGAAACGGACCCAGCACGGTACGTTCTGCCCAGAAGGATTTCACATCCCCGGGATCTTTTTCTCCCAGAAACAACTTGACTTGATCCCCTAGCCTGCAAGTATTAAGTGGTATGGAAGGTAAATTCATAGACTCCACAAAGGAAAGGGACCGGTTTTACGACAATCCAACTTTGTCTCGCGTACCGTTCTTCTGATCTTTGGAACAGGCTCATCAAAAGCATAGGCTCCACATCTATATAAATGTTGCCTTCAAAAATTACATAACGAACACAGGAACTCCAGTCAAATGGACAAATCTATGATACAGCTTTCGAAGCGACTCGGAAAGCTAGATTTCAAGAACCTTTTCTCGCAGTTGATGAAAACCTAAGAATAGGAATGTTTGTATGCAATCATCAGAGAGGGCAAAGTGTAGCCCAGCTACTCTCTCCTTAACGCACACTCTTCGATGTACTGTGGCAGCAGTCCTCGTTCGGTCTTCCAACTGCGTCCTCCCCCGGTGGCTGCAAAATGACAACAGACTGGCCACTGATGACACATTCACCAATATTGCAAACCTGGATCGAGGAAGGAGTCTTCATAGTTGTCGGAGGCTATATCGTGAGGTGATCTTCGAGGTGGCATTCGACGAGGGCGCATACGATAAGGTGATCTCCAACAAAGCGACTATACGCCTTTCGTGTTCATCTTGACCTGGTAGCAAGGGAGAGTTGAGGTAATAGTGTAGAGCTAGTTAGTTGTGGCCACCAAATCATGAATCGCAGGCTTCAATGCTCCCCCGAATCGCGTACTTACTCACACAGTTCTGTATCAGATTTCCTTCCAAAATGCATATTCTACACCCATTTCGGGATGACCAGCTCTATAAAAGACAGCCGCAGCCCCAATTACATTACCTAAAAGGTGTTGACCCTAATTGTGACATCGTCGCCGGATCAAGTATTTCACAGGCCCAGCCTCGTCTCGGGTATATATAGTTCTTCAAAGAATGCTCCTCAACAAACAGTTGATGCAAATCTTTCAGCTGCGTCCTGAGAATTCAGATGACGAGTACCGAAATACCCGCCAAAGGTCAAACTCACGGAGTTCCTTCACGAGCAAGGCTCCGCGAAGAGCTCTTGCACCTAGTGGACCCCAGGATGTTACGGTGATGGTATACCCGTCTTTAGAATGTTATCAAATAAGCATTCCGCTGTCACTTTTCGAGGTCTCTGGAGTAAAGGTAGAAGGGGACTGGACGAGAGCTACTATGAAGCTGGGATAGATTCGGCTGGAAATTTTGGGGTGTGACAACAAAAGGAGCAACTCCAAACATTTAGCAATGAGGAAAGGGTACTTTGGGTTATTCATCAAAACCACAGCAAGCTGCCAAGCTCAGTAGATGACGAGGAATCGAGGAGGTGTACCCAGAGGGCTTAGACAGGCCCAGTCTCATTCCGTTCCATTCATAGATATGACCTTCAAGAATTTGCATTGTCTTTATAGTCCATCAGATCCCAGATGTTGATTATTGTGGAAGGCATATCACCGAGTTTCGCAAGGAGAAGGTAGCAATGAACAGACAAACGTCTTTTGAAGCAAAGCTTCCATCAAAGAGAAAGCTTCCAATGCTGGTGGTGTCTCCGCACCTTATTTTAAGAGCCGTATTCAAGAGTTGCACCATACGCATACTCGATCTCTGGTTCTTGAATTCTTGATCGACGACAAGAATTTCGAGGTATCGTATGTCAACCATTCGCTCGTTAAGCATGTGCTTGAGGCAGGCTCTGCGTGCGCGTGAGAATTCGTGCACCTTGTTGAAGAGCCAAGGACTTACGCCTCCGATGTCTTTATATATTATCAACCAACAAGCATGATTAACCTGGCTGTCCAAGATGTACGGAAAGCCATAACAAGATCATCTCATGCCAAGTCTTGCACTCAAAACAAGGCAGACACCAAAACATAATCTCAATGTTTATTATCATGAACCGTCTCGCCCCAGCGCACTGCTATCACTCATTAATCTCCCCGGAACCCATACTTTTGCCATTCCAGTTCGTTGTCCATTCCAATTTTATCTATCAGAACCATCAAATCATCGATCGGGCTCGAATCAACCTCGCTGATCCAACGAGAATGAAACCATCGTAGTAGGTATTTCAAAGAAAGAGGAAGAGAAAAGGAGCAGTCGCTATGGTATCGCAAGCATATCAACAAAAACACAAAACACTCTCATCGTCCCCTTATTTCCATTATTGCGGCGTCGGCGTTACATCCCTCGAACTCCGTCCATTTCCCTTGCTCAACAAACTTTTCCGGAAAACGTTGCTTTTCGGACTATTATCACCAAGCCCGTTCTCCGTAGACGTCAGCACGAAGTTGCTCTTCAGCACCACATGGCCGCTTCCCGCCTTGACGCTCTTCTCCAAGCCGGTACCTGATTCATCGACGAAGAAGAGTCCTTCTCCAAGGTCACCATCGCTGCCGAAGGTATTGTGGCCTTTGACTTGGATCTGGAACTGCGTGTCTGCCGAGCAGGAGCACTTGAAGCTCTCTTTCTTATCGTTGAATGTTACGGTACCGGAGCTGGATTTGATGTGCTCGGTCTTATGAATAGTCTTGGCTTTGGGACCGATCTGCTTGACGTAGACCATTACGTTTGAGGATGGAGGGTAGCCTACGGCAGAGAGAATAGTGAAACTTGCTGTGCCAGTGGGGGGACCTGATGCTCCGCCATGGATCGTGCTATTGACCGAGGCAGCTCCGAAGCTCTTCGTGCGGCTGTGAGGGGTGCTGCTTGCAGCAGAATCCGGAGGCGTGATCGGCGCCGAGTTGTTCTCAGCACCTGTTCCAAGGGCAGCCGCGCGTCTCGGGCCCAGTCCCTGGTCGGAAGAGCGGAGGAACTCGTTGTCTTCTGCTTCCATTTCTAATGCTCCTGTAGAGTCATCATTGCTGTCATCGTACTTCTTCTTACTCTTGAATCCGTGTTTAATGAACGAGGCGCCCTTGCCAACGCCAGCAGCCGCAAACCCAACACCTTTGATAGGAGCGCCCGCAACACCCGTAACAATCTTGCCTGGTGTTGCAAATGTCCCCGAGAAGGTTGAAGAGCCTTGGCGAGAGCGAGTGACGTAGTCCGGCTTGAAAAGCAATCGCAACCTGATTGATCCCGACTTTCCATCGAGAGCAAGGTTGAGCTCTTTGCCTTTGAAGGGGTCGACCAAGTCCAGATTGACGTCTGACGAACCTAAGAAGTCCGCCTTTTCACCAAAATCCCAGTCGTAGACATTGCAAACAAACTTGGCTGCCGTCCTCGAAGCAATGTCTACCTCAAACCATTCATTCCAAGCCGGATGGAGAGTCTTCTTCTGTACCTTAGTCTTGAAGACTTCTTTGCCATTAAGCTCGAACTTGCAATATGGGTCACTGTATCCATTCCTGTCGGCTGATGGGAGATCTGTAGCGTCGAGGACATCCACGCGGAGTTTACCCATATTGTTGATACTTTCACTAGGATCCAACTTCATCTTGACTGGGAGATATTTCAAGCTAACTTTGATGCTAGAGACGTGTCCATTCTCGTCTTTAAGTTTAAGGGTCGTAGGGTTATTCTGCAGTATCATCAGTCTTGAGCAATCGTATTTAGAATCAGTATGCTTACAAGACACTGCTTCAGGGTGTCCAGTGTGTTTCCACTTAGCCTAGCAAGGGTATGGTCTTTCTTTTCGTCTCCCTTGCTGTCACCCTTTTCGCGGATGCGAAGGGTGATCTTCGAGAAATCGAGCTCGCGGACAAAGCAATCGCCAATATCGTCGAGAACAGTTTTTCTGGTCCGAATAGTCGACGAGGAGTAAGATGGGAAAGCCATATCATCCATGACAACCTCCACGCGAACGTTGGGCCGCGGAAGCTCAACGTCCAGAAGCTTGAATATAATAAGTCCAGATTCGTACTTCACTAGCTCCTCAGGGGTCAACCGAATCTTAGGCAACTTCTTCACTTCGGTCGTCTCTTCTTGTTCCTTCTCGCCCTCCGCAAGTTTCTTTGCCAGATCAGGATCAATCTTTCCCTTCTCCAGCTTTGCGTTCGCTGCTGATACAGCATCAGCCTTCCCATTCTCGAACTTTGGGCTGGCTGGAGCAGAAGAATCTTTCTCGGAGCCATCAATCGATATACGGCCACGTTCTGCAGATTTCTTCCGCGCTGCTTCTTCCTCTTCTTCCGGGTCCGCGATGTTCAGGCATGGATAAAATGCCGCGGTGAAGTTAAGAGTTCCCCTCGGCGATCCTTTGCCGTGGAGTTGCAATTTGCCAGCATGTGGCGTCTTTGAATCATGGACGACGTATTCGCCATTCTCAGCCTGCGAAATGTAGTCGGATGCTGCAACCTCCACCGAACCCAGCGACCGGTCAGCGTTGAGTGTTTCCTCATCCATGACTTCGAGAGTCAACCTCTCTCGAGCGTTATGTACCGGCACATAAACAACCTCATCCCAATCTGGATTGAGATTGTTTTGGAATGTGACAGTTTTGCCTTTCTCAATACCGGAGAGAAGGACGCGGACGTAGGGATCAGACTTGCCAAGAGTCTCCAGATTGCGAAGATCACGGGCGTTCTTGAAGTGGAATCTCATCACCCCGATAGGTGTGACATAACCACCAGTGCCCGCTCCTACCCCCGTTAGGGCCACCGGCTTCCATTGCAAGGTCAATTTCGCTCGTCCTTGCCTAACACCAGCAAGGTGATACCACTCCTGGCCCTTCTCCATCAACTGCAGCATGTCATCGAGCTTGATTTGGTAGGTTCCAAGCATAGGATCTGCAGTAAGATCTCTATCATCTTTGATGACCAGCCCAAGTTTCGCGGTCTTGCGATCAGTGATGAGAAGTTCCTTTGAGCCATTGTCCCAGATAGGATTGTTGGTCCGCTTGAGTTTCTTAGTGACATGAACCTCCTTGTTATTAAGAAGAAGAACAGCATATGGGTTGAGCTGCCCAATCAAACTTTTAGAGCCATCCAACTCCTTGGCTTGCTCAATTGTGAAGCGTGCGATACCGGTGTTGGATTCTGGTGGAGGGGCCTTCTTCCCCTCTCCGAGATCTCGTCCCTCTAGAACGGGGAAGAAACGAACGTCAGCTGCCAATAAGCCGCGTGCCTTGCCGTTGAGCTTGACCTCAAGCTGTTCATTCTCATATTCGTGGATCTCGCGTACTCTTTCTAGGGGGAAGGTGGCAGTCCCAAGCTCCTTGTCCTTGCGATATTCGTTGTAATCAAATACATGAAGCGTAAGGGAATCATTGAAAGATGTGACGATAGCATATTTCGTCTCGTTCCATTTCGGATTGGCATTCTCCTTAACGATTTTCGTTTGAGCAAGAGGAGCCCCGTTATTGAATGATACTACAGCATATGGATCAGGATTTCCTGAAAACTTGTCCGGGTTCTTGAGGCCTTGGGCTCCATACATAGTGACGGCGAGAACACCAATCGCTTGGTCGACGGGCGATCCGGAAAGCATTTTAGCTACCTCAATGGGGAACACGTTCGGATCGTACATGATGGGTCCGATATTGGCGTGAATTTGTTCCAGAATGAACGTTTCCAAACCAGGGATGAAGTTGATGTCGAAACCAAGAGTCTCACCGCCGAGGGGTTTACAAACATAGTCGATGGCTTTGAAGTTAGAAATAAGAGTTAGTCGGTATACTTGGAATATTCTGATCCTGCTGAAACGTCCAAAAAGCTCCAGAAAGAAAGGTGGAGGTAGTGAGATCTCACAACCCAGATGATTATTGGGCGCTCTTTTTGAGAGAAGGGGACAAACGCAAGGAAAGTGCTACTCACTAGGTTTCTCCAAGAAACAGATCTCGATTCTGTCCACGTGAGGGAAGGGCAGCTGAAGCTTTATCTTCACACGCATGAGCCCAGAAAACGCCATGTCCTCTACAATGACATCCATGCCTTTGCTGATCATGGCCTTCCCAATTCTGATTTCAAGCACAATCTTTGGATTGACCGCATTCTTAATTTGGCGCTTAGTCATGTCGGAGTGATCATTTGGCGTAAAACTGAACTTCCAGTCCATAAGGACAATATCGTCTTCCGCCTTCGGATAGGTTCTGACGTGCTCCATCCGAGGAGGCTTATTTCCAAGAGTGAAAGTCTTCATGCGGAGACTGTCTAGGAAGGCTGGGGTCGAGGTGCTCAGTACCTGGTCTACTGAGTTGATGATGGTCTCGGCTAGAACAGGTTGGAAAATAGGCCAGAACTTGTCCAAAAAGCTGTTGATCCATTCCAAGCTTTCTGTATCGGTTTCCAGCTTCTGTTTCGAGAGTTCACGATTGATATCATCTCTGAAGTTTCGACGTACTCGGCGGAGGGATGTTCGATAATACGTGCCACAAATGGCCATGACCAGAAAGACCCAAGCGAGGCCCCCTCCCAAAACTGCGACGAGCCACGAAGAAAGGCAGGCAAATATGATGACCGCAGTATTATGATACCAATCTAGAACAACTTAATACAGGTCTTCTAATTATTTTGTAGCAAACTTACCACCAAAGAATTTGTCCTCGAGCTTTCCTTCAAGCCAAGTTTGGTGGTCTGAGAGGCTTTCGTCTTTCATCGATGAACCCGAGGACCCGTTGCCAAACCTTGGCGCCCAGCCTGTTCGTTCAATCCATTGTTCGACATCTTCTTTCTCTATGAGTCCGTTTGCACCGTTCGTGAGAGGCTTTCCATCCTTGTCTTTGGCAGGTGTGGCTGCAATAGCTCCAGCGGTTGAAGGTGGAGGGAGGTCATATGCACCAGGCTTCCCATCATCTATATCTGTAGGAATTGCGACTCCCTTGGATGTGTGTTCATGGTGGAAGTTTGCTGGCACATTCTACAGCAAAGTGCGGATTAGTGGTGTGCTTGCGAATCTGCCAATGGTGGTACTTACAGCTCGAGCTTGAGCGGCCTTCTCCTCAGGACTGGCGTCTGGGTTGAAGGTAAATGCCGCAACTCCAGCTTTCTTGCTCTCGGTGACAATCTTCTGCTGGGCATCATCTGCGGTGACTGAGCTGTTTGGATCCTGCGCAGCTTCGACAACACCCTGTGCCTTCAATTCTGCTGCGGAAGTGGGCAGAGACATGTTTGCTGGAAGGAGCTGTCCGGTCAGGGCCAATTGATGTTGGCAACCATGAAACTGGTTCCTCGATTCCCAGCTGTACTGCACTTCGTCCAATTTGCAGAAGGAGGAGTTGGGGAAGAAGAGGCTTGACTGCGGAAGAGACAGGATTCCGAGTGCAAGGGCAAATGCGAGACGGGGCGGGTGACAAGGGAAGCTACTCAGTACTGGTAGCTGGCGGAGCGAGGCCAGCAGGCCTTTGTGTGGCTTGATCTCGGGTGGTTGGAGACCCTTGTTCAGCTGTGACGACGCGAGGCTAGGAGCGGCGGTGGAGACGCAGCCCGGAACACCGCGCTGCGCAAAACCTGGAGGACAAATCGATCGTAGGTCTGCGATCTGTATCTCCGTGTAGTCGTTTGCAAGACGGGATGGGATATGATGGGATGGGATGGGGTGGCATGAGACAGAGGGAGGCAAGGGAGGCTGGACACAGGAGTACCTTGTGCTGAGAAAAGGGAACACTGATGATAGTTGAGCCCAAATCATCATCAAGTGAATCGTCCGTTTATTGCCTCTCTCACACACTCTCTCGGTCTTGAATTTCTCCAACCTGAGCGCAGGGATGAGACGCAGATCATCGTCACTTTGACAGGGGATTTCAGCGATGGGATGGCCCCCCAACTTTCCTCTCCTCTAGCTTGGGGATCGTTCACAACGCAGGCGCTCTGTGTCTTCCCATGCTGTTTGGCTGTTCAGCAGTCTGGACGTGGTCTTTGCGCTCACTCGGTGCATATTTCGATCTTCACACGCATGCATCTCGTGCTTTAGCTCGCCCATTGTGTTTTCCAACACTCAACAGCCACATTACCTCAGAACTCTAGGCTCTTTCCAGCAAACTAGAGCAGCGGCTGTGGGCGTCTCCACCTCCACCTCATACAACAGAGAACCCGCCTTCTTTTGGCCTTTCTTGTTCCAGTTTTCTTGATTCTGACCACCATGGAAGACCAGGCATTAGGGCCGCGCCCCTTTCAGGCCTTTCTTGATTCTGACCGCCATGTAAGACCAGGCATTGGCCCTTGTGGCCTTTCTTGTTCCAGTTTTCTTGATCCCAACCACCATTTCAGACCAGGCATTAGGCCCGCTTCCCTTTCAGGCCTCACATTGTACTGTACAAACTGAAGTATTCTTGAGTTTCCCTGCCAGTATTGTCCACATTTGTCTTTAGCCTCATGCAGAGCTGTCCTTCCCAGTGAAGATGCCGTATCATCATGTGGATCAGTCCAGAGTCTGCGTTTTGTGGCTTCTTACCCCTCCCACCCATATGAGAGCTTCGCGCACTGCCGAGACATTCAAGCAGTGACACGAGCCGTGATCCCCCCTATCGGCATAGGCCACGGGTCTTCGCCTCAAACAATTTTATTGGGTTGGATTTCTTCGTTCAAGTTTGACAACAAAGCTTAAGGTAGTTTCCAAAATAACAAGGCTGCAACAAGAAGGCACAGCCTTGCCCAAACGCCAATCACCTCCTTGCTTCGATAAGCCCCCAGTTATCGCCACCAACGACCAGAACGACCTCACATGAAACGGAGACGTGGGGGCTAACCCCGTCAACACCTTCCAAATCCTTGCCTCCTTCAAGCAAGCCGGCCGTCGCAGAAGGTTGGGCACCGCCAACACAAAAATTCGATGCTGCTTCAATCTCTCTTCCACGGCCAGAATTGCGGTCAATACATAGATGTAACCGCCCTATATTGTGAGAGAACCTCTCAGTCATTTACTGCTCAGCCAGATCCAACCCAACTGTCCGCAGAATCGACGGCTCAAGCTTGGACGCGTGGAAGATGGAAGGGCACGCGAGCAGTGGGAAAGAAGGCGAGAAAGGGCTCAGGGGCCGATTGATGGGCAAGCTGCGCAAGGAGAAGAAGTCCCAGAATCAAGACGATGTCAACGAATTCCTTCATGGCCCTTCGGACAAATTGCATATGATGCCGGTCACGAACGAACCTGCCTATCCAAAGCCATTGACGCGAATCGATACCAACACCGCTCGTCGGTGGCCTAGTGCTGCGGAAATTCAAAGTGCAAGAATAGTCAGGGGTTGGTCTGCGAGTCTAAAGCGGAGGAAAGGCCTAGTGGTACGATTCACACAGGAACAGCCCGAGGTGATCGGTGAAGGGGGTGACGAGGCTATTTCACCAGTCGCTGAAATAGGAATGAGGAAGAGAGCGAATTCGCATCCCCCGAACCTTCAGCCAAGCCACCTCCAGCCAAGTCGACAACAGAATTTGATCGTCCGCCGACCCGTGAACAGTCCCAGACATAGCCAGGAGTCGGTTCGGTCTCAAAATACGGAAGAACCTCCTCCTGGACCCCTCCAACGTACACAAACTGGGTTCGAATCAGTACCAGAGACGCGGAGTGGGCCAGTGCAGGAGGATGTTTCTGGAAGGAATGGGGGACTAGAAGATGGTGTACGGCATGCTTTGAGCCAAAGGTCCGGGTCGGATAGACGTTCCTTCGCCGAAATAAAGGCGGACTTTCAATCTGGGGAAGGCCTAGCTTTAGTAAAAGCGGCTTCGAACACGGCTATCATCGATCAGCATCTTCCGGGTGCACCTGGTACAGCTGCTGATGAGATCTCCCCTCAAATGGACGAGCTTCACCTCAATACCATGAAGAATGTTCATATACCAGCATCTCCTGGTATTCCTGTGCAGCAGACTCATGGCAGTCCTGTAGCACCCAACGACCCCCAGGTTGCGGAACATTTGACTGAAAGTCCAGCAGGACTGAGTAGAGCACCCACTTTGACTCTGCATGAAGCAGCAGTTGCTGTCGGGGAAGATGCCTTACAGGACTTCTCAAACCGAGTCGTGCATCTATTCACACTGTTTCGTTTATCCACCGAGTCTGTGAAGCCACTTCCCAAGTGCACACTTGAAGAGCTTGTACGAGCAGCGCTGTGGTGGTTCTTGAAAGGTAGACTATACCTTGAAGCGGCCGTCAGGGATAGGCCTTCCAGTCCTCATGCTCAACAGACCAACTTCTTCGTTCGTCAACAAGCATACGCCGATCTTGCCAAATCATTATGGCTTGTAGAGACCATCACCTCACATTATCCGGAAACACAACTTCGTCCAGTCTCGACTAACTCGAACTCGCCTCTGGCTGATATACTAGATGTTCGGCAAGGGATAATGACAAGTTTGCGAAAACTCACCATGTCAATGAAGCGCAATAATTTTCTGCCCCCAGACTCTGACGATGTCCCACTCACTCAAGGGCTTGATGCAACAATATGGGTCCAGGATGATGGAAATCGATCGCTGATTGCAAGCCAGAGGCCGACCAGCGCAGTCCCACTCTCGGAAACCTTCCCCCTAGGCGATACAACTCAGGCTTTCCTTTTCAGCAGAATGTTCGTAGAGGCAGTTCTTCTGGAGGAGGCCGCATCACAACACTATCGGTGTCCGGTTATGGTCTCCGTCGTCCGTGGCCAATGGGATAAGGAAGCGACAGCCATTGTAGCAAGCCAAGATGGCTCATTGAACCTAGCGATTCAGTCAGAGAGAGGTCGGGGACCCTCGTGGGAAGATGTGAGATGGCAAGCAACACACAGTACAGTTGAGCTTAAACTGCCACGAGGGTTTGTACTTCGCCTACATTGCTCCGAGCATGAGTTCAGGACTCTTTGGGGAATCTATGATTATGAGAAGAAAACTCACGCCAGTCTCCACCAACGTTCGGGTGAAAACCTAGTTTTCGAAACTATTCTCCGGACTTTTCAAATATTCGATCAAGGCAGTCATTCCGCTTTTCCAAAAGAACCACTACCTCACTGCCACTTTCGACTTTTCGAGAAGACCGTTGTTGAAAAGGCGGCTACTGGACCTCGAACGATGCATCGAGGTTTTCGAATTGGCTTGAATACCAGCTCGAAGACTAAGAATTTGAGAGGAGTCGATCAGGATCTTTTGCCACGTGACCCAATCCAATTTGGGTTTCTCCGTGGCGAGGGAGGCTTCCCAGCACTTCTTTTGAAAATTAGGGATGGGATGGCAAAATACACCATGGTCTGTACCTTCGAGGATGTAAGCGAACGTACACTACTCCATACACTCGTCACTGGCATTGCACTTGGAAACGGAGAAGATGTCATTGCTGAAGCGCCTATCAGGACAATGACGGCGGAAATTGGTGACGAGAGCAAGAACAACTGCCTCCGAGGTCTTGAGTGGCACAATTTCAGAGTCATAAATCAAGGAACTAGCGATGTCCAAAGTACCAAGACGGTACTATCCGAGAACTTGAGGGTGGTAATGGATTTCAAGGCTGGCAGTATCACCGACCGGATTAATGTGGAACCTGGTGAGCTGAAGCTGCGATTGAACGTCAACATCCTGAATGAACTGAGAGTCATTCGACAACCTCAACAAGACATGACTATCTCCGTCTCTGAATCTCAAGTTTCCAAAGAATTACCACAAGAATTAGCGATGCTACTCGGAGACCTATCAAAATCGGAATCAACTCGCATATACACCTTCCCAAGCACAAAAGAGTTGCACTTATTCCAAGCTGCCCTAACAGGATTCAGCGTCTTATTCGATGGCATTGCATCTTCCTTCAACATCTCACGCAGGAGGATGGTCGTCCCCATCTACAAGAAATGGGACGCCATCACGACCAGAATACTAATCGTTCAGAAAGAAAAGGTCGTGCAATTAGTCGCTTTCTTCGAGAACTTCAGCCACGGCGATTGCATGAACTTCACGCTCAAATCCACGGATATCTTCGAAAGCTCGAGTCGAAGCGGCAAGTACTCTCTACGGATCGTTGATGCCAAGTTCGCGATGCCAAAGACGAGAGGAGAAGCAGAGAGCGGGATCGAGCATGGATTTGTTTGTTTAGACATGCCGGACTATCCAGGGGAGCACGACGATATAACTCTCGTCTTTGATAATGAAGAAGGTGAGATCTTACGTTGTTCTTCCCCGGCCTTCTAAGAACCAACCAACTTACTGATGGAATTAGGCCGAGAAGCACTTATAAAAGCATTGCCAGCGCCGGTGAAAGCTGCATCACGTATAGGATCTGTTAGGCGGTAAATTTGCATGAAGATACGATCAAAGCATTGGTAAGGAGCATAGCGTTGCGTGTGAGCATTTTGGTGTGTGTTGTAGCATTTTTGCGAGATGATATCCACGGCGCTTGAGGGGACCTTCCTATGGCTCTAAAAAGCCATATGCTCGGGGTTCGGGGACTCAAGAGGGACCCAAGAACTTAGTTCTTAGAGGAATACAGAAAGTAAATATTCAGCTCGGTGTTTCCGTATCGTACCTCCACAAACTGGTACGACGCGAGAGATCGGGAGGATTCGAAACACTTCACGTGATAGAATACGGGTTTGCGTCATTGGTGATAGGTCGAATAAAAATAGAAAAGCTGTTTGAGTCTGTGCCTACTTGTATCGCTGCTGCAAATCGTCATACGCCACACCCAAATCCCGTCCCCACGAAAGAAGGTTTTGTGGAGTAAGAAGCATGTTGATCCCTTCACGCTCAGATCTGGGGATTCAAGATGAAGGTTCAAGGATGTCGATGAAGTGAGATGCCGTTAGGGATGAAGTATTCACCGCCTCCTGTTTCCTCCACTAAATTGCCGTAAATTTGAGGGAGTGGGCTCAGCGTGGCTCGGCACGCCGCCCGCATGGAAATATCCAGGGGACATCTACAATACGAGATCGCTGACCGCTGTAAATTGCGCATTAAGGGAAGGGATTACCGCCTTGCTTTCGACCTGGGAAATCAGGTGCTGTCCTTGGATAATCCTGACTGCAGAACTTTGATTGCATCAATCCCGACATTGTGGCTGTCCTCATTCCTCCTTCCTCCTTTCCAACTCGCACTCAGCACTCACTCTCTTGGCGCGGGCGTGGCGTAAATTTGTTCCTATCGACTTTCTCGTTTCCGGCGATTAGCAGATCAGATACAAACTTACTCGTTTCAGAAATCAAGCCAGGCTCGCCGCCCAGAGTTTCGTACAGCACCCACGCCGCAATCCAATCCAGTCCTTTTTCCCGCGACTCATCCTCTTCTGAATGACCGCCCGCCAGCTCACGATGGCGTTCTAAAGGCAAATCACCGTCTCCTACGTTGCATGTGCAGCCGCGGCCTCGCTCTCGTCGAATGGGTTCGGCGATTTCAAAAGTTCAATGCCATGGAAAAACCCAAATCCGACCACCAGGCCATACATTTTCACGATGACCATGTTGAGCACGACCGACAAGACCATAAGATGATGTTTGCTGTGGAGTCGAGAGAAGAATGGCAAGGCGAGCGGGAGGCCGAAGATGGGCGATGGGTGGATAGTTCTTCTCTTCGACAAGACTCCTTCGAAACGATCCGATCCCGCAGAGCTCGCGTACGTTCCTCAACACGGCTGCAGATGGGTTTCTTTGGGACATGGCAAGTTCTATTCTTGCTGATAGCAAGTCTCTGGATCATTCCTACATCTGCTGTCCTCGTCGAGTTCCAGAACTGCCTCTCGGATGGTGTACAGAATAACTCACCTCTACAACTACAACTGGTTCCCCTCGTCATGAACGCCGTGTTTAACACCACTGACCCAATGCACAACCTGAATGTCACAGTATGGACAAACGTCACTGGTTCAACAGTCGCTTTACCCCGATTGCTTCTGCCGAATGCCACCGATCCGTATTGGACGAACAATGATACCTCGAACGGGGGAAAGATAGCAGCCGATCCTCTCCCAGACACTAATAACCCACTCCTTACTACACTCTTCAACAAAGTCGGTGTTTTGACTTATACCCCGTACAACCCCAGTACCGGCGATAATTTCTGCGAAATATTGGTCAATGGGACTTGTCCCCTTGGTCCAAACTTCAAGGATAATTTGTAAGTTCTTTCCCCACCTTTCCAAGGAACTGCACTGACATCTTCTCACCAGGACCTCATACCACAATTTCCCCTCTTACGGATTCGAAAACAACTTCTATTCAACCTATGCTTTCACCTCGTTTACCGTAACGCTTTTACTCAAGTATGGAGATCCAACAGGTACCCCGGTCGGATGTGTCTCAGCGAACCTAACACCTGATCTTGGATCCAGCCTGAGTTCAGTTGTGAAATACATACCCGTGGTAATCCTCTTCTTTGTTGGCTTCGCGACGGCTTTTGCAGGTATCTCCAGCCCTTGGGGAACAACGGATATATTTCACTGGACTACTAACTACGGGCGAGACGAGGATCTGCTTCGTTTGGTCACCCCCGGATTTGGAGACTGCTTGCAATACATTCAGTTCGTGGCACTTACTGGTGGCCTCACTCTCAACTACCCGGGGTTCTACCAACCGATTGTTAGCAAGGTGTCATGGTCTGCGCTCATGTTCAATCAGAGCTTCGTCAGTGGTGGAAATGGAACGATGAGTCTTGTTGACGGGATATATGTCACGAACGGCACGTATGGTCTGGATCAACTTCGACAACTGGTTGGAATGAGTGAAGTGGACGACATCTGGGCCGGCATGGCTGTCTGGCTTCTCGTCATCCTCGGAGCCTCGATGGTTTTCATACAGATCGGTTTTTTCGTTCGGTGGACATATCGACACATCAACAAAACCCAAGAAGGGGACTTTAGAGCAAAGAACATGCCATTTTCGGTGGGCAACGTCATCCGGATCGTTTTCAACTACTTCTTGCTACCGATTGTCGCGCTATCGATGTTCCAGTTAGTAGTGGCTGGGCGATCACCTGCATTCGCTGTGGGTCTAGCAGTGGTCATGTTGGTGGTGGTAGTTGGATTTGCGTGCTGGCTTTTCTTTATTATCGCCTCAACCAGGCCCAAGTCTTGCCTCTTCGATGACCTGCCAACAGTCCTCCTTTACGGATCACTCTATAACACCTATTCCGACAATGCTGCACCATTTGCTCTTATTCCCCTTCTCTTAACTTTCGTACGAGGCATTGCAATCGGTGCTGTCCAGCCTTCTGGTATTGCGCAACTTGTTCTACTCGCTATCTGCGAAGTCATCACCATTCTAACTCTTCACGCCTTCCGACCATTCCATTCTCCCACATCAATGAATGCGTTCCATACCTTCTTCGCATTACTCAGGTTCGCCACCATTCTACTCATGATTTCATTCGCCCCTTCACTCGGCGTTGCGGAAGGACCGAAAGGCTGGATTGGATATGCTATTCTTTTGATGCATGCTATTGTCCTTATATTCGGCTTCTTGCTCAATGCAATTCAGACAATCGTTGAGGTTGCCGCACGAATGGCCGGTGCTGGCGGAGACGAGAGCGGTGCGACTCGAGGAGGCCTGGTCAAGGTCTTCGGCATGCGTCAGCTATCGAGAAGATTACCTAGACGGGACGGCGGTTCAAGACAGAGCCAACTGTCCAGTGCTGCAATGTTAGACTCTGAGAATGAACGGAAGTCGTATATGATGGATAGTGGCAGGCTTAGGAGCCAATCTGCTGGTAGTGCCGGTGTGCTCCTCGGCAGAGGGAGTACAGGCGTTGGCAGCATCGATGCCCATGACAATGTGCGGCCGGGTTATATTGGAAGTGGCGGCAGTTCACACGCCCCTACCACCCCTGGGGAGGCTAGCTCCTTCTCCTTCTTACCTTCTGCAGCATCTCCATCTGGTCTGGGACGAGGTCGGGTTCAAAAATTGGGACTAGCTACGACGGAGACTGCGGATCCTTACTATCGAGACCCAAGATTACGGCGATCGACATTAGATTCATTTTTACCAGGCGTCAAGAGTCGAAGATCCTTCGCCAGCAGAGACGTGGAGAACAAGAGAAGGAGTGAACTCGATTCGGGTACTCCAGATATAGATGAAGAGGGGCTTTCAATATCTGGGCGAAATACTCCCATCGCTCCACAAACACTCGATGGAAGCCCGGGGAGAACGCAAGCTGACTACACTACTCGTGAAGTCGACTTCTACTATGGCGTTCGTGGTCCAGCACTGAATGCCAATATACCTAGCAGGAGAATAAAGACAGGTCCAGCTGATCCTACAGGGCCGGCTGCTTCCGCAGCAGGATGGTTCAAGGGCTTGTTTGGGGGAAAGACGAAGGAGAAAGGGAAGGGATTTGAGGTTGTACGAAGTGCAAGGATGCCTCCGGGTATGGTCGCAAGAAATGCTCCGGGGGCGGAGACTCCTCCTGAAGGTGTTCCCGTTGCAACTGCAGGTGGAGTCCGGAATGGACCTATCGAATCGGACGATGAATCCGTCCACGCTGGTCCTTCGAGAGCTGCAACAAAACCAGCTGGACCTTCCACGCATGAGGGTGACAATCTAGTCAGCCCTTCAGGCTCTGATGACGAAAGCCTGTCGGATTATGAATATGATATCACCCGGATATCAGATGTGCCACCGACATTGGGGCTAGACATTCCTGAAGGCGGCATCGAACTGCCCAGCAGGTTCCCGTCCAAGGCTACTTCGAAGGCCAGCTCCCGGAGAGCCAAGATGACCGACGTACCTCTAGTACCTGGTTTACCCATACGAATGCCATCCAACAAACCAAACGTACCTCGGAAAAGCTCAAGAAGGAAATCCCAAAGTGTTGATCTGACAGCCGGGGGACCACAATTCTCGCACCAACCACAAAGATCTCTCGATTCACGCCTCCCGTTCGACCGCACAAACTCCAAGAAGCGACTATCAGACATGTCATCTGGATCAGGAGTCACAGATCCTTTAGATCTAGGGAATCAATCCGTCCTCGGCAAACTCTCAGCCGATATTCAAAACGATAGGCCTACGAGCGTAGGCTACGTAAATCAACACAGCATCCGCACCGTGAACCCGTCTGCGAACCCGCAGTACCTGGGCAGCTCGGCGGAAGTGGTTGATGGACGACATAGCGGTTCTTCGAGCATGGAGCATCCGCGATAATGCACACAAATACACAACCTTCTCTTACCAATATTGTCGTTAATAGTTTGCATTGATGTTGATAATGATGGGAGGAAGGGAAAGCAGCACACAGAAAGAAAGGATCTCTTACGAAATCAAACGACGAGTGGATGGATAAAAGTCTCCGGCGTTACGACATTGCAGCTCTACTAGGCTCGATGGGTTGGGAAATATGTATATTGTAGGCATGGAGTACATTGGAGGGTTATATTCTGGTGGTGGTTCTGCTTTTGCCCGTTAGTAAACTTGGAACTGGACACGAGTCCAGCAGAGATGGGAAATTGTGTTCCTGGCATAGCGCCGTAAAGAAATAGGAAGAAATAATATGCGAGGGGAGGGGAGGGGAGGGATGGATATAACGACGCAAAATAAGATGTTTATAATAGTTTACGCTCGTGGAATTGTAATACTGTATCACGGCATGCGCCTTCCATTTTTTTCAGACTATTTGTGCGAACACTCCTGAAACTCCTGAGCCATCCGCCGAAATCGCATTCTAACTGGCCCTCTAGTCACTTTATAATCAAAATCTTCCCCCGCATAAAGTTTTCCGAGTATTGCATTATTGTTGCCGATTCTTGCATGCCTAGAGAGCGGTCAAGGGCCTTCCCCTGGCCAACAAAACGTGGGAAAGGAGGGCATCTCTTATTGGAGACTGATGTCACGTGATCGAAGAGCGGATCGGTGAGAAGCGGATTATCCGTCGTAAAAAGCTCCGAATTTGGACTTTGTTGAGGATATCGTACTCGTTCGGGTAAACTGTGCGTGGTTGGTTTAGGCACTCTGGCACTTTACATTTTTCGGTGCCTTACGAGAGGGTTACGCAAGCTTGAGTGAACCTTCAGTGACCATCGATAGATTGATTTGTACACTAGTACTTAAAGTTCAGCCATAAGACGAGACCAAAATACAGAATATAAACACCCAACGTGAAATAAGTTACTTTTGCCTTGTGCCTTTCAAGAAAATCTTTTTTCTGAAGAAGACGGGAAAATCGATGACGACATATCTACGAGCCAATCACAAGCAGCAGCCCAACAACCCCGCCAAATGCTGACCCTGGACTGCACGCACAAACCACAGCCAACCACAAACCGTAAGCTGAGCTGTTTTCCCCTTCCTTCGCCCATCTGCGTCATGTCCGACTGTCGCTCACTTCCGCCCAAGTACCCGTATTCATCGCCCATCTAAGACTCACAGCCTCACGCTCTCCGTCCCCAGCTTTGCCACGAGACACCGCAACCCCGCACGTCGAAGACCGGAGAGGAAAATTTATAGTAGTGGGAAAGGGACGATAGAGGAGCGGAAAGATGGTGGGCTTGCATGCGCATCGCCGGACTTCCGGGGCCAGTATGTATTCCCTCCCGTCCTCGCTGCAATTCCTTCTTTCGTAGGAAACATAGAAAGGAGATTTACAGGTTGTTAAAGGAGGTGTGTTAATGGCGCTTGGATAGGCAATAGGTCCTCTTACGATGAATCGAAGTCGGATGGGCCGGAGGACGAGACGACGGTCGTGGAGCCTGACCAGGGAAATGGTGAGGATATATTTCTCCCGAGCACAAAGAAGAGGGACTGATGCTGGGATCTTCTAGTCTTGTCACATATTATCAGCCAGCTGCGGCCTGGTGCGGACTTGAGCCGTGTGGTGCTGCCGACCTTCATCCTGGAGCCTAGGAGTATGCTGGAGAGGATCACGAAGTGCGTATCTGTGCCAAGAAAGGAGGGGCAGATTGCTGATATGGGGATAGCTTCATGGCACATCCGGAGACGCTACTCCCTATGCCTGAAATCGACGATCCGGTGGAGAGGTTTGTGTCGGTGGTGAAGTTCTACTTGAGTGGTTGGCATATCAAACCGCCGTAAGAAACCACAAAGATGTTTTATTTGTGGCTGGGGGATAGGACTGACATTTATATAGGGGAGTGAAGAAGCCGCTCAACCCAATTCTTGGCGAGACGTTCACCTGCTACTGGGAATTTCCTGACCGCACGCACGGCTACTACATCTCCGAGCAAACGTCCCACCACCCCCCGAAATCAAGCTACTTCTACATGGCGCCCGAGCACAAGATTCGCATCGACGGGTGTCTAAAGCCACGCAGTAAGTTCCTCGGAAACTCTGCTGCGAGTTTGATGGAGGGAATCGCTATTCTTCGATTGCTGAATAGGGGCAAGGGCTCAAAGGGAGAGAGGTACATTCTCACGCAGCCGAATATGTATGCGAGGGGTATCCTGTTTGGAAAGATGAAGTATGAGCTCGGTGATCACAGTTTCGTGCGTTGTCCGGAGTTGGGACTAAGTGCGGATATCGAGTTCAAGACGAAAGGGTACTTTGGGGGAACCTATAATGCGATTGGTGGCAGCATTAAGAATGAGACGACCGGAGAGCTGCTGTATGAGTTGTCTGGCATGTGGAATGGAGAGATGATGATTAAGGATTTGAAGGTAGGTTGTCCCAATTCTTGAGAACGGTACAGATCCTGACCTGAGTGATAGACTGGAAAGAAAGAACTACTCTTCAATGCTACCAGAGCGAAGCACACCCCTCCATTGGTACGATCTTTGGAAGAACAAGATGAGCGCGAATCCCAACGATTATGGTTTGCAACGGCCAAAGCAGTCAAGGAACGTAATCACGAGGTAGCTACAGACGAGAAGACGAAGATCGAGGATACGCAACGAGATGAAGCAGCGAGGAGGGCAGAGGATGGCATTGAATGGCGACCTCGACTTTTTAGACCCGTGGTGGGAGGTCCTGGAGGTTCAGATGAAGGAGAGGAAGATCTGGATTGGATCTTGAACGCGAATATGTAAGCGCATAGCTCTTGAGTGTAGGAGGTGGCTAACGAGGTGTTCAGTGACGGATCAACACCCCAGAAACAGATAGAGCAAATCCTAGCCGTAACCCCTATTCTCCGAGGCCAAAAACCTACGGAGAAGAATCCTATTCCCCCTCCACACTACCGCTCTGGATCATACACCTCGACCAAATCACCAACGACTTCAGCCCACCCTGACCATCCGCCAGCACCAGATAACGACCTCATTGATTTTGGACAAAACGACGGCTCTGCCGACTCACATGTACCTGCAAATCTACACGCCTCACATGCTGTCAATAGCAACCCCCAGCAACAACACCTAGAGCAGACACTGCGTGAAACTAGCACAGAGCGGAAAGCTCAGGACAGCCTGATTGATTTCCACGATGATCTGAAGCGGGATCTAACAACTGTGGATGGACATTCGGTATCTCTGAAAAGGCATGATACCGACACCTCGAGCTTGGATGAGTTCGTTGATGCCGAGGGATAGGTTATCGGATGGGGATCTCAATGGCCGGAGGGAAGGGATTAGATGGCTGGCGTTGTGATTTGGACGATGGATGCATTAATGAAATAAATGGGCCTGTGTTTTTGTAAACTCTAGGGCTCATACACCACAATACCATGCTAGTTTCGCGGAGCTTTTTGTTTGAAATTCTTGATTCTTCACTGTTCCAGATCGAGCCGGAAAGCTCGACACTCTGAATAACTAGCTAAAGTGCTTTTGAGAATGAGACCCTACAGACCGTTCTTTAGTGTGTAGAGGCAAGATGATGACCTGAACGCCAGACGTTGCGACCTTTCTTCTTCTTGAACATACGAGTACAATACTCCACATATCCCTTTTCTGTCCACCCCCTTCCATGCTTCATCATCCACTCTCACTTCAAGAATCCACGCCTCCATCGCGTCCCCATATCATCCCCCCACCTTAATACCTCTTCCTCGTCGGCTCCGGGCTTGGACTCCTGCTCATACTCCTCTCATCCCTGCCTCTCATCCTCAACCACTTCTTCGTACTCAACTCCAACTCTCTGTCCAACTCAGCACTAGGATTTTTCCTATGAATGAAATTGCAGAAGCCGCCTCGCACACATCCTTCTCCACTGTTCAGCCGACAGCAGGCTTCGCGGAAATCGGTGACGGGCGAGAGCTCGCAGTAGATGGGGCGTGCTGCGTACCAGCGCGAGTTCAGCGCATCGCAGGCCTTTTGCGCCGAGTCTTCGTATTTGAAGCGTGCGTAGACGTTGCCGATGAGATCTGTACATCACACCATGTCAGCTCATATTTTTGAAAAGACATGAGAGGGAGAAGGAGGGAGGGGAGGAAACCTACGGTCATTGTTATTATCGCACACCACCACCTCCTCAATCTCGCCAAACTTGCACATCTCACACCAGAAGTCCTCATAGAAGGCATCAAAGTGGTTCTGCAGCTGGCTCGCATTCATCTTGTTCTTCGGGTCGTAGGCCGGGTTCTGGTACAGGTTTGGGAGGAGGATGGTTTGGCTGTAGGAGGGCTTGACGTGTTTGCGCGAGCAGCGGTCCCCGTGTCGGCAGGCGCCGATCTTGTAGTAGAATGAGCAGTTTACTTTGTCGGCTTCGGTGCCGAAGATGCTGGCGAGGTAGTTCGCCATTGCGATGAGAGGGTTGTGGTGGTGTAGTGGGGAAAAGGTCGTGCTGAGAAATCGACAGGCTTCGAGGAAAGTCTGCGCCGGATGGTAGGGCCTGCGCTCGGAAAAGGGATTCCTTGGTAATGTACTGAGAACTGCGCGCTTTTGAGATCTGGCAGACAGACCAGAGGGTGAGGTGTTCGGTTGTTTTTCAGAAGTTGTCTGGGAAAGAGCTGTGGCGTTCAAAAATATCGAGATATGAGCTTGGAGGAGTTGCTCCGAATTTGGAATAGCGTCAAATTGTGACTAATCGGATGATTCTCCGATTGCCGATTGTTCGAGAAGTTTGTGCCATATTTCTTCACTTCAACAAAGCTAAAGACCGTAGTTTGAACAGCAAGTGCTAAGAATAAAGGCTCAGAGGTCAAGAGCCGATGAAATGGACATTCATAGAAATCAAGGAGTTTCAAATTCTGATTAGTCCACATCGTACCAGGCGAGCGATGGCGTTCCTCCTTGCTGCAACATGGACAACAGACAGTCCATCCTCCTGATAATTCCACTATATCTCTGTAAACTTAATTGTTTGCCCCGCTGAACATCTTCGTCATCTTTCTCACAAGAGTACCTCTTTTCTCCTTCACAGCGGGGACATTGGAATTTCCTTAGAACTGAAAAATGAATATTAGAAGTCGGATTTTGTTGCATATCACATCTTCCAACCTTTTCTGGTATCATGAAAATACCATTTAATATTACCGCATTGTGCAGGAGATCCGCAGACGAGTATCACCACCTAGCCGTCTGATAGAATCAAATTCTTTCCTTCGAGTGATCTTGTTAGATTTTGGTCAGCTTCAAATATGCTGGTATGTGAGGTGTAAATTTGATTGCTAGGACGACATCAGCCCTGGACGGGACTCTATTCTTTATTTTGAAACTGCGGCTGCTTTTCTCTGAGAATCATGCAGTTGTCTCAAATCGAAGCAGTTCTGCGATAACACCTCCGTTCATCCCACCCTCACTCCAAGTAATCATCAGATCTCCATCCCGTTCCGTCTGAAAGGCCCAAGGGTGTGGATAAAAGCAGTACTTGAACGGGGCAGGATCATATGGTTGCATCGCATACGTCCTTAATCCCTTCACTTCATGAACCTCCCAGGGTCCCTGAGGTTGCTTCGCTCGTCCGAATTGTGCCTTAGAATCCGCTAATGAGGTACACCCGATGAAAGCATACTTCCAAGGTGAGTCTCGTCCGAATATATCTGTCTGAAAGATCTGGCCATGCTGCATCGTGGTGAACACCGGCTTGGAATCTTTCATCTTTGAGCACCAGCCACTCCCATTCCAGTACTCGTGTTCTGTCTTTAACAGAGCACGGCGAGGTGGAATTCGAGCTAAGACCACACTTTTCGAGTTATCGGGGGTATGGCCATACAAATAAATGTACTCTTTGCCAATTCCCATCACCGCACAGAAGGCACCAAATCGTGGTTCATCAGCCTTCCCTTTGTTAGTTACATCTCCGAGTTCTCTTTCCTTGCCGCCACTCACTAGGAAGAGCTGTGGTCCTTGAGGAAACCTCTCACGTTTTGCTTCGAGAAAGAAGCTTTTTCGGTTCCAAGTGACCTGAGCAATTCCGGTGTACAGATACACCCCATCATCAATCGCCCCCTTCTGCATCTCTCGGACCTCGTAGTAGCACACTCCACAATGATTTCCGTTCTGGTCTATGTGGGAATCCACAATGCCACTGAAACACCAGAATTTGAGGAAGTGAGTTTTCGTATCTCCTTCTCCACGAAAGAACTCCAGGAAAGCTGGGACCCGTTGCTCGCTGTTACGACTACCATCGGAATCCTTGATGGTGAAGTATGAACTGACAGTTGGATCTTTAGTTGCATCGCAAAAAGATGCATTGTTTGAGGTGAGACCTATGAAGTGGCCGTTCATCGAGTGGCAGAACGTGTCTCCGAACTGAAATATGATGAATCCATCATCGAAGACGGAGGAGCGGCCGATATCTCGAGGGAGGTTGTTTCCTGATGCTGAGCGCGCTGTTAGACCTTTTACTCCCTACTGAGTATCATTGTACCGAACGAAGGACGTACAGTCACGAAGGTAGCCCATAGGAGTCTGTAGAATCAACTTGGGTGGCCAGACAACTCGTCTCGCCGGACTCATGGAGCCATGGTTATGCTGGTCGTGTCCTGCGGATGACACATCCGAAGACATTGTGTATAACGGCTGATGTTTGTAAGACACCGTCCAGTATTGGTACGCTCTGTTCTTTTGTTTTCGGCTGATGTCGCGTAGAACGTGAAAGTGATGTGGTGTTAACCCTGTTGTTTGGAAGATGAAGCTGTTTCAAAAACGAGGTATGGGATGTCATTCGCTCCACCATCTGACCTCAAATTTCTCCCTAATATTATGCAAAGTGAATTGTTCAAAGTTCTCTTAGGGCAACAAATTTTTAAGGTGGACGAGAAGAAAGCTGAGGCTAGTGACGAGACGAGGAGAAGCTTTTTGACCTTTAGACTGTACCCGGGCCAAGATGAGGTGAAATGTAAGCTTTTGGATGCTTGAAAACGCGTAGAAGACTCCGGCATCCTTGAGTGTTCAGAAAAGGGCTGGAATTTCATGGGAAACTTCAAAGACGGAATGCTGTGCTCAACATTTCGATTGTATGACAGGTTGAAAGGGCTTATGTTCTCGTTTTCACTGGACCAATTATGCCGAGGTTTCTAGAAATGCGGGGTTCCAACTCTTCTGATGATCAGGAAGCCAAACATCCTCTGCGCATCTGCCAAAGCCTCTTGACAAGAGTAATGTTCAAATCTGAGCACATCGACCATCAAAAATATCGATCATATCATAACAGTGAGCCTATGTCTCGCTTAACCCCTTTCCACCCCCTTTGACACAAACCATCTATCACGTGACTTCATATACATATTTGCTGGCTGGTTCCCAAGCAGAATTAATGAGCTTCAGGATCTCGGCAACATCTTGTGGAAGTAAATATTTATGAGTTTCAGTCTATTTACATCTTCGACTCCTCCTGGGACTCTTCTGATAGTGCTTTGAAAGCTTGAAGCAAGTCATTTTTCAGATCTTCCCAACCTTCAACACCGATGCTCACTCTCAGCAAGCGAGTATCCACCCCCGGATCGGTCTGCAGCACATTAGCACTGTCAAATCGAGAAAGTAGCAGATTACTACGGCAAGAACCTTACCATAGTTCGCCACTCAATCAAGCTTTCCACCCCACCCAAACTGGTTGCGTGGTGAAATAGTTGAAGCTTGCTGGGTAGTCTGCGAGCGAAGTTCTGCTCTTTCATGGTGATGGAGAAGACTGGCCCAAAACCACTCGACATCTGCTTCAGCAACCATCCATCCTTGATGTCCTGTTCCTGCAAGCTAGCATGCTCAATTTTGGCCAATACATCTCTGACGATCTTAGCCTCCCCATCATCAGACTTTTCGGAATGGAGGGCAGAATTCAACCATGCCACCAACTTGGTAGTGCTATGCGACTGTCTCTCAACCCTCAATTCCAACGTTCTCAAACTCCTGACACCCAGCCATCCTTCCATAGATCCCATCACATTACCCAAGAATAACCGTTCGTCAAACAGCTTATTCCACCAACCCTCTTTCACTCTGGCAGGGTTGACCGCTAGGATTCCACAAAGCATATCTGAGTGGCCACCAATGTATTTGGTGCCGCTATGCATGATAATGTCAGCACCCCACAGAAAGGGGTCTTGCAAAGGTGGTGGACCAAATGTCGAATCAACAGTTAAATAAGCCCCACGCGAGTGTGCCTTATCAGCATAGGCTTTAAGGTTGTAAGCAGAGCCCGTGGGATTGAGAGGTGTTTCGATATGAACGATATCACCAGGTTGCAGCTCCTCGGCGGGGCAGTCGATATCCAGCTTCTTGAGACCAGTGAGCTTTGCATGCACTCCGATGACGCCATGGCAGCCATGATATCCATCTCTAATAGCGATTCTCTTTGGGTTGAGAAAAACTAGCATTGCGTGGAAGGCGCTGAGACCAGATGCATAGCTCAGCGCCGGCCCTTTCAGGATGTCTGAGAGGATGGCTTCAAAGCGGGTGGTATTGGGAGCTGTATATCTAGAATAGACATGTCCATCATATGGCTCATCGGCCTGTACACTGGTCAGCTGATACGCTCTGCATCGAACTTGCATTTGATCTTACATCCTCTCCCCAATGCACTTTCAATTGATCTGGATCCCGATTATAGCGGAACGTAGTCGAAACATGCAATGGCGGGGCCACATCTCTGCTTTTGTTGAGGTAATCATCGGCGTGAACGGTTTTTGAAGAGAGGGAGAGGTTAGCGAGGCCGGGATCGGGGCGGTGATCCTCAGCATTTCCGTGACCATTCACAAGAGGTGTCGTTGTAGCCATATCTTGACGTTATTATAGCAGGCTTTATTTGGAAAGGGTGAGAGATATCTCATCTATTGACGAAGCGTACGAACGAATCTTGAGGTTGATGTTCCTGGTCATAGATGGCGTCTTCGTGGGTGGACCCCGCCTTGATTTAGCGCCGGGATTCGGGAGAAACCCATCCTCCTTGTGACTGATCGGCACAGCAGAGAGTAATTGTTTGCATTCTTTAAATTGTTTACTGATAGAAGCCACGTATAGCCATGGAAAGCAAATGGGTATCTTGTAAATGCAGTCAAAAACGCCAAATGATGCAACGAAAGCCAGACATGCACTCCAATACCTGTGACATTGCCACTCACAGCTATTCCACAGCTACCAAGTTGTCAAACATGTATTCGACTTCACAGTTCTCCTTTCCCTGGCTCTCCATCCATTTCGAAACGATGGCTTGGACTCGACTTGCCACTCCGGTTGTCTCCAGACTATCAATTCTGAGACCACAAATCGCATTCCCTTTCTTCACGTACATGTCACTCTTCATCAGCTCTTTCGTTACCCTTTGTAATCTGTCCATATCAACACGCGGCCTCAGTACTAAGTTGTGCATCTTGTCGTTCTCAGCAACAGTCTCCAATGGTAGCCTGTTAGACTTCGCGCGTGTCATCTTTGGTACTTCTCCCGATTTGACCCTCTGTGCCATGACGGATTTCTGTCTTCTCATCAGGTAGGCTCGAGGGTCGCCATCTGGTAAAGACGTCTCGAATGGCTCTTTCAGGGTCCCGATGGTACTTAAGGGCGGGTTTCTAGCTCCCAAAGCCGCTATAGCAGCATTGTATCGATTCCTGTGCGGAGAAGTACGGACGACTCCATGGTTGTCCGAACTGTCAACCCCCAATGCAGCAGCGCGAAGCTCATCGCCTCTTCGTCGACTGGCCAACTCTTTCCTGTGCTCAAAATCCATAGACCACTCGAGATCTGGGTTCGGCTGTTGCTCTGTCACATCTTGGGAAATGCCGTTGTGGCCTCGAGATGCTCCATATTCATTGGTTAGTTTCGTTTGCCGCAAGCTATCAACCTCATTTGATGAGATATTCTCTGTGTTTCTCCTCATTGGAGGCACAAAAGGTCTGTTCACGCCCCTAGGCCTCTTTGGACCGAGACGTGCAGGTGGTGATAAGAGAGCAGCATCCGGTACATTTCGAGCACTGACAAAATCACTTCTCGGTCTTACTGCTTCACAGTCGTCTCCGTCAAGAAGGACTTCGTCGTCGACATCTGCGGTCAATGATCTCCTATTTGGTCCCAAGCCTTGCCGCTGAATAGATCCCGGTTCAGGACGCTGACACGGTAGATTCCGAACTGGTGGAATATCCAGACTTCGGATGTCATCGTTTCGGAAAATCTGTCTTGGTCCACTTGGTCCACCTTGAAAATGGATGTCAAGTTCTGATGCAACAGGGTCAGATGAATGTTGTGGCGTTGGAAGAGGATCTGCCACAGGCCGGGAAACTGGATGAGAGGCACGGGTTGTTGTAGATGCCCGCTGATCTCTTTGCTGAATCGGAGCAGTCATTTTTGCGATGATCCAAGGATTCAATGAGTTTCTAGGATCGGGTTGGACGTCGGAAGCTGACATCTCTATACTTTGGGATTGCTGGAATCGACGACTAGGTCTTTCATATCCCTCAATTTCCTCAGTGAAATCTCTGGACATGTCGAAGGCCCATTTTCGCTTCTCTCCATCCACTGGCTCGTCGATTTTCTCGTTGTCAAGAGCCGAGCTCCCTTCAGTAACATCAAGGCTAATGGCTAAGGATCCGGTAGAAACCTCCGAGATCGAAGTGCCATGCGGCTGTACTGGTATTAAATCTTTTGCAGCTGGGGACGATGAGTTATTTGCTGCAGGAGCAGCAGAGTTCCGAGCTAAGAGCAGATCGAAATTATCAAGTTTGCCTTTCAGCGATCGAGGCGGTGGGAGAGAGGAAACAACCTTGGGTTCTCCGTAGACTTCTCTGAACAGACTCTCAATAGCTTTGAGGATAATCGATTCATTTCCAAATATCACATCATTCTTTCCCGGCTCCACATTGGGGTCGTAGCTCCCTACTGGACAGGTAATGTTCAGTCGCAGGAAGGGGCTTTTGGCCTTCTCCAGGGACCTTGAAAGGGACTCTTTCATGTAGCGCTTGAATATCGTAACGATCCTCCTCGTTGTATTCTTCTCATGTGAAACAGGTCTTGAATCTACTGAAATAAATTGGCCGTGTCCGATTTTCGAAGGGTCAGCGTCGGGTTTTGGCAAAAATACGTCGACAATGAAATCATTGCTGTCCGGGGCAAGAGACCTTTCGACGGCGGTGAGATCCTCTTCGTGCTCCGTTGAAATATCGGCATCATGAGCTCGTTCGAGAAATCTGGTAGATTTCGAAATACACTGACTTGCAGTTTCTTTGCCGAAAATCTGTGAGACAGCCTCCTTGACACCGCCACAAAGATGCGGAGCATAGGACCACAATGCTTTGTTCTCTTTGAGCACCTTGAAACTGAATTTGATGTTCGGTCGAGCAAGGACGTAGGCTTGCAAGAGCTCTTTGATCTTGCCCAAAGTCTTGGATGCCTCCTTCAGAAATGTCTGCTTTCTGACAGGTAATTTGTACACGAATTTGGTGACAGTGATAGTGGTTCCGATAGGATGCGAAGTTCGACTCCGGCTATCAATGCCACCTGGGGCTTTCAATTTCACAGTTGTGGCAACGGATTCTCCCTCGGTTCGAGTTGTCACTGTGACTTCTCCCAACTGAACAGCACTCGCCAAAGCTTCACCTCTGAAGCCAAGAGATACACCTCCAATCGATTTGAGTTCATCAAATGACCTCAACTTGCTGGTGTGACCACGTCTTCCGAGCGCGTCAAGATCCTCTTGCTGGATGCCATGGCCATTGTCTCGAACTTCAATCCGATCGATGGTGTTCGGAGAGATAAGAATATCAATATATGAAGCCTTGGCATCAAGAGCATTATCGATGAGCTCCTTGACAAGGGATGTCGGGGTAGTGAGGGCCTGAGCAGACCCGAGGAGTTGGATGGTTGCCTGAGGAAGTGGGGTTATAGCCATGATCAATAACCATGTTCTTGAGACGGACAGGAAGAGACCCCGTGCTCTTCTTTCCCAGCCTTAGCCTCATAAAAATGTCTCTGAAGGGTGATAGGGGGGCGTGCGGATGTTGTTGATGAAGAAGACTGGAGATCACTTGGGCCCATGCTCGCCCCAGGATGTAGCCTTGCAGATTGTGGCTAGTGGGCTAAGGCTGGGCTCGTGCGCAGTGGCTGAAGGAAAACACATCTCGGCTGGGATTCGACTCATCGACTTTAAAAAGGTCATAAATTCCTTCTATCGCCCGCCGCGCATTCTGAATTACTCAATTCTCTCAAAAGGACGCCAGCACGACGTCCAAAATCCTATTCAGAGCGCTCTGGGTGCGCAGGTCGCCCTACATATTTTCTTTTAACTACCCGCGTGCCAGAATGGCTACCAACGCAGCTTCCTACAATCCGAGTAAGAACTACACGATTGGCTTTTTAGGATAGCTTGGACTGATTTGTTTATTTCAATAGTTGGTGAGGAAACCGGACCGGTATCTGGAAAGCCTCCAGCTCTCTCTCCTGAAACCAAGGACGCCGTGAAAGATGCTGCAAGCTCTAGCCCGACAGGTTCTCATGTTCCAGGACAAGATGCTGGTAGCAAAGTTGGCGCTGCTGAAGCCGGTGCAGGAGAGAAGAAGGTGAAGAGCGAGAAAGAGCGTACGAATACCCTCTAGACTCTCATAATGTAGCCTGTACCTTTTGGGATAGCTAGGATGAATTTAACGCTGACTCGCACTTCAAAATAGTGGAACGTGAACGAAAGAAAGCCGAGAAACAGGCCAAGTTCGATCAAAAGAAGGCCGCTCAGGCAAATGCCGCCCCCACAGCAACTAGCAAGAGCAAAGAGAAGAAGGCCAAGGCTGAGAAGAAGGCTGAAGAAGAAGTTCTGCCGCCCTACGTTGAGGAGACTCCTTTCGGAGAGAAGAAGAGTCCGTTTCAAACCTACCTTCCCACATTTATCTGCATTTGAAGCTGAACGATGGTCTTTTAGTTTTGAAACCCATCGACGATCCCCAATACAAAGCCTATAACCCGACTGTCGTCGAATCCGCATGGTATGCTTGGTGGGAGAAGGAGGGATTCTTCATCCCCAAGTTCAAAGAAGATGGTAAGGTCAAAGATGAAGGATCTTTCGTAATTGTTGAGCCACCGCCTAACGTCACCGGAAATCTACACATGGGTCATGCCTTGGGAAATGCCTTGATTGACCTGATGATTCGGTACAATCGTATGCATGGCAAGACCACCCTGTGGCTGCCGGGATGCGACCACGCAGGTATCTCAACCCAAAATGTGGTAGAGAACATGCTCTGGCGTCGCCAACAGAAGACTCGTCATGACTTGGGACGGACCAAATTCGTGGAGACTGTGTGGGACTGGAAGCATGAGTACCATCAAAAGATCAACAATGTCTTCCGAAGAACCGGCTGCTCCTTTGATTGGACTCGAGAAGCTTTTACCATGGACCAAAACTTTTCAGCTGCCGTTACAGAGACCTTTGTGAGGTTACATGACGAAGGCACCATCTACAGAGCAAATAGACTTGTCAATTGGTGCACCAAACTCAACACCGCTCTCTCAAACCTCGAAGTAGTGAATAAAGAACTTCCTGGTCGAACTTTACTGGACGTGCCTGGTTATGATAAGAAAGTGGAATTTGGTATCATTGTTCACTTCAAGTATGAAATTGAAGGCACGGACGAAAGGATCGAGGTCGCAACTACGCGTCCAGAGACCATGCTTGGAGATACGGCTGTTGCAGTGCACCCTGATGATGAGCGCTACAAACATCTCGTCGGCAAGAATGCCATCCATCCTTTCATACCCGGCCGACTGATGCCGATTGTCGCCGATACCTACGTCGAGAAAGAATTTGGTACTGGTGCTGTCAAGATCACCCCTGCTCACGATCCCAGCGATTTTGCACTTGGTCAACGACACAATCTCGAATTCATCAACATCTTGACCGATGAAGGGATGATGAACGAAAATGCCGGTCCTTATGTAGGCCAGAAGCGATTCGATGTCAGATACACCATTCAGGAGGACCTGAAAAAAGCTGGCTTGTACGTTGATAAGAAGGATAACGCCATGACGGTCCCTCTTTGCGAAAAGTCAAAGGATGTTATCGAACCACTGATGAAACCACAGTGGTGGATGAAGATGAAGGACATGGCTGCTGCTGCTCTGGACGTTGTGAAGACCGGAGAGATTAAGATCTTGCCGGAAACTGCGGAGAGGAGTTACATTCGATGGATGGAGGACGTCAATGACTGGTGTCTTTCGAGGCAACTGTGGTGGGGTCATCAGGCACCAATGTATTTCGCCCAGATTTACGGCGAGGAGCACGACGAGGCTAATGGCAAGCTGTGGTTTGCTGGTCGAACACAGGAAGAGGCTGAAGCGAAAGCTAGAAAAGCTCTTCCGGGAAAGAACTTTACTCTGAAGAGAGATGAAGATGTTCTTGACACATGGTTTTCATCTGGTCTCTGGCCATTCGCTACCATGGGTTGGCCAAATCAGACGCACGACCTCGAAACCTTATTTCCCACTTCCGTGCTGGAGACTGGATGGGATATTCTCTTCTTCTGGATCGCTCGTATGGTCATGTTCAGTCTGAAGCTGACTGGCAAGGTACCATTTACCGAGGTTTACTGCCATTCTCTCATTCGAGACTCCGAAGGACGAAAGATGTCGAAGTCCTTGGGCAATGTTATCGACCCCATCGATGTGATTGAGGGCATTGCATTGCCGGATCTTCACAAGAAGCTTGAGACGGGCAACCTGAACCCCATTGAAGTCAAGCGAGCTACACAGTATCAAAAGAGTGCATTCCCAGACGGTATTCCTCAATGTGGCACGGATGCGCTGCGTTTCGCACTAGTTTCATACACCACTGGAGGCGGTGATATTGCATTCGACATCAAAGTCATCCATGGATACCGGAAGTTCTGCAACAAGATCTATCAGGCTACAAAATATGTACTTGGTAAACTCGACAAGGATTTCGTCCCCAAGAAGACGGCCAAGCTCACCGGCAAGGAGTCGCTATCTGAACGATGGATTCTGCATAAGATGACTATGGCAGCAAGAGATATCAACAAGGCCATCACTGACCGCGAATTCATGCGTTCAACCACAATCATCTATCAATACTGGTACAACCAACTGTGCGATGTATATATCGAGAACTCGAAAGCCATTATCCAAGATGGCACACCAGAAGAGAAGCAATCTGCTGTTGAAACATTATACACAGCTCTCGAAGGTGCTTTAACAATGATTCACCCATACATGCCGTTCCTGACAGAAGAGCTCTGGCAACGCCTCCCTCGCCGAACAGACGACAGGACCCCATCAATCGTGCTCGCCAAGTATCCTGTGTATGACGCCTCAATGGATGACCCTACCTCTGAAGAAGCATATGAGCTCGTTCTCGGCATCTCTAAAGGCATCCGATCACTGATGGCAGAATACTCACTCAAGGACGAAGGACAAGGTTCGCATTTATAACATTCCCCTGATAGTTCCATACTAACTGCTAAATATAGTGTTCATTCAAACATACGACGCGACTTCTCATAGCACCGCAACGGCGCAAATCCAATCCATTAAATCTCTTTCCGGGAAAGGAGTCTCGTCGCTTTCCATTCTCTCCTCGTCCGACTCTCGACCTCCTGGATGCGTCGTATTTTCTGTCTCCTCTGCCTGCGCAGTCTTCTTGCACGTCAAGGGCCGGGTAGACATGGACGCTGAGATTCAGAAGGCATCCAAGAAGTTGGAGAAGACGAAGCAAGGAATCGAGAGACAGAAGAAGATTCTGGGTGATGAAGGGTACAAGGAGAAGGTCAGCAAGGAGCTGCAGGAAGTTGAGATAAACAAGTTGAAGGATTTAGAGACGGAGAGGAGTGCATTCGAAGAAACTATTAAGCAGTTCGAGCAGCTGAAGATGGAGTAGAAGAGGTGTTTACGTGGGAAGAGGAAAAGCGTGTTGCTGATGTTTTGATTCATGTGCTACTTTACCGGAAAAGAGCTTCTGTGTAACTTGATAGATTCCAATCCTTAAGAGAACATACGCATTTTCGTCAACAACTTGTAACAGAAATCCTGCCGACTCGAGCACAGTACACCAGGAGCCCGAGCGGTCTAGCATTAGAAAACTATATCCATATAACTTAGTGAAAGGCAGAAGGGGGTCAATCACGTGCCAGAACAGATTCCAGCAAATCCGGAGAGCTTATCTGACCAGGGCGGGCGCTCCCGGCGGAGCTCTTTCGCTACATGACCGAGTGACCCGCCTCGAGGCGGTTTTAAGTTAGAGTTGCTCGCGTTTGAGCAATTTATTTGGACTTGAGACGATGAGACGACTGACTCGAACTCCGGCAATACATCTACCTACCTACATTTCAACCAAACTCTCCCTCGTTACGGAATCAAATTCGAGATCGAAATCGAATCACACCCTCTGAGACCCGACCTTCGTTCAATCAACACAACCTAACAGCAATCGCAATGGATCATTCGCATATGGATCACAGCGGCATAGACATGAGCGCCCATAGGTGCAATATGAATGTACGCAGCATGCCCCGTCTTATTCGGAGAAAGAGAGAGAGAACTGACACAGAGACTCGCAGATGCTCTTCACCTGGAACACGCAAGACCTCTGCATCGTCTTCCGCTGGTGGCACATCAGCGGCACGCTCTCGCTCATCATCTCTCTCCTGGCAGTCGTCGCCCTTGGTGCTGCCTACGAAGCGCTGCGCTCTGCGTCGCGAAGATACGAGACATTCGTGAACAAGAGGCAGGAGGAGTTACCGAGTAAGCATACACTTATCTTTTGGCTCTAGGTTTCTTAAGTCTTCATACAATTGGAATGAAGCTGAACGGTTTGCGTGTTGAGATGGGCCTGTTACTGAGACAACGCCTTTCCTTTGGTCAGGACGCAACCAGGTCGAAGTTAGCAAGAGGGCACATGTTATCAAGGCGTTTCTGTATGCGGTGCAGAGCTTTTATGCATTTATGTTGATGTGAGTACTCTTTCCCGCGATATTGGGGCAGAGTATGGGAGCTGATGGTACGGTGGCAGGTTGCTATTTATGACTTATAATGGATGGGTGATGATTGCGGTTACCGTGGGCGCTTTTGTGGGATACCTAGTGTTTGGGAATAGTACGAGTGCGACGAAGGATGGAGCTTGTCATTGAAGAGGTGGTGGTTATGACTTATGTGTTATATATATGGGCGTCTACATTTTGGGAATGTGGCTTGAGACGAGGCATGCAAGCAAGGGGTTTTACATCAATCAGAATTGCTGGAATAAGGAGTTGAATTTTGGAGCCCCTGGAATCATGGCATATTGAAAGAGCATGGCTCTGCCTACCAAGGCTACATATATACTCATCCACGCTTTGCCGTCAAGGGGGACAATGTCATTTTGAACCTCCCATCCGTGTTCTTCCCACCCCTTCCCCTCTAATGACAACCTTCTAGCCTTCCCCAAAACCACCACACCTCTTAAAAATACTGAAGCAATCGCCACTTGAGAACTCAAATCATACCGCCATAACCTTAGCCTTGCTGAAGGCGAGGACGTATCCTCCCTCGCCGATCGAATACCCAACCGTAAACAAAATCATAAAGTCGTTAAACCTCAGCCAAGCCTTCCCCCTTCCATAAATGTTATTCATTATCCTCGTTTTTCGCAGACCCCTCCGAGCCCGTCGGGGACTCCTTCCGATGAAGACTCGCCCCCTCTCCCGTAACACTCCTCGTCAAGCTGCTGCTCCTCGAATATACGCTCCCACTCCTCTCTGCATTCGGCGTAATACAGATCCTAAACTTCTTCGCCTCCTTCCTCGCCAGCTCCTTCTCCTCTTCAGTATCCTCCGGCCTGATCTTCGGCGGCCCAGGCAGCTCCACACTAACCGTAAACCCCCTCACCCTAAAGTTCTTCTTGTTCCACGCATTCAATAGCCGCTTGAAATCGCCGTCATACTGCAGCTCCTTCTTGATCCTCTTCACCACGTCGCGCTTGTGCACTCGCCAGAGGACGGAGGCGCCGCGAGGCAACTCGGCTGCCTCGACGACCTGGTCGGAGAAGGTCTTCCAGTCTTTCTCTGAGATGTTGTATTTGACGAGCTTGGGATCGTAGGGGAAGCCGGAGGCGAGGGAGGCTGTTCGAGTGGGGATTCGGAGCCGTCGTTGGAGGGGCGGCGGCCTGGGAGTACTGGCGAAGGAGATTCGGCGGGCGGAGGCGACGGATGGGGAGCGTAGGCGGCCATCGTTGTCTTCGACGTTGGGGGAGAGTAAGTTGGTGTCGTTGGTACTGGATGCCGTTTGTGGTCGGTCCGTGGATTGAGGGGGGAGAGAGGTTGGGCGAGCGGGTGTGCGTCCTACTCGTTGGGGTCTATATCGATGTATCTGTTAGCGACTTGAGGCGAAGCATGTGCTTGAGTGATTGAGACGAACTGTTGGTTTGTGAGAGGGTTGCGGAACTTGGTGTTCGTAGGCTTGAAGTTCTTCTTCTTGGTCTTGGGGTCTTTGGCCTCAAGCTCTTCCAGCGCAGCTAATATGTCTGCCATGTTTGTCGGTGGATGTGCAATTGGAGAGTGTGAGTGGGCGGGCGAGAGGTCGAGATAGACATCTACACGTGGATATGGAGATGGAGCTGGGGAGTCATGAATGATTCCTCAGCCGTGGTGGCTGTGTACTGCTGCTGGAATTATTGTGCATCGTGCAATTCGAGGTGAGTATGGAGTATGTATGCACTATGCACTATGCACTGATAGAAAACAAAGTGGGGTGGCAAGTTGACTGTCTGGTTGTCCGGTCTGGACTTGAGCTCAGTTCGCAAGCTAAACTGCTTCCCTCCTGGCTCAGAGATCTGCCCCATCTGCTGACGGCGAGCTTTCATGCCCCAGCGGGAACCAGAAATGCGCCGTCCCAATTGGCTGGGAGCCCCATGCAGCACGAACATTAAGCAAATTCACATGGGAAGGCGCTGGCTGACTAGAGTTTTGTCACGTCTCTTTATTCAAGAGACACACTTCGTGATTTCACAGCGCTTAGTTAATCTTAGCACTGTATAGACGGCGGATGGCGGATGGCGGATGCAAAGCCCTCCGTACCCATCTTTCACCCCATCTTTTTGACATCTGCCAAGTGAGTACAGCCTCAACCAACTGCCCCGCGATGACGTAAGGCTTTCAAAGTTACTTGGTGGCCATTTCCTCCTTTCAAAGCAACACATTCTAGACTCGATAAGGAGAACCCTGGCGAGCAGACTCTTCAAAATCATTTGTAAGATTACTTCATCGATAGCAAAGTGCTATCGCGTCTGGAAAGGGGTTAAAGGGGCTCAAGCAAGTGACGCAAAGCACGAGACCAGCCTGTCCCAGTAATATCCTTTTAAAGCAGCCAGCTATGATCATGCCTGTTCAAATTAGCATCTCATAGTTAGAAAGAAGCTCTTCTCTGATTACGAAAGGCAATTCCTGTGGTGCAACGTCCTGTGGATGACGAACAATGCACCAGTACGAGTCTCTGCTGCCAGCAAGTCACATATCACCTCAGTGGCAACCGTTATCACACTGGAAAGTAGAAAGGGCTCAAGCGGGCCACCCCTCGCTTTCTCTCGACTGAGGCAGAACAAGGGAGAAGTAGATTCCAGAGTTCAATTCACCAAACCCTTTCTTATTACGGAGGACAACAATCTAGTGCAATGTACATTGTGGATCTCGGAAAATGCAGCAGTACGATTCTCTTCTCCCTGGAGATGACGGATACTGTGAGAAGACTTGCCAACTCAAAAGCAAGCGAAAATACCCAAGGTTAGATTCATGTACAGTTGTTGGAGCTCTCGCCATCACTGTTCCTTTCTGCTTACTGTTCCTCATGTTGCTTCTTCCTACTCCCAAGTCACACTAGGAAGGGGGTGGGGGATGCTGACTTCCCTGATACCCAGAGTCATAATGGGTATGGTCAACAGCGACATCTGGACACGGTTGCTGAACACGCCCAGCGATATCTTTGAATGCAGCCTTTTACAGTATCCACGTTGCCGGAAGGAAGCAGGAGCAATCATCAACAAATTCTATACTCTACACCATGTACCGAGTGCTGAACATGAAAGATGGACTGTTTTATCTTGGCCTTGATATTGCCCCTCTATCTCCTACAGATAGATTTCCGCTAACACACCCTCAAACGGAAGCAGCATATCACCAAATTCCCGCAAAAGGGGATATACCGCCAAAATCCTCTTCTACATGTTGCAGGAAGAGCCTCTGCAAGACTTGCTTGTGGAGTTCTTCAAGCAATACAAAGAATTCTTCGTGCATTTCAAACTAGATAGGTGGATCTGGTTGATAGTGAGGATCTGGAGCGTTTTCTGAGGGCGCCAATTGTGATGACGATTTGTGGTGCAAATACGCTACCCGTTGATATATACCGAGTGCATAGTTAAATGGAGCGTGGAACATGACTTATGTATGATATGCTACTTGAGATTAGGGGTTTGGCATCGAGCCCAAAGCATGCTGTTGATGCGTTTGGACCGTGGAGAGAGGGAGATTAATGTGACAGCTATGTGCTCGCTGTTACGGCACAATGTTCTTGTTCCGGAGTCGCTTGTCAATGGTGAACTTGAAAAGCTTAGTTTGTGTAGAAGATTCTCTACGCTTTCAAAGGCTGTAATAAAATCCTAAACAATGTTAATCAGAGCGAGAGAGTCGAGAGGGAGAGGAACTGGTAAGCAAGCAAAACCTCACCCGCAAACATGGCAACCATACCAACAGCTCTAAGCAGCACCTCCCTCTCCACCTCCGCGACAATAACAACGTCCTATAGTCCCTCCAACGCACTACCCACCTCCACCGCCCCAATCTACAACGGATACTCCCTAACCGAACTCATAAACTACAACCCTAATGTCCCATACCAGCAATTCCCCTATGTGCGGCTTCCCCTTTTCTTCACCAGTCAATTTCACGCAGTACTGCGCCCCAAACGCCACAATCTACGTGGCGGATGTGTGCACGCAGTTTTGTATTTATAGAGAAGAATGAGACGCTGGATGAGTTTAGTAGTTGTGTGAAATTCCTATTGCCCACGAATCAGATATTGGGAGGTCTTGGGTGTTCAAACTTGCAGAAATCGGAGGGAGTGAGGAAAATTGAGGGGAGAGGTGTGATGGTTTGGTTAACTGTTGGTGTGTTAGTGACGGGAGTTCTGCTTTCCTGATTGCAGGGTAGATTGATTATGTTGATTTTTTGCTTCAAAGATACCCAGAGTCCGTAGAATTTTGACAGAGTAAATGATGAGCATCCTCTATTGTGCATAGAGGAGTATAGATCGATATTAGGGGTCTAGATCTTAGATGTATCTTTCGATATTGTTCCCTCTCTGGCAGTCTTCAGGTCAGAATCAGTGAGATCAGGTCCTCCGGGCACCTTTTCACCCAGTCGACCCATTTTATATAGATTCTCTATCGTTTTCTCATCTCCGTGGTGGGTATTATACTTTCTTTTGTCAGTTCAGTATTCTTAAGACAAGATTCACTTACCTCAAAATCTGGTTCCTCTCCATAAGCAAGTCTGGCAGCATCAACTAGCATCCTAGCGGTCATGCCCCAGACTTTATATCTCTGCATCCCATCGTCTTCCTCTTCGTCTAACTCTTCGGCGAAGGCAGCTTGTCCGCCTTCTCTTACCTTCGGCTTCGACACTTTCTGGTTATTTATCGGAACGTGGAAGTTATGCATCCTCCATCTTCCATCAAACCAATCGATCCATTTCCCTTCATACCAATCTGATTTCTTTCCTGGTACTTTATCACCTTCCGGTACTTGGTCCTCTGATCTCAGAAAATTATGGAAAGGAGCAGAGAACACAGCCGCGACTTCTTTGGCATCAAGCCGAGGTATCATGGACTCTTCAACACTTGCTGCTTTATTCCCACTGCTGTCATCGGAGTGTAGGAATGCCACGCAAGGCCGTACCGCGAGTGCGGTCTTAGCTAGGCTAAAGGGGAGTTGGCAGAGATGCTCTATTCGGAAAGGTCGGGGGATCTTGGAGTCGTCTTTTGGGAGGCCGATTTCTTCGTATGCCTCTCGTCTGGCGATTTCGAATGGTGTTTCTTCTAGGGTATCCGCCTTGCCTCCAGGAAATGCAGCTTGGCCTGCTAATACTCAGCATTTCCCTGCAGAATTCGTGAGATAAGAACATACCAGAATAGTTCCTCAGTGTTGCAGCCCGCATAGTCAGAACAACTCGAAGATCACCTCGACGGTCCGCAAACAGCAGCACCAGGACAGCAGCCCTTCTGCTCAGAGGTAAGTGATCCCATGTCGCGAATGGTGGAGGTTTGTACGCTCTCAGTCGGGCAATAGCGGCCTTCGTACTCATCAGAGTCCCATTCGCAGACAGACATCGAAGATACTGACTAGAGAAGCCGGTGTCAAGGGCGCCATGCTGCTTGCATCAAAGTACTGGGCCTCTTTTATACTCTCGATGATCTGCTTTACCTCATTCTCGTCGATTCCAACATGTGTATCTGCATTCCTGAGAGCGTCGTTCATACTCATCGTCGACAAAGAGATTCGAGGTTGGAGCCAGTAATGCTCCGGCCCCGCGGGAATGTGGGGTAGCAAGGATCTCCAGACCTAGACCTAACCTGGATCTGACAACCAGGGGGATAACTTTCTCTCTTTCTCTTAAACCATCCTTAAGACACGCCTTTTATAGTATCAAGAACTAATCAGCGCATATTAAAGGGATGTCCATAGAATAGCTAAGATCCTGCACAGGGGATGGCCTTTCTGAGGTTCCGGCCTCTCCTCGATAGCTAATCGATAAGGGAGGAAAGATGCCTCGGCTATGCAGCAAACCGGACAGCCTTGGATGGACGTCTCTAGAATGAAGACGGTGAATCAACATCCAACTATTGCACCAAGGGCCTTGAAAACTTGCGATGGTTTCCAGTGAGGATTTGACAACGTTTGCAGAAGCAACGGCCGTAAAGGCATTGTCTTCACATGAGTACGAAGCGTACTTTCCTCGTGATTGGTGTATTGGCGCAGGTACGTAGAGATGCTTTTCCTTTCTTGCTGTTTTTATTGTGAAAGTTACAAAAAGTCTTGGATCGGGCATGGAATGTATTCCAATCTTCTGGGCCTTACTGGGACATTGAGATTCCAATTATTAGCTATTCCTGGGACATCTGTCCAGTCAGTCAATATCTTTCCGGAGCGTCAGATCTGTAGAATTAGCACATACTGTATATCCACTAACATACCCTCTCAAAAGTTCCACATGGCGGATTTGTCACTGCCGTCTTTCTGCAAGTCGCTTCGACTCACTTCAACACAACCCTCTCTTCTCAAAATCAACCCCACACAATCGCGCTGCACCTCGACTTCCTAAAGCGCACTGAATCCGGCCCCGCAAAGTTCACAGTCAGGGACACGAAACTCGGGAGACAGGCCTCTGTCATTCATATCAGTCTCACTCAAGACGGACGAGAAGAAGTAGTTGGCTACCTCACAAACTCGAACCTAAAGACCGAAGCGGGAGTCACATTCAAGTCAAGCTATGCGCTCAAACCTCCCCCTCTCCCCGTCAACTTTTCTCTTATCAAGCAAGCCAAAGACGAGAACTGGGCACCGATACCCGAAATGCCGTTCGCCTCGTTCAGGGGAGCGACGAGGAAAACACAGTTCTTCTTCCCTCGACAAGGACAAAGGCCAGGCAATTCTGCCGATGAATGGATACGCTTACAAAATAGCGAGAAGTGGACCAATACCTCGATCGGCTACGTGTGCGACATGTGGCCCATGCCCGTTGAGGCGTTCTTGCATGAGCAGAACCCATATGATGTGAGCACCATAGAGGGCGGTAAGGACAACAAGCCAGCGAGATTCTGGTATCCAACCTTGCTGTTGAATTTGGATGTTAAGAAGGCGTTACCAGAAGAGGGGGTAGAGTGGTTGTTTGTGAGGGTTGAGGCGAAGCAGATTAAGAATGGGAGGATGGATCTGGAGGTTGTGATTATGGATGAGGGGGGTGAGTTGGTGGCGCTGTCGCATCATGTTGCTTTTGCGTTAGACGTCTCGAGGAATACTGCAAAGAGGAAGACGGGATCGAGTAAGATATAGATCATAGATTTAGTCAAATTCAATTGCTGGTACTGCGAACAAATCAAATCAAGTTCCAACTTTGATTCCTTAATTCTCCCCTCAACTTTCCCATTAGCCTCGAGTCATACCAGTATTCAAAAGAAAGTCGGACAGGCTTTTTAAGGAAAGAAAATCCAAGGCTAGAAATAAGGACAGAAACTAAACTAGATTGAAACCTTAAATAGGACTCATTCAACAACCAAGAAATATTTTTCGAGTACTTTGTAACATCATGATAAATTCATTGAAGGAAAGAATGGTTTGTGGGTAGAGTGACAATATCACGGCCGCCTATCCATGATTTGGGCTCCATTGGTTCCTAAGTGGGTTTGTTGGATGACTCAAAGGCAAACTCCTCACGCGGCTGCGTGCAATAGGTGATTGCAAAGATTGATATCCACCTGACGGTTTGGCATCGTCATGTGTTAAGTACTTTGTTCCTCCTCGGGGGACTTCCTGCTACCGAAGGTGCTTCACTGGCAAGGAATTTGCTTGACCGCGGAACAAAAGTGGGTATGTAATTATCGGCGAAAATGGGAGAAGACCTTTGGGAATCCAGATGATAATCAGCACTGTCCTAGAGGTCAATAGAATTCATCATCGGACTCAGATGAAACGACAAGGAACCCATCGACGCTGGAACCTGACTTGGCAGTGAGTATGAACGTCCCGATGCCATTGGATTGCTTGTAGGGGTTGCAGTGCCAGCCATATTATCCATATTATTCGTCTGGAGCAAGACGTGGGCCCCGGAAAAGTCCTCCTCTCCATCCCGGGAATCGGGATCCTCAGGTACGTGAGTGGGACTACACAAGGCGGGGTTATTTGACCTGTCTGAACCATCTGACCTTACTGGTAGTGTATGATACGACATCTGAGAGTCATTGGCCTTTGTCCTCGATGACCGGATTTGATCAAATGAGTAAGTAGGCCCTTGGGGAGAGTCTCCTAATGAGTCCATGAACTGTACTGGTGACAACTCAGTTGAAGGCTCAACTGGTCCGGTCCTAGGTCCGCTGTTTTGGCCCTGTGTAGGTTCTGTTGGAGAAACAGAAAATCCACGGATATCCGTATTTATACTGACCCGGATGCCAAAAGCTCTGGCATTTATGTCAGGAATAGGACGTCTAGAAGTAGTAGTAGAATGGGTGCGCCTATGCGCGGTCAGTTTGTCACTCCTTGAATAACTTTTGGAACAACCAGGAGAATCGCAGATGAAGCGTCGAGCTCCTGAATGGACAGACTCCATATGACTTAGGAGATCAGATCTTCTGCGGAAGGACCTTTGGGTGTTGCACGTAGGCCAGGGGCACTCACGGGTATGGTACGTCTTGATGTGGAAATCTAGATCATAGAAGCTTAAGTGTCCCTTCTGAAGACATCTGCAGCCAGGCCACAAGCAGAGATTTGTTGGATGTGGTATTTGGAAAGGTGGAAGTGGGGGAGTAGAGGCCAATGGGGGAGGAGGAGAGGTCAATAGAGGAGGATAGGAACTTCCTTCTGCCACAGGCCGTACCAGAGTTTCACCATCATCGCTGGTCATGGCCATGGGGGTTGGATGAGTACAAGCCTGTCCATCCGGTGCCAGACTGAGAGTTCCACCGCACACCATCATAGTGGAGATCACTAGAGTTGGATCTTGGGAGTTCCTGGGGGTGTTGGCTGCACTGGCCGGCAGTGTTTCCCGGAGTCCGTTGATCCAGTCTCCTGACGACGCTTAGCAAAAACATCTTTTGCAACAACTGAAACATACTTCAAAACTAGTAGATGATGTTGAGGGAGACTAGTTTGGCCGTAAGTAATAACCGCGATGAACTTTAGTTGAGAAAGATTGAAAGATTGGGAATGACAGTTGGACTGTATTATGTCGGATGATCTGTCAATCCGAGTTGTGGCTGATATGCATGAGGGCGTAAGAGGGGCACACTGGGGCACACAAGGCTGAATGTCCCGAAAAATACGGTGCATTGGACTTGGATGCTCTAATCAGAGCGGGAGCTTTCCCATTTTCATGCTCCCTTAATTGCTTGGCTTCAGATACTACACGAGGAAGGTTCAGGAAGGAGACTTCTCCAGTATGTCTCTTCTCGCAAGACTGTAAATACGGCATCCTTGGATTAGCCTTGGTACGGCCTCTAATGGTGGTAAGCACATGGGAAAGTCAAGTGCTTAGGTATCGAGAACGAGGTTATTGTGAAAGTCTGAGCGATTTGACTTTATTTTCTAGACCGAACGACTGTGCCTCCCTCGTGTCAAACTAGAGCTCAAAGCAAATCTCTCCATGGTAAAAACAAGAGCACGCATTCTACGCATCGCATTTGAATGCAGTCTATTAAGAAAGGAAAAATCTCCACACCTCGACTTCCCTAGGTCTGCCTCCCCAAATCGTGCTAAACTGCCATCCGGTCCTGGCGGGAAGCTGCCTGCAAGGAGATCCTCTGGGTTCGGACTTGCCACTTATCGAGTTTCCTTTGGTTGTGGCCGGGTATCAATGAAGGCCGACGGAGTTGGCGCTGCTATTGGGATCGTGCTGGAAGGAGGTAGGAGCAGAATACTGCGGTAGATCGTTGGGCAATTTCACATAAAGTCATCACTATAAAACAGTCAGTAGGAGGACTTCTGAACAAGTGCATCGGGAACTCACTCTCCAAAATCGTCATCGTAGGCGTTGACATCGGCTCCGGTTGAAACGTTCCTGTTGGCAACCAGTGCAACCTTTGTCTTCTGAGCCTTGCTCTTCTTTCCACCTTTTTCGGCTGCCTTCTCCTCCTTCATCTTCTCATTACTCAACGTTGTCAAAGTGCTAGCAATTTTCTTGATCTGATCACTAGGGAGGTCCTTGGCGAGCTGCTTGGTAAACTCTTGCAGGAAGATGGCGTAGTGGGCTTTCTTGGAGTTGTTGGAAATGACGGGGATAAGAGTGTCGCGAAGCTTCTCAAACTGCGTTTTTGTCTTGGGGTCAAAAAGAGGAAGAGCCGTCAGGTCGACAGTGGATGTTGGGTCCTTGGCGTCAACTTGGACTGCGTTTGCGGCAGTGGTGACTTTGCGAGAGTTGCTAATGCCGATGTTGCCAAAGAGATCCTCAGCGTGCTTCAGATCGGACTCCTGCTCAGTGCGACGAAGTCGCTCCCGCTTAGCTGCTTCATCTTCTTCGCTGCTCTCATCACTGTCTTCTGCCAACCTTCTTGCTCGCTCGGCCTTCTGTTCTGCGATGCGCTGAGCCTTGCTCTTCTTGTTTGCCGCCGCTTCGGCATCAGCTTTGGCTTGTCGTTCTGCAGCAGCTTTGGCTTTCTCTCGCTCAACTTCCGAGTCTTCTGCTTCGTCCCATGCATCTAGTACATCGCTGTCCTCTCCTTCTTCGTCATCGAAGACGCGTCTAGTGGATGCGATCGGCTTGGTTGGAGGGGAGGATGGGGGGGTTGACTCTTCGTCCTCCTCGTCTTTGGCTCAAATCAGCAAGATATTCTACAAATACATTGTGTTCAGTCTCCCTGTGCCGTCGATCGCGACTCGGCGCACAGTCTGAATGTGAACCAAGCGGACAGTGGCGTCGCAAGATACGAGCAGGCAGGCAGGCAGGGGAGGACAACATTACCTTCCCACTTATTTGGCGGCATCTTGACTGTGTGTTTGAGTTCGTGAAGTAGGATAGTTTACTTGTAAAGTGGCAGATGCTTGCGCTCCGAAAATGTATTTCTGGTGCGATTGTTTGCAGTTGGGGACTCGGGAGTGTGTGTGGTGGGGTTTGATTTTCGCGATTTCAATCTTGTGGAGGCAGTCCAGAACGGAATGCGGCTAAAATTCCACTGACGCATCCGTGATTTTGCCACTGCTTCCACCACGTGCCAAACATTTACTGTTTTGAGTTGAGCGGTTCCATATCCAGCTCATTTTGGAAAGCAAACATGGTATTCTACGGTTGACTTGGGAGGGGGAGACGTGTTATCGTGGACCCCTTGAGAGTCAAACGTGACAGACTGACAGGTTTCACCCTGTCTGGATAATTAGGGCAAAAACTAGAGATAGGGGCACAACTTTTCTTTAATTCATTCTTCGTTTATCATCAGGTCAGAGCTTAGTGCACAAGCAATACGTCTCCCCTTCCTTACCCATTCCTTCCGTGAATTCAGATGCCATTTACAAGTTGACAGCAGCTCTGAATTTCTCTCCAGCATAGATAGCCTTGTCACCCAACTCCTCCTCGATTCTGAGGATCTGAGTCAGGTTATTAGCTAACAGTTTCCAAGGATGTGAAATTTAGCAATTCTTACCTGGTTCAATTTAGCCAACCGCTCAGATCTGGCTGGTGCACCGGTCTTAATCTGTCCAGCTCGGATACCAACAACAATGTCGGCGATAGTGACGTCCTCGGTCTCTCCAGAACGATGAGAAACCATGACACCCCATCCAGCAGCGTAAGAATCCTTGGCGGCCTGGATCGACTCGGTGAGGGTACCAATCTGGTTGACCTTAAGCAGGAGAGCGTTGCAGGACTTGAGTTCAATAGCCTTCTTGATGCGGATGGGGTTGGTGACAGTCAAGTCATCTCCGACAATTTGGAAGTCAGAGGTCTTGTAGAAGTAGCTCCATGCCTCCCAGTCATCCTCAGCGAATGGGTCCTCGATGCTGACGATGGGGTACTTCTTGGCGAGGGTCTGGTATTGTTCTGCAAGCTGCTCATAAGTGATCCACTTGGTGGGGTCACTGTCTGGGTTCTTGAAATCCAAGTCGTACTTCTTGACATCCTCCTTGTAGAATTCGCTAGAAGCGACATCCATTGCGATGTGGACCTTGCCAGTGTATCCGGCAGACTCGATAGCCTCGGTGATGAGCTCGAGAGCCTCCTCGGCAGTCTGGATATCTGGTGCAACACCACCCTCGTCTCCGACATTACCCGCAGATTGCCCATACTTCTTCTTAGCAAGAGTCTTCAACTTTTGGTAAACCTCAGAACCTTGACGAAGGGCCTCGGTGAAGCTCGGTGCGGATCTGATACGGGTTAGTTAATTTCTGAAGCCCTTGGTTAAAAGCGCTCACGAGGGAACAATCATAAATTCCTGGAAGGCCAGACGTCCACCAGCATGGGACCTAAGAGGCGTTAGCTACGCTTCACGGAATAGAACTATGTATTCTGTACCCTCCATTGAGAACGTTCATGAACGGGACGGGAAGGACATAAGGCTTCTTGGTGCCGGCGAGATCCGAGACGTGGGCGTAGAGAGGGATTTGCTATTGCTATTAGACCGATCCCATCAAGTCTGAATGGTGCTCCTCACCTTCTCAGCGGCAGCCGCCTTCGCAACTGCCAAAGACACACCGAGGATAGCATTGGCGCCGAGCTTTCCCTTGTTTGGAGTTCCATCAAGCTTGATCAAGAACTCATCAACCTTTGGCTGATCCTTGACATCGATATTCTCCTTGATGAGAGCGGGACCAATGATCTCGTTGACGTTGGCAACGGCCTTAAGAACACCCTTTCCAGCCCACTTGGTCTTATCACCATCGCGGAGTTCGACTGCCTCGTGCTGGCCTGTAGACCCAAATCAGTCTTATGTTATGTGACGATCAAACCGAAGGTACGAACCGGTGGAAGCGCCGGATGGAACGATAGCGCGATGGAGACCAGTTTCGGTGACAACGTCAACCTCGACGGTTGGGTTACCACGAGAATCGTAGACGGATCGAGCGTGGATCTTGGTAATTGCCATGATGGATTTTCTATGGCGGGGTAATTCTGGTCAGCTACGAAGATGCAATGTCGGATGTAATTGAAGCAGAGATGAAAAGAAGAATCTTACCTTCTGCACTTCTTGTTTTATGTTCTCTGTGGGGGAATTGTCAGCTGGAGAGCAAATCTTTGAAGGTTGCAGAAGAAAATATCTTCGGAAACAAGGTGGGGTGAGGGATATGCGGGCAGACGAGACCGGAGATGCAGCCGTGGCTTATCTCTTTGTGATGAGACTCAGGGATGGCAGAGCGTAGATATTGACTTCAATTGGTCATGGAGGCAGAAAATTCGTTACTAACCTTGTTGTTGTGGCTTGGAGAGGAAAAGAAGATGGAGTTGCAGAAGGATGATCTTTTCAGTTGGGAGAGAACGAGCTTTTTGGTGGGGGTTTTGATCCCCTGCAATTTGCAAGGAATGCGCAACGCAGGCTGCGCAGCCAACGGAAGGGACCGATGTCTAGCATGTGCAGGGTAGCCTTATGCCCTGGAGATTCTCCAGACATTTTTACCGTCGTGAAGAGTTTGGACTTTGCCCAAATTATGTGTTTTGAGCTTGCTCTACTTTAACAGGACATTTCAGACGGAGACGCCCTTCCCCTAAACTTCAAGGGCAAACAAATACTTCGCTCTGTGGCCCGAGGATGGATTTTTATTCCTCAGTTCAACTGCAAAAGCCCCGCCTCCGATTGTCTTACTTCAGGGTTGAGTCAACGTGAAAGCTTCACAATATGTCCAGGGTCAAAATGCACCTCCGTTCTGAGCTTCAGCGGTGAGAGGAGAAGGCCATTCAGAGCTTCGAATCAGATATACCTCTTCCCTGATTATAACTAGACTCAGCAGCTTCCCAGGACCCGTGGAGCTTGCCTTCCTTAGGCGTGGACAAGCTGTATATGTATTGCTCCATGCGCACCTGCTTTCTCAATACAACACCCCATCCCCCAATTATCTGGACCCTCAAACATTTGACTTGGTTGCAAAGCTTCAACATGGCAACCCTTAACCCCAGCGTTAAACCTAAGGACTTGTCAACACACCCAAATCAATAGATTAATTATGCAAAAGAGCATGGCTCAATACGGGTTGTCAATCACTACTTTAAATAAAAGACAGGAGAAAAGAAGAGCTTCCGGGTTACCTACAGACTTCATCATAGGTCACGTGAAATTAATTCTTGACACCCGACTTTTCAGGCAGAACATTCTGACGAGGCAGACGGGACTTCGCGTCTCCCAAATCAACGCTCATCAACACACCTCAAGACAGCGTCATCCACAAACGAGATCCCCTTCCTCCCGCCTTCAGATATCCCTACTCAGTCTTATCAACCCCTCCAACACTCCATTCTCCCTTAATTCGAGATGTCTGACGAGGAGCGGCAACATGCGCTCGCATCCTTCAAGACGAAGCTCCTGGAATCAAGAGAATGGGAGGCAAAGCTGAAGGCTTTACGGTTAGAGATCAAGGGCTTGCAGAAGGACTTCGACCACACGGAGGATAACATCAAAGCTCTGCAGAGTGTGGGGCAGATTATTGGGGAGGTTCTGAAACAGCTTGATGATGAGAGATGTGAGAAGCTATCCCATCCATCCGCAGCCTATGTACAGCTACTGACAAGCTCTTGAAGTCATTGTCAAGGCTTCCTCTGGCCCTAGATATGTCGTCGGCTGCAGATCAAAGGTCGACAAGGCGGCGTTGAAGCAAGGAACCCGAGTTGCCCTCGATATGACGACCCTCACAATCATGCGAATGTTACCTCGAGAAGTCGATCCGCTTGTCTACAACATGTCTCTGGAGGATCCTGGTCAGGTTAGCTTTGGCGGTATTGGTGGACTGAATGAGCAGATTCGAGAACTGAGAGAGGTCATTGAGCTTCCGTTAAAGAACCCTGAGCTTTTCCTAAGAGTCGGCATCAAACCTCCTAAAGGTGTGCTCTTGTACGGACCTCCAGGAACGGGAAAGACATTATTAGCAAGAGCGGTGGCTAGCAGTTTGGAGACCAACTTCTTGAAGGGTGTGTTGAAAAGTGATATTTTGGAAATTGTTACTAATCATCACCAGTTGTTTCATCCGCCATCGTCGACAAGTATATTGGAGAGTCGGCACGTTTGATCCGAGAAATGTTTGGATACGCCAAGGAACATGAACCATGCATCATCTTCATGGACGAGATTGATGCCATTGGTGGCCGAAGATTTTCAGAGGGCACATCAGCCGATCGTGAAATTCAGCGTACATTGATGGAGCTGCTCAACCAGCTTGATGGTTTCGATTACTTGGGCAAGACAAAGATCATCATGGCTACTAATCGACCGGATACCCTCGATCCTGCTCTCCTCCGAGCTGGACGTCTCGACAGGAAGATTGAGATTCCACTCCCAAATGAGGTAGGCCGTTTGGAGATTATGAAGATTCATGCTGCTGGTGTTGTGACGGAGGGCGATATCGATTTCGAGAGTGTGGTGAAGATGAGTGATGGCCTGAACGGTGCCGATTTACGAAATGTTGTGACAGAAGCGTATGTTTACTTGCCCCAAATGGCAAACCCCTGATCTAACCTTCGATAGTGGACTGTTCGCAATCAAGGATTACCGAGATGCAGTCAACCAAGATGATTTCAACAAGGCGGTGCGCAAGGTTGCAGAGTCAAAGAAGCTAGAGGGAAAACTGGAATACCAAAAGCTCTAGATGAAATAGTTCGTTTCCTGCGGTGGCGCCATGGCATACAGTTGAGCGGGCGGCTTGACTTTGTAACAATACCATAATGAATGCATAGAATCCTCTGCGTGGACATAGTTTTCCCGTTACTCAAACCTCTCTCGCTTGAGTTAGTTTTGGGTTATCCCAAGCTTCTGCAGCTTCGATCGACTTGATTCATATTCCCCGAGATCTCGGTTCCTCCCAAGCAACAACGGTCAATCTCCTGAGCCACCGTAACAACACCTGGGGTTTTGCCGCTGGGAGGCTCACAAAGGAGAAATTAGAACGGCCAGCATGCAGGAAATGCAGGTTGACAGGTCTCATGTACGTCCGCAGATTCAGATAATCCAAGGACTCGCTTGAAATTACCAGTCCAAACGAGCTGACCGCAACTTCAACGCAGCACTAAGAATATACAAGCACAAGTTTGATTCTCAGCCTCCTCGGAACCAGCATTCAACCTCCCGAGACATGAAGCAGCGGATGGCGGCTTCAAGGCTCAAGTCAAGGGAGCCAGTCAACCTTGCGGCGTTGAGACATGGCGTCGAGGGGAACTCGTTGTCATATGACTAGTCTACGTTCTCCAGCAAACCCTAGCCTCGTCTTCGTGATGCATGGTTGTAATTTCGTCGTTGCTCCACTGGAGTGGACTTCTGGCAATGGTGGCAACGGCTCGTGTCAAAGAGAGACCTCTTGCAGCGTGTACCTCCGTAAAGCAAGGACTTTGCCTTGAAAAACACCAACGACGTGGTGGCCGAACCTTGACGAGCCCCCTGTTCCTGTCGATCGCCTAAAAAAAGAGTGCGCTAATGGTGGCTTGTGAGCGGGGGCGTCTCGTATGAGAGGGATAGGCCTTCGGCAAGCCGCGAAGAATCCGAGCAGAGACGCACAAGAAGGGCTTTTGCCTTAACGATGCGCCTTTTGATTGGGTGAATTGGTGAGCGTAAGAACCGGCAAGATTTTAGTGGAAGCGGAACAAGAGAGGAAACCGTGTTGTGCAACTAAAAAGCATACGCAGCAAAAAAATCCAACTTGAATGCAGGCGCAGGTGCAGCGCAAGGGGGTGGCTGTTGCCAGCCTTCAACCTGCATGGCATGGAAGCTCGCTGCAGGGATGCGTTGACCCCAGCAACCACAAGTTTCAAAAGAGCTCGCCCCTCTTCAACTCAGCTTCAGCTTCTTCCATCACTGTCTGTCCTTCGTCCTTCCCAAATTCCATTCCATTCTTGCATACATCCCCTCCACTCGCACTCGTTTTCAATATCGCAATCGCACCCGCAGTAAGACCAAAGCAACAGTAGAACAGGGAGTCAAGATGTGGTCAGTACAGCGCAGCCCCCGCCCCGAGTTGGAGTTGATGACTGACCTTCAACGAACAGTGGCATCTTCGGATACATTAACTATCTGGTGGAGAAGGACCGCCGTTACATAATTGACACTCTTGTCAACGGCCTTTCCCGACTCGAATATCGAGGATACGACTCGGCTGGTCTTGCTGTGGATGGTGACAAGAAGAATGAAGTGTTTGCTTTCAAGGAGGTGGGCAAGGTGGCAAAGTTGAAGCAGCTCATCGAGGACGAGAAGCCAGATTTCACAAAGATCTTCGATTCCCACGCAGGAATTGCACACACCAGATGGGCAACTCATGGTCCGCCATCTCGCATTAACTGCCATCCTCACAGGTACGCAGCCCCCCTAAATATTGTAAGAATGTAAACAATAGCTGACTTGGCGTTCCAGATCCGACCCAACATGGCAATTCTCCGTCGTTCACAATGGCATTATCACCAACTACAAGGAGTTGAAGACTTTGTTGACATCGAAGGGATTCAAGTTCGAGACTGAAACTGACACCGAATGTATTGCCAAGCTTGCGAAGTACCTCTACGACCAACACCCGACCATTGGCTTTACAGATTTGGCGAAGGCCGTCATCAAGGAGTTGCAGGGAGCCTTTGGTCTTTTGATGAAGTCCGTCCACTACCCACACGAAGTCATTGCCGCCAGAAAGGGTTCTCCGTTGGTTATTGGTGTACGAACACAGAAGCGCATGAAGGTGGACTTTGTCGATGTTGAATATACCGAGGACGGTCCTCTCCCAGCTGAGCAAGCATCCCAGAACGTGGCTCTGAAGAAGTCAAATGTTGGAAACTTCCTCAGCGCTGGCAATCTTCTTGCACCACCCGACAAATCCCTGTTGCACCGATCACAATCGCGTGCCTTCATGACCGATGATGGAGCACCAATGCCAACGGAGTTCTTTCTTTCCTCTGATCCATCTGCGATTATTGAGCATACGAAGAAGGTCATGTACCTCGAAGACGACGACATTGCACACATCCACGAAGGTTCCCTCAATATCCACAGACTTACAAAGGCCGATGGTTCTTCCAACGTCCGAACTATCCAGACCCTTGAGCTTGAGCTCCAGGAGATCATGAAGGGCAAGTTCGACCATTTCATGCAAAAGGAAATTTTCGAACAACCCGAGTCCGTGATCAACACGATGAGAGGTCGTCTTGATGTTGAGAACAAGTTAGTTACATTGGGTGGCCTGAGATCATACATCGCAACAATCCGTCGCTGCAGAAGAATCATCTTCATTGCTTGCGGAACCAGTTACCACTCGTGCATGGCTGTTCGAGGAGCCTTCGAGGAGCTGACTGAAATTCCCATTGCGGTTGAATTGGCTTCAGATTTCCTGGACAGACAAGCACCCGTCTTCCGCGACGATACTTGCGTCTTTGTCTCTCAGTCTGGCGAGACTGCTGATTCTCTGATGGCTCTGCGGTACTGCCTGGAGCGTGGTGCATTGACTGTTGGTATCGTCAATGTTGTCGGTTCCTCTATCTCCCTCCTCACCCACTGTGGTGTACACGTCAACGCTGGTCCCGAAATTGGTGTTGCATCAACCAAGGCCTATACGTCGCAATTTATTGCAATGATCATGTTTGCGTTGTCTTTGAGCGAGGACCGCGCCTCAAAGCAGAAGAGACGAGAGGATATCATGGAAGGCCTTGGCCACATCTCCGAACAGATCAATCAGATTCTGAAGCTGGATCAACCGATCAAGGAATTGTGTGCCAGAGTTTTCCACAACCAGAAGAGTTTGCTGCTGTTGGGCAGAGGCAGCCAATTCTCTACTGCGTTGGAGGGTGCTCTCAAGATCAAGGAAATTTCCTACCTCCATTGCGAGGCTGTCATGTCTGGAGAGCTGAAGCATGGTGTTCTGGCCTTGGTAGATGAGAACTTGCCTATCATCATGATTCTTACCCGTGATGATATCTTTGCTAAGTCCCTTAACGCTTACGAACAAGGTATGTTTTATCCCTCCAGGAATTATATTTGGAGAAATGCTAAAATTTCTCAGTCGTTGCTCGTGGAGGCAGACCGATTGTTATCTGCAATCCCAACGACGAGGAGTTCAAGACTGGGCAAGCCGAGAAGATCGAGATCCCCAAGACCGTCGATTGCTTGCAAGGCCTCTTGAACGTCGTCCCTCTCCAACTGATGGCCTACTGGCTCGCAGTCGCTGAGGGCTTGAACGTCGATTTCCCTCGTAACTTGGCCAAGTCCGTCACGGTGGAGTAATGGATTTAATGGGTACGGGGCGTGCTCCTGTTTGTTTGATATGATTAGCGAATGGGAAATGGGTGGGAAACCGGTATGGTGAATCATGGCTAGTGACTGGTTAGATACTCTTTTGCGAAGACCGCGTGTACTTTAGTGCAATGGAATTTTGATGAATAAGTTCTCGTCTGAATACTCCGTAATTTGGAAAGTAGAATACCTAAAATGAGATTCTTTCGAGTGTCTCGCCCGAAAGTTCGACAATATTGGTTTCCTCTGATACCGACAGCGCCATCTCCAAAACTTTCCATTGCGGGTATATTAGAATCATACTGTCCAAAATCGATTTATATTTCTCTACATGTTCCCAAAAACTCCAGGACCGTGGGAAGTAGAGAGGCAGAAATTGAGATTTATTGGATGCCTGTTTGACTTGCAATAGGTCTGTTGTGTCGTCACATGACTCTTAGCTTAGCGCGGCACCCTAGTCTCGAGCTCCCCGCTCTTTCTTCTCTCTTTAGACGAACATACACACCCGAATACAGCTGTTTTCCACGAGAACACCAGCTCTAGGGTCGTGATATTGCTCGCCATTGCCCCGATTTTTTTTTTTTGGAACAATGACATCTCAAAAAGCCCACTTGATGTGGGAGTCTGAGACACTCCTATCTTTTGAAGTCTCGACGATACTCAAGGTTCAGTATTTCAAAGCAAAACATTTCAAATCTCGCGAGTTGACACCGAACGAGGACTTCCAACCCTTGCCTCTAAAAGTGCATGATATTGCAATCCCCAGCCTTAGGTTTCTGTAATCCAAAGCTCCCCCAGACATTCTCATTGCTATCTCATTGGGAATCAACTGTTTTACTTCGATGATTTTGAAGGACGTTCAAAAATGGGGTGATGTTCCCTTAATTCCCCTCCTGGATCTTTGATTCAGCTCGGTAATCGGGGAAGCTCTTTCCTCCCACTCTCGAGCCACTGCAACGGTACTCCGAAAACCTCGTCACAATCTTCACCCCACCCTGCCCTACCCTTGACTGCATTTTAGTTGACATTGGCCCACTTGGAAGAGACGAGTTAGTGGAACAGGTTGATCAAGTTGATAGTCATGCGACACGGCGAACCACGCAAGGCAAGCCAAGCGGCGATCATCCCATCTTAGGGATTTCCAAGGAACACTACTTGAGCCATAGCTGTTCTTTGCATCCCCAGAAACGCCACGATAACGGTTGATAAGCCATGTAACGTTCCTGAGAGCTTCTAAGAGGGGGTGCCGCGTTGGGGGATGTTATACATTGGAAGCTTATCTCTGTGCCACCTCCAACACTTCAAATTCTGGACCACACTTCAGTTTCTCTTCTTCCATTTTTGACACATCATGGTTCAAATTACTGAAGAGCCTTCAAAGGACCAACTTCAGAAGACAATTACAGCCGCCAGCAATGCCGCTGGGAATATTATAAGCCTCGATGCTTTGAAGGAAATCGATGAGGAAGTCCAATATGCCATCGCCACGCATCAGTCCCACCTCAACCCATGGAGCAAGCAAGCTTTCACTCTCTACTTCATCTTTCTTTTCGCCTTCCTGAACGCCACATCAAGCGGGTTTGATGGCAGTCTGATGGGGTCAATCAACGCTGAATCACAATACAAGAACTTCTTCCACCTTAAAGAAACCGGATCTTCAACGGGGCTTGTCTTTATTCTGTACAATGCTGCTTCAATGATCGGCTGTGCATTTGGTGGACCAAATCATGGATTACTTTGGGAGAAGAATAGGGATGCAATCAGGTTGTCTCTTCACACTCGGTGGTGCAGTTCTAGCTTCAGCAGCCCAGACTCTACCCCAATTCAAAGCTTCACGATTCTTGCTTGGATTCGGCATCATTCTCCAGACGCTCTCAGCTCCCGTCTACGTAACAGAAATTATTCCCCCGCAATGGAGAGGGAGACTAGGAGGATACTACAACACATTCTACTTCACTGGATCGATTACCGCAACTGGAGTCGTGTATGCTACATCTCAGTATACAAGCACTCTGGCCTGGAGACTCCCCTTGGCGCTTCAAGTCATCCCTCCTTTCATCGTCTTCATTGGTTGCTTTTTTATTCCGGAATCACCCCGTTGGCTGGCATCGAGAGATCACATGGACAAAGCCGCCAAGATCATCTATAAGTATCACGGCGGCGAGGACAACGAGGTTGCCAAGTTGGAGATCAGAGAGATTGCGCTACATGTGAAGCTTAGCAAGCCTCAAACTCCGGGTGAGTATATCAGAGGACTCTGGGACTACAGAGAATTGTTTAACTCGCACTCTGCTAGGTAAGTCTCAATTTCTCGGAGTATTGATCCCTCTGGTAGCAATGTCCAGCAGTTGTTGGACATTGCTAGTCGAATGTTCCAAGAGCTGTCGGAATAACCTACCCCCGAAAACACCGGAAGAAGCAGGCTGACTCCGATTCTCGGGAATAGATGGAGAACGGCGATGGTAACACTGATTACCTTTGCCTCTGCGCTAGCTGGAAACTCGATCCTGACTTGTAAGTCCTCGAATTCAAGCTTGTTGTATCAGAAACTGACGTCCAATGAAAGTCTTCCAGCCAACGATGTTAGCTGCCGTTGGCGTAACTTCCACAAGAAGAAAGCTATTACTCACATTCATGTCTTCCATCGTGAGCACCTCACCCCCTTTTACTCTCACCACCAACCTAATCAACCACATCAGGTTTCGTGCTCAGGAGCAGTCATCGGCTCCGCAACAAACGACTGGATCCTCCGCCGCACCAGATTCGTCTACGGTTCCTTCTCCCTCGCCGCAGCCCTCTCCCTCGTAGCCGCCATGTCGTCCCAAGTAGCAACCGCCACCGCCCAAGGCCACATCCCCTCAAAAGCTATCTCGGGCGTCGGGATCTTCTCCATCTTTCTCTTCGGGTGGATATTCAGCTTTGTGTACACGCCTAATCAATCACTGTACTGCACCGAAGTTTTAAACCAAGAAATCAGAGCAAAGGGAATCTCGTTGCATGCGTTGGAGAGTAATCTTGCTACTATATTGTTCACGTATACTACAAGTATTGCGTTGGGGGATATTAGTTGGAAATACTACTTTGTCTGGATCTCCGTCGATTTTGTAGCCGGAATCCTATGGTTCTTCTTCGGCGTTGAGACAGTAGGACGCACGATCGAAGAGCTGGACGCTTGTTTTGAGGCGAAATTCCCTCCTAAAGCGTCTTGGAAACGCACGAAGATTGTGAGGGATGAGAATGAGGAGTTGGGTGTTCAGGTTGTGGATATGGGGGCTTGATTGGGCGTGAGAGGTGTGGAAAGGAATGGAAGGAGATGCTAGTGGGGTGGAGGATCGCAGGACGCAGGGACAGATGGTGGTTGTTGATGAAGGGATTTGGTTTGTTTTTGAAGGTGTGTAGTCCAATATTACTTCAGACCGAATGCAAATAAACTGGGATAAACATGAAATGAGGGCAAGGTATCTTCAGAAGGTAAAATGACTGGGAATTGGATTACGATTAAGGAACGAAGTCATTGAAAAAGTGTGCATCTATTTGCATCTAAGCGGCTACGAAGGCATCATAATATACGGGGCGCCATAAAACCAGCCTCAACCTGTATTTGTAATTCCCCGATTCCCCAACCTATATAACTCCGCCTCCATTAACACCAATACATGCTGCCAGTCAATACGCCCCGCCCATCCATGATGACGAAAGTCGAATTCTACCGAGCATAAAGCCCAGATTCGAAAGATAGTCAGCAATGGAAATAGTTCATGTCGACGAAGCTCAAATCTACACTGCTTAATTCTAGAGAATTCGAGGATCTGCCAACAATCGGAACTCAATTTCTCCGATATTGTCGAGGAATTCGAGAAGATCTATCGGCTACCGAGATGATGCGTGTAGCTGAAGGAGAGCGAGAGCTTCTCAGCGGGTCGACTCGTCTTTCTGGCATATTACGGTAGGCATTCATTCGTCGATGTCGAGAAGCAGGCTCAACTCTGCGAGGCTCTTCATTCCACTCGTCCAAGCCAATTGGATTATTCTGGGTGCCAGGAGGTTGGACTCTCAGGTGGGTTTGGACTTCTGCGAAGATCATGCTAATTCTTGGATCATACTGCTGAGTTCGTGAGTTTTGGTGGTAGCGTCTTTGTTGCCGTCGATGAGGCGTGCGAATAGAGTCATCATCTGATCGATCCTCTACTTCATGCATTTCGTTGGCCACACCCAAATCCGGATTGCCATGACCATAGCCAATACTATCAACGCTTCCCCCGCGACCTCCCATTGATGATTCAGAGACTCCACCATATTCACTGTTTGTGCTTAAGCTAACACCTCGACTTGATCTCGACTCAGAATACGGATTTCTGTTGGAAGAAGAGTGTGGGTGTACGGTGCTCGCGATACTTGCACTGCGACTTGCTTCCGGTGAACCGGGGGAAAGGCTGTGCTCGGGGGAATAATTGTACTCGGGGGTCATTTCTGTGTCTCCCTCCCTGTCAGTAGCACGCTCCCACTCGGATGAGTGTTCCAATTCGGAGTCCGCATCGAAGTGTTCGTCGGGGATGTTGTGTCTATTAGCGGCATTAAAGTGGTTGTGAAGCTCGTAAAGCGGGTGCTGGGGATCGGCGTAGCCGGCGTAGCCTGGAGTAAGAGAGGGCTCGCGACTTTCATAATCATCATCATCACCCGTGTATGGATTTCCAACCATAGTCTCGGTATTGGTATCGCTATCCTCGTCTGAGTCTTGGTCATCTTCAGTCACGCCGTTTCCAGCATGGTAGCCATCGTATCCATAACCCTCAGGACCATCAGCATCGCTATCATCACCGTGAGCGAGTGGGCTCCAGCCAGCATGTCGTAGCATGTCTGCCTCGTCGTCACCAGCCTCAGAGTCCCTGGTGGTATTGGTCAAACTGATAACCGATGGCGTCGAAGGACTAAATTGTACAACTGGCCGGCCTCTACGCTGAGGTCTGCGATTCGAGACTGCCCCACCCTCTTCGTCAGAGTCGTCATCGTCATCTGATATTGTTACGACTGTGACAGGTCTGCTGTTGTTGATATTATTATTAGGGTTTCGGCCAGGCGCACGAACTGGCTCTTCGTCATCCGGAACGACAAACTCGTGCAATGGGCCCTCGTTTTCTTCTTCGCTGTCCATATCGCTACCATCTGAAGGGTCCGTGGTCGGGTGGCGATGATGATGGTGATAATGTTGCACGAAGGCATGGTAGGTTGGAGGACGAGGGACTGCCGGATCCAAATAAGGGTTGTGGGGATGGTCTCGGTTTGCCATAAACTCATTACCCAGCTCTCCTTGGATTTCGATATCATCCAATCCAGACTCATATTCTTCCAGGGCATCATCGTCAAAGTCGTCTTCGATATCGCTGAAGAAGTCGTCCACATCCAACTCAATTCCACAGTTTTCACATTCCGGACCTCCAATGTGCTCGTGGCCACAGCCTGGACATCTCATAACACCCTCAGCCTCGTCCCGCCACGGTACGTTGCGTATTGGGAAGCAGCCCTTGAAAAGCCCATCGGGACCATTTCTGTCGTTTTCGACCTCTCTAATCTCCTCCGTCTTCCTCTGGTAATGTTGTTCGGCAGATTCATCGTCAGGCAGAATTTCCTTCCGCTTCATGAGGACCTCGACCATTTGCTTCACCTGTAAAGGTCAGTGGTGTTTCCGTAGGAGGGGCTTTGCGGAATTCTTACCAGGAAGTTCGGGCCTGGCATGGTCTTCACTTTCGCACGACATTCGGGGCAGGTCTTCTTTCGCTTGTTCGGGACGAACCAATTGCAGAGGCACTGAAGCAATGAATTAGTTTGTGTTAAATTATGACATAGTAAGTGTGCTTACAGAATAGCAGTATGTATGACCACACGCCAAGGTCCATGGCTCATAGAGTAATTGATCGCAGATGGAGCAGGTGGCAAGGCCTCGAATTGAAATAAGGTCGACTTTCAAGAGTCCAGCAAGCTGTTGGGAAGAGTTAGCACAGGACTTAGTCACAGAACACAGCTCTGTGGCTCACTTCGGTGTCGGATTTAGTTCTGGGCATCTTCGCGGGCGTGGGCTTCGATGCAGTAGGAGTGGCTTCTCGGCTTGCAGAAGGAGCCCCTCTCAAACGAGTACTTCCTATCGTAATGGATTTTGGGGTTGCGCTGGAAGGCGCCATTGTGTGTAAGTGAAGGTTGGGTACCAGTAACGGCTCGGCGGCAACGGCGTAACGCAAGGCGCTTCGAAATAAAAGTGATAAGTATTCGCTGTTCCTCCCAACGCAGACAAAAAGCGTCTGGGGGAAGGGAGATGCTCGTCGCGTCGAGCTGTGGTCGATGGTTGTTGTATTGTGTAATGGAAGTTGAAAGGTTGAGGTTGATGGAATCTTTATCAGGCTGGGATCCGCGTCGAAACGTCACGCTAGGCACAATCTGGCCAGTTTACCGAAGCAGATAGCCTCGCCTCGGGCTTGCGAGCATTGTGGCGAATGACAACAATAGCACCCAAAATCACAATTTTAAGAACAAAGCGCTGTGGTTCGTTAAAAAATAATCCAACCTCCCGAATTTTGACAACCAAGCACTTTGATTGGCCGAGAAAATTCCAACCTCCCCAATTTTGGGAATTTCTATTATTACACCATTCACTTCACACTTCACGTTCACCGAGATCACGAGTAGATGAGTGAATACGACTTGCAACGGGGATTTTTGCTTGACGAAACCGGGGGAAGATGCCCGCCAAAGGTATATACCTGAACTTGGGGTGAAAGCAGCCGCTTCTGCAATCCGAGCAGAGCTTGAGCTCAGACAACCAGGCATGTCCTTCAATCTTTTGGTTCTATGCAAGTCTCTGCACCAAACCCTTATTGCATGGCAGCCTTGCTCTCCTGGTTGGGTGCCGCTGTGCTCTTCTCAAGATGGTCGCGTGTCATCCAACGAGGTTGACAGTGTCTGCTGCAGACGTGGCCAGCCCTCGTCCAACCAGAAGTGTGACAATGTGAGGATTCTCTTCAGGAGCCAAGTTTGAAGGGCCAACGACGCTTCTATGTCACACATTCCTAGATCACATTACTAAAACACGCATTCTATTGGCAAGTTAAATTCAAATTGATCAGACCGCAAGTGCAAAATCTCCGCTCAGTCGCTAAGTCAGAACAGAGCAAGAAAGTCCAAACGCGATTACTAGTAAAAGTTAAAAGCAAACTCTAAAGTTCATGAGTACTCGAAAGGCCAAAGCATACTTGGCAAGACAAATAACATGAGTCAACGCCAAAAAAGATTCGTGAGCATCCAAGCTTGGCGATGCCTGGCCCTCGCATCATCACTTCAGTTACTCGATTTTCTTGCGTTTGTTGGCCTCCACACACGCTTCGCCCACACATCCTTTCTTAACCATGGACTCCTCGACAATCTCTTTATTGAGATGAGAAAGGGTCTTGATCTCGAAGTCGAGGAAAGACTTGATGGACCGAACATCCGTAGCTCCAGCCTTCATCGACTCGCGGATGTTTCTGAGCATGTGCCTTATGCGAGACTCTGCGTTCTCGAGTTGATATTCAACTGCCTGGCCATACAAATCGGACAGGTTTGAAATTGGACGGACAGTGTTCAGGACTGTATCATCCCGAACACGGGGTGAACGTGGCCTGAAAGAAGTGACCATGGTGATGCGTTCTTGACCGCCGAAGGCTCGAAGGGCTTGGTGGTCTATATAACGACCTTGAAGGACGACGGCGCATCCCTAGAGTCATGTTAGAAGACATCATTCGTGTGATCGTGCGATTGCTTACTTTCTGCGGACCACGAACTTTCTTGATCTCGCCAGTGCCTGTTCTCAAAGCTGTCTCACCTCCGATCATACCAGTGGTATCGCTCATCATTAACACGCAGACGAAAGGATAACTATCTCTGTGCCACCCGACGATGGCTTCCTCGTCCTCTTCTGAAATCAAAACTTCCTTATCGTATTGTTGCTTCTTTCCAGGAACAGACATGTTGATGTGTCCAATTTCATAATCCATAACAGGGACCAGCTCGACCCCAGCGATCTTGGATATGATTGACAGGGTTTCTGGATGCTTCCAAGCCTCGAATATAAATTTGGCATGCCTGCATGTTGTCAGTAATAGGATGCCAAGATCATCTCAGTGAAGACTTATTTTGGTGCATAGCCGCGAATTTGCTTGGGAGCGATGTCCGATGTATAGCTGTATTTCTCTTGAACTTCGGGGTCGAGGATCTCGCTTCTCATGATGTTGACAGCATCTTCGCTGAACAGGCGGAACGGTTCGGAGACAGCGACAGGAGAAACGCCGTTGCTGGAGGGGTAGCCGATATCCTCCATGGTGTGGATATATGTTGGCTCCTCAAACGTGAGATGTTTGGTCGGATCAAAAAGCTTCCCCACAGGGGGTGACACATTGTCGCTGGCGAGGTACTTAGCAAAGGAGCGCTTCAAAGATTCTTGTGTTTCCTTTGGCGAGGGGTTGAGTCGGGGGGAGTTGACGATCTTTTCAAATAAAGGATTTGGTGTCCCAGGCTGGACATATATATCAGGGGTGGCCATTTCTTCGTTTGAGGATGGGCGTTATCTGAAGATGTTAGAAGACCACTCATGTGCAGGATTCTGCTTCGAGTGCTGCAAGATCTTGAGAAGGGGAAGAATAAGAATGTGTCTGGTGCAGAATATGGAAGTGTAGCCTTTGGACGAAAGAATAGAAGAGAGTAAAGAGAAGAAGAGGTTTCTGATAAAGGAAGACCGGATGCTCTGAGCCGTCTTGCAAATCCTTGATACAACCCAAAGCTGGCGCCGAGCGGACGCTCTCCCCATGGATCACTGGCCAAAACCCGAGACCTTTCGAGCTCGGTAGCAATAGGAAGAAGGGTTTGACACTCACAATGATTACCCGAAGATTCTTTGATATATAGGAATGGTAATGAACGTTCGGCGAGGCGATCTTGACTTTGTTATGAAAAGGGTGATAGGAAGATGTTGATGGTGGGCGGTCAGCTAGTGCTGCTTTGCTCTCTTATATGGGGACTCTCAGTGATAGACCTGACACCACCGCACAGGGGAGTGAGTCCTCAGTCCTTCTTTCCTCGACGTATGCAATCCGACCTTGGAAATTCGCTACGGATTGATCAACCGTGAGTTTTGCACGTCCTTGATGCTTCGATCCAGTATGCCCTTGTTTGGTTTCTCCCTCCCCACACTTCTTGCAGCAGCTTCTACAGCTCTCTGTTCACTCTTGTGGCAATAACTGTGGAGAAGTCTCACGATCTTTCGCTTGCCGTCACTCCTGCCGAAGCCCCTTATCGGCTGCGTATTGAATAAGTTGATTATTGTTTCTGGCCGTCATACTCGACGCCTGGGCCAAATTTCACAGACGATACCAAACCAGAGTTTCCAGCAGTAATTGGATGGGCGTGCAGGGTTCTGTAGTGCTGCCAGACCTATTGCATGGAAAGTCTTTCTTGAAACGGATAGGACTGAACACTGAGAGTTCAGACTGGGCCGAGACAACGTGGTAATTCAACGTTTGCGTGAGCTATATGCCAATCGGGGGCTTAGCACAGATCAAGTTTAGCCACAGATGCAAGGTAAAGCGCCATGGCGGCACCTTTGCACATGCCATGCTCGAAGTGACGATAAACGGTTGAACATTGAGAATCAGACGCCGATTATGGAGACACGTTGAAGCAAAAGTGGAGGACTTTCAGAGCAGGTGCGGAGAGCTAATGTATCACAGGTGGACCAAAGCGGGGAGCTCTCAGACCTACTGGATTTCTTGTCCCGATATGGAATGGGAAATGATAAAGGCTATCGAGACTAGTGAGAGGCTTGCTTAGGCTTCGCTTGACTTGCTTTGCATCCGCCGTTAACGGACGCAGCGCCCAGCCTTAAGCACAAGCCTCTTCAAACGTCTAAACTCTCATGAGGCCAGTTGCAGCCACGGGACCTATCTGTCAGGCCACATTTTGCTGTTCATTGCAGTTGGGCCAACCACCCACTGTGGCTGCAAGCACAGGCCTTGCAGTGCTTGAAGTTCTGAAAGAAGAACTGCCAGGAAAATGCGGGGATCAAGGACGTTGCGAGAGATGCTGAGCTCTGCTCCCAAGGATTCCGATTTGCCGGGAGACCCAACCAGGAGCTGCTGCCACAGTCTCCTCCCCTGAGGAAAGATACGAAAGTGCCACTGAGCCCGCTGGTGCCTCTGGCAGATGGAGGCTCAACGACTTAGTCTCGACAGCCGGACCGAGTGCGGTGCTATACAGTGAGATCGTCGAGTTGAAATACGAAGCCTTACGTGAAATGTAACGTGGAGGTGAGTTTTGTGAGCAGAAGTGTCAACGGCTGCATAGTCGCTGCAAGGCTCACTTTCTCTGTACGGCGATAACGACCCCTGTTCGTGTGGATACGTAGCCGAGCGCCAAGACACGCCAAATTTAGACGAGGCCGCGGAGCTTTCAAGATCTTCTGGAACGCCTCCATGAATGACACAGCTCGACAACCCTTTCGAATGTCGGCCATGTCATCAAAAGACGCCCCGGAGGAAACCCCATGGGACTCGAAGACCAGTGAGAAGTTCCAAAGGTAGTTAAATTTTCTTGCAGCATCTCACCTCGATATGTGCCGCGTGTGGCAACAGGATCTGGACTGATATTGAGCTCTACAGCAAACGTCCTGGGGAATTTTTCGACCCCTGTCAGGAAGCTGCGTCGAGGAGTCTCAAATGTTTGCATCGAAATGGCGGGGATCGAGAGATGTGTGCGGATTACTTTCAGTGAGTATTCGATCTCAGCTCTTGCCATCACTCCCCGCGTCAGATCTCTTTCTTGGGAGTCTGGATCCCAGGAAGATTTTGTAATCTCATCTTCATTACACTTCACCAATTTAGAACATGTTACTGACATTGATTCAGAGCATACCGAGATTGCAAGAAGCAATGGGTGTGTCTTCTATTTCTCTGGTCGCTCCTTGCTTACCCCCAGATGCCTTGGTACCTGTTAAGGTTTCTTGAGTTTTTTTAATCATGGACTCTTTCTATGGGTCCCAAGTTCCGAACCAGGTTTCAGATGCCTCTCTCTCCCTCAGCTTCGAATTTCAATTGTTGAAACCGAACCTTCAGCCGGCAGATCCCAACGCTTACCAATGCGCATAGCTGACATATCGATAGCTAACGGAAAGGAAGGAGGAAAAGCGCAAGGATGGGAAATCGTGGTTCTCGTGAGCATAGCGTGATGTGGCGAAATCTGTAATTATATGCAAACTAGGCTGTACAATAAGTCGATAGCGGGGCTAATTTTCAACGCCTCGGATGCCTCACGAATGATAGAAAGTTGCAGGTGTCCCCCCTCTACCCGTTCGTACCTCCCACCAGTTACCACTGGTGGTTCGTGAAAGCGACTGGGCCAAGTATTTCACACAGTAAATTTGTATAGGAAGTACTTCTAGCCAACTAATCTGTGCTAGTCTATGCTACAAATTTAGCAAAGAACACTAATTTAAAAGGTGATCCAGTCGCTATATGCCCAGTCGCTTTCACGAACCACCAGTGGTAACTGGTGGGAGGTACGAACGGGTAATTACTAGGTGATTTTAAGCTTAGCCGAGAGGGGGAAACGGGTTGCCAAAGAGGAGTTGCCTTTGTCCGCTGGGACTTGCAAGCAGAGCATACGAAAGGAGCCGAAAGATTTCTGTCAGAAAATGGAATGACGCCAGAGGCTGCAACCGGCAAGATATGATAATAACAATAATAAGGAGTCAAATTCAAATGCTCAAACTTTGGTTTATGAACTCGAATTCAAGTCACTTGGAAGGCGTGGAAAGGCTAAGTTGGCGTTCCCCAAAAGCTCGCTTGGAGAGGCGGCGGCACACCAAAACCCTCCAATGATTTCCCTCCACACAAAATTTAGGTGATGCTTCACCTCTAACACCTGGCACAACTCCATGGGGCTGCGTCAGATCTAGCGTGACAGCCAAAGTGTGACCACCAAGCCGCATGGTCCTTGAGCAAGGAGAGAAGGAGCGTGCAAAAGACGTGCAAGATGGCGGGCCAGCTTCGAGCGACCCAGGACGCCCCGATATGGAATGCCATCGAAGCCAACAACTTCAAGCAGGCGTTGAAGCTCGTCGACAAAAGGCTAGCAAAGCGGCATACTGATTATCTGGAGGTGAGTGGGACGCCGATAGAGCCATTTTGTTCCTTGAGAGCGTGCTCGAGCGTTTGACAAAATGCACGTGACTTTTGCTACATTTTCGCAACAGCTAACCATCCTCTCCCAGTCTTTGAAGATATACATTCGGTCTCGCTCACCTCAATTACCTGAAAAATCTGCAGTCTTGCTTCATTTGGAAGAGTTGCCGGAGAAAAACCCGCCGCTCTCGGATATTGAGGCTATTGAGTTGTACGATGAAGCTCTGGATGAGGTTCTGCCTCAGTCAAACGAGACGTGGGAGAGAATTATCGGCCAACTAAGATGGCAGTGTGTCAAGGCTTCGCCAAAGGATGAGGAATTGAGCTTGAAATGCTTTCAAGCTTGCTTGTCCAAAGGTGCTCTTGATCATGCGCGGCAGGTCAGTCGCTCTTACTGTGATATGCAAGCTTTGTCTCTAGCACTTGGCTAGCCCTGTCCTGCAAACCATTTCTGACAGGGACGTTGTAGATTGCCAACAGTCTCGAGAAGAATTTCCCCAAAAATCATTCATATATATTTTGGAATATCACGATGATGTTCTTATTTTCGGTAACTTTCTGGCTCTTAAGTAATTTTACATAGCTCACACTCCTCAGGCATCTAAAAAATGTCCAGAAAACCAGAAGAAGATCTGGGGAGGATTGGCATTAGGCACGATAGGCAAACTTGCTGGTTCAACTCGAGAAGCCAAGGTACGTCGGATGCAAACCCTCGGTGGAATATTTTTACTAAATTACTCTGGGAAGGATCAAAAGCAGCTTCCAACTCGGTCTATCCAGACCCCACAAGAACTACTACTACTTGACAGAATCGCAGAAGCCTACGGTAAGCCAGAACAACGACTAGGGTATCTGCAAAGTTCCCAGCTAGGATCCGAATCAGCAGTCGCGAAAGGCGAGTGGCAACTATGGAGGACGAGACTGCAGTTAATGGAAGCTGCTAAGCAATGGCAAGAGCTGTTTGACACGACAGGAACTCTGCTCAAACGAGCACGAACGAAGGACGAGTCTTCTCAGCTTCCAGAATCTAGGTTGAGTGATTGGATTGTTTGGGAAGCATACATTCGTTCTGCAGTCGAGCTGGGTAGCAGCCAGTACGTTGGGCCCTCCTTCCCCTGTTTTCCATACTGACTAAATTTATTCAAGGTACACGTGTCAAGCCCAGGCTGAAGTAGAGGCTCATCTCAACCCAACTTCTGGAATTGACAAAAGCTGGAGTCGAAACGCCTCGCTCGCCCAGGTGAAACTCTTTTTCGATAGCAGTACCGCATTCTGCAGCTCCCAGCAGGGGAAGGTGACCGCCATAGTCAAATATCTTCAGAGATATGGGAAAGCAAGTACTGCGTACAATGATCTCAGACCATTTGTTGAGGGTTTGAATTCCGATGAACGCAAGCAGCTGTTGGAGATTTTAAAGAGCAACACTGTCTTTTCGGACTCCGAAAAGATCGGAGACGGGCAATATCCAACTAAGGAAGATGTAAATCCCCATTTCACGTTGAATTCTTATTGCATTGAAAGTCTTAATCAAAGTTCGCCTGCTTCGAATTTTGCCAAATGCCTCCCGTTCCCCTGCTGACAATGTTACTACAGCTTTCTACGGCGGGACAGATTACACAAGTTGTCAATACCTACAAATTGAGGTATCTTGTGACATGTGCTCTGCCAGAATACGAGCGAAGACAGAGTCCGATCAAAGCTCAAGTTGATTTCAACTGTACCTCCTGCTCCCAGCCATGTGGGCTAACGTGCAAACCCTGTCTTGAGAACGCGGCCAGAAAAGCCATTCAGTCATACAGATGTGCTATGGATGACGGCGGACGAATATCTAAAACGCTTCTGAAAACCGATCAACATCCAGCGGATGATCTTAGTATCCTGGCCGCCATGTGCCTTATCAAACTTTCCTTGATTGATGCAGACATGGGCACAGAACCTCTGAATAGGGCATCAACAACGTACGCTTTGCAAGCTACAGTATTATTGGAAAATGCTTGGCTGCACTCCAAGCATAATTTCCAAATATCCCTCATGTTGGTCAGGTTATACAAGTACTTAGGATGTGGAAATCTTGCAATGAGAGCGTACCACCGTCTCGCCCCGAAAAACATCCAGCTCGACACCTTACCGTACACTATATTCGACCGACTTTCTTCACTGCATCCTCACGCATCAAGTCAATCTACAGAAGTCTCGTCGAAACAACGAACGCCTCTGGAACATCTCCAAGAACAACAAAAGCTTTACCAGATCTCACGCAAGAATATTACAAAGAATTCCTGGCTATCTTTCAAGCACGGAAGCTATAATTCAATTTTCGAGATGAGAGAGGTTTCCGAGAGGCTGACTCATAGCATCTCTGCAGCAATGTCTGTCATTGAGAGCAGGAAAATGTCTCGTCTGACAGAACCTGGTACCCCGTTGACAGAAATCTCTAATGGCTTTGACCTTATCCGTAAGCTGCCTCCCCGGAAATCTTGTATTTGACCGGAGCTGACCAAAACTCAGCACATAATACGGAATTTCCAGAAACTGAATTCTCCGATAACCTTGACTATGACTCCTTCCCAAACTTCGAGGCCAGCCGTGGCCCAAGATTCGAAGAACTCAGTCGATATACTCCCAGGCTTTCAGTACGTTGTCTCCTCCTTCTTAAATTCAGTTCGCCGCTGACCTGGCTCAGGCCAACCGATGTCGGGCGAACCTCGCCGCCGAGAAGCTGATGCTTATCGTAGACCCTTCATCTAACGTCGCTCAAGAGAAAGAACTGCTTCACTTGTGGTTGAAGCAATATCTTGACTCTGAAAAACAAAATCCGTCTGCAAAGGTGGGATCCGAAGGCATGACTCGCTCCGAGGAGCTTGCGACGGATACTTATCATGCCATGGCTCTTATCCTGAGGACAACACGCGACCAGGGTCAATGGGCAGAGACTGATTTTCAGGGCTTGCTGGATAAGTATAACAATGATCTGGTTGAGAGCCTCAAAGAGCAACTGATGCTTGTCGATAACTTGAAGGAGCCGGTTCCTGCGTTTGGAAATACGCTGCATGCGTTATATACCGCACATGAAGTTGGCAGAACGATTGTGAACTTCTGCAAATATTTGTCAAAACAGGGCAAAGACTTTGTTGCGAAGCAGAAGGAAGCTAGCACCAAGGTAGAAGAAGTTGCTCGGAAATTGCTGCATCTGGTGGGTGATAAGTGTGCTGTTGTCAAGAAAGGGCTTGACGAAGGTGGTTGGATCGACAAGGTGCTGGAGTGTGCGCTGCCGGAGCCACAAGAGGATGTTGATGATGAAGTAAATGTGACTGTAGTGAGTTCTCTGAGGGCGCTTCTAGATGAGAATTTCTTGGAGGAATGGGCCGGCGAGATTGTTGAGAGCTGGAGAGACTCGGTGATTGGGTTTTCATTACTCAAAGCCCCTCCCACCAAGCCATAAACATGGAAGAAGCTGGGCCAGATACGTACCAATCCAAATAGAGAAAATACTCCTTTAATTCCCATGACGACGTCGGAGATTTTCACGGAAAGGTGAGTCCCATGCATTATTCATAAGCAAAATTCAATGTTGGCCAATTCTCTTGTGTCACAATCATAATCTATCATCTTCGGCTGCCCTCCGTTCCGCTATCCGCATAGCCATATCCCTCCTTTCCTCCCTCAGCGTAACAAACACCCAAAACCACGTAATCATCTCCACAAATGCCCACGTGAAGACCACCCTGTTCTTTAGTCCCTCGCCCCAGGCGCTGGCACTATATGTCTTCGCAGCGTAGATGGGCGAGCTGTCACTGAAGGTGTAGGAGTAGAAGCCTAGGGTGCCGAAGAGGACGAGTCGTACTGGAGCTGTTTGCCTCTTAGGGAGATAATTTGGAGGAGGGGAAGGAAGGAAGTGGTACCTTGTGAACCCCAATGATACTGCGAGATTTCCTCCGGCAGCGAGCAGGAGACCAGGTCCGTGATGCCTACCGCGAAGAGCACGGCTGCAAGGAAGGATAGCGCCGGAGACTGGGTATCGAAGGATCTAGTGAAAGGCTGTGAACTTGTTAGAAATGTTTGAAGGGGGAGGACGTGGAGGTGTACAAGGCCCATAGCTTCCCCGAGTATAAAGACGAGGGTCTGGTCTGCGATCGTCTGCGGGTTCGTGAGGAAGAAGAAGGCGAGCGTGATGTGGAAAAGTGAGAGGGAGGTGATGATCGTTGCTGCTGAGATGAGGGCCATCTTGACGTTTATCTAGTGGAAGCTGAGAGAGGACACTGAGGTGGAAGAGCTTTTTAAATGAGAGCTGGTGGAATATTTCACGATAATGGTCATGCTCGGCCGCGTGAGCTGTACAAATTTGTGAAACATCTGGGTCGAGAATCAAGGATCCCTGTCTCTTTTAGGTTGAATGTTGATCCGGTCCGAGATATTCAGGGGTCCAGCCCGCTAAGTTCCGGTGCCCTGCTGTTGAAGTGAAGCTGAGCTCTCGTTTGTTGATTTCCACAGGAAGAGCACATTATGACAGTCGCGATGGAGGAGCCAAAGCTTGACATCGAGCGCCATATCAAGTATTGGCAGCGATGTCTAAAGACGCTCCTGCCAACTCAATATACCAGCACCGACTCCAACCGCATGATGCTGGGCTTCTTCATACTCTCTGCACTCGATCTCTTGGGTACTGGAGCAGACACATTTCCCGAAAAGGATCGCAGGAATATCAGAGATTGGATCCTGAAGTGTCAGCATCCGAACGGTGGGTTCTGCGGCTCTCCAAATCACAGGTTCCCGGATGCGTACTATGTTGATGTCGGGCATGGGAGGCAGCAGATGGACCCTGCGAATCTGCCGGCGACGTTCTTTGCTATTCTTAGTCTGAGCTTTGTTGGGACTCTGGAGCAAGTTAGGAGAGATGATTGTCTGAAGTGGCTAAAAACTTTACAGAGAGATGATGGGAGCTTTGGAGAACTTGTTACCCAGGATGGGGCAATTGAAGGAGGGAGGGATATGCGGTATTGCTACATTGCTGCTGGTGTTAGATGGATGTTGAAGGGTGATACACCACCAATTGGAGAGGATAGAGAGGGTGATATTGATCTAGAGAAGCTGGTGGATCACGTACGGTCTGGACAGGTGCGTTGGAGGACGAAGTAAGGAATGAGAGCTGACAAAGTTCAGACATATGACGGAGGCATATCTGAATCATTTCAGCATGAACCACACGGTAATTGACACTCAATTGAACACTAAGACTTGGCTAATGAACTCTAGCTGGTTATACATGCTGTGCGATCTCGACTCTTTCAATAATCCACCGACTCCCGATTTCCTCGTTATCGGGTGCTGAAGCTCCAGGCCTTACAAACATCCCGGAAACAATACGATGGCTTGTCTCAAGACAAGTAGGATACACAGAGGAGGGGGAGGAAGATGAGGCTGAGACAAAAACTCCCGCTCGTCCTGTGCTACAGGGTGTTTATGAAAATGAACCTTTAGTACCTGGGCTTTCTCTGCAAGATGTAGACTTTGTTGGTTTCAACGGTCGGTGTAACAAAAGTGTTGATACCTGCTATGCATATTGGGTTACGGCCTCCCTTGATGTAAGCCCATTCATCCGAGGAATTCAGAATGAATGTGCTGATCAGAAACAGATGCTCGGCCAAGATAGAGCCCAGCTTCTAAATATCAAAGCGGCCCGGCGGTTTTTGTTGGAACAGACCCAGCACAGGATAGGAGGATTTGGAAAAGCACCAGGGAATCCACCGGGTCAGTATTTTTATGATGATCATCTATTTCAAGCTAATTTTGTTGCTAGATATCTACCACTCATATCTGGGCCTTGCCGCACTTGCCATTATGAAAGAACCTGGGTTAAAACCTTTTGATTCGGCTCTATGTGTCGGCGCGCAACAAAAAGAAATGATGGAGCTGCTTAGAGAGGCTGCATTATCCAGATAAGAAGCTACTGAAAGCAATGTACTTCCGCATTAGGGAGGGCGATCCCGACAATGACCTGAGAAGTAGTCGGAAAACAAGTCAAGGAAGGGGTGGAGAGTGGAACCGGAAATAGAGGAATGAGAACTTGGATGTTCTACAGGCTTATTGCAAAGTGGCTCCAGGACTTTCATGCAGTCCTCGAACCAGACTGTGGTTCCATCACCTGAGAAGTTGTCCCATTACGATTGGTACAATCTGTCTCGAAAATTATGCGAATAGGAACATGAAGGTTTAACAGCGTCGGCTGACACAGAGATTGTGAGAACCGAGTTGCTTGCTGCCCTATGGTTCAGAAAAGAAATATCAAAACTGGGAGACCAGACAATGAAGATATAACGGCATCTCACTCTTCGGGGTGCTCCTGGTCGCTGTTTTCATAATGGATTAAAAAAGCGGAACTTATTTTCAATGTCCCACGTCAGGCAGGTAGGGCATTTCACAAGTTTCGACTCCAGATGTTCCCTCGAGATATATGGACAAGGTTTGTAACTCCCTACGAGTCTTCACTCGCATTTATTGACGCTTTGTGCCAAATTTCGCTTACTGTATGATGTCACGGCTGTGACAGACAAGACCAATGGGGTATCACATTGAAGCTACTTAAGATGTTGATAAGGACCCTTCTGAACTTCCCAAAATCAATTGCATTGTACAACCTAACCTCATAAAACTAAGATACGACACTGCCACCGAATGTCTCAAAAATCCGAGACGTCTGGGACACACCATGATTTGATTTTCATCCCACTTTCCGATCTCTGTTCAGTCGGGCCAAACGTAGATTAATCGACGCGACGATCGTGCCTTGCGGTCAAATCTCGCGAGCCTCCAGTTTCTCTCCTTCTCTCACATCTTTCAAATTGACCTCAATTGTTCAACATGAAGCTTCTCAAGCTCCTCCTCTTACTTTTCCTATCTCATTTAGCATCTGCCACATCTATTGACCAACAGCAACCTCTCCACGGGGACGACGACCCCGCACTCGCAAGCTCAAGCTCAAGCTCCAAGCTCCTCGCCCTCCACAAAGCCCTCGCCAAAATCGAGTCCATCACCGGACACGAACACGATGTCGCACAATACCTCATCGACTACCTCTCCCTCCAAAACCTCACCGTCGAGACACAAGACGTAGGGCCCGGGCTCGACGGCCGAGGTCCAAGACAGAACATATTGGCTTATATTGGGAAAGAGAGGAAGACAAAGGTGCTTGTTTCGAGCCATATCGATACCGTGCCCCCATTTTGGGAGTACGAGAGGAAGGGGGAGGAGATCTGGGGAAGGGGGACGGTGGATGCGAAGGGCAGTGTCGCTGCGCAGATTATTGCGGTTGAGGAGTTAAGGAAGAAGGGTAAGCTTGGGGAGGGAGATGTGGGCTTGCTGTTTGTGGTTGGGGAGGAGACGGGTGGGGATGGGATGAAGAAGGTAGGTGTTGGGGGAGAAACCCTTTCCCATTTTCGACCCTTTCACGAGATACTCCGAAGGCAATGTCCTCTCCCGAAACAATCCTAGTAGAGCAATTGCTGACTCCCCCGTTTCCTAGGCTAATGATCTCAGCCTGAAATGGGAGACGGTTATCTTTGGGGAGCCGACTGAGCTGAAGCTTGCTAGTGGGCATAAAGGGATTTCTGGGATTATTATCACGGCGAAGGGGAAGGCGGGGCACAGTGGGTATCCAGAACTGGGCAGGAATGCTATTGCGATGATTGTGCCGGCGTTGAATGAGTTGTTGAAGGCGAACCTGCCGTGGAGTGAGAAATATGGGAATACGACGTTGAATTTTGGGACGATTGAGGGCGGCGTGGCGCCGAATGTTATCGCGGAGGAAGCGAGGGCCGCCGTGTCAATAAGGATTGCTGATGGGGAACCGGCTGTTGTTGAGAAGGTACTTTTGGATGCTATTCAAAAAGCTGGGCAAGAGCTTGATGTTCAGTTTGTTCCGGGCTATGGCCCGATATATATTGACAGTGATGTTCCAGGTAAGAAGGATGACAATTGGTGGTTGGATTTGACTGACAGTGATCAGGATTTGAGACCATCATAGTAAATTATGGTACTGACATCCCTAACCTCAAGGGAGACCACAAAAGGTACTTATATGGACCTGGAACCATACTTATGGCGCACAGTGACCATGAACATCTTACAATTTCAGACCTGGAAACTGCTGTGAAGGGGTATAAATCCCTGATTGAGCACTCGTTGAAGTAGATTGAGAGAAATTAATAGACGCTTTAGACCTGTCTATTTTGATATTTGCTGTGACACGAGGAAAGAATTCTCAAGTATCTCTCTGAAGTCTCGAGCCCAGTAGACTCTTGACTCTTGTCCTTCTCGGTATACATCAACATGCTCGACGTCCACTCCCACCCGATCCAGCGTTTCCATCAGGTTGCTGTCTCTGTCTTCAGCTATGACAATCCCAGTCGTTCCTTCTGCAGTCAAACACTCGACATCAGTCCCAGAATCGCCTACGTAAACTACTTTCGAGAAATTTCCTCCCGTTTTACTTCTCCATGAATTCAACATGGCCTTCATCGAAGCCAACTTGTCATCTGAAGTTGCCATAACCGACCGATTTTCGCGAGTCTCAGGTCCCAAAAGGATACCATTTTCATCTGGATGGTTGGCAATGACTTCTACCTCGGAGGCGTCCACGCCGGCGCTTGCCAGAACTCCACGGATGAAATGGCTTGAGAAATTCACTGAGACCACACCCCATATCCCTCCGGACATATTGACTCTCTCAACAAAATCACCAAATCCGCCCCTGATAATCACTTCCCCTGTCTTTACCGCGTGGCTTCCAAATACTTCCCACTCACTGCTTGAAATGCCCCTGAACAATCCAGAGTTACTCACCCGCTCAAAGCTCCGGGTTTCCACATCATGGAGACATCGATAGTACTCGATTTCTCTTGCTAGGGTCTTCCTTTCTTCTTTCACGGGACAGTAGTCTTTCACGTGCTTCGAGTAGTCCTTGCCGTACTTCGCAACGATTTCATCCCGAGCCGCCGTCAGATCTTTCTTGTTAGAAGCTTGGGTTGAAAGAGCGAAGTTGAGAAGTGTGGAGATTGTGTCCTTAGTTGTTATTGTTCCATCGAAATCCAGGACGAAAGCTCTTCGCTGGGAAGACATCGGAGTGGTAATTTGCCGTTGAAGTACTCGGGCCGAGAATCTGGACATTCGGAGACAAGGAGGAGGCTCGGCGGGATTGACAGGTTTGAACATAGGAAAGGGCAGGCTGCTCCAGACTGTTTGAAGTGACAAAGTTTTGTCTTGCAAGGTCAAGGAACGAGTGTACCTTGGCCCTGGTAATTTTCATTTAATAAAAGCTTAAATGGTGATATTAAACACCAACGAAAAGACCGTTTGTAACCGGAAAAAATAGATAATCCTGATTGATGTCTTTTGGAACAACAGTTTCCAAATTGAAGCTTCCCCGAATAGTGTTTGCTGGGACCTTCAATATCGTGGCGGTTTCAGCCTTCTGTTACTGGTACCTGAAGCATTGAAAGTGGACCTCATCATTGCTGGAAAAAGAAGTATGTTTGATTGAATGATCACATACTTCTGAGTAAGCATTCCTGGAACTCACGCCAATCGGAAGACAAGTTTTGGGCAAGTGTGCCAATTATACCAGAGGATAAGCTCAGCCCTGAGTCCGCGAGTTTGGGACTTTCCTTTCATAGGATGGACGATCCAAGCCACCTCGGACAACTAGTGATTGAGAGAGCACCGTCGTAAATTCAACGATGACCAAGCCCTAAAATAAGCTGCAGAAACGTCGGCATCGGCATTGGAAGATCTGATAGGCTCCTGAATTTCTGTTGGTCCCTCTTGCTGGACTCCAATTCCGACATGTAAAATTACAGGTGTGAGCTCATGCACGTGCATTCACGCCTCGCGCTTGGGGAGAACGCCCGACGCAAGCGACTGGGGAGGTTGATATTCCCCTAAACTCGCTCGATAAGGCATCACAAGAGACATCCTCACGAGTCACTCTCCCCGGCGCATCACCTCACACATTCGCATTCTGCCCAGAACGCCTTTTAATCCCTTGTGCGGAAGCAGCACTCGTTCCCCACGTCCAGCAGATCTACTCGGTACGCTCATGCCCTTGCGCTGAAGCTTCCCCTTCATGCGATCATACCGCCATCAATGTCTTGAAGCCCCCCACTACTTATCCATCGTTGCTGACATCTAAACTCCTCTGCAGATCGAGTGCCAGCGCATATCCATACTGAGCCCTTACCTACGACGTATTATTAATTGCGCATCGTCGTCGACACTTGCTGTTGATCGATCCACCAACACCAACCTTCGGGCGCTTACCTCCATACACTTCACTGACTTCGACGAACACCACGCACAAGACAACCCCTTGAACGAATAATCTGAATCTGCGGGATCAATTACGACATTGCGACAGTCGGTTCCGCGCCGCATCAAACGTGCTTTACCGATTCGAGGGCTGTGGTCTGCTTGAGGAAGTTCCCGAGCTGGCGAGGTACATACTTCGACGTCAGGAACATCCAGGCAACCAGCATTCGACCGCGATAGTTTCACATTGTCCCGCACCCACCAGAAAAAGGTTGTTCGAATTTCATACCGATATTGCTCTGCGATTCTGAGTGGTCGGCCAGCCGTGTGCACTGTCGCATTTTCGCATAGCCCCGAGGCTCAGCCACGCTGCCCGTGAGGCTGACTGCCACCGCTTCAGAGAAATTCAACCTGACGTGTTCTAAGAACAGCAACGCCGTGGCCATGGACCAACAACGGGGGAGATCTCCCTCTGCGGGGCATCAACAGCCTCACTTAAATCAGAGCCATTCCCCGTCGCCCCATTTTCAAGCGGAATCCAATTCGATCGGACTTGGACTCGGTCTTGACAGCCAAGGCAGCAACAACAACAACCAATTTCTAAATAACAACTTCAATCCCAGCAACGGTCTTCCATCATTCAACGAGAATACCGAATTTGTAAATCAACAAGGACGGACATTCTCACAGGGCGGTCTCAACGACTCGACTTACGCACCGAGCCAGAACTTCAATCCGCAATTCAATATTAAGCAAGAACAATCGTCACCCTACGATCTACCGCAGAGGAGCTTTACACAAGAGCTCCTCGATCCGAACCTGACTACAAACTTTAATCAGGGTGATTTCCCCTTATTTTCAACGCCCGGCGATCAGAACAACCAATACGATCCTTCGTTCTTTATGAACGAGCTTCCGGCACAAACCAACAATCAGGCGGTTCAGCCTTCTCAGCTCGACATGAATTCTCCTCAGAATCACACACCGACTCCACCGAGTCTCCTACAGCCAGACTCCCGCTCCCCTGCATCATCACACAATTCCCCAAATTTCAACCAGGGCCAGTTTCAATCTCCCCCAAACCATTCGCGGAATGCTTCCTTAGGTCCAGAGAGCGCTGCTTACCCTCAAGGGCAAAACCAAGTGGAATGGGGTATGATGCCTCCACAGTTCCAGGGCCACCGAAGAACGCCATCCGAGTACTCTGATGTATCAGTTTCTTCCGCTGCTCATTCTCCAAACCTGGGGCACCATGATGCTTTTGAATCAATAGAACACCAGCATTCTCCAATGCAGCATCCCCAGGATTCCAGCCTCTATAACGAAGTTCTTGGTATCGGATCGTTTTCTCTCTCTGATGCGCAGATTCAACATTCAGCAAGTCCACGACGAGGCCTGAGCCCTGCACATAGTCCAGCCATCTCGCCGAGACTCGGCCCTCAACAACTGCCAAGTGTGCAGCAGCCGAATTTCATGCTTAATGTAGACAACGGTTTTGGCGCTCAGCAGAACATTTATGGTGCTTCAAACCAGGATTCTTTCAACCAGATGGATATGGGACAAGCCCAGCAGATGGTCCCACCAGTAATAAATGTTGACTTTGCGCCAAACTCAAGACAGAGCAGTTTTGAACCTCCGAAACCTTCAGCCTTTGATTCAGATGCTTTGACTCCTCCTGAAAGAGGTGTGTAAACCCGTTGGGATCTCATATTGCATGACCTACTCACTGACTTTACCAGGCCGTGGTGTTCCTCGCCGGCGAGCTGTCTCAGATCCCTATAACAGTGGATCCAATGCTTCACGACCCCACACCCCCTCAAGCATGTCTCCTGGTTTGGGGTCTGAGCTTGTAGGCAGATCGCCTTCTCCCGCCCGCTCCTTATCTCCACATGATCGATCAGGGGCAAGCTCTCCTAACAGACAACAACGTCGCCACTCGGCTTCGCCGCTTCCAAATCGAGACTACATTCTTGGTCTCGCTGATCCTGACTACCAAGCCGCAACTTCTGAAAGTGGTGACCGAAAACGTGTGCAGAAACACCCTGCTACCTTCCAATGCACACTCTGCCCGAAACGTTTTACGCGTGCTTACAACCTGCGCTCTCATCTGCGTACTCACACTGATGAGCGCCCGTTTGTATGCACAGTATGCGGCAAGGCATTTGCCCGTCAACACGACCGGAAACGTCACGAGGGTCTCCATTCGGGCGAGAAGAAGTTTGTTTGCAAAGGAGAACTTAAACAAGGTGGCCAATGGGGCTGTGGCCGCCGTTTTGCTCGAGCTGATGCACTCGGCCGCCATTTCCGTTCTGAGGCCGGACGCATTTGCATTAAACCTCTTCTCGATGAAGAAGCCATCGAACGACAACGGTTGTGGAATGAGCAACGGATGCAAAACATGCACAATATGCAAGCACCTCAACCAATTACTGTTGACGCAAACGGCTTCCCGATGGATGCAAGTGGGAATTACACACTTCCTGCAGCATTGCTGGCTCAGTATCCTGCTCTTGCAACATTGAGCTGGTCAGAATTGCCACAAGGAGATGTCGGTCTAGAGGACGATCCAAGTGGAAGAAGCAGCTTTGATGCGAGCGGATCGGAATATTACGACGAAGGCAATGATGATGGCTACCTCTCAAGTGGTCCCGGACCACAAGGGTACGGACAGCCACAACAGATGCATGATGCATATAACGGCTACTCGAGTGACATTGGCGGACGATAACGAGCATTAAAACAATCTTTGGTGCGGCTGTTTACGTCTAACGAATCTCTTCATGTGTAGAATTGGACTTCATCTTGGGTCATTCTGGGCGCAATTAGATACCACACTCTGCTTGACTCATGGTTGCATTGAGCGGCACATTTTATGTCTGGTTTTGATGTTTTTGGGCTTGTCTGTGTTTTTTGTACTAGACTACTATAGCAATGAACCGTTACGATCTGAATCTTCGCCACTTCGTCCTACTCGCTCTGGTACATTACTACACAGTGACAGCCAACTTCTCCCCACTAACCTCACCCTTCCGCATAGCATTCATACCCTTCAACACGCCCTCAAATCCCTTCCCATACTTATCCAAGCTAATCTTATGAACTTTCAGCTTCCCTTGCTCGAACAGCTCCCTACTCATCTCCCAGAACATCTTCCCGAACTCGAAATCCTGCGGCATCGCAGGGAACTCCTTCGGCCCAAACTTAAAAAACTCGCCAACTACTGTGTATGCCAGTGTATGCTTGAGCTCAACGTTTGGATTTATTTTCCGGATATCGGATTCAGGAACTGGGAGAAGTGTAGAGTAGATGCCACCTGAAGTGGACATGGCCGGGATGGTGATTGCCGGCGAGTTGCCTTCCGAGATGCAGTCGAGGGCGTGGTGGATGGAGTCATTGGACCAGGCTTGGATGTCCTTTGAGCAGGAAGGGGAGTTGTAGTCGAATGCTGCATCTGCTCCGAGGCTCTTCACGTAGTCGAAATTCCGAGAAGAGCAGGTTGTCACTACCGTCAAACCGGAGAGCTTCGCGTATTGGATGGCCAGAGTACCTGTTGCGGTGCTGCCGCCGTAGATCAAGACGTAAGTCTTCTGCGTTGCGGGTTTGGTGGGCAAGGGGAGTTGCAGAGATTGGTAGAGGCCCTGGCCGCAGGTTGTTACTCCTACGCCGAGAGTGGCGGCTTCTTCGAAGCTCATGTTGTCTGGGATCTTGATTTGGACATCTCCTTTTGCGGTGATGTATTCTGCGAATGCTCCGTCTTCGTGGTTTAGTACGTTTCCGCCGTGGCAGAATCCACTGACGCGGTCTCCTCTCTTGAAAGGCTTGGAGACTTTGCTTCCGACTTCTTCGACGACGCCGGCGTAGTCGCAACCTAATCCTCGAATTAGCATTGATAATTCCTGAATTGCAAGAGAGACCTCGGGAGCCGGAAGAGCCGGGCTCCTTAGACAAATGCGCCTGCAGGCTCCCGTGCTGCTCCCAGGCTCTTGAGCTTTCATATATAAATGACAGTAATTCAGTATGGTAATAAGCTTACCTAGTAGAACTCCTTTACCGGTCAGAAAGTCGAGATGCTTCCAGTCTGTTGGGTTCAAAGCAACACATTTGGTTTTGACAAGAATATAGTCATCTCGAAGCTTGGGAATGGAGGTCTCTTGGACTTGAGACTCACCGGCTTTCTGGACAATGACTGCGTGATTCTTGGACATATTGAAATAGATGGAACTGGATGAGCGCGCGGAATTCCAATTGAATTCAACTGAGCAGATATAATAGGAAAAATTGCATTTGTAAGCTACATCACAAATCTATGATGAAGTTTTTTCTGTTGCATCGACCAGAGCTAGGAGACCACCCCACAGTGGGGACTTGATACTGATGTCACAAGTTGCTACTGCCTTTGACGACTGCCGTTTGCCCCTCCATCTATCACTATTACCACATCACTTTCTTGCTATTGAAGATTTATCTGGATAAAGTGGGGAAGCGTTGGAGGATGACATCCTCTCGTGCGTGCTGTTTCGCGCCTTGAGAACTCGGTATTGCACTCTAGAATTGCTCACGTGATGACCCGGAAACAGGAAAGGGGGAAAGCCGCTGACAGAAAGACGGAAGTGTGTAATAATCCGGGTTGATATACAAAAGGGGTAAAGTGATAACAGTATCAATCGGAAGAATCTCTTCTCATACGACGCCTCCGGAAGAGCGGTCTGTTGAAAAGGAGATTGGAAAAAGATCAGCCTGACCCCAAAAGCTCCTCCGTGTCCTCAGCTAAGATTTTACCCAGGACAAGTCGATGAGGACACCTGCAAGTGTGAGCAATAGGATGACAGTGTTAATAATTGGCCACTTCGGCTGTCATGCAACCTAATTGTACATCGAATCAAGACGCCCGTCGCACGGCGCGTCACCTCCCTCAAGGGGGCTGGGTGGCACACTGTTGCACGCCCGATGGGGCGTGGTAGCGAATGGCAGCAATGGCGAGATGTGTTCCTTATGCACAATCGATTTGAATCCAATTGTCTCGCGCGATTCGATGTTGTTTTCACTCCTTTTTGACGACAGAGTTGCGGTGAAGCCTGGCATCAGAGAAAAAATTATGGGACCAGGAGGTTACGAGCAAATAGGCCGCGATCTTCTGGATCAGCCCAGCGAGTCTGCAAAATGGCTGGGCAGCGGGCCGGCGCATTCCCGTCGAAAGTGGTGTCTTTGTTTTTCTGCAGAGCGCCAAATCCGAGCAGCAGGCGCTCGCACTGGCAGCACCGCTCAGATAAATAAAATATGAAGTGACACGCCCGACCGCTCTCTCAGAGCATCTGTCCACCTCCTGCAAAATTCCTACGCGTGTATCCAAAATTGTATTCGTGTATCGGATTGAGGCACGGACAGGCTCGTCGATAAGGGCAAGTCAGGGTGATACACAAGCAAATTCCTGGGCCGGTGTCTCAGTTCTCCCTGTGACAGCCAACCAACCAAGAAACGAAACGATAATACCCTCCCTTGTCTGCGAAAGCGAAAAGATCCGCCGTGTGACCACATCCATTGCACTTACTTTACTCCTGTTCAACACCATTCTCTTGGATATCATCATATCCATTATTCCAACGCACGCCAGAGGCCCTCGAAAGACCTCCTTCTTCCTATCCCGGCATTGAGCACATAGTCTCGATGAGTCTGACACCTCTCCGCGATCACAAGAGCTCCCACATCCATAATGGCAGCCGTCGAGGGTTTATTGTCCTGCGCAGATCGCCCAAGGAGCGATTATGGGTCCGTTACGACCCAGCCTTGGACGATTGGGTGGGATGAGGAGGATACGCGGATAAGGCTGAAGTTCATTGCGAGGGCATGGGTGCAATCGCGCATTTGGAGGAGGGATGAAGGTGCAGCGCGCATAGAACTGGTACGGGCCGCGATATTTCCCAAATAAATTCTTCCTTCCCGAGCAAGGCCGTGCTGCTCTGACCAGACATGGCCGTTGTCGTGCATTGTGCAGTAGTGGCTGCCGCAACACGGCGGTGTGGACCCTAACAGCTCACTCAGATCTCTAACGTATCAATAGAACCTACTTCCGCACTCGGAATCTACGTGGCCCTGCAGATGGGCTCCTGAACCTCTGAAAATACCGGAAACTCTGGGAAAATGGAGTGGGAAACAACAACAAACTGACGAGGCGGGCTTGCACGAGACAAACACCGAGGCCCTTGCAAGCAAGCACACACATGACTCTCTCGAAGCCCGAATTACCCCTCCTTCCACAGTCCAAGAACGAGACGATCACTCACTGTTCCACGATCCCACAATGGCTCCCTCGGTCGACTTCCAGTCGCAGGATGGCTTCACACAAGCTGCTGGTAAGAAGGCCAAAAAGGCGGCTAAGGTTGCTCAGAAAAACAAGTGGGGAGGCGACGAAGAGGAGGATGGCAGTAAGAAGGATGAGGGCGAGGGAAGCAATGGCGGTGACAAGGACGGTGATACCGGAGCCGGTGCCGGTGGTGACGAAGATAAGAAGGACGATGGGAGCGGTAATGGAGATGGAGAGGCGAAGCCAGACGACGAGTGGGACTCTTTCGTGACGCCCAAGTCCAAGAAGAAGGGCAAGAAGAATAAGGTCGAGGAGGCGGCTCCAGCACTTCCTCCTGTGGAGAAATTCGACGCCTTTCATGAGATCAAACTGGACGATACTGGGCCAATGTTGGACCTGAGTTTTGATACGGGAACCATTGGTACCAAGTCGAGTTCTGGGTTTGGGGCATGGGGCAGTAGCTGGACTACTGGAACCACGAGGTTAGTGTTTTCTTTGCAGTCTCCGAGTCTCGTTCGATTGCGGTGCTCCCCGGATTGAGTTGGTGGATGTAGCTCATGGTTGAGTTTGTTTACTTTCTTCGCTGTCTTTTCCGAGGAATAGATTCGGTTTCTCATGTTTCAAGTCTGACTCGACTCGAACCCCACTAACTCCCAGTAGCACATGGGACTTCTCTGCCACCACAACTACTACCGCCACCGACACGAAGAAGGAAACGGCTGAAATCGACAACAATCCTTGGAGTCTAAATCGTGGAAAGCCGAAAAAGAAGAATGCCACCTTCTCATTCGGCGCACTCGACGAAGAGGAGAAGGAGAAGGAACCGGATCCGCCAAAAGAAGAGACAAAGGATGCCTTTGATTTCGGCTTCACTTCTGTAAATAAAAAGGATAAGAAGAAGAAGAAGAACAGCATCTTTGACGACTTCGATGAGCCGAAGGAGGAGCCCACGCCCGCGCCAGTTGTCGAGGAGACCGCTGCGGACGATAACTGGAGTGCCTGGGGCACTGCTAAGACCAAGAAGAAGGGGAAGAAAGCTGCTGAGCCTGATCCGCCCAAGGTGGAGGAGACGAAAGCCGAACCCGCACCTGCTGAAGACGAGTGGGCTTTTGGTGGTCCCAAGAAAAACAAGAAGAATAAGAAGAATGCCATTACTGAGGTCGAGGACAAGCCAGCCCCAGTTCCAGATCCAGAGCCCGAGCCGGTCAAGGACGAAGACGACGGCTGGGGTTCTTTCAGTGCCAAGAACAAGAAAAAGAAGGGCAAAGCCATTGTCGAGGAGACGCCTAAAATCGAAGAAACCCCTGCCAAGGAACCAGAGCCCGAGGAGGATGACATGAATTGGGCCTCGGGTTGGGCAACCGGCAAAAAGAACAAGAAAAAGGGTAAGGTCGAGGAAATACCAGCGGCGAAGAAGGAACCCGATCCACCTGTCGACGACTTTGCGTGGGGCTCTTTTGGTTCAAAGGACAAGAAGAAAGACGCCAAAGCCGAGGAAAAGGAGAAGGAACCTGAACCCGTTGAGGATTTCGCATGGGGGTCTTTCGGAACTGATAAGAAGAAAAAGAAGGGCAAGATCGTTGTTGAGGAACCCGCGAAAGTGAGTTTGCCTATGTCCAGCTACGGGAAGAGTAATTTTAATTGCTTCAATAGGCCGAGGAGAAGGAGAAGGAACCTGAACCCGTTGAGGATTTCGCGTGGGGGTCTTTCGGAACTGAGAAGAAGAAAAAGAAGGGCAAGATCGTTGTTGAGGAACTCGTGAAAGTGAGTTCGCCTGTATCCAGCTACGGGAAGAGTAGTTTTAATTCCTTTAATAGGTCGAGGAGAAGCAGGAGGAACCAGAACCCGAGGCAGACGATACGTGGAGCTCCTTCGCTACCAAAAAAGACAAGAAGGGCAAGAAGGGCAAGTCTGTAGCCGAAGAACCCGCGAAAGTGAGTTCGCCTGTATCCAGCTGCAGGAATAGTAACATTAATTCCTCAAATAGGTCGAAGAAAAGAAGGAGGAACCAGAACCCGAGGCACAGGCAGAGGATATGTGGAGCTCCTTTATTACCAAAAAAGACAAGAAGGGCAAGAAGGGCAAAGCTGTAGTCGAAGAACCTGTGAAAGTAAGTGTACACCTACTTCTCCCCTAAAGGACGACGATTCTAATTCTCTCTATAGGTCGAGGAGAAGGAAAAGGAACCAGAGCCCGAGGCCGAGAAGGATGATGACGCTTTCGGATGGGGTTCGTTCTCGGCGAAGAGCAAGAAGAAGGGCAAAGCCGTGGTCGAGGAACCTGTCAAAGTGAAAGAGCCTGATCCTTTGCCAGAACCTGCCACAATTGAGAACGACAGCTGGGGATCCTTTCCTGCCAAAAGCAAGAAGAAGAAAGGCAAGGCTCTCGTCGAAGAAGTCAAGGCCGTTGAACCCGAACCCGTCCCAGACCCACCAGTCGATGATGATATGGGTTGGGCAGCTACTGCTTGGGGTACGGCTGGCAAAAAAGACAAGAAGAAAGCCGATAAAACCAAGGAAGCTTCCCCAGCAGCCAAGGAGGAGAAGAGCTCCATTGCTGATGTTCTCGCCGAAAATGACGATTGGGATAATTGGGGCCAAAGCAAGGACAAAAAGAAAGCTAAATCAACGTCCAAAGCTCTCGTGGAGGTGAAGCCTGAAGAACCCGAGCGCGCTCCAACACCTCCGCCTGCGGTCCCTGAGGTTGGTGATGGCGATGATGACTTCTTTGGTTGGGGGGCAACTTTGTCCAAAAAGGATAAGAAGAAAAAGGGGAAATCGACTGATACCGGTGACTCCATTAAACCCGACGCCATCGAGGAACCAAAGACTGACGACATCTGGGGTACGGCGTCTTCCAGGAAGGATAAAAAATTAAAGAAGGGCGCCAAGAACATGCCCGTCGAAGACGTCACAGAGCCAACCCCTGAGCCTGAGGTTGTCGAGGAGAAGGAGGAGGAAGACGAATGGGGATCGGTCTGGGCGACCACCTCTTCAAAGAAAGACAAGAAGAAGGGCAAGAAAGGCGTCGAAGCACCACCTCCCGCCCCAACGCCTCCAGCCATGGATCTGACCGAACCCGAAGAAAATCTCTGGGATTTTGGAACCGAAGCCAAGAAGACTATTTCCAAAGACTCGAAAGACTCCAAAACTTCCAAGGAGAAGGAGAAGGAGGTTCCGCCAGCCAAGAAACTCACCAAGAAGGAACAAGAAAAGGCCGACAAGGAAGCCGCAAAGGCCAAGAAGAAGGCGGAGAAGGAAGAAGCCGAAGCCAAAATGCAAGCTGAGAAGGAGGAGGCGGAACGTCTGGAAGCCGAAGAGCAAGCCAAAGCCGAAGCCGAAGCAAAAGAGAAGGAAGAAGCTGAGGCAAAGGCAAAGGCTGAAGAGGAAGCCAAGAAAAATATCTGGGCTCCAAAACTCTCCAAGAAAGAGCAGATGAGGGCTGACAAGGCAGCCAAGAAGAAGGCCGATGAAGAGGAGGCTGCTCGTAAGAAGGCTGAAGAGGAGGCTGAAGAGCAGGCCAGAATCGAGGCTGAAGAGAAGGCTGCTCAAGAAGCCGAGGAAAAGGCTGCTAAGGAGGCCAAGGAGAAGGAGAAGGAAGATTCCAAGAAAGCGAAGAAAGACTCGAAGTCCAGCAAGGGCAAAAAGTCGTCGACCAAGGAGAAAGAGGTAAGCATGTTTCCGAGTTATTTTCTCTTGAATGCCCCGAGAGTTGCGGCACCTCAAAATGTCGTCCAAATATCGCCCACCACTCAATTCGGACACGGCTTTGGGGTCCGCAGATCTGTGGCATATTTACATACCCCTGCATATCTGTGCATAACCGAATCCCTGACCAGTAATACTGACTCTGGCGTCGTCTAGGTCACCAAAGACCCAGAACCGGAATCGGAACCGGAAGCAGAACCAGAACTAGAACCTCTCATCGACCTCAGCCCAGTCAAGGAGAAAGTCGACCCCTTCGCAATTTGGGGAGTCACCAAGAAATCGAGCAAGGGTTCTGAGGGCGCTAAAAAGGAGGCGTCAAGAGGCGAGATTGCTGCTGACAAAGCAAAGCTTCCAGAAGGTGCTAACTCCAAGGCCACGACAACCTCTTTGCAGTCTGCATCTGTATCGACCTCGATGAAGGCATCAGTAGTGACGAAGAAACCAGTCGGCGGTAAGATTGCTGACAGGCTGAAGGCGTTTGAGTCAGCCAAAGAGAAGGAGGTCGAAAAAGTCGCGCCACCTCCACCTCCATCTCCTCCCCCACCGCCACCTCCCGCGCCACTCAAGGAGGATAAGAAGAAATCCAGCCTCTCCAAGTCGCAAACCATAACAAACCTCAAATCCAGCTCCAAAAAGGACAAAGACACCGCCGAAGAGAACAACGCGTGGACAAAGAACGTTTCCTCGTCAAAAGAAGTCCCTGGTAGCTTTCCTGCGGAGGACGATGAGACTGTTGACTCGATAGTTATGCCTGACAAGAAATCGAGCAAGAGCAAATCATTCAGCAAAGAGAAAGAACCCGAAAAGAAAAAGGAAAAGGTCGTACCCGCTGGACCTCCGACCCCACCGCCAGAACCTAAAGAATCTAAAGAATCCAAATCTTCGTCGAAGAAAGAGCGCCCTCGGGTCGTTCGCGATGGATCTTCTTCTTGGGGCGCATGGGGCGCCGCTGCCGCTCCCGCTCCGAAGAAGGATGAAAAAAAGTCTTCCAAGGATCGCCGTTCCGAGGAGTCGCCACATCCCGTGAAGGAGGAGAGGAAATCGAAGGACTCTGACTTGAAACGCTCAAAATCATCATCGAAGAAGCCTTCTGAGAAGGAAGAAAAGGACTCTTCGAAGGGATCATCGTCTGAGAAGGTTGATAGACCACCCTTGTCTCGAGGTCTTACAAGCATGTTCGGCGCCTCGAAGCCGTTGTCGAGGTCGAGATCTGTGACCGAACGTCGACCGAGCACATCAGGCAGATCGAGTTCGCGTCGCCAATCTGTCGTCGAAGACCATGGAATCCCGTCGCCACCACCTGAGATGTCTGAAAAGGCTGCGAGGATGCTTGGCGTCACTCCGAACAAGCTGTCCAGAAGCAAGTCCGAAAGGAAGAGCAAATCACGTGGTATGTTGAGGTCGCATTCTCCAAAACTTCGCGAAGAGAAGACTAACTTCCATGAAGGTGTGGACGATGATGAAGATCTTGTCATGGTTGATAAAAATGACGACGCTCCCAGCCCGGAGAAGTCAAGTCGCGATCGCAAAGGAAAATCGAAGGTAACTGACGCCCCGCCGCCGGCTGTCCCAATGCCGCCTTCAAGTGTCGATCCGCCAACTCGACGACGGACCTTGACGAGAGAGCCAAGTGCTAACGCAAAGAACGAGAAACAGACAAGACAAGACGAGGATATTGTCATGGTTGATGCCGGAGGCCCATCAGAGGCGCTACCACCACCTGTATTGAGGAGGGCCGACTCGAGTGCCAAGAAGGCTGCTGCTGCTGGAATTGGTGGATTATTTGGTGGACTGCTGTCAAAATCTCGTCCCGAATCTAAACGTCGATCCACTGCTATGACTGATGAAGGCAGACGAGACCTTCGCCGCGAAGACCGGAAGATCAAACGCCCAGCCAAGGACGATGAGGATATTGACGAAGAAGAGGTCAGACGGGCCAGACGGGCTCGGAGGGCAGAACGTGGCGCTGCCGAGAAAGCTGCCGAGGAGGCGCGAAGAGCAAAGGATGAGGAGAGACGTGAACGACGGCGGAGACTGGAGGCTGAGGCCGAGGCTCGCCGTCAAGAGGAGAAAGATGCCAAGCGTGCTGCCAGACGTGCCGCGCGTGAGAAGGAAGATGCTGATCGTGAAGCTGCTGAGGCCAAAGAAGCCGAACGCGCCGAGAGGCGTCGCGCCAGGAAGGCCGCGGAGCGTGAAGCTGATGTTGAACCTCGATCATCGGATCGTCGACGATCTCACATGGACGCTGACGGTGATGAAGAGCGCCGCAGGAGACGTGAGGAGCGACGTGCAGCACGTGAGGGAGGCGATACCCCGAGAACGAGCCGTCGCAAGTCTGCCCCGATTGTCGACAACTACATTCCTGCTGAAGGTCCAGTCTACAGGGATAGGAAGGAGAATTCGAAGGGCAAGGAGAAGAAGACTGGTTGGCCACACTCCGGGACCGATTCGTGGGTTCAAGACCATTCAGATGCCCCGCCACCACCCGAGGATATACCTCCTGTCGACGACAGGACTCCTGAGGACAGAGAGAGGACCAGTGGAAGAAAGTCGCGCCGACATTCGAAATATGACGATGTGACCGAGGACGACCAAGAGGAGCGTCGACGAAGACGCGAATCAAGACGCGCTGAGGTCAAAAGCTCCGAAGGAAGCCAGGAAAATGGGCGAAGATCCAGCAACCGCAGAGATTCGAGCTTTGTCGACAACAGCAGAGCACCAAGCGCTGCAGGAGGACTTTTCAGTCGGTTCAAGAAGATGACGAGCGGTTAAGAGTTAAGGACGATTAATTTGTTGCATTTCGGCGATGGCGTTGTGTGTCGTTGGGTGCTCGCTAACGTTGTGTTGTCGTCTGGAGTTCTGGGATCAATCTTGGGGTCAGTGGAGCATCAGGGGGCTTGGATCTTGGATACCCTTGGACCAGGCAGGTGAACTGGTTTGTAGGAATACGTCTGAGCCAGCCGGCGGTTTATATTTTGCCATATACCCTTTGCGTTATACCAGGTGTACTTTTATTATTATGGCCCGAGACCGCACTGAAAAACGAGATATAGTTTGATAGGCATGTTCCCGTCCAACAATGTCCCAATTCCATTCCCTCCCATCCCCATCCACATTCACTTCTATTTTCATTGTGTTCTACAAGACAACAAGCTGAATCTCATCCACCTCTTTAACGAATTTCGATCAGACTTCGATCGGATTTAAGAGCGCATCACGTGGGTAGTTACACTTGAGGCGGGGTCGAGATGGGCGTATTTATAACCCAAAAAGGAAGTTCGATCCAGCCGTCTTTGCAGATGGGGATAGCCCGGAAGGTGCAACGCACGCAATGTACTGATAGGGTCTTGTTACCCAGACATTACCGCCAAGGCTTGCATTGCACTCTGCACCTCTGCCGTTCAAGGACCCGTGCATGGCTGGACATCCACTGCTGGGTGGTCCTTGATGGTGCTATTCCATACCCCTCGCGGGAGGGTGTCTTTGTCTGGGCAAATCTTGCGAAAAGAAACGTCCCGCTGGAGGAACCCCCAAGTCTCTTAGCAATTATCTGCCGTAGCCCGGCCGCGCTGTATCTCGACGAGGCTATCTGTTCTTAAGCAAACAATCGTGCCATATGACAGTCCCTTTAACCTCTTTGAGTTCAACCCCACACCTTCTTCTCCGTCCTTTTCTGCAGACTGGCGGGCGGGTGTCTCTGATCGAACTGATAACCCAATGTTCCTGCCTCGATAAGAGTAAGAGGCACTTTATATACCGCATTCACCCCTCACCCAATTCGCCTTGGAAGATTTTACTCACTTCTCGTCCTCTCTTACGTTCGAGCTCACATAGCCTCGATCTTGAGAACTCGCCCTCACTGGTCATCCTCTCTAGTTCGGCACTCAATTGGAGTTTCCCGACGTGCCCCGATGAAGTTCTCACTGCTGCCAAATCAATGGGTTCTCGGCCTGGGAGCCATATGCCTGGTGTCATCTCTGGCTGTTCTCGCCTTCAGCAAACAGTATCGGGATGCAGTCCTACACAAACTTCATTTCCACAAGCACAGGCGCTTTTCAGGAGCCTCCACGCCGCCTCGCTCGCTCTCGATCAGCAAAGAATCGCCAGCCTCGTGCAATCCGGACTTCGTCACGGCCTTCCCACCATCTCGACGATGTATTCTTCCCGAGCTAGCTGACAAGGCTGTGGATGCCAATTCCAAGATTTCCACTGCCGTTGAACCATCCGTCGAATTTCTGGTGAAGAACATACTGCCAACTACTCGATCATACTGTCTCGACAACGATGTTCCCAAATACACTCCAACCGGCTTCTCGACAGCGGAGATCAAGGCGATGGGTGACTTTCCAGCATACGATGTTCTGAGCGGTGTCCCACTTCCTGAACCGTATGAAAACTTTGATTCTACAAAAGCCTTGCCACGACCCTATCGGCCCTTCAGATGGGCGTATCACCAGACTATGTGTAAGTAAGCGGCCATTCCAGGGTTACCACTGACTGATGTGTATGTAGCCTTGACCAAAATGGAACCAAATTGGTGGCTGGAGGTTGAGAACAACTACGTAGAACGAGTCAAGCAACGTCAAGAACTCTTTAGAGAACATGGAGCCAAAGTCCTCGACTACTTACCCGGCTCCGAACTTGTCTGCAAAGAGCTCATGGAAATGTGTCTTCAATTCTACTGCGCCAGATACCCGACCTGCTTCTCGTTATCACCAGACAAGAAGATCTTCCAGAACAAACTTCTTGGGACGAAAACGGAGATCAAGCGCTTCCACCCACTTCACATCCTTCTTAACAATGTCCCCGAAGACTTCGCGATCGTCTTGCGCAACGAGGAGGATGGCATGTACTACTTCCGCGCCGGCGTCATCTGCAGTTCGCTCGGCTGGAACGTGTCCACGAAGATCGGGATGCAGCTCAAAGAAATCCACCAACCGATCCCAGACTACAAGGAGAGGATGTCCTTCAGCATGGATCGCTACTTCAGCAAGATGCCCACCAACGCGCCCATCCAGCGCGGAAGCTGGGGCTTGGAGGTCGATACTCCCTTATTTATGCCACCTGGTCACCCCCACGAGAAGCTTCGAGAGATCCAGAAGCAGGATTTGACGATCGACGAGTGCTATTTGAGGGTTGACTGGCAAACGTTGCGGAGACTCCCGCTGAGTGGCGGTATTGTCTTCAATTTCAAGGCGTTGTTTACACCGGTCAAGGAGTTTCGCGATGAGCCGTATATTCCTGCACTCCTTCTCAAGATCTTGAAGGAGGGGAAGAAGAACCTGATGGAGTATAAGAACACGTGGCACGTGGAGCATGTTTGTGTGCCTGAGCTAGAGGAGTACGCTAGAGAGCAAGTTGCAAACGGGGTGGTGAAGCCTGAGAATAAAGAGGAAGAGGAGTGGCAGGTGACTACCTTGTGCGAAAGTCCGTATTTCCCTGGATGGGAGGAGAAGTGGCATCGCCAGCAGGGCTTTTAGGCTTCTCGATACGAAACCTCTACGCTTCCGGTGATTTTCTGCACATACAGATAAAATACCTCGAAGAGCTCCACCTTCACGATAATGAAAACAATAATGTTGCGTGCACTGAATCTGCGTACCCTTTAGCCCGGTCAAGCCAATCTTGAGAATGTGTTGATTTATGCTCTGCGTAACTCCCGTAGCTTGGACCGAAGTGAAGCTCATCACTCACTCACCCGGGCCCTGATCGCCGTTTTGTTTTGTTCCATGTAGAATATAATGTAATTGCAATCTGAATATTCATCATTCTGGGATAGAGATTCTCGCTCCGCCTCTCACGCCCTCCTTGATGCCCCTCATCGCATCACGATAGGTAGATAGAGCTGCCAAACCTCGCTTGGCACGTGACGCTCCTTTTCATCAATAATCTTCATCGTTTCTCGATTCGAGAGTCTAAACCAGCCTCTCACGGTTCAAGATTGTAAATAGGCTGGAGAATCCGATAACACCATTTTGCGATAGCATCGGTGTTCTTCAAGTCTCCGATCCAATCCAGCATCAAATCTACGCTTTCGCTCACCTCGGCCTCGAAGCGAGCGCCGCAGAGCTGGGTGCGGATATCCCGTAACATGGGGTTGATCTGCGTCATGTGCATTATGAGTAGTATTCCGAGGAAGTTCTGGCTCCAGCCAAAGAGCCATGGGATCAAGCGTTTACGGCGCGACGTTGGTGAAAGGAGGATTGGCCAGTTGAGGCAAGCCTGTGTTAGCTGTTAGTTTCGTTTACTCCTTGAAGCGACGAAGATTTCGCCTTTTGTGCTGGTGCAAACTTACTCGTAAGCACTCTGCGACCCCTTGAGCGTCTTCTTGGGTCATCTGCTCTGGGAAGTGCAATGCCTTGTAGACGAAAGGGCGATGCACCATATACTTTGCATAATAGTACCTCGTTCGCAACAACGCAACTTGAATGTCATATACGTAGGGGTAGTGGACAGGATCACTGTTCAAATCAGTTGTAAACAGAGGCGGTGCTGGGCGTGATCGCTGTGGGGATAGTGTTGGATCGAGTGGTTGATTGTAACCACCCGACGCTTGTGGGGAGGGAAAGCTCGCTGGATCATCCTCATCCCATTGCAAATCTCTGGGCAGCATGCTTCGCCATTGACTCAGTTGTGATGCGAGCTGGTTTAATGAGGTTGCCGAAGGACCGCCAAAGTCGCCATTATTTGAAGTCCCAGGTGTATCTCTACTCGCCATTGCTGTGAGACCCGTTAACGTATGACTCGAAGAAAGAGAACTCTGTGAAAAAAATTGCGCCACGTTACTTACATTCATAAATATTATTATGCATATTGGCACAAAGTCGTCGGAGAGCAATCTGCGACGCATAATGGGCTTCAAAGTGGGAAGACTGGTTTCCTCGATGATCTGCTTCACAAAATGGTGTATTGAACGAGGGAATGCCAACACGATCTTGTAGAGCCGAAATTCCCGTCAGTGGCACGTCTAACTCTAGATACAGAGTCCTGAATCCATGATTAAGATGGCTATACTAGCAAGGTTGGGTTGGGAACAAACCATTCCATAAGGAAGCAATGCCAGTAGACACGTTTAATGAGGTCGCCTCTCGGTGAGTTCCAGTCGATAGACGAACTCGTGGCTAGAACCTGAGCAGCCGAGGAGGCAGATACCGACATTCTCCAAAACTCCTAGCACCAATGTGTGAGTTCTGCGGGTTCTTTATTCTGGAGCAGCACACGTACCCCATGTTTTGAAGTCGCTTGATAATAAAGTCTGCAATAAGGGTCAGTTTCAACACATCGTTTTCTATCTTAAGTGGTCCAAGGAGTCTACGCACGCTGCCAGCGAAAAAATCTGAACATTCTCGAGTTCGCATTCTGTCAAACAGAAACCAATACGTTTCCTCGCTTCGTTAAATAAGGCGATTCCAGGAGGTCTCGTGATCGAGCCGCCCCTGACTCCACTAGGGCGACCCCCTTTGTAGACCTCAATAGGTTTGCCACGGGATCCGTCTATTGCCACTTCTCCGAGCGCAAATACCAGGAGCGCTATCACAGACTCAACATCTCCATCAAAGCCTTCTGAATGTACTTTTGATAGAGTATCCGAAATGAAGTTCTGTCGATCCATAAATGGATATATGAAGTTGAAGGTGTCGAAGTATGCGGTCGCCAAATTATTCATAACATCTTTCGTCAATGGAGGAAACGTGGTTCTAATACCTCCTGCTGTCCGGGTAGCCTGTGTTTGCATGCCCACAAACGGTCTCTCTGTCAAGCCTTCGTCCAGAGGGAGATTTGGTGTCTCCCGTTGTATTTGAACTAAGAACGCGGTTCCATCTTGTTCAAGAGTTTTCAGATCCCCTACATTTGAGGGCAGAGCTTGGAGCAATGCTTGTTGTATAATAGGCCATGTTAATATCTTGTGTGATGCAGAAAAATGTCGGTACGATTGATTGCTTTTAATGCCGCTCGGGCTCGGACGTAGAGAAGAAGAGTATGAACTTGGATCGACGTCGGGATTGAAAGACGGTTGACTGGTAGGAGAAGGCTGAGGCGGACCGAAGCCGGAAACTGAAATACCTCGGGAGGTGGGAATTCGATCAACTTTGGTCTCAAGACTCCTCAAGCGGTCCAGAATCTCTACCAAGGTCTTGTCTTTCTTGGTCGGTTGAACTTCTCTCCAGTTACATTCCAGCTTCATCCGTTGGCACAAGCCACACTTCGGTCGTTGCTCGTCACATTTTTGCTTTCTTGAACGGCACGTTTCACAGGCTCTGAGAAAGTGAAATTGTCAGTGTTTCTAATCGTCGCAGAAACTTTGGTGCAACAAGAAGACCTGCTTTTCGGGAACAGGAAAGTAAAAGGAGGGAGGGGGTTCGAGATATATCTCAGAAAGACAACGATAAATTTGAAGGAGAAATCCACTTGCTGGGCAGCGATAGCACCCCTACTTGAACGGGGGTTTGGAGGTGGACCAGAGCTAGCGCTCGAGGCTGAATCCAAGTTCATTACGGTTTAGAGTTCAGGAGGGTGGATGCTGGGGCGGCGGCGATATACAGCGAATCCACACAAATCGATAGGTGGCACCGAGGGGACTGATCGGTCGATGCAGGACAGGTGCGGATTTGGTTGGTAACAAAGAGATCGAGATCCTGTCCTGCGTTGGCTGGCGCAGCGTCGCAGCGTCGACTGCTCGGCGGAGAATCAAGAAGGAGTACTCCTGAGGCGTGATGCACTCTAGGCGAAGAAGTCGACCCTAACCCTCCACGAAGTCGAAAACAAACATCTCTGGTCAGGCGATCAGGTTTCGGTGGTTACTGCAGGGAGAGGCAAAGGGAAGGGCAGCAGCTGTGGGCGGGTTCCTTCCACGGGCGAGGAGAGGAGCGTACAGTCGGACAGTCGTCGAGGCTGGAGCTGGCATGGCAGACCGCAGCAGTGGCGATCGCGAGGTCGTCGTCGTTGATGGGTGCGGCGACAGGCTTTGGGATATGTACCCTTAAACACACAAAAGGATTTGGCATCGCTTTTTCCAGAGTCAAATGAGTGCTCTCATCGGAGTAGAGCCCGCCTCCGTAGATGGCCACTCTGACTTCTCAAATTCTCGATGGGAAGCCCTGTCCTTCGATAATCAGCGCTTTCTTGCCATCGCACCGCGCCAACTCTCACCAGCTTGCGGGGCCTGGACCCTCATAAACAGCAGCTTCTTATACAAGTCTGAACCCTCGCAGCAGTGATTGATGACCCCTGTGACGACATCCACCCGCGCCGGGCCTCGCAGTGACGGCTTCTGGCCTGCTACTTGTAGTCTTGCGCAGAAGACCCACCGCCCAGGAGCGCGGCGTGTTCGATTGCCACGCGACTGGAACTGCCCCGGCCGAAGAAGTGTGGTGCGCTGTTGGAATGGGTAACCTTAACTCGATTTCCCAGATCTGAAGGCCCGGCGCATAAGGGGCGGGAGGGTGACCTGGGAAACGCACTCACTGTCATTTCCGTCGCCGCGATTGTTCGACCGTCTAGACACTCCGAGCAAGTAGACAGACCTTCACTTCGATGACAGCTTCCGGCGCAGGAGGGACGTTGCAAGGGCTTCTGTCGGCATCGACATTCGCCGTGGGGTTGGAGCAAGAAGGACGCCGTGGGCCCTTTCCATCTGGAAGAAATTCCCATCATGCACGCAAAAAATTTACATGGCCTATTCTCAATTACAAGTCGCTGGATCTTTCATCCGGATGCTGCCTCCATTTCTTGGACCACATTTTCGACTCCTCGATTGACGAGACGGTATTGAAATCCGTGCGAATCAGGAACTGATGTAGCCACAATAGTCAGCTCAGATGAGCAACCGAGACCGAGGCAGCTGAAAGAAATATAAATACCCAAGGAATGAGATACAATAGAGCATTTGACGTTTGTCCAATCTCAAAGTTGAGATTGGAAGTCTTAAAAGCGCTGCTTCACTCAGAAGCTGCTCCATCTTGCACAGTGTAAGTTTCAGCGCAAGGACAAGACTGATGGGCAATGTCTCGTAGACGGAGATGATTGGCTTCTTGTCATAAATCATGCTTGAATCTCTACAACGAGGAAGCAACTTTGCAACTCGGAATTGAGTTTGAATGCGAGGCATCAATTTCGTGATCTTGCTGGGAAGGGGTTGTGGTTTGTTATATGTAAGTTCGAGGTTCCAGGAACGAGGTTCGGATGACCGCATTCATTTTGGACATGCCACGTTTATAAAAAGGAATTAAAAAACTGTTCTGCTCATTTGCCGTATATCCAGTAAACTCTCGCAGCGTTTTGTTTTTGGTTTTGTATGGCCAGCCAATGCATGCTCTGCTTCTGATGCTCCTATTAGACAAATCAAGGTGTTGCTACATAATTGAGCGCGAGACCAAGCCTCGTCTATTTGCGTCCTTTCAACGTGAGTTTCCAGGTTTCCAGAATGTATGAAATTTCAGAGCTGTAAATCTTCTCAATCTGGACGGATTGTTGCTATCTCTGTCGATTACCGCAAAGCTGTGTTGAATTACCCTTTTGGAGAATAGATGGGTCTAGACCGTAGCCATTCAAAATCAGGCCACCTTTCTGAACCCTGCAAATATCTTCAAAGGCTCTCGGAGTAACTATTTGACTCATAAACCGTCAACTCTTTAGGGAATCTTGTGCTCGAAGAGGTAATGGCCCCTGCTACTACCCTATATCGAACACAAGGTTAAGAACATGATTGGAATAAGAAAGTTGGCTTATTCTTATTCTCCTCCCTGGACTAGCACCTCTCCTCATTCAACTGGATTTGTATCACTTGAAAGAATGAACAAGAGCGGCCGTCTTGAATGCTCCGAAATAAATGTAAGATATCTGATCATCTCCGAATTCGCGAGCGCACTGTACTAGTGAAGGAAGCTCAAAAAGCAGTGGAGGTTACCAGGTCCAAGTTAGGTGCGAAGACCTTTTCGTAGCGGTGAGGGTCACAATGGCCATTGGTGGGTCAGGCACTAATGATAGCAGATGTGTATATCATACCATTCAAAAGGGATCTACATTTCATAAAAGCTCGCACCAACTATAACTTCGACTTCTTCCCCGGCTTTTGCCTGAGCATACTGTCGTCGAGCAGGTAATCTGGATACTGGCTCTTGGTGGCACCTGGCGCACCTGGAGTTCGCCAATCTCCTCCATCTATGACCAGCACCTCACCGTTCACAAAATTTCCAGCATCAGAGAACAGATATACTGTTCCATCAGCAATTTCCTTCACAGTTCCATACCTTTGCAATGGCACTTTCTTGAAAGCAGCACCACTGCTCTCAGCTTCTCTGCTTCCCAATCTCGCCATTCCTTCAGTTCCCATGATTGGGCCGGGCGTTATCACATTCGACGTTATTCCACGAGGTCCGTATTCAATGGCTGTGGTGGCGGACAAAGCATCGACACCAGCTTTTGCTACGGCTACATGGGCCTGCAGTGGCATGCCGGTGAAATGAAAGCTGGCAGAAATGAAGATTATACGTCCACCAGTCGAGGGGTTCGTGCCTGTGTTGGGGTTCTTGGATGCGGAGATGATGAGTTGTGGAAGAGTCGCTTTGAGGGTATTGAACTGAAGGACGAAGAGTCAGCATTTCTCTGTGCGGTAAATTACTGGCAGAGTTCAAGGAAAGGAAGCACTTCGGAAGTGTCTGAAGAAGGGGAGACACCCGGGACAAATCATATTAAGAGCGTCTTCACTCACGGAACCAATTGTATCGATATCAAGGACCGTCTTGAAGGCGTTGGCAGAGAGGCCAGAGATGGGAGAGATGAAGTTACCCGCGGCGCCGGCACTGAGAACTGTCAGCAGAAGTCCATACAATCGCAACTAGTAAATTCTCACATAACGTAGTCAATCCCTCCCAGTTCCTTCACGCATCTCTCGACAGCACTCTCCAAACTCTCTATCTTCCGGACATCTACGGCTCCAATCCCTATCACCTTGGCTCCTTGCCGTGCTGTAGCTATGCTTTTGGCCATCGTTTCCGTTTTCTCAACATTTCGTCCAATGATGCAAGCATTGGCTCCGAGGTGAACCAACGCTCTTACTTGGGCACTGCAGATGGTTCCTGCTCCTCCAGTGCAGAAGACGACCTTATTGTCTACGAGGCAGACGTAAGCTCGCTATTCCGGTAAAAGAGAGGGTTCAAACCAAAGATGCCATCCCGCCAGACTGAAGATAGATACTCGGATCTCGGAACGGCCATTTTGTCTGCTGATAGTGAATTGAGGCTTGTAAACACGATGATGTTAATATGTAGCAAGAAGAGTTGAGCAGAAGTCTTGTCAGACGGGTAAGATAAGTGCAAAGCTCACGGCCGTAACATCTTACGGGCCTTCAATCAAGCTCGCAAATCGTGTACTTGTGAATCCGGGGCAATTAATTTAGACCTCGGCCTGGCTGGCAATTGAGAAGCGGCCAGGCACAGAGGCAAGAGCGGCAACGGGCAGGGATTCCATTCTCGGATTAACGCAGAGCCGACAGCTCCAGGGCTTCGACGAATCCATCGAAATCGATATCAAATCTCAACCTCACGTTGTTGGCACGAAGCAAATCCAGTTCTCTCGACAACGCCAGAGCATCTAGTCAGGAGCGCAACCCTGATCCGACACCATGGCCTCGAGAACGGTATCGACGCTCAAGTTCGTGGGCTCGATTTCGCTGGGCCTCCTCACGGTATGATAACCCCTCCAACATATTCCCCAAACCCCGATCCTCTTCCACCCCCCCTTCTGCAAATGTAAGACTTCTAACAAGATGTCTATCTAGGGCCTTTCCTACACACTCAGCACCCTCACCCTCCCCACACTACTGACCCTCCCCACCGCCTCAAGCGCCTCGAAAGCCTTCACAAACCTCACCGTGCTCTCTCTCGCACACATCCGAACTCTAGCCAACATCTCAAGCGGCTCATTCCTCTTGGCCTATATTCTCTCTCCCCGCAACCAAAAACACCCGTATCTGCTGTGGACCACGCTCTTCGTGGCCTCGTCTGGATGCACCGAGTACTTCCTACGGTTTGCCGTGGCTGAGAAGGCGGCTGTGGGCGCGCGGAAGAACAATGTGAGGAGGGATAAGAAAGGGAAGGGAAGACAGATGGATGCGTCTTATGAGGTTTTGGGTGCGGCTAGTGATCGGGAGAGTGAGGGGACTGCGAGTGGAGAGGAGATGGAGGAGGATGTTAATGGTGAGGAGGTTAGGCAGCAGATGGAGGGGTTCATGATGACGCAGGTTGTGAGGACGGTGGTCGCTGGTATAGGTTTCGCCATGAGCGTGGTGGGCATTTGGGGCGATGGGGCGGCTGACTTGGTCATTATTGAGATGTGAATGGGAAACTTTTTGGTATTAGGAAATGGAGTTGAGGCGAGATCGAGATTGGGTATTGGTGATCGTGGAAGGGAGGAAGAATGAAAAGTGAGCGATGGATGGAGATTGGTGTTTGTGGTAGATACTCGACTCCGTTTTTTCACTCAATATTTCGATGGGACTTGGGAGTGTTGGCCATTCCTTTTGGTGCCTTTGGAACTATCACATAAAGCTCCTCTACGAAAATACTACAGACAATTGACAAGTCAAATTAGCGAAGAAGATGCTGGATATCCTTTCGCGGTTGAGGATGTTAGGTTGTCCAGCCAATGAAGAAAGGGCAACACCCCGTCGCTGGCCTCAAGTGAATCATTGTCCTCCATTCTTTGTTGAACATCGTATCAATGTTCCAAAGATTTCTGGTACAATGAGAATGAGATTGTGAAGAGCAAGAGTGAATCTTGAATCATATCTGTCGAGGTTTTGTTGCATCCAATGTTCCACGAAGTTCTGGGATATTGTAATGATGTGCCAGACAAAACCCTGGCTTTGAAAGTCCAGCTCTCCACTTCGGGATAGACTCACCGCATTGTACCGGGACTTCAGGGAGGCCGAGGTAGCTAAATTTTAACTTTAATTATTTTGTACTCTCAACGATATGTATCTAGCATCTTGTTCATAGCCAGAGAGCGCGGGGAAGGATCTTGACGAGGTTGATGCCCAGAAATTTGACCCAAGGACATTACACCACTGTACGCATTCCTCCTTGATGTAGTCGAGATGATCGAGCAGCAGTTTAATTCATCTAACAGCACTAAGAAGTTATGTACGCGTCCAGACTTATCCAGCGAAAGAACCCGCTATCCAGCATTGAATTACCATTTTCTCCAGCAATAGTGCGCCAAAACGTCTGTTCCTTGTACTTTTCAAGCCAAGCCTGTCATCTTGAGGATGTCGTGTTTATGGAAGAAGCTCCTGTTGCGTTTCCCAAAGACGTCTTGGTGCAGTTAGTGAGTGCCCCTGAAGATTTGGGATGAGACGACTTACACATGGGAATAGCCAAGAGAGAGATCACAACCTGGATGCTTGCAATCCACATGAATGTTGGGTAAACGCCGCCTTTTATGATCCAATCGTACGCACTAAAAGTCAAGCCGAAAGAGAAGAAGTTCTTCGAAAGTAAGTATGTAGCTTTTAAGATTGATTTGAGGTCTTACCTTGAATATGAGAATGCAAGTGAAGGCTTCTATGGCAATGTCCCCTGTGTATTGTCAGCGACTGTAACATCAACGACGTGATGTACTCACGATGAGCGTCCACAATGTAAAGACTAGCAGCAACGGCGCCAATGACCATACCACCAACTTGCAATCCAAATGCAAAAACAGACCACACCCAAGAATAATGGGTAGGGTTTGAACAAACAACACCAAATAGATATAGGCCGGTGCAACCAAATATCGTTTGTGGAATCACAAGAACAATACGGAACTCAGGCTCGTAGATGCCGTTGTTCTTGCGGGTCATATATTTGGCGCTCCAATCTGCGAGACCACCAGCAATCAGGAAGCCGATGACAGAGCCAAGGAATGCTCCGGTGTATGCGTAGCCTGTGTTAACTTCGCCCCAAAATAGAGGCGGCCCAATGAAGATTGCAGCCAGCATAATTCCTATGAAAACTGTCCACCCGATCATAGTACCTTGAATTAGGCAAGCCCAAAAGATTGCGGGGTGCACAAAAAGGGGAAATGGTCTGAGGAATAGCTTGAAGAAATTGTCGTCTGTCTTCCGGCCACTGAACGGGAGGAGCTTCTCTTTGTAGGTCTTTAAGGGAGTGTCGGCTCCAGCGAAGTGATGATCATTTAAGACAGGTTGGCTTCCAGGTTCAGGAACACCTTTCTCTACTTCTCTTTGCGTGGTATCTGCCGCCATATTCGGCTCGATTTCAGTGCTATTGTTGGCTTCACGGCCAGACTCTTGAGGTTTGCTAAGGGGTTGGAGGTCGTCCGTAGAGGCTAGATCGGTGTTGAGGTGAGTTGATCGGCGATATGCTGTCTCTGGTACGAAGAAGAACAGTAGCGGCAAGCAGACGCCGATAAATATGGTGACAAAGTAGAAGGACCACCACCACCCAAGTGTGTGGGTAATCTTTCCTACCAGAATTGGTGTGAAAAAAGCTCCACCGAAGACAGCGAGATTGGTCAATGCCATTCGTTTACCACGTTCCTATCGAAAGATGTTAGTCTGATGTACGAGAAATGGGCCTTTCGGTGCTCACATGAACGAAGTACATATCTCCAACAGCAGCATTGACAAGCGCTTCAAAAGGAGCAGTGCCAATGCCTTGGAATATCCTTGCCCACAGCAGACTGGTGTAGCTTCGTGAAGCCCCTCCCCATCCGCTTGAAAAGACTAAGATGATTGTTCCAAGTAGGAACAAGTGCCGCTTGCCCCATATGCGAGCCGAGGGAACGCACAATACGCCAGCAATTCCAACGCCCAAAAGGAAGTATCCTGTAAGCTCGGCAATCTTTGTGAACTTAACCAAGAAGACCAAGGAGAGTGTTATGGTGTTCGCTGCGAGTATCGGTCCAAGAGATGTGGCGAAAATCGAAACTACGGAGAGGATAAGGAGAATAACATCGCGTTTCCATAGTGGCCAGTTCTAATGGACATCGTATTAGCAAAGGAATCACACCATAGACAGGATTGCATACAAGAGGATCATTTGGGTCGTCGCTTGGTTGCGGGACGAGAATGATCGGAACAGGACCAGAGGTATCGCACTTCAGGCCGGTGGCAGACTCAGATGTAGCTGCTTGAGGTCTCTCTGGGTCGTCAAAATATCGCGTGGTGCCTGCTTGATGTTATTCCCGGTGTTTCGTTGCTTGGGAGTCGCAATCCTTACCTGGAACATGCTCCATGCTCTTGCTTTCTAATATCCACATCCCCATCTTGATTGTTGGTTGCGGGGGTTCCCCACGCAATTCGCGGAATTACCAAGCCTGAGAGGAAGGTTGAAGGACGACTTAAGAGTTGAACGTTGGGACAACCGTCGAGAGCATTGAAGAATGAAGTCTACAAATCGACCGTGAAATGTCTCAAATACGAGGTTGAGGCTGAAGTCGAGTGGTCCTATTCGAGGAGGGGATGGAATTGGCTAGCCCCTTTTGAATGTCGGCAGCCAATAGCGTCGAATAGGATCCATGTGATCGGGAAGCCACAATTACAATAGGTTCTGGCCAGCTCTCCCTGCTTTCGATTCGCACTGCTTTGAAGATCATGAAACAGGATATTCATGTTGTGCTCCTTCCATCTCGTACAAATTTATAATCTCAGACCAATTGCAACCCGGTCATCGCGTCAAGCTGAGAGAGCTCAGTACAAGGGGTCTACACGAGCCGATCCGGGCAGGGTCTTCCAATCTAAACAACAGAAAAGGGATATATCCACATCTTAGCCCAGAAAGCGTCCAGAGTCTCCAGGCGATGCTATTCAGGAGGAAGACACACACGAGATCGCAACAGCAACCGTATGCAGATCTCGAGAATAGGGTTGCACGATTTATAATTATTACAATTATATAATAATCAAGTCCAGCGTAATTATATAATAATCAAGTCGCCAATATTATAATGCATAAAATACTGCATAAAATAGCGTATAAAATAGCGTATAAATCGTGCATAATTCGGCACGTGGAAAAGGGTAAATTAGTGGATTTGATTATTGGGGAGGAGCACGAAACCGCGCTAGTCAAATGGAGGCTTCTGATTGGCTATGTCTCATATGCAAGATAATATCACCATAATCAAGTCAGAGTGATTATTTTACGATATTACGTATTCAAGTCCTAAATTATATAATTTTAGCATCTCTACTCGAGAAGAGTTGAGCGTTGTCCATTCTGGGTGCGGTCCAACATGGCTGGGCTGGGACAGGATGGCAGGGCTGGTTGGTGGTACGGAGATTCTTCGTGTTCGAACTTTGCACAACACCCGGTTGCCAGAGACGAGAAGTCAAATCAGCACAATCAGGCGTGCCAAGCCAGAAGCTGCAAGATTCCCCAAATCTCCCATTGCCGTTCTCCAAACCTCTCAATGCCGGCATTTGATCTTCCAGAAGTTTGTTTGGACGAGGTTTAAACATCAACCTCGATCCTTGATGTGATTGGGGTCGCCCCGGAGAATCCAAACCCTGATCGCCGTTCGCCGTTTCGACTCGAGCTTGCCAAGCGGGGGGTGCGGTGGGTCTAGCCAAGCTGATTGGGCAGGATGACAGATCAGCTACTCCCCATTGGACCTAGCCTGGTCCCAGCCCTGGAAAGGCGTGTTCTGGCTGATTGCGGTCTCAAGCGATTTCCGCATCCCACCAATCCAACTCGAGGTGGCTTGTGTTATTTAGGAGAAGATGCAAGATCTCGCGGACCCGACGGCCGCGACTCAACTCAAACCGCTCCCAAGGTGAATTCGTCGTGACTGCCACCTCCCGTTTGTTTCCTCCAATCTTCCATCCACCATCTTCCATCTCCATCTTCCATCTACGGCTTCCTTAAACATCAGTCCCTTCCCTCTCTCCGAGCACCCAGATCTCTATCTACCCCTTGTCTTCGGATTACTTCCGATCGCCAACTCCAACCATGAGACTCTCTCTCCTTGTTATCGCCAGTGGACTGGCAAGTGTCGCCTTTGCCCAAACGGCCGGCGGTGTCCCGTCCTGCGCGGTAGGTTATATTCCCTCATATTCAAGTGCTTGATGTTGTAGCCACTGACAGGTGTCACAGCAACCCTGCGTTGCCAAATTCACAACTGGTTCCACAATCGCTGGCTGCAATGGCCCGGACGTCACCTGCATCTGCTCGAACAAGGACTTCCTGAATAATATCGCATGCTGCTTGGTCGGCGTCTGCAACCAAGCTGACCAGGACGCTGCTACTCTATATGCCCATCAGATATGCGCAGCGAATGGTGTCACCAACCTTCCAGCGTCAGTGGTTTGCTCGTCATCTGCAACAAGCTCAACGTCAACCGCAACTGGCACAAATGCGGTTTCGGCGGCCACCACAAGCGGTACCTCAACGACAACAACGGCGGGTACCTCTGCAAGCTCCTCGAGTCCTACGGCAACAAAGAATGCTGGGCCTCATAATAATGTTGCGGGTATCGGTGCCGGTATTCTTGGTGGATTGGCCGCAGTAATGGGTGCTTTGGTGTAATGGTGATCTTGCGAGCTGTCGTTGTTGATCGTGGCCCGGGTTGTCGTCCAAAGGGCTTTGGCTTCTTTGCTTTTTGGGAGTTGCATTCCTGTACGGTTGTCAATGGCGCATGTACATACCATTCATTTGGCGTTTTGTGGATCAGAGCCAAGTCTTCTTTCCCCTTTTAGACCGGCTAGGTGTTGTTTTTTGCTTCCCTGCAGTGGTTGTAATATATATTCCTTTTTGTGACTCCCGGTTTTCGGGACGGCGAGAGCGATTCTTCAGCATGTTAGACATGCATAGGAGGGAGGAGACGTCGGTCAAGTGCCAATCTGAAACCCTCGCCTATCATCAAGAAAACATTCAACCAATGCATTCCGTGCTATGGACATTCTGATTTTAGATCTTACAAAACCTATGCCGAGGCTGGCGAGGAGAAAGCGCCGCCAAGACAGGATATCAGTTTCGATGTGTTTGGCCGAGCCTTTTTTCCTGAACCTCGGTGGCTTCCTTGGTGACGGCTCCCATGCCCATTTCTGAAGATCGCCTTCACTCCGTATGATGCTCTCAATCTCCGACGACGAGATAACAGGGCATTGTCCAGATAAAACCAGCATAAATAACGCTCAACGTTTCTTGAACCTGCCAGACCTGGATTGAATGATGGGGTACAGGGAACTCCCCCTGACAGATATAACGGTTTCCGGGCAGTTATCGGACGACCAGCTTTGACCCCAGTGTGGCTACGCTTGCTCCCGCAACATAAAACTGGACGCTTTGGCCTTTGCCTTGAGCGGTGATATCTAGGCATGTCGTGGCAGACGATCCAGCATCGATCATGCAATAAGGTGATTTTGTGGGCGCTTGGCAAGCAAACCCGTTGCTGTCTCAAAAGGGTCGGATTATTCAAACCATCGAACGCACAGATGTCGCCAGCTCTTCATGCCTGAAGCGCTCGAGAGCCGCACACGCGGACAGGCGATGATCGAGACCGAATTTGGCAACTGGAGGCTTTGACAGATGACTTTGACTATTGACCCAAATATTGCTGACTGTGGTATGATGGACAATGTCCATGCCGAACGAAAAGCGGCCAGCTTATGCTCGAGCCCAAACTCGCAACATTGTAGTCAATTCTCTAAACAAAAGGTACTCAAATTCTCTCAGATCGAACGAAAGTCAAGATTTCAAAGACCCATCAAAACCAGAAAACATGCAGCCCGCTGCCATCATCCATCCTTGCCGTCCTCAGTACCGCGATTCCCAGAAATCCCAGGAGGTGGATTCCACCCCTGATGAGATGTTCCGCCGCACAGACCTGTGTGCATGGAATTTCCTTTTTTTCATCTCGCTATGACGTTCCTCGCGGGGTACCCGTTTTGGGACATGGTGACACAAAATCTCTGGGCGTGGGATGTGAGAGGTCCCATTCCGGGGCAAAGGGTGGCATCATGGCATGTCAAGAATCTCTGGCATCAATTACACTGGTGGAGATGTTGTTTCTGCGAGCATTGTTTGACAACGATAACCGCCCAGAGAGGCTAAAAACGGCATTAATATCCTCGAGGTGTAAGACGGCAGCGCCTCCCTGAGTCCCCGACTCCCTGCTCGACTATCCGGGGAGAAGGGAGGAGGGAGGAGGGAGAAGGGAGATACCGTAAACGCTTTGTCGAGGGAAGGGACGATTGAGCCTTTGAACACGCCTCCTTTCGGTCTATCACAGGGCGACCGCGCACTTGGAAATCACCCTTCAACAGGAACTCGATTTCCTTCTCCGAAGTGGATCTCTCAACGCCTTGCTGTGCTCCATGCCCGCAGCAGCGCGGCTCAAGCTATCAACGATCAATCCCAACGGCTACAAGTATAACAGCTGTGCGGAGGCAGGTTTGGCGGCTGTCGGCGGCGGTTGACCTGCGCCAGGCCCGCCTCTTTTGCAGCGAGGAAGTGATTTACAAGAAGCCGTGTGGCTCCATTCCCTACTTCCTTGCATTGTCATCTTGGTAAGAGGGGCACAGTGCATCGCAGATTCGCAGGTGACAGATCGGCCAGCAGGTTGCACCTGCGCCAAAAAAATCCACGTTTCTTGCAAGCATCCGGGATTCAGGCCGCCGTGCCGCCCAGACCAGCACTGAACCGATCTTCCCATTCTGTTCCCATGGGCCATGGGCCATGCTGTCACCAGCACCCAGCAGGGCCAGCACCAGCACCAGCATCGTTCGCCTCGTTGCTTGGACCACCTCACACTTTGCGCTAAGCGTGGGCACCTTGACGCGACACCACGCCATGTCACAGACTCCCTCAACCCTCGAGCGGTGCACTGCTCTTTGTGCTGCGATGCGCCGCTGGTCACAGACAGCCCCCCCAGAGCGGTCCCCAAGTCCAGGTCCACGGCCTTGCAGCTCAGCCCGCAGACGACCATCCACGCCGGCTGCATCGGGCGCTGCATTCGCTGGTAGCCTGGTACGCAACTCCTGACTCGAGAGCTCGATTGAGTTCCTTCCCCTCCATGGCACCCACCCCTCCTCTCTGCGTCAGCGTCCGTGGGCAAGCGACACTCCCAGGGGTCAGTGCCAGGGCCAGTGCCGTCAAGGTGTCGGCGTCGTAGGGCCAGGGATGTGTGTGCCGGCCGGTAGGGGGTCTGAAAGTTTCTGAATCACTCACATTCCGAGCACGAGATGGTGGATCACCCTCGCAGCTGCTCGTCTCTCATCTACTCGTTTCTGCCCGCTCTGGGGGCCCTGCTGCAAGCTCCAGCCTACCGCAAACGGCTGCGTGCGTTTCTGCCGCCGTCGAACTCTTGTTACAAGCAACGGCCATAGCTCAAGGAATGTGCACCTCACATAAGTCATTTGTGCCCGCCGTTTAAAAGTCTGTCAGTTCATGTTCTTGCCCATCTATTTGCTTTTATTATCCTTTGCCAGGGAACCCCCGGCCCAGTCTCTGCCCCATCTGTCCATCTTCTATATAAAGGCATGCTGAACGACAAGAATCGCCCAAACTCGACTTCAGTACTCTTCTTCCTCATCCCGTACTGATTAGCGAACACCCTTGGTGACACTTCACTCGAGCCTCATCAACTACTTGGTGAGTTGAATAGCCTCTACCGTGCACCTGCCCTTGCTAACAAGAGTCTTCAGAGTCCTCAGTTACCTCCACATTTATTTATACTACCTTCAAGATGTGCGAGTATACGAAAAACTACTACATCTACACATCATGCATGGATCCAGGGGCTCACTTCTTTGGAACATCGGTTGACGGCAAGCGAGAACATCGATGTCCAAGAGGCCCTCACGAAAGGTACATTGTGGTACCCGGTCATTGCCCTCTGTGCAACTCCTGACAGCCATGATGTCGACCACCATCGGTTGGGTCTATGCAGAGCCCAACCTACACCACTCAGCTGCGCCTCGGGTAACATTTTAGATTTCGAATTGGATCACACGAGGAATTTGAGCACTTTCGACCGACACGTTTACAATTGGTCCATGATGGTTTTCAGCGGGGCGTCAACGGATGGGAAATTTGGGGCACATTTGAGGGTTCTACACTCTTTCCCTGTACAAGTTCATTCCCTTCATTTTACACTGGAGAGAGCTGGGTCTCGGACAAAATCCCTTGAAGGAAATGTGTGGACGTATGGAAGGATTACACGATCGGTGGAGGATATAAGGAAAAGTTGGTTGGGAAGCTAGGAGGCAACCTCAGGGGATTGCAGCAATTCGAAGGGTTGACGGACTGTGGGTTGACGTGTACTTACTGAGTATCCAATCAACAATATTCAAATCACTCACTCAGCGTGCCTTGATTCTGCGTTGGCATTGTCTGCTCTTATCCTACCAAAGTGGACTGTTACATGTGCCAATCTGATGATACGAGCTAGGCATCAGAGTTTCTTGACAAGTGTTGATAGAATGCTGCGAACGCGAACAGGCTGCATATATCAAAAGTTTATATACCCACCGACCGCAACGCCAATGCAACAATCTAAGGGCGGCAAAAGACCTCGGCTATCCTCGCGAAGTTCCAGCTGGCCATACATTCTCTTTTGCGAAGCTGAAAATCAAGCTTTCAGCGACACGAGTGCACCATTGTAAAGTCTTGTCCCCGCGGCGACTCAGTTAATAAGTGGTGATATAGATCACAGCATTCGGCGGAAACGATTTCCGTAGGTCAGACGTGATGCGTGGCAGCCATGATGAGCCGCTACTATCTCCCCCCTTGAATACTTACAGTGGGTCCTTTAGTAACGCCACCCTGAAACCTCGTTTATAACCCCCAACTAGGAAATATCAGGTGCTATCCAGAATCGCTATTGGCCATACACCCTTGAGTTGGTCAGTGCAGGAGTGGTGTTATCCCAGGACCCACTGTAAGTATTCAAGGGGGGGGATAGTAGGGATGCCTGCACTCGGCTGCGAGGACTGCATTGTCTCCAATACCATCTTGAAGCGCATCGAGCTACTGCGCTGCTGCACTGCTGCACAGCAACCAATTCGCAAACCTTAGTTGGGGCTTGGGGCTCGTTGGGGGGATGTCCGGGTGCATTGCCATGCCATGGGCAGCTGCAGCGGAATCGTTCAGCCATGCCGCGTCCTTTGCGTGCAACGGTGCTTGCAGTGATAGGCCGTCCACAGAGCGCCAAATCGACGCCTCGTCATCGAATCCTGCAATCGGTCAGGAAGCATGTGATGGCCACCTTTCCTGCTGTTCTTCCTTGTCCTATATTTGCTCTCCTCATAGTTTTGCAAAAGTACTCCGTAGGTTCAAATCTTTAATCTTTCGCTTTGGGATTAGCACAGTCCGGGGTCGTGCGCACGGCCCTGACCCAGACCAGCTGCTGAGCAATGCACGAAGTTTATTTGGGAACCCATGGCGTCTGTGGCTCCAGATCGCGTGTTGAGCTCTTGGCATCAGTCGACTTTGAAGCAAACGCTCGACGGTCTTGAATCCATCTTTCTGCGGGCCTGCATATTTCTGCGGGGAAATTATAGCAGGCGATTGTTTGACCTTTGAAGTTTTTTCTTGGATAGACAATATCTGGAGTTCTTATGATCCGACCATCACGAGGCCAAGTTGACCATGCCCCCACGTTTCAATGACTTTATAACTTCATCTCAGCAAGTGGGGTATGTGTGATTTCCGATATCGTGTCAGATGTTCAATCGAACTTTATCAGCGACTTTTGACAGCTGGTCAGCATACGTATCTCCCTTGTAAGGTGTATCCAAAGGCCCTGTTATAGTTCCGTTGATATTGATTTAAAGTTTGGGGGATCGTCTTCCTAGAGAGCGGAAGAAATGGTGAAACTTCGTACTCGCTGGCACAGTTCGGACCCGCACTTTGACCTCCATCAATGGTTAGTAGCCGACTAAGAGTCTACAAGTGCTACTGCATTGACCGCTTGTCTACAAATTCGGGGCGGAGAGCAAGTGACGGCAAGTCTAACACATGGCTGAGAAGCAGCTTCTCCCGTAGCTTTGCGAGTGTTGAGCACAGACACCTCAAAAGTCTTTGGACGGCTTCCTCTCCGTCAAGAGCCGCGGTTCGCGAGATTTTTCAGCCTTTGTTCATCGACAATGATATGCTTTCGAGTATTACTAGAAGCGTAGCTATCGTGTACCAATCTCTGCCTGCACGCTCAAGACTATGTAGACAAGGCTTTGAAACACTACCTAAAAGTTTCAAATATCTTTAAGCTACCCTCACGTAAATTTAGTCGCGTACTTCAGCTAGCGCAAGGACGTAAGAAGAAAGTTTAACCTAGCTCGAACGAGAAGATTGTAATCTTAGATAGCTTTCAGACATAGAGGTTACGTTAAGATACAGCTCTGAATACAAGTCTGCAAATTACATAGAGGTCTCGACGGAAATAGTTCCATATTTGTGAGACTTTCCACGATTCAGTAGAAACTAGTTTTCTGGGGAGCAGGGGTAGTCCCTCCGTTAGCTACTTACGAAGTTACGAATCGCAACCTACGATCTTCCCCCGTGTTCATGTCGGGTCTTGAATCTTGATGATGGCTCAAGACTAAAAAACTTAAGCTTTCTGGAAGCAGTCATCATTCAGGGCCGAATGAGTACAGCAGCGTTTGACTTCGACTTCGGCGAAATTCGGCTTGCTAAATGTTTATTTCTCACGGAGGTTTAGGACAGACTAATAATAGTGCCGAGAACCGAGGTGCTCCAAGTTTCCAGATGTTAAACTTTTAGTCTGGCCGAATTCAACAAACGAGCTGCTCCTTGTTGACATAAAATGCGGCACTCAATTCAATGCCCTGATTGAAGTTGGTCATTGCAAAAGCTTCTCTCTAAATGTTCACTTTTATTATTGTACGTTTGAAGACTGCTCCCTTTAGATGTCCCAGAAACTCCCGTACATTAGAATCCCAGCCCAGATAAATGGACAGCGTTGACTGCTTTTTCCGAGTACGATTGTCCTTCCCCACCAAGAGTGAATTTGTGCCTTCCCAGATTGCTCGGAAAGGGACGATCAACGGAAAATACCCACTCCAAGAAATGGAAGAAGAGACCTGAGCGTCCTTAATTAGGGAGGATCATTCCTACCAAGAATAGCTTCGAGACTCGAAAAAGATATGAGTTGCCACTCCTCGATCACGTGTCGGATGCCACTGCCGAATAAGGTTTTTCTTTTTCTTTTAGCAATCACGGGCAAATCATGGCCACCCCCACAGTCGAGATTTCATGCAAATCATGTTTGGTTCCGCGGAGATCAGCTCATCCCCACGCTCTGGAACGGCGATTCGGATATCCCACAAAACTTGATACCTGGAGGCGGTGGGGCCAAGAACCCGCAACTCTTCAATTATCCACATTTTGGTAGGAATCGATAGTACCCGTGGGTTCCTCAATGTTAGAAGTACGCTGCATACATCCGCTATCTCATCTCAAAGAGCCGGAGGGTGGAAGTCTTGGAATGGTGATTTCCATTCAATTTTCAACACCAAGAGAGCCTCTCCAAAGTGCACTTTGATTACTTTCATATCCAAATACATTCGAGGCCGGAGTCTCTGGCCGAGGGGTCGTTCCACGTTGTGGCGTGTCTTCCCCTGATTCCTCTGCTCCAATGGTGACACCCTCCGCGGTAGTGACCAGGTATGTTGGAACAACCTCCTTCCTCTCTGGCTGCAGTTCAGAAACCGGCAAGCCACATCAAATAACGTCTTTTTATACTTCCTCATCCACAGATAAGCCCCTTGAGCTTGAAGATATCTTTACTTTTTCGCTCGATGTACTCCTCATGATAAGCTGGGTGCGCGGAGTCTTTTCTGGTAGTATTCGCACCCGTGAAACGGTATCTGGCTACAGCTGTATCTTTCTTTTGCCAGGAAAAGGGTCGATTTGCGATAAGAGACGGCCAGCTATCAGTCTCCTTGGGCACTCTTATAGTAGAGGAAAGTTCGTCATAATGTCGTTCATAACTGGCGGTTTCTTTCATTTATATCTTTACACTGTCGTCGAGGGAAAATGGGTGTGCTTTCGGCCCCGACATCACCTCAGAATATCCATGTTTTGAATTCCGTCATTCTTACTGTTTCTATTTTGAGCGCCCTTGGAGCAGGATGGATTATTCTAAGCTTTTTGGTTAGTTTAAAGAAAAGTTTAGCACTCAGGCCAGTCTAACATATCCAGCTTTTCAAACCTTTGCGGAGTTTTCGACATCAGTTGATCTTGTAAATTGAAGTATCCTCAGTTCTTCTTTGGAAATTAGCTGATAGCGCATCAGAGGACTTGCAACAAGTGATTTCTGGATGGCTATAAACTTTCTATCCTCATCTGCAGTGAACCTTTCAGGCCACAATATTGGCAAGCCCGAGATGAAGACATTTTGCAGCTTCAATGGTTTCAGTATCCAAGTTTTTGTGGTGCAAAGTATGTCTTGATCTATCAACTGCACATACTCCAAACGCGCCTGCTGACTTCCCTCGAGCCGATTATTGGGTTCTTACGATTGCTGTTTGCACATACTTAATTCTGGCAAACCACAGGCATCAGTCGAGTTGGATCCAAGACCACAAAGCGGTAGTATGGGGTCTCCCGTGGTTCTTGTCCATTCTTTGGGCAGCAATAGGACTTGGCATCGTAGGCTATGGCGATATTGGAGCTTGTATGTCCCCTTTAATCCCTCCACAATCATCCATACTGATAGAAAGAAGGGTGTTGGTTCACCTCCGATCGAATTCGCCTCCTCGTCAACTTCATCCCCCGCTGGCTAATAATCGTCACCATCCTCGCTCTTTACATCAGACTATACTTCATCATCCACACGGCCCACAACCGATTCATGTCTTTCGACGAAGATGGCATTGGTAGTTTGCAGACGGGGTCCTCGGCTATGAACATGTCTTCAAGTGCTGAAGAGGATTGTGAGCGTCGAGGACAAGTTGCACCGAGGAATACCAGAATAGGAAGAGCGTCGCCTGTTTTGAAGAGGGTATGTAATTCTCCCCATCCTTCTAACCCTACTGACTGGGAACAGGTATCATATCAAATGATGACTTATCCTCTTGTCTATATGTTAATATGGACGATTCCCACAACAATCAGGATTTACCAAGCCACGACTGGCAAATCGGCACCGTTCGCAATTGGAACCGTTGATAAGGTAGGGTGCGTTCCTTCATCATGTTTGATTCAAATTAACTGAAATAGTCTTGCATCGTTATCCAAGGCTTTGCAGACGCCCTGGTTTATGGCTTCAACGAAAATACGTGGTTGCAGTGGCGTGGAGTCTTCAGGAGGGGGAATTCTGGCAGCGATGAGAATAAATAATCTGGGCTTGGTGCTTTGCATTCAACGCGTTTCAATGAAGTGTGGCGGCTGCACACCTGTATTAACTTAAATGTTGGGTTCACATCCATGGGAGTTGGTATCTGGTTTTCCGCGGGAAGGAGGCTGTTTACCGTTGGGGTGTGGCTACCGTCAATCTTAGTTTGCTATATTTTGGAGCATCGGAGTGTTTCGAACTCTTGCTCTGATAATACATACTGACCGTGTTATTAATAACTTTGTCGCTTCAAAAGCTGAGATAGAAAGTGAAGTCATTCAGAGTCCCAATTTCAGTTAAGTAAAGTACTACTCTAAACAAGATCCCCAACAATAGGCAAGCTACTTGGCTCAGATGCAGGTTTCAAAAAGCCATCCTTTACACTAACTCCTTCCTTCTCCCTCCTAGTCCTCTCTCTCGCCTCCTCATTCCCCCTCTTCCACATCGCGATCCTCGACAAATGAGCACTATCAAACCCCTGTCTCCACCACTTGCAAAATTTAGGCAAAGGTCTTCCTTTCCCGTCCGTCGGCTCCCCAGCCATTGCCCGCAATTCCTCGAAATACTCTTCAAAATCTGGGTACAGAGCTGTGAATGGGACGCCGTCTCCTTTGTAGGCGATTCGGTCCTCTTCCCATTTGATTTGCTCACTGAGTGGGGGGAGGGTGATTCGACCTGCTAGGAATCTAGCTGCGAGGACAGCTTGCCATTCGAAGATCTTGAATGTAAACCTGTTTTCAGAATCTGGGATTAGTATTGCCTTCAAGAGCTGAGTTGCGGGTTGAGATAATTGCTTCTATGACTATTTGACTTCAAAGACATGGCCATGGAGTAACAGCTCGCAGGACAGCGTGTGAAATGAGAATCAATACTCTGAGAAATAGAGATTTACCCAGCGGATATCGCACCAACAAAACAGAGAGTAGGGTCTTCCTGCCAGAAGACATGTTGGTAGAGGTTTGGAAGACGATTGTTGCGAATCGTTTTGGCGAGTTTGGGGAAGAAAGGCATCGTCCAAGTATAGCCTGTGCCAAAGATGATGTGATCAACCTTTTCCAATTTCGTCCCATCTTCGAAAAATATTGTTCGCTCATCTGTTTCCCGATTTGAGATAATATGGGTGATCGGTGGGCGGCGAAGGATGTTTGGGTGTTGGAAGGCGAAGTCGAAGAAGTAGGGATGGTATTTCCCCCTTACCACGCAATGCAGGGGGGTTTCAGCGACATCAGCAAGTGCGTATGCTATGTCTGGCCCGGAGATCGATGCCCCAACAGTGACTGTTCTCTTGTTGCGGTACTTTTCTGGATTCCTCCAGGCTTTGCTGTGTTCGACGCTTCCTGGGAAGTCCTGGGCGAGCTCTGCAAGACCAGGTGTCAGAGGAATATATGGGACTGTATAGTGACCTGCAGCGACCACCACAGCGTCGAAAGTCTCTGTCCACCATTTGTCTTCTTTCCCGTGTTCAAGCGGCTGCCTGAGAGTTAGGATCCATTTCCCGGTCTCCTTATCTTTATGAACCAATTCGACTGTCGTGTTGTATGATACCCAACCTTGGTATCCATGTCTATTCAGTAGGTCTTGTAGGTAGCGCTCCACAGTTTTCCAATGTCGAAAGGGCGAGTTAACTCCATGTCTTTGGATATTCAATGGGGTCCTCTCTTCTGGGAATGGCTCTTGAGAGAATGACATTGCAAAAGCGTCAATATTTGTCTCCAAAGTTGGATAAATCGAGGTCTCAGAATACCGGTATTGAGTATTGTGAGGAGTTACAGCTGGCAGTTTTGATGGGATTGGCAGTGTCTCATCTGGGGTGCGAGCAGCAAGCTTCTCAAAATTCGGAAGTTGCTGGACATGGGCTTCAGGATCCTCAATCCTATAATCCATCAGAGCTTTCTTTCGTGATTGGAACAAATGGCAGACCAGCAGCCCCCAGCCTTTTCCCTCCGTTCAAAGACTCGGATTGTGTCAAACTCCTGCTCCTGAGCGAGCGCATCGATACATATTGCCCCAGCTGGCCCGGCGCCGATAATGGCAATTGACTTGATCGGAGCCATTGCAAAAAAGCTCCAGACAGTTGTAGTTCGAAATGTGGTTGAAGTTGACTTGTGGAAGAAGTGGAGATCTACAAAGCCAAGAATGGTAAAATCTGACCTCAGCTGCTAACTGTATACTAGCTTGGGCAGAATGATAACTACAAATCAGATAAGGAGGACTTGGATTGATTTGCACTTGGGAAATAAACAATGGAGAGTAGTGATATCAAAGTGAAATGACTTTGTGGGAGCAGAAGCGAGAGTTGAATTTAACAAAAAAAGAAGAGCTTGTCTGATAAATTTCATAACCCCTGTTCTCAAATATTCATCTTATCGATATTGCTCCAAAACAATCACATTGTACCAAAATTTTGGGTACAATGGAGAGATTGGCACCAATACCCGACTGCTATTTACTCCCAACTCCTGTTATCTTAATATATGAGATGAAAATAATATCAATGTTTATAGTGATGCTGGATACATTGGATACAGCGGAAAATGTGCAACACTTGTGAAAAGGCTACATTATGAGAGAGGCTTTAGCTAGATTAAATTTGCTTTTGACTGATAGGGGGCGCACAGTCCGTAGTCTCAATGTCCCACGCATATGCCAGGGCGATGTGCAACAAATTCTCTAGGAACACCATTCACTGGAGGGCAAAGAAGATAAGACGGAGGCGCTTTTCTCAGAGACAGATATTTGGCCTTGGCTCCTCTTTCTTCGACATCGCGGATTGTCTTCGGATTGTTGGACGGCAGCAGAAGTAAAGTTATGTTGAAAGTATTGGAGCGACGAGATCTCTTGGACTCCTAGGCCGAGGTACTTTCACTAACAAGGCTAGAAAAAGTGAAAGAAAATGCAATTTATGCTTTAAATAGTCCCGAATTCTCAGAAAAACTAAAATTATCTCTGTGGGCCGTTTTTAAGTTTCGTAAAGAGGTTGCCAGCCAACGTTTTGGAAAATACAAATTACACCTTTCTAGGCGAAGTGCATAAAAACGTCAGATAATCTAGGACTGAACTACAAAAAAACAAAATGAGGAACTTTCGGTTGATCTGAGTTTTGCATTCCAATATTTCGTCTGCAAAAGCAAAAGGTTCAGCCGGTGTAAGACTCCAGCTCCCTACAAAATACACCTAAACTACTCGGCGCTCCCTCCACCACCTTGCTTCTCTTTCAACCTTCTCAGTTCCCTCACAACTCCATTACAAACGAGCAAAGCCTCGTAATTCCCCAACCACTCACACAAATTATTCCCCGCCTCTCCCACCATGGCCCAGACATCACTCCCACCACCGCTGTCAAAACTACCCATAGCACTTTCCCACTCCATACCATTCCCATCAAGACCCTCACTCTGAGAAACACGGGAAATAATTTCGCCCCAAGCATACAAATCACGCATATCCCGTACTGCTTTTGCCTCCTCTCTGCGCGGAGCTAGGACATCGCTCCTTGCTTTTCGCCAGAGGTGAGTGCAGATTGTGGAGATGTTGTCCATTAGTGTTGGTGATCTACCTTGGTGAGCTTGTTGTCCAGGACGCTGGGACTGGCTGTAAGGGTGGTGGTGATATCGGGTAGAGCAAGAAGAATGACGACGGGCGGGGCGAAGCGTGGAGATATACGAGTCCGTGGCTTCCCTGCAGGTGTAGTACAAGTTGGCAATGAGAGACACGCATTCTTCGGCAATGCTCAGCGCGGGATGAACGGTGGCAAGTGAGCTGATGGACATAGACGAAATCGAGGAAATTGTTCTAGCTCGTCCAGATTCATTGAAATTGGTGCTGGCGTTGTTGGCCCCCGAAATGCGGTGTCCTTTTGGCCATTGATTTTCAGTTGGTGGCTCCGCATTCAGAAGGTCATTGATCGCTACTCTCGCATACTGATCCACGACGTTGTAGGCAGCTTCAGCGAGTTCGATTTCTAGAACGGAGCTTCGGAAGGGCAAGTTGTGTCTCGCGCGGTGGTGATATTCGATGTATAGCGGGTCCTGCTGCATGGAGTTCGGGGCCATACAGATCGTATCTTCACTAGAGGCTTGTGATGAAGCGGGAGTTGGCACCTCCTCTTCCCGTAAATTCTGTATCAAGTCAGAAATGATTCAAAAAAAGGGGAGATTTGAAACTTTCGACATAGGAGCCTTCTAGTCAACATTTTTAGGACGAGGATAACAGCTTACTTACCGGAAGTCTGCAATCAAGACAGGGATCACTTGGGACTAAACGCATTGGAGGCAGATGGTATGGATGCTCATCTGAATTCGATACAAGCACTTGAGGATATGGGGATGTGCGATTGGAGCCGCTGTTGAATCCGTGTCGGACACCACCGAAGTTGTTGTGGCAGTTGGAAGATGGTGCGCTCAAATGTACGGGGAAAGCGGGTGGTGGATGCATATGGCCTGGGTTGTGATTATCTTCCTCGATCTCCATTCTGAACATCGTAAATCGCATTTGAATCTACTAGATCTCCAAATGAAGACCAGTTCGATCAAATATTTTTTGCTGTGCAGAGACGGAGTATGGAGCAGCAGACATGGAGAGCTCTGGAAAAGATGTTCTACCTTTATAGGATATTAGTCTGCAGAAAGAATCAACGTGACTGCGCTGGTTGAGTGAGAGACTGTTCTGGAATGAAAGTTCAAACAGGGTGATTGAAAAGAACCGCAATGAAAACAGGTGAAAATTAAAAGCCAGAAGCTCCTATTGAATGGGATGTTTCATCAAAAGGCGCGAAACGCATCTTGCTTTCATTTAGTTCTACCTCTATGCATTCCAAATAACGATTCTTCCATCAACGCCGCTCGCTAGAATATGTCAGTATGTCTTCGAACATCCAAGATTCGTAGGAACTCACTGCTAAACTTTCGAACAGCACCACCTGACCCCTCATACACACGGATTGTGCTGATGGTGTTCTGATGCACCGTCTTCAATTGGGTATCATCGTTAGTCTTTCCTTTCAAGTCCATCTGCTTGAACATGTTGAAGGCGGATTCTTCTCGTGCAGCTCCAAGACCTGCTCGCCCCTTTGACTCCAATGATCCAGTGAGTTGCCACCCGCCCTCGTTTCCCTTGAAACGGTAAGCTTCACAGTCATATCCTGCAGCAATGATTTCGCTCTCGCCGTTCCAGATGAGGCTCATAAAAGGCAGTAACTGGGTGTTCACGCTGACGACAGCTCTTGGAGCTTGATCGGCACCGTTCGGGTACACCACGGTAATGCTGCTATCATGAGCCGCAAATGCTAGAGAATTTCCACTAGGAGAGAATGATACAGCATGAACCCAACCAGCAGAGTTGTTCAAATACTCTCCACAGACGGTGTTGAATGGCAGTCTTTCACCCCACACGCCAGGCTCCGGTCTTTCATCGACTCCTTTGATGAAACTCGAGAAGACTCTGGCATGTGCATCTGTAGAGCCAGCAGCTAGCAAAACAGAATTAGGATGCCATGCCACAGTAGTGATTGTGCTTCGAATAGGCTTCTTGATATGCTTTGACACCCACCAATCGTTTTCTTCTTCAAAATAGCAGATTGCAATGACTCTTGCGCCGGATCCTACGGCAAACTTTGTTTCGGAAGGTGACCAACGTACAAATGTTGCAGCACGATTAATTCGGAGAAGGACGAGGGTTGGTTTGTAGCCAGTTGGAGATGGTTCCCAGACCAAGGCATTTCGATCTTCCACTATTAGCATTCTCTTGAGGACAAAGTCAGCAGGTTACCAACCTTGCGAGCAAGTCACAATTCTCCCAGTATTTAACGCAATATCGACGCTGGTAACCAACTTGTCGTGTCCCTTCAACTCATCCTTCAGCTTGAATCCACTGCCTGTGCGCCCATAAAGCTCAACGCTGGTGTCTCGTGCCACGGCCAGTGTCTGCTTGTCTGCAGAGAAGGAGTGGTCTGCAATCGGGTGGTGAAAGAGATGGTGAACCTCTGGAGCTGCCATTTTGCAGGTGTTTGGTTGATAGGAGGAGCTCTCTACTATCACTGTTCAATGTTCCTAAGGGATTTGGGAGAATTCGTTGGATGAAGAGGGGTGACGAAGCAATGAGGTTGAATGTGGGGTGTTTCTGCCTGGGTGCCTGAAGCAAGGCTGAATTGAAGAAAATCACCAAAATTGCATATATTTTATCTAAAGCACGTCTACCCCACCACAACCTTCTAACTTCTAACTTCCCCTCATAATAATACCGACAATTTCGAAGTCAGTCGCCACCATGGCGCAAACTCTCGTAAGTTAAAATGCACAGAGAATTCTCAATCAACCGATTACTGACTCAACTATGCAGGCAAGAACGGTACCAACTTCTGGCACACGAAAACCCAATTTACCACCGAACCAGACCTTATACGTGACCAATCTCCCGTCTGCAAAGATCCAGAAAGAAGACCTACGCAGATCACTCTACATTCTCTTCTCGACATACGGACCAGTCCTCGATGTCGTTGCTCTACGATCTATGAAGATGCGCGGTCAAGCACATATAGTGTATCGAGACGTACAAACGGCAACCCAAGCTATGAGAGCATTGCAAGGATTTGAATTCTTCGGCAGAGACATGGTACGTCACTTCTAATATGCGTTTCCCATTGCAGCAATAAGCTAATACACTTTTCACAGGAAATTCAATATGCCAAGTCGAAGTCAGACACCATCGCGAAGCTGGATGGAACTTTTCGGATGCCTTCTGCAGCTGCTGGTGCTGTCACTGCGACGGAATTACAGCAAAGTATCTTCAATGCACCTCCGTCTGCTGCCACAACCGTCCCAGCGACACTACCCCCGCGACCTGAAGGTTTAAAGCCACCTTCTTCAGCTGCAGATCATGTTATGGAGGATGCCAGAAGTCCGACAGGGAGTGCTGCTGGTCAGAAGAGAAGGCGAGATGAGGAGGAAGAGCCGGAGGAGGATAGTGAAGGAGATGTTGCTATGGAGGAGGATAGTGACGACGAATAATAAGTCACATTGTGCCTTTGCGGAGCACTTGGCGTTGAGGGCAAGAAAATATGAGCATTTCAAGGCGTTATTGGAGTTAAGCAGCATAGAAAGATGCTGGGAGAATTATTGGACTCTAGGGTATCTCCAGGTCTACCTCCAAGAACCGAGTTCTGAACATCAACCTATTGGTCCTCTTTCTCGTCTCGGGCCATCTCAGATGGAATCCATAATCCTACGCAACCTCCAACTAACCCAATCCATACCATCAGATAGTCCTTTATAGGGCAACCAAAGCTCTCCATAGCTTCTTTCGTCTGACATGGATGAATGAAAAAAGCTGGTATATCTGTTATTGGATGTGGCTAGATCTTGGATTAGAAAAGTCGATACAACGAAAGACACACTGAGAAAGCTTACGGCTGCTGATACCCCCCCCGTCACACCAGCTGCCCGCAGTCGGCTTTTGTACTCGGGAGGCACGAGGTATCGATAGACGGCATCTACATCGAATGAGGGTTCGCCCATTGGAAGGTCATGTAACATGAACCAGAGAGTGGGCATGCTATAAGTTGGATGAAGATGGATCTCATATGTCACATACGGTTGGTGTGAATAGAGACTGTAACCAGGAGGTTCCTGCTTGCCTTTGGAATTTGTTTCTGAACTCGTGTGACTCCGAAGGGCTTCCTGTATCTCGCGTTAATATTTTCCGGTCGTGCAAGGTTGTATGTCCATCTCTCAAGATAATAAAGTACAGCACCTTACTGACCTCGTCTGCATCCTCTTCTGTTATGTCAATTTCCATGCCACTTCCCGAATTTAAGCCATCACCACCATTTCCAAGCTTTGAAAGTGCAAGTGATAACTCATCTTCGTCTTCTGGAAGTTGCAATAGCCGGAGAATCTCGATGTAAGAGTTCCCAGTCGTTAATGTCCGCCGTGATCTGATCTTAAAAATTTGTCTTGTTGGGCCTAAGCTTGCTCTGACATATCTCTGATCGAAGAAAGCACAGGCTAATTCGAATTCTTCTTGGTTAAGAAAAGGCCACTGCCGATACTCGTCTCGGTGGCGGGACATTATAGAAATTGTTGACGCTGTAAGGCTCGATGTTCTCTTGAACTTTCTCGATCTCTGGAGGCATGGAAAGACTTCCCCGCTCACGGCGGTCAGGTCTCAGCCGACGCTTGGTAGCAAAAATAACGAGTCTCTCTAACCCAAAGGCCAGAAAGACAACATAATATTTGCAAAACCAGATACTGCTTTCGCAAAATCACCAAGTCCAAAATCAAACTCGGCACGCGACTGGGACCTAGGGTTGTTCGGCCTCGTGATTCTGAGCCTGGACCTCTTGGCCTGCTAAATTTATCTCCTTCAAAAAAAGATTCTCACTTTTGGGAGCTTAAGAATCAGCTGATGAGTACACAAATCAAAGAGGTTGCAATACCGTTGCCATGTTTTGAAGTTTTGAAGGAAGAAGATTCGTTGTTGACGCAAGGCTGAGAAACATAATGTTGTTCGCCTATGCCGGCTGCCAAGAACCCCCGTACAACCAACTTGACAACGTGTACACACCCATACTGTAATTCAATCTTCTCTTCACTGGCTTTGTATTTGTGCTCTATTTGTCGCTCCTTTCAGAAATGACCCCACATATTCGATGAATGTGCGCGACCCCTTCAACCTCCGTCGCTCTTCCGCGTTCAATATCCTACGAGGGACTGCGACCCAAGCGGCTGCGAACGTCACTCAGAGGGTCAAGGAGGCAGGGGCTCAGGCATACGAGACTGGAAAGCAGGCAGTCGAAGATATGTCGACCTTTTCGGTACCCAGGAACGTACCGTCCTTCACGAACCCTCAGCGCGAATTGGAGAATCGGGTGTGGGGAGCTTCAGGAGTTACAGCCAGATCGGCCACACATTCGAACGGGGTCATAAGTGGCATGCAAGATCGAATGGGAGGCTTCTTTGACAAGAGCAGAGGAGATCTCCCGATGTATAAGGACAAACCATACACATATGCCTCATCACGACGGCAAAGAGGTATCTGGAGGCGGAAACGGACTTTGGGCGTAGCTGGGGTGTTCCTGTTCGCTGTACTATACTTCCTGGGATTCTTTGGCAGTCACACCAAGAATGTGGAAAAGGTTAAGGAGAAATGGACTTGGTTGCAGGGGCCGGAGAAAGCAGGGTCCCGAGTGGACTGGTTGGATCGTAGGGAACGAGTGAAGGAAGCTTTTACTTTGAGCTGGGATGCGTATGACCGTTATGCATGGGGTATGTTCGTTCCACACCCTACTACCGCGTTCATGGGCGAAACCAAGACTAATTTTTGTAACTATAACAGGATTTGATGAATTTCATCCAATCTCAAAACGTGGACGGCAAATGGCTCCTAAAGGCATGGGTTGGATCATTGTCGACGCTTTGGATACCATGATGCTCATGAATCTGACATCCCGATTGACGCATGCAAGAGAATGGCTGTCAACGAAGTTAGATTACGAGCAAGATCAGGAGGTTAACACCTTTGAGACCACAATTAGAATGCTTGGAGGTCTTCTATCGGCACATTACTTGTCAACAACGTTTCCAAACATGGCTCCGTTGAGGGATGACGACGAAGGCGCTGCGGGGGAAGATTTATATCTGGAAAAGGCCAAAGATTTAGCTGACCGTATTATGGGAGCATTTGAGTCTCCATCGGGGATACCGTTTGCAAGCTTTAATTTGAAGACTTTGCAAGGGATTCCCTCGCACGACGATGGTGGAGCATCTTCAACAGCTGAGGCTGCGACTTTGCAACTGGAATTGAAGTATCTGACAAAACTCACGGGTGAGACGTTCTACTGGGAAAAGGCAGAGAAAGTTATTCAGATCCTTGACGACAACGGGATGGAGGATGGACTATTGCCAATCTACATCTACGCGTATGATGGCCATTTCCGGGGAAACAACATTCGACTTGGAAGCAGAGGAGATTCGTACTACGAATACCTAATCAAACAATACCTACAAACGTCGAAAGAGGAGCCAATCTATGAGGAACTCTGGAATGAGGCTCTGGCAGGTGTACGGAAGCACCTGGTCACCTACACTAAAAATACTCAGCTCACCATCATCGGTGAACGCCAAAACGGTTTACAGAGTCCCCTCTCTCCCAAGATGGATCATCTTGTGTGCTTCATGGGAGGCACCATTGCATTGGGCGCAACTGGTGGGCTCACTGAAACTGCAGCCAAGAAACTTCCTACTTGGACTAAGAAGAAAGATGAAGAAATGCGACTTGCCCGGGAACTAACACGGACCTGCTGGGGAATGTACAAGGTAATGGCTACAGGTCTTGCACCAGAAATCGCACATTTCCAGATCGATGATCCACCACTTCCAGAGTCCGCACCACATACGGGACCTAAAACATTCGATGACGCCGGCGACGGCGAATGGAGATCAGATTACGTGCTCAAGTCTATGGACAACCACAATCTCCAGCGGCCGGAGACGGTGGAGAGTTTGTTCTACATGTGGAGGATTACCGGCGATGTGATGTACCGGGAATGGGGATGGGAGATGTTCAAGTCCTTCATGAAATACTCCGCTGTGGAAGAAGGTGGTGGTTTCACAAGTTTGTCCGATGCCAATGTCATTCCCCCGGTAGTGAGGGATAACATGGAGAGTTTCTGGCTTGTCAGTAGCCCCTTTTCATCCATTGCTCATCTAGACTGACATGAAATAGGCCGAGACTCTTAAATACTTCTACCTCCTCTTCTCACCTAACGACCTCCTCCCACTAGATGAAGTCGTCATCAACACAGAAGCGCACCCGTTCCCGCGCTTCAAGCTAGGCCCGCTATTCAAGACTGGCTGGAAGAGGAAGCCACGTGGTCCAGACGGGAAGATAATTCATGAGCCAGCTCACGTCGAGGGCGAGATGCATCCGGTGGCAACGAAAACTATTGGGCAGATGCTGCCAAGTCCGTGATCTGACATAAAAATATTGTACATATAGGACCAGGGGTTGGCATTAGTGATGCATTGGCATGTACAGGAAGTACATAACTGTATCTTGGTGTAATCAAAAACGAGGTGGGCGAGCCTCACTCTTTTCGTCGTTATGTTGATGACTGTAGCGACGGGAGATGCCTTCGCAAGTGCTTCTAGTGACTCACATACCATATTTGGAGTTGTTCGAGTGTGTCAGTTTGAGTGATGTGTCTTCCTCCTCGGGCCTCGGGTTTGGTTTTGAGCATTCCAGATTTTTTCACTCCGATGTGCGCTTGAGTGACTGTCTCCTTGGACAAGTCATGCCCTGGACTTGATGCGGGGCCAAATGGCGCGGGGCCAGGCTCTTCGGTCCCCAAAGAATCTAACCACGGGCCGTTACCAGTAGCCTAGGGTTCTCATGTTCTCCAAGAGTCTAGACCTTTCAGACTTACTATCTATTACATTTTTGAAGCTCGCAATCGATCTCTCTGGATGGGGGAATTTTTTCTAGCACACAATCGTCATTGAATGTCGATAACGTATTGATATCCCCCACCTTACCCATAATTACCTTCCTGAACCCTAGACTCTCCATGTTATGAGAGTAGTCAAGTAAGGGCACTGGCTCGTGGGGTTTCCATTGTCGAAAGGATGAAGCAGTAGAAGTCTTAAGTAAGATCACTGCAAGAACCCCGTGGCTGGGTCCATAAGCTGACAGGGGCCAGTCTCCATAAGGCTGGGTCCAAGTCTGTCAGATGAGGCAATCGTCATCAACTACCGACGGAGAGTGGTTCACAGGTTAGCTAGTTTGCGGCTCCCCGCTTGATGTATGACTCTCCGAGAAAGCCTGGCCAACCTCCAGTAGAGCCTTCTTCACGCCAGAGGTACGCTCACGATCCAGCTCTAGAGAGTCCTTGGATGTAGGTGATTCTTCGCTCTCGACTCGCCGTATGGACCCTTCACGCCCGTCATAGAACTATCTGAAGTGGGGTGGAGGTTGCCAGACTCCGGTACTGTCAACAACATTATCAGCCACCATCATCGAGCTTTCTCAGACGGTCTAGACGGTCTGTCAACTCGCTCAACATACCAAGTCAAAAGCTAACAGCTGGAATTAACCAATTACTTGGGCCGTTTCCTTTTCATCCCTCGCTCTGTCGAGCCTGTCCAGTGACTTGGCCGCGTGGTGCTTGTTGTCATCTGAAGAAAACGGCAAAAGACTTGCTTCACCGAAGGGACACATGATCAGAGACACAGATTCCCAGTGCCTAGGCCACCAAGCTTTCCGGTGTCTGTAGCTCCGGGAGGCTTCGCTGGGCATGCAGAGAGGCTCCCCCCAAGAATTCCACATACATTGATTGAAGTGAGGTCTTGGAGGTCTTGGCAGGAGGAAACTCAGCACTAGGCCCAAAACGGCAGGGCTGGCCCTAAATTAGGGTTCTCTAGCGTGCCTGTCAACCATGCGGCGACCCCCCAGCCAATCCCTGCGTTCCGCCAATCTGGATTTCGCGCGCAAGATAAGGATGTCACTCCTTTGAGGCCAGCTGAAAACCACGGTTCCCAATGGCTCCCCTAACCTCTTCGTCGCGCCCTCGCCTCGCCTCGCCTCGCCTCGCCCTCGCTGCCCCTCTGCCCCCAAGGACATCGCGCAAACCTCAACCACAGAGCATGGCGAACGGTTGACTCTGCGTCATGGACGACATCGCCTGGAGCTATTGATTGATGCGACGATTATCTAAATAGATCCCGCCCCCCTCCGCCTGGAGCAACGCCCTCTTCTTTTCTCGCCTCTTCAAGAGCCTGCCCCCTCAGCCGTACCTCTTCTGGTCCCTCCAGCAACCTCCTTTATACCTACAACTGAGGCAGAGGGGCGCGGCGTCGAGGCCTGCAAATCATCTGCAACCGCCATCATGAGCGACCTAGCGGAGGTCAATAACAACAATGACTTGGAGAAAGCCAGTGTGTCAGATGTACAGCCCCCCAGTTACCGGGTTGACTCTGGTCGAGAGCCCAATCAAGGGGCGACAACTGAAGAACTGCCGCAGAGTCGTTGGTGCCGCTTCGTGGATACCTTCAGGCGGGATGAGAGCCAGTCTGTAACACCAAAGGGCGCCATTGGCGCTGACGGAAAAGTCTACGATCCTAAGAATGTCGCTCTTGCTACTGCCAATTCCCCTCTGCAACGGAACTTGAAGGCACGGCATTTGCAGATGATTGCTATCGGTGGCTCTATTGGTGAGATCCATTCCCTGCTGCCAACTGACAGATCTCTGACGCATGTTAGGAACTGGTCTCTTCATTGCCTCCGGAAAGGCTCTCAATACTGGTGGTCCCGCCTCGCTCGTCATATCTTTCAGTCTTATTGGCATTATGCTTTACTGTACAATCCAGGCTCTTGGTGAAATGGCTGTTGTGTTCCCTGTTGCTGGTTCATTCTCTGCCTACTCGACTCGCTTCTTGGATCCATCATGGGGCTTTGCAATGGGCTGGGTAAGAGGCACCTCCCTTTCTTTGTGAAAGCGCCTTGCTGACAGAGAAAGAACTATGCTATGCAATGGTTGGTAGTTCTACCATTGGAGATTATAGCGGCTTCAATTACGATCAACTTCTGGGATGACGAACAAAAATATGATCATGCTATTTTTGTCTCAGTATTTCTTGTTGTCATCATCAGTATCAACATGTTTGGCGTCAAAGGTTACGGTGAAGCCGAATTCGTCTTCGCTATCATTAAGATCATTGCTGTTATTGGATATATGTAAGCTTGCTGGTCTTATTCCGTGAACAGTTGCTAATTGTATCAGTATTCTCGGTATAATCTTGAATGTTGGCGGAGGTCCCAACGAAGGCTATATTGGTGGTAAATATTGGTCCAATCCGGGTGCCTTCAACAACGGCTTCAAAGGGCTCTGCAGTGTCTTCGTCACGGCTGCCTTCGCATTTGCAGGCACTGAATTGGTCGGCCTTGCGGCTGCTGAGACTGCAAATCCCCGCAAAGCGTTGCCAACGGCATGCAAGCAAGTGTTCTGGAGAATCACGATCTTTTACATTGTTTGCCTCACTATCGTTGGCCTCCTGATTCCTTACGATGACCCACGACTGTTGAACTCAGGTTCGGCAAACTCTGCTGCTTCGCCGTTTGTTATTTCCATCAAAAATGCGGGTATTGAGGTTTTGCCATCGATTATGAATGCTGTTATTCTCATTGCGGTTCTGTCTGTGGGCAACTCGTCTATCTTCGGCTCGTCTCGAACTTTGGCTGCCCTTGCGGAACAAGGCCAAGCTCCAAACTGGCTTCGATATGTCGACCGCAAGGGCCGCCCTTTGACAGCCATCGGGATTGCATCGGCATTAGGCTTCCTCGCTTATGTTGCAGACTCCGATGCCCAGGGAACAGTCCTGGAGTGGCTGCTTGCGCTCAGTGGCCTTTCCTCGATCTTCACTTGGGGTTCCATTTGCCTCGCCCATATTCGTTTCCGCGCAGCATGGAAACACGAAAATCATCTGCTCTCAGACCTACCCTTCCAGTCTCAACCAGGAGTAATTGGTTCCTGGATCGGCTTCGGCTTCAATTGTGTGGTTTTGGTAGCTCAGTTTTGGACCGGTGCATGGCCCGTTGGCTATAAAGAAATGGGCGTCACTGAACAGGTCAGGAGCTTCTTCCTTGCCTACCTCGCAGCACCCGTAATCCTCCTTTTCTATTTTGGACACAAGGTGTGGACCAGGACACCTTGGGGTGTGAAGATAGGCGATATTGATCTTGACACAGGCAGGAGGGATTTGAATACTAAGGAGCTGGTGTTGGAGGAGCAGGCTGAGCGCGCTAGCTGGCCTAGGTGGAAGAAGGTATACAAGATTTTCTGCTAACATATTGCTTTGCTTGTTACCCTAATGTTACATATGTCGGGAAGATGGTTAGAAATAGGATGGAGTGTTTTTGGATATGGAGTTTGTCACTTGGGCAAGATACCTGTACGTAATCTTGCGAGCATTGTGAGCGCGGCGTTCTGTGTTGGTTCTAGACGAGGGATTCGAGGCTGGGACAGTCTCACGGGTGTGAAAGGCATACAATCGACCATTGAAGAAATGTTTTCATGACTTCTCACATCTCAAAAGCTCTGCGTGGCATGCCGACTTTCATTCAAATGTACCAGATAATTCCAAGAATATGAAACAATTCTGTAGAATATAAAATCTGTAGAAACAATGTATGTACATCTGACCCACCTCACCGTCCATCAGTCGATGTCTCGAAGCTGGGGCGTCGCGAAATGGATGACATCTGCGGCCGCTAGCGGCCCTGGCAAAGGAATGTCACTCCCCGAATATGATTCGCCAAAGCTACCCCTGCAAGGAGATTTTCGCCTACCTCGTTCAATCCGCCTTTTTGTCTTCCCCCATCTGATTGAACCACATATAAAGTCGGGTTTCCAGTAAGTACAGTCTCTTTTACTCACCACTTGTCAACATCCATTCACTCCAAGTCCTTCTCACGAAGTTCAATAAACTGCAAGTCGATGTTGATTTGTTCGACTTATTACTTGAATCAAGAACATCCATCCTCTTTCTGAATTTGGCCTTAGACCTGGAAAGTGGAAAGTTCAACGAAGATGTCAAAACCCTTCTCTCCAGAGGAGATATCTCCTCCTCTCAAATCTGAAATCCAGCCCTCTCCCTTCTCCCCAGACATCGAGAAACAATCTCCCCATGAACCATCCACCACCGAAAAAGAATCCATCTTCAAGAGTCTAGGCTGGCTCGATCGATTTCTCGCCCTGTGGATCTTCCTCGCTATGGCGGTGGGTATTATTCTAGGGAACTTTGTACCGAATACCGGGCCTGCGTTGCAGAAAGGGAAGTTTGTGGGGGTTAGTGTGCCGATTGGTATGTTGTTCCTCTTTTCTTCCGAGAGGCGAGATGAATTGTTGATGTTTTGAAATGGTAGCGGTCGGCTTGCTCGTAATGATGTATCCGATACTGTGCAAAGTTCGGTATGAGACGTTGCATAATGTGTTGGGGAAGAGGGATATCTGGACCCAGATTTTGTTCAGCGTTGTTGTGAACTGGGTTATTGCTCCGCTCGTTATGGTATGTTTGTCCGAGCTCTTGAACTCTTGTTCGACAAGATGGATGTTGATTTGTAGTAGCTTGGTTTGGCGTGGGCTTTCCTTCCGGATAAGGGGGCACTAAGAGAGGGGTTGATTCTTGTGGGACTTGCGAGGTGTATCGCAATGGTGAGATATGCGGCATATCCGTTGATTGTCCTAAACTGACGCGAACTTTCAGGTTCTGATATGGACCGGCCTAGCTGGAGGGGATAACGAATATTGCGCTATCCTGGTGGCCATCAACTCGATCCTCCAGATGGTGCTCTACGCACCCCTCGCTATCCTCTTCATCAAAGTCATCAGCGGAGAAAGTGGGGAACTGGACGTTGACTACCCGACCGTAGCCAAAAGCGTCGCCGTGTTTCTTGGCATTCCTCTTGGAGCGGCTATCGTCACTCGATTCTCGCTGCGGAAACTCGCCAGTCCGAAGTGGTACGACCAAGTCTTCCTCAAGTTCGCAGCTCCATGGTCCCTCATCGGCTTGCTGTTCACAATCTTGATCCTGTTCGCGTCGCAGGGAAAGAGGGTCGTGCATCAGATTGTCTCTGTTGTGAGAGTGGCTGCTCCACTAATTGTGTACTTTGCTATTATCTTCTTCTTGACTCTTTTGGTTACGTACAAGCTCGGATTTGGGTATAAATTAGCTGCTACGCAGAGTTTCACTGCCGCGAGCAATAATTTCGAGCTTGCTATTGCTGTGGCGGTTGCTACTTATGGTGCGAACAGTGATCAAGCCTTGGCTGCGACTGTTGGGCCGTTGATCGAAGTGCCAGTGCTATTAGGACTCGTGTACGTGGTGAAGGCGATTGGAAAGAGACGTGGGTGGAAGGATTAGTAAAGGGAAAAGATGCTTTGAAGTGATTCTCTTTCTTGTATCATGATGACTTGAGTAGGTACTACCAAAACAAACTTAACAGACACAGGAATATGTGAATCAAAGTGAAAGAGTACTTTTCAAAATATGGAGATGCAGCTGGGAGGGTGTACACTTGGAAGGGCGCCTTCTAGGTCCCGATAAACTGCGAGACTTTAGAATAAGCACACGAATGCTCATGCTTTGGATAGCAAAATTCGAAAATCAATGGCAAAAACGGACACCACGACGAGAAAAGAGTGACAAAATTACTGAACTTATGACTTTTGATTAGATCTAGCGGCCTTCTTTGGGACTCACTTTCATTGCAGGCATAAAAATGGCTTTCTGCTTGAGTCTTGCAGCCATCGGAGACTCGCTGTCGGACTACAGCATAAGCAAGCTCCTCTGGATCTAGGTACTTGATTTATTTGTGGGGCGTTGAAACCGCCGTATCCTCGTAAGAAACGGACTTCCCTAGGCCATAAGGTCTGGAGGACCTTGTCATCCAAATGTCTTGTTGTTGAAAGTCGGCCTCAAGCCACTCGTTCAAGCGATATCACTCAACCAAGGAATGCCCAATTTTTTCATCTCAACTGCCAATTGGAAGAGGTAGTCCAGACTAGAGATAATCAGAGACTTTCTGGACAAAAGGAATGGTACAACTCACCTCTCAGCCTGGGTCTTCGCCTTGTGCACAGTCTCGCCCCAGACATAAAGCCCATGCCGTCTGACGAGCACCGCATATGTGTCCGGATATTCATCCATGGCTGTCTCCAAGCTCTCGGTCAAATCTTCTTCATGCGGTGTATTTTCAATAACCGGGATCCTCAACGTATCGTGGTATCCCAAGTTTCCCTGCTTCTGAAAGCCCTTTCCAAAGCCTTTGATTTGCTCAATGTTATTGATTTCGAAGATATTGGTATTTAATGGCCGTGTTTCGAGGAGGAGAGTGACCAGGACGGCCCATTGGGAGTGTGTATGGATGCAGCATCCGGCGTTGCGTTTCGTGAAGGCTGCCATGAAGAGTGGCGTGCATTGCGAGGGTTTGAGAGAGGGAGGGGCACGTAGGTATATCCGATTCTTCGGATCCTTTTGCTGGGCGATTGAGAGGACGTAGATGTCTTCGGGTTTCATCAGCTCCTTCTGGACGCCGGATGGAGCTAGGTAAACCAGATCACTGTAGAGGATGAGCATTCATTCAATTTGATGCGAAGGCTGAAACTACTTGTCACGAATGCTCGTTCCCCCGCCCGTTCCAGCAACCCAGCCGAGGTGATAGAATTTCTCGCAGAGAGTACAGATCAGGTTGGCGGGGTGCTGGCTGTCGGTGGATTTGACGAGGTGATCATGGTTATGGGTGTCTGTAGGCTCTTGGAAGCTGGTGGGAGCCATAATGGGTAACCTAAAACTGAGCTTTCAGGATGAAATCTCAAGCTCAAGAGGAATTTGTGGTGTATCAACGACGCAGGAAAACGTGGGACAATTTGTGGCTGCGAACAAAAGGAGGCTGCGATTTCGCAATCCCCAGCCAGCGTATCAGACCGTGAGCAGCCGCGGGGCAGAAAAACAGTAAGGCTGGGGAGGGGAGCGAGAGGTGGCTTTTGCATGAACTACAAACTTCACGCTCATCTTCTCTGACAAAGGCATTCCCAGTCCACCAAATTCGCTGGGATTCACTTAGTTTTCGCAAATACGATGAAGTGATCCATGAGGGTTGGACTCCTAATGGGACCAACTGACAGAGGTCTTTCCACTTTCCAATGTTGCAGTGGAAAGTTTGGTGCTGGAGACTTTTAGCGGGATTCGATGGCCCTGTCCGGCACAAGCAAGCTCGATCATTGGACACGCACAGCTAATTGAAGACGGGCACAGAAGGTGTTATCTGAGTCTACCTGACACCCAAACGGCGAGAAGTGAGGCTATCCGCAGATATGTTCGTCGTGTATTAATATAAGTGACTTTGCACTACCTATCTTGACACGTATCATCAGTGCCCTTTGCCGCGGCAGATATAGCAGCTTTCCATTGATTTCTGAAGCTATTTACTTAGGCGAACCGGCTGACCCCAGGATTCTGAAAGGCCACCTGGCACAAGCTTGAGAGACCACCTCGCTCTACCGAACTTATTAAATCCTCAGCCTCCCACATCCACCCACTTCTGCTTTTCTTCCATTCCATCCCATCCCTCGAGCTCTGGAAGCAACACCCTTCTGCACAAGTCGGCTCTTCCCACCCTTCAATTCATTTGATCGCTCGGATCAATTCTTTGGAGCTGTGTCAAGATGCGTTTCTCTGCAACCGCCGCCATCTCTGCGGCAGCTTTGCTGGCCGGAACTGTCAGTGCTGATGCACAGTCTGTCATCAGTGAAGCCAGCTCTTCTGTGTCCAGCGCCGCCAGCGATGCTTCTTCTTCAGTAGCTTCATCGTCGACAGCCTCTCTCCCAGAGCTCCCGACCTTCACTGTGAGTTCCCCGCAGACCGAGAATGACGAAAACCCAATTGCGCAAGTGACAGGCTAATACGTTCCTTCGCAGCCTACTAAGCTCAAGGCCGACTTCCTTGAGCAATTCACAGACGATTGGGAGGCCCGATGGAAGCCATCCCATGCCAAGAAGGACACAAAGGGTTCTGACAAGGATGAGGAATGGGCATATGTCGGAGAATGGGCTGTAGAAGAGCCCCATGTCTACAAGGGCATGGAGGGCGACAAGGGTCTTGTCGTCAAGAACGCTGCAGCTCATCATGCCATCTCTGCCAAGTTCCCCAAGAAGATTGATAACAAGGGAAAGACACTCGTTGTCCAATACGAAGTCAAGCTTCAAAGTGAGTGCATCCAGAAGTTTCAATTGGCATCAAACATTCACTAACAGTTCTGCAGATGGTCTCGAATGTGGTGGTGCTTATTTGAAGCTCCTTCGTGACAACAAGGCTCTCCACCAGGACGAGTTCTCCAACGTCTCCCCTTATGTTATCATGTTCGGTCCCGACAAGTGTGGTTCCACCAACAAGGTCCACCTGATCATCAACCACAAGAACCCCAAGACTGGCGAATATGAGGAGAAGCATTTGCAAACTCCCCCGGCCGCCCGAATTGTCAAGACTACCGAGCTCTACACCTTGATCATTCACCCCAACAACACCGCCATCATTAAGTTGAATGGTGAGCAAGTCAAGGAGGCCAACCTTCTCGAGGACTTCACACCCGCCTTCAACCCACCCAAGGAGATCGATGACCCCAAGGACAAGAAACCTGAAGACTGGGTTGACACCGTCAGAATCCCAGACCCAGAGGCCAAGAAGCCAGAGGACTGGGATGAGGATGCGCCATTCGAGGTCGTCGACGAGGAGGCTACCATGCCAGAGGACTGGTTGGAGAAGGAGCCCCTTACCATTCCTGACCCAGAAGCTACGAAGCCCGAGGATTGGGATGATGAGGAAGACGGAGACTGGGTCGCCCCAACTGTTTCCAACCCCAAGGTAAATATAACGTTTCTTCACTCAATTGACCAATGCTAATATCTTACCTAGTGTGACGATGTCTCTGGATGTGGCCCATGGACCAAGCCAATGAAGTCGAACCCCGAGTACAAAGGAAAATGGACCGCACCTATGATTGACAACCCAGAGTACAAAGGCGAATGGGCGTAAGTTATCCCGCTCTCAAGATTTATCAAACGACTCGCACTGACTTCATATTTCTTTCAGACCAAGGAAGATAAAGAACCCCGACTTCTTCGAAGACAAGCACCCCTCGAACTTGGAGCCTATGGGCGCCATTGGTTTTGAGATCTGGACCATGCAGAGCGATATTATGTTCGACAACATCTACATTGGTCACTCCATTGAAGACGCCGCGAAGTTCGCCGACGAGACCTTCAACGAGAAGCACCCCATCGAGCAACTGGTCGAACTTGCCGAGAAGCCAAAGGTTGAAGACAGGCCCGAAGCCAAGTCACCCAACGACTTGGTCTTCCTTGACGACCCAATCCACTACATCAGAGAGAAGCTTGATCTCTTCTTCGCTATCGCCCAGAATGACCCCGTCCAAGCAATCAAGTTTGTTCCTGAAGCCGCCGCGGGTCTTGGTGCGGTTGCTGTTACTATCATCGCCATCATCGCCGGTATCATCACAATGAGCGGTGGTTCTGCCGCTCCCCAAAAGGTCAAGAAGGTTGCAGGAGATGCCAAGACTGCCGCAGCTGATGCGAAGGATAAGGTTGCGGAGGCGGTCTCTACTGGAGCTGATTCCGCCAAGGATGCTGTCAACAAGCGCTCTACCCGAAGCACTGGCTCTTAAATACCGGCCGAGGTGAGGTAGAAAGACGGGTCAAGCGAACAAATGCGAGGTACGGCGGAGAAGGATGTCATAGTAAGCGAATTTGAGGGGAGTGATTCATTTGCATTTGCATCTCTCTATCCGTGGGATGGGTTCCGGGCATTCAAGCAGAACACCTGTATTTTAGGCGCAAAAAAAATATTCGGAGTTCATCTTCTTTGCGGCTCATTGATTGTGATTGTACTGAGTATGTTCTGGTGAATGAGAAAGGAAGAAATCGCTTAGCACGTGGGGTTTAAGCGAGACCCCTTTATCATACTTCAGACGAAACTCGCCTGCCCGCTGCAGTAAATAATTGTTTTCGTTGTGTCTAAGCTGTTAAGCCTGGCAAGAAGTTGAATTCTCGCAATCTATCGTCTAGTGTATCCCTTTTGTAGTAGCACCGAGTGCAAAACAATATCAACATGAAGTCATCCCCATCATCCTCTCCCATCCACCGTCCCAAGAAACCACACTTCACTTCCCACCCCCAGCCACACTTCTATATACTTTCCATGTAAAACTGCGTGCTCTCCTCGCTCATCGGCGTCTGCAGACCCTGGCTACCAGCACTATTCATCGTCGCCTGGCTCTCATCGCTCCCTTCAACCTGCTCCCGCCACCGTTGCGGCATCAGACCCTTGAAATTAAACGTCCCCTTCGAGCTGCGCACCACCTCGCCTTTCTCGGTGATAATAGCATCGATCAGCTCACGGGGCGTGACGTCGAACGAGGGGTTCCAGACATTGATTTGCTGGTCCGCGATCGCTACCCTCTCTGTATGATTGACATCTACTTTTCCATCTAGTTTGCCTACGACAGCGCCACTGATCTGAGTGAGTTCCGTCCCTGTGCGGTCTTCGATCTTGATTGAAGCGCCGGATTCGGTGTACAGGTCGATACTCGTCGTCGGCGCAGCGACCACGAACTTGATGCCGTGGTGCTTGGCGAGCACGGCGAGGCTGTATGTCCCGATCTTGTTGGCTGTGTCGCCGTTGCGGGCGACGCGGTCGGCGCCTACGATGACGGCGGAGATGTTCTTCTCTTCCTTTCGGCGGGCGAAGAGAGCGCCGGCCATGGAGTCGGTGATTAGAGTTGAGGGGATATTTTCGAAGACAAGCTCGAAGGCTGTTAGGCGGGAGCCTTGGTTGTAGGGTCGGGTCTCGGTGCAGAACGCTGTATCGAGGTAGTTCATTTTGTGCAAGCTGCGGATTATCCCTAGGGCTGTGCCGTGGCCGGAGGTTGCGAGGGAGCTGAGATGGTTAGCTGAGCACGAATAGAGCTCGAAGAAAGTATAATATACCCGGTGTTGCAATGAGTCAAAACACTCAGCTTTCTATATGTTTGATCGGGTGCCCCTTGAGTTCCTGGAGGACTTGTGGTAAAATACCTCAACGAATCGGCGTTGGCGACTGGTGTGTGGATTGCCACCTGCTGTCGTCGAAGATATTCCGCGCCGTATCTTCCAATAGCCAAGTTCGTTGTGAGATCATCCTCCAGTATCTTCTCCGCACCTTCAATGTACGATAGTCGGATATCCGCGCAAGCAAGTGTCTGGTCAGGGGTAAGGGAGTTGGCAGCGGTATCGGCGGACTTCTTCTTGAGGAGTTTGATGGCATTCGAGAGGTCAACGGCTGTTGGACGACTCAACATCAGGTAGTCGAGTTTTGAATTAATGTATTTGATGGTGTCTAACTTTTGCGTGGTACCTGTATGAAATTAGCCATCGGAAGCGGAACTCAAATAATACGTCCTACCATCTTTTTTGTGCTCCAATTCAACAGCCAGTGCGAGTGCTGCCACAATTGCAATTGCTGGTGCGCCTGGTCAAGCCTTAGCTGCGAGAACTTGCCACAGACACACCCTGAGATGTACCTCTGACCCGCATAGACTTGATGCAATCGAAAGCTTCTTCGCAAGTCGAGACATTGTCGTAGACGAATTCGTGGGGCAGCTTCAGTTGATCCAAAACCTGGAGCTCGCCTCTCACGTACTTGATAGCTTCGAGGGATGTCATTTCGCCGGCTCGTTTTGTTTCGACCTTTGGATCTGATGAGAATAGAAAAAGTGTGCACTCTTCAACTCAAGGGAGTGAGAGCTTGCGGTGAATGCTGACATTCATTGATGGTTAAGTTTAGGTTTTCCTGTTCGGAAAAAAACAAAATACTTCCGATAATGGGAATTACCCCGCCACCCAGTCGTATCTCCACGTGATGAATACCCTCCCATTCCTAGAAAAGGGGACCCGAAAACGACTGTACAAGTTGTTACACAATGGAATAATGTTTTTAATGTACTTAGTAAAATTCTGGCATTTTTATATTTATGTTTAGAGCCACAGACATGTGAAGTTGAGGCTCAGAGCTTCTCGCCTTGCAGCCTGTTCCTCCATCCAACAAGCTCATACAAACTGGAAGCGGCAACCTCGCAGGAGAGTTTTGTAAACCCCTGCTGAGAAAATGCTTTTGGTCGTCAAGAGGAGGATCCTTCCCAATGAAAAAAGTAACCGCAGTATGGCTGATATTCTGCACGGAACTGGGATTTCTGTCATACTGATCGGCGACGCTTCTCAGTCGTGCTTGGAATGGTCTGACTGAAGCTTGACGATTCGTCACATTCGACAATTATGAAACGATCTCTCATGTACTCATCCCGCAAACATCAATTCCCAGCATTGCTTGTGAGTATTAAAAGGTTGCTGTCGGAGCGAAGCCCGACTCCCCACCTCTACATCTACAATTCCGTCACGCACTTAACGAGTCGCAAAGAAATCTTGATGCTTGTGAACCGATAAATGCTTTCATTCTTGTCTTTCGTAACCTCTTCCACGGGGGCGGTAAGCACTTCCAATCCATACATGCAGCGCAAATTACTGCTGTCCAATGGTCCCAAAACGCTGGAGAGGGTGGTAACAAGTCTGGGGAATCATCATTCAATCATGCCGTTGCGCGAACCTCCATTCATAAACTCCAAGCGCCAAATGCACAATTCGCGCCACCCAAGATGATCTCTCCTATTCCAAAACACCGTTGACAAGTATGTTCTTCCCAAAGACCTTGTCTTGCGTATACTGACGCGGTCAAATTAATGTTCTGGACAGATTTACAAGGTGGTTTAGGAACCTGAGCGGTCTCTGCTATTTTGATTCACTATTTCTCCCGCCCGTAGCAGTGCGCTGACTGGATCCAGGATGTTGTCATCTGCGCAACTCGAGGACATTAAGTCCCGGTGTCTAGCATCAGATTGCGCATCATGAGGAACATTTTGCGGAGCTGTTGCGCTGTAGCTACGGAGTGGTGCCATTGATGAGGGAAAATCCATCAGAGGATGAATACCTAGCAACGAATCAGCACTTTCAACAACCAAAACAACAGCTTGAAACGTAAGAAAGAACCCGAAAATGGAAGGGAGAGACATGGATGGCGTTGTTTGCATACCGTTCGGGGATTGCTGAGCGCCATACGTCGATCGAGGAGATAAAGATGGTGGCCTGATGGGGGGAAGTTGGTGTTCGAAACTGCCGTTTGATTTTTGAGGATACAGCGCCGGAATTGACAGAGCCCGTTCAAGAGGCGGTTCCATTGGTGTCCGGGGAGTGAAATATGCCGACGAAGAGGCAGTGCTGTTCGTCGACGTTGACTCGGACGTCAGCAAAGGAGGACGGTTGCTGTGGCCAGTCCGGTGCGCGTGCTGGACAGAGCCCGTGAGGTTCAGCTTGTCGGATGGAGACCTGGTATAGCTGGGCCGGCGTTCGCCACTTGCTTGACGGCTAAGCTGCTGAAGGGAGGCCAAGCTATCGTCAAGTGAATTATCCCTCCACGGTGTTGATTGCTGGGGTGTGCCGTAGATCGACTCGCGATAGCCAGGAAGCACCGTCGGTGATGTTGTGCTTGGTGAGTTCTGTCTCTTGGGGCCCCCAAGAGCAAGAGACAGCTTTGGAGCGCTCGCGAATTGCGGCGAGGCGCCTCCATCATTGGTATTCCATTGTCCAGCAGATGCGGTCGATTCAACGCGCATTCGCCCGCTGGGAGTCTCCCCGCCGTGCTGACTTGCTGCACTGCTCCCCGTGCCACTACTTGTTGTGCTAGCATGTGCCTCGAGCTTTGGTCTTTTGGCCGCCTCCGAGTCGGCTGCTGAAGTTATGTTATTAGCAGTCTCTCTTCATTGCGAGATTTCACACGAGCTTTAGTTGCACGACGTACCTTGACTCTGGGTTGACTGCCTCGCTTTAAAGTCGGCCAGGTATTGCGCATACTCCTTGTAGTTGTTCGTCTTCTTGTACTCGGCCAATTCGTTGTTGTATCTTTCCTTGGCCGAAAATGCTTGCTGCTCGTACGGTTCCTTCTCCGCCGGCGCCAGATTCTGCCAATTCTCGCCCACAAGCTTTGCGATCTCGGTGAAAGATAGGTTTCTCCCCTTCAGTTCCTCGCGCATTTTGTTTGAAAAGATAACATATGCAGAAGGTGGTCTTTCAGGGGCGTTCTCGTCTGGTTTGGGATGTCGTCTATACTTTCTCTTCGCACCTTGAACCGGAGTACTTTCATTCTTACTGTCTACCTTGCATCCAACAGCCCGGTTCTCCTCCGAGGAGCGATCATCGCTTGGAGTATGTCGAGGTGATGCGAGGGCCCTGTCGGAAGATAAACCTCTCGAATTTGCAATCTTTCTTTGTAATTTTCTCCGGTGGCCAAGCTTAACACCAAGGGCGTCGAAGTCCGACTCTGTGATGTCAAGGATTGTCTCCCACGTATCAAAGCCTTGTTCGAGGAAGTCGTGAAGGTAGTGCGAGATACCAAGCTCCGCAAAAATGTCTGCCAGTTCAGTCATACAGGAGATTGCGTCTGGAAACCTCCCAGGACGTAGGGCTCAATTGATAAAGGTCTCGAAGCCTCCAGAGGAGACCAATCAGAAACTTGGCTACTCCCTCTTGCAAGCTTTCCCCGGCCGTATTTGCACTTCTCTTATTGTACCTCCGCACTGCTTGACCTCGAAGTGGTTGTATGGAGTATATCGGAGAAGGAGCATCGATGCTTGCAGCGTGTAAGACAATCAAGAGATATTGACGTGCATGGAAGCTTGAGTTAGATACCAGGACCAGGAGACTTCGACGGTGAACTTTGCAGTGGAAAAGATCTCGAAAGCCCAAGGACGATTGACGATTAAACAACGGATGAGCAGTGTATTCTTCGATGTCTGAACTTTGTATAGGTCTACCGTGGCGAATATAAGGAGTGGCGTACGGAGTGGGCAGAGGTCGACTGTCGAGGAAGTGCTTGTAACCAAGGCTGATCGAAATCGAATGCTTCTGAATCGTTGTAAGGCGACACTTAATCGTACCCAATCAGTTTGAGAGTTCAAATAGATAACCCCCTAACAGTCTTGGAAAAGGCAAAAATTATTCGCCTATCGAAAGCTGGATCTGTCCTTCAGATGTGTCGGTGGTGTGTAGTGGGGAAGTGACGCCAGAGATAGAGATTTACCTGGATTATACGAAGGTAAGGAACTTTGTGACCTGAGACGGCTTACGTGAAGATCATCCGGCGGAGTTGATAGAGCTTGAGAGAGAAGTGGTCTAGAAGCGATCGAGATGGGCAATGGCAGTTGCTGAGCCCAGAGCACCGGTGCAACGAGGCGCAGAGTGGGTAGATGCTCGGGTAGGGATTTGTGATAGAGGGTTGTTAAGTGATGGGAATGATTCGCCGGAGCGTGGCGAGTAGCAACCAAAGGAGAAAGTGGATCTGGGCAGTGAAAAACAGCAATTAGAGAATCGAAAGGCGTCCGTATTTGTTGCCTGTATGTACGTATAAAAGGAAGAGGGCGTGTCGTGGGACTAGGGAAGTCCATGAGGTGGGAAGGGGAAGGGGAAGGGGGAAGGAGAAGGGCGGTGGCTGCGGAAAATTGACGTCTGCTGCTGCGAGTAAGGACACCGGCGACCGTAGCGACCTGATGATGGCTTTTGAGATGCGAATGGCTTTCAGTTCGGGAGACAGGCCGTTTCTTGGGGGGGAGGGGGGGGGGGTGGGGGGCGTGGGCAAGGGCCAGGGCAAGGGCGATGGCGATGGCGACTGGCTGGGACTTGTGAGGAGGGCAGAGCGCGAGGGCAGGCGCAGGTGCGGGTGCGGGTGCAGGTGCAGCGATCCATCCTCTCTGCTTTCTCGATGTGGGCGTGAATGGAGATTTCGAATTTGGGGGGTAGGGGGGGGACAATCTAGCGCAGGACCAAGATCAGGATGATTACAGAGGACCCCTAAGAATTCTCCTCCCTTCTTCTTCCTTCCTTCCTCCGCCCTTCCTCCCTCCTCGAGCTGGGCGCCCGCTCACTGGCCAGCTGCCGGGCAGTGGGCTCCGCCGCTGAGGCATCGACGATGGCCTCCGGAGCGGAGCGCCTCTCCGATGTCACTGGCCTTCTGATGCGTGTCTGCCAGACCGCAAGCCCTCCTTCTTGGCTGCACGCGAGCGGCAGACCGACCGACCGCCGCATAGCAAAGCATCGCACATCGTATCGACTTCTGCGCATTGTAAACGTCTTTTCTGATCTGGATTGCCGTCCCCCCATGCTGGCATGTCTGGCAGCAATGTGGCGTGTGGCAGCGCAGGGCACGCCGAGAGGAGGCGTCCTCGGCATGCTACCCCACCTCCGACACTGACATCGAGATGTAACCACTCACTACCGTATTTCCAGAAGTCCCGACCCTTCGTTGCTGCCCAGTGCCCACGAGTCAGCAGGTCCGGAGTCGCGAACAATCAACTTAATGGGCCGACCTAGAGGCTAGGGCCGATGTGGACTGGACGCACCTCTCTCTGAACTCTAATCCCCCTTCTCTGCAGTTCTACAGTACTTGGGGTATCGCGCGCCAGAGCCGTGCTTTCGACTGCTGGATATCTGATATGCCCTCCAGAGGGTACAGTGCGGTCGGTCACGAAGTGAGGGACCGAACGTCCGGAAGAGGAGACGGGCGTGCAGATCGGCTTTCTACAACATGGGAAAGTTGACGATTTCCCATTTGTGCGTAAGAGTCTCGTGTCGCGTACCGCAAAAGTGGCCTGATCGGAGGCGGCTGGAGGGTCTGGTGGCTGCGAAACTCGATCAAGCAGGCAAAAGCCGATGCACGTTGGCAGTCTTCGCATGGGCAATTTGTCCCAACACCCGAAATCTTGGTCGCCAGCCAGCATGGGCATTTGGAACAGCCGACCTGGTGGACTGGGAAATCAGGATTGCGAGACATGTCTTACTAATCACCCCAAACCCAGTGCACCGGTGCAGCTCCCCGAGGTCCCCTCATACCAGTAGAGGACGGAAGGACCTCTCCGTACTCAACGCTGCACATGCTCTGATCTCAAATCCTTCGACGGTTACCGGTCACCATTAGAGCACGGTGGTGCCGAAGGGTGAAAGACCTCAGGCTGCCTACACTTATTGTCAATGCGGAAAGCAAAAAAGAAACCTTCAGACTGCACAATCTGAGTTCACAGGACTCCGTTAATAAGGACGAAACGCTCCTTGGACCAGTTGATTGGTCACAGAACTGAAGAAAAAATATCAGAAGAAACCATTACCGCTCACAAGGCTAGGCTCTGTTTCCCATGGCGGTTGTGTTTGTCATATCATTGCTATAAATCTTCTACAGTAACTCCATATATGACCCGAGGCGACTTTAGGGGATTGGATAGAATCCAAGTCTGGGACACTGGAGGACTGACACGACCACGTACTGGCTTGGCCGGATTTAAAATAATTTTCAGATATTTTTAGCCCTGGGCAACAGACTCTGGAATGGCCCTGATCGTGCCCAACCACTCTCTCAATATCCAGAAAACATGAGACTTTTAAAGCACGGATGGCAACCTATTAAAGCGTCTAAGCTCTTCGAGAGTAACTAGTACACAAAACAGAGACTGTAGAGTCTACCACACCCGCATGGGCTAAGGCCTGGATCGGAGTATGAAACATCATCATCATCATCATCATCATCATCATCATCATCGAGAGCACATATATCGAAAACAACGAAAGGTTCGCAGCTTTCAAGAAAAGGTCACATGACCAGCATGTCCTGAACGCTGGAAGGGAGCTTCCAGGCGCGTTCCACGAGAGGAATATTGGTTCGTAAACTTTGTTAGTGTTACAACTACAGTAGCTCCGCTTCCACTTGTGATTTTGGAGAAAGCCAACAAGATGAGAAGGAAATTACGGTGCAGCGAAGTCAAAAATAGGGGTTGGCATTGCCCTACCCATCCACGCATGTCGAACTAGCCTCCGCGGGGCTCGCTTGCAGTAGCGCTTTCCTGTTCAACTTCAGCTTCAGCCTCGGCCCTTCCTTGATCTCAAATCCTTTTCTCTCCCATCAACAGTCGATAAATCCCGTTTCACAGCACCCATTGCCCAACTTCCCGCGCACGGGAACAGCCGGTCTTGCCAGCGAATAGGCAATCGAGGAGTCAAATCATCTCGCACGTTTCCACGTCTCATGATCCGTCAAAGCCGGCGCGCCAGACCAACAGCGGAGTGAATCCCGGCAATTTCGACAATTGGGTCCATCTGGCCGGAGAAAATGCGTTCACCGCACGATGTATCACACGACGAAGACCACGCAGAAACAGAGCTATCAGAAGCAGAATTAGCCCAGGTACGTGGGACGTGTCAGACGGTCAGAGTCTCTGAAATCCCACATCTGAGCATCTCCAGCCTCGAGTGGGACGGACTTTTGCTCCGACTCCCCGCCTCCAGAATGCCGTGTCGCAGGGATTTTTGCCCATCAGACCATGTTCTTCTGCATCGACCCCGGGATAAAAATCACTCTATCCCATAGGCAGCGTATCACGGGCTTGGGGTTTGGCTCGAGACTTCCCAAGCTGCTGGAGCTGCAGGAGCTGCATTCATTGACTTTGCTCGAACCCTTGCTGAGACTGACGCTACAAACGTTCTAGATCTCCGAAGCCTTTACTCAAATCGCGAAGTACGTGCATCTTTTGACTCTCCTCCCATGAACTTCGCGATGCACAGCCCTGTGGAATTGTCTTTTTTCCGCGGCCTGAATCGCTCCGGCGTTGTGTTTTTTTTTTTTTTTTGCGGTCACTCGTACCCGTACGCGGTACCGTATCTGGATCCCCTTCTGCCACGTTGCTAGGATCTAGATTGCCAAGGGCAATCTAGTTATCGACTATCTCTCCGGTCCGTAGTTGGCAGTGGCTCGATCTTTCAGACTACTTCTCCACGCCAATCCACTTGGCGGACAGGGCCTTTTTTCCGACCCATTAGAGCATGTTACGGTCCTGAGTCTCGACCACTTCAGTTGACAAATATCTCAGGGGCGAACGAACTGCTCAGGCTCTCGAGTCGAATCTGACGAGTCTTGAAAAGAAGATCGACGATTTGCTTGCAAGTAAGGATAATCTCGACTTGTCCCTTTATCGAATGACTCGGAAATCTTCCACATCCGAGTCATCTCGCTTCCAATATTCTGCAGAGATGATGTACATTCAAGCTCCTTCCCTTCTAAGTGTTTCGCGAGTTGCAATACCTTCAAAGATCTTCTCCAATCAAAGATCTGGATCCTGGAAAATTTTGGAAGAATTCAAGGCAAACTGAAATTTCCTCAGCAAATAAACCAAGTAATACTGACCCCGAGATTTCCCAGGCTTCGAAGAGTCCGAACGCCAAAAGGTTGAAGAGGCAAATTCGAAACGCGTCGTTCCAGGTTCTTCGAAGGACGGTGGCGACAATGACGAGAAACCTCCAGAAAACCAGGTAAAATAGATTGAACAAGTTTGCTCAGAGGAGATCTCCCAATGTCTTCTTCATTGGGGACATACTAGGCAGGTCGTGAACGTATAGATTTCATTCCTTCTGGGACAGCTAGATTAGAACTTCGGTAATGAAAAGGAAAGCATTGTGTCAGCAAGGACCATCTTAGAAGCTGCCCTTGGAATCTCTTCTACCAACGGTTTGATTTCGTTTCAAGTGTACTTGCTGTTTTACTGACCGCCAAGATTATTCCGTCAATTTTCCAGCCTAGTTTGAGGGGGATTGCAGGACGAGAGTGAGTGAATCACCTCGAGCTCGTTTTGTAGCACACCGATACACCATCAATGTTCGACAAGTTTTGGGATATTCAGAATTTTTAGGGCCTAACGTTGTTCCAGTGAATAGACGGAACTCGTTTGTATTGATAGCTTTTTCACTGATGTGTGGACGACAAGGAAGCAGTGTGTCAAATGAATAGAGTAAAATAGAATAATGGCCGTTACTCATAATCTATTCAAGTATAAACCCCGTTACTCATATTTTATTCATATATTACTCAAGTTATTCATGAATATTCATGAATAACTTGAATAACACACGTGATTATTACACGTGATATGGCTAGCCTAATTAGGTAAGGCTCCCGGGGGGGCCGCACCTAGTGCCACCTCACTACCTAATTAGGTGGTAGTAGCACTTAGTAAGTAAATTGAACCTTAGTAATACTTCAAGTTTATTATTATAGAAAATCAGTATATAAGTGCCCTTATATAAGCTTGCTTAATAAGCACCTTATTTATTTTTTAAAATTAAAATATGTGTCAATTTATAATAATCCCGTGACTTACACGTGACTATTCATGGTTATTCATGTTATTCATGAATAATTATTCTATTTTACTCAAGTTTTTTAAGCTGCTCATTACTTATATTTTATTCAAGTTATTCATGAATATTCATGAATAACTTGAATAACTTGAATAATCCTTTGACACACTGCAAGGAAGTGAATTTTCGTCGGATGAGATGGGAAGAGGGTGGACCCTGGGGAAATGGGTTTTGTGGTGCATGACATCAAAACTTCATCCTAAACACATCACAAACACATGGAAAGCAATACCGTATGGGCGGTCTGCGAGGAGAGATATCCTAGGGGTTCCAACCACAAGCAATGCTCGGTGTTGGAAGGGTGCGAACCCTCATCCGGCGCAGTTCAATCTCTCAATGTTGTGACCATACATCAACTAGCGATCACTGTATGATTTAATGACTGATGTAATTGTATAATTCTCATGGACTCCTCTCATGTGTATCCTAACTCCTTATGCTAAACAAGGAGGCATGCTTCCTCTATTCAATGACCCAACCGTCGCTATGCGGAAGAAAAAACAAATGCTTAATCAAGACCCTCTCCACTCAAAATACTCTTCAGAATTCCTCCCCCGAGTCCTTCGACAGCTTGCGCAACCTCCTTCTCACCAACACAGCTCCCAACTCTCTTCTCATCGCCAATACCGATACCAGAGCCAAATTTCTTGCGTCCCTTAATGGATGTGCCCAACGGTACGAAAGAACCGTTTCTCCCATCGACTGCGCTGATGAGGGATAACGTCTCCAGACTTCCAACCACGTCTCGGAATTCGGTGCTGGTCAGAGGATGGAGTACTGAATCGCGTGTGCACAGCATGCAATAGACATCATACAGCGCCTTGATGGTTGGAGCAGCATTTTTCGACTTCGATGGCGTGGCCATAACGTTTGCAGCTGCCTCTCTCTTTCGCTTCTCGAGAGCCACCAGTGCACACAGAGCTGCCTTCTGCTGGAGGTTTAGGGTCTTGAGTCTTTGGTTTGCTCCGTTACCGAAGGTTGCAGATGTAATTTTGTTGACATGCGAGATCAGTGCCCGAGGAGCCGTCTCGACTGTGAGACTTGCGAGGGATTGAGCAAGTGACTTGGTTGGGACCACCTTTCTTGGTGATGAACCAGCCGGCGACGAAAGGTTGACATTCTCCTCGAGAGGTCTTTTGGATGGACTGTCTTGAAGAATCAAATCCTTTAATGCCTGTTCATGCTTTTGTTTGGTGTCCGATTCAATTAGGTCAATCGCTCGTCTGCAAATATCGAAAGCCTTTCGCAGGTCTCCAGTTTGGCCCGCTACCTTTCGTGAGCAGAGCTCAATGGCTGCCGGATGGAGAAAGGGGACGAAATCCGGAGTGGGGCTGTCCACGGGGATGAGAGACTTCAGCCTAGAGGCAATGACTGTCTTGATTTGGGCTGCAGTGTAAGGTAGAAATGGTAGCAGCTGAGGCTTCAAGTTCCGAGCCTTGAGTCGTGGAAGGAATCGGTCCGTCAGATCCAAGGCGTTCGCAATGCCGACTAGGATGAGACGCGAGGCTTTCTGGAGGGACCATTCGAAGAGCTTATACAGTATCTCCAGATCCAGGCTGAGAACATGATCGATCTCATCCAATGTGACAATGTAAACCGTTTTCGACTTCTTCTTGGGAACGAACATCCCTTGAAGCGTCTCCACTTCATCTCCTTCCAGAACTTCAACATCCTCACAGAGATTCTCCAACAAATTGCCATAAAGATCCTTAGAGGTCTTCATGCTCATGCAATTAATGTATGCCTTCTTGGTAGTTGAGGAAGTTTCGAAACCCTCAGTAACCTCGTGTACCATCGCACTTTTCCCAGTCCCTGGCGGCCCGCTAACATAAGTGCAGCCTCCGGATGTCTTTGCTATGCAGTCCTGGACAAATTGTGTCAACTCCTCTCGTTCCGCTTCTCTACCAACGAGTCGACCTGGCTCTGTCGAGCGCGTAAAAATTTGCCGAGCTTGGCTGTAAACCGTTGTGATTGACCCTCCAGGAGTTACAGGTGTGCGAGGAGTCCGGGGAGTCAATGGTTTGCCAATAATTGTGACCCGATGTCTGGGGGTGATTGGGGTTGGTTTTGAGAACGCATCCCGATGGCGGGGAGTTTGAGGCGTTGGGTTCTGGATGCCGTTCTCGCCTGATTGGTGTCAGCTCAACTCACACGCATTGGGTCTCATTGCCTACTGTTGCGCGCCTTGAACTTCGAAGGAGAGATTGGAACTCGAGCTCCAGCAGGACCATGTTTAGCCGGCGCCGATCTCAAGTTGACCCCCTCTGATGGCTCATCAATGTCCATAAGGTTGTCATCTTGCTTGCTATCGTGCACGGCGCGACTGACGAAAGGATTCGAGTTTTCGTCATTGAAAATCTCTGCGCGAGCTGGGCGTTTAACGCGTGAAAAATTTGGCTTCGAGTCTAGTCAGGGGAAATCAGCTTGTCTCTGCAGTTCCTGAGAGTATGATCTCACCAAAGTCAGTGCCACTTCTTGTTCGTTTCCCAAGAATAGAAGGTGCCATGTCGAAGTCCCTTTGCTGTCCTGTCAACGACGTTGGGGATGTTGAGTTGGACGGTGGAGGGTGGTGAGCGACGAGGGAGGTGAACGCGCTTTCCACGTTCTTCGCGCGACGCGTTAAGTGGGTTTTAAGCGAGGCCGGGCCCAGGCTAGGCCAGGGGTATTTTAGCACGACGACAGCTCCGGAACTCGAGAGATAAATTGCATCTTCTTCCTTCCAACTCTCTCTTCTACAACTATCGTACCGCATATGCACCGAATGCGTGTTCAATGCTGCCGTATTCCATATGTGCTGCACAAGCGCCTATCAAAGTTCAACTGCATTTCCTCCTGGTGTTTAGTGACACGACGACTGCGAGTCCAAGTCTGACGGACTGCACTCTCTCGGTAAACATGCCCTGTTAATCGATAAGTCCGACATCCAGAACGCGACGGTGGTTGGTGGGGCCGCGCTGGTGTCTCTATCATTTCTCCAGCCGGGCCGTGCCATCAAGCACCTCGACCTCGATCTTGAGCTGTCGGCGAAGTAAGACACGGTCCCATGTGCCATAGATTGGGGTCTCTGCTTCATGGGCGGCAAGAAAAAGTCAATCACAACTCCCACTCGGCGCTTGCGGCTGGATGCTACTGATGCTACTGCTCTTTTGCTCCTCGCGATGTCTGCGGCGCTGTTCTGTAAGCGCCGACGTAGCAGGCTTGTGAAATGACTGGCCAAGCTGGCAGCGCTTCAGCCCCGCCAATCGCCGTGCCCGCTGCTGCCCAGCGACCTGACGACGTACCGTGGGCGTCTGGACCCCAATCTATCGTGAAATATCCAGCTTCTTGGAAGATCCCCCAGTGTTTCGTTTCCTGTATCCCATACCCTTTGCGAACCTCTCATCTTGCGCATTTAGACTCACTGCTACTCATCATCGCGGGCCTCCCTCGCGGCCGCAGAAATCGGACCTTGATTTTGATACACCCCGCCTTACCGGCATCGATTTCTGTGCCTCACCAGATAGCTGCTTACCCGTCGACACCGACATCCAAAAATAACACCTTGTGCGTCACCTCGCGAATCCTTCATTGGATACCAGCACCCCGTACCTGAAGATGGCCTCCCGTCAAGGGAAGCCAGACGAGGAGCTGTTCCTTCAACGACCCTCAAATGGGGAGGACAGCCCTACCGTCGAGCCTCTGAGAATCAACAAGCCGCTGAGCCCGAAACCTCGAGCAGACTCAGCAGCATCTGGTCGAACGAAATATCAGCCCCCATCCAGCAGCAAACTTACGTTTCCGCTGCCTCCTGGTGCTTCGAGCTCTGCGAGTCCTCTCCCCTATCCCGACGACGAGGATACATACGAGTATCCCCGCCCCTCCGAACCTCGACGCGCCCCATACCCTGACGATCCCAGGCCAGCTCCAGATAGATCTGGCTCTGGAGGAGCGAGTAAAGAGCAAGGCAGGCCCGCACCGAGTCGCAAGGGCACAAATGATACCACACCTCGATTGACTACAAGTCCTATCGACAAGAGGGGTCCTGGGCTGGCAGAACGACGGGGAACTGCCCCTAAACCTCTACCAGAATCTCCAGGCCCAGATCTTCCTGACAAGGAGGCGTCTGTTAAATCCCCCAAAAGAGATCAAAAAGCGTCTGGCGCAAGACGCCCATCGCAGACAACACCCTCCTATCCTGAGTTCCGTCAACAGTACTATCCACCTCCTATTCCATCCGAGCCAAATGGGATGGATAATTCAAATTTAATCGCACCCAAGCCGAGCGCGATGAACAGATTCGCATCGACCGCCTCCACCTCTACCACGAGAGCAACGAGAGGTTCTCCCCCACCTCCAGAAACTCCGATAGTAGGCCCTGGGGAACAACCTGGTGGTGGGATTGAGGCTCGATATGCGGCTGCAGGAATTTCTGGAACTGCGACTCTAAGTAGCCTTCAGGCGCAAAACGCTGCCGCGGCACAACGGGCAAACCAATACGGACCTCCTCCTGTTCCTCAACTGCCACAATCTCCTGGTCTCGCGGCTGGTCAACAGAACATTCCCCGGCCATGGACCCCTACTGAATCTCCCGACAATCAGCCACACGGGCCCCCAACTGTCTACCAAGGACTTAATCAAGTTACTTCAGGATCCCCTCCTAGACAGAGCGCGGCAGGGACACAACCCAATGCCCTTGAACAAGACTTCCAGCGCATGCAGCTTTCGCCCTCTCCTCCACCAGCTTATTCTAGTGTGACTCCCGGCGCGAACGGAGCTGGCGCTACAACTTATCCCAATGAGAAACGACAAGGCCGTCCTGCAGACATTACCACCGTTCCCAGGCCGAACATAGCCTCTCCACTCACATCACCTGCTCTGCAGCATCCTGGGCATCCTGCATTTGCAAACGATCCACCTGAACCTTCAGCAGCCGCCCAGCAAACTCAACCGGCGCAAACACCTCAACCTCAGCAATTTGCGAATGCATCTCCTTTCCAGCCCGGCGGCCCGAGTTCCCCACCGCCACTCCCAGAGGGTTGGATTGCTCATCTAGATCAGAATTCAGGCCAGTACTATTATATCCATCTCCCAACACAGGCTACACAATGGGAATTTCCCAAAGGGCCAACTCCTCTCAACCATGATATTGCTCCACATTCTCCTGCGGTCTCAACTTATGGAAATCCTCTGGCATCTCCGTCATTTAGCACCTTTGGCAAGACTCCTCTCGGTTCACCTGGGTTTGCCCCTCTTACTCCCGGTTACGCTGAAAGCATCATGAGCATGGCTTCACAGACACCTTCAACGGCAGGGTTTTCAGGGCCTCCACCAAGTGCTGGCGTAGATATGTACAAAGTTGTTCCGACCAACGGTGTCTACTTTGGACCTTATCTACGATATGTCAATATGGACATGGAGAGAGGAATGTGGCTCGGCACTATCATGCTTGTAACAGAGGCTCCACAACCCCCAACGATACACATTCATCAGAGTGTGGATCTATCCCCGAACCCTCGCCAATTGAAGCCTAACCTAATATTTACGCATCAGCGATGGACCTTTTACCGGTACGACGTTGATTTGCAAATGGGTGAAGGTCCTAGTGATAAATGGACGTATGCGATCACTTCTCACTTGGGTTGCACTCGATACGAGTTCCTTGTTGCTGGCCGCTACGAGACGAACTGGAGATTCATCGCACATTCAGGAAACGACTTTGCTCTAAACACAAACTTGACTGAGCGTAGTAAGCTCGGGGGCATTGGATTCATGTGGAAAGATATCTTGCAAAAGAATGTAGAATGCGGTGGCTTTCACGTTCAGCTTGGGCTGGGAGACCAAATATATGGAGACCGATTGTGGAAAGAAATCCCACTTCTCAAACAGTGGTTGGCAATGAGTGGTAAAGACAACCGCAAGAGTGCAGCTTGGACTGCCAGGCACGAGGAGGACGTTTCACATGCTTATTTCCATTATTATACCAGCCATTTCGATCAGCCATATTTGAGAGAGGCTTTCGCTCAGATCCCACACATTTTACAGATCGATGATCATGACATGTAAGCGACCTACGTTTAACATTTTCTATTATTGCTAATGGATTGTAGATTTGATGGGTTCGGATCCTATCCGGAGTATATGCAGTCCTCAAATATGTTCAAGAACATTGGTCGGATCGGTATTGAGATGTACCTCTTGTTCCAGCATCATACGACTCTTGAAATCCTCCGAAACGTCAGCACGGATACAGATCTTTTCACAATTACAGGCTCTGGATGGCATTTTGTCAAATATCTCGGTCCTGCGGTAGTTGTTGTGGGCCCAGATTGCCGTTCAGAACGCACTCAGAGGCAAGTCATGGCTGGTCCAACATACCAAGGAATCTTCCCGAAAGTTGCAACGCTTCCGCCAAGTGTGCAGCATTGCATATGGATGATTTCAGTGCCTGTTGTCTATCCTCGTCTTGAGACTGTCGAAAGTCTTGCTCAAACTATGGCAACCGCCAAGAAAGGAGTTACCGGAACGTACAACTTGATCGGTAAAGTTACAAGCTCCATGGCCGGTGTTGTGGGAGGCAAGGATGCAGTGGCATCTGGCTTTTCCCAGGTCAAAAAAGCCGTTGGCAAATCTGGCTTGATGGGTGGTGTGCTGAACACATTTGGAGATATCGATATTGCCGATGAACTCCGGGACATGTGGACGCACGAATCAAAGGATCTCGAAAGAACATACTTGATTAGGACTTTACAAGGGATTGCACACCAGAAGGGTATCCGTATGACATTCTTATCAGGAGGTAAGGAATTTCCCCAATAAAGATGAAGACGAATTTTCTGACAGCCTGGTAGATGTTAATTGCTGCGGTGCTGGCCTTGTTCATGACCCAAGTCATCCGGGTGACCATAAGACGATGTATCAAGTCATTTCATCGGCTGTTGTAGCTGCTCCTCCACCATCCTATGTTCTCAAGATGCTGCACAACAACAAGCCACTTTACGTTCCAGCAAACGGCCAAAAGTCTACCAACGCTGTCACGGATACCAAAGAGGACATGATGGAAATCTTTCAAACAGATACGAATGGTGGACCTCGCGAGATGAAGAAGCTAATGGGCAGAAGAAACTACGTCGCGTTCGTGGCATACGATCCCGAAGCCATCGCAGGAACACAATACGCAGCAAGCATGCACAGCGGGCACCAAGGCTTGGCAAAACTGAGCTTGGCGGTGGATTTTGTAGTTCAGGGAGACTCTGGCTTTACTCCTCCGACGAAATATGGGCCTGTGATTATTCCAACTCTGGAATTCGGACGATAGGGATATTTTAACGATTTTATTTTCTTTGCAATTGCGAAAGAATTGAGCATCTTGAATAGGAGTTGCCGGAAAGCGTTAAATTAAATTACTTCTGATTTCGTACGATCCCCAATAAAGCGAAGAGAACTATATATAATTGCTAGCAGACTTTTTGCAAATTGTGCTGTGTTCATGGCCAATGAATAGTCCTTCAATTATTCTACGGTATTCGGTGTTAAATCTCCGCATTAAGACCCGATATTTGCTGTGCCTTTTCGCTCAATAGAGCCGGATCTAGGACCTCCCAATCTCCGATTCCACGGGGAACAATCAATGCGGCCGAGGTTCTTATTTTTTTCTGCCATGTTTCTATTACCGGCCAGGCGGCCATCAAAGGTCAAACATCTTCTTGATCTGCGCATATGTATCATCTGGATTGAGAACCGTATGTCCAATCGTCCTCGGATCCGAGAAGATCTCGTAATCGTTGCCACCAGGGAACGTCTTGTCGCCAAAGAAGTGGATAGTTGTATATTTGACTCCACCAGGTTGTTCAGCCTCCCTCTCCAAATGCCCCAGACAGTACGTCTTATCCCAGCCCTTCGGGAACACGTCGAACGAGATCTGGCCACCAATTGAATACCTATCCCGGGTGTCCGGTTAGCAATTATCCCTCCCAATCAATAATACGTATGGATCGTGTATGCAAAGCGATTACTCACTCCAAACCCAGATCCGCAAACTTCTCCTGTAAGATCCCCACAAATGTCTCGCGGATCTTGTGCTCCAGATCATACCGCTGATACTCGTTCCTCTCATCGACACTCGCATTCCTTCCAATGGGACTAACATTGATCATGCCATTCCTGAACTCCACGAACGTCCCCCTCTTCACGGGGATGTCTAAGTCTGCAATGTAGTGCAGGATGAACTTGACCAGGTCCTTGTACTTCGGCTCGCCGAGCCAGCCGATGAAGGATTGCGATGCCAAAGGGACGCCCATCTTGAAGGCCGTGAGCCCGTTCTCTGGGAAGCAGAAGTCGAAGAGCGTTGTTACGGGCACGTCGGGGGACCCGAGTTGCTCTTGTTGCTTGGCGAGGTCGGAGCCGCCTACGTATCCTATTGCCATCTTTTGTCGGAGTGAGTGGAGGATGGCTAGCATTTCGGGTGTGACTTTCTGCGGTTGAAAAAGCGTTAAAAATGAAGTAGAGGAGCTTGGATGGAAGTTACTTACTCGGCGGGGGATGGTCAAGGTGAGATCCACGTCAAAAAGACAGATTGTGTTTGCAATTGGGCGCTCGCCCAAGGGCGGGTAGACTGTGACTGCTTGGGCCATCTTGTCAATGTGCGAAGGCTTGTGAAGAGGATTTGGGGAGTTTTGTTGTAGCGGTCTGGGGAAATCGAGAAAGCAAACGAGATGCCAGGTGTTTTGGGGATTAGCCCTGCAGGGAGCTTGCTTAGTGGCTCGACCCCTGTCAAAAACTACCCCTCCTGACCCCTGCAACTGCCCACAACGTTCATTTTCATTTAGAGGTCACTCGCGATGGACATAAAAAGCGGAACTAAATGTACTGGGCCCATTGGGACAATTCGACTGCTATACCCCTTCTAAAGTTCTTCGAATCTCTCCTATGTTCAATGGTGCGTCGAAAGTCTCGGAAACTATAGAAAATTCACCTCTTCTCTTCTTAATGTCCAGATCATTGTCCCAATTTGACCGGGTACAATAAAAATTGGTGTCGTTTTTTATGTCCACCTCTACTGAGGCCCACAGCTAGCTAGCGGACAAATCCGAGAAGCGAAAAGTGATTTTCTGATTTTCTGATTTTCGCACTGGCGCCCCGCACACCCCCCCCCCCCCTCCTCCCCAAGGCAGAATTCCTAATTAGGGGTATAGCACCCACACGTGACTTTCGGCTTGGATAACGCAATAATAGTAAGGCTGCTTGCTTGTCTAATTAATGAAGTGAGAGCCCATACTACCGCATGAAATCGTGCCAAAATTGGGCCGGGTAGTATAATATAAAATTGAGTATTTATTGCAAATTACTATAGTCAGGTGACCACAGGCTATAAGCCCTTCTAGGATAATGCTATTAATAGGGTCTAATAACTTTCTTAATATTCCCGAGGTTAGAAATGAGAAAATTAAACTATTAAAATAACTAAGAAGCCGGCTAATTACTTTTTTTTAGTAATTAATTAATAAAATCATATAGGGATAATATTACTCGAGTTTTTTAGTACTTACGTTACTAAAAAGTATATTGCGATAGTAAAGCGTATCCTGAACTTAACTCCTATTAAAATAACTTAGTAGATTTTATTAAAATAATACTATAACTTTTAATAAATCTATTACTATATTATAAAGCTATTACTAAATAGGCTCATATAAACATTAATTAAAAAGAAATTACAAATAGATTAAAAGATTTATATGGAATCTTAGTTAATCCGTATATAGTCTAATAGTAACTACAAAAATGGAATATCTAAATATATACTTAAATAGCAGATATACCTTTCCTTTATATATAGATTATAATCCTATATTATCTGGGAGATATAGATAAGGAAATATTTAAGGATCTTGAGGATTACGGTTATATAGCTTTAATTACTAGAGTTATCCGTATATATAAGAAGCTTGGTCTTATTTGCCATATAACTATAATAGACAGGCAAGCGGCAGATAAGTAACTATTTATAATACTATAGAATAAGCTAAATAATAGGCGGATTATAGGTTATAAACAGTAGTATTTATATATATACTTTCGTTAATAAGGTTTACTAGTAACCCAGTTAGTCTTTCTATACTTTACTATTTTGCCCTAGCTTGGAAGGTTAGGGCCTTATTTACTAATATATTTTATTATTTATAGGAAGAGCTTATATGTAATATTATAACTCCTGGATCCCGAGGTAATTATACTATAAATATAATAGATATAGTCTAAGAAGAGAGAATATATTATACCTAGGCCAGACTAGATTTAGTTAATTAATAGATATAATAAGCTATTACTATTTGGGATCGAGATATATACTTATATTAATACTTATTTATATAATATTATCTAGATATATATCGGAATTTCTAATTAGACTATAATAGCGGGATTAATACAATAGTTAAAGGCTTAAAGTTTAAAGAATCTCATATATTAGAAAATACTAAGCTATGAAATAAAGTAGGGAGGATGCCTCGACCTTTAATATTATTCTATCCAAGTAATCCTGGCTTAGCTTCGTTTTATACCTGTTTCTAATATCCTGTCCTTAGCAGATTATACCCTTATACCAGCCGTTATATAGACTACCTATTTAGTTATATAGTAGTATCTTTAGATTTATACTTAAATAGGCTACTACTCTTATTTCTTTAGGGCTAATTAAGGCTCTGAACTCTCTCTTATTACTAAAGTATACTTTATATTCTTGTAAATAGCCGATTTGTTAGTTATATATATAGAGAACTGCTTTATTTCTGGGAAAAGTACCGAGAATTAGTAGGTTAAATCCTAGTAGCAGGAGCTTTAGAAGAGCTAGCTATACTAGTAGTATATAAGTAATTCTGTTTCCCTATATCTGCTTCTTATTCTTTCTATTATTAGAAAGAAGTATCGGATACTAATAATTATACCGCTTTTTATTAAGGCTATTAGGTCTAGTATTATAGTACTAGATTATATAACTAATTCCGATTAGTATATATAGAACTACTTTTAGGAACTAGCCTATACTAGGAATTATAATTACTAATACCTATAGGACCAGATTACTTTATTAGTATTTTATATATAATAGATCTAAAATGAGATATATAGATTTATAGACTTGTAAAATATTTATAGGATTAGAAAAGATAAATCTAGGCCTAATATAGTAACTAGTAAGCCATTTAGACTATATATAAGGCCCCTAGGTAAGGTATAGTATTAGGATTGCCCTATAGATATAGAGCTTTATAATATAATTCTTAATAATTATTTAATTTAGAATAAGTAATATAATCTTATATAGCTTTATATAAATAGTTTACTTATATACTAATATAGATATTAATAAGTTTCTGCCAAAAGAAATACTAGAATAGTATTATTAGAAGCTTATATTTTATAATATAAATATAGCTAATATTTATATAGGAGATACTAATAGAAATAGTAACTAATTATATATTTAAGCTTACTACTAGCTCTAATATATAGTCCGGATATATATAGCCTCAGGGCAGCTACTAATATTGGGAGAGTCCGAGAAGCTAATTAATAAATATAATATTACTATTATATAAAATGGAATTCTTAAGTAAGTTATCCTAATAAATATAAAATATATAAATAATATATAGGCCAGAAGAATACTTATATAGTTCCTAATAATTCAGGACTTTACTCAGGAATAGCTCTTTATTAGTAATACTCCTAATAATATAGGGTAGTTAAATGAGCTAGTTATAGAGTAACTAGATATATTAAGATAAGTATTATTTATTATTAAATATATTATTTTCGAAACTCCCTTCTTATTTTTAAGAATAGTACTAATAGAATTATTAAGTTTATCTACTATATAAATATTCTATATCCTTAAATTCTTATTTCTTAAAATAGTACTATTATTTCTTAAAACCTGCCCTAATACTATATATCTTATAGCCAAATACTAGTATAATAATATCTAATATTATGAGTTCTATTAATCTACTAATAATAAATATAATATAGAGGCTATTACTTTACTTGCCTAGAGTAGTAATACTAGTAAACTTGAACCTTATAACTCTGGAATTCCGTTTATATCTGCCCTTTTTTTTATACCTGGGATATTTTAGATCCCTAGCTTTTCTTAGTATCCTAATCCCATATCTTTTCTTTTAGAAATATTTACTATACCTATTCCTCTAGTTACTATTACTATATAGCTGCCAGGTACTAGTTCTACTCTATCCCAGGCTTCTCCTACTCTAATAGCCCTATAACTATTCCCTTCCATATTTTCTTTTACTATAAGCTATATTACTTAACCTAACTACTTTTCTAGTAGTACTTATACTACTATATAAGCTTAATAGGCTATAAATACGAGAGTTATTTAGGCTACTACCTAGGCTATAGCTCCTTATACTAGTAATAGGCTACCTAAAGCCCTTTAAGGTCTTATAAATCAAAATATAGCCGGATCTAGTCTTATGAAATTATAGATTATGGTTTTATAGCTAGTTCTCTATAAGTAGGTATTTAATAATATAAAGAATTAGAGAGCTAAGTAAAGAACTATCTAATTTTCTAAAGAAGTTAATAGTAAGTTTTTTCCTATTTCTTTTACTAGATTCTTTATACAAATTCTAATAAATGTTTTTTAATAGATAGCTTTTAATTTAAAATAAATAATCGAGTTTTTTCTATTCTTTCTAATATAGTTTCTTAGTAGCTATTTCCTTATTTCTCTTTCTATATTAGTAGACCTATCCGCTATTATTAATTTATTAATAATATAAATAAACTAGTATTCTATACTAGTCCTAATAGTAAAAGAGTCCAGGAACTTATGGTTTTACTAGATTCTATTTAAACTATCTTTAACCTTTCTTATTATAGTATATATCTAGGCCCTAAGGATATCTAGATAATTTTCCTTATTTTATATTAGGATAAGATTCTATATAAAGATATTTATCTTGAAATTACTTATAAAGAGCTAGAAAATATTTAGAAAGAGATTCTATATAAAGATTTCTATCTTAAAATTACTTATAAAAAGCTAGAAAATATTTAGAAAATATAGTAACTTAAAAAGATTAAATAATAGACTAAGGAGGCCCAGAGAGCCCAGGAAAGTATTACCCGCTAGTATAGGTATAAGACTTTAAAAGTAAGGAGAAATCTAATAAACCGATAGGTAAATAAAGGTATATATATAATTCTTTTTTTTAATTCTGGTTCTTATTCTTTATTTCTTCTATAGATCCTTTTTTGTTTTTAGGTTTAATTAACTTATATATACTAGGATTCTTTTCTATTTACTAATTTCTGGAAGCTATAAGATAATACAGAAAGTACTACTAAAAATACTACTAAAGCTAATCCTAATAATAATAATAATAATAATAGTAATAGGCTATTAGATTCTCTTTTAATTTTACTATTTTTTCCTCTAATAAAAGAAACTATAATTAATCTTATAGACTATATAAGTATTATTCTATAATAATAGGTATATTAGAGATATAAATATACTATTTCTTTTTCTTATTAGATATAGAAAATTAACGGGTATAATATCTTTAGCTTTATAGGTAAAACCCAAAGTATCCGGGCTATTACTAGTACTTTGCCTATTATCCCGAACGGAAGTCTAACTATTATTATTAAACTTTTCAGGCTAATTAATCTTATTTCTCCTAAGTAAACTTATTATATAAGGTCTAATAAATTATATATAAATGTCTGCCGAGATTAAGGTAGTTAAGAAAAAATAGACCTAATATCTAATATATTTTTTCCTATATTTTATAATTAGCTTAGTACTATTTTGAGTCTTATTTCCTTATAAATATATATATATTTAGAATTTATAATTAATACTTTAAAGTAATACTTTTTAATTAGTTCTTATATAATTTAAAAGTCAGGCTACTAAATTTAATACTTTTATAATACTTAAATTTACCCAAATTTATAAAGTCTTATAATTATTAGGGCCTTTATAATTCTTTGCCTTTTGAATTTAATATTTAAATAGTATTATATACTTTGCCTTTAGTATAGAGGAGGCTCCTAAAAGTCTAGGGTTATAAAGAAATTTTTATATTAAGGATATATTAAGGATATATTATATTATAATAATAAAATTATAAGTATTTATATATAAATATATAATATATTAGACTAGCTATACTAAAAACTATACTATATCTATATATAAAGTTACTAATTGCTTTATATTAATACCGGACCCGCGTGGTCACGTGACTCTATATAATTGGCTAGCTATAGAAAAGCCCCAAAGCCCGAAACTTATAAAGAATCTTAAGGGCTTTAAGGCTTCTGGATTATTACTAGTACCTGGTACTCTTTAGGAAAAAAGTATAATATATTTCATAATAGGTAATCTATTATAGACTGCTTAACCTTTAAATTAAGCGGGAAATCTAAGGGCCGGACTCGTAATTCAAGTCTTATTAAGGTTATTAAAGTCTTTACTAGCTAGTACTATAGATTTAATAAAAATATTACAGGAATCCTATAGGTTTTATCCTAATTTATCTAGAAAGTATATATAGTATATCTCCTTATTTGTTCTAATATTTATATATAATTCCTGAAAGCCAAATTATTACCTAAAGGGGAAATAAGAAGGCTAGACTAATACTTTTGAAAACCAAGGCCTTAATAAGTCTATCTAGAAAAGCTTACTAATTCTTCTAAAGATAACCCAAGAAAAGTTTGAGTTTATTATATATTATAACTTATATAATTAGGAATAGGAACTGCTTTAATAGGCCAGAAAGAGTTTCTTATATGGCTTACTTATATAACCAGGGATAGGGACTTGAGTTCATTATATAAAATTACCTATATATAGAGATTCCTACTATAAATTCCTTATTTGAATTAATTAGTTAAACCTATTTTTAATACTGAGTTTTTATTAAGGTAATTTCCCGCTTCTAGAGGCTTTAGATAAAGTAGCTAATAAGTTTCTTAGCTATTAGCTAAGACTTATTAGCTAGAAAATCTATAAGTAGTAGATAAGATTATAAAGCAGAACTCTCCTAATTATAATACTAAGACGTTTTATTATAGTATAAAGTAATTAGATATAAAAGCCCTATTAAATATAATATATCTCGAACTATAAGTTTATAAGATAGGTATAGGAAGTTTTAGTATTTAACTAGTACTATAGTCTAGCCCAAAGGCGCCTACTATTCTTTATACCTAATTTAATAGAAATAAGAAGTACTTATATTTTAATTTAAGGAATAATTAGGACTTTTATATAGACTTAGAGTAGCGGTTTATTCTATAGAAAGAGAATAAACCAGAAATACCTATATTATATTAATCTTTAGAAGAGGTTATAGTAAATATTATAATTCCTGAAATATTCTTAAGGAAGTTTTCCCAAACTAAAATAGACTAGTTTATAATCCCGAAAGATCTATAGGAGTCTTATATACCCGAGAGTATAAGTACTTAAGGTAAATACTATTTGAGTTCTAATCTATAATAAAAGGAAAGTAAAGTATATAAAATAAAATATATAAATTAAAAGTAAAACAAAATATCCGGATATTTAATAAATAGAAAGCCTAACTATAGGTTATAAGAACTAGTACTAACTAGGTATATATATAGTAATATTAAAAGAGAGATAAGGCAAGAGGAACTAAAAAGTAAGTTAGTATATATTCTATAAAAGTAAACGGAGAGATATTTAAATAGCCTAAAGGCAAGAAGTATATATTAAAGAAATTGAGATTAGAGAGAGAAGGACTATTTCCTATAAGAATAAGTTAGTATATATTTCAAGATAAAGAATAAAGATACTTAGTAATAGCCCGAAAGCTTTTATAAGTATTAAAGAAGGGAAGGAGGTATTAAAGTTTAGAGAAATCTAAATAGAAGTTAGCCTCTTTTTTGGAAGTTCGAGAAAGAGTACTTCTAAAGGGCCTAAAAGTATAAGAGGTATTAGAAAAGGAGAGAAGGAAATATTAGAGAAAGAAAGGAGAGATCTAAAATTTAGCTTTCTAAAGAGTAAGTAGGTTAAAGATTTATAATATAGGAATTTTGGATAAAAGTAATCCGGAAGTAGTAGTTAGATACTAGCTTTTAGTATTATTAGTAGAAGTATTAAAGGAGGAGGGGTTTAGAGGAGGGGTTCAGAGAAGGGGTTTAGAGGGGTTTAGAAGAGGAGAAGAAGATTATAAGGTAGTTAGATACTAGCTCTTAGTATTAATAGAAGAAGTATTAAAGAAAAAGGAGTTCGGAAGAGGGGTTTAGAAGAGGAGTAAGGAGGAGAAATAAGGAGAAGTAAGGAGGAGGAGAGAAAGGTTATAAGGTAGTTAGATATTAGCTCTTGGTATTAATAGAGGTATTAATAAAGATATTAATAAAGGTATTAATAGAGAAGGTATTAGTAGAGGATAGAAGCTCTTGGTATTAATAGTAAAGTCAAAAAAATATAGAAGAAGGATAGAGATTTTAGAGTAAAGATAGAATAGAATTATAGTTTTATAGAAAATAAAGTTACTAGTATAAGGTAATTATATTATTATATAATTCTATATTTACTTTTACTATTTATTAAGAATATATATCTCTTAGAAGAAAGTATTACTTAGAATTCTTGAGCCTCTCTAATTTAATAATTATATATTTAAAAAATAAAAAATAAATATAATTATATATACTAGAATAAGGGAATTCTTCTTATTTAAAAATTATAATTATAGTATTACTAAATATAGAGATATAGAAGTTTATATAATAAGCTATATATAGAGATTTAAGGAGATTTAAATTACCTTGAATTATTTATAATTAGTAAAGTAAATTAGCTAACTATATAAATCAAGTATAGTTTAATTATTATTAGTATACCTTAGCTTTTATAAGTTAGTAAAAGAAAGAATATTTATATTTTTATCTTTATAACTATAATACCTAAAATTATAATTTTTTTAATATTTAAATATATTTAATTTAGGGCTATTAAGTATTAATATTTCTATTTTCAGGTATTATTTATTATAAATTTATTCGGATTTAAATAATTATATTAAATATATATTTTTATATCCTAAAGATAAATAATAAAGATATAGCTATACTAGCTTTAATCTTAGCCTTAACCTTAATCTTAACTTCCTTTCAAAAACAACTTTAATTCCGATATATAATACTATTATTAAAGCTTTCTTTTATTAAAGATATATTAAATATGGCTTTAGATAGTAGCTCTAGTAAAGGCAAAAGCAGTAGAAAAGATAATAAAGCTATAAATAAGCAGAAAGATAATATTTATAATATATCCTCTAATAATCTAGACTTAGTCTATAATATTCTTTCCCGTTAATATATTTAACTAATAAACCCCTTTATTCCTTGATTTCCTCCTTATATATAACCTTCTCCTCCTTTTCTATAATAATACTTTAATTTCCTTATACTACCTAATAATACTACTAAAATAGTAAAGCAAATTAATAATAAGGCTAAAGTTAGAGAGATAGAGCTATACTAGGGCAGGGAGCTAAAGGGATTAGAGAAAGGCAAGGCAAATCTGGAGGCAAGCTTGGTATATACTTACGGAACTAAATCCTCTTAAGCTTATACTACTTATAGTAATAAGAAGAGACCAAGGGGCCCTTTCAAATACTATATAGTTATAGAAGGCGAATTCAATAGCGTTTATATAAATTACAGATATAATAATAATAGTAAAGTCTATACTTTCCATTGATTTAATACTAATCCTACCAAGTCTGGAAAGCCTCGCTCCGTATCTGCAAAACCCTTTATACCAAAGTCTCGACCGCCTACAAGATATAGAAAGCGAGTACAAAGACAGATATAAGGTCAGAAGGCAATGGGGAAGGAGGTTATAGCAGAGGAGGGTAAGGATACTAGAGGAGAAGGGGACGAAGGAGATATAGATAATTCGAGTAATATAGGCAATACGGAGGATATAGAAAGTAAGGGAGATGGAGATGTGCCTCGTAATCCATGGGATTTGCCTTACGGACCACGCAAGCTAAGGGGGGGTTAGGAGTAGTCGAGAATAAGGCGTGTATGCTGTACTTTTTTTTTTTTAGTGAGGTGTGGTGGGGGGGTGTGGGCGCGAAAATCAGAAAATCAGAAAATCACTTTTCGCTTCTCGGATTTGTCCGCTAGCCCGCTAATGGCCTCAGTAACCTCGAGGGCCGTTCTACTTGGCCACACAATGGAGAAGACAACCTACAAATGTTCCACTTTTGCAAAGAATCTCAACCCGTTTTTTTTTGGAACGCCATAACAGCGGAGGTTAAATGTGCGAATGGACTCTGAGCTTTCACAAATCCAATGCTTTTACATTTTTGGATTGTTCATCATTGTCTCTTCTCACATACGAAGCCAAACCAAGATGAAGAGCAATAACTAGAAATTATCTTTGTCTACGCAAAATAACGAAGGAAAATACATACAGATCTCATAACCCATTATTTCCTAAATTGCTTCATCTATTCTTCATCGATCACAACCCCCCATTCATGCTGAACATTCCCATACATAATATCCTTCAACCACTTCTTCAAAAGAGCAGCATAATATCCACTGGTACCATCCCCCATTGGAATGTCGATCTCCTCATCCCTAAAACTGATAGCCGAAACAGGGGTAATGAAATACCTAAACCTCATCAGCACACCTCATACTCGTTGTGCATGGGAAGACTCACGCAGTACCACTCAAGAAAGCCTCTACAATCCGTCCTTCCTCCCACGCCTCTTCAATTTCCAGCATGGTGAAATTTCTTTCAACGACTTCGAGATCTGTAATGTTCGGGGGAAGGTACTCTGATCCGGATACTAGCCGTTGTCTTGCGAGCTCAAGTACACTTCCTCTCGTAACACCTTCGAGAATGACCTTTGCATCTAGCGGAGCAGTAACCAGTTGCAAATTCCCCTCTTTTGTTTTCCACACAATGAAGAAGTTGCTTGCTCCAGCCTCTGTGACCTAGAGGAGTCGGTTAGTCTGAAGTAGTATCGAGTTGAGGTAGAGCGAACCTGATAATCAGCACCCAACAGCCAAAGAATCTGATCATACCCCATCTTCCTGCCCTCCATGTGGCTTACAAAAGCGGGACCATAGTTAGCTCCCACCTTCGCATACCCAAAGCCACCAGGCCACGCACGAACATCGCTCTTGGAAGCAAGGAGCTTCAGTCCTGGCGGCTTTGGCAATGTTCCAGGCCGAGTACCTGACGATAAGTCTGGCCAACCAACTGCGACGATGAACATCAAGACTTCAGATGGTGCTGTGACTCCGATCTGCTCACCGTTGCCAATGATTGCCGGACGGAGATAAAGAAATCTTCCTGGTCGGCTCTTTGGCAGCCATTCTTTTATTCCACATTAATAAATTTCAAACATCGAGTGGTGATACAGAGGACTTACTTGGACCATCAACTTTCATGAAAGCCTTCAGTAGCTTCTCTAACTCCTTAGGATTGAAAGTGGGCAAGGCAACCCGAGCCGAACTCATGACCAGTCGAGCGCAGTTCTTATCTGGACGAAACAAGCGCAGTTTGCCGTCAAATCCGCGGTAAACTTTCAGACCCTCGAAACATTGAGTTGCATAATGCAGACATGAGGCAATTGGGCTCATTGTGAGTTGACCGTATGGTTCAATGGTGGGAGCATGCCATCCAACATCGTCGGTCCATGTGACCTTGACCACTGTGAGAATATCAGCAAAAATCCCAAAACAAATAATTCCCAGACAAAAAGCCCAGAGTGAGTTGTAAGTGTGTGCGTGGGGTTCCAACTGGGATGAAAATATGCTAATGGGACCCGTACTATGATCCGTACAAGTCTTCATATCCCATATCTCCAGCGAATCCGGCTCTGGGACCTTGCCCGGAGATTTCGTAAGAGAGACCGTCAGCTTCGACACATCGAGGTCATGCATTTCCGGTTCATGGACCAAGGTTTTTGCGGCGTTGACGCCGTTCTGGATAAGATGGCTCGCTGTCTCGACTGCGTGGCCGTTCATGGCGGCGGTGTGAACGATTGACTCAATTAGAATTATCAGCCCATAAGAGTATTGTTCTAGCCAGTATGAGCTCCAAGGGAAGCCAAGGGAAGCAAAGGAGTCCAACTCACCTATATCGACCAGCTGAGTCACTTGGCCAATGCCCAGGGTGCCTGAGACAAAAGTAGTCAGATTACTCCGGACCGGACCGTCCCAATCTATAGATGAAAGTATTAAAGGTTCAGATAAGAGGCAAGATTAGATGAATGCCACCATGACGCACAAGGTATGAAAATAGGAATCTGGAAGAAATTTGTTCTCCAAAGGGCGTGGGCTGTACCTGACTCAACGGATCGAAACTATCAGACCAGGGTCCAGTTACTTATTACCGAGGTGGGCTACTTATCGCCGAAAGTGGAAAATGGGTGGCCATATCACGTATGTACGACTACAGATATTGTTGATAAGGAAGGTTCCAAATCTTTATTTTATAATATATTTGCCATATTTCCGGGGGTATATGATGTCAAGAGTCGTTTCGTCTGAAGTTTTCACCCTGGTTGGTGGAGAGCGAAATCGGAGGGCGGGGTGATCTCGAAGACCTTCGACGAAGACTGTCAACAGCAAGAAATATATATATGATTATATATAATTTGTAGCGAATACTCGCATTTATGTACCATGGTATCGTTTTCTCTCATCATTCGTCAATCCTCCCCGCTGTCTGCAAATTCTCAGCCGAATTCTTCACGAAACTAAGCTTTTGCGACAGCAGAAGCAGACTCCGGGGAAGCTCTCCCACTCAATCGCTTCTTATTCACCACTCTGAGGCCAGCCAGCAACATAATAAGAGCCTCCACGCCGAGAATGACAGCAAGAGTGACCATAGCCCCAATGACACCTGCAACAGCCTTTGAAATCCCTCCCGCTGACGGCGACGAAGTTGTGGAACCAGAGGCCCCCGTGGAAGTCGAGGTGGCAGAAGCGCAGACACCAGTCGAGTTTCCGCACTTTGTGCACCAATCCGCTTGATCACCGATGGCAAACTGGTTCATCTGGTCCACGAATGTGTTCCATGGGAGGACGGTCTCGGATTGTCCGAAGAGTGGGTATGGGGTGAGAGGGTGCTCGGAGGTGGTGCCGTTGGAGAAGAGAAAGCGGACGGAGATTTGGTCGTTGCTTGGATAGGAGGTGTCTGTGACTGTGGCATTGGTCACCAGTTCAAAGGTCATGGAGGATGCGTAGTCGACGATTCCTGTGAAGTTGTCGGAGACCTTGGGGAGCTGGGCAAGGCCAAAGAAAGAGAGGAAGGATGCATAGGCGCCGAATTGGATGCCGATCTGGGACTTGGACTTTCCGGTAATGGTCATGTTGAGCTGTTGGACGATTTGGGCGGCGAGAACACTTCCTGCGATAGCTCTGATTGGTTCACTTAAGTTGAATGCGAGGTTGTATTCATGGTTGTCTGCCAAGGTTTGGAGTTGGAAGACAGTCTCTGGAGTGAGAAGATTGTCTGACGGAATGCTTGAATTGTGGATCTGGGACACATGAACTAGGTCATAGACTACCACAAATTAGCCTCGTACTCTTGAAAATAACATCAAACAGCTCACTTAAATAAGCATTCTTAAAGTTATCCTGAGCTAAACTGAAGGTACCATTGACAACTGGCAAAACGCTATGATAGAAATCCATCGTCTTGTTGAGCTCGGTCATATACTCCTGTGAGAAGAAGTAATTGTTCGAGCTAATAATAGCATTGTTGCAACCGCTCTGTCCTTGAAGCCACTGAGAATTTTCGGAGTTTGCACCGCTTGCAGCAGAAGCAATTGCATTAACAGGAATGAGCTGGAATCCGCCCAAGGGTGCCTCAACGCTCGTTCCATTGGCCAACTTCTGAGTCCCAAGCGTAACTCCAACAGGTGGGTAAAGGCCTTGCAGGAATCCGGCAGCTGAATTCTGAAGAACTGTGTCGACAGGAGCTTCGACGCTCAATTGGGAATTCTTGACGAGATCGGAGCTGATGCCGAAGATCTTAGAGGTGGCATTGGCGTCGATGTAGCGGTTGCGATAGAAGTCTCCGGCGGCGTGCACTTGGTAGTACCCGAGGTCTGTCAAAGTGGTGGGAACGAAGTTCTTGGATGTACGATCTCCATGACGGTGAAAGATGTAGACACCGAGGACGGTCTCCTGCGCTTGGAGAAGTGGGAGTAAGGTTGAAAGGAAGAGGATCTGTGTGGCAAGCATCTTGAATGCCTCTCGAGTGTCAGCTGTGAGTCAATGAAGGACGGAACCAAGCTGAAGTAATTGATGGGACAATTGGGGCGACTTTGCAAGACACTGAGAAAAGAATAGTCCGCGGGAGCTTAAGAGTCTTATCCTTTCGAGCTATCGTCAAGAGCAAGAGCTTCTCCGAGCTGCATGAAGCTTACAGTGCATGCCTGCCTGCCTATCTCTTGGAGCCCCACTTTCCAGTGCAAAAGATCTCCGGATTCGAGCAGGCCAGTAAATCTCTGGAGGCGAAGTTGCGGGCAGACTTGCCCCTCTTTAGGTAATGTCAACAACCAATGGCAATGGCGACCTCTCTAGGCAATGGGTCCATCTGGTTGTCCCCCGCCAAGAAGTTTCTTTTCCCCTCACTAAGATACCGAAGCTGCTGTAGCCTTCCGCGCCCACAAGGTCGAGATCAACACCATGGGCTCTTGTGTTAATGGAATTTACCGGTGCTTCTTTTTGCACCTGATTCAGACACACCTGCCAAACTTGGCTTCCCCCGGCGAAGTGCGGCTCGTCTGATCGCGAGGCCGGAAGGCGCCGCATCTTCTCCTCGGGCTAACGGCCTCGAAAGTAAGAAGCCGCAGAGCACTCGAGCATGCGCAGCTTTTGAGACTGGTTGGAACCAATAGAACTGGACTTCTTTCTTTTTAAGCCAGCAATCATCTATGTCTAGTGTTTGCCATAATTCGACGCAACACAGTGAGCAATGTTTTCTCATCATCTGGCCCAGAAACTCCAACGCTATGCTTCAAAATTGTAATACATGTATCACTCGTCACTGTCTGAGTCGAGTACGACTCTTCTTCTGTTCTCCCTTTGCCTTGACACTGGCCTCACGTATTCTTCCAGTTCATCAGATGCCACTTGAGTGCGTTGCTTTGTAAAGGTTCCAACCAAGTCGCGCAGGTTAGGCAAATCATCGCCCTCATCGTCATCGCCGTCGTCATCCTCATTCGTCTCCAGCGTGGCTGTGAGTATAAAAGGCTTCTTGAATTGCTTCAAGCTTGGATCCAGCGCCGGAGGTGTCGTTGAAGATCGAGCCAGGGGGCAACTTCTGATGCTGGAAGAGGGTCCGTCAGCGAGGAAGTCTTTCATGCTTCCAATGCTGACATCACTGTCCTCTGATAGATCTTCACTCTTCAGAAGATCTTCTCCTTCTCCTTCACTGTCACCAGCTGGGCTGGATTCCATTCGCTTCCGCGTTTGATGATGTCCCCTGGGAGTTTGATCACTTTCTTCGCCATCACCCTCGATGTCAGAGAGGACTATAGCCTGCTTCCGAGCTTTCTTCCGAGGCTCCTTTGGTTTTGTTGGTGTCGTCTTCCTAGATCGAGTTGGTGGTTTACCAACATCACGCTCATCTTCAACCAGATCAGGTAGATCCCAGAAATTCGAGGAAGGCTCGGTCTCACCATACGGCATCGTAAATCGGTCGATGATGTCTTGTGAATCTGCCAGGGTTTTGAACAACCTGACACACCGTTTTGTGTACTCGCCATGACGAACATGTACCACGGGACCAAGTGATCTTTGAGCACCACAGTGAACAGTCACGTCAGGCATCTCGACTTCTGGAAAGTTGGTTCCAGGAATGTTCTGATACTTTTCTCGTAGCTCTTCCTCCTCCTTCGGACTCAGGAGCACTGATTCTGGTTCCGGGATCGGAGCAAGCCGGGTTCTGACTAACTCGCTGCGTTTCACTGTTACGTCGAGGTCTGTGAGAGTCGTTCCATCCGCGGACAATTTCGAAGCCTTCTGAAACCCTGTATGTACTCCGTCCGGCATGTGGAACTTCTTCGGAGGTTTCTTCAATCCTCTTTTCAGACGACGCTTCGGTTCTGGAAGTGATGGATCCTGGGTGTTCTCGATTGGGATTTCAATCATCTTCTTCTCGACAACTGGCGTGATGTCCCTAGGAATAATACGGACCGAAAGATCATGTCGGAAGTTGAATCTTGAACCACTGTTGATCATCTTCTGCATCTGTTCGTAGTTGTCCTTAGCTTTGGTGAAGGACTCTTCCTCCTTACCTCGCATTAGAAGCAAAACAATGTTTCCGGCTCTCTTTCTTCCTGTTCGCCCCATTCGTTGTAACATCCGGATAGGGGACGCCGATGCATCATAGCAGACAATAAGATCAACTTGACCAATATCGAGGCCTTCTTCTCCGATTGAAGTAGCCACAATAACATTAAATACACCATTTTTGAATTTCTCAATAGTTTCTTGCTGTTTTTGTTGATTCATTCCCTCAGACCGCTTGGAATCAGCCTGCCCAACAAAGACTGAGGCTCGGATCATTGGGCCATGCCTGTTCAAGACACGAGCAATGCCCTCAGCACTGTCCCTGAACTCTGCAAAAACAATGACTCGAGTAGCCGATGGTGGAGCATTCTCGCCCAACCTTCCTTCTCCAGCGTCCAGAAAATGGTTCAGAATGGTATCGCAGAGATATGTGAGTTTCGGATGGCCCACGAAATCATCCTTGCTTAGCCACAATTGAATCCGATCCATCATCTTCTTAAATTCCGGACAGTCAACGATCTGACTTTTGTACTTCGATGGCTTGTTCTTATCATCGACTCCTTGCTTGAAATCTTTGATGCTCGAGTAGAATGGTCCGATTCCATGAAAGTTCAATAGCTTGATGCTGTGAGCAACGCTAGCAAGAATGGAAAACAGTCCATTCATCATTCCCTTAAGACCTTGGCTGGCTCTTCTCGCTGGCTCAGACTTAAACCAGTTCTTCCTTGCCTGCATCATTCTGAATGGAGTCAGCGACATAGGATCTTTGTTCCAGTACGCATTTTGCCCGCACAACTGGTTAACCAATGGCTGAAGTGCTTTCGCGAAAAGATCCTTTACCATGACCATCTCATCCGATGGATCGAGAAGGATCTGGTCGATGTTACGTCGGTGAACATATTGCTGAATGTCAATGGACTCTTCCGTGCGTATTTCGACCTTGGATATCTCCAAACCATCAATCACCTCTTGGACTGCTTCAACACTCGCACCGGGGGTAGCAGTCAAGGCTAGTATACGGAAACTTTTGTTAAATCGGCGCATAAAACTGACCACCTTGACGTAGGAATAATTGCCAGTAGCTCGGTGTGCTTCATCCACAACCAAGAGAACGATATTCTTCGGATCAGCGATGCCACTTGCCAGATCATTCTCCAGAGTTTGTGGTGTCATGAAAAACACACGCTTCGTATCCCACTCTTCCTTACGCAGGGCGGGCACCTGTTCTCCTGTAAGCATTGTGGTTTGTGATTTTGGTATTCCAACGATGTTGAAGCATGCGTTGACTTGCTGAGCAACCAAGGGCTTTGTCGGCGCTACAAAGACAATCTTGGCGTCCTTAGTCCATCGGAAGAAATTGAGCATAATCGTGGCAGCAATGAAGGTCTTTCCGAGACCGGTGGGAAGAGCCACCAGCAAGTTATTGAACAGCCCATGTTTGACGATGCTATATTGATAGTCTCGAATCGTACCAAGGTTGGTGGGGTAAACCCAAGTCCTCAAGGCTTCTTCGTTCAAAGCATGGTGTGTAGGAGTTTCTGGTGGCAAATCCACAATGAAATTGTGCACCTTCTTTGCTTGCGAGGCAGATACCGGTACCTCTTCCAGGGCACGACCTCCAAACAGCGTGGTTTGCTTGAGACCCTGCTGCGGCGCAACAAGACGTTGTCGAGGACGAGAATTCTCTTGGGCGACTCGAGGGGATGATGACCCAACTTGAATGGGTTCCTTCGGGCGAGAGCCATACTCTGGAGATGAGAAGGCATCGGAAGGGAGATCCTCCAATTCATGGGCAAAGTCGTTATCTTGCGACGGCTGGCTTGTTTGTCTCTTGAACGATTCCACTATTGAACCTGAGAAACGAGGAGGCACCGTAAATGGTGGAGGGGTTGGAGGAGGAGGTTCGGGCCTGGGCTTCTTGTAGATTGGACCTCTGATCCTGTATGGACTCGAATCCGGATGAGCTTCAGCCTGTGTAGCCCCGATTATTCGAGTTGGCGGTATTTCCTGGTCTGCGATATGAATCTTGTATTTCTTCTTCTTCTTCAGTTTTTCAGTTTCCTCATCACCCCCAGAGCCATTTTCAACTGAGTAAGATCTACGTCGGTCTCTGCGAGTGCCATCGTCGTCGGCGGATCCATCGCTGATCCTTCGCCGCTTTGCGGGGTGTGGGGGAAGTGTCTGCGAAGCCTGGCTGAAGGCTTCAATCAAGTCTTCGTCTGCGATATCGTCATAATCATCCTCGTCCATGTTAGAGCGGGTTGTTGAGCCTCGACTCACATTGGGCGAGCGATTGATGTTGTGGAGTGACGCGAAGTGGAGGATAGAACGCGAAAGCTTGTTTCCCATCACGTGCACGCGTCAAATTGGGGATGAACTGCCAGACGAAAACGCATCTCTGCCTCTCTCTCGCCTCTACAAATTTAGCGGGCAAGAAGATTTTGAAATGGGTTTAATTGAGCTCGGCTTTCATGTAAATCACTGTATTGTAGGCTCATTCAAAGTGGACTCTTTGCACACCTCAAGTGGATTTCACCATCGGGTATCTATTGCAATTCTAATCTATGGTTAGATGTTGCAGGTTCAGGCTCACAGAACCAAGAACCTCTAGAATCCGCGCCCAGGGCGCTTGACTATCGGCTTCCTAACTGCGCCGTGCGATGCGACCTTCTTAACAGCAGAGGTGAGGGGCTTCTTAGTCACTTTCAGATTTTCATTCTCCAGGCGTTGCTCCTCGCGGAGCTTGTCCTCCACCATCTTTGCTTCAATTTCCATTTTCCGATTGAACTCGACCTCAGTGACTCGCTTCTCTCGAGCAGAATATCCTTTCTCCTTGACTGAATAGAAAACTCCACCGAGTTCGGCCAACCAGCGAGGGTCGACGGATGTGACTGTTGACATATACTCCTTTGAAGTAAGGATAAGTTCGTGATAGACAACGTAGTCAGGGAGATATCCCAATCCGTAGAGCGCACTTGTAGGATGCAGTTGGACAGTGACGCTTGTTCTCAGATTCACATACTCTCCAATGCCTTTGACCTTCGCTGCCTGGTGATAGTACCCGGAGCAGATGCACTTGCGGATGGTGTCCCAGTCAGTGCCGCAACTTATCATGGACATTCTCTGCATCTTCATGATGTCAAGTAACTGCTCTCTAATCTCCTTTGCTCGGCGCAAGGACTTTGGGTGCAGGAAGTGTCGGGTACACCAACCGTCGGAGTATCCATTCGCTTTCCATTGAGCGTAGACGTGAAGATATGTTAGATGATCAGATTCAGGCACGAAGAATTTCTCCCGTGCGGCATCAGATTCTTCCTGGCGTTCTTTTGGTCGGTAAAATACCCCGGGGACAGATAGCATAGAAACGATGGTAAGCATCTCTTCACTGCAGCCATAATCTTCAGAGGTGATCAAGAGCTTAGCCAGAGAAGGATCCATGGGGAAAGCTGTCATCTTCTTGCCAATGTCCGTCAGATCGCCAATATTATCGAGGGCTCCGAGAGCCCAAAGGTCGAAAAGTGAAGTCGTAATTGTGTCTTGCGGTGGAGGATCCAGAAAGTCGAAGTCCAACAAGTTTTTGACTCCAAGAGACTTCAATAGCAGAACGGTATTGCTGAGGTTTGTGCGTTGGATCTCGGGGATGGTTTGGATGTACATTTCATCTTTGAATGCTGCTTCAGTAAAAAGGTGAAATGCTTTCCCGGGTCCAGTACGCCCAGCGCGACCAGCTCGCTGAGAAGCATTTGCTTGAGAGATAGGAGTGATCTGCAAGGTATCCATACCCATTCTTGGGTTGTAAACCTTGAGCTTTGAGTATCCAGCGTCGACGACATACATGATTCCATCCACGGTCAAACTTGTTTCGGCGATGTTGGTAGCCACGATGACCTTTCGAACTCCAGGGGCGGCTTTGTCAAAGATCTTAGCTTGTAAATCCGCAGGCATCTGACTGTAGATTGGGAGGATGCTGAGTTTCGGTGGATCGTTTAACGCATTCAGTCGTTCTTGGATCAACTCGCAGGTCACTTCAATATCTTCCTGGCCGGTCATAAACACCAAAATATCTCCAGGTCCCATCGATACATGGATTGCCAGGACTTGCTGAACTGCCTGGTCCACATAGTCTTCAACAGGAGATCGGTGGAACATAACGTCGACTGGAAAAGTTCGTCCAGGGATGAAGAACTCAGGTGCCCCACCGAAAAAGTCCGAAAAACGCTTTGAGTTCATCGTTGCGGATGTAACGATCAACTTAAGATCCCTCCTACGTGTAAGGACTTTTTTAAACAAGCCCATGAGTACATCCGTGTTCAACGCTCGCTCATGAGCTTCGTCCATAATAATGCAGGAATAGCGATCAACGTCTGGTTCGTTCAATGACTCTCTTAGGAGAACTCCTTCAGTCATGTACTTGATCACCGTTTCTTTGCTGGTGCAATCCTCAAATCGAATGGCGTAACCAACAACGCCTCCGAGTCTACATTCCATCTCCTCACTGACACGCTTGGCCACACTCATGGCAGCGACTCTGCGAGGCTGCGTACAGCCGATCAATCCCAACTTGCCATAACCATCTTCGTATAGAAATTGGGTCAGTTGAGTCGTTTTTCCAGAGCCTGTCTCGCCCACACAGATGACAACCTGATTGTCTCTTATGACCCGTAATAGTTCCTCTCGCACTGCAAAAGCAGGCAGAAACTCCCTTTGTTCCTTCAGAGACTTGCTCTGACTAAAATTACTCGCGCCTTGATTCTTCTTCATATGCTGTGAGAACTTGCTGTTGCTCTGGTGTTCTTCTTCACCAGGAATATGTGCTGCGCTGTCACCTTCATCCTCCTTAACGCCCATCAAATTGCCAAGTGCGGTCCCTGCCATGTTCGTAGCTTCTTGTGCTTGTTTTTGCCTTTCCTTCTGTTGACGTTTCTCCTTCACTACTTTGCTTCCTTTTCGACTGAACACGGCCATGTCACTCTGGTAGTCTCTCACGGCTGGCACCGGTTCCAGCTGTTTGGAGAATACAGTTCTGCCATCCAAGAACGGTGGTCTCAGATCGTGAACGAGTAGATGTACTCTTGTTGCCTCCTCATCATCCTCAAAGTCGTCTCCAAAATCTCTTCGCTGAGCCACTCCCGAAGTGAGCATACGGTTCGTCTCCCAAGCATCGACATCTTTTTGTTTCTGGGTTGCCCTGGCACTCATACGCTTCCCTGTCTTTTTCTCCGCCAACGCGGCCTCTCTCTGTTGGTCAGCCCAGGAGTTGTCGTATGAGCCAAACGGGTTGTGTGTATCATCTCCAAATGTGTGCCCAAGCTCGTCCCCAGCGTACCAGTCTCTATCAAGAGCATTCGAATCTTCCTCGTCTACAAAAGGCTCTGGTCCGTCGAACTCCTGCTGCCGGGGAGTGGAGGGGTAACGCGACTGCGCGCGAGGTGTGGATTCTCGCGACCCATTCCCTATTCGACTTTGAGACCTCGAGACTGATGAGCCGGCGTGCCCATTCTTGATTGAAGGTTTGGCAGGAACAACAAATCTGTCATCAGATCTCAACGGGTTGAAATCCAGTTTTCGCCGCTTGGGGCTGGTTTCTCCTTCATCTCGGGCCATCTTGCTTGGGGGAAAGCGATGTTATTTTTGCGAGGTCTAAACATCACGGAAAATAAGGTGGCGCTAGAAAACTAGATCAAGCTCGCTTATGATAACGCTAAGATAAGCTCTAAAATGTGAACATTTTTCCCACGACGATCTTGTGCAACCATTCTACCCAGCTAGTTTGGAGAAGATAGGTCGCGGATACAAGATGTCTATGATTACAGCTACAGCGTGGGTCCCGCGCGGATTTGCAGCACCGTTTCCAACCAAATACACTTTCGATGAGGATGAATTCGCACGTATTGCAGAGCTAGCCAAGATCCAACTTGACGATGCGAACGAGGACTTGGAGGATGCGCGCAAAGAGGCTGCGGATAGTAATGGCGCAGAAGATATGAAAGAAGAGGATGGCTCAGACGATGAAGCTCCTTCTAAGACCTTGAAGTCAAAAGCGTCTGTCAAAGCCTACCATTTCCATTGGCCTTCAACTAACATTCCTATTCTGCAGAGATGAGGATGATGACCTCCAGGAATATGACCTCGAGCATTATGACGATGATGTGGAAAAGGACAAAGAAGATGAGGGTATGGGTATGGGCATGTTTGGAAACGTCAAGTCGCTTGCGTATCATGCTTCCAACGAAGACGATCCGTATATCACCATGAAAGAAAACGAGGAGGAAGACGAAGATCGAGAAGAACTACAAATTCTGGCAACCGACAATCTGCTTCTAGCTGCAAAAGTGGAAGATGAGGTTGCACATCTCGAGGTCTACGTTTACGAGGATGAGGCCGACAATTTGTATGTGCACCACGACATTATGTTGCCAGCAATACCCCTTTGTGTTGAGTGGTTGGATCTACCTGTGGGCAAGTCCAATGTGGAGAAAGACTCGAGAGCAAATTTCGTGGCGGTTGGAACCTTTGATCCAGACATCGAAATATGGGATTTAGATACCATTGATTGCATGTACCCGAATGCTATCCTCGGACAAGGAGGGGACACTGGTTCGGACGGGCTTAAAAAGAAGGAAAAGAAGAAGAAAAAGAAGTCGAAGAAGGCCAATGTCGAGTTCCACGTTGACGCCGTTTTATCACTTGCCGCCAACAGACATCACCGTAACCTCCTGGCCTCTTCGTCAGCCGACAAGACGGTGAAGTTATGGGATCTGAACACCACTAAATGCGCAAAATCATACACACACCATACCGATAAGGTCTGCTCAATAGCATGGCATCCAAAGGAGTCAACAGTCCTGTTGAGTGGGAGTTATGACCGAACAGTCGTGGCAGCAGATATGAGAGCGCCAGATGCAAAGGTTCCAAGTTGGGGTGTGGAAAGTGACGTGGAAACAGTTCGATGGGATCCACATGATCCAAATTTCTTCTACATATCCACAGAGAACGGCATCATCCATTATCATGATGTTAGAAAAGCACCAGCCAGTCCAGCAGCAAGCAAACCTGTGTGGATATTGCAAGCACACGATGAATCAGTGTCTGCTTTTGATATCAACCCAGTCATCCCTGGTTTTATGGCAACTGGATCTACAGACAAGCAAGTCAAGCTTTGGAATATCCAACCCTCAGGCCCATCAATGGTGGTCTCGAGAGATCTTGACGTGGGAAAGGTATTTTCTACTGTATTTGCACCAGATGAGGAAGTTGGATTCAGGCTGGCAGTGGCAGGGAGCAAGGGAATGATGCAAATCTGGGTAAGCTGACAGAATTGTTTCTTAATATTGTTTCTGACTTGACTAGGACACTTCCACAAACCCTGCGGTAAGAAGAGCATTCGCATCGAGGGTTGCACCAGTTGAAGGAGAAATTAAGGAGAGGTTAGTCGGGGTAGGAGAGGATAGCAGTGAATCAGAAGAAGAGGAAGGTGGGGTCGAAACTGGGGAAGCAAATGGGGGTGAAGGCTGGGAGTCAATGGATGAGGACTGAAAGGTCTGAACGGAAGCAGAAAGTCCATCGACTGTTCCACAGGCCTCCTACCGTCTTGCATAGTCTTATCCAGAGATCAACGCTACGTCGCCACGAGAGCTCAAGATCTGAGACAGGGCGTATGACCTATAGATCTGCTGATGCGACGTCCATCGTTGCTCATCTTGCGTATACCCCATATGTTCGGCGATGCTCCTATAGCTATGTCGAACGTGATGTATTCTCCGAAATCGAGGGGTCACAATAATTTAAAGGTTCATGGCAGCACACATTGATAAGAAATGGACTTCCACACGGAAAGCCAGAGGTGTGGTTGTGAGATTTTCTGTGCACTGACTGCCGCATTGAAGATCGAACACGGTATCCCAACTTCTTCAATGCAAGCACCAAAGCATGGCCTTCGCAGATCGAATGGCTTGTCTGATCTCCATGGCGCCGAGCGATCATAACGAATACGTAATCTCGGAGCCACAAAGGACAATTTAAGGATAGGAGGGAGGATTGCAATGCTGACTGTCGTCCACATTTGGAAGATCGTCGAAGTGGTGATGTGAATTCATCCATCCGATGCCCGAGTTTAGCTACATCAAGCCCCTTTTTTAACCTGACTACAAGTAGTGACTGACATACTCCGCCGTCGGCGCACAGGTCGGGCTGCCTGTGCGTGGCAAAGCACATGCTTCTTCCAGCCAACCGAGCTTCTCTGGCGCTGTGCGATTTTCCCCTGACTACCTTACGCTTTCTAGGGCCGCGCGCAAAGTAACCTCAGAGCATGGCCATAGTAGGGCCACCGGCGGCCGGCGCTGCGCCGCTGAGGGTTGGAAGCCTGTGGATGATGATGGCAGTCATCCGACCTTGCTGCTCCTGAAACGTCGAAACACATCGGATGAGCCAATGACAGCTGGAAGAGCAGCCCATTCCCTGCGCATCCGTTTCGACTTCATGTTGGCGGCAAGGCCGTGCTATTCGCTGCACTGGACTGCATCCATTCGCTGGCCAGAGACCCCGGCTTGCGAGAGACCCCACGCGGGAGTCGTTTGGACGAGACAGATCGGCCCAATCAACTGGGGGGGGGGGCAGGGCGGATCGCCGCGCTGCCCTTTTTCTCAGGCGCTTTCTCGATCTCTAGATCTATCTCGACCGAGTGCTACTGTGAGTTTTCTTTGAACAGCTTGGGCAGAGAGGAACACTTGTCGCCCTGCTAGGCTGCGACAGCATCACCGGCGCAAAACTCGGCGCTCGGGTATTCATCGGTTGGATAGACTTCTGGATAATTGTGGAGCGCCGTGCCCAAGCCAGCAAATCCTTCGCCAACGCGTGTGGAAGCAGACAAGCTACAGATAGTACAGCCAGCCTACTTTGGTACCGCGCAGCACAGCACGCACTGCACGCACTGCACAGCACAGGCAATGGATCCGCCGGGCCAGGACAGGGTGGGCTGGGCTGGCCAGGATCCCGAAAAACCTTCAAGTCTTCCCGCCCACTTCCGCTTCCAGCTCGAACTCCACCCTGTGCTCGATCCCTGCCCCAGGGCCCCAGTACCAGGGCCCACCGTCAACCGTGTTCGTCTTCGCCCCTTGCAGCCCAGCACAGCGCCGCCGTCTCTTTAGTCCCTGACTCCCTGTTGCTCCCTGTTGGGGCTTTTGGCTTCCTTCTGCTGTCATCCTCACACTGCTTCTTTGCTTCTTCACTTCTTCCTCAACACGTTCTCCCTCACCGGCAGCATCATCGACAAGTTCGACATCGCAGCGCGATCCATCTTGCTTTTCATTCCTTCTTGCCTGGACCTGGTTGTTCGACTATCACTCTCTTATCGACATCGACAATCCCGACACTCACTTCGAGACATCCAAAAACAACAGAGCACCCACCGATTCCTGATTCCATTATCGGACCGCGCCTTTCATATCCATACAGACTTTCCCCGAGACGTGGCCGACTTTTTTTTCTACCTACATTTTCATTTCAGATCTCCCCGGGACGAAGTCATTGGCGTGAATCATAGCGCTGCTACTTCAACGCAACCTTCCACCTTCCCTTTTTGCACAACGAACACTAGCAGTCACCTGGACGCAACGTTAGTCGACAGAACGACATACCCGACTTTTCAATCATCAACAACAACAACGCAAAGGGCGTCCACAATTTACGAACAATCTTCTCGACCTGCCAATCCCGCAAGCGAAAGAAGTGCAATCGGCCCAACTTATCCGCACTGATCATCAACTCGGATAATTTGACCCCACCATCAACAGTCAGCAGTCAGCAACCAACCATATCGTTGGTGGAAGGAAGAAGAGCTCCTTATCCCATCTTATCCGGACCATAAGTTACCTTTGCTGCCATATTCGCGAAAATGTCTATCTCGAGGGCTTTCACAACCAGAAAGTCGAGAGCAGCGAACGAGAGTACACCTGAAATGCCAAAGAGATCCCTTACTACGAAGCACTCGTTATCTTCCTCTGGAACGATCAGGCACAAGATTTCGGCCCCTATTGAGCTCATTTCGACAACCAATATGCTCTCTTACAATGCTCCGGACATATTTCCCAGTTCATCTTCTACTTCCTCGAATTCTGGCGATGATTCTGATAGATCACCTTCAAGTTCGTCAACACCATTAACTTCACCAGATACCTCGTCGATCGAGTCGTCTTCCCCAACTTCACCGCAGCCAAATCATCTATCATGCTACTTCAGTGCTGCTTCGCGGCAGAGTGCTTCGAGTGATGGCGCCCCAACGATTCCCTCAAGAGCGCCAAGCCATACGAAGAAGAATTCGGAAATCATCGCCAAAAAACGGTCCATGTCTCGAGTATCTGGGTCGACTGGATCGAGGGGGGAAAACAGCACATCCACAGCTCGATCCTCAATCAACATGTTCTCTTCACACGTTGATACTGTGGACTCACACTCTCATCCCTTCGGCAAAGAACTAGCTCAAGTTTCCGAGATTGCAGAGGAATATGGCATCAGCAAGGAGAAGTTGGCTGTGGTGGACGAGGAAGAACAAGAGCTGGTATCTCGTGGACTTCTCAAGTTCCGGGCAGACGACTACATCAGCGAAATCCAGGGATTGTTCATGAGCGCTTTCGCCGACAGCCGACCTCCTATGTCATCGATGTGGATCTAGCATATGGGACTGGTCTCATGGTACATTCACAGCATATGCCTTAATTTCACGTTGTACATATCTCTTTGCCATATGGCACACATTCTTACGCTCATTCACGGCTGTTTTACATCTTCACGTTTCGGCTTACGGAAAAGGGGTTGGAGTTAAATGGCTTGGGAGGTTTATATCGAGAAGGAAGACCGGCATTACTAGGGAGTTATCCTCGGGGACTTCCAGACACTCATTTTGTCATTCCGAAGATTTACAGGCTGCTTCTAGTTACAGTAGGAAGGGCTTGTGGTGTCGAGCAAGACAGCTCAGGGACGCAGGGGGCGCAGGGTAACATGCCCGTGGCGTAAAACTCAGGCTGAAGCAAATACAATTGATACAAATCACATATCACATGCGAGCATTTTTCTTGGTCCGGATAAAATATGGGAAACAAAACTAGACGAAGTCAGCTTGTAACTGTCTACCTGATACAAACTCGCAACGACTCGGTATTGATACCTCCTATCCCGAATCAGAAGAATTGCGGAGAAGGCAGGACCTCCTTAATCTCTTAGCTGTGGAGAACGTTCTGTGCATCCAAAGCATAAAATTGGCTGTCGCTCTTGACATGGGATTGTGTGCAATGATTGTCTGATCTACGAAACTTTATCCCCGGGTTTGACCGGATGACATCGGGCGTGGCACGTCAAAACCCGTCCGGTTTGAGGTTGGCCCCACCCTTCACGTGATGAAACGCTAAGCGAACAATCCAGGTAAGTTATCGACAAGGGGCCATTTTTCTTCGCACGACTTCGGATTGCTACATCTTTTGACACAACTCGAAACCGCGCCCAACACAACACCAATTGCACCCGGATCCAGCTGGCTGACAGGTAAGTCTCTTTTCTCTCGTTTGGAAGACAGCTTGCTCAAACATTCTGCTGCGTGCGGAGATGACAAAAGAGAAAAATTTCAACATGATGAGATCCCAAGAACCCTCATACAAATCTTTAGGAAGAGCCGTATAAGGCGAAACCTCTCACGCGTGTGCGCGTCTGTGTGGTATCGCCATATACAGCAGACCGTCGTGGAGGCTAGCGATGCTTAGAATCTGGGTTTCTGAAAGAAAAAAAGAAAAGAAGAAAATACAAAAAGCTGTTTTCCTTATTCCGTTCTCGAGCTGCTAGTTTTGAACATCGTGCTGGTCCGTTCCGGGGGGCGGGCACGTTTTGGAAAGGATGCAAAGCTGATTTAGAGTTTAGCGTTATAGGACGGGATATGACGGGGAGTGGCGTTTGGAAACATGGGGTAGAGTGAGTGGGAAAGGGTGAAAGGGTTCCGGCACGAGGGGAGGCTTGTTCGATGGCGATTTTGATTCGGAACTGCGCTTCTGCTTCGGATTGAGTGCTCGCGGATCTCGGATCAGGATCGATGGCGTTCTGAACAAAGTTGGGAGATGGTGTTTGGAAAATAGAGTATACTGGAAGGGTGGTGAGGAGCGGCTCGGGTTTGGACCGCTGGCGTCTGGTGTATAGCGGTGACGTCGGTCTTTGAGGTGAGGTGAGGTTGGGGTGGAGTGAAAGGTCTGTCCTTGATACGGATCTGCAGTCCAGGTCATTTTGGAGAATCTTGCTCGTTGTTGGCACATCAGTCTGGGAAGTCTTGTCGATTCAGCTTGAGCGCCTGTTTCGATACCGAGACTCACCAGCGGCCAGTGCAAGGGCCTGGTTATCTGGGGAAGCTAGCATCGAGCTGCAGAGAGATATCCAGAGCGAGACAGACTTCTCGTCTCAAGTGGTAGCAAAACCTTCGATGCGAGGTCTGGGCTGGTCCAGTGCTCGAGTGAGATGCTGCGAAGAGTTCCAAGGAATGTTTCCAAGGCAGAGCACGTCTTGCTAGCAGATGGCGCTCTCAAAAGCCCATGCTGGTCCACTCAATTGTCCCTGTCGACTTGGTAGAATCACTTTTCACTTTTTTTAGACCAGACCAGTTCCCTTGCCTTAGAAATATCAAAATTAATACTATTTGTTCTTGCACCTTTAGGAGAGCAGGTTATATTTTAAGCTTTGACGTTCCATATTTCAAAATCAACTCCATAGAGGATACGCTTACAAACAAACATCTACGAGAGACATGGATAACATTTCCCGCACCAAATTTAAGCAGTTTATACCCAAAATCTATGCAAATCCCAGCACCTGATTAGCCTTCTGAATGACCTTCTCGGCATCAGTCCCCTTTTCCCAATCCATCTTTCTCAATTTCGACAGACCCATTGATCTCAGCGCCTGATCACCCCCGTTTTGTGCAACAACATCTGCACCGGGCCTCCCAGCATGTTCAGATTCTCCTTTTCCACCTGGAAAGTCTGGGCCCGGGTAACCTTCAAGGAAGGTATCTCGCTGTCGTGCAAGGTATTCTGCGTTGGCTTCTGTTGTAGGACACACTGGGATATACATCACACTCGAATCCCCTTTCCCTGCGTGTGTCTTGTCCACGGCGTGGATAGCTTCACCGACCATTAGTGCCTTGTCTTCGAGTGGGAAAGATGGTAAACTTACTATCACAATGCCAAACCACATAATCCCCAGGCGTGATCTTAGGAACATGGACCATAGAAGAACTGAGATCAAGGTGCGGATGCAATGCATCGTTGAGCTCTTGTCCGTGGCCAGGACTCGCTCCATGCAGCGCCGTAGAAATCTCCTCTCCAACCTTCAATTTCCAATTCCCGGCTTGCAAATACTCCTTCCGTCCAGAGCCGAAGGGGTTGACAGGCTCGAAGAACGGCCGTAGCAAGAAATAGGCAGTCGCAAGCTGCAGCAGCGGGTTCACCATCAGCGTCCCTTCATTGGGAGCCGTATGCGAGAGTCCCAGCCAGCCCTGGAACATCCTGAACATGGAGCAAGATCCCGAGCCTTGGTAGTTGTCGCTCACAACTGGGACTCGCGAGCCAGACTCCCACGGATCAAACTCTTCCCACCTCCCCTGCCAGATCTTGTCGTACACCCCGCCCAAGCCATAGCCGTTTGGCTCCCAGCGCTCGACGCTCCCGCCGTCGACGTGCGGTCCTAGTGCGAACTGGCTGTCCCCTGGCTTCCGAATGCGGACGCGGTCGGCGTAGGCGAGGGGTTGGGAGGTGGAGATTAAGGCGTTCTTGTTGGTGGAGTGCCAGATGTTCATGAGTGATGTTTGGGCGGAAAGCAGGTTTGGGTGGGCTCTGGCGCGGACTTGGGGTGGTGACCAGTAGAGCTCGAAGACTTGGGGGTCGTTGCTGGGGAATGCTGTTTTCCTGGTAAGTAAACATCCTACAAGAAAGTTGAAAGAAAAGTACCTTTCGTCCAGGGATTCAACTTCACATATTCCTCGACTTCATTCTTATACCCCCGCGCTTCATTTTCCGGAACGACACCTCGAATAACTGCTACACCTCGTTTCTTTATATCTGTGATGAATTCCTGGGATGGGTTTTGGAGGTCCTTGAATTGGATCTGTGGGATGATGTCTGGGCCTCGTTGCTTCACTATCTCGTTTTCTACTGCCAATTGCTCGAGTAACCGCTTCCAGCTAGTAGCGACAGCACCTTCATTCCCTTGGATCAATTGGCGTTTTATATCTGCGAACCGTTGCGGTAGTGGTTCCGGAGTGACTCCCGAGAGTGACATGAAGACGGAGGAGATGTCTCCTTCTTTTCGGGTGGCTTGGGCGTGAGTTCCAAGTTGTCGAACGAGAATTGGGGTTTTTGAGAGACAGCTTGTTGCTGTTGATTGTAAAGACGATTTCGTTATCGCGAACATGGTGTTCGATGCTTATTGTTCAGAGGGGTTGCGTTGGAAAAAGAAGGCAAGAATAAATGGAGATCTGAGAATGACCCGAAGACGCCTGGGCCATTCTTATAACAGAACTTAAGTGGCGCCATATTGCGGAGATATCGGCGGGATCATCCGTTTCTCTCTGCATATTCCTGTAAATGGTCTTCTTGTGGTGGAGAAGTGCGGAGGTGGCGGCGCCCTGGTTTTCCTTTTTGGGAACTCCGACTTTTTTTTTTTTGTTGTAGAAAAGATTTACCCGCCTGCTGCTCTCGCTGTCTTTTCGTCATTGAGGGAAACTGAGAAGGGATGTAGTTTGCCCAGTGGTAGGCCGAAGACTTGAGAACTAGATGATACGTACCTGAGTCCTGATAAAGATGGTCTGAGGAAAGCTATCACGCTCGGATGCGAAAGGGTGGAGCAGCTTGCGGGGCGAAAAGAGGGAGGGCTGATTGAAATCAGAGTATCAACGATGTACCCCCAAAGCTAATCCCCTTAGACACTTGTTTTCAGCTTGATACGAGATTGTTCAGGTCTAGTCTCTATTCATTTCTGTGGCCTTTCTACTTCTATAAGGCCAAGTAATGATCATTTGCGCCAGCAAGTCGCTCCGCCATCTCAGATCCCACAACTCTATATACAGATACAACAGAAACCCCAGTCACTTAAAGAAGACGTCTCCGGCAAGAAAGTACTAATTCTCCAAAACTAAAGTTAAACCTTTCAAGTATCTGCAACTCGAAATCCTCACTCTTGAATTCAAAATCAAACAACCGGACAAGTGTCCCAATAACTAAAATCTGCTCAAAATACGCAATATTTCTGCCAATACAAGCTCTTGGGCCTGTTCTGAATGGGAACTGCCCTTTACTCATTTTGTCCTTATCCCCCGAGATCCATCGTTCTGGCTCGAATCTAGTCGGATTCTCCAACGTGTTTGGATCTCTTGACAAAGTGTATGTCGGAACTGAAACCGTAGCATCTTCATCAATAAACTGACCAACAACTCCCCGTCCACCCTTCAATACAATGCGAGGTATTCCGAAGGAACTCCCAGGTCGTACACGGAGAGATTCTTCAATGCAAGCGCGGAGGTATGGCAAATTTGCAAGTTCTCCAGAACTTAAAACTTCTGCTGTGCCTGTAGCAGCACCCAACTCTTCTCGGAGCTTTGAGAGAGCTTTGGGGTGCATGTAGAGCAGGTATATGGAGTTGGTGAGTGCTGCTGCTGTGGTGCTGGTTCTGGCGTTCATCATCACTGAACATTCCCGCTAAGACCTCGCCTTCGGGGATGTTGAGATCTTCTCCTTTGTTGTTCTTTAGCAGTTTGGAGGAGGTGTCATCTTCGGAGTCCAGGTCTCGAAAACGATGCTTGGCGTTATGGTAAATGATGCTATCGCAGTCTGCCCCGGACTTCTTGTATGGGTTCCAGCTGAAGACTTTCTTTGTTAGAAGGAGCAAGGGGTTCTATGAACCGTACTTTGTCCAATTTTCCTTCCGGTGTTTCGGCATCGACCAGATCATTTCCTCGCTCGAGACAGTCCAACATGTGTCCGTACAGGAGCTTGGAAAACAGATCAATGGTGTAGTAGTTGAGGTACAAGCGCATCTTCATGGGTCTGCCTAACGCAATGTGATTGTCTATTTGAGTAACGAGCACTGTTGTGGTATCGTCGATGATTGATTCAATACCAGCAATTGTCTTTTGAGCAAAGAAATGAGCAAGCATCTTTCGTTTTGCTTCATGCTAAGCTTTTACTCTCGCATCAGCCATGTGACGACATTCTCCTGCTCCACCGTCGTACCATGCGTCTTTCAGCTTGTTCGCTCCGTGTCCATAGATGTCTGCCATTGCCTAATACAATCAGTATGCCGCATTCTCAACATTCAAGTCTGCATATTTCTTACCTTTGGATCAGAGATTGATACATGATATGGTGCGATTCATAGATGCGTTCCAAGATTCTGGTGGGCTTCATGGATTGCGAAGTAATGGCGATAATTCAGGTTGTGATAGATGCGCCAAAAACGAGGAGAGCCTAGCAATCGAGGAGCCGAGAATTTGCGAAGGTGTTTTCTGTCGAGGAAGTAAATGCAAAATGGCTGCATAAAGGGGACCAAGATAGCTAAAATAGGATTGCTAAATAGAAGTTAGAACAATGTAACGCGGACGAGGCTAAGAGCTATCTCTTACCTTGGATGAGCATGGTGGATGTAGGCGTGGTCAACAGACTGTGATTGACTTTCTTCTTCGACGTTCTAATAGTCGGATCAAGGAATATTTGTGTCGAACGTACACTTCATACAGCTTACCTCTAATTACTGACTTGTTCTATATAACAATCTCAACCCTTGGCTTCATATGCCCGATTTGGAAAATCATACCTCCTTTCCCTCGAGAAAAATAAGCGAGAGTCGGAATTCTGTTCTGGGAACACCGCCCCGATTGATCTTCCATCTCCGACTCTTAGTGGTAACGTACTGCATTACAAAGATTTCAAGACTTAGAAATTCTGTTCGCTGTTCACTGCGGAATTCCTGCCCGTGGCCTGGAGTATCAGGCCAGCGAGTGAACTATGGACGAGTTCGGACAAGCTTCCCCGCACTTCTGAGTTCTGCTCTCTCAACGTCGGACATGCTCTTCTCGTCCATCCCCAGTGTCCCCACAAGTGTTCGGACATTCAATCAACCAGTCTATTGCCTCTTCTGCAAATCCCGATCCCACAATTATGTCGGTCTCTAACAGCAACGTGGGATCCACGACGTTCAAGTTCGTAGCGTCCGATGGAGGTGCTCCTCAGAAACGGCGGCAGGTTGCGCAGGGTAAGGGCCAATGGTTTTCCAGCGTCTTTCCCAAAATTCAGGACTGATATGCTTCATCCCATGTACTCGCAACCCCCGGAAAGAGGCCCTATTGTTCAATGTTATCCTGGGACATTCCAAATTAGGAAACTACTGACTCCGCTCTAGCGTGTGAATCCTGTCGGAAGCGCAAGAAGCGTTGTCATCATACAGAAGCAGACGCGCGTTCTTCTACAGTATCGAACCATACCCACCAAAGTCCTGTATCTACGTCCCCGAGCACACAGGCGGTTCCGACTGACCCCCAGCTTTCAAGGAGTAGCGGAGTCGAAGGGGAGCAATTTCATACGGAGACATCCCCAACCACTTCAATTCCAGTGGAAAGGATTAGCCAGGGTACAGAATCCATTGGAACTGCCGGAGGAAGCAATGAGATCCAAGCAGATGCCCCAGAATCAACTACGATTTCGCAGAACCAGGAGGGCCGAAGCTCCCGTTTCATAGGAGACCTTAACCCGGAAGGAATCTTCTTGGCAGCTACCTCTCCTAATGCCACGCGAGGCGTATCAAATGATAGCATTGGAATATGGTGAGTTCATTCGGCCTTAAAATTTCATTTTGCCTTTCCTTTGTGGAGACAACCTACCTCGTCTCGCGCTCGATATAAAAAGTGACATGAATCTTCAATGTCCTTTGCCAAAGCTGGACAATGATCTGGACTTTGAGAAGAGAAGACTTGAATATGCCCGAGCTTCCGAGATTTTCAAAGTACTATTGATTGTACGAGAGTTCGGAAGAACATTGGGAGATGACTTAATTGAAATGTTCTATCGAACTTGGTGCATTGAGTGCCTCTTTTTATGTCCACAGCGAGCTCGTTTCAGGTACCACATCGAGGGCAACTTTCCCGTTCTATTGACTCATGAGATACCCTTCAAGTGTCCGATTACTGACTAACCGCTTAGGCTCTCTTCAGCACTGAGCAGAAGACCCTCTCAAAGCGCGTCTTTATCATCACTGGCTCCATCAAACTTGTTCTATGGATCAGGCTCATTAGTCCAGAATGTTCTTGTACCGATGCTTGAGCAGGAGTGTAGATCAACCGTACCTCCACCGGAAAAGGTTGAAGCCTTGTCAAAGATATACTTTGAGAAAGTCCACCCGATATTTCCTGTAATCGACGTAGAAGCCCATCACAATCTTAGTCCCACGGATCCTGGCCATGTTCTACTCCAACAAGGAATCTGCTTAGCAGCTTCCAAGAATTTCGCGGCCAGGCCACATCTCATCATCGCACCTTCGTCCCCACCCTTGAGCTGCAGAGAATTTGGAGAAACGCTCACCGGTGCTATGAGAATCTCCATTGAGATGGGTCTTGTCTCTGACAAGCTTATCATTATACAAGCGTTGGCCTTGATGTCTCAGTTCAGTGATAATCCTGTCAGCGAGGATATATCATCACAGCTCTGCGGGAGAGCCATCCAGCATGTTCAATCACTTGGCCTCCACGTAAGTCCCAGCTTTCTCGGAGTATTGACCCCTCTTGTACAAATTTCCGGACAGCTACTAGAACATTCTCCTGAAATATGCTGACTCCGAGTTTCTTGGGAGTAGATCAATGGTCAACAAGAGGAGCACAGGGATCGGTGCAGCACCACGCTGCTGTGTTGTATCTGGGCTATTGACCGAATGAACGCAGCATTTAATGGTCGTCCAGTTTTAATGCATGAAAGAGATCTGAGAAAAGACCTTGACCTGTGTTTTGAGAAACAAGAACCCTGCTTCCGCGTATTTCTCAAGGTCATAGAGCTGCTGGATAAGGTCATCGATCTCTATCGACCCCTTCCAACTTCAGGCGACCAACCTGGCCTAAACTGGGAGTTCCCAGCCTTCGAATATGTTGTCGTAAGATGCGGCGGCTCTCAAGTCAGCACGTCGGCACTAGGTATGTAATTTCTCCTGGCGATTGTCCCAAACACCCCAGAATAATTCAAGGCTAACAGTTACCAGCCACAATTGAAACACTTTACCATGCTATTGCAATTCTCTCATGCCGCTCGAAAAGCTGGGCGGACCCAGAACGCTCATCGATGTCATACCTCCGCCAGAGCCTATCGACCTCAATTTTGAGCTCCACCGTCATACGCGAACTAAGAGACCAACTCACCCTGTTTCCTTTCATCCCTTATGCCATGTCCTTGTCCATGAGCATTGTTTACCGCGAAATGCGGCATAGCAGACTTCCTCTACATCGAGCGCGATCTCGAGCTCAATTCCAAATACTTTGTGACGCCCTATCGGAACTGTCAGGAATATTTTGGTCGGCATCGACAACAGCAGATATGGGAAAGAAGCTGTTGAAAGAAATGGATCGAGTGGTTTCGGCGGCATCGGCTTCTGAGGCAAGAAGGCCACAACAAGGGACTAATGATGCCTTTATCATGGGAGGTGCGTTCGATGCTCCATCGAATTTTGCAAGCCAGAAGTGTAAGTTTGGCCATTGTTCCTCCGAAAGGGCATTCAAACATTGGTTAACCTGTGGATAGCATTTGGAGAGAGTGGGATGACTGGTAATGACAATATCTCAAACGATTTCGACGCATCAATGTTCGACTTCATCGCGGACATTGACCTGTTCGGCATGTTCGATCCAGCGTTCGACCTGGATGGGTTTGATGCTTGCTTGGAGAGCAACTTGAACCCAGCTTTTCCAAACCCCTTTTGATGTTATCACAAAGCCGAGAAGACCTTTTCTAAAGAAACAACGGACGCGAGGCTGAATCAGCAGTATCAAACACCTGCTCGCTGTGAAGTGGTGACCTTGTTGTACGCAGGATTGTTCCACAAAGTAGCAGGGGTTCGAAGCACGCCGAGGTTGTGCTACAGAGCACAAGAAGGCGTGGCGATCTTTCAAGGCTCGGCCTGGGAAGTTACTCGATTCAACAACCTTCAAGTCCGGGCGGCATTGAGCTTTGCGATGTTCTCTTTCTCAAGATATCAATTCTTTCCAGATTGGGAAGAAACCCTCCTCTAGAAGGAGAGGGAACGAAACAAAGAAATTAGGTGGAGACCCAACAACTTGTCTGCCCACTGCTTCGACGAGGATCTATCTGTACATTGAGAATTTAAACGCTCTTCTAGCACTTTCGGCAGGCAAGAACACCAAATTGAAAAGGAGGGACGTGTGATGGACCAGACAAGAATATGATCAACATTAATCAGTGATCAGTTTATGTCGAAACTCAGGGCTGCAGCCAGCAGAAGAGCAGCTTTTCAAAGCCACCTTTCCGCCGCTCAGCATGACGAACAACAAAATCTGGTGCGAGTGCCCGGTATTGCTTGGAAGCTGAAACACCTTTCGAGCTCAAGATGAGGCAACTTTATACACGCCTCCCACCATCAAAGGTTTTCCTTTTGCTGGTACAAATCCGTGGCAACATCGAATGCAAATATTGAGGCTGAGAGCTGAGAGATGGGACAAATGAGACACAATTCCTCCGAAGGAGCTGACACTCTGGGAGCCGAGCGGGAAGAAATAAAGGGACCGGGGTGGCCCTCGGCTCCAACTACCCCGTTTTCCTCTTGCGTGGCTGAGCCTCCAATGGATCGAGCCCGTCTGGCGCCAACAGCCGAAGAAAAGGGCCAGCCCACCAGGACCTGGGCCAACCAACGGCAGCTTCCCCTGCAGGGATCGGTCGGCGACCCCCAAGCCTGTGCCGATCGACGTCAGATCCTTCCTATCCAGCAATTTCAATATCGGCTTAGCGTGCCTCTCTCAAATCGTCAATTCTAGCCGTTGGCTTTGCAGCTCTCGTCCCGTTTGGCCCTCACTCGCGCAAACTTACGCCTGGACAAGTCTGTGCATGCTGACATAACAAAGAGAAGAAGAAGTCAATGGTGAAGAATGCAGATGAGGGAGGTTGTTCATTCCCGGTGGAACATGATAAGGCGATCTGATGCCAATCATATACATCTTCCCCGGTTTCGAAAAAGAAAGGCTTCATCGAGCCTTCGCAGGGCAGAGGCAAAGATTGCCTGGCCCCTTAGCTCCCTGAGGCGTCATTTCTTCTCGTCTCGAGTAGCCATCTTTAACAGTGAGAGCGGAAAGCTCGTTCTACTCCAGCTGTCCTCTGACGCTACGAAACCACACCACTCCTCCTTGTTATGCCTTCAAATGCTTTAAACATGTGTTCAAGGAGCTCATGTTCAAGGAGCTGCCGCCCTTTTATATCAAACAGTCTTTGAATTCACTCCACACCCGGTATTCACTCCCAGTTATCGTCTAACAACGGAACAAACGCCTTTCTCCTCCGAGACTACGCACCTCCGCACTTCCCTCGACGGTATCGATAGGATTCCGTTCTTGTTCCGTGACGAACATACCCCGCACAGCATTTTCTGCCGTGTTCCGTATCGAATCTAAACACTTAGTGTTTACTTCGATCTGGATTGAATTTTCTCGATTCAAATGGATTCAGCTTTCTCGATGCCATAAACATCAAGAACATCTCCACCGACGAGGTCGACAAACCATCCACACGACCAAGATGTCCCTCACGGTCAAGCACCTCAACTCGGACGCGTGCTTCCTTCTGACCTTTCAGCCGATCTCCTCCTTTCCGCCTTCTCCAGGCCAGTCCTCGCAAGCCTTCACGATCCTCCTGGACCCATGGCTCTCCGGCCCATCCAAGATCTTCCATTCCAAATTCTCCATCAGCAAGAACAAGGCCCAAGCCTGCGTATCCTCTTTGCGCGAGCTTCCCGAACCCGATATCGTGGTCATCAGCCAAGACAAGACCGACCACTGTCACAAAGAGACTCTCACACAACTGCCCTCGAGTGGAGGAAAGACAATCATTCTTGCTGAGCCGGTGGCTGCCAAATTGATCAAGGGATGGAAGCATTTCGATAAGACCAAACTTGCAACTCTTCAAAAATGGGAGAAAGCCGACAAGGTGGGCTCCATGGTCTACCGCGTTCCCGTTTTGGCTCCTACTCCAAACGGCGAGATTCCCAAGAACAACGGTTCCTCGATCTACGTTCCCATCCCATCTTCCGCTCAGAGCGGCGAGGATACCAAGAGCAAAGGCTCCTCAATCTACCGCGTTGCCCTCCCAGCTGCCACTCCAAACGGCTTGCCCGGAGAAGTCACCATCGCCTTCGTCCCGCAAAAGGGAGACATCACCCGTCTGCACAACGCGATCTGCATCACCTACCGCCCACCCACCTCGTTCGGTAATCATCCCGATACCCCACCAGACACTCCCACCAGCCCGAGGTCAACGTCCACCTTCGATACCCCGAGCAGCAACCGAGCTCTCTCAGTAATCTACTCTCCTCACGGCTGCACCTACAAAACCCTCGAACCCTACATCACCAGCCACCTCGTCCGCGAAGCCGCACTCCCCCTCACCGCCCTCCTTCACTGCTTCGACAAAATCCAAAACGCATGGTACCTAGGAGGAAACGTCTGCACCGGCTTCCCTGGCGGATTGGAGATCGCCCAGAACTTGTGCGCTAGGGCTTGGATCAGTGCTCATGATGGGGATAAAGACATCAAGGGGTTGGCGACGAAGAAGATTGTTGTGGAGAAGTATGATCGGGAAGAGGTTGAGAGCGTGATTAGTCCGCGGAGCGAGAAGTTTCCTAATCGCAGAATTGGGACCGAGGCCGTTGTGCTGCAGCCAGGAGAGGAGATCCGTCTCAGCAATGTTATGGATTTCGGACTCGATGAGGACGATACTGTGGGTGGTCTTCGTGAGCGGTTCACTAATTTGGCGGCTGTCTGAGTAGGAGGGCTTCCCCTAGGCACACTGGCGGAGCATGATGAGATATGAATTGGTTTGCATGATTGCACTTAATGATACCCACAACGAATCGCGCGACTATCGCAATAGATAGACAGCTCGGTTACTCGATAATTGAACTTCCTTGTATTGAACTCCGCTATCCAGTCTGTGATTCCTGGGCATTACTTCTTGGCATTCTTCAGCATCGTCTCCCGCATTGCTGCCCTTGCACTTCTACTCCCACCTAACTTCGGACCCTTCATAACCTCTTCCTCTTTCTTCCCGCTAACTGTTCTACTTGGAGGTGGAGCAGGTGCTGTCTTCTTCCTCTGTCGTGCAGACACAGCATCCATAAATTCTTTCCTGAACGCTTCCGCAATCCTATCATCTGCAGCTTGGTCATCGTTAATAACCTGAGACTCCACCACAGGCTCCTCATAGATCTCCACTGTAGAAAAATCAGCAAATGAGGCTCAGAATCGCAAAATATCAAAGACTTACGCCTGTTCTCCCTCAAAACCTCCTCGACCAGTTTATCCCTCTTAACATCATCACTACCTCTCCTCTTCCTGCCCCTCCAAGGCTTCCCATCCCTCCCCAACCTAACCTTCCCTGGCTTCCCTGGCTTATCCTCATCCTCAATTTCCTCACCATCCAACCTCCTCCTCGCCTGTTCCGTCCGCATAACGTTCTTACTCCTCGCTTCATCACCAAGATCAATCTCCAACAGCTTCCCCAATGCAGCCGGCTGCCTCTGAACCTCGACCTCCTTCTTCCCCTCCCTATTACCCCCGACTTGCATCTCGAACCCACCCATCCCACTCCTCAAAGACCCATAACTTTGCGGTTGTGAGCTTTGCGCCTGAGCGCCTTCAACACGACGTTTAGCCAATTCGGAATCTATATACGCCATCCTTCCTTCGTCAGTCACCGTGCTTCCCCCCATCCCCACCCAACCCACGGAAAGACTCACATATGCTTATCCACATCGCCCACCGCGCCCGTCTGTCTAGCAAACTTGCGAATCACGCCACCATCTCCAGCTGCAGGCCGGGGCTCTTCTCCAGCCGCATGTCGAATAACCAGTTCCCCGTCTTCGTCCCGCGCGATGTGGCCTTCGGCACGGAATTCTACGCCCCCAACCCTTTTGTTCTTTTTTCGTCGCCGTAGGATCTCGGAGATGGAGACGGGTGTGCCTTCTAGTTCTTCTCCTTCTGCTTCTGCGGGTAGAGTGGCGGATGTGGAGGCGATGAGCTCGTCTATGCTCTGTGGGTTTGGCAGTGCTGGTGCCGGAGAGGTGCGCGTATTTGGACCCGCGGCTTGCGGTTCGGGGAGTGGTTCGTCGTCGTCGTGGCGCTGTCGGTAGATTTTGCGCTTCTTGCTGGGGCGGAAGAGGATTGTGTCTCCAGAGGGAGGGGGTGGAGAGGCCATTTTGTGTGGTGTTGTAGTTTGAGATGGGGAAGAGAGATCTCATGTGATGTTGACTTGAGGCGTCCTCGAGCAGCTGGAATCTGGGGCTGGCTTTGCCGAGTTCGGGAAGCAGACAGGGGTCCAGTTCGAATGCTTGAGAAGACAGGTTGTCTATTTATAAAGTGAATGGAATATAACTATTTTTCTAAAGGATCATGGGGAAGAAATTCGCCTTTGGGAGAATAAGACAGTTGGCTTTATAAGGCCGTTTTTTCCCTTTCGTTGAACACCCAGTTAAGCTTCGAAAGCCGGGGAAAGTCTCCTCGAAATGTAGGACGTTGCTTTCGAATTATACATTTATCTCTATAGTAAGGGTTGCAAAGTTGAAATAACACGCTTTCTATAATTTGAGTTATTTGTTCAATGTCCTACTCTCTTCAAGTACAATCGAAGTTCGAAGCTGCCAGGGCCTGCACGTGACGAGACTTGTAGGTCAATTTCTGCCTGCTAGAAATTTAATCTACAACATCTCATTCGGAGGAAGTCTCATCATCACCCATTCCACACATCTCTACGATTCTCTCACACTATAAATTCTAAGCGTCGACAATCGGCCCTTATTTTCGACTTCTCCAAGCTCTTTCTCCCATCAAGTCCACGTAAATACCGAAACGACTCTCATCCCCGGTCAATCTCGATTGGCTTCCATTGTCCTTTGCAAGTAAATAGAGACAGTGGCCTGAAGGCAGAAGAGCTAGCCCCTAGCCGACGCCGAATTGGAAGCTCTTTTGGCGAAGTAAGTGCAGGGACGTCTTCCAAAGCATCACATACCACACTGGAACCTACTTAATATAAGAGCTCCGAGAGTATGGCTTTCTCTTAGGTTTCTAATTTTAATTTTTTTTCCTCATGATGGTCCTTTTCCTTCTTTTTCCAGCGCAAAAACCTCGAATTGCCATGAGGACGAGTCACGTGGCGGATGAGCAATTTCATGTGAAAATAACCGGAACGTGGACCTGAACCTTGGAGGTGATCTTCCCCCCCGGAGGATGGCCCCCCCGGTAAGAGAGCTCAAAAGGTGTGGAGGCGTCGGGCTCGTCGTCCGAAGGCTGTATTCAAATCGCGGAGGAGCACGAAAGCTTCCTGTCTTTCTGCTAAGTTGCCAATCTCTAACAGGCCGAGAGAGTTTGCGGGAACGGAGCTATTTTCATCTGGATGTCGCTCGTGTTGGCCGCCGCCTCGCCTGCCTCGCCGGATCTTCCAATTGATGTTCTGGCACACTTGATGCAAGGACGTGATCCATGCTTGTAGGACTGACTGGTTGGGCGCTGACAGGCGTGGTGTGCTGGTACCTCAATTCTCCACCGACGACATCTCTCCATTTCCGCCGCTCTGCATTGGCTGCTCAGAGGGACGGTCCACCACCCAGCACACATTAAAGAAGGCAAGTCCAGGTCGACAGCAGCACCGCCCGGCAGGACCAGCAGGACCAGCAGAAGCAGATCCGTGCTTTCACCGCTGATGCGACTGCGACTGCGACTGCGACTGCGACTACCAACGTGCCTCCCTCCCACAATCTGCTGGGCTCCTTTCTGCGAAGACGTCAGGGTGTGAATATGGTCGGTGATCTGGCTGTACTGTATCTTCATCGTTCTGCCAACCCAACCCTCACCCACGGTCGTCGCGCAGCTGCTATCTGCATTTCATCCAGCGCAGCGCTGCGCTGCTTCTCGTCCTCGTCCTCGTCTCCAGCAGCTCTCCCATAGCCGAGCCAGCCAAGAATTCCCCCCGCCTACCAGAAGCTGCCCCTCAGTGCTCCAGCACTGCACACCCAACCCAAGGCCGCACACAGTCTTCAAACACCAATTGTGTGAGTGCGCAGGGCAGGGTAGGGAAGAGCTCGATCCCAATAGAAGCTCCCACACACCTTCACTTTCTTCCCACTATTGATTCATCCTGTTGTACCTCGCTCAAAGCTTCGCGCCCAACGCTCCAGGAGCATGCGCAGCTCTGCGATCGCTATCGCCATCAATTGAGCTGCCGTCCGATTGCGATTACACCCACCACCACCTATCTAATCTCCCCCTCGCCTGGGCATGGTGGGGTCTACACTGACGATGCCGCCTCGATCCTCCTTGACATCGTCCTTCTCCGTCTCGGATGCCAACAACGAGGTTGTGTGTCCATTGCGAAATCAAGATGGCTCCAGCTGTCGCAAACGTTGCCTCGGCGTGAGTGTCTCTGCTCTGCTGTGTCTGCTGCACCCCTTTTGAAGCTCTCCTGCTTTTGCGTCGTTCAACCGTGGTAACAGGGTATCTGGGCGGCAGGAAAAGCGGTATCGATCGATGCAAGAGCATATCCGAAGAGCTCACCCAGAACATTACATCTCCAAGCTTCCTGCAACGGAGGAGAGCTTCCAGCTCATGATAAATACCCCGCCATCTGAACGACCGCCTCCACCTACAACCTCAAGTCTTGCTCCGAACAGTCTGTACACCCACGCATAATCAACCAACATTCTAACATTACCTAGGCTATGGGAACGACCGACACAGCTACTACCGCGAAGGTTCGAGTACGCCGGGCACTCCCAGGAACCTGGATGATCTCCATTCAGGTAATCTGCTGCCAGCCGCTAGCGCCGCAGCAGCGCTGGCACAACTACACAACCACAAACTTGAGGTGGATTGGGAGTCGGAAGGGGTGCGTGAAAACGATTCACAGCAAGGCAAAAATGCTAGATGGTTGACACATTTCCAGGACTGGATGTCCGATACCGAGGCACACAAACAAGCAATGCGATCCTCGATAGAGCTTCCTCCTCTGCATTCCAACAACCTCGATCCTACAAGCGAGCCGTTTTCACATCTCAACGCTGTCAGACGTCGAGAACTTCTTCCCTCTATCCTTTCTACTTCTCCACCTGGTCGATCCTCTACTTTACCTCCAATTCAAAGAAATCCTGGGCCCAATCGTCCACGCAAGCAATCGGTATCAAAACGTGCACGAGAACCGCAGCACAAGCGGCAAAAGTCACGCGGAGAGAACGCCCATCTAAGGCGAATGAGTTATGATCGTAAAGCTTATTCTGCTGAGCCTTCCAGCGGACTTTCAGCAGCATATGGTAAACGATGGGAGGACCTGATCGACGCAGCTACTTCCGCAACTGAAGATGCTGATGAAGATAGAACACCTGTGGGTATCTTATTGGTATATACACACTACACACTAATATAACCAGGTACCGCCATCTCCAATATCAGTCAACAGAGCATCGTTACCTCCATTTTCTGCCTCCCACTTTCAAGGATATCAAGCTTCACCCCTCCAACAAGCACTCACCCCACCTACATATCTACCCGAGGCCCCTGAACCTTTCCCTTCAGTGGAAAGCGGTGAAAGTGGAGAGAACTTCCACATCGAATCCCGAGGTCTTTCAGACTCCTCCCCTAGCTTCTCTTCACAAAGTATACAAATATATTGCGCGGCCTGCCAGGGCATTTCGCTTCTGAAAGAATCATATGCGTGTACGGAATGCATATGCGGAATTTGCCAAGCTTGCGTGGACGTTTTAATGGCAGAGCAAGGAGCGAGGAGGAAGTGTCCTAGGTGCGCTACAATCGGCGGGCGCTTTAAACCGTTTCAGTTGGATATCAGATAATACGTTCTTGAATTCTTTCATTTTCATCTTGGGTGATTTGGTTTGGGATATCATAGAAAGGCGCATTGGAGAGGCTTCAACATATGGGTATAGCTTATTCAGAAGGGTTTCGGGAAATGGTTTTTTGGACTGGCTGGTTACATGAGCATTGGATTGGATAACTCTGGGATTGGTTTATGACTTGCAAAATTAATTCGTCTATAGTTCCAAAAGATGGTTAGGCTATATACACTTACACAAAGATCATTCTCATACGTACTGTACACCGTCATTGCGTGGTCTATCCCTAATCAAGAGACCGTAGGGTAGATAGCTCTCTCTCCATTTTGCTTTATCCTCGCCACAAACAGTCTCCACCGCAGATCAATTTGATTTCGCATTCCTGCCAAAGTGTTGGCCAGCCTCCATTCAACTTTTTGTCTCTATCGAGCTCTCACAGCAAAGCTCACGTCTATCCCTGCGTACCGAAAAAACCGGTGTGCCGAAAAAACTTTCTTGTTTAAGGGTCTTAAATCTCCACATAAATATATTAAGCTATAATCAGTTTGCTATTGTTCTTTAGCTATTTCTCTATAAGGGCTCGACTTATAGTTAGAAAAATACTACAATTTGGCTATACTATCGATCGTCTTATTGAGCGCATTAAAAGCTGCTATAGCTATTACCCCTTGCTTTATTATAACTATTAACCTGTCCTCGAAACTCGGGGGCGTAGTATAGAGCTTCTCTTAAGTTCAAATATAACTCTAAAGTTTGAAGATACAGAGTATAAGCGACCGCGCCAGTAAAGCCCTGGCAGAGGCCTCCCTGCCGGGAGAGCCTCGAATATACGATGCCATATCAAAACGCAGTGGAGTCCCTCTAACTACCCTTTATTATCGTTATTATGGGCGGCGTTCGAAAGAAGAGAAGGCTCAAGGCCAATAGTATCTTACTCCACCGGAGGAGAAAGCGCTCGAAAAGGATTTGAAACTAACGGTTGACCTCGGGAATCATGTATAAATCAAATGTCTCACAGTGCCCATCCAATGCACCGAATTGACTCATCACTCTTGGCATTTTCACTGATGCTTTCCCTACTTACCTCTTAACATAATTGTGATCCTCCCTGATGCCTAGTTCCTCGGACAATTACATAGCTTACCTTTCCCCCAATGCCTGAGCGTAATTGCTTGGTGGTTAGGATAAAAAATTACACCCTTGAGTCTAGAGCACAGACAGAACAAGGGCTAGGAACCAATGAGCGAGCAGCTGTCACTCAGTTGTATGTGGAGTGCAAGAAGCATAAACCCTCAGGGGAGTTATTATTTATCCTAGCACAAAAGTATGCCCCGAATGTCAGAATGTCTAGGGCTTTCTGCAATCCGACCAATCACACAATTTTCGAGCTGTCAGCCACGAAACCGCCACTCTAGTTATCTTGACAATGGACTTTTGTAACCAGGCCAATCAAACGAATTCGAAGATATTTTGCATGTAAAGGCCCACAATGACTTTTGCAACTGAGCCACTTACGATTGCCCACAAAGTCGTAAAGCACACTCCAAATGCACCGACATATGGCACGTCAAAAGGATAAAAGAACCGGACTTTCCTAGCGAGTCCAGAGACTTTGCTGCTCTAAACATTTCTCTGGTATTCAGAGCACGGTAGTCGCCTATGAACACTTTGCTGCTTGAGAAACCCAATACCTTGATCCCGATTCTTTACTAATTTATGTTTGCCAGCGCCAAATTTCTTTCAAATCAGCAGCTTCGCAGATCTCTACTTACACTCTCCTCCAAAGGCTTGAAACCATGGACCCTGTCACTATTCAGATGGTATGTGCTCGTCCAGAGATTTAGATACGCAGTCCATCTATTCAGAGTCAAAACTGTTATTGGTTCCCAAGTTGAATGCTGACATATCCAGGGGCACCATGATTCCCGGCCTGAACAAAGACTCGAAATCGCTGAAGTTCCTCCAATGCCAGGAGATCCTGCCAATGCTCTTGTCGGTGAATCCATTGCTCTTCAATCCCAGGTAGTGGCAGCTCCTCCGGCAAGACATTACAGTCTCCACGAATGGGAGGCGAAGAAACAAACCATAAGAAAATTATTCATCGAGGATGACCAGACATGCCGAGAAGTCCTTGACTCCCTTGCCCCTCAGTTCATCCCCACGTAAGTCGACGCCTGCGATATCCTGATTCGTTACTAATTGAATAAAGAGTAAAAATGCTCAAGAGAAAGTTGAAGAAGTGGGGCTACACTAAAAACAATGCCCTCAATGATCTACAGGCAATGGTCTTCACACGCAGGAAACGCCGCAAGCTAGGGAAAGCCACCTTGTTCTTCAAGAATGGGAGGCTTGTTGATGTTGACGGAGCCCTGAAACGCAAGGGCTTATCTGAGATTACATTGGAAGTTAGTTCGACTTTTGCTCTTCCATCGAATGTTGTCGTCCGAACGCCTTCGCCGTCGCCCTCCTTCATTGCTGCTCCAACGGAGTTTAAGATCCAAGAAGACATTCTCATGATCTACAAAGAATTATTGGAGCAATGGAAAAAGACTTCAAGTTCGACCACCACGGATGACTATGGCTTCAGCCTCTTTTCCAGGATCGAGAAACCATGCGTGTATCACGAGATGGGACATGCATTGTCTTGCGCCAATCTTGCTTTCGATGCTGGCTATAGCGATCTTGGAGGGTCACTGCTGAAACAAGCATTCCTTCTTGCGGAGTCAGTTGTGAGAATGGAATCGCCTAAGTGGTTGCTTGTGAGCCCGTGGCAGCATCTTCACCAAGCAAGACGCCCAGAGATCACCAAAGATCTCATTCACCACTTTCACAACTTGTCCCGGACCCTTCTACCCAACGGACTTGTTCACAGGTTCTTCGACTCTCTCGTGGAAGCGACGAAGTCACAGCCACTAGATCAATTTATCAGGACTTTGACCCCGGGCCTAATGAGAACCCTTGAGGATGCTCCAGAAGAGATTCTCTTAGTCCGGACAGCTATCGAACTGCTGGAGGCTGAGAACAAAAATCAGACGATGGGATTGGTACCACAGATCGACAAACGCATTAGAAAATGGCAAAGCCAAATTGACAAAAGAAGTCCATCCGGTTTGATTGCTGATTTAGACGTTCTACACCTCCGATTGGAGTTGACCCGTCAAAGCGGAGACGGGATGCTTCTCATCGATCACTCTCGAGATTTCATAGCTCAAGTGCAGACTGCTCGACGCAGCATTTTCGAGAATCACAATGAGAATCGGGCATTGAGAATGCTGGATTTCTTCACCGCATCGGCCTTCTTTGCCATGTCGCATGGATACAAGCTCCTCGCGAAAGACCGGCCAAATACCTCAGTCGTTTAGGTATCTGAATCAATTAGGCTGCTTAGTGGAGCAATCGACAAGTTCAACAACACAGTAGCTCGTGGAGCTGAGACATTCAAGCAGGCTTTACACTTCAGACGGTTAAAGTCTTGGATAGAATCAGGCAACCAAAGGAAGGCTGAAGAGGATTTGCAGGAGATTCAGCTGATCCAACGCCGGACAATGAAGATTGATGATCTGACAGGCTGGCCGTCCTTACAACTGGAGCGATCGGTTAGCTTGGGCGGGCAGTGGGAACGGACCGCGTGGATGAGCAAGAGGAAGAATCTAGTTGACTGATGAAGGGGCATCAATGGCTCAGAAGAATCTGATAGTGATCAATTTGATGACAGTAAACTCGACGATAATAAGTCAGCTTAGTACATTGTGACGAATGAATAACGCATTGTGTCAGCGTCGAAATGTGAAGCCTTGCGCAGAGAATTTTGTCTTAAGTAAGGAGGAAACCGATTTCGCTAGTGATTGTACTCTATGTACTGTACATAAAAGGAGACTCTTTGCAAACCAGGCGTGAGGGCGACGATGCCAACGCGATTTTCTAGCGGGAGGGGAGTGGCCACGGAACATAAACATAACTTATAAAAAAATATAGGAGATATTGAGGTGTGCACAGATTTTAAGACGCTTAAAGTCAAAAGTACCTATTTATTTTTTTCGGCACGCAGGGATGGACGTTACTCAAGTACGGCATTGCTACAAAGCGTCCCTACAGAGGCTTTGCTGAGGAAAGCTTCGGTGTTCAGTGACAAGACATTGAAGGCTCTGTACGTAACAACTGCTGTGCATAACACAAGCAAACTGCCATTTCCCGCAGCACTGCTAGCAATTTCTTCTTCCTCCTTTGAAGAATTTGAGATAAGGACCCTTAATGTTTGCTTCACAATTTGCCTTCTATAGCATGTTCACTTCAATTTGGTCCAACAGTCTGATTGAAGATTGGCACGACGCGAACCCAAAGTACTCTTATTACAAAGATTACACAGTAACCCGCAATCGAGAAGGGATGAAATCAAAGCCAAGAAAACGCCACCCAAGCCCCGTTCCCATTCCGTCTTCCATCCAATGCCCTATCTAACTCCATTCCCAAACCTGTTAATAGAATTTAAGAATAGATCACATAATCCCACAGCTCATTCGAGAATCGCTTTTGCAGATCATTAAGGTCCCAGCCTTGGACTGCGCCGATATCAGCTAAGGTAGCTTTGAACTTTGGGATGGCGTCTTTGTAGGCGTCTTCCTTGAGGTGCTGTAGCGCTGGCTTGCCGCGCATGGTGATTTTCTCCCTACATTGTGTTAGCATCTATTTTCGTGTTCGACTCGAGATTGTCTGAGGGCAGAAGAGGAAAGACTCACCACTCCTTCGCCCAATGTGGCCTAACGTTCAACAGCTCCCCATTTTCATCCTTATAACCCAGCCACAGATCGGCAACACGTTGCATGAAAGGCTCCCACTCGTCATCCGTCACCGCATCAGGGATACTCAACACCTCGATACTCGCCGTGCCATGCCTGTTCCCGTTCTGCGGCGCCATAATGAGTTTCGAGTCGCCCATGATGCGCAACTCCATCGTCAAACGCATAGGGCATTCATCGTCCTCATAAGTCAGGTTAATGATGTCCCACCACGCTTTCTGCACCACACTATAATCCGGCTTAGAAGGGTCGTCCTTCTTCCCGGGGATCGGGATCTGGAATTCCATGTCCCGGACTCGCATGTTTTGGATGCCGCGCCGGAAGTGCAAGGCGTTGGGGAGGGAGGTAACGATCGTCTCGAGTTGCTCTTGCTTGTAGGAGGAGAATTCGAAGGGTGGGAGGTTGACCATGCTGAATGTGGCGAGGATCTCGGCTTGCCAACGGCCGGGGAATTCTTGAAATATCGGATTCGTGGTTATCACGTAGCCGAGCCAACCTTCGACCCATTGACACCAGGTCAGGAAGGGGCTGGGGTACTCGACGACGTTGGTTTTGTCGTCTGTGGTGTTCCAGGAGTTGACCCAGGCCTGCTGGGAGCGGGGAAACCAGAACCATTCGGAGTAGTAATCGTCTGAGGCGCGCTTTTCGAAGTCGGTGAGGGCGTCTTTGTATTGCTTTTCTGTGAAGGTTTTGCGCAGGGCAATGGGAATATCTTCCAGGGCGAGGGGTGGAATTGCGAGGCCGATGTCTGGCTTTACGGGTTGCATGACAGCATAGGACATCTTGTCGAGTTCGAACGTGAGATGGGTAACTATGCCCAGCAGGCCAAAGTGACCTGCTGCTGCCTTGAGGTGCTCGGGATCTGAGATAGTACGGTGTTCGCCGTTGGCGTCCACGTACTCTACTGCACGAACGTAGTCGTTCACTGTCTGGTGTTGGCGGCCCGCTCCATGGCAGATGGGTCCGTTCACACCTCCAACTGTAACTCTGGTAACTGGTTAGTTTGTTCAGAGAGAAAGGGGATGTCTACTTACTCCACAAGAATCACATCCACAGGGAGAGTCCACTGGTCATTGACCACAGCCCATCGTCGGAACTGCTCATTGGTCACAGAGACTCCAACTGTCACCAAGGCCTTGCCTGGTTGGGGTTTTACCCCTGTCGGACCTCCGAGTTTGATGGTCTTGAGCTCGTTCTCTGGATCGATGTACTCGGCCTCGATGCTCATTGCATCTGGTAGCTTAGTAACCTCCTCGAGATTTAATAGCGATACCAGGATGTGCTTGTCCTGAGAGAAGGTAGAGCACCATGAATGTCTGTATCCACCACAGCGGACTCTGAGGTCATGGAGTTTCGCCCACTTGACTAGATTCTGTAGGCCGAGGATGGTCTTTGGGATGAATGTCCACAGCGGTGTATTGCGCACAGTTTGGCCCCAGTTTTGGAATTCTTTGTTGCCATATACCTCCATAGCCTTGGTCTGAGCCTGATCCTCAAAGATATGAGGAAAGCTTGCAATGCTTGAGATTGGTTTTTCGACGTGCCCAATGGTGACTGGTGGTTGGACGGCGAACTCATCGACAATGTATCCGTTGTTTGCATTGCCGTTGGTACCAGACGAATGATTCTCATGGTGGAAAAGCTTTTCTAATCCATCTTTGACTTTCTCCACATGATGCCCATTAGTGACTGGTGGCTTGACAGCGAATTCATCAACGACATCTTCTTTGGATGCGCTTTCATTGACCGCATGATCATAGTGTCCATGATGAAAAATCTCGTCCACCGTCTCGTGGACCGTCTTTTGGACTGTCTCAACCTGATCTTGGATTGTCTCAACCTGCTCTTGGACCTTCTCAGCCCGCTCTTGGACCTTTCCAACCTGCTCTTGAACCCTCTCTTGGACTTTCTTAACCTGCTCTTGGGCCTTCTCAAACTGCTCTTGGACCTTCTTGACTTGCCTAATGGCAATGTCATTAGTTCCATTAGCACCATTTGCATGTCTCTTATGATGGCAAAGATTCCCAAGCTTCTCCTCGACCACCTTCGCAACCTCTCTGAAATGATGCTTCACGGCAGGACTGGGAGGGAGATGAAAAGCATCTCCCTTTCCGCCAGCAGCCCAAACAACCTCCTCGCTTCCTCCAGCAATGAAAGTTTTCAGCTGGACTTTCATCCCATCATCCAGCTCATCGAAAGCATCTTTGAAGACCTGGGTGCCCTTGAACACATTCAGGAATCCTCGTAGATGTCCCTCAGGTTTGACATTCTTGTTCCTGATGGCCCAGAGATGATCCTTGAACAGTGGGACGTCGACTCCTGGGAAGTCATCTTCGATCAGAGAGATGTGGTCGATTATCTCTCCGAGGATGAAGTGCGAGACGAGGTTATGTTTGGGTGGGTTGGGAAGGAGGTGGTCGAGCTTCTTGGTTGCGGGTGGGCTGGAGCCCATGTTTGTCGTTTGGGAGGGAGACAAGGCTGTTGTGAAATGGAAGAGAATTGCTGAAGATTGATAAAGATGTTGCGCAATTGAAGGAAAATGCGCTAGATTAAGAAACAATTTCTAACAGGATGGAAATTGAGAAGAGGAACGCTGGGGTACTTGGGGGTTGACGGAGGAATGTATATATAAGATGGATTGGTCGGGAGGATTAGCCACACTTGAGAGGGTGGGATTGGCGCGTTCAGCTGCCGAGGACAACTGAATCTGAAGAGGTTGCGCCTCACGTCAGCGACGAATGATCGTAAGGCTTACTTCTTTTGCTGTATGAACGGAAGTGACCATTCCCACTTGCGATTGGTATCCTATTTTCAGCTTCGTTGTGGGTGGTCAGCCCCATTCACAAGGCATCGAGTCGGAGGTGTGGGACCACGAGGCTGCAGTCCAGGCAGAAGATAACATGCCCGAATTCCGATTGGCTTCATGAATCCAATGAATGCGAAAGGAATAAGCAGGGTTACGAGGACAGACTGCTCTTCAGTCCTTTGATTGATGCGAGGTCCGGGCAATTCATGTGCCTTGCATGCTCCCCTTTCACGGCTTTTGTTCGGCGCAGTCTGAGGCTGAGATACTGTACGAGCCCCCTCCAACTCCGATGATGTCGTGAAATTTATGATTCATTAATTCAGCTCTCAACATAACTCTTGACTGGGAAAATCAGCCCATTTTCCCATAAGGATTAAAGATGGTGGGCACAACTTCCCCCCCCCCTCTGCATAATTCCCCCGCCAAGGACCGTCAGGATGATCCTGCTCGCGCCCGAGCCCCTGAAGGATGCATGGTGATTGTGGCGCATTTACAGCCCAATAGGAAGCGGCAATCGGCGGAACATACAATCCGAGACTCCCTGTTCCTTTACGAGGAGAGACACCTGATCAGCACCGATTCAGCAGAAGCGTGGGGCTAACATGGGTATCATATTGTCTATGAATAGGCAGATCGCCAAAGCAAATAGAGACTCTTGAAAACCAGCGTGGGAATAGCGCATTATCGAGGACTAGATCTAGGACTATTTTTGCCTTATTATCTCGGTCAAAAAGTCCTCACTGTAAAGTAATTAGCAGAGGGTTTAGAATCCATGTGATAGAGGGGTTCTTACAAGGACAGAGTTATGTAGCCGTCTCTGTCATCATCATATTTCTTAAACACATCCGTCATCCTCTTCAAGCTGATGCAGCTTTGAACGAAGAGGTCGAAACTGATTGCTCCTTCACCCCGCTTGTCATATGTTCTGAAGAGAGTATCCACGAAATGGGGGCTGAGTCTGTAGCCAAATGCCACTAATGCGTTTGTATATTCATCGAGGCTGATGTTACCACTCTTGTCGGCATCGAAACGATCGAAGAGGGAGCGCCAGGCTGCCAAGAATCCCCACAGCCCGCAGAATTCCTGAAAGCCAATTGTGCCAGAGCGGTCGGTATCGAACATTCGTATCATCATTTTGACGGTGTAAGGATCGAATGATGACCAGTCGCCATTGACAAGAGCCGCGCGGAGCTCTTTCTCGGTCAGGTGTCCACTGCCTGAGCCTGACGTTAGCACAGCATGTAAGACCGAGAAGGGGCGTATTCTGTGTTACCATCTTTATCAACAGCCTTGAATAGTGGCCAGAGTGCAGGATCTGCGCCAGATGAAGGAGCTGGAGATTGGGGTGGTCTTGACATTGGTTGTGGTCTGCTTAAGCTGCCGCTGTGTGGTCTGGAGCCTTGGCTGCCTGGTGGAGGGGAGCTGAAGCCGTAATTTTGTGGTGGTGGTGAGCCATATCCGTAGTTTGCAGGTGGTTGCATTTGTGGTGAAGGGCGTCGTCCGCCGAGTTGTTCTGCTGGAAGTGGAGGCGCTGGTTTTGAGTATTGTTGCTGATGTATAGCTTGCTGCGCGGGGTTTGGGGCTTGCGCTGGTGCTGGTACTGATGAAGAAGTAGTAGTGTTGACATGTTTCTGTGTGCTTGAATCAGCTACATTCAGTGCGTGGAGTTCAGTGAATGTCTACCCTCTCTGGCTCTGCGAATGCCGGGAGTGAATCCGGGTTGAAGGTCCGATTGTACGCCATATTGGATTCTCGGTGTACAGTGTAGATGCAAAACAATCACACTGGTGTTTAGGAAGAGTTAAGTGGTGTTGGTGTTTGTTGCACAAGAAGGTGTACCCGTTCTTGTAGAAATCCCGAGAGCTTGCCTTGCAAGCTTCGTGTCAATCGAGCTCGGGTTAGGGTGGGGAGCGAGGTTCTGCGGTTTCTGAGACAAAGGCAGTGCACAACACGGGGTTCTCAAGGGGCTGATACAGCATGGAGCTTACAGGATGTCACTTGAGATTTCTGGGTGCTCAGCAAAAATGTGAAATACAAGGAAGCCCATTAATTGTAAACTTATTGCTGCCACGTCTGGAATCCGACCCGCTTGCTAGTTTTAGCCCAGCCGAATGGTCTCCATTCGACAGCCGCTGCACCGATTTCACCGACTTCAAGTATTTTTGCTTTCACACTCCACCCTTCTTTCCAACAAACTTCACTTCGCCGTTTGCACACAAGCTGGCCATCATGCCAGCTGCGTCCGTAGATTCCGATGCCGAATTCTGGCTCTTTGGCTATGGGTAACATTGGATCACCCTGCGGGGCTATTCTTGTGCAACGACTGAAGGGGACAACAGCAGTTTGATTTGGAAGCCTCCGCCCCATTATGATAAACGGATACCTGGGTTTGTCACCGGCTATGTCCGAAGGTTCTGGCAGGTTTGTATTCCCCCAAGTTGACTCAGAGCGGAAGCTTATGTATGTTTCAGGCCAGGTAAGATTTGCTCGCCGCGCCGTCACAGCCACTTATTGACATGACGCGAAGTCAGGACCACCGCGGAACGCCTGAAGCCCCAGGACGAGTTGTGACGCTCATCGAGCGGTCATTCTGGGAGACATTGACAGATCATCACGACTCGACGGCGGACAAAGTATGGGGTACCGCCTATCGAATAGAAGCTCCCAGAGTTGCCGAAGTTCGGGAGTACCTCGACATTCGTGAGATAAACGGCTACACCATACATTACACCCCCTTCTATCCAAGCGATGGATCTCCGACGATAAAGGCCTTGGTATATATTGGGACTCCTGAAAACGACCAGTTCGTCGGTCCGCAGCCTCCTCAACAACTCGCCGAGCATATACAAAAGAGTATCGGTCCAAGTGGACCAAACAAAGATTATCTCCTGAGCTTGGAAGAAGCCCTGGACGGTCTCAGCCCAGATAGCGGAGATGACCATGTCAAAGATTTGGCTACCAGGGTCAGGAATCTCGAGAAAGAGGCCAGTGGAGCTGAAGACCGAGCGGTGAATGGTATTGCTGTTGCCAACGAGCCAAAGAAGGTCGGCAGCAGAGACGAGCAAGAGGAGATGGAGAAGTAGGTTCGGAGAAGCCTTTTCGTTCCCTAATTCGGGCCAATTACCGCCATAGACTAGACCTGCAGAAATTGCAGTCTTCATAGAAGACCCCGATCAAAGTGATCAAGGTCGAAAGCTATCTGAGAGATCATGTTTGTTGAGTGCGAAATGTGTGACAACAGGTAGGAAACCGCCTAACGCCGGCCGAGCAGAGCGTATGAGCCGCCAAGGTAAAACCGCATCCAGAGACCACGAGGCTGACCTACGACTGCCATCAAGAGATGACACGTCAAGGCTTACCACACAATTAACTTTCGCTGCAACCATAGCTAACTTTTCTTGTCCTCAAAATGTACGAACGCGCGCAAGGTCGGAGAGAAGATCACGCCCTCAGCACTTACTGCCATCGGCCACCACCGCCCTGGCTTTGCTGCTCTCCTCCACCATATCCCCCACCACCAGAGTATCCTTTGTCTGACGGTCAGCATTTGTTTGATCAATCTCCCTATGTCGACGAATGCCGACGAGGACAACTCACCGCCGCCGCCACCGCCATATCCACCACCGCCGCCACCATAGCCGCCTTGACCTCCGCCTACAGAATGTTAGCATGTTTGATATATCGACAGAAGCCGAGTACACATACCATAGCCTCCCTGTTGACGATCACCACCACCATATCCGCCTCCTGTATCAATGTTAGTGACGGTCATGGCCTTGGATCCCTTTGAATCCTACCACCATATCCACCACCGCCACGGCCACCTCCGTATCCTCCACCTATGGTTCGTCAGCAACGGCTTCAATGCTAGGTGCATAAGAATTTACCACCACGGCCACCTCCAAATCCGCCGCCACCGCCTCCAGAGCCTCGCTCACTAGCCTTGTCAACGCGAATGGTGCGACCATCGAACCTAACGACATCAGCCTTGGTGTAACTTCATGCACATTGATGAACCCACTCGATGTTGTTCATGGCGGTGATCGCAGCTTCAGCATCGGCCTCCTGGGTATAGCGAACGAAACCAAAGCCACGGCTGCGACCAGTGTCACGATCCTTGACGACGACCTGGATCACGAGGGTTAGCGTTATTTCGTGCTGCGAGAGGCATATACGACTATAACTTACAGCTTCCTCGACGGCACCGAACTCCTCGAACTTTTGACGAAGAGCATTCTCATCAGTGTGCCATGCGAGGCCGCTAGTCGTTCTCGTTAGCGATCGATTAAGGCAGGAAGGAGATCGGGGTCGCAAACGCGCGAAGGTGAACTTACCCAATGAAGAGTTTTGACATCTTGATTGATGTTGTCTCGGATACCTGGCTGAAGTCTCAATTTCCGCGCGCACCCTCACACACAAAAGAGCGCGCCATCGGCGGTGCTGGAGGAACGGGAACGGACGGAACGCGGATCACGCAAAGAAAGATACATCGAGGCAAAACAGGACTCCGCAGAGCGGACAAGGAAGGGAGAGGTGATATGACTTGGAGGTAGAGGTGATGAGATCGACAAGGTCAGCGCAAGCACACAGAGAGATCAGACGAACTTCTTGAGGAGTGGAGAGTAGTGGAGAGAATGTGGAGTTGATTGATGGAAATGTTGTTTGTTTTGTTGCTGTTACTAGTTGATCGTGAGACGCAAAGTTGATCCGGTCAGACGACTGAAAGGACAGTGCGAACGGAAGTCACGACGAGGAAACCAGGAAAAATTGCGGAATTGGGAAAATTCGCAAAAAGAAGTGGTGGGCGTCGAGGATGTAGGAGGGAGGAAGAGCAAGGTGCAGTAGCGGGGGATATGAAGACTCTGCGACGTGCCCCTCCTCGCGTATTTCGCTAGCGCTGAGTGCCTCTGCCTCGCCCTCGCCCCTCGTCCCCCTCGACTCGTTCGTCCGCGTGCGCGCCTACCAGCCTGCCCTACAAGAAGGGACATGCGCACTCTGGCTCGATGGCTGTCGATGCTTTTACGAAACCTGGGAGTTGGCAGCGAGCAGCGCTGCAGCCACTCACGAGCCTGCGTCGGCGGCTGGGTGTGGGTGTGCAGCAAGGTTGTTCCTCCAATCCAGCGGCCTCTTGCTTGCTGGTGCAGAGTCCGGCGACAGCAATGCGGCAAGCACTTGAGCAGCCCGGCTGAAATCAACTGTGCGCCAGCACTCAGCATGTTCGCACTGTGGTTGTGGCGCTCCAGTCAATCCCCTCCGGGCGTGGCCGGTGCACTGGGCTTGCGAGTGTGGAGAGAGAAAAAGTCTGGTATCAGAAGCATATCGAATCTCACATCCGGGATGTTTTGCGTGCTCGGCGAATCTCACGCAGACGGGGTATCTGTAGGGCTCCGCATCTGGGCTGCTGCTGGCGCACTGCACCCACATCTCCATGCTATTGCCCAGGAGCAGCATTGGGGGAGGCAATGGAGCTCCAATCACTCGATCACAGCAGCTATCGCCGAGACGCTCGAACGGGGCTCCGGCATCACGCCTAAATACGCAGACTGAGGAGCAGAAATGCAACGGCGAGCAGGTTTGAGTTTGCATCAGCGAGGGGCGGTCCAACTGGGCGTTGTGGGCATGGCAATTCTGGTCAGGGGTGTGTTTGTGCAGGTGCAGCAGCAGCATCGTCGTTACCTCTCTCTTCATGTGCAGTGCTGAGTTAACCTTAGGCGTCGCCGTCGGCGACTGTGGAGACAGGGTGTCTTGGAGAGGAAGGCCGTTGTTCGAGGGGGGGGGGAAGCAGAAGGATGGGGCCGCGGGCCCGCGATGCTCCAAACTCCCGAGAGAGCTGCTTCTTTGGCTGTGGTTTCGCTTCTTGGGTGCGCGCACAGGTCAAGTCAACGTGGGGTCCCAGGTTGTTATCGATAAGCAAGCAAGCCTTGCGTTTTTCTGGCCCCTGTCCAAAAAAGACCCCTTCCTGGTCCCGCGAACGACCTTGGCCCGAACAATTGCGCTACGTGCCTGTCATCACCCAGCACCCACAACCCAGCACCCATCACCTATCACCCATGGAGCAAGCAAAATCTCAACTCCCCTCCTTGCGCTGCTCTCCTCCATCCACACCGCATCGCGCCGCACCACTCACTCCACTCCACTCCACTCCATACGCACGCGAGATCCCTTAACCCCATTGAGGAATCACAGCACCTCGATCGAACAAATTGGGGAATCAATTATTAATTGCCCCCGGCCCCCTCCCCCCCCCTTCCCCTCGACTCTCTGCTGTCGCGTACAGTAGCTGTCGCTCATCCGGCTGGCATCTGCATCCGTTTCTGAGACCTGACGCGGCAGGGGAGTCGGCAAGGGGATAGGGTCCAGAGCCGAGCGAGCGGCTGGCTGCCGAAGCACGGATTCAGATCTGGTCGCCGAAAGAGCTCTCTTATCTCGCCACTACTGCCAATTCTTTTCATTGATAGCTACTCAAACCCATCGATGATGTTGGTTTAGGCTGAGCTAGCGTGGGACACAGCTTTTGCAGATCGTGTGTAGCGTCCCGATGCCCTGGGAAAGCTTATCCTCCGCGATTGCTCACCTCTCACAGCATTACTCGCAGGACATCTACGTCAGGTGAGGGGCGAGAAAGCCCAGTGGCACTCCCCAAACTCGCAGTTGGGCTTGGGGAGGGGAGTCAATTCAGTGGCAAGAGCAAGAAAATAGCACAGGCTGCATGTGTGGATCGCTGCAACCCGTAGGGCTGTGTGAGTGATTCTCACCGCTTTTTGGCTCCTCGGGGTCGCTCCCCCACAGACAATCTTACCGCATGGAACTCCCTCGAGCGTGCCAGCAGACATATGCAGGGACTTCCTGAGGTCCGTGAGTTTGACAGCTCCAATCATTGAGTGGTGGCAAAAGGGGATGACATCTTCGTCGCTTAGAACTCTCTCTCCTTTCCTCTGTCTCCACAACTCATTCTGTAGCCGCAATAAACAAGATCCAGTTAAACAAAATAAAATGGAAGATTGGGAGAGGTGTTCCTTCCTGGCCAGCTATACAAGTTCGTATCTCTTGCAGTAGTGATGATGGTCGCTGCTTCCCAATTGGGCAATTACCAATTCTACTGCCCTAGTGTATCTGGAAACCAGTTTTCTTCATTTCTCCTTCCTATGTCTAACTCTTACGATAACTGTTCTTCAATCGTTGGGCTGGGGCTCTAGAGCAAGTCTGTGTCACCATTTGATTCTTTTCATTTGTAAATGGATCGCCACCATCGCTCTATTGATCGTGACGACTGCCTCATAACTAACGATACTCGCGATCGCCGCCGAAGAGAATCTGCAACAACTTCGAGAATTAGGGGGGATCATCAGGCTAAGGAGGGGGATCAATTAATGTCTAAGCCCGATCGCTTTCGCGGAAAGCTTCCTCAAGAACCCTTAGCAGGTCAGCTCAGCGGGGACAATGATTACGTTCGGAGATGGCTTGTACAAACAGACGAGGAAGCCAGTCAGCAAAGATCAGACTCCCATGTAGCACAGCAGAAGACGGCAAGTCAGTATCCTTTCCAGCACCGCTGATTAGGATGGGTGCTGCTGACACTTGGTTTTGTTCGTTCACTAGGTCACGTCGAGCCCGAGACGCACGTGAGGATTGGCCTTTGCGAACCCAAGGAAAGTTTTACAGACATGCAGTCTCGGAGGAAAAGAAAGCACCACACGTCTTCCGATAGCTCCTTGCTCGAAGTACCTGTTAGGCAGAGACCGCAGCCACCAAGAAGATCAGATCTTAAGACAGAACCTCCTGCAGAGGGAGAAGAGTCCGATCGCCCTAGAAAGAAACCCAAGACAGTCGTGTCCGTAGCGGGAACATCTACTTCCTCCTCTGCCTCGCCAACCCCAAAGCAAGAGACTTTTGAGAAGAGAGCACGCCACAAAACGCGGGAGGATCGATATGAACCCAAAAAGAAGGTGAAAAAACGGTCAAAAGATGGAGAGGAGAGGATTCCCAGGAAGAAAAGGGAGAAGAAGGGCGATCGAAAGAAAGCTGCAAAGAAAGCGGGAGAAGACTTGATGAGAAATTTCTCATCGAAAAGCATCGGTCAGGAACGTCTAACGGTTGGTGTTGACCGGATTGTTGAGCTATGGCACCGAGTTGATTCGATTAGATCCGCCCATCTCGAGGACTCGGCCTTTTCAAAAATGGCAGGGCATCTTCTCCTGCCCAGCGCCGAGGTAGTATGTGATTCAGTTCGAATATAGATCCCAATCTGACATGTGTTTTACAGTACCTGATTTGGCATTTTCTGAGATGGATTTCCTTCAACGTTCGGGCAGGCATGTATCCGTGAAGGAGGACAAGGCCATCTCAAAGTCCAGGGAGAAAGAGAAACGAAAAGCTGCAAGGGCGCAGGACGAGATCTCGATGTTTTTCAAATCGAACAAGATGCCATTGCAACCCACGTCATTGAATAAAGGAAGTGTAGCATCATCAACACATGCGAAAGACCGCCGCTCAGCTGCCAGTGATCAACTGGACCCCGATCATCTCGCACGCCACCACGAACGTTCTCAGTCCTTCGACTCTCCTCAGAAGCCTAGTCTCGACTTTACAAGAACAAAGCCAACATCAGATATCCTTTCTGCTTCTGTTGGACGTAATCCTGTTATCAACCGCCTCGAGTATGGTCCTCATTCCACTAGCAAAATTTCCGAAGGAGCATCGACCAATATCTCCTGGTCCGAGACACAGGTTTCACGAGAGGCAAACCCCGCGAAATTGAGCAAAATCCATCGAATAAGAGCCAGTTCAACCCCCGAGTCAATCCGAAGATCGCTTGAAAAAACTGGTATCTTTCGAGATACAGGAATAAGCATGTCCGCTCGCCGGACTGCAGCATCCCCCCACATTTATGGCAGGTCATCCAAACGAGGCCAGACGAGGTCAACGGGAAATCCAGCGAGAAGTACAAGTACGCCAGAAAGTGGTGGAAGAGTCGCCTCCCCAGCTCGACTTGGAAATCATGAGTTGACTTCATCACATGCAGTCCATCGGCGAGATCCAGGAGAGGGGTTTCATACATCGCACGCGAAAGATGACATTGCACAAACAGGAGGAGGGGAAATGATACGTGAAAGGATCGTTATCGAGCATTTTGATCCAAACTTAGGATGGTATGAAAGGCAAAGATCTGGAGAGTGTGGTCAGGAAATTGCTACCACAGCAACGAAAGGAGGAGTCCCTGAGCAGCCAAAAAGTGCTCCCATCGACCGCCTGCAACGCGCAAAAATGGCGCGGATTAAACGACCCCCAACAACTGTACCGCTTCCTCGGCCGTCACTTGCCAGAGATGGTGCAATTTTCAAAAATCCTCTTGAGGGCCGTATGCAGACAAATACTAATGTGGACCAAGAACCAAATCAGCGAACCTCACCTAGGGACATGGCCGAAGTGGCCTCACAGGAGAGAGAAGACCGATTGAACTTGGAATCTGGCAATCAATTCAATATGCGAACTCAACGCAACGAACTTGGTCAATCTGCTTTCTTACTGTCCGACAATTATAAAGTCATTGACCAAGCTGTCTATGGCGGAGCTGGGACCGGAATCCAGAATGCACCCCTTTTCCTTCCAACTAAACACGCCGGACCAGATAATGAAGTGTCTTCCGCACGCCATGAAGCTGTATACGCACTCCATAGCAACGGCTCATCGTACCTTGGGTTGCCTGCCCGAGAATTTTCAGCTGGACAAGCTCATCTACAAAATGATTACGATAATCATGGTGGAAGACCGTCTCTTCAGGCGGAGAGCGAGCCTTACTACATTCATCAACTGCAACGACATTTTACGCCGTACGAGCCTTCACATTACGAAGATCACTTGAGAAGAATTGAGTACGAGCAACTCGACATACTTACTCGGGAGGAGGCAACCGCTGAACTAAAAGATTTCCCACACAGCAATATACCTGAAAGAGAAGGATACTTTTATACGCCAGCAGATGATTATATCGGCAATGTGTTCCAGCATGCGTACGAAGGATTTGAAGATCATGGCGGTCATCTTGAAAGTGAACCATGGAATCTGAGATCTCCCCATGTTGATATGGTTTTAGAGCACTCCGAGATAGAAGAGCTAGGAGACAGTTACGAAGAGGGTCGACTGATGGAAATTGATCAACGGCAGCAATTGATCATGCGAAATTATACCCCTGTTGAGCAGGAAAATGGTTATGAGCAATACGATCCTGCGAGGGACGGTCAGAATCAGGCATTTTGGCAACCTTATCTTTAGTATTGATGGGGAATAGCAGGTTACTTGTACTTTCAGGCCGGACAGGGACTAATATCTCAGTTTATACTTTCGTCTGGTATACATTTGGTACGTGTATGTACAAACGCTCCAAGAATCACAAGAACAGAAATCTCACTCAGGCTCTTGTTCTTTCCACTTCTCTCTAACAGCATCAACATCAATCCCACACAACTCCGCCCTACTAACCGTCGCCCTCGCCTTGCCCACAACAGGGACATCAATCATCTTCCCCTCCAGCGTCCAGGCGCCCCGTCCGCCAGCATCCGCCTTCTCATCACCAACCACGATCCTCACGGCCCACTCCACCTCCTTCTCGCCTGGCGCGAACGCCCGCTGCGCAACCGCCACTTGGCTAGGATGTATACACTGCTTGCCATTAAACCCCAGTCCCTTGCCTTGTAAGCACTCGTCTTCTAACGTCTTCAGCCCCTCGGGACCGCGGAACGAGGTACAGACTAAATCGATTGTGGATGGGAGATCGTGGGCTCGTGCTGCGGTAGCGATCGCGCTTCTCGCATATAAAAATTCGAGCAGTCCCGGGGTTCGTGTCAATGATAAATCGAGGGCGAAATCTTCCGCTGCGAAGATGAGACCGCTTAGGTAGGGCGAGGCCTTACATATCTCATTTAAATTCGTTATCGCTTCCGCTGATTCGATCAAAGCGATTATCTTCAGCGGGCTGGATTCCGAGGTTGGAGTTGAAGGGTGTCGCTCTGGCAGTTTGTGTCGCAGCACATCGGTTACGAAGTGGAGGTCGGAGGCGCGGTTTACTTTTGGTATTACCAGCGCATCCAAGTTTGGGGCTTTGAGGATCGTGGAGAGGTCTGAGAGCGCGAGGCCGGAGGAGACGGCGTTTATGCGTACGCTGAGCTCGGTGATGTTTGGGGGACGAGGGGTGGAGAGGAAGGATAATAGGTTGGTGCGCGCGGAAGCCTTTTGGGAGGGCGTTACGGAGTCTTCGAGGTCGTAGGATACGGTGTCTACGGTGAGGGAGCGGGATTTCTCGAGGAATTTGGGGGAGGAGGAGGGGACTATGGGAGAGTGAGGTTAAGGGGGTGTGAAATGTGGAGGAGAGGGAGTACCGTAGAGGAGGGCGCGGCGGAGGATGGTGGACGTTTTGGTGGTCATTTCGTGTCAATTAGGTTATATAAGCATAGTGAAAATAGAGGACATTACTCAATGTTCAAGATCAGAGAAGTGAGTAGTAGATGAAGCTATTCGCTACCCCTCGTCGGGAATAACTTAAGCTCGGAGGCAGAAAAGCCACACCGCCTTTATTTTAAGCTTAGCGCACCAGGGGTACGAGCTTACTGTAGCTTCTTTTGGCACTACAAATGTACGCGGCCATGCACACGACATAGGCATCGTCTTCACCCTCTCTCCCTCCTTCGACCTCGCGCGAACAATGGAAGAAAATCAACCAGCTGGCTCGCTGAGCTGGCGACTTAGTTCGCATCCTATTACGCTGCTTTTCTTCCTTGGATTCAGAATCTGTAAGAGTGGTGCTTCCGTGGCCAGAGGCAGCAGCTAATATTTCGACAGCTTCGCTGCTGGTGTATCTGTTCGGTATGCTGTTTATCAAAAACTTGTACGTACCCTCTCTCTCTCTCTCCTTCTCTTCGCGAAGGGGTTTGGGGAGTTGAGCTAATTAGGCAAACACAGCGTCCTCATCTTCATCATCACGATCCTCCTCCTAGCAGCCGACTTCTACTACCTCAAGAACATTGCCGGGCGCCGTCTCGTCGGACTCCGATGGTGGAACGAAGTCGATCCGCAGACGGGCGACTCGCACTGGGTGTTTGAGAGCTCGGATCCCTCGACTAAGGTCATCAATGCGACTGACAGTCGCTTTTTCTGGATTGCGCTTTACTCGCAGCCTTTGCTCTGGATTGGGTTGGCGATTGTGGCTATTTTCAGCCTCGAGTTTATCTGGTTAACTCTTGTCGGTATGTTGAAAGTGTCAGGAGATGGTCGAGGAAATGGCTGAACTGGTTTTAGTCATCGCGCTGAGTCTGACGGTTACGAACACGCTTGCGTTTTCGAGGTGTGATAAATTTGGGCATGCGTCGAATTTGGCGGGGAGTGCGTTGAACACTGGGGGTATTGCGAGGAATGTCGCGGGAGGAATGATTGGGAGGTTCTTTTCTCGTTGATCGCAGGGGAACGGCTTGGAAGAAGGAATAGGAGCGAGGCAAGGTGTACGATACCATCTGGAACATTGGGGGAGCTATGGAAATGAATCTCATAGTGGGAGTGAAGGAGATCAAGTGTACTTGATCCTTGTGTGACGCCGTTTCGAGAGGAGGGCGTGGAGCCGATCTGATATTCTGATTACCATTGCATTGGAATTGAAGACACGAATGTGTGTATGCTTCCACTAGTGTGCTGTTCAATCTGTCCTTAGTTCGACTCCTCGTTGGCTGTATTTGCAGGGGTCCAGTTTCTGACCGTCACTTCAGGACGAAAGCAAAGTCCAGCTTTCGTCTTAAACCCCATGAAAGTTCCTTTCATCCACAGCAATGTCACCTCCAGATGACACAGCGTTGCTTTCAGCTCTTCGATCATTCTGTTCCGCAAATCCTACCACCGACCGAGCCAAGGCGCTCCAGCAATTGCTCTCAGAGAGTGGCTGAGTGGTCAGTGAAGAAAGGCCCAAGAATTGCATGGATATCAATAATTTGAATGCCGTGGATGTTGAAGCTAGGAAAGCTAAAGAAGGAGGGGAGAAGAAGGAAGCTGAGGCTGCTCTACCTAGATTACCGGCGAATCCCTTACAAGCACAGCTGAAGTACAAGGATGAGAGCACAAGATATATAAAGCTCTATGGAAGTGGGGAGTATGACTTTGGAATCACTCCTAAATTCAGATATGGGCGTCTTCATCGAGGTTATTGTTTCACCTCTGTTGTTTCACTGACGAATTAACTCTTGCAGATTTGCTCCAAAGAATCGTTGGCTATCTGGACAAGTGGAAGCAGGCGGGGAAATCCAGAGTTGGGAGGATTGAGATTTTGCTTGTTATTGCCAAAACGAATCCGGAGTTTGTGGTGTTGGACATGGAGGGCAATTCTGGTATATTGACGCGAAACATGCGCAGTATGCATTGATTATTTTCAGAATCGATACGCAGGGGAGAGAATGTGGGCAGGTGTAAGAGGATTAACTATGACTTGCTATTAGGGAGGCCAAGTTGGGTTGAGTCGCGATGTAGTGATTGAGAGGATTTTGAGCAAGTCGAATTGTTACAGGAGGTTTTGGGACAAAGATCTCATACACGACCGTTATACTTAAGGTAGAATCTGTGAAAACCATAGAACTTTTGTCATCAAGGTTGTTCCATTTTGCCGAGACCCTCCCAACCATCATTGATGGAATATACATTCTGCGCAACAAATGAGGGTCTAGCTGTGTGTAGGCATAGCAACATCTGCCGCCTTGGAAATAGCATCCTCGGCCTTCCAAAGACTAGTTACAGTTTTAAGCTGGGTGTAAAATTGTAATCCAGGCTTTCCATAAAAAGTGCTCACACCACCTCCAGCAATACTCTTTTTGTTTCCAGTAAATGAGAAGAATGGAAGCGGAACGGGTATAGGCACGTTGATTCCCACTTGTCCAGCCTCGATGTTCTTCTGAAATGCGGTAGCGGTGGCTCCAGATTTTGTGAAGATAGCGACACCGTTTCCGTACTCATTGGCGTTGATGAGATCGACAGCTTCATCAAGTGAGTCGACATTCAAGCAGACCAGGACAGGACCGAAAATCTCCTCTCGGTAGCACTTCATGTGCGGCTTAACGTTTGTGATAATGGTTGGTCCAACCCAGTTGCCATTTAGGTACTTCGCGGGCTTGTAACCGCGACCATCTAATAGGATGGTTGCACCCTCTTCCTCTGCACTTGAAATGAGACTCTCAATTCTCTCCTTGCTTTGAGGTGAGATCACAGGACCCAAATCAGCACCCTCCTCAAAGCCACCGTTGACCTTCAGAGCCTTCGCGCTCTCAGCAAGTTCTGGAAGCCAGTCCTTGGTCTCGCCAACCATAACCAAAGTGCTAAGAGCCATGCATCGCTGACCAGCAGCACCGAATGCAGCACCCACGATAGAGTTGAGTGCATGTTGCTTATTAGCATCCGGAAGGATCGCTGCGTGGTTCTTTGCACCCAAATTGGCTTGCACACGCTTTCCATTCGCGGATCCGCGGGTGAAGATATATTCTCCGGCGCGGTTGCTGCCCACGAAACTGATGGCCTTGATAGCTGGCTCATCAATAATAAAATCAACCGTCTTGGCCGCACCGTGGACAACGTTGAGCACTCCTGGCGGGAAACCGGCTTTCTCAGCTAATTCAGCTAGGATCATTGCCGCACCAGGGTCTCGTTCTGAAGGCTTTAGGATGAGGCAATTGCCGGTGGCGGTTGCAATTGGGATGGACCAGAGAGGAATCATGGCAGGGAAATCTGCAGAGATATTAGCATGGCACTTTCACATAATTGATACCACTTACTGAACGGGCAGATAGAGGCTACAACGCCCAATGGCTCCCTGTAGCTTCGTGTCTCCATATCCTTGGCGACCTCTAGAACCTCACCCATCATTTGCTGAGGAATGTTGCACGCTCCTTCAGCAACTTGTAAACCACGAAGCACGTCTCCCTTGGCATCTTTGCACTCATTAGTAAAGATTATACCCCAATATCTGATCAAGTCATCATACCGGCAAAGGTCTTGCCTTGTTCCAGTGTAATACTAGCTGCCAATCTGTCCCAGTTGTCCCTAACTAACTGTGTAAACTTGAACATGATTCGTTGCCTCGCCATTACGCTCGTAGCCCTCCAAGCTGGGAAAGCCTTCTTTGCACTCTCCACAGCAGCCTTGAGCTCGGCATCTGTGCTTTGTGGTACCCTTGTGACGAGATTATTTGTAGCAGGGTCGTGGAGCTCGATGAATTGGGTAGCTTCTGATTTCATAAATTTGTTATCAATGAAGTACGGGGTATCTTGGACATCCTGGATTTTTTCGTGGGAGGTAGGATAGTTGGTGGAATCGAATGCTAGGGCCGCTGCGGGCTTGAGGTGTTGAGCTGTAGCATGCAGTCTGCGAGTGGCAGTCTTCGAGTGATCGAGCGGGGAAGGCATTCTGAAAGCAGGCGCCGAGCGTGGAGTTCGTACTGCTACAGCAGGAATGTTCCGAGTGAGGATTCGTCGCATTTTCGAGAAGCTGGAGGATGCTAGATCTTGCAATGGAAGCAGCTCATGACATGCTCCCAGAATTCAGAAAGAATGTCAACAGGCGAGGTCGAGGTCGAGGTCCAGGAGATTAAGCCGAGCTTCGGCAAAGAGAACATCTGAACAAGGGTAGCTGCGAAATCGCACCGGGGAATTTTCAGAGGGGGAGGGGTCTACGGGTCCGGGGTACAACTAGGAGATCAGCGCTGCCTCTCGTCATAACTCAAATGATTACTCAATAGAGTCAGTATTCACGAATTTTAGAAATGCCACTTCGCTGAGCGGGTGAGCATCGGTCAGCGATGATTATGTTGTTACTCTTCCGCTCAAGCGCAAGGCAACTTTCAAGTGAAGCATTGTCCCGCCGACTGATGGGGGAAAGCACCGCTCATGTCGTTAGGGTTTTGGCGAGTCAAGCTTTGACGAGAGTGTACGTTGTAGAGTCAGTTTGTGACATGGTTCTCGGGTTCGAAGTGCGATTATTGTGTTCCTTTTTCACTTTCCGGCCCGTGAAGAGCGGGCCGGTTTCTTCACCGCCACTTGGTAGATGTCCGTATTCCGGAAACGTCGAGCCATGGTTGCCATCTGTCAATCAGGGTTCAAGGAGACTTCCAGACTGGACCATTCGGCCCCCTCTTCGGCCCCGCCCCCCCAAGAGCACTCTCGTTCACCCACATACACCTCCACCTGTCTCTACGCCTCTGGGGAAGATCTAGATCTCCAGAGACTTAAAGATGACTCCGCATCCTTCCCTTTGACTTCTCAATCGGCGCTTACTCCTATACCACCGCCTCCGAAATAGATGTTGGGCGAAACAGGAAGAAGATTACGGCGTGTGCTATCTGTGTGTTCTTCTTCACTGTGCGGCTGGTGGTTTTCGTCAGCCCATATCTCTATTACACTGCCAGTCTTGGTCCCACGCTAGCCTTTATATATTCTTGCATTGTTGGTATTGGTTTATGTTTGGTTCTGTGATGGAGAGACGACGGGACGCACGAATACGGATACCAATCGGCTCTTCATGGCGAGGGCTCCTGCGAGGGAATGGAGGACGTATGTCTTCGCAGAAGAAGATCAGAGTTTACAGAAGGGAGAGAAGGGAGATAACGTGTAGGAAGCGGAAGTGGTAAAGGTTTGAACAGGGGAATTAGGATCAAGTGACCTTCATCCCCATTGCTGCCTGCAGAGAGGCACTGTTTCCTGTCTTTGACCAAGACATTGACAAGGAGCCTCAATCAAGTAAAGGCTGTTTCTTTCCGCGAACACATATACAAATTCTTCAATATGACCTACCTTTCTGATTGCATGGAGATACAATTTTCTTCGCTTCACGTGATTACGCTCCAAGAAAAAGGAGACTTTCCTCGAAGAGAACTAGCTTCGAACGGGCTCCTGAGGGCAAATGAGGCCAACCCACTAAAGTCAAAGTTCTCTAGACAAACAAAGGTGTGGCTCCATCTCGGGGAACTCGAGATAGTGAGCGATAAGAGAATCTCTCGGCCGGTTCGACGGGTCAGCCCGACAGCTTTGAAAGTGGGGATTCGGATCCTGCCTTCTTTACCCTAATCCTACTAAATTATACATCGTTGTGAGGGGTAGATATAAGTATAAATCTTCTGCTCAAACATTTAATTTCAAGTTTTCTTTCTGGTCAAATGGCTGAGTACGACCTTTTAGTCCTCAATGGACTCGTTGTCACACATGATAAGACGGCAGAGCTAGATATCGCAGTCAAAGATGGAAAGATTGCAAAACTACTTCCTAGGGGAGAATTAGAGGGAGTGGAGGCGGATAAAGTTATTGATGCTCAAGAAGGAATGGTGATGGTAAGTTATTTCTGCCCTTCGGGGGAATCTCTTACTCACCTAAATTTCAGCCCGGTGGTGTAGATGCACATGTGTAAGAAACTGCCCCAGTACAACCCATGGACGGTTTCATTGACTTGATATATAGACATTTGGACGAACCAGCGTTATTTGGGAAAGGAGAGACTGCGGATAATTATGAAACTGGTAAGTGATGCCCCAAATATCTCAGGAACTTCATGCTCATCGCAGTCAGGAACGAGATCAGCCATTGCGGGAGGTACTGTTATAGCTTACTTCTTATCTCTTTTTTCTTCCCCATTTAGCTTCAGTCTTCAAAATACACCCTGGAACCTTCATGCCTTCTGTCCTAGTTCTTTGCCTATCTTGACTCCTTAACAGGTACCACAACCTTGATTACCTTTGCACCGCAACGAAAGACGGAACCCTCCCTATTAGACGCATTGGCCACCACCCACGCTCGAGCGAAAGGGAACTGTTACTCAGATTATTCCTTCCACCTGATCTGTTCCAATGCCGGCCCCCAAGCAATCTCGGAATTCTCTGCCTTGAGAGAAGCTGGGATCTCTTCACTCAAAATCTATATGACCTACGAAGCATTGCAACTCAAAGACTCCGAGATCCTAGACGTCTTGTTCGAAGCTCGAAAGCAGAGGATTGTCACCATGATCCATGCAGAAAACGGTGCGATTATCGATTGGACGATTAAAAAACTCGAAGAAAAGAAACTCTTTGCACCAAAATATCACGTCACCAGCCACCCTCCGGTAGCTGAGATCGAAGCAACGTATAGAGCGATAAGTCTCAGCGGATTCATTGATGTCCCGATTCTCATTGTTCATGTCTCTTCCCCTGCTGCTGCGAAGCACATCTCAGATGCTCAGAAAAAGGGGCTTCCTGTGTATGCAGAAACTTGTCCCCAGTATCTCTCCTTACAAGGAAGGATCTCGAGAAGCCTGGGTTCGAAGGTGCGAAATGTGTGTGTTCACCGCCACCAAGAGAGGGAGAGCAAGACCATGAAGGAATCTGGCAGGGCTTGGAAGATGGCACTTTCACAGTACTGAGCTCTGATCATTGTCCGTTCCTCTACGGCAACACCGAAACTGGGAAGAAGTTAGTTATTAGCTCTGAATACCCGAACGGACACTTCAAGTATATTCCAAATGGATGCCCGGGAGTGGAGACGAGACTCTCATTAGCATTATCAGCTAATCGTCTTCAGCTGCAGAAATTCGTGGAGGTAACTTCCACTAATGCAGCGAAGCTATATGGTTTGTACCCAAGAAAAGGAGCACTGATCCCCGGGGAGAGCGATGCCGACTTGACGATTTGGTACCCGGTAGAAATGAAAAAGTTCGTCCTGACTAATTCGATGCTCCACCATAACGTAGATTACACTCCGTATGAGGGAAGGACGATGAAACAATGGCCAAGATATACGATTTTGCGGGGTGAAGTTGTGTGGGCGAAGGATGAGGGAGGTTTGGTGGGAAAGAAAGGGTATGGTGAGTTTTTGAAGAGAGGCGTGAGTTCATTGGCAGGAAGCCGGAGTGCTGAGGAGTGGGATGTTCGAAATTTCTAGCGATATTCGTATGTTTGAGATCAAAAAAAGACATGATGACGTTCGCACTTGCGGTTGATTGCTCCATTGATCTCGATTGTGACAGTTTGAGGGAAATTTTTGATGTCGACAAAAGGGGAAGGAAAGGGGGAGAGGTTAGAGGTGGAATCTGGACTAGCTCGCACTCCAACTCCCCCTCGAAATCTTTTGGCTGGACAGATTTTGCCTCGGTTTTTCAGACTTTCAGTTCCTGTTTTATCATGGCTGGATCATGCTCTAGCATGATATGATCCACGTCGTTCCCAATCCACTAAGAGGGCAAAGGGCAAAGTGGGGTGGGTGCCCGTATCAAGCCGCGGCCACTTATAATAGCCAGGAATTGATAAGATATGGTGTTATCGACATCAAGTAAAAGAAATCTTTCAAAATCTCAAATCCAATCACAGTAGGTGATTTGGGATGTACTTCCTTGCGTCCGGGAGTCTACAGCGTAGCTGGTTAACCCGTGTGATCCACCGGGAGTGCGGCAGAAGGTATGATCCATACCCCTGACTAAAGTACCAGAGATTGGTGAATTATAAAAAGCGTGCAGTACTCCCCCGTGATGTCAAGGCACAGTTATGTCATTATCCATCTTCCCTGTTTTATCACATTCGATTCTTCTTTAGTTGTCATTGAAATTGAGTTATGCGCAGCGTCAACAAGCAAGTACGTCGTGTGGACGTGCTCATAGTGGGAGGAGGTCCAGTAGGTGGGCATTTCTCCTCATTTGAATTACACTCTTCTGACCCCCAACATAGGTCTCTTAACTGCCTTCCAGCTAGCAAAGTTTGGTCACTCTCGTTCCATTGCTATCATTGAAAAGCATCCCAAGTCCTCCCAAGACCAGTATGGCCGAGCAATCACTCTCTACCCGCGCTCTAGCGAGATTTTAGATCAACTTGGGCTAGCAGATGAACTCGCCCAGGAATGTTTTGCTTGCAGGAACACCGTCAGTTATGACAAAGCAGGGAAAGTCGTTGCCGGCCGAGGATGGTATTTCATGGAAAATATGAAGGATACGCAGTGGGATTTTGCCCTTGTGTTGAGACAGAAGTATCAGGAAGAGATCTTCAGACGGAGCCTGAGGGAGTTGGGGGTGGACTTGGAAACCCCCGTGGAACTGATTCAAGCTCATGTTGATGAATCGGTATGTATGTCCTCAGATATGGGCCTCTTCCGATGAATGCTAAATATACGGTCATCCAGGTGCCACAAGGTGGCTATAAAATCACTGCTGTGACTAAAAATGGTATCACAGGAGAAGAAGAAACCATCATGTGCAAATACCTTGTTGGAGCTGATGGGGGAAGATCTTTCGTCAGAAGAACGTTGGATATTCCCTTTGATGGAAGCACAACAGAGGATAAATGGGTGAGGATTGATGGCATAATTGAGACAAACATGCCAAAACCTCGAGTTTACGGTTCCATAGAATCGCCAACGCATGGGAACGTCTTATGGGCTGCATTGGACCATGGAGCCACTCGAATCGGATTCGCGTTTACTGCTGAGCGGCAAAACGCATACCCGGAGTTCAACGAAGCTGCTGCGGTTGCTGAAGCAATAGAGTCGGTGAAGCCTTTTAGTCTGCAAGTCAAGCAGGTTGACTGGTTTACCATCTACTCTGTTGGGCAAAGAGTTGCAAGGAAATTCTTCACTAAGGATTGCGTGATTCTTGCTGGAGATGCAAGTCACACGCATAGTTCCGGTGCAGCGCAAGGGATGAATACCGGGATACACGACGCTAGCAATCTGGGGTGGAAATTGTCTATGGTTCTCGATGGATTGACACCCCCGTCTCTCCTCGATACATATGAAAGCGAACGACTACCAAACGTTCAGAAGCTCATCAACTACGACAAAGATATATCGAGGTTAATGACAATGCAACTTCCGATTGGCTGGAAGGGAGGTAAAAATGCAGATCCGAATGAAATACTGGGAAACGTAATGGAAAAAGCGTCGACCTTTACGTCAGGCTTGAGTATCGCTTTCGACCTCAACGTTCTGAATGTGAAGGGGTCCTTTGAATCGAGCTCCAAGCCCGCACCTGTATCACCAGGTCAGCGAGGGCCAGACGTCCAGCTACAGAAGCCAGGAACGAGAGAAGGAACGAGGTTACATAAGGAAGCACCCAACAATGCCAGATTTCATGTTGTGGTATTTGCTGGAGAGCCAGATTATACTTCAACGTCGCTGAAAAGTTTCTCAGACTCTCTTGAGGGCTCAAAAGTCTTCTCGAATGCTCGATTACCAATATCTTGGCTCACAATTCCTGCGAAAAGTGCACCGTCAGCGTTTGAGCTACTCGGGATTATGCCTTTTGGAAAAGTATTTTATGATGAAAAGCAAACCGCTCATAACAGGTACGGTGTTGACATTAAGCGAGGTGGGGTGATGGTTCTTCGACCTGATGGGTGGGTTGGCACATCGACAGGCTTGACAGATGGTGCTGTTGTGGAATTGGAAGTGTATTTCAAGAGCGTGCTCTTGATAAATTCATGAACGTTGCGCAAAAGAACATTATCGGTCGGTATGTTGTTTCTGGATTGGGCGCCAATATCTATCTCTCTACGACTTCACCATAAACTTGCACCTACCATGAACAGTACGATATCTCCGACACGAGTTACGTCAGAGTCTCAATTTACAGTGCTACCCCTTTATTAGCCGATCTCCTTTCGCAGGTGATCGTCGGCATTTGGAGCAAAAGTTGACAAGGTAACTCTCCGTCTGTAAATTGAACAAGAGAGGAAAAATTTCGCTTGAACGGACGTTTCGAGGGTTAATATGAAAGTGAACCTTTAGAAACACAGGTCACTTTGATTCATCCTACTCAGGGAGCCAAGCGGCGCAGGTGATGGGTGGCAATGTGAGGCTGTTGATGCTCCCGGTGAATATTGAAGCTTTATTGAGTCTAAGGTGCCCCTCCTTTCTAAATGACCACAGCTAGGGACAAACTGCAATGAATTGATTTTCTACTTACTAGCTAGCTAGTAGTCTGGATGAAGTCAACTCTCCGTGCGTTACCCAATACGGCTAGCGGCTAACGAAGCGAGTCGCGCACGATGGCTGGCCAAATGATTTGCAACCTTGCTCTGGACATTGCGATACTATTCAGTTGTTGCTCGACTGCGTCTCAACTGCACTGCACGAAATGGCGCCTTCAACTCAGCAAGTATTTATCGACGGTACTTTTGCTGATCTCGCCCAAGAGCTGGCCGAGTATCTCAACATCGGACCTGAGATTCAACCCCTCCTCGAGGAGAACAAAAAAGATGATGCACTCAAGAGACTCGTAACCACATCGACTGCGCTCAACTCCTCCCCCGAGAAAGAGTTCACTGCAGCATATAATTTACTAGTTTACCTCGTCATCCAGTCCCCAAGTGTCAATATTTTCCTTCCTCGAATCTGCGAGAACCTCTCGAGACCGATTTTATCTTCCCCAGTCAACGGACCAGGTCTTGCTCTCAGCGTCCTTACAACTGTCTTCAATCTCCTCCAACCCGACAACGAGGTCCGATTCAATGTCTTCCAGGCAATTCTACGCCTCGTCAAGACTAGCGGCCTGTTCGAGATGTTGCGACCACAGCTGAAGAAGTTGGACACCTGGCTGGTGGAATGGGATGTCGATGATGAGGATCAACGCAAGCTCTTCGGACAGATCGCAGATGCTGCAGAGGATGCCGGAGAAGAAGAGTGAGCTTTACTTGCTCTGCAATGACAGGAGATCAACAGTATTAATCCGCTCCTGACAGACAATCCTACCAATACATTCTCAAGGCCCTCCGTACATTCGATAAAGACGAAGTCTCCTCTACCGAAGCACAAAACCTCTCTATACGCGCGCTAAAGATCGCTCTCCTCTCCAGCACCCACTTCGACTTTCATGATCTTACCTCTCTTGCCACTGTTCAAGCCCTCAACCCGCCACAAGAGGTCTGGTGGGAACTGCTTGAAATCTTCTCCGAGAAAGAACTTGAAGATTACAATGATTTTCGGGACGAGCACGAAGGTTTCATCGAGGAACAAGGCTTGAGCAACAGCAAGCTCCATCGCAAGATGAGATTGTTGACCTTGGCAAGTGTCGCAGCGAGCACCAACAGCAGAGAGCTGGAGTACAAGCGCATTGCGAAGGCCTTACAAATTCCTTCTGAGGACGTGGAGATGTGGGTTATCGATGTCATCCGTGCTGGCTTAGTCGAAGGCAAGCTGTCGCAACAGAAACAGGTCTTCCTAGTTCACAGAACTACATATCGTGTTTTCGGCGACAAGCAATGGCGTGAGGTCGCTACACGGTTAGATCAGTGGAAGGAAAGTTTGAGGGCTGTGAAGGAGGTCATCAGCCGGGAGAGACAAGCCGCGGAGACGCAGAAGGAGCGAGAGATGCACGAGGTTGAGAGAAAGGTTGCTGGTGCCTCTGGAATGGGTGCAGGTCGGAGAATCGGCGGCAGGGATAATATGGTCGAGATGGGCACCGATTGAAGGATTCAAAGACTTTGAGTTTCCCTTACCTTCGGATATCGCCAACGAGTCCAAAAATCATCCCTGGCGTTCCGGTTGTCTGTACACTGGTAGCATAGCATCTGGCGTGATGCACGGTTTGTTTCTGGCTATGATTCAGACATGACACAGAGAGAAGCTTGATCGAAAAGATCCGAGCACGTAAAGTAGAATAAAATGCATTGAACGTGCTTGCTAGTTTACAGTGGTGAAATTTACTCTCAAGATCTGTATAATATCCCGATCTTATACCTCTAATATTACCAAATCTAAAAATTCCTTCCCAACCTCTGCTCAAGCTTCTCCCTCGTCTCTTTATACACCTCGTCAGGCGTGTTCGTAGCAGCAACCTTGACGACTCGCCCCTCCTGCCTGAAGTAATCGACGACCGGCATGCTAGTCTCTACGAAAGTCTTAAACCGCTTCTTGATACTCTCCGCATTGTCATCGGACCTCCCACTCGTCTCCCCTCTCTTCAGCAACCGGTTCTGCATCTCCTCCTCCGGACAATCAAAGAACAGCACAAACTTGCTCGGGCACACCGTCTCCTCAAACTTCAGCGCCTGGTCCATCTTCCTTGGAAACCCGTCGATCAAAAACTTTCCTTTATGGTCTTTGTCCTTCTCCACCACTTCCGTCATGGCGTTTTCAAGTAATTGGACAGTGACTTCCATGGGCACAATCTTGCCATCCTTAATATAGCTCTTAATCAGGTCCCCGAATTCGGAACCCTTCCTGTCTTGCTCAGCTCGCAGAAGGTCGCCGGCAGAGAGATGCGTGAACTTGTAGTCCCGGACGAGATTGGCGCATTGTGTGCCTTTGCCTGCTCCGGGGCCGCCGAGGACGAAGAGGACGGTGACGTTGGAAGGTGAGAAGGTTGGAGTGTCTTTCTTCGGCGCAGCGACTCGCTCGTTCGTGGGCGCCATGTCTAGATGTGGAGCTCTCTGTCAGAACAACTTCTTCTGCAATATAATTTGTGTGGGTAGTGACAAAATGTTGAGTAAAGTAGCTTGAAATGTTGTCTGTTAAAACGGCCCTCGAATTCGAGCTTGAAAGGGTGAAGAAAGGCAATTGCAAAAAAGCCATGACGCGTACCAGTTCGACTTCTGACCATCAAAATGTAAGCTCCGGATCCTGCAACAGTAATGGCAACAAAGGGCCAGATCTTGAAGGGATTTTGGCCAGGTCGTGGGTTAGGCCCACTTTCACCAGTCGCGTAACTTCGTCGAGGTGCTGAATTGACTTGGAATCTTCGAGGAAATAAGTTTGAAGCTCTTGCAGAGGGAGAGGATTGTTGGTAGAATTGTCGCAAAAAGATTCTTGGAAGTGGATGCGCCATTGCAGCTGACTGGACTTTGAGAGATGTAGTGTGACGACGTGCATAGAAAGCTTGAATGCAGCTAGGTCGGGAAAATTGTTATGCGTGCCTGAATCACGGGATTGCTGGGCCTTTCCCGTATTCGCGATGTTCTACCAGGGTTTCATGTGAGCTGTCTATCTATCTATCTATCTATCTATCGTCACTCGTCGAGGGCTTTCGTGACCCGGTCTAATACAGTTCGCACGCCTGGCGATCGCTCGTCCTTTCTGCCATCCGTAACCATGCCCCTCATTGTCACCTTGACCTCATCTCGTCCCTCCCTGAACATTCCAAATACGCCACCTGTGAGAGCCAGGGCAATCGCTTCGGCAGCCTCACCCCTTTTCATTCTCATAGCTTCACTGCCCGAGCCACTAGGTACTCCCAATAATGTGAAGAAGCCCAGCGCCAACTCATACCTGCTGGAGCCTTGGCTGTGTGTTCTCTTGCGAAGGCCGTCGAACAAGCTTTTGGTTCGTTCATAGAGTGCAGTTCGTGCCACAATTGTGATCTTCGGCGAAGGCAATATCTTTTGACTTACCTCCAAGAGCAGTGGGAGATGCCCAAGAGGGGACGAATCGAGTTGCTTGACGTTCACAGCTCGGAACAAGGCCGAAATGCTAGCTGTGATCGTTGCCGACTCTTGCGACTTGCCTCCACTGGGTGTGTCGTTGGAAGTATCCATCTTGTCTTCGCTGCAAAGTTCTTCGAGAACTGGGGCAACGATGCCGTGGACTTCCCCAAACATGTCTATATCTGTGCGTGCCTCGCTGTATTCCCCTAGACTGTTGAATGCGTGAGGTCGGTACATGTCATTGTTCCGTTTTGCTTCCCGGATAGCAATTTTCTTCATCTGAGATGCAATGCTAGGTTCTGCACTCCAGAGTAATTTCCCTGAACTTGTGAACTTGATGAATGCCTCGAGGACCTTCTCCTTGCCATTGAATGTCTTGAGTGCTAGGGCTTTCTCCAATGCTGGCCAGATTGCTGCTGCATTGGGACCACTGATTTCTGATCCAGATGATTCTACCACATCTGCAATAGTAAGGGCTGCAGTATGTTTTATGGTCCATTTGGGAGATTCAAGACGTTCAATGGAAATACTGTTGATCTCTTTAGAGTACAAGAGAATAGCACGTGAGCCTCCGACGTTCTCACTCCAAGTATTTTCAAACTGCTCCTTCACATGATCATCGAAATCATGCTTGGCGAAGAAGACAAATGGTAAGAACTCTGAAGCCAGTCCATTGAAGCGATCGGTGGCGAATTTTGAAACAGCATAGGTAATTTCGGCTGCAACTTGTCGGCGGGTCTCGTCCTCCGCGTTGAAATAGAGACCTCTTGCGTATGATGCAAGCCGCAAGAGTGCATCGTCGGATCCACCGCGTGACAGATATCCTGCAGATCTAGCATATGCAGCACTGACGGCATTGTTGCGATCAAGTACCGCCTTTTCAATGATCTTGAGGAACAAATCTGTGTGAGGACGAAAGACGAAGGAATGCCTGGTTGCAAGGCTGACTAGAACAGCCGCACATCCAATCTTTGAAGGCATTCCGAGTGTTGTCTTGACAGTATTTTCGAGACGAGGAGCGAATCGTTCCATGGTCAGACCATCAAGCAAGTCTAAACAGCGCTCAATCCCTTCCATCAGAGGGGACTGAGCGACCGCGTCTGACCTTACGCTGTCGATCTTGGCTTCGGTAAGATTATATTGTGCGGCCCGCTGGTAGATGTAGTTGATTTCCTCCGGTTCGATTGTGCTCAAAAGTCCCAGAAGCTGCTCAACAAGACCTGGTACAAAAGGCAAGAGAGCTTTCCCTCCACTCTTAATAAGCTTCAGCACCGTCACAGTCGCAAAGTGTCTTACTTCTTTAGCAGAACTTTCCATCCCCTGTCCCGAAACAAGGAATGGCAAGACTTCTTTCAACATGGTCTGAGCATGTTTGGAAGAGGTTCCCGCTTCGACTTGGCGGACGAGGATATTGGTCAATACCATACTGAGTGAGAGGGCTGCTAATCGAACAGAGCCTTTGATATCATCAAGAACCTTAAACGCAACATGCCATATCTCTTGAAGGTGCTTTTCGTATTTGTCAAACTCACGACCCTGTACAAGGTCGGCAATGGCAGCACAACTCGCCTGTCGCGTCCGCCACTCTTTGCCAAGTATGCTTTTCAGGAGATCCGCAAGAATCTCGTCGAAATAAAGATTGATGGTAGCACTCGAATCCTTCACGAGGGCGCTCCAAATGTCATTCATCGAACGCTGAACGTTTGGATTCGGATCAAATCGGTAGCGGTAAAGTTTTGGGTAGAGCTTCGGATCAATCTCCGATTCAGAGAGGATGCTGCTCAACCCAAATCTTCCAAATGCGGCACGGGTTGACCACGTCGCGGCGTTTGATGCAAGCGACATAAATTTATACACCAGACTTTGGTCACCCACCTCATTTGCCAAAGATATGATATCTTTGTAGGATGTCACGGAGTTTCCCTCCCCTGTTGGGAGGGCTCCAGGTTCGAACAGTTCGGTCTCTTCGTCCACTTTTAGTTGTGTGCTTGTGCCGGTAAAGGATGCAACGAGATCCTTTACGAGCTGCTCTCTCAGTTCCTTGTCCCCTTGCTCATATACCAGACTAAGACCCCGGGATGCAGTTTCTTGAACCAGCTCATCGCGTGCTGAGAGAAGGCCCATGAAGGCAGCTTGACACTCTCGCAGTCTGGCTTGAATTTCGCTAAGATGCCCGCAGTATTGGATCAGACAGAATAGCCATATCCCGGATGCCTTTTTTAGGGATGGTTTCGTCGTTTTGCATTCTTGAAGCAGCTTCTGGATCATGGCTTCGAGAGTTTGATGTCGTTTGGTTCGCCCGCTATATGAAGCATCAACGTCCAGGCTGAGTTGAAGAACATCGGACTCCCATCCGGCAGCAATACAGCTGAGAGCTTCTCCGACAGTGAAATGGGTTTCAGCCTGCTTGAGTTCGAACAGACTGTAGAGGTTAGATGTAATTGATATAAGTGGACCATCTGATTGCTGAACAATCTCATCGAATATAAGCGCAAACCGTCCTAAGGCCGAGATTGATTTCTCATTCCCCTTCTTAGCTTCGACCGTCAGTAGTTCAATGATCGCAGTTGTACCGTAAGAAGATTTTTCGACCAGCGCGGCAGTAAGGACACCTGACGCACTGAGTTGTCCTACTGCATGAAGGACAGCTTCTCTTGTTGAGGCATCCTTTGCCTCCGCCAAAACGTTCAACAGAAGGGTAACAGTTTCCTCAATGCTAACGTGGTCGATATTGCCGAGGCGGCCATAGTATGCACTCCTACTAAGAATGGAGCCTAACGCAAGAATGGAACCATGGACTTTGTTCGCACCTGCACCTACCGCGGTGGACCACGGCTTGATATCATGAGTGAGTAATGTCATGAATCCTTGTGTGGATTCTGCAGGAGACACGGGGTGAGGCGCGAGAATCCCAAATGCCTGGGTTGCAAGGAAACGCGTGGCGACGTTGTTCGACCGAATCGATGGTAGCAACTCAGCAGCTCTCCCTGCAAGCTTTGCAATGGTCCTACTTGGAGCAATAGACGCTATCTCGACAAAGCATTTGCCGCATTCTCCAAGGCCGTTTCCATCATTTCTGAGCATGCCTTCGAAAGACGCAGTAAGATAGATGAACAGTGCCTCCTGGTCCACAGAGCTGACATGATCCTTCATAGCTTTTCGGGACAGCCTGTCGGATCGGAACAGAACATCCAACTGCCGTTCCCAATCCGCATCCACAGTAAGAGGGCTCTCTGTCTTCTCCAACGCAGCCATCAGAAGCATTCGACGGCAATAATTGATAGCGGAGGAAAATGCATGGATTTTAGGGCCAGGGAAATTGCCAAATACAGATACAGCATCTATGTCCATGCCAGTTTTCATACTGTTGGAAATGCTAGAGTTCTCAAGCATGCTGTGGGAAGTGAAGAAAACTTTGACCATCTCATTCCAATCTGGGAGAGGGCAAGAAGATGAAGTAGGAGACGCGTTGAGTAATCGATACCAGTAAGGGTCCTAAAGTAAATACTGGTCAGCGTTCGACTCTTGATTACAATGTTCGGTTGGAACTCACCAGTCCCTTTTTGCCCTCTTCAATTACATCACTTCGTTCATCGGTCCGTCCTCCCAGGGCCAATATATCTATCCACCGCCCCACAATATCATTGTACTCAAGACACCGGTTTGCCCAACGAACAGTTGCAAATCGAGCACTTCTGACAATAGCTTCGCCTTCCTCTAGTGTCATGTACTTGAGTAACAACAGGCGTAGCTCATCCCGGATGGCGATATTCAACGGTGTAGAAAAAGTATTGAGCAGACTTGCCAAAGCTCCCTCGATACTAACAAAGATAGTGTCAGACGACCCTTCTTCTGTTAAAGACCTGAATAGCCACCGAACCAAGGATAGGTCTATTTCGAGAACAATAGAGGGGGTTGTTTTTGCTAACGATCCCAGAGTTTCATAAGCTAGAGCTCTCAGTGATGCGGCGTCCGACGATCTTTCGTTCGGAACAGGCCAGCCTTGGTCTTCAATATAGCTGCGAAGGAATCCAACAAGTTGGGGCGCAACCCGAGAGATATTATCAACAGAGGCTATTCGAGATGCCCAGTTCATGTAATTAAACAGAGCATTGCGGAACTTGATCGTCTCGAGGCCCTTCGCTGGAAGATTCGCATTGTCGTCTGGCTGTAATGCTTCCTGCACAATTCGGATGACTTGTTGTGTGAAAGTTGTGGAAACAGCAGATTTAGTTAAAAGCACAAGCAGTCTTGTTTGAAGTGCTGGTTTTAGGGTGAAGTAAATCTGCAGCAAATTCTGAATGATTTCCGGTTTTTCTAATGACATTTTGGATCGTTTTAACAAGTCGTCGCCCGCACCGGAGATCTTGGAGTTGGCATCGCCAGATGCAAAAAGAGCAGGTAGGAACCGCTCCTCGTCAGTGAATGCGCCACTTGTTAGGAAAGCAAGAACCATGATCTTCGTCTGAGTCAAGTTCAGTCCTTCGTCTGCGGAAGAATCCCATGTCTCCTGCTTTCCATTCAGGGTCAGGAACTCGTACTCTTGGACAGTCAGTCCTGGACAGGTAACTCCACTAGCAGTAGACCGAACAGTCGATAAAAGCATAAGCTTGCCGAACCAGGATGCCACAAACTGAGCATCTTCTTGGTGGACATCGAGTCCGAGATGTTGGCGTAATTCAATGTCTTCCTGGCTTCCACGAGGCGGTATGCTAAGTTGAGGCAACAGGCGAAGGAATAAGTTGAAGATAGTTGCACATGTTGGTTTTCCAGAGTCTTTTGCTAAGCCGTGCAAGATTGTCGGCAATAATTCCATTTGTTCCTGTATCACAATCATTACACCAAGTTCTGACCATAAATTGATCCAAGGACTGACATTTGAGGGCAGTTTTCCAACACTTTGCTGTATGAACATGAGGTCAAAGTGTCTAATCATGGAAGAATCAGGATTCTCTTTGTACTGCTTCAAGAGGGCTCCCACGGGCAAAACAATACCCCTGATGAATGATGAGCTAAAATGTTTTTTTTGCTAAAACGGTTCTCGACCTACTGGCTTCCCGCAAGACGAATTTTTATATGTTGACATGTTGAGATGACCTGGTGATCAAAGTCAGTAAATTTGACTCTTCACGTTTGGAAGGGTGGCGGGACACCGCACCTTGTTCCGCACAGCAGGATGCTCGCTGGCGAGCTTCAGGAGCAAAGGGGGCAGGTAAGGCTTTAGAATAGACTCCAGCTTGTCATCTTTTGCAAGGGCGATGCGCATCTCAACCTTGCCCACCAGTTCCAGCTCTCTGGCCTCTGTCGACATCGTGACGTGGATTGAAGTTGGGGAGGCGATGCATTACGCTCCAGGATCTTCAGGAAGACGAGTCAGCTTTAACCAAAAAACAAATGTGTCGAGGGTGTAAGCATTGCAAGCAAGAAATTTGACCACGCACGTCTGTTGCCTTCCATTCTGAAGGCAGAGGCGAGTTGCGCACCTCCCGGATTGAGGTTAAAAGAGATCACGTGACCAGGGCGAAATTGAAGTTGGTCAAAGCTTTTCGGATCGAAAAGTTGTTTGATGAATGTGATCTCACTTCTCGAAAAGCATCATCATAACCTTCAACCCCATCCTAAGGCGTCAATGACACTGCCCAATACCCTGGATACACTTTCCCTTTAGTCTTCCTTTAAGGGCTGGATTCGACCCGAGTCCACACCCCCGTGAAACAGTCCCGACCTCAACCCAATTCAACGACGTTATTTCGATACTCGGCCCATGGTCCATTCTATACTCCCGAGAGCCACAAAGAAGCCTCTTCAAGATCTTTGTACTATTTGACCAATGATGGATGTTTGCGCTGTTCCTGGCCTTCGTCCGCATACCGTCTGCTTGAAATCTCAAGAACCAAGTGACATCCAAGCTATGAAATTTGCCCTGAGCCGAAAGCTAGTTCGGGAATTCAATGACACTGGCTTCCTCCCCAAGCGGGATGGCGCCGCTTTATTTTTTTGTTGACAAGCTTGGGGCCTAGCCGGAAAATCGAGATTTGATGCAGTTTACATAGACAGCTCTTAACAAGGACAAATCATTACTGGCGCTGCCAAGAATGACAAATAAGTGTGCCCCCCCTGAATCTCTTACTTCTAACAAGCCCCGACTCCCTAGCCGCTCAAACCCCCGAATATCGTGAGTTTACTTATCTTAGAATTCTCCGATCTCTACCGAGAGTCTGGAACGTTGCCAGTAGCTTCTTCCCGATATGGAGGATCAAATATCTGTCGATCCTGTTCGGTGTTGCTCTACTATGACTAAATTCTCTATTGTCCCGGCTTGCAAGTGCCACTCAATCCCATGTGCCTCTTTGAATATCCATTTCTTTACGTCAAATATAACATCCTGTTGGTTTGTCGACTCCTGCCTAACAGTCAGCGAAATTAGAATGCCTAGCACGAAGTTTTTTTTTGTCGACTTAAGGTTTTAGTTCCCGGCGAGTTTTATTTCCAGATTCGGCTCTAAGTTCGGCCATAGAATTTCGCAACTCGCGATCTGATCGATAGAAGTCGATGCATCGGTTGCCATTCATGCTGCGACCTAAGAGACTGCCTCACTCTAACTGCATAATTCTTTGCTTTTTGGAATTACTCATTTTGGCATCCGGATACGCGTCGACAGGTCCGGAGCAGCTAGATATTAACCTAACAGCTCCAGCAATCATTCTTACCAGATATCCATTATGTATATGACCAGAAATGTTGCTTATATCACTCGAGAGTCTAGCATCCGAGATGCCGGTTACTATAGTTGCAATTTACCCGAACCACAAGATCGGTTTCTAATATTCAAGATTGAACCCCCCTCGTAATCGACGTACTATTAACCATTTTGCGGATTCATGGTCGACATGCTGATCTGTCGTCGCACCGACAGCATGCTCATTTACCTCATAGCTCCAAGGCAAGAACGTGGGCTCTCTTCTGATCCGAATCAAATCGCTTCAGTCCAAAACACTTCTGCATACGAGAATCAAAGGCATCGGTTGCCACCTCGATCATAATGAGCAATGACCCGTGTGTGGGGTATGTTCAAATTCAATGGATTACAGATCAGTTTAGTGCGAAATGAATGGCTGGCTGTTTTGCAGCAGTGTGTGCACAAACATGTTTGGTAAACAAATGCAAAGTGCCTGATGAAAGAGAAATGCTAACAACAATAGGATTTTAGCAATTACAATCCACAAGTGGCATACAGAAATGACGCCTCCCGCATTATAGACCGAATAAGGAAGTTTCTAAACCGGCAGCGTTGTCTGGGATTGTCTGTAGGTCCTCTATAAGATAATAAACTGACTTTTCTAGCGAATGTACTGGAACTCGAACAAAATTAGGGATCGTTGGAGGACTCGCTGCCTTCTTTTCAGCTTTGACAACCGATGAAGAACGAGAACTGAAGGCTGAGTTGAAGGAACCTGGAAACTACTTTGTAGTCATGAACCCGAGTGGTTTCGGGCTTTTACCGGAATATCGTGACTCGAGCATATCTGAGGTCGATCCGACACAAGAGTTCCGACAATCTCGCTATAGCTGCAAAGATGAGATTCAGCGAGTGCCCCATCTGGTAGCATAACCTAGCACTCTGAAGTTCCTAATAGCACTTTACCATGTTTCTTTTGTTTATGACAGGATTTTCAACTAAGAGTCCAATGGAGAAGGAGGAGGTATTGAGAATATTGAGAATAATTGAAACTTATAGCTATGGGGGCAGTACGGAGAGCGTGAGGAGGCTGCTAGAGACTATTGTTGAGGAATAGAGGATGGCAATAATGTGATCTGGCACGGCAAACTCTGTGAGCTGGGTGGAGGATGTGGAGAAGAAGGGGTTCATCTTTTATGAACTGGTGACGTCTGTAACAGTATTCTGACATAATGAGGAAAATGGCTTACCAGCCGCAGCTTGTAATCTGTCACGCAGCTTGCTGTAGAATTCACTACTTTCTTATTCTGATATTAATTGTGAGGGAATTTAGTTGTGAGGTAGAATAAATAAAATCACCTGTCTCAATGAGTGAATCAGCTAGATTTAGGTGTCGAATAAAAAATATCGGCCTGATCCCCCTTGGAATGCTCTCTGCCTTTTCTTCAGGCTACAGGCTTTCCCCAGGTTCATTGCCCCCCACGCCCATTTGGTAGCCTTGCGCTCAGCCTTTTCATGTTGCCACCTCAAACTACCTGCAGATAAGCGCAGGTTGTGCTTTCATGCTCTTTGTTTCCCAACAAAATTTCTTAAATTTAATCACCGCCACAAATAATGTCTAGGGAAGCTGTCGAGGTGCTTATTTGCAACTTCTGATCCTGCCATTCACGGCATTCACCCCACGACTCGTGTCAACAGTCTGTGTCTCCCACGTCGATCACCCGGTCCTGTGAATCAATCACCCCCCTCGGTTTTCTACGTCACCTACCACCTCTTCTCTCCACAAGTCTTGACCACTTTCTCACCTTGACCTTCGAAGAAATAATCTACCATCGACCAACTGCCCACCATGGATGACGCGATCGGCCATTTCATGGCGTTCACTGGCGCCGGCGCTGATGTTGCGAGACGATATTTAGGCTTGACGGAGAACAACCATGAACAGGCCATCCAACTCTTCTTCGACTCTCCTGAGCTTGCATCAGGCTTGGACCAACAACCTGAACCATCTGCGCCAACTGTACCTACCTCTACTCGACCGCAAACTGGTTCTGCAAGTGCTGGGCAGGGGACTTCGAAAGAAGCTATTGAAATCGGCTCGGATGATGATGAGAATATGGATCTTGATGACGATGACAATGACGAGGAGGCTGCTGAACGGGTAGCGGCTACAGCTGCAGCTCACGCCGCTGATTTGGAAGACGACGAGGCTATTGCGAGGAGAATGCAGGAAGAGCTCTATGCTGGTGGCGATGCCAGCGGCGGCTACGATGCCGATGGGGTGAGAGCACCTATAGGACGGAGAACGGAAACTTTGGTGGGAGGACCTGAGGGAGACTGGGATACTGAGGACATGCACGCAGCAGTTTTGCAACAAATGAGAGGTAGACAAAACAGACGTATGTATGGCAACTTGATTAATCTCCCACAGAGCTAATCACCTCACAGAGCCCCCGGCCGGCCTCTTCAACCAAAGACCTGTACCTTCAATCTGGGATGAATCTGTTGATGCATCGTCACGTCGTCAAGGTCTTGCCGAAGCAACTGGTGGAGCTTCCGAAGCATCGTCCAAAGCCGCCCGTCTCGCTGAATTGTTCAGACCACCATTCGAGCTGATGCACCAAGTACCGTGGGACGTTGCTCGAGACAAGGGCAAGGAAGAAAATAAGTGGATATTGGTCAACGTACAAGATTCGTCCATATTCGATTGCCAGCAACTTAATCGGGACATTTGGAAGCATGAGGGCATCAAGGAGCTGGTTAAGGAAAACTTTATCTTCATTCAGTACATGAAGGATGACCCGCGAGGCAATCAGTACGCCCAATACTATTTTCCATCCAAAGACAGCCAAGCTGCATATCCTCACATTGCTATCGTCGACCCGAGAACTGGAGAACAGGTCAAAGTATGGTCTGGACCACCGGTTCCACAAGCTGGCGAGTTCCTCATGCAGCTAGTTGAGTTTCTCGATCGGTACAGCCTTGACGTCAAAAAGAAGAACCCTGTTGCTAAGCGGAAGCCTGAGAAAGCAAAGTCGATTGACGTTGACCGACTTACAGAAGAGGAGATGCTGGATTTGGCCTTACAGAACAGCCTTCAGAACAACGGAACTGCTGCCGGCCCCAAGGAAGACGACCCTGATGATCTGACGAAGAGTTTTGGGGATGTCAGCAAAGGAAAAGGAAAGGAGGTTGAGGGGAGGTCTGCGAACACCGAGCCCGAAAATGGCGAGGCTAGCAATGGTGCAGGAGCTTCTGCTTTCTCACAGATCTTACCAAACAACCCTCACACCGAGCCTGAGATGGGACCTCAAGTCACTCGCATTCAATTCCGACATTCCAATGGGCGTGTTGTACGCAGATTCAGAGTCGGTGATACCGTACGTCGGATTTACGAATGGCTTAAGGCTGATCCATTGGAAGGGAAGGAGGGAGTTGCGTTCGACCTGAAAGGTATGGGCAAGGATCTGATTGAGCACCTTGATGAGACGATCGAGGATGCTGGGCTCAAGAACGGAACGGTAATGGTGGAGTTCGTTGAGGACTAGACTCCCCGTACTTCGTAACATCTCGGCATTATCAGCGGCTGCTATATCCGCACAGTTGTCCATCCGCTCGAGGAAGGTCTTTGGCATGGGTTACTGAGGTTCAGAGGTACATGGCAGGCGTTTTCACACTTTCTCCCGGTCTCATTGCTTGCATCTAGAGGGACTCTGGGCCAATGACAAATTGGGCATAGAATGAATTCATGAACAATCCCAACCAATGATCCTTCTTAAGTCTTCACTGATAGGCAGCCCTGTGACTTGTTTGTTGGTGGTGATTCGTAGCATCCAGCAATCTGCATTTAGTAATGTGAGTCCATTGTTTCTGTTCCTGAGCCCCTGGACCCAACCAAGGTTTTAGGCGAATGGGACTTGATTGGCTACGGAGAAGAGTTCGTGAAATCACAACAAAACTGTCCCACCAACTGATCTCCCGAGGAAAAGAAAGCAAGACGATTTAAACGCTTATGGCAAAGGGGTGATCCTCACGTTTCAACTTCCGATAAGATCCTCTTTCTGCTGGTGTACCTGCATTTGCCACTCACTTTTATCCTGTGTCGTGCTTACCTTCCCCGGATTTTTGAAACGCCGACTCATGAAATCTACATTCCCAACTCAACTGCCAGCAACCTCAGCCCTCTCCTATGACCTTGCCCAGAGAATACCCACCGGCTGGAAACGGAAGAGAACCGATTCTAGTCATATTCACCTTTATAGAAATCGAGTGGTGTTGAGAGTCGCGTCCACTCAGCCCTTATTATTTAACCCCACCATCACCGTGTTAACGACGCGGCTCGTCCTCCAAGCTCAGCCGTGGTCCCCAACACGTCAAGTTCTTTGCACGATCGAGTCTACCTCCTCCTCAAATTCTGTTTGACCGTCTTCGGGTTGCAAGGTAGATATCCCGCTCGGCATCCTTTCCCTCATTTCTCAGGATATCCCAGCAGACGGGTTTATACGGAGGGAAACACGCCCTTTTCCCTTCCTCGGGGTAGGAAAAAGGTTTTGGGTGACCATAAACCGCAAAGATGTCAGGTGGAGGTGGCATGATGGGCGGTGTCATTGACCCCGAGACGCTTTATACGAAGCAGAACTGCATTGGTATCCATCCTCGTATTACGGTGCGCCCGCAGACCACAACTGACTGGACACAGGCGGTGGCAGTTTTGGAAAAGTCTACAAAGGGTATGCCAATGCCTGAAGTCACTGGAATGGCATAAGAACCTTGCTAATTAGTCACAGTGTAGACAAACGCACCGGACAAGCTGTGGCTATCAAAGTAATTGACGTCGAAAATGCCGAAGATGAGGTCGAAGATATCATCCAGGAAATATCCATTCTCTCCGAACTCCACTCGCCATATGTCACACAATACCATGGATCATATCTGAAGGGTTCTGATCTATGGATCGTCATGGAGTTCTGCTCTGGGGGAAGTTGTGGGGACCTGATGAAGCCAGGATTGATCGGGGAGGATTATATTTCGATCATTATTCGAGAATTGCTCCTTGGATTGGATTATCTGCATGGAGATAAGAAACTTCATCGAGATATCAAGGGTAGGCTCTGGCCAATTTGAGAAAGGAGCATTTTCTAATTTTTGTTTGCAGCTGCGAATGTGTTGCTGGGAGCCAATGGGCAAGTCAAGCTCGCCGACTTTGGTGTTTCTGGTCAACTTTCTGCCACAATGACGAAGAAGAATACTTTCGTTGGCACGCCCTTCTGGATGGCCCCCGAGGTGATCAAGCAGTCTGGGTATGACCACAAGGCGGATATCTGGTCCTTGGGGATCACCGCACTCGAATTGGCCAACGGCGAACCCCCTTACTCTGATATTCATCCGATGAAGGTGCTGTTCTTAATTCCCAAAAATCCACCGCCAGAATTGGAAGGCAACTTTTCGAAAGCATTCAAGGAATTTGTCGAGCTGTGTCTGCAAAAGGATCCGAGAAAACGACCGTCTGCAAGAGAGCTGTTGAAGCATCCTTTCGTGCGAAGAGCGAAGAAGACATCATACCTCACGGAACTGATTGAGAGATATGAACGATGGGCAGTCCATCACAAGGGCGATGATGACGACTCAGATGATGGACGAGATGAGCTCCCAAGAACTGCACCAGCCAACGAAGACCTATGGGACTTTGGAACGGTACGACCTGTTGGAAGCAGAACAACGGGAAGAGCAGGGTTAAATGCGATGGGCGAGTCTGCAACAAATGCACGATCATCAAGATCCTCGGAGAGCGAAGACGACTATGCTGAACGACCTCGAAGTTCATCGCCGACGAAGATGAAGGATTCAGGATATGTCTCCAGCGCTGATACTGTCAAGGCAATGAATTCTCCCATTTCTGATCAACCGCGCCAAGCATCACCACAACGACGACCTGTTCCCAGTATGCAACCTACGTCTCCTGCCAAAATCCCCCTTCCGCCCTCACCAGAAAAGCAGAAAAATGCGCTGCCACAGACCCCTCGAGCAAGCCATCAGCAATTCTCATCTCAACAGTCGACGGGTTCTCCAGACTATGACCAATCATTACAAGAACAACTTCAGAGAGATGTGGGGTTTCTTACCATATCACCTCCTCCGCAATTAATGAAATCCCAGCTACCTCAGATACCTCTTCAGCCTCACAACACCCACGCCGCATCACAACCTCCTCGACCACCGACCCAGCAACCACTACCAAAGCTTGGACCGATCAAGTTACCTGAAATACCTCCATTCCGAGGCCAAAGTCAACCACTACAAAAACTTACCAACCAACCTATCACCACCGCACCCAAGCAACACCCTCTTCCCCAACAACCCTTGACTTCCCAGAATATCAATCCGCGCCAGCTAGGCCAACAGCCGCTGCCAGCTTTACCATCAAAGCTGCGTGATAACACTCCATCCCGAGAGAGCCTCTCCTCTGAGTCTTCGCGTACTCCAACTTCGATGCCTACCCCAGCACCTGCCAGCCCTAATGGTGAACTTGATGCTCTCAATGATGTGATATTCCCCGCTCTCGAAGAGGCACTCAAGCGACGGCAATATCATCTCCAGCAAGCCTTCCGAGCTACTGGCACTACACCGAAACAACAACGCGCAGAAGCAGCACACGAAAAATTAAGGAAATTGGTGTACAAACTGGCCTATATTTGCAGAGAAATCGACCATTGGGACAAGCAAGAGCCAGTAGGCATGGGTAAGGATGTCGATGTCTTTCTTGAGGGCTTATTGGAGGAGATTCTCGTTCGGGTGGAACCAGCCGAAGATGACGAGGCTGATGAGAAATGATGGACTGAGACGATAGGGAAAGGGAACAAGGTAATGATTTCTATTGCAACAGCTCTGGGATGGTTTCCAGATCCGTCCCAGTTATGGTTGAGGTTTAGCTTTGTGGCTGATAGGAATAAGTATATGTACATACCAAAATGAAATACTATACGCAAATTTCACTAAGTGAGCAGATGTGCGTCTGTAATGATGAATGCCTCCCCCACGCTTCTGATCTGATTTCCCTCACACTTCAAGTACAAAGTAATGTCCAACCTAGATATATGAGAAGTTCTATTTTTCTGTATAAGGGAACGCTATGAGAGACAGAGAGCTTCAGTGCTTTCCGCATCAAAGATCTTGTCAGTGTGAAGGCAAGCCGCACTACTCAATTTTAAGCGTCGGCTCTTTAATGTAGAAATGGTTGCTGGATACTGCCCCGTAAGTAATATAACTGCTTGATATCTTCAAGAAATATTAAATTCGGATCTGGCTCTTCATCAACTTCTCGCTTTCATTTCTTGGAATGTGACTGATCCGCATATTCGTTTGGCACAAGAGTATGAAGTGCAACAAAATCTGCTTTTCCTCTTCAATCATCATATATACCCTCATTGTGCCAAAGTACTTCTGAACATTCGGTACGATGTGCCGCAAATCATTCTTATTCGCTCTGTGCTCCCTTTCAGCTCAATACATTAGAAGAAAATTAAGTTAAATGTAGATTCTAGGATAATAGATAGAACTGTGCCCTGCATCAAAGTAGTGTTTAGGGGATAGTCAGTCTCGAGTTGTTCATTGACGTCTCATTATACTAGAAGTCTAGTACATTGATGTGCAATTAAACCACCTCTACTCTAGTGATGGCCCTCCTTTCGTCCCATCCTCCCCCCTCTGTGAAGACCTCGCTAACATTCAAGCCTTGATCATTTCAACCTCCTTCATTTCCTTTCAACAAGAGTAAGCCACTTCAACCATTGAATTCAACCCAACTCCACTTAACATATTTCCACCCATCCTTGGCCTACGACTCCACACCGTTGGTTTCTCAAGACATTCAGCACCCAATACATTTCAATCCCAATATTCACCATTTCTTTGCTAAGGTGTTGCCAAATCCTATCCAGACATACCACGGTGAGTTTCATAGCTATTCATCACAATACCATCACTATCCACTAAAATTGTGGATGACTTCTGCCGTCAAATTGCATCCATCCTTCTTTTATTAATCTTCTGAAGTTCTTCACTTTCCGCGGGGTGGTTCAACGCTGCATGTCAACAGCTTCGAAGTTATCCACCACAAAGCTATCCCTCTCGACTCAAGGCTTGAATAACTTCTGTCGTGAGTTTGCCTTCCTCATCTCATCAATTTTGGGACTCACCTTACTTCGCTGAATTGGTCACCAGCTCTCGTCCACACCCTAGCTTCTTTATTCTACCAACTATTTAGAACATCACTTTCACCTCCCAATACATCTTTCGGCTGTTCTCCTCTACGCCTCCCAGTCCTTACTTCATCAAATACCCAACACACCAACTTCACTTTCTGCAAAAGTATTCGACGCTTCCTCCCACAGTTTATTCTGTTCCTTCTCCATCAATCCTCCAGGACGCCACTTTCATATTCCGCTCATGTAATTGACACTTCTGGCCCTAGCTTAGGTCTTACTCCTTATCTCCAATTCTCCAAGCCACCTCCACCACACCCCTCAACTTTGCGTCTCGACTTTCCATCTACAGACTGTCCAAATCAAAGAACCATGACTTTGGGAGGACTCGAGGCTCCGAAAGTGACTCCGGATGGCATGGTAGATAAACGTCTCCGGGTCAAGATTGAGCACCTCAACGAGCTCTTTCCTCAACGGTCAACATCCGAGATCAAGAATTCCTTGGTATTTTGTAACGGAAACTTCGACGATGCTTTGGATCTACTCTCTGGAAGTCCTGGCTCGAGCCAATCCGTCGCCTCCGCAAGCCTATCACAGAATAACGCGATCATAAAGGTAAAGCACGAGTATGAGACATTAGAGGATTTCGAGAATGTCAAAACGAGAGAGAAGGTTGCGATGCTGCTAGATTTGTGCATTGCGCAACCGATCCCCATTTTAATTGATATCTTAGGGCACTGCGATTGGAACGTCGACAGGGCAGCCAATATTCTGCTCAACGATTATACCTTGCCGGATAGGCACATTGAAGGCAATCATGAGCCAGTGGAGGGTGTCAGCCAAATTGCAGGGGATGGCGCTTCTGCTGCCTCTACGGGATTTGATCCAACTCCGCCATCGACTCCACGATCGACTCCGCCCTTCCTCACGGTCCAGCAGCGCTATCCGGGTGGAGTGATGCCAAGCCTTGTGCTCTCCCTGAGAAATAGAGATGAGAATCCACAGAGCCAGACCGAGCCTCAAGAACCTCAGCCTAGGGAGAGCCACGAGCAAAGTCCAGAGCTTACATCAAGTTCAAGTTCCATCGATGACCTCAGCAACAAGCAGCATCCAGAGCCTATAGTAAATGCAGGTTCCATTCATCTCGGAAAGAATGCAGCAACGAACAAACAAGGTGGCGAGCAGCAAGCCCAAAGCCAAATTTATGGATTCGGTAATGATGTAGAAATGGCCCGAGAGGAGACCATAGAGGTAAAGGTCAAACAACTCCATGAGTTACTTCCCAGGGCTGCCAAGCGACGGTGTAAGGCTATACTACAATTGTGGCCCAATATCGACGAAGCCTTTGGTGTTTTATTCGAAGAAATTGCAGAGCATGGCTCGGATGAGAGTGGAGCTGAGACAGATGATGAGGACAATGATTCAGAGATGAGCAATGAGGAATTCGAAACAGAGCGGCCCATTCCAGGCAGAGATCACCGAGCCTCAGGAATCGATTCAGGAAGTAGACAAGACAAGAGGCGTGCAGAGACTCCGGTAATGCGCAGAGCTCATTCAATAAAGAGTATTGAAGCTGACAAATTATAGGTGGAAGAGCCCCCGGCGAAAAAGTCTCGTTTGGTGATAAAGTATGAGAACGACGAGGAAGCCGAAGCGGCCAAGCTTGAACCGGCGGGTGAATGGGTTTTGTAAGCTATTGTTGCATCCGATAGCCAATAGTCGTGCTAACTAGATCTAGGAATAATTTTGGCGAGAGTAGGGGAATTCAAATTGTTCTTAAGAGCGGCCAACACCCGTGCAGGTTTCCCAAGGGTCTGCTCTCTAGACACTTCAGGTTTTGCAGCGAGCAACTAAAAACGACTCCGTCTGAGTCAACCGCAGAGCCTCGTGAAGAGACTATCGACCTTCCAGATGTCGACCGTGAAGTATTCGACCTCGCTATTCAATTGGCAATCACCAAGTCATTCCAGCTGCTTAAGGCCCAATCGAAGACGAGGTCGACTGAGATCACGGCTGTACTTGAGCTGGCTACCCTTACGAGTCGACTCGGACTCTCTGGAGCTGGATGCATCATTGCCGCACGCCTGAAAGAGGCACTCCTGGATAGACGTAACTCTCTACAAGGGAAGCATATTGAGATGGCGTATACGCTCAAGAAAGGCCATCCTATCCGGAAGGTCATTGTGCAGTCCCTGGGCAGGGCATACTTTATATTGAGGCAACCGCCCGAATCGAAGAAGCGCCAACTCTACCGAAGGGGGGAGGGGGACAATGCTCGACGCAATGCTTTCGGCGCTGAACGATTCATGTTCCAGGACCAGCTCGATAGCATTGACGACTTCAACCTAGAACTTTCTACGCAGGCGATTGACATCATGCACGATAGGAATGAGTTGATAAGCAGGAGTGGCAAGACGAGGACCATAACATATACAGATCCTCTGTCGGAAGAAGAGTTCTCCCTCTAGCACCCACTCTGGGCATCCGTTTAGGATATCGGTTCGTTGTGATCAAAAAGCAACGTCGCTATGAACGCCGCTTGGCTGCCACAAGCCAGTTCTCCTTTAAATCTCATCCTTCTCACAGCACTGTTTGCTGGTATCTAGCGGTTTCTGCTTTCTCTTCGGTATGGACTTTGGCACTTGCACTTCGCTCTTTGCTCAGCCCTCTGATAGCCCTGAGGTTTCTGGGTTTTCATACTTGATGCTGAACTCTCGGTGTCTCGCGCTCTGCTCATCATTCACCTTCTCCTGATTGCAATTGCTATCCTGGAATACTCCCGTCTTCTGGCGTGAGAGACATTGGGACTGCTGTGGAAAGCGGATGGGAAATGGACGGCTGTGTGAGACAGCTTGAAACATTTCATGACGATGAATAATATTTTCCTTGTTTCTGCCCTGATTTTGGGGTTGCACTGGCAAAGCAATCTAAAAAGCGTTGATTTATTCCTCGGGGGAACATAGGCGAAGGACAGGCCGACATTGTTAGGGGCACTTTCCCTAGGCCAGTACGAATGCCTAATTGAGCCATTTAATCGGTAGTAATGACGGGCGCGGGGTTAGGTAGCTGGTCATAACACAAGTCATCTCGTGCACACATCTCAAATTCCGTGTTCCTAAGTTTGCTTGCAAGTATGGCATTTACATCAACAGTCTCCAAGCACCAAGAATCAATGCAGCGGTACCTTTTGAATGTCAGCTTGTGCACAAGATAATGCGGGCGTAATAACTTACCGGTGCAGACACCCATAAGCCATTGCAAAGTTTGGAACTTGACGCCCTCCAACTTCTCCCTGAGCCCTGCAACCTCCTGCTCAATCTTCGTTTCAGTCTCCTTGATCTTCAATTCCTGAACATTGGCTTCTTCTCTAATCCTCCCCTTCTCGAGATTCAGATCTAGTCTCACAGACGCTTGTGTCCTACTGACTTCGTCCCTCAATCTGCTATTTAACTTCGCGAGATCGTTCGTCAAGCGCTCATGCGATGCTCGAGTGGTCGATGATTCTGTGGAGTCGGCAGAAAGGAGTTCGGAGCGCAGCTTTGCAAAGTCGACTTTCTGGGCATATGTTGCCTTGGCTTGATCTTCTCGCAGTACCATGGTTCGAGTGAGGTTTTGGATACTATTCAAAGGTTAAAAGACATTCTGTAGAGCTTAGGGCTGCCCAACCTTTCTTCAATAACATCGCTGAGCACTTTCATCATTGCAACTGCCTGAGCCTCTGTGAAACCCTCCTCTTGCAAACGCTGGACAAACTTGAGAGTGTCAAAGTGATGATCTCGAGCTCGGCGTGTTGTGGCATGGAAGGCTCGATGATGCACAGGATTCTTGAGGATGCTGGACCTTGTTCGAAGAGAGGCATTATATCTTGTTATTACTCTCTGGACTGGGGGAGCTCTCGGTTTTGGGGGCCCGTTGTACCTCTTTGGCATGGTGCTTGAAGCTCGTGCAACGTTATGTTGGAGTGGCACCTGTTGCCAACTCAATTTGGGGAGTAGGAATCTGGGAAGCGCATGATTGATGGCTGGGGTGGCCATTGTGAGTTCTGAGAATCGGTGAAGGTAACATGCGCGAAGACAATCGCCACTTCAACTTTTGTTGTTTGATGTCGTCCAAGCCTGAGGAGCTTGGAAAGGCTTGCGCTACTGTAGACAAAAGAAAAGCGGCAGGGGCTTCCAATTCAAGATCAGCTATTTCGGATCCTTCCCCAACAAATGTCCCTAGGGTTACGGTACATTCAATGCCAACGACCTGTAAACGTTCTAGAACTTTTGAAACATTAAAGTCCTCGCCCTCCGAGTCTAGTTAAATGTCCAGTGCAACTTGGGACGTTGACAAAAATTCAGTGCCGCTTTTTCTGTCCACGACGAGAGAGCGTCACGTGTACGCTAACCAACTCTAGCATCCTTGAAACTCCAGGCGACTTTTGGCGGGGTCAAAAAGAGTCAGAGCACACTCAAATTTACAACCTCGATATCGACCTTCAACTCCTCGACTCCGCCTTCGACACTCACCCATATCGAGAATCGCCTTCCTCCAACATCCGCGCTCGCGACAGAACTACAGACAGAACCGCCAGAGCTCCGCGAGACTTAAAGTTCAGAAAGATTCTCAAAGGCGAACTACGCACAACCACCCATCATGGCGGACGGAAACGGAGATAGATATGGCAACGATATGGACTCGGACTCTGACTCTGGGCCAGAATCCCCAGCTCTCAAACCCCAAGAAATGGATAACAATGTCGAGGATATTGAGAAGCCAATAAAATCAGCCCTGAAGAAATCGACGCACAAGGAGGTAGCTCCCCCAGTCATTCGCCCCACCCTGCCTCCGCAGACAGAGCCAAAAAATTTGGATGTCAAGTCCCTGACTCCTCTGACTCCCGAGATCATCGCAAGACAAGCAACCATCAATATTGGTACGATAGGACATGTGGCACACGGAAAATCGACTGTGGTGAAGGCTATTTCAGGAGTGCAGACTGTTCGGTTTAAGAACGAGTTGGAAAGAAATATTACGATCAAGCTCGGATATGCCAATGCGAAGATCTACAAGTGCGACAACGAAGAGTGCCCAAGGCCGGGATGTTACAAGAGTTACAAGAGTGAGAAGGAGGTAGATCCTCCTTGCGAGCGGGAGGGATGTTCTGGTACCTATAGGCTGCTCAGACATGTCTCGTAAGTTCTACCCACCTATCGTTGCGAGGGAAAGCTAACCTCCGTATAGCTTCGTCGATTGCCCTGGCCACGATATTCTCATGAGTACCATGTTGTCAGGCGCTGCAGTCATGGACGCTGCTCTTCTGCTTATTGCTGGAAACGAAACCTGCCCACAACCTCAAACGTCAGAACATTTGGCAGCTATTGAGATTATGAAGTTGGACAAGATTATCATTCTTCAGAACAAGGTTGACTTGATGCGAGAAGAGGCCGCAAAAGATCACAATGGCCAGATCCAAAAGTTCATCCGAGGCACCGTTGCAGGAAGCGCACCGATCATTCCTATCTCGGCACAACTCAAGTTCAATATCGATGCTGTCAACGAGGCAATTGTCAACACCATCCCGGTACCCCTTCGGGACTTCACCATGGATCCTCAAATGATTGTTATTCGATCATTCGATGTCAACAAGCCGGGTGCTGAAATCGAAGAGCTAAAAGGAGGTGTTGCTGGTGGAAGTATTCTGCACGGTGTTGTGAAGCTAGGTGACGAAATCGAGATTCGACCAGGTATCGTCACCAGAGACGAGAAGGGAGCTATCAAGTGCACACCCATTTTCAGCAGAATCGTCACACTGAACTCCGAGAACAACGAACTGAAGTATGCCGTGCCTGGTGGACTTATCGGTGTTGGAACTCGAATCGACCCTACTCTGTGCCGTGCTGATCGTTTGGTTGGATTCGTTCTTGGACTGAAGGGCCGCTTGCCAGATATCTACATCGAAATCGAAGTCAACTACTATCTGCTTCGACGATTGTTGGGTGTCAAGACCGCAGATGGAAAGCAAGCCAAGGTTGCGAAGCTCGCCAAGAACGAGGTGCTTATGGTGAACATCGGTTCTACAGCAACCGGTGCGAAGGTTGTAGCCGTAAGACAGGATGCTGCGAAGTTGGTGTTGACAAGTCCTGCTTGCACAAACGTTGGCGAGAAGGTCGCACTAAGTCGTCGTATCGAGAAGCACTGGAGATTAATAGGTTGGGCTACGATTGCCAATGGTGTCACTCTGGATCCAAGCACATCGTAAGAGGGTGTTTCTCTACCTTGTCATGATTTATGCATAGGGGGAGTTGATAGATTGGGCCAAAAAGCAAGCTCGATACATGAATGAAGATTTCTCAGCCCTGTCTAGGTATGTAGTTCTTTCGCGGCGAGCTATATTTGCCATTCCGAGATTTTTCTGCTGAAGAAATAGAATGAAACTAGCTCAGTCTCAAATCCAAATGTAAGAGTCTTCGTGGAGCCTAACTTGCGTGCTTGGAATCGATTGCTGGACATGCTGAAATCTTGAGTGTGTTGTGAAGCTTGATGAATTCCTATCTAGCGAGAAGTTGCTAGAAGTATCCACTAGCCAACCGCCCAAACCCCCATCCGCCCACGCCTAAAAAATCGATTTTTAATCACACCTTCATTATAATTACAAATCCTTCGATATATTAACATCCCATAGTATTTTCGACATCCTGATAACTATATATTCAATTTAATCTTGTGGTGCGGCTAGAATCGCCTGTTAATATCGAATTTTTTGATTTTTGGTACGCGGCCGTATCTCATAATTTTTAGTGAGTGCGGCCGCACCAAATAATTTTTAGTAAGCCGGGCGCGTACCAAAAAAAATAAAAATTCGATATTAACAGGCGATTCTAGCCGCACCACAAGATTAAATTGAATATATAGTTATCAGGATGTCGAAAATACTATGGGATGTTAATATATCGAAGGATTTGTAATTATAATGAAGGTGTGATTAAAAATCGATTTTTTAGGCGTGGGCGGATGGGGGTTTGGGCGGTTGGCTAGTGGATACTTCTATCTGTAAAGCTAAGCGAGAACGCCAATGCGTGATTCCCTAGCATCATCCTTATTTCAGATGCCAACGTTGGCCTACCCAATCTCTTTAAGATCCTGTGATATCTGTCTTAGTCCATAAGCAAATCAATCTACACGGGCAGAGAGACCTGTCACATATCCTTCGTTTCTTCCTCGGGAATGTCCATCCTTTACAGTAGGTTCAGCGTCCCGCGGCCTCAACATCTATATTCTTTCCCCACTTGCCATCTTTTCCCCCTCTAAGTCTTCTTCTATTTACTATATTGAACCCTCCCTCTGTCTCCTCCTATATCTCCTCCTATATTCCTATATCTTCTTCTTCTCCTTCTACATTTTCCGGAGAATGCGGACACGGTCACGTGAATAATCTGTCACGTGAATATATCCGTGCAGGAACACCAAAGCTTCCGGCACGCCGCAACGCCACAACAGGCGAGCCTGCGAGCCCAGGTGTAGATAGGGATTAGGCTACAAGGGTGGTCACGAGCCACGGCTTCGCTCCAGCGCTGACAAAGCAAATAAATCGAAAATCAGAAATCAAAACTCAAAAACTCCATGTGACCTTGCCCCATGCCCTCCCTTCCATATCTATGTGATTTGTTACGATATGACAGCCCCCAGAAGGGGTTAGTTAGCCCTATCAAGTACAATCGTCGCCTTGATCGGCCTCGTCCCCTAATCCAGTGGTGAAAATGTCTTTGTGAAGCTCGCAAACTGATCCAAGAGACTAGCAGCAAGCATGAATTTGACGAGTTTGGCCATTAACTCTGTATCTCTTAGGAAGAGCCTGGCATCTCTGACAATGCTCTTCCACAGGTACGGGAAATGACTGTCCTCAAGACACTCACAGTCTTCGACAATGTGTTGCATCGTTTGGTAGACCTGTTCGCAGCCGCACCATGGATCTTCTGTGCGTTTAATGGTATTGAGGTATCCGTGGAGCCCGATTTTCTCCGTCCGCATCTGGATCAGAACAGAAGCCTCGGTCTTGTGGAGAGATTTTTGTGAAGGTCGTTGATATGGTGATTTAGAGCCATATTGTCGCCCTGCCATCCTTTAGTTGCCCCTTTTCCAGACAGCTTTACGCTTGTAAGCCGCTTGTGCGTTTTTGGACTAGCGCCGTCCCAAGACCCGTGCCTTTCCCAAAGTTGTTGTCTCGCGAAAGGAACAGTTCAACATCTACGCAATCAATCACAACTTCAACCTAATCAACCTACAGCATCCCGCATATTTTCTGGGAGCTCTTGGGATCACTACTCTCTTTAACTGCCTCTTGTGCAAATCTACGATTGCTAATATTGAGCACGGTTAACGGGGGGTAAGCGCCTCAGCGCAAACGGTCAAGATGGCACCTGCTCTGCCCATCAAGTTCACCGAGCTGGTCCAGGTACGTGTCAACTTCCAATACAGCTATCTATGATGGAGAATACAACTGACAACTGACTCTAGTTGACCAACGTCGGAGTTCAAGTACGTAGCATTCTTTTCAGCCTCTCCAAACACTGTCCAGGCATCCGCTTTATCAAAATCATCTAACATTCACCTCTACAGCAAGGATCAATTGGATTCAACTCATGCGTGAGTATTTGTCTCCTCTCTGCTACTTGCAGTGGATAGCTAATATTGAAACTAGACACTCGAATCCGATTCCTTCATATGTGTGCGAGAAAAGAAAGATGAAGCCGCCCAACCCGAAGTTGTCATCGTCGATCTCAAGCAGGCCAACAATGTCATTAGGAGACCGATCAAAGCTGATAGTGCCATCATGCACTGGACGAAGCAGATTATTGCACTCAAGGCACAAGCCCGAACCCTCCAAATATTCGACCTCGGTGCCAAGGCAAAGTTGAAGTCAGCGACAATGAATGAGGATGTGGTGTTCTGGAAGTGGTTCAGTGAGACATCCTTGGGCCTGGTAACAGATACTGCGGTCTACCACTGGGATGTCTTTGATCCAAATCAACCATCCCCAGTTGAGGTCTTCAAGAGAAATCAAAATCTTGCAGTACGTGGACCTCGACTTCAAGCACGGTGAAATCTGCTAACAAATTCACTAGGGGTGCCAAATCATCAACTATCGCGTCAGCGACGATGGCAAATGGATGGTGGTTGTTGGTATCACACAACAACAAGGTCGAGTTGTGGGTGCTATGCAGCTCTACTCGCGGGATCGTGGCATTAGTCAAGCTATCGAAGGACACGCAGCTGCATTCGGCACATTACGACTCGAAGGTGCCCCGGCAGATACCAAGGTGTTCACATTCTCCGTTCGTACCGCTACTGGCGCAAAATTGCACATCGTAGAGGTTGATCACCAAGCTTCGAACCCCGTCTTTCCGAAGAAGGCAGTGGATGTTTACTTTCCGGCCGAGGCTGTCAACGATTTCCCAGTTGCGATGCAAGTTTCTCAGAAATACAGCATCATCTATCTCGTCACAAAATACGGCTTCATTCACCTCTACGATTTGGAGACTGCCGCATGTATCTTCATGAACCGTATTTCGAGCGAAACCATCTTCATTACAGCTCCAGACTCGGAATCCGCGGGTATACTGGGCGTTAACAGGAAGGGACAAGTGCTGTCTGTTTCTGTCGACGAAGCCACTGTCATCCCCTATCTTCTCCAAAACCCAGCCAACTCAAGTCTTGCGGTCAAGCTTGCATCACGAGCCGGTCTGCCTGGTGCCGACAACTTATATGCTCAACAATTTGACCAATTAGTGAACTCAGGAAACTATGCAGAGGCCGCAAAGATTGCTGCTAATTCTCCGCGTGGCTTCCTCCGTACACCACAGACAATCGAGCGATTCAAGGCGTTGCCAGCTGCGCCCGGACAATTGTCTGTCATTCTCCAATACTTTGGCATGTTGCTTGACAAGGGATCTCTCAACAAGCATGAGACACTTGAGCTTGTAAGACCAGTTCTTGCTCAGAACCGAAAGCACCTGTTGGAGAAGTGGATGAAGGAAAACAAGTTGGACTGTTCCGAAGAGCTTGGTGATATCGTTCGACCACATGACTTGAACCTTGCTCTCAGCATTTATCTCCGCGCAAATGTTGCTCCCAAAGTTGTTGCAGCCTTCGCTGAAACCGGCCAATTCGAGAAGATCCTGCCTTATGCCACACAAGTTGGATACCAACCTGACTATGTCATGATGCTGCAGAATATTGTAAGTCGGACTTTCCCTTTTCTAACTCAGTCCTTCCCTCCTGACCAGACTGGACCTTCCTCCTGGACACCTGGACATAGCTCAGCCCCCCCTTCCTGGACTCTCTGGACCGAACCTTCCTCTGGATACCTGGACCGTTAACAATATGAAGGGCTCTTTCTTCTCTTCAATGGATGAAGGTTTTTCAATCGTGCAAAAGGGTCCCCTGCCTCTTTCTCGCCATTGAGGCTACCTTTTCTTTCGGTTCTGGGCCATGAGATCTAGAACCAAGGACTACGGCATGCCAACCCTTTACCCCTGGTCCCGCAACGCATTGTGTACGATGGATATTGCTCCCACTCTACCCTGCTAGAACACATCTGGCACGACGACGAGAACCTCACTCCTGAGCAGCTCGAAGCAAGGAGCGCGAATCGTTGGAACGACGTGCTGGGCAAGCCAGGATCCGGACACGTACCAATTATCATGGACTGAAGGCCGATGACTTCAAAGAGTGGAAGGCTAGGCAGTCTAGATACGAAGCAAATCTTGGTCCCGTACATAGAGCGGGGATTGCTGAAGAGAGCAAAACCACTGTGATGGCTACCAGGAAGTATGCTTACGAAATCTGCAACGTTAACTTTACGGATTCATGCGAACTCAACATCCACAAGACCTGCAAAAAGCATCTCGATACGGTTGCTGGTACATACAAAGTCAACAAGAACGTTCTTGCTCCGAAATTTTCTTGCAAGACTTGTGGTCAATCCTTGAGAGATGCACCGAAGCTGGAGCTCCACCAGACGACCCGAGAACACATCGACAAGGTTGCTGCCGCAGCCAAGTCGATGTAGCCGAGCTCCGAGCTCGACTAACAACTACCGGATCTCCTCTTTGGATTGACATTTTTATGGACTCTTACACAGCACTGGTAACCGACGACCTCGATCTGCTCACTTAACCCCCCTGGAATCACTTAAATCAACGCTGTCGATTCACGGCTGTGTTACTACCGGACATCCCTTACTGGACTGGCTTTTCTGATCGAGTCTTATACAGAGCATTTGCTAACACATTTTTGCCTGCCCAGTCACGCATCAACCCTGAGAAGGGTGCCGAATTTGCAACTCAACTCGCAAACAACGAGGGCGGCTCATTAGTCGACATCGATCGCGTCGTAGATGTTTTCCAATCGCAAGGCATGGTTCAGCAAGCAACAGCCTTTCTGTTGGATGCTTTGAAGGATAACCGACCAGAGCAAGGCCATTTGCAGACCCGCCTCCTCGAGATGAATCTTATGAATGCACCTCAAGTTGCTGATGCCATCCTGGGCAATGATATGTTCTCCCACTACGATAGAGCTCGTATTGCAACACTGTGCGAGCAGGCTGGTCTCTCTCAACGAGCCCTAGAACACTATGATGACCCAGAGGCTGTCAAGCGTGTCCTGGTTGGTATTGTCGCAACTCCAAACTTCAACCAGGACTGGCTTACCAACTTTTTCGGCCGCTTGTCTCTCGAGCAATCGCTAGACTGCCTCGATGCTATGTTGAAGTCAAATATTCGTCAAAATCTTGGTGCTGTTGTACAAATTGCGACCAAATACTCCGATCTTCTCGGCCCTACCAGACTAATTGATCTGTTCGAGAAGTACAAGACTGCTGAAGGTCTATTCTACTACCTCGGAAGCATTGTCAATCTTAGCGAAGACCAAGACGTCAACTTCAAGTACATTGAGGCTGCAACAAAGATGGGTCAATTTACTGAGGTTGAGCGAATTTGCCGAGACTCTAGTAAGTTGCACTTTCCCTTTCCTTACTGTTGCACTCACTAACATCGATTTTTAGATTACTTCAATCCCGAAAAAGTGAAGAATTTCTTGAAGGAAGCCAAATTGACAGAGCAGTTACCGCTGATCATTGTTTGTGATCGCTTCAACTTCATCCACGACCTGGTTCTCTACCTGTACCAAAACCAACAGTTCAAGTCGATCGAGGTCTATGTTCAACGCGTCAACCCTGCTCGAACACCTGCAGTTGTTGGCGGTCTCCTTGACGTTGATTGTGATGAATCGATCATCAAGAATCTCCTCTCAACTGTCAATCCGGCTTCAGTGCCAATCGATGAGCTTGTCGCCGAGGTCGAGTCGAGAAATCGTCTCAAGCTCTTGCTTCCATTTTTGGAAACAACTCTTGCTGGGGGTAATCAACAGACGGCGGTGTTTAATGCACTTGCAAAGATTTATATTGACTCTAATAACGATCCCGAGAAGTTCTTGAAGGAGAATAACCAATATGATCCATTAGTCGTTGGTAACTACTGCGCAAAGCGCGATCCGAACCTTGGTATGTAGCACTTTCCTTCTTTTTAGTCAACCTTTCCTTCCTCCTGGATACCTAGACATAACCCTTCCTTCCTGGACGCTCTACACCGCACCTTCCTGGATACCTGGACGAGTCAGCAACATGAAGACTCCTTCTCCTTCACGATGCTTCACCTTCAACACAACACCACAAGGACCTTGCTGCACGGAAACACCACTGCAGAGTTTGTGACCATTCCTTTGCCGATAAGGCACAACTCGACCGCCACAACGCGTCGAAGAAGCACAAAGACAAGGTTGCTGCCGCGGCTGAGTCGGAGTCGAGCTCTTAGCTCGACCCACCTGGACCCTGCCACAATTTTGGAGCAAATCGACACCGTCGATTTGCAGCATTCATACCTGGACTCAAAAGTACATTTCTACTACATCACTACCCTATAGACTAGACCTGCAACGATTTTAGAACAAATGGACGCCGTCGATTTGCAGCATTCATATCTGGACTCGAAAGTACTTTTCAACAACATTGCTACCATATGGACTGGACCTGGACTTTTCATTGTACTATTCAGAGTATTTGCTAACATTTCCAAGCTGTCATTGCATACAAGAAAGGCGAAAACGATATTGAGCTCGTTTCGCTGACGAACGAGAACTCTATGTTTAAAGCCCAAGCTCGTTATCTCCTCGAAAGAGCTGACCGGGAGTTGTGGTCATTTGTTCTCAGCCATAACAACATCTACCGCCGCTCCGTCATTGACCAGGTCATTTCTACTGCCGTGCCTGAATCTACTGAGCCAGACAAAGTCTCCGTGGCAGTTGCTTCGTTCTTGGCTGCCGATCTGCCTGCAGAGCTTATCGAGCTTCTCGAGAAGATCGTTCTGGAACCATCGGCTTTTGACGATAACACAAATCTCCAGAACTTGCTCATCCTCACGGCAACCAAGGCTGACAAGGGACGAGTTATGGATTACATCCACCGTCTTGATGCTTACAACGCTCCCGATATTGCAAACATCTGTATTGAGGTCGGATTGTTCGAAGAGGCCTTCGAGGTCTACAAGAAAATCAACGACCATAAGAGTGCTGCCAATGTGCTTGTCGAGCATGTTGTCAGCATCGATCGTGCCCAGGAGTATGCCGAACGTGTTGAACTTCCAGAGGTTTGGAGCAGAGTTGCCAAGGCCCAATTGGATGGCCTTCGTGTCAGCGATGGTATTGCTTCTTACATTCGCGCCGATGATCCTAGCAACTACAACGAGGTTATTGAGATTGCTACACATGCAGGCAAGGACGAAGACTTGATCAAATTCCTTCGCATGGCACGCAAGACTCTCCGAGAGCCCGCCATTGACACTGCTTTGGCTTTCGCCTATGCCCGTACCGACCAATTGAGCGAGTTGGAAGACTTCCTCCGAGGCACCAACGTTGGTATGTAGAACCCCCTTTTTCTTTTGCCCGAATCGGACCTTCTTCTGGATACTGGACCTGGAACATCTCTAACATCATTAAACGTTTACTAACATCTGTTTAGCTGATATTGAGGAATCCGGTGACAAGGCTTATGCTGAAGGACATCACCAAGCTGCAAAGATATTCTTCACCAGCATCTCCAACTGGGCCAAGCTTGCCACCACCCTGGTTCATCTCGAGGACTACCAAGCTGCTGTTGAGTGTGCCCGCAAGGCAAATAACATCAAGGTCTGGAAGCAAGTTAACGCCGCCTGTGTTGACAAAAAGGAGTTCCGACTTGCTCAAATTTGTGGTCTGAACTTGATTGTTGACGCCGAGGAACTCCAAGGTCTCGTCAAGCAATATGAGCGAAATGGTTACTTTGATGAGCTCATCGCACTTCTCGAGCAAGGTCTTGGTCTTGGTATGTTCCTTCCTTTCCTTGTGTCTCAAACATTGTTTCCTCATGTTCTAACATTATCATTTCTAACATTATCGTTTCTAGAACGCAGTCATATGGGTATGTTCACAGAGCTTGGCATTGCCTTGTCGAAGTATCACCCAGACCAAGTGATGGAGCATTTGAAGCTTTTCTGGAGCCGAATCAACATCCCCAAGATGATCCGCGCCTGCGAGGAGGCTCATCTTTGGCCAGAACTCGTCTTCTTGTATTGCCATTATGATGAATGGGACAATGCGGCTTTGGCTATGATGGAGCGTGCCGCGGATGCCTGGGAGCACCATTCTTTCAAGGACATCATCGTCAAAGTCGCCAACTTAGAGATCTATTATCGCGCACTCAACTTCTATCTCCAAGAGCAGCCTTCTCTTTTGACTGACCTTCTCCAAGCCTTGACCCCGAGAATCGATGTCAATCGTGTCGTTAAGATGTTTGAGAAGTCAGACAACATTCCTCTCATCAAGCCATTCCTTCTCAATGTTCAATCGCAGAACAAGAAGACCGTCAACAGTGCCATCAATGACCTGCTGATCGAGGAGGAGGATTACAAGACCTTGCGTGATTCGGTTGAGAACTATGACAACTACGACCCTGTCGACCTTGCTCAACGACTCGAACGTCACGACCTCGTCTTCTTCCGTCAAATCGCTGCCAACATCTACCGTAAGAACAAGCGCTGGGAGAAATCGATTGCTCTTTCCAAGCAAGACAAATTGTTCAAGGATGCCATCGAGACTGCAGCTATTTCTGGCAAGTCGGACGTCGTTGAGGAGTTGCTTAGATACGTAAGTTTCGGATGCGCGAACTCTAATGTACACGCTAACTGGTCAATAGTTTGTCGACATTGGCAGCCGCGAATGCTATGTCGGCATGTTGTACGCCTGTTATGATCTGATCCCCGTTCATGTCGTTATGGAGATTTCATGGCGTCACGGTCTTACTGACTTCACCATGCCATTCATGATCAACTACCTGGCCCAACAAAGCTCCACGATTGAAATGTTGAAGAAGGACAACGAAGAGCGCAAGTTGCGGGAGAAGTCACAGGAGAAGGAGGAGAACAACACTCCGATCCTTGGAGGCAATCGACTGATGATTACTGCTGGCCCAGCCGGAGGACGTCAATCGCCTGCTCCTTTCGCTCAGACCAACGGCTTCGCACCTCAGCCAACGGGTCACACTGGTTTTTGAAGTTGATACGGATAAGTAGTGGCATACCTTAGTGACAGCATCTCGGGTTGTACCCTTTTCTGATTTCCATAGCGGGAAGGGATCCGAAAGGTCTTGTCTCATATTCCCAGACATGAATGTAGTTGTATGCATCAAGTTCTTTCTAGCAGAGTTTTCTAGGAGGTCCACTCAAGGGAGGAGCGTGTAACTAATAGGAGCGGTTCTAGCCTTGCTTTACTAGATTCACTGATGTATTCTGACAAAAGGCCTTTTACATCTGCATCTTGCGAGCGTAAAGTGAGATGAATTTATAATTGAAGCTGAGCTTGACGGGTGACATGTCTTTGCGATGCACATCTCTTTTTCCTGCGAGATCTTGGACTCAATCTGGTCTGCTCTTGCTCTCACTCGCACTCACACTCGCACTCTTACTCACACGAAACATCACTTGCCTTTTGGCGGCTAGCAGCGGGGCATATTGCACATGCTACTACTGCATAACGACAGAAAAATGCTCACCCGGCTGTCAGCCATGCCCCATCATCAGCCTTGTTGAAAATAATCCCTGCCATTTGCTACCGAGGTCGGCGCATGAAGCAGCGAAAAGACGAGGGGTTTTCAGTTCACATGAGGCCGGGGAAAAGGCTCCCATCTTGAATCTTGAAAGCGGCTGTGACGCTGCCCCTTTGCATGAAGGGAGGGCCTGTGAGAAAAGCAAATTTTCATGACAGTGAAGATGCAGATGGTCCTTCCCCACGGCCATAAAAGCGCCAATGCCCCCTCGCCTTCCTGTGGACCACCCCACCACACCGCACCACGCAGAGAGAAACAACCTAATGTCATAGTTTGCAGTTTTGCATAGCCTTATCGTGGGGGGGTTCTCGTCCAGTCCTGCCAAACAATTGAATCACGTTATTCCACAGAACCCGAAGATCTCTTGGGCCGATATCGCCTGCTCGCTATTGGCTGCGGCAATAGCGACCGTCCCAGAAGCTGAGAAGCTCCTGTCGTGCGGACAGGGACAGGGACGGACGTCCCTCAGCACCCCACCACGAGCACGAGCCGCGAGCTACCGGTACCCAAAACACCCCGACTCCCAGAGCTCTTAAAGCCGAGCTTGTTCAACAATTATTCCTGACCGTCCACAGCCTCTCCACTCCACCTCTCATCCCCTCCTCCCTTCCTCCCTTCCTCCCTTCCTCCCTTCTTCCCTTCTTTCCATCAATCGACTCGGTCCTGAGTACACGCTCACTCCCATTGTCCCAGCTCGTGAAGCTTATTCACTACCCCACCGCCCACGTAAGTACTGCAGTTCTACAGTTCTACTCTCAACTCTCCGTCCCGCGAGAACAATACCATTTTCCCAATTGTCCTGGGAATATTCTTCCTTTCCAGAGACGGCAATGTCCCAATCCCATCAGGAACAATTGGTTACACATTGTCCCCAAACTCCGAGACAAATTGAGCAATGCTTACTTGCGCGTTTCCTTAGCTTAGCTCGGCAGAGCTTGTCAACAGCTCCTCACCGCACCCCTCCAGCTTGTCCAGATTGTCTACCTTGTCCAGCTCGATATCGGAACAATGACTGACCAACATGATCCCCATGGCGCTTACAGCGAGGTGTTCGAGGAGGGAATGGATCTCCAGCAGGAGCAGACGATTCATCGCATCCGCGCCAATTCCACCATCATGAATTTGAAGAAGATTCTTGGTGAGTCCCATTCTCAACGGACCCTCGGCGGATAGGCTTGGCTGCAGGAGCCTCGTGCTAATCCTTCTTCTCTACAGTTGCCAATCGAGGAGAAATTCGTATGTGCCACAATCCTCGAGATCACGTTGTGCTAAGCTACAATACTGACGTTGTATAGCTATTCGTGTATGTTCATCCCTGGCGGGGTCTTGGAGCTTGCTAATCCAGAATCCGACACTGTAGATTTTCCGTACTGTAAGTTGTCTCAAAACCCCACCAGCCAATTGCAGATTGTTTTATACAGGCACTGACTCGCAACCAGGCCCATGAGCTTTCGCTGCAGACTGTCGCAGTTTTCAGGTAATAAATGAGGCATTGACGATGTGCGGCCGAGCTAACTGCTTGCCAGCTATGAGGATCGACTCAGCATGCACCGGCAGAGTAAGCAATTACCTCAAGACCTCACATATAGAGAAACTCTGCTAACCATAATTTCCACTGCAGAAGCCGATGAGGCCTATGTGATCGGAAAGCGCGGACAATACACACCTGTTGGAGCATACTTGGCAGGCGACGAGATCATCAAGATTGCCCTGCAGCATGGAGTGCAGATGATCCATCCTGGTATGAAATCTAGTTCCCCTGACAATAATGCTGTCTAATTCTTCTGGCAGGTTATGGTTTCCTCTCTGAGAATGCCGGGTTTGCTCGCGCTGTTGAGAAGGCCGGACTTATTGTTCGTATTCCCTTAGACTTTTGTATCAGATATGTCAGACCCGCAACTAACTTATTATGATTTCAGTTTGTCGGCCCCTCCCCCGAAGTCATCGATGCACTTGGCGATAAAGTCTCTGCCAGAGCCATTGCAATCAAGGCCGGAGTGCCGGTTGTTCCTGGAACCGAAGGTGCGGTTGACAAATTCGAGGATGTCAAGAAATTCACAGACGAATATGGCTTCCCCATCATCATCAAGGCAGCTTATGGAGGTGGTGGACGTGGTATGCGAGTCGTGCGGGAACAAGCAAGCTTGGAAGACTCCTTCCAGCGAGCTACATCCGAAGCGAAGTCTGCTTTTGGTAACGGAACAGTCTTCGTTGAACGTTTTCTCGACAAGCCAAAGCACATCGAAGTCCAACTTCTCGGAGACAACCATGGAAATATTGTTCACTTGTTCGAGCGTGACTGCTCCGTCCAACGAAGACATCAGAAGGTGGTTGAGCTGGCTCCTGCAAAAGATCTCCCAGCCGACGTCAGAGACAACCTCCTAGCTGACGCGGTCAAGCTTGCAAAGTCGGTCAATTACCGCAATGCTGGAACTGCGGAGTTCTTGGTTGACCAGAAGAACCGATACTACTTCATCGAAATCAACCCTCGTATCCAAGTCGAGCACACCATCACTGAAGAGATCACTGGCATTGATCTTATTGCTGCTCAAATTCAGATTGCTGCAGGCGCCACACTAGCTCAACTCGGGTTGACTCAGGATCGCATCTCCACCAGAGGTTTTGCTATCCAGTGTCGTATTACTACCGAGGACCCTGCCAAGGGGTTCCAGCCTGATACTGGAAAGATCGAGGTCTACCGATCCGCTGGTGGTAACGGAGTCCGCCTCGATGGTGGCAATGGATTTGCTGGCGCACTCATTACTCGTAGGTACCCCTTTTTTTCTTCCCAAATCCCCAGGCCTCCCTGGACTGCACTGCTCGATCACCAACGCACTTGACGCTTTACTTCATCACTAACTTATTTAATCTTCAAATTAGCACACTACGATTCTATGCTTGTCAAATGTACCTGCCATGGCTCCACTTACGAAATTGCGCGACGAAAGATGCTGCGTGCTCTCGTTGAATTCCGTATCCGCGGTGTCAAGACCAATATTCCTTTCTTAGCATCATTGCTCACTCACCCTACCTTCATTGAAGGCAACTGCTGGACTACTTTCATCGATGATACCCCTCAACTGTTCGATCTCGTTGGCAGCCAGAATCGTGCCCAGAAGTTGTTGGCATACTTGGGAGACCTTGCCGTCAACGGAAGCAGCATCAAGGGACAGATTGGAGAACCGAAGTTCAAGGGTGATATCATCATGCCAGAACTCTTTGATAATGCTGGAAAGAAGATTGACACTTCTGTACCCTGCCAGAAGGGTTGGAGAAACATTATTGTTAAGGAAGGCCCCGAAGCATTCGCTAAGGCCGTCCGAAAGAACAAGGGTTGTCTTCTCATGGACACAACTTGGCGTGATGCTCATCAGTCGCTCTTGGCCACTCGGGTCCGGACAGTTGATCTTCTCAACATTGCCAAGGAAACTAGCCACGCCTATAGCAACCTCTACAGTCTTGAATGCTGGGGTGGAGCGACTTTTGATGTCGCCATGCGATTCCTATACGAGGATCCTTGGGACAGACTCCGAAAGATGCGAAAAGCGGTGCCGAATATCCCATTCCAGATGTTGCTTCGTGGTGCCAACGGTGTTGCCTATTCTTCATTACCAGACAACGCCATCTTTCACTTCTGCGAGCAAGCGAAGAAGCACGGTGTCGACATCTTCCGAGTCTTCGACGCTTTGAACGACATTGACCAACTTGAGGTCGGTATCAAGGCCGTCCACAAGGCTGGTGGTGTTGTTGAAGGCACTGTGTGTTATAGTGGTGACTTTTTGGTATGTAGTTATTCTCCCCGCAGTTCTCCCCGCAGTTTCGCTTCGCTCCTACCTTCTCCTAAGACTGCGCCTACCATTTTCAACTTCGAGGACCTCGATTTGAGGAAGGCAGCAAGTGCCGCAATAGTCCTTCTTGCCATCACTGGACTCAACTGGACTCAACTGGACTTCCCCGGACTTTCTTCAACTCGTTCTTCGTCATCACGCTTTGCTTCGTCTATTTGATTGAACAGCACTACGGCATTTACTAACTCTATCATTAGAACCCAAAGAAGAAGTATAACCTTGAATATTATATGGATTTGGTCGCAAAGCTTGTTGATCTCAAGATCCATGTCCTGGGCATCAAGGATATGGCGGGAGTCCTCAAGCCGAAAGCTGCCACTCTCTTGGTTGGATCTATCCGCAAGAAGTACCCGGATCTTCCTATCCACGTCCACACTCATGACTCAGCTGGGACTGGTGTTGCCTCGATGGTAGCCTGCGCTAATGCTGGTGCCGATGCCGTTGATACTGCTACAGACAGTCTGTCTGGGATGACATCTCAGCCAAGTGTTGGCGCTGTTCTTGCTTCCTTGGAGGGTACAGATCTTGACCCCGGCTTGAACGTCCACCATGTTCGAGCTATCGATACATATTGGTCTCAGCTCCGTCTACTCTACTCTCCATTCGAGGCTGGGCTACATGGACCCGACCCGGAAGTTTACGAGCACGAGATTCCTGGTGGACAGCTCACCAACATGATGTTCCAAGCTTCTCAACTTGGTCTTGGTGCGCAGTGGGCAGAGACGAAGAAAGCTTACGAACAAGCGAATGATTTACTTGGTGACATCGTCAAGGTCACCCCAACATCGAAGGTCGTTGGTGATTTGGCTCAGTTCATGGTTTCCAACAAGCTCAACTTTGATGATGTCCAGAAGAAAGCCGCTGAGCTTGACTTCCCTGGCTCAGTCCTTGAGTTCTTCGAAGGTTTGATGGGTCAGCCATACGGTGGCTTTCCAGAGCCTCTGAGAACAAACGCTCTTCGTGGCAGACGCAAGCTCGACAAGCGCCCTGGTTTGACCCTCGAGCCACTTGATCTCCAACAGATTAAGAAGGATATTCACAAGAAATGGGGCAGCGTCACGGAGTGCGATGTTGCTAGTTACGCTATGTACCCGAAGGTCTTCGAGGATTACAAGAAATTCATCCAAAAGTACGGTGATCTCAGTGTGCTCCCGACCAGATACTTCTTGTCTCGGCCTGAGATTGGCGAGGAATTCCATGTCGAACTGGAGAAGGGCAAGGTGTTGATCTTGAAGCTTCTCGCTGTTGGTCCGTTGTCCGATTCCACTGGCCAGAGAGAAGTGTTTTATGAGATGAATGGTAAGATTGCATCCCAGTGAGAACCCGATCCGAGACTGATGATGTTGTGCAGGTGAGGTCCGTCAAGTCACAGTCGATGATGTCAAAGCTGCTGTTGAGAACACCAGCCGACCCAAGGCCGATCCTGGAGACAGCAGCCAGGTTGGAGCACCAATGGCTGGTGTGGTTGTCGAACTTCGTGTCAGGGATGGTGGTGAGGTCAAGAAGGGTGATCCACTAGCTGTTTTGAGTGCCATGAAGATGGTGAGTAAAATCTAGAACTGTTGAGTTGTTGTTAATATCGTTTAGGAAATGGTCATATCTGCACCACATGCTGGAAAGGTTGCCAGCGTTCAGATCAAGGAAGGTGATTCGGTTGGCGGCTCTGATCTCATCTGTAAGATTGTCAAGGCCGGGGAGTAAGAAGCAAAAGGATTACGACTGTACGAAGTACAAGATGGTGAACGAAGGAACAATGAATAGATGTTATTATGGGGAAGTTGGCCGGTGGCGGGACGGAAGGTGAAAGGATCGGTTTTGGGATGGCAGTAGATGCTTCTATGAATTAAACCCACGTCGTTTTGATCCAACATACAATACAGCAACATTCGAGGTCTGGCTCGTTATAGTAAAACATGAAAGTTTGGTCCTTCCTTATCAAATACTTCATCGATGTGTGAACACGAGAAAGGAATCTAGATCTCAAATCACATTCCCACTTCCCCAGTACTATCAAGATCGGCGGTCCCTTCTGGTGCTTCCCTCCCCCGATCGCACTAGCGATTGAGGCATCGTCATGGCTTTCGATTGTGACTGAACCCTCGCTTTCACGCAAGAGGCAGCTTCCCTGACTATCGGCCTCTCTGCATCTCTTTGATTGGCGGCCTGAGGGCGGACGATCCGGGTGAGTTTTGTTTTGCAGGGGTGGTGCTGCGAGTGTGGAGGGGTTGTTGAGAAGGAGAGGAGGGAAATAGAAGGCGAGAGGCTTACTTTTAGGGGCTCTGAGTGGACGGATCTTTCGGGGCGGAAGGTGCGGACTGATTGTGCTAGTGACAATGGTTGGCAGAAGTGTTGCACGAGAGGGGTTGTCGTTGGGTGGGGAGAAAAAGGGTCAGGCCATCGCGCGGGGTAGTAAGGGATGTGGGAGCAGCGAGGCTGAGTGTGTGATAGGGCTCGTTTGGGATTGACTAGGATGGGATTCGATGGGATTGGAGGGGGAGTTGATGAGATCATTATGTGATGCTTTTTGTGGATTGGGGAGCTCGGAGTGCGTGGATGCAAACTCGGACGTGCTGCACGAGGCGGGTTGCCAGCAGGTGGGGTATGTATACGGCTCTCCTCTTTCTGCTCTTCGTTTCTCCCTCATACATGACACCCTTCTCAACCTGCACATTACCTTGAGAGAATATTCACACTGTTTCATTCGAATACGTTTCGATCTACCACATATCTGCAGCCATGGCTTCTTCTGGGAGGACTACTGCTGTCACGGGCGGCACGGGAACAGAGAGCACACCTGCCAACAACGTAGGAGAGGCTCGCAGGGTACGGCCTCAATCCTCCCCTCCACATCTTATTCTCTCGTCTTCATTCTGAAATGAAAAACTGACGGATTGTACAAACAGGGCTCCAACTCAGGCGGTCTCTTCTCTGGCCTTATGAACCAGAAGCGTAACAGCACCGATGCTGCAGCCGCTGCTCGACGACAAAGTTTTCACGATCAGAAACCGCAAGCGGGGATTATTGGGAAGCTGTGGCATAAGTATGATTCCCTCTTCGCGGAAGAAGAGTCGAGTGGACTTGGCTGACTGGGGCAGCTTCACTACCGGATCGCCGCCCAAGTGATACGGGATAGGCATGAAGAAGATGTTGATGTGTTGATGTGATGCAAGGAATGAATAAGAGGCGTTAGCGGTGCAATGGTGCTTTTAGGCGTGGGATGGGATGTATTCATATTATTTGAACTGTATTGTCTACATCTTTTATGAAACCCATGACTCTCTACGGAATGAAACTTGGAAAATTATCCTTCCCTATCCCCAGCTCCGTAAACTTTCTTCATAGCTTCGAGTGCGACAAGTAGGTGAAACGGCAAGAAAACTCAAATATCAAAAAGTAATTGAAGCGCGTGAACTTACATGTCGTGGTCATCGCTAGCCGCTAGGTGCAGCGGTCTGAGCCAGTACCTTGACCAACGACCCTCGATTCTTCATGACGTTTTGCCGGAAGTTTGGACCCTCCTGGAGGGATTTTCGTGATTATGTAAAGGAGATGATGAGGGGGTTCAACTAGACTCTTGACAAGTGACAAATCTTCCTCTTTGAATTTGATAGATATCAAAGTACTCATATTAAAATATACTTCTCTTCTGAACCGGATTCAATTTTCCAACGTCATCGACGAGATGTCAGTAAAACCAACAGACATTACGAGTAGTCAGCAGGCAGATAAGAGGGAAGAGGGAGGATTGCTGAGCGGTATCACTGGTATGCTACCCACCAAGACTTGGGGCGTGGGAAACATCGAGAAGGCGTACAGTCGTGCGGGAGCCTCAAATCACCATACGCCGGGCTCGGCATCGAGGCTGGGATCGCAGGATCAAGGTGGTAATGTACATGAACATCAGGGTGTAGGAAGTGCGAAGTTTGCGGAGCGTTTTAGCGACCAAAGGAGGGAGGTAGGTTGCCCTTAACACCAGGTTGAGGATGAGAGCTGATAATCCAGGAGCCTACAGTGATAGGAAAGATGTTCAACAATATGATCAATGGGACGGATAAGACGAAATGAAGGACTTCTATATGAGATGGTGTGCGGGTTGGAGCGAGATATGAGTCCATGGCAGATTCTCTTTCTTTCGGTCGAAGCTGTGGAAGCAGTTATGGGTTGTATCGAATGGAGGGGATCTATACATTGGTGTTGGATGGGAAAGCAAGGGACATCATACAGAAAGAAAGAAAACACTCTTCAGCTCACATCTGTTACAAAACGTCTCATGATGAATATTCAGCACTTGCAAAAAGCCGGCAAGCCGGTCGGTCTCTTGGCCGCAGCCGTCCCGAAGGAGCATGCTGAACAGTGTGTTGGACTGCTTCATTGTGATCCGATCCGTAGATCCAGTAAAGTACAGTCAAATATGCTCCTTTCATGCACAAGTCATTTACTCCTAGAGCCCATGCCGAATGAACCAGCTGCGAAATTTATCGGACGATACCCTGAGAACAAAGTCAGTACATGGCTCGTCAATACAGCTCTATCTAAGCTTACCTCGAATCGGTTCTTGAACCATTTGACAGTTTCCTCGCGCTTGATCTTGTGTGAAGCTCCAACGTGGGTCTTGCATCGGCGACGCTTGGCAACACGCTCACCAGGTCGGGTCATGCAGCAGTAGAAGTCCATTCCGTAGATACCAATCGCCGGGTCGTACTTGATACCAAGATCGATGTGTTCGCTGATACCGAAGCCGAAGTTGCCAGTCTCAGAGAAGTTGCGCTTTCGGAGTTCGTATTCCTTGACCTTTAATCCACGCTCCAAGATTTCCTCAGCCTTTGGTCCACGGACTGTGACGTGCACGGCAATCTTCTCGTTACGACGGATACCGAAGGTTCGGACGGTGTATCTGGCCTTGCCTGTGGGAATTGAGATTAGATTCTGCAGAAATGATCCAGAGCGAAGTGATCCATACTGTAGACAGGTGTTTGACCGCTCAATTGTTCCAACACCTTCGCAGCACGGGTCAGTCTGTCACCAGACTCTCCGACGGAGATGTTGAGGACGAGCTTTTGGATGCGGAGCTCCTTCATGGGGTTGCCACCCTTCTCTCCGGATTCAGCCATGGTGATTGACGGCGGAAGGTGGTCGTGGGAGAAATTGTCGTTTTGGATTTGTCGTTCAACAAAAGTTCGAGGTCTTGGATTTTTGGAAAATCATCGTGGGCGTGAACGCTCTAGCGAGGCGCTAAGCCTTATTGAGACTAGACGACTTTTTATCAATTTCATGGCAGCCTCCTCAAAGCTTGGATCTGGATATCAAGTCATATCTCATACTGCTTGCAAGAGCTGACGAGTTGACTGAAGTCCAGAGACTTCAAATACCTATTCTTTGAAACCCAAGAGAAGCCGTATCACCGCGCATCTCGATCATCATGGCGAACAAGCAGGGAAAGATGGTGAGTTCCAATCCTCGTGCCCAGCTTCGGAAGCTCTATGTTGACATTATAGGCTGACTTCTGGTGTTCTTGCAGGCCGGTCTCGTACGTTATATCCAATGCGCAAGCTTTTAAAGCTTGTTGCGCCGACTCAGAAGTTTGAGCGCATATTAATGGACTTGTAGATCAACTACCGGATGAGGGTCACGATGAACGATGGACGCCAGATGGTTGGACAGATGTTGGCCTTTGACAAAGTATGTGCAATTCTGGGATATCAACAGGTGCGCAAATGCTTACTTCCATATAGCACATGAACCTCGTTCTCGCAGATACCGAAGAGTTCAGACGCGTCAAGCGCAAGGCGACAAAAGCTGCAGCTGCTCCAGGTGCCAGCAGCAGCTCAGCCCCTCTCGTCGAGTCGGAAGAGAAGCGTACATTGGGTCTTACTATCGTTCGAGGCGCTCATATCATCTCTCTCTCGGTCGAGTCTCCACCACCGGCGGATCCATCTGCGCGTCTAGGAGCAAGTGCACCAGGAGGAGGGGTTACATCTCTAGCTGCAGGTGCGGGAATTGCACGACCTGCTGGACGAGGAGCTCCTGTTGGATTGGCGGTATGTTTATGCCCCAATGTACATCGAGTGTCTGGCTAACTATTTTTCAGGGACCTGCTGCAGGTATTGGCGGACCACCACCCGGATTTCCTGGAGGCTTCCCTGGAGCTCCTGGCTTTGGAAGAGGAGCACCACCCCCAGGATTTGGTGGGTTCCCTCCCGGGTTCCCTGCTGGTGGCCCTCCTCCACCTGGCTTCAATCCTCCCAGAAGATAGAGCACAGTTGTCTTTGTGCCGCAAAAGAGTTTATGATGGTTTGAGGAAAGGCGGAGAAAAATCAAGCACAGTATCGGCGTTGAGGGGAATTTGGGTTTACATACCGAAAATTGGCTCTTTGTAGCATAGACGACCACAACGCAAGTCAAAGCAAATTTGATGGCCACTGGAACACCGCTTTTTGCCCGCTCAGACGTGTTGCTTGTTGCTCGGGGAGGCTCAAGATGAGTAAGTCAGTTCAGTACTCAATCCTTCTAAAGCCAATTCTGCCGCGGAAGCACAAATTGGAGAAATACACCTTCTATAAGCCTCAGAACGCACTCCCAAATCTTAGCGCAACACCTTATCTTAGTCTCGATCTTGCTGCAGCGAGCAATTAGATGGCTCCAGAGTCAATTGTAGGGGCTGCTATTGTTCTGTTAACACGTTTAGATTATTGCTAGGTAAAATTACCTTGATATCCAAGGCTTCTTCGTCTGTCTCAAGCAGCGAGCCTTCACAGCCTCGTTGAGTTATGTATTGAGTATCATGAGGACGGCGCAGAAAAGAAACCAATCACCAAACAGCCCTCATATTATGACAGCAATTTTGTCCTTTCATCTCGAGCACTTATTCCTTTTCCCTTAGACTGTTCGGATGGGTGGTTAGCGGATAGGTTGTCCTTGTAATTTTTGAGAAATCATTTATTGAGGCAACCCTCTTCGCAACACTCGGTGGGAAATTCCACTGGATTGAATTAACTCCAGATTTGTGTACTCACCGTTCGCAGCACTTTCACAATTCTTAAGTTTTGAATCTCGAAACAAATTAAAGAGACAATTCGCCCGGAATTCAACAATACTCAACGAGTCATGTCATGCGATTTAAGAATCAAAACCTGGAGTAATAGACTTTTCTTAAACTTGATTCACAAGACTAGAGCAAAGAAATACTTTCTTGGTCAGAGCCTCTGGTGTCGCACATAAGCCATCTCGCCATCCTTCGGAACAATCTCGGATAAACTTGGATCTTGAATCCCATCGAAAAGCAGACCTCGAGTAATCAACACCAACACCATCTCTCACCGCTACAACCTCCACAATGGCGGCTTTTGTGAAATCAATCAATGCGAAGATTCGGGCAAACCCCATGCTCAACTATGTCTGCTCAACACGTACGGTTCCCTCCCAATTGCTCCGGATATTTTCCCGCGCGTGCGCGAGGAAGACTTGTTTCTGTGGTTGAAGGCGGATGAGGGGGGTTCAGAGAAGCTGATGCTGATGAGATACAGATTTCTGGGGTCCGGTATCGAATTTCGGTATCCCGATTGCGGCGGTAATGGATACGCAGAAAAGCCCAGAGTTGTGAGTGCAGTTCTCTTCTGTTGACTCAGAGCCCCCCCTCTTCACCATTAAGTCCCGCCTTTGGCACAGCCGAACTTCCTTACATGGTGAGGCATTGATATTGAGAATGGAGAGCTGATCAAGCTTCTTTCTTCCCAGAATCTCCGGCAAGATGACAGGCGCCCTGGTAGTCTACTCTGCAACCTTCATGCGCTACGCGCTCGCCGTCCAGCCGAAGAACTACCTCCTCTTCCTGTGCCACTTCGTCAACGAGGGCGCGCAGCTCACGCAAGGATACCGGTACTTGCAGTACCATAAGATGGGCGGCAGGGAGGAGACCTTGAAGCAGCAGGCGGAGAGTGGGGTTAAGAGTGCGGTGGGCAAGGTCGAGAGTGAGGTCGGCAAGGCGGTTGAGAAGGCGAAGGATGCGGTTGGCAAATAGGGGGTGAATGATAATGGGGGCTATGATTGATGGTTGATGAGGGTGTGATTGGGAGAATGGGGTGAGAGAGGGGAGAGTTTACATGGTTGGGGGGGGGGTTGCTTACATGGCAGGGAAGGAATTACTTGCCTGTGTACGTGTACAGTAGAGGGGAGATGCTTACTAGCACTTCACCAAATTGCAATGCAATGGAGATCACGATGGTTTGATTGTTGCAGTGAAGATCAGGATTTGAAAGTTTTTCTGTAGAGTTGCTTCCCTCTCTGTGGAGCCGAAACACAACCGACTTCAAAGATAGGCTTTCGTAAATCTTAACGGTTTGTAATGGAACTACAACCGTTTGCACCATTTCCCCAAGTATAGGCCTATTTTCTAGGTCCTGTATGATTCTTCATTCTGTACATAGCTCTTGCTCATTTTCAAATTGCACACTATTTACAACTTTATTAGTTTTCGGTCCGTCACGTGGAAGTTGTTATCTTATTGCGGGGACTTCTAAGATTCCATAGCGGAAGGGTATTTCAAGTCGATGAGCCCTGGTACCGGGTGAATGAGATATTGAGTGCGTTTAGTATACTTATTAGTAATTGAACACAGTTGTTACTCGGCGCATTGAATACACGTGGTACGCGAAGCACACTTATTATACACCACCGAAACAAAATTGTCTCTATCTGAAATATTTTTAGATCATTCTCACACTCTGAAACATTGTACAGGAACCTTAAAAAACACACCACTTAAAGAAGATGATCAGGAGAATGGTTGATTCCAAATACTGGTTTTTTCTAGTATTTTGCTACACTTTGGACAAAGCAAAGTGCATCCACAGATATCGAATCCATATAGAACCATATTAACTGTATATCCACCAGCGAGTGACATTTATCTCGTACTTCGTCTGCTCCATCCCTCCATATCTCAGATCATACTATTGACTGATGACTTGACAAGATTTGCCCTAACTCCGTTGATATATCCCCCAATACACAAGAAAAGAAGACACGGCTCTTTATCTCCGGTCCCACCCTCGTGGGCTTCCTGGTGGGCTCTCTATTCGCTGATCGCTGGTGATTGCCTCTCCTACACTTCCGAATCGTTGATGGTGCGGTTGTGGCAAGCCGGGACTGCTGGGGGTCGCGTAAGCGCCTGGGATGGGAACAGCATCGTAGGTCTGTTCGCCTGGCGCAGCGGCTACGTGGTCAATAACTCGCTCCTTTGGTTGGGTCGGTGCTCCAAATCCGGTTTGCGCGACCTTGGGTGTAGCGCCGTGAACCTTGATCGGTGGTGCTTGAAGAGCGAAGGGCTTTGCGGCAAGGGCTGATGTTGGCTTGGCCTCAACGAATCGAGTGCCGGGTGCTCCAGCGAAACCATCTTCGGCTGCCGCTGCGGGATTGGAGGTGTAGATGGAGGGTGGGAAGCGAGGAGATTTGACGTGCTGGGAGTAGGATGGAGACATTGGTCCGAAGCCGGGAGTGTTGGGTGCGGATTGGGAGCGAAGTTGAGCGAGGTACAGATCAGAACGGGCACGGTCACGGACATCCATTGACTTCCGGAGACGTTGCTTGGAGTAGTATCTGTAGAAGACAACGGCGTAGAGCAGGATGGTGATGCACTCAAGAACGACTTCGATGAGGCAGCACACTAATGACCAAGACTACAATATCGTTAGAAATGGCTTCCAACTTGAGGGAAAGCGAAACTTACCTGCATTCTGCAAACCAGTGCGTAATCGACTTTATCACTGAATACCTGCGATCTCTTGTTGTCCACGCATGACCATCCCCAGACGTCCTTATTATTACTGTTGTTCTTGGCGCTCTGAAGAATACCAGCAGCAAGACCCCACATAATTGTGCTAAAGATGAAAAATGCTACGGCGAAGAGTGTGTAATAGACGGCTACTTTCTCCGCGCGTCGGTGACCGCCTCTCCAGTAATTCCAGAACACAACAAGACATAGTGCAAGTGATACACAAGATATCGCAAGCACAACCTTTTGTGGCCAAGTCTTCGTGCCAACAGCCCAAGCAGGAAGGTTGTTTCTCGGTGGTAGAGCCTTAGTTGCATTAAAGATCGAGAAGGTCATCGAAAGCATGGAGAGGACAATAAGACTGCAGCTGAAGTTCACTCCTCGAAGGAAGAATTTTGCGATCCGGACTCTGGTCTTTATTTTCTGTGGGATTGTTAATGATGCTGGGCTATTCAATAGTGAATTTTATAACATACCAAGTCCTTAGCTTGCTCCTTCTCTGTCATTTCCTCGTGCTTCTCTAGAATCTGCTCCTCTCTGAAGGTTGGGCTCAGAGGATTATCAATCTTCCTCCCTGGGGTCCCTGGAACTTTCATAGCACTCTTTAAAGGAGAAGCTGGTGTCAGGGGGACCTCGACAGGCGCCCGTGAAGGGTCATTGATATAGCCGAAGCCAATATCAGAAGGTTGCGCTTCCGCCATGAATGATTGCGTCTTCTCTGTCTTTGGGGGGTCTGCGAACGGCGATTTGCCTTCCTCACCGGCTTCTATCGGTGAGTATACTGTCGTAGCTTCTGCGAAGCGTGGTGTTCGTGGGACTTTAAGTGATTGATCTGAGGAACTCGTTGATGTTCGTTCTCGTGCGAAATACTCGGTGCGTTTCTTCTCGTTGGGTGCTGAAGCGGCGGTCAGATGCTTGTATGGCCAACTGGTACGATCCTGGGACTGACTGGACATGGTGATATGAAAGAACTCTCGATATACAGAAAGAAACCTCGCAACTCCAGATGCGATGGTTAGGTCGAAGGCCAGGGCAAGGTGAAGCGTTGGAACAGAAATATAATGAGTTAAAGGATGAAGATTGACAGATAGAGACCAGCTATCGTGGAAAGAAGAGACAGGTCTATCAACCGATGGGGAAGTAGAGGGTTTTGTGGGTGACGCGCGCGCTAGCACACTGTCTAATTCGAGACAAGTCTTGAGGCTACTGCCATGAATCAGTAAAACGGGAGATGAGGTGGGAAGATATGGCTTGCCGGCTAGATGGCGCCCAGGGAGGGGAGGGGTGGTTTGGTTTTGGCAGAAGTCAATGAGCGAGCTGGGGGGTTCGAAGCGCTGATAGGGTACCGGGAAGGACGTTGCGAGCGAACGGGGACTCGATTCTAAAATAGACGCCTCTGAACTTGCATGCAGCCTTTGGTTGGAAGTGACTTTTGTGGCCGATATATGGAGGCCTCTCAGCTGCGTTGCTTAAACGAGGCTGATGGCGCAACCCCTCTTCCTCCAGGATGAGACTGACTGCGCCAACAAATCTCGAAAAGATACTTGAAGCACTCAAAAATGTCGTGAAGCTCGTTGAATTTCTCCAGAGTCGGATTTGAACAGCAGCGAAAAAGAGAAAAGCACTCTGTACCTTTGGCGCCTGCGACCATGAAGGGTTGTTTGGCGGGGAAGAGCACATCCAATTAAGCCGGTCAGCTTCGCGCCTCCCCTCCGCGCCGGCATTGCTGCAATATGCATGAGAACGAATCCGACGTGCCATTGGCTCAAGGATGCAGACCCTGGTGAGCTGGCGAGGGAGAATGTGGGTGATCTGGCGCCGTGGTTGGCGGCAAGGAGGAGTGGCAAGCGAACACCATGCGCACGACCTGCTTTTATCCAGTCACCTCGCTCTGATAGGCTGACTGTTTGCAGATTCCCTTTCGCTTGCACGTTTCACCGACCCTGGGCAAATGGTGTGCAGCTGGCACCAGATCGCCTGGGCGGTAAGAGCAGGGCCGGCCGGCCCGTTCGAGGCCTCGGAAGGGACGAGAACAGCTGCGGAAATGCCAGCAACATCTCTGGAGACGTCTTCGAGACATTCTGAAGCCGTGACCTGGGCCGCATAGCTGGCCGCTGGTACCTTGGATTCAATGAATTGCCTCAACCTGGGAAGTTTTGTTCCGTGATTGCTGCACTTAGTCAGATTTTCGTGAGAGGAGATTTACCTGGATAAGGCGCTGCTTGCCTTAGCGCTGATTCTCCTCGAGGATGGGGGGCAGGGTGCGCTTGATGCCGTGCTGGCAGGTGGTCCAAGCGAGCCCTATCAAGATTCGCGAGTCCCTCCACCGTGCACGAGAACACTCTATTTAAAGAAGAGGAGCGGATTCTCGAAACCCGTTGAATGGCCAACTATTTTCGGCCAAGCTGGCAGGGCATTCAGCAGCCGACTGGGACCTTGCACGTGGCTACTCCTGTATCTTCTGGATATGGCGGATTGTGACTGCAGACCACATGGTGCTATGCGAGTCTCGGAGATATGGGAAGCACTTGAAGCGGGTAGACTGTTTCCATTTTGGGCCCTTCCCCTGAGGATATGGAAACGAGGTTCAACAGTTAACCCCTTTCCAGGATCAACCGTACCTGCAGACGTCAAATACTCAATTTGTCCAATGAATCATCCTTCCGATAACACAAGGTCCAGTATTGATCGAGGGGCCTTGTCATAAGAGTGTGGAAGATTGTGGCAAGCCTTGGAGTCGGATAAAATTGTTGATAGACACTATTCGGTATATTTCAGATATAGAACACTCCACTTCAGCAACAGAGCGCAGGCAACTAGCATGCTCCTGACTGCCAGGTATTGCAATGTGCTTCAATCATTTGAGTCCCTGTTCAGCCCACCGTTGCCTCCGAGAAGGCTTGGATAGACGTATTTCGGAGATCTCATGAGTTAGAACAAAAAATGATTTAATGTTAGCAGGGAGTTCAGTAATGTGAAGAGAGGGTAGGCTTGGAAGTCTTGTGATAAATGTCAATTATTGACCCATGAGAAAATCTATCCGGGTATCTCTATTCTGGTCTCTCCATTTTTGACTTGCACTCACCATCATCTCACAAGCACGAACCTAGTGGTGGAACAGACGAATGCTCTGCTCCACAAAAGTGATGCCGAGCTTCTCGGCTGTCTCAAAGACAAAAGAGTCGTTCTGGCTACCAGTTGGTGCAGCAATGTACTTGGCTCCTGATCGTCCAGCTCTGTAGACATTGTCGATGAAGGGGAACTGTACAGTCAGCAGAAACTTGCAATATTGCACAGGGAGCTTACGAAGGCATCGCTGGAAAGAGCAACCTCGCTGAGCTTTCCAAGCCATTCAGTTCTCTCCGCCTCAGTGAACGGCGCCGGAACTTCCTCAAAGAAAGCTTCATAGCCCTCCCTCTCAGGCCCAGTCTTTGGTAATTGACCACTAACCAGCAGATCGATTGCATTGCTCTTATCTGGTCGCTTGGTGCCTTTCTTCCACTTGATTCCGAGGACACGGGGATTGAATCTAAGCCACCAATTGTCGGCCTTGTCTCCAGCCAGACGTGTGCAGTGGATGCGTGATTGCTGACCTGCACCGAGACCAATGATTTGACCGTTAAGAGCATAGCACACTGAGTTGCTTTGAGTGTACTTCAAGGCAATAGTGGCAACGGTCAGGTCTCTGAGAGCGGAATCTGGCAAATGTCCCGCTTCCTTTGGTGTAATGATTGACGAGAAGGACTTTGGAGAGATCTTGATGTCGTTGCGGTGCTGGGTCAAAGTAATGCCGTAAACATTCCTTGACTCCTGGGGAGATGGTTCGTACTCGGGATCCATTTGAAGAACCAAATACTTGCCTCCCTTTTTTTTCTTCAAGATCTCCAGCGCTGCATCCTCATAACCGGCAGCAATCACACCATCTGAAACTTCCCGGGAGATGATCTTTGCTGTTGGGACATCAACGATATCACTCAACGCAATCATATCACCGAAACTACTCATACGATCGGCACCTCGTGCACGGGCATATGCTTGCGCAAGAGGAGATTTCTCTAGATCCTCAATATCGTCAACCATGTAGACCTTTCTCTCATCGGAAGTAAGAGGCACTCCAATGGCCGCGCCCGCAGGTGAGACGTGCTTGAAGCTTGCTGCAGCTGGATGTCCCAGGGCAGCCTTCAGCTCCTTCACAAGAGGCCATGCATTAAGAGCATCAAGCAAGTTGATATAGCCAGGCGATCCACACAGGACTTTGAATGGCAACGGTCCCATCTTCATGTATGCCGCAGCAGGCTTTTGGTGTGGGTTTGCGCCATAGCGAAGAGCAATCTGTTGGACTCCGTCTCCTGCGTATTGCTTTCGGAAGAAATCTGATATCGAAGCATCATAGTCCGCTGTATGCTCAAACGCCTTCAGGGCATACAGATTTCTGCTCCGCTCGGCAACTTCACCTTTCTCGAGCTCTTGCAAGAACTCAGGGTAGTCGGCTGGGTCACTGAGGATTGTTACTCTGCCATGGTTCTTCGCAGCTGCTCGGATCAGGGTAACTCCTCCAACATCAATTTCCTCCACAGCCTCGGGAATTGTGACATTGATTTTAGCAATTGTGTCCTTGAAAGGATACAGATTGCAGATGACATAGTCAACCTTATTGATGTTCTGTTCGGCGAGGTCTTTTTCGTCGGAGGCAAGATCGCGTGCGAGAATTCCCGCATGAACAGCAGGATGGAGGGTCTTCACTCTACCAGCGAGCATCTCTGGCGCATGAGTAATGGCAGAAACATCTCTATGAGGAGAGTTAGTTGTTTGGAGGGTTGAAGGACGGCTAGGGGAGCCCCATCGGACGACTTACTCCACAGCAAAGCCAGACTCTCTAATCATCTTCGCAGTTCCCCCAGAAGCTAGGAGTCGAACATTGTGCTTGATCAAGCCCTTTGCTAGATCGAGGAGGCCGGTCTTGTCATAGACAGAAATGATTGCTGTCTTACTGGTCGACATTTTGCGGTGGTATCAAAGTATCAAGTTGTGCCAGAGCTTAGCTCACAGGTTGCGATTGAGGTTGCTTTCTGTCAAGTTTCAACGCGGGGCAGATTTTGGTGGCGGTCTCGGAGGGGTTGGGTTTGGATCGCGCTACTGACTAAGCGAGATTCGTTAAATATTCTTGCAGCCGTAGAAAAAAAAGGTTCTTTTCCTTCATAAAACAACGCAAACATCACGTTCTCATAAAAGCGCTGACGTTGAGAAGCCCGTCGCCTTGTGACGTGAGGCTTCCATGACGCTGTTAGTCGTTAAGTAGAATGGAGAAAGAGAGATTTTTTTCTCCGAGGAAATTCTTGGGTGCGATTCTCACCAGATCATGGGGAGCATTGCAAAGATTGGCCTTACATCATATGACCTAGGCAAGCCTAGAAGGAACGATCATATCAAGGAACGAGAGTATGAGGGCGCTGGACGAAGTACGGATCGAAAAGCCTCGTGCTCGAATCCTCTGCTTTCATGGTAGATCTCCTAGTACCGCTGCCTGACGTTCTGCTGGACTGCCATACTAGGGTCTTTGAAGGCTCTCACGCTGCTTGGCTGTTCCATAGCCCAGTGCACAGCATCTTCGGATCTTTGTTGGTGGTCAGCTCCCTCGCAAGGTCCCTCATTCGCGGACGTTTAGAGAGCGCTTCGGGGACGATATGTGGCTGAGAGGCTTTCACAGGGCAGTCATACGCAAAGGTTTACTGCACTGATCCTCTAGGAACTTAAGTTTTAGGGCGTTGGATGGGTAGAGAGTATAAATAGGGATGAACGCGTGTCGTAGACGTCTTCGCTCTTCTAAATTCCAATGTTCTCGATCGATATGACAAGCCCCATACGTTCCATGCCAAATCCTGGCGGATTTCCATGGAAGAATTTCGTTTGAAACGACTACTCCTGAGACCTGGGCAGCACTTCTGGAGGACCCTTGAATGTCGCTATTAATCTCCTTCCCAGGCTCCATTCTAAGGCCGTCTTCTTGTCCATGGCAGAGGTATTGAACGCGTTCTGGGTATTTGCACAAGTGTTTATGGTCATGGAGTGGAGTGTTCAATAATAGACCGAGAATCGCTGGTGCAATTTTGATAACCCATCCATGAAGTGGATTCCGGCCGCATCCATAAATTACATCCCTCCAATCGTGGGTCAATAAAGGATGGGTTGGCTACAGGGCATCCAAGGCGATCGCCTGGGGTGCGCCGCATCCCCTCGTCTGGCCAGGACGCAAGGTACCCGCAGATAAAGGAGTATCGGTTGTGGAAGGCCCCTCGGAGGCTCATCAGAAGCTCACCTTGATATCGCAATATTTAAATGAACAGTGAATTAGGACTGAGTCTGATTAAGAAGCCGAATGTCCAGCATCTCTCCATATCGACGCGGTTATGTGTTCGGCCTTTCATTTCTTGAACTTGGGGTACGTTTCAGAGAGATTAACAAATTGCCAGCCAGAACAAAAGCTTCTTTTCTCCGTGCCGTTCTTTGTTTAGCACCGCAGCAGTTGAGCAGGGCTGCAGGGATAATGATAGGCAAGTACCACCGTCTGCCGTGGGGGCACGACCACTTGCTCAAGGTAAAATTGAGGCTGTTTAGGGAGTCCAGGACGGGGGTTGAGAACTTGAGAGTCGACCCAGGTCAAGGCCAATCTTTGAGACCCACTAGCGGAGATGAGGCTTCCCATGGAAATTCACCGTGAACGCGTACCTACATATATGGGGAGGCTCAGTCCTATTGTACTTTTCCTCTCCATCCCAGATCACCACACTCGTTTTCAACCAAAAGCTACTTAATCGCTCTCTCAACCACCTTCAAAACACTTCTCCAACCAACCCAACCCAAACAAACCTCCAACCGTCAACATGCAATTCAAGGCCGTTGCCCTTTTCGCCGCCATGGCTTCCGTTGCTGCTGCCGGACAGTGAGTCGCCTTCGATCTACCGCTACCTCTTCAGGATACTGACAAGACCCAAGGACAGTTACCGTCTATGCATGCCCAGCATCCTCTAGCTCTGCTGCTGGTTACGCTACCCCAACCATCGGCACTGTTGGCTCAACTGGCGTCCTTAGCTCTTCTACCCCAACTGGTTCTCCCATCACCTACGCCACCACCGGCGCTGCCTCCGTTCACGGTGTCTCCGCTCTCGGTCTGTCCGTTGCTGGTGTCATTGCTCTCGTAAGTTCGCCTTTGATGCATTCTTCGACCCTGTTTCTAACTTGAAGTGCAGTTCTTGTAAGCACCTAGCATTCACCTTCGAGCTTCGATGGCGTCATGATGTCTGGCGTTCTACTCTTTAATTCGGCCCATGATTTTGATGGCTAAGATGCCCTGTCTGCACTTGCAAGCAAGTTGGATGTTGAGGGGAGCATCGGTGTTGTAGAGTGCAGGAAGTTTTGACATCTGTATTCTCTGTACATAAAGAGACTCTTTGCAAGAGATCAACCTGATAGATGACATGCTTTCCAATCTGAACGTGATAATTCCCAACTTGGGATAAGACTTGTTGACCTGAAAGCAATAATACAAGTCTTTCATTCACTTCAAGAGCAGATGTAATCTTGATCAGCAAGACCATCGTAATAGAAGCACGCGTTGCTAAAGCTATAAACTGACAACGCCATAACACCTTGGCTGCCTTCAATAGCTGATGTATTTCTCTTCACAACACAATCGTGGGAGTATCAGCTCTTGTCCAAGGTCATGCTGCAATGGTAAATTAATGATATTTGAAGAGCAGTAGCTCTGCTGGGGTCTGTTCCGAAGACACATTCAGGCTTTCAAATACGATGTGATGCTAAAGCCATCAAGATTCCCATATTTCTGGGAATAACTGGCCTGTGACCTGTGAGGAGATAAAAAGAGTGAAGGTAGTTGATGCAAGCAAGCGAATTTGTTGACACGATCGCCTCGGCCACTGGTGGCTTGAATGGCTCGGTAAATTCCACTGTACCTTTGATGTGAAATCAATCGCGCGAAGCTACAGAGCTTCTCCTCCTACATCATCTTTTCCAACAACAGTCAAGATGTCGAAAACAGTGCAAATATTGTCGCCCAAGCAATTTGAGGATCTACTGAAGTCGTCCAAAATAGTTGTCGCAGACTGTGAGAGATCCCCCTCCTACCCCGCCACTCTCCCAGATGCAGTTTGCCGTTTGCGTCCCAGTATGCAATATACTTTGCAGCTCTTACTGACCTCGAGAAGTCTATGCAGATTGGTGTGGACCATGCAAGGCGATTGCTCCGGTGTACGAGCAGCTCTCTGCTAGTTTGTCGCGTCCGAATCACATTACATTCGTAAAGGTCAATGTCGATACGCAGAAGGAGATCGCGGCGAAGTACAACATCACGGCGTGAGTGATTCCCTAGCAGAGACTTCGATCAAGCAAGCATCTTTGGCTTGAAGGATTTTCTGACCGGGCTTTCAGGATGCCGACATTCATGATATTCAAACAAGGCCAAACCGTTGAGAAAGTCACAGGTGCTGATCCACGTAAACTTCAAGCCGCCGTCAAGAAGCTAGCTGCTGAAGCTGAAGGGGGCTCATCAGGCTTTGGAGCATCTGGTAGTGGAAGCACCTGGCGCATTGGAGATCTGCCAAGGGGATACAGCGATGTTACCGACCAGGTAGACTTGAAGGGTTTGGAATTGCTCAACTCTGATAGTGAGTTCGGAGGCGTACGAGTACTGGTGGATCAGAGCAAGCCTACTGGATTGCAGAGGGGGAAAACAGCTGCCAGTGAGAAGAAGGACTGGGTAGAGAGTGATACGGATGAGCAGTTGATGCTGTTCATGCCATTTCAATCTACCCTCAAAGTCCATACCCTTCAGGTAGACTCATTCCACACTATTATATTCGCCAGTGCTAATTCCCATACAGATTACCTCCCTCCCTCCTCCCGCCGAAGACGACGAGGAAGTCCCTATGCGGCCAAAGACCGTCCAAATATACATCAATCGCCCACATATCCTCGGATTCGAAGAGGCAGATGATATTCCCGCAACGCAGTCCATCACGCTCTCGGAAAATGACTGGGACTCGACCGGCACGGCTACGCTCTCCCTACGTTTCGTCAAGTTCCAGAATGTCACAAGCTTGGTACTTTTCATCGTGGATGGTGAGGGAGAAGGAGAACGAGTCCGAGTAGACCGAGTCAGGATTATTGGTGAAACGGGCGAGAAGAGAGACCCTGGCAAGTTGGAGAAAGTTGGAGATGACCATGATTGAGTGGAAGGCGGGGCGATGATTTACGACAAAAGGTTCTTGGCAAGTTCTTCTCATGGATGGCGTTGGTATTAGATGTCTTTTCCTGGGAACTGGCAATAAAGAAATTAAGGCTTTCGCAAGTCCACCGTACTTCTACAGAATAGCTGAGATTTCCAAGCTCTTCAACTAATAACTATCCTCGTAGGACAACCAGCAAGGTTTCACCAGTCTAACATACACTGCAGCATTCCTCATATTCCTAACCTCTGAAATTAAAGTATATTCTGGCAGTACAACGCGAAAGGGCTCGGTGCCCATCTCATGTTCTCGAGTTCTTACATCCGAGTTATATCCTCGTGGGCCAATACACAATGACTTGACGTCCATCTCTGGCTCCCAAGATTCGACAATCCACGATTCGACAATCAGAATCCGGTCTCGTCTCCCGGCTCAACATATTCGCCAGTTGACACAACACACGCCATATCTTTTCTCCAAGGTGGGAAAATGTCCAACCCGCCATCTAGCCCCAGAACCCTGCAGCCAACGAGCCCGTTAAGACAAATCGAAGGAGCGAACGCGGTTCAGCGCTTCTGATGGAGAAGTCGTCTTGCAATTAGGTTCTCTCTGTGAGAAGAAGGACGCCCAAGAAATTTGACTGCACCATGGTACAAACCGTCCAAGGCCCGAAGACACGGAGGCTGTGATGTTAGGGCAACACGGGAAGTTCTTCTCGCCGCACCAGGAGAGAAGAAGATTTGAAGGAACCTGTCGCTTTTGTAGGGAAATTTTTCGTGTCCGCTAGCGCCCGCTTCAGGAAAGACACGACACGTGACTGGTAGCAGAAATTCCCTCTATTTTGCTTTAAAGTTTCTCTATATTGATACTGAATTTGATTTTTGGTTAGTTTCTCGTTTTCGTTTAGAAGATTTATGTTTATCAGTTTTTGCATTTGCTAGCTTAGTCGCATAATCATGAATATGTTAGAAGCCTTCTATGTACAAAGCGCGGGCCGACCAAATTCAAGCAATGATAGTACAACATCGTTTAACAGACGATTGTTCTCGTCTCGGCCAGTTTTTCTTCTATTGCAAGTATTGTCCATTGGCTTTCTTAAGAAAAGAAGTGTCTAGCTGAAAGTCACGTTCGATGGCACGGAAACAGAGCTCATTGAAAGATGCCAAGGCACGCTGTGACGATGCTGGTATTACTGGACACCCTCCCCTCGAACTAAATGGTATTGCCATCTCTCATCACAGCGATGAAGACTTTTCTCAACGTCAAGTTGTGGAAACATCCAAATCTTTGGCCAGCGGAACCTTTCACAGCAAGAATGGACGCCTGGAACGTTGGCCAAGGGAACTCCAACCTTGGCCGGGGAAAAGTCATTCGCTTTAAAGCTTCAGGTATCTGATCCATAGAAGCTTCCGAAAGTCCGAAACACAATGGGAACACCAAACAAAGTTTAAAGGCAAGCTAAAATTTTGATAATGTGTGAAGGGGAACAGTGAGCTGCTTCACATCCTGGCACGGGTTCCTGCGTTTCTTACCAGGATGACCCTCAGTTAAACTATCAGGCCTGTTGACCCGTCATCTCCACGAAACAAAGGCACTGGCCGAGCGAGTGATCATCTTTCTCTCTTCATTAAGTGATGACACTCGGGGGAGCATCTGAAGAGATAAAAGACTTAGACAACGTCTGATTTATTCTCCGAACAAACGGTCAGATCGTGGCGTCATTAGTCGGAGTTGCATGGATCACAAGAAATAGGACGGGCCTCCTGGTGCTCCTTTCCTTCCGGACGGTAACGAAATGGAAGGCTGTGTGGCAGGTGCTGGGATTAGCCGCATGAGGTCAGAATAGGGGAAGTGCTGATGAACACATGGAGAACGAATGTCCTGGAGGGGGCCTCCGTTGCTTCCTTCGATGAGGTCCACTCGAGCAGCGTCCATCCTGACCACAGACTCTCTTTCTTCACCATGATCGGATGAAACCCGACAACCCATAAAGCCTCGGAATCTGCGTCATTGAAATAAGCAACCAAAACCTCAAAAACTTCTTTGTTGGTTCTGAAGACGCCGCACAATATCCGATTTAGCGGCGTTCGGTCTGGCTGGCTGCAGGGGGAAACGAGCATACCTCACGGTCTGCCCTCTTACTCTCAGCTGCAACTCTTAGAATTCAATCCCCAGCATTTTTTCAAATCGACGTGCCCCCTTTTCGCAATTCCTTTGTTCCGGCGCAATTATTAATACCTCGACTGTTCTGCTGCTTATGAAGAGCTATCGCATTGAGATTGCCAATCGAGGATAAGGCGATCCAGTCCTCTGGCCAGCTCCAGGGGTCACCGCTACCGCGGCCGTCCAAAAAAACAACATCAACGCGAGAAACGCTCGATGTCGAACAACTACACACCAAAACGATCCCTTGCACGACCTCGCCCTTCACTGAGCAACAGCGTCAAAACTGCTTCCACCCCCAACCTCAACGCCTCCTATAAGGCTAGCGCGTTGCAAGTACCCGCGCTCAGCAATAGAACGAACGCGCTTGCCCGCAAAGCATCACTGAGCACGCTCACGTCGAGTTCCCTCGCTACCATACCTGATGCCAGCGTAGGTTACGGGTTGAGGACGGTGTTGGACGAGGATTCACCTACTATTGGAACTATGCCGCCCTTTACTCCGTCTCGCGGGTCCGACGACGACCTTGAGGTCGGTGACCTGGTTGACGTTCCTGGAAGCATGCATGGAACCGTCAAGTTCATAGGAACAGTCAACGGTAAGAAGGGAACATTTGCTGGAGTGGAGCTCAGCGAAGAATTCGCTTCCCGGGGCAAGAACAATGGCGATGTTGACGGGTAAGGCTTGCAACGGCGCGGAGCCAAACAATACTGACAAGTCACTCAGCGTCTCCTACTTTTCGACATCCACAGCCGGAGCGGGTATATTTCTCCCCATCAATAGAGCGACAAGACGCGGATCGCCCTCATCCCACGATGGTTCGTTCCCCATTACGCCAACAACTCCATCAATAGGGGGAGGAGGAAGTTTCAAAATAGCTGGACAGGGACCAAATACATATACCCCACCAACTCCGTCAGTGCCAAAGTTCAGCCAGTCGGTTGGACCAGGGCGAGCACCAAGTCCTCAATTCAAAAAGTCTCGACCGTCCCTACCACGACCAGAATCCCCTCTGCGAAAACCACAGCTAGGAGGGAGACCTTCAATCGGTACACCTGTAACCAAAACACCTGCTCGATATGCCAGTCCCGCGCCTGGTAAGTTTGGACAAAGTGTGAGGGGTACACAAGACTCGAGGGATCCGAGCAAGAAGGTTGGTTATACGCCCAGGAATGGGATGAAGGCAAGCGTTGGCCCGCGAAGTGCTTCTGCTCTTGGACAGGCTCCTATGAACTACAGCGATGATGAAACAACACCTGTTGGTGTTGCAAGAACCACCACCAATGGAAGCCTTGGCTCTGTGTCTTCCTTTAATACGAAGATGCGGCCAGCATCTAGGGCCAACGACGATGAGATCGAGAGATTAAGAGGGCAGTTAGAAGAGCGAGATCGCCAGTTAAAGGATCAAGCATCCAGCCTGGCGGAAATGGAGAGTAGTCTGGCAGAAGTGCAGACATTAATGGGTAGTTCAGATGGAGGGAGACATAATAGAGGGAGCATGGAGGACAAAGACGCATCACAATTACGAACGTTGCTCCGGGAGAAGAACGAAAAGATTGCCATGCTGACTGCGGAGTTTGATGCCCATCGAGCGGATTTCAGGAGTACAATCGACACCTTGGAACTGGCTAGCACAGAGACTGAACGAGTGTATGAGAAGCGTGTGGAAGATTTGTTGCAAGAGGTCAGAGAATTACAAGAAAGAAGCGAGGATGTTGACAGTGTTGCAAGGCAACTGAAACAACTGGAGGAACTTGTCCAGGAGCTGGAAGAAGGTTTAGAGGACGCCCGACGTGGAGAAGCCGAGGCTCGTGGTGAAGTAGAATTCCTTCGAGGAGAAGTCGAACGTACCAGATCAGAACTCCGCCGCGAGAGAGAGAAAGCGGCGGCAGCTATGAGCGGTGCCGCCAATGGAGAATCTCCGTCCATGTCCAAGGAAGTGGAACAGCGAGACGACGAGATTCGAGGCTTGAAGGCAATCATCCATTCGTTAAGTCGGGACGCTGTCCCAGATACGGCAAATTCAAACGAACTTCAGAAAACCCCGACCCAACGACAAGATAGTTCCTCCTCCCGGCGCCGTCCCAGCGACGGTGTTGATTCCATCAAAGATCGCCTTGCACGAGAGAAGCTTGAGCGAGAAGTGATGGAACTTCGAGCACTTGTCGAGTCTAAGGTTAGCCGAGAGGATGAGCTGGAACGAGAGCTGGAACGATTGCGCAGGGGCAGTGCTAGCAACACCGCCCCCAGTCATCGTGCCAGCGCAATGAGCACCGGGACCGTCACACAGGATCGATCCTCCATCCGGGATTCTAAAGGGACCGTCGTCAGCTGGCGTGACCGAGAACGGACGTCGCCAGAGAACCATCGACGAGGAAACACTCTCGAGACCATGCCGGAAAGTGATACGTACTCGTCTGCTAATGAGAGCTTTTGCGAGTTGTGTGAAACGTCAGGTCACGACATTCTAACATGCACAAACATGTTTAGTCCTAATGGAACCACAAACGGCACCCATTCAAGAGATGTTTCTGGATCACAATCACAGCTGAGAACGGGCAGGGACGTTGTCAAGGCTGGGCTCTCCCCAAAGTCTTCTCATGATGACTACAAACCCGCCCCCCTCTCACCTGTCAAGACGAAAGCAGTCCCAGCAGTCCCAGCAGCAGTGAGGATCATCCCAAACCCGATGGAATCAGGGCCCGTGGCAGGAAAGGAGAGTGGAGCAATCAACATGGATAAGTGGTGCGGCGTGTGCGAACGCGAGGGGCACGATAGCATAGATTGTCCTTTTGAAGATGCATTTTAGCGTGGAGGTATGCATCAGCGCGGCAGCATGACTGGATAATATTTTGTTCTTCCTTGCTGGGTTCATTTGGGGAGCATTGCGTGGATGTGCTTATTGCGTCGATGATACCATTCTTTTTCTGCTCTTACTTTGGTAGTGGGTTCCGAGACCTCTGCGTCCATGAATGTTTTGGTTAGGCTCGGCTGGTTTGGGTGGGAATGAAATCGAATGAAGTCAAGGTCATGATTCATGTAGATATAATCAATAGTTAATGAGAATGAGAGCTTGATTGATGACCCGAGTGTTAGTACTGTTCGGGTGTTTGTTGAGCTCAGTAGTGTGAACTGTTGGGATGTGGTCACACCTTCCTTCATTTTCGCCCTGAGCGTTGTCGGTTTACTTGCTTTCCTTGGAAGTCCTACCCGGCGAGTACTTTACTCCCATGGACCATAACTTGCCTGCTTGCTCCCTCCTGTCTCTCTTTACTCCTGCGCTGTCTTCTGACTTCCGCGTCCAGCTTTTGCTGATCGGTGGAACCCATCGCATTGTGCTGATAGAAAAGAAAGATTTCCCGCTCAAATCAGCTTCTAAAGTGATCTGCAGTAGTATTGTCAGACGATGCCAACCATGCGAATAGTAAGAGAGCGGTATTCCGATCCATGTCCGACTTCGCATCCGGCTCAGTGTGTCAAAAAAGTAATCAAGGTATTCCGAATATTCATGAATATTCATGATTAGCTTGAATAGAATATAATTACTGCAATGCTTAAATAATTTGATTAGATTAGAATATATAATCATGAATATTCATGAATACTTTGATTACTCTACACGTGACCATGGCACGTGATACTCTAGCCTAATTAAGTAGAGATCCCGCTCTAGTGTCTCCTTAGCGCCACCTCGCTGCCTAATTAGTGGGTCGAAAGCCTTGCAAAGACGATGCTAGATCGGGAGCCATACCTAATTAGGTTAGTATATCACGTGAGACAGTCACGTGTATAGTAATCAAAGTATTCATGAATATTCATGATTACCTCAATTAGAATCTGATTAGAATATAATTAGTGGGTATTTTTGATGAATAAATTAGATTACTAGCCAGTATTCTAATCTAATCTATTCATTTGACACACTGATCCGGCTCACTTGCCATCAAGAGCAGAGAAGTCGATCTAGTTCATATTCTTTGGTGTATGTAATGTGTTATGTTTGGCTCGGAGACGGGTTCGTCATCCAACTCAGTAGGATTGATCAGAGCGATCAGAGCGGACAGAACTGGTCGTCGCTCAGACGCTGCCTGTATCGTCGACAACGAGGACTGAACAATTGGCAATGTCCCTTGTTGCTGAGGCGTCGGTCCGCTCCTTCGGAGAGGGAGAATACTGCCTGGAAAGAGATTGTTGGCCAGAGGGAGGTCCAGGTCATTGGTTGGAGTAAAGCAATTGATTGGAGGTCGAAGTTTGACTGGAAATTGGGGATTGGCCGGGGTGGAGTTATTGACAGAAAATTGCATCCCTTATGCATGGTTCACAACACAGACCCGATTGGGGGCCTCGGGTGGACGGGAAAGTTTGGGCCTGGGGTCATGGTTGCGTTTTCTTTTGGTCCATTTGTGGCAGCCGCGGAAAATGGGGGGAGTATGCGTGTCGGCAGTAAGTGCAGAGTTAATGGACTGCTGCGAAGATGGATACAAGATATACTGGGTGAGAATTACTGACGTTGTTTGGTGATGAAATGTTGGGGAGAGTGAGAATGCGAAACGGTGAAAAGGGTCTCGAGGTCGACTCGGCTAATAAAGGGGAAGGAACAACGGCAGCAGCCTGCCCATGGTCAACAAATCAACTCAGAATACCGCCACCACCTAACCCATTGTAAATTATCACTTAACGCAATTACTCTCATCATTAGATTCAGATACATCAGGAAAGTGTCCCCTTTCATTACCCAGTCACCCTCTATAATAAAGTTCCACCAGACATAACTTTTCTTATTTTGCAATCTAAGTCTCCACATGATCACCAAGCATCCCCAAATCCGGCAGCAGCACCAATTTCATCAACATTAATCAAATCCACGCCCTCCGTCATCAATTGCCTCCAAATGCCATCCCTCGTACTAATCGGCCAACCAGGTTGATCCCAGTACCGCAACTTAATCCCTTTAGCATGGGCAGTCGCAACCTGAGCTCTCAACAACGCGACCTGCGTATCATTCAGGCTCGTGCCTAGCACGGGTCCGAAGTTGACAGCGAAGTCAGTGGATGCGATGGGCGAGACGAGGGATGTGATGTTGGAGAATGTGCTGTTGAGGGTCGGGATGGGTGCGTCCCAGAAGTAGTCCCTAGAAGAGAGGGGCTGGACGAGGTTTAGGGGCGTGTTGCCGGTGCCGATCACGGTTATGGCGCCACTCGTGAAGGTGCTGCCGTTTACGCTGGAGAGGTAGCCTGCTGAGCGTCTAGAACGGTCAAAATCATGAAGCCAGGATGCGGAAAGTCATAAAAGGGGTAATGTCACATGTCGCTTGAAAAGGGGCAAACTGAGAAGGCGGTTAGGACTTACAGCGGTTCCAACGCCTTGACGACATATGGCCAAGTTGTAGGTCCATCAGTTTTCAAATCAACAAACAGATACAGCGTTTGGCCACCACTAGTATCAAAGATTCCATTATGAGTCTTTGATGCCAAGAATGTTGAATTTACCGGATTTTGGCGGTTCAAGACATCGAGAATCGGATTGATGTACAGAGATGCGAAGGTCCTGGCATTGGTGAGAGCTCCTTGCTCATGGCCAACGTGGAGAGTGCCGTTGTAGAGCCAGACATCTGCTTCGATTGAGATGGCCCCGACTGAAATTGCTGTGTAGAAGGGAACGTCTCGCCAGTCTGGTTGCTGTTAACACCCATCCTTTACATATTCCAAAGGGGTCTCAAACTTACAATCGTTATGAGAATGAATTCCTTTCTACCTCTCCAGACAGATTAGCCCTCTGGTCCTCACCTTCCCAAGACTTAAACCCCTAGCAAGGTTTTCGACTCACCGGCACAATCCCCTGCGTCAAGCTGGTAGGATACGTATAAAGCGGCCCCTGATGCGCCTTATTCAAAATATCCTGCAGACTCAAACTTAAATCCGGAGCAGCAACAACTTCTCCAAGCACCACCCCATTCCACAGCCCCAGCAGCGCGAAGCTCATGTACCAGATTGTTGAAAGCACAGCCATGACGAGGATGAGAAGGGAGCAACGATCGCAAATATGCAATTGCAAGCCTCTTTTGCCTGAATGAACTATCATAGGGAATGGGATTAAAAGATACTTATATTTTTGTGCATGGTAAAGGGAAACGGTCCCGTGCTCGAACGTAGGGAATTCAATGGATGATTGGCACGAGTTCGGATGGTCGGGTCAACAAGGTCCATTTTTTGGAGCGAAGTGACGTTGAGAACTGTGGACCTCAGCGGACCTGCAGGAGCGATCGTCAACTCGCGGTTTCTATTCTCACCTAGTCCAATTGCGGATACACGTGTTCTTGCACCTTGCGAGATGTCAGAATAGTCTATGTTGATATTTTGCATTTGTAGTGCAGGTTCATACTTTCGGATAGGGGTGAGTCTTGGCGGCGGGGCTCTCAGTTTAGAGAGTGGGATGAAATCCAGCTTCGAACCTGGGTGTAATGATGCACGTGTTGACTGTTAAAAGAACCTGAACGCTTGATTGAAGGTGGAACCGCAGCATGTGCTCTGATTTTGAACGATAGCAAATCATGATTCGTGTCGTCAGTAATACAAATATGAGTACGAAGTACACTGTTCTTTCCCATGCAAAAGTTTATCCCATAATACATCATCTGGTAACCATACCACTTTTGTATCACCAACACCCAGAAATGCAGTCCTTGAACGCCTAAGCAATACCCCAATAAACCTTATTTTGCATGAGATACGATCTCTGCGTACACATCATCTGGGATCTTTCTGATGAGTGTCAATGCTACCTCCTTAACCATTTCAGCTTGTAATGGTGGGAAGGATCGAAGGATCTTTGTAGGACTTGAATAGCGTTAGTTAAGTTCAACTAAGTTTTGAGAGTGTTTGACTTGCCTTGGAGAGCTCAATATCGAGTTCCTGAGGATTACCAACTGTGCTACAATGCACAAGATGTTGAGATGTGCGCCGTAAGCAAACAGAAAGTCCCAAAGACGTAGAACTTCCGGCAAGGGAGGTGTGCATGCACACAGAGTGAGAACTGATGGGAAAGCATATAGCTCCGCATTCATTCCCTTGCCAATCAGGTAAAGACTGAGCTTTGGGTCGACAATTGCCAGTACTTTGTCCACCAGCGCAAGACCTTTGTGTACCCCATCCATAGCACCACGAACATAGCCAGGGCATTCATATGTGATGAACCGGTGGAAGGCAACAAATGCTTCGGCTTCGCTTCGTGCAGCATAAAGAAACGGTGCTGCCAGCACGTTCATGCCTTGAACATATGTGCCAGGTTCCGAAGCTCCAGCATCTGATCCCTCTGTGGTCAAAGTCAAAGCCCGCGCTCTTGACTTCATAGCTGGCGTCGAGGTTTGCAATTCAGGGCTACCGTGCTCATTTGCGGTATGTGTAATCTTCCCAGCGTTTGCAAGACTCTCTGCGCGCCCCTCCTTCGCATCATGTAATTTCCAAGCCACCGCATTGAGCAGTCGGATGAGACTGGCTTCACTGACGCGTCTTCGAAAGAGGGGATCTGTTGCCAATGTTCGGAATGTATCGTTTCGGATCTTGGAGTATGCTGGCGAAGCTCCTCGGTGGATGAGCGCGAGGTAGGAGTCTGTTTCGAGGACAGGCGCATTGAGTAGAATGAGCCATACGTAGATGCGGAGTGAGGACTTTCAGACCGTTAGCAATTGATTCTACAGAATACACCTAGTACTTACCATGCCATCTGTGTCGCTCTTAATTCCTTGGTCTAAGATCTTCAGTCTCGTGCTCTCCAATGCGCTGAGCAGGTCTCCATCTGGAGGACCGTCCCTGATGAGTCGATCTAGTGACAGCGCATCCGCAAGTATGGGTCTCTTTCCAGCTGCCGGCCGTCGGCTTGCCGATCCTGGATTGGGAGGTGTCATGTTCGTGGCATCACTGTTCGATCTTCCTCGGCTGTGAGGTGGTAGTGAAGGATTGTTCGCTGGGGAAAGGTTCCGTTGGAGAGCTTGTTTATGTTGTTGAGTGATCAGTGATGGCTGATGAGAAGATTGCCCCAGAGTATGGGCCGACTGCAATCGTCGCAGAGCGCGATGTGTACGAGGAGACGGCGGGTCATTGAGGGGTGTTGAGTTTGGCGGGGCTAACTTTGGAATAATGCTCTCTTTAGTCGGCGAACTAGACATGGCGAACCTGGCTGAGTGAGTACTTGCACAGAGGATACTCTCTACATTTGGTAATGAAATTGATCACGAATCACGATCGACTTTACAAGTTCAAGTTGAGAAATATCTCCGTGATTGTAGAATGCCATTGTCTTCGAACCCGAGGCTGAAATCTCACCCAGCAACCGACGCGCCTCAGATCGCGTCTGCGCGTTTTCTCCATCCGCTCGGTTGATCGAGCAAACTTTTACCCAAATTTCATCATGAACAGCCAGCAATGTATCAAAGCACGCCATTCGAAATCTCAACTTGTGTATTTGTCAATTGCCTTCGGGTAGACAAGCTCAGAGCAGCATTGAATGAGTTCAAGTGGGGTTGGTCACGTGATATGTACGCTGTGCTCTGCTAGGTGCAGCTCAGTTATTACTCTGGGAGTAACGTACGTAATACTTGTACTTCAATCTTCATCCTCAAAAGACATGTGTCTATATATGACAGTTGTGTCTTTCAGAGCAGATCAAACGCGCAAGACCTTGTTTTTATTCTACTAAACATCCCTCCCGCATTCTCCAGCATGAACCCTTCTGGCAGAAGCTTCTCTGGCTCCTCTGTCTCTCTGGCTGTGAGAAGTTCAATGCCTCATTGCCTCCCGTCTCCCATTTCAACCAAAAATCATACCACCCCGGCACAGCCTTATTCAATACCACGCTCCTCGCGGCTGTCTTTCGAACTCTCTCACCTACCATATTCACAAATATTTCGAACCATGCGGATGGAATCCACTCTTCTAACTCACTGGTATCAAAATCAACAGACATAGATCTTATTGAAGTGAAAGGTGTCCACCATACCGGGAACAAGGCTTGAATGAACGTTCGAGTGTGCGGGAACCAGGCTCCACCAACAAGTGAACGGACTGGAGAGTTTTGAGGCGCTTTGTGACCGCTGCGAGATGACCAGGTGCCATGATAAAACCCTTTTCTCCCCTAAAATGGAGTCAATATCGTTAGGGGAGGAGCAACAAAGACACAAATCCTTACTTTGGCTCACACCACACTATCTCGAGCCTTTCAACCCATCTCGTTGCCTTATTCGAAAGTTTCTTAATTTTTTTCAGATATTGTCTTTATTAAGACGGAAGACCATTTCCCCGTAAAATATCTCTACGAGCTCGAGGTATAGTTCGTGCTCCGTGCACCAGCCTCTGAGAGCGATAAATAAGATCTGGCATCTCGCATTCCGAGTCGTGAAAGAGCAGTTTTGTGAAAATCATTTCTCGCAGTTCGTAGGGGAGGGTTTTGCTCATAAAGTGAAGTGTTGGTCGAAGACTTGGTGAGGGCAAGAAGAGAAAGGGCTCCATTTGAATGAGTACCGGTAGATCTGAACACTCTGCAAAATTATTTGAAGTAGGTTTTCACTTGACAAGCGTGAAAATAATATTGAAGATACCCCACAGATTTGCAGTACAACGAATTGTGGAAATAGCATTCAAATCCTCGGGTTGTGGTTTTTTGAACAAGTCGTTTAGGAACCACAAGTAGAAACGGGAGCTTTTCTTCTTACAAAAGGCGATATATGAAGATGCAAGAAGCCATTCCAAAGGGCATAGAAGTGACGAGCAGACAACAGTGTATCAAAGATGCTGTTCGAAGTTTCAATACTATTTTCAATGTGTTTCAGGATGGCAGCTTCACCTCAAACAGTTTCCCCGCTTCTTCACGTGAAGGTAGTCACGTGAATATATAATTTGAGTCTTCTGACTTCAAGCCTTGAACGTTTCTCATTTTATATACAGAGCCGCCAGACATACCGGAATTAAGAGATGACATAGACTGTATTCGAGTCATGAAATTCTTCTATCAAAGAGACAACAATAGCATCTTGGCAAATGGTGGTCCCCAACACCTGACCTCACCTCTGACTGCAAAACCTTAAAAACATATTCTGGGTTCTTTCGTCTCTTAGATGACGGGGTGGCGTTGGATGTCGTCGATATCAGACGCGTATGGTCCAGGGGTTGATCCCCGCGCCCAGCTCATGACGAGCTCAGTTCAAGGCTGAGATCGAAACTCGACGTCGACTCGCGCTGGCAGATTGTGAGGTAATAGGATGCAGAGATTGAAACTCGAAACTCAAATCTCCGTGGGACTCGCGGTCTGGACGGGACATGGCAGTAATAAATAAGTGTCGTAAAAAGCGGGCATCACTCTTGGAGAGATGGAGCAACAGCTCCAGGCGGGTGTCGACCCGGCATGTCGTGCTATTTGGCGTTCCCCCCTGCGAATGATGCCATCGGGGGATTATGCTATTGGCTGTGCACGCGAGCTCTCAGGGGGGGCGAGCTCCGCGCACTTCAAGCCCCTGCTGCAGCTTGAGCTCGCCAAAGAGGCGAGGCTGCGAGAGGAACGCAAGAACCCGCAACGGATCACCCCCAGATAAGGGTGCATCCATGTCGATGTAGCTACAGTATGACAAACGAACGAGACCGAGGACAAGCCATTACGGGGTAGGTAGATATTGGATATTGGAAGGGAAGTGTGTCTTCAAGGCCACTCGCTCTCTCTCTCTCTCGGGTTGTTCTACCGAGCCTCTGGAACCTTTCCGGCGGGGCACCTTTTTTGTGAGAACTAGTAGTCCCTTGGTCGCGATGGCGTGCTCGAATATGAGCAAAATGATCGACCACCAAAGGTCAACCAAACGGCAACATCCCCACGCCGGCCCACGCTGACGAGTGACAAGCACGAGCGAACTGACAACCCGGCAAGGACCCTCGTGCACATTATTCACATGCACCTGCACCTGCCCCTGCCCAGATGGACGGGAATATGAATCTGAGCTGGTCACCCTGGCACCCGGGCATCAAAGCTTGTTGCATTGCAGCTGCTTCGAGGAGCTACGGGGTACGGAGTACACAGAGCCACCCTCGCGAGCATCCTCGCATCATCGCGTGCTCCGTGTTCTGCCATTTTTAATTCGTCCCGTCCAACTCCCGCCGCTACCGCTCTGGACCTTACGAGTTACGCAGTGGTCATACGCTACACTATCATAGCTACCTGATGCCATCCCTACCGGACCTTCCAGAACTCCCATCTAATCCTCCTTAGAGGTGTTGAAATTTTACGAGAACAAACGTGACGCTACACAAAACGTGGTTACTGCGTCGGGGCGCTCCCCGTTTAACGACTGAGGCTTTGCATTTTGTTCCTCTAGAATCTTGCATCAGCATCTCAGAAGCAGCATTCTTGCACTTCGTTTGGACCTTTCTACACCCATCTCCAATCACGACTTTCGCCTTCCAACCAGACCCCGCCTGGGGAAGCACGCAATTTATTGGTGGCGCCCTGCAACCCTCTAGAAGTATCTTGCCCTTTGCTGTCTTGCAGAGCCATTTTCTCAGGCCCGTCCCCTTCCTTTCTTTTGCTGGAGCGTTCTTCAACGGCCAACCCAGTGCTTGGATCCGCTGGCACGCGCCCAGGAAACCTGGTCTCTGAGCTCCCGCACCCACGGCGGCGGTTCTCCCAGACGAGGGCTATATCAGCCTGCCTCCCTCCCTCCCGCAGAACGCGAGGCCTGATTAACCAGCATCCTGCAGATCGCCTGTCAGTTCCTCTGGCGGCGATCTACCGCGGACCAGCTCCCTGTCTGTTAACTACCATCGGCCAGCCCTCCGAGGGCAATACTTGAACACTCACCCTTCAACGTCACGTTCGGCATCTGAGAGGGACTTCTTATTACCAAGGCCATCCCGTCAATTTCGACCTCCTTCGCAACCAGTCGTCGAGATGGCAGCTAACAAGGTTGGACGTGCTCTTGCCAAAGGTCTCGGTATCAAGCTCAATTATCGGAACGAATTGAATGACGAGATCCGTCGTGGAGAGTCTGTCTTCTCAACTACAACAGCCGATACTTATGTGGAAGAGGAACCGACAACTTTGGAGTGGTTCCATGATGTTCTCCCATCCGGCCATGAGTTGGTCCAATATACCCGTTCTTTGTTTCCATTCTTAAACTGGATCGGTTCCTACAACCTTCAATGGCTAGCTGGTGATCTTGTAGCCGGTAAGCAACCAACCTCATGTCCCCCCCCCCCACATTCTAAGGTTACTAGGTATCACCATTGGAGCCGTTGTAGTCCCGCAAGGCATGGCATATGCTGTTCTGGCCAACCTGAAACCTCAATTTGGATTGTACTCATCTTTCATGGGTGTCTTGATTTATTGGTTCTTTGCAACTTCGAAGGATATTACCATCGGTGTAAGTCATAAAAATCCATTCATCCAGATCAAAATCTAACTTTTGGGAAGCCTGTCGCTGTGATGTCGACCATCGTTGGAAATATTCTTGTGAAGGCGGCCAAGACTAACCCCGATGTTCCTGGACATGTCATTGCTTCGTGCTTAGCTGTCATAGCTGGATGCATTATTGTATTCATCGGCCTCATTCGATGTGGCTGGATTGTCGACCTCATTCCCCTAGTCTCAATCTCTGCATTCATGACCGGATCTGCCCTTAACATTGCCGTCGGTCAAGTCCCAACTCTCATGGGTGTCGCGTCGTACTTCAACACAAGAGCTGCGACCTATTTGGTTGTTATCAATACGTTGAAGAACCTTCACCACTCAACGCTAGATGCTGCTATTGGGCTTACATCTCTCACCATGCTTTATCTTATTCGAGGAGCTTGCAAATTTGCCGCGAAGAAGTTTCCATCTCGCCAAAAAGCAATCTTCTTCATTGCAACACTTCGAACTGCTTTCGTCATCTTGCTGTATATCTTAATCAGTTGGCTGGTTAACAGGCACCACCGGAAAAAGCCCAAGTTCAAGATTTTAGGAACAGTTCCCCGAGGTACGTTATGTCAAGTGCTTTCTGATCACGGGTCTCTAACAACGTTGCGTAGGTTTCCAAAATGCTGCCGTCCCGACCGTCAACAAGAGTATCATCAAAATCTTCGCGAACGACTTGCCATCAACCGTCATTGTTCTCTTGATTGAACACATTGCGATTTCGAAATCATTTGGCCGTGTCAATAACTACATCATCAACCCGTCTCAGGAAATGGTTGCCATTGGTGTCACAAACATTTTGGGACCATTCCTTGGAGCCTATCCTGCCACTGGGTCGTTCTCTCGAACGGCTATCAAGTCAAAGGCTGGAGTGCGCACTCCGTTTGCAGGCGTGATCACTGCTGTGATTGTACTTCTCGCCATCTACGCCCTCCCCGCCATGTTCTTTTACATTCCCAGTGCTGCTCTCTCAGCTGTTATCATCCATGCTGTCGGCGACCTCATCACGCCACCCAACACTGTCTACCAGTTCTGGCGAGTCTCTCCGGTCGAGGTACCGATTTTCTTTGCAGGAGTATTCGTCACTGTTTTCTCATCGATCGAGAACGGTATCTATACTACCATCTGCGTCTCCGCCGCCATCTTGATATACCGAATAATCAAAGCCAAGGGCCGATTCTTGGGCAAAATCAAAGTCCACTCTGTTGCTGGCGATTCTATCATCGGTAATTCTGGGAAACCTATTCTCGCCGACCATGGCAACTTCACCAAATCTGGAGGCGCGCACGAGGACGCATCAACTCGCAATGTCTTCCTACCAATTGATCATGGCGATGGCTCCAACCCTGACGTCGAAGTCTCAGTGCCCTACACAGGCATCTTCATCTTCCGCTTTTCCGAAGGCTTCAACTATCCGAACGCCAACCACTACCTGGATCAATTGACCAACCACATCTTTGCCACCACCCGCCGAACAAACCTCGACCACTACGACCGCCCAGGAGATCACCCATGGAACGACCCTGCGCCACGCGGAAAGAGGAAGAAAGCTCTGGTGGCAGAGCAAGGCGACCGCCCGACCCTGAAAGCCATCATCCTCGACTTCAGCTCCGTCAACAACGTCGACATCACCTCAGTCCAACAGCTGATCGACGTCCGCAACCAACTCGACCGATACACCGCCCCCTCTGTCGTCGACTGGCATTTCACCTCCATCAACAACCGCTGGACCAAGCGCGCCCTCGTCTCCGCCGGCTTCGGCTACCCCAGCATTACCGAGAGCGACAGCAGCCTGCACCGCTGGAAGCCCATCTTCAGCGTTGCAGAGATCGGCGGCTCCGACTCCGCCGCCCAAGTTGCAGAGAACACCGCCAACGAGAAGGAGTTGAAGGCGGCGAGAACGCTAGAGCAAGAGCGCCCCTCCCATGGCGATGGTATCCATGCTGATTCGGACAGCGGTTTGTCGAGCGGCGATATGAAGGGCGTGGCTGTCAAGGCGTCAGGCCGGGTTGCGGTTGTGCATGGTCTCAACAGACCTCTGTTCCACATCGATCTGACCAGTGCGTTGCAGAGCGCCATTGCGAATGTACAGGCGAGGGATGAGTTTGAAGGTCGTGGTGGTCCAGGAATTGGCGAAGTGCCATGATGAGACCTTTTGTTTGTCGATCTTTTTCGGGATTTGAATATGATACCTCCTCATAGTTAGTACCTTGCCATCTAGGGATTTCAATATTTGGACACCCCTTATTTGGTTAATTAATTTCTTCACAAAAACATATCACAGAAGCAGAATGTAAAGACCAATATGTGTGGTGTCAAAACCATTGGTATTTTTTTGACGCTATTGCGAACTGAATGCGCTGCGAAAGACCTCCGAAGAGTTTCTCATGATTCACAACCCGCACTAACTCCACGCTTGAAAACCCCATGGTTCCATTTCCAAATTTCCACCTCTCGCAGCTCGTTGCAATACAGAGATTGCAATCTAACATGATCCATCATAACATATAGTCCTCCATCCTCCTAAGTTCCATAATCATCTTGCCACGCTTGGGATGAACGCATCGGCGGGTAGTTTGTCCTGATGAAATGTTAGTCTGACTGGGCATAGAAGTTGTTGATGCAAATAGACATACCTTGTTCGCAGTGAACGTAATGAAAGCCTGCTCAATATTCCATCTAGTTTCTGTCAAGCATAGATTGGCGTACGCTGGTGTCATTCCTGTCTTCTCTACAAGTTGCATTGTGATAGCCTCTCGCTCTTGCTGCTCAGGGTCGCTCGTTCTGTGTGTTTCTGGAGAGATTGATGATATCTGAGGCAGTGCAAGAGGTGCCCAGGGTCGAAGAGTGAGCATATCGCTGACGACTCTAATTTGTGGACCTCCTGGCGCTCCAGGACCCAAGATGAAGGTTCTTGAAAAGCTTCGAAGAGACTTCTCCGTTGCTGATTCGGTTTGCTCCTCGAATTCGCCATGCATGGTGATAATGAGGCCGTCTACTCCACGAACGCTTTGGTTGGAGGGGTCGACTAGGCCGGGTAGAGGGTGACACTCCATGAGATACTTGTCCGCATTTGACTCCAACTCCGGATGGCGAGAAGCGGGTAAGGTAGACCAGACTTGTTGGATTGCTTGAGACCCCTTGTATCGTCGAGCCATTCTTGCGTTAAGATGTGTTATTTTCGTGAAGTTTCGTGAATGTTTGAAGTACGCAGTCCAAGGTTGAATTGGCATGCTGTGCTCGTGGCTTCTTGGCGCGGTCAGATTGAGAGATAGTGAGTAGACTGAATGGGCGTCGTAAAATGTTTCAAGGAGTGCGTTACGGTCATTGTCGTAGAGCGGAAGAAATTGTCTGATGAAGTTCTCCCCGACTTGACTGACATCACGGAAGTCCGGTCCAGCGATTGGAATTGGCGATTTCTTAACTTCGGCAGCTGCTTTTGCAGCAGCAACGTCTTCCGCGGTCCTGAGCGTGACCCCATTCACAACTTGAAGATTTGGGTAGCGTTTCAGCAACTCATCCTTCAGGGTTGGTTGAGATTCGATTGGATTTCCAGTGAGGACGAGGTTCTCCAGATGTCTGAATTTCCAACGCCAGGCATTCAAGCCTTTAATTTCGGCAAATTTGTTTCGAGAAAGGTCCAGGTTCTTGAGATCCGGGAATGTCTGTGCCAGCGTAGTGACAGCAGACACATCAGCTAGTTCGTTGTCCGCGAGGCTCACACTGACAATGGCGTCTCGTTTCTCTTGTTGGTTCTTGAAGAGTCCATCACAAACAACCATCATGGCTGGGAAAACCTTCGACGTAGTTGTAGATCCATCAAAGACACCCATCTGTCGAAGTCCAGTATCGAGTGCGAGAGCTGACAGATTGAGTAGCTTGAGATTGGCGTCATATCTGGCAGCGAGAACAGCTCGGAATCGATCCTTGGCTTCCTGTGCCTCTTGAGAGACGGTCTGTTTTTTCTTCTCGCCCGATTTTCCAGCTTGGGGCGAGGGTGGGTCGCAGGCTTTGACTGACAGTACTGAGCCGGCGAAAGTGAACTTGTCCAGCTTCTGAATCTGTTCTATATCATCTGGGCTGGCCGTGATAATGACGGAGTCACCCTTCATAGATGACTATTTCGACGTTAGCAAGGTAAAATACCTTGGAATCGATCGCGGGTCACGGAGCGGTATAGCGCGGGATGTCGATCCACGAGTCGCAGTTGGTGATTGGCTTGAACTCGAGTACAATAAAACAGCGACGGTGCATGAACCTCGTGATCCCACGATCATATCATTAAACATACCTTCTTGATCTTAACAGTCCTGTTAGATTTGGCGTCTAGTCCACTTGCTTTTCGTTCTAGGAATCCTAGGAGGCTCTCGAGACCTCCGTCGGGGTTTGATGCGGCCTTGCTGGAAGAGAGTCCGTCGATACGAAGTGATGTAGGTCCCACAGCGGTGATTCGCGATTCCAAGACGGTGGCCTGTTTTGATTCCATACCACGCAAAATGGCTTGTGCTCGGTGAAGGCCATGATTTCCACCTCTGCTTGAGCCCGAATTCGTTCGTCCGGTGCCCAGAGGCTTCGAGGCAGCCCCCCCTTCGATGCGCCCCCTGCCAACTCTCCCCTTGCCACCAGTGGCTCCAGCATCCATTACCAAGTCTCCATCCTTATCAACTCGAGCGGGGCCAGCACCCCGACGCTTCTGAATGCCTCCCCGTGGGCCACCTCGTACACTGGGAGATGCGCCCCGCGGGCCTCGCGACGGCGCAACCGCAGCACGTTGCATCATTTTGCCTTCGGTCAAAGTTCGATCGGTCGTGGAGGGAGTGTGGTTTCGAGATCGGAAATGTCGGAAGGTCTTTGGTGGGGTTCGACGATCAGATCATTTGTTGCAATTTCGGTGTTCTCGTGAGGGAAGAGCGAAAAGATTGAATAGGGAAAAGATTGCTCTGATATGTATCCGAAATGAGGGTGTGAATGAGAAGTCGAGGGAGGTTGTTGAAGGTAGGTGATCGTGGGTGGAGGAAGAAGAATCGAACAAAGAAATGGTCGGCCAAGCAAGAGTCATTGTAGCCTCGTCACAATAGGAAACCGCGCTAGTATTGTGGCTGAATGAACTGAGGCAGCAGCGATTCGAGGCACGTGACTACTTTCTGGTGCGCTGGGCATTTCAACCAATGTCACCCCTTCGGACTCTTTTGTGCTTTTGGATAAGTACTTAGCAAAAGTATTTCTAAGGTGTTGTTAGAAATAAACTGGATGAATATGCTCAATTTTCAACCGTAGATTATCATAAGGTGAAGATACCAGGACAGCTCGATTGTTCCAGCTCCCTGGTCTTGCGCACGGACTGCAAGGTACCGACCACGATCCCAGAGCTCTCGGCTGTGGACACGCCTTATGGACAGATTTCCCTCGAGATAGAGATAAATCTATCTCCGGCTGACACGCACCACAACTTCAACGCGCAAAGCCTTGTGGTCCTGCAATTGCAATCTTTTCACTTCATACTCCAGCCAGTTGATCTTCAATTATCTTAATTTATGCATTTCTAAAAGTGACATTGCAATCGTTGCCGCGAGGCTCAGCTCCCCTCAGGTCACTCATACCTCTGCATTCAAACTCACCGATCTGCAATCATGCCTGCGAAATCGAGATTTACAAGGCTGGATGCTTTTACCAAGACTGTCGATGAGGCGAGAGTACGAACAACCTCGGGAGGAATTGTCACGATAGCTTCGCTGCTTATCGTCCTGTACCTGGCGCTGGGGGAATGGAGGGACTACAGAAGGGTGGTGGTACATCCCGAGTTGATTGTTGATAAAGGGCGAGGTAAGATTATAATGGAAAGAGGGGCAGCTACAGCCATAGCTGACTCGATTGTTCTACAGGAGAAAAGATGGAAATACATCTGAACATCAGCTTTCCCCAGATCCCTTGCGAGCTTCTCACACTTGACGTGATGGACGTTTCCGGAGAACAACAGACTGGTGTCATGCACGGCGTCAACAAAGTCAGGCTGGAGTCCGTAGCCAACGGAGGTGGGGTCATCGATGTCAAATCTTTGGACTTGTAGGCACTTGGACACACCTCGTGGAAGAATTATTGCTGATCTCGTACAGGCACGAAGGAGCTCCGCATTTGGACCCTGATTATTGTGGTGGCTGTTACGGCGCGAATCCCCCGGCGAACGCACAAAAAGCTGGCTGCTGTAATACTTGCGACGAAGTACGAGAGGCATATGCAGGTGTATCGTGGGCTTTCGGGCGTGGTGAGAATGTGGAGCAGTGCGAGCGAGAACACTATGCAGAACGCTTGGATGCTCAAAGACATGAAGGATGCCGTATTGAAGGAGGTATCCGTGTGAACAAGGTCGTGGGCAACTTCCATATTGCACCTGGACGGAGTTTTAGCAACGGCAACATGCACGTACACGATTTGAACAACTATTTCGATACTCCGGTTCAGGGCGGGCATGTCTTCACGCACACTATCCATTCTCTTCGCTTTGGACCTCAACTGCCTGAAGAAATAACAGCAAAGATGGGCAAGAAAGGAGAGCTGCCCTGGACCAATCACCATCTCAACCCTCTGGATGATACCCACCAAATCACTAATGAGCCAGCGTACAACTTCATGTACTTTGTCAAGGTCGTCTCCACATCTTATCTTCCTCTAGGATGGGATAGTAAATCGAACAGCAACCCAGATGATGGCATTCTCGGAAAACTTGGGCATGGTAACGATGGCAGTATCGAAACGCACCAATACTCTGTCACAAGTCACAAGAGAAGCTTAAATGGTGGAGACGATGCTGCTGAAGGTCACAAGGAGAAGCTCCACGCACGTGGTGGTATTCCAGGGGTGTTCTTCTCATATGTAAGTCAATATCAACTCTATGCCGCACGAGACTAACATTGTTTAGGATATCTCGCCTATGAAAGTGATCAACCGCGAAGAGAGAACGAAGAGTCTGACAGGTTTCCTCACCGGGTTGTGCGCAATCATTGGTGGTACTTTAACAGTTGCCGCAGCAGTTGATCGTGGTGTGTATGAAGGAGCAACCAGACTGAAGAAGCTGCAGTCTAAAAATTTGTGAAAATGAATGCTTTCTCGTTTAGGGTTTCGCATGGAATGGAGTTTAGAGGCTTTGAATATAGGTCAATATGAAAAGATGAACAATGTCTACACTTGCCCCCTGAGTGTGGCCATGTGATGTGCAGAGACCGCTGAAACCAGCGCAATATGGCGTACTCTCCAACCCCCCCAACCCTAACAATCCTCCTTTCGTGATTTTTCCGACTTCTCTCGCTTGGTCAAGTCGACTCAGCCTACATCGCCTCCTGAATGCCAATGTCAACAGACATGACATTCTGCACTCCAGAATTCAGAGCCTCGCAGTTGGAAGATGAGATCTTCATCAACAATGTGTGGGAATGTTTGGATTAAACCAAATTTCTCCTAAATGCCCAAGTAAGAACAAGCATCTCGCGAGGAAGGACAAGGTCCCTTCCCATAGTGCTAGGACATAGAGTTTTCCTTCTTTTATAAAGGTGATTGATTTACAATGGTCGCCTCGGAACGCTTCTGAAGCCACAGAACTCACCAGTACCTCAAGCTGCAATATATATCTCATTGCCCAGAAGATACTCCAAGGCGCACGAACTTCGTGAAGGAGGTTGGAGTTTCCAAGTCATGACTTCAACAATCAGCCTCGCTGGCTATCCCGTGGGTCGAAACCCGAGTTTTGCCACCCTCAAAAGTAGGTCGAGCAGTTCAAGATTTGTGGCGCAAAGGTAGCACCACGATCTCTTTCCATCATCATTGAACGAACGGCAGACAGATCAGGAAAGAAGACCACTTATCGTTACCTGAATTAAGAAGGTCAAGATTTTGCAGTTGGCAGAGCTGAAGAAACAGGATCGTGCTGCATGTTCTTATTGGCTGTCATGATCGAAATTGGAAGCCCTAATACCCCATGATTTCAGCCTCGAGAACTCACTTCTCTTGATAGCAGTCGGTCAAAAGCCGCGGTTGCGCAGCACGAACGCCTCGTCCAAAATAGGAGCTGGAGCTGACGAGCTTGCGGGAGATGTTATTTTTGCCACCAACACCACTTGACATCTGTTGAAAAGGTTCTGGACTTTTGGGTGAACCTTCAAGCGGGAAAGTTGCGGGTAGATCGACCTTAAAAGTCCCCTCGGCTCGCTCGCGTCCACTGTCTTAGTGTGGAGCAGTCCCTGCGTGCATGCGTTGCAGCGATGCAGCGAGGCATGTGGGACGATGCCAACCTTGGACAGAAAATATATGATCCCCAGCAATAGCATGCAGAAGAGACGAAAATAATCAACAGGCATTGCAGTTGACATCATGACGCACATGAATCCATACAAACGATCCACAGCGGTTTCCACGGGTTCCACGCTGGCCTTCTCGAATCCTATGAATTCGTGAATAATCCATCGACCGACTTTCCAAGTGCTGGTCGGTGATTATGCTGCCCAAAGAAGCTTAGAGGACCGGAGCAGTAGCCCCCTAATGCAGGCCAAGGCACGGGAAAAGCGCAAGATGGCCTGCTCCATGTCCCTCACCTCACCCTTCCCCAGTATTTTCAGGGGCGAGCGAATAACGTCGCAGCGCAAGGATATTTTAAGATCCTGTTGGCCTCTGGCTGCCGTTTTGCCCAGGCAAGCATCGTGATGAGCGGCGGCCACTGTTATTGGCTGCTGGGCAAATTCTCGTGATGTCCGCTCGCTGCTTGGCAGAGCCCGGTCGCTCCCCTTTCTCCCTTTGCTTTTGCTGAGCATCTTGGATCTTGGATAGGGATGGGACATGTTTATGGTGGCCGCCCCAGGATCTAATTTCCATCATTCCTGTTGACGCTGCCAGGAGGCGCAAAAGCAGTGCACCAATCCGAATCCAGGCCACCCAGACGACATCGACACCACGTCGCACCCCAGCTCTTCGCCGTCAAAACTCGAAACAAATATTAATCACCCAACCCTCCGATCAATCACTTCTTGCCTGCGCTCCCAATTGCAGGCGTCGCATCCAGAGCGACCTCGCGGCCATCGCCATAACTGCTTCGCCACTCCTTTGACCGAATCAAGAAATCGATACTTCTCCACGATCCTTCCAGCTCCAGCTCCTTCACTTGGCATACTCAGCCGCCGTCGACCCTCGAATTGACCCTCAAACACTTCGACGCAAAACACATTCATTTTCTGCAGCCACAACGTCCGACCGAACATCCTGGCCAAACCTGTAACTGATATTTCCTTCAACAAACTGTTTGATTCACAGACTCGTCCGTCAACAACATTCGCGATCATTACCACGACACATAAGGGCCTAAATTTGGATTAGGGAGGAGCACGCGTTGGATTCTACCGTGGTCAGCGGTCTCATACGATGGCCGGCAGACCGAACTTCCTCGACCTACGATCGCAATCGCATGGACCGCTTGGATCTGGATTGCCGTCGCCGAGAGATCGTCTTCATGTCGCAGGAGAGATACCACCGGAGCTTTCTCCTCTCGATGCCTTTGCGGCACAGAGTCGACTGCTAGCGAAGCAGCTGGAGGAGACTGCCAATGGAGGGAAGCGCGCGAGCAGGTTACCACCCCTCACCATTAATTCTTTGAGTCAAGGCAGACCAGCATATTTCCGTTCTGTATCAGGAGAGCCAACGACTCCGCTATCGCCAACAAGTCCTGGGTCGGGCTTGAAAACTGAAGTGGAGACACCTGGGTTCCGACCAGTTTCTGTACATCCCACACTCAGCGACTTGCGACCTTCAGAACCACAACCTCCAGTTCCACGACTCCCCCGGCGTGATGATGAAGAATTCCGAGGACGAAGGCCACCAGGCAATGAGCCTGGCTTCTTTGGCGCGAGACAGGATCAATCTCCCCCTTCATTGGAGAATGATCCCAAACCACGAAATACGGATAGACCCTCTCATTTACAACCACAACCTAGCAATGATTCCATGCAACAGCGACATACCTCTCTCCGACCTAACGACGAATCTAGAATGAATGGTTATGATTCAAGACTGGCACCACCTCGATCGCCGTTCGCGCAGAGGACCCCAAGCCCGAGATCAATGTCTATGGATAGCTCAGACGATGATTCCGGTAATACATCCAACCCGCGACCCAATATGTCACCGCAACGGAAATTCTCCTCTGGAAGTGGCTTCTCAACATCTCCAATATCACCCCAAATGTACATAGGGAGGTCGCCATCAATAGGCTCAGAGATATCCGCTGGTGGCACTCGATTACCAAGACCTGCTTTCAACTTTTCTCGGCCACTGAGCCGAGCAAGTTTGAATGGATTGCCAATGGATATTCCTACACGGCAGGCATCTGGGGATAGCCAACCTTCATTTATTCTAGCAGATGATACCGCGCATACACCCGTCAGTATGCATAGCGAAGGCTTCCCGGACAACACTGCCGAGTCAGGAGCTGCGCCTTCTTATGTTTATTCGAAATTTTCGTTGCCAAGAGGGAAAATGCTGCAACGGAACTCGTTGATATTTCAGGAAGGACTCTCGCAGTCACAATACTCTTGGGAACAGCCGGTGCCATTCAGCAATGTTCAACCATTTGGTGGACCTCCGCCCTCACCTCCATCCAGACCATCTACATCCTCTTTAAGACCAGACGCTCTTCACTCTCGTCCTTCTTTCGATCCTGACCGGCCATCACTTGACCCAGGTAGACCCTCACTCGATCCTGGAAGACCATCACTCGACCCTGGACGACCTTCACTTGATCCGAACAGACCATCGCTTGATCCAAGCCGACCTTCAACAGACACTGGACGGTCACTTTTTGAGCGAGGCCGTACGCTTACAGACCCTACTCGCTCCTCCAGTGAACGTCCGTCGTTTCTAAGGGGAAACACATCAACGGAACCATCATCTCCATCTGTTGCTTCTTCATCCACAATCAAAGCTAGATCCCAGCACTCTTTTGCGCCGTCAGCAGACTTGTCACCGGAAGAGCATGTTACCAAAGCAATCGAGTATCACGAGGCAGGCGCCTTAAATAAGTCCACTTACCATCTCCGTCTCGCAGCAAGACAGAACGACCCCACCGGAATGCTCCTGTATGCACTCGCCTGTCGACATGGCTGGGGTATGCGACCCAACCAACGAGAAGGAGTTGCATGGCTCAGAAAAGCTGCAGACTCTGCCAGTCTTGAAGTTGCCGACGATGAAGATTTAATGAAGGAGGGGAAAGCCGTCGATTTACTAGAGTTGAAGACAAGAAAGGCACAGTTTGCGTTGAGCATTTACGAGTTGGGAGTCAGTCATATGAACGGATGGGGAATCGAGCAGGACAAGGTTCTTGCTTTGAGGTGTTTTGAGATTGCTGGCTGTAAGTTATTCTATCATCTGGCTCTGTCTGAGTTTATATACTAATTAAAAACAGCCTGGGGAGACGCCGATGCGCTAGCCGAAGCAGGCTTCTGCTACGCCCAAGGCGTAGGCTGCAAGAAGAATCTCATGAAGAGCGCCAAGTTCTACCGCCAAGCGGAAGCCAAAGGGATTAGCATGATTGGCAACAGTTGGTCCGCATCTCTCTTCTCTATCCATTCAATTCTTATTAACAAAATCTAGGATCTACAAAGCCAAGTACAGCGACGAAGCAGAAGGGAAGAAATCCTCTGAATCGCGGCCTTCCCCCGAAAAGGAAAAAGAGAAGAAACCACGCAACAAATCCCGAACAAGAACCATATTCGGGAGGAAGAAATCTGCACATCCCTAAGCACCACCTACCTAATGACACACTCACCTACTTTCTTCATGTTACATAGCCACAACCACGACGAGACAAGCGGGCCCGTAAGACATAACAAACAAACCTAATGACGGTGATGATTGAGAATCTGTATATTTGGCGTTTCGAGGCAGCGGGGGCGCCCAAAGTTCGTGTAATGATTTGGGGTGGTGCATTTTGGACGGCATCTTCGATGGGATTTGTGGGTGTTATCATGAGTACCTATGTACTTTTCATCTGCGCTATGCGTGATCTTCACCAGCCGCCTGCTGGGAGTGCAGGTGGTTGGTGATATTAGTGTGAGCATTGTAAAGCTAGCTAGGAAATGGCAAGCTGGATCGTTGATACCCGATTTAAGCTCAATTGTTTAGTTTTCGAGTGTCTTTGAGAGGTGAGCCTTAAAGACTGGGTTTCAGTCTTCCAAGATGTCCAAGGAGAGGTGTAATTTCAAATACCATTCTCGCGCAATTCACAGCGTCAAATCAACATTTCATTTCAAGGCCAGAGAAGCAATCACAAGACACAACTTCCAATCAGAATCGTATGTACTGTACTATGTACCATGAATTCATTCTTACAGATAAATTACAATGCCAATTCTCCAAAAGCCATACCGTGAGGTAATGTACCTAATACTAATCTAATCTCTCCCTCTACTTTTGGTATTAAAATTGCCACCCATGCAAATCGAAGGACAAAGAAAGCCGGCCCAGTAAATGACGCAACAAGGGAATAATAACAAACGCCGGGGGAAAGACGCCAACCGCAAGCGAATACTCTACAAATTTCGTACCTCGAGCATTTCTAGATAGCCATCCTCGTCATCAGCAAAACTGAGACAACGCGGTCCTTCGCTATCTTCTGGAGTAGGTTCGTTCTCGACTTTCATAGCCGGTCCTCGGACATTGGTCTCCCGGTTGTCGCTGGAGACCGCGTTATCAGATTCAAAGATTCTTCTTCAGCAGAATCCGCCAGATTCTTTTGCTCCTCCTCGACAGCTAACTTAGCAGCTTCCGCAGCCAACTGAGCCTCTGCTGACTCTTTTTCGAAATCTTCAATGGTTTGGGTAACATCGGATCTCATCTTCCGCTCTTGCCTGGGCATCATCTGCCCTTGAGGCAGTCGGGTTCCCGAAACCACTTCTGTATAATCTCGCTGCATTCTCATGAAAATCTCGTCTGTTTGAAGGCTCATCCCTTCCTCGACTTGCTTGCACATGTCTAACAACCGATTTCGAACTTCGTCGCAGCTCTCCTGGAACATTTCTGAACGAGCAGTATCGACATGACTGGCCATGTGGCTCTGCATTCTCTTGAACTGGCCTGGACCTACGGGAACTGTCAGTGAATAGATATTAAAGGGATAAGATGAGCAGTAATCTTACCGCTTTCATTTGCACACCAGTCGTAAGCAGTGGAGAGATTACGAGCAATAATGGGAGTGAACTCTCGATTTGCTTCTCTCTGCAGATTGTTGATGAGCTCGATCATTTGTTGTGAGACTTGTCTGAAAATGTTTTCGTAGTTACGAAGTTGTTGGCCAAGCAGTGCTATGCCAGCACTTCCAGCTCCGGACTTCATGCTTCGTGACTCGATCTCACGATGAAAAGCGTTCAAAAGAGATTTGGCTGCTCTGGTAAAGGACTGGAGCACTCGAGGCATCCTCTGGGCGAAGACTCTCTCCCAATGACTACCCAAATTCTTAATGATTGGCTCAATTCTGATTGAATAGGTCAGTGGTGCTTAATCAACAGAGGTCCTGTGAGTGTAGGACTTACAATTGAAAGTTGAGGTCCTGAAGGCCTTGGGCGTTTGAAAAAACACCATCACGTCTCACGATGGCTGTCAGAATTAGCACAAGACCTTCAACATTGTACCATCATGCTACCTTTGTATGTTGCCCAAAAGTAGCCACCAAGATGACGATTCTCCTAGATCGCATTGTCAGAATGTGCTTAATCAAACTGAATGTAAAATATACTGACACGATTTATAGGGCTATGCCATCTGCTTGCAGTTGCATTTGCCTCTGATATGGCACCCTCAATTAATTGCTCATATTTCTCGAAGATGTGTTCAGCTAAAGCCTCATTCATCTCCTTTAAGCAATCTTTAACGGCAGCGTAGAGAGACTTCTCCAAAGTCTTCAGTCTGAGATTCAAGAAGCGTGTTTCGGCCGCGAGCTGTGTGTCGGTCAGATTTAGTCCGGTGCCATCGTTCGCAGCCCATAGTCTCAACGAGTTCAGGAGCTGACTCAGGCGGGTGAGAAAGTTGCGGCAGTTTGAAGCTCTTCCTGCTTCGGTGAGCTTCTTGCAATGAGCTTGGAGCTGTGGAATCTCTGTCTCCGCGGTCGAGCGGAACCCTGGAACTTTGTTGTCTCGTTGCAGACGACCTCGAAGCTTCTGGTACGCACGAGAGCTAACACAGAAGACTGGTAATGAGCGGGCTACTTCACTGTAGTCTCTAAGCTCCTCATCGGGGTTGAACTTTTCTGGGTCTTCTTCTTGAGCAGACTCCATGTCGAGTTCGCGAATACCATCAGCAAAATCCCGTTGAATTGCGCTCTTGGAGTACTTGTTTCGTCCCCCGATACACAACGCACTCTGTAGAGAGAGAGTTAGCTACTGCATGATGAAACATGGTCTCGAAACTCTGGTCTGTGTCCAGCATATTTGATTACTTACCATGGCGGTTTCGATCTCTCCCTGAGCTTTCTCTGAGACCTTCAGTTCCTGATTGAGTTTCTTGATCTTGTTGTCAATTTCAATCTTTTCTTGGCGGGCTCTCTTCTTGTCATCCTTCAGTTGAGCGAGTTTGCCTTCAATTAGGTCCATTGTCAGCGGATCTCCTGTCTCAGACTCAATATCTGAATTGCTTTCGACGTCCCAGTCATTTGCGTCTTCCTCTTCTTCATCGTCGTCGTCAATGAAATCGTCCTCATCGTCGGAGTTTACTCTTGATCTCTTCGACTTCTTGCGAGACTTTGAAGGCTCTGCAGAACGCTTCCTCTTCCTCGCGGCACCCGATGGAGCGAATACCTCATTTCCATCCTCCAGTTCGCTCTTCAATTTTTCCCAGACCTCCATTCCATCCTCAGCATCGTTGATCAGTTCTGTGTACACCGCCTTTGACTCCTTCAGGTCTTTCACCGACTGCTTGAGCGTCCGCTGCTCCTTCTCAAGTTCATCGATCTTCTCCCAGTCTGCGGCCATCTCTTCTTCTAAGCCAAGACTATCGGATGCTTCGATGATTGAAATATCATCTGTCTTGGAACAAATAAATGTAATACGAGGATAAGTGCCGTCAAACTTAAGTTGACGCTTGAAGGATTCTCCCAAGAGAGACTTCGCAGCCTTGTCATCAACAGCGCGGTTTATCGGTGCCACAATAAAAAGGCCCGTGCATTGCTTCATATATCCTGAACCAAATCAGCATTAAACGGTCCCAATTTGGGCGGAGATTGGCCGACTGTCTAATCTTCGGACACTCATTCTTTGAGGCAGCTACTTGGCAGCAAGAGACATCGAACTTAGATCCGATCTCTTCACAGGAAAATCGGCGAAGAAAGAGTTATGCTCACCTGCGGCAACAGCAGCACGTGCTGCGTTCGAGTCGTGAACACCAGGTAAGTCAACAATTACTGCTCCAGTGCTTAGGGCTTCGGCTTTTGTGAAGATACGAACAACCCTAATAAGTGGCCACCATTCTGTTTGCTTCTTCTCGCCGTTTACGATCTTCTTTTTGGAGTCCGCGGTGGCTTTCTCCTTACTATAGGACCCAAGTCAATATGGGCTCGTTATATAGGATTGAAGCGGGTTCAGGGCCTGGAGTACAGAAATTGGCCGATTACTGACCTGTCCACATAATGCTGTAACGCACGATAGAAAGCTTCGGGGCTACCCTTAGCAACCTTCTTAACAGTGCCCAACACTTCCTTGATGCCAGGCTCGTTCATAAGCTGTTCCACAGTACTGGAAGCAAGCTCTTCCTTTGTCTTCTGAGGGTACACCGCTTTGATCTTTGCGTATGCGATACCTGCTTCTGATTCTGCGTTGGTACACTCTCGAGACACCTAGAATTGTTAGTATGTCCACGATTGCAGTATAGCATTGCATACCTGGCCATTGCCGTCGATCAACTCGGTCAGCGAAATACGCAGATCACGCTCCCAATCTGCAGCTCCAATGAACTCGATGTGTGCGCGATACTTCTCGTTCTCGTCTTCACTCGAATTCCAGGACATTTCTGTGACAACGGCCGTGCAGGCGCGCATGCAATTGGTGGGAACCAGACGTTCCTCTTCGAGCATAGCGTTGATCACTGAACTCTTGCCAGCCCCTGTGTTTCCGACAACACCGATAATTGTCGGCGTATCAACTTTTTGGCTCAGAAGATCATCTATTCGGAATAAGTATAAGTTCCCTATCAAGAAGAGAGCATCCTACTGATTTGTTGCGCAAAATACTGCGCGGCTTCATTCACAGACAGCATGCTTGCCAACTGAGCCTTCAGAGTTTCGAGAAATTTTTGGCTGTTCTTCACTTCAGCTTCCAACTCTTCGGGAGAGCCGTTCTCGTTGAGGTGCTGCACACGCTCATTATGTGAGGGTTTATTTGGGGACACAAGGGTCGCTGAAGCCTCAGCAATTCCACTCATTGAAGTCTCTTCACTGTTGTGAGTCTCACTCTTGACCATGCTTGTGGCAGGGATCTTAGGGGAGGGGGCGCCCGAGGGAGCGGTGAGGTTACGTCCAAGTCTGGTTGGGGTATCTCCTGCGTTGTACTGTTCAGCTTATGAACAATAAACATTGCCTAAGCATTAAAGCTACGGCGCTCGTAGAGTTTGCACTTACTAGTCTGACTTCGTCCTTGTGATCTTGGAAACATGTCCCCATTCTCGTCCTTCACTGGCACGGATGGAGAAACTGCGTATGGAGATGTGTACGATTGTTCTGCCTTGGCAAGGATGCTATCCTTAGCAACATTCGATGCGGTCAAGTTTGCTGAGACTTGAGTATTGAGGCGTTGTAGAGGGGCCCTCGAAACTGAAGGTGGTGAGGCATGGCCTGCTTCATGCGCGGTGAAGACCACGATGTTATCTTTCAAAAGATTAAGGTCCTTCATCTGGACAGCATCACCAATTGGATTGTTTGCGAGTTTGAAATCGACCTCGACGTTGGTTCTCTTGCGGTAAGCACGTTTAATTTTGGAGACGGAGTGTTTCTATAGTTGATCAACCCTGAATTCTCCCCAAAACGTCTTATACTTACGCTTTTCACCTTAAACCATAGAAAGTCCCCAGAGGAGCAATCAGTCGAGTTTTGGGTATGTTGAAGCACAGCAACAGCGAACTCGTTCTCAAGGTTGACTTCGGGCTTCAACAAGAGAGCGATAGTATGCAGGCGTTTGTACTCCGTGCCTGCCTCGAAGATATTTGGGGAAGGAGGGTCCGAACCCTCCATTGCGAACGTTGAGGTTGGAAATGGCAATTGATGCTTTCATGAACCTAGCAGCGAAGCACAAGTTTGATTGAGGTTCAGGTCTCAGTGAGGCTCAATTGTACGGAGAAGCAAGAGTTGTCGAAGACGCGCTGGATCGCGCTGAAAACACGCTTATTTAGCTCATCATGTGACTGCCCAAGCCGAGCCCGGATTTATCCGAGACAACCCCTTAAATGTTCGCTTCGGGGTCGTGGAGTCCCCGAGACGTCCGATTATTAATCTCTTCAGAGTCCAATCCAATCTTTCCGTTCACAAATTGAGCTGCATACCCAAGAATATCACACCCACCCTCTTCGCGCAAAGCCAGGGTTAAAGTGTCCCTTAAGAGTCGCACGCGTTTCCTTCTTTCCGTCCAAATCCTTGCTTCATTAACGAACACGCCAGCTCCGCCAACCAGGGTATACCAACTACCGACTGCAGGAACAACCCGAGTTCCAGAATGGCCCGTCACAGATGTGGATCTCAAGGGGTTGACCCCCTAGGCATCCCAGAAAACTGGCTCTCGGACCCTGGTGTAACTTAACATCATGTCATGGACATCCGATGTCTGAAGCCGGGGCACACGACCGTTCTCCGAATTTATTTTTCTTTCCCCTTATTCATATGATAAGCCGCAAATTTCCATACAGCCCAAGAAACATTCTAGGGCTTGCCCCTCGTGCTTCATAACGTCAAAGCAGATCAATCATGGAGGCTACCCCACCACGCTCATCTTCTTCATCATTTAGCTGGTCATCGTGGTCGTCGTCACCAAGTGTACTGTCCCGCGAGCAGCCCCTTCGAGTAGCCGTTATTGGGGCAGTTTTAGGTGGCTTAGCGCTTGGTCACCTACTCCAAAATGCTCCCAACATTCAAGTCACCATGTAAATGCAAACTTTAGGGCTGGACAGCTTATCTGGCTACCAGATCACGATGTCCCATTTTGTAACAAGGCAGCTTCATGCATCTCTTTCAAGGATATTCGAAGCGAAATTGCTCTCTGCATCGGGATTTCACCAGGGAATGCCCATGGATGGACATTTATGAAGAGGGAGCTTCCATCCCAGGAGCTTCCCTTCTCAAACGCTTACGGCCCCTAAGTTCTGGCCAGGAAATGTTCTCCTTTGACGCGGACGAGATGAAAGACTCGTCTTCCGTTTCCCTCTGGCTTCTGCGAAATACTCTTCTTCACAATAGTGGGCGTTTTGTGAAGCTCGGGAAGACATTTCAACGATACGAGAAGCTAAAGAATAGAACTGTGAATATGAACTTCGATGACGGAAATGTCAACGATTTCGACTTGCTTATTGGCATAGATGATGTTGGTTCCAAAGTCAGAATCAACTCCTCCCGAATTCGAAGGTCTCTGTTGCAGTCATATATTTCAAGATTCCATTAACTCCTGACACAAAAGCCCTTCTCCCAGCGCCTTCTGCGGTTATGGTATGAACCCGTTTCAATGTCCTGTGGCTTTATCGTTATGTGCTGAGATGAAGGTAGGCATGTACTCAGAATAACCAAAACGTCATGGTTCACTCATAGGTAAACACTCGCAAGCCATAGGCGACGAAATTTGACGATTATGAGATTGTGCCAGATGACTCGTTCATTATGATTGGTTACAGAAGTTCCGCGAAATAATTTTTGAATATCGAGAAGCCGCCAGGAAAGCTCTCCCCCAAAGAATTGAAGAAAGAATGCCTTGCACGCGTCAGATCGCTTCCCAATGTTGATCCAAAATTCATCTCTTTGAAGAGAAATGCCTTATCAGCACTGCTTATGTTCATGTTGTCAGAGACTGTAAAGCAGTCAAGCGTTGGGGCACAAGCTGTATGACACTTATTGGGGATGCAGTCTTCAAGTACTTTGCCCTTTGGCGGCGTAAGTATACCACGCTAATACTAAAAGTATCTCCAGGATGCTAGGCAAGGGAGCAAATTGTGCTATCCTCGATGCAATAGATCTGGCCGAGAAATTCGTACATCAAATCCGATCATGCCATCAACTCGATGTCATGAACTGGAGACATGTGCAGCGGAGAACGTGAAGCGAAGACTGAGAGAGCGGAAACGAAGTGGACTCATCCAGAGCTTCATCTATTTTGGGGATAACGTACTGGAGGAATTTCGCTACGAGCGGGGATTGGGTGGATCGATGACCCCCGAGCAAAGAACTTTTATTCCAGCACTCAGTCGATGACTTAATTACATACATTTTGTTGCAGTATATCCATATAACAAAGCTTGTTTTGGCAAGCGCGAGAGGGACGAGATCCAGATGGCTTCAAATAATTAGAGGAGATTCTGTTCAGTCATCCTGCGATGGACATGAGATATATAAATAAAAATTTATGGAGGGTTGAACAATGGCAATGTTGCGAGATTCTCAGTCAGTTTGCCTGGTTTATACATGTTGATGGTTCTGCTCTCGTTCCTTCAGGACTATGGAAACTGACATTCCTGAGTGCAGAGATGCCGATACTCTATTGGAGCCTTGCCAAGCTTCCACCGTTGTGGGCGAGATCGGTATCAAAATGCGAACTGAATGCCCAATTGACGATATATCCAAAACGGCCCCGAAATTTTCTTCCCCCATCTTCCCGTTTCTGAAAAACTTTATAACCTCAGAGTCATTACACAGCACTAAGTAAAGGACTTGGGGAGTCCGCTCACCAGAAGACTGAACTTTAAGTTTGACACGCTGTCGAGAGTCCCATGATGAAGTTTTGGATAACCCACACGGAAGGTTCCTGGAAATCCGAATCCATTATCTATTAGATTACCAGCCGTAAATTCGAATATATACGGTTTTGTGAAGGTTTGCCTCGGAAGGGAACGTTGCTTTATGTAAACAGTGGTCCTATCCATGCGCCTCTTTTGTTTGTCTAATATGAGATGGGACTGGGAGGACACTCGGAGAAATTGATCTTTGTAAGTTCTCCTTAGACGAGCTCCTAATGGCTTGCAATTTCTCTCACGAGAGCAATTGAGAGGGGCAACAAGCCTCCCGATACGTATGCCTTCTTCCTTCATAGGTAGCAAGTCCATACGAAGCCCTTTTTTCGTCATGGTGAACTCCCGCTTGTTAGGATCAAACAATTTCCGGACAACGCTCCCACAACCGAAAATGTAGCAGGAGATGATGCGGGCATGCCTACATTGTCACTTCCGTCAGGTTCTTGCGCCGTCCAAGCAAAAAGCGATTCGTCCTCAGACTCTTTCAAAATTTTCAGTTGCAACCGATAAAACGCTTTGCTACCTTCCCCGTATAGGTGGCATGTTCACCCCAAATGGATCCATCAAGCAGTACGCTTGATGCTCGATCCGAGTCGTTTGTCTTCGCGAAGCCCATGACATCTTCTGCGCGATACATGCGTTTTCAAACTCGTTTAAGTCTTTTACTCCCGTGATAGAGGACACAAGGCTTTCCATGCTAGAACTTGTTCCAATATCCGCCCAATCTCTATCAAGAACACAACGGATCGTGGGGTAAGAAGCTCCTGAAGTGTCCAGCCTCTGGTGAACCATTTACTGGCTCCGAAATACGGGTCTTCTCGCACATGGTCTTCTCCGATCCTCCCGCCATGCACATCACTCAAATAAGCATAGCAGACCTGCGCGTCCCGGTACCATTTGTACATAAAGCGGATAGCCTCTGAAAGCTCAGAACTACTCGTTTTGTCGATACCGTAAGAGTCGATCCAGGCGTATTCAAAACCATCCAAAGCTGCGTGAGCACAGCGCCCTGTGATCTTCGAGTATCCCGCCATTCCAGGACCTCTTCCTGTTTGCAAATCTCGGAAGATAACCCCTCGGTCTTCCCAGTGATGTGAGAGGATTGCATAGCTGGGTATGTTGTCGTCCATGGAATCATGGAGAGCGAGGGCTGAGGTGTTCAACAAACGCATGGCTAAGGATGGACGCGGCCGGATATCTCAGTCCTGTAACTATGCTTCGACGAAGATTCAGATTCGAGTGTGATTTGAGTTTGCTCTTCCCTGGCTGAACAAGAAAGGACCTGGGTCGTTAAGGGTGATAAAAAATAACGTCGCGCCTCAGCACGAAAAGCGACTTACAGTAACTGTAATCGTGATTGGATGCCCGGTTCTGCCAAGCATCTCAGGAGAGAGAATGTTCGCTCGAGGCTGAGAACAGCGTAAATTCCATTCAGATTAAACGTGGAGCAAGCCCTATAATCAAACATAACATACTCTCGTAATCTCTCAAACGACTCAAACCTCTTCATTCGCCACCTTTAACTCAACACCTGGCGTACCCGACTTTGCAACCAGTTAGTCGATCTCCTCAGGACTGAGCACCCCTTTTTCTATCCCAGAGTCTAAAGTCAAAGTTCGTTATACCACTGGGGACAATGAATGCGTGTCATGGCATCTCGAAGGTTGCGGATACATTCCAACTACGTTACACGGCATTCCAGAGAGATGAATCCTCGTGCATCTAAGGAACTCTTTATCAATCTAATAATATCTCAAAACTTACGCTTCACAAAAGCATATTCTCACAAGTACACGCCACAGTACATTCGTTCTCCAAAACCACGGACGGAACAGATAAAATCGAAATTATGGATATGATCAACATGGGCATGGCAGCCACCACCTCAGCAGGAGCATCTGCTACTTCGATGCCAAATGAAACAGCTTCACCATGCAAGATTTCCGTAAGGACTTTCCTTAGGAGCACATAATAACAACTAAAAGTATCATGAACTGACAAACATTCGCAGATGTTATGGAATTGGAACACAGTAGATTCCTGTAAGCGCACACTCATGCACCTAGCATGCCTGCCTTCTGACCGATCCCTACTTAGGCTTCATCTCCGAATCATGGCACATAAGATCGAACGGGATCTTCGCCGCTTCCTGCCTTGGTGTCATCCTCCTCGTTATGTCCCTCGAATTCCTTCGCAGAATGGCAAAAGTATACGATAATCATCTGCACCGTCAACATCAACTAGCAGACCCTGGGCAAAATGGTATCGAATCAAAGGGGCTACTGCCTTCAAGGAGCAGTGGTGAGGCCACATTGGCGATCTCGAATCAACAGCCGTTTCGACCAAATGTGAAGCAGCAGGCAGCTCGGGCGACTTTGCACATGTTGCAGTTTGCAGTTGCGTATTTCGTTATGCTGTTGGCTATGTATTATAATGGGTTCATCTTGGTATCCATTTGTATTGGAGCTTGGTTTGGTTGGTTCGTTTTCAGTTGGAAAAGTGTTAATTTGAGGTATGTACTAATTCATGATGAGAGTTTAGGGGTTGACATGGATCTAGCGGACCTAGGACCCAGGAAGAAGCAACTTTGTGCTGTGGTTAGAATTTGAAATGGAAAGCAACAGAAAACTGCAAAACTGTTTGAATGGGACGGAGGTAAGTTTGTGGAAGAGAAGATTTCTTCGGAGACGGACCTCTACTTTATGTACACGGACACTATGATATGCTGAGAGATTTATTGACCTCCCATATTAGAAGCTCCATGCGCCGGGATATCTACCAGTATATCTCCCTGGCCTTTGTATTCTTTATCGAGATTAGCCAAATCTAATGCACAGTTTCTCCTTCATAACGTCCAGATCTGATTGTGTTTTCAAATATCCACAGTCACAACAGCTTGATTTTGAACTCCTCTTTCGGAGAGACCTTTCTTCTCATCTGTCTCGATTGACCGTATCTTTGCTTGATTACCACCAGCTGCCATCGCACTTTTGTTCTTTTTCCCTCTTCTCCCTTGAGATTGGGTCTCTGGGGTAATGCCAAGCTTCTCATCGATCTCCTTGGCTTTAGTCTCGAGATGCTCAAGTTTAAGCATTTGGCAGACTTGAAGATAGCTCTTGCTAGTTGTGACCTCTCTGTACACAGGCTGCTTTCCTGGAATAAGATGATTGAGCAAATACTTGGTATTGCCAAACCGGTTTTCGACTTCCAGTGCAGTCTTGATATATTGCTCAACGACTTCGTTCCACGGAGCCGCTCCACCATCAACTTCATTCCTGAAGCAACTTGAGTTTGTTTCGGCAGCTGTTGCAATCATGGCTCCATCCACCCCGAATTCAGTGATCAATTTTTCTGCCTGTGCGCGGTTCTCAACATCTCCATTCATAAGACAAGCCACCCCGTTTTCCCGGCAGATTTTCGCAATCATTTTCAGTTGTCCCCGTATGGCTTTTTCGCGTGGTCGCATAGGAGTCGTTCGGCAATGAACTGTTAATCCGGTAATACCAGTCGCACAAAGCTTTCGGACAAGTACCTCCGTCAATTCGGCCGTCTCCAGCAATCGAATTTTAACACTGATCCCAATCTCGAACTCCATAGATATCTCCTTAACTAAGGCCTCCAAGATCGAGCAGAGTTTATCTGGTGTTTGCAAAAGTGCTGCTCCCATTCCGCCACTTGTACTGAAAGGTTTGGGACATCCGGCATTGACATCGATTCCTGCAACATCCGCAGCGACAATCCTTGCTGCTTGGACAGCTCGTTCTGGGTCGGATGTGCCGATTTGAAATATGAGACGCTTCCCCTCCTTCTCCGGGTGTAGTCGGTATATCAGACTCTCCTTCTGATCCTTTCGAGGGTCCTTTGAGCCATGAGATGGTAGTCGAGTAAAGTCTATTGTGGAGAGATGTTCATTGGCCTTGCGTGTCGTTCCTATCATAGATCTGTCCACAGTTTCGGGGCCTAGCAGATTGGTTAGCTCAAAATCGAGGCAAATCATACTAGGAAACTCACCCCACACAAGATCTGCTCCATATTGAAGAGCCAAAAGACGACTACTAAGCTCTCCACTTCTGACCATCGGCGCTGGATTCAGTTTCAAAGTTAATATCACTTTTCCTCAGCCTAAGGAGCCGGAGGAGGCCTGGCTGTCCAAGACTCACCCAGTACAATCTTGCCTCTGTAATCGACCCCGCGAGCAGGGATTGGAACCCGTTTTACCGATGTCATGATGGCTGAAGCAAGGCGCTGCATACCATTGTACGGTGTTGCGTGGGGAGAATGAAAAGGAATGACTGCCGGTCGAGGTTGAAGAGCCAAAAACATTTCGAGGTTATCGATACAAAATCACGGTCCGTGCCCTCTATCGGGGCAATCGCCGGGAGCATCTCGGTTACTCCCTGGTTGCCAGCAACGCTCCGGCTGATCTCGAAAGCAGGCACTTGAGGGCGGATGGAATAAGTCAATAGACCAGACCAATTGCGATCCTCTCCTCATTGACCAGCTCTCCATCCTCCAGCCTATTTGGATGTTCCTCAGAAGTCAGTGCATTCGGGCGTCAACACGTGGAACACTCGCAGGAATTCAACTCTCCACCGCCTTATCCCATAATCTGCAGGCGTTCTCGTTCTCGTTCGCGGCCACACTGGCGCCACCCAATAATACACACAAAATTTCTTCTCGCACAAACCAGATAGCTCGACACCTCTCGAGCTCGTCTTCTTCTTCCAATACCACTCCTACTGCCAACGCAAACATGGCTTCCCAGTATGCCACCCGCAAGATCGGAGCTCCTAACACTCTGGAGCACCGCATCTACCTTGAAAAGGATGGAGTCCCGATTTCTCCATTCCACGACATCCCCTTGTATGCCAATGAACAACAGACCATCTTGAACATGATCGTCGAGATTCCGAGATGGACCAATGCCAAGATGGAGGTATGTTTTCCTCTCTCTTGAAGCTGTTTATGTAGTTCCCGGCCAGCTTCACCGACCCCGCCATCACTGTCATCACGAGCCCGTAGAATAATGATCACTGACCAATTTCTCTTCAAATAGATAAGCAAGGAGCAGAACTTGAACCCTATCAAAGTATGTGATCGAGGTCTGCGGTATATTCGGTTCTGGACAGATTCTGGACTCGAATTGCTTTTTGGCTGAAAATTGCTGACATCGCGTGTTTCTACAGCAAGATATCAAGAAGGGCAAGCTTCGATTCGTCCGCAACTGCTTCCCTCACAAGGGATACCTCTGGAACTACGGTGCTTTCCCCCAGGTTCGAATACCCCTCAACTCGCACAGGGCTCAAGAGCTGACCATCTTTCAGACATGGGAGGATCCCAACGTTATTCATCCCGAGACGAAAGCCAAGGGCGACAATGACCCATTGGATGTCTGCGAGATCGGCGAATTGGTCGGATACCCGGGGCAAGTCAAGCAGGTCAAGGTCCTTGGTGTTATGGCTTTACTTGATGAGGAAGAAACCGACTGGAAGGTCATTGTTATTGATGTCAACGACCCGTTGGCACCTAAGCTCAATGACGTCGAGGACGTTGAACGACACCTTCCTGGTCTTTTGAGGGCTACAAATGAATGGTTCAGAATCTACAAGATCCCAGACGGAAAGCCAGAGAACCAATTTGCTTTCACTGGAGAGTGCAAGAACAAGAAGTATGCATTCCTCCGCCCAAACTAAAGACGATGCTAACTGATGGAGGTATGCCACCGACATTGTTCGTGAGTGTGCTGAGGCTTGGGAGAAGCTGATCACTGGCAAGACCAACCCTGGTGAGATTTCTACGTAAGTCTTGATGTACATTTCTGTTCAATAGCATACTCACCAATACAGGACCAATCTCACTGTGAAGCATTCCCACAGCCGTATCAGCCCAGATCAGCTTCCTCATATCCCACAGAACGAGAACCTAGTCCCAGCCCCCATCGATCCTAGCATCGATAAGTGGTTCTTCATCTCTGGCGCTGCTGCATAAACGCGTTCAGCACAAGGAACTGGGTTAGAGGAAAGACTGACTATCATGACTTGCCGAATTGGCACAAAAATAGCCTTTGCTTCACATTTTAGATGGACCTTGCAACGTAATTACATACTGCCTTAGACCCGTTTTCTTGGATTTCGTGTGAAGTGACATGAAGAAACGCTGTTCCCGCACCCAGAAAGCGATCTTATTCCCTGTTTGGTTCGAGTCCTTTCGTTCTCTCGTTGTACTAAAAGCTCCTCGAGCCTAGGATTTCCACAGAAAACACTAGAACATTTGGTATGTCGGTCGTTCTTTAACAGCTTGTGCAAACTACTCAGCAAGCTCCTGAACGCCTCCCATATGCAATAATATACAATAACTTGATTCATCAATTCCCATTCAGCTCTTCCTGTCTTGACAGAATTCTAGAATGTCTATCCACCTCTTCAACAACTCCCTTTATCCCTAACTTCTCAGCATCCAGCTTCATCTGCTTTCCATCCTCTGCAATACTCGTGTCAAGAAAAATCTACCCGGTGGCTTCGGATATAGCTTACTGAATTTCAATTTTATGAAACTTGGATCTCGCGATGTCCTCGGTAATAAATTTGTGTCGATTTTCATAGTCTGCCGCGCATTCGGTGGAAGGAAGGAGAGGAATAGACGGGCCGTCTTCGCTCTGGGTAGGAACGGATTGAAGGTCGTTGAAACCTCGGTGATGAACCTGGTGATCATCTTGAATTGAGACTTGGAGCTAGATTCTGCAATGTCAATTAGTGCTCTAGACAGTATGAACACGAATTTGAATGTACCTGAAGTCCCTCGCACAATCGCGCAAGGAAAAGTGAACGTGGTGAGGAGTGAGGTCGGGAGATCAAGAGTCTCGAGGCATGCCGGCATGTTCCGTTGCGTAGCTCCGACATGTCTTGATCTGGCCAACTTTCCAAGGGTATTGGACACTTTTCTACAACCCAACAACAGACGTTCCAAAACATTGAGATGTCTTTTCAAACTCTTTCAGAGCGTCTCACAGCTCTGCAAGAGTCAAATGCCCAATTAAAAGAACTCATCGGACGACTCGCAACCATCAAGTTCCAACCCGGATCCATCCCTTTGTACAATGAAGAGGGAAATGTTATCACCGAGCTCACCTCGGAAATACAGCAGACACTAAAAGACCAGGATGAAGATCTTGAATTATTGCAGGAGGATGTTTGCGATTTGGATTCTGGGAGGCATGGAAGTGAGCTTGAGCAGCAAAAGGATAGACTTGACCAAGCTGTCAAAAGAGCTGTCAAAGAGCTTAAAGGGTAGGCTTCTGACTTCCACTGAAAGCTTCTCCCGGTCGTGGATAAGGCTGACCCTCTGTTAGATGCCAAACCGCATTCCGCAGAGCTCAGTTGACTGCCAGGCGCAACCTACAAATTGCCCAGCGAGCCGAGAGAGAACTCCTCCTACAATCCTACCTAGAGCCACGATCCTCTACAGCATTGCCCATGGCAGGGCAACAACGGCGAAGGAAGGAGCAAAATAAGGAGCTCTCAAAGGAGGAGAAAGAGGTCAACGCTAGTACTGATGTTACTTTGGCTCTGAGAAGGACACACGATATGATGACGGCCGAGCTTTCACGATCACAATTCGCACACGACACCTTAAAAGAATCAACCGCAGCTTTAGCCCAGCTTTCGGAGACTTACTCTGCACTGGATACAATGTTATCGAGGTCGAGGAATCTGCTGGGTACTCTATTAACAAGTCAAAAGAGCGATACGTGGTATCTTGAGACGGCATTTTATATCCTCCTGGCAACAATTGCGTGGCTAGTCTGGAGAAGGCTTTTGTATGGGCCGACTTGGTGGATATTATGGTTTCTACCGAGGACGTTTTTCAGAGGGTGCTTTGGAATTCTTACCTTTATGGGTGTGATCGGTGGTCGGAAAACAGATGTTGGAGTGAGCTCGGTGGCGGGAGGGGAGACTGTCGTGCATATTAGTGGCACTAGGGGGCCGAAGGTGGCCATGGCAGGACAAAAAGCCCCTAGTATTCAAGTTGGGGGTGGTGGGAAAGGAGGGCCCGCGAAGGCGACTGGGACACTGCAAGGAAGGCCCCATGAAGCGGCAGGAGATAGCGTGTCTGAAAAAGTTGGCAAAATCATTGACGAGAGTGGCGACGCTCCGATTGAAGACGAAGGAGCGGGCAGTGAAAAAGGAACTAGCGACGAGGAAGCCAAAGGAGAAGAGGTCGAGAGTCAACCGAATCCCAAGAAGAGAATGTGGGAGGAAGAGAAAGAGTCGGCAACGGAGGCCAAGAGAAAGAATGATGAATTATAATGTATTGAACAACCGATTCCTCAAGCCTGAATTCGTTGCCTCCTGATCCTTCCTTCTCTTCCTCCTCCCAATTTATTGTAAGCCAGGAATTCATTAAGTATGCCAATCTAGAGCACAAGAACATCCTAGATCTAAACCCTCGCTATTCACTTGTTTGAGTACTGGTAGTTCCATCAAGATATGTAAAAGTCGACAGATACGTACCTAGCCTTTTGGTTCCGGTGTATTGAGTCAGAGCGGTGGAACAGACAAAACAAGTTTTCGCAAGGAATTGCTACCCCTTTCGGAGAGCTCCTCCTAAAATCTGATCACAGTCTAGCTTTATCTTGCTCCAACTCTTGCTTAGCCATCTCTCTGAGAACCCTCTTCAAGATCTTCCCAGACAGATTCTTAGGAATGACAAGAGATTCCCGCCCGCACCAATGATTCCCAAGAATAGCGTGTGGTAGTATATCTATTAGAAAGGTTAAAAGATGTGAGAAGAACGTCAAGACGATTCTCACATCGTTGAAGGGATTTAGGCAAACACAATCCCACCGCTTCAATCCCGTAGCATGAGTCTAGCTACAAGCTTGATTTAAAGAGATCGACCTCGAAGGATCTTTGGCATTAATGTATATCCAGACACAGCCAGCTGGGATCGTTCCAAAGCTCGGAGACATTGAAACATACAGGGTCATCTTTGCCATAATGGGACCTTCAGCTCTCGAAACAAAATCTTAAAAAGTGGGGATGTGAGATAGTCGAGTACTTCCCGCGTGTTAAGCTAGACTACCTAGCGGTGCTCGGAAGAAACTTTTCTAAAGCTAAGCTCTTTGTAAAGAAGGTTTTCCGGGGATTTTTTTTGAGTTTCTTAGCTTCACGTATAGGCACCGAATTGAGAACCTCAAGTTTGCACTTCGTTGATGCTGATAAGAGGGCAAAGCTTCATTAAATGGGTGTTGATACCCCAGTCCAGAATCATCAAAACGAAGACCAGTGGCCTCGAGCCGTATACGAATTGAGGAAGTGTAAGTTAACTATAGTAAAGAGAGGTACAAGCTCTCTGTCCTACCAAGTTACACAGGGGCCTTGCAAATTGCAGTAAGATTCCAGGTTTCGCCTTGGGGGAGTGGACGACTATACTAGCAAGCTGAGACTGAAATGCCACACAACCACACTAGCAAGTCACATACAGCATGGAGAATGAGACAGCCAGGCCCCGCTCGCTTGTTACGTACTTTAAGTCTTCAGCTCTTGGACCCTCATCTTCCTTTCCCTATCAAAATGGGCGATGACAACCTCTTGATTTGAATTCTCGCCGATGAGCCTACCAACAAATTAGCGGGGATTTTCTTTAGGGAGGAGAAAGCCGGGAGCGAGCCGGGAGCATGAAACATCCTCCCTGCCAGTGAGGAAGGAGCTCGGGATATAAGACAAAGAAATAGGTAGCCTACCATCGTTCATCTCCACAGATCTTCCCTTTTTCGAGAAGCTGTTGCCATAAATCGTCTCTCAGCGAAATCTCATAGCCAGGTTCTGTCCTGTGGGCCTCCGGCTTCAAGCTGATTGATATTGACTCTAACATGAAGCAATTCCGTGCACTGAAAACCACACCGGCTTTGGCATCCCTTGCTTCAGTGATAGTCAAGTACGGAAATTCCTTATGGATCTTAGCTATGAATACTATAAACACACTACAATCCACTCACCTCATGTCTCCAACATGGCGTAAGATGGTGGCGCCTTGAATCGGAGACTCTTTGACAGATATCTCTGTCCGCTCCGCATGAATCAACCCACATCGGTCCTATGGTGAAAGGAATTCCGATAGTCTTGAACTTGTGCAACCTTGGAAGGGCATGTCCTGCTTGTTGGCCGACAATCCAACGATGGTCTTCCTCAATGACATACACGTGACCATCATCCAGCTCAAGACCACGGAGGACAGGAGTCGAACGCTGTCTGATCATGTAGAAATCTAGGTCCTTAAATGAGAACCTCCTCACGACTTTGGGCCCTTCAAGACTGCCATCTGGCTTTCCATTTCCGCTGGGATCTTGGGATGGGAGATACGGTGACGGTGATGAGATGTCCCAAACCGCCAAGGCTTCGATTGGCTCATCTTCTCCCCAGGCACTCCTGTTGGGCTGCCAGACATATAAAGCATACTTTTGAGAAGTGTGATAGCTGAAGAAACGATCTCTGGAATTCAATGGCATGCCGAGAAAGTGTATCTTCCATTCATTTCTAAGCTCATCAGCTCAAATATGGGAAGTAGAAAAGGAAGCACTGACCTGAAAGCGATTCTCCACTCCCCCTCAGCCGCTCCTTTGACAACATCGTACGCAGTGGCGAAATGCCTGTAGACCATCTCGTTCTCATTCAACTGGTGATACGGATGGTTTTCGCACCACTCGACTACGAGAACTCTCTCATGTAATCGCAGCCTCCGGACGAGCTTCTTCTCCGGGTCAAAATTGACCTCAGATACTATTCCAGCATCAAGATCATACACCGCATAGCGTTGCAAATCGGCTGAAGGGAAGATCAAAAGGCCTTCCTCATAAGTCCAAAGAGTATCCGGATAATGGAAAGGAGCTTCTTTCTCCCCGAATTGCAAATGCCTTTGCCAGGGTGCGACTCCATAATTCTGTGACCATTGCGGAACGATAAACGACCTTGCTAAAGGAAGCTTCTCTACGCTTCGTGGTATTCCGCTCTTCAGATGATGATATCTTCCAGCAACTTTTGCAAACAGGCTCGGCCAATCTAAAGAACCATTCTGGTCGGCATGGCGGAGCTCGCGTGCTCTGGGATAGTGTTGAACAAGCACATGCCGACCCAATTCGAACTCCGTGAAAGCATCGTGGAATTGCTTCGACACACGGCGGCTGAGGATAAGTTCTTTGGGAGAAAGGTATGCAATTATTAAGAGGAAGATGTCGTTGGGGAGCGCTGTGATGCTCATTTTCAGTCTGTGATGAAAATATGAATGTGAACATGTGTTGTGGGACAAGCAAATTTGAGGAGATTCGGCTGAGTGGGCGACGATCCTGATGATCCACACTGGCATGTCAACGTCCACCTAGACCAGCACTACTTCAACTTGTCGCGATGAGCCCGCCGATCATTTGAGCCATAAGGAAGGGCCATGAAAATAGTTCTGTGAATTTCAATTTACCAGTCAACTGCAAGAGATACGAAGAAACGTTATTTTCTGAGATCTCAGTCCTATCTTTGAAAGCGATGCGAACGAAAGGCATTATCTACACAAGGAGCTCCTATGAATTCTTGCCATTTTCACTTGGATAACTTCTTCTGGCTAGGAAGCTACTCAACCGGCGTCGACAATTAATTTGTCTCTGCCGCGACCAAGCGAGGACTTCAACAGCCCCGTGGTCCCACAAGTCAACCAACGATACTGTTAAAAAAAACTCCAACTTCTCGGCACAACTCATGACGAGACTGAAGCACTCTCCTTTCTGCCATTAGGCATTGCCACTGTCGCCTTTACATCCTCTCTATCGGTTCTTGGGTTGCCGAGATCATTCACAAGCTCCCTGAAGAGATCTCTCACTCTTCTTTGATACCACCACCCACAGAAGGCCACAACACCTAAGAACATGGTTGCTGTGATACCACAACTCGCCCAGTGCTTTTTGGCATCTTCAATCTCCAGGGCATAGTTCGAAGAAATGATCACCCCAACTCCTCCATTTGGTTTCGTCCACCACTCGGCGTTTATGAGGCATTTGCCACTCCGATAGACACCTATCAATTGCATCATCGTCCCTCCAATAGACGTGAATACACCTCCAATGCCCAATGTACTCGCCAAACCGTACCATAAGATTGCCCAAACTGATTTGAGGGAGAAATATGTTTCTCTTGACCAGAGTGTTCTGGTATCGGTTGGCGTGAAGAATCCATTTCGATCAAGCACCCCTCCCTTTCGAAGGAATGATAGAAGCTTTCCCTGTTGTGGAGGTCCTGCAAATGCCCACATCCAGAGAACGATTTGAGATATTTGTGAGATGGCGTAGACCGTGAAAGTCAAGCTCCTGCAAGACAATCCGACTTGGGGCGTGTAAAATCCGGTGAGAAATGCAAGCACAAATGGAACGCCCATTAAGAGAAGAGTCAGGCTGATCACCACGGCCCAGCCCATTATGGAAAGCGTAGTAAACCTACGAAGAGCATCCATGTCTTCATCAAGTACAAACTCCCCTTTCTGTCCTGCCGGTGGCCGAAGTTTGTAGGTCTTCCAAACCTTTTCCACCCAGTCTCGTTTGCTTCGACCTCGTAGCCACAACCAGGCCGGCTTGTAGCGGCTATTATAAGCCAGCTCGAAGAGCCTCGTCCCAAAGTGTTTCTCTTCTAAAGCTTGATGGTCTTCCGTATCGCCAAACTCGTGGGCAACCACTCCTTCGAACGTATTGGGATTGTTGCCCGCCAAAAGAAGACCAGAAACTATGGACAGGTGAGGAATTATCATATACCACATCCCAAAGGCCAGAGCCAAGCTCGTGTCGTTATCCCCAAGGTTAGAAAGTATGGTGACAATAGCGAAGACGAAGGCTCCCAGGAAAAAAACTATCGGACAGCCAATAGTTGCTCCAAATGAATATTGGCATGCTAGCATGGTTCTCAGCTGTTATTATGTCAGTGCTGGTATTTGGCATTCGAAGCTTGGTGCATTGATTTGAAATGGGCGCTTACTCTGGTCTTCGTGCGGCCAATATCTCTTAGAAATCGTGGGCTCCGAGGGATAGGAGTTTCTTTGCACTTCAAGTCTGTACAGTTTGGAACTAGACACTCCTCGTCATGAAGCGGCCATTGCCGAGGAGTAAAGATGTCAGAATCTCGATATGTTCGGATTGGATAGAGTAGAGTTTGCACATGCGTCCATGGCGAGCTAGGGTTTTGCTCTGTCGTGGTTGTAAAGTTGGGCCAATGTTCATTGCCGTTCTGGTGCAATGTATTCCATTCCATGAATTGTCTGTCGCTCTCTCTAATTTTCACTTCCAAGCTAGGTAACTGAGGAGTTAGCAATTCCTCGATGGAGATTGTTTTTGGAAGTACTGGGACAATGTCTCATGAGAATATCACGAGACGGTCCGAATCAGGAAAAGGAGTTCCCCCATAACACTTACTCGAGGTTGCCACATAGTACCACGAAAAGAAGTCGGGCCCTCATATCTAATGTCAGTCGAAAGTTTTCCGTCTTCTCCTGGAGAAAATTTATGATAATGTAGTCCAGATAAGCCTCGTAGAATCCACTCAAAAGCATAGGACTCGCGAACGCAAAACACATCGCAAGCCAACTGATGGTGTCGCAAATGGCACACATGCCGGCGAGGACCATAGCCAAGGGAGCCAGGAGCCATGAGATTGCACGAGACAAGTCTGGTACAAACAACTGGTGCCACACCGTAAGCTTTCTACGTCTCGGTATTGTCAAGCCTGTGAAGTTAGTCAGATTTTGCTGGGAAACTAGGATTTAGACATACAAAAGATAACTGCAGGAAGAAGAAACCCAACGAATGGAGATAACCACTGGCTCTCGATGCCGGAGGTGGAAAGTTGCCAGCCAGGGCATGTCTCCTCTACCCAGGCGTATGGCACCTCCACGATAGGCGCACCGACGGAATTGCCATCCCATACAGCACCACAAGGAAACTGACCTGCTTTGGTAGCAGCAAGTAAGTCATCAACCGACGCGTTGAGATAGTAAGGTACCTTCTCAACAACAGATCCGTTGAGCACTTCGAGAGAGGCGTTGACAGCTAGTAGGCAACAATGTGTGAAGTTTTGTCCCCCTCCAGAAGGTTCTCGATTCGAAGCCGGCAGAAGCGTGAGGTTCGCGAGTTGAACGAAGGCGTCTGAAAGAGAAGTGTAATTTCCCTGCCCTTTCCAAACCGTGGAAGATGCCAGTATTGAAAACACGCTAGTGAATAGCAGAAGTTGATACAGCCGTGTGCGAGAGTGGTCCCTCATTTTGACAGAGGGGGTTAGATACACCCACCACGGGAATGGCGAAGACTATTCGTGGGAGATGAGGCGAGAACTAGGTTCGCGGACGGCTGGATGTAAGGAAGATTCGAGAGAGAGGTGGGGTACGATTGATTCACAAATGTGGAAGAAGTCTAGTGGTCGAGATCGTGTCGGTCCTCGCTTAACGAACTTGGAAGGAAAAGGGGTCTGTTTACTTAGTGTGGGGCTGGTGCGACCAAGGGCAGACCCTCCCGATAATGCGTGGAAATCGAAAAAGAGTTATTTTCGCAGGGCCTAAAAATCGTAGTCATATGTCAACTCACTTGTGGAGGAATGGAGCAGTCTAGTATGTCTAACATAGTGTGTAAATCTTCAGAAAACCGAGGAGAAAAGTGGGTCGAGGGGTGAAGGGCCTTAGTAAGTCTTCTTACTTGCATTGACGCCATATGTATAAGACGAGAATTTTGGTTAGGAGTAAAACGATTGATGTATAAGACTCGTGGCTTGTGTATTTCCATCTCCTCTCCAAATCTAGATGCAACGCAAACGTTCCTTCTTCCCCTTTCAAAACCAGATGCAAAATAAAAAGGAAGCCCTGACTACCATTAATTCTATCAACATAGTTGCGCGCGCCACCGCCAAACATCTAAATCGCCCTTCGAAAGCCTCTTCTTGAGAACTGATCCCTAGTGCGAGACCATAGGGTTTCCGCAGCCCAGATCGTACCACACATTTGGCACATAGCTGAATTCCATCAAACTGTCTGCTACACTGGCGCCATAGAGCTTGCAGCGTGTTTCCGTTCCTTCCATATCTAGGTCTAGATCAGGGTAGAATTGGTAGGCCATGCAGCCACCTGTGGCAGCATTTGAGCCCTGCAAAAACAACATCATTAGTATCCTCCCAGGGCAGATGGGTTAAAATGGCATGGAACGCACCAAGCAGAACTCGTAGCAGCCCAGGAGAGTGACATGTACGTCGTTGCTATTATCAATGTACTCCGCGATGAAGTAATCGCCATTAGGCAGACCGTGAACGCCGCAATGTCTAGCATTCACATTCGGGGTTCCAGTTGGTATGATGCTGCCCCCTGTTACTGTCGTCGCTAAAGTTGGAGAATCAGTATCATCGCTGTCTCTACACACCCTCATGCGAAGTTTAAATCGACTTACTTGGTGTGATGGTCGCAGATGGGTGTAAGTCTGATGTTCCGCTCGCAACTGAAACCGGAGATGCGGAAACCCAGACGCTTGTCGTTATAGACGATGAGGGAGACTGGGTGCGGTGGCGATGTCTAGTTACGGTTGTGCGGTGTCTGGTGTGATGTTCAGCACTTTTCCCGTGTCAGCAGCCGTAAAATATGAGTGTGATATGCGTGGCAGGGCAATCACCTTGGAGTACTCGTAGAAGTGCCTGCAAGTTCAGAAGATCTTGTTGTTCCAGAAGCGAGTGCTCCAGAGTTCGCTGCTTCAGAAGATGGCGGCGGAGAGGAAGAGGATGTGAAGGAAGCTGCTGCTGAAGATGCCAATCCAGAAGAAACCAATGAGGATGCGGATAGGGCGGAAGATGCCGAATCGGAAGTGGTTGCTGCTGAAGTAATGTTTGCGGTGGAAGATGGAAATCCTTGGCTTGACGTTTGTGTGGTGATAGACGAATTATATCCCATTGGAGTTGAATTATACGACTGGATCGAAGAAGCATATGTCGAGACAGTCACGGAGGTCGTTACTGTGACAGTACTAGTTGTTGCTGAGCAGACTATAGAAGAAGTAAGAGAAATGTGCTGTTTGCGAGTATGGGTACTGCATAGCAAATTAGCACTGCCCTGGTCGTGAAAAGACTCAAGTAAAATCATCCGAAGACACGATTCAGAAAGGTACAAGATATGAGTTAATTCCTCAGGTCGACTTACTGGTGGCGACTGTGATGAGAACGGGACTCTGCTGAATCAGAAGCTGTTAGATCAAAGTATATCGTCGTGTAGGCGGATCCAAAATCAGACGTATCACCACTCTGCAGCGTGATATATTCGGTGGTGTACGCTGCTCCATTTTCAGTCGTGACTACGCCGTCGGTTATCACTGCGCTGTCGACTGCGGTCAAGGAAGAGGCTGCAGCCTCGGTGGAACTTGGGCTGCTATCTCTTTGCGCTTGTCTATGATGATGTCTGCCCTGCTGCGAGTCTCTTAAACTATTCCTGCATTAGAACGTTCCAAATGAATAACTTGAGAAGTTGAAAGTTAAACTTACTTCCACCAGTGGTCCTGCTAGGAAATGTTAGCTTGATCGGCCACGAGAGTGGGAGGCACTGACCGGACTCTTCTCCATTTTTCCCGGAACAGCCATTGCTGAAGTCGACAACAGCGCAACTGCGCCAATCATAGTAACGAGCTGCATATCGAAGGTTGAGCTCAGATGCTGAAGTGGTCGCTGAACTGGATGAAAAAGATGGGGCTGAGCAAAGATATGAATTGCAACTGCAAATGTGCTTAAAAAGCTCGAGAGATGTTTAAATGAGAGTGATGGATGTGCGAGGTATCAAGTATTGGTAGTACTCTCTCCCCGTTTTATACAACCTGTCAATCTTGGTCTCAGGGGGTTCATTCTGGGCGAGGTTCGCAAACGAGGGGAAGCATTGGAAAGGGAGTGAAGCACCCAAATGAAGCAAGGTATGGCTAGTTGACAGACGTCACCAAGAATTTCTATAATTCCATTCGTCATGTATTGATTTATTGGGAGACCCTTGCTCCTTATCTACAACGGGATTTCAATAACCCTCAGCACGCAGTTTACCCTCCGTACTCCGACCAGAATGCCAATGTCTGACGATTGAAAAATGCAGTTGGGTATCGTACTCGATATCGAGAGCAAGGGAATACAGCAACCGGTAATACACCTTGCCCAAAAATAAAGTTTTCTGCCCGCAGTTCGCGCTGCGAATGTAGAGCGTGCCGGCACTGGTCGGCATCGCGCGCAGAAACATGCTCATGGCTCTCCAAGGCGAGCTTGAGATCGAAATCATGGCTGCGCTGATGCCAGAATTTCTGAGCCAGCTATTCTTAGTCAATCCTCCCATATCGTGTCCAGATTCAAGTCACCTCTTCTCTCAGCACCGCACACACTCCACCGCTTCCGCTTGTCTCTGCCAAAGCTTGTAGCTAATGATCTCCCCCGTGGACCAGGCGTGTCGAGATTACCCTTTGTCTTCGAATCCTCTCCGCTCTCCGCTGCGTCCGCATCGGCTTTCAACTGTGCTATACGTTCAGCTTCCTGCTTCAAAGCAGCCTCCTCGGCGTCAGGTGAATCCTCTATTGTCTCGAGTGATGAAATGGAGGGACTTCGAGATCTCGCAGAAGTGGCTAGGAAGATAGAAAGTTAGTTAAATGTGCATTCATCAGGGCTCGTTGGCCGGAAAATTTTGGTGAGGGGTATATTCAGCAGCCAAGTACTTACGGGTTGAGGGCATGGAGGACGATGCATAAGAGCCAGGATAACTGAGAGATCCAGAGTAACTGCTCATGCCCAAGAAAGAGTCGTGGAATCTCGAAGATTGGTAAGAGGGAGAAGAGGTTATGGAAGAAGGAGTGGTTGGAGCTGTGCTGCTAGCCGTACTGGCCGCACTACTATGCTGAACAAGATATCGAAGGGGAGAGGATGGTCTACGTGTTCGCGTGAAGCTGGCAGATGGAGGCAGACCAAGAACTGGCGAACTACTTCGTTCTGGTGCTCTTGGGGCATGCTCTTCTGAAGTGTCATCTGCCTCGCTGATATCCTTCAATCCGCGGTTTGGCAGACCTGGGAATACCTCATCAACTGGTTTCCTTGGTGTTCGGTTTCGAGTCGGAGACCCAAGAGGACTTGAGGGACGTTGATGTGGAGAGGAGAGCAGATGCCCCGATGCGTTGAATCCTGGCATGGACTGAGCCCGCGTCATCGGTGGGGCGAGAGAAGCTGTCGAGGACTTGGATCGGAGATGACCTCGTGAGTATGGGGATGTGTTTCTGGGTCTATACGGTATAGAGGGAGAGGAAGTTACTGGCGAAAGTGGCGAGGAAGGGTTGGGATCCGTGGCTGATCGAAGTGTTGGAGGTTTCTTGTTCTTCAGATCGATGGTTTGATGTTCGTATACTGTAGAATCTTGTAGTTTAAGCCTAGGAACCGGCGACGCCCTGAATTCCTCCATCCTCTCAGTCTCTGGGACGGGCTCCATGCCCGGACAAGTTCTTCTCTTTATCTTGAATAGCGTTCGATCCAACTGTCGAAGGAGAAAGAAACAATCGAAGATTCCACAGCCGCAGCCGCGTTCGTAAAATCAAAGTATCAATGCAACCGCCGGCTTCTGCCTCGAAATTATTCCAGGTTCTTCCCGGCGTCTACGCGTAGGACTCGGCATTCAGCGCAGCCAATGCAAGAAGACGTAAGGGGGAATGTATTCTGTAGGTGCGTGTTATGAGGAGAGCCAGAGGATGCTGAAGATGCTCGAAGCCATCTGTTCCCGGGATCATAGAGGTCGAGAGCGAGGTGGTGCGATGTGAGGATGTTAAGGAGGAAGGGTGACGGAGTTCTGGCCAAGTGCAGAGGAACGGGCTTGATGGAATCAGCCGCCAGGACTTCGCTTCGTGATTCCGGGGTACAGGGCCAGGCTACATCAATTTCAGCCAATTAAAAGCGCATAATGCCTAGCCTGGCCGCAACGCTTTGGCAGCCAGCGACAAGGCCTTCGCGAGCCAGCGCTCTGCACGCCTCCGAGTCCAGCTGGCACATTCACATTACTCAATAGTGGCCTCGGACGACGGAATCTCCAGCCCTCCCCTCCCCCTTCCCCTCTGCCTTCCACTTCCGTCGCAGCAGCATGCGCTTTGGGAATCGAAACAGTCGCTGTGCTGCGCATGTTTGTGATCATTGCACGCCACGGCTGATTGCTTTTCCAGCGTGGTCCAACCGTTTCATGCACGTCGTCCAAGCCTTTGTTTGCACTCATCTGCTCCCGGAGGCAGGCTGGACTGGTGTAACATATCATGCGTCCTCGAAATCCCTCAAGTATCATTTATGCTATGTTTCAATTCTCATACTGCCGAGTGGCCATTACATTTCGGGGCAGCTGTTTGACACCCGTTGATCGAGTATTATTAGGCCGTCAATGCGGCGGCTGCTTGCAGCAGATCTTGAGCTACATATCGGATTCAACGTCGCCCAAGAGGCGTACTCGAAATATGTGTGAGCCTCTTCACGGCTTGGAATCGTTTCTGGGGCGTCAGCTGCCAGGACCAAATAATCTCTCATTCATGCTGAGGATGTAAGAAATTTGAGGGCGGATGGAAATGGCATGAGTGTTCAGGCAGGACCTCATAATTGACATCTTAACACTTAACTAATTATACGCTCTCCCCTCTCCTTATGAAAGGGGGAATGGAAGCAGCGACACACAATTGATTGTGTAAGCAATTGGTCACGAGAAAATGCTCCTATCCGAGCTCAATTTTCTTCTGAGATTGGAGAACAAATGGTGGGATGTATCTGCAGCCTTTGAGGATAACAATGATGCAGTGAAGATCCGAAGGAAAAGGTCCGAAATCTATTCAGTTTTCTTGTGGTGAGCTTGGAACTTGCATGCCGGCCACACAATGAGACTTTGCAAGATTCCAGCTTTCAGGTGTGAAGTCAGCTCCAGGGGCAAACCCAGTGTTCGGCATTAGGTTGAGTTTCATAGGTCCAACCTAGGTAACCTACCCTAGGTTACCTACCTAAAGGATTTATTTAGGTTTAGGTTTGGTGTAGGTCATAGGTTGAACCTATTCAGCCTATCAAAATTTGTATGTAGGTTAACCTACCTACAGCCCTCAAATTAGGTTAGGTTACCTACCTACAAGGGGTGTAGGTTGGGTAGGTCCAACCTAATGCCGAACACTGGGCAAACCTGAGAAGTGTACCTCAAGATTATATTGGGTAAGATTCATAGATCAGACGATACAAGCGATTTCCATACAAATGCCAAGATGCATTTTACTTTTAAAGTCTTTGAAGACATTTTGAGTGGTCAAGAGAACCACTAACTGGACTGACGGGCTCCAGGTAGAAGGTTAAGGACAACAACTGTAAATGTCCAGGTGTGGGTGTTCAAACTTGAAATCTCAACGAGACGTCATTACTTTATACCAAAAAGTCTTCTGGGTGAATTGCAAGATGAATCGCTCTCTGCTGAATTTAATTGTCATGGTTGAGCAAAAAACCTTGTTCACAGAATACGTTCTCATGTGAGGATACCAGTCGTAATATTCGTATCCGCAGGGGTCGCTAGCCGGGAAGAGTTGGTGGAAGTACCCGCGCATCGAAACCGCTAAAGATCACGGAAAAGCTTCACATCATCACACCCATTGTTTGGCAACTCATCAACAGTATCACTCCCTTACGGCGCAGTCAACAGGAACCCGGCACCGGGAAGACGATCAAGTCGTCAAACCCACCGCGAAGAGCCGCTAACACTGCATGCGGCTCCCGATTTCACACATGCGATTCCAGATCCTCCAAATCGCATTGATTGAGGACACCCAACGCACGACGGCATGGGGCCAGTTCGGTCACTGCGACGCACCAACCCGCTCACAATCATAGTGGGTGTGGTGTTGTGTATAGTGATTTTCATCTTCATACTCCAGCCCTCGAATTCGGACCCGCCAGCAAGGAAGGCCGCCGCGGCATCGAATCCTCTATCTCCACCTACATCACCGTTTCGAAAACAGAACGAGCAGGCAAATGGAAAACGAATTCCTCCTCCGGTGGTGCATTACCATATGAACAACCTCACAAGCTCCAGTGATCCTGTTGGGAACCGGGAAACTGTCCTTATCCTGACACCACTCGCCAAATTTTACCAAGAGTATTGGGATAATCTGCTGCGACTATCATATCCCCATGAACTCGTAACACTTGCGTTCATAATACCGAAGAATCGAGAAGGAAATGCTGCCACGGCGGCTCTGCAAGAGCAAATCACCAAGACGCAGAAGTCTGGACCGGAAAAGAAGCGATTTGCAAGTATCATCATCGAGAGACAGGATTTTGAGCCGCCATTGGTTTCACAGACGGAGACGGAGCGGCATAAGATGGAGAACCAGAAGGCGCGACGTGCTGCCATGTCAAGAGCGAGGAATTCCCTTCTGTTCACCACTCTGGGGCCCTCCACCTCGTGGGTTCTGTGGCTGGATGCGGATATCGTGGAGACCCCACCAACTTTAATTCAAGATCTTGCAGCACACAACAAACCGATCATTGTTCCAAACTGTTTCCAGCGATTCACTGATCCCAAGACGAGGAGACGTGCGGAACGACCTTATGATTTCAACAGTTGGCAAGATAGTGAGACGGCACAGAAACTTGCAGAAGGGATGGGTAAAGACGACATTCTGTTGGAAGGGTATGCACAAATGGCTACATATCGAACATTGATGGCATACATGGCAGAAAACAATGGGGACCTGAAGCAGGAGGTTGACCTAGATGGTGTTGGAGGGACAGCGTTGTTGGTTAAGGCAGAGGTGCACCGAGATGGGGCTATGTTTCCACCTTTCCCCTTCTACAACTTGATTGAGACGGAAGGATTTGCGAAGATGGCGAAGAGGCTAGGGTGGAGCTCATTTGGGCTACCGAATTACAAGGTATTTACCCCCATTTTCCACATCCTGAAACCTTGACTAATTTGATATAGGTGTACCATTACAATGAGTGAGATGTCCGGTACACTGCACTCGTATCTTCATATAGATATTGACATCAAGTCAAATGTAGCCGGGTTGATAGATGGACAGAGACAGCACGACAACACCAAAAGTTGTACAAGGCGGTTCATCTTGTATTTATGACGGCGTTTATGGCATTGCATCACATGGACTCTATAATGGTTTGAACTTGTGTATACCATAGATGTGCGGACCACTTGAATTCTTGTTTTATATAGCGGCATAAAACATTATTGCCTTCTGATCATGCTTCACCAAGGAAGAAGCACCTCCTTTGCTGATAATTGTCCACTGTAAAGCCCCCATAGTCTGTATCCTCATTCAATGCAACGCTAGTCGTATAGTCTGGGACTCTGTCCTTCTCCCAGCCATGTAATCCCATTCGGACCTGTTCGCCCGCTTGCTTAAAATATCAATCTAAAAAGCACCCATATAAGTTTCGTCCTATCCATATCCACATCACCCCAATATATCCTCTCACTACCTTCTCACCTCCTTCTCCCCGCCCTCCTCCAAAACCCCCTCAAACCTCTCCTCTCCACACCAGAACCCCACCAAGCCCCTCGCACCAACCAAATCCCCCTGCCGCAACAAACCCGCAACCTCGACTCCAAGCGGACTATCCACGCCTGGCTCCCCCAGTAGTCTCCCCACCGCCTCCAACGCACCCACAACGCCCAGCACAGGGGTCCAATTCTCTTTTAGCACATCGAGACAAATCTCCCCCGTCTCCCACTTCACATTCGGATGGCAGATCTTCGTAACAAAGGTTATCGTGGGTGGAGAGTTCGGGTAGTTTGCGGGGACGGTGATGTTGAGGAGCCAGCGGCCGGAGGAGTAGCCGGTTGATATCGGGAGCGGCGAGCCCGTGAGGATGGCGCGGAGGGAGAGTAGGGAGGAGGGCGAGGGGACGAGGGAGAGGAGGGTCGGGTGCGAGGAGGGGGGGGAGGCGTTGAAGGTTGAGAGCTCGGTGAGCAGGCGTTTAGTGGGTGTGCGGGAGGAGGAGGAGGAGGAGGATGTTGATGAGGTTGGGGAGCGTTTGTTTGGGGCGGACATGGTTTTGAGGTAAGGCTGGGTTGGTCAGGCGTGAAGGATTGTGTTTTGTAAGTCGACTTTAGTGGCCTTTCAGAGGTGCAGGTATTTAGAGTCTGCGATAGCCTTCGAAGTTGTAATATTACCCGACTAAAACTCTATCTACTTCTCAATACTTCTTTATTTATATTCTTATTTAATTTAATAAATTTTAATAGTATCCTATATTTATTATATATATTAAGAGTTAATTTGTCTTATTCATATTGTCTCCATGAAGCCAATTACTAACACCTAGCACGCTTGGTACGGCGGAAAACCCCAAAGCCTAACATGTTGCCTTGGCGTGTACGCAGGTGCAGGCCTGACGTTTGTTATACCGCCTTTGCAGGGGGGTGCGCTGAAGTGCCCCCGTAGCATACGCTACAACCGAATTTTGCTTGGCAGAATCCAAGGCGGTGTGACAAACATTAGGGCCTGCACCTGCGTATGGCTTCTGAGCCTGGGCATTGGAAGGATGATCTATAACCTCCTCAAGAGCCCTCGCAACTATAAGAAGACTCAAACTCAAAGCGATATCGAGCAATCGGGTGCACCGTCCAAATATTACGGCGGATGCGACCTTCCCTTCTGGGTCATCGCCGCAACTTGGTTCTTCGACCACTTTCTCCGTGCCATTCCACTCATTTGCTGCAACTTCCGTATGCAATTCAGCAAACAAATGCTCCAGAGCACAACAAGCTGTGGCCACGTACCACGAGGACTTCGAAATCATCAGGCTTGAAGTCAGGGCTGTATCGCCTCTTGTTAACCCAGCTCTAGGACAGTTCTACTTCTTGTACCAGCCGCTTTCATGATGAGGCTACGAAAACCATCCTTTTAGCCTTGGAATGACGAATCTTCCGTTGCTCCAAGCAAAGGGCCAGTTGAGTTAGTACCGAGTAAGGGCGATAGATAAAAAGAACTATCTACCCACATTGCATCAACATCCTCAATTCCCTTGGAAAATGCGTCTTCCAACCCAGCAACCTCCCAACTCCTACCCCGCCCAGTCCCACTCTTTCCTTCTGGATTCGACCTTGTGATGGCTGGACCCGCTGCATTCGCGACAGCTGTAAGAAGTCTAATAGCGTCTTTATATGAACCTTCTTATTCGAAGGTCCTTACGGTCGCTCTGCACCCTTATATGCCTATTGGCGGGACTGGTATTTCGCGTGCGGTGTCATATATTTTGGATCACATATCCCACACACAAACTGGCAGTAGGACTCGACAAGAAAAATTAGCATAAGATTTGTCTGGGCCGACAGTCACAGAACAATTTTCGAGAATATTTGTGGTCGTGAACTTGCGCCGGCAATGAGGAGAGAGGATTTCGAAGCGAACTTTTTCTGCACTAGCCCTTCATCACCTTATACCAGCAGCAAGGAATCTGTTTCACAAGTTGATTCGACTAGCACCACCATGACAGTGCACGCTGGATGTCCGGATATCAAGTCGTTGGTAGCGGAAGCGGCGGGGGATGCTTCGGCGAGTGAGGCTGTGCGTTTTCGCTTGTGGGCTGGCAAATATGGCTAATGATGCAATGAAAGCTGGTTCTCGCATCGAGCATTTTGAGGCTTATGGGTGGTGATCACGGCTCTATTACGAATGGCAATATTTGGGCATTAAGGGGTGGATTCGGTTCTTCATATATGGCCTGAGCCGTCCCGTTCTTCTTAGATGAATTCATAGATATGCCGCTACGATCACCCGGAACGGTGTTGGCTGCTCAGATTGCTACAGATAATGATTACTTTCTTTTAAATACATCTTCATATTTCCTAAGTAGGATAAATGTAAAAGGTACAGACTTTGCAGATGAGAAAATAGGCATCCTGATAAAACCAAAATAAGTGTAACTACTATTGGGGAAAAGCGTTTAATCGATGAATTGGTCAATTCCTATCGTCCTTCGTATGGGGCCCGCAATTTGCCAAATTGGAGGTGGAATTGGCCAATTTGATAGAACCTAATTCGCGAACAGCGAGAACCAGATCTCGGATCGAAATTCTTGCCATGTTCCGAAATGCCTTTTGGCCACCTTGGAGCAGAACCCGACTCAAGCTTTCGTGACAAGTAAAAACAATTCTTACGTACAAAAGGTACAACTTGTGCCCATTCTGATGAATATTGGCTGATACATAGGGAACCGCGTCTCGAATCGCATGTTGGGGATGGTTTCGCTTACAGTAGGGGGCCGAGATGGCCGGTGGGGGTGCGTGCTCAGTCTTGATACTTTGATTGGACAACGTGGACGACATCTCTCGAGGTGAAATCTGCGGTACAATGCAGTAGTGTTTTGCCGGCTTCATTCTTCGCCCATTTCTAATGTTCACAATCATCATATACCTGAACAAGAAGTGCTGTGTTGTACTGCAAAGTTCTTGACTATAGACTTGGCGTTGGCTGCCGCCGCATTGCTACAATGACGTCGGACTACTACTGGTACAGATTCATGCAACAATGACTACTACCACCACCACCTCCGTCGCCGCCACCATCACAAATGACTGTTACTGTGGCCGAGGCGGGGCTGTCGCCAGGTTTGAGTCTTTGATTCAGCCTTCGATGTTTTTGAACTGTTGAGTGAGCAAGTCGATAGCGCTGATGTGCCGTCTGCGCTCTAGCAGTCACATCGATGGCCACCGACCCACGGATTGAGAAAGAACTTGATATCACCCTTAAAGTGCATGGTGGGGCCGTTTTCTACACCAATGGTGATGGTGGCGGAGTGTCCGGGAGATGATAACGCCCACGCCTAACTTCTCCGAACAGCCTTCAGGATCTTGGAATATTATGAGTTTCTTCATGGCCAGTGGATTCGGCAGGTTCGGCAGGACTGACGGGTCCGGCATATTCGGCATGAATTCGAGGATTATGAGCGAGGAAGAGCTGGTGGATGCGCGTTTCCGTTTAATGATAGTTTGCAGAGGTAGGGCCAGCCGGATCCGGTTTCGGATTTTTCTCATAACAGACAGAGTGCTTCTTACATCCTCAATCGCAGAGAAGAGGTGGCGTGCGAACAGGCCCTGGGCCCAGGCGGGAGATAATGGAAAAGCATACTGTCTGCGTGAGCCCGGATCCTCATCTGCCTTGGCCCTTGCCTTGCCCTGTGGTCTTGGCTAATATATGTCAAAGGCAAGCATCTACTTTTCAAATTCTAAGTTTCTCTTTTGCACAGTAATCTAAAGTATGCATGTCAGCGTACCAATTTTTTGTGGGAGTTCCACACCTGGCCCGTTGTGCTCCGGGCCAGTCCCTCCATTTGCATCCTGGTTACGAAGTATGCAAGAGGAGATTTGTCGAAACATCACCTCAGCTTGCCTGCATACATTAGCCTGTCCAGGTCTGCTATAAGTAAATAGTCAATTGTCCCCTACATGATTCTCTTCGTCATCTAGCTTCCCTCGCAGCGCCTCTCAACAAAGCGACAGGGTAATAAGGCAAGGCTCCATCGCTCGAGTGCAAGAGCAAGACCGACAAGATGGCTCTCCAACACCATCACCACCATGATCCAACCAACCAAGGCATGTTCAGTGCTCCTCATGATCCGGAAACCAGCGATGACCATGCCATCGTCGGCCCCCCACTGCAGAGCGACGAGGCCAAAGTCTTGAAGAGCTTGATCTATCCCGACGACACCTACACCTCCGAGGGAACATATTGGGCAGACCTCCCATTTGGCAAACAATTGGCCTTTAATGCTAAGGTCGACAGGGCTGAAGCTGCGAAGGAATTGCGATCCACCGGATATATGATCAAAGAGGATCCCCTGAGCCCAGTTGCTTGGTACTTCAAGAATGCAGTTCTGCCAGGTGCTGGGTTGGGCCTCGAAGGGTATGTTTCGCATTTATACTACCGTTACCACAGCTGACATTTCTAAGTTACGTTCTTTTCTCCATCGGAAACGTGACACCTCTTTTCGCTGCGGTATGGCCTAGTTGCTGGAAAAACTACACAGTATGTACAAAGACATGGGTCGATGCAATCTCATACCTCGAGATTTCCGGCATTATCGTTGGTCAAATCATCGTCGGATTTCTTGGTGATGGGTGAGTGGAGCGGCTCGATTCATAAACCTTGAAAGCTAATGTCTAAAAGAATCGGTCGTCGTTGGGGTCTGATCCAGGATGCCATTGTCATGTTCATCGGCCTGCTCATGCTCGTAGCTTCCTGGGGTACTAGTTTGAATGGCTGGGTTATTTGTTACGCCTGGGCTTTATTCTTCTATGGTATTGGCGTAGGAGGAGAATATCCTATGACCGCTACTGCTGCTATGGAGAATGCCACTGGATCTGGGAAGGTCTCTACCAAAGAAGATCGTCTTCATCGTGGCCGCAAGGTCACTATGGCATTCTTGATGCAAGGTTGGGGTCAATTCTTTAACCAGTCGCTTCTTATCGTTCTGCTCCTCATCTTCCATCACGGAAGTGGAAATCCACCATACTCAGCTGTTGCGGCTCAATGGATATTCCGTGTCTCCTTTGCCATCCCGGCTCTTGGTACACTTTGGCTGGTCTACTACCGGTAGGTTTGATTCGTTACCTCATCTGACATGCGCTGACTTTTGGCAGTTATTACAAGATGCCACTTGCATCCAAAACCCTCAATGCCGTCAAGAAGAAGGCACGTGTTACCGGTTACGACGTTCAATCCTTGAACTTGACCTGCAAACACTTTGGTGGCCGTTTGATTGCGACCGCTGGAGCCTGGTACGCTAATGATGTCTTCTTCTACGGCAATAAACTGTTCCAAAGCCAATTTATAGCCGTTATCTCCCCCGGCAACAAATCAGTCATGACCGGCTGGCTATGGAACTTGGTCAATGTTGGCGTGTCTCTTTGCGGCTACTACCTCGCTTCGTTCCTCATCGATAACAAATTCATTGGACGAAAGAGGTTGCAGCAACTTGGCTTCCTAATGGACTTCGTCCTTTTCGTCGTTCCAGGCTGGGACTACTCTTACTATACCACGAAGGCTCACATTGGTGCTTTCCAGACCATGTACTTTTTGTCATCCTTCTTCAACCAATTTGGACCCAATAGTACCACTTTCCTCGTCGCCGCTGAGGTCTACCCTACACCCGTTCGTGCCACCGCTCATGGCGTCTCTGCCGCAGCCGGGAAATTGGGAGCACTTACGGCAGCAATCGTATTTACCTATACCGATATCGTAGAAAAATTCCATTTCGTTCCGTGGTTTGGACTAGCCGGTATGATCGTTACCTTCATCTTCCTCCCCGATACCACCGGTCTCGATCTCAAGGAGCAAGAACGGCGATTCGAATATATCCGCGCAGGACGCGAACAAGAGTACCACGGCATCGCCGTCCACCCTCACCATCTTTCTGTCTGGGAACGTTTTCGTGGCGCGGGCAAGTCCTATAACCCTGAACTTGACTACATAGACAAGGTCAAGGATATACGCGAGGAATGGACCAACAGACAAGCTGAGAAGGTTGCATCAGACGATCTTATTGTATTTGATGACGAATATCCTTCAGAAATTCATGAGTACTTTGTTAGGACGTCTAGTGTGCCGGTTGTTCAGAAGAAGAACACTCCGCTAGGCGGTGGAGTAGATAGCGACGAGACTGGCAACGAGACTGGCAATGAGAAGAATGAGAAGGCTAATCGTTAGAGTATACTCTCGTAAGGTCTTTAGTTAGGTTAGTTTAGGTCTTACTTAGGTTTTGGTATTCTTACGTCTAGGGCGTGCGACGCTTTCAAAATCGCTCGAAAATTGCCCACAAACACCGCGGGGGGGGGGGGGGGGGGGGGGGGGGGGTTAGCGCGTTCTTCATCTTGCCTCCTTCGAGCGCAGCGAGGCCTGGGGGTTTGGGCGCCTGCTCCCCTGATGGACAGGAAACAATAGATTTCCAGTGACGCTACGCGAGCAAGAAGAGGGGATTCCCACATGACGCTCCACTGGCCCTCCGAGGGCCACTGCTTTGGAGGCGGGCCTTGGAATTCGCTCTTGACCTTGCCTCCATGACGGCCTGGGGCCTGCCCCGAATGAAAGACGGCAAAGTGCTCGCTGCGCGGAGGGCTATGCTTCCTTATTAGCCCTCTTTTATTTCCCCCTAAGGCAGAAAGCTAGACATATACACCTTGTTCTAATTTCAAGGGAAAAGGTGATGTTCAAATAGTTTATGTATTCATTATTCGCATCAGCACGGTTAGTGCGAGCGTCTCGATGTAGCCTATTGACTCGGTGCCCAATTTCATCCCCTCCCACTCCATTGAAGACCACAGGATCGAGAACCATATAGCGCCAAGCCCGTGAATGCCCATGTTCCCTATTCATCTCATCCGTATCGAAGTGGAAATGCTCGTCCTCCCCCGTCGGGTCAGAGCATGCAATGCAATGCAATAGCAAACACACAAACGCTAAATCTCCATGCTGAGCAATCCGTCCATCCTATCATTAGATGCGACCTCTCGAAATGCACCAAATCCCATCTAGAAAACAACGATCTTTCCAAATCAGGATAGTTTCAAGGTAACTGCAGGAGCGTATCACGTTTCAGCTTTTGTCTGCTAATGCTGATGAATTCGCTGAAGTACCGCAGCAATGAAGAAACGCAAAACGTAAGCTGAGCTCGAGGTTGGTGTGCCCATGTAGAAAGAAAATATACACATAACATCCATTTGTTCATCATCAAGTACATCAACATGATATTGGGTAATCTGCTCCCCGTTTTGTTCTTGGTCCTCGCCAGTCAGGCAAAGCAAAAGTCGGTAGTCTCAAGTCTAGCGTCGTTCGCAATGTTGAATGAAGGTGTTTAATTCGACCCCTTCGGCTTCCAGAATTGCATCATCCGGCTGAGTCGCTTGCTCTTACTGCCCTTGTCCTTCTTATCGACACCACTTGAACTTTCAGGACGAGACTCGATCGAAAGCTTACTCCTCTCTCCGTGAGAACTGCTGATCAGACGTGACAAGCTCGCCATGCTTGATCGTTTGCGAGTCACAGCCGCCGAGGAAAGGGAGGCCGAGCGTTGGCCGTCGCGGAATTGAGGGTAATTTGCACCTTGCTGAAATACGCTCTCTCTTGTCATCGTAGAATTGCTGCTTGTTAGAGATGGGACTTCATCAACTGACATGCGGAGCTCCGGACCAGGTTCTCCCATCAAAAGAGATTGGAATCCGTTCTCATCTGTGATGGACGAGGGAGCTGTAGAGATACACTGAGCATCGTACGAGAACGGCGACCGAGGTGAGGGGAAAGAAGATTGAGTGGTAGATCGAGGACTTGTCGGAGTGGGATATGGCGGTTGTAGAGAGAATGGCTGGATTTCAACAGGCGCTAGATCCTTTCCAGGCCGAGGCCGAAACGGAGGGGTTGCAGTGGAGTCCGAGGATTGAGCTCTAGACTCAGGCCTGGAAGGAACAGCATCGTCGACTATTTCTACTGGATTGGGTGATTCCTCTTGGATTGGCTCGTCCATCAGCGAAGTTGCCGAGTGGACAGACTTTGTTGAGCTCATCTGGCGGCGATCACCTTCGCTCAAACCCGAGCCTTTCCGCTTAACTCCTCGTTGGAAGCTCACTTCATCAAAGTCCATGACTTTCCCAGTATCCATGCCCTCAGAATCCACGACCTTGATGTCAATCCCTAAACCAGTCTCACTATCATCATCACGCTCGGGTGCCTTGCTAGTCGACTCCCGATCTGAAGAGGCCTTTGCATCTTCCCATTCCTCATCTTCGTCTTCTTCAAATACATCAGCCATTGTAGAACTACTTCCGAGGCGATGAAGGCCGAATCTGGGATTCTCGAATTCCGGTGCACTCTCTGTACGTCTATGATAATGCATGCCAGGTCCTGTAAAACCACCAAGGCCTGCCGCGCTGTGCATGGCTCTCTTTCTTGTGCCACCTCGTTGTGAATTATCCCAATCAGATCCAAAACTTGACGGGGTATTGAACGGGCCGAGAGCTGCGTCGAGATCGATAATTGGACTCATCGATTCTTCCTCCTGGGGAGGTAGCTTTCTTGGCTTCCAGGTTGTAAAATCGGTTTGAATCTCGGGTTTCGAGGGGGCTGGTTGTTCATTATTATTGAAGTCAAAATCTACGTTCTCGTTCATTGGTGTGTAGGCTCTCAGAGGAGGTGTGGGTGATCGTCTGCTCATCTTCTTCTGGCTCCGTTGTCGAGATTTGCGAGACAGGATTGAGCCCGCCCATGAGCGAACCTTCTTTTGTTTCTTGCTTGGTTTTCTCGATATGGAGGATCTCCTCGAGGATTGCTCAGTGGATGGAATCGGTATGTCGGGTGAGGCGAGGCCTGGAGAAGATGCAGCTGTCTCGGTCTTCTTTTCCTTCATCGAGCTTGAGGCGGATGCCGGTCTGGATCTCGGTGACGATTCGCCAGATTTTGGTTCGCCGAAGAAGGCCCACTTTCTCGCCGATCTGGGGGTAGATGGAGCAACAATAGAGGCAGTCGCACTCTCCATTAGCAGAGGTAGAGATCCACGACGCTTCAACGAGTCTGGCGTTCTTGAGGCTTGGTTGTCAGCGGTCTTCGGCCGTGCGTCTTGTCTAGCTCTCGTCTCTTTTGACGGAGGTGAACCAGCTGAAATGATGCTAGAAATTGAACCAGAAACACTGTGACCCGGGCCCCGGACAGTACTTGAGGAATCGCTGCTGACGAGGGAGAGTGGTCGAGGGATGATTTGCACTACTTCATTGAACCCCACGCGTGAATTCTTGAATGATTTGAAAGGCTCATTGGTTATTGTTTCCGGCTCTGGATTTGAAGACTCTACGGTCGAGTGCTGGAGACTTGGGAAAGGCTGGGATTGATAATCGAGAATGCCTGATGGACTTGTAGGGGCAGAACCACCTATTTGTATACTCTGTGTCGGTTTTAAAATCATGCTCAAATCGTGCGAGGACAAGGCTTGCGACCTTCTGTGGGCATGGCCTCGACGACCGGGTGGAGGAGGTAGGTGTCCTTGGGACTTTGTTGGGGAGGCAGAAAGTAATTGCCCAGTACCGGTTTCGCCATCTCCGCCAATGAATTCACTTGTTCCCCTCTTGTGTCGATTCGGGATGTCCCTCGAATGAGGAGAGAGTGGTGGAGACTGCATGCCAAATGAGAAGTCAGGGAGTTTGCTGCTTTCACCATGAGAACTGCTCGATCTCTCGTTAAGACCAGCTCTAACTTCGACGGCGGATAGAGGTCTGCGTCCGGTAGCCCTAGAACATGACGCTGGAGCCGAAGAAGTTGAAGGCGATGATGGCACTCTCGAGGGAAATACGAAGCTGGGGAGCGGTGCAGGACCTTGGGGAGATGTCTGACCGGCAATCATGGGGGATGTTTGGGACATGTCTTCATCACCTCTGGTCCGAAATGTACCATTCGCAAGGCTTATTTGCTGTGCGGTGAACGACATCGCAGACGTCGAAGCCATGGTGTCGACGCCGCAAGGCGACCAGATATCACACGAGGCGGCTAAATGAATGGCATGAAGGATCTCGACCGATTGAGGATTCGGTTCGTGGGAATTGATCGAGGCCCGATCTTCGGGGCTCGTCGCAAGATGTAATTTTCCGGCGGCATGCAGACTTTAAAAGTGAACTCGTCGACACCAACAACAAACTGAAGGCAGATTCATTAGCATGAGTCCCTCCGACGACGGCGATAATAACGGATGACGAGTCATAACCATACTTCCCCACTGACGTACCTGGTAGGGTTCTCGAAGATCTCTCAGGAGTGAGTTGGGTGAATAAGATTGCAATGGGCCCCTGGACGATCGAGGGATTCGGGATGTAAAGGAGTGTGAGAAGCTGAAAGGAGCGGACGGCGACGATGATAGAGAGACCTCTTTGGATCTTCTAACAAGGTCTGCCAGAATCGGTGGAGAGAGTGGTGCTTGGGATTGTTTGGCCTTGGTTGCGAGAAGGAAACGAAGAGGTTGCTGCGAGGTGAAGCCGCCAAATCGATCGCTTGACGCTAGCGCCCCTGTAGCCTGTAAATAATCAAAGCGAGAAACAGAGCCCACCCTCACCCCCGTGCAAGCAGGGCGTCCGTATTTCGAGTTCAGTTTATTATTATGGGAGGAGTTTCCGCAGCAGAGATTGCGTCAATCCCTTCCATCTCAGTGTTCCATGCATCCTTCTCTTGGACTTGACCACTCAGTCCAACAATGCAAGATTACCATGGCCTCTCAGGCGGCCGAGAGCGCATACAATGAAATTCACAATTTGAAGCAATAGCGCTCGGTGGTCGTTAATGCCTGGGAGCTCGCGCAGCAGTCCTTCTTTTGGGTGCCCTGCAAGCTTGCTGCATCTGCATAGGCTCCGCCATCCGATATGCTTCAATCTTGGACACCTTTATCCAAATGATCCCCTGTAGGCTCGGGGGCTTCAGATCTGGATGAGAAATCCGTCTGATGACAAGACGAGCCCCTGCATCAGACGCAGCGGGGCAAGCAACGCTAGTCTGAATCCGATTCTCAAAGTATCAAATATCAAGGAGAGCCTCCCGCCCATTCTTGCCACTCATTATACAATTACGACATTACTGCGACCCAGTCCGACTTCAGCGAGGGTGGAGGAAATTGGACAGAGATCTCGATTTCCCCTATCAACTGAAAAGCCTTCTTATCATTATTTTAGTAGGCAGGAGCAGGGGTTGAAAAGGCCGTGAAGACGGAACATCACTACTCCGGGTGCTGCGGTCGTCATCTCCAGGCGCCATCAGGGAGGCCCGTAGATCAGGTCAACTTTCTTGCATCTCTCAAATTGGGATGGTCTTCAAAACAGCAAGCCGACTTCAACCGGCGCCCTCAATACCCCATGCATATAATTCCTTGTTCATCTTGTTGACTCGTGATGTGTTCGGCACCTCCGTGAACTGAGGATGGTCTTCCAGCTGACCCGCCGAGGACCGATATGCGAACCGCTTCGATGTCTAAACCGCTTACGAGCAAGCGCCCCTCAAGTCGTTGCGCACAGGATTGAAACGCCGCTTCGATTGGCCACACGTCAGCCTCACAGTGTGCCTTCGCGGGTTCCAAAAATTGGAGCAGCCCGAGTATTTACCTGCTGCTCAAGGTTGTCCTCAGTCGAAAATCGAGATTTTCGATGAAGATGGTTGTTCCTTGAATACCTCGTTCTTCTTACCTTTTTATTTGCCCCGCACCTTTTGTGACTGGTTGGGTGAGTACTCGAGAAATTGATCATTTCGCTAGGAGATTGTTCTGCATACGAGCAGACACTTTCAAACAGGCACTTTATTCCAAATTTGACCTTGTCATTCAGTCTTCGGTGACTTTAGTAAAACGCCACATATCAAGAGAAGTAGAATTTGTATGATTGCTCTCACTCTCACATCATCGTGAGAAGTTGGCACGGTAAGCATCTCTTAAGCAATCATACCCCTTTTTCCTATCTGGAAAAGGCTGGTCACGTGTGTTAGATTACATAATCATCACTTCACGAGATGCAGATACTCGACGACATCGAATCAATTACAAAACTACACCGAAAGAGCAAAGCATCAAGCTATGCTCGCGGCGCTATCCAGACAAGCGCGATGGATCCCTCTGAGGAGTCTTCGCACCGAGTCGACAATAGAGGTTCGCAAGGTCACCACCAGCAAGGGAAAGCGGACGACCACAAAGCGTCCTTCTCCGCACACTCTACAGCCACCCCCTACCAGACAGGTGACAATCAGCATTGATCGGCCAGAACAGGCGGTAAGGAAGGCTACATTTTGTTCGGGACATAATATTTGCTAACGAACTCAGACCATACAACATGTACTGGATGCACTAGCAAGTTTTCAAAAGATATCAAGCAGGCTGGAAAATTTTGCCGCATTCAATCACCATACCCTATTCATCCTTGCTACCCCAAGTTTTGCGTCCTGGCTGGAAGCAAGTTCCGAGTTCATTCCAAAGGCTCTTCAACGTGTTCTTGGAACTTTGAGACCCATTGAGGTAGATGTTGTCTGTGGGGTATGTGATGGGTTGGCACCGCGGCCGGTGTCAATGAAACAACCTTCTGGGGCAGGATTCTCAATTTTGCATAAACCATGGAAGCAAGATGATCTTTGGGAGTGCAATCCCACAGCAGTTAGCCCCAACTTGCATTCAACCATAACGTTTTCGGCGAACAAGGGACACAACGTTACTCTCACCCTCCCTTTGGCGAACACCCTTTTCAAGAACGGGAGGCTCTCGACGCTTCTCTTAACAAGATGGAGATCCTCTGGTGGTTCCTTCGAGGTAACGCAAGAACAGACCGAGAAGAAAAATGTTACCGTGAACGTCTTTGGCAGACTACAAATACCTCGTCCCAGCATTCAAATTCCGTCCGTCCCCTTGACTCCAATGCGGCGGATTCAAAGCGGCCTCGGAAACATTGTTAGGACTATCGATTTTGGCGAGGGAGGCTTACCGGACGTTGGGCCCGCCTCCCGAGAGCTGGAAATGCGCGTGACCGAGTATTTGTCCAAACAAGGTCTCGACCATTCGGTAATTGATGTTTGGGCTCTTGTTATTCCTGTGGAAGCCTTGTCAGGTCCCTGGAGTGATAAAGTAAAGGTCTTGATGTCTGATGTGGAAGATCTGATGGCCAAACAGGCACCTTCGACGGGCAAGGATTGTTGCTACGTCGGTGACTTTATTGACCAAGGGGCAACACTTTGTCGTGTTCTCAGTGGTGGTGGCGGTTGGGGGATAAAGCAAGGGTTACTTTCACTCGACCCTCAGACGACTTATTGCACTAACAACGAGTCCCGGTATGATTTTTCGGAAGGCACTCTGGATGAACAGCAAACATCCGCATTAGGAAACGTTGCACAGCAGGGTGCTTTCATCCAGTTCTTGGTTGTTGCAAAACATGACGAAGCAGTCGACCCTTTAATAGAAAATGAACGGGGATACGTCGATTCTGCACTTGGGAGTACAGTGGTGGGGGTGGTACCTAGCACAGTAGATGAAATTCACGATATGTCGCAAAACGAGGACCAGCAAGTGCCCAAACTCGACGTCCAAGTCTATCTTAACCATTTCGGATGTGTATCAGAGTCAGGAATGTTTCTTCAGCGCAAGGGCGAGCGCGACAAGTCGACGACTCCTGCAATCGAAACGAAAATCGACCTTCCTTACTCTTATGTCTACCGAGAGAATTTCGAAAGAAGTCCGTTGGATATTTATGAGGAGGCAGAAAGCGTAGAAAAAGAAGTTGGTTCCCCCGATGGACTTGTTTGAATGTAGCAATATGAAATATCCGAAAGTCTTTGGTAGGCTGGGTCGGACAACCGCCAGAGTTATGACATAGTGTATACTACGAAATCCAACCTACTATTTTGGTGTGGCATGTAATGTACGGTTGTAAATCAAATGAGAGTAATGGATTGGGCGCTGGGACAAGAAAGTTTGGTGTCTTCATCACCGAAATTGGAAGGAAGATACAAAGGAAAACAAAAATCATTTCCTGATGAGTATCTCACTGGACAAGCTAGTCGAGCCCATGACGAAGAATTACTATAAATCCTTCTCTTGGTAGTAGTCTTGTTGTCTACAGTCTTCTAATAAATGTCCTTCCTGAATCAAAGGTGCTCTGGTCACATGATGCTGTTTTGCCGAGCCTCGACGTCAGGCCAAATATCTCAAGGCCTCGACTGTTTCCATCAACCGTTACACTTTCGAGCAACCTATCCCAACACAACCAAGTTCAATTCACGTTTGCTCTTAGATAAACATCTTGTACCATCCTACGAAATGGATCGTGCACTCGACGAAATTGTTGCAGAACGTCACGTACGCTCCTGCTGTCGCTTTCCCTTTCAGCCTTGCGATGGAGGCTCTGACCAAGAGGTGCCTTTGCTAACATCCTGCACAGAGAGGTGGCAGATCTCGCGGACGTCGTGGTGGCCGCAGAAATGATCGTAATGAATATCCTCGTGACGGCGTAAGAAAGGTAAGCTTTGAAGGCTGCAGACGGATATCGACTTCGGGCTAATGTTTTCCTGCAGGTGCATACACCTCCTCCTCCTCCTCCTCCTCCTCCTCAATCCTGATGAATGCTCGAATCCTCCTTGGACCTCGTCGCAGCACAACAAGCCGCTCTCGATGCCTTTCGAGGCGGTCCAGAGAAGTACGTAAATTGAATACATGAGCTAACCAGGCCTTTCATCGTTTTCGTACAGTCGAATCGAGAAGACAATAGAAACATAGACTCGTAGGCCCCACCCTCCTTACGAGTTAAACATCTACTGATTCATTTCCAGGGAATGGGTTCACGATAAGTTTGACGATAACAGTACGAACAACCGCCCCTCCTTTTTAGGGCCTTGGCTCACGAATTCCCAGCCGGACGAAGACCTCCCCGCAATGACAGACGCTCTTCTCCCGAGCCTATCTAGTCAGTCTACCAGTCCTACACTCTCACAATTCAGCGCTGACCTGTTACCAGCAACTCCGCCAGCGCTAAACTTCGCGTCGAGAATCTTCACTATGACCTGACGGAGGATGATTTGGATGTAAGGCACAATTTTAGTTTCGAAGTAAGAGTGTAGCTAAGGCTTAACACAGGACCTCTTCAATCGAATCGGACCAGTTGTGAAGCTTTCACTCACATACGATCGTGCGGGCCGCTCTGAGGGCATCGCCTACGTTACCTACGAGTTCCCTGAGGATGCATCGAAAGCCATTCGCGAGTTCGATGGTGCAAATGCAAAGGGTATGGGCAGTCTCAGATATGGCTAAGACTAGGCTAATTTACTCAGGACAACCAATTCGCTTGATCTCTATCCCCTCTGGTCCTTCTGCTGGACGCCGAAATCCAGGACCTGCGCCAGCTTCCAAAGGCTCCTTGTTTGACCGAATCACACTCCCAGCAGGTCAACCCCGCTCAGACTCACCAATCCGCCATTCAGACGTCAGTGGACCGCCACCAAGCAACGTCGATCGTTATGTCCCAGGCCGAGGCAGTCGTTCCCGCAGCCCTCGTCCGCGCCAAAGGGAAGGGAGGCGCCCAGGTGCTAGGAGAGAGCGAGGAGAGAGACGAGGTGGTGGACGTGGAGGTGGAGAGCGTCTCGCTCGGGACGGAAGACCTAAGAAGACACAAGAAGAGCTTGATGCAGAGATGGAAGATTACTGGGGAGCGAAGGAGAATGGCGCTGATGGTGCCGGGGTGACCGCTGAGGCTGATATCGAGATGGTGGAATAAGTCAACGTGGGTAGAGAGGGTATTTGCATTTGAGCACTCAATTGGTCTTGTAGATGAGTTCTGGCTGGCTCCTTTTTCAAGACACTTCACGGCTAAGAGACTTCTTGTATTAACCATGCACGAAAATTCAACTCGCTTCTATAGCTGTTGCTTGGCACGCTCATTGTATAAGTGCGGTGCCAAGAGAAGCCCGTCCTTTGTTCCTAATACCAAAAAGCTCCCCTGAAATCATTGTTTCTATTTCTGGAGTAACACTCCTTAGAATAGGAAAGGGGAGATCAACGACTTTGACAATGCATCTTTGAAGCATTCTGCATTGTTGAGTTCACAATGTACTGTACCAGCTTGGAATCGTTTACTCAACCTCAGCCGTCGTCTCTCTTCACTACTGTTCTTCAACACTTCAACGCTATCATCTTGAAGCCCTTGTTCATTCGATGTTCTCGGTGCATACTCTGGCCATCTGGGTTTTTCAGATGTAGTCATCCATCAATACCCGAGAGGTTCTTCCTCCATAAGTCTCCCTCCAAATGATGAGAGCTCTTTCACTTATCACCACCTCAAACCGATCGCTGCGGTCTCCGAGCCACAGGTCTACAAACCTCATTCCCCATTATCTCTCCAGCATGCATTTCAAGAACCTCACGTGGCTCCACTGCGAATTAAGCAGACAGACCCGAAACGAAAGGCATGGTTTCCGTTCTAGGTCATTTGTGAGTCACTGTTACACCAAGCTCGCTTTCGTACCAGTGGGGAGATTGTGCGACCACCAGCGCTGGTTGATTGCCATTGACACCAAAACTCTCACTTTTTTGGGGGGGCCAACTCAGAGAAGAATGAAGACTAGCGGCCATCATTACTAACCCCTAGAAATCACGAGACCGAGGATTGCGGCTGCGTGAAGGTGATCTGTCTTCGATTTTAAACGTACAAAGTTGGCTCGGGGGAACAAAAGGAGGCGCAGGGGCTGCTTCCGGCGCCTTCAAAGAGGACATTGTGGCCGCAGAAGATCTCTCAAGGAGACCAAACAGAACCAACAATGCAATCGCTAGGAAAGCTCACTAGACCATCATGTTGCAAGAAAGTGGAAGGACTGAATTCGGGAATGAGCAACATCTTGAAAAACTATTGATATTTCCGCGGATGAATACAGTTCTCACGACTTCCATATGACGAAATATGCAAAATAATTTGAAACGACCACCAATAATGGAACTGGCAAAATCAAGTACAAAAGGAGAACAAGTGGAAAATCGGGTCATCGGCGAGGTTGGTCCCTGCCTGCACTTGCCGCCGAGAATACTTCTCCTGGTTAAGTTTGGGTCCGTTGGAAGCACGATATATTTGGGGACTGGATAAACATGCTATCAGCAGCGGCAGGGTTGGTATAAGAGCCCTGTGCAGACGGGACTGACCACCGGTCTTCGACGTTGATATGGTCGTGGGCCAAGAGTGAGGCTCAGGGGAGATGGTGGGGGGAACGGGAAGGGGAGCACGGCGTCGAGCTAGGGCGGCTGGGGCGTCTAAGCGAACCAACCAACGAATTTACCCCTGAATGCTGAGCTCGCTAAGCCATTTTGGCTAGGTCAAAAAGCCTGCGCCACGCCAAATTGTTCTCAAGGATCAACCAACATCCATGCCCATTGGGTGGTTGAAGAGCAGTGCCCCCTCCCCGCACTTCAGGTTGCCCAATGACGCGAATCCTTCGCTGGTCCTCATGCTATTTCGGGGTCTGACGCTCTCATCATCAAATCTCAATTTTATACTGCGTTTCGGACCTCCGTGAGCCTTCCATGAACCGAAACTTGAAAATAGCACTGCCTGCACCGCATGCGTTTGTCCCAATGCGATCCAACTTCTTCCTTGATCGTGTGCCGCAGAGGCAGATACGGGTACGGTCAGGCCTCTAAGCGGCCGGTTTCCTATATTGCAAAGTCGTGTAGCTCGGATCCGCGCCTGGGTTTAAAATGAGTTCCTCTCATCCTGGTGAAGATCGTTGGTGAAAGGCACATTTTGCAGCTCAGCCCCCAAAATCTCACTCTTCCTTCGGATATATGATTTCCATCCTTTCGTTCCTTCCATCCTGTTGTTTTCTGTCAGTAACTTCCATGCGCGATTCATTGAATGGGTTGAGACTTGCCAATTCTCAAGCTTCCACTGTTCGCGCTTATCATGCATTTGATAAGGCTCACTGTGGGAGCTTTGGCTCTCATTCATGGCGCTGCCGCGGGCAAGCTTTCTGACCGTCGAGGTAAACCTTCCCGCGATCTGAAGTTTGATCGACAAATGCTTACAATTGGGTGCAGCAATAATACTAGCTCAAAGGAACTCGAACTGGCCTGCGATTGCACAAAATAGTTCCTTGACACCGGTTCCCGTTTTTCCCACCTCACAATCATTATCAACACCTGAACACACAACCACGTCCTCACTTCCGCCAGCTACCACATCTCCCTCAATATCAGCGCATATAGTTGTACCCGTTCCATCAACAACTTCGACAACCCCAGTTCCAAGCCCTTCATCATCTTCAAGTCCAAGCAAACCAACCATTTTGAGCCCCGATTCTCAACCCACCATCTCGAGCCGCACTGTCAGCACCTCAACCTCTCCAGCAGCACCAATATCACCACAGGAAGGTAGCACGAGCTTAGACAGAACTATTTCTATCAGCACCCAACCAAATTCTCCAATTGGGATTGCTCCCTGTACAGCAAAAGTCACCTCAACTGAAGGTCAGCCCTTTGTTCCAATCAAGGACTCATGTTCCCAAACTATGACAGTGGTTACCACGCTTGATTTTGGGGGAAACAATGGACCAGGAGGAGGACCGAAGGGGGTATTCTTTACTGGATCATCACCACCGGTCAACACAGGGACTACTATCCAGATAACCCTGTCATCAAGTACCGCGGTTGCCACGACTTCGATCGAGTCTCCATGGGGTCCCAATGGCCCCGATCCGCCTTTCAATGGAGAATCAACTAGCTCTTCGCTGCAAGGTTTGCCAACCCAGACGCCCTCTTCATCCAATAACTCACCTCCTCCAACTTCTGTGAAGGGTCCCGATGGACCATCGAATGGTCCCAACCTACCTGAGAATGGGGGTTCATCTACTTCTTCCCCACATGATTGGCCAACCCAGATTGGCCAACCCTGGCCTACCACTTCAACAAACATTTTTCCAACGACCGAGCCAGCTGAGTCCGGCTTGCTGCCGCCCACTCCCACGCCCACTCCCGCATCCGGCCCTGGTAGTGGAAATCCACCAAATCAGCAATCTAATTCTGTATCAACACCAGCTCAACAACAAAGTCAATCTTCACCAGCACCCACATCCCCAGAGGCTGGCCTAGGAGGCGTGACTGGGACTGGAACAAGAACTGGCACCGGCACTGGCCAAGGGGTTGGAACTGAGACTGGGATTGCCACTGGGAATCCAGGGACTGCCTCCACAACTCTCGATTCAAGCCCCTCGTCGAACGCGGTCCCAGCAACGACAGCTCCCGCTTCACCCATCTTAGTCGGATCCCAAACAATTTCCGTAAACTCCAACTCCGATGTCATAATCGGCTCACAGACTCTCACCCCAGGCTCAGCAGTAACCCTTTCCGACGGCCAGCGCATCTCCGTCGCCTCAGGCGGCGCCATCATCGTCAACGGCTATATCCCTGAACCCACGCCCACACTCACCTCCATTGTCGTAATCGACGGCTCAACCATCACTGCCGACTCCAGCGGTGGCTTCGTAATCAGTTCTCAGACTCTGTACCCGGGAAGTGCGATCACTGTTGGTGGCGAGATCATCACGTTACCGAGTCCAGCTCCGACGACTTTTGCTACGGGTGTCATTCCGAGTCAGGGGCCTGTTACGAATGTGGTTATTGCTGGGGAAACGCTTACGCCAGGCGGGAAGATTACAGTCGGAATCGACGTTCTGAGTTTGGAGCCGAGCGGAACGGCGATCACTGTTGTGGGGACCGTTACTATCGGAGGGGGAATGATGACGGTTACTGCAACGGCTGCCCCGAAGAAGAATGCGGGGGAGAAACGGAGGGGGGGTGTTATTTTCGTCGCATTGCAAATTTCCTTTGTGGCATTAGCGGTTTGGTTGCATTAAAGATATCCTTGAGCAAAGGACGGAGCATTGCATTGGGCGGAGTTAAAGATAGGTGCATCGGATTCGGGATACCCTGTATAAAATTAGATGCTTTCTTGTATATAGTTATTTATACGCATATGATGTGTTCCCTCATCTCAGGTTCTGATGCTCTTGACTCGCGGCTGAATTATATTTTGAGCCCGGATATATTCGACATTTTATACTTAGATGGACGAGCAAAAGGATGGGACAAGAAAAGAATGATGTCTTGGAATGGCCGCTCTTTTCACGCAGCGTTGCACAACATAAGCACTATGCATTGAACAATCTGAAAGCATTCTCCTCGTCCCTCTACCTTATTGCTTCTTCGGTCGCTCGGCTCAATCTCTCACATGACCAGCCTCCCTATTCAACCTTCTTCCTCTTCTTCATCAACCCCTCGCCCACACACCCCACTACATCTTCCACCGTAAGTCCCCTTTTCCTCCTCTCCGTCTTCTCCTCTCCCAACACCGTCTCATCAGCGACACTCCTATACACCTCCGCCACAGCATCGAAAATCCCTTTCCCTTCGCCCTCAAAACCTCCTTCATCACTATGACACATAGCAATCTCCTCCATCTCTTTAACCCATCTGTATGCCTTCGGCGGCATAGCCGTAAGTCCCCGCTGCGCAGACTTTAGCTGGTTCGGAAGCCTAGCTTCCATCTCCTCAAGCAGGTTGGGCAGGACGCCGAGCGATTGCGCGGTCGTGAAGGATTGGATGCATAGCGCTGTGAAGCCTTTTGCTGTGCTTGCAAAGCAGCATTTTAGGCCGCTGGCAGACCCGACTTCGGGGCCGATGTGCTTGATGTTTAAGGATTCTTGCAGGTGGGTGCCTGAGATGGCGGAGGCTAGGGAATGTGACCCTGAGATGGGGATGGAGGGGAGGGACCACGTGGTTTCTTTGAGGGAGGGGGGGCTGCCGATTATGCCGCCGTCGAGAAAGTTGATTGTGGGTGTTTGGGTGGTGAAGAGGGCTGCGATTGAGCGGGCGGTGCCGGGAGAGATGGCGTTGAGATCGATATAGTAGAGAGGTTTAGGTTTAGGGGTTGGGAGAGTCTTGAAGGCGGTTGTGATACGTTTTGCAGTTGCTAGAGCATCGCGCGGTGGCACGATAGAGAGAATGTAGTCGGAGGCTGAGACGAGAGAGGTATCTGTTAGGAGTGCTTCGATGGAAGCCTTCTGCACGCGAGTGTGTGTGTCTTGGCTGGAAAGGGTCAGTATTATTGAAGCTAGTATGACATGAGATAAGACGCTGAATTGCATTGCGATGGTTATGGATCAGGAGTGGGGTGAAGAAGACTTGTGGAGCAAGGTCACTGGCAAGGAGTGTTAAGACGAAATCGAAACTACTGTACAAAACAATTCCCGAAATGCACATTGTTTTGGGTTGGACTTCTCCACGAAATTTCAGCACGTTGTGATCATTGCGAACCTGTCAGACTTCCTCCTGATGATTGTCACAGATGACCTATGTGCTTGGAGAATGCATGCAACAGAATGTCATCATCTTGAAGCATTGTAGAAGCATTGAAGCAGCAATGGGACGAAAGGAGCTTTGGATATCAAACATGAACAACGACCACAATCTAATGCAATAGAAATCAAGTACCTTCTACCTTCAAGATTCGTGACAACTCTGTAATTCCTTGCAATTAGGAGCTTGGCAATTCCCATCCCCATGTCGCCAATGGATAAGATACCCACAGTTGCTAGAGGCGCCATCGTATTCAGATCAACTCCTAAAATTTGGCACCGAGCTCTGACAATTATTGAGAAAGAAAGATGGTGCCCGAAAGAGGAAAGTGAGAGTCATAACGGCCTACATCGGACTTGATTGGTGAGCAGACACGTGACACGAAAGTATGCAGCCGTTGGCAGAGAAAACAGTCTGTGGACAGACTGGTAGTCGTTTTGGTAGAAGCAATTAATACAATGCCTATGCGCATTCTTCGCTCTCCCCCGGGGACCAAAGCTCCCATTGCATGAAAGTATCGACGATGGTCTTCAGCCAACTTTCATCAGCCGAGCAGTTCGCGGCCGTTAAGGGAAGAAGTTCGAAACACTCGAGGCCCGCTGCTGATAACACTACCGGTATATATCTGGTGGTTTTGCTTCCCTTCCTTTCAGATCTCTCCAATCGCATAGAAACGTAGTGGTTTTTGGAAGTGCATGCCCAAGCACCAGTCTCGCTCAGATGCAAGCAGGCCGTCCAGATGGTTGCCACGGCTTTGAAAACTGAAGTCAGTGGTACAAAAGTAGTCCCTGGTGCGAAACTAGATGCCAATTATTGAAAGTAACGCATGGGTTCCAAATAGTCTGCAAGATTCCGCATGTATCGTGAGTTCGTCCCACCAATCTTGACGAGATTCGGCAACACAATGGACATGGGGGCCAAATTTGATGGATGCCCCCTTTTCAAGCGAATATCAAATAAAACATCCTCGACAACGTGTCCGTTGAAAAAGACTCTTGAACATATATTTACTACTGCACTGGTTGTTCAACTGTACCTCGGCCCGCCGAAGCTTTTGCTGTCTCTTGCTCCCAACGATCTGGCAGCCTATTTGTCCTGCTGCAGCCACACGCGGCGGCGGACGAATTCACTGACCGCCTCTTCTCGAAGCGACAAGGCTGTATACGCCCGTCTCGGTTGCGATGCGATGATGCGTCTAGCAGCATGGTCGGAATATCGGTGGAACTCTGCTCCCTTCCCGGAGCCGGAATCAATATTTGAAATTCGCTCCAACGAATGAGGTCGTCTTCTTCCAGGGCGTGACCCATATTGGAGCCACCTCGATGTACGTAACCTTACGGTAGTTCATCCAGAGATTCCAGAGCACACGGGCGTTATTGGACTGCGGCCGCCTTCACACCACTTTCGTACCGTTGTCCTGTCCTGTGCTGTCTTGTGCTGTCTTGCCCGAGGCATCTCGCAAAAAAACACAGCCTGCCAATCGCACGGAAGTTCTTCTGCTGGGGGCTAGCTTTCTCCCCGCGAATCAGGAGCAGCCTCGCATCAAATCCCTACCCTGTCAATGCCGTCCGTTCGCCTCGAGCAACACTACTAAAGATGCTCGTGCGATTGCCTACAGGTTCCTGTATATATGCTGTTCCTCCCATCTGATTCTTTTCTAGTGTCGCTCACTCATCGTCTTTCGTGGCCCGCCCGAGTAGCACCCCGCGTTACTCGCTCTTCTGAAACCTGCCGCAAAACAGATGTCATTGGGTGTGATTCGACACATCAAGTTGCGCCGGAGGCAGACATTGCGCGAAGTTGTGTTTGACGGCAGCCGCACAGTAATACACGCTCATTACGCTGCTGACTGCTGTCAAAATCATTCATCTCTGCCATTTATTACCATTTATTCCCTCGTTGGCCCAATTTCAACCCTAACTCCAGCCCCGCCTTGAATAGTCATCACCATACTCTAGATCCACAATCTATCACTGAATCGCAATGTCAGGCTTCCCCTTGAAAGCCGTGACGGCTGTCTCTGCTTTTTCTTCCTACATTCTTGTCGGGCACTTCCCGGGGCGATTACTCTTTTCACGGCCGTCATACTTGGGCACATTCATTCAGCTTTGGGTCTTGAGCTTCCTTGGATGGTGTTTTTGGAGGATTATTCTCTACCCAAAGTGGTTCTCGCCATTGAGATACCTCCCCGAGCCAACAGGCGGCAGTTGGTGGAATGGCCACTTTGCTCAAATATCAGCGCTGCCATCTGGCGCGCCCATGATTGAATGGTAAGATCTTGGTGGCAAGTGCGCAAGCCACTACACTGCTGACGTTGGGTTTCAGGGTGAACAATATCCCAAATGAAGGAATTATCCGGTATAAGGCCCTCTTCAATTCAGAGCGCATTATGATCACCTCTCCTAAAGCGCTGGGTGAGGTGCTTGTAACTCGAAATTACGATTTTATCAAGCCCAACCATTTTCGATCTGGCCTTGGAAGACTTCTTGGTATTGGCATATTGTTAGCGGAAGGAGAGGAGCACAAGACACAAAGAAAGAATCTAATGCCGGCATTTTCGTTCAGACATGTGAAGGATCTATACCCACTATTCTGGGAGAAGTCTCGAGAGGCTGTAGAGGCGATGACGGAGCAGGTCAAAGACGGTGGCATCCGGAATGAGGACTTGCCAGACTTCCAGAAGCGTCCGGATGTGGAAAACGATGATGCAGTCCTGGAAGTGGGAGAGTGGGCAAGCAGGGCTACCCTCGATATCATTGGTGTGGCCGGCTTGGGCCAGGATTTTGGGGCTATTCGTGACCCAAATACGGTCCTCAACAAGACCTACCGAACCGTTTTCAAGCCTTCCCGTCAAGCTGCGATACTCGGACTTCTGAACCTGTTCTTGCCAATGTGGTTCGTGAGCAGATTGCCCATCAAGAGAAACGGGGAGATAGAGGCAGCAGCAGCAGTCATCAGGTCCACTTGCAGGCAACTCATCCGTGCCAAGAAAGACAAGCTTGAGAAGCGTGAACTAACAGACGTTGACATTCTGAGCGTCGCATTAGAAAGTGGTGGCTTCAGCGAAGAGAATCTCATCGATCAACTCATGACTTTCCTGGCAGCAGGTCACGAAACCACAGCTACTGCGATGACATGGGCTGTCTACATGCTCTGCCTCAACCAAGACGTCCAAAGTCGCCTCCGTGCGGAAATCCGGGGGAATCTCCCCAGTCTCAACGAATCCGAGAGCGTCACAAGCCAGCAAATCGACAACATGCCATATCTACAGGCTGTCTGCAGTGAAGTCCTCCGCTACTACCCACCTGTTCCTCTCACTCTCCGCAACGCAGGAGTGGACACCCAGATTCTAGGGCACAACATCCCGAAAGGAACCCGCGTCATATTCATCCCTTGGGCCGTCAACAAATCCGAAGAACTCTGGGGTCCTGATGCCCGAAAATTTAACCCTGACCGATGGCTCAACAACCCCAACGGCGGGGCTAACAGCGCTTACTCACTTTTGACTTTCTTGCATGGCCCTCGGAGTTGTATCGGGCAGCGTTTTGCAACGGCGGAGTTCGCGTGTTTATTAGCGGCGTGGATTGGCAGGTTTGAGTTTGCATTGAATGATGAGAGGGAGTTGGATGAGAAAAATGTGGTGATTAAGGGTGGTGTGACTGCTAGACCTGCGAAGGGTATGTATGTTAAGGCGAAAGTTTTGGATGGTTGGTAACAAACACAATGGGATACCGGGATTGGATTGCATTATTATGACTTCTAATGTTTGAAAACACGAAAATAAATTGTATGTGTTGGAATCCTTCTGCTGCAGTGTGACGTGAGGTTTCTGGTGAGGCTATTGAGAATGGGAAGTGGCTTGGCAGAGTCATTACATAAGTAGCCATTTGAGGGAATTGTAAGTCATGATGCTCATCTCTCCAGGGTAGAGCAGGAGAGATACGATTACTAAATCTAGTCAAAAGGTATTCGTCTCAGGCCTTCTCCGCCACCGCCCATTCTTTTTTTCATTTCCAGAGCAGCTGCAACACTACTGGGCACTTTGATACCACAGCAATCGCCCCAGCTATTCATTTGATGCACATGTTTCATTCCATCAACCATAACTACCACTTCTCCTCCCTCAGGATCCTCTTCCTCACTCGGAACTCCAAATTCTTCCTCCTTGCTCATCTCATCCACCGCCGGTATCAAAGATCCAAACAAAAAGTGTTGCATAACTGGTAGCTTCTTCAGAACTTCTGCAACAAACATACGTCTCATTCCAGCTTCGACTTTAGACCACGACTTTGCTGACGATATGTCGTCTAGCATAGGACTATGCCATCTTAAGCCTTCAACGTTCTTGACACTGTTGACGAAGTTGACTTGGCCCAGATATAAGTAATCGTTTCCGTATTCTTCGAGTATGAGGCTTTGGTGTATGGAGAGGGGGCGGATAAAAGGGTGATGGAGGAGCTGCGAGGAGCCGAAAAGGAAGGGGAGAAACTGGTAGTCATCTAGTCCCCACACACCATGTGAGCCTGCTGGTTCTAAATAGTATGTGGATTGGATTTTCCTCATGAGAGTGAGGTATCGGGTGAAGACCCTAAGAACGACGGGGCGAAAGTCGGATGGGGTGATTATTCGCAGCTGGTAGAGGCAGAACAACCATATCATGAAATTTAACTCATGCCCGGAACCGTAGTCTATTCTTGTGCGATTGCCGAAGGATTGGAGGAAGTATGTTGAGCTCTCGGTGATAGCTTCCTTGGGTCTGATGCCTAGCTGTTCGTGCCACCCTATATGCTCCTTCCCTGCTAGGTCGATGAAGTCGCGGAATCCTCTGTTGCCAAAGCGGGAATCACCCTGCTCCTCTGGTGGACTTCTCTTGACCACATCTTCAACTTTGTCGAGAATATCAAGAATGTTTTTGACTGCGGGGCTGAGATCGCTGTCCTTGACTGCTGAGACTGGGGTGTCGACGACCGACTCTGTAAGGCCAAAAACAAAAGCCAGCAGGAGATTGTATGTGGGAGAGCTTAGAAACAGGTCATGGTCTTTTGGTGAGAGGATACGTCTCGTGGGCTTCTTGAAACTAAATGTCGAGAGCTCCGGAGGCGGTGGGAGATTCGGAGTCTCGGGTACTGGCAGAGGATTCGCAGCAGGAGGTGGTCGACGCCGAGGTGTCAGCTTTGGCAGCCGGTCTCGCAGATCCGAGATAGCGACAGCTGGTCGTTCTTTCAAGGTATTGTCTGTACTTGATGGCATTATTGATTCTGTTGTTGTGGTACGAGGTTGTGGGCAGAATGACGCCTCATTGCTCAAGCTGACAGGGAAACAACGTGGGGCAAGGATGTTCCGCTTTTAGCGTCATCACCATAAAAAGTTCCGCGAGCAACTTGCAATGTTTGATTCACGGTTCAAGTCAAAACTCCTAAAAAGATACAAAAGCTATTAACAATCATGGCACCATCAGCAGAGCCTACGGCGATTCTATCTCATCTGCATCGCGCAGATGGGTCCGCGACATTCTCACAGAATGGCTACGCGGTCATCGGCGCAGTCAATGGCCCTCTCGAAGTGCAAAGACGAGACGAGTTGCCAGAGGAAGCAGTTGTTGATGTGATCGTACGGCCTGCGGCTGGAGTTGGAGGTCCGTAGTTCCAGTCTCGAGCTTCTCCTATGTGGACATGCTCTCACCTGTCTCATTTTAGGTACGCGGGAGCGACATCTAGAATCTATCCTGCAGTCCACCCTCCGCCAAATCATCCTCATTCAGAATTTCCCGCGAACCCTAATTCAGGTCTCATTACAGATCATGAGCACACCAGAGAATGAAAATGCGGGGTCAAAGTTGGTACAAGCAGCTTCGGTATTTGCATATGTTACCGGTCAATTGGATTGAGATCTGACCCAATCGATCCAGAACCTACCTATTCTCCCCGCACTTCTTCAAACCTCAATCCTAGCCTTGTTGTCTGCTTCGATGCCCCTCTCTCTTACTCTGACATCGGTCTTACTTGCTCTTACGTCCGACGGAACCGCCAAGAGAATAATTCGAAATCCAACCCTCATCCAATCCCAAAGCGCAGATTCACTCCACGTGTTGGCTTTCACTTCTCAGGGCGACCTGTTGGTCGCAGAAAGTGAGGGTAGTTTTACAATCGGCGATTGGGATGAAATCTATGAAGCTGGAAAAGCAGCATGCTGCCATGAAACAAAACAGTCGGACGATCATGAAATGATGGACAAGAAGGAAGGAGGAACGCAACTGTTTGTCAAATCAACCCTCCAGGCAAAAGTTGCCGCAGATCTCCACTGGAAAGAATGATCGACTTAGCAACACTTATCATCTCCACAGCTTTCAAACGTTTCACGATCCTTTGGTACAATGGCAGCGGCCGACTTCCTCAATAGGGGCAAGGTCATTCTACGGGATGTGTTTGGTACAATGAGGCAACCGCAGTCGTGGGGGACTGGATGATGAGGGGCTATGGCATTGATGCCAAGCTTACGATCTTTCAACGGCGGCAATGTTTTTAAATAGCCGCCTCTGAAGGATCGGACCGTGAATCCAACAGAGTGACCCTTGTTCCCCGAATTTGTTTACAAAAATAGCGCGAGCAGCAAAGTCGTGGGACTTGACCGCGGAGACTAGGCTGTAACAAGTAGTCAGTGCTGTGGGGCTGTTTGGAGACCTGGACCCCTGACTTGAGGCGAAGTTTCATCAGCTCTCAAACCCAATGAACATCGAGGATTAGCGACGCCTTTGTGATGTGCGGGAAAATGTTGACACAAGGCCAAATTCAGGATGTGACTGCCTCCTATTTTTGAGATCTAGGCTGGACTTCTGCCGCCTCCATGTCGTTGAAGCTTTTCCAGCCTCAGTCTTATCAGATGGAAGTGATAACGAAGCTCCAACTACGTTTGATGCTCCGGAGCTATTATCCTAAAGGGGGTCCCCCATAAACCCAACGCTTGTTGGCCACCCGACTCCAAACATTATGCCGCCACTGTGCACCACTGCACTCGTCCTGGTGGGCTGATACTTGTCGCCAGCCACTCACTGAAAACGCTAGCCTGTCACGCCCGTGATCTTTGAGACGACGACACATCGAAACTCGCCTACAAAAATCGAAGATCAAGGGCCTAAGACCAAGGTTGGCGCCTCCTATAAGACAAAATCGAGTCCGGGTCCAAATTTGTCCTCCCGACTTCCTCACCAGACCCATCGCACCGGCTATCATCTTCCACAGCAGAGCTCCGGTAGCTTGTGCTTCCACTTTGTTCCTACTTGCACCTTGTTTATACTTTCTGCTTTTGCCATGCACACTTCTCGCACATAGACTTTTATTGTTGCATTTTCCGGCGTCGATTTATAGACCATAGACCAAGCATCCCTTTTTTTACAGTACCTGGAGATACCATTTTCGCCATCCAATTCCAACATTTTTGCTACGTTCTTGTTATATATTTCAAGACCCTCATTTCGTCCCGGCTGCAAAGCTTATCACTATCACCACACTCGTCACCACACTCGTCACCACACTCGTCACCGCACACGCGCCGATCTCAGAAATTTTCACCTGCATACACGATTACTTCTGTGGACGAGTAAGGAAGATCATCACACACGGCATCCTGCATCAAACCTTCTTCGCTTCGTCGAGTGAGTAGAGTTCATCTCCTGCATCCGGACAATTTTATTGGAGTCCTGGCCCATGTCTTTCCCAGAACGATTGCACATGAGGCCCCGTGTTAGTCAATGTGGCAGTTGATTTGATGGCGGGGTAGTGCATGTACCTCGTTCGTGGCTTGCACACAGCACGTCACATCACCGATCTGATGCAAGATGCTTCTTTCTCATAACCTCACTCAATACTTCCCCCCTCATCACAATGCCGCATAGAATCACAGCTGACGTACCCAATGATTTCTCTAGTTCACCCCATTGTGCCGGATAAAGCCCATTGACTCGGACTTGGTTGAACAGTGCACCATCACCCGACTTCCCCAGGTATTAAATCCTCCGCAATCTAATTCGGCTCTCGAGAAAGCGGGATCGAATCGACTCCAAGCTCGACAACGAGATTCTACCCGGGCGACGAGTGCAAGTTGCCGTTCGGACACACCTCACGGTCGCTCGCATCGCCTCGTCTTGCCTCGCATTTTTGATACAGAGCCACCACGTCACATGAGATTTTCTGTCCCACGGACATTGCGCAGTGTAACTGTCGTGCTCGGATAGCTTAACCTTATCGCCGATCCCCTGCGCTTACTGTTTTGGCAAATCCCGACTGCCGACCGACCGGCCCGTTTGTGTAGGCCTCGAAAATCGAAATGGCTGACATTCGCTCTCCCACTTCCAATTCGATCCACCACCCTGCTCTGACCAATCCTCACACTCTTCCCTTGGCCTCCATTAATGAGGCATCCCCACCATCTCCACCTTACGAGTCCGCAGGTGCGCAGTCTCTTGCAACACCACATCCTAATGACTTGAAAAGCAGCTCTCACGGAGAATCGCTCCAGCGTCACCGTGAACACGCCCCGGATCCCCTCACCGCATTGAACACGAAGAGATACCCCTACGACCTCGACAATGACCCCTCCGAATCTTCATTCTCTGCTGCTACCACAGTAGGACAGAATTCCCCGAACGACTCCGCGTCCCTTCCCTCATCACCCGTGTTTCCAGCTTCATTTAAGCCTGCCTTCGGGCACCGCAAGAACGCTCTGTCCGTGGAGTCCATACCCAGGCAAACAATCATAAAGGCATTGGCATCCGCTGGCAGGAATCACAACCCGCAAAACTTATCCTTGTCCAGCATGATTGCCGCACATAAACAGATGGAGCATCGACCTGGGACTGCCTCCTCCCAAAAACTGTCGGCCGCCTTGTCAAGCCTCACGGACAGGGCCGGAACCCCAACAACTCCTCGTTTCACTGCCCTACAATCGCCCTGCTTCTATCACGAACGATTTGATGATGTCCTCAACATCGACAAAGTTCTCGAAGAGATCCAGGGGAACGAATGGATTTCCCACTCTCGGCTGCTCGCAACGGCTACTGGTGTCCGAGAAATATCAAAACAACTACAACGTCGTCCAATGAAAAGGGCGGTCCGTAATGTCATGATCGTTACTAAAGCGAGAGACAATCAATTGGTCAACTTGACGAAGGAGCTTGCGATGTGGCTTATGAGCACTCCCAGATACGGATCCGAGCTTGGTGTTACTGTCTACGTTGATGCCAAACTCAAGACGTCGAAACGGTTTGGTGCTGCTGATATTTTGGAGGCGCATCCTCGCTTACAACATCTCTTGCGATACTGGAGACCCGAGATGTGTCGGAACCAACCCGAGAAGTTTGACCTGGTCCTCACCCTTGGAGGTGATGGCACTGTCCTCTTCACGTCTTGGCTTTTCCAAGGGATCGTTCCCCCAATATTGTCATTCAGTCTCGGCAGCCTCGGATTCTTGACCAACTTTGAATACGACAAATTCAAAGAGCAGTTGAACAAGGTGATGGGAGAGGATGGCATGCGAGTAAGCATGCGTATGCGTTTCACATGCACTGTCTACAAAGGTGGCGTCTCCGGTCAAGACATGGAAGAGGCCGAGCAATTTGAGGTTCTCAATGAGCTTGTCATTGACCGTGGACCATCTCCCTACGTCTCAAACCTTGAGTTGTACGGAGACAACGAACTCCTCACCGTAGTCCAGGCCGACGGTTGCATTTTCGCCACACCAACTGGTTCGACAGCCTACTCTCTGTCAGCGGGTGGCTCTCTTGTCCACCCTGATATCCCGGCAATTCTTCTTACCCCAATTTGCCCACACACCCTTTCCTTCAGACCTATGGTTCTTTCGGACAGTCTTCTGCTTCGAGTCTCTATTCCTCGCAACTCCCGTGCCACAGCCTACTGCTCCTTTGACGGCAAAAATCGCGTGGAGCTCAAGCAAGGTGATCATATCACAATCGCTGCGTCTCAATACCCATTCCCTACCGTAATGAAATCTGGTTCGGAATGGTTCGAAAGTGTGTCTACATCTCTGAAATGGAACACCAGAGGTGCAGCACAGAAAGGATGGGACGGTCTGGAAGAGAACGAAGAGCAAGGCGATGAGTGGGACATTGATTTTGACGATTCTGCGTACGGCACAAGCGAAGATTGCAGCGATAGTGCTAGCCCTCCTCGAACGGCCATGAGCTTGCTCGAGGGTTAGAGTTATCCACATATTGCAACGCTTTCATTCCGTGCTGGTCACTGGGTTTTTGAAACTCGGTTTCATTTCATTCGCGGATGCATTGGTGGCGTTCACCCTAGGAAAGGCGTTTTAGACGAGACGATTAAATACAAGACTCTGCTGGCTCGTCCAGTGCTAATGACGCTCCATATCGTTTGAAGTTGTTCATGAATTGCTTGTGCCCCTGTCCCAACTGTTGAGGCTCCCCACTTTACATCGGGAAATAAACAGACCAATCAAGACTGTTCTGAGCGGGTTAGGAGAGGCAAGCAGCCCGTGAGTCTTAATTTTTGTAGGCGCTGCTGCCTGCGCGCACAAGGCTGAAGCAACTCCGACGCGAGTGAGTGACTTCGTGCAGAGCCTAATCCGAATTTTCCATTCCGCATCATCTTCTTGGCCTCCAAGACCACATTTTACGTGCTACCAGTAGCTTCTGAACATTGAATCTATTGCAATCGTTTGAGCTGAACCACGCTAAACCACTGAAAGGCTCGGGTCCCAGAGAACCAAGTGTAGTTCACTACCAGCTTCAGCCTGACGGCGGGACCTAAGTTGCACTACACCCTAGGTAACCTCACTTTGAGGGCATTTTCCGGCTTGGCCTTAATTTTCGAAAATTGACCTGAAGTTATTTGACCTCGTCGCTTTCGCAGACCTCTTGCGGTTCACAACAAGTCGAGACCACTAACAAGACCCAAAACCAGGATCACAGAGTAGGAGATCATCAAGATGCCAGCCAAACGAAAGCAAAGCGAAGGGGACTCCAAAATGCATTGGAAGAAAGTCGGTAGTTTCGATGCTTTCAATGTACGTGGCTTCCATGTCGGAGCAAAGAGAGCTCCATAATGCTGACTGCAAGTAGCCACAAGCTCCACCTCCAAAGAAACGAAAGCCGACCAAGAGCCGGGTGACTGGCTGGGGAAATAACCGGAAGAAACCAAAATTTGTCAAATGCGAAGAGCTTCCAGAGCCAGAGGTCGGAATTCATGTAAGACTCTGCACTCGATCGACTTCGAAACGGCTAGCTAATATTGGATGACAGTCTCTCGCATGGGCTCAGGCTATATCACCGCAAAAGTCCGGATTCTTCAGACTACCCATCGAGTGTCGCAACAGAATCTACGAGCATGTGATCGACGATTGGACAGTCGGTCCTGAGAAAGGATCACCCATCACGCCGTGGAAGAAAGGCAGTAAATTCTATGACCGCAACTGGCGAAACGCTTCGAAAGAAACGGAAGCACTCTATCTCCTAAGTCGACAGGCCTATGTAGACGTTGTTGGCAGTGGTCTGCTCTACCAGTTCCGAAAATTCTCCTTCACCAGCCCGTCGACGATGCTGAATTATCTGTGGGTCATTAATCCCCGGCACAAGGACGCAATCCGCACTATCGAACTGGATCTGAATCTACAAATATACAAGAAGTGTTTCGATGACAAATCACCCCGGGCGTGTGGAAGACCATTCGAGATGATTGCCAGCTGCAAGAATCTACAGCACTTTACTCTCAACCTTGGCTTGTATCCTTGGCACTCGACAATACATCGTGGCCCGCCTTACAACTCCTGGGGTTGGGGCACAGCAAAGAGTGTCTCTGTCGACGAGAGTGCACTCAAGGTTATCACAGACTGCGTTGCACTGAAGGCTATTAGGGGATTGAAGTCATTCGAGTTATTTTTCCATACTAGCTTGCCTATCGAAGAGAAGAACCAGATCCGTCTCCTTGAAGCCGTAGAAGGGATTAGGAAAATAGTTACGATGAAGGATAATGATACACGTGCGTTGACATGATGGACCTGGATTCAAGGTCAAGAGGAACACATGGTTCATACTCTTGGCTTAGCTGAGGGAGCTGGTACATTGTATTTGAGAGATCTGGGAAAGGAAGACACATCGGGATACTGAAATCCTCTTACAAAGTTCTCTGGCGGATGTTTAACTTTTCCTCGGCAGTTGGCAGAACTTTTATTTTGCAGTAAGCTTATATAAGAATACAAAGTTCTCGTACAAGCATTTAAGTATTCCCGGACGGAATCTTGATATATCCAGGGAATATCAATGTTCAGTATTCCTAAGATTTTGGAGCGTTCGAGCTGCACAGTTCACTTCTTTACGAATGCGGTGAGCATTAAAATCCGTCTAACTCGCTAAGCGAGAATTTGGGAAGTCTAGGGGCTACGCGGTTATAAATGTCTCGCAATTTTTTCCCAAACTTTAATCGTTATAAAATTCTTGGAAATGATTAACGTACTATTTTTCTATTATATAAAACTCTTATAGAAAATTTTGGGCGTTGCGTTGCGTTGGGGATTAGTGCGACTTTCCGCACAAGGCAATTTTGCACGCAGTCTGCAAATGGACGATTTTCAACGCCCGTCGCCTTCGTAATGTTAAATGTAACTGCATTCCAAGTCATGTCGCCATCCATTGTTCCTTGAGCTTTAATACATTCGAGATTATATGGTCACGCAATGTTCTATAAATACTGGACATTGAGGGTATAGAGTAACCGTGATATACCTTGATTCTCGGTATATTGAACTTGATATTGCCTACTGTTATTAAAAGGTAGGACTTTGGGATTGAGAGGAAGCCACAATGTTCCTGGAGCCTTTGAATCTTTTGAATAAATGAAACTTTTCAATGTTCCGCGGAGATAAGCATATTGAGGGCACAAAAATATTACACAATGTTCCAATTATCGCGAGAACAATGACATCCAGTGGATAATCAAGAAAGGTCGCTGTAATATGGCCATTGCCCCTCAAAATCAGGTACGCTCAAAGTCTGTCAATGTACTAAGGTGGTTTGGATTAATGATATTTTGTTAAGATCAGGCTAAAATCAGGCCCACTCCATCTGCTGAACTCATCGCCATTTTCCCAGCCCGCCCAAGTCTAATACTAAGAGCGTGTAAAAATTTCCTTTGGCCATAGCCGGTCAAGGTAGTGATTCGGATCGTCCGTATTCAACACCCCTAGGTAACCGGGGAGTCAGCAATTGCTCAATTGGGATTGTTTCGGGAGAGGACATTGACTTAAGAAAAACTCATGGAACAGTCGCAAATAGGAAAAGATTTCTCCCCCAACACCTACAATGGAACGCTGCCCACATCCGGTCCATTCTCAATGTCCCATCCGTCCACCTGCCTGCATTCTTCTCCTGTACTCTCCTCCTTGCACGCCACTCTTCGCTCATCACCTGCTCTGCCTTTGTCTTTGGCATCTTGATTCTCTTTCTCCGTCCGTCACCCTCAACATCGACCTGCGCCTTTGCACTGCTCGTCTTTCGCTTCAGGCTTCCAAGCGCAAACAATTTCCCCTTGTTCTTTTGCTTCCACTTCTCCCGCCCATCCTCAATCTCCTTCACCCATAGATCAAGCTCCTCAAGAAAGGTTCTGCCCCTATGTCCATCAAATAGCTTCTTCCTCGTTCCCCACCAACTGCCCGGCTTTCTTGCCCACCCAGAATTACCTAATCCCTCCCCAACAAAAACCATGTCAAACATCCCCTTCAACTCCTCCGCATCCCACTCAATAGGCTCCAGCTGCGACCACAAACTGAACCTACTCAACGCCTCTGTGATCTTCATCCTCATCTCCGGTCCCCCCTCAAAGTAGGGTGCAACCCAAGCGGCATCTTTCGTGGAATTAATAAGATTTGCTGCCGCTCTGTTCCATCCATAATTCAGGTCGATGCCTCGGAATCGATTCTTTGCCTCGAGTCTTTCTGCATTCTCCATCCATTGCTCATCGTATTTCCATTGGCTGAGTGCCTTTCGAACTGCTGCGGGAGAGTAGACCCAAGGGGTCGGGCGACGAAGTGTCAGGTTTTGGAGGTTGTCGGTGAGGGCTTCGATATCGGGCTCTGCTTTCTGGCGGCGTGTAAGAGGTGTATCAGGGGTGTGCAAGAGCTTGTATTTGCGGGTCTTGGTACAGGTGGAAGGTCCAGGAGTCACTGATTGGTGATTGTCATGCTGTGCATGGCGGGACTTGCGGTGGAAGTGCAAAGGGGCCGGGGAGACAGAGCCAGGTGAGTCTTGTATAACTTCATTGTTGGTAGGAGCAACTACACTAAGTGAGTTGTGTATAACTCGACTATTAGAAGGGCAGACAGCGCCGGGTGAGTCTTGTATAGCTCGGCTATTGCTAGGAGTGCCGGCACCGGGTGAGTCTTGTATAGCTCGGCTATTACTAGGAGTGACGACAGCGGGTGAGTAATATATAACTCGATGATTGGTATGACCGACTGCATTAGATGAGTCTTGTTTTACTCTATGGTTGGTAGGAGGTGTGGCACTGGGCAAATCTTGCATATCTCCATCGTTGGTGGGAGAGATGCTCTGGTCTCTAAGTACTCTCCACTCCGAGCCGGTGACGATTTCGTGTCGGATAGGGGCTGTGGAGACAAGCGAGCTCGCTTGGCGACCACGGGGCTTTAGCGAGTTCAGCATGACTCCTCCTATGTTGGAATCCTCTGAAGACCAGGACTTATTGCTATATTTTGGTGTTGAGAGATTTGCGTAATTTAGCTTCACAGTCGAAGTCTTTATTGTCGTTGTTATTGCTGGTCTTATCGTGGGTGTCTTGTTCCACGTGGCTGCAATCCTCTTCGTATCTTCCATTACTCTCATTTCGGTTGCACCCCTATTCTCAAGCTCACTCTCTCCCTCATCTCCCTTCTCGGCCTCGGCTCTTGCACCAGGTGTGTAGTTTGTAACCGTTCTCATTGTAGAGATTTCCGTAGCGATCCTTGCTACTCCACTGTGCTTCTCAAAACCGCTGACCCCATTATGGTCGCCCTCAATTTCCACCCTCCCGGGATTTCTGCCGCCGCCCTCGATTTCGAGTCCACTGCTATCTTTACCACTATCTTCCGCTGAAATTCGTGTTTGGACCTGAGAAGCCACGAAAGTAAGATCCGGGAGAAGAAATGAATGGGGTTGACGAATAATAATATCTCCCGTAGTTAATGTACCAGAAGCAACAGCCATGCTGAAGGATCGGTAATCCGTGTTGGCAGCACTACAATCGCAGTCACTTTCTTCGAACGGCCCAGGATCGGTATCCATAGTTGATAGTTGAAAGATCCCTTTGTCAAGTGAAAAACATTGACCAAGTTGTTCTAGGAGAATGATACTGATGTCCTTTGTTGGTGGGGATAGCCGAGACGAGAAGTAGAAGTCACATCAGGGGTCGTCTGAGGTTGTGATGCCAACTGTTTGGGATCAGACGGGATACCCGAGACAAACGGGGAGATCGATGTCGATTTTTGTCCGAGGCTATGATGCCAAATATCCGAGATAGGGGGGATAGTTCGGCATAAGAGGTAAGGGTCAATGTTTACTTTGTCGCAGTTGTTGGTTCTAAATGTCGAAACATAGGAAGAAGTTTCGGTTGTTAAATGCTGCCAGGTGGTTGTAAATGTGAAAGGACGCTGACATTGCCTTGGAAGAAATTTCGGTAGCCAAGGAGGTGAGTTGCGAAGGCAATGTGGTATTCTAAAGCCGAACGACCTTGCCTAGGGAAAATAATTAGTTGCCAAAAGAAATCCCATAGCGGAGGCGAGGTAGAACGGTAATGCAAATGTCCTTGCCTAGGAAGAATATCCGACTGCCAATTTGTTGCCGGTGCGAAGGTGAACGCTGAAGGTGGCAAAAAAGGTAAGGCAGAATGTTCCAGTCCTGGTGTGAGCAGTCAAACTCAGGTGTAAAGTCAGGGTCCAATATGGTTTAGGAGGGTGAAGAAAGATGTCCTTGGCAAGGGGGGACGTGCAGGATTCTGAGGGTTGTCGGAAGTAGAGATAGATGGCTCAGCTAGCCTAGGACACTGAAGCCAAATGGCCTAGCAGGATAGGGCAGTTGAGAGTAAATCCTGCCAAGAAGTAGGACGAATCTCCAAAGATTGTGGTGGATAATGGTGATAGAGACCCAAGCCCACCACGTAATATTCAAGGGTGAAGGTTGCTGAGAGTAAGGGTTCTGAAAGCAAAGAATATTCAATCCCGAGGATCAACCTGAAAGTCAATCACTGCTGAATGGAAGATGAGTATACAGGTGACAACCTACGGAGGTGAGATACAAAAGATGGGCAGAAAATAGGGAGTTGCGAGAGGCTGGCGTAGAAGAAGTGATAATGTGTGAAGGAACAGTTGCGAAGACCAGCAGAAAACGAGGACTTGCAGAAATGGACAGAACGGAAGTGATAATGTTTGAAGGACGGGTTGCGAAGACCGGCAGAAAATAAGCAATTATGAAAGATGGACAAAGAAGTGATTTCGAATGAAAGTGGAGTGCAAAGACGAGTGGAAAGCAGGGACTTATGAGAGAAATGGGCGAAAAGGGTGGTTATGTCCCAAAGCAATGTGCGAAAGATAAACTGGTACTGTCAAAGAAACATTGGAGTTATCGAAGCTGGCTGAAATGAAAGCTAATGGTCCAAGCTGGCCATAGAGTTGCAAAATGCACCTCAATTGAAGATTATGAGCTGTAAAGATGGCTGAAAATGAAAGCAAATATGCAAGCTTATTCAGGAGTAATCATGTCCAGCAAGATAGTCAAGTTCAATCCTGCTGGGTGCTTTTCAAGCAAAATTATTTTGTACCGAAGCAGAAGAAATTCGATGAGAGAATGCCAAACTAGGCGCAAGAACAGCCACTGCACCGATGGAGTATCAGGAATCGCAATGGATAGAGAAGGATGTACATTTGAGATATCATCTTCTGGTGAATCATCAGCATTTCTAGTCATGGTATCGGGCAATAAAAATCGACAGAGAAGCATGGGCCATAATCCCAACACCAACCATGCAGCCCAGCAAAAGCTAATTCCAACATTATACCATACCCAGACCTCACAGCTTTGTCTGCTCCACTATCTCCAATTGCCTTGACTCAACGACAACAATCCTTGGATACAATCCAGGTCTCCCTTCTTGCTCGGACTGACTTCACCGCGCATGAAGTGCTCTACCTCTGGTGGAACTACGCCTCCATTCTCCTGATCCTCAAACACTTCAGGTACAGCTTTTGTGGATTTCCGATTCCGATGTCTGCCACCTGGAAAGTCGACTGCGTGTGTGGGAACATTGAAGTTATCACCTAGGATGGCTCGCGGATTTTGTTGTTTACCTGCTTTGCAGGACGGTAGAGGTCGACGCCGAGGGTTGCCTCCATGCTCATATGGCATCCAATTCTCCTTATCCGAATCACCAGAAGGCGAGTGCATCAGGCCATCTTTGGCGTAGCCTGAGGGCTGGTGTGTTGGCTTCGAGGATATCTTGCCAGGATTTTGAAGTCTTGCAAGACTTGAAATTCCACGACCAAGCTTTGGTCTCTTGCCATGCTTGCTGGAATCGGGTTTGACTGACGGCGCGTTTCGTTTGTTGGCATTTTGTTTGAGGGCGGAGTTACTGGCAGAGCGTATCAGACTGATTGCCGCCAGAGCTGAGCCGTGTGATTCGTTCTCAGCCTGGGTGGTGAGTTCGTCCTGAGCCTCGGGGTCGCAACAGAACTCCCAAGAACGTGCATCTCTCGATCGGCCGGTAGGTAAACGAGGCTTAAATGGGGGAATCACACTGATGGCTGACGGAACCCGAGCGAATGGAAGTGCACTGTGACTCCGTTGGAGTCCTGGCATCTTCTGCAACATAGCTCCCGATGACGAGGTAGGACGAGCAGAAGATGGGCGGGGAGGGGATGGGCCAGTAATGAGTTCTGCCTTGCCATCTAGAGACAGTGACAGTCTCATCCGAGAAGATGGAGTAGCATTGCTTGACTCAAGTCGCTCAGGACATGAAGCAGGCTGGTTTGCATTGGATCTAAAACATATTAAGACTTCCGCTTGGAGAGGGAACAGATCACTTACAAAGGAGGGGTACAGAAAGCGGGCTGTTGAGATGATGCCGGGGTTGAGATCGAGTTATTGATAGAGCTCCAGCGGTTCGCAAGGTACCCTGGAGTAGACGAGAATGACTTGATCACACTTTCCGTGGTTGGGAGAGAGCTGCTTTCATTAACTGAGGTCGTAGATGAAACCTGACGCTTCAGAAGGGGTGGCAAGAAAGTAGGTCTATCCAACGTAACAGCTTCGACCTCCTCTTTCTTCGAGACTTTGAAGAGTTCCGCCGCTGGTTCTAGGAGTAAAACCTCCGCTTCGTCTTGGCCAATTCCGGTCTCCTCCTGGCTACCAATCATTTCCTGATGCAAGCTTGATTCGAAGTCCCCTCCTCCACTTTGACTGCTGCTGAATGCCATATTTGACGCGGGATCAGACGACAGTGCGGCCATACCTCTTAGTCCAAAAGCTGCGATCTCATGAGGTAGAAGTGGCCGTGATTTTCTTCGATTAATTTGTCTTCTGTTCTGGAACCATATCTGTAACCCATTAGCTACTGAAAGTACATTTTTATGAACGCGTCTGATTGCAAACCAGCCGCGTCTCAAATATATATTTCCTGACCTGGACTTCCTTCTCATTCAAAGACACCTTCTCGACTATTTCTGCACGCGCTGCCTTGTTCGGTTTGGGGTTTTGTTTATATTCGGCCTCGAGCATAGCTTGGTCTTGGGGGCTGGAAGATGAAAACGTTAGCAATGATCCCTAAAAGAATTCCAAAACTCCAGTTGCCCATATATGCATGAATTGGACAAGCCAAAGCTTGAATTGAGACGCGCCGACAGATATGAAAACTCCTCATACATACCTGGTCCTCTTCCGCTTCTGCTTGTTGTCTGCCCTTCCACCAAAATCGTCCGTGTTTTCTTCTCTCCCAACAGATTCTGTAGATTGATCCAAAGACGTGTCGAATTCACCCTCGCCCGAGCTCGAGTCTGCTCGTTGTCCCTCGGACACGGGTGCAGCCGAAGACGAGCGGGGTGGTAGATGTGAAGTCGCGTCACTCATTGTAGAGGATATTCATAGTATTCCAATGCTTTGAATGAAGTGTTTCAGTAGGGAATGATATCTCAAGGTAATTCGAATCTGTTTCGGAGTGTGCAATCCCAAAGAATGTTGTGATATGGAAATGGGCTTCGCGGGCGATCTTCGATCAAACCGCGTTGACGTGACCGCGATTCGCTTCGAGTTTCCCTGGCGCCACGCTTTTCCAGATCCAGCGCGAATATAATATTTATTCCGCAAACCATCGACACAGCAACACATATCTTGAAATCAAAATTTAAACCTTTGATTATTGAAAATCTGGGGAGTTCCAGACTTGCCAAAATTAAATGTTTTTTGACCTTGAAGTAGCATTTTTGTGGTCTCAAACTGGGTTAAAAATCATCACTTAGTGGTTTAGTTTGGCCGAGAGTTCAAGCAACATCTTTTGAGGATTCTAGAATCACCCAATCTTTTGGAGGCAAAAAGTTGTTCTATTTTATAAACGATACATGAGAAAGTTCAGGGGTTCAATATTTCAGGCTGCTATGAAGAACTGGTGCCATTTAATTGTGAATCCTTCAAAGGGAACATATCTATATCTTTGCTTATCCTAACCTAGTATTAAGATCTTTGTCCTTTGTGCTGGTCTAGAAATTGGCATGCCTCGTGTCCAATCTATCTTTCAGCATTAAGGACCCCGGAAACTTGGGCTTTTGTAACCTTTCCCTTCTACACATGCGACGCAGCGAACCAATGTTTTCACCAAACTGGGCTGGCGCACTCGTAATAGCAAGAGTAGAGCTGGAAACTGAAGGACTCATTGTTGATGGTAAGGCAACAAATAGCTCAGTGTGAGTTGCATTTGCCTGCCCTGAGCTTGAGTAATTTGAGGACACTCTCAAGTCTCCATCTGCAACGTCTAATCATAATAGAACTCTCCTGAACATCTGATTTCTGATTGATAATAGGGTTGCGTGCCCTACCTATTCGTGTGGTCAGTGATCAATCCTGGTATTTAATTTCCAGAAAGAACCAGTGGCAAGACCTACCTCATAGATTCGAGGAAAGAAAAGTTTCCAAACTTGCGGACCTCGCCATACTCCGTGCCGCTAACGACGAATTGCTAGCATCCAGCAGCTGCAAAGTCCTCCGTATGCGTATAGTTGACTACAAGTGAGACCGCTTGATCTCCAAACCTTCGGTAATGTCAGTATAAAGGAATTATACACCATTGGTGCTGTACTATCCGCACGGTATCTGAAAGGGTTGCATACCTATTGCAAATGTAATCTGCGTCACCGTAGTAAAGATGCACTCTGACGCTGTGGTTCAAAGGCATTTCGAGATCTTCTAAAAAAATTGGGGAACACAAAATCTCCAGTCTGTTGGAATGCATCTCCGTGGGAGGGAAGTCAGAAAATGCTCTTGCTTGAGTGGGGTCGAGACTTTGTGTATGAAACATTGTGAGACTTCGTGGGAGAAGGGGATACTACTTACAATAAACGTTATTGTCGGACTCGGCATAATTGAGATTTACGCCAAGAGCACTTTGAACCGATGGAGCACATGTCAGGCTGCAACAACTGCCAATTCCGTCATATCCAAAGTCGTGGCGTTGATTACAGGATGTCTACCTTGTGTTCCCGCAAAGGAGCTGCTCACAAATACTCCAGTCACTAAAATTAGTTAGCTCTGATTCCTCGGCACATTCGTGTGCCATGGAGACTTTCCACTTTATAGCTCAAGGGTGCCGGAGCTCTTGATAATTTGTTGCACGGGAGTTATGAAGTGCCATCGATCAAAGTTATCTATTCATAAACAGGCGTATAAAGGCTAGCGGCATAATTAGCAGCAGCCATGGCAAAGATTCTGCTCTACCTGCCTGCACTTGCAGATTATATGACAAATGGATCAAGGTGTGTAAGGACGATGTAAAAACCCCCATCTTAGACCAGTTGTATCGAGGAGCAAGAAAAATGATAAGAATCTGATGTCAACGAGCCATTCATAAATAATGACCTCACCTGCAGAATGGCTGGACCTGGGAACACTTGGAAGGTCAAAACGTTGAGGGGGCGGTATACTTCTCCACCATGCCGTTATGAGGCTAGTATTTCCCCTCAGTATGTTATCAAGCATGGGTGTCACGTTAGGAACCATCATACAGAAGCCGATGTTGCGGCAATGTGAGATCAGCTGGAGTTAAAGAAACCGATCCTCTTCGCATCTCATATGTGCAGAGTCCCGTCGTTATGCATCAGGAAACCGCGGTCAAGGGAAAGTTTTTTTTAGCAAACAACGATCCTGCAAGATAGAAGATATACAAGGGGGAAATGCTCTGATTGGAACAATTACACCTCTTTAATCAAGCGGCAACGTTGCTTCACCGGTAGCCTGCAATGTGATATTGATGAGCGAGGAGTCTATTCGGCTAACACTTGCTACCAAGGCTCACAGAGGGAGAATTGCCTCCGAGAAACAAGGGATATGTTTGAGTCTCAGAATTTAGCTGTCTTGGGGATATTAATCGTACAGGGAAGACCGACTTCGGGTTGAATATTTGACCACAGCTTAGGGGGACGGGATAGGCTTCTAAACAGCTGCACTCGCTTGTTAGGTTGTTCGTCTTTGACGGTAATTCACCGTTCGGCATCCTTGATGTTGCTGAAGGCCGATGGCCAATTAAAGGAACTAATGGCTTTTTTCTTAGTCTAGCTACATGAGGCTGGAGATGGCAGCACGGTTGTGAAATTCTTGCCGCCACGAGATCTGTATTCATCGCTCGTAATAATCCCAATCCACCCTCTCACAAGCTCGCTGCTCGCATGAGATTTATCCATGCCGTGACGAAAAGAGGGAGTCGCTGTCCATCTTCCTCTATCCGTGAGACCAACTGACACAATGCAAATATCGCCGGAAAAAAGAACGATCTAAAATGCTCCTAACAAGTGGTCGCCGAAACCTCGAAATGACGCTCGTGCGGATTTAGAGATCGGCATCATCCTCGTCTGGGAGTGGCATTTGTGCGGCATCTTGCATTTCCTTCTGGTATTGCTCCAACAGGGCTTGGTCGACAGTGGCGGTGGGAGGGGCAAGAGCTGGAGCAGCGACGAATTCCTGGGCTTGTTAGTCATGGCCAGATGGATATCAAATGGTTTACTAACCAAAGTTGGGTTGCCAACGAGTTTGCGTGCCAACCACAGGAAAGGCTTCTCGAAGTTGTAGTTGGACTTGGCGGAGATGTCGTAGTATTGAAGGTTCTTCTTTCGATGGAAAGTAATGGTCTTGGCCTTTACCTTTCTCTCCTTGACATCAACCTTGTTTCCGGTGAGGACGATGGGGATATTCTCGCAGACACGGACCAAATCACCTAGAGGGAGTTAGCAAATGCAGATTTCAGATCCAGGGGAATTACGCACGGTGCCAGTTGGGGACGTTCTTGTATGTGATACGGGATGTGACGTCGAACATGATGATACCGCACTGGCCGTTGATATAGTATCCATCACGAAGACCTCCGAACTTCTCTTGTCCTGCGGTATCCCAGACATCGAATTGGATGTTGCCCAAGTTCTGCAGATGTGTTAGTCACATTCACCTGTCGTTGAGAGCTTGGATCGGCATACCGTGCTGAATCCCAAAGGATGAACCTCAACACCAAGAGTGGCAATGTACTTCTTCTCAAACTCTCCAGTCAAATGACGCTTGACGAATGTGGTCTATCGAGCTGTTAGTGATGGATCAGTATTCGACATGCGCCACCAGTATTGGAATGAAGGCGATGGCATCTCCCCCAGTAATACCAGCAGCAGCACGTCCACGAGTTCGACCCAACATACCTTTCCGGTTCCTCCATCACCGACAAGGACAAGCTTGAAGGTAGGAACTGCGGATGCGCCTTCAGCCATGTTGTTTATTGTAATCGGAAGTTGATGGTGAGGTAAACAGAGCCGAGTCGAATCAAGGCTGCGATAAAGCTTGTTAGCAAAAGTAAAAGGAACAGACGACGTCGCCGATATGTCGATGAGGATCAGGATGGGTTGGCGTAGGAGTGCCGTACCTTTATCGCGGTGTTTCGTTTGTAGACGTGGAGGAGTATGATTTCTCCAGAAGCTGCGGCGGATGTTTTGATGGAAGGCGGTAAGAAGCTAAAATTTCGCTAACCCGAAAGAGAGCACGTGACCGATCGCCAGCCCAATCTCGCCACCGGTCGAGCAGTGGATTCGACTCCAGTTGTATTCAAAGGATTCACGTTTACATCAAGCCTGACTCATAGATTCCAAAGCCTGTCTCGCATTGCGAGTAGACAGAAAAAGCGAAACTCACTTTCAATTTTCCAAGCCTACGTTGGACATTTCGCAGTTCTTTGGGAAGGAGGGACTAAGCAATTTAGAAATTGATAGTTCCCAAAATTCGAAGCAGTAAACTTTAAAAGTGCTTGAGCTCAAGGACACATTTGTGGACAAGTATCTAAAATATTCCAACTTGACTTGGGACAATCAGTTCCGCTGTTTCTGTCCACCATGAGGCCTGTTCACTGTTTGGGACCATCAAAAATATTGGCAGAATGCGGGCTTATTGTTCCCTCTACCTGTATCTATTGCTCAACCAGAGCATTTTCTTGGACCCGAACGCCTTCCATGCAACACACCATCGCTCTAGAAATACCCAAAGATCTCACAAGGCGCTATCAATGCCACAACTCATCGATCCTTCAAAGTGGCAGAATATGGCAACCAAGGAGACCCCTGCCACCCCAATCTCGACGTGGCGTAAGAGTCAGTTGTAACTCCTGTCTCCGTTGACCACCACTCGTAGGTCGAGAAACCTTCACAAGAACGTTCCGCTACAAGGCATCAGTATTTGACCTATTCTCGAAAAGGCAATGTGCTTACCCCTTCATTACCCTGCACACACTCTCCCACCCTCTTCAGACCATCGTGATTTGTGTGATTAACATATCCAAAATTCCGGATCTCATCTCCAGCCTTCAAGCCAGCAGATTCGGCAGGACTTCCTGTTACCACGCTGTTAACCTTCGCAAACGGGGGTCCTGAGGGTTGAGGAGCTTGTGATGACGATGATGCTATGTCGGTACTTGCTGGGCCGCCGGTTGCGATGGGCTCGTCCTGCGCTCCCTCCTTTGCCAACCTCGCAAAATGTTCGTGAAGGTGTTTTTCGATAACGGTCATGAGGGCTTTGTGGTCATTTCTTAGGTATATGATCCGGGACCTCGTTGTTCGAACTGGACCTTTGTTAGCAGCAGATCTGGAATACAAGATCCAGGGCCACATACTCTGCGCGACATCGAGGTCTGCTCGAGGGAATCCATCCGGGGTGATGAGTCTTGTATTCATATCGACGCCATGCTGCTTACGATAAGTACTTAGATATCTCTCGCAGATGTGCTCCCTACCGATTCCAGCACACTGCCCAAAGCTCTGAGCTCGGCTTCGATATTGTCCTTCTTGGCTTGAAGCTGTGGAAAGGTCAAACCACTTGTCTGCATTCCATTCGTGACCACAGGCCCTGAAGTCGGTCCTGACGGAACCGTAGGTGCGTGTAGATTCTCCATTCTTTGCGGTAATCCCATGTCTTGAGGCACAAGATCTGAAGAGGTCTGCGACGATTTCCAGTTGTGTTCGCAGCCTTGTATCTGCAGGCTGCGGGAGGACGCGTTGCGGGGTTGATGACTACTATAGATTCACGTGACCATAAAACAACACCTACCACCGTACCGGTACATCAATGCACCAGATGGCTTTCCACTCTTGCACAACAATTTCGTACTCCATTCACTTTGATTTCAGCTTTTCAGGATACCTGCCTCATTTTCTCGTTGCTCATTTGTTTAAGACTGTTACGCTTCTGTTTCCTAAAATGATTTGGCGGGAGCGTACTCCTAACTACCTCTCATTTTTGGAGCCATGCATGAGCTCTGGACATTCCTGAACTCCGTGTGAGTTCAGCTTGACTGATTAGAGATATAGAATAAATGGTTATCAATATGAAATTCCATTCTCTTAGGCCACCCAGAAAGAGCACCTTCCATTCTTGGATGGCTTCAGCACCTTGCACCGTTCCTTCCTCCTCGTTAGCACTTATTATGACTTAGTCGCTTCCTTCTCAAGCTTCCTTTCTTTTTGAATCTCCCAATCTTGGTCTCTACAATCCCATTCTTCCATTGCTTAGCATTATTCGATGCTGTAATCAGTCTCGCTCATTTGAAGAGCCGAGACATCTTGGACGTTTGGATCACTTTGTATCACATTTTCTTTTGGTTGCTTGCTTCCACATCATGGCTCTGTCCGATACCACCCCTCACCGTGATTTTGGAACTTCAACCCCTACTTGTTCGCATCGAAACTCCCTGCACATTCCCCGAAAGACAAGCTGGGGGACCCCGATTCCTCCTCCATCAAGTCAAAGGGACCCAACCGACCCAGCGAAGGAAGACTTTGACGATGTCGACCTTAATACAAACGAGAAAGCATCCACGAGCAGCGACAAGTATGAAGGATGGAATACTTTGGATAACATAACAGCTTTAGGGTTGTCATTCAATGCGGAGGACTCGCAAGATGTTGGTACCCCAAATCGGGAACGATTCTCCTTGGACGAGGCTTTCGTCAACCGATCTTTGCCATTGGAAGGAGAACGGCCATTCAACAAGTGGATGAGAAACCTACAAAGGCGAGGAACACAGAGGCGGAAGACCGTGAGCTGTGATATGGGCGGCACAATGCTTGACCCTGAGCTGTTTGACCCTTCAGGCACCCAGAAAAGATCTGCTCACAAAAAATCTTCCTCCGGATCTTCGTTTGGCTTTGTCACAGCTGTGAAGAGCGCAAGCATTAGTCTTGCCAGCTTCAGTGTTGCCCCACGTTCTAGGAGAACCGGCGTCTCTTCTCGGCAGCAAAGAACAGATCGTAGCAGCAAGGCCTCGAACGTTGGACGTCTCTCGGAGGACAGTTCATACATTGCCCGAGGCATTGTCATTGATCAAGCAGTCACCAATCGACTGTTACAACGCCGTAGAGTGCTCGAAGAGATCATCAGCACAGAGGAAAGCTACTTAGCTGATGTCAGGTTTCTCATGAATGTAAGAAAATCTATACTCTCTCTCTCGACATTCCTGACCTTTGCCAGGTTTATGTGACCCTCATGGCATCCATTCCCACTCTTTCATTGAACCTTCGAGCTTCGATCAACCGCAATCTCAATGAAATTGTTGAGCTTCACGAAGAGCTGCTTGGGGACCTCCACCGTGTTGTACCCCACTCTGAATACACGCAGCCAATTTCTGCCGAGTCAACATTGCCTGGGTCACCAAACGGTCACCACAGATGGCGAAGCCTTGACGCAGTCCCTGAACACAAGAGTGGTACTTGGCTTCAGAAGATTCCCGGAATGACTGCAGAGCCCAAGGTGGCCGCCGAAGTTGCAAGGGTCTTTGGCAAAAAGGTATGACTTCATGCGCACCAACACAATATTGGTGCATGACCTTATGAAATCCGGTGTAGATGAATCTTTTCTTTGTTTACGAAGAATACGGTGCCAAATACGAACTCATGATCAAAGACGTAGCTTCCACCTATCGAACCATGCCTCAATGGGAAATGTATCAGAAAGGACTTGAAGCACTGGCATCGTCACTGGCTTCTATCAACAGCCAACATGACAAGTCAAAGAAGGCCCTTACAATTGGCGATTTGTTGGTCAAGGCAAGTGTAACTTCTCTCAGATTGGACTACCCTCGCTGACCTCAGACAGCCAATTCAAAGAGTGTGCAGATATCCTCTTCTGTTCGCAGAGCTCTTGAGACAAACTCCAGTCTGTGACTGTCCTGATTCTCATACGGAAATCGAAAATGTTCTCATCAGACTCCGAGAAGCAACAAATGAGATTAATCGTGCAACGGACGACCCGCGTATGAAGGCTACAATCGAGAAATCTTGGCTCTTGCAAGACCGCTTGGGTTTCCCTAACATGGTACGTAAATCAGCTAAAAGTTATCCCACCCCATCAGCGTTCTGACTAGCATGCAGCCTGAAGCTCGCTCGAAGAGTTCCGTACGGGCACTCGGCCATATCCATCTTTGTGGTGTCCTCCATGTCTCATGGCAGACTCGAGACGGCGTAGATGGCCAGTATCTGATATGCCTCCTGTACCGCGACTTTCTCATTCTTGCATCAACCGCCAAGACCGAGCAGATATATACAATTCAAGCTTGCATTGGATTGTGTGAGGTTAGTGTCGAGGAGGTTGACAATGGCAGAGGTACGTCCCTTTCATTTCAGGACAGCTTTTTGAATGTGTTTCTCTTCCGAGCGACTTTCGTATTGGCTTCACTCATTGTGATGTTGAAATTTGACTTGAATGTAGGGCTGCAATGTCATACGGCGCCATTCTCTTGGAAGTTGGTATTCGAGTGTGATCACCAATTGTTCGAGGTCACAATGAGCGCTTGCTCACCGAAAGAGGAGCTTGAGTGGCGAAGCCGTCTAGCAGATCATTCTTCTAGACAGAGTCTTGACGCGGGAGAGCAAGCTTTATACACATCTCTATCATTGGCAATCAAGCCAATGGGTACCGTTTTTGGAAAGCCTGGTAAGTTGCTCCAAAATCTACCTTCTGCATTTAGAATATGGGAGGCCCAAAACTTGGACATCGACAACTAACGTTTAACAGGCACTGTCGCCAGAAGAATATCGATCCACAGAGCAACTACAGTAGGACCAATGTCAGGTCTCTGCCAAGTCATCATCAAAAACACAAATGCATTCAAGGAATCGGCATCATCCGCTTCAATCAACAGATCTCAGTCTCTTCTCACGACCAACCGCATCCCGGTCCTCGCTCCGTCACGTGCTGATCGCATCCGACTCGAAGCACTTCTAGCAGACGTGTGGACAAGGGAAATCCTGCCCTACCCTGGCATGACAGGTCGAGCTCGGAGTGAGCACCTCGTTCGCGCATCGGCCAGCTCTATGATGCGGAAGCTTAGTGTCGCGAGTATTGCTAGCAATTTCACAAAACGATCAGGCAGTATGGCTAGCCTGCACAAAACAGCAGAAGACGATGAGTCCAGCGAGACCGACTTACCAAAAGCCACTCCGGTCCGCACTGAAAACAATTCTAGCGAACCAAGTCAATGCAAGGACCTTGACGACCCGACGAGATCTCGATTGTCAGTCATACAGGACGAGAAGGAGAATATTCAACAGAGAGACTCCTTTGAGACGCCACGTGCCTTGAGTTCTGGAGCAAACGGCAGTCCCACAAGCAAGTTAAGGCGGCTGGCAACCTTGAAAGTCAAGACCAGCTGGGGCCCTGACGGGCAGCGAATGATCACTCCTCCGCTGCGAACTTCGAGTGCAAACAGTGTGAACCAATGTCGGGTAACTCCACTCTCGACAGTGACAGATCTGGGGACTGAAGAAAAGGAAAATATTCCGCAAGTTCAGTCTTCGCAGGCCGCCCCAGCATCACAGAAGCAGTGGAAGAAGTCAAAAGGAATGGGGATGAGCAGGAACGTGGTCGCTGAAGGGCTCCGAAATCTTTTTCGTTGAAGGTGTTGGCATTGAACTGGTTTGAGCGGCTCGGTAGATGGTTGTTGAAAAGTTGTATAGATTTTCGTTGGATTATCGTTAGTGAGCCACAAGCTGTGGCGACTTGCGCAAGTTTTTCGGGTTCGGTCCTCGAGTATATATTGTCTTGCAGGAGTGCAGTAACATCCAGATATTAATGCACGCACTACGCCGAAAGGAATTTGGTCCCACGTTGACGGCTTGAAGATAACATCACGTGAAGGAGCTGCCCCCTGATCACCGGCTGTCAGCCCTGGCAGCGTTCCAGAAGTGCTGGTGTGCCTTGCAGAAGGGCCGTCAACGGTCCCAAGATCTTGGGCCAGAGACACCAACTTCGAGGACCGATCCGTGGCCTCGATGCATCCCTCATGAGCCGCCAGGAATCCTGGAAGCTCGTTTATCTGGGGGAGTCCTTTCAGAAGAGCCATCCAATTTATTTCTCGAGCGCTTGCTGAAGTGAGACCTGCGTCGCGAAGCGCCCAGGCTTCAAGATCGATAAGATAAGATTTTGATGGAGCAGATGACCGGACAGGAGAGCGAGTGCTGATAGAGTTGAAGAGGATTGATTCACTGGATCCTGCATGGGCTTCCATGTGCAGAGAGAGCGAGTGCTGGGCGGGTTGAAGATTGAATCCCTTGGATGCCACATGGGCTTCCATGTGCAGATGGTGGGGATTCCACGATACGGACAGAAGAGCGAGTGATGGCCGAATTAAGGAGCATGGAATCCACTGCACTGCACATGGGCTTCCTTGTGCATAAGGTGGTATTCTTCAAGAGAGGTGGCAGCAGCTACCTGTCAATTGGGTCAACCCGAGAGCGAGGATATATTAGGCGTGACCCCAAAATATCTCTGTTGAAGACTGCCAGCCGGTTGGAAAGAGAAGTACTCGTGACAAATCGTGCCAATGGTTGAATTATGCATTGTCGTCCGTGCTCGGCGCCTGCAGGGTGCCCGGGCTCGAGGCTTCCTGCACATGTCGACATCTATTTGTCGTGCGCCAATGAGGAGCTTCAGGCAGCCGCTCAAGGCTGACAGAGTCCCCGAAAATAGATTGCTCAACTCCGCACTTTGAAAAACGTAGCCGTGAACGATCGTGACCGCTGCACAGATGTCACATCGTCACAATCAGCCATCGATGCTGTGATAAGTGATTGTGGCAAGTGGGCAAGTTGGCGGGTTGGCAGGTTGATGACGGAAGTTGCGCATCCGTTCAAAAGCTCAGTGTTGCCCGCACTTCACCGTCACATTGTGCGGCACGCAGCACGCAGTGAAGGTTGAGATGAGAGAATATGCCCTCTGCACACACGGCTCGAGTCTCCTCTTTCTAATCGCGGCACTGGCGGTGCAAGACTTGGGCTCTGTGGTCGTGCTGAACCTGAATCATCTGATGGCAGGCTCCTACACGCCATCTGGTCGTGGCCGGTTTGACGTTTTGATTCCCAGCATCGAAAACAACGGTCGCATTGCCGTGGCCCGTGGCAGTGTTCTGAAGCAAAAGACGAGAGGAAACGGCCGCCATCAGGAAGGATCTGGTAAGCGGGTGTTCGGTTGCCGGGGGGGCAATGGGCGCATAGAATTATCTCATCTTCTCCGACAATCGTGGTTTGGGAGTGTCGAGATCAAACTGTCCAGTGTCTTGGACCGCGTCTCAACCCCCTCGCCTTTTTATCAGATGGCAGCGCTGGCAGCGGCCCCTTGCATCTAATCGGATTAGATGGAATATTCGATCAATGCGTGCGAGGCATGGCATGGACGTGAGACTGCAATCTTGCCAGATGGAACTGATGCAGTTTGCAAGAGGCGGCGATCGTGTAGGAAGCAGGTGGGTGATGAGGATGGCTGTCCGTAGTGGCGCTCAAAGACGCAACGGAACGCAATGCGACGCAACACAATGCAAGGGGCCGATTAAGCGACCGTGCTGGCACTGCACTGAGAGTACTCAGTATTCGAATTGAAGCGAAGCGACTTGAATTGAATTGAGTTGATTCAATCAATCAGCAGCCGTGGCTGCCCAGACCCCGGGCCCGTGGCTGTTCTGTTCTGCAGACTCGGCTCCGCACAAGCGTCGCTGCCCCCTGTCGCCGCCGACTGCAGTCCGGAGTCTGTACGCGCCGCCACCATTCCAATCGCTGCCAATCGCTGCCAATCGCACCCCGCTGCAGGCTTCACCTGTCTTGGTGCCGCCAACCACCACGGCCGCCCACTTCAACCTCACCACGCGCGCTGCATCTGATAGGCTAATGTCACTTCATGGCAAGATCGATTGGATCTCTGAGGGAATTGCCCTGGCCTGCTTATGCCCGTTCTGGAGCTGTGACCCGTCTTTCTGCCACCTCGTCCCTCTGGCGGCATCTGAGTTGCATGTCCATTGTCCAGCATGGAACCACCACTGACCAGCATTTGGCGGTCAAAAGCGGGACGGCCAGCCTCGCCTTCCCACCCCCCAGTCACTTCTGTCTCCACTGCCCTGTCGTCCTTAAACTACTTGGGTCCCGCATCATCCTGGAGATCCTCCTCACCCGCAGCAGGACCTTTTTGTAACGTCAAAACCATCCCAAGACGTCTCAACTCGAAGATCTCACACAAGCCTATTCCTGGATCATCTTTAAGCTATATCAGATAAGACCGGATCGGACGAGACCGCCAGGAGCCTGGCCCAACCGCTCCACATGTGCCATAGTAACCCATAGCCGGCAGTCCCAATTCATCTAACACTGCCCTGCTCTTCCTCCCTGAACAAGTTTCCGTCGCTCGGATGTCAACTGTCAACGTAGATCAGATTACTAGTTCATGGTCTGTTCCTTCGAAAACATACCATCATCCTCAGCCGAGTTCGAGCCGCAGGACCAGGCTTGATACAAGAGCCAAAGCGGATCACGCCCTCCTGCCCAGTGACCTGTGTCCTGGTGCCCAGAGATATAGACTATCTCCCCCCACCTCTTCGTGCATACGAGCCTCCTTACCAGCGCTGTGCACTCGTCGTAGTCGATAGCATTCATTCATTCAACATCGGCCAGCGGCATTCATCCACCTCACTTTCGTTCCCTTGTCCGCAGGCCCGGATCTTTCACCAAGACTCAAGTGTCCTTTGCTTCATCCATTCACCAGTACGACCTTTAATCCAGTCCGTTCGATTCACAAACTTTGTAAATTCTTTGGGGACGGAGCGACTTTGGGGAAGGTCGACTGGACGGAGAGAGGTACAGCATCGCAAGGGAAACATCTAAGAGATCACCATGGGCAAACTCATCAAGAACCACTGGGCTCGCCTCATCATACTGACTGCTTCTCTCTGTATGTATATCTCTTTACCGAGAAACTGGATTCACTTTACTGACAGAAGCACAGATCAAGTTGCAGCAGCTGTTGAAGGATTCTTCTGGCCGAAGATCTTCTGGGACTTCCTCACCAAAAACCTTGACTTTGCGGTCAAGCCTTTACCTATCCTCCAAATCATTAACCTTGTGATGGGGATCTTCTTCTTTGCTTGGGAATGGCCGCTGGGATTCATTGCCGGGACGGCACTCCACAGGAGTATTGAGGCGAGATTGGTGCTTCTGCCTCTGACGGCATTGGCTTCCGCCTTACTGTATCAAGCAACAAACCCGGCCATCTACTATATGGTCGGCATGGGGGTGTACTTCTGGGCTTATAGCGAAGGAGAGGTTGGTCCCCTCAAAATCGGCTGGTATATGAACAAGACACTAACTGAATTCTCAGATTGTGGTAGCAAAGCCATGGAATCTTCCTTCCCGCGCCCGCCTTGGAAAAGTCTAGGTGGCTTGCCATACTTCTATGAGCTGATAGACGTAATGCCCGTTGGGTTGCAATAGGTGTTCCTTCTTCAGCCACTTGGCAGTCATGGATGGGATATATACCACTCATACAATAACGTACATAGATTAGTGAATGGAATGGAGATGATTTGGAGCTGCATCACCGATGGCGTATTTCTTTTTGGATTGGGAGATGACAACTCCCTTCCCGCTTCTCTCGCTCCACTTTGAGTGAAGAATGTTTGGAGGGTTCACTGCGATGTGTGGAGGAGAAGACTACGCTTGACAGTCTGGGTGGTGATAGGGGGACAGATGAGCGTCTGTTGCGTTGGCTCGTCTCTGTCAATTAATAGGTCAATCGATGATGCTCATGACACAAGCCGTTACCTCGTTTCATGAATCGTCGTGACGATAAACTCGAATGAGGCGCCGCGATACTCTCGCTCATCCTCCCCGAGAGGAAGCTTACACCAACCTCAACTTTATTCCAAGCGGATTCTTGATCACTTGATCTCAGCCATCTGGCCGAACTCATTTCTCATGTGTTCGAATTTATTCTCGAGGTCACGATCCTGAACCCAAGCGGTGTTCATCACGATGCAACACTCCAGGTTTCAAAGCAGCGGTAAGCCACCCCCAAATCAAAATTACGGGAAATGAAAGTCAAATCCAAAATGCACAGGAGACGGACGGAAAATGTCCCTTTTTACTGCATTTATTTTGCGAGGACTTGATAGCAAGGTTCCCTAAGTTCCCTTTGGCTGCCGTCCATCATCATCGTGATTCATGAAATCCGTTGGACCTATCGCCAACCATGATCCGTGCCATGCAAATCACTCCGTTCGTGCCATTCATACGCTCCGTTGCAGTCACTGCCAACTCCTCTAGTGTGCAGCTCGGGAACCCATGCTGTCGTTCTTGCTGCCTTGTCTCTCGGCGGCCTATGCGGGTACAAAGTTAGCATTGAATGTTTACACGGTGATTGGATGCGGAAGGAGGGAGGTAAGGAAGCTACGGACCTCAGACTCCTGCAGACTGCCCTTCTCTAGGATCTGCTTGATGACCTCCTCGTCGTTGGTGGTACCGAACTCGTTCTCCAGCGTAGCCTTCGAGGCGCCGTCCATCTGACCTTGAGCTCCATGTCTGATGGAAGTCAATTAGCAAAGCTCTTCTTCTCTCTCCATCTGCCGTCACAATCAAGGAACACATCTTCTTGTTGGGATTGAAGTGGCCTGGGTAAACAAGCGTGACCTCCGTTTGCAGGATTGCGGGGTAAACTTACTTGTGGGTGACGAAGATCTTGAATGCGCTGACGACTTGGGCAAGAGGGATGGTCTTGTCGGTCTTCCAGTCCTTTGCAGACTTTACATCATCGACGAAGATGACGAAGTCCTCGTCCTTGCCTTTGTAGTGGACCTTGGTTTGCTGAGCTTCGCCTCTGGTCATGATTGCGATATGAAGTATGGGGTGCGGGGTAGTGTTTGGTTTGTTTGGTTTGATTTGGGTTGAAGGGGTTTGGTTTTTGTTTGAGGTATCTTAAAATTGAAAAAGCAGTTTTTGGTTTTTGTGTGCGAATTGGAGAAGTTGAAGGGAGAGGCTGGAGTTTTGTAGCTCTGAGAGGTGGTGCTACCATTGAACCACCCTGCACATGACGGGTTCCTGGTGGGCTTAGGCTCGGCAGCTAACCGACGTCATTGGCAGGGATTGGCTCACACGACAAACCGCCTTGCTTGTCCGCTGTGGGGAACATTTTGAACATTGTGCCTTCGTTTGAGGACTTTTGCCTTCCTTTTTCACTCAATTTGCACGGGATATGCTTGTTCTTTCTGCCTGTACCTGACGACTGTTTGTTTCTTTTGGTTTCGGGTGCGAAGCTCAGATGTTCACAAGTCAGATTACGTCATTTGTCTTGGGGAAGAGTCAAAGCTTCACAACGCATCATGGAAGGCCATCGAACTTGTAGAAATGAGTCGATCCATGCCAAGGCAGTGTTAAAGTAATCGAAGTAGCAATGCAATTGGCAAGTATATCGCCTTGGCCCCGCCTCTGCAATATTGTCCCTTCCCTCTTTGATAACTTAGTCAACCACGAACTCTTGCTCCCAGAATCCGATAATATCCTCAGCCTCTCCGGTTTCAGGGAGCCAATGTCGAAGTCCTTCTTGGCCGTCCTGAGTTGTGGCGGCTTGAGCTAGGCTGGGGATGCTGTGGCAGACGTCGCTCAAGATATTTCTGAGATGCTCTGGGATCGGAGGATTCGTGGAACAATATGGCAGAAGAGCAGTGGCAGGATTGAACTTTGCAGCCAGGTCTACTGCTTCTCGAGTATAGACTAGCTGCTGCTGGAACCCGATGAGTGTCTTCAGCAGCATGTCGACTCCAGATAGTGGCAGAACTTGCATTTCGAAATTGGGGAACAAGCTGCTGTAGTTAGATTGTGACCTTAATTCTTGGAAACATCATTCTACCTTGCTTGGAGATTCATAAAGTCAATAGTTCCATTGCTCTTGGGAGTCTTTTCGTTCAGCAAAAAAATAACCCCAACATGTCTGCCACCGCTCGAATGGTAGAGTCTGTCAATTCGAGTCATTGCAGTTGCACGAGGGTGGAAGAGAGGCTGAAGGTCTGACGATGAAAGCAAAATCAAGCGGAAGCATTCCAGTTGATCCCGCTGGCCACGCCTTGGGAGGGGAATGGCGAGGTCGTGCGTTTCGAGAGTCTTTTCTGAAGAGGCGCATCAGCATATTTTCATCTCCGGCCAGAGTGAAAATTACCTTGCCATTTTGGCTGCTCTGAGGAGAGAAGCGTAGTTGGAAGAGCGCTCCATTCAGGCCGCTTTCTTAGAGAAGAGCAGAACATGATTGTTCAGATTTGAAGACTGGCAAAAGTCTCGAAAGCCTCGTCGAGAGAAGGCGACTGCCTTATCAAGTCTTCGAACAGCACTCGAATGGGAGGCTGTGAAAGCCAGGCTTCTTCCACAAGGAAATTTGAGTGTTTGAGTTTAGATTGTTTGCAGAGTAGAATGTACAGATTTAGAGTAGAGTTACAGCGCTAGTTTCTTTTCGAGAAGCGAAGTCCCCCTCCCTCTAACTGAGCAATTCGCAACTTCGTGACTTATGAGCCGTGTTCAAATCCACTGATCTTACAAAGAGACTCTCCTCACTGAAAACAATTCTTCTCATCTCTAGTCTCTGGGACAGAGCCAAGGCCGCCCTCTCGAATGGGTGACTTCCTGCCTGCGCATAGCCAATCCCTATGATGCACATGGCAAAGACCTCTTCTTACCACTAGCTTTTCGCATCTCCTCGAGTGCTTGCTCCAGGGTCTCCACCCTCTTCTGGCGTGCCCTCTCGGCCTCTTCCAATTCGATCTCCCGCTGATCCAACTCCTTCAACTTCTCGCTCAGCTCTGCTATCTTCTCAGCATTGACGTCCGGTTTCCCCTTTGCCCTTATGTATTCGTATAAAATGAGCCCGCTGGCAATGAGAAGAATGAAGGAGTCCCCGATAACGTCAGCGAAGAGATCAACAGCTTTATTTTCTGGTAGAGGCCGGAATCTTCGTCTCCAAATGCTTTTCGAAGCTTCCTTTTTCTCTGCCTTCTCCTTTGCTGCATTCTTCTCTTTCATCGCCTCATCATGGCGCATCTGCTCCTCAGTCTTCACGGTAGGGGCCTCGGCCTTCTCCCTGGCTCTCTTTTCGGCTGCAGCATCTCGAAGTAATGTAACCGCCATTCGCATATTGATCTGATGCATAGTTTGTCCATATCTTGCCGCGACTGCTCGAAATTTTGGATGGTCATGAGCTTGCACCTTGATCCAATTCTAACCTGCATTAGCTTTGAGTTCTCTGAATTCCCATGTGTGTGTACTTACAGCGCCATATTTGGATACGTGCCTCACGAAGAGAGCAGCAAACTTGAACAGAGGAAGAGGGACCATGCTGATGATCTAGTGAAGGTTGCGTGCATGCGTCGAAAGGAGTTGCCATTCAATTACCCCAAATCTGCCGCAGAATCATCAACACTGTGATACGATCGTGCTGCGACTAGCTTGCACACCCATGATCTCTTTCTCAGGTCAAATTTCGCACAAACATAGCGACAATAACGTTAGATTTTGGTGATAGGAAGTCACATCAGCCAGGCCTGGAGTTTATCGATATGAAAGTTTATGTCAGCAAGCAAAGGGTTGCTAGGCCAACGAGTTCGGCTGGGATCCAACTTTATTTACGATCTCAAGCGGGAAAGAGTGACCGTGACATGCTAAATCCGACAACCTCGACGAGGACGACGACAACGACAACCAGCACCCGACTATTTTCACCGATTCAACTTCGATGTTGGCCTTGCACATTCACTTCTGGGCTCTCGACAACGCCTACTCCTATACGTCATAACTTGTGAGACTGCTGTTCGCTACGAACGTATTGTAAGTTCTCCGATTATTCATATCCATATCAATTATCCACTCCGCGATGCACCATGATGGCGGACCTCCTATCTGACGCACCTGCCAATTGGGTCTCGAAAAGGCCCTGCACTCCTCAAGGTTTCATCGAGGAGTTGAAGCGAAGACACACATTGGCGGAATGGGAGGAGATCTTTGCTCCATTTCTCAAAGAAGACGGCCAAAAGCTCTTCTGCCAGCCAAGAATCTGGTGCGATGAGATGCTCTACGTCAGATTTCTTCTCCATGAGTGTGGTAGCCTTGATGGCGATGTATTAGACCTCCTAGGCCGAATCCTCTGTCAAGCTCTCGAAGTCCCTCGAGACTGTACCCGAAAGCTATCACGCAACGATGAACCAGAACACACACTCGTCTTCTTTACTAATTATCGTGCCATACAGGTATACTGCTGTCATAATCGGTCCGAGCAGGACGCTCTGATCGACCTGAGAGAGTTCAGCATCCACTTCCGCCTCCACCACAAAAACCACAAACTCGAAGGTCTGACGTACGACGAGTACACTCGGAATCTGTTCTACAGAACTAGCCATTGTGTTGCTTGGGAGTGTATCTTCCCGGAAGGCATTGACATGGAAGCTCTGTCACCAAGAGACGCGAATGCGAATATTCGCACCAAGCAAGCGGCACCAAAATCAAAGGCTGCTCCCGCAAAGTTGCCTCAAAAGGAGAAAGATCATCCTCCACCACCTCCCGAAAATGTCCAAGAACCACCCAGTTCTGACCGACCAAATGGTACTACATACAAGTCGGGTCGTTTGCTTGGCAAAGGGGGATTTGCAATATGCTACGAAGGAGAGCAGGTCGAGACCAAACAAAAGTATGCACTGAAGATCGTCAAAAGTCATATGCCACAAAAGAAAATGGAACAAAAGGTAAGACACATCAGTGATTATCTTGACATGCAGGAGCTGATTTCTTGATAGTTTCAAACCGAGCTGCAAATCCATTCAAAAATGAGACATGCAAATATTGTGGAGTTTCACAGAGCATTTTCCTTCGGGAAATGCACATATATTGTGCTCGAACTCTGCCCCAACGGTTCGTTGATGGATATGGTCAAGAAGAGAAAGTATATTACCGAACCTGAGGTACGATTCTGGACTGTCCAAATAGCCGGAGCTATCAAGTACATGCACACTAGAGGCATCATTCACCGAGATCTCAAGATGGGAAACATATTCTTGGATAAAAATATGAACGTCAAGGTCGGTGACTTTGGACTTGCTGCCCTCCTGATGACTGGTAAGGACTGGAAGGACTGCCGACGGACTACGCTTTGCGGTACCCCTAACTACATTGCCCCTGAAATTCTTTCAAAGGACAAGGGTGGACATGACCACGCTGTCGACATTTGGAGTTTAGGGATCATTATGTAGGTTCTCAAATCCCTCTAGTACTCACTACGCTAATATAGTTAGCTTTGCAATGCTCACTGGAAAGCCTCCTTTTCAATCTGCAACAGCAGATGAGATCTATCGCCGAGCTCGGGAAAGAGAATATGACTGGCCCAAATTGGATACGTCTGAAAATTTCATCTCTCAAGAAACCAAGGATTTGGTCTCAGAACTCCTGCAGCCCCCAGAACAGAGACCCGATCCCGACACAATCGTACAGCATCCATTCTTCACTTGTGGCTGGATGCCACAATCTGAAGAGATGACACCTTTGCTTCGTGATAAACATCCGGATCCGAACCAGTTTCTCTCGGTCGGGGCCCGAGGTGGAAAAACCAACTTGTACCTGCGGAACTTGAAGAAGCTGTGTATCAAATGTGAAGTTGGTCCGTGGCACATATCTCGCGGCGGTTATATCAGCACGTATCGAGAAGTTGCGGATGAGGAAAAAGCAGGCCTCACTCCGAAGGTGCCTCTACCTGAAGATGTGGTGTACCGACCATTCCATGAATGGCTTGAAGAGCAAGCAACGCCCCAGAAACCTGCCGGCCAACGTTCCTCTTCAGGGGCGATGGAAGGGGTTCTGCCGCCGACTTCCAGTTTCCGCGCCGAGAATCTTCCATTACCATCACATACCAGACCCACAACGCAGAGCTTTGCAGCTCAGCAAAGGTCACGTCCACAGGTTTCTGCTGCCAACCGCACAGCAAAATCTCGCCAGCCAGCCTCCGAGTCCAGCGTACGCTCTGGCCCCAGTATTCCCAACCGAAGTACAAAGTCCACTTCTCGAAAGGTTGAATCAAAGACTTCCGAAGATGCAGTCGATGTTGAGAATCGACTTGCGGTAGACTTGGTCCAGGAGTTGAACTCTGCGGAGAATGAGAGAAAATCATCGGAAGCAGAAGCTCCTACCATTTCGTTGGAAATCTCTGAATCGTTATTCAACCCGCAAGAGAAATTGGAGTCGCTGCCTACCACAAAGCCAGACCACGTCCTTGAAGGTCTTCGACGCCTTCAGGTTGAATTAGAGCGAGCGCTCAACAGCAGAACCACTGCCGTTGAGAACAAGAAAACTCCACCTGTCCCGACCATCGTTGTTAAATGGGTTGACTACACCAATAAATTTGGTCTTGGTTATATCCTGAGCAATGGCAGTGTTGGATGCATCTTTAAAGCCACTGCGGCAGACTCGGAGGACCCCAGCAAAGGTTTGATGCCTCCATGCTGTGTGGTTGTCAGAGATGCAGAGCGACATCTACAGAATCGGGCCAATGAAGCATATGTCGACCGCCACCAAATCGTGCCCATCTCAGGGCCAAACATTGAATTCTACGAGAACAGAGGGGAGAAGGGCGTCTTCCGTGGTAAAGTCAATCCTCAAAACTACAAAGTCCAGGTAACACCCGAGGGGGATATCTTGAGACTTGCTCGAGGACGTGATGATTGGGACAATCGGAAAAGAGAGAAGATTATGCTGTGGAAGAAGTTTGCGAACTACATGACCGCATATGGCAGAGACCAGGACTATCCATTCGATGATGCACTTGCTCGTACTCAAGACCAGGCGGAGTTTGCAGCTGCGGGGAATGTTGTGACCTTCTATCAACGCTGGGGAGATGTCGGTTGCTGGTTCTTCGCCGATGGCCATTTTCAGGTATGTTCAACAGCTTTAGTATCTTGATGCAATGTTAACACAACCTAGTTCAACTTCCCCGATCACACTAAGTTGATTATCTCGGCTGATGGTACTTGGTGCGATTTCTATCATCTTCCTCTAGAGGCTGCTCGAGACTTCGCTGCCAAAGGCACACTTCCTTCTTCGGCACTAGACGATCGTCAACGTCTCTCTTATCCTCTTCAAACATTACTTAATTTCATGAGCAAGCCTTCTCGTGCAGCCAAGTCCACTGCTCGCAAGCGGATGGAAATCAACCCGATGCTCCAGGGTATTCCTGCAGCCAATGACTTCCGGAAGAAAGTGGAATTCATTAGACTAGTGGTCAAAGAGTGGGTCCTCAATGGCGGGTTAGGCATCAGCGATATGACGCCTGAAGGACGTTTAAGGTGGAACGGCAGTCGAGAGCTGGTCAATGTCAAGGTTCCTTACAAGCACGTCTGGGCGACAGTTGGTGGGAAGAAGGGGGACGAGCGGAGAGTCATTTGGTTCAATCCTCGGAAACCAAATGAGATTGTGCCGGACGTGAAATGAGCCATGCCTACATTGAAAGTTATCACTTCACTTGGATGGCGCGTTCTCAGCATATTACAGCATCCTCAGACTACAAGTCACCAGAATGCAGCCCTTGTTGGGCAGCGAGAACAACACCGGAGACTGGTCGCGAGGAGGGTTTGCATCACCATGCGATGCAGTTTTATATTTCAGAGCGATTCATGGCGTACATGGGTTCCAGGTATTTCAGCACGGAACAGGTTCACGCATTCATGCATAGCGTTTGTGCGTCCGGCGCTGGAGGCTAGTTTTTTCTCAACAGTGATTCCCGGCGCGTTTTTCTATTGATAGAGACGAACTGGTTCCTCTTCCCGAAGTGGAGGATAGCGTCAATATTCGTATGTTGATGCTGCAGCAGCTGCGCTCTCATGGTTCTGCGATTTCGCAAAACGACGCTAGCTTGCTTCTTTTCCATAATGAGAATACAGCCTTTTAAATTCTAAAATCTTCGTGATTTCGTGGCTTGTGTTCGTAAGTTGGAAATATAATCTATTCCCCGCCATCAGTTAAGATTATAATCGCGTTTGACGTCAACCCCTTTTCCCCTCGCTAAAGCCGGATTCAAAAAGGGGCTCGCCTCTAATCTCATGACTTCTCTGGGCGGAATAACGAGGAGCTCACGAATCATAAGAGCACGCATTTAACTGATTCAAATGATTATCCATCATTATTACCATTTGACACATTCAATCGAGCCCCACCCGCCCGCAACACTGCTCGAATGCCTTTCCTCTTTTTGCCCGTCATGCATGAATGCTCCGCCCGTCTGTGCAGAACGAGAAAGACGCCGGGCCACCATGCAGTACACAATGAGACGAATGCCGTTCCCCAACATGAATGCCCCTCCAGTACATATACACTTGAGATCACCGTCTCATTTGTCTAATCTCTCGTCGTTCCATATCTCAGTTTTCATTTTCCATCACTGCGCAGGCTCACTCTATCGTGAAACCTGCCTTTCGCCCTCTGGTCTGAGTGAAGACGACGATCTTGGACCCCGAAATCGCGCGGTCGATCGCCAAAGGCTACATGACCACGCAGTCCTTGTCATTATGCCCAGTCTTCTCGTTCCTACTGTGGCTCTTCTTGACTTTCGTCCCTTGTCTCGGCGGCGCAACCTCCATCGGTGTCCCGCCACTCGCTGCTGCTCGAATTACTGCAATTCTATGTTTTGCCCGTTCGTCGCCAGCCTCCGCTGCTTTCACATACCATACATTGGCTTCCAGAGGATCCCGTCGGGTGCCAATTCCCATCTCGGTGAAGTAGCCAACAGCATACTCTGCCTTGGTAAGACCTGCTTCACATATTAGTTGAGATCAGGACTCAGGGAAGGAGTTGTGCCATACCGCACTCGGCTGCTTGGCGCGCCCATTCGTATGCCTCGTTCTCATCCTTCTCGAGAACGGGCTCCGCGCCAACCATATACCAAGCACAGAGCGCCATCATGGCCGCCGGGTGTCCTCTCTGCGCGGCTCCCGTGTAAAAGTGTACGCTCAGAGCTGGATCACGCGGACATGATAACTTCCCATGCTCATAAGCATCGCCTAGACGATAACAAGCTTCGGGGTGTCCTAAGTCGGCAGCTTGTGTAAATAGCTGTGCGGCATAGATCTCATCTTGGAAGATGTCATCTCCATACCCCGTCTCGTACAAGAGCCCGAGATGATATGGCGCTGCGTTGTACTGCACGTCTGCAGATTCAGTTGCCCGCTTGAGCCATTTCAAGCCCTCTCGATATTTGTTGAGACCGAGATCTCCAGAGAGACAAGCTCGGCCAAGACGAGTCATGGCACCAGGGTGATTCTTGGATGCTGATTGTCGATAAAATTGTACGGCCTTGGCTGGGTCTTTCCTGCAACCCCATCCAAATTCATAGCACAATGCAGCTCGATAGCCAGATTCGGCATGACCATGTTTGCTCGCTGCAACGAACAATGGGAAAGCTTGCCCGTAATCCTCCTTCCCCTTATTGAATAGACCTGAAGCATAGCCATCTGCCAGGTAGTACTGCGCGAATGGATATGCTCGGTCTGACAGCTTCTGCAAGATGTGTTTTGCTTCTGAAAGTAGCTCTTGCGGCGAAGTCTGGACCTTCTCAATATAGGGACTATCCGCGCGGTTGCCTCCTGGTTTTGGGCTTGGATTTTCTGATGTCGAATCTGCCCCTGTCCCTCCTTCCCGCGCAGCTTGTATGAGGTAAATTGCAAAGGCATATTGAGTCTCAGCGCCGTTTAACTTTTTCACATTCTGGCGATACATCTCAAGTGTCTGTCCCATCGTGAGAAGGGAAGCGTTTGAGCCCACAACCGATCTCAACTGAGAGTTGTCCAGAGAAATAGGAGCTGGCGGTGGCTGGGGGTAAGATGTATTTGCAAGATCAATGTAAGAAATTGGCCTGCTGTCATGGGATCGCCCAGAATGTGCTGATGGAGCACGCACGCCCCAATTTGGAGATCCTGACATAGGTCCACCGGGCGAGCGGCCTCTGGGTCCCATATCAGAGTACGCAGACATGGGTCTTTGGACAGGAGTCTGCCTTCCCATCTGTGAAGTTGGCGTCAAATTGCGATTTAATGACTGCCCAACATTGACTTGATCTTGAGGAAGTGAGCGGACATTAGACGGTGCAGATCCCCGATGGCCACTATTTCCACTATCCGAAACACGCGGTTGATGGTGATACTGGAATGGAGGAACCGGCGAAGGAGCTGGACTGCTTCCATTTTCGACGACACGGTTGTGATGTCCTCTCTTCATTCCGCCTTGATTTGTGGATGAGGCACTTGAAGGCGACCTTGAACTTCCACTATCTCCTGACGATAGAGGAGCGGCCTGTGGCTGTTGTATTTGGTCTGGCTTGTGTTGCTGTGCGTAATTTGGTCGATATGGGATGTCTACGCTGATTGGCATACGGGCTGCCGCACGCTGTCGTTGTTCTGAATCCGATTGTCCTGATTCCCGTGAAACCTGTCGCACACGGCCATTCCCACCCTCAAGCATTTCACTCGAGGTTTGCGGTAGCCAGTCGTCAGGCTGCACGTTGACTTTGACAGGTGACATGGCTCCGTGCATCCAACCTGAAGCTGGAATCGGAACTGATGGTAGAGGCTTTCGATCGATGTTCCCAGCATTCTCTTTGCCCTCGCCTTCAGCATATAATCTAGACGGCGATCCAGCAGCCACAGTTTTTCTGTGAACCCTCTCCGGGGAAGGTGGAGTCGCCATAATGTGCAATTTCGCAGTAACGACGTAACGATTCCCCCAACTTCAGCACTTTTGGGAAATGTGCCCAACTCTCCCTTCAATCGTCTTGGCCGGTTATGGATTGATCCGAGAAATGATCAATCCCCAGGTTTAATTCCGTGTAGAAAGGGGGTTGCGAGAGATGCGTCGGCGGGGTACCGGGAGGGGAACTTTGTAGACTTTCGCCGTTTGATTTTAACGAGTGTCGAACGCGAATAAGTAGTCTTAGGAAAGGTTCCGAACTGAGGCCAGAATGAGATAATCAGCTTGAGTAAAGGAAGGAAGTTAGACAAGGTCTTGAAGAGAGCAGGTCGGACAGATGCAAATGTCTTACCCGTTCCAATTCGGTCCTAAGAAGCATCAACGTGTCGAAAGAGCCAATTTTGGCGTATTTGGTACAATCCAACCAACGATGGAAGAAAGGTCCCCGCAAGGTCACATGCAGCAAATTAGACGTTGTTGAGTACGAAAGTTTCCGCAAGTGCAGTGCGGAGGTGCACTAGAAGTTGAGGTGAAGAGGGTGTTGAATAGGCCCGTTTCACATACAGCAGAGTTGTTCGCGATCAACACCCCTGCTGTGCGAAACCTTGTACCTGCGGCAGTAAAGGTTGTCCTGGAGCTCAACTGATGACCGACTTTGGATCAACGCGACGATGTCGTATTTTTGAGGCGGAGGCAAGAGCGAAGTTGAGGTTGGGTTTGTTGATGTATTCCTCAATCCAGAGCCGGGCAAGATCTGCACTCTGCTTTTCGAAGCTGGAATGCGGTATGCAAGAATGCAGCAGACGTCAGTCCTGGGGTCTCCTCTGCCTCCCGGATGGCGGACCCTGTAACTTGTGCACAAGTGGTTGTGGTTGTTGGCGTTCCCTGCCGATGTGATGCAGCCACCTCCAGGGGACCCTGCCTCTCTGTTGGTTCTGAACTTCTGATGGGTGGGCGAGGTGCGTGCTCCGTCCAAATGGCGTGGCGTGAAACAGGGCAAGTTGTGGGGTAGAAGATCCTTCCGTCCAATTTTCAAAGCGTCGAACCTGATGCCACCGTTGGAGAGCGATGGGCGAGGGCTGAATGGTCGAGAGACAAACAACTTGCAGAATTCAAAGGAGAAGGTTTCCGTGAGGGCTGGACGCCCGGGCAATCGCACCAGCAGGATAAGTTCCACAGGAAGATTTTGGCAGGCTTCTCCGGAGTTCCTTCGAGGCAGCCGAACGGGACAACTCACTGGATATTAGCCGTGCTGGATTTTGGCTGGGTTTTGGCTGGGAAGCAGGAGAGCTTTTGATATGTTTCAAAGGCACACCGGAAATAACGTTATTAGGTTCGTTACCCCTTACCTGATTTAGAAGTGGCAATAATGGTCAAAGTTTTCACCCCCTTGGTCGTATTTGGTGCCTTTTGCTGTGTACGACGCCGAACCTGGATATGCGGGGCCTTACTCCACAACAATTCTGGGCAGGATGAAAATGTTTATTTGGGTAGTCTAGCTTCATCCTAGTCGTTACCTAGTTATTCTAAAGCGGGCAAGGATTCTTAGGCTAGGAATCGTTTCCTGTCGATTTTACTTTCTGCGCCTGGACCTCGTTGGTCACAGAATATCACGGCTTGAACACTCAATTTCTCAACGGCCGGCCTTCCCAAAGCCCCCTGTAGGCTGTCGGAGTGCACAGTACCTCCGTATTCATCAATTGAGTACGAAGATGCAGCACGTGGGTTGCCACGGCCGATGTTCCACTCTCAACGGCTGGTGGTGGAAATCTGATAGCTCCGGCGGGGTCAGTGCATTTCCGACCTAGTGGATCTGTACTTGGATGAACACCTGAACACCTGAACACGAGTGCTCCGGAGTCTCGAGAACACGAAACCCGCAGGTTCGCAAGCAATCTGTCTACTCTCAGGTCTGCATTACTTTCTGAATGAAGTGAGGATGTGCGGTGAAGTATGGATGATTTCCTAAGACAGTCTACCCCTCTTCAGGAAAATTGGGCGTGAAAAGGGGTACGTATGTCCAGAAGAAGCAACCCTCTCCACCCATGTTCGTATCGAAAACTCCAATAAACCCCACCTGCACACATGATTGTTAGTGTACTCAAATTCGATGTAAAAACCCAGGGTATTACGAGATCTGCTGTCACCAGAATCATTCGATCGTCGTCATACTTGCTAAGCCACATGTGCTACCAATAGACCCGACGGAAAGCTTTGTTCCAGAAGTTCAGATGTCTTGGAAGCGCTGACGTTCGAGTTCACTTTCTGCTTCTTCTGACCAGTGTGAACGGGCGCTGAAGAGGCGGCTGTCAAACAGATACTCGGGATGTTCTGAACGGAGACCCGCATGGATATGGTCTGTGCGAGCTGCGGGTATGCCATCATTTGTGTGAGGCTCGTGGAAACACAAAGAAAGCGAGGTTCCAATGCAGGGCATTCCCATCCAGACTGTTGGGTGCTGAGACTGGAGATCAATGAGGATGATCAAGCTTCGTGACCCCATGGATCCGCGGATTGAAATGCAGCTGTTCAAACCGCATGGACCATCAAATGACAGCACGGACACACACGGTACTAAATCTCCCTACGTCTGCTTGATTAATCAATCTAGAGCTATGTCAGCATGTCTGTGGAGAGGTGATTGATCTGGAGGTGACAGTTTTCGAGGTGCAGAAGAGGCCGGACCAAGCCTCCAAGCTCCAACGCCACCGATGAGACAATGCACGCCTCACCGGCACCATTCTCGTATTACCGCGGGCTGGCCCCTCCACTGTCGTCTGCATCTTTCCAAAGTGGCAAGCTTGGCTCGGCAATGGGGCTCTATGTACGCCGATGTTGCCGTCTTGAGCAATTCTCGTGATGTCTCTCTTCCAACACTTGTCGTCGAGCGGTCGATCAAGCTTGTACGGCGCAGCATTCAACCAGATCGATCGTGAAATCCCCTGGTTAACGTGTATTTTTGGACTGGGGGGGCTGCTCATGCGCGCCCTGGTCGCGCTTTGCCTGTTCGGCAGTAGCGGCGATCGACAACCGAACAAATCCAGGAAAAACATCGCCGCCTCCGCTCCAAGCCCAGGGGGTTAGCGTCCGCATGTGGAGTGGGCCCACCACCCACCGCCAACGGCAAAAGTCAACAGGCGAAAAAGCAGACTCTCCAGTTCCGGCATTCCTCCCCAAAAATCATTCGGCGTGCGGAGAGACTTTCTGTTCTTTTCAACCTTCTCATCCCTTCCAATCTCTGGCTGCTGCCAGCTCAACACTCGCTTTTACCCAAGGCATTGACTTGTCTTTCCGGTCGCTCCTGGTCTCTTTGAAACCAAACAAACCCTATCGTTTTTCCTGGTCTCGAAGAGCACCTGGCCCTCACGATACAGCAATCCGATTGGGAATAGAGCTGCAAGTCGGGAGACCAGCGACCCTGTCACGTTCGCCGCATCCTTAGAGCCTTGATTGCTTTCTGAGGTTCAGCTACACAATTCTGGCACACACGGCCGTGCTTTGATTGTGGTCGACCAAGGAACGCACACCCTCGCTTCGACGGTATATGCAGGGGTGTATTGTCGACAACGACAACAACACTTTTTCTTGTTTCCCAATGTCGGTTGACAACATCATTGTACGTTTGAGCCCCGGCTTCGCAGACTTACTCACCCATACTTTTTTTGTTGGGGAGCATCGGTTTCTTCGAATCCAATTCTCAATTCAAAAAAGCGTGGTTGCCCTGGATACAACCTTGCCACGGCGTACAACGGCGAAATTGAAGTAACAGACAATCAGAGGGCTTTTGAACATTAACTGACTTTATCTTGCTCTGCAGAGCCATGCCGCCTCCCAAGCGTCCAGACGCTACAGAGTCTCCCATTCGGGTGCAGAACTCGGCGTACCATAACTCTCCCTCCCGTCGACGCCAACCACAAGACGAAGAAGCTGCATACTATTCGAACAACGCACCACCATCCCCCTCAAAACCTCCGAGGCATGAGCGTGGCCCTTCGAGATCATCTTTCGCAGATACAATTGCGCCTTCTCTCACACCTGCACCCACGACAGAGCCTCTTAATCCACAGCCCCGAGCCGCTGGGGACTTACACAGGAAAAGAAGTTTGGTTCGCCCAGAACGCAATAGGATTGATCGAGACCACCCCAACTACCACTACAGGCAACATGCCACCAATATGAATGTTTTACCTTCCTCAACTGGGAATGATCCAATAATTGAAGACTTGGAGGTAGATGCTGCTGCCACAGAAACATCGGGATTACGAAGTTCTCAGGAGGCTGAGTCTGAAGTCTCTCCTCCTCGCAAAAAGAGCAGCCGTGGCCACGGCTCTGGACCCGAAGATCTTGCCTCGAAAGAAAAGGCCGGTCATTCAACTCGACAGCGGACCAGGTTGCACAGGTCGACGAAAGAGGAAAAGGAAATGCAAAAGGCGCTCGATGCTGTGAAGCCACCGAGTTTATGGAATGTTTATTGTGCCATCGTTACATTTTGGTGCCCGGATTTTATTCTCAAGTGTTTTGGGAAGCCTGCAAGGGCACAGCAAAGAGCTTGGAGAGAGAAGATGGGCCTAATCAGTGTCATTCTGCTTATCATGACATGCGTTGGTTTCCTTACCTTTGGTTTTACCCAAGTCGTCTGCGGTACTCCTGGACTACGACTCCGTATCAACCACGTCGACAGTGGATATATGATCTTCCACGGAAGCGCTTATCAGTTAACTGGGTCCCACCATCCTGCGGCCATCGGGATTCCCGTTGGTTCGAATGTTCTTTATGATCTACCGGAAAAGCATGGTGGCCAAGACGGAAGCTTCCTCTTTCAGAACGTCAATGGCAAATGCAAAGGTCTTATCACTAAGAGTCCAGGATCAGATGTGCCATCAGACTCTGAAGGCAACCTTGCATGGTACTTCCCTTGCCGTACGTTTAACCAGGATGGTTCAAGTCAACCCAATAAAACATGGCCCAACTACTTAGGATACGCTTGCCACACTAGCTCCAACGCTCGATCAAAATTTTATACCGAGCTCCACAGCGCTGGAGATGTGTATTTTACCTGGGATGATATCAAGAATTCCTCGAGAAATTTGATGGTCTACTCTGGCAATGTTCTCGATCTCGATCTCCTAAACTGGTTCAATGGGACAGAAGTAACTGTACCCTCGCGCTTTGCAGAACTCAGTGACCGGTCAAAAGCCGCCAATGGAGCAGTCCGTGGAAAGGATGTGACCCACTCTTTTCAGAACAAAGACGACAAGGAGATAGCCCAGTGCTTGGAACAAATCATCAAGGTCGGGTCTGTTGATACGGAGACGGTTGGCTGTATCGCTTCAAAGGTGGTCCTTTACGTATCACTGGTCTTCATCTTGTCCATCGTCATTTCGAAATTCGTTCTGGCTCTTCTTTTTCAATGGTTCGTCAGTCGCAAATTTGCTGCGTCCAAGACTTCTCAATCTTCAAACAAAAAGAAGAGGCAACAACAAATTGAGGACTGGACCGAAGACATCTACCGAGCGCCTCAAAGAATTGCCGGTGACGTTGGCAGCACTGTCCTTGGATCTGACAGACCGAGCAAGAGAGCAAGCACATTCCTACCGACAACTTCTCGATTCACAAGTCCGTATGCTGGAGACCGAGCATTCCGAGTTGGACGACCCCTACCTACCACCATGGCAAGTCAGACCTCGACTGCGGCGCTTATTCCTCCAAATCCCCTCTTCAAACAGCAGAACAGCCAGAACAGCAGCCGACAAAGCTTTTTACGATCTGATTCAAATGGCTATGGCGCTACCCAAACCGACACGGAAGGACCAGGTCCAGCAGGTTTCATTCACGAGGCTGTTGTGCCGCAACCTCCGGCTGACTGGCAACCATTTGGGTATCCTCTGGCTCATGCTATCTGTTTGGTTACGGCATATTCGGAAGGAGAGCTTGGGATCCGAACGACTCTTGACTCGGTAGCAATGACGGATTATCCTAATAGTCACAAGACTATTTTGGTTATCTGTGACGGTATAATCAAGGGTAAAGGAGAAACTCTGTCGACTCCGGATATTGTTCTGAGCATGATGAAAGATCATTCCATTCTCCCAGACGAAGTGCCCGCTTTCTCGTACGTAGCTGTTGCGAGCGGTTCCAAGAGACACAATATGGCAAAGATCTACTCGGGTTTCTATGATTATGGCGCCCATTCGAGTATCCCATTGGAAAGACAGCAGCGTGTCCCGATGATGTGTGTGGTCAAATGCGGCACACCAGATGAACTTGTAAAGAGCAGGCCAGGAAACCGAGGCAAACGTGACAGTCAGATCATTCTGATGTCTTTCCTCCAGAAAGTTATGTTCGACGAGCGCATGACCGAACTGGAATTCGAAATGTTCAATGGTTTGTGGAAGGTCACTGGCATTTCGCCTGATTTCTATGAGGTTGTTCTCATGGTCGACGCCGATACGAAGGTGTTCCCAGATTCATTGACTCATATGGTCTCGGCCATGGTCAAGGATCCTGAAATCATGGGTCTTTGCGGTGAGACGAAGATTGCAAACAAACGAGCATCCTGGGTCTCGGCCATTCAAGTCTTCGAATACTTCATCTCCCATCATCTGTCAAAGTCCTTCGAGTCCGTCTTCGGTGGTGTTACCTGTCTTCCTGGATGTTTCTGTATGTATCGCATCAAGGCTCCAAAGGGTGGACAGAATTATTGGGTTCCTATCCTCGCCAACCCGGACGTTGTCGAACACTACTCTGAGAACGTTGTGGATACCTTACACAAGAAGAATCTGCTTCTTCTTGGTGAGGATCGCTACCTCTCTACACTCATGCTCAGAACATTCCCCAAGCGCAAGCAAGTCTTCGTCCCACAGGCTGTCTGCAAAACCACAGTGCCCGAAACCTTTAGCGTCCTCCTTTCACAGAGACGTCGTTGGATCAACAGTACAGTCCACAACCTCATGGAGCTTGTTCTGGTCAGAGATCTTTGTGGTACATTTTGTTTCAGTATGCAGTTCGTCGTTGCCATCGAACTTATCGGAACTTTAGTATTACCTGCAGCAATTGCATTCACGTTCTACGTCGGTAAATGCAACCCCTCGTCCCCACTTCTGAAACAGAGTACTAACTTACCTTCCAGTAATAATCTCCATCGTTCGCTCCCCGCCACAGATCATTCCCCTCGTACTCCTCGCCTTGATTCTTGGTCTCCCAGCGGTGCTCATCGTACTGACAGCCCATCGCTGGTCGTACGTTGTATGGATGTTCATCTACTTGCTCTCTCTCCCAATCTGGAACTTCGTCCTCCCTGTCTACGCCTTCTGGAAATTCGACGACTTCTCCTGGGGCGATACTCGAAAGACAGCTGGGGAGAAGACTAAGAAAGCGGGCATCGAATACGAGGGCGAATTCGACAGCTCGAAGATCACGATGAAGAGGTGGGGTGAATTCGAGAAGGAACGGAGATTGAGATCGCAGGCGGGATGGAGCAGTGGGTATGGCGGTAGTAAGGAAATGGGAGGGGCGTACTCGGTTCAGCATGGGTGTGAGGATCAGTATTCTGATATGTGATTGGATGAGGAATGAGAAAGGGACATCATATTGCATTGGGTGGTTGATGGAATCAATAACGGCGAATAAAAATGAATTGCACTGCGTGGAAAAGGGGCGTTGGAATTGTACGTTAATGAATGATCCTGCTTTGGATGGTGTTAGATGGCTGTTGTGGCCTTGAATTAATGCATTGGATTCTTAAATATGTTCTAGACATTGAATTGGTCAATTTCCTCTGTAGTCTAGGAAAGGCTTTGGTCTATTCAGACTCTCATCCGCTTCGCACTTAAAGCTTTCCCCTTTCAACTCTTTGAGGATGGTCCCTCCCCTCCACTGACATTTTGCTACTGATACGAAGCCTGCACTGTCTTTTCGGAAACGATGCGGAAACGACTCGACTCCTCCTACGACAGGACCAAAAAAAATGAAAAGAATGAAAAAGGAGCGCCGTGGGATGGCAGTACTCGAATCAGAGAGTGGGTGAAAGAAGGTTGTGGGATAACTTCGGCTCTCAGACCCCTCCACTCTGCGAGGCTAAGCTGGCACACCGAGCGTAGAGATCTCAGAAGGACATGCTGAAATGAGATGGTTGTGAGGAGAGATAGAGTTGGAGAGCCACACTGAAGAGAGTCGTGTGACGAGACGGTGGATGAGATGCAATGTTTGATTGGGTATGGTTTTATGAGTGAGATTAGTGTCATCAAGGGGGGATCATGGGGTAGTGCGGTGTAAGAATGGTCCAGTCACGGCTTCCATGAGACAATGTTGAGCCTGACCATGACCATGAAGATAAGAATGATATTTTCTTCAGAGAATCCATCATGGGAGAAAATACGCTTGAAATTGTCAAGTAAAGGGCTAGTTCAGAAGGCAACGAATGCTACCTGTCAAATTCTTGAGTTTCGCTTGTTTCTCTACTTGGATTAACTATTCAACTTTCAGAATGCAGCGTAACTATTAGAGGTAAGGCTCAACTTGGGCTATAGTGCGTGGAGATGAAGAGAACGTCACACGTCACACGTCACACGTCACACGTGACAAATCCCTGATGTCAATTTCATCTCAGAGAAAGGGATTCAGAATTGGCAAGAAAAGTGACAGAACCGATGACAATGATCAGAAACCAGACACTCCTCTCCTTTCGAAACCAGGTCTCTAATTGCTCTTAGATCGCCCTCAAGTTCTCAGAACACTCGCAGAACGTTTCTCGTTCCCCCGAAAAGCAAATATCAGACCGATATTGCACGATGACGCCAACCTTGCCCTTCTAGACCAGTGGTTTCCACATCGTATGGAAATTTCCCCACGAAATTGGAGCCGCGATCGGGTGATCGTTGATCTCCGCCCCCTTTCGAGGGCAGGGAGGGTGCAGGATGGATGCAGATCCTAACGAAGTGGTATTATTAATGAGAAATTGCACTCGGAACTGCCCAGCATGCAGGCAAAGTGTAGACAGAATAATTCGGCGGCACAAGCGAGCGTCAGAGAAGAGGCAATCTCCTCACTCGCGCGCTAGAGAGGAAGAAGACGGTGGAAGCGCACCACCCCTGCCGATGGCGCTGCAAAGGGGAAGCCTGATCTCGGGCCAAAACGTTATTTTCGCGTGTCGTTGAAAAAGAGCTGCTTGGATCCGGAGCTGTTTCCTGGTGCAGTGGCGAGCAATGCAACTTTGTCCCAACCACAGCTGCCCCGCTGCCCCGCTGCACGCATCAATGCCGCATGACCGAACTCAGAGTAAGCAGAGAAAGGGGTCAGAATGGCAGCGACCATTCATGAAGGGAACAAATTAACAATCAACACATACGGAGTATTGCAGCTGGGCAGTTGGGCAGCAGATTCGGGGGGATAAATTGCAGCGGTTGTGCAAAGGGCCAGCGGTCGCTGGTGGTTGTGAATGGCTTCAATGAGGAAATGAGCCGGGGCGGGCGAGAAAGCCAGCGCCCGCCGTGCTCGCCGTCGATTGGTGCCGCTTCTTCTCAGCCCCTTGCCTCTCTGTTGTGTGTGCCCGCGCCACCGCAGGAGCGCCGGCTGGGCGTCCAGTCGGCCAGCCAGCTGCCAGACACGGCGACGGTGACACGAGCTCCCAATTTGCGGTGCTCACCGTACTTGCCCAATGCGGTCTAGCCAGGTACGCGAGCTGGTCTCCCCGCAAATTGCCAGCATGAGCTTACTTCGCTAAATGCTCCGACTGGCCCGCACCGCGTCGCTTGTCTGATTCGGTCTGATTTTGTCTGATGGCGCCTCCTTTTCTCGTCGCGGGCGGTGCCTCCCATTGGCCTGCAAATCCCACCCCCAGCATTGCAGTAGCTCAAAACAGCTGGAGCGCTGCGACGGCGAGACCAGACGCAGCAAAGCGCAGCGATGTGTGAACAGCAACCCGCCAAAAACAGACCCTGCGGCCTGTGTTCTGCGCTGCTCCCCCTGCCTGTCTGCCTGTCTGTCGTCCCCTGGGCCCTGGCTGAGGTTCAGGAGCGCTCCACAGGTCCACAGACCACAACACCCCGTACCCTACCGCATGGACCCGTTCTGGCTTGGCTGCCTTCACCTTCTGGGCTGGCCCGCCAAGACTTCGCATTTCACTTTTGGCTCTTCTATCCCCCGTTTCTTCTTCCGCTTCCTTCTTCTTTCCTCCTTCGATGTTGATGCTGTGATACTTCTTCGTCGCCGTCGTCGTATCTGTTCTCCCCCCCCAAACTACCGCTTCACTCATTCAGCGGGCATTCGTTACTTGATATACTCAATTATCCCACCCCTACCAGACCCGATCGACCAATTTTCCCTTCTACCATAATTGCACGGGAAACACTTGTTCAATATGAAGGCTGGACTTCTTGCTGTCGCCGCGGCGATGGCTGCCGGTGTCAGTGCAAAGGGCCATAAGCACGGCCGTCACAACCATGAAGCCCTCCACGCAGAGAGAGGAATGGCGAACGGGACCTGCGTCGCCGGTTGCACTACCATCTATACCACCATTTATGGCGAGGCAACTCGTATGTTGAACAATTGCTTCTAATATATGAACAAAACAGAAAATAACAGCAAATAGTCTACAACCCACCGCCACCTGCCACTACATCAAAACCCGTACCGGCACCCACTTACCCAGCAACTGTGCCAACTCCATACGTGACCACCTGCCCGACTCCAGGCGTGTATACCATCCCTGCTACGACAATAACCATTACTGAGGAGGTTACCGTCTGCGGAGCATCTTCAACAAAGGCTACCCCAGGGACCAACACTGCGGGAGGCGTCACCACAGTGGTAGAGCACTCCACAACAGTTGTCTGCCCATACGCCACGACTGTCGTCAGTGGAGGTGTCACCACCAGCACCATCTCAACCACCTCATACGTCTGCCCCAGCGCTGGTACTTACACTATTGCTCCCGTGACCACTGTTGCCGAGTGTGAAACTGTCTGGGTCTACCCAACCGTCACCTCGTATGCTCCAGGCACCTACACTCACACCGAGGTCGTCGAAACCGTCACCGAGACCGACTACGTGATCTTCTGCCCATACACCTCTTCGGCACCGGCATTGCCAGCTCCCACCTACCCAGCATCTAAGCCACCCCCACCCCCATCGCCACCTACTTCCAAGCCTGGAGAACTTGGAAACTCTGGCAAGAAATGGGCCATCACTTATTCTCCATTCACTGACAGTGGCGAGTGCAAGGCTGCCGCTGACGTCGAGATTGACATCGAGGCCATTTCCAAGGGAGGATACACCTCCGTCCGTATCTACGCTTCTGTCTGCTCGGGTCTTGTGAATGTCGGCGCCGCCTGCGAGAAGTATGGCCTGAAGATGATCATCGGTGTCTTCATCGACCACACCGGCCTCGGAGGAGGTGCAGCAGAAGATGTTACGGAAATCATTGCCTGGGGCAAATGGAGCTTGGTCGAGCTCATCGTCATCGGTAACGAGGCCATCTTCAACAATTACTGCACCGCCAGCGAGCTGGCCTCCTTCATCAGCACCACCAAGGCCGCTTTTGCATCACACGGCTACACCGGCCCATGCACGACCACCGAACCCCTTGACATCTTGCAGGCGAGCTACGGAGTCCTCTGCGAAGTCGTCGACATCACGGGTTGCAACATCCACCCATACTTCAACCCCTCTGTCGAAGCAAGCTCCGCCGGAGCATTCGTCGCAAACCAACTCAGCATCGTGGAAGGTCTCTGCCCAGGCAAGGCCGCCATCAACTTGGAAACTGGATGGCCATCCAAAGGTCAACGCACCAGCCCCGCGGACCAGATCACGGCTCTCAAGAGTATCGCGGACACGGTTGGCGGCAAGTCAGTCGTTCTCTCCTTCTTCAATGACCTGTGGAAACCGGCTGGTGACTGTGGATGCGAGTGCTCTTTCGGTATCGAGAATATTGTCACGTACTTTTAATCGAACATCTCCTTTGTCAATGGAGAGAAATATGGCATGGATGGAAGGAAAACATGGAGAAAAAATAGGCCATGGACGATATGAAATAGGTCTTGTTGTAATTTGATGGGAATATGTGGTAATGAGGAGCGTGGTTTTGCATGTAGGTGTGATGTAGCATGGCTAAGCAGATCTGAAGAGAGGTTGGCCCGAACTTGACTTGTACCTTACCGCATTGTAACTTCTAGTGTTTATTACCTTTGGTCGATCGGACATATTCTTGCGTTTTTTTTTTTTTTACTTGGTTGACAGGGTGAGGCTTTTTGCATTTCGTGCTCAACAAGATGAACAAGCGTCGTCGTTATCCCAGCACCCCCTCTCGCTTCGAAGCGTTTCATGTCATCTCAGCCGCAACAAACCCCTGCGGCCGCTTGTCTCCAGCTTGGCTTCGAACCCCCTCGGGAACGAAGTGGGGCGATTGAACAGAACTTCATGCTCGTGATCAAGAGGAAAGGAACAACAATATGGAGAGGAGCGGTACCGAAAGAGACCCACCAGGAAACTCCGGGACTGCGCGAGGGGACAGGGATCGCTAACTGCCCCGTTCAGAATCTACCTCTGTTGTTCTTCCTAGACAGGACCTCCTCAGCAGGAACAGGAAACCCGGAGACGGCGCAGTAGTAAGGGGCTTGTGGTTCGGGTAATGTGGAGCATGTTTATTGACGCCGCGAATATACTTCTGTGGTTTCTCGAGGCAGCTACCCCTCCCCCCATATACCATGGAAGGGGGCACGTTCGGATGATGAGATGAGATGAGATGTGCTTCTTGCTGGAACGAAATGGCTGGCGCTTCTGGATGCACAGCTCGAAGCAAAGCAAAACAACGCCGGAAACAGTAACCACACGGATGAAGAAGCCTCTTACCGAGTGAAGAAGGTCTCTCGAGATGGAGATATCAAGTACCTTCTCCATCATTACTCACAACGTCAGAGATCTAGTACTACCAGCCCCACAATTGGGATTTATTTTCCTCGATAAAATGAGTATCCATCCCATCTGTCTCACCTCTCATAGCACAATACAAGTTCACGCGGGGAATTCTGATGAAAGCTTTTGTATCATTCACTATGTATATGCCATAGCCACCGCCATCAAGTTTCCACTGTCGCATCTCCGAGCATTGGCTACATGAGACCCCCCATATCATGCCACGTCCCTTAATAACACTTCCATGCCCTCAACTCCGCGCTAAAATGAACGCGAGAAAAGGGGGAAAAAAGACAATCCATATCCAGGGGCCTTTCGTCAAACTACCTTCTCCCATGCCATGCATCAATGCAAGAGCCATGCCGGAATGCGACTCCGAAAAGTAGAAAATAGGAAAAGAAAGACGCCTGAAAATGCTAAAACAACTAAGTACTTCCACAGAACGCAGACAAGAAAGAGGATGTAATGAGGGCGGAAGTCATAGTAGCATGCGAAATCATGCCGAGACGCCTATTTCGCCCGTCCATCCCGTCCCATGGTATCATCGAAAAAGAAATATGTAAAGTGGTGTTTGTAGGTTGGTGGGTAGAAGTCCTCTCATAGTCGTCCTCTCATCAAATTCAGATGACGGAAAAGCTGCGGCTGTACATATGCTTTTTGCCATCTAAAAATGACCCATCGTAGTGCCCAAAGCAGCAGCTTTTCGCAGACGTTGTTCATGTGTTCCTCTCGACTTCGGGTGATTAACAACATCATCATCGGTTGCCGCCCAGTCATATCCTTCACGTCTTCTCCTATGCCGTCTTCGGGCCTTGTTGTCTTCATACTCCTCAAGGTTGTAGAGACTGTTGCTGGCTAAGTCGCACCTCTCAAACTCCATAATGCCTCCTCTCATATTATCACAGATCGCCACGTAGAGATCCTGGCCATCATTTGTGAAGTCTAGGCCGCCGATTTCTCCAAAGAAACTTAGCACTTGCTTGCTGGTGAAGCTTTCCGCGTCGATCACATTGATGAAATCCGCTGGCTCGGCTGCAAGTAAGACTCTCTTCCCAGAGCCCAAGGGAGAAAACTTCAGCTTTCTGACACCAGCCATCTCAGCCGCCACTGTAGCGATGGGACAGGCAAGACCGTTTGAAGTTGTCCACTTCCGCGCATCCCAAATCTTAACTTGCATGTCTTGATTTCCAGTGGCCACTGTCCAACCGTCATCTGCCCAGTCGCAGGCGAATCCATAGTCACGGTGACCTTCAAGATTCTGGAGGATATCGCCAGTTTCTGCGTTGCAGATCATTACTGAGCGTGTGTCGCCAACAAGAACTCGAAGACGTTGATCTGGAGACACTGCGCTGCAGTTGATTGCGTGTTCGTATTTGTGTTCCGCGATGAACTTATTGGTGCTGATATCAAGAACACGCATCCCCATATCGTTTGATGAGAAGGACGCCAACGGAAGAGAGGAGTTGCGCGACAGGTGAACTTGGACGTGGTTTGTGATGCTGTTGGGATGATCTGTGATGAGACCTTCTGTGTGCTTGGTGTTTTTCTCAGCTCTCAAATTGACCAATCCGTACTCACCGCAAAATCCTCCAGCAACCAGAATGTCATGAGCGACTGTTAGAGTTGAGATTTGTATTCCTCCTTGGAAGGAATGAAATGGTTGCACGGTGGGGTCGGTCAGATCCATGGCAGTGTCGGGGCTCAGGCCACTCTTGGGATTCCATTGGTGAATCATTGACTTCCCCGCATAGAAGACGTGGTCCCGAGAGGCACAAGCCATAAGATTTCGTAATTGAAAGTGTGACAGACTGACGTTTTGGTCGAAATCCATTCGGCGGAACCTGAAATAGTCCTGGTCGTCTGATAATCTGGCGCCATTGAGCCGTGGCTAGCAATATCAGAATCCAACTTGCTCAGAAATTCGGGAAGATCTACTTACATGCCACTGGTGGGAGAATCTCAGATTTGTGTAGTTTCTGTATGTTGAACGTCTCATTTGTCTTGCATCCAATCTTGATACTCCGAGCTCCTTCCAATTGATTCGCTGAATGTCACATCTGTCTCCTTGGAGGTCGCTTACTTGCACCGGAAGAAGCTTTTCGGATCTTTGCCTGTAGAGTGCTGGCAAGGCTGGGCCCCTTGAACGCTTCCTAGATTCTTCACTGAGAGAGGTTGACACGCCCCAGTTGTAGAGGAACTCTCCCAGGCCTAGATTGGACTGGTCATCCACTTCATTCGGGTCAGTATCGGAACTGATCTCCCAAAGAGCAGTTGGAAAGTTAGAAAGGAAGGGGTGGGGAATAGTAGGCTGCAGGACCTGAGGTGGCATCGCAACATCCAATGCAGGAAGTGGAGTCCATGCTTCAGTGCCCCCCAGCAGAGGTTGGTTTGCTGGGCTAGCTGAGGCCTGCGGGAGGTTTATCTCTCCCAGTGAAACGAAATCCGCCTGTGGAGCATTCCCAAGACTGAGATTGCTGGCGGCAGGAGAGGAGAGGAAGGGCAAGAGAATGGAGGGAGTACTGTTGTTTATGAATGCTGCTCCGTGCAGCTCATCCGCGGTCTCAGCGGACTCCTCATGCTCCTGTCCATCTTGAATATGCTGTAATTGGAGAGACACTGCAGACAACGATGTTGGTAAGTTGGTAGCATCGGCGGTTCCTTGCATGTATGCATCCGCAACATCTTCTGGCTGACCAAGAGACTCGTCTGGATAAGGATCCGGAGCGGTGAATGAATTGGAGTATTGAAATGGATTCTCGGTTATCAAGGGGTAGTGAGTCTCCAGGAAAAGTCCAACCAAATTGTCATGGCCCATGACTTCCGCGTCCAGTAGGTCCAGCTCGGCATTCAGCTCTTCTGCGTGGGAAAGAGTCATTGTCAACGCTGCTCCGCCATCCGACATGTCTTGATCTTCATCACTCATGTTGTGAATATCTGATCTATCCTCCGTACTCTCACGTCCCTCAACAGACTCGGGGCCCATACCGGCGGTACTCATTGGAGTAGCGAGTTGCTGTGACGTGTAGTCATTCGGTCCAGATACAGCGCTTGTTGTGCCATTATCGGTGTCAGTTTCGATAGCCTCGGCCGAGAAGTCGTTGGGAGGGGTCAAGGGATTCGGGAGCATTGCGCCCAGCTCTCGCCTTCCTGTCTAGAAGGCTCGATAGCCCATGTGAAGCTGAACCTTTGTATTGTGCTGTGTAGCAGAGATGGCTGACCGCGTGCGAGAGCTCTTGCGGGAGGATGTTGGGTTGGTGTAGCTCGGATGAACGAGGACTCTTTCTGTCGAGGACGAGGGTGCACGAGCGGTACGCAGCACGACCAGAGGTTGGACCAGCTGCTTGGGGAGCGCAAGCCAGGCAACAGAGGGTAGTCGGAGATCGGCCGGGCTGGGCTGAGCAAAGTTTAGCACATCTGGTGAAGGGGCGTCTCGATGGGGGAGGGGTAGCGGCCGGTGAGTCGAAGTTGAAGGTTGAGAGGTTGAGTTTGAGGTTGAGGTTGCAGTGGTGTCGTCAAGCGGGGGTGAATCGCGGTAGGGTCAAAGGGCATTGTTAGAGGCGGAGAGGGGCGGTCTTCAGCGGAAACGATTCAGGGAGCGAGACAGTGGTGGGGCAGAAACAACGTGGGATGGTCAGCGATAGTGATAGAGACCGTGCGTGGCCGTCGGTGGCTCAACGGACATGGGCGATCACCCCCGAGGACTCTTCGTTTTGTCAAGCATTGTTCGTCAAAGACTGTCCAGGAGCTGGTGCAGCCGCGCCGCCGGCAAATAACAATCACACAATCACAATCACAACCACAACCACAATCCCATACTTGGGAGAACAAAGTATTTGCACTTCCTTTTTCCAAATGCTTTGTTTCCTAGCCCTGGACACGAACGGTGAGCGCAGGCTGAATAGCGCATCTATATTCAACCCTACGACTACCTGCCTTTCGGGATCTAGGTACCATGCCCTTCCACAACCACAGCTCACGCACTCGGCTGCGCAACACCTGGATGGATGGCTCGAGAACGCGCCTATACTGGAGCGTTTGCCCAGCTCCATGACATGCAGATGCTGCCCGATCTGTGCTTTGCAGATGCACTCTCATCGAGGTGGGATTTGCGTGCAGCATCCATGCCTCGGTGGCTTTGGGTCCGCTCTTCCTCCCAGGCAACCCTCGAGCGCAAGCAAGTGCCATGTTACCCACGCTTCGTAAATGTTCGGACGGTACTGTAGGCCGGCTTCACGGGGGCCCTCGGAGCTGTTGGCGTGTGGTGCGCGGGAACCAGCTAACGTGTTGTGCAGCCAGTTTCGTGTGACTGGCGGCGGCCAGCGTGGGGTAGCTTTACTTGGAGGGGTTGCGAACTTGCGCAGCGCCGAAAGCATATCACATTTGGCCATATTATCCTTTCCCCTTTCGGCCATGGAACGCGAATGATCAGGGCTGCCCGGCTGCACGGCTGCCAGAGCAGCTGTGGCTCACCAGTTGTCTATTCCGCCTATCTGAAGCCTGCTCCGTCGGCTTCCGATTCCTGGCTGTGTCTTCGTTCCTTGGGCAGGGATTCAAAATAGGGTGAGAGGATGGATCACTGCAGAAAGCCACGCTGAGATTTCTGTCACATTGTTCTTCTTCAATGTCTCAAACACACCCCGCCATGCGGGTGAGCTGGTCACTGGTCTCAGCCAGACATACCGAAAAGCAAGCATTTTTTTTTTTAAAGCAATGACCATTTTGACCACTGCATTTTCGCCTCAGGCGAATGTGACAGAGGTGTGATCCCCGCACGAGGTTCTCTGGAAGCCTCGGAGGCACGAAGGGGTACAAGCGTGTTCCTTAAACACGGCTCTTTGCTTTGCAGCTGCAGCTTTCCGTTTCCGTCAGTGCGTCCCTCACCTTTCTCCACGCAACCATAACGCATATCATATTTGACAGTCCCAAGAAGCAATAAGAAGAAGCAACCAGCCGTTTGTGGAAACAGCGGTGAGCCCTCCATCAATCCCCTTGTCTCCTTTTCTCCGTGCATTTGGACAACTCTCATTTGATGAAGCTATATCACGTGAGTGGAATTCTTGATTCGCTCAAATATATCAAAAATCCGGTTCTTTTGAGTTAATCCGTCGCTTCAGGGAAGGCCCTTCAGCGGTGAGGCCCAAGCTCACCCAGAAGCAACGAAGTGGGGGAGAGGAGAGAGTGGAGAGGAGAGAGGACAGAGGAGAAAGGTCTATGAGACAAATCTATGGGCAACAATCTCATCGCTTTCCCACTTCCCCACTTGAATACCTGATTTTTTCTCAATCACCATGTCCGCACTGTTCCCAGCTCAGACAGCTCAATGTTCTGAGAAAGCGAAGGGACTCTGGCAACCATTGGACCGCGCGTGTCATGAAAATGGTTATTGCACCAGGAAAGTATGATTCAAGAAGGCAAGTTCTCTCCGTCTTCACAGACTTTTACACCTCAGCAAAACTCAAGACATAAGGAAATGAGTAGGAAAGAGTCAGGGTCAGGGAAATGTCGCCTGCAAGGAGATGTCGGCTTCAACCTGATGTTAAAAACGAAGATGCTCCGAATCCTAAAATTCCTACTAGTTTAACCTGAATTTGAGCCAACCGCCAGTTTCCAGTTCAAAGGGGTAATTCGAACCACAGAATGAAAGGAATGTTAAGCGAAGGAACATTTAAGGTCAATTGAAAGTCGTACTGACTGAAGATATAGATTTTGGCAAGCCAGACTTTCGACCGCAATTGTGAAAGCAGATGATCCTGAGACCGTTGAATAGTGAGAGTGTGCTAACCTCGGCATCACGCCCATTACTGCTGGAGGATCCTTCAAACCATCGGTCTTTCTTAGGGGGTGGGGGCCAAACTCCTGGGAGGAATTGCACCCTTTAACAAAGAGTTGAGGTCTGCAATAAATTAGAGGCCTGCCACCACTATGCGACCCAAGACCCAGACAACCTGTGGTGAGTGTTTGCCTTTTCACCTTACATTTCTAGCTTCAAGTCACAGAGGTGATTTGCACACGCCCTGCACTGGGCATAGTAATCATGCAGGCTCCGTAGGCTAGCGCAATCCGAGGCTTCCGTTGGGATGAAGATGCGAGTTCTGTCAGCCCATCTTCGACTTCTTGCCTTCCATTGGCAGCTTTCTGCCCGCCATATGAAGGAAAAGTAATCCCTGAAGATCAAGATGGCATTTAAATATTCCTCTCCATTTTCTAACCTTTCTATCCACAAAAATGTGCCGTACCGGATGCATAGGATATCTTTTCACAGTCGCTAGAAATTGAACGACTATGGCGACTTCTCCAGAGCATGTTGACGCTGAGAAGGACAGCTCAAAGTCACCTCAAGGGCACAACAACGGCAAGGAGGCTCATCCAGGTCTCCCGGATCACATTCACGAAGATGCTGCGCCTGATCTAGCAAAAAAGCCACAGCTACTCACGCGGATCTGGAAGAAACTGGGAATCAATGGATTTGTTGTGATGATAATGGTTAGGCCAGCCGTGGCTGCTACCATTAGCATGGCAATCTACCAGAGTCAAAAAGTTGCCGTTCATTATTTGAATCTTGGATACCTGATAATTGTCATCTCGATCACGACTGTTCCGATCCTCCCTCGCGGAAAGTTCTTGTTGAATTTGTTTCTGTCATTGGTGAGTTACTTACTCCTGGATTTCCCCTTCTTCTCCAAGATCGAATCACTTTCCTTTGCAACTAATCGTCCTCCGTGTTTATCTAACAACTTCCAACTAGTTTCTGACTTGTTTTGCTGCTGGAATGGTCTGTTTGGGCCAATGGGCTGGAATTAAGGCGCGACAGCATACAACACCGCCTGGAGCATCTCCTGCCGTTGCCAATGGATACAACTCCTCCGCATCCGCAGTCAATGCTATCTTCTTGATGTTCAACATATTCTGCATCAGCGTTCTTCGAGCCATTCGACCGGCATTCACTATCCCCGGAATTCAATATACCATCTTCGTTATGGTTGGTTTCGTTTATGGACCGCAGGAATCGACAGTGGACCGTAGCCAACAGTTCCTGAAAGAGTTGTTATACAGTTTTCTTACCGGACAGGCAATTTCTGCAGGGGTTTCGCTGCTCGTCATTCCGGTATCCTCCAGGAAGGTCTTCTTTGGTGAAGTCACGGGGTTCCTGCAAACCTGCAGAGGTCTCTTGCAGGTGCAATTAGGGTTTATAAAGGTCCTGCACCATTCAGCGCTTTCCAGCTCTGCCGGAGAACCTGGAGGTACCAATGCAACGACCAGTGGAGCTGAACGCAACATAAAATCTTCTGCCTTAAAATCAACATCATCAGGTCTTCTCTCCTTAGGGGCTAAACTCCAAGAAGACGTTATGTTCGCCAAGCGTGAGATTGCCTTTGGACATTTACGCGAAACGGACATCCACATGGTACATGGGCTCCTCAGAGACATTATGATTCCAATCACCGGCGTCTCCACCATTGCAGATATTGCAGAAAGGGCTCATTGTCGATTTGGTGGCGCTGAACCAGGGCAGGCCCTTGAAGCGAGCCCAGACTCAGAGCAGGACGGGTGGCAAGAACTGTTCCAAGGCCTCTCAGTATCCCTTGAGACCGTTGTCCAAATCCTCGACGAGAGTATTTTGCATACAATGGTGTTGCTCAAACTCGCACCCAGTCCGAAACAAAAAGGGCCAAGCGATGTTGAGATTGGCACAGGGCCACCTAAACCAGGAGACCTCAAATTCGGAGATTATTTGGAAGTGCGGATTCAAGATTTCCGGAAAGATAGATCCTCCGAGCTTCAGCGATGGGCAGAAGAGAAAGGCCTAAACTCTGTTTTCAAGAATACCGCAAAGCACACGATGCCTCCAGCAAATCAAGACGACATAAACTCTGAGACGGAAGCACGAGAAGTCACAGCCTCAAAACGGCTGCATATCGTTCTCTATATGGAATTTCTGCTTTACTCGACTGCAAAGGCTATCTTGTCAATTGTTCGATTCGCGGAATCGAAGGTTTCGGATGGAACAATGACGAAGAAGCGCTTCATTTTCCCTGCATCCAAGACCCTGATTAAGATCATTCAAGGCCTTGTCAATGGTGATGAGCCTGGGCCTGATACGGAGGACATGGAAGCACTAGGTGAAACAGTCTCTCTTGGAGACTCTTTCCAGAAACCAAAGGATCCTGAGCATTTACCCCCCAAAAATGCTAGACAAGCTTTGGGTGAACATCTTGGAGTTATCCCAAAGTTCCTGGGAAGTGATGCCGTGAGGTTCGGTGTCAGGGTTACCATTGCAACCATGAGTATTGGTATCATGGCTTATCTAAAGAATAGCCACGTTTTCTTTATCAAACAGAGAGTCGTGTGGGCTTTGGTCATGATAGCCATTGGAATGAGCCCAACATCGGGAAGTGCTGTCTTCAACATGCTTGGTAATACGACTTGCACTCTCTTTGGGATGATTGGGTCTTTCATCAATTGGTATATGGTCGACGGAAAGACTGCTGGCGTCATAGTGTTCTTCTTTTTCTTTCTAATGTTCTATTTCTACTTTGCTGCCAAGTTTCCCCGATTTCTCGTAGCTATTGTTGCAGGCGCACTTACTCACGTTTTGATTATTGGTGAGTGGCCCACTGCTATCCCGGATAATGACTAAGTTTTCTGCAGGGTACGAGTTGCAAGTTCGTGTAATAGGAATTAAGATTGCAACATCTACAGGGCAGGAGTTCTATCCCATCTACAAATTAGCACCATTTCGACTTCTCACAGTGGCGGGAGGATGCTTCGTTGCCTATATATGGACCATCTTCCCTGTCCCCATCACCGAAGGGTCGGTTCTTCGCAGAGACCTTGGTGTTTCCTTATATCTGCTTGCCAACTATGTCAGCGCAGTCACCGCAACTGTCGACGAACGACTGACACAACCAGACGGAGACATGAGCCGGAGACTTTCCAAATTGCGCCATGAAATTTTGGCCAAGCAGATAGTATTGGTCATTTCGATGAGGCAAAATTTATCATTCCTTGCCTGGGAGCCACGATTGGGTGGCGATTTTCCTAAGGACGTCTACAAGTCCATTATTGACGAGCTTCAGGAGTAAGTGGTTGTTCATGAAGACCTAAGGACTATTGTTGAAACACAAAAGCTAACAAAAACATGTAAATCAGTGTGATTAGTTACCTCACCATCATATCATACGCTTCAGAAAGCTTCAGAACTTTAAGAGAGGACCCCCAAACATCGAATTGGCTTTCACAATTTGCACGATCTAGATCAGACAGCGGCAATATATCCCACAAAATCACCTCCCTCCTTGCACTCCTCTCGGCATCTGCACTCAATGGTCACGCTCTTCCTCCTTACCTGAAAGCTCCCATTGACGTTCGATTCTCATCCGACGACTTAGTCGACGAACAAACACATGTTCTTGATCTCCAAAATCTCAACGAGCCTGGGTTCCGAGCAATTGCAGTCATAGAGGTCGCTCAAAGGTGCCTGGTTGATTCTATCCACAGGATCGTAGATCATGTGAAAGAGCTGGTTGGAGAGGTGGATTTCAGCTACCGTATGAAGGATGTGTCCGATGCCTCAAGTCTTGGTGGAAATGGGGAGCGAAAAGAGAAAGTGTACTGAGAGAAGTTATTGTAAAATGCGTCCAGGGTCATGGTATCAATTAATGGATTAGAATAGTGCCAGACACATCGGTTGAAGGAAAAACCAGGTTATCATTTTGAATGGATAGCAGCGAGCACCTCAGCAAGGGGCAATAGGGGGGCGCTAAGCGACCAGTCGAATACTGTAAAACTGTAAATGGCTTAGATTCTGCTTCGAAATGCGTTGAGACTTCTGAGACTCCATTGTTCCAAGAGGACAGTAATCATTTGATGTAGTCAATACTCCTATTTACTCCCAGCCCTGTGGTGTAATCTTACCCCGGTGGAGCCGCTGAAGAGCCCTGTAAGGAGCCGGAAGCGGATCGCGGATCTGGGCCGTCGGCCGGCTCGAATTATTATAAATTGAGGGGCAGTGAACTGATAACCCCACCATATCGAACAGCCACCTTTTTCAAACAACAACAAATCAAAATGCTTTCCAGTCCACTGAATCTGCCAAAATGGTAACGCGATGCTGCCCAGAAGCTGAAGTAAATAATTAATTCTTCGTTAGGCTCGAGGAAAACTCTCACCTCTTGAAGCCTCCGATCAACAACTATTGCGTTTACAATAAGGATGTTACTGTTATGGTGAGTACTTTGCCATTGCAATTCCGGTTAAACGATCTAAGACTCTCCAGATCGTAGGAGGCCCAAATGCACGTACCGACTACCACATCAATGAGACAGCGGAATGGTTCTACCAATACAAAGGCGCGATGATGCTTAAGGTTGTCGACGAAGGCAACTTTAGGGACATCATCATCGGCGAAGGCGAAATGTTCCTCCTGCCTCCTAATACGCCACACAATCCTGTGCGGTTTGCGAATACAGTAGGAATTGTTCTGGAACAGCTAAGACCGAAGGACTCGTTGGATAGGTTGAGGTGGTACTGCACGAATTGTCACAGCGTGGTGGACGAGGCTGCATTCCATTGCGCGGACCTGGGCACACAGATTAAGGAGGCTGTGAATGGATTCAGAGACAGCGAAGAGAGGAGGAAGTGCAAGAAATGCGGGGTTATGGCTGAGTCTGCTCCCAAGCCTGGAGAAATTCAAGATCCAAATCTGGCTTGAGGCATAAGCTGCAAACGACCTCTGGGTTCACAACTCAGGAGTTTCTGCGGGTATCTAATCCAATGTACAATATCTACAAACTGGTCTCTATGTCTCTGCGAACTGATATGTGCTTGTGGACTCCTCGACTCCCACTTCAATCTTCCCCTCCTGAATATCCTTCCCTCCAACCTTTATGCCAGCTCTCATTATATCACCTGGTACAACTGAGCCCACTCCCTTGGGCGTTCCAGTTATCACAATATCTCCCTTCTCCAAAGTCATGACCTTCGAGATATCACTAAGCATTCGCGGGATCTGGAACAGCATCAAGTTTGTCGAGTCATTTTGTCTGATTTTGTCGTTGACTGTGAGATATATCTCGACATTATGAGGATCTGGGATCGCAGATTTGGGAATAATCTGGCTGACTGGGAGGAAGGTATCGAATCCTTTGGAAATGGACCATGGGAGGCCCTTCTTCTTTGCTTCGTTCTGGGCATTGCGAGCTGTCATGTCGATACTCATCGCATAACCTGTCACAGTCAGCAGGGTTTCTAACTGGCCCAAAATACTTGCAGGAAACGTACTCTCAATCGCGTCCATAGCGCCCTTCTCATCATCTGCTTCCAAGTCCTTGACTTGCTTGCCAATGATCAAAGCCAATTCGACCTCATAATGTAAATCCACACCTTTTGGTCTTATCACCGGACCCTCACCAGGAGCCAAGATCGAAGATGCGGGCTTCAAAAAGAAAAACGGCTGCTTTGGCCTTGCGCTGCTCAATTCTGTAATATGGTCGCTGGAAAGAATTTCAGCCTTGCTGTACCGGCTTCGGAGAAAGGGAGGAAACTCACGCATAATTCCGGCCAATGCACACGACCTTGGAAGCTTTTTTGAGCGAAGCCATTGAAGAGATACTGCGTCGAAAGAGAAGTGACATGATGAGGAAAATGGGAGAGAGGGTCCTATTTACCCGTCCTTATGTGTGGTGTTGTGAAGCCATGAGGGTTGGTCAAACTCAGAGGTGGACGGCAAGAAGTGGGGACGGCCCTTGGATGGATGTCTCGGGTGGAGATGCAGCGAATTGAGGACTTCAATTCCGCCTACAACTACCGTCTTTTATCCCGATTTCAATAGAACATCGTTTGCCACGGCTCCAGAGGGAAATGTCTGCCACAGAGAACCTACAGTTCGCGCAGATTATTGCGGACTTACAGACACTGCAAAATGCCGTGAGTCTGCTCCACATCCGTGTCCACGTCCCCACATTCCACAGCCCTCACCTCTCCACATTCTGACACAGGAACATGATAGGATCCCAATGCAGCCATAGCCCTCCTCTCCGCACACAAGGCTCTCTCGTCCACCAAGCAGGGGAGATCTAGAACTTCACTCCCTGACCCACCGAGGTTCGATAAACTTGGGAGGAGGATTGTAGGGCCCAGATCTCCTCCGGGATTGAGTAGGGTTGACTCAAGTGGATATTTCAATGGGAAGAGTCGATCACTGAAGAGTGACAGTGGAAGGGCCAGTGGCACCAGTAGCGGTGTTGGAACACCGGCTTTGGTTGAGGAGGTGGGTAGCTATTCCTCGTTGAAGTTCGAACGGCCCTGAAAAAGCACGGAACTGATGTACCCCTCAGGAACAGCAAGATGAAGATATTAAGCGTGCAAGAACCTTAATAGAACTTTACGAAATGAGGGGCAAATTCAAGCAAATAGGTGATACGGGCTTGACGAGAGCGAAAGAAAGAGTTGATGCTGTGATATCAAGATATGCGGAGAAGGATCTTCAGGAAAGGGAGAAGGTTGCGAGGGCACGACATTTGGGAGTTTGAGCAAAACAGGCTAGCCGAATACTGGTTGTTCTGGGTATGGAAGTTGGTATTGCTGGCGTTTTGGATGTTAATACCCATGAATTTGCTGGGCGCTTTTGGCCACACGGGTTGTCACTTTTGGAAAACAGAAGATTCTGTAAACCGGAATTGGAATATTAGGGAGAGAGGCTAAAGACTGAGGCTTGGAAGAACAACAATCAGGAATAAGACGGTTAAGACGAGTCTCAATCTCTCTCCCACACCACATCATCCAACTCCCTTTCTACCATGATAGTCCATTCCAGTGCTTCCAATCGTTGCCGCAAGCTTTCGCTCATCTGTCTTTGCTAGGCCGGTACTCCAGGGACGGGAGCTGGCGGTCGTACCGCACCTGCTAGGTCACCCACATCAACAGGAACACCTTTGGAGATCAACTTCAATGCATCAGCTGTTGGTCCTGACAGCTGCCTCCCGACCACTACAGCCAAAACTGGTTTTTTGAGTATCAAGCCCCTTCCCTTTCGAATAACCTTCTGCCCTCCGCGAATGACCGTCTTTCTCTTGGGATCCTTCTTAGCAAGTGGTGTTCCTGGGGGAAGCAATTGGCCGGTACCATCCATTGGAACCCCCGGTGATGGAGCTTGAGGCAAGTCCAAAGGAGGAATCGATTCTTGGAGTTCGACTTCCCCCATGGCGTTGGGAGCTTGAGGCAAACCGGGGCCATTTGGTCCATTCGAGCCAACGTCTTCTACAACGACGGTGACCCCTTGGACGTTCGCTGCTCTGGCACCGATTGCTCCCTTTGAAACTGGGACTGCCGATATGCCAGCCGCTTCTCGAGCATAGGACTTGTCCAGGCCAAATTCTGGGACTGGACCCAAGGGCGCCTCTCGTAGATTTTCTTTGGCTCCGCTTGTATCCATGTCGTTATAAATGCAAACGTCGGATACGACGCTTCTAGGACTGACACAGCAGTCGGGGAGTCGAGGCGAGCCATCCATCTGAGCAGGCTGCTGAGCGAAGTCTCGGATATCCGTGCCTCCACCGCCAGGTCCGTCTACGGAAAAAGAGGTCATTTCGTTTCTTCCACCTACTTTAGGACTTTGAGGAGCCGTGATCATCGTCGGAGAAGAAGGACAAGTGCTTGCTCGAGCGTTGAGCTCGTTGGGCTCTTGGAACGAATCAGTGAAGTTGGATCGAGCACGAAGGGCCTGTCCCATTCCATCATCAAGGTCGAGAATGTTAGGAGGCGATGAAACGTCAAATTGTGGTCCATCCAGATAGATACTGCTGCCATTGATGGCCAGCGTACCAACGTTGGATGGTCTCTTCATCGGCGCTGCTATTTCACCACCAATTGGGGTATCTGGACTCTGTTGAACCAAATCTTGGACAGCGGTATTGAAGGACTCTCTGCTGATGAAGCCAAAACGAGCATAGCCAGTAGGCGTATCGGGAATGGACGGAGGCTCATCGCTGTCATCAGCTGCAGAGTCTACTGCTTGAGCAAGTCGTGGCTGCACAAAGCATCCGACGAGCTCTCGACCAAAGTCCCCTCCTAAACCTTTGGGCAAAGCAGGCAGTTGCAGGTAAGAACCCAACATACTGTCCCCCTCAAACTTCACCACCTTTCTGGGCACCATTTGCTCTAGGTTCTTGGCCTCAGGAACAGGGCTCAATGCTCGTAAATGGCTCGAAGCGGGATGAGGACTCAGGGAGCTGCCCGTTGGACTTTGTGGCCGGGCTTTCTCCAGGGAGGCTCGATGAAGGCGCTCTTGATTTGATTCGATCTGATGAACGAGATCTTTGACGGAACTAGATCGGGATAACGTAGAAGGAGGGGTAGTCTGAGATGACTGCGAGGTCTGTGAACGACTGATCGGACGGAATTGAGACCAGGACAGGCGTCGCAGAGCATCCATGATTAAGAATAGCGGTGTGAAAGAATGTTGGAAGTGAAGAAGAGATGGATGGGACTTCAAGAAGGAAAGAAGAGTAGTTCAAAAGTATGGCTACGAGCTTTGCGCTTGCCATATTCACAGCTCTCAACGAGGATGAGGTAGGTGTTTGGTGGCTCCTTCCACTCTGAAGTGCCTTCGATGAACAAACAAGTGCCGTTACTGTTCAATATTACGAGTCAAGTAGGACATTTATCTGCGCTTCCAGGGAGAAAATACAAAGGTTCGAGAACTCCAGAGAAATTCGAAGAGAGTGGACTTTTGAGATTACACAATGGGACCGAACACTTAGGAAAACAGTATCTTCAATGTTCTAGATGCAACTTGCAAATTTATCTGAAGTTGGAAGGAGCAAGAGAGAACTTCCTTATTCAAAATATTCCGAGACATTGAAATAAGTGAGCTTCAATGTACGATATCGCGATACAGTTATATGCGAAAACTCCCTGTTTTAGCGAATTTTAGCCGCATCATGCACTTTTGGTACGCACCCCACCAAAAATTAATGATAATTGACAAAACTCACCCAATAATCGCACTACCACCTCTAGCACCATCCCAATTAGGCAATTTCGACTTTATTCGCAAGCTCCTACCATGGCACGTTCAAAGAGCAAAAAAATCGAGAAACCACCGCCTTTAGTAGGCAAAAAACGACAGAGAAAACCTACGGCTAAGGCCTCCTCCGCTCTAGTAGCTCCCAAACAGCCTAAAATCAAGCTCACGACTGCTAGCAGGCCCCCAAAAGAGCCTTCTCCTAATACTAGTACTAGCGGAGCTAATTCCTAAAGGGAGCGTACTATCGAAATATCGTCGTCGTCGTCCAGCGAGTCTCCAGAGCCCGAAGCTAAGACCTACGTAGTTACCGTAAACTGGCAGGTTTACCTGAACCATAAGCTAGTTTATTCGGAGTCTTTTTAGGAGGATTTTTTATTGATTCTATATAATAGATACCGATTTTGGCAGGGCTGGGTTTAGATAAGGGTCGACGAAGCGGCGAAGACAGATAAGGAGATCAAAGCTAGGAGAAAATAGAAGGAAATATATAGAGCTTTGAGTAATTAATAGATCTTTCATATCCAAGATAGGGAGAGCTTTGAAAGGTTCGAAAAAATAATGGTTTCTAGGGACTCAAAAGGCATTAATTATATTATTAAAGCTCGATTCGTTACTAAAGGAGACCCCGAATTATTACCGGAACCAGAGAAAGCATCAGGAAAGAGAAGAAAAATACCAGATCCTCTCAAGCTAGTCTATTCAGATAATGATAGTAATACTAAAAAGAGTATTCCCCCTATTAAGAAGGCTAGGAAAATAGCTACTACTATTACTATTATATCTTTAGTCGAGGATAGGAAGATATAATCGAGATATTAGGAGAGATTAAACCTACTTTTACGATATTAGAGATATAATAGGGAAGAAAGGGAAGGGTGCCCAAATAAGAATTAATAGTATTTTATTTATAAAGGAAATTATTTCAGGATTGAATTAGACGACTTCCATAAATAAATAGATTAATAGAGAGATAAGCTTCCTAATAAGGCTAATACTACTACTATTCCTACTAATTTGATTATTAAATAGATACTATATGGCGAAAATTAATAGAGGATTAGTAGATAATGAAATAAGAGTAAAGAAAAGGTAAAGGAAAAGGAGAGAGTAAAGAATAAATTAAGAGAAGGCTCATCTCAACCCATTATTAACTATAACTACTATAGTAATAAATTCAAGGGAGAAGAGCCCTCTACTAGCTTATATAGCGTCCCACGGGTACTACTATCCCGTTATTTACCTATATATCCCGCCGATTATAATCTAATTTCCCTCCCTGAGTTCATAGCTATTAAGTAAGCTTTACGTTATTGAGCTAAACTCCTCTAGTAAAACCAGCTTCTTCTCTGTCTATAAGCTAATTTGCCTTATTTTTAATATTAATAACCTTCTTCTTCTACTCTTCTATATTCCCGGTATTAAGATCGCAATTATTAAGCTAAGTACTTCTCTAGTGTTTTTGATTTATATACTTTATAAGAGTCTAGCCTAATTCGTAGAGATACTAATATTAGAGAGGAATTAGTATTATTTAGGGCATAGCTAGATGCTTACTTACCTCGAAATCAACGAGCTAATATTAGTAATTTGATAGCTATAGTATTAGAGGAGCAGATTAACCCGAAATAGCTAAAGGCAATAGAGAAATCAGAGACTAAAGAGTATGGTATTCTATAGGGATTTCTCCTTATTATAAAGAATCAGGTTTCCCCTTAGTATACTATATAGAATTCGGAGATTAATTAATCTTCTATATTAAATATAGGTACTCTGGTACTAATTACTAATATAATAGCCCCCTCCCAAAGCACTATTCCGGATACCTAAGCAGGAGACTCGATTTAACTAGATATTGTCTTTAGTATATATCCTAAAGACGAGATTAGCTTCTACCAGGGTATAGGCAACTTACAGAAGCAGGATTAGGAAGAGTTTATAACTCCTGGGATATTTAATAATAATTACGAATTAATTAGGGATTAGATAGAGGATAATATTTAGAATCGAGCCTTGATTTCCATATATTACGGGACTAGAGAGGCGAGAAATAGACTAATCAGATTATAGGATTTTAGGCTTTTTTAAAGAGATTTATTACTAGTATTATAATTATTATTTTTAGTCGAGATTATTAATATTTAAAGTTTTTCCCTTATACTAAATATTTTTATAACCATACTATAGGATTTTTATATATTAGAATAATTAAAAGAGCTATTTCCTATAATTCTAAATATACTTTCGTTTTTTTAATAGTAGTTATGGTTATTAAGAACCGTAGTATTTTTTAATTAGTATTAATATTGGCTCTCTAATAAAGTAATAAGTAATTTTAGAACTACCTTTTATAATATTAAAATCACTAGAACTTTAAATAATATTAAGTATAGTAATTCCATTAATTTTATACTAATTTTATACTAATTCTATAAGGAAATTCCGATATCCTGAATTATAGAAATGCCCTCTAGCCTTCCTAGCTACCTCCGGCCCCCGTCCAAGCCTCTAAATAGTATTAATTAGATAATCTCCAAAGTCTGGATACTTCCCATAGACTTTCCTATAGTTCTTCCGTATATTAGACTTAATATTATAAAAGCTCTCCTCGATTGGGTTCAAAATTAGGTAATAAGGAGGCAACTAGCATATCCAAATACCCCGTACCTGGTATATATCAAGTACCCTCTGACTCCGGTATATACTATAGTTATCTATTATAATAATCGAATTTTTGCCCGGCCATGGATTATACTACGGGAGCACCCTATTTTCCATCCAATCTTCAAAAATCTCGGCTATAATATTGCCTTAATAAACTAAAGGATTAAGGTACCTATTAATCATATATACCGGTAAAAGGGACCACTTAGGAGATCGCTTCAAGAGTATCTTTATCTCTATAGGTAAGCCCTGAGGTGCCTATCCATATTTCCTATATCCCGTATACTTATTAAAAGCTAATTCGTCTACGGCAACGATCTGATCTGCTCTCCAAAATCGAGAATCGTCATACTACTACTCAAGAAGCTCCTGGTTTTGCTCCGCCGCCACCGCCTTGATTTTCTTATATATAATCTCTAATCTCTTCAAAAGACGCAAGATCGTCGTTTAGTAAGGTTTAATACCGAATTCCTCATTAAGAAAGTCAATAATTTCCTCCTGGTAAACGTCGACATATCTCAGAACATACTCCATTACCGCTTCTTCCATTTCTGGTGTAATTATTAATTAACGGCCTGGTTTTTTCCGGGGATCCCAGCCAAGAGCTTTCCGAACCCGTATCTAATACCTCCGATATCGTATGGTTTCGTAAGTAGTATTAAATCGGGTTACGATCTCGTACAAATCGGGGTGATAAGGTTGTGCGACGATAGCGTCGATGGCCGCGATTTCGCGCGGGCTTAGGTGAGGAGCCATAATCTGCTCTTATCATTAGCAAGAGCTACTTTAGGGGAGTAAATTGATCCACTTCTCATCTAATTCGGACGTGGTTTGGTGGAGCAATTGGTGGTTGAAGATAATTTAGGTAACTTTTGGTGTACCCATTTTTAAGTGTACCGCTTTTCGTCAAAAACTCGCTAAAACAGGGAGTTTTCGCATATAACTGTAGAGCATTATTATTGAGAATTTTAGCCCCAACAGCGCTGGTGCCACCACCTCGCTTGTGATCAGCCTCGTGCAAGACTTTCGAATGCACCGAACCCTCCTGGTTCATCAACAACCACTTTCGGCGGAGCACTCATAATGGCGACCAGCGTGGATGCGAAGCTCCTGAGGGCAACGAAGTTCCCTCCGGAGTTCAATCAGAAGGTTGACATGCAGAAGGTCAATGTGGAGGTCATGAAGAAGTTCGTGTGACATCTTTCCAATCTTGGTTTGAGCCGGAGACTGATGGCATGCACAGATGGATCGCAGGCAAGATCGCAGAAATTCTGGGCAATGAGGATGATGTCGTGATTGAGTTGTGCTTCAATCTCGTCGAAGGCGAACGCTTTGTACGTCAATCGAGGGGCTGCTGAGATTGATTGTTCGTTATGCTCACGTTTTGTTCCAGCCCGACATCAAGAAGATGCAGATTCAGCTCACCGGATTCCTCGAGAAAGACACAGCGGCATTCTGCAAGGAGCTATGGAAGTTATGCCTGAGCGCTCAGTCAAATCCTCAAGGCGTCCCAAAGGAATTGCTTGAAGCCAAGAAGTTGGAGTTGATACAGGAAAAGGTTTGAGTGAACAAGCTCACGTCAGTATGAATGCCACTGACGAGAAGCTAGATCGAAGCCGAAAAGGCTGCTGAGCAAGCACGACAAAAGCGAGAGGAAGAGCAACGTCGAGAGCGGGAGATAAACACTGTCAGAACTCGGGAACGTGGCGATCGAGGTGACCGTGGTGACCGAGGCGACCGTCGTGGTCGTGGTGGAAGAGGCGGTGATACTTGGCGAGGAGGTCGTGGTGATAGAGACTTTGATCGTGGCAATGGCAGAGGCTTTGATCGGAGAGGCCCCCGATACTCTAGGTCACCAAGGCGACGCGATTCACGAGATCGAGGCTCATTCAGAGGGGCTCCAAGGGAATCAGATTCTTATGTACCCAGTGGCCGCGCAGTACCGCGACGAAACAACCGTACCAGAGCTTCTACCTCCGAATCTCGATCGCCATCTGCTGCAAGGTCAGACTCTCGTACCCCACCTCGTCGCCGTCAGCGTTCTCCCACGAGATCACGCTCGCCGTCCCCTCGCCGGAGATCTAGAACACCAGACAGGCGAGGAAACACCCATCGTGGCCGTGGAGGGAGGGGAAGAGGAAGAAGCCCAAACCGTGCACCCCGTCGAAGATCATCCACTCCTACGTCACGCTCACGCTCACGCTCCCCAAGGCCATCGAAACGAAGAGCTACTTCAGACTCTATTAGTCCATCGCCTCCACCCAGATCTCGACGAACTCGTCGCAACACTAGTTCCATGTCTCGGTCACCTTCTAGGTCACCTAGCCGGACACCTCGTAGAAGAGTGTCTCGCAGTCGAGAGAGGCTTGGGCCGACTCCAACTCCAGCTATCGAGGAGGATGCTACGGATATGCGTGCTAGGGGTCGTGAACGCCGGCTAACACGGAGCAACAGTCGAAGCATCACCCCTCCCCGAAGGCGTCGCCGAAGTCCTTCTAGAAGTTCTAGCCGTGGTGAAAGGGATCGAAAGCGCCGTCGTTCTATTCAGCGTTATGAGCCAGCCAGCAAGAGGCGACGAAACACTTCTTCTACCTCTTCACGTGATGACAAAAGAGACAGGAGAGCTGATTCTGGAGATGAAAGTGACAGGGGATATTCACGCCATGAAATCGAAAGCAGCAAACGCTCTGGAAGGCTCGAGTCCAACGAGGTTGGTAGTGCTCAGTAATCAGTACATCAAAAGGGTACTCCCTTTAGGCTGCGTGCTACTTTGAAGCCGTTTCAATTAGGCTGACATATCTGATGGCACCAGGTGAATGATCCGAAGAGTTCAGCCAGCGAGTTGAGGGAAAAGCTTCTCAGAGATAAGATCTTGAAGATGAGGACTTCGAGTAACGCTTCCTTGATTTCTCAGGCTAACGCTCTTTGAGGTCCTCAACTTATACCTTCTAACCTAGGGCATGATAATGCTCCTGCTCTGCTGGCTGGGTTAGTTTAGAATCAAAAGAATTCTGAAGCAAGAAGTAGTATTCCCAATACTTTAATGCCAGCCGTGACCATCCACTATCTCTGTACTCTTGGATTTTGCGATATTGGTCTGTTCGTTGGACTTCAAGAGCTATGCATCCCCAATGACCCATCCTGTCAAGGTACTTTCCAAATCCACAATTCTCATTGACCCACTCTATTGAGGTAGTTTTCAAAATCGTAGTATACCAACGTGCTTGTTGATCTGAAGCGTCCACAATTGGACTGATATTTTATAAACCCGATAAGCGATAAGAAACCCTGGTGCGCCACGAACTTCGTACCGTCGTCCCAACTTCCACATTGTACTCCACTCATCGAGAACAACATGTCGGAAAACGTACCTCCAGCTTCCACAGCCGTGGGTGCCAATGGCGATGTTCCTGGGCAGCCATTCTACGACAAAGCTCGTGCACATCTGAAAGACCTGCTCCAGAAGAAGCGTCTACTCGAACGAAGCCTCGCTCAACAAGAGGAGTCAATCTACAAGAAAGAGACAGATTATCTCGAGGATACACCGAGTGGGAACATCATAACGGGGTTTGAGGCGTACACGAAAGGCAGTGGAAGTTCTGCGCCGGGGCAGAGGAGGAGGGCGGCGGTCCAAGAGAGCAACAGAGTGTTTTCGAGGAGTAGCATTAGCTATAATGTCAATGCTGTAAGTTCGCCAGTCCTGCTGGACTAGAGCTCGTTTGAGTAAGTCAATGAAGAAGAAGAAGGGCTGACTTGGGGTAACAGGAATCTCCAATGGATACCGCGCAGTCAACACCCATGGCGGCGATGCCAAACACCCCTCTTGAGATCACAAAGGGTGATTCAGGATCTAACCATGCTACACCTACGAGTGCCACTTCGGCGAATAAGTATGGCGCAGGGACCAAGAAGAATAAGAAAGTGGCAGATGGAGAGGATAGTGAGCTGGATAAGGAGACAAAGAAGATCAGGACGAATTTTGGAGTTGCTGCGAGAAAGTGATTTGGGACATGATTCGAGCATCCAACGGGATTTTTGAAGGGAATGGCGTTGAGACATTTGGCTGTAAAAAGGCGTTCATACCGGCTGGGGAAAACCACTTTGAGGCGGGCACCGAACAACGGCCTTGAACGTTTTTCTACTGCATTGGCAGAAATCCAATCAACTTGAGAGTCTTCAGGAGACCCTGGCTTCTTGAAAGACTTAACTTTCCTATTTCTAAACATTACTGGCACATGTTGCAGCGCTCTGTAACTGCCCCAAAGCCTCTCTCAGGGAACTTCTTCATCACTGTCACCGCCACCAAAGCCAAAGCTAAACCCACCGCCACTCTCCTCTCCGGCATTACCCACAGCGGCGTCCCATTTCCTTTTCCTCACCTCTGCTGTCTTCTCTAAGTCGGCAAAAGCTTGGTTTAGGAGCTCAGAATAATCAACTTGCATACGCTCAACAAATGTTCCATATGGATCAACAACGTCCTTTTTGAAGCCTGAGATCTGGTCCGGTTTGTCTTTCAAGAAGGAGAGAACTCCCGCCAGATGACTCCTTGGCACAAAGTTCTGCGTGATGGCAATGGAAGCATCAAGATTGACAACCAAATGCCACCATCCACTTGGGACATGCAGAATTTCCCCCTCATTGCAAACCCCTTCCACACAGCCTGGTGTCTTGCGAGCTTCGGCGTGAAAGCCAAGTAGCCATTCTGCAATGCTGAGAGGGCTTGTAACTTCACTTTGATCTTCCGAGACATAGACTCCTGGCGGTGGCGGACTTGACGCAGAAGACGGGAACATGATCCAATATTTTGATCCTCGAATGACTGCATTCCAAGCACTGGTTGCATTCGGATCCTTGTGAAACGTTGAACCACTCCGAGCCGGCCCAACTATCAACCATTTATCGTCCGGCCTGTTCTCTCCCAGTACTGCAAACAGATCTTCTCCAAAGCATTCCGGGATCCAATAAGACGGAGATGACTGGTGCTTGCCTACTCTCAGTTGCATTTTATCGACGAATCCTCGGTCGAACAAGTAAAGTGGACTCTCATCGCTACTGTTATTCATGTAATCGACATACGTTTGCAAGGTCCAATCAACAGCCTCTGCTCGAAATTTGATATTGCCATATTGGTGAAGCAAGGCCTCTGTGTTCCAAGATTTGAAGACAGGCCACTCATGAACAGGTTTCGTGAGAATGAAAGGCTTGTCACTCCAACGACCTGAAAACTCATCAAACGAGAGATTCTCTAACCTTGCAATAGCATTTGCCCGAGGTATATCCGTCGTATAAGGTTCCAGAGATGTGTGGGTGCATAGGAATGGCCGATAAAGCACGTCGGAGAAAACGAAGTCACAGTTGACTCGACAGACTTGATCATGGCTCAAGGCAAGACACGTGGATCTCCACGTGCCACGCCAATCGAATGAGCCAGACTTTGACTCGGGGGAGCTATTAATGTTATTCATTGCTCAAAATATGTGGATAAGAAGTGCAAAAAGGAATATGGGGATGGGGAGCTGGGTCCCAAATGACCATCCAATATAAGGCTTCTCACATCACAAAGCTTCGACTGAAGACAGAATAGCTAGATCACACCCACAAGAAAACAACTCACTCAATGAACAACGATTTCCAAAAATCATCAGACCTGCAGAATGCATACAGAAATTTGCAAGTCGAACCCAGGAACCGCAGAGTGGAAGAGTCCAGATACTCCAGGAATATGGCCAGTAATTCGTCTGGGAATAGCTGAAAAGGTCCAATCGAGCCTTTGGAATTAAGGCTTGACGTGTATTGATTTCCCGAAGGCTTGATACCCAAAGGATGAGGTGGGATTGAATGGAGTGACTCCGCTGACTGCTCAAGGCCTAATGACTCAAGAACCCCGCCACTGGGCTGAATGTCCACAGAGTCCAAACACCCTGCAGGAACAACAGATGACTTCATTGTGCCGAGATTGAGCCAGACAACAGAATTTCAGGCAGTCATTTAAGAAGCATCAGGCTGGGGCTGACAAGAAATGATCCTTTCCCCTTGGTTGTCTGAAGCCTCACAAAAGTTTCGCCACCTTTCCGATTTTTCGTTGGGGGCGAATAACTGAGGTAAACGTGGGTGCGATGTTTCTCTAGGCTGTGCTAGATGCTTTGACACAAAATGTCCCTCCAATGGCGTGCAGTTTATGTCCAAACCATTTAGTTTAATTTTGAAGGCGACTGGAAATTTTAGAAGTGAACCGGTAGTACGCCCCATCGAAGCCTTTTTCGCTCTAGCGTTGTTCAGCAGCCGACCGAATTTTTGATAAAAATATAGAGTCCCCTCAAGACTTGTTCTCCACCATCAAACAAATCAAATACACCATACAAGAACCAAAACCACTCCACTAGATCCAATAATACTCTCGATAACGGGAGTTTGGAATCTAGTCTTTTTACATCCACGCAGCCTGCTCGTCGCAGTCTCTCTCCGAGACCTGTGCGCATTTTCCACCACCCCACCTTCTCACCATCAAACCTTGCGATTTCTAGATCCCAGGCTCAGCTTGCGATCTAGATATTTACATCAATCGAAACCGCAATCATGGCTTCCGTTGATAAGGGTCTCGAGGAGATCCCAGAAGGTGAGCGCCGAGAAAGTTCCCAGAAATTCACACCGCCACTGGCTGTGCGGCAAGCTGAAAGAACACAAGCTGATGAAACTTGGTTTGGCAGGTCAAATCGAGTCCAACTATGACGAGACCGTTGATTCTTTCGACACTATGAACCTGAAGCCTGAGCTTCTGCGAGGTACGATCCGATGTGCATATTCTTGGAAAGATTATGGTTAACAAAATGATGCAGGTGTCTACGCCTATGGTTTCGAGCGTCCCTCTGCTATCCAGCAACGTGCTATTATGCCAGTCATTAAGGGTTAGTTTCGAAGAACATCTATCTCTTTCTGCAATATCTAATAAACAAACCAGGCCACGATGTCATTGCGCAAGCCCAATCAGGTACCGGAAAGACTGCAACTTTCTCTATCTCAGTCTTGCAAAAGCTTGATCCCAACATCAAGCAATGCCAGGCTCTGATTCTTGCTCCTACCCGTGAATTGGCCCAGCAGATCCAGAAAGTCGTTGTTGCTATTGGTGACTTCATGAACGTTGAGTGCCATGCTTGCATTGGTGGTACGAGCGTTCGTGATGACATGAAAGCTCTTCAAGAGGGTCCTCAAGTCGTTGTCGGTACTCCTGGTCGTGTCCAAGATATGATCCAACGCCGATTCCTGAAGACCGACTCGATGAAGATGTTCGTTCTCGATGAGGCCGATGAGATGCTTTCTGTAGGTTCTGAAAAGTGATTTTTTTTCCCGAGAAATACTGACATCACTATAGCGTGGTTTCACTGAGCAAATTTATGACATCTTCCAGCTCCTCCCTCAATCCACCCAGGTCGTCCTTCTCTCCGCTACCATGCCCCAGGACGTCCTCGAGGTCACCACTAAATTCATGCGCGATCCCGTCCGTATCTTGGTCAAGAAGGCCGAGCTCACCCTCGAGGGTATCAAGCAGTTCTACATCGCTGTCGAGAAGGAGGATTGGAAGTTGGACACTCTTTCCGATCTCTACGAGACAGTCACCATCACACAAGCCGTCATCTTCTGCAACACCAGAAGAAAGGTCGACTGGCTTACTGACAAGCTTACTGCTCGTGACTTCACTGTGTCTGCCATGCACGGCGATATGGACCAGGGTCAGCGTGATCTGATTATGAAGGAATTTCGATCAGGTTCATCCCGTGTCTTGATCGCCACCGACTTGTTGGCTCGTGGTATCGATGTCCAGCAAGTCTCCTTGGTCATCAACTACGATCTCCCTGCCAACCGTGAGAACTACATCCACAGAATCGGTCGTGGAGGTCGTTTCGGACGAAAGGGTGTCGCGATCAACTTCGTTACTGCTGAGGATGTGCGCATGATGAGAGAAATCGAACAGTTTTACAGCACTCAAATTGAGGAGATGCCAATGAACGTCGCCGATCTCATCTAAGCGTCTCATTTCGACAAAAGATTTGGTAAATCACAGTTCCTACGTATTCGTGTCATAAAGGACAGGAGTCGGAACCCCTTTTAGGGTAGTGATAGTGAGCGTGGCTGGTTCGCCCGGCGCGTGAGGAAAGGGGTAATTGGTGGCACAAAAGTCGCTGCATCATGGTGTGCAGCTCATTTGATTTTCCTGTGTCTCGGACGGCATTACCAACATTAGAGGGTTGGGCGATGCTTCTTGCTTTCCATCATCGAACGTCTCTGTGTTTAGGGATCTGCTTATTGGTCATCAAGCAAGCTTTCTATCATCCAGGGCTATCTCTGCCGGGTCATGGTATTCTCGCCATCACTTTGAAAGTAAGCCAGTGTGATAGAGCCGTTGTGTTTTTCATAGACCAAAGCTTTTCAAAAATCGTAAAAGGAGTTTCGTCGCCGCACGTGATTGACTCGATATAAGCGACGGGAGTCTTTGGTCGCTCTTTCAACACCCTCGTTCCTCCCCAACCCGCTCCCAATCCCATTGCGTGTGACTCGATCGATCCTGATCTCCTCCATCCTGTTTCCTCGTTCCTTGTTAAATACGGGTCCAACTAGAAGTTGAACCAGCCATACAGTCGCCAGGAACTTTGGGATTCAATTTCTTGGTTCTAGCATCAGTTCCCATGCTCTATTCTCAACATGGATCGATTGCAAATAGCCCTGAGTCCGAAGATGGATGCCATTGCGGCCGACAAGCTCTGGCAATTTCAACTCAGGAAAGAGAACAAGGCCCTCCTGGAGCAGATACAGGAGCATGAGAGCCGTCGCCAATTTGATGCAGCCGAGGCCGACAGGAAGCACAAGGAGAGTGCAGACAGGATCATCGCCCTCGAGTCCCGACTTGCCGAAATCGAGCGCGAGAAGAACAGGGACGATCAAGTTAGGAAGGAATTCATAAAGGCAGATGCAGCTTTCAAGGCAGACCTGAAGAACTTTCTTGAAGGTCGGCTTTCTGAAGGTACGTTCAGGATGAGTCTTCCATCGAGATATCGGGCTGACGATACATAGTGGAGTTTCTGGCCATCACTGGAGGCACATCTGCAACTGCGTCTGCTACTGTCCCACCAACACGCGATGGATCAACTGGCAATATGTCTTCTTCAAGATTTGCGCGCCAACTTAAGCCTATGCCTGTCACCATGCTACCAAGCTCAGAAGATCAGGAACCAGCCATTAGCAACAAAGTTCCAAGTGGCCAGAGCCAGAAGTCATCCCGTACTCGTCCGAAGCCCACCATCGCTCGGCGCCCAGTGACTCGCAGCAGAAACAGGGTAACCGATTATCCTACGGGCACCTTAGTCGAATCTCCCCCTGCAAGACACGAAGCTTCTAGTATTCCTCGGCTCTCCCAAGGGACAAATCACGTCAAGACTTACTACAACAACGCCAACGAAGTCTTCAAGGGACTGAACATGAATGAGGCACAGTTGGAAGTGGATTTTGTTTCCGCGTTCATCAGTGGCATCACCGATGGCAAAATTAAGAACATGTTGATTGCCGAGCTGCAGAAGCTTCACCCTTCGCGCAACAGGAAAGATGGAAGGATCGAGGTTCTTTGCGATTGGGATGATATTCCTGAGGGTCTCAGAAAAGCCGGGTTGTTGAGCCCAGCGAAGGAGTCCTCTCGCAGAAAGCATAGGATTCTGGGTGACCTGAGTGACCTCGGCTTCTGAGTGGAGCGAGTGATGAACATCAGGAGAACGTATGAGAGATGTCGATGGAGAGAATTGTGGTCCTAGATTTGGCGATTTTGGAAGGTATATCGTAGCTTTGCAAGGTACTACAGGTTCCTCGCTTGCACTTACAGGGACATGAATTAGCCTAAGCAAAGAGCTTCAGCGAACGATAATTATATGCATATTAGCATTCAGCCAAATCCTTCAACAGAAATCCAAACATAGAGCTCATCAAACCTACTTGCTACGATGAAATCCTGCTGGTTGTTATGCTTGAATTTAAGCTCTTCTCTGGGCTGGTGTATGTACCGTACCAGCGTAAAGCAGATCAGCTTCCTCTCTCACTGCAGTCTCGGTGGAGGGTAAGAGCGTGTCCGTAATCAGATCAGCAAGTAATACGTTGTAGGTGGTTGGATTTGCTTCAGCAGAGAGAATAGAGAAACCGATGCCCCAGTCAGGGATGAGAACAAATTGGGAAGAATATCCAGGCAAATCACCGGATTTGGTGTGCAGGTCCACCATACGGTTGTTGGGGGAGCTTTGGAGGCGGATAATTTCCCAAGGGGCACCGACGGCTGTGAAAGGGTTTGCAACAAAGCCGCGGGGCTTCATCTAGCGGCGAGTAATGGCTGGCTTTGTGAGGGTGGAGCTGATGCTTCGACCTATAGTGGTAATATTGTTGGTTGAGCTGAACATCCCACCGACTCTGGAGCCTGTTAGTGAGTCTTAAACTTCAAGAGGGAGCATATTCTTACGAAGCCTCCTCGCCGGCATCGAAAGCCCAAGAAGAGTCATCTGGAATGATTCTTGAAGAATTAGATGTTGGCACTGTCCAAGATGATCCTGTCAGTTTGAGAGGACTGAAAAAGCCACCGTGCACCGAAGTAGCAAAAGCCACGCCAGTGATATTTTCCAATGCCTAACTCAGTATTTGGAACGCTACATTGGAGTAGATAGGAGCTGTCGAGGAAGCATAAATAGGATGACTGTTAGGGAAGCCTTCGAAGAACTGAGCTCATGTGCACAAAGGCCCACCCCCACATACTGGTAATTCAGAGGCATGCAACGGCTGCAAGCCGAGGGCTGAAGGGTCGCCGACTGGGAAAAAAAAGCCTCCTATTTTCCCAAGGCCTTCCCAGTCTCTTCCAATGCCTGCCATGTGAGCTGCCAATTCACCAACAATAATTTCATCCCAAGCCACATTGCCAAGTGAGTTTGCTGAAGGATTTATGGACTGTGCAGCTCCCAGAAGTTCAGGGACATATTTCGCAACTGGATCGTTGAACCTGGCATCTCCTGCTTCGATGAGAAATGTGTAAACCACGATGAGTTTGGTCAGACTGCCAATTCTGAATACCGTGTTTGAGTCTACACTCTTCACCCCATCTTGGTATGTTGCCACAGCAGGAGGGGTGAAGTGAGCTGTGAACAGTGGAGTTAATTCGTAGGTCGAGAACAGTTCTGTAGAGTAGGAGGTGTTAGCAGAATCAAAGGGCCCGTATTGTGTATTGCCGGCGGAGATTGTTTGCTGAAGCAATTGTGTGAAGTTTGAAATGGTGGATTGAAATGTCTTGTTGGAGGAGAGACTTTTGGGAGGAGGAAAGTCTGGTCCGATCAACGGGCAAATGGATTGGGCATGAGTTGTAAAATAATGAAGAGTTCCCAGGAACAAAAGGGCGTAGTAACGTGTTGAAAGCATCATCGTAGCTTTAGAAACAGCTTGGAAATGTAAGAGTCGTCAAATAGATACGTGCTAGAAAGTGATTATCTTCCTAAAAGTCCCCAAGTTGCTTGAATTCTGGGAGAAAGAAGCAGCATCTGAACAACATTATATAGAGAATGGAATAATGAACTTAACCATGCGGCCATGCCGATGAACACAACGTTACGTGTATCGGTGCAAGCATACACTGAAGCCTGAGGTCCGAAAGGATAGAATGACCGAATTGAGCTCGCTTTGGAGTGATATTAAGTCAAGTTACTGCCAAGCTACAACCAGATGGAACCTTGTCCAGGAGGCCTTTACCGCTGCGCATCTTGGATACGGGAGAACGAGTAAAGTGTACGAAGCAACCAATAGCAAAAATGACAGAGAGAAGAAGTTTTTGGTTGCAGAGCACGTCCTCACTGACGAGGCCCTACCGCTCAACTTGGCCACTGGCGGAGCGGATGTATGAGAAAAGATGTGCTTTTTGCTTCGCCTCAATGGCTTATGTACAAGGGTCCCGATTGGTGAGATCGTAGGGGTTTTCGAGGCTTCGACCTAATCTGACCGTCATCATTATTAGCACTGAATCCCAATCCGAAGGCATTTCCAAATTCGATACGAAATCTAACTCTTGAACACCATACATCTCAAGCCTCTGCTTCGCCAAGTTCTTAACGCCTGCTATTGAACATGTATACAAGAGTATCCAAAGCTATGAAGCGCCATCTTCAGGCAACTCATCGATAACTTTCGTGACAATTTCAATCAACTCGTTCACTTCTGGTCTCTCTGCTGGCTCAACTTTCAAGCACTTCCTGACCACATCTCGGATGCTTTCACTGATCTCGCTGTCCTCACTCTGGCCTTGTTGATTTGTTGCCTTCTTCTTTCCTCCAGCACCCTCGTCTGGAAATCTCCAATCACCTCCAAGGACACAGAGACTCAAACTACCTCCAGTCTCATCGCTCCGCATTTCGAATGGAGACTTTCCAACCAGACAAGCGTATAGAGTGCATCCAAGTGACCATATATCGACTTTGGTGTCAATTACGCTTCCCGTCTTGACGTCAAACAGTTCAGGAGCGCGGTACGGCATCGTTGAATGCTCGGCTGCTTGGTCTTGTACGGCCAGTGCGAGTGATCTCGAGGTAATCGGTACAGGGGAGGGTGCTAATGAGCCAAGATCCATGAGAATTGGTTGTTCGCCGTCATCGTCAATCATGATGTTTCCTGAAGAGTTCAGCAAATGACAAGCCGAATTTTGCTTTGGTTTGCTTACCTGGCTTGATGTCTCTATGCGCATACGCTCTGATATCACCGGCAGCAACACCCTCTTGGCTCCTAGTCACTTCTCCTTCCATCAAGGGCTCTTGTTGCTCGCTGTCTAGGTCTTGGTCTGCCTTTGCCGCCTCGTCTCGGACCTGCTTTGCCTTCTTCTGACTCTCTGCACCACCAGGGCCGCCTTTGACCTTGTAGTAGTGCATTGCCTGTAAAGCTCTGCAGACGCCCAAGAAAAGGACCATGAGGCGCCGCTCAGGGAACTTCGTATGATTGACCAAGTTCGCATTTATGATATCTTGCAGATTCCCTCTTCGATAATATGGGAGTAGGATATACACTGTTTTCGCGCCTGGGTCGGACCTGTCTGCCTGGACACAATAATCCACGCTGTGGATAATATTTGGATGTGGAGAAAAGAGGGCGTAAGCTTCCACCTCCTTCATAGCCTGGGTAACGCTTTCTTGTCCAAATGGACATCTTATCTTCTTCAGCGCATAGAGCGCTTCATTGCTCGTGTCTTGTACTAGGTAAACATAGGAGAACCCTCCCTAGAAATGCACAATTAGCATCTTACGATTTGAGGAGACTGTCTGCTTACTTCACCCAAGAGTCGCAGGATTTTGAAACTTCTATTATTGATCTTCAATTGCGGAGAGCCGGGGAAACAAGAGAAGCAGTTGGTAAGAGTGTACACGAAGTCCTGTAGGTACTGTGCCATTGCGACAGGTGTATGGCGAGGTGTCGTTCTGCGCTGAAGCTCCAGCTCCGAGAGCTCTCGTTGAGTCGCCCGTGCAAACTTGGATGAAACCGTATCAGGAACAGGACCGCGAAGTGTATCCCAACAATTGATGTTGGCCTGAACAGTAACGTAACGAGGAAATCCCGCGAAAAATATTGAACTCAATGTTGTTTGTTGGTGTCGCACTGCTGCATACTGTAGCACCGATTATATTTAGGTCACGTTAACGTTCTCATCATTGTGGCTGAGGTTGGGGGCTGGACTGCGCCTCAACCCCTGTTTTTCAAGGGTGGATCCTGGCTGGGGAGGAAAACGGCGGGAAGGAGGGGCAGCACAACCTCGCTATGTGCAGAAGACTGTGGATAATTGGTGATCAAGTCTGCAGCATTGGCAAGAGCCAGGTCACGGCTCTAAGGTCGTAACAAATCGGGATATTAAGGACATTAAGCAATTCACTGCAACAAAAAACGAGGCTCACCTGCAGGGATCACCGAACACTCGGCTCCTTGCGGGGTAGGTTTGAACTTGACACCTGCCTGCCTGTTCCAGCAATGAACTCGTCATCTCGCCCTCGATCACCTCATTGACAGACGGAAGAATACTTCTCTCAATTCTACAGCTTCTTGGTTCCTCAATTGCACTCAAAGATGACAATCCGTGCAAAGAAATTCACGCCTGAGGTGCTCCTCAGCGCGCCCCGCCGCTCCTCTGCCATCCCCAATCAGAAGGGAACACTGGCTCTCTTCACGGTCTCAACCTACTCATTCAATTCTCACTCCAAGTCTTCCGAGATCCGCGTTCTAGACATCAAGACTGGACAGACGAACCTCGTCAGCAGTGATGCTCAAGCGAGTGAGCCAACATGGCTTGGGAAGAAGAACCTGATTCTCTGGTTAAAGGGGGGAGAGAAAGGCACCACAAGCCTTATGTTGACTGATGGCGACAACTTAGAGCTTAAGTGGGTTGTGTCTTGCTCATTGGAAATGCCAAGCTAATGGGTAGACCTGCGACGATCACGACCTTCAATGGCCCAGTCGCAAACCTTAAGATCACGGAGATCGATCCTGAAACTTTTGCTCTTGTTGTCACCGGCCTTGCCACTCCTTCCGGAAGTCTGTATAATCCAGAAACCGCTGAAAAGCCTAAGTCAACTGGTAGAGTCTACTCGAAGCTGTTTGTGGTAGGTTTTCTGATACCTATTTACTGCCTATTTCCGTGAGAACTGTGAGCGTGGGAGACCTTTAAGAAGCCTCATGACTCAATTGTCCTTCCTTCTTTGGAGCCAAGATACCCTTTCTCCCACTTTCTTCAGATCGTTCTTGACTTTGTAGCTAATTTACTGGATAGAGACAGTGGGATAGCTATGTGACAGAAAATACTAGCTCAATCTGGTACACGACATTGAAGATCAAGAAGTCAAGTGGACTTTCCAACATGACCGTAGGGTCTTTAAGGAATGCCCTCGCTGGCTCCTCTCTGGAAAGCCCGGTCCCGCCGTAAGCATGCTCTCCAGTTCATTTCCCCTTTGTGAATGTCTCGCGAGTTGTCAGACATTCAAAGGTCTTCCCTTCCAAATATCTCGGTGACGAAATCCCTTCATGAAATGGTGCTCACTCAAGATTTCCAGCTTTGGCGGTGCAGGAGATTTCGATGCTTCCAAGAATGGTATCGTATTTGTGGCTAAGGACCCCAAGATTAACGCCGCGAACTACACCAAGACTGATCTGTACTTCATTCCCCTCGATTTCACTAAGCCTCGAGCACCATCTCCACAAATCGTGAAGACAGGCAACCTGAAGGGCTACAGCGCTAGTCCGGTGTTCTCTCCCGATGGAAACTCTGTTGCTTTCACAAGAATGAAGAGTATTCAGTACGAGAGCGATAAACCTCGGCTGCTTCTTATTCCAGATATCACAGATCTTACGAATGTGCAAGAGTTCTACGGAACACCAGATGGAGAAGGCAAGTGGGATCTGAGGCCTGAAGCAATCACATGGAGCCAGGATGGTGAGGAGTTGTATGTGACAGCTGAAGAAAACGGTAGAGGGAAGCTTTTCAAACTTCCAGCATCACCACGCCATGCCAAAGATCTACCGAAAGCAATTGTTAGTGATGGTACCGTCACTGATGCCAAGCTTCTTCCCGATAACCAGCTTCTCATCAGTTCAAATTCTCTGGTGGATAACAGTACTTATTCTATCCTGGATGCCGAGACGGATGCAAGCTCCCTTGTTTCATCCAACTCAAAGCTGGGCAAGGCGTTTGGACTTTCACAAGACCAGGTCGATGAATTTTGGTTCGCAGGAGCGGAGGATTACAATGTGCATGCCTGGGTGCTCAAACCTTCCAATTTTGACAAGTCCAAGAAATATCCTCTTGCTTTCTTGATTCATGGAGGGCCGCAGGGGGCGTGGAACGAAGGTTGGTCTACCAGATGGAACCCGGCAGTCTTCGCAGAACAGGGTTACGTAGTAGTAACTCCGAATCCAACGGGAAGCACGGGGTACGGCATGGAGTTCCAGAATGGTATCAAGAACCAATGGGGAGGTAGGCCGTACATCGACCTCGTCAAATGCTTCGAATACATCGAAGCCAACATCTCCTATGTTGATATCAACAGAGCGGTAGCACTCGGTGCAAGCTATGGCGGTTACATGGTCAACTGGATTCAAGGCCACCCCTTGGGACGTAAGTTTAAAGCACTCGTCACCCATGATGGTGTGTTCAGCACTTTGAACCAATACTCTTCTGAGGAGCTATTCTTCCCTCATCATGACTTCGATGGGACGCTATGGGACAATAGAGAGAACTACGAGAAATGGGATCCGGCGAGCCATCTGAAGAACTGGGCCACACCGCATCTGATCATCCACAACGAGCTGGACTACAGATTGCCGATCGCGGAAGGATTGGCGCCCTTCAATGTGCTGCAGACAAAGGGGATCGATAGCAAGTTCTTGACGTTTCCCGATGAAAACCACGTAAGTAGCCCATTTGGCTTGTTATGTGATAGCATACTGACGAGATACTAGTGGGTACTGAAACCCGAGAATTCCCTACTCTGGCACAAGGAGGTTCTGGGTTGGATTAACAAGTACAGCAGAATTGAGGAAGAAGAGTTGAATGCAGGTGTCTCGCAAGTCAGGATGTGAAGCATTGACAAGGAACCTATCAGTCAACAGGAAGCTAAAGATGACACATCGAAGTTATAACGAAATGGTTCTGCTAGCACGTTTCACTACCAAAAGCGTTTCTTCAAATGACATAATGTTTGACTTCCGTTAGAAAATTCTATTCTGGCTGTGAGTGCTTGATCTATGAATCCCAATATATAGCGAGATGGTACCAAGAAGACATACAAGACGCAGTATTTGAGTGATGGATATTCTATCTCATCAGCCATCGGTGGGTTGTATAGCCTGGGTAAATGCAAACACGCGGCAAAATCAGAGGGTGGTGAGCATCAATGACATAAGGTAGAAGCAGAACAAGGACTAGGGCATGAAATGGAGCATCTTGATGCAGAGCAGTTCTATCACGACTCGTGACCACTCCAACCTCGTCTCGGTCTCAAAGCCTGACTTGTCGTAAACTTCATTCACTCATCACTCATTTCTTCCCCTTCTTTCTCCAATCCTTTTCCCTCTCATACGCCTTTGCTTCTCTCCCCTCCTCGCCCTGAATCTCCGCCACCAACCTCTTATACTTCTTCTCATACGCCACATCTCTCTCCTTCTTCTCTCTCAGGCTCTGGGTGGCAAGGATCTTTGCATCCTTTCTCAGCTCTCTGATCGCGCCCTTCTTCTCTCTCTTGTGCTCCTTCTTCAGTTTCGCTGCCTCAGTGCGCGTCTTATCTGGATCATAGTGTCGGTCTGGGTTGAATGACTCCTCGAATTTCGGTATTGATGTCTTGATTGCGAGTGGACGATGGTGATGTAGCTCTAAAGGTCGCCGGGCAAGACGGGCTTGGCTAAGGAGGAGCGTAAGTTTTTGAGATACTTTGGTGAGCAGTTTCTAGGGCTGGTTAGCATTAAGTTCAACATAATATGAAGTACGTACCTGGGTGCTTTCAGCGAGTTTGGAACGGCACTTCTTGCTAGATAGATGGCGCATTATTTCGAGAGCTGGCACAAAAACCTCTGTAAATGCATCCTTCGCCTTCCATGTTTCGGCGGCACTATCCAGCAATCTCAAATTCATCTCAACTATTGCGGCCTTGAGCAGCTCTCCCTCTTCTTCCGAGAGGTCCTGAGCAACGCAATCATAGAATCTCAGCTGTCGAGTAGAGGTCGGAGCACTCTCGATCCGTAATGATGACTTTGGGTCGTGATAAGGAAAGTACCCAGGAATTTCTGCCAACTTCGTCGGAGCTAAAGCGCAAAGCGCATTCTCAATGAAGTTGACAACCTCAGGAACATATCTCTTGGAGAGCTTTTGATATTGCAAGCAAAGTGTGCATAGATATGCTCCAGTCGCAAAGTCTGACAGTATCTGAGGGATCTTTAACCCTAGATATCGTCCCATTGTAAGAACTGCTGGAGTAACGACTTGATGGAAGTGGTCCGAGGTAGGGAAGATGGTTCCGACCGCTGTGAGAAGTACCAAGTCCCCTGGAGTGAGAGATAAAGCCCGGGAAGTATCGAGCTCTTTGAGGTGGCGGCGAAATGAATTTGCGATTTCCACCGGAAAGGTCTTTGCCAATGAATGTATATGGCGGATGATACTCTCCAGTACAACGAAAGGGGGCCCATGCTCCTGGTTCGCCAGATATGAGATATGATCGACCAGAGAAACAGAGAACTTCGTAAGCTTCCCTTTATTTTCGCTCCTAAGTTTGGGGTGGTAGAGAGCCCTGATTCTTTGGACCACTGTGGGGAGATCCAGAATATTCACACCTTCAGTAATCTCGAGAAGTTCGTCGTGTGATTGAGGGCAGTTGAACCTGTAGGCAAGATCACCATTAATACCATTCGAAGCTGGCTCTTCCACTTCTTGTATCGGCGCATTTGCTCCTGTTAAGAACTCGGGTCGTTTCGCTTCTTCCTCAGTCAACAGGCCTTTGACAAACTCGTCCTCCTCTCCATCGTCAGAGTCGTTCTCTTTTTCATTATCAGAATCGTCCACAGACTCTGCGTCTGAGCCACTGGCCACAAGATCATCGTCTATAAGAAAGTCGTCCTCGTCTTCCACGCCCAGTTCAGCCATTGTAGGTCGTATTTTGATACCATCTCCGAGACCAAAATCGTCCTCTTCATCCTCGTCGTCTGGCTCAGCACCCTTCTCCTTTTCCTCATCACTACTCTCAGGTGCACCCTGCATTCGGCGGAGTCTCTTAGCCTCCAACACCTGAAGCTTCCTCGCTGTCTCTTCGGCAACTTGCTCCTCCGTTTTTGATTTTTCAGTAGGTTTGGACCGCTTGTCTTGGGCCATTTGTCTAAGACGAAGATCATATTCCTTATCAAATTTAACCTTATCAGTCCTATTCAACAATGCGGCACGATCCGGATTCATCCCCGGAATATCTGCTGGCGGTGCAGTTGGACGTTTCGGTGCAATCCCTCGAAGTAATTCATGTATATTCGGCATCTCTTTGTCCAATTGCTCTCTTAAATCTTCGTCATCATCCTTGGCGGCTTGACGTTCATATTTGTGAAGCTTCGATTTTGCAATGAGTTCTTTCATAACTTCTTGCTTCGACTTCTTCCGCTCTGGACGGTCCCCACTGTCGTCTTCTTCATCTTCCTCGTCCTCGAGTTCTGATCGACGGCGTTTCCGCGCCTGGCGTTCTTCGTCTGAAAGATGGTCGTCTGCATCCGAGAGCTCCAAATCTTTCTCGTCGAAATCATCTACCAATGCTGGTCCGTCAAGAGACAGAGACTGGCCCATATGGGTAAGCTCGCCGGGTGTATCCTCGTCCTCCAAATCAAACGTTGACCTCTTGTGCCGGAGTTGCTTTTCTCGCGTGAATCGTTCCAACATCTTTTCCTCTGGTGTCATACTGGGATCATTTTCTCCAAAACGTTTGTCAACAATTCCTCCAACCTTATGCCGGCGCTGTTGCTCTTCTAGATATGCTTGTCGGCGCTATAAAAATAAAATAAGTAATTTGGAGAGAATCCTGGACACTTGGATAAATACCATTTCTTCTTCTTGACTCTTTTGGACACCCGGTCTTCTGATGACACTCTTGGCTGCATGTTCTGTCGTGACTTCAAATTTGGGTTTCCTCGAAAGCGCCTTGAATTCAAACGGATTGAATTGCTCTCGAATGCCATTCAGTGCCACGGTCCTATGCACTCTTTTCTCCTTGGTAACCCCATTCTGGGCGTTATGCTTCTTTTGCTTTTTGGACTGCTGGGGGCCAATAATTCCCTGCTCTCGTAGAGAGGCTTTTAACCTCTTAAGTTGTGAGGGAGGCATGGCTTGGTTGTTTCGGAGAGCAGTTGAGCTTCGCGAAAGTCTTTTCTTAATCGTAAATCTTATCAAAGGCGGGGGCAGAAAAGTTGCCGGCACGGATCAACTTGTCTCCGATGCTCGGTAACTTCGACCAGCTTCCCAAGCTCCTCAAATCAACCACTTTCGACCACGAATGTAGTCTCACCAAAATGGCGGCGATATCGCCTGCCGCTCAAGATAGGCTCTTTGTTTTTGGGCTTGGTCTTGCGACTCTAGCAGTATTTGGGGTCATGCGACAGATGCTTGTCCATTACCGCGATACAGCTGTGATTCCTCCGTCTGAAAATAAGCCGCAGTACATCACACAAGATGTCGAAGACTCTCTAAAGCTAAGTACTTTGGACAAACTTCTCGATAGTCCAAACTATTGTATTCAAGAGACAACCGCAATCATTGTATGCGAGCGAGCTCTTCACGATGGACCCACGATGGATGTGTTATTCTGGTACATCACACGGCCGGACCACAAACTCAGGGAGAAAGGCATCAGGGCTTTAACTATGATGATCAATAGCGGTGTGTATACACTTCCAAGAACTCACCGATTCCCAGACTAATGTGTTTAGCCACGGTGAAGATGATTGAGAAGCCCGACACGTACGCGGCCCTCGTCAAATGTCTCGAATACTGCATCAAAGACTACCCGCACAACGAATTTGATCCTGAATGGGACAACTGGCATCTGCGGGATATTGTCGAGCAAGATTGCTTGTTAGTACTCATTCAGCTGGTTGACAAATTTGGGATCGAAGGACTTGTTAAATCGCGATTTGTGGAGCGCTGGCTTGCAAAAGAGCCGTGGGGCGAGAGAGCAGAGACGGGGTTTAGCATAAACTTTGAGATAGCTCTCCGGAATGGCAATCGTCTCAGCCAGCTCACCATGCCATTGTTCAGGGACCCTGCAGGAAGAGCACAATTGATCAAGGCGAAGCTTGTGCGCAACTTGACTGAGTCAGATTTGAGCCGTTTGGGGGATGCCAGGATGATTGACGGTGAAGGCACAGCGGGTGAAGACTTCGAAGGGATGTTTGTTGAGAGCAGGCGAAGAAGAGACCAAAGTTCCGAGGAAGAGCATATTAGGAGACGCCATAGAGAGGCTATGGTTTTGAATGATGGAACTCGACCGCTAGGAAGGAGCGATATTATTCAGCGGGAGAGATGAAGGAAGTTTTAGTTATGAGTCCGTAAAGGACTAGCGGGAGGTTGCTAGAACTGTGCAGCTTGAAAACACCAGGCACACACCGATGTCTGTTCGAGTATGACAGAGTCAAGACCATCTTCTGGAAAGTGTGTCCAGGTGCAGCTGGTCTCAGTCAGCATATGTGCATAGCCCAGCTACGGACGATAGAAATGCGAAATCAGGACTGACTGGCCTATATGCTACTCTAAGTATCTCTCACGCTGTAATCGGAGTGTGAGGATTTCAACCACTGAACATTGTTTGATTCCAACTTCAGCCCCTTCTCCGAGGCTAACGGCGCCCCTCAACCAAAGTCTGGGACAAGGTTACCGCAATTCTATTGTTTCACATTCATCTACTTGATTGGGTCATGTCTACTATAACTGATTGTTATCATTCTCTCCTTTAGCAAAGTGCAAGTAGCTGAAATTAGCCAAAGTGTAGCTCAGGTCAATTGCCCATTCCTTTAAACACATTGCGTGAGCGGAAGCCACAATTTGCAAATTGCAATGAAACGCAAAACTTCGGTTAAAGGGAGGTACACAGTTCATTTCTATTCAAATAAAAGGTTGCGGCGAGTGCTGCACGCATACGAGGAAGAGAAAGAGAAAGACTCAACCTAGGGAAAAACTTCATTCGTCATATCACCCGTGGCCTGAAGATTCACCTTCAAGTGGAAAATCGAATGAAGGAATGTCATTTCAGCGAGGGACCAACGTTGTTTTCCAACAAAAATAATATAACTTGTGGCACAGGTTTTCCTACAAATATCCTGCCCATCACCTGCTGCACACAACGCTCACTCACCCTTTAACGTCCCAAAATCATTGTACTTGGCATCAATAATATAACATTTCAACATCTAAATACCCAATCATGCTTTCAACAAGTCTCTTAGTGCTTGGTCTTTCAGCACTATCGATAGCTATACCTGCCCTGGTACCAAAGACTCCTGCAGTCCCAAAGTTGACTTCTCCGTCATCCAATTCATAGAGTTCAAACCCTGTTCCGATAATCCCCAATCTCATTCCATATTCTTCTATTTCACCGACAACAGTATCTCCACTCAGTGTGAGCGCGACGGCCCGTCAACAGAACAATTGCGATCCCATGCGAGGACTCGAACCTCACAGTGTTGTGGGATGGCACCGCACTGATTCTAACTGAAACTTATACTCCTTGCAATTCGGAAGTGTTGCATTGTCCCGTATCTTTTGAATATTGCTGATTCTCGTTTGCAGGACTGTAACTGCTCAAGTCACTGCGAGCTTCAATGTTAACACCACTTGCACTCCTTCTGAGCCGCCGATGCTCCAGGGATATGGGCAAAGATGTGAGGTCTTGCCTCGACAATTAACTAGCGGAGAGTGGAGCACATGAGTGTCTTCACCGCATCGAAGACAAGGGGGACCAATTTTTGTACTCGAATGTGTTGGAAGAGCTGAATTGTGGGATTGACCATGGATCAGAATCGATGTCGTAACTCTCATGTCTATTTGCATTTCTGAGGACTGTGATGCTATTTCATTCAAATCCGGTTTACATATTGCATCCATTCTATGCAGTGTTTGCAATTATTGTGGAAAGTTCTCTGCTTAGCAGAAAAGCAAAGAATCTGGTCAATGCTACCTCGCAGCTTATCCACGAACCATCTCTCCCTTCTCCTGCATCTCGTTCAAAACCCTATCCGCCACTCTGAATGCTTCCATACCAGCTGGCATTCCACAATATGCACTGTGACCGACTATTAGCCTTCCACTGATCACAATTTAAAAGGAACTTCGGCTAAAAGGGCCCACCTAGCCTGCAGCAAAGCCTCCCTAATCTCAACTTCAGTCGCCCCATTCCTCATAGCCCCTCTAACATGTGTCCCAAGCTCAATCCACTTCCCCAACGCTGTTAGCATTACTAGATTCAATAGACTTCTATCCCTCAACGACAATCCGGGACGAGTCCAAATCGTTCCCCAGGCACTCTCCTAAATTTGATCAGTACTTTCATCATCTTGCTCCCTCAAAGTAAGTGCAAAGGTGGGGCAGAGTCAGGGACGGAAGAAGAGATGGAAGGAAGTAAATACAGTAGCAAACTGTTGCAACGGCCTCATGAAGTCACCGCTCCCATTCTCCAGTGCCTTCGCTACGTAATCCTCTCCCACGACTTTCTTGCGCATTTCGTAGCCTTGGGCGTACAGGCTTTCGTGGAGTGGGGTGTCCATGTTGTTTTGTGACAAGGGAAAGGATGACTTGTTGGCATTCTATGTTTGTGTGAGTCTTCTTGCTTGTGAAAGCCGTACCGTATGAGCGAGAGTTACTGGGTGAGGGGAGTTGGCAAGGGGAGTAGAAGGGGTTGGGAGTCGTACTGTAGGGCGAGACTGTTCTGCAACCGGATTTCCCGCTGTAGGACCGGACGACTCGCCTGTTGATGATGCCATTCTGTACTTTTGCGTTCCTTTCCTTTCCTTTCTTTTATTCGGTCACCAGTTGATAAGTCACGAATCGACGTTTCCCCTGGATATTCCTGATAGTGGTCGACAATGCTTCAGGTCCAGCCACCGAAACAGAGGGCGTCCGAAGTGCGGGGAACCCTGCGGGAAGCTTCTCCACACTAGCAACCAGCGGCGTGCCTTGATTTGGCAGTTTCAGGGGTTTGATGCAGTGATTAGAGGATGGTCGAGCCCTTGGACTTTATTTGAACGTCACCTTGCTCCTTCCTTCATCTTTCTTCACACTGTCCCATCAATCCCCGAACATTGACCTCAACGGACACCGAAGACACCTGAGGAAATTCACAGTTTGCAGTCTTACTTCCATTCGAAAACTGTTTATACTGCGTTCTATGGTGGCTATGCTAATCATACATGTTGAGGAAAGGGGAATAGAGTCATGCCGGTGTGGTCAACGACGCACTTCGAAGAAATGGGACCCGAAAGTCCAACGCACCCCAACAAGTAGGCAAATCTAGGTCTAGTCTATGTTGCATCTCCTCGTATCTCGATAACTCCTAAACGACGCTTACTTCAATCGTTCTAAACCTCTTTTTCTATCTAATCGGAAAACTCGTGTACGATCATCTTCTATGGGCTCAGGATCTAAGCTGTGGTGGGCTTGAAAACCATTGGGCCTTGCTCGGTGGTCTCCGCAAACGGCACACCCAGTTCGAAAAGCTTGATGACGACGGCAGAGAAATCCTTAAAGAAAAGCGCCTCATCCTTTGCGTATTTGTCTACGTATTGCTTGAAGGCCTTGTCAGATACTAAAGCCATGTCTGTCGGCAGCATCATGAGCGACTTCGAGGTCTTGTCTTCGTACTGTCGAGGTTGTCAGTCGCTGCCTCTAATTGTCGAAGTTTATTATACATACCTGCTTGGGACCATTCCACTTCTTCCAGTTCCACTTCTCGTTCAGAAGGAGTTTGTAGTATTCGTTCGTGACAACAGTTGGGCTGAATGTCCATGGTCCGTCGAATCCGCTTCGAGTGGCGTGACATCTGCCAAGGGCGTGTGCACCACTCAATGCGACAATCTCCTGGTCGTTGAAACCCATGCGGTAGAAAATGTCTCGCAAGTGCTTGTTTCCTTGAGAAGCGTCGGGCAGACGTCCGTCAGGTGTGCAAGCAGCAATGTCCTTGTCCATACGGCCCGGCCTATATGGGATGGTCGGGCCTTGCATCTCTTGGATTGCAACGACGCCAGCGAGGATCCAAAGGTCGGAGTAGGTAATCCACGGGTATTTTTCTATAGGATATTATCAGTTCACAATGTTCCAATTGAGCTTGTGTGAAGTACACACCCTTCACCGGCTCCAAGAAGTCTCGGGCAGCCTGGAGTCCAGCATTTGCGCCGTGGCCACCCTCCGGGTTGAATCGCATGGTCGCGCCATTACTGCCTCCAGTTCCAGTTTCCTTATCGTAAGTTCCACTTGCATGCCAGGCTAATCGCAGCAGAACAGGTCCATACGATCCATCATCATAGTCGTCCTTTTCCTCCAGTCTCTCTGCAATCTCGTTGTATATCTTCTGGTAATCCTCGAACTTTGGGGTGAATATGCCCTTGGTCTCGCCCGCAGAGCCAGAAAGCAGTGAGCCATTGCCTTGCGTGTACAAATAATAGCCAGCTCCACCAGCGATCGCTAGAACTCCAATACCGATGTACAGCCCAGAAGATGAGGACTTGCTTGGCTCAGAAGCATACCCACGGCGAAATTGTTGACGAAATGTTTGACGGGGAAGGGTGAACGCAGTGTTCCGGGCTGAGGTCTTGAAAGTGGAAGTGGGAGTTGACTTGAACGCGGCGCGAGTGAAGGTGCGTGATGCCGAGGCCATTTTGAGACTGCTCCTCAGGAGTGAACGAGTAAGGCCTTTTACAATGTGGATTGAGAGAAGTTGAGAAGGAAGGAGGTTCAATTGTCTCGAGTAGTGGTGGAAAGATCAGGCGAAAGTGAAAGTGGGATTTGAGTCACAGAACTATCAAATATTTTTTTGGGAGAGCTTCTCGAACGATTGCCCCATCGCAAGATCCTCCTTCGCGAGAAGCCGAAGCGCAAGACGCCGATATCAACTCACTGACCCACCCTTGCTATCATTGCTGCTTCATCCAATCATAACGTGTCTGATTCATGTACGCCCCCTGGATTTGAAAGCTTCAGTGTTCCAGACTGGGCGGAAGCTTTTCGCTGACCAAATTACGAATCCTTTGCCCCACTCAGGAAATCCGGTGCGTTATATTAATTTAGGGTCTCTGAGAGGCTGGCAAGCATATTGTGAGCCTCTAACTTTTCAGCGGACCGATATCATGCAAGGATTTTCGTCTCGAAGCCGTGGTTGGTCAACGTCGATCAGCATCTTTCCATTGGATGAAAGTCTCCTCGAGTCAGGTAAGGATTTGACAGTCATGTGACATCGACTTAGTACGGTGGCAAGTTGAGAGGGATCTTTCGATTTGTGAGGTCATATGAGATCAGCCATCGGATTGTATGTTGAGCTCACTCAAAGAGTAAGGCTATAATTTTCGGTATGAGATTGGTCTTCAAAGGTCCCGGTGATTGGCGGAAATTCAATCTGCAGTATTTTAGGAACGAGTGGATTCAGGGTTTTCAAAGAACAAAAGGACATTTGTAAAACTCAGCCCAGAGAGGAGCATTATTTAAATCATAGAGAAACATTTCGAGCCAATGCAGCATGAATAAAACGAAGAGATCTTCGCGTCAAAGTCTCTGAGATAGGAGGCTCGCTTAAGGATCCACTTTATTTCAGCACGTGATCCACAAAATTCCGTGATCCTCGCGAAATCGCTGAACCACCTCGAACTTTTCCTCTTCACGACAAAAGCACGACAACGCCATCAACCAACAATGGCACCAAAATCAGAGCGCACCGGCCTCGCCGTCGGTCTCAACAAGGGCCACGTATGAACCCACCAATCCTGCCCGTCTCACCTCTTGGAGGATCTTCAATTTCTGCAAATCTGAAGATGGACTCAATGGGCTAATTATCTCATGCGATATGTAGAAAACCGAGGCACGCGTTGTCAAACCCAGAGTCAGCAGGACCAAGGGTCACTTGAGCAAGAAGACTGCGTTTGTTAGGGAGATTGTCAAGGAGGTTTCTGGGTATGTGGCCCGGAGAGGAGAAGTTGATCAGCAGAAGGCTAATGATTGTGGGATAGACTTGCACCATACGAGCGTCGTGTTATCGAACTCCTCCGAAACAGCAAGGACAAGCGTGCGCGTAAGCTGGCAAAGAAGAGGGTACGTCCCAGAGCATAAGTTGGAGGGGAGCAGTCAACTAATGTATGGATAGCTCGGTACTTTCGGTCGTGCGAAGGCGAAGGTCGATGAGTTGCAGCGTGTCATTGCTGAATCGAGGAGAGCTGGTCACTAAGCATCTTGCAATCGTCTCAATACCTACGGTTTTCGCATGGATGGCATGGAGTTGTATGAATGAATCAAAGGCATACTTCATGGAAGATATCTCGGGAAAGCTTGGCTTCGTTTTGATAGCTAGCACTACAAGCAAGGGATTCTAGAAGCAATGAGCGAATTCTACAACACGAAATTTGGTAATATGTCTGAATTCGTCTATTCATTTCAAGTGCTGTGAGGTCTGATCTAACATCGGTAACACCGAAAAGCCGAAACTCCTCGCTATGGTCCCGAGGAATGCTTACGAAAGAAGCTTTATTCTCAAACATCTCTACTTCATAACTTCGTGCCTCATCAAAGCCGTTCACTTATTTCTTCGAGAGTTTTTGAAGCCACTTAGGTATACCTTTGGGCTTCCCTTCTCCACTGCCATCGGTCTCCTTTCCCTTAGCCTTTTTATCGATAGGCTTCTCATCCTGTTCCTTTGGCGCTGGAGGAGGTTCTGGAACGTGCACTTCCTTTGCACTCAGAACATACTGTGGCTTGAGGATAGGTGCCTTTCTAGCACCCTCACTAGCTGCATCTTCCCAAACAAAATTGATCAGCATTCTTCCCTCGAAGCCCAAGTCTTTGATCAACTTCTTTTTCTCATCTTTGGGAATCGTTTGGGATCCTTTGCTGGTCCAAACAAGTTTGAAGGGCTGGTCTTCGGCAACAATGACCCCTTTGACAAAGGTGTAGAGATTTGAACATGTCTCTTGGGCATTGAAGGCCGAAATTATAGTCGACTGGTCGGGAAATCGGACCTTAATTGACACTTCTTTGGTATTGGCCAGCTTAGCAACTTTGTCCGCCTCCTGTTGCTCAGTCTCGGCGTCAGACAACAATCGCTTGTTTTGAGTGTTGTTCAAAAGACGGCTTTGGTGAAGTTTTGCATGGGCAACCGTTGGTTCAAAGTCTTCTTCGTTGTGAGGTACCAGAGCTGCTTTCGGGGTATCGTTGGATGGAGGGGAGAAGACAGATATTGGTCGTTGGTCAGGACCCAAGACTGGCTCTTCTCTGATTTCTGGAGCTGGACGCTTCGACGGAGTGACTGGAGCTGGTAATGGAGCATCTCCTACAGTCTCTGGATACGGCGTGGGGTCTGCTGTTGTTCCTTCTGAAGCGTCGACGGAGGTAGTGTCGACATCTTCAGATGCATTAGGCTCTGTCGAGGGCAGTCTGGCAATTGCCTCCGTAATTGTATCTACCTCCTTCAGAGCAGCATTGCTAGACTCTGCTTTGTCTGATACTTGTGATATTTCTTCCTCCTTGAAATATTGCCCAATTTCAGCTATAGCTTGTTCGAGTGGTCGATCCGTCTTCTTGAAATCAAGTCTAATAAGCGTGCTTCCGTTATTGAGGCCAAGTTGCGCGAGTGTCTTCTGCAAATCCTCAAAAGTCGACAATTCTCTCCCAACAATATTCAGAACAGGCATCTCATAAAAGATTCGGCCAGCCCTCGACGCACCATTCTCCACTTGTGTAACCCCACGACCTGTAAAATTTAGATTTGCTTCTCCACTGGACTCGAATTGTCGTAGAATAAGCCACAAGGTTGTATTGCTGGGAAATTTGTCCACCAACCGGCCATTGGGTGCGGAAGATGCCAGGGACTGTGGTAACTGGAGGGCTACTGAAACGACGGAGGGTGACCGGGATGCGAGAATGAGCTCGAGCTTGGCCCCAGGGGATAGGTTTGACGAACGGAAGGGTAATGAGAGGTCGACGGGTTTATTATTGTGCCTGTCTACGGTAAGTAAATATGCAAGGGTATCATCAGCCCACAACTCACTTAAGACCGTAGTTGCTGGCCTTGTAGCCAAGTTTGGCGCATGCTTCCTCCAGTACGTCCGACAAATATTTCCCAGGCGTAACTTTGATTGCGGCTCTGCGAGCTGAAGAATCCAGAACATAAACCTGTGAGGCCATGATGCCAGGCTGACTTGATGGAATCTGTTACCAAGAAGTTGGGTGGCTTGATCCTAGAAATCGATCCGTATGCTTATTGATATTTTCAGTCGCTATGGAGCTCACGGCGGCAATATGTCTGCGTTCTTGACAAGGTTCTCTCTATTTCTCGAATCTTTGTAAGGACAGGTGGGTGTGGCGGGGTCGATGGTGCACCGAGAATTGGAGAGTAATGCTGGGAATGAACGTAGCAAGCATTACCTCAAGAGCGAGAGGTGGCTTATTCGTCAAAGAAAGCAGACCAAGAATGACAAATGTAAAATGCGGTGATTGTAGTTGTGCAGTAGAGTTGAAGGTCAAGCTCATGATGTTGATCAGTGCCTGGCAGAATTCCGGCTACCCCTGCAGGTGAAGCTCGAACGCGCCAGCCGTGTCTACCTGCGGAACCTCAAAAGCAAAGCTCCATACTGCCTCGTTTTTAACGACAACCCCATCTGCGAAATTCTCAACTTTCCAAGAGAGCTGCTCGTGTCTCCCAGTTCCTCCTCCGATATTCCTCTTACAAAGATAGACCCGTCAAGATGGTAAACATATTATCCCCATGTCCCTTTTCAAGCCAGCTAGCTAATCACCTTTCGCGCAGAGCTCTCCATTCTCTATCAGTACGAGATCTCCATACTTTCATCCTTTGCAATATCCTGCCTAGATATCAACTAAGTCTTCTCAGATGGTGGCGCCTGCGTAGCAATGGTAGGAAAGGACTGCGTCGCCATAGCCTGCGATCTCCGACTTGGCCTCCAATCCCTCACCGTCTCCAACAACTTCCCCAAGATCTTCTCCTACGGCGATGTCTACCTAGGACTCACTGGCCTTGCTACCGACGTCTCGACAGTATCTGATCTCTTCCGCTACAAAGTCAACATGTACCGCCTGCGTGAGGAACGCAACATCTCCCCTTCAACAATGGCCAACTTGGTCAGCAGTAGTCTTTATGAGAAGAGATTTGGTCCCTATTTCGTTAGTCCTGTTGTTGCAGGTATCGATCAGAAGACAGGAAAGCCATTCATCTGCGGGTTCGATAGTATTGGGTGCATCGATTTTGCGAAGGACTTCATTGTCAGTGGAACGGCGAGTGATCAGTTGTTTGGAACATGCGAAGGACTTTGGGAGCCAGACTTGGTGCATCTTCCTTTCTCTGACGATCCTGATGATTGTTGCTAATGAAGTGGAATGCAGGCACCAGAGGATCTTTTCGAGACAATTTCGCAGGCGTTGCTGAATGCAGTAGACAGAGATGCGTTGTCTGGTTGGGGTGCACATGTCTACATCATCGAGAAGGACAAGGTCACCAAACGATTATTAAAGGGCAGACAAGATTAAGGGGACAAATGGGGCATGATTCACGTCGAGATTGAGCTACTGGTGATGAGAGAAGGCATGCTCGTCTTGTGTACACTAGATATGGCATCAGCTCGATGGCAAAAAATTACACGAAATGATACACAATCTGCGTATCTTTGACTTTCTAGTGCTGAGAATGTGTATCCAGTCTATCGAGACCGAGCACTGTGAGCTATGGGCACCTGGCTGGCTTAATCAGTATCAGGCGTGGATGAGACCGAAGACAACAAGCACAAATGGATTCTCCGCCCGTCATATCAAACATGGGCATACGATATAGAATGCAAATTATAGCTTTCTAGGGTTTACTGCACCTGAGTAGCATCTCCAGCTTCATATCAGCGAAATTTCTTGGAGCACATATATGCAGAGCCATAACTCCAACTTGATGAAAATGCTAAAGTACATCGGTCTGGTTCTAATATCTACTGTCTACTAATGTACAGCTTTAAGTGGACCGCAGCCATGTATGCTTGTTTACTCCTTCTTTGCTCTTGGCTCGATCACCGCAGTCTTCTGCATGAACAATTGTCTCTCAACGAACTTGAGAGCTTCATCAATGAGACTACAACATGTTAGCAAATATCCGGACATATGAAGAACCATGAACTTACATGACAGGAGCGCTAATTATAAGCACTGCTTGCCACTCATTCCAATTCAGAGGGAGAATTGAGAACAGAGTTTGTAAAAAGGGGGTGTAAAGCAGAGCAAAGTGCAAAGCCATCGACAGAGTAATGGCATACACCAGCATCATGTTGTCCCATAATGGGAGCGTGAGAAGGGACTCGCTTGAAGAAAGTGCATTCATAGCGTTCAGCATCTCAATGACAACCAGGATGGATAGTGAGACAGTAGAAGCCGCCTTTGCCATGTCATCGGAGAACATCTGGCAGCCAATCTCTGGGAACTGGGTGGAGCATCGATGGAAATGTGACAATTGCCAGAAGGTGATTTGGGGTCCCTCCGGATTGTACATGAACCACCAAGCGTATCCAGCGACAGTAGCAAGACCAACGTAGATTCCGATGACCATGTAGCGGAAAAAGAGCCAGCCGCCAATGAGTGGCTCATCCCTCTTTCTTGGTTGTCTTCTCATAATATCATGATCGGGAGGATTGAAAGATAAAGCTGTGGCGGGAAGACCATCGGTGACAAGATTGACCCAGAGAAGCTGGACGGGAATCAGAGCTTCTGGCATGCCAACGGCGGCAGTCAAGAAGATCGAAACGACTTCGCCGATGTTGGACGAAATGAGATATCTGATAAATTGCTGTGTATTGTTGTAAATGGAGCGACCTTCCTCGATGGCGACTTCAATGGTAGCGAAGTTGTCATCAGCAAGAACCATATCAGAGGCCAGCTTGGAGACATCGGTTCCGGATCCCATGGCAACACCAATATCAGCTTTCTTCAAAGCTGGTGCATCGTTAACGCCGTCGCCAGTCATTGCCACCACTTCTCCAGCTGATTGAAGGAGATCAACGAGCCTCGACTTGTGGCTCGGTTCAACTCGAGAGAAGAGAGAAGCCCTTTTTGCTGCCTCCAACTGCTCGCTCTCAGTGAGATTGTCGAATTCGCGTCCGGTATAGCTCTTGCCCTCCAAATCCTCGTACTCGCCAAAGACGCCAATCTGCCTGCATATGGTCTCCGCCGTGTTGCGATTGTCGCCGGTAATCACAATGACACGGATACCAGCTTCCTTGCACTTTCGGATCGATCCAGCAACCTCAGGACGGGGAGGATCGAGCATGCCAACAAGACCAAGGAATGTAAGGTTTTGCTCAAGGTCTAGATATTCTTTCGTCGTCTTAGCCTTCTTGAGAAGAGGGTTCGAGGTGACATCCTCGACACTGGCGAGAGCGATCACTCGCAGTCCTCTGTTCCCATAGTCTACGACTTCTCTGAGCAAAATGTCTGACAGATTTTTCGACATGGGCACCTTCTTTCCGTTGGCTCCTACAATCGTCTGAGTACATCGGTCGATGATTGATTCTGGTGCTCCTTTGACAAGTAGTCTCTGCTGCTTCTTGTCACCCACAAGAACTGACATGCTCTTTCTATCTCTAGAAAACTCGTAGGTTGCTAATCTGGGACTCCTCTCCTCATACCAAGAACTGGCGAGATGGAGGGTGTCCTGGGTTGTAACGCTGGCTCTTCGCTGATTTTGAGCTATATCCTTGGTTCCAATCTTTTCAACCAGGACACGCAGAGCTCCTTCGGTAGGCTCTCCAACGTTTGAATAGTGTCCAGACTTTGGATCGAAGGCTAATTGAGCATCGTTACACAACGCCGCAACTTCAGCCATTTGGAAAATGGTCTCTGAGCTTTTAGCTACATCTGTGACAACCGAGCCTTTGGATTTAATGCTTCCCTGAGGAGCAAACGTCGTTCCTTCGACGTCCAGCTCCTCGAGGTCAATCCCAGCTTCATTGATGAATACGATCTTGTTGACGCTCATCTGGTTGGTGGTCAAAGTGCCAGTCTTGTCGGAGCAAATAACACTGCAGCTACCAAGTGTCTCAACAGAAGGCAGACTTCTTACCACGGCATTCTTGGCAGCCATCTTTCTTGTTCCAAGAGCCAGGCATGTTGTGATGACAACAGCTAATCCTTCTGGAATAGCCGCTACTCCAAGTGAAACGGCAATCTTGAGATAGTAAATAGCTCCCTTTGTCCAACTTCCGTGAGATGGGTCATTGAAATGCGGAATGTTGATAAGCCAAACAATGATACAGATGACCGAAATGACCTTGGCCAAAGTGTCTCCAAAGTCGTTGAGCTTTTGCTTCAAGGGGGTAGGCTCCGAAATCTGGGCAACAATGCTCTCGTGGATATCTCCGATAGCCGTGGAGGATCCTGTAAGGACCACAATGGCGGTAGCGTGACCGGTGACAACTGTCGTTCCAGAGAAAAGGATGTTGATCTGATCCTGCTTCACGGCCTTCAGATCTTTGACGGTAGCCGTGTCCTTCCCAACACTCTCGCTCTCTCCGGTAAGGATGGCTTGGTCAACCGCGAAGCTATTGCTTTGAATTGTAAGAACCCTGCAATCTGCCGGAATTCTGTCTCCCACAGCAATCGAAATTATGTCCCCTGGAACTAACTGCTCCGCTCGAATTTTTGAAACATGACCATCTCGAATAACCTTGGCTTCGTTTGCGGAATATTCTTGGAGGGCCGCAATTGCCTTCTCTGCACTGCTTTCTTGTGATACACCAACGATGGCATTAAGAATTAAGATTGTGAGAATCTGCTGATTGTTAGAATTGCTCACATTTAGCATTACAGATACAACTTACAACTGCCGGGTCAACAAAAGCTGTCCAGCCACCATCCTCTTCGAAAAGTGCCAGGACGAAAGACACAGCAGCTGAACCGAGGAGGATGATAACCAGCTGATCCTTGAACTGTTCAAGAATCAGCTCCCAAAGAGGAGTAGGAGGATCTTCTGCGATTGCTATAGGACCGTTAGCTTTTTCTCTATTTGGCGCGGCGCGAAAGGGAACAAAAAGGTACTGCTCACCATTTCGGCCATATTTTCCTCGGGATGCTTGGACTTGCGACTCGGTGAGACCCTGGGTCTCGGATACTGAAAAGAACTTCAGGACCTCCGAGGTAGATTGTGCGTGCGCGTTCTCCATGTTGACGTGGGGTAGATGTCCTTCGTTCCTTGTACCGTGTCTTCGGCCAAACTGTTTATGTTGGACTGTTCATGTATGGCAAAATGCCTCTACAACTATGTCGCAAGAATATGAACACCGTGTAAAGAAGACGAGGAAAGACACCGTCTGCGAGAAGCGAAGAAAAGTGGTTGTTGAGGTAAAGGTGCTTGGTAAGTTGCCTCCACTAACTTAAAATCTACAGGTGTCCTCTATTTTATGAGGCAGTTCCACATTTTCATTGGTACCTCGGCGAGCTCCAAGAGAAAGCTCTGGCCAAGCAACCCACAACGTGCCCGCAGACTTGCGAGTATGCTTTACAGCCACGACTCTCAGGTCCATGATCGCATTGTGAAGTCGATGATGCATATCCTCGAAGTTTTCAGAATTCGATGTTCTAACTCACCACCATTTGATGAGCGAGCCTCTCCAATCCTTGTTGCTTGTACTTATCGGTACAGTACCTATCTGCTGGCCCGCTCCACAGCTGGCGATGGCGGCCAACCAGCAGGCAGACATCAGCCAAAACAAATGATTAATATCCGGATTTCCAAGACATCCAACTTCCGTGTCTCTAAGTACCCCTCATTGATGCCATTTGGTTCATATCACATTGTGCTGGGTCGATGTCATACTTCAAAGCTATTTAATCCGTCCCTTGCCTATTGCACAAGGTCCAACAATGGGATTGCTTCGTTTTTGAGTAGGATTACAGCATCATGACACTACCAGACAACCGGCTCTATGGCCCCTACACTTCTTTCCTCCCTGAGTAGAGATGAGGTGGACACGAACCCGGTGTCAGAGGCGCCGTCTCTCTGAACTTGGTCACATGATATGAGAGACTCTCTTCTAGGAAGACAGAAGACGTGGCGAAAAGGCTGGATGACCGCTCGTCCCCTTGCCTCTGTGACACCTGAGAGATGTTCCCTGCCCGTTTGTTGGGCGAGTGATTTGCATGTGGCTTCATTGGCCAGCGGCTCTGCCAGCACATGCAACGCCCCCTGCGAACCACAAGGCAGAATCGTCAAGTAGCAATGATAAGGGAGGGTTCTTGTGGAACTAAGCAACCATTCACGGCTCAGGAAAGGGTTACTTGAGATCACCAGAAAACGAGCAGTCTTCCAGTCAGATGACCTTAAAGTTGCGGAGCTGGTAATGTGATTGTGACGGTACCCACTAGTGATTTTTACTGTAACTAATTGCAAACCTGCTTTTATATCCTTGATCTGGAGCCCCAAATGCAACCAGCAGTGACAAGATGGGAAGATGTGCAACCCAGTGGTCCCAACCTCAGATATCAACCTCGTGAGGCTACTGTTCTCTGTAGATGTAGATGCACTCAAACCGCTTTATTTCTGACGAAACTAATAAGAAAATTTGTTTAGACTCCTTTGTTCACCGTTGGTAATATTCGTTCACTTTTGACATTTTGGTGAGCGACAGTCGGCGCAAGCCGAATTCGGCTTAGCGGCACTAGCCTCAAAATCGCTCCCCCAAGACAGTCCGGCTGTCGATATTCAACACAAGCACGACCGTATCCAACCTTTCCTCGCGACAACAACCGGTTTCGATCTGAAGATTCCTTCCCTTTCCACCCGCACCGTACCACTGCAAGCAAGTCTTGAACAACTTGAAGATGACGACCGAAGTAAGTTCCCCCTCCATTGCACCCGCGCACCCGCGTCACTTTGCGTCCGTAATTTGGTTCCCCTCCATCCCTCACCACCCTTATCGACCGCGTCGTGATGGTCGCGATGGTCCCTCTACCCGCGCACCATCTCTACCGAGCAATATGCTAAAATGTTTATTACTCTATAGCGTGAGTCCAAGACCTTCCTCGCGAGGCTTTGCGAACAGGCCGAGAGATATGATGAGATGGTTACATACATGAAGGAGGTTGCCAAGGTACGCAAGATACCCTCCATCTGCAATGCTGGCAGTCGGTGGGAGTCAAATCTTGCCCTTTATCTCCACTGCTTGTCCCCGATGAGGCTCATAACTGATGACTTGTGACACAGTTGGGTGGAGAGCTCACAGTTGACGAGAGAAACCTTCTGTCCGTTGCCTACAAGAATGTTGTCGGCACTCGACGTGCTTCCTGGCGCATTATCTCCTCGATCGAGCAGAAGGAAGAGTCTAAGGGTACCGACAAGCACGTTTCGACCATCCGTGATTACCGCCAAAAGATCGAGACCGAACTTGAGAAAGTCTGCCAAGATGTTCTTGATGTTTTGGATGAGTCGTTGATCCCCAAGGCCGAATCTGGAGAGTCCAAAGTCTTCTATCACAAGATGTATGTCTTTATCAGTGACAATGGATCCACGCCGCAATTCGTCAGAGTGCGCCTTTGCTGACAGGGGTTTCAAATATAGGAAGGGTGACTATCACCGCTACCTGGCTGAGTTTGCTTCTGGTGAGAAGCGCAAGGTTGCTGCAACAGCTGCCCACGAGGCCTACAAGGTATGCGCGGTTGCAATCATTATTTGGCCGCTGCTAATACTTACACAGAATGCTACCGATGTTGCGCAAACCGAGCTCACCCCAACCCACCCCATTCGTCTTGGCCTGGCCCTCAACTTCTCTGTCTTCTACTACGAGATCTTGAACTCCCCCGATCGCGCATGCCACCTTGCCAAGCAGGCCTTCGATGACGCTATTGCCGAGCTCGATTCTCTGTCTGAGGAGTCATACCGTGACAGCACGCTCATCATGCAACTTCTCCGAGACAACCTTACGTTGTGGACCTCCTCAGATAGCGGCGAGCCCGAGGCTGCAGCAGCCGAGCCAGCTAAGGAGACTGAGAAGGCCGCTGAACCCGAGAAGACCGAGGAGCCAAAGAGCGAAGCTGCGCCTGCTACCGAATCTTAGATTTCTCACTCTCGGATCTCCTCGTCTCGTTTTCATATGCTTCTTGATCTTGCTGGAGTGGCTGGTATACCTGGCTTGCAGGTGGAGTGATTGCAGCATGGGTAGGGGATGGGAGTTGATATGAAAAAGCAGAACGAGTGCGGCTTTGCGAACTCGGTTGATTTGCGAATACACCATCCTGCGAACTTGATGATCATGTTTTCCTTTCTGGTTGCGATGTCTTCTTTCCCTGCGGTCTTTCTCACGTCATGGGCGCGTTTTGCGGATGGGGCCTTCAAGAGCTTCTGAAGCGGGCGTCTCTGATCCTGGAATGCATTTCTTCACAAAGAGCCTCAACGGCACATAGCTTAGGGAGATGATTTCGTCAAAGGGTACTCTTAGTCTCTCTACTTGCGATGAGCTTTCGTTGTCTCACTCGAGGTGTGCTTCTCCTCTAGATATCCCTCGGATTTCTACATCCCCCTTGCGTTGTCATAGCGAAGCCTCTTAAACCTCTGCGCGTTGCTTTCTAGTAGCTTGCTAGGGTCGATGAATTCACTCCGCACCTATCCAAAACTCACCCGTGAACATAACCCACTCTGAAATCCCAAGAATTGGTTGGTGATCCAAGACAACGCTTGCTTAAACATCATCAACCTAAAATCCTAAACTCCGCCATGTTTTAAGCCGCTTTCCTTTTCCCGGATCCCACCAAATCGGCTTGCGCTGTGAGAAAGGGTCTTCTCTTCTTTCTCCAAAGTTTTCCTAGATGCTCCAAAATGGTCATCCACCAGCCTCCTTTCGATCCTTATCCTCCTTGTCCTTTCCACCCCAATTCAGGAGCTTGGCCGCCCTCTCTAATCTCTCCCTTCTCTCCCTCAACCCGCCAAGCTCACTCTCTCCGCTCCCAATCTCCATACTACTGTCTCTTCCAAGCTCTACCTCCTGCTCTGGAACCCTCAGCCTGTCATCAGCCTCTTTCTCCCCAGGCTCGTACATCTCCGTTTTCACGCTGTCCTTCCCATAATCTTGATTTCTCGATTTTGAAGCACTGCCCGAGCCTGAGGAATTTGAGTCTCGCCTCAAAATCTTCTTCCAAAATGACGGCTGCCGAATAGGAGGCGCGAGGTATGCACTCTCACTTGGTGTAAAGGAGGCTGTCGAGGCCGATACTTCGTGCCGCCAGACTTCAATACGGGCTGGAGATTTGGGCTTTGGGAGCGTCATGGTCGCAACCTCGATCAACAGATCTTATTGAAGTTCGAGCATCTCGATGGGGAGGGCGAGTGATTTATGAAGGAACGGGGTGGCAATTTTGTCTTGGTTCCTTGGTACGTGGTGAAATCATGCGATAATGGGCCTGGTGTCTCGGAGGGTCACGAGGGATCGGGGGATTACTAGATTGGGTCGCGGGCCGGACCCCAAGCTCTTTCTTGTGACCAAACTTAGGAATATTCCAGAGAGAATGGGAATTGAGCAATCTTTGGGGTAGAGGAAGATGATTATTTTTCTTTCATGAGGGGGTGCGATTGAAGGTGTTGGAATGCTATCACGTGCAGTCTTGGCATTTTACTCATGTCTCTCCTTTACAAAGTCTGAGAACTAATTATCACATTACTATCTGGCAGTAATGTTCATAGATTCTGTAGACCTGTGATCTGGAACTGATTGTGCAATCAAGAGCCTGTATGGTCCGAGACCTCAATGTGAAATCAAGAAGCAATGATACAGGAAAGTGATATGCAATCAGGATTGTTCCTTTCCCTTGGCAGTCTCCTTTCGTCCCTTGCATATACTCTTCTCCGTGCCCCTCTTTCCTTCCTCTAGCCTGCTGCCGATACTCTCAGAATCGGCGATTGCCTTCTCCGACTTTCTGTTGATCTCCTGAACCTTTCCGTTCTTTCCCGTCTGCGCTTGCTGATCCTTCAATGCAGTTTCATCATCGACGTCCTCCTTCTCCTCCTTCTCCTCCTCCTTCTCCGCCATCTTTCGTCTGGCCTTCTCTTGGTGACAGGAGACGTTCATGGAGTTGTGGCCGAGGAGGGGCGGCTGGTAAAGCTTCTCGTCCGTTGGAACTTGGCAACTTGGGCCGAAAATGGCAGGCTTCATGACTTCTGGATGTAGGGGTGCCTTGCCATTGAAGAATGACAAAGCGTTGATTGCTCTCTACAATGAGTCGAAAGGGAAATGAAAATGAGGGAGCACAAATGGATCTTGGGGACTTTAAGGAATGATTTTTGTGACATGTCGAATGCTCTTTGTTTCGAAATAAGGCCCAGCCAGCATGTGATGTCGAGGGAAGTTCGGGTTCAAGATAAAAATTTGGATTCAAACGGGAAGAAGAATATTAGACAAATATTTGAAATTAATCTACCCTAGGGGCCTCGCTGAAGGGTCTAGCCGGGACTGCTGGGTGGTCGATGATTGGGAAAGGGTAGCTAGATTCAGTCCCTGAAAATAGAGGATCATGAAGGGAGTGTCTGGCTGAGGGGCGTCGTTATCTTCGGCGGCAGGTCGAGATATCTGGTAGTCGTGTTTTCCGAAGCTTCTGTTTGTAGAAGGACTGGCGTTCAACTGAGCTGCGTCGTTCTAATTATTAGACCAAGTACAAAGCCAAAATTGCAAACAAAGTGGTGGTTTTTGCGGCAGCATGCCAGCATTTGGATCGTGCCGTCTCCCAGGCATTGATAAATGAATATAGTATGAACGACACTAAGGACTGGCTATTGCAGGATAGGGCGATGAGAGAAGTGACAGGAGGTTATTAATTTGAGAACACGATGCAGAAATGTGGATTCGAGGCTGCTTGGCCGTAGCAAAATTAAAGAGTGAATGCATAAAGCAATGAAAAACTTGTCCCTGGCTGCGCCACAGGATGATGTGAGGCTTCAGAAATTAGTCTTTTGAGATCATGCCCCGAGGAGCGTTCATTCTCTTCCTATTTTGTTTGATACTTGGTATCGTTCATCACCAGCCTATGTTGGAAGAAGAAGAAAACTAAAACGGCTGGAAAAGCTCAAGTTCGTCTTCGAAATCCGCTACCCCTCTTCGAGTTAGGCCCCACCACTCCATGAAGTTAGCGCTCGCTTAAACTTTCGCATCTGAGGCTGAAAGCAAAGCCGATTGAGTCTTTCCATCCTCCTCCCTTGGACCACATCTCCTTACTCTTTAGCCGGCTGTTGATGTCGTTGCAGAACCTCGATATTAAAAGCTATCACCTCTCCCGCACTTCCTTGCGCGAGAATTGAACTGTACACACGACCACCAACACGTCCGAACCCCAGCAAACCCACTCTTCCGACCACAATGAGTGACTTCAACTACGGAGGGACCGATGAAGAGTCGGCGGAGATCAAGAAGCTCAACGCTGAGGTTGTAAGTGATACTGCATGCGCGCCCACGATCTACTCGCGCCGAAGCTGACTTTCCTGGCGCTTAGCTCGAAGACTCTGACAACTTTGAGAACTGGGAGAAGCTCGTTCGCGCGGCTGAGACCCTCGAGGGCGGCCTAAATCGAAACTCCAGTCCACAAGCTATCGCAACCACCCGAGACGCGTACGACCGCTTTCTTGCGAAGTTCCCTCTTCTGTTTGGATATTGGAAGAAATATGCCGACCTCGAATTCTCCATTGCCGGCACTGAAGCGGCCGAGATGGTAAGGCTACAAGATCGCACGCGCCGAGCCAGAGTTCTGACTCGTGATTAGGTTTTCGAACGAGGCGTCGCCAGCATAACAACCTCGGTGGATTTGTGGACTGACTATTGCTCTTTCAAAGTCGAAACCAGTCATGATCCAGACGTGATCAGAGAGTAAGTATTACTGGACTCTTTCCTTCCCTTTAACACAGACAACTGCGACGAATGCGATCTTCGTGGATACGTACTATACTGAGACAATCACTGGGTCGCAGACGGTGAGAATTGCCAACACAAGCTGCTCCCTATTTGATACTTTCTCACCCACATGATCAGGATATTTTCTTCTACTATCACACGTTCGCTTTTACATCGTCTCACTCTGCACACTTGTTCGGCGCGGATGGAATTTGAGGACCATTAGTTCAAGCACACTGCCCTTCCCGTATTTGCACACCTTGCCACCTTTGCACTCCCTTCTTCTCACCTCTGAAGGCCAGGCTAACACCCTGTCATAGACTTTTCGAGCGTGGGGCTGCTTCTGTTGGTTTAGACTTCCTTGCTCACCCTTTCTGGGACAAGTATCTCGAGTTTGAAGACCGCCTGGAATCCCACGACAGGATTTTTGCTATCCTCAGTCGGGTTGTTAAGATTCCAATGCACCAATATGCTCGCTATTTCGAAAGATTCCGACAGCTTGCACATGCACGGCCATTGCCAGAGCTCGTGCCTGAGGAGACACTTGCTCAATTTCGTGCCGATGTGGAAGTAGAAAGTGCTGGGTATCAGATGGGGGCTAAAGCCGAGTTGGAGATTGAGCGCGAGGTCCGGACCAAGATTGATAACTTCCACCTTGAGACTTTTACCCGAACTCAGACGGAGACTACGAAACGATGGACCTACGAGTCAGAGATCAAGCGCCCATACTTCCACGTTACTGAGCTCGACCACCAGCAACTCGCCAACTGGAGGAAGTACTTGGATTTCGAGGAGGCCGAGGGTGACTACACCAGAGCCGTTTTCTTGTATGAAAGATGCTTGGTGACCTGCGCATTCTACGATGAGTTCTGGTTCCGCTATGCCCGTTGGATGTCTGCTCAAGAAGGGAAGCAGGAAGAAGTCAGAAATATTTACCAGCGGGCCAGCACACTTTACGTGCCAATCAGTCGTCCCGGAGTTCGCTTGCAATACGCCTACTTTGAGGAGATGTCTGAACGCGCTGATGTCGCCCGGGACATCCACCAGGCCATTCTTGATCGCATGCCAGGTCACGTTGAGACCATTGTGTCTTGGGCAAACCTGGAGCGCCGCCAAAACGGTCTCGAAGCTGCTATTGAGGTTTATAAAGCCCAAATTGATAACTCGGCAGTGGACTTCTTTGCCAAGGCAGCATTTGTCGTTGAGTGGGCCATCCTTTTGTGGAAGATTCAAGGATCAGTCAGTGAGGCTCGTCAAGTCTTCCAAAAGAACCAGCAATGGTATCTTCAGAGCCGCCATTTCTGGATGAAATATCTTGAATTTGAGACCGCCCAACCAACGTCTGCGGACAAGGAAGCAGAACACTACACAAGAATCAAGCAGGTTCATGATGATATGATTAAGAAAAGCCGCATGAGCCTGAGTACGAAGAAGGACCTCAGCAGCTACTTTTTGACATATCTGCAGCAGAGAGGTACGAGGGAAGCCATGAAGGAGTTTTTGCAAGTTGACCGGGAGCTAAACGGGTAAGTTTTCTCTGTTGCTAATTCTCTATGTGCGATTGTACTGACGACCCCAACAGACCTATCTCCGTTCAGCCTGCATACCTGAAGACAAACACTCCAACCGGCAGAGCATCCAGCAAGGCTCTGGAAAACGGCCATCCACCAGGTGATGTTGACGAAGCCACCCTTCGCAAAGGAGAAGTTAAGTACAGCAACTACTATGAAGAGCGCCGCGACCCGATACCTAACGCCCAAGGTCTCGCTCCTTTCCACTGATAGCGCCGTTCCTTAATGCCGACCTTTCCTTTTGAGATCTAATAAACGGCTGGTTGGAAGTGGGTTGGTTGCATTGCATGTACAATAGGATTCCTCCTCTGCCATTGCTCGACGGTCTTTGTATTCCTAGGTCGGTTGACAGGATGATCTTATCTTGCCCACCACGTTAACGATGGTTTGCGATTTACGGTCCCTCAAATAGAAAATAAATCGAATTTGAAAATCCGAGACCTGACCAATGAAATAACTTGAACGCCGAAATATGTCACACTTGAGCACCGATTATATAGATCGTCATTTCTCATGCATTTGTAGGGATGACTCTACTCACTCCAGTTTATCTTACAACATTTTGACATCGAGGGTCTCGTAACGAATGTTCCCAGTTCCTCCAAGCAAACTGATGAAATTCCTCCCACCAGCCAACTCCACAGTCATTGCTACTGAATTGTAATTGCCGCCTGTCCCTTTAAGGTTTAAGTTCCCCTTCGACACTTGATTGACCGTCACTTCAACAGCAGCAGTTCTTCCAGCATTCAGATAAGACAATGTAATCGTTGCATTGCCACCCAAAGACTCGATGCCCGAAAATGCAACCACGCTTCCCCTCCCCAAAGACCCGACTACAGCACAATTCTTCGTCGCATCCGAATCTCTATCAGTCGTCACGCTGGCACCCGTCAACAGCGCATCAACGGCATAGTACCGAGGCGTAGGATCCGGCTGAACCCAAACTTCCAGCTCGCAGAGCCCGACCCAGACTCCAGGCTTTCTAAACATCTTTACGCCCACGAATTGTGTCTCTACTTCCTCAAATGAGAACGTGTTGCGGTCATTCGGTAAGAGCCATCCACCAGATAAATTTGCAAGGCTGCCTGAAGAGCCGTAGATCTCAAGACGAGCAGGGACGTCGATTCCGCCGCCGCGAGCGACGTCGGAAAACAGTGCGAGTGTGACGGACGAGATGTTGCGGGGGCGAGCGAATGTTATTTGTAGGGTGTCGTTGGTGGAGGGCGATTGGTAGTTTGTCCATCTGTTGTCGGGGATGGAGTCGTAGAAGAGGTAGCCGTCGATCGCTTTCCAGGGAGAGTCAGTGAAGAAGGTGAAAGTTGCGTTGGCGAGTGGGTAAGCGCCGATACCGATTGGGTTGCCGGCTATGTTTATGGGGGCGGGGCCAACTGATGTTTGGGAGGGGGGAAGGTTGGCTTGAGCGCTCGTGCTGTTGCAGTTGAAGATTTTTGAACCGTCACAGTAGATGGTGAGGCCAGGGCCGACTTCGTATCGTGAACCATCCTGGTCATAGAGGATGGTCAAGAGATGCCCGTGATAATGTAGATTTTCAATGGCAAAATAAGTCCAGTTTTGGGGCACGATTGGAGAGACCTCGAGGAGGTCGTCAGAACGGGGGATTATTCCAAGCAGGCCAGTGATGACATCGTCGTTGTTAGTTGAATCTGCCGGGTGTTAGTTTTGCTCCTTCTTGGCTATTTCGGAATACTCACGCTGGTAGTGTTCGCTGTGATTTGAGCCATCAGCACTCCATTCTTCTTGAGATGGATAATGAGATTCTGCGACGTATGGGACGCCATTCTTGTGCTGAGTCGTAGCATATATGCCCAGATACTGGACATACTGTTCCGCACTAAGAGACGAACTGCCATTGCGGTAGATAGTAGCAAGGGATTTCAAGACATGGGACGTAGAAAATGGCCATGATTGTCCGTTCCAGTAACAGCAAGCACCGCCCGGTTTTGTTCCAGCATAGTACTTGTTTCGTTGTTCGAGAGTGGTTGGGCCGTAAGTGGCAAAGAACCCTTGAGGTTCAAAAAGCTGCTGCACTGACAGGTTGGCATACTTTGCATCAAGACCAATTCCGAAGCGGAATGGGAAGAGCCCAACTTCCTCTCTTCCTTGGACCTTGGTCAATTCTGGATTGTTCGGTCGAATGACGTCCACAAAGAAGTTTTGATCAGGATCCCACAAGTGCTTGCAAATTGAATGTTCCAGCTGGTCAGCAATGTTGCTGAACTTTGAAGCAGTTTTTGGATATCCAGCCTGCGTTGCGACCAGAGAAATAGCCCGCGAGTTTGCAACCATGTATGCATTCACATTCGGTCGATAAGTATTGGGTCCATTATACTGAAGGTCTCCGCCCGAAGGAGCAACGATATAACCTGGAAGACTGAATTCCTGAGCATCCCAATTCGGCGTGAAGTAGTATAATCCAACTTCAGTGTCATATGTGTAATCCCAGTAACCCCACAGCCTCGCCATATCTGTGAGATGGTCGGTGGTGTACTTCGTGTCCCCATTGACTTGAGACCTCCTGAACATTGCGTCCAGGATCCAGTGAGTGTATTGAGTGCTGTTTGCTGGGCCTCGGGTATAGGCCAGGATGTAGTCGTCATCGTAAATTTGGCTCCGGAACCATCTTGCTTCATCGATCTGGTGGCCAGCAGCAGCGTCAATGGTATTCAGAGCCTGTGCATATCCAACTGGCTGCATAAATTCTGTGATGATGTATCCAGTTCCTGGGACAGTGTACCGTAAGTGACGTTGAAGGGCAGACCATCGATAGTAATAGACTTCTTGAATATTCGAGTCCGGTATATCAATGAATGGAATGTTTTCCCTCAAGAAGGTTTGCCCAAAAAAGCCATCGATGGGCGTGACATGGTCCAGGAAAGAGGTGCTGTGGCTGGTAATGCTCACAGACTGCAGAGGCGCCTGGCTCATATGCTGGGTGGTGAGATTGAGAAGAGAGAGACTGCGTACAACCCAGGTCGCAAATGAGTTCATCTTGAACAGAGAGGAAGGCATACAATGCTTAGAAGAAGAACGCTGCCCAGGCCCATGATGGGACGACTGAGTCAGCCCTTAAAGAGCCCTCGACATGTTGCACAGAAAAGAAAGCACTAAGATGCAGAAATCCGTCCTACACAGTGGAAAGTGAACTTGAAGGCAGATATGAACTGCAAACGGAGTGTTAAAGGACTCACGGGGCCGCGGCACGGGACGTCGAGGTACTCGTACATGGAATTCACGTTGGAAATAAAACTCTCCGATTGGCTGATTTGGCCTCGGTTGCTCGACTTGCAGGGATCCGGGATAGTCTTCGGACTTGAAAATAGAACCAACAAAAACCTCTTTCGCAACGTTGCAGCCGTTGTTGGAATATATTTTGTGCTGTGTGAGTTGTCTTGGGCATTTTTTACTATTGTACGAGATTTCGATGAATGAATCAGGTGACGAAGAGGCATGTCTTCCATGTGCTTAAATGAACCCCGCCTCGTAATGGATAGAAAAAGCAGTATTGATTGTCCCCGGTTAAATCGGATCGTTTTAGGTATTCCCCCATAGAATGTGCCCTTGAGCCATGGTTCATTTAAATCTTACATTTTTAAACATCATAGAAATCCTCAATTGCTTATTTCCTTAAGCCTCTATTCCAACGTGTAGCTAAATGTCTGACTTAGACAAGGGACATTGAAAATGAGTGCCGCTTTTCCTGTCTACTGTAGCACGAGCCCGCAGCCTCTTCCATGCGCGCCAGACCCCGCAATTTCGTGTAACTGGTTGAAAACTCAATTTCCTTGCTGCTGATATATCATTATCAGGCATTTGTCCGAATTGATTGTGAGAAATAGTTTGATCAGAGAATGCTGACTTTTCGATTTTTCCGGATGTAAGAGCTCGCGCCTTTGCTCCGCGTACACCCCGTGTAAGCGAGATTACCACAACCACCCCCCATTAATTTTCAACCACGCGTCTCAATATACTCATAAAATGCATCAAAATGGATAACTCATTACTCTCGTCGCCTGCTGTACGTGAGCACCAGCCAGGAATGGAATGGAAGACTCCTGAACGGTCCAAAATCAGAGCATGGCGCGCAGACGGCAAAAGCTATGGTCAAATTCAGAAACTATGCGGTATACGCGATGGCAAGCCTCTCATTACGCGTTCCACCCTTCAAAAAATCATTAAAGCAAAGAGCTCCAGACGTCAAAGGAAGGGCAAAGCAACAAAGAAGAAGATCTTGAAACCAGCCGACTTGCAACGCGTTATTCGATTTGTCTCTGCGAGCTGGCATAACCGACGCCTCTCTTACGCGCGTCTTGTCCAGGAATGCAAGCTTAAATGCAAAACCACCACCCTCCGACGCTCTCTTAAAGCTATTGGATATCGCCGTTGCGTTGCTTGCCGCCGTCCCTTTATTTCCAAGAAGCAAGCTGCAAAGAGACTCGCGTTTGCTTTGAAATATCGATGGGCTAGCGTTGAGGGCCTCTGGAAGCATGTTGCCTGGTCTGACGAGGCTACCTTTGAGACTGGAAAAAGAGGAAAGATGTATGTTACGCGTCGACCTGAGGAGAAGAATTGCCAGGATTGTATTCAGTCCGTATATCGAAGTGGAAGAGTAAGCGTAATGGTTTGGGCAGCAATTGGATGGGATTGGAAGTCAGAATTGATTTTCCTTGAGAAGGAGCCTGGAAAGAAGGGAATCTGTAGTACGGCTTATACGAATCAAGTTCTGGAAGCTATTATTGGGCCTCATTATACTTCTTTGAGCCCGGCTCAACAAGAGAAGTTTATATTTATGGAAGATAGAGCAAAGGTGCATATGGGAGCAGCAAGACTTTGGCGACTAAATCACGGGATCAGAGGATTTGACTGGCCCCCTTCATCCCCTGATCTCAATCCCATTGAGAAGATCTGGCGATGGATGAAGCACGAGATTACCAAGCTTGATAATATACCCACATCAAAGGAGGATATGAAGGAAGTACTACGGGAGCTATGGAAGGAGGTAAAGCCTGAGGATTGGCGATATTTGACGCATTGCATTACTTGCAAGCTTGAGGACGTTATTAATTGCAAGGGAATGCAAACTGTATATTAAATTACGATTTTAGATGCCTATAATGCAAGAGAGTAATATAATAATTAATTAGACTTATTTTGAATGTGTGGTGGTTGAGAAATTGCGCTTGTATTAAGGTGTACGCAGAGCAAAGGCGCGAGCTCTTACTTGGTGCTGATCATTGAGTGTTCACTTGGAGTCAACGGGCACACAAAGCTAGGAATATGTAAAAAGTACAGGGTTAACAATGTTCAGCTTTAGCTGTCTGCAGATCGGTTTTTCTCTCCAGATACCCATCAATGAAGCTAAAATTAAACGTAAATCAGAAATTTAGCACAAAACGTTCCATTGTGAACACTCTTGTGAGCATTCCCCCTCTCCCCATATTCCTACGCAACCATTCGCTTCCTCCTCCCATCACTATCACAACTCATAAACCTCCAAATTCTCCAATTCCACAGCGGAATCACAACCTTCATGATCCATCTGACCACCGAAGGGATGGCCGGATGTCTCTTCCACATGCCTCCCTCAAATTCGACCATCTCCATGTTGTTCATGAAAATCGGGAGAGTATTTAGAGCAAAGTCCAATGTGACTGCTTTCTTCCCTTGCTCATGCTCGATCTTGACGAGGTCAAATTCCCTGTCAGGGGATGCAAAGCGGGACAGAGCAAGCAAAGCTTGTGGTTCGGCCGCAAGATGAGTGTACAGAGGTTCTGAGAACAAGTCCATGATCTCCAGCAGCCTCTTGGGCTTGAAATCTGATGTGGGGGTTTTGAGACTCGACAAGTAGTCCTTGAAAGTTTTCAAACCTGCGTGGAAGGCCGCTGTATGAAATGTCAGTGGAATTCCGTACTGTTCTCATGACTTAGTTTCTCGTACCATGTTGCTCCACTTCTCCATCCATTACTCCTTTCTGGCCTGTGACTCTCTCAATTTCCTGGAAGTAGTTGACTTCCTCGTGCATATGATGCTGCTCTATACATCTATGCCACGCTAGGCAATACCCAGTGAAATCCTTGTAATCGGACGCTGAGATCCTGGGAGCTTGTTGGTAGATGCTGTTGAAGCCACGGATCAAGGAATTATGGCTCAGCGTCATATGGGAAGCTCCTATGGTGAAAGGATCTTTCTTCTAAAGTTTAGCCCAGTCCATAAGTTGATGATTTATTAGGGGATCGCTACCTTTCCTGTCAGAAAAGCGGGGGTTGCAAGCAGTGCCAGAGGCGTGTCGGTATATAGTGGAGGATCATTAGCCGAAGACATCGTGGTCAGTGGTCAGAAGTAGAAAGGACTTTCAGATGTCAAATTCAAAGACTTCGTACAATTCATGATTTGAAGAGAGCAGCATTGCTTCCCTTTAAACAATTCCAAAGGCCGGTCCTCTCAGCCTCCCTGAGGTTTAGTGCTGATGAGTGGTATGCGAAAAGGGACTTTCCCGTTCGGTCCAGATCACGAGACTTCGTTCGCGGCAGCGACGAGAGCCAATCATTATTCGGCCACAGTTTTAGTGGCTGTGAGAATCAAGGCTCGCGGTGGACAAAAAAGGCGGCACGAAACCCTCCGTGTCCTATGTCAAAGTCGTAAATTGCAGCTAGAGTCTAGCCTCGGAGAGGCACGAATATCATCCTTCGGTTTTCCCTAGATTGTTGAAGAGGGAGACCTTGATTCTGCTACAAGTCGAGGGAACATTAGAAATGAGTCTTTCTAAAATGTTCTAGCTCGACTTGGGACATTGTAAATTCAGTGCCACTTTTTTTTTGTCTAGCACGGAGCAAGGGTATCGGAAGGCAGTTAAGCCATGGCAGCCATGTGTTCATTTATAAGACTTCCGAGCAGGAACGCTCCCTTTGGCCCTTTGCACCCTTGAAAGGGGTGAGGGCTCAAGAACCAACTTGCTCAACAACCTTGAAGTCCGCCAAAGCCTTTTCCAGTGCGCTCAATTTCCGAGGAATAAATTTCGCCTTATATCGTTTTGGCATAGAGACAAGGCTTGTTGGATCTGCACTGCCTCGCACTGGATGGCAATCCACATTGTCGAATTTCTGGATCTCGAATGAATGAAGCATGCGGATGAAGACGAGGTAAAGCTCACGATTCGCAAGCAGCGAGCCAGCACACATGCGGTACCCTAGGCCGTAGCTAAACATAGGTGCATCTGCGTTCTCCTGCTCCAGCCAACGTTCGGGTCGGAACTCGTTGGGATCATCCCATACTTCTTCGTCCATATTACAGCTCCAAGCGTTAAGGAAATAGACTGTCCCATTCGGAATCACGACCCCCTCGTATGTCACGTCCTTGACCGAGACTCGAGGTAGGGCTAGTCGAAGTACGGTGAAGTATCTGTCGAGAGAAATCGTCAGCTTATAGTCTGAATATTGCTTTGGGCCAAAAGAACTCACCTCAAACACTCGCGGGCCAGAGCAACGACGTAAGAGCATTTCTGGTCATCGAGTGCATCACAAAGTGGTTGGTCCACCGAGTAAAACTCCTCGATCTCCTTCCAAGCCTTCTGCTGGATATCTGGATGTTGAGCCAACAATGCAACACTCCACTGAAGAAGTGTTGTAACCGTCTAACAGCCAGGCACTGATCAGCATTGTGTAAATCGAGAAAGCAGAATATACTCACATCAAGGCCCCCTGAAAGCATAGTCAGACTGATTGAGGTAAGCTCTTCACTATTAAGTTTTGCCTCCTCATCAAGTATGACGTTCGCTTGGATACATGGTCGGTGTGTCCCTTTTTCCATTTGATCTTCCAGGCCTTTGTTCAAGGCAGTCAAGTAAACATCTCTACGGTCTCGCATCTCGCCAGCTTTTTTCGATCCAAAGCTGAATGGGTTGAGTCGTAGAAGGGGAATGTAGTCTTGGAGATTACCCGTAGTAGACCGAAACCTGGAAATTTCTTCCTCGACATGCGTAATTTCGTCAAACATTGCGTTCTCTTGGCTGCAACGGATTAGCACCATGTTTCCTTGGAGGGAAGGTAGCAGGAGCATGTCTCATTCTCCCAACAAGAGACATAGGGAGCTCAAAATATGGAGCAAAGAAATATATTGGTTACCTATCCATTCGAACCCCCCAGTTTAATGTAAGAGCCAAGCTAAGACTTAATCTTTGTATACAAGGGAGTGGGTCGACGGGCTCCGATCCTGCCTTCCCGTAATTCAGTAGTTCTGCAATAAAGTCCTTGCTCTCGAGGTCTAAGTGGGATACGTATGTCTGAATCGACGGTCGATTGAGGGCTGACGCGGCACCCTTTCTTCTCCTCTTCAGCGAGTCGCTGTATGGTGATGTCCCGATGGTTGTTCCTGCCGTATTCGATAGAACCTAGAGTTCTTCGTCAGTCGGAATTGAACAATGAAGTTATATGATCGTACCTTGTGGAAAGTATAGAATTCCGGCCTCGAACTCAGTGCCTGAGCATGTTGGCCAAACAAAACCTTCGCAGATGCAGCAGAATTAACCACTACAACCGGAATATTGCCCAATTGTATTTGGTAAACAGCACCATAAGTACGGGCCCATTGTCGATATTTCTCGGCGGCGTTCTTTCGAATTTGCCAGAGATTCCCTATAAGAGGAAGGCCCCTTGGTCCGTGAAGACCAACCACTCGGGCCTGCCGTCGAACGATTTCATTGACCAAAACGTAGAGGATTGGAACCAGAAAGAAGGCCACAGCCAAAGCCTGCAAGGGATCCTCGATGGCTTCGACTTGAGCTGCGTGGAGGAGGTTGCTGATAGCCATTTTCCCTGTCTCAAGTAACGTCTGTTCTTTGAAAAAAGAAAAAAAGGAAACCCTGGTAGAGAGTCCTTGGAGTTCAATTTCACTAGGACCTCGATCATATACTGTGGACGAATGATTAACTGCTGTCTCCGTGCGGAATGGTAACCAGCAAACATTCCGGGGGACTGCGGGGCATTACGGGGAGGAGCGCGGAAACTGTTCCGCAGGTCCTCCAACCCCAGACCCTATTGCGCAGACGTATGATTTTGCCTCACGAGATCCTTGTCCTTGCTATGTGAGAAATATTTCTTCAAGAACGGCCCTTGGGTTTGGCGGTGAAGGGCGCCGAATCAATGGGCTCAACTTGAAATGATAGGGGAAACGGTCGATTGTTGAAACGACTTTTTGTGCTCATGATTTAAGAGTACACATAACTAACTCTATTAGATGCTAGGAGAGAGATCCGTTCTTAACATCGTCATCGTATAGCAGCAAGGCCTGTAGTAATATCTGCCCTCCCAGGGAACAATCTTCAGGGCTCGTATACTCTGCAGGATTGTGGCTGATTCCGTCCTTTGAAGGAACGAATATCATGCTACTTTTGACAACCTTGCTGACCCAGGCTGCATCATGACCAGCACCACTTTTCATATCCATGATCTTGGAAATGCCTACTTCATCAACAGCAGCAGAACGGACAGCTCCGATACAATCATCATGAAATACAGACTCAGGCAAGCCCCACGTTCGAAAGACATGGTAACTCGTGTAGTTGTTCTCCCGCTGCACAATCTCATCAAAACTTTTGAAGATTGCAGAGCAGAGATCCTGGACCATTCTGTCCGTAGAGCAGCGTACATCGATAATGAATTCAACTCCACTTGGAATCGTAGCTTGACTTTGGGTGTCATTGGAGATTACTCCAACCGTGGAAACGCCCAAACCCGTAGTTCTAGCTATATCACTCACACTAGCTATAAGCCGGGATGCTGTGACCAGCGCATCAGATCTCATATCCATTGGAGTAGTCCCAGAATGACCTTCAACACCTGAGACTCGCACAGCAAACCACTTCATGGCTTGTACGGCTGTCACAACGCCGACTTTATTGCCCGTTGCTTCCAGCTTTGGACCTTGCTCAATGTGTAGTTCGAAGTAGCATTCGAGGCCATTCTCTCGATAATCGCAGGGTGTATCTCCCAGGTAGCCAATATCTTCAAGCGCTTTCTTCATCGATAGGCCATCTGTGTCCTTGACCGCATAGCATGCTTCGAGACTAGTTGTGGATTTTGTGGACCAGACTCCTGAACACATCATTGCCCCAGGGAATCGTGCCCCTTCTTCGTTCGTCCAGTCTATGAGGCTGATCGGACAGTGTGTTTGTATATTATTCTCATGTAGGGTCCGGAGAACCTCCAACGCTGCAATCACGCCTAATATGCCGTCGTATCGACCCCCTAAAAGCCCTCGAATCAGCTATGCAGATGCTGGTATTGATTGTGATATTTAGTACCTGCTGGCTGAGTGTCCAAATGGCTTCCCATGGCGATTGGTTTCCTTTCCGTAGAGCTCCCAGGACGCGTTGCAAAGATATTTCCCATGCGATCAACCCTCACATCACAACCCAGCTCTTTACACTGCTGCACGAGCCAATCTCGAACCTCCTTGTCTTCCGGGCTTAATGCTAACCTTCGCATGCCGGTTGAGGCTGCGAGTGCACCCCATGATGTGCTGGTCGATTGTAGTGTGTTGTTCAGACGGTCGCCATTGATTCTCAGTCCTCGATACGCCGCCATCGTGCTCAATTTGGATCACCAATGGCATATAAGACTCAAAGGGTGGCATCGTTGTGCGAATCATGTCCTTTTGTGAAGAATGCGTGTCGGGTCGAGAGTGGGATGGAGTTTGAGGGAGCTCGCGGTGGGCATGGAAAACGGCACAATGTACCTAAGGTTAGTCCCGTAGGCACAATTCCACTGCTCGCTCTCCTAATGTTTTCGGGAGCTTTCATACGTTCAAAAATATTTCGAAAATCTCGGACGCTCTACGCAGTAGAAGATTCACATCTGCTCGTCTCAAATGCCAAATCAATGTTCAGCTTTGAGTGGGTATGGGCCGCTTCGCTAAAATTAAAACCTGGCGGCCCTACGCAAGCTCCGGGGCCAGTTTTAATTTTGCCCTGATCTCGATTCGAGATTAATTAGATAAAGCTCTCTCTCTATTTTTATAAATTACTATACTTCTTAATTATACTTGCAAAGCTCTCCCTCCCCTTTTATAGGCCCTTTTAAGCCTTACTTTTACTTATTAAGCTCTCTCTTAATTTCCCCCCTCCCTTTTCTTTAATTATAGCCATATTGCGCTCGCAAGCTCGCACTAATGTAACGTGTAAGCGTACAGTCTTTTAAAGGCTTTTATTTAAATAATTATTAACTTCTAAAGGCTATTTTCTATCGTCTTTTATAAGACACCCGTAGCGTTCTCTTGCCCTTGCCTCTCTAAGCTCCTGCTCGCCCGATTCCCTAGTACGTACTTGTATATGTCTTTGAAGCTCGTCTCTTGTAGGCTTATTTTCAAGTCTCGATACCCTTGCTTGTTCCTTTCTTTGAATCCCACGTCGACGGTTTGACTTTTGCTTCCGTTTTCGGCATATAGAGTACGTAAAGAAGTGTCCAAATTCAGAAGGGGGGCGTTTTTGATTGCAACTGGAGCAGTATTCTAAGGGAAAGGGTTAGTAAGTATTTACGGACAGGTTTTCCTACTTACGGGCTATAGGCTCGTCTGTAAATTGATTTACAGATACCTCTTCGTCCGCAAGCTCCTCCTCTTTATTCGCAGGTCCTTCTTCTTTATCCGTAGGTATATCCTCTTTATCCGCAAGCCCTTTCTCCCTTTATATCTCTAAATATTGGCTAGCCGTAAGCCAGTACCACGCTTCCTCCTGCTCCTGCTCCTGCTCCTGCTCTTGCTCTTACTCCTGCTTCCCCCTCTTATACTCGTCCGTAAACTACTATATATTAGCCCCGCTACTTACTATTTGCAAGCTCTTACCGGATCGTTCTCTTCCCATTTCCTCTCTTGCTCTATCTCCTACTGCTTCTCCTCTTTATCCCACTGCCATTCGTCGTCTTGTAATCGAGCCTGGAACTCCCTCTACTCGTCCCAAGCCTCCCTTTGGGCTTCTCCTTCTGCTAATGCCTTCTCCAAGTCCACAGGATCCCATATCCCACGCTTTTGTGCCCGTAGCTTTGCTCTCTTTGCCCATAAGACCTGCCGGTCGTGCCTTTCTTGTATAAACTCGCCCGTAGCTTTACGGTATTGGTCGTGCTTTCGTATAAGGCAGATTTCGCAAGTATAAAGTCGATATCCGTTCTCGTGAAAAGGGAAGCTTATAATTGGGCGAAAGGACTTGCACCTGGAGCAGCGTAGCCGGTTTAAAGGAAGGGTGTCCATTGGGAGCCTGCGGAGCCTGTAAAGCCTGTGAATTAGCCTATAAACCTTGTAAAAGGGAGCCTGTGGAACCTGTGAAGTCTATAGAGCTTGTGGAGCCTGTAAAGCCTGTGAAATGGAGCCTGAACTATGGAGCGGGCCTAAAGTTTTGGTATTCCCGAAGTTTGGTATTCCCGTACAGACGCATTCACGTGACAGCGTCCGTTTTCTCCGGAAAATAGCGAAAATGTAAGATAGACGAGTTTAGGGCCGCTCCGCTAAAATTATTACTGGCGGCCCTACGCAAGCTCCGGGGCCAGTAATAATTTTGCCCTAAACTCGTCCCGAGTAGGGTTAGAATTAAAGGGGATATGTGACTTGGTAAAGGCCTTTACGGATAGTATAAGAAGAAAAATAGCCTGTAAATACGCAAAGTCACCCGTAAGTAAGTCAAAAGCTAAGTAAGACCTTGTAATATTTCTGGGTATATTATATTACTCGTACGGTTTATATTAGGGGGTAAAAGAATACAAAGCCCTGCCTATAAGGTTACCCGTAAGGCTGCCATATAGAACTGGCCGTAAGAAAAGACCGGGGACCGTAAATCCACTTCTACTGCCTCAAATAACTGGCCTTGTAACTTATTAATAGTTATTATAAAGAATAAAGCAAGTGGAAACTGCTTACGAGAGAGCATAAAAGATAGTTACTAATCCATTAACTGGAGCTTGATCCGTGGAATCGTCCGTAATTAGCCGTCAAAGTCATTACCTAGTAGCCATATATGAATCGAGAACCTCCCAAAGCTATAAATCAATATCCGTAACCCGTTATAAAGCCCTTCCTGCGGACAGAGATTCCGCAAGAGTATTACGGGTACGCCGATCTTGAGTCATAGCTTAGAGAGGGGCAGACCTAGTAAACAGATATTCTATAAGATCTCTGGAGGTAATTCTGTAATCTCAGGATCTGCCTCGTTTATATCGGCCGAATCTATTACAAAATACGTCCGTTCCTGGCCAGGGAGTATATCCAGGATTATTTAGTTAAGCTTGCGGACCGTATTATTTAGGGTTAATAGGATTACCCGTCCGCTAAAGGCCTGGTAATTATACAGGGCCCGCAAGAGTCGCTCTCGCGGGTAGACGTGATTAATCAGGTCTGTAACTGACTAGGTACGCGGAATAAAAGGCGGGAGCGTAATCTGCCTATTTAAAGACGGGTCATATGGCAGACTACTAATCCAGTCTACAAAATCCTGCTCGGACGGGTTATTATAGACCCGTATATTAATCCGTAATAATAGCTAATAGAGCCATAGCCAGATCTATGTCCGCTATAGGTAGGCCCGTACCGTATTGGCCCGCAAACCGTATGGGACTACTAGTAAGATCTGGGCAAAGTCCCCCCTAAGGATTACGGGCACCCCTCCAAAAAGAACATCGTCCGCGACCGATCGTAAATCGACTATTAGCCGGTATACTACCTTAAAGCAGTACTTGTACTATATGAGTACCTCGTCCCAGATAATTAGGTCCGTAGATCGCAAGAGAGCCCCGAGCCAGCTTGTCTTGGTAATCATACTTATAGATGACTTATCGAGCTTAAGCAGGATCCGGAACTAGAAGTGAGACGTATGTCTGTCCGGGAAAAAGAGAGCCGCAATACCCGTTAATGCCACGTATAGGACTACCTTACCTTGGCTATGATAATAGTAGCAGAGGGTCTTATAAAGGAACGTCTTACCGGTCCCGCCCGGGCCTTGCAAGTAGAAGTGGGTAGTCTGCGAATCGTCCGTAATTACCGCTATAATTATCTGGAAGCAAGAGCACTAGTCCACGTTTAGCTAGGCTTGTATTACGGTCGCTAGCGACATCTTATGGGTATGATCGACCCGCAGATTAGCTATACGGTAGCTTACGGTCTAGTCAAAGATATTCTCAGGCAGGGCAATATCCGTAAGCATCCGCTGGAGATCCGCAAGGCCGAGACCAAGCAAAAAGAGGCCGTAATTATAGTAAGGATTAACTAAGGGTAGCGGGAAGTTAATTAACGGGTCGTAGGCGAGCTTGCGGGCCAAGTCATTATAGAAATACTCCTTATACCGGTCCCAGATCGCTTGCGTATCCGTAATTAGCTACTGGCGGATGCCCGTAAGAAAGAGTATCCGTAAACCATAGCTAGTTATTAATAAAATAGCCTCGTTAAAGTACTAGAACTACTCCTAATTATTCTCTGCCAAGCCGCAGGCGATATAGGCAGCATAGTATGTGGGATAACGGACGCCCTTGACCAAATATAGCTCGTTAAAGGACCGCAGACCATATATGACTATTAGTAAGAGCCGTAAGTAGAACCGCTCGCCCGAAACTGGGCTATAATAGTAAATACGGCCAATACTATACCCTTGCTTATAGGGCTTCTATATCCGGGTCTTGGTAACCTATATAAAGTGCTATGGGAACTCGTAGTAGAGGTACTAGCGGCCGTCCTTATACGTTACATTATACTCAAAGAAGGCCATTAAGGTCGAGCGGGTATTTGCGGCCCGGTCCGTGATCTGCTCGGGCAAGAGATCGGCCGTAAAGCAGACTATATACTGCCCCGGGAGGTGGATTGCGAGGTATTAAACCGGGGGGAACTCCTAGTATATTAGGCACTTGAACAGGCGCCAGAAAGCCTTTATAGGGCCTATATACCGAGCTTGGAGGTACTAGGTAATCTTATTATTCGTTCCCGAGATAGTAATAGTTATACGGTCTGTTCCTTTATAGATATACTTATAGATATACTTGATTACTTATACGGATATATAAACCTTAATATTAATATACGAGCGGAACTTCTGGAAGAGGTACGGGTTATACGGAACGATCTAGTGGTTATTACGGACGACTTCCTGGCCTGAAAAGCCGGGTTTGCGGACCGTAAACATACGGCCGTTATCCCGGCGCCGGTACTCGGGATACTCATCCTCGCAGATAATTATTATAGCCGTAAATGCCTTGGGGAACCTCTTCTGGTATGTGAGCAGGGCTATAGGCGTACTACGGGCTATATACGGGGCTTTCGGATTATTATTGAGGCCATACGGCCCGTAAGATATCTGGCTAGTAACTACGGCCGTAAGTTCGCCCGTAGGATCCTATAACGGGTCTGGAAGCTCGGTATAAATAACCTCGTCGACTAAATCAGGGATTAAGAAAATAGTATCCCTCCTAAGAAATAAGAGCAGGTATATATACAGGAGGCTATACTTCTGGTACTTAATCGTATATATATGGCCCGTATATTATCCGAAAAGGTGATTCTTAAGGTCCGCAAGAAGCTCTCTTACCTTTAGGACAAAGACCCGGTAAAGGAGATCCGGACGATTAATTGCTTACTGCCCGTTTAAGAGGTAATCTATAATCTCAGGCCAGTGCGGGTTAGCTATAAACGTAATAAAGAAGTTTGGCTTATTAAAGTACCGTATAATAGCCATCGAGTCTTGAAAGAGCTACTATATAAAGCAATTACTGCCCGTAAAGCTTGACGGGAGGATAAAGCAATGGCCAATATTGCCCGTATAGACGTTCTTGCGGATTAGAGCATTCGTAAGTCCCATATAGATATCCGTACGGATATTCTACTAGTATAAGCGGAGCCAGTCGAGCGAGGTCGTCTTACAGGTAATATATGCATTAATAACGTACTACTAGAAGAAGCGGCCAGTATAAAAGAGTAGGGAGAAGGCTAGACGGATATAGAGGTAGTACCGGTAAAAGGCCCGCTATTCGAGCTGTATTCGCTAGCGGGTCCCGGTATAGTCCTGTAACTATAACTCGTAGTACTAGCCCGGGTTACTATACGGGAAGAGCAAGATATAGTAGAGCGGCATATATACTACGTATATAACGTTAACCGTATATAGCTATGGATACTCGCGGCCTGCCTTGCGGACCGTTAGTACCAGATTGCGGCGGCTTGCATCCGTATACTTGTCCGGGATTAGGACGGTAACCTCGTTACTTATAGGGAGGTTCTTATGACGATAATCCGCATCCGACTCGAGGATTAAGCGTATCTGCGAGTTAAGTAAGACCCGGAAATCGGTTTACTGGCTCGTAAGACACTTGCGGGCCGTCTTATAGACCGTAATAAACGGATTATAGTCCGTAAGCATATCCGTAAGCTATAAAAGGACCATATGATCTAAGCGAGGGAAGTTAGTAGCCCGGATATTAGTTATAAAGAGCGGGTCGTAGAAGAAGAGCTATGCAAAGGAGGGTTCGGCGTATATAGCAGGCTATAGCGGGCCTTGGAAGTAGAAGAGCTCGCCATAGATCTGAAAGTACTGGATCCTACGGGAGAAGTTAATCCGGGCGTCCTTCTTATAGCTAATTAATATAAAGGCAAAAGCATAATTATATGCCCGGATATTTGTCTGGAAGGCCCGGCAGAGCGGGTTATTGCCCGTAAAGAGGTAAGAGAGGTATGGAGGAGGCTTGCGGATTAGAGGAAGTATCACGTCGCCCTTCTTGTAACAGGCCTCAAAGCGATCGTCCATATGGCCAAAATAGAGGGCTCCGCAAGCTATATAGCGACCCGTAAGCGGACCGGTCATATGTGCGGGAGCTGGCCGGAAGCGGGAGAGGAAGGCAGGAGGCCGTATAGGAGGTAGGTCGGCTGGAGGGTCCTCCACGATATAAACGGGGGCCGCGACGGACGGTTGACGGATCCGTCGCTGGCGCCGTGGGGCTGGCTCGTCCGCAGAAACGTCCGTAACCGACCGTCGTCATCGCCGGGAGGTAGGGAGGGCATTCGGATCGAGTTCTTGCAAGGCAGAGCACCGCTGGATACGATTAGTAGTATTTCGGGCCTATTAACTAGTTAATTAAGCCAGAAAAGGGGGAGGATACAAACTCGACAGTGAGAGCAAGTCTTATATGGCTTAGCCCGCTCTGTAATAAAGTCAGAAGCAGGCCGGTTCTGCTTACAGGAAGTACAAAAGCGGGGAGGGTCTATAGTAATAGAGAGAAGAAGGAGAGGAGAGTAATGTGAGGTCAGGATTTTTTTTTAGCGCTTTTTACGGGGCCCCTAGCTTAAGATTTTCCCCCGAGCTTTAAAAAATCGTAAGAAAAGCCCCTCGCATTCCAGAACCACTAAAATAGAGAGAAAGGTACTTGAGCTTCTCCTCTCTAATCCCCAGCTGAGCCCTAAGGATTTGGACGGAATCGCGTTCCGATGCGCGATTCCCTAGAAGAGGGAGATTCTGGTGTTCCTCACGTGACCCGTTTTTTTTTACGGAGCCCCGTGAGCCAACCGCTTAGGGTGGCCTGAACGTAGGACAATATAGAGAAGAAGACAGTACAATGAAAATTAGTGTCTTTTTATGTCCGCCGCGGCGGGCGCCTCGATTGAACGCGATTTTTTCAGTGGCCCAAGCACAATTTCTTTCTGTAGTCCAGCAACGCATTTTGTGGCTCAAAGAGCCAGGGGGAAACAGTCAGAGCAAGCCTCCAAATGAAGTCCCTCTCGTTCGTCTATAACCTAAACCTCTCTCATCACTTCCATTGGCGTCTTGTGGGGGATAGAGCAGTCCCGACGACAAAGGCAATCGGAGGCCTTTGAAGACCGCGAATTACTTGAATAATTTTAGAGGTTTGTTATTAAACTCGACTTGATCGATAATATGAACCAATCACTGACATATAGCAGATGTCTACCACCGGACGCAGTGAGGCATTGTACACTCGAGAGCAAGTCAATGATTACCTCTCCTACATTTCCTTTCCCGTGACCAAATACAACATCACTCCAGAGTCCACCCAGACAGAAGATTGCCTTGCATATCTCTCTGCTCTTCAGAAATATCAGCTTTCAAAGGTTCCGTTTGAGAACCTAGAACTGCATTACTCAAAAGAACGTCACATTTCGCTAGACGCACCGGACCTCTTCGAGAAGATCGTTGCTTCTAAGAATGGGAGAGGTGGATATTGTATGGAGAACAACGCCTTCTTTGGGGCCATCCTGAAGACGCTGGGATTTGAAGTTATTCCTACAGGTGCAAGAGTCTTACTTTCCGGTGGATCTGGTGGATGGTAAGGAATAATCTCATCTCAGCTCACCATCCCATGCCTGGTTTGAGTTAAAGAATCCCTGTAAATTTAGTCGCTTACTTGGATCTGTAACAACAGGAGTCATTCTGTTAATCTGGTCTATATTGCTGGCCAGACTTATCTTATCGACGTCGGATTTGGCGGTAAGTTGAAAGCTCTTGAGCCCACAACATTTCCCGATTAAGTCGTTGATCAGGGAATGGCCCTACGAGGCCCCTTCCTCTTGTGGATGGACATATATCAAAATGGGGAGCTACAGAAACAGAACTGAGATTGATCTACCGTGAGCCAACAAATTCTGTAGTTCAAGGCATGTGGATTTTTGAAAGCAGAATATCGAACCAACATGATTGGACGCCAAATTATTGCTTTGGGTTAACTGAATTCCTGCCGCAAGACTTCGAGGTCATGAATTATGCAACATCTACCCGGAGAACGAGTTGGTTTACATTCGATATCATCTGCCTGAAGATGATTCTGGACGAGGAGAAGGACGACATAATCGGAGCTCTGTTTCTTTCGGGCTCGACGCTGAAGAGGAGAAGGTTTGGGACTACCGAAACCATTACTGAATGTGCCAATGAAGATCAACGAGCATCAGTATTGAAAGAGCACTTCGGAATAAGTTTGTCCCGCCGAGAGCGCAGTGGTATCAAAGGCATGGTCACCGAGCTGAAAGGGGGTAGTAAATCGGGTCTCTGATTAGAGACTTTACAATGATCTGGGATTTTTCCAAGTCTCTCCAATATACACCGGCTCGTCTATAACAACTAGCAACAAAACAATGGCGCAAACCACCTAGAATCTGAGCTCTCTGGCGACACGCTTGTGCGCCAGTTATTGCCCGTTCCCAGCCGATTTGGATGTCTCGACAGAAAGTGACTGTTAGAATGATAGATCAACCGCGCTCATAAGTCATCGGTGACACGATGGGGGGGTTCAAGATGGTTTGGGGACTTGTCCCAGACTTTACCACATATTTGGAATAAACTCTTGCTCCTGAAGTTCCAGGCTGTTCTGACAAGAGTTTGAAGTTGGAGGATTCAATCTAGGCTGCAGGACGCACATTTCTGGGGGTTGAATACCCGCACTCTTCAGCAATTCATCCTGAGCGATTGCTTCCGGCTCTGGCGTCAAGACATCTCAGCGTCAACTCAAAAGCCTTCCACTTCCGAAGTTCTGTTTCTAAGGAACGTTACATCATTTCCCGTCTTCAAGTTTCAATTGTATCGCATTTGGCTAAGTTGAGCCGAAACATGAGTCGGCAGTCTGCAGCTTTCCGTTACCACTACTGCGTTGACCGTCATGACTCGCGTCCGTTCGCCTAAATAGGGGTAAGGTTTCTGTGTGGCTTCTCGTTCGATGGTGGACTCCAAGTGCTTCACCCACAGTCTCCGTGCGTATTGCTCGATATTTATTTGCTAATTCAAGTGATAAACATCTGGCAGATATCATTTGGTGTCTGAGACTCGCAATCTCGTTTCCAACTTATTTGCCATTTCGATGGAATGAAGAATCTGGACACTAAGACTGCTTGAATCTCGTTCAAAGCTTGCTGCCACTCTGTATCAGAGAAATATCTAGTCGGCCAAATTTGAATTGGATCACCACTTCTGCGGGTGTGAGGCAAGCAGCCACCCGCGCAGCCGAGGATCGAGGCGTACTGGTCGACTTGCTGCGCAGAGACACTCTGACCAAGATCCGGTCTCCTTTCCTCTTGAAATCTTAATTGGAATTGTTTTCCCACATCTTTTCCTTTCTTTATGCATCGTTACAGTCGTTCATCATGAAATTTCTTGCACTGATACTTCTGGCCGCTGGCCTCATCCAAGCACTACCTGGATTACACAAAGCCCGTACTTCAAAGGGTCCCAAGAAAGCCCCTCAGCCAACGGTGAGGATTTCGGATAGCCTTGAATCCACTTAGCTAATATCCAACTCCAAATCAGTGTATCCGTGACAAGCTTTACAGTATCTTTCACGACGATCGATATTGCTCAAGCGCGAAAGCCTTCTGCAGCCAGTACATCGCCGTGACGACCGTCTCGACCACTGTAGTAAAGGTAACTGTAACCTCATATACCAGTGTTTTTGACACCACTTCTACTGTTACAGCTGTTTGGTAAGCATCCGGTCCGAAATCGTGTTGGTTGCATACGCTTTCTGACGGATACCAGCTTGACAACAAAGACCTCAACAACTACCGCTTCCGCCTTTCCGAAAGTGAAGCGTTCTCCTTTACCTCCCACTTTTGCTCCTGGCAACGCTGGAATACACCCTCCGGAGTTACTTAGCAGCGCTTGCTCTTGTTTAGTATCTCCGGTAATCAAGGTTAGGCAGATAGCTACCAGCACAACAATAACCACTCGGAATGTAAGTTGTCAAACAGGTTTTGGGTTGAGCACAGTAAAGTTGACATTCAACTCAGTGGACACGCCACTTCACCAGGCTCACGACCAAGACCATCCAGTCTACCGCTCCCACGACAAAAACTGCTGTTACCCCATCCCTTCCTTCCAACTCGACAGACCCTGGTAGCCAAAGTAGCTCAGGCAACTCAGATACGCCTTCAAGATCTGTACCTACAACTTCAGTCGCTACTTCGGCAACGCTCCCTGCTATCCAATCTCCGAGCGTATCCGACTTCCCTCCGGCGACTTCAGTCACTACATCTTCAACTCTTACTGCTCAGTCTTCAAACGTATTCGACTCTTCATCAACGGCTCTCCCTACTTCCCAATCTCCAATCATATCCGACTCATCACCGGCGACCCCCATTGCTGCTGCTTCAACACTCCCTAATACTCAGTCTCCCACTCCGTCTGACTTTCCACCGGCTTCAGCCGCTGCCACCTCAACCCAACCGGTAACTCAGCCTTCAAGCCTTCTTACCGTTTCACAAACGACCTCAAGTACTGCAGTTTCAACGCATCAAATCGCCCAATCTCCAGGTCTATCTGGCTCTTCTCCAATGACCTCAGGTGCTGCAGCCTCCACTACAGCGGTACGTTCCTCACAGACCCTCTCCACTCCTGAATAATCCCACCTGATGTTTCAAACAGGGTGTCATCGCTGCTCCTTCATCAACGATCGAACCATCTTCCCCACCTTCTCCAGCCGCTTACTGCACAGCTGCAGCTGGAGAGTTAATCGGTCCCATAAGTCAGCGGCCGTTCAACCCAGAGTGCGGATTTTCCTACGCTCCTTCACCCGTGGATCCCAGCACCATCTATACCGTTGCCTCGTACCTAGACTGTCTCGTGATCTGCGATGCTGATCCATTTTGTGCGGCATTTTCGTACTTCTTTACACTTGCAACAGTCAATTGTTATGCATCCAATATCAACGAGGATTTCATATTCCCACCTGAACTGGATCCTAATGTCGACAGTGGGGAAAACGATCTTGGTGAGATCCCTTAATGATGCACGGGTTTGCCCTCAAAAGAGATATAAGAAAAAAATTTGAGATATTTCTGATAGGACTACGTGAATGAGTGGGCCGAGAGGCGGATGAAATGGATGCGCTTTTGTTATTTGATCTTCTTGAATGAAAGGCATTTAATTATTGATAGTCACTTTATTCATAAACCAGATTTGGGTGAACAAGGTTCAGATCTTTAACCTGGACTCAAAAGAAGCACAATCGGCAAGAACCTGCGCGGGCTCTGTGAGAGGAAAGCACATCAATATTCAAAAGTCCTCCGTCTCTATTAGCGATACCTTGTGATGAGTAACAGATTCACAATAAATAAAGGGGAGGATATTTAGAGAGAAACGCAGATGAGGAGAGTGGAAGCACTTCAACCCAACTTAGAAGAAAGTTCGCCCCTTTGCTCAGTCCTCTTCGACACTCGTCATTGCCCAACACTTCGTGAACCCGAAGTCTAAAAATATAAAAGGTGGGGGTTTTCTTGCTTGACCCCCGTCGCCGAAAATTACCAATTCAAGCCACTGATTCGACGGCAATTCCTCCAAAGCGGGGAATTTTCCGCGTCCAGCATCGCGGTATAATTGAAGCCGAGATCGCATCCTAAACTTTCTTTCTCTTCTCAAGCATTGTATTCGTCTGATGTTCAACATGGCAAAAATATTCGATGCTGCTGAAGGTACGATCTGAATTCCCGCCTGTCCTGTTCTGCGTTGACAGTTTCTCCAGTTGCAAAGCACAACAGTCCCAATGACTGCTGGGTGGTGCTCTATGGCGATGTTTGGGATGTCTCCGAATTCCTCCCCTCTCACCCCGGTGGCTCCAAGATCATACTCAAGCTCGCAGGCCGCGATGCCACGGAAGAATATGACCCCATACATCCTCCTGGCACCTTAGAAGAAAACCTCAAAGCCTCCGCCAAGCTCGGGAAGCTCGATCCCTCGACATTACGCAAGCCCAGCACCGATGTCGCCGAGAAGGAACAAATGAAAGATGGACCACCGAATATGCACAGTTTGCTGAATCTAGATGAGATTGAAGAGGTTGCAACAAAGCAAGTGTCGAAGAAATGCTGGGCATACTATTATTCCGCTTCCGATGACCTTATCTCGAAGAGCTTCAACAATTTGGTGTACAAACAGATCCTGTTACGGCCAAGGGTGTTTGTGGACTGTACGAAATGCGATACTTCGACTACGCTCCTTGGACATAAAGTTGGGATCCCGTTATATGTTTCTCCTGCTGCGATGGCGAGGTTGGCACATCCTGCTGGTGAGCGGGGTATTGCTCAGGGCATAAGCCCATTCGGGGCCCTGCAGGTTGTCTCGAACAATGCATCTATGACCCCGGAACAAATTGTCGAGGGTTCATTACCTGGTCAGATCTTTGGATGGCAAATATATGTGCAAAATGATAGGAGCAAGAGCGAAGCCATGTTGGCTAGGATCAACAAGATGTCGGACAAATACAAATTCATTGTCTTGACTTTAGATGCGCCGGTGCCTGGTAAAAGAGAGCACGATGAGAAAACTCAGGAAATTGGAGCATCACTTCCTGTATCATCTGGTGTCAAGACTGCCGAGGAGCCAAAGAGACCCGGTGGTGGCGGGGTGGGACAGCAGTTGTTCTGGGGAACAGCTGCTGATCTCACTTGGAAGAGTACACTCCAGTGGTTGGCAAAACACACTTCGATGCCAATTGTGCTGAAGGGCCTTCAGACGCATGAAGATGCATATTTGGCTGCGCAGTATGCACCTCAAGTGAAGGCTATCATTTTGTCAAATCATGGAGGACGAGCTCTTGATACTGCGCCTCCGGCTGTCCATACCCTTTTGGAGATCAGGAAATATTGTCCAGAAGTGTTCAGCAGAATCGAGGTCTGGGTGGATGGTGGCATCAAAAGAGGAACAGATGTCGTGAAAGCTTTGTGCCTAGGTGCTAAAGCCGTGGGCGTTGGCAGAGCTGCGCTGTTCGGCCTCGGAGCAGGTGGTGTCGAGGGTGTGGAGAGGACTTTTGAGAGTAAGAAGCCTGCTCACTTAGTTTTTGGTGGTCATACTTACAGAATTTCTAGTCCTGAAAGCAGAGACAGAGACCTGCATGAAGCTTCTCGGTGCCGAAAAGATCAGCGATTTGGGTCTAAAACATGTAAGGCACCTATTTCCATGCTCATCATGAAATACTAACCTTCTTGACTAGATCAATACAAGAGCGGTGGAACGAGATATATATGACGGCCATGCAGGGTTAGAGAAACTTGGCCTATGGGTCAAGGCGAATCTATAGAGGGTTTTTATGATAAACCGAAATCTATACCTGATTCTGATCAATCCATTGCCTCTAAATCCCAGTTTAAAGCCCCACCGCTCCAGATATTTCTCCAGATTCCCATCCACGTCCTTCTTCGCCGCCAGCCTCCCTTCCTCATTCTTTCTATTCAGTCACCTTCCATCAAAAAATAGAGCGGGCAAACATCAATCAAGAATCAATACAGCGCAGCCACCTCCTCAACGCACGCAATATTCGCCGGATTCAGCACCTTCTGCTTCTCAATCTCCTCATATCACATCTTCGCAAGTTCCCAATTGACTTCCGATTCCTCCCCTTCAGCGGGGTAAAGGCAGTGGCAGCGAAACCGTTGAGCATCGCTTGACGTAACGTTTCCATCTCTTCACTTCCAGAGAACCCATAAGGAGGCCGTGAATGGACGGGAAGGACGAGAAATCCTCATCAGCTGCTGAAGCGACGTGTGCGAAGTTGAAATCAAGGATTGCTGTGTGGCGATTTGACTTCGGATCAAACAAGATGTTGTGCAAATCTATTCTTGTTAGTTGACAGTCAAATTGTGAAATGTAAAAAGTAAGTGAGATACCGAGATCACCATGCACGAGAGCTGGGTTTGTGAGCGAGAATCCCGACAGCACTTTCGGGATTCCTGTCTTGAGAAAGCTTTGGAGATGGGTTTGAAGAGTTGGATTTGATTTCCAGCCATCGACTAAGGGGGTTGTCTCTGCAAAATCGAGTTGCATCTTCATTTCTTCGAGATAAATCCTGGCGTAGGTGGCAAAAGGACTACCCCAGGGGTAGGTAATCGGACTACTGGCAATTTCTCCCTTTTCTCCGAAGCGTAGACCACCATATTTTGTTATCGTTGAGGGAAGTTTGTAAGATTAATTTTGAATCATCTTGAAGACTCGAGCAAGTTGGGACAAGATATTTAGTTGCTGTGAAGGCGAAAGAGTCTGAAAGGTCCTGTCCAAAGGCTCGCCGGGCATGCACTGCTCCATTATCCAGCCATTCCCTCCGATGCGCTGTTCCAGTTGTGTCCTTCGGGGATGAGGCTCGAGTCATAGTTTAAGAGAGCGCCTCGCATGAGGAAGATTGCAGCAACTTCGTTTTGAACGCGGATACCATGATTCAGCTGGGCATCGGGATTGGAAAGTCGTGCAACTACTTGTTTTGTACTCCCTTGGAGAAAGGCTGTCCCTGGGTTTCGTTCAGAAGATGAAATCTTGGAGGGCGTGGCCGACGCTTCTCCAATGGAGACGAGATAAATCCAGTTGTTAGAATCCCATCCAAGAGTTTCAACTGATGTAGCCTGAAGGTATCCGTGAGCTCTTGGCATTGGAATCGGTTTGCCTCGTGGCCATAACGCTCCTTTAAGAGAGTGTTGATGAAAGAATGCTGTTTTCCCGCGGCCTGCTTCTTTTGGGAAGTCTGCCATTCTGATTTTGAGGAGAACGGCCAGGGAGATGTTCACCATTTTGAATATGTTATGAAACCGGTAGGTTAAAGCTCATTGAAGAGGAGTTCTCTACCCGTATTTATAGGAGAAGCTTTGGCCACATCCTAAGTTGAGACTCACATGATACAGATTAGAAGCTTAATAATGGCCGCTTTGAATGGCTCATTGCTTTTTCAGAAGATAAGGTCAATGTGCTGTGCCGTACTCGAGCATAGTTTTAGCCACATCCTACAATATGAAACGCAAGTGTTTCATGAGCATGCCTTTGGCGTGAGAACTGCTGTTGTTGCTGGGACTGCTTTGGTTGTTCAAAGGGGAAATAAGCGAGACGCCAATAAAGAGAAAAGGGGGTTTTGAGCAGTGCCTCAGGGATTTGAACATTGTACAATGTGACAGGCCCTCAACTTTTGCAGGTTGAGTCATTTTCAAGCGGAAGTTGCAGTAATAACATAGAATTTGACCAGGCCCGGATTGAAAATTCTATTTCCTTCTTGATCATTTCTAAATCTTGCAAAGCTTTTGTTAGGTTGCTCTTTCCAGGAATATCAAAGGAAGTCAAAGAATCAGAGCAGAGAATTATCTCATCATCTCTAGAAAGTTAGTTCAAGTATATCACAAATCCGTTTCTGAATTTCTTTGATAATTAAGAGAAGATGCAAAGGAATCATTGGGTACCGACGGAGAAGGTATCACATACCGTATTGGAAAATCGTCTCTTCTTTTTGAGTGCATAGGGAAGGTGCGACTCTAAGTCGTCACCTACTTTATTATCTTGACAGTTTAAAAGTGACAAAAACTTATTAGCTCTGTTTTAGTGAATCTTGGTTATAGTGAAATTAAGTGATAGTTCCCTCAATTTCATAGCTTAGTGAACACAATTGATAAGTTCAATTTCCGCAATGGTATAGCCCGTCTCTGCTTGCCCCTTTTCTGTGTTTTTTCTCCTATGTCATAAAATCTTGAGGACATCAAAAATGGTTGAAGATGGAGGGCAACCATTCCAGGGAAAGGGGGACGTAAATGGGGCTTCACAACGCAGTCAGGTCCTTTTTTGATGCCTGGTAAAAATTCAGCATAGCAAACACCCACAATAAGTGCTACTCTCACTTGAATTTGTTAATCTATCCTCTGTTCATTTCTCTGTTCCCTACTACCTCTGAAGATATGAGACCTCCAACTTTACCCTCTCCTCTCCATTGTTCCTGTATTTTTAGGCCCCAATCTGGCGATGTCATCATAAGTTGCTTGGTAATTTCGTCTGATGCCTTTAAATTGTGTGTGAATCATCGCCACCTCTTTGGTGCAATTGGCTTGGGAAATTTGAGGACTACTCCTTGGAAAGCCAGTGTTGAAGGACAAATTTTCGTAACTTATATTTCGCGCAACCAACCACAGCCTTTCCAAAACACAATAGCTTGATAATTTCGTCTGATGTCTTTCAACAGTCCGTGAATTATGGTCAGCTCTCACCTGGGGCTTGACTTGGAGGAATTTGACAGACTACTTACAAAGGTGCAGTTTAAATTTGGGTTCTTGCAAAATAAATTCCACGTAATTGACTATAATCATTGCAAACACAATGCGTATTAATTTCGTTTGATGTCTTTAATAGTCTGTGAATCATCGTGGCTATCACGTAGCAATTCACTTGTGGAAATTTAGAGACTACTCGTTGTAAAGGCGGCATCGAACTGCCGGCTCTTGCAATATAAAATTCGCCCAACCGACAATAACTTTTCCAAAACACAACAACCTTCTTCCACCTCAACCACCATCTGTTCTCCAACCTAGAGCAAACACATTCTTGCATAAAGCTTTGCACTTGCAGAGCATTACCACTTGTTCTTTACACCTGATCTTTCATCCACCTTCTTTTCTCCGGCCCGCCAGTTGTTGAGGTTGGCTGTCGCATCAAGAGATCGGCGACCGTCGCTCACCCTTATTTATCAACTTCCTCTTAACCGCTCTGAGTTCGACTTCTTTTCTTTACCTTTTTGAGGAATTGAGTCAAGCTGTTGCACAAAAAGATCGGGTGACATTGACCGGCTCCGGCTCACCGTCCCCTTCACCCCGCAAATGGTTCTTGCATAGCACGGTTTCGCTTCGATTCTCTGACTTGCTCTAAAGTCGAACCAAGTCCGTCGGCATCCCATCGCGTCGCCGTCACCTCAAAAATATTAAGATCACAATCACCTCTCTGTCACTAAGGCAAGATAACAACTCCTCGCCTCATCGACCTTTTTTGTACACCTCCTATCCGCAAGACAACAACTCCTCGTCTCAACATGACCCGAAGCAAAGCCCCTAATGAAGGTGGCGATGAGCCTCATTTCCCGAATCTGACCAAGGTCCTAGAGGTTTCTCCGACTACGCCCAACTATGTTCTTCCGAACAAGGCTTCCGGAAGCGCCTCGACTGCCAGCCCAAAGCTTGCCTCAGCTGGCAGTTCAAGATCCACCCCAGTCACGACCAAGGCTCTTCCATCTGATGCTGAGGCCACCCCCAAGGATTGGGTAAAGTTTGGCAGTAAGCTGCGCAACGAACTGGCTCAATCTGACTTTGAGCAAGATGATGATGCTACCCCGAAGATCCGAAACCTATGGGATACGGATTCTGATCCAGATCCAGATCACGACCACGAAGACCGCGAGGAAGCCCCGACTGGTCCCGCCAAGCGTGGCAGTGAGTTCCGCAACCCATACCTCGACCATGACCGTGAGGATGGATCCACTGAGCCGTCCAACCCCGGCAATAGGCCGCATGACAAGTTCGAGACAATTTCAGTCCACACGGCTAAGTGTGACCAGTGTGGAGGCCGCAACAAAAAGGTTGTTCAGCGATGCAAGAACTGCAATCTCCAATTCTGCCGTGAATGCCTTGAGAAGAACCATGACGGACAACATTTCGCCAATGTCGAGGCTTTGGACTGGACACCCAAGCCAATGATCCGTAGCAAGCGTACAAATGAGGAAACCAAGAAGAAGAAGGCAGCGGTCACAAAGGCTGCAGCAAGCAAAGCCCCGAAGCATGTCCCTCCACTATCATGATATTTGGCCGTGCTAACTGGTTTGTTTCTAGGAAAGCCTCCCCTGCTGTTCCCACCCGAGCTCCTAGCGAGAGAGTCCAAATTGCCGAAGCCCGCCGACGAAGCACTATCCCAGCTGACGATGACATGATCGGCCATATGCATGAGGAAGTCCCCAGACGTCGTCAACGCTTCGATGATTTCGAATATAATGAGGGTGTGCCCAGCAAGTTCAAGCGTCATTACAGCGATGACGAGGATGATGATAGGATGCCAAAGAAGCCGAGAGGTGGACTTGAAGTTGATCCTGAGTACACTTATGGAGAGTATTCTGATGAAGACTTTGCTGAGGCCAAAGCCAGATATACTCATGAACGCCGTCGTCCTAGAGATCCCCATGAGGACATTGAACGATCCGGCTCGAGACAAAGCATTAACCGTGCTCAGCCGATGGGCTTTGCCTCTACTGCGGGCACTCGCCTTGGAGCTCGCGAGCTTGCAGCACCTATCCCCCGCCCGTCCTCACGTCCCTCCCCACAGAAAGGCCGTCCGCGTGGTATGAGCTACGCTGAGGCCATTGCAGCTGCTATTGAGCAGAAACGAGAAGCCCAACGTAAGGCCGAAGAAGCCCATCGACAAGAGATCATGGCAGCAGCCCAGGATAATCCCTTCGTTGCAGAGTTGTTGGAGCAGGGTAAATTCGATGAAGTGGACGATTTGCTCGAGGTTGCTGCTGCATTGAAACACATGGGAGACACGTCGTAAGCAGATTGAGATATTTCGAGAGCCAAGTCAACTCGATTCTGGCCTTTGAAATGACTCCCAGCCCATGGGCCGAATTTCTGAACGACAGAGTTGAGACAGCCACTCAGTAACACTTTTTCCTTTCTTATTCGACTTTCCTTTGACGCGAGATTTTCTGCATAGACTGCCGGTAATAGAATGAGGGGTTATACGCTGGAGCAATCAACTGTGATGTTGCTTGTGGCGTTTGGAGCAATGGCGTATTAACGGAGTTGCATAGGATTTGCCTCAACGAGGAGGTTAGGCAATGGGGAGTGACACTCTGGGGGGGGGGGGGGGGGGGGGGGGGGGGGGGGGGGGGGGGGGGGGGGGGGGGGGGTTGAGCTTTACTGGCATCGATTTGAGCACAGACTGGCGGTATGGTGGTATGCATGGTTTTTGCGGTTTATTTTCTGCTTTTCTGCATTTCGACGGCGATGGTAGATAAAACCAGAGAGGATAAAGAAAATGCGATGCTTTCATTAAATGTGCCTGTAAATGTCAGCTGTGACCTCAATTGTTCAGCAATGGAACAATCATTACTCATCTTCCCCAGCCCATTCCCCCAATGCCCCGGAGGCTGGAACAATCAAACACTTGTCTCTGTCGCTGTTGTGGGAGGCCGCAAGCTCAGGGTTTGTTGAAGAAAGGTCGTTGATCCTTAGTGGGACAATCTCGGATCTCGGGCTGCAGGCCACTGAAGCGAGAAGCCCAGAGCTCTCCTCGCTTCGCACCTTCCTCTCCAGTCTTGCTGAACTTCGCTCTGCCCATCGAAATCCGATGGATTAAAATATGACTCCTATGTCCAAATCTTTTCAATTGGCGCATTTTCAAGCAAGTGCTTATCCCACGGTAGTTGCTAAATTTGCTACTTCATTATTGTTGGCTGAGAGCAGCCCCTAGGACGGGCCTCCCTTAAGCATCGATCTCACGGCCTTATTTTCTCTCGACAGTTTTGTGACTCACGGCCCAACTTCCCATATATATTTATTTTGAAGACACGAATGCCAAGAAGTAGCGAAAAGTATTCGGGTCAAGTGTTCATTTTATCTAAAATCATGGCAACCGTAACAGACCCAACATTCCGCTCCTACTCTGCTGAGGAGGCAAGGCTCTATTCCGTATCTCGACTTTCATACTCTCAGAACGTATACAATAAAGTCCTTGATCACCATACTGCTACAGGAGGCAAATTTGACCTTCTTCTCGATGTTGGATGTGGTCCAGGGAATGCTACACGTGACCTATCTCTGTCCTTTGACAAGACAATTGGAGCGGATCCTGGGGCGCAGATGATTGAGGCAGCCAATGCGTTGGGAGGCAAGACCAAGTCAAGAAAAGCCATTGAATTTGTGGTAGCTGCTGCAGAGGAGATATCTCAGATCAAGGGATTGGAACCAGGCTCTGTGGATCTCCTGACTGCTGCTATGGCCGTAAGTTGCGACCCCGGAGACTGCAAATATTTGCTGAATTAGCAGGCTCATTGGTTTGATATGGCCAAATTTTGGGCTGAAGCAGCAAAGGTGGTCAAGCCAGGGGGCACAGTGGCTCTCTGGACTTGTGGTTAGTACAGGATCCTGAACATAGTTCGTGGCAGAGCTGACCTCCAATTAGCATCTTCTTTTGCTCGTAAGTCAAACCTTTACCATAACGTCATTCAATCCACTGATGTTTAGGAGATCCATCAACTCCAAACTACGAAAAAGTTCAGCAAGTCCTCCTGCGTTTCGAAAGAGAGACTCTCGCACCGTACGAGCTTCCGGGGAACCGTCTCTCGATGGAGATGTATGACAACTTACCCCTTCTGTGGAACGTAACTCCCCCTGTCAAAGACTTTCTGCAGTCGGAATATGTCAAGCATGACTATGATCGAGAAGGAGTGTTGAGCAACGGTGTTGATTTCTTTGGCGAGGGGTCATTTACAACATTGGATGAAGAAAGCAAAGGCCTAAGTACCGCAAGCATGGTCACAAGATGGAGAGCTGCGAATCCAGAGTTGGTTGACACAGATAAAGATGCCGTGAAGGTATTTATCCGGGAGCTGAAAGAAGTATTGGGAGGACAGGACTGGATACTGAGAGGCACGGGAACTGCAATTTTGTTATTCAAGAAGTCTGCTTGATCTCTCCTGACAGTGGGAACTGCGAGCCGGCTCAGCTGGAGACTCCCATTCGGTACAAGGTATCGAGGAAGTGCCGTGGGATAAAAGCATCAAAGAATTATTTTCGTCCTTGAGTAACTCCAGACGAAGTCTTTAATCAAATGTACAGGGTTTTAAGCATTGAATTTCCCTTCTGCATTGCATATGCAAACCCATATTTCTTGCACAGCCTGCACAGCCTGCACAGCTCTCAGGATAAGGACATGGCGCTGTATTATCGTAAAGTCTAGGCTACCTATCGTCTCCCGTCGCCCTCGTGGGCACCTCTTTGGGTTTTACGAGCAAGATTCGGGAGACACTCGCCGAGAACCACACCCCCAGGGGTCTCAAACAACGCGTGCTAGGTCCTTGTCCCACCCATAGGCCTCCTGCGGTTGGCGGGGGATGTTCAATGAGACTGGCCTCGATCACATGACTGAGACATCTTCTCCTCGATCACCCCTCCTCCGCATTTTAAGCACCAAGTGCGGGAGAAGCAAAAAAGCAAGCTGATTGATTAACCTTCAGCACGAGTCAAAGTCAAAGACATCGACGCAGCAGCATCTGCACAGATTTTTGACGAGGGCGTGTGCGCCCAATGACATCTCCGCCACCTCGGGCACTCATGCTCATTGGGCAATGCAACCACTTAACGCGAAAAAACGCGCTAGAGGAACTTCACGCGTCTTGCAATTTTAATATCAACCCCTCCTGATCGGCCATTCTCACCCAGCCAGCATACGCACGCGCCCTCGATGACTCGCAGGATTGAGGGCGGTCTCACTCACCGCCCTGCGCGTGTGCATCTCAGTACTGACATGGATGGGGGATAACCTCATGGAAGACGATAAGATTGCTCAAACGCTTCACACTGAATATTGATTGGCGAGGCTCCGGTCAGCCATCGACCCCTCAGACAGCTCCCCTTTGCGTCACAGGTGAGGGGGAGAGCTCCATGAGATGAGGTCAATATTGCCCATCGCAAGGAAAGGAATCAAGGAGGGCGGCCGTCGCTTGCGGGAAAAGTCAATTGGCACTGGACTGGGCAGGATGCGAGAAGCGCGTACAGGAAGTGCCCGGAGCAGGATCAGAAGGCGTGGGATATGACGCTGCCTTGCTGCTCGTGCATCGAGAATCTCAACGGCCGAGGAGGGCGGCCAAGAGGCAGCTCGTGGCCCCAAGTGTGGAAGTCTGTGTTCTCCCGCAGCTCTACCCGCTAGCACGTTGACAAAAGCCTCTATGGCAGATTCAGACGAATGATTTCAGATGCAAGTCGTGGCCCTCGAGCGAGCCCTAGCCGTCGACCAGCGTGCGGGCCATGGAGGGTGACCCGGAGAACCATGGAGACGGGAGGGAGCGTTGATAGGCTGGCTGCTTGGGCTCAAGCTCCCCAGGAGAGTCGAGATGAAGCTCCCTTGCCGCGATTCAGGCGAGACAACATAATATCATTCGATGATCCAAGAACTGAATAGTGCGTAGAGCAGCACCCATCCATCTCGTAGCCCAATCTATGGTGCACTAGATCCATCTGAAGTGCTAAGATCAAGCAAGGCAAGGCAGGGCAAGGTAAGGTAAGGCAGTGGTCGTGGTCTTGCAGTGAGGGCGTTCTCGGTGTCCCTGGTCTGCCCACCCGCCCATCACGAGGCCAAGCTGCCGGCAGGGGTTCGGAGCATTAAGGACTTGGGAGCTCTGCTATTAACTGGCACCGCACGCCCGCCGTTGCAGACGGCCTCTCTTCTTCTTCCATCGACGTACAGCAGGACCTGCATCCCGCCCTACCAAAAGCACTCATACAAGACCTCAACGGTGTCGCAGAGGGGTACTCCCCACCTCCATCAATTCTCCTTGACAAAAGCAATTCATCTATCAACCTCGTCGACATCGAAGTGTTGTTGCGCAGCCAAAAAATCAATTGCGCCTCGCCGTCGCATCGGGCGCATCGCAATCCTCAGTCAACCTCGAGCTCCACCACAACCACACCACACGATAAGACCTCACAAACCTCACAATGCTTCTCCCATCCGCCCTCACCTGCGACTCGACCCTCCCAACACCATCAACCTCCAAAACCCGCTTCCAACATGCCTCCACCCTCTTCGCATCCCCACCGCTCTCACCACCGCCATCCTCCACCCACCCAGCAATAACAAACCTCTACTCCACCTGCCGCGCCCTCCAATCCATGCTCTCGCCCCCTCCAGCTCCAACCCAGCTCCCCTCCCCACCAACAACGCACGCCCTTGCCCCCTCACCCTTCAAGCTGCGCCTGCGCGCACGTCGAGAAGAAACACCCTCGAACCTGACACCGAGGAAGAAGATCAGCAAGCGCAGCGCCGCGCCGCCGAGGGGGATAAACAAGCGACGGAGAGCCGTAGATGACGACCTCTCGCGAGAAACTGCCGAAGCTTCCGCCGAGTCCGAACAAGAGGAAGACGAAGAAAAGGAAGGTTTACCCAGCACCCCTAAGCGTCGACGATTTGCGCCGGAGATCCTCCCGCTGGGACTAGAGAGATCCGATTTCCACACCTTGCATCTACAGACGGTCACCGCGTCGCAAGAGAATGTTCTCCAGAGCGTCGAAGGCTCAACTGAGGCTCAGGATGGAGGGAAGGAAGGAGAATGGACGACGGAAGAGGATCGCTTGCTTGTCGAGCTCGTGTTGGAGAAACTCAAGCTCACGAAGTCGGATTGGCAGGACTGCGCGAGAAGTTTAGGGAAGGATAGAGGGAGTGTGGGGAAGCGGTGGAAGAGCTTGATGGGGAATGGGGAGGTGGGGTTGAGGAGTAGGGGTAGTAGGCGGGCGAAGATTCATGGGACGTGGAGGTGACACTTCTCTTCATCATCATCACTCACTCAGTCTTTTATTATCCTTAGAAAATTTTCGTTTGTTATGAGAAAGGGTTTATATATGGTTTGGCGTTTTGGATTGGAGTTATAGGTTGAAGACGTTTGGGACGGGTTTGCAAGGGATTGTTTTGTGGATTCGGGTTGGGTGAGTTGGCTTTTCATATGATATCCCGCGAACGCGAATGGCGCTCTGCCCTGTTATTAGGGCCTTAGCTATATTCATCTACTCATACCGATGACCTGGGTTCGAGCTATATAAATGTGATGTGTGGTTGGGTGCCTTAAAGTACAAGCACAGATGGCGAAGACATCAACTGGCGGATTGCGTTTATATTGGTTGTACCCCGACTTCTGGTTTTCAAGATTGTCATTGTCCCAGTAGCACGCGATTCAAAGTGGGTCGAGCGGGCCTAGTTCAGAACAGATTCAAACTCATGCCCGAAGGGGTATCTATAAAGGGGCCCATTTGCTTTCTCATCCGGCATCATAACTGTCCTACCGTACCCGGTTTCCCTCCCTAGCTCCAGCCGATTTCTCATACTCCTTACCGGATCCCAATATTAATACCCAGCCCCTACTCTAACGCCATATCAGACCAAATCCCTTTCAGGCTTCCCCATCCCACTCCCACCAGGACTTCCCAACCCAGCAACTCCCTCCTCATCACTCTCCTGAACGCTGCTTATCTCCACCGTCTTATGGACCTTGATACCTCCCATGTCTTTTCCCTCTCTAGCGCTAGCCCCACCCCTAAGACTAATCCACGCCTCACCCCCAACCTCAAAAGAGTCCGCAAACGGACTCCTGACACTCGTCACTGTCCCCCTCGGATCCACAACATCGTTCCTTAACCTAATACTCTCGTGCCCTAAGCTCCGCGACGATTGATGAGATTTTGATCGAGAGTGGGCAATGGGAGGGAGGTAGGGGTGTGTGATAGAGTGACGGTTGGAGGAGAGGTTGTAGAAGGAGCGGAATAATGGGCGGAGAGTTGCGCCGCCTGCAGCGACGAAGCCGAGGCCTGGTTCCACTGTAGACCAGATTGCTACATCTCTGAAATGGGTCAGTAAGATTTCAAATGGGGCAAGGGGGAAGGGGAGTGGTACACTGTTGCGAAGAGGAAGTCATCGGGTATTCCTAGGACTTTGATGTAGGGGATGCGAATCATGGCTGCGATGCCTGCACTGCTCATCGTCAGTATACGAAGTTGGAGGAAAGGGGTTGCTTACAGTAGTCCTAGAGAAAGGAGTCCTGCAACGGAGACCTTTGTCCTAGTGTTCATCTTCAAGTGCCACAGCAAGACAACGGGCAACAGGCCCAGAATCCAATCTGCGGTAAAGGAGACTACCGAGTGGGCGATGGCTGCATTTGGGACAACGGCCTGGTTGATACAGCTCCCCTTCAATCCCGCATACTGACGCCAGAAGAAGCTGACTGGCTTGCATTGAAAGAGCGCGAGGAAGAAGTAGAAGATTGAGAAAGAGAAAACCATCGTTAAGGTACCATAGATGACCCAACGTTGACTTGGGTTGATGCATATGCGAAGGAGGAAGAGGGCGATGGAGAGGCGGATGGATGCTGTTGTTATAGCGTAGAGAAGGTCGTAGAGCCACCAGAAGTAGAGTGCTTTAGGTATGTCCTCAGGAGAAATGTCTTTGAGGTGGCGTCCTGTTCCATAGTGGATTCCGGATAACGAGCATGCAATGTATGTGGTAAAGAAGCCCTTGATGATAGATATTAGATTAGTGAAAACATAAGCCGGTTGAGGGAAGTATGAGCTATACCAGAGATATGAGAAGAAGATAGTCATCAGTTCCCCAACTTTTGCTCAAGAAAGCCCTGACGTAGACCCTTAAGGAGACAAACAGATATGCTAACCCTAGGAACAGTCCAGCCACAGCAGCTACCGCAATATCAGTTTTATCCTAAGGGAACCGGTTTCCGGAAACTGACTTAGCTCAGGGCCTCTGTCAACAGCCATCACAACAACGTCCGAGCAGCCTGGCAGCCTCTACCCTCTCAGTCCTTGGTTCCAGCAACAACGATAGCATGAGAGATGACAAAGGCATAAATATCAGGGGAAACATGGGATGGAAACTCCTTAAGATCCAAGAAATGCCCCACCTCCGTACATATACATCCCGCTGCAAAGAAGCACACTAATTCTCCGGCCACACTTTGAGGATCCACTAAAATCACAAACTTCTGTATGTCACTGGACATCCACATTTCTGACAAACACGAGCCAGAGTCTGCCGCTAATGTCAGCCGCAAAGGAGGCAGAGAGGTTTGTCCGATTTGCTGCTGGAATCCACTGCAAGTCTTCCCCGTTGTGGATTCAGCCCCGAGGAATCATTGATGCGCGTCCCAGCATGGCCAATAACCATAAGCGGATTGTGGGGTTTGCGGAGATGTTGGCTATTGGTCAGGGCACCGAGGCAGGTCGGGAGATTTTTGATGAGGCGCCGATTTCGGGAAAATTTGAGCGGGTTCGCGGTTCACAGAAAAAGCGGCACTAATTTTCAATGTCCCAGGTCAAAATTGGACATTTATTTGGAGGCAGGACCTAAAGTCTGGAACGTCTCAGATATCTAATGGGAGTAGACTTTGATTGCACAATATCGTTCGTGTACATTCAGAGAGGAAGTATTTGAAATGCCTGGCTTGACTTGGGACATTGCAAATGACTCTCGCTTTTTGTGTCTCTCAGGAGGTAAGAGGGAAAGGAGGTGGTTGAGTTGTGGGAGAGAGCGACGGCAAGAGTATTTTAGAGCAGCACTGGACCGAGGAGCCTTGACCGGATTCTGTCTCAGTAGGCGAGGTCAATGTTCGGGTATGTTCGGGTACTTCGTATCTCTATTCGAGGTAGGGATAAATCCCACCCCTTGAATGATTACCAGTGGGACCTTTGGCAACGCCACACTGAAACTTCCTTAATATCCCCAAATTAGGAAATATCAGGTGCTTTTGAGAGCTGTGATTCGCTATAGACCCTTGATTGCGTGCCTTTACTGGTGTGAAGCGTGCATGAGAATGTGGGCGAATATTGAACCCACCCGTAATTATTTCCGGGGATAGTCGGGAACACGTAATTTGGATCGTAGTTATGTAATTATGTAATATAGTATATCCCTACTTCGAGGATCATCGTTGCAAGGCTTACGGAGGGGTTTCCGCATCCTCACGTTCTCTACCCGGACAGCAGCCATACCCCCTCATGTTAACCAAGTCGAGACTTCAATCTTACAACAAAATCCTCTCAATATATTGAAGTAATCCTCCTTCAAGAAGCAGTGAATTTAAAGCTACAAGATAACAAAGATAAGATTATTTCTCAAGCTGCCCGTACCAAACAACTCTTTCCCCCCGCGTGACGCAAGACAGCATCGAAACCGGCACAAGATACCCTCACCACTCGCAGATAACGAACTTCCTCGGATTCCCAGTACCCGAGGAGCCTCAAAGATAATCTTTTGAGCAAGATACCTCTCCATCATGTGATATCCAGCCCCCACAGACCCCCCAATCTTCAAATACGCGAGATGTGAAACCCCAGGCAGGCCCCTCCTTGCCAAGCCGAGGGTTCCTCACAAGTACCGCTGAAACAGATTCTGAGAAGCCCAAGGGGCGACTGTCAGAGTCTTGGCATTTTGAAACCATGGAGCTGAGAGTGCACGGTCTGGATGCGAGGTCCGGGGTCACGACTTCGGGGCCGTTGCAATCTTAAGAGTGGCTGCTATTGGTGATGGAATCGCTGATGTCATGGTGGGATTTGTTTCTTGACCATTCGGATGTTTGGCTTCGTGTAATTGCCGTAGAATATGATGGCGATACGCTGCGTCGGGATTGCTGGCCGTTGGGCAATACTGAGTAAAGATGTTGATGACGCTGGAAATTGGTGTTGCGATTTGAGATTCAGGGGGAAGTTTACCGCTGAGTTTATCCAACTCCAAGAAATTTAGAAAGAGAGCTTCATGACACGCAACATTTGGTTCAGTAGAGCCTTGATTGAAATTTGAAAGTCTCTTCGTTCGATTCTTGGTATCTTCGCGCCCGTGTATCATCTAGAATTACAATGTCTCTCCTTGCATGCATCAATAACCACCCATTTTATACTGACGTCGTCCACTCATCCTCCCCAATATCATTAATTCATCCTCAACATCCCCATATCTGCCCTGTATTGCCTCCCCATATTATGTCGATCCCTCACCAGAAAAAGGCCAGGCCTGTAATTGTCAATAGAGTTAGCATCGAAACCGCATTGCGAGTTCCATCGCCAGTAAATTGCGCTGGTGCACTAGTTGTTGGACTAGCTGTATAGGTTGCATTCTGACCGGTGCCCCCCACAGATTTGCCTGCCATAGTGAAGTTTGCGCAGGTGATCCGGGTCTTGTTCGCAAAGTGGATGACGAGGGATCGGTTCCCGAAGAAGGAGCCAATGCCAGGGAAGGTGGATGGGTAGTTGTCAACGTAGTTCGCGGTGTAATGATCGCCAACTTCGGTGGTATTGATCTTGCCGTGCTTTCCAGAGAGGTCACCAACTTGGCAGGTCTGGGGGAGTTTGCTGTCACAGGTAGGTGTCTGGAAATCTGCTGTTAGCGCTACTCCGTTTGATATCGCGGTGAATTTGCTTACCTCGCCACGCTCATATGGGTCAAGATGGGCCTGGGTGTTCGTGCAGTTCCCATCAGCACTGACTGGGAATGCGTGGAGGTGGTAAACTGGCAAATCGTTAGCGTGAATCAATGCACTTATATCTTTGGAGTCACCTACCGAACGGGCCACCGCTGGTAGGGAAGTTGCTGAAGTCCACGCTGAAAGCGACACCGATGCCATTGCTGTTGGCGACAGCAGAGACTGAGCCCTTGACGTTGCCACGGGGATCATTGGGGTTGAAGAACTGGGTGGTGGGGAAGGTAGCAGTGTAGATAATTCCTGGGGGGTTGTTCTCGACAATGGAAGCGTTGCCAAGAATTCCCGTAACTGGGACATCTGTGGATTGGGCTGGAACAAGTCCAAGGAGAGCGGCCATCAAGGCCGAGAGAATGGTTGCGGAACGCATGTTGGCCGGGTATCTCTGAATTCGGTGGTAGTCGAAAAGGTGAGGGCAACTGTATCCCGTTAGTACCAGGTCTGGGGAAAGAGAAAATGAATGAAGTGCTCAAATATGCTCACCTGCACGAGATGTTGATGTTTATGAGGAATGGAGATTGGGGAAGGCCGGGTGATTAAATCCAGTTGCGTTCTTTACCAAACGAGTGTTGTGGGGAGGATAGTTGTTCCAAGTAAATTGGGAGATTCGACTAGCAACCATGTGGAGCAATGAACATTCACTCAACAACAACACTGGCGGATCAGTCACACATATTAAAGGAAACTCAGGAAGCTGATAATCTGACAAAAGGCCCTTTCCTTGTCCAGCACCCCTCGAGAGAATGCAGGAGCGTGTGTAGCACATTCCCGCACGGTGCAACTAAGTCCAACCGCTCCCCCTTCCGGTGGATTGCTGTCCGGCAGGTAGCCAGGTATGAAGGTACATGGGTATTTGATGGATGTTTCGACCGATGCGAGCACGGGTTGGGCTGTGCCGTATCAACCACGTCTGTTGTTTGTTGTTTCAAGTCCCATCCAGACAACGAGTTTCCTCTGTCAATCCGCAAACAAACGGCGCAAGTAGTGCTGACGGCGAAGCGCCTTCAGGTCATGGCCATCGAACAAAGTTCCTGCACCTCGTGCAGCTCTCGCCCTCAGCATGAGCTGCGCGTACTTCGAACTCTGATGCTGAGATCGATTGCAATGGCTTCGCAAAGGCTGCGTGCTACATGCATTGAGAGTGAGAGCCGGCTGATTAGTTCTCTGGGTGATTGCCGTGGCGGCAGTCCGCGGTTGGCATGAGCGAGCAGGGCGTCCCCCTCCTGTAAGAAAGTATGGAAGTACCAAGCTTTTCGCTAACTCGTACTCTGTAAAGCCCTGGGAAACCCCTGATCCCCAAGCGTTGTTGATGAACATCATCCTGGGGATGCCTGTTGCAGATAGACGCTTGGGGCACAAGATCTCCACCCGACATTATTTTCCCTAAATTGCGACCTCACAAGCCGCTGTATCCAAATCTGGCGCCCAGCCCGCAGAGACGGTCCTCTCGTGGCCGCCCGCCACCCACCGCCCAAAGAGCTTTGTTTCAAAACATCCCCAATCTCAGCGAGCGGCTGGATTAAGGTGCGGCTGTCCGCCTGTGGCCCTAAGCGAGAAGCATCCTGCCGTTGAGGAGGGATAAAAATATCCTGGTGCATTTGGAAGTCTACTGCTCCCAATCAAATCAATATCCGCATTCCTTCAAAAGACTGGAATGCTCCGAATACTCTATTCTGCAAGAGTCATGTCAAATAAACTAGCAACGGCGGCCTGGAAAGGTCCCGATGGGCGATGGGCGATGGGCAACGGGCGAAGCCATGTGTGTGCGTCGGTTGAGGAAAATCCGGCCCCTTGGTTTCAGCACGGACGAGTTCTTGATCAGCAACCACAGAACACGAAACTTTCGACAGCTCCACTTCTGCAGATCTCCCGACAAGACAAGCTTTCTGTCAAAGTGGACGCAGATCGGCCTCGTGGGTGCATGATGATGGCAAAGCTTGATTGATCTGATAGTAAGTAGTATGTATACGTATTCCGAAGGGAGTAAAGGGGACCGGAAGAGGAAACTGTGTTTGGCACAAGCCACGGATGGAACCTCCCCGAGCAGTTTTCAGTTGCTGAGTATAGGAACTGGCTAGCTAAGGTTTTCACATTTTTCCTTAGCTCTGGAGTATATACCAGGAGTAGTGCACCCGGCGGAGAGTGTACCCAAATGGGGGTCGTTTTGGTCACTATACAAGGAAGGCACATCTATATAAGGGAGGAGGGCTATATACGATTTTACCGTGAAGTCGCATCGTTGTATATAGTTGTGTCTTACATGTCGCTTACGCAGCTAAGAAGGACAATAAACTGGGATTTTTTTGGGTAAAAAAAAGTATATGTATTCCACTCTTCACGTGCCGTTGGAACTTTTGAATCTTTGGTGCCGTTCGACCCGTCTTCGACTGGGGAAATTCAGCCGGTTACAGATTTCCGATGCAACTTGTTTGGATCTAAGATTTGGCTCGAGCCTTTTTATGTTGTATGAGGCTATATGGCTGCGGGAACTCGATGGAAATGTTTTCAACCTGGGGTTACTTGCAGCAAGATCTCGCGAGGAGCCAGCGGGGCTGCATTGTTGCAATTATATGTGTAAAGCTTGGTAGCAAGTCGGCTCGCTGCCTTCCCTGGTCATCCTTCAGACTTCCACATGGCAAAACTCGATACACTGGGTAGCATGGCTAAACTTAGTCTCACTTTTCGCATGCGTTGAGATAGTGTTTTGACGAGAGAGATATGTGGAAGCTGTATCCCGAGCCCACCACAATGCTCCCGTAGTTGGAACCAGTACTAAAACACAAAGATATTTGCGACGTTGGCATCAGTAGCCTAGATTTTACTGCTCTTGAATAGGGTTAATCTTGTCTAGAAGGATTGCTGGCGGGCAAGTTTAGACAACCAAGCCGGGTTATCCAGATCCTCCTTTGCATTGGTTGTACCAAACCTACATAAGGTTTTGATTGGAGTTCCATATGTTCATAGTTTCTTAAAATAACGAATTTTAACATAATGAGTTATTCCCGGGCTCCTGCAAATATTCGGTGTTTAATCGGAAGAGATGCAGGAATGCACCGCCCACGTTTGTCTGTGGGAACAATCCAAACTTGATTGCGGCGTGCCATATGCTAAGCATTCCGCGAAACAGCGAGTAGATTGGCCTTCTCTCGATTTATCAGCCTTGAACGACGAGAAGGGATCATGTGTTGAGCTGTTCACGTGGTGCATTGGATGACTTATGGTACCAGAACCTAGAGCTCCCCGCTCCTGGTTGCCACTAAGCAGCAACTTGGTGCTAGTCTTTGATACATAGACATTGAGAAAACAATTTTACAACAATTCGAGATGGTTTGGTTTGTTCCGTTGGCCATGTCATGGCCAGTCTCGAACGTCTATTGAGATGTTTTCGAAAAACCAGGATATTATCGACATAAAAAGAAGAAATTAAGAGAAACCTAGACAATATAGTAGCAAGGGTCCCAAGACTCGAATGAAAACTGATAATCCTTACCAAGAAAATAATAGTGCTTTTGAATGAGGAGAGTGCTGTACAACTATTAGGACATTGGGTTTCGGTCGGGTCTCCTAGGTGATCGAAGCGGATCTACTTCAATTCTCTAAATCATCATGTTTCAATGGCCTTGGATATCATATTGCCTGTATGTGCATGACTCCTAATATTTGGCTTGCTGATAGAGGGTTGAATTGAAAAGGAGATTGTCAGATGTAGTTGAGGAAACCTGGCGGAAAATCTTATCGCCGAGCCGAGACTTTCTGGGTGCCTGGCCTGTCGAGTCGTCATAACTGGCGCTTCCGCGAGACTTCACTCTATCAGCCTCTTCAATCAACACACGTTCAAACCCATCTCTCGCTCATCACACTCTTCGGCACCCCTCTCGAAACTTGCCACGATGAAGCCTGTCGTAGGAGTAATGCAAGCGTGGTCTTGGTACATCACCCTCGGCTTCCTGCCTCAATCTCTCCTCTACCTTTGCCTCCACAGAGAACCACGGAATTCCAGCTAATCAACTCTCTCTGCAGCATTGTGATCTCAGTCTTTGCAATTGTTATCCTATCAGTCATTGGCGCTCTCTTCAAATCAAACCACCACTCGATGATGGGCTCCACGGACGACCCTAAAGACGGACCCGCAGTAGCAGCAACAGTTTTCTCAGCAGTTATCGTCTACGTTGTACGCTTTTTCCAATCCCATCTCAATGGCCCCCCAGTGGCATCCATCCTTACTCAGACTCATTCTTTCATTGGCATTGTGGAAGACGTGCTAACGAAACCTCCTCCACAGGTCTTCCTCGTAGGCTGCGGTTTCCAAGCCTTCCTTCATTACCGCGATAATCGACGAGGTGCCATAACCCTTTCGTAGCCATCGCTCTCACTACATTCGATACTTAGACCTAGATCACATATCCCATCGAGTTGGGCTGGGCGGCGTTTGGAGTTTTGTCCGTTCTGGTATTGTCCCAGTTTTTGATTTGGAGCGAGCGAGGTGGAGAAGATGATGTCTCATATGGCATATGATTGAATTGGAGCTTGATGAAATGGAAATCAAGCTCTTCCTCGGGGATGGTCTTGAAAATATACAAGCTCTTTCCCATCCCTAGCTGAGATTATGTCAAACAGTGGGGGGATGGAATCCGTATGCTTTATATTGTCCCGCAAACACACAACAGCGTGAGACGATTCATGTGTGTAGTTGCACAATAGGTTATTTGAGACGTGTGAGTAAAGAGGTTTTTCGAACGAGTACTCTGTATTCTTTTCTATCCGTTCTATGATGTTGATATTGTTGTGGACTGCAATCTCCCTCCCTTCCGGCAACGTTTCCTACCGCCAAACACCCGAAATAACTGCGATGAATAATAATAAGAACCTTTGGCAAGTGCCTCTCGATACTTATCATCAGAAAGCAAATTTAACGAAGAAATGAGCAGATCCCAACGCCTCTAAATACCTTAACTGTCATATTGTACAACATCCGAAAACTTGAACGGTGATTCCGTTCGTAAACGAATGTTGCGCGAACCCCACAGAAACATCCCTAGGGGCAAAAGACATCGAAAGTCACGCGCCACTCATTGTAGACAGTGATCTCCGGCGCTTCCAGAACCTGGCTAGAGTCCCGGTCTTTTCTTCTCTCCTCGTCGTCTGAGGTCGTTCCTGATAGATCCATGGGCGTTCACCACCCCGAAGGGCAACTTCCGAGCTGTATCTCGTGGCTCTTAGTGGTGTTGTGGTCCTCGTAGATTCCATTCTTCCTTGGTACATGGAGCCGTGGCTAAAGGTTGAGCCTGAGATTGGCGGAGGTCTCTGTTCGTAGACAGATCGCTTTGTGTATGAATGCATGGGCGCCAAGTTTGGCGTGCTTGTGACCTTTCGAAAGATGGAAGAAGCTCGCGAAGAGTGTGAATCAGTTGATTCACGTACCGAATTCAGAGATTGGAGCGTGGAGATCGTAATAAATTCGTTGCCATAGCCACTGTCTTGCTTGTCTTGCCCGTCTTGCTTATCCTTGTGGCGCTCTGCCTCATGCCTTGTTGGTGCGGGATTAATATCCTCAAACCTGGAAAGCTCCCGGTGTATCTCTCGCGGCTCTTCCACAATCACGGGCTGTTCAACAAACACGTCCGCCAAGAAATCTAGAAAGGTGTCGACATCTGCAATCGTACTCATCGCTCCTAAACTGGCCCTAACGACACCAGTTGGCTTTCCATTCACAAGATCGATACCTTCTTCGCCGCATCGGTGTCCTGCCGACCACGCCCGCTTGAATTGCCAGGGTTCCACATGTAAATAGCTGGCAATGCCTCCAGCATTACACAATCCGCCTGATCTGAGGAAAATTCCTTTCTCGTTGGCGACCTTTTCTACTTGGGAGTGCCCAACGCAGCCACCGTCTGCTTTCATGAGGTTGAAAGCGACTGTCCCACCCTGAGTTACCGGGTCGCCATACTCGCATATGTCTGGAATGTCGTTGTATATTACGCAAAGCGGTGTGCCATTGAAGTGGTGGAGGTTGATCATACCGAGATAGAGACGCCGCGAAAGGAAGGAAGTGTGCTGAGAAATCGTTTTCATCGAGCCGTACAGCTTGATGTGCACGTCAATGGCGCAGCCTAACGCAATGATGTTGTGAAATGGCAAGGTCCCATCTTCCAGAGCATCGTGCAGGGTTGCATCCTTTCTTTGTACTGACGCCTCGTGGAAAACTGTCAGGCTGCTGATGGTGCCTCCGCCAAAATACTTCCTCCATCCCAAAATATGACCTGATTCCTTCCTCACAATGAGAGCGCCTAAGTCGGGGAAGCCAAAGATCTTGTAGAATGATACAGCAGTGAAGTCCGGTGCAGCATCAGGATTGCTGAAGTCTAGTTGGGTGGCGGTGGCAAGTGCTGCTGCATCGAGAAGGGAATATGTATTTTGGTGAGAAGGCACATTCGATTGGCGTAGCTTCCTCGTCCATGACAAGGGAAGTCTTCGTCCAGTCATGTTCGATTGGCCGGGATAGCAGAAAAGTCCTGGTATCGTAGAGCTGCTTGGTGCAATAGCAGGGTTCTGGAAGCTATTCAGCCATCTCTCAACTTCGTCATCGCTGGTGAAGCAATGATGGTTGCCCTTTGTCATCTCTCGGATTCCGACCACGCTCGTATGGGCGTCCTTATGATATCCATACCAAAAAGTTGACGACATCGGGCTCTCAGATGCCAAATCTCGAAAGCATTCTCCTACCAACTTGATTGCTGCCGTCGCATTTGCTGTGAAGACAATATCAAAGTGCTCCGGGTCTGCTTTGAAGAAGGCCAATGTCTTTTCTCGGATCGAATCCACCATATGGCCGGACAGCTGTGAAGGATCTGATGTTGAATGTGGGTTTCCATACAGGTTAGAGATCATCTTTCTCGAGAATTCTTCGATCAAGGACTTCGCATATATGGTTGAGCCGGCATGGTCCAGATATGTCTTTCCTGTTCGGCATCATCAATTAGCCTCGGTCTATGAGGAAGCTCATATTTCATCTACCTTTCATCATAGGATACTCGACATCCCGAAAATCGTCGACGCTTTCATTGTAGGCCATGGGACGAGCTAAGCAGCTAATGTGCGTGGAGTTCGAGACGAGTGTGTAGGATGAATTGTCGTCTCTTGATTGCCGACGAGCTGATAAAGGTGATTGCGGTGGCCCTGACATGTGGTAATAATTGAAATACTGAAGTTGTGGTATAGGTATGAAGAAGCAAGTGAACGGTGTAGTGCTCGGAAATCTGTGCTTTGACGACAATCGCGTTTCAGGAGCCGGCTCAGATGAAGCAAAAACAGTTCATTCAGAGTTTGAGATGATGCTATTGGTAGATCTATTGAGTTCGCCTTTGAGTTCAAGGTTTTCAAGTCTGTTTTGAAGTTGGTTGATGAGACTGTGAAACTGCGGTTGCGGTTCTGGTTACCACATTGATATGTATGCCGATGTGTAACAGCTAAATATTTAATCAATTTGTACAAGCCTTCGCTTAGTTAAGGGCCAAAAGCCATTTACAATAAAACCCGGTGGAAGTGAATGGTCATATATCCTCTAAGGGTGAAATGATAGGCTAAGGGTCTCAAGTGCAGTAGTTCGTGAATCAACGATTGCCGAGGGAGTCTTTCATCTGGAAGCAGCACCGGATAGGTTACCAGCGTAAGCTTTTGAAGGGAAAGTTAGGAATACCCGGCGGCCGGGAGAGTTCTGGAAGCATGGAGCGGCGAACTTCTCAGCGCTTGTGATGTTCTTTAAGACGCCATTGGTTTTGAGAGAATCCGGGGAAATAATGCAGGGATTTAGGCGGATGGGGGAACAAGGGCTTAGACCTGCAAGTCACACCCTTGGACGGTGCAGAGAAGGTTGATCGAAGCACTTTTTATGAGGTTGGGAATTTGTGAAGCACAATGGACTTTTGGTTGGCCATCATGATGGCAAGCTGCCCCATTCACCTCAGAGAATCGATCCCTTCGGCCCACGAAATATATGAGTTGTACATGATACAGCGTCTGAGCGTACTTCTTCAACGCGTCTTCCACCGGGAGTCTGTGACGCTCGACATCTCGGGTGGGCCCGAGATACGGCACAGATTCCTGGTTTTGGATTTGCCCCACATTGGGTGGGTAATTAACCAGCACGCGACGACTCTGCGGATACACTGGCTATCATCACTCAGATCTTACCTCACCAGAAGCCCTCCGACTTCATTGCTGCCGCCAAACCATCTTCGCGCGGTAGCTTCTCTTGAAATTCATAAGTTTACAAATCTTGTAGAATAACTGATGAGTGATCGACTGGTGTAGCCGTTGTTGATAATCTGCATGTAACCTCTTCCCCCTGCACACGGATGAACGGACGTCTGTTTGATTCAGGCCAAGGGGAAGGTTGAGACAGCGGATCCCGCCTCCGGGGCATATGATTATTTACTAACGAAGTCCTTGGCTACATTACTCCTATGGCAGCCTCGAAACTGAATTAAAAATCTGTCCTTGATATAATGCTTGTTCCACAAAAGGCAGGTGCTTAATCCCACAGGGGGTGCAAAACCTTGAGCAATTGCTCTTCTATTCGTACAACTCGGTCATTCTTGACTCAGATAAGGGCCAGGATGCTTCTTCCCCGCAAGTGCGAATGCCTTTGGCCACTTAGCTAGCGCGAGCCCAAACATTTCTGTTTTTCAAGCCAAGCCAATGGTGGTGTCGCCCTGCTCCAGTGCCAGTGCCAGTTGCCACCACCGCTGCTGAAGCCACGTTTGCTGCGTGTGTTTTCGATGTTGCTGAGCTGACTGCACCAGCTCCCCCAGGCTTGATCTGACCGTTCAAGATTTGCTAATCTAATATGTTAGAAAACGTACACAAATAGTATCTGCGTATCATTTCAAAGGGGTGTGAGACATACCTGGAAAGGTGCCGTGTTGATTTTCGCTGCAACAACAACGCAGTTTCCATTCATGGTTTGTTGGACAAGGCTGGTGATGTTGACGTTGAAGATCGTTGAGCAACCTAACGATGGAACTGTTCAAAGTTAGCAGAGCCCTTAGCCGAGTCAGACTAGGGGTCGAAGGCATACCTGGTCCGAAACTTGTAGCAAATCGATTGGCCAAGAAGGTGAAGAGGTTGTTGGCAACTGCTGGTGCAGGAGAAGTGGTTCCAGTGAACAGAGCTTGGTTCTGGGCAATGAAGAGCGCTGATGCAGCATACTGTTGGCAGTACGTAGTGCCTGATGCATCGGCAGCAGTTGCGGCTTGAGGCTGCCCGACACCCGCACGATAAAGGTTGGTCTTGGCGAGAGATTGGGTGACCGCTCCATTGTTACCCGCGATAACTGTGAAGTCATCATTCATTGGGACGAGAGCTGGGGGAACAGGAGGAGACTGATTTGCTTGGAGTTCATTGAGAGCCAGCCCCCCCGAAGTACCAGTTGGCGTTGTAATGGATGGTGCAGTGTATGGTGTACAACCCATGGCAGGCGAAATGAATGAGTTGATCAAAGCATTATCAGAGCCGTTCGAGAGAACTGGATGTCTTCGTCAGTTACTATTCATCACTTCTCTTCTGCACAAGATGTGTTCCTGTTTCAGACGGCTTCAACTGTTTCCCCCTGGCAGCTTGTTCCCAAGGAGCATCCACAGCCCCCTGCCTGGATCCAAATTTCTCGTTGTGACAGCTCCCAAGCGAAGATTCGTCTTGAACCACCATCCTCTTCATCAGCCATCATTGAAATGAATATGAAATACCTGTGGCGTTTTTGCTTGAAGCGGCGTTTGTAGCAGTGTTTTGAGCAAGCAATTTCCCGTTGATGAGAAGATAAGTAGTGTCAACATTGTCACTCTGATCCATATCGACAACCCGGAAGTCGCGAGTTGAAGGGCAAGCTTGCCTATTGGCTTTGGTCGATGTCCCAACAGGCGGGACTTTTAAAAGTCCGGCGGAAATCGCTGTCTGAGCAGCTGTAAAAAATGTTGGTGCATTGCAATAAGCAAACTGTCCAAAGATCGATCCACCAAGCCCATTCACGCATCCAGTTGTTGAACCGGTCAGAGTGACCGTCTGGGCGTTAGATCCGAACCAAATACCGACGACGGCGTTGGCCGGCAAGGTAGGAACAACTGGAGCAATGAAGCCGTTGCCCACTTGCATGCCGTTGTTGATGACCAAAGGGCTGTATATGGAAATAGCGCCAGTAGCAGGGTTTAGGATTGCTGCTTCAACGAACGATCCTTGATTCGCAAAATCTAGCTTTTAACAGTTAGCCTGTCTACTTAAGAAGTTGAAGCTTATCTCCAATCTACGAAGAGCTCTGAAGTCCAAGATCTCTCAAATTGAACACATGAGCTTGGGTTTGTATTTTAGGTTGGTTACCTGATTGCAGCCGCTCATCTTATAGGGTGTTGCAAGCCCTTGTGCCGTCAACGGATTGGGAGGAACTTCGATTTGGCAGTTGAAAGGTTGAGCTTTGGAGACATAGGCAAAGAGCGTGGCCGCAACGCCAACAGTTGAAGCTGAAAACATGTTGAAAACTGGAACACTAAAAATGAGGGTATAAAGAATGTAAAGAACGTAGGCTGGAGAAAGGAAGTGTCTAGCACGTTGAGAGAAGATATGCGTGATCAAAAGAGAGTAAAAGTATGGATTGGATCAACAGCATAGACTTGAGTGATGCTGTGGAGTGTATATACTGCACGACAGTGCCAAACCCTTTCCCCCTCGTCTGCACCAAACCGCATCTCACGACGTTTCGGTCGGCCGTCAAGCAGGGACCAAGCCCAGAGGAGGAACAACGAGTCTCCGAGGTTATCTGCTGCCCGCTGGTGGCAAGTTTTGACGTAGCCGATTGCTCGACGGCTCGACTTGGGACGAAAAGAGAGGGACATGAAACTAGTAGGGTCCTTGACCGCGAGGATGGGGAATCGAACCATCGTTGGGTGGCTTGGTTAACGAAAGCTTAAGACAGCTTGAAGATCAGATGGATGTCACCCTCCAGATCCCAGTGGCGGTACAGCTCGTCTAAGCAGGGCTGGAGAACAAGCTTTGTGTTTTGAACAAGCACTGACAGGCTTTACGCGCATTTATAGCTCGAAACGGACTTCAATACGAAAGCTGGCCCCAGAGAGTCACGAGGGGGGGGGGTTTCGAGGTGGCCCAGAGGTACACGCCCGCGACGTGAGACGACCCGCGTTTGAAGCCGTAGCGCCTGCGCCGTTCCCTCCTCACCCAATGTCGCCAGAAATCGCTGATTGGCGACCCCTTCGCAACATTGGGAGACGAAACTCACCTTTGTTTGGCCGGCAATTCTTGCCTCTGGAAACCTCAAGGTCCAGTGACCCAGTCGAAGGAGACATCACTTCACGTCTCTGAAGAAAGTCGGGAACCCGAGCTCTGCATCTGAACATCGAAAAGCACTTATGGGATTGAAATCCGTGCTCGCTTCATCGACTGCTTTGAGCTTCTCGAGATGCTATGAATGGAGGATCTTGACGGCGCAGGGATGGTCGTTACGAGATTCATGGGGTCCGGGTCGAGGCCGACGGATATTGCATTGGAAGCTGACTTGAGCAGAAGTATGATGCCTGCGGGGTTAAAGCAAGTCCTCCAATGGGGAACGAGCATCAACGGTTTCCGTGGGCATACTTAGATATTCTGTGGCGGGGTGAAGAGGGGCATGATTGCAAGGTGAGCAGGAGCCATCTTTCATCCAATCTTTTCAAAAAAGGCATTGGGTATATATACGTACAATAGGCTTTTAAACTACTCTGATGACATGCCAAGTCTTAGACTGGTAGTCCAATCCAACTCCCCTTCATTATGGCGTTGAGGTTCTTCATTCGGCCTCTCATCTGGTCTCTGCAGAGTTCTGAAAGCTTGTTCCCCTGTTTCGTAATCTTCCAGTCGAAGTCAAAGCATAAAGGAGGCTCAAACGACCTCTGCAAAAGAAGAGCGCCCTCGAGTCCACCTTCCCCCGCCCACAGTCATGGCCGTTACCTTTGAAACCAAATCATTTCGTCACTCATGCCCTCCACAAACTCTATTCCCAAGCTTCGGGGCGTCCCGTAAGCACCCAGTCTGAACTGGCTAATTCGGCCTTTGTAGTGAGTATCGAAATCAAACTTTTCTGCTACGAAGAACACCCCAGAAACGTGCTCCAGTGACATCTTGAACCTCCAGGTGGCCAGGTCCGATCTGTTGCATCTACCTCAAGTTTTCCATCTTTGTGCTCGATCATCAGGGTCCCATACCCGGCGTGAGTGTATTCTCCAGCATATTTCTCCAAGGGCAAAGTCAAGGGCAGTCAAGCCCCTGCTGACTGGGGATACAACTCTTCTACTGTATCGAGGTGCTCTTTTGCTAGCTCTTCTCTTCCGGCTGCATCTCAATCGTATCGCTTCTCGAGTGGAATACCGAGAAACTCGTCGACCAATGACCAAGAAATCTTCTCATTTGGTGTATAGGTCGCATTGGAGTTTCCAAACACAACTATTCCAAACTTCAGTCGAGGAAGGTACATCATATTGCATCCAAAGTCGTTTGTTGCACCACCGTGGTTAATGACTGTTTCTCCATGGTATTTCGACGTGCTCGCTGTGTTCCTCATCCCATCTCATTCTATAGATAGCCTTTCGATAGGTTTTCTGTCCCTCGGTGGTCCTTCAGATCACTCAAGCCGTAATAGGTGCTGGCCATTTTCAGGGGTTCCCAAATTCTTGGACGGAAGAAGTTCCCAATAAGTTGTCCTGTACGGGCTTCGACCAGATGGCACGCTACTGTATACATAATATTACTGTACTGCCATTTCGTTCAAAGTGGCTCATTCAAGGGAAGGCATCGAAGCTTGCGAGTCACTGACCGAGGCGTATCTGGTTTTTTGGCAAAGACACCGAAGCAAGCATCACCATGGCTGCAAGAATTAACAAATTTAGAGTCTGAACAACACAGAAAGTGAGGATTTACTCCGGTAGTCTACTTCGATGTGAGAAATTATCCTCAACAGTAACCTCCTCAGTATATCTCGGATCTGAGAGAACAAGATCATCTCTAATCAGACTTGACACAGGTGCTTTCCATTGAACATCAGGATAATTTGCAAATCCGTTTCCCTATCCACCATTAGCCCAATTCATGGAGAATAAAATTCTGCGCACCTTTGCACACACCTCATCGTCTTGAATTACAGCAATGCTTAGCCCAGGGACTTTCCAGCTATCGATGCTTTCGGTCACAAGGGAATCGAAGGTTGCAGTAAATTGGCCATCCAGGATGTGCTTGTCACTTCTGTCCATTTTGTGAGTTTCAGGAACCAACCGGTCCAAAGTAATGCAGCCGCCACATTGAAACGTAGGAGTCATAGCATAAAGCACATACCCCTTCCCACCAACAGTACCGGGACATGCCAGGAAGATACCTACAAACAAGTCAACCATAATCCACACTACTCGCCACACCAACGTAAGATCTTACCCTGAATAAATCTCGGAGGTTCGAATTCCAATGCTTCGTATGTCTTCCGATCTGGCCAGTACGTAAAATCAACAGTGCTGAAGTTGCCGGTGAACGGTAGCTCCTGGATTGGACTTCCTTCTCCAGGAACTTCTCTTGCGTATTGGATCTCCCCCCATTGTTGCACAAATACAACGTCTGCATACTCCCCTTTAGACCTTGACGAGTTTGTGGAGGAAGTGAAGAACAATGATTCTGGGAACGAGCTATCACGAACTGCCGCATGGTCCTCCGATGGGAGGGGTTCCGACGGACTGCGAATCTCGATGCCGACGTAGCCCTGGACTAGTCAGCAGCGATATCAGGAACATTGGAGAATAGCATACCGTTTTGGCCGAGGTAGGATACCGTGAGACTGCCTGATGATTCAAGGGCGAATTGTCAAGCCAGACTTCGAGAGTAAAGGTTTGTCTCGCGGCAGGCTCAACGATCTGTTTCTACGAGAAAAAGAAGACCTGTGAAGACGTTCATGAACCCCATAATGCCCTGGTCCAAAGAGATATATCGGAATCAATTCATGTACTAGCTCTCGATGGTCTTTTCTGCTCATGTGAGGAGAGGGGAGTCCATGTAAAGCTACACCCTAGGGAGCAAGGCAAGCTGCACTGCAACGTAAAGTCGATTTCATCCTCCCTGAAGATCCTCTAGTCAGATAGAAGCTGAATAATAACTGGGCAACGAACGGCACAGCAAAGAATGTTTTCTATCTTTCGAGCTTCTAAGCTCAAAATTGAAAGTGCAGTTGAACGCAGCTCGTGTCTTCGGATCAAGGTGACGTGGAGAGCCAACCTCGTCTCCCAAATTCCGGGACCATCCACCCACCCCACTTCCGTTGATCTGCATTTGCACGCATCCACCAGCATTATCCCAGCAAATTTGAAGTTCCACTGCATCGATCTGAATCTCAGATAACCGAAGGCCCCCCTTTCGAGTGGCGTGAAACTTTTTCGTTTACCGACTTCGGTTAAATGAGGGCAAAAAAAGGGGGCAAGGATTTGGCAGTGGATGGGCGGCAACCCGACATGGGGCTATTCATTCCTCAAGACCTTTACTCCTAAATGTTGAGGTGATTGTGTTCTCCAGGTTGAAAATGATAGCATTGAGGTAGACTCTTACACGCAAATCATGAGATTTCAAAAGGCGCCGTAGTCATCTTCGCTCATCACGAAAAAAGTGATACGACCAAGAACGACGTCTTTCTCAGCATCGGACGAGGTCAGACAGTAGGGATTGAAACTGCGACCGGCAGGGATTTCAGGGGCCTTGTGGCGGCACACCCGGCTGACTTGCCTAGCAGAAATGCACAGCAAGCCTCGGAATCAAGTCGTTCTATTCATTTTGTGCTAAGGAGATGTGTCTTGACTTCTGACAATCTGCAGAGCTTCCAACCTCACCTTCAACCTTGTGTAGTGCGCCTAACATATGCCTTGGCATGCCCAGCTCCGCCTAAACCCTCCATGATGAAATTGCTATGAGCCATGAGTTTGTGACCACCCGCCTACCTAACTCGCTGTAACATATTCTCACCACTCCAATGTAACCCCCAGACCTCTCATGGATGTTCTGTTCTCATAGGACATTGATCTGAGCCGTAAAGAATGATTCGTTGACCAACTCATCGACCGCGTAGGTAACTTAGAGAAAGGGATATTTTGAACTTGACATGACAGTTGTGTCTCCTGTGGTATGACATATTCTTCCTGAACTGGAAGAAAAGAGCCTAACTATCGTGGTGCCCTGGCAGCAGGTGAAATATCGTTGCCTGTGAAACCTGCGTGAGAACTAACGAGCTACCAGACTACCTGTGCGTATCTGTCGTGGAAGTGTCCTCCTTCATGCTATAAATCAAATCCAAAAGGTAGCTTGGCTTCTCTGGAATGCATTGGCATCATCATAACTGAGAATGTCCTGCAGTGGTTAAGCTTCTTGTACCCCTTAGAGTGCTTTCGAGCTCTGCCATCTTGTACTTTGCTCAAATGTGTTTGTTCAAAATATGAGGTGCTCTCATTGATGGATAGTTGAGATCCTGTGTGCGGAAGGAGGCACATGGACGTGCAATTGACCCAGGACGAATTCAATTCTTTGGCCTATGCATAGACTCATGAAGAAGTCTTGACGATCATATGCCTCCGAAGGAAGATATGAATGAACGAATGCAAAGGTGTGATGTCGATGTTGTCCTTTCTTCTTTTCAATTGGAACCCTACCAACAGCACCCGACAAGGAGAAGGAAGAAAACAAGGTGTTCGGAGGGTAAGCCTATCTCCCCTCGATATCCATTGCTGGCCAGAAATGCCAGGAGCTCCAGGTAGTTGTTTAGCCTGCCCCGTAGGTGCTGATTAAGTTTATTCCCTGAATATCTCCAAGCAACTTTGAGTGTAGGGTGTTGTTGAATTGAAGGGTCCCCATCATCCTAGAGATATTTAGACTGTTATGCAATAAAGATCCTCTGTTATCGGGTTCCGGGATCCTATTCATACCAGCAGAACCTTGCTCAACCTAGCTCAGGCATGTCGAAGGATCACGGTGGCACCTTGCATGAGAATCTTGGACCTATACCAGGAACTGCATAAGGACATTGAGTAGTTGCAGCGATATGTGAGCTGATATTGTGACGACCTTTCACAGATGCTACATGCACGGTGGCATTAAAGGAAGTACTTCAATCTCGACGAGAGACTGGCAGATGTCATAGAGTTTAGATATCATTAGCCCGAAGGACAGTCTCCGGGACAGGATCCTGAGCTTCGCTCGAGCCTCAGAAATATGGGATGAAAGAATACCTTACGTCCCGGGATATATCAGGCCTTGGCTTTCAGCCTCGCAGAACAGACTACCGCATGCTGGGGCTAATGGATAAAGTTTATGATATGAACGTTATCGAGGAGGCTGACGCAGAGTACTGTACATGTCAGATAAGTTATTTAGGCCTGCCTAAGATGAAAGCTGGGGATTTCCGGAGACTTCAACCGAAGAGGCCCGCTGAAGGGAGACCCACATGCATCAATACATGCACAGTTCGTGTATCCACATGAGAAATACAATGCCCCAGAACTATATGAAAACCCCCTTCAATTATTAATGTTCTTCGTGAACAATCTCGATCGTACCATGGCGCCCTGATATGTAAATATTTTTGTGATTAGGCTTAACTCTCCCCGAGCAGCGGTAGCTTGAGAATACTTGTCAGAAGTCTTGAAATTTTGAAGTTACCAAAAAACCAGACGGAAAAGGCGTCTTGTCCACGTCAGCTCTGTGAGGAGCGACTTATCTTCCTAGCGAACCCTGAATTTCACTACCAGAGTAGTACCAGTAGACGAATTTGATTAACCAAATCGCGACTTTCGATTTTGGGATTGCAGGTTTGAGTGCAGTATTGTGACGAGGTCAGTGAAGGTGAGACAATGAATTGTGGTACCATTTGACGCCCTTGTATTGTGATATGACGTCCATATTCTGTTATGTGAAAATTAAAGGCTGGCGGTATTGTTCGATAGCACACAGCCTAATAAGGTGAAGTGTCTGGCATCCAAGCTGAGTTCAGATGTTGGAGACGAAACCTGAAACCTTGCTCACAGAATAGTCACCACTGCACCCAGTGGTGAGGATACGCACATGCACTAGTTGTTCTATGAGCGAGGATCATTTCATTCACCGACTAAATTTAGAGCTTCGCTGAGCCAACTGGAGCCTTGTCCTGCGACCCCACGGGGGCGACGTCTGTGTCCTGCATGGAGGAAATTTGCGATGATGCCAAGGCGATAGGGTGCCTGTGATTGAATAATAAATGAATCATGACCTTATCGGCAAAATGTCCAAGAATAGCTTTTCGAGACGAACTGTGCTTTGCATTAAACTTCTGATTTGCTGGAGTCAACAGGTTGAAAGTTCATCCGACATTGATGTCTCAGCCTTCTGCAGCTCCATCGGCGATCAGCACATCCTCTGTGATTGGAGCAGCAGCGGAGTAAACCCATTATGAGCTAGCTTTCTATTATTCATTCGCGGAGATCGTAAAGCAGAGACGATTTGGTAGGCTGGATGCAGTCTCCTTAACGCTGCATTTATCGCTGAGCGAAAAAGTGGTGAATTCCAAATTCGGACCGAGGAACTCTTGCCAAAAGTGGGTAATAAGAAGTCCCAAGCAAGGAAGAATTACATGTTGGCATCCTCCGCCTCGCCATTCTTTGAACTCTGAAGTTGGTAATGCTGTGGATCCGTACGGTGGTACCGTAACCGTAGGTGGAATAATTGAAAACCTGAAACACCGCGATCATCGGATGAAATGAAAAAAGTCTGAACCCAGAGAATGAGGGAAAGCCATGTGCCTGGCGACTGCGGGATCATCCCGCACTGGAGAGAGATCTGCCAACCGAATGTCGATAGGCTCTTGATCTCGTGGCAGCCGGGATGAAAGGCTTGATGTCCTGTTTGAGCAGCATCAGAAATTTCAAAATACTGGTAGTGCAGAACCATCACGACCTTCTCCACTAGGTTACGATCTTCCGGCCCTGCTCTTGCACTTGCCTGTGGGCCAATCGCAAGCATTACCACCACACCCCCTTCATTGGCGGCCGGGACTGTCATCGTCGGCCCCGTTGGCAAGTGTTGCCCCTAAAATTTTCGGCCGACAAAAGGAGGCTGATCGGAGAATTTCTCGTTCCGGATACTTGCTGAACGAAGACCTCCTAGCCCGCCACCGCTGTGACCGCGCCGATGTGTGGTACAGTAAAGAGGCGAAGAGTTGAGGAAAAACTCAAAAGTTGCCTTGGGCGAAGGCGATTGACTATGGAGGCAAAGGAGCTACAGGGTTCCTACAAGGCATGGAGCGCCATAATGAACATCATCGATAGTCTGTACCATAACTTTGGGAGTGAAGAAATTGGTGGGGGAGTGCAGCTGCGGCGCGAGCAGCTTTTGGCTAAAAGGGGTGTGGAGGAAAAGATTCTCCTCAGCTTGACTCTGGGACGCCAGTTGGGTTCCATCATGCCAGGACATTGGCAGAGAGAATGAATCATGCGAATCGCAATTGTCGAGATCAGGAGAAGAGCGCGAGGAAAAAGCACTGTTGGCTGTGAAATTCGTAACCGCCAAAGTTGGGCGCCTTCGACAGAAAGCCATTGGCGTTGTCAAGCTCAAGGACGACGTCATTGGAACTCCTGCAGGAACCCATAAAATGATGAAAAGGCTGGCGGTTGAGTTTTGCACGTTGCTTCTTCCATAGTCTGCATGAACCTTACTATCGAGCATGCACAGCTGGAAATCCAGCAGATGTCGTCTGTCAAATGTCGAATTATGTCTGTCGAGGGGTGTTTCCAAATCCCACTGCAGGTGGCATGTCTTTCCTGCAGCCGGTCTCCGAGGTCTCCCGCCCTTCTAGCTTGCACCTAAATATATACCCTTGCTTGCTGGAAATGTCTCTGAGTGCCTGTAATCATTTGAAGTCTCGAGTCTCTCGGTGCGTTGTAAAATCATGGGAGCCAAAATGTCCCAAGTCTTCAAGTGCCTGAGATCTAACCTTCTCGGCTTTTGGAGATCACTGGGGGTTGTGAATAAATGGCGAGATTCTGCTTGGAGATCCATCATCCACATTCCTGGGATTCGAGGGACGTTATCGCGTTCGCTTCTGATGCCCCGATCCAGAAAGCAGCGAAAGCTAGGGACCAGAACATCAATGACCCCTTCAGGAGTCCAACTTCAAGGGCCGCCACCAATCCGCGAGCATGCCCAGGAATTTCTGATCGGATTGCACAGTCGGGAGCAGAAACATCCCACGTAAACTGGAGCTACCCCCGGTCCAATCTTTGCTCCTGCCTCATTACTTATTGCTGGCTCCCAAGGACCCGGAAAGGCACTTCAAACATGGGAGAGAGTGATCGACGGCGCCCACGCAACGATCAAGGTTCGACATCCGTAGGGGTGGTGTTTGGATCTCTTCACAACGTTGTCCTCCAGGCCTCCTCCTCAGATGCAGGTGCACATCCGTGGGCCCGTGGGGCCTTTAATCTCATCCCCTCACATACAACGAGTCAGCGGCGCAAAGATCCGCCTATGAACTGAATGGTGAAGGCTGTGGAAAGTGCCTGACATGACAATATCAGTAATGAAGGGGCAGCCTGATAGGACGCCCACACGTCGGTGGGATCCCAAGTGCCACCCTTGCCCGGCAACCCTGCTTTGCGGATGTATGTGCAGAAGAAGAAAGCATGAATTGGGTTAATTCCAAGAGTTGAGGTTGAGGAGCCAGGATGCTGCAGCACAGCTGAAGAAGGTCGTACAAGATTATCCAGACGGGTATGGCGCGACGTGTGAGTTAGGATTTGCGGAGTCGGACGTCCAGGACCAGGACCAGGACCAGGACCAGGGCAGGGAGGGCAGCGCAGGCTGGGAGGGGGGCCGTGGTGCAGCAACCGCAACAGCACCACCAGCAGCAACAGCAGCAGCAGCAAAGGACATGATTTGCAAGTTGAAGTCAAGCCCTTTTGGCTCTGGCACGGACGAGTGCAGGGCGCATCGCTGCCGGCTCTCGTGATCATCGATTGGATCGCTGCGATCCCTGGGGCAATTGTCCGCTGTCAAATCGGGGAAGTGACGGCGCGAGGCATGGTGAACCGTGAAGCATGGTCTGGCGATTTTTTGTTGCTGGGTCTCCCAGCACCACGAGCACACCAGCCAGCACATGCGCTTCCCGATCCCCAAAGCGCGCAAGTCCCAACTCCCAAGCAACGCCGCCGGACGACCCAGGGCTCCTCGGATCTGTGGCGCACCGCTAACTCGACACCAGAACTATCGAACGCCGATGCCATCTGAACAGAACCACGCTGCGCTCTGCCCTCTGTCCTCGGCCACGCGACGCCTGCACCGCGCCGATGGGCCACGCTGACGACCACTGCGAGTTTGTTGCGCGCTTGGGATCTGTCAGAACTCGCGCTCTGCTGGGCCCACTGAAGTGTGGGCCAGAGCCAACACCAATACTAACACCAACACCAGCTCCAGCACCAGCTCCAACTCCAGCCCAGCGCCAGCCCGTAGCCGTCCCAGCCTGTCAGGCTCTGTCTCAGAAGCCCGACTCCGAGCCTCGAGGCTGTTAGGAAGTTGGACAGCCCACCCCCCTCTTTATCTTATTTCCTCCTTGGCCGGAAGCAACCTCCCTTCCACCCCTCTGGCTCTCCGTAGGCCCAGCAATGCAAGACCCTCCCGTGGCAATCTGGATACTGGGTACCCCTCAGTGTTGCGTGCCCGAAGTCCATGCCGGATCGAGGGTCTGCGATTGACATGGCCCAAGGACCCCAATGAGCCCCTCAATCTTCGGTCAGCACGCCTGGCTTGTCTGGCCCAGCTACACTTGACGTGAGTCGGAGTAGCGTCAAAAATATACGAACTACTGCCATCGGAATAGAAATAGTGGCGTCAAGGGAGCCAGGGGTGCCATGTAGAAGAAGTCTGCTAGGGCTGGGCTGGTCGCTGGGCCTCTAGCTGACAAGCATCGAATTGATCCGTGACGAAGTCCCAGGGGGTGGGGCTTGCCTTTAATGTTACCCAATCTCGTGGCGTCGCAGACGTACCTCCAATGTTTGTCCCAAGTAGTCTAAAGGCTGCTCTTGAAGATCTCTAGATATGCTTCTTCAAGCTTCCCCATCTTCTTTGCCACCTGTCGATTTTTGACCCTACTTGACAGTCACTGGCCGTGGATCACTCGTTCGGTTTCACGTCCCTCTACTTAGTGCTCCATCTCAGTGCTCCATCTCAGTGCTCCATCTCAGTGCTCCATCTCATCGGAGTAAAACCTTCTTTTCCTTCCACCCAGCCAGAAGCCAAATTCACTTCAAGCAGCGTGCTCCAAGAACGATGCTGCTAGTGGCTTGAAGCCTTCTTCTCCCATTCGTCCTCCTGGCTGTTGAACTCCCCACGAAGGCTGCTTATCCCATCAGAGACAAGTTCACTGGCTCCTGCCGCCTGCAATTAGCACCAAGTCCTCACTACTGCACTCGCCAAAGCCATAAACAGTCCCTTCCTCTCCACAGGTTTTGCCTCGTCTCAATTCAAGAATAGGACTGCGCCTTGAAGAGACTGAGACCAGCGCACAATTGGTTTCGTTGTGTTCCTCACCGCCCGTCTTTCAACCGCCATTTCAACGCCCAGTGAAAGTGCCGCGGCCTGCTTAAATCGACATCATCCTTCTGTCGGCTCGCTTCCTGGACGCGATTGCTTCGAACTCCTGTTGGAAAGGAATCATAAAACGAGAGGGCTGAACATCGAAAATCCTGAGCGAGCACACGATCACCTTAGGCCTGTTCGAGGAAGATCTTTCTAGCAGACTTCGAGAAGGGCCACCAACCTCGGTAACCCATCCAAAAAGTAATAGTCGCATGGGGGGGCAATCGCAATTGATGGCAGTCTCGGTCCAAACACCTTTCTATTCAAAGTCAGGCATGTGGAACCCGGGCGACCCTCACTCGACATTCTCATCCACTGGATCGGAAGGGATTCCAAACTCCATGTCATATCAATATCCGCTGCCATCATCTGGTTTGGACGCTCCTCCTAGCATGATCCCCAGCTATCACAATCCTCCGTTAGATCACACGCAACCAGCTTCGCCCGCTCAAGCAAAACCAAGGTCTCCGAGTCTCAAGAAAGAGACAAGTTCTGCATCTTCGAAGTCGGCAAAGGTTAAGAGATCCATGTCTACCCCAAATGTGCGGGGTCCAGCAACAGCAGAAGCCGCTGCGCTTGCCCTGTCGGCAGATAAGAGGAGGAATAAACTGGGCTATCACAGGACCTCTGTAGCATGCGGTAAGCATTTTCGTGATTCGAAAAGGCGTTGAAGGAAGTTTCTTTCGAGACCTTAGTCACTGACCGCTGTTCTTAGGTCACTGTCGGCGAAGAAAGATTAGGTGCATTCCAGCACCTGCTGATCCACAGAATCGCTGTTCGAATTGCATCAGGTTGAAAAAAGAATGCAATTTTTATCCAGTCGATCAGCAGCCTCCACCAGATCCCAGACGAAGAGGTTCGAAGGCTCAGAGTGGAACTGAAAGAGCGTCAGAGGAATCCTCATCTCCTTCGACATCATCAGGCCAGCTCCCCGAGATGCCTCAGACGTTGCCGTACCCACATTTGAGCATGCCTCCCATTCAAGATCTTGGTGGACCTCAAATGAAGCGTCAACGAACGGAAAGCTTCTCTCCAGAAAACAAAGGTGCGAGCTTTCGTCACCTGCCACCGCAAACGGTATCTAACGACTCTGCAGTCGTTACATCTTCCCGCAACTTTGAATACCCTCCGGGCCCAACTAACTGGATGGCTCCGGATGCTTCTCCCAGCACGAAGGCGCCCACTTCGGATGTGCCTCAGCCATACTGGAGAGTGAATCCTCAAGACTCACCACTAACACCAGCTTTCTCGCCATTTACTCCTAATCTACAAATACCGCCACAGCAAAATTGGCCAGCTCCGCATCCGGAGGCTAGCCCGAGAGATGATATGTCCTGGTCCGTTCCTCAGCGTTCGATCTCATACAGCAATCTCGAAGGTTTGCAGAGTCAGCACCACCAGCATTACTCTCAATACAGTCATCCACCTTCTCAACCAGGTTCGGACCATTACACAACCAAGCCACGCGTGCTGCCATCCTCTGGCATGTACCCACCTCCAATTTCAACCTCTGGAAGCGCAATTCCACCATCTGAAACAAGTTCTGCAGGACTTCCTGACACTCCACAGCATCCTCATTCTGCGGGCTCTTTACCTCCAGTCCCCTATTCTAGCTGGCAACAACCATACTCGTATCAGAAACCACCAAGTTCTGGGGCTGATCATTATGGGGGTTACGCGCCTCATGGAAGCTTGCCCCATCTTCAAGGAGGTCCACCAGTTCAAGGAGAAGGAGCCCATGGGCCTCCCCCAAATTATGGCTATGGAGATCCAGCAGGCGGAATTTATTACCCACCACCTCATTCAGGGCGATAAAAGGGGCCACAGGCGAGACGGCAACTGGTGTCGCGTGGGTTACCAACGAATATGGACTTCCAAATCGTGAGATTTGTACCAAGATTATCTTTCGCGGATAATTGGAAATGGTCAGATGGAGGAAGAAGGAAATTTATGGAGTTGAGACAGAAATATTACGCAATGGGAAAGGAGGAATTTGCGGCGGAACACGGAACGACAGAACAGCGGCAATGCGAGTAAATATTTCAAGAACCGACGGAAGGAGACGAGAGACACCAAAAGCACTGGACTCCGGGTCAGGAATATGGACCCAAAAAGAACCTTCAATCCAAGATCACACGATCTGTCTAGAGATTAGAGAAGACTCGGGCGAGGTGGTGAAGCTCACACCACAACGACATGTATATTGTACCACCTAATGACTTAACGATTCTGGGGGAAGGACGAGGTAGGAGCATGAAAAGGGAGCACTGGTCTCGGTCGAGCATTTTTGTACATGGTTTTAAGGAGGGGAGCTGGAAGTTATGGAAAAGGAGATCGAGGGGAAGAGGGGAGCTTTGCTGCTTTTGTGCTGTACGCATTGCAAATATCGGCTCTTGTCATTGCCAATTTGCTTCAACCTTGTCAAATATCGAAATTTCAGCAGCGCGAAGCTATCAGAGGTCTGCAGTCTCCCATGATGCGATTGTGAGGTCCGTCTGCTGTCGACGTTGCCTTTATCTGAAGCAGAGCCTCGGCCCAACAAGACTTGTGTTTTACTTCTTCCGAGATAGGTCGAAGGTGCACTGATGCCTGGTGGCCACATAAACAAGGCATCAAATACCCCTGTCTCGAGATCTTCCCGTCACTGGTGGTCATCCCTCGTCTACCCCACGTTGCTCGCAAATAAGCAACCCTCACGACAGCACGCAATAATCCCAAACCCTTGTCCGTGGCACAACGACGACATCCAGCCAGCCAACGCGCAAATATCACGCAGCCATGCCCCTCTTCAACCACTTCGTCGACATGTTCGAGGTGCGTCCCTTCATTTCCACACCGCGAAAACGGGGCGCTCCGCTCCCTCCCGTTGAAACATGTCTCTGATAAACGTTCTGCAGCCGCATCCAGAAGACCGTTTACACCTGCGCCTCCACCGCGCCCGCTCTGTTATCTTGACTGCGCAAGAGTTCGTGCTCCCTGTTCTTTTCCTCTTCCGGTTCCCCGGCGTCCTCGTCCGCCGTCTCCAACGCACAAACACGTGGTGGCAATCTCTCCTCTTCTCTCCAAGTCCAAATGCAGAAAGTCTCTTGTTCAAGCTGTGCGAGGCGTGGCGACTGTCATTTGTAGCTGTTTCAAGAGCCGACTCTGCATCTGCTTTTTCCTCGCAAATTCTAGAATGAATCCTTCACCATCACCTTCCTATTCAGATCCCTTGTCCCGCCTCCCATCGTATTTACGAACTTCTAAAATATTCAACGGACTAACCTCTTTCCCTTTAAAGACTCGTCGAAATTCGTGCCGCGCAACGAACGTTTGAGGGGGCGTACGTCCGCACGGCAATCGGGCAATTCTCCTTTGCACTCGTGGTCCTCAAAATCTTCACTGCCGAATTCTACAGCATCGGCGCCCTGTTTGCTACATATGGAGTGGGGATCATGCTCGTGAGTTTGTATCGGAGGTACGAAGGGAACAGACAGTTTTTCAGTGAAGTGGGGGAGGATGGCATGGGCAGGAAGAAGTTTAGGACGAGTGGGAATGCGGTTGTGGTTTTGACTGCGTTGAGTTTTGGGGCGTATGTTAGCTTGCTGGTGCTTACTATGAGGCTTGGTGATTGAGAAGAGGAGGGCATTTGAGATATTGAATGAGGCAGGGCAAGTGGATATACCGCCATATGTTCTGCGGGGAAGTTTCATGCTGAAATCCGTCCGAGAGTTGCAAGGCCACCCTTGGAGCAGAGACTGCTGCCCGGCATTTGGATCGAAAGGGATTGTTTGGGATAGCGCCGATCCTTCGATCTAGCATGTACCGCAGCCCGCCTTATGATGTGGGACTATGACAGACGAGCCTATGAGCTCAACCGTGAGGTTTTAAGACCAGCCGTGTGTGCATTCCAAGCATATACCTATCTTACCCTGGAGTTGTACCTTGTTAGAACGAGAAAGATCCAGAAGGAGGAACTGCAAAGGCTTCTCATCTTCCGTTCAAGTCTCACACCACCTATTCTCCCTGCTATTTGTCCACTGAAGCGAAGTCCTACCCGTGGAAGTCTCGGCAGATAGTTCTACCTTGAGTTTCTATGAGGAGAGATCTCACGGAGTAGGCCTTTCCAACTCCCCAGAACTAAACCTACCTCGCAGATCCCGGATCTTCCAATCTATGAAGCAACACTATTTTAATCTACCTCGCCTTGATCTTCCAGAATTCGAGTTATTTCTGGCCATCACCGGAAGTTCCTTCGACGAGAAGCAAAATGTGGCACAGTACAGTCACCGTACTTCTACTTCCCTTACCTTACCTTCGGTTGGTACCCTCGTCCTCCATTAACTGTCTTCGGGGATGCACTTACAGGTACGCACTATTGTAAGATACCTTTTGTCAATGTCGTGTATCTTACTATTATAGTACCTAGAGCTTCGGGTCGAACATCATATATGAGCATATCATATAAACATTCATACTCTGATAAGAGAAGTCCTCGAGCTTTTTGTCTTCCAAATCTGTCAATTCGGCAGTATTTGATCCTATAAGAAGACGATAATCCTCCTCTCATCTCAAAGATAAAATCAACATCCAAAATGTCTGAACGCTTTCTTCCTATCAAGACTTCAGACCTCACACCAGAGCAAAAGGGAGCATACGACCACATGTCCCAAATAGCAGAGAAGTTCTTTGGAGATGCGTTAGCCGCAATCACACCACACCACGCGTCTCTCATAACTAATTAACCCAACCCCAGCTTTACATACAAAAGGCCCTTAGGCGGCCACCTCGGCCCCTTCGCGCCCCTCCTCTCCAAGCCCTTCTTCGCCTTCATGTCCGCCGTCTCCTCACTCCCTGGTCTCCCGCCTTCCGCTCGGGAAACCGCAATCCTCGCCACCGGCTCGTACTACCAGTCTCCCTACGAAACGTAAGTCTTGGTTCCTCTTCGCAATTCATTGACTCCCTCACTCGTCTTGCGAGCTGTTGTTTGCTAGCGTTAGATCTTGAGGAGTAGTGGAGCTCCATAGCGTTTCTGAATTAAGCATTGCTATCCCTTTAGGACAGGACTAATGCGAGATTCTGGAGTTCAGATACGCACACGAGCGGGTAGCCTCGCAAATCAATTCGCTAACCAAGGCGCAAATTGACGTGATTAAGGAAGGGAAGAAGTCCGACGATTTAGGGAGGGAAGAGAGTGTGGCGTTTGATGTGAGTTGGAACTGGTGAGTAGGAAAGGATTGCTAGGGAAGGAGAGGTGGGAGGAGGCTGTGTGGTGCTTTGGGAGAGGGGCCGCGGTGGAGCTGGTTCAGTATGTGGGGTTGTATGCTTATACTTGTGTGTTCTTGAATGGGTGTGATGTACAATTACCAGGGGAGAAGAGTTGGGAATGAAGCTACTTGTTGAGGTAGCTCGAGCGGCGGGTTTTCGCTGATTGATACATCAGGATGTTGTGTGTGATGGAGACATAACGAGATGGATGAGTTTAAGCAGCTTAAGTGGTTGAGATCTGTGCAGGATGAGGTTGCAGAATCAAAGAAAGCGATATGGTGATTTCCTGACTTGCAGAAACTAGGAAGTCTCTTTCTTCGTCGCAGCCTGCACAGGAGTGAATTGTGATGAAGGTACGCTTCTCCTTAGCGCTAGTGACGTTGAAGTATCAATCGCTTTGGATCTTCAAATTTGCTCTTCAAGACACAACGTTCTGACAATTTACACTATTTGATGAGGCGTCTCATCAAATCCCAGTGGTTGCCGATCACTTTCGGCGAGGGAAGTCTTTCCAGTCACTCTTGAGCGATCCATGACACTATCAAATGAGAAATCAGAGCACTTGAACCGACTTCTCAAGAAGCCTGCTTGTCTTGTGGCAGTTGCTATTCTTATGTGATCGACTCGCTCTCGCAAGCGCTGGCTCTGGTGCTTACAGACTACCTTAATAACCGTCACAGAAGGATGGAAGTGTGTTTCAAGAGGCGATGTAAGACCAATCTCACGTTGAAGGAAACATAGACTTGGCGAATCCAGCGTACAGGCTGTCTGATTCATGATGGGAGTGACAGCTCCGCAAAAACTGCCGCAGTGAACGCACACAGGACTTGGTGCAAGTCACAATTGGCCGACGAGACAAGGCTGTCGGTGACACAGGTTGAAAATGCCTCTGTAAAATGTGCGATGTCGCTGGCCGTTTCGAGGAGGAGCCGCTGGGAGGTATAAATGCAAGGCAGCGAGGCTGTGTTGTGCTGTGCTGTCCTGGGGGAAACTCGATCAGTGGTGGCAGGGGCTCGCTAAATAAGCTTCCTGCTCTTCAATATATCCGAACTTTGGACAGCAATAACAAGGGGACCCCCGAGAAGCAAGGACGGCTTGGATGAGCTGCATGCCAAGATGGTTCTGTCCAGAATCTCCCGATCATGCGACTGCGAGGGAAAGGAAACAATAAATCATGAATCGGCTGCTGCGCCATCCAAGCTTGAACCATGCACCGCCACGGCGGACCGGCGCACTGGCGCACTGGCGACCCCAGGCTGATTGTACTCGGTCTCTTTCTGCCTCGCCAGCTCACGCAGCACCCACCTGGCACACTTTTGGTGCGGCTCCAGCCTGGTGTCCGAATCGCTTCTCGAGGGAGTCGAGGCTCTCTCACGGGCTGCCCACCCCAGCACTGTCACATCGCACATCCGCACCCTCTCGTTGGCCGTCGCTCTCAATCTACGGAGGCAGCAGGTCAGGCTCTTTGCGAGTCTGGTTTCTGCTCCGGGAGCTCCCCCTCAAACAAAACGCCGACAGATAATCGACGCTCTAGTGTCTAGTGCCGCGCCCCCAACTCCCCTCATCCCCTGACGCGCGACTCCCCATTTACAACCATCACTCCCACTCCTACTCCCACTCCCACTTCCACTTCCTCCGGACCGGAAAAGCTATCGATCGCATGATATACCCACCGCATCCTCGACGGCGCTGATCATTGAGCTCTAAATCTTACATCATCACCAATTTTGTTGATTTCTATTCCTGTGCCTCATCTCGACGTTCAAGAGCACGCGCATATCATCCAGCCGCCCTGCCTGACTTCCGCTTCAACCCCAAGGCTGCACCATGACCTTGCCCTTTGCCTGTTGACCACAACCCAGAGCTGTGGCCGCGCGAGCGCACCTTTATAAGACTCCTTCCCAGGACCTACATAGCCTCCTTATCACCCAGATGTCTACACACAACCCTATTTCCACCTTCGTCGGCCCTCAAAGCTCACGAGATCCCGACGACGACTTTGGGCTGAACAACTCCCACCTCCCTCCCACCCCTTTCGACAGCAACCTCCTCTCGCCGTTCAACCCATCGCACACCATTAGCAACTCTGCGAGTCCTTCCTATAATATCGGCAGCACACCTGGCGAGTCTGAGTACAGCAACTATCAGCCCAGCGAGTTCAGTGACGGTGACGACCCTTTCTTCGGCGTGAACTTTGACGCCGGAGTTGGGAGAGTCGACTCTGGTCTCAGTGCCATCGGGTTTCACGTCGCTGATCTCAATCGTCCATTACCAGGTCCTCCAGCGCAGGTTCAGCCCCCGTCTGCGACCTTCACAAACTCGACCTATCCTCTCAGCCCCATACATAGCAGTTCACCGAACAGTCCCTATTCCAAGGGAGCAGTCGGTGATACAAAGGGTATTGCTGCCATCATACAGCACGAGCCAACCACTGATTCCCACAATCTGCGATATCAGAACGTGAAATCTCTACCAACCACGCAACCCGCTACCCTACAATTAACTCCCGACCTCAGTAGCAGTAGCCACACTAGCGCTGAAGGCATTGAGCCGGGTTCCATCTCACGACCAGAAGACAGCGCCGCCATTATGGCCACGCAGTGGAAAGTAGTGCAGCAGCAGGACCGACCGAACAGCTTCGTCCAGTCGAGCGGACAGTACAACGTCGGTAGCCATTTCGAGGGCCAATTGCCCAATCACACCGCCCAAGGCTCTGCTCCAACCATAATGCGAAACGAGGAGGGGCAATGGAGATCGGATGAAACGACTGGTCAAGCTGGACTTGGTCCTGATGCTCGAAGAGAGCTGTCGAACGTCGAAGTCCCCACCTTGAACGAAGCCGAAGAGCGAAGGCGAATTGATGGCAAGAACCTTGATATTGAAGAGTGGAGATCGCAGGCGGGTGGAAGCGAAGCCGGAGACGAACAACCCCCTCACTTCAACCACAACCCCTTTCAACAGACTCCCTCTCAGCTTCCTCATGAAGATGAGAATAGCGAAATCTTCCCTTTGGATGATGCGGCTAGCATACATGAAAACCGACCGATCGAGGGCCAAGTCTACTATGACTTGGCCAATCTCAATATTACGGAAACTGACAAAGCTTTAATGACTCTACCACGACATTGGTACGATCCTCCGACAATCCCCGAGATCACTACCACCTCAAATCAGCCTTTGACTTCAAGTGAGGCCATGATGCGGTTTCAGCAGGCATCCGACACAGTCTCGATAGCGTCCCGGGCAGCAACCTGGGGCACGAGGCGCCGACGACTTAGTGAACCCAGCTTGTCTGAATACGACGCTGTCATTGATGGTAGCTTCCTTAAGAGACTGTCCATAAGCAAATCTCGCGAAGGAGAGCGTCGCCCTAGCAACTTCTTTGACCAAGGACTTGATCGACTGGATCGGTTAGCCAACATTGTCCGGATGAGGAGCGACAGCAAACTCAAACGAGTGCGGAGCTCGACCAACATGCCGGAAGAGAGACAGAATCCGCCACAAGGACGACACAACAGTGCAGGAACTCTAGCACCGCCGTCAAGATCTGGCAGCATGAAGAAAGGACCGCCAAGCATCAATACTGCCCTCGCTGCCATGGCAGGACCTCTTGCGGCCGTCGGAACGACACACACCCGCAAAGGCTCCATTGGGGGCAACCCTGCCTCTCCCCAAAGCCCTGTAGAACACCTAAGTGTCCGAAGGGGGTGGTCGCATCGAAGGAGGAGCAAGAGTGAATTGAATCCACGTGACAGGCAGACAGGTCTTGTAGGTCTCATGAGGGCGCAAGGGGGTCCTCCTGTGGTCAATCTCGCCACCGGAGCTCCTGAGGTTGAATCAAGGAGGTCCGAGCGACAACAGCCAGATGATCGGGATCTGGACGAAGACGACGATGAAGATGAAGATCAAGCGGATGAGGGTGACATGAAGATGGAGCTGGAAAAGGACCCCATAACACCAAATTATGAAGGTTTCAAGGCGCATGTATTGCGCTTGAACCCTGAGATGGGCCCCAAGAATAAGTGGCTTGTGAGTAGAATTGCCAATCAACAGGAGATCCGGTATAAGAATCTGCTTGATCTGCGCGTCAAGCACTCTCAAGCTATTCTGTCTCGAAGCTGCTCTACTGGTCTTCTTTGTGTCACCCAAAATGGCGGTGCCACTTCAGCAGATGTAAAAGTGCGGGCTTCTTCAGATCAAGGTCCTTTGCAGTTGGTAACAGACTTCAATTCTGACAACGATTCCAATCCTGGGGAAGGCGCTCTTAACGATGAGACTTTCCCACAAGGAGTCCCTATGCCGCCAACTCGGAATCTTCCAGCGGAGTTCGAATGCCAGCTGTGCTTCAAGGCGAAGAAGTTTCAAAAGCCATCTGATTGGACGAAGCATGTTCACGAGGATGTACAGCCATTTACCTGCACGTACGAGAAGTGTAAGGAGCCAAAGTCATTCAAGAGAAAAGCAGACTGGGTTCGACATGAAAACGAGCGACATCGCCACTTGGAGTGGTGGATCTGTCAGTATGAGGATTGCAGGCATCCTTGTTACCGTAAGGATAACTTCTTACAACATCTTGTCCGTGAACACAAGTTGCCAGAACCAAAGCAGAAAACCAAGGCCGCCATCAAGAAAGCTCGCCTGACAGAGCCCGCGTGGATAATGCTAGAGCAATGCCATCACGAGACAACAAGTCGACCACAAGACGAGCCTTGCAAATTCTGCGGCAAAACATTCCCAACATGGAAGAAATTGACTGTGCATCTTGCGAAACACATGGAGCATATCAGTTTACCTGTCCTTCGTCTGGTGGAACAGAAGGCGGTTGATGCGAATACCATCATCAGTCCCGTCGAGAATATCATCTCCCCGGTGACACCTGGCAGCATAACAAAAATGGAGCCTTCTTCAAGCCCTTTCAACATTATGAACGTCACCCCACACATCCCGGCTGGTGCTCAGTTCGCCTCTACGGGTTTTGATCAGCCCGCCTATTTCTCAACGGCAGGGTCGAACTACAACAACCTGGACTCAACCATGAACTATCAACCGAACACCACCATGTACCCGAATGCTTTTCCCATTCAGCAGCCTACTTTTGGTTCGATGGGATCAAATGGCATGCATACGATGAATAACACTCGCTCGTATGAGTTGATGGACCCTGGATTCACGCAACCCAAGATGGAACAGCCTGACCCATACCGACAACCAATGGGGACTGGGTACCCAAATGTAGTGCCGACCCAGAACTACAATATGCATCATCAGCCCTCGGGATATTCAATGCCGCAGAGCCTCGACGGACTGCCGGCAGCATCCAGCTATCAAAACTCGACTATCCTCGGTATCAGCCAGGCAGGATATCAGTTTGACCCAATGGCAGTTGACCCAGGACCGAACTTCCAGCAACAACCGACACCGATGAGCCGTGCACAGGGGAGCGCGTCGTCATATGCTCACGGGCACTCGCCGCCACAACAAGTTTCTTATTATCAGCAGTGATCGCGTTTTGCAGATCAAAATTCTTCATGGAGGTGGCGTGAGGCGCACATTTTGGGTATTTTCTTGTATAGAGGGATTTATTTTATGACTTTCCTTTGTTTTATAGATACCATGACGAAATGTCTACTTGGTCGGGTTTGTTTCTCCGTATATCTAGCGTGGGGTCTGGAGTGAGTGTGATACGTGGTATGAAGTCAATGAACTCTGCTTTTCATCTTGATGTGGCTTTTTGAATCGTTTCCAGTGTGTTCATGAAGTGACCGAAGTCCCACTTGCTGGTAGCTCATCAAAACGGACTCGTTCCATGTAGGTATGCGGCCTTGACATGCGACTTGACATGAGCCGAGTGTTCTGGCCCTCTATACAGATTTACTGGGAAATGACTTGGGTCATTGAGTGGCTTTGTTTCCTGCTTTCATTGCTGTTCAGTCCGGTAGTTTGGAAGAGTCTGTGTGGCTAAGGAGAGTTCTCCGAGCTCGCCATTTTTCTTCTTGCCATCACCTATACGGCTGGACCCTTCGGTCCCAAAGATTTCATCAACCCAAGCTCACGTGGGAAAGCCCTTTGCGGAAGAAAGCAATGGGCATCAACGCAAAGTCCCACAGCGATTCGAAAAGATGGCAAAAGACATTCCTTCCATATATCGAGACCACCCCTCAATTAACTGGTGATGGCCAGGACGTCTTTGGCCAAGCTTCGAGATCAACGGCCCAAAGTTGACGACATTTTTTGAAGTGGAATTTCAAGAGCTCCAACCAAGTTGGACAGAGGAGTCGAGAGTGGCCAAGCAAAATGGTAAGAGCAGTGGTTGGGCCGATTGCTTCCGGTGCAATAATCTTCATAGAATATTCATCGGCACAGCGATCTAGATGATGCAACAACTGTGTAAGTTTTCACACTGTCAGCCTATGGAAACATTTCACTAATCGCTTGGCAGCCGGGGCCAACTTCATCTTCTACTTCGGCACTACTTTCTCTGAGACAATTGGTATCGGTGACCCATTCAGAATCTCAGTTATCCTAGCAACCGGTACTCCTGCCATCCCATACTTCGCCATGTATAACTCACACCACCTAGTCAACACTGTTTCAACACCCATCGCATTCTGGACCATCGGCAAGTTCGGCTGACGTCCCCCTCTCATCGTAGGCGTGGCTGGAATGTGCGTGTGCCAATTTATCGTCTCCATCGTCGGCGTTGCCACAGGACGAGAGAGCAGTGCAGCCCACGACGTCCTCGCCACCTTCGTCTGCATCAACATTGCCTTCTTCGCAGTCTGTACAAGCCGCTCAAGGTCTGCAGGTTGGCCAACAGGATAGCCCCATCTGAAGTCGAAAAGGGGGGAAGGTGAGACTGTGCTTGAGGAGAAGGCATGATGTTGTTAAATAGATAACCCGAGACTATGAGGGAAGTCTCTCGTTGAATAATAGAAGGTAATACTCCCCTAACGTTTTCTCCGTTCTGGATGTTCAGACTCCTTGGCAATTAATTCTAAAATCGCCGTAAAGGCTCCCGTCCCTTTCAAAGGAAATGGCGAGTATTCAAGGAACTGAGACATCAGGATCAGCGAGGAAGTGTTGCGTGGGAAGGTGGAATCAACTGCTTCCCCTAATTCGCGGCCCACCGTGATATACTCAAAAGGGATTTTTGGGCACAACAAGTTTTGGAGAGGGGGCTAAGTGTGGGACGATGTGGGCTCTTATGCTTTAGAAACTCAAAGTGAGGATCAACAGGTCTGGACGAGTGGTTAACAGCCACACACGAAAACCCACCTTAGAACTCGACTCTAAGTGTGGAGCGGTTTCAAAAATCCAAGTTTAGAAGGTTTTTCTAAGGGACGGGACTCACCGAGGGTCCTGTAGTTTTGCTGTTTTGGTAATTGGATATTTTGCATGGGTCTTCAGGGGGGTTCTTTTTGATGGTAGAATTTGTTTGGAAATGCACATATGTGCTCGTTTAAAATGTCACACAGCACGTTTCTGATGCTCTCAAGCCAGAAAAAGACTTCATTGCCATTCCTTAGCAAGTTTATTGACCATCCTGCCTAACTGTATCCAAAGCATTTTGGCGCAATTAATTCAATGTACTAATCGAAAAACGCGTTTCTAGAAAGGGGTCCTACCAAAGCCGCTTCTCCAGAAATTATCCTCCTTGAGACGTCCACTCCCTATCAATTGCCAGTCCTCCCTCATAAGTCATAGGTAAACTCCACTCACTGGCCAATTCCTTTTTCCACCACTATTGCCGGTCGGACAGCAGTTGGGGCTGCAGGTGGGACCGCCTCTTCAACTTCCCCTTGCAATTCGTGGAAGAGATCATCCGCAGCCTTCTCGTACTTTAACGACTCTCGGATGGAATACTTCTCAATGACATCCTCGCTTAAGCCAAAATTGTTGTTTGCTCTCAGCCAGTCTCCAACCATCGATCTGCACCTGTCCTTGAACACCTCTCTCGAGTCATTTCCGCGGATAAAGGAGCCGTGAAGTATTGAAGCTGCATGATCGTTGAAGAGCGAAATGTACTTTTCCAAGTCTTGATGCCAAGACTTGAATCCTGCCAATGCATCGAGCTCTTCCGTAGTTTTCTCGCCAAGAATCTCCGTTGTTGTAACCTCAACAGGCCTCTTGATATCTCCAATGAAATTCAGCAAAACGTCCACTGGTTCAACAATATTGCCAATACAACCCCTACAGCGACAATAGAAGCCGTACCTTTCCAAGAGAAACTCTCGCCTAGATGCAACCGAGCTTCCGCAGGCACCACTATAGTCGAGGGTTATCTCACATCCCTTCTTGATGTCTTCTGAGGAGATAATCACAATGTTGCCATCCTTCGTAAATCTGCGAAAAGCGTTCGGAAAGCAAGCGTGATTGATGCGCGATGCGACCTTGAAGACACCAAGGTTTCCTGGCCCAATACTGGCCAACTCAAAGCTATTGACGTCCCAGATTCTCATAAGTGTTGTTTCTTGGCATGGTGATGTGTGGCAGTTGCATTGGTTGTGTAGGGCCATGAAGTCTCGTTTCTTAGCTTCAGGTAGGAGCATGAATGCAGCTTGCTTGTCCAACCAATCCTGGCCCCCGCGAATCAGAGGGACTTCCTGGAAGATAATGGTACCTTTCTTGATGAGTTGGATTGCGAAGACCCCAAGACCCTTGCCGCCGGCTTGCTTGACCTCCCAGAGTCTGCCAGGTTGGTTATCTAACAATATCAAAGTCAGCAATTGATGGTGAAAGGCCACTCATGAAAACAAATATTTGATATACTGACTTAACATATTAAGGGTCTGCTGCTCAGTTGCTTCTGACTCAGTTGGTGAGGAGCTAGAAGAGCTGCCATTGCTTGAGAAATTGAGCCGCGGTAGGCAATTGCCGTTTCCAGCGCCACCTAGAACCCTCTCGTTCAAAGCCATTGTACCCATTCCTGCTAAGACCTCGGCCTCGTCAGCTTTATTTTTCAACTCTTCAGCTTTGCGTTTCTTCGCATTCTCCTTCTTGCGTCGATTACGCTCCCGCTTCGTAGATGCAGCCGAAGTTGGCGATATCATATCAAGCGTCGACTCCGAACCACTGCGCACAGTATCCGTATTCTGTAAAGAAATAATTAGCTCTGCATCACATCTTTAAACGATGCCAACTACTAACTGTGACCGCGGTCCCCAAATCTGAAATGTTTGAAGTGGTCTTCATCTCCTGATCGGCACCCGCGTTCACCTCTGGACTGGTCTCAACTGCTTGGGCTTCATCTTGAGATGATTGAACAAGGGTGGAATTGGACAGCTTGTCTTTGACTTTAGTTGCGGTGTTCTTCTTGGAAGCCATCTTGGCCAAGCTAAGTGCGAGGAGTTGACTTTGCAAGAAGTTATTCGGAAGACAAAAGCTGGAAAGACAAGGGATTGGAGGAGCACTTTAAATATTGACAGGCGAGAAAGGCTACCACGAAAATAATTGCTATGATTGAGCTTAATTCACTTACTGTCCAAAAGGTTAACTGAAACCCAGTGCTACTATCATACATTTCCATCGTTCTAGTGATTTGCTGATGAGCCTCAACATCGCCATCAGAAAGACTTGAAACTTTGGAGATTCTAGAACTCTCCCTGGCTCTCTCCACGCCAATACAGAACCATGTACTGATCCTCGTGGACTGAGACTAAAGCCAAGACCGTCTGCATAATGGTTTTTCTGAATATTAATACATGATTCTCACCGAAGGCTCTTGAGATGATTTGTACTCGGCAACAGGTTCCATTTACCTGATATCCATCAATTTCAATCAATTTTTCTCGGTCCCGAATCGCTTTCAGTGAGTCTTTGAGGGACATATCTTTCTTGTGAGACTCCACCAGGAGGTTTAAGAGAAGTTCTTCCCATCGCACCATAATGGCTCCTCATTGGTCAGAGTGTCAGGAAATCCGGGCTAACCACTTTAGTCCATAATTCAGCTCAGGGCCACTTTACGCGAATGGAAGTCGCGTCGCGTCGTCCCCTCCCTTCTTCAAACACGCATCTTTCTACCAAACGACAACGAAACTTTCTCAACCTTAGACCCCGTTCACTTTTCCAATCTCTACGTAACGATTCCACATATCCAACTTCAAAAGTGAGTACATCCTCCCCAACTTCTAGATTCCTTGCGCACAAATAGGCTGACATTTGGGTTCCAGTGTTGGAAGCACGTCTCGAGCAGGCTGATGTGCTGAAGAAGGTCAGTGGCATGCTCATAGATTTTCGCACGCCTTTACTAACTCCTGCAGGTCGTCGACGCAATCAAGGATCTCGTCCAAGACTGCAACTTCGACTGCAATGACTCCGGTGTTGCCCTTCAAGCCATGGACAACTCGCACGTCGCGCTCGTCTCCATGATGCTCAAGGCAGAGACGTTCTCCCCATACCGATGCGACCGTAACGTTGCCCTTGGCGTCAACCTCACATCCCTCACCAAAGTCCTACGTGCTGCACAGGGCGAGGATATCCTAACAATCAAGGCTGAGGACGCTCCCGATGTCTTGAACTTGGTTTTCGAGAGCAGCGAGAGTGACCGGTTGAGCGAGTATGACTTGAAGCTTATGGATATCGACCAGGAGCATTTGGGTATTCCAGATACGGAATATGCTGCTACGATTTCCATGCCTTCTTCAGAGTTCAAGAGAATCTGCATGGATTTGATGGCTCTCTCTGAATCAGGTACGTTTGCAGAAGCTTTTACCATTCCTCCTGCTAATGTTGTGACTCTTTAGTCTCGATCGAGGCATCCAAGGATGGTGTCAAGTTCTCCTGCTCTGGTGATATTGGCAATGGTGCTGTCACTCTTCGAAGCCACAGCAACGTCGAGAAGCCAGAACTGAACGTCGAAATTGAGCTCACCGAACCCGTCTCTTTGACCTTCTCCCTTAAATACCTCGTAAACTTCTGCAAGGCTTCTGGACTTTCCAAGACTGTCAAGCTTTGCTTGTCCAATGAGGTTCCTCTCTTGGTTGAATATAACTTGGCCGGAAGCAGTTACCTGAGATTCTACTTGGCTCCAAAGGCAAGTCACTGGCACTTGATTTCTAATGTTCGTTCTAACGGTCCCTGCAGATCGGCGATGACGAATAGACGAGATAATGGCGGGATGTTAATACATAATGGCACGAGGGTAGAGCATATATCATGCGGCGTGAAGGTTGACTTTAAGGATATGGACGAATTGCTCTTTAGTCAACATGCATTGGGGATCCTGAAGCAAATTCTGAATTTTCCTGTACCCAAGACTACGCGTTTATGACATGAAGAAAAGCACACTTTCATCCAAAATCCTCTCCGCACAAATGGGATTTACTTTTGTCGACTTTTGATCTTCATCTGCATGATCCTTTCGGGCTTAGTGCGGGGTATTTAGCTCATCCCGAATTGAACTACTCCATTCGCCCCACCAATGTTACGAAATTGTGACTCCTGAGATAGCGATTTTAATATCTCATACTGCGGTCGGCAGCAGCTATGCCATTTCTTTTCCCGATTTCCACGTTGACGATCTCCGCGTTTCCTTTGTACTGCCTCTAGAACTTGCTCTACTTCTTTAGTTTGACCGCTACAAATAAGGTTACCGAGTCACTCGGCTCACTCGATCTTTACAGACAGAAATGGCGGACGAGTTCCCCATCCCAGAGACACAAGTGCTTGCTGTCGCCAGCCATGTAGGGCCAGCCATCCTAAAGATCTCCATGGATCCGATTGACTGACATCACGCAAGGTTGTTTACGGGTGAGTCCTGCCGTTCTAAGGTTCGCGATTCGGTCGACTAAAGAGCATGCTGGAGAAGCTATGTCGGGAATACAATGGCGACGTATGTGATGCAGTCGCTAGGTTGCGAGGTTGCTGCTCTTAATACCGTGCAATTCAGTAAGTCGTGGGGGTTGGGGGAGAAAATCAAGAGCTGACCAAAGAAGGCAATCATTTAGGATATGGACAAGCAAAAGGCACGCGAGCCACAGCCCAAGAAATCACAGACCTCTACGCCGGCCTCCAAGACTCGAACCTCTCCTCCTTTCAAATGATGCTCTCGGGCTACCTTCCTGGAGCCGCCTCCGTCGAAGCCGTTGGCGCCATCGCGCGGGATCTGAAATACAAAGCTACAATGGAGCCGGGGGAGTTCTTCTGGGTGCTCGATCCGGTTATGGGTGATAATGGGAAGCTGTATGTAGCGGAAGATGTGCCGCTTGCGTATAAGAGCTTGATCATAGATGCGGATCTAATTCTGCCGAATCAGTTCGAGGCCGAGTATACCTCTCCTTTCGGTATTTTCGGGCTCGCGGAGCTGATGTTGGCGCAGGACATTATCGGGAGTTAAGATCGTGGGTATGGAGACGCTGAAGGAAGCAATTGTCACGCTGCATGAGAAATACCGGATTCCTCATATTGTAGTCACCTCGATTACTCTACCAGCACTGGGAGCACTGCCCTCTCTCTCAGTGGTTGGGTCGACATTCACGAGTACAGCAGAACCGAGAATATTCGAGATCAAGATCCCGGCCATCGATTGTTTCTTCAGTGGGACAGGGGATATGTTTGCCGCGTTAATGCTGGTGAGGTTACGAGAAGCGGTACATACAATTGAAGGGTTAGTTAAGACAAAGTCGTGGGTTAGTGGTGACGAGGTCGAGGCAACGGAATTACCACTTGCGAAGGCGTGTGAGAAAGTGTTGGCGAGTATGCATGAGGTATTGACCAGGACGAAAGTCAGCAGAGATGCGGAGTTGGAGAAGTATAAAGGAGTCGATTGGGAAGGGGATGAGAAGAAAAAGAGGGTGGTGGAAAGTAAGGCTGCGGAGGTTAGACTTATAAGGAATTTGGATTGTTTGCGGCATCCTGATGTCAAGTTTAGAGCGGAAAGGTTTCCATAAATATGGGTTGTCTAGATGGTAAGCAGGTAAGATGTAGAGCGTTTGGGTTACGGGGCACGAGTTCTATTCTGCTCATTTAGAAGTATCTCGCAAGTACATCAGCTTTCTTGAAGGAGGCCCAATTGCATTCAAGTCTATTTTCCTTACACACCTGAACTCCCTTTCATCATCTACCTCCACACCACCTCACCTAATCCACCCGAAACTTGTACGCCATTTCTCCAGGTACCAAAATCTATCCAGTACTTCCAAAGCCACCAGCACCTCGAACACTCTCCTCCAACTCCTTAACCTCCATCACCTCCGGCGTATAAATCCTCTCCAATACCAATTGAGCAACACGGTCTCCCTCCTTAACCTCAAAGTCCTTCTCTCCATGATTGAACAGCAATACCTTGACCTGGCCACGGTAATCGGCATCAATGACTCCAGCACCCGTATCGATCATGTGCTTAGATGCTAAACCGGAACGAGGGGCAATACGTCCATCTGTCAATTAACTAAGTTAATGGATGTTCGGCTTATTTAATTGGCACAACTTGGAGATTTTAAGAGGCAAAGGGAGGGGAGAACAAACACGTCCCGTCTGGCACCGCCATACTAATATCCGTATCAACCAGCACCTTTCCCCGCGCAGGAACCACCGTATCCTTCGCAGCATAGATATCGTACCCCGCCGCAAACGCGCTTCCTCTGGTCGGCAGCTTCGCCTTCTCGCTCAGCTTCTTGATGAGCAAGGGAGGGGCGGCGTCGACTTTTGTGACGGCGGGAGCGGTCGAGGCCATCGTGGAGGCGATTGAAGGTGTGGAATCGGCAATTGGTGTTGGGTTGGGCTTTTGGCGTTTTGGGAGAGGTGAACTGGGTGGTGAGGTTGCGGACATTGCGGTTGTAAAAGGGATTGAGAGAGGGATGGGGAAGGCCGTTTGAAGGAGACGCGTTGACGCGAGGGGTTCGCGTAGGCCCCTGAATGGTATGAAATTTACCCAGAACTGCATATTTTGAAGCATAAGTAAGCGGGTTAACGTTGGCGACCACGACTTGACTTGGCGCAGTGTCAAAGACGAAGTTTCTAATCATGTGTCTATGATGGTCATGACGTGGTTCTATTTACAGATCCCCAATTTCATGCCTCCTTATTCGTAAACCTCTGCCTCCCGTCTTCACTAAGCTCTCCCTCTCAGTTCCCAAACCTCCCAGACAATTCTGTCTATTCTCTTCCCCTTTCCAAGACCTCCCTTCTGGTTCCCTTCCTAAAAGCCCTCCCGCCTCCCCTTTTACTCCTAGCCCTCCATAACGACAACTTTCCTCCTATACCCCTCCTTGATTCTCTTCCAATTTGATCTTGGCTTGAAGCTGGCGTTGATTTCGAGGCTGTTTAGTTGTGGTATAGCCCGTCGTGTATTTCTGTCAGATGATATGATGTACATTTGTGATAGCACAAGAGACGATGTATTTTTGGATGGATGAATCTTTTCGTGCTCACTGAGGTTTGGTGATGTTGGTGATTGTGTCGATGTTGAGTTAGTTTAGTTGTGAGAAATCGGTAGGGTATTTTCGTCAGATGATGTTATGAGTGAGCACGGGTTATGGCTCAAGAGACGAAAAGTGGTTTGTTGAATGCGTGGTTCTTTTTCGTGCTCAGGAAGCTTTGGCGATGTTGGCATTGTTGATTTGGTTTGATTTGGTTTGATTTTGATGTCGGTGAGTGGTGCCGTTGGAGGTTTTGATGTTTGTGGTCCCCCATGATGTGATGGAGGTAGTTCCTCATTCGCTCTCAATGAGCGGATTGAACTTCGCCAGGTGTTGGTGGTGGTATTAATTTTGGCATCGTTGCGGTCATTCAATTTTCGAAGCTTTGTTGTTCATGAAGCGTCAATGAGGAGGTACTCCCAGGATTTCTTTCGTTTGCAGTGTGCTGATTGATGTTTACCGTGTTGACAGTGCAGTATTGGCGGTGTTGTCGTAGTTGAGAGTTCCAGGTTGTTGATAGAAGATTAAGCCAAACTTTGTTTTCGTCTGATCCACGGTTCGTCAAAAAAGGGGCTTGCCTTTGTCGGAAATATGGTTGTACTGTTCTTCGATCTCAGTTCTAGCATAGTCTAATGAGTCAAATTTTGAGTTTAAGCGGTGAGTGGTTTGCACCACGGTTGAGGTAGTGGTGATGATTAGATGATTCCGGTCATTGGTGATGTGTGATTGTGGTACTGATACTCTTCTTTGGTGAAATTTTTCCAGGCTGTGCGATTCTTCGGCTTTCCATACTGGCGGTGTGCCGAGTCTGAGGGCTTGCCCATAATCCCACGTAATTTGGAAGACTCACAAGGCATTTGTGTGATTGCGTGGTGATGGTGATTTTGATGGCTAGATCTCGCGGCTGAGGTTGGAAGCTTCTTCTCAGTGAGGCGTTTGGTGGCCATTTGTTGTTTGTACTCGAGGTAGTGATCACCGAACTTCATTGTTGTGGTGGTTTGATTTTTGATGAGTGTTTTGATGGTGTCATCGACCTCCTCTGGGATATCTTCGTCCAGCGAGAGTAGCAAGTTGGCAAGTCTGGCGTCGCGGGCTTCGGGGCTGCGGTCGTTGAAGTCGATAAATCTGATGAGCTTTGATGACGACGGCGACGAGACACTGGATGCGGAAGTGACGTCTGAGGTTGTTGGGAGTGAGCCCTGGGCGCCAGTTGAGACAGTTGCGATCGAGGCGATTTCGATCTCGGTGAAGTACTTGGGATTTTGAACTTCCGTGATGTTGATTGTAGCTGGAATGAACTTTGAGGGCTTTGAAATTAATGACTTTCTGAAGAGGTCGATGAGATTTTGAATGTCCGCGAGGTTCATTCTGGACTCTTGTGTGCCCTTTGAGGAGGTTAAGATGTGGAAGTTTTTGAGAAGGCTAGTGAGTCGGTCGATGTCCGTGGTGTTGGTGTTCTCCGTAGTAAGGGCGGATTTTGGTGGTATTGAGATGTGGAAGTTTCCCAAGTAGTAGATGAGTTCTCTAATGCCCAATTCCATGGTGTTCATTCTGGTAAGAATGGACTTTGAGAGGAAATTGAGATAGACATGGCCGCGAAGAGGTTAGTGCGTTTTTGGATTTCTTTGACCGTGGCGTTCATTGTTGCTGATAGAGTTTGATTGGAACTCTGTTTTCGACCGCCGGAGAGAATTGGATGGTGTTTGAGTGATGATGTGAGAATGTTCGTTATTCGTGAATCGTGAAAAGTGTGTGAAGCTTGAGTTTGGGTTTGAGGTGTTTTCAGATCTGTACGTTGGGGGAAAATCGAGAAGGGAAAGAAATTCTTGCTTATATATCTGTTAAAGGAAATTAAATCATAGGATCCAGTTCTCAGTGAGAGTTGGCATACGGATTGAGGTCATTAATGCTTCGTGAACCTTGTATGGCGAACCACGGAACTTGAATAGGGTAAATCTGGGGAAACCCCAACGACGGCAGATCAACAACCACTCATAGGAGAGATTCGGCACGGCAACCACCAAACAATTGCCATTCTTGGGGACGACTAAGGGAACAAGCAAGGATAATGCTGGACTTGTGAAGACTTCTTACAGACGTCCCAGATGTCGCCAACCGTGGGAGCGGCAATATATATCGCCAGCTCGTAGCATTGAAACAAGAAGAGGGCAAAGGCCAGGAAAAGGGCTTGAAAAAATAGCCCAAGTAAGCCCTTCTCAATCCAGGACGACTTTGCCCCGAACCTCGCCGTGAATCCGATGCTTCTTCAGTAATTCGGAAAGGAAGGCCCTCCTGAACCATTGCTGCCCACAACAAAACGAATAGAATACACTGCGAAAAGAACAGATTAAGTGATCCAATCCTCACACAGTACGATATTACCCTCTATATCTATTCTATATTCCCCAAAACGATCTAATCTCATCAACCACCTCCTCCACCTTCGTAACCGGAAACTCATGAGCACTATCAACCACCCGCCACCTCACTTTCTCCTTCCCCACAACCTTAAACACATCAACCATCAGCTCGTTCGCCACAATCACCGGATCCGTCCTCCCCGCAACAATCAACACCTGATCCTCCCTCTCCCCCAACATCCTCCAGCTCTCCTGCCTCCTCTCAATCGAGCTATGTTTGATAGAATTACAAAAGCTCTTTACAAAACCGTTGTGAAAGTCCAGTTGCCACTTCACGCTCGCCGCTATCGTGAGATCCGGGCGCCCCTCTACCAAGACCACAGCTTCATACTCTGGATTCCGGTTCCCCTTAACCTCCGCCCCTGTGGTAGGATGGTCCTCATCTCCTGTCTTCGCGACCTGGGGTCGGATGGGACCACCACGTAGTCTTCTCTCGACAGCCCATTCTAGCAGCCAGTCTGGGACGTTGTCCGAGTACATGAATCTGCTTATCCAGCCGAAATGAGAGGGTCTGATAAGACCAGCTGGTGCGAGCAGGATGAGACTTTTCACCATCGATGGAAAGGAAACAGTGAAGTCAACAGCTATCCCACCACCGAGCGAGTAGCCGACGATACTGAAACCTTCTGGTGTCCATGGAATAGGTGACGAGGTGATAGCAATCAAAATTTCAGTGCTGTACAGCCGGGAATCGAGAGGTAAATCAGCGGGACTGTCGCTGTAGCCGCGTCCAAAAAGATCAAAGAGTAAGACTCGACAGCCCAGTTTTACTAGGGCATGGGCAAGTTTTCCAAGTGAGACACATGGAGTGCTAATTCCGTGGAGCATGAGCACTTTCCTCCCATCTTCGGGACCCCATTCATAGACGCGGATTGTACCATACTGAAACATATAATCAGCTAAAATCGGAATATGGACTGGACCTGTCATGTGACTTGACTTACGGGGCTGGATACGTCCCTTGCTCCAGGGAAAAGGTCGGGCGGGTAAGAGAGCAGACTTTGTTCTTCTTCTGTGAGCCTTGGGAGCAGAGTCTCCCGCGGACTCAGTATTAGCTTGGGTTTGGGTGGAGATTGAAGGGCGAGCTTTGCGAGTGTGATCACGGCGAGTGTGGTTGCAACCGAGGTACTGATTATGAGCGGGAAGTTTGGGTGTGATCCTTTGAAGAATTGAGAAAATGCTGACATTGTGGATTCGTTGGCAGTGGCAAATGATCTCAGACGTTGAGATTAGTTGAGACCTTGAGATTGAGGATGAGATATCTGTCAGTAATGAGAGGGAACCTGTGGCTTCTCTCAAGAGGGGAAATGTGCAACTATGATTGGCGTGTGGTGGGATTTTGGGCTCTAATTGAAAGCCTTTGAAGTCCAGGCTGCTCAACAGTTACGCCTACGGAAGGCCGTATACGCCTCGGGGGTAGTCGGCTTCAATTCCCGAGTTCAGATTCACGTCACATGACTTAGTTGATATTTGCCCCTGAGTACAGTAATTAGGCCCAGTTGAAAGGAATTTGAATGTTCCACACCTCGTTGAACATTTGAAAGGCACAAAAGCCCACTTGGCTGTACCACATAATAATACCCCTTCTTTATACAATTCTGAATCCGTTCGTTGGTGTTCCCCCTGGGCTAATGAAAAGTTCTGGAGCATATTCACTCGCTAACGTCCTTCGAATGTCCGTTTTCTTCTGCCCCTCCCGGACATGCTCTTCATTGTCCCCGAACAGCTTGTACATTTCTTCAAGTGCCCTGCCTGTTGTTTCTGGGACGAAATGGGCGGCCCAGAAAGCCGAAAGAAGACAAAAGCCGGCAAAGAAAGCATATGTTCCCCACTTGGACTTGGAGAACAGGCTCCGGGTGATCAGGCTAGAAAGAAAATCATATCTGTTGTTGTCAGTAAAGTTACTCGGTGGATTGGGTGAATGACCCACAGCCAGTAAGAACAAGCGGACAAAGCACCTCCTTTGACTCGTAATGTACTTGGGAAAACCTCAGATGGTAAGGCCCATGAAACCGGGCTCCAACCTGCTCCAAAGGCTAGTATACAGAGAATCGAGATTCCGACGCAACACCAACCAGCATCAGGGTGAGAGGACCAATTGTCTGAGAATTTGCTGTTCAACCCGGCAATAATGATTAGGCAGACAAGCATCAAGCTCGATCCGGAAACGAGTACTCGTTTTCTCCCAAACGTGTCTATTGTCCATAGACAGGTAAGCGCTCCCAAGAGGTGCACTGCGGCAAAGATCCCAGGCATGGCGATCTGTATATCGATGCTTGCACCTAATGTTCCCAAGAGAATAGGAACATTGTAAGCTAAAGCCTTCATACCCACAAATTGCTGAAAGAACATCATGCCAATGCCAACGTGAGTCCGGTACCAGTATCGAGACTTGAAGCAGTCCAGCCACAATTGAAGTTCAAGTTTGATGCCGTTGATGTACGATTCATCCTGGAGCAATGGATGTCGAGCCTCGGTAATCTCTCGCTGGTAGGCCACTTCAACACGAATCTCCATCCACTCATTTTGGACTTTGCAATTGTCGGGACAAAGCTGTCGAAGTTTTGATAGACAATACAGGGCTTGTTGATTCTCAAATCGTGATGCAAGCCACCGAGGGGAGAAAGGCATACAAATTGCACCGATCCCAAGTATCAGCCCTGGAATTACCTTGAGTAGTTGGTAATTGTTCCAAGTATACGAAAAGCGATGCTGAACTCACGAGAAACACAAATGGAAGTCTCCAAATCTCCTCGCCATCCATGTGCCCGGTAGCGACGCTGATCCAGAAAGATGCCATTGTTCCAAGAGCGATTAGAACATCCGCTGCCAGAATTGATCAGCATGATCTTGCTACTCGGGAAAATGTTCAGGACTGGCCAGCACATTTGAGAAAGCACTTGCATACAATGTCCGAAAAAGCTATGTCAAAAGAAGCCACGCGTAATGTTCAGGCCTTGCTGGGACATTGAACGGTTCTCACAATACTGAAATAGGCATGAGAATGAAGAGACTCACTGAATACCAACAAACTGCCTCTGATTTCCGGGGGACTGATCTCCGAGATATAGATAGGTGTGATCACTGAAAGCATCCCGATGGCGATACCACCGACTAATCGCGCTACAACCAGCATGGTATAATTCATTGAAATCGTCTGAAAGACGAATCCGGAGATGAAAACGACAGCTGCGATGCCAATTGACCTCTTTCTCGCGCAATGGTCTGCAACCGATCTGCAAACTGTTGAGCGAGGTTTCGAAGTAAAAGCATCGCAGAGCGCCTCACCCCATTATCAATGCTCCCAAGAAACCTCCCAATTGGGTTATCGCGGCGATGAAATTGAGGTCGATCTGAGGAAACTGGGTAACAATTTGTTCCGTGATGAGAGAGATTGGCATGAGTCCCTGATTATATCCTGTTACTTCGTCAGTTCCTTTCGCTCTAAATGCATTCGGGAGGTGAAAGATCGTGAGGGGACTGAGCACAATAGGAAAACCATACCGAGAGCGAATCCTCCAATAGCTGCAAGAATAGCAAAACCTGTACAATAGGGAGATTCCAGGACGCCGCGAAACCCTGTCTTCCTGCTCCTTGTCAACGTCCGCAGTCAGGGGGCACATAAAAAGACCTTACACGTATGGGTCCCTTTGGGTAACAACATCTTCTGGAACCTCAACAATGGTTGGAAGTGATGCGTTGCTGCCATTGGAAGAATGTCTCACGCTGCTTTTGGAAGAGCCTGGGGAGCGTAGGGGCGGAGAAAAAGTCTGCTGTCCGAGTATGGAATTGTCCGTACTCATATTGAAAGTATAAGAATTCGCTTAACGTATGGAATGGAGTTGAGAAAGCCAAAAGTTGGATGCAATGGAGATGATGTGTATGGAAGATCTCCATTGCTTTGGATTGAAGTCAAGGAAAGCCTGAACTTCTAACATCGCACTTGCTGTTTTGGTTCAGAGTCCTTGCGCCTTCTCGGTGTTCAATCATCACCACGAGGTTCAGCACCGAAAGAGCTCGAAAATCATAATTTGGTCTTGAAGCCAACTCCAAGAGATATGATTGAGGATGGAAGATCGAGTATGTTCTGGCACGATGAAATCCAGCTCGCCATTTCTCTGAAGTGTGTCAAACACGTGAACGATGACCCCCTGAGGACGTCAAGCAGGCTTCAACACTGCAACACACTCCTTCGCAGCTTCCATTTTCGGCTTCGCCAACGGTCCGACTGTAGGTCCGTTCCAAGACACCTCGCGGGGGTTCATGATAAGACACGGCATATGTTGCTATCTGCGCATCGTTCCATTTCAGACTTCAGCTGCATGTTTCACACATCTTCCATGTGGCATATGCCATCCCATCTGCAAGTGCCAAGTGTCAAGGACAAGGTGGTGCGACGAACAGCTAGCCAGATCAGGAAGAATAAATACAAACGCGGGGAGAACCCGGAAACAGCAACTTCCAGGAAGTCCCTGGAACGTCCCGAAATTCCAAATCTCACGATACTGGTCGAAACAGATCAAGCACTCATGATCTCCCCAAATTTCATGCACCAACCACCCTCTGGGGAGAACCTAAACAAGTCCTTGTCCAAGTCTCCGGGGGGGGGGGGGGGGGGGGGGGGGGGGGGGGGGGGGGGGGGGGGGGGGGGGGGGGGGGGTTAGTGAGTACAGAGGACGTCAGGGGTGAGCCTTGCATTGCTGTGCAAGGCTGAAGGATTGTAAGACGGTGGTCCTGTGGTGCCGAGCCAGTGGACCGTTGGGCAACCAGCCTCGGTGATCATGTCTCTAGAATTTCCATAAATATACCATGACCAAGTAGTCACCAGAAAACGAGGCCTTCAACAACACACTTCACAGCCATGGTGGTGCATCTCCGAACAGGGGTGTCGGGCATGGCGTCCGTGATCTCAGCCCCACCGTTTCATGTTGCAGGTGGCGCTTGTATCCCAGGTTTGGGGTGCGGTTGAATCGGTTGATCCTGGCAGCTTCGCGTTTGCCCACCATTCAGCGGCGGCCCTGGCTCGCGTCTCGTAAAAGGAGCGCTGCTGCAGAGGCCCAGGTTTCCTAGGGCCTCTAATCTCCCGTGTGAAAGTGTAAAAAAGGCTCAGCTTACCTCACATGGCAGAAGACAGAGAGAATTATCTCGGCGACATCAACTAGATGGGGTTGAAGGGAGGAACGACTCGCAGGCTGCCATTGGCCTGCTGCACATTTACCTCGCCCCACTGCACGCTCGCCAACCACAGTCGACCAGCCGCAGCCACGCGAGCCAATACATTACACAGTATTGTTCTAAAAAGAAAGGGGCTGTGTCTTCGCCTGGCGGCCTCCAACTGTACCACAGGCCCGCTTGCCGTGGACCTCATGATACTGACAGACGCCATCACCTACAGCACCGCACCGCACCGCACCGCGCCGTGGGCGAGCTGCGCATTTCCGCATCTGCACTCGTCTCACCTCTGCTAATTGCTGTTCCTTTTTTGGGATTTTCTGCAGCCAGGTGTGCTGTTTGGAATCTCACCCCCATCACCTCTCCAAGAACCGGTAAGCATGGTTGGCACTGTTTCGTCTCGGCACTGGCTCCCTCTGACTGTTGCAACTTGCTTGCACCCCCGCCATACCCTTCAATTTCAATCTACTCGGGGCATGGTACTGAACCCATGTCTTCAGCGCCCCAATAGCGGCTGTCACTTGTACGTACGATGCAGGTTGAAAGAAGTGTTGTTGTCCAAATCTTTTTTCAGCTGGCTGTGATGCTAAAGAAGGGTATATCGACCGTGAACCGTCATTCTGTCTCGTAAATTCGAGGCGAGACACGCAAGAAGCACCTTTTCCTGTCCTGCCAAACGAATGTTCGATCTAAATCTCAACTCCAAGAATGAATCCTCCCATTTCCTAAACTCCGAATCTGTGACTCCGCCCAATGCATGATCCCTGTTTGTTTCCTTTGTTGCCCCCCCATTCATTCACGAGTTCCTCCGGGACTTGCACTTGTCGTGCGCCATGTGTCCATTCCTCGCGGTCGTCCGTGTAAACTCCGCACCGCAGTTGGGGCAGCTCGATTTCTGTGCTGCGCCGGACTTCTCTCGCTGATGGCGCAGGAGGTTGCTAAAAGTAGAAAACTGACGCCCGTTGCAGCCGTGTTCCCAGCATTGTGGCTTAGGACGGCTGTGAACCACCCGAACGTGGTCTCCTGATTCCGTCGACGCTATCTTTGGACTCACTTGCTGACTTCGATACATGTTTGGCTGATCTGAGGCTGAAGAGAGAGAATGTGGCCGTCCGACGAACGCTTGCATGTTAGGGTCTTGGGTGGGGAAATTCATAGGGTATGCTGGTGTAGAATTGAAATCATTGGGACCCCTGGGAAAGTATTAGTAAACGAAACTTAAGAGGACATTCCTCAAAAACCCACATTGAAAAGACTGGACTGTACATATCGGGTGTTGTCTGATCGTTGAGAGCACCTTGGTTGAGAGGTGGAGAGTATGGTGTAAGGAAAGAGTTGCTTCCCAGAGCGGGAGAAGCTTGTAAAGACCCTTGGGAGAGAAGAGGAGATGGACTGTGGGCGTATTCTGGAAGAGTTCTCGCTAGGAGATCTGGGGACCCATTCTGAGAAACGATATATGGGTTGCTCTGGTTGCTCGTGGATCGATCTCTTCTGATCCGCGTCTTTGAATCTCTCCTCGCAAAGTCCCGTTGGCGCTTCAGCTCTCTTTGCTCTGGGGTAAGGCTTCCTCGTGGTGGGCTTGAAGATAGTGACCTCGCATACACCGGCATGAGCTTCGGCTCATCAAATACAGCTGGGGTAAGTTGTCCCGGGCTCAGGCCCGGACTTGGGTTTTGAGAAAGGAAGTCCTGATTCATATCGAATTCTACAGAACATAAGTATTGACCTTCGATCATGGAGACGTTGTACTCACGAGGCCATGTGTAGGTATGTCGGATAGCGCTTTGCATGCCGGCATCGAATCTCCCGTCATATTGTTGAATCCCGAGAGTACTATTAGGGCTGTGAGTAGAGATCTTTGGGAAGAGGAATCAACTCTTACCTCATATTTGCTGGATAAGGATTGGAATTTGACCGGAAAGATCTGTGGCCAACTGACTGATCTTCGGGGAAAGATTGGGCAGGGTCTAGTCTGAGGAGTGGTGCAGACCCAGAATGCTCTTCAGTTGCAGATAAGAAGGCCCAGTCGACATCCAAATCACTCTGTGAAAGCAAGGGAAAAGGAATGGACTGTTCAGGCACCGGAGTCGAGATAAATGTCTTGGGTGATGGGTGTGAGTCAGGATACGTTGATGGAGATGCAGTGCGGTAGGCGGCAGTAGTCAGATGTTCCGAAGAAGTAACAGCAACCTGATCGCTTGAGGAAGACGGATTATCTATGTTCAACCCTTGGAATTGTGCGGCCGTCGAAGATAGATAACTATTGGACCTTGATCTGCATTGACGTGAGTCTTGTGTACTCGGGTCTATATAGAGACTGTCCATGAGGGCTGGATCTGGGGCTGTGAGTGATGACGGCGGCACATACGGATAGATTTAGAAGAGAAGGCTCGAAATAGACAAAGAACTTTGATGGATGGTGAGAGTAAGAGTGTAACGCGGAGAACTCAGCAGGGCGGTACCCTTTAGTAGTATATCTGAGGAAAACGAAATTTGAAGAGTTATTTTGGAAGTCTTGACGGATTCGGAGTGGGATAACAGATCATGGCCCTCCGCCTCAACTCAGTCTGGGAAAACAAGGCTATAATGTACTTGGACCATGCCCGTCGAGGGGGCTGTAGGGTTGCGGACGCCATTGGTAGATCGCTGGTACAAGCGAACGCTCGAAGGATTCAGCCCCTTGTCGTTCTAGCCTGCACTTACAGAATAGAAATCGCGCCAAGTGACGCTCCCGCTCTCTGGAACTTGGCATGTCAAAGGTGCTTAGTGCGACGGCAAGGCTTCCTGCTCCGTGGCTTCACGCTCGCCAGGCTCTTTCGGCGATGGTTGCACTGTCTACGCCGCACTCGCACACGGCCGCCTTCCAGGGCCAACAGTGGGCGAGGACAGAAAGGCGTGAAATTACCAACCAGGAGAGCAACAGCCGTGGCCTTTGGACCCATCTCTCGTCGGGGAATGAGTCTGCATGGCTCCAGAAAGGGGAGCGATCTGGAAACGCAGGCCTTGGGGCAGGCTCTCGGGAGTGCTCCAGGGGAGGTGAGATGTCTCCGTTGGGGTTTCCGGTACTTTGGCGGCTGTAATCTGCACCCAAATAAAGATGAAAGTACTTCAGCTTTCTCTGCATGGAATGTATTTTGGTCCTATTTGGGGTGGATGAAGTTCTAGGTCGAGGGACAATCCTCTTCTCCGCGCGGATCAACCGTCTGGCCGAAGCATTTTGAGAATCTGAGTTCGTCTCGCCCCCGCCAGGGGCCTTGAATTCCGACACTGAGGAAATAACTACAGGCCTCCCAGGGCCCACGGCGATTGCTGGGGTGTTCCTGAAATCGGCGAGATATTTACTGCGTCAAGCCCGGAACTCATCCCAGCCTGCAGCACTTGCATCCCAGGGAAGCGATTGTGACGTTATGGCTCGAGTCCTAGGAACCTGAGGACTGGAATGAGTCTGTCAGACGCAGTAATAAGGGCCAGCTAACTCTGAGGTGCCACGGTGCGGCGCGTCTGATTCTGTTGCCTGATTCCAGTGAACTTCTGGATTGACAGCACCAGCCCGGCCCCGTCGTTGCCAGCTGCACTGTACTCTACGAGCACCTGGTCCAGAGATCGCAGATGTCCCCGCTCTCGAAGATCCACTAGTGTGGGGTCTCTGCTGGAACCGCCCAAGGTCGCTTGCATGGGTTTCGTGAGTCGTGCTGCTGCGGAAGGGTTGAACCGTGAAGGTCGAGTCGAGAAATGCCCCTCGCCAGTCGAGCTCAAGGAATGGAGCTCGGAGCTCGATGCTGGACGAACTAGGCTAGCGCGACGAGCTGAAGCTCCCCAAGCTCTCTCGAAGCTTGCGCCTTGCAGCGACCTCATCAAACAGAACGCCCCGGGGCCTAAGATAAACAAGCACTCCCAGGTCAACGTGATTCTGTGATGCCCAATCCGCGGCGCAAGAACTGTGAAGCCTGTCGACGGCTTTCCGGCACTCTCAAGCCACCGAAATTTAAGATTTAAGAATTTCGTCTAAAAGTGCCAGCCGACGACTTGCGAGCGAACACTGCCCGACCCAAAATAGTATCAAGTGTTCCACCCCGCAAGAAACAATGCCTCCACGGTACCATGAATTCACGATCTTGGTCACGAAATGTGATAGTGACGGAAAGTTTCCGGTTTCCTCTTCTTGCTTCCCCGCGAAACCAACACCCTCCTGACTCCTGCATGCCCATGAAGTGCAGAAAAAGCCGTTGTAATAGCAGGGGCTATTAAGGCCAGATTCCCCTTCAACGAGCTTCCCAAGCACTACGTAAAGAGACCTGAGAACGAGGCCCTGAGCACGTTTCTTGCGCCTTCCCCCTCGCTGCCAATGTCTGCCATCTGCTACCCGCTCAATCTTGCACATATCCCCCCCCCCGAATCTCACTCCCCGCTGTTGCTGAGGTCAGTGCACAACCCTATTCAACCTCCTCAAATCCTTCTTCCCTCCGCCATGGCCTGCAGACGGTCAACTCATCTCCAGACCCCAAATGCCATAGTTATTTTGGTAGAGGCTCAGTCGCTACCCGTCATCTTAGCCACTAAAGGTTGGGGCCATCACATCACATGGGTCGTGCCGATCAAACCTCCTTGCCGCATAGCACAGCCTTGTGCCCCATCACAAGCGCGCTTGCGTTTAGCCAATCCGGGCGTGCGGTGCCAGTGTTTCCAACCCCAAGACGACTAAATCTACGGCTATTGGACACTTGAATCCAGCCTTGGACTGACTTTGGTGGTGATCTTATGAGAATGTGATATCGAGTTTCGGGAACCGAATTTTGTGTCCATCTCTCGAGGCTGTGGCCTCAGAGCACTTGGACCCGACGAACTTTTCAGCTTCTGATATCAGCAAGGCTTTCCAACTATGAAATCACTGGATCATTCAGCACCAAGCGTTATCTCATCTCCAGCTTGTTCACGTTCTCCGAATCAAGTATCGTTCTTATTCTGCAAGGGCTCGGAGCGAAGTGAATGCTGAATTTTCTGTATCCGCCCATCTTCCAAATTCGCTGAGGAGGATGTTTCCTAGCAGAACTCCTTTGCAAAACCCATCCACTCCTATTTTTGCCGCCGTGGCAATGCTCCTGTGCGCTCAAGTAAAAACCCCACCAATATGTAAGCTCCCTTTCCTAATAACCTCAATCGTCAAAATTCGTGTAAGATATATCTATCTAGGCTAAGCTTAGAGTTTGCCATGACGAGCCTTGAATATAGCAACTTTGTCATCATAAAAGAGAATCTCTCTGGGTCGAAGTCGAACTTTAGATCTCCCGTCTTCAGAGCCGTCAAAGGAATCGGTATCTGAATCCTCATGGTCCGAGATTTCATCGTCGGTTTCATCAGGATCAACGATTCCGGCCGGAGCCCCTATCGCAGTCCCATTATCGTCCGACTCTCCCTGCTCGTCGTCATCGTCATCACTCCCATCTTCGTCTTCATCGTCGTCTTCCTCATCAGTCACAGGCCCTCCATTTACAGCGCTGGGATGTGAATCCATCGCACCATGTGCCTCATCGTGCGGCCGATTCTCCAGGATCTCAAAGCATTTGTGCGAGACGCCCATATAACAAAGCTCCACCTCAGGCCGTAATACAATCACATCAATGACTTGAAGAACCAGCTCCTTGGGGTCAAAAGCGGGCGTTACATGATCTGCGATGAATGGGATGTTAAGTGAACGGAGGTGAGGGATTTGCGGGAGTCGTTGAAGGAAATGATGCTGGGGATATATTAGTAGATGAAGAGGGGCGTATATAAATGAATTAGAGATTCTCACCCAATCTTTATAATCGATGGCAATACTAAGCTCCCGGAGACTACTCATGCGCCCGCTAGTGATGAAGTTGAGAACATCACGGGTCGGCATCCAATTTCTCCACCGTGCATTATCTGAAGAACTTGAAGGCCCTCGTGGTATCCTGTCAGAGCTGTCCAGCATCAACCTCTTGAGACTTGCACGGTGACGCTTCAGAGGTCCACGATATATGGCATCCTATTGCATAGCACGTTAGCATTCGGACGTGTTTAGAATACAGTAGCAAGTGGGCACTTACAATAGTTACACTTGTTGTACTCGTTCGTTTGCGATCTTGGAGAAATAGAGTCTCGAGGGTGTTTGGAGCCAAGGTTTCTTTCAAAAATGCGATAAGAGCAGGAGATGCTGCATCCGTATGGACCTTCTTGAGATTGAGGTGGTATTGCAACGACACTCCATGTTTGGAGGATGAAACTGGCCCGAGCGGTGATGGCTGAAAGTGTCGGCGGAGCATGACCCAAAGCCTGTCATGTTGTGCACAATCAAGTATTGTCAGATTTGACAAGACCGACCAGTCAAATGCCTTTTGGAGTACAGATACCGATAAGGGGACTCTCTCAAGCTCCAAGGTTTGGAGCCTTAACTTGCCATCCAGTCTTTCCCTTTCGACAGAATGAGCTTCCGAGAAATGTGACTGTCTTTGAGTGTGGGTTGACGAGCGTCTTAGCGGTGGTTCTGGAACAACCTCGTGCTGTGAAATATCATCAAGCTGTAGTTCAGCAATGCTCTGGGCGATGAACTGCACGTGAGATTGGGCAGCTTCGGTCCCGGGGGAAGTTATATCTGGTTGCGGATTGAGATTCACACCATCTGACTCGTCTGGCGGACGTTCACTGTCGGTGTTAAATGTAGTACCAGGATCCAACAGAACCGCTTCGTTAAGAGAAGCGTTTTCTTTGCCGGTCCAATCCTCTTCAGAGGAACTATGCTCGGGAGCTTCAGGTATGTGGTTTAGTAAGACATCGCTGCTTTGCGTGGGAGTTGAGCTAAGGAGAATTTGCGTCTGTGGAGGTTGCGAGGCGAGAGGAGAAGAAACTGTAGTGGTGTCCCAATCCTTCCTCTCAGGTTTCGGCTTTTGTTTCTTGCGAATATCAAACATCCTGCCCAAGAGCACGCCCAAAACTCCGCCGAGTCTTCGCTCTCCAACTGTGCTCGCACCAGGCCATGATGCTTTGTGGTCAACTTGATGCAAATCAGGGCCATCCCAAGAGATTACGAAATCTCGATTCATGGCCTTGGCTGATATTCCAACACGTAATTCACGAAGGCGGTCTTTTGATTTTGCAATGAGAACACTCATTTCATCCAAATAATCTAGTTCATCGACATCCAGGACCGACAGGCTCCTTAAAGGCGGAAGGACACTAAGAGTCGGGTACTCTACCCTGCTCTGAGCATAGGAGAGGGGGTGAGGATTTCCTTGGGCGTTTGAAGTAGAGCCAGTTGGGATTGTCCAGCCGATAGAAGTCATTGTGCTCCCAGCTAGCATCTGTGGGGTGGTGCTGGCTGGTGTACTCGAGGCTTGCGCCGGAGGTAAATTGGCTGGATCTGAATTATCATGCCATCGAACCCATACTCGCTCGAGCCTACATTCATGCTCTGGATGCCGATTCTGTAATGAAGATAGGGCAAGCCACACGTCTCTGAGCACCCCAGTTGGCATATCCCACACAAACGTCTCTAGGTTGACCATCCGTGCCACAGCCAGGGCAACCAGCGTTCCAAGCATCTTACCACTCTCCTTCGTAATAAGATACTCATGAACCCAATCGGCTGGACCATTACCTAGCGAGAATTTCCTTGTAAATTGTGGGTATTGGTTTCCCAGGCGTCGTTCTCCTCTCCGTTGTCCGGCCTTGAGGCCATGATTACACTCTGCAATATTCTGTGTGCCACAATTCATGCAAGTGAAGGATTGTGCCAAGCTATGGTCTGTGAAGACATCTCCCATGCATAATGTAGCAAGTCCATATGTGAGAGCGTCTACTCCTGTCCGCGGATCGGTTGTAGCATGGGCATCCGGCCACACAATATCGAAGCGGGAGTAAATGTGAGGTATAGCAAGGTTGTGGAGAGCAGAGTGAGTTAAAGCCAACGCTGTCAAGTCATTTGTATGTGTAACCTGACGCACGAAATGATTAGAGGATGTCTGCAGCACGGCAATAGAGGCCATACCTCTTTCACAATCTCCTTCAAGACATCCATGGGCAGATCAAGCAATCGAAGCGGTCCTTTTCTGTTCTCCACCACAGCTGTCCATTCTTTCTCCTTGTCCTTCAGCAGGCTTGAGATCTTGGCCTTGGGATCGATGGTGGATTTTCTGGCCTTGTCATTCTCTCCTGGGTCCGAAGTCCCCAGCTGGGATCCATCAGCATCGTCTGCAAGACCCGACTTCATGTTGTTCGATTGTTGAGATGCCGCGGAGGTCTTTGGTATGGTGGCTAGTTGCTCATCTGGCTGCGATGCCGTATCACTGAGGGATAGGTCTGGACTTGGAAGGCTGGTCGTCATGGTCATGGTCTATCAAAGCTCAGGCGGGAATTGCGTTTCGAAGCTTGGTACTTTCCCTCTGCGCAGTCCGAAGCTGAGCACGCATGCTTGTGGCACGAGATACCATGAGCAACAGTGGTCAGGATACGGAGAGGAGTCAAAGCAGGAGTTGTGTTGTCGAGGCGGCTGACTTTTGCCAGAGAAGCTTGAGCACCACTCTCCACGATTGAACTGGCCAGCCAACGGAACGTACACAGGGGGTTTGATGGCCCAAGCAGTTTCACGTGACCGAAAGTCCTGCTTGCCCACCCAATGAAACGACTAAACAGCACTTCTCCAGCAAACGGATGCATCTGTTTCACACAAATTGGAAAGCGCACTGTGAAGGGCGCTAAGAGACATCAAAAGTCCTCGTTCCATGTTGTTGGGAGCGTTTCCTAAGGCACCTTCCTAAGGAGATAATGGCAATGTTCGCATCAGAGAATACACATTTCCTCTCTCACTATTTTGGACTTGTACTTAATATGCAGCTTGGGCAGTTAAACTGTCCTTGAACATCACAGGTTTTTACAAAATTTGGTCCCATCCCTCGTATTGTGGGTTGTGTGGGTAATCTTGGATTTACCCCACTAGCAACTCAGGACCCCCTGGCTCGAGTGAGGCTCGAATGCCTCGTCATTACTTCGCCATTTACCCTCCAAAGCCGAGTACTATGAAACCACGTCGACCGTGACGCCACACCGTAAAAGCGATATTGGCAAAGTGATCTGCTGCTTGAGGTAGCGCGGAAGAGCACCAGTACATCCCACGACTCCTATCTTTGTGTGTCGCCAGCCCGTCCGTTCTAGGGCATAACCACCCCGCCATCTCGACGACATCTGACCCCAAACACGAACTCAGACGAAATGTCGTCTGCGTCATCTCGATCTCATCCTGGCAGGCGTATCCAGAGCATGCAAGGTGGGGAACGCCGCTCCCGAAATCCATCTCGAAATCCCTCTCGAGTCCGATCAAAGGTCGTCAGTTACAACGATGGATACACGTTTGCACTTAGGGCTGCATACCTCCACCACCTCCTCCAGCCCCGGGCCAAAAGGAAGCAGTATATCCCTGCCCCGAAACCTGTACGAAAGACGGCAATGATAGGGGATCTAGTTCAAGACTTTTCTCTCATGAAGGATACGAAAAGCGCAAAATTTCCCCATGGCTTTATGTCTCCTTTGGAGAAACGGATACAAGGAGTACTGGTTGGGACAGAAAGGCTTCCGGGATACAATGACGCAGCTGTCAAACGCACATTCGCCGAGGCATATACCGCTTTCACAGAGCAAGGGTTCCGCAGACGGATGGACAAGGAACGACGTGTAGAAGATCTGGTTCTGATATTTTATTCCAATGCGACCAAGGCGTTACAGAAGGGCAAAGCACCTGATGATGACTCCTGGAAATTGCTGGTCGATCGTCACGTCGCACTCTTTGTCAGGCTTATCAGCAATACCTTGAAAGACCATGGAAACGACAAGGACAGACCCGAGCTCATGAACCGACTGGCAAACCTAGAGAGTAAATTACTCACAAATGATCAAGATCTGTTTGCCGGCTCGGGGGATGGAGCCGGGGGATCCAGTATCGAAGTTGTGGTGCCGATCAGCTATGATGTTAAGGATATGCCGATGGTGCAAGTGGTTGCCAAAATATTTGGACTCAGACTCTCGCAGGTGCAATCTGATATTGATGCAAACAAGCATATCTGGACCGAGGAAGCTGCCCTTGCGGATCTCAAAGCATATCAACACTGCCTAGGTGCAAATACTAAACGCACACTGCGGAGTGATGACTTTGATATCGAGGAAGCTTACCAGGAATGGAAGAAAGCAGAAGCTCCAGCTCTTTCACAAATGATGGCCGAGATACTGCAAGCTAGGCCGGAGCTTGTTAAGTCGTCATCGAGCTCAAATAAGCCTCTTCCTCCCATTCATGCATCAGCCAGTGCAGAGGATCAGGCTTACTCCGACCTAGGTCGGATAGTTACAAGTCCTGTTGAGCAAAACACTTCTTACGTATTCGATCAACCAGTTGATATGAGCTCTTTATCCTTGGAAGATGAGTATCTAGGCGGCCACTCTCTCGAGGAGACCACGTTCACGTTCATCCCACCCGATCCGCGCTCATTCTATAGATCAATTCTATCACATGCGATGACATTCGACCAACTGCATGCCCCGCCAGCAGTAGATGGGCCCGTTGCGACCCCGCCTCTCTCCAAAGCATCGACGGAACTATTAACTGAGCTTTGCATTCGTTGGCGGATCCCACCGTTCTCTAGGATGGTGCTCTTTTTGGATGTTGCCGCCCAAAAGTTTCTTGATCAAGAGATTGGCCTCGACGAGCTCGACACGGCATTCGAGTTTGTCAAGAACCCGCCGCCCGAACCAAAACGGGCTCATACACATTACCATTCTGTCAGCCTCTCCTCCGTTGACCAAAGTCGATGGACTATTCAGGACTTTGCACTTTATCGGCAGATCTTGTCGAACTTGCACGACGGCCTACTCCGCGACCTGTACGATTTGTTACAGCACTGTTATGATTCTAAGCCCCCGTCACCAGGTTCTGTACTTCTCGTTCTGGAGAGCCACATCCATAGCGATCCGTCTTTTTCGATGGGTCCAAATGAGCTCGATGCCTATAAACTTCAGCTTGAAGACGGTCTTCGCGCCAAGGCTGCTGCGGTCTATAGAGGCTATTTGGAGGCAGAAGTTCCCCAAATTCAGGAAGAATGGCAGTTCTACCACGTCGTTCAGCTTGGTAAAGCAGTCGTCAAACTTTGCGAGCGAATTCAGAAGAGATATCGCAAGAATCCCGACATCATGGGTGTCAACCCCTTGACAATCCTAGTCTCAACCATGTTTCCGAGCTTTGAGAGCGATGCTGGCGATCTGATCCAGCGAATTCTCCATGTAGCTCAAACAAAGAATTCCGAGGTGGATTTACAGGATGGCTTTGACCTATACCGAGAGCTCGTTGAAATCCGCCGAATTCACCAGTCTGCTCTTCCAGACCGCCCCTTCGCTTTCAATATCGAAGACGCTCTCGCTGAATTTGTCTGGCGGTGGATTCGTGTTTCTGAGTCCAAGATGGTGGAACTTGTTGATGAAGCCATCAAGCAAGATCAGTTTCAAGTTAGATCAGAACAGACCGACCGTCCTGCAACGGATGATGAACGGCACAGTGTGTCCGTCATTGACATTTTCCGTCTGTTTAACCAGACTACTGATCAGATATTCCAATTGGAATGGGATAATGATGTGCAGTACGCGAAGTTCATGACGGCGCTGTCGAAATCCTTTGGCACCGGGCTCGCGAGATATTGTGAGGTTATTGAGCAGCGATTTACGAAAGAAATGGACCGGTTGTCGCCAATGCAGGAAGCTGCTGCCGCACAGTCAAAGCAAGAGAAATGGATGCAGTTTGCAAAAGATGCTTGGAACAATAAGGAGAAGATTGAGCCGTTTCAGTTCTACCCGGAGGTAAGTTTCTTCTGTCACCCTTTACAAGTATACATATACTAAATATATCTAGTCATTTGTGAAGTTGAACAACATCGAGTACGCGATACAGCAGCTTGACATCCTAGAGAAGACGATGAATGTTGATGCTTGTGCGAAAGTACTGGAGAAGATTAAACCACCAAAGGAAAAGCAACGGAGACCCTCTAAGTATGTCTTCACGATCAAGATCGTGGAGGCAGAGGACCTGAAGGCATGTGATCCCAATGGAACGAGTGACCCTTATGTTGTCCTTGGCGACGAATACCAAAAGCGCCTCGCGAAGACAAGGGTAGTGATGAGAAATCTCAATCCACGTTGGGATGAGTCAGTTGATATTACGGTATCGGGAGCACTAAACATTATCGCCACAATATGGGATTGGGACACGTTTGGTGACCACGACTATGTGGGCAGAACTTCCCTTAAGTTGGACCCAACTCACTTCAGCGACTATTTGCCCCGAGAATACTGGCTGAACTTGGACACCCAAGGCAGGCTACTACTGCGAGTCAGCATGGAAGGAGAAAGAGATGACATCCAATTCTTTTTTGGGAAGGCTTTCCGGCTATTAAAAAGGACGGAAAGAGACATGACCCGTAAAATTACTGATAAGGTTGGATCTCCATTCTGATGTTCTCGCGTACTTAACTAACATCTCAGCTCTCTCAATACATCAACGCCTCACTCTGCCACGATGCTTTGAAAAGCGTGCTAAATCGAGGCATCACTGTTGCAGCCGTAACAAGTCTATGGAAAAACCGCCAATCAGTTGCACCTACCACCACGCAGCAAGACATTGAGAATGCTTTGAAACCACTCTTTAACTACTTCGACGAAAACTTCGCAATCATGAAGCAAACTCTTACGGATGCTTCCATGGTAATGGTCATGACCAGACTTTGGAAAGAAGTTCTTCTGGCCCTGGAAGGAATTCTGGTGCCACCATTGTCGGACAAACCTTCGATCCAGCGCCCTCTTACTCAGCAAGAGATGGATGTTGTATTCAAGTGGCTTGAGCTCTTGTTTGATTTTTTCCATGCTCGAGACGACGAAACTGGCGAGGCAATGGGCGTTCCTGCCGATGTTCTGAAGTCACCAAAATATTCTGAGCTCGCCACTCTCAACTTCTTCTACTTCGACACGACTGACAATCTCATTCGTACATCCGAGCGCATGGCAACTGCATCTGCACAACGTGCAAACAATCAGCGGAACCGTCTCTCGGCGCCTCCGAGCCTTGGGGCTCAATTCGGAGGTCTGATGGGGAACTTATCAATTCGAAGGTCTAAAAGCATCATGCTTAGTCGTAATCTTGGCACAATGAAGAAAGCGAAGGAAGAAAAACGAAAGGAGGCTCAAGCTGATCCTAGCGACGACATGATATTGCGGATCCTGAGAATGAGGCCAGAGGCTGCGATCTATCTCCGGGATAGAAGTAGGCAGAGAGAACGACTAGCAGCAGCAGCAGCAGCGGAGATGATTGTGAGGCAGAGCCTTGCTTCAGGCGGTGGACCTAGATTTGGCGCAAATAATCTTCCTCGTCGTTGAATTGTTTACATTTTAGGGGTTGCATTGCAAGGAGTTTGGGATGTAGGCATACGGACGTATTCTGGTGTTATGGGGCCGGCGTTTGCTACAGAGATACCATACTGCGTATAATTCAGTGTTGTCTTAAACAATCAATCTCATTAGCCCCCCCAAACAATTTCTTGAGACAACCCTTTTCCTTCGGCTATCCCCTTTTGTTCTTGTTCAATTCTTTTGACAGATCGAACCACGTTCCAAATCCCGTCTACTGCCGTACAAGCAATGCCGCACTCGTCGTTTGACGGTTCGACTCCACAAATCCTGCCGGAGCAGAAAGAGTCAAGAACATTCCACTCATTTCCCAACGGCACGCCAAGCACGCCAGCCGCGAGCCAAAGGAAAAGGCAAATCACGCTTGGCATTTGTGGAGAGGCGCTCCACTGCTAAGTCTGCTGAGTTCTTAGTGATAGACGGTGGTGCGGACTTTGTAAACAACCCATCAATTGGACTGTGAGTGCATCACACAGGGGCTCATCAGTGACACTGTTTGACAAAGAAATTGAGAATTGATACTTCACAGGTACACGAGATCGCATCCGAAACGTTGATGCGCACAAGAGCTACAGGGTGAGCTGGGCTGAGCTGTTAGTGATGTCATTAGATGCTTTGGAAGGATGGGGATGGGAAAAGGGGGAGTTCGTGCTCGGGGCCTCCACGGCTTTTCAGGACCTGGCGGATGATCGTTGCCGCTTCGGCAGATGACAAAGGGGAGATCGGATTGTGTTTCTGGGGACGATCTGCTGGCTCGCTAATCTGAAACGTTTCAGTGATGGTTATCTAAACTTTTGTTTGATTGCGAGAGGAGCTGAGGTCGATCTCAAGGGAATATGCCGTGCCTGTCTAAGGAAGGGGTACTGGTTCGTTCATACGGCTTTTGAGATAGTGGTCCTCAACGGCCCCTCACGCCCCCTTTTTTGGACAACTGTTAGAGTTGAACTATGTGTTTTACTGTTGAAAATCTTAAAAGATGACCCGGATGTCAAATAAGAAACCAACCGTTTCCAAATAAGGCATGCTGATTCATACGGATCCGGAGCAGGAGAGCACCTCCGGATTTAGACGAATCGAATCGGGATGCCGTTTTCGATGCATATTTCTTTCATGCACGGTTCCCAACGGGTCGTCTATCCAAACTCTATTATTATGTTACCGTACCGGTATGTGACTGCTTGCCAGAGCGTGCAGCCACGGGATTCGGGGATATTACCCAGGACTCACCCCTGAGGCAAGTCCGTATGCAATCTGGGGCAGTCTCCGCAGGGTCCTTTGGAGGCTTGCAGGGAGAGACATCGTGAGTTCTGACTAGGTGTTCTATACGTGGCGCAGACCGTTCGGGGGGCAGAGAGTTCTGGACCTCTGTAGAACCGTAACTGTCGGCAATTGTGGGCAATGGGAATTTGGTGAAGCTCGTGAAGGAATTCCCATCTTCCAACTTTCTGCCAAATGCCAATGCAAATTGAACGCGCCGCATACGACAGTGGTGAGTGGAAGTTGGCCCCGTCCAGTTGCTGCAGTGCGAAAACGCCACGTACGTAGGCGCCTTGGAAAGGGCGGCGTGAGCCCTGTGCATCGACTCGCACCCGCATGGGATTGATGGGATTGATGGGGTTGATTGGGATCGATTGGCATTTCCACTGGGGCGTGCACAAACGGCGAGGAGAGGCAAATCAGCAGCGGCGAGCCTTCAGGGGGGCGGGCAGGCCTCGACATGAGCACGCCAGCAGGCCAGGCGAGGCGAGGCACCAGAGGCACCTGAGGCGCGGCCGCGAGCCACTCAGCGAAGTTCCCACTGCGCTAGCGGCAGGTTGCGCCCGCCAAACAGACAGTGCAGGACGCCTTCGAGCTAAGCTGCACCAAGACACGGTCCACCATCTTCGACGAGGAGCAGCGCAGCGCAGCGCAGGTGCAGGCGCAGGAGCAAACCTGTACAATGTACATGAGCGAGCCGTCTCGAGCCCTTCCACTCTAGCAACGAACGTTGTCCTCGAAGCCTTCCGTCAACAGGTCCAGGAACGCTGTCGGCGTCACGCTCCTTACCCTCTCTGACCGCCGTCCTCGATTCCTCCAGAACACACGAGTCATCCCCCTCCTTTGCGTGTAGGGCGCTCCCTCGATCGGCACGTCGGCACTCGCTTCTGTCTTCGGATAGTGTCGACAAGGGAGCAAAGCTTCACAATCTTCCAATACCTGCGTCTGTGGGAACTTGGGCATCATCGAACACGAGGTTCGTAAAGGTACGTGCATGGTTTCTCAGCCTTCTTCGAGGGCATACCGCCAATCGGTGCCCAAGCATCAACCCGGTGGGAGCGGTTTGGGGGAAATAAACAACCTGACACTCTTTTAGCCTTCGTGAAATTTCCTCCTGCGATCTTGGGACGACTTCGAATCTTCATGCCTTCGTGATAGACAACGGCACCCACGTAATACAAAGGCAGCTTTGGCTGCACTACGCGTCCGCAACAATGGGCGATTCCACCCTTTCGGCGGCCAGTTCGCTCTTGCAAAGCCTCGCGACGAATACGCATATCGCCCCAACCTCTTATCAAAACCATCAGCTCATCAAGCTCCCAGGCGCTGATACTCCTGCTAAGCTCGCTCTGGAGCGTGATATTGCGGCTCTGGTTGCGAGAGTGCAATGTTTGGAGACGAAGGCAATCAGCGTCAACAACCAGACTCTGCCCGACACTCCCAATGAGACCGGCGCTCCGTCGGCTTTCGCTGACGTCCTGACTGGCGGGCCAGGCCGGGCAGCAACGAAGAATCATCCCACGCGAAAGTCCTCGAATAGCTCATTGTTGTCAGGGAGAGAGAGTGCGACGGGCGAAAGACCTCAAAAGCTCCCGAGGCTCAGCAACGACGAGCTCATCGAGACACTCCAACAACAAATCGACGACCAAGCAAAGCAAATCCAGAGTGGGAAGCAAAAACAAGACGCCATTCAGGCTCAGATGTTGGAGCAGGCACAGCAACAAAAGAAAGCCATCAATCAATATGAGGTCGAACGAGTGGCTTCTCTCGAGCGTGAGCTCAAGAAGCATCAGCAAGCCAACGAAGCTTTCCAGAAGGCTTTGCGGGAGATTGGGGAAATCATTACCGCTGTGGCGCGTGGTGATTTGAGCAAGAAAGTTCAGATTCATTCCGTGGAAATGGACCCTGAAATCACAACATTTAAGAGAGTAAGTAATGTCTCTTATTTTCCCCTTTTCTTCGCTAACGTATTCCAAGGTGATTAATACTATGATGGACCAACTCCAAATCTTCTCCAGCGAGGTGTCTCGTGTTGCTCGAGAGGTTGGAACAGAGGGTATCTTGGGAGGCCAGGCACAAATATCAGGGGTCGATGGCACCTGGAAGGAGCTCACAGATAATGGTACATTGCCTTTCCCACCGAATTAGAACTCAATGCTTTCGAAAGATGCCCAAACTATTCAACGTACTTGGAACGAGTGCTAACAGAATACAGTCAATGTCATGGCGCAAAATCTCACCGACCAAGTCAGAGAAATTGCTGCCGTCACTACTGCTGTTGCACATGGAGACTTGACCCAGAAGATCGAGAGACCGGCCCGCGGAGAAATTCTGCAATTGCAACAAACCATTAACACCATGGTGGACCAGTTGAGGACATTCGCTGCTGAAGTTACTCGGGTGGCCAGAGATGTCGGCACAGAGGGTATTCTTGGTGGTCAAGCAGAGATTGAGGGAGTAAAGGGCATGTGGAACACATTGACAGTCAATGTCAACGCTATGGCCAACAATCTCACAACACAAGTTCGAGATATCGCCATGGTCACCACAGCCGTCGCCAAGGGAGACCTCACACAGAAGGTGCAAGCCGAGTGTAAGGGGGAGATCAAGCAGCTCAAAGAGACTATCAATTCCATGGTGGACCAACTTCAGCAATTCGCCCGAGAAGTCACCAAGATCGCTAGGGAAGTCGGTACTGAGGGTAAACTGGGTGGCCAGGCTACAGTTCATGACGTTGAGGGAACTTGGAGAGACCTGACTGAAAACGTGAATGGAATGGCCATGAATTTGACCACGCAAGTACGAGAGATTGCCAAGGTGACTACAGCTGTAGCCAAGGGAGATTTAACCAAAAAGATTGGAGTCGAGGTGCAAGGAGAAATCGCTTCGCTGAAAGACACTATCAACACCATGGTTGACAGACTTGGTACCTTTGCTTTCGAAGTCAGCAAGGTTGCGAGGGAAGTCGGAACAGATGGAACTCTCGGTGGACAGGCCCAAGTTGACAATGTTGAAGGAAAGTGGAAGGACCTGACCGAGAATGTGAATACTATGGCCAGCAATTTGACCTCCCAAGTCCGAGGTATATCAACTGTTACGCAAGCTATTGCCAACGGTGATATGAGCCAAAAGATCGAGGTTGAAGCTGCTGGGGAGATTTTGGTTCTGAAGGAGACGATCAACAACATGGTTGACAGGTTGAGTATCTTCTCCAACGAAGTCCAACGTGTTGCGAAGGACGTCGGCGTCGACGGAAAGATGGGTGGTCAAGCTGATGTTGCTGGTATCGGTGGCCGGTGGAAGGAGATCACAACTGGTAAGCTGCTGATCTCCAGACGAGAAAGCCTTCTTTGGGCTCTGCTAACGTGATTAGATGTCAATACCATGGCTATGAACTTGACGGCCCAAGTCCGAGCTTTTGGCGATATCACTAATGCTGCCACTGATGGAGACTTCACAAAGCTCATCACCGTCGAGGCATCCGGAGAAATGGACGAGTTGAAGCGCAAGATTAACCAGATGGTCTTCAACCTAAGAGACTCCATCCAGAGGAACACAGCCGCCAGAGAGGCTGCCGAATTCGCCAACAGGACGAAGTCGGAATTCCTTGCGAACATGTCTCATGAGATTCGAACACCGAGTAAGTTTACCTTTTTTTCTCCCTTGTGCGTTCCCTCAATGGGTAAGTTGTCTATTATGGAAGCGACGATATACGATAGGTCCTGCCAGTCATCACAGCCCCCAGCTCCTCCTTCCCAGCCATAACTGGCAGGACCCATCTCCTCCTTCTCCATCATCATCTGTCCAGGACCCTTCGCCGTTCTCCAAGCACCTACAACGCCTCTGTCTCAATTGCAGTCACTCTCTTCAGGCGCCTTTGCTCCACCCAAGATCCACAAGAACGCCAATCTAGGGGCCACCAAGATTGCAACCAAGAAGGACCATTGGGCTCCTTGCAACTATACTGCTATCCACAAGCAGAACCTCGACGTTCACCTGGCCTCCGAGAAGCACCACAAAGTGCTTCTCCGCTCCTCAAAGGCACCTTCGCCCCCCGGGACCCCGTTTTTGGACTTATCACTAACCGTTCCATTACTAACTTCTCGACTTCTCTTTTTTTACTCATTGTCGTCTTCGCTAACTGTATTTGTACGAACTATCACTAACTTCAATACAAGTGGTATGTAAATCGACGCCCCCCATTTGTTCAAAAAGCTAACAGTTCGTAGAATGGTATTATTAAATAAGCTAAACCTTTAAACTATTATAAGCTAACGAAATTCAGGTATAATCGGTATGACACAGCTTACCTTGGATACGGATCTTACACAATATCAGCGTGAAATGTTGAATATTGTTCACAATTTAGCGAACAGTCTATTGACCATCATTGACGATATCTTGGATCTGTCTAAGATCGAAGCTAACCGCATGATTATGGAAGAAATCCCGTACACCCTCCGAGGAACCGTTTTCAACGCTTTGAAGACACTGGCTGTGAAGGCAAACGAAAAGTTCCTGGACCTGACATACCGAGTCGATAGTTCAGTCCCAGATCACGTCGTTGGAGACTCCTTCCGTTTACGTCAAGTCATCCTAAACCTTGTCGGCAATGCAATTAAGTTTACGGAACATGGCGAGGTTTCCTTAACGATTCGAAAGGCAGAGCAAGACCAATGTGCTCCAAATGAGTATGCAATCGAATTCTCTGTATCCGACACTGGTATTGGTATTCAAGCAGACAAGCTGGATCTCATCTTCGATACCTTCCAGCAAGCCGATGGGTCTATGACTAGAAAGTTTGGTGGAACTGGCCTCGGGCTCTCTATCTCTAAGAGATTGGTGAACTTGATGAGAGGAGATGTCTGGGTGAAGAGTCAGTACGGCAAGGGCAGCACTTTCTACTTCACTTGCACGGTCCGACTTGCTACCTCCGAGATCGGCTTCATTGGGAAGCAACTCAAGCCATACCAAGGTCACAACGTCCTTTTCATTGACAAAGGACAGACTGGACATGGCAAGGAGATTGTCTCGATGCTTCGGCAAGTTGGTCTCGTGCCTGTTGTGGTCGATTCGGAGAGAAACGTTCACGTCGCTGGAGGCGGATCGAAAATTGCTTCCACTTACGACGTCATTATCGTGGACTCTATTGAGACCGCTCGACGCTTGAGATCTATCGATGAGTTCAAGTACATTCCCATTGTGCTCTTGGCTCCAGTCGTTCATGTCAGCTTGAAGTCAGCCTTAGACCTCGGTATCACTTCATATATGACTACCCCCTGCCTGGCCATCGATCTCGGCAACGGCATGATTCCGGCATTAGAAAATCGTGCTGCTCCATCCTTGGCTGACAATACCAAGTCCTTCGATATCTTACTTGCCGAGGATAATATCGTCAACCAACGTTTGGCTGTGAAGATCTTAGAGAAGTATCACCATGTTGTTACGGTTGTCGGTAACGGTCAGGAGGCTCTTGATGCTATCAAGGAGAAGAGATACGACGTCATCCTCATGGATGTCCAAATGCCAATCATGGTAAGCGGGAGTTGTTTTAAACAATTGTTTGGATACTGACCTTGTTTAGGGGGGATTTGAAGCCACTGCAAAGATCCGAGAGTATGAACGAAGCCTCGGCACGCAGAGGACTCCAATCATTGCTCTCACAGCTCATGCAATGCTTGGTGACAGAGAAAAGTGCATTCAAGCACAGATGGATGAATATCTCTCGAAGCCCCTCAAGCAAAATCACCTCATCCAAACAATCCTGAAGTGTGCTACTCTAGGAGGAGCACTTTTAGAGAAGGGTCGAGACGTTCGAACTTCCGCCAAGGATGAGCCCAAGACTCCAATCACAAACGGGTCGGCCACTCCGACACCAGAAAATTCATCCCTCTCCGTTCCACGACCGCCTCTCGAGCCTCGCCCATTCACCACGACAGGCCCGATCAACCACGGAAGCTTGGAGAGCCCTGCAATCGTGAAAGCAGATGGGGAAGATCCCTTGGCTAGAGTACGTAAAAGCGCGAACAAACACCAGTGAAGTCCTTGCTAAGCTCTCATCAGCTTCTCATGCGCGCACATAGCAGCTAGAGAATATTTCTGATACTTCTGTGTCTTGGCGGCTTTCGAGCGGGATCTTGTCCCCTGAAGCGAAGCAGACTCCGAGATATTATGACCTTTTCTCCTGTTTCCTAAGATACCATCCATTGCGAGCTCCTTCCAACGGCCTTGTCTTTGTAACTCGTCTACTGTGCTTTACCTCTCATTGGCGATGGCGTTCTTCTGGGGATGGAGTTCAAGGGCGACTGACTTGCTGCTGCTCATTCTGATGGATGCTTCACGCGGCGTGGGTCGGTCATCGTCATATTTGCATGGCTGTTGGGATTTGGCCTACTTTTTCATTTTCCATGTTGTTCGTCATGGCTTGCGCTGAATGGAAGGGACGAAGTCAGCTGCTGGAGCGGGCTGGACTTCTTTCTCATGTTGATCTTTTTCTCATGATGATGGATGAGAGGGCGGGATGGAGAGAAACAAAGAGTTTACTAGAACGTAGATGCATGGATTGAGGATGACAGATGGAATGGATCTTTTCATGATCCGAATCTCAAGCGCTTGATATGTCCTTGATCACTAGGTGAACACATACATATGACCGAGGAATTTGTATCTTTGATTGAATTGATTACCTGATTGGCTGTAGCTTGAAGGAACTTGTTGTAAGGCTTTTCCAGGATCACAAGTATCTGGAATTTGACAAGAGGCAGAAGGGAAGAACTTACAAACTCTATTTGGCAGGAGGTAGAGAAGTTGAGGCCGGTCTGCAGCGGAGCAGTAGAGGTGAGTCTAGAAGGCGATGATGACCTTGGAGCTTATTCAGGTTGAGCCTCCGATGAATGACCAATTTTTGGGCGGCGCCATGCAAGCAATTGCAGCTCCAAGAAGCAGGAAGTAGACAAAAAGTTTCCTCACCCGATAGCTCAATGCCAGCCCGGAAAGATGTGTCACCGTGGAGGGTTTGAAGTCCCGTGGTTGGTTTGCTGAGCAGGTACGGAATGGGGATAATTTAAAATAAGGTTATTTTGGAACGCGAAGGGGAATCAAGGGCGCCACGGCAAACCTGGATGGCGATCGTCGATCATTTGCTGGGGGTGGCAGGGGTTTTTTGTGTTACGTGAGGTTGGGGTGGGATGTGATTGCTCATCACTCCAGTTGTTTGAATTGGGAGGATGTAAGGGGGGTAATCGTGTTTTGGCCCCTCTGGAGAACAAGGGAGGCAAGGGATTGGATGTTTTGGGAAGGGAATTGGGAGAGATGGGACGAAGGGAAGGCGGATGAGGGCAGGTAACAAGGGGTTTGTTTGGGTGGAAGGAGGATGATAAAGTGGCGGGTCATGAGCTGTCAGATGCGAGGAGCCGGTTCTGAGAAGGAGCGGTTGCCTTTGTGAGGGCCTAGACTTGAGATGTTGAAATGGTGAGGATGAAGAGTCGGTGAGTCGGTGAACCTTCTCTCATTGACCCCAAAAGAAGAAGATCTACCATCTGTGATATATCTTGGCTTCGATTGAGCGGCCGCTACAAAGGCATAAAGTCACACGCTTCCCCTTCACCTGCAGCGGTGAGGGTGGTGGTCTGAGTCGTGTATCTTGATCTGAATGGGTGGAACGAGTATGAGATGAGATATCCGAGGGAGAGGCCGCGTCGATTCGATTCTGCGTTGGGGACCAATGGGAGCCTGTGGTGATTGCGTGCATGAGATCGTTCCATCGTTGCGTCAATCAATCGTTGGAGGCAGACCATCTCCTTGGATTACGGCGTGCCTGAGGGGTGTGATGTGCAGGATGAGACGTGTGGTATGCTCATTGATAACCTCGTCATTGACTTCGTCCCTGGGTCCGCAAAGTTGTTCGTCTGGAAAGAGTCGGAGGCGAGCGGAAGTGCTTTGTAATGGCTGATAGGATAGATCGGATTGTTGTTAGTTATTATACTTGTATAGAAGCCTTAGTTGGGTTTTATAGGTCTTCGCGAGGGGCGAATAAGGGCTCAGGATGTATCCTTTGACAGGGAAGAGGTCAAAAAGGCAGGGTCAAGGGAGCCGATGTTGGTAATAATACTTTGACCAAAAAGTACATGCATAAAATGTTGGATGAAGATTTGGAACATACCGAATGCCAAGTTAAGATCTTGTCGCCTTGTTCCGCTCGCGGACCTTTCGGGTGGCCCAGGAATTGCTCCCTGTGAACTCCTGCTTGTCTTCGCCGACATCTTGCCTCGGCGCTCGTAATAAAAAGTCACGAGCCACTGCCGTGATATACTCATTGGTTGATGTGATATGGTGGCTATTGTCTCCAAAACTGTTTCATGTTCATTTCTGGAAGCCCTGCCTACTGGGGAGTCTGGGACATGACGTCCACCTGAGTTGCTTCTCTCACCATGCTCTTACAAACACTGGTATCGGGAAAAAGACAAATGACAAGTTGTGGAATCTTGGGAATGGAAGAGAAAGCAAACGCCGTCCCCATGAATACATAACAACCTTCTGTATCTAGAGAAATGGTGCAGGACTCGTGAAAGTGTCTCCTGCAAGCACAAGAAGCCATGCTTGTATCAAATTTCCAGCTGTCTCTGATGAATCTGGTCCTGCATGTGATGAGGCATTCATTCAAAAGCCAGTTCATCCTCGGTACTGTCCGTCTCGCTTTGAGTCTTCACCCTTACAGGCGGCCCGTCTCAGGATGGCACTGGTACCTGGATGAAAGAAGAATGCCTCGGGGTAAGCTTGATAGAACTTCGAAGTTTGAGTTGGGGTATTGCTCCGGGTCCCTTCTGGTCGGCGCATCGCTGTCATGGCCCACGACAGGATTTGCGAGTGTGAAGCTTCATCCCAACACGGTCGACTCTCGTCTAGCTAAATATAATCAACAAGTTGCAAGCCATCTCAAGCCCCCTTTCCAGGGCCCCATGACGGAAGGCAGCTTTACGGCGACCGGTATGGCGTCACCGTGCAAACCCGTCTGGGCCCCAGTCGATTTGATCGCTCATCCGCCATTTCTCAAAAGCCTCCTCCTGCGTCGCAATTCGATCGAAGCAAGATGGCCAGGGTCCAAAAGGGTTTGGTGTCGATTGTTCGCGTTTCCGCCTTCAGCCCCTCATCGCGCTCCCCTCTCTGCTCCCCTCCCCTCATTCCATTATTGCATTGTTCATAGCGTGCTGTAGTCTGTAGGCGGTACAGTAGCCAGCTGCTCTGGTCCTGGTCCTTCCCGCTTCTGTTGCCGCAAACGAAAAAGTCTGCAGCCCTGCACGTGTGTGTCTGCACCACCACGCAAGATCGGGAGGGCAACCGTACAGGCACAGGCAAAGAGAGACCATCGTCTCCATCGACCCATCCACCCACCCACCCATCCACACTTCCACAGGCCATGCCATAGCACCGGAGTCTAGTTATAGTTGTAAGCATGGAAGCCTCGCCTCCTGGACGGCCCCCAGCCCTTGCAGAGGCCACAAGCCTGTGTCCGGCAGCCCACTAGAGTCCCCACTCAAAGCTAACTTGCGCACTCGCGCATCGCTGGGGCCCTCGCGATTTTAAGCAGATGAAAGGGCCCATCCCCAAGGCAGGCAGGCAGGCCAGGGCCGTCCAAGCTGAAGTGAGTCCTGATGAGAAACGCATGTGTGAAAATCTCCGGGATGGGAAGAGCAGGAAGGGAAGAGAAATACGGACGAAACGAAACAAACCCGCAGCCGAACCGAATCACAGATCCCAAATTCCTCCCAACTTGCAAGCCTGCCAGTACAAGCCTGCTGCTGCCCTGCCCTTTGCCCCTCTGGCTTTACGCCCGCAGTCTTGTTTGACCGGCGAAGTTTGCACTACCATGCTCACTACACGGCACCAGAAGGTTTAGACCCAAGCTCCATCGATCACGTCCCCTCCTTCCGCTCCGCCAACCACTCACTCGCACTTATTCCCTACCTACCTACTGACGCTTGCTTACCCTTCCCTCCCTCCTTCCTCCTCTCCATCCCACCATCATCATCCTCGAACCTATCGAATTCGTTGTCACGGTCTGTTTGCGTCAATTGTTTCCTGTCGATATCTCGGTCCCTCGTGTCCTTTCGTATCGCCGGTGTTTTCGATTTTACCTGCTTTCCCATCCGAATCGAAGTTTTTCTAGCACTTGTTAACCTGGTTAACCCCGTGAGTCGATCCCCTTCAAGATCTTGCGCCTAACTGGACCGCACGCGATGGAGGCTCAATCCCAACACAACCCCTCCTCAGCTATGCTCTACCTCTGCCACGGCTGCTATTGCCCCGGGCTGTTGATTGCAAGCTCCAGATCCATGTCGCACATCTCTGGGAGCTTGCATGTCAAAGACAGCTGTATTGTTGTTGCTGGCGCATACGTTTGGATCAGGTCGCTCGCCTTCGTTGCGTCGCCCTCCGGATGCGCGTTTGCTGGCAAGCTCGGCGCAAAGCACTGCGGCGGAGACCGTGGGCTTACTGTATAGCATAATAGCAATTGATCCTACGGATCCATTTCATCCGGAAGTTTAGACTGACCCTTTGGCGTTGTGTGCAGATTCGGATTCATCCTCAGCGATTCCTTCCAGCGAATATCACCATCTTTGGACCCCTTTCGCAATCGATTCTTTGCAGGTGCAAACGCTATCATAATCTTCGACTTTCCTCTGCACGGTCCCTGCTTTTCAACTGCTTTCCGCCGCAAGTAACGAAATTACGAAGGTTGGGCTGGGTATCTTCTTGGAGCTGGTACATCGTACAATTTGAGGTAAGAAAGACCTCCCTACCCCACCATTTGGTTGGCAGACCCCATCGAACATGGCGACGAACCTGGATACACGGATCGGCTGGCCTCCTCCATGAGAATCGACCAGCTTTTTTCCTCATACTGCCGGATTTCGGGAAGACGTCATAGGGGTTGAGACTTTTTCAGGGGTTGGGATCAAGAGTCCTGCCCAAGTGCCAGTGGTGCTAGAAGTCTCTTGCATGGCTGCAAATATGCACAGCAGCTCGGGCTTTGTCGAAAGCAACCAGTGTCGCCTCCCTGAGCTAAATTTCCATTGCCGAAGCTGGGTTGTTGATCAATCCACTCCGGATAGCAGTGAGTCGTGATATGTGAAAGGGGCCCACAAGTGTTCTGGTGCCTTCATGCCTCGACCCATCTGCAGAATTGATGGAAGGAAGTTGCGAGCGTATTTGGTCAAAATAGACATCAGGAATAATCCCTACAAGGTTGTCAAGGCCTTCAATCCCATCGACACGGGTATTCAAGCGTATGCCCGCCGAGTTCTTTCTCCACAGTGTAGATTATGATGTGGAAGTTCTGCTTTGGAAAGGGAGCTCGTCTTCCGTTCACAATCCATGAAGCGTTGCTCAACGTGTCTGATGATGCTGCCTCTGTGGACTTTAAGCACTGTTCGAGGGCCTTTCCTAGCATCAAGGGCTCTGGCCGTCCAGTCCGAAAGACCGGGACGCCTATGGTGGTCAACAAGCCGTGAGCTATATGGGGAAGGGTTATGGTCACTCAGCTTCGGTTGTTCGGCCTGCTCCACATGCCCCCAGCATTTGTGGCTTGGGTGTAATTAGTTGATACGTCCTGCCCTTCAAGGGTCTCCCAAGCGTTTATTGTTTGTTGTTGAAATGGTCGAGTGGTGTTGAAAGACCAAGATGTTCTATTTCCAAAAGAAACACCCCCCAAGGAGACTCCAAGTATGGATGACTCTGCTGCGAGCAAATGCACTTCTGTTGAAGACTCGATGGTGGTGAGAGAACGTGCTCAAAGGACGGGGCAACTGTGGCGCATTGGTTAGCTTGATATTCTGTTGTTTCATACCATATGAGAAGCCCAACACGTACCTTCCAAGAGTTTGGTCACTGCCTTCTGGCTGCAGCCTCTGAATTGTTGTGTGAAAGAGGCTGTGTGGACTGTGTATCGTTCTTTCCGGCACTGTGGCCATCCCCCCGATACACATGAACGTGTCAGAACATGCTCATTCTGGCAATACCACTCTGAGAGATACGCTGAACTCCCTTCTGCACCCTGTCGGGTTGATACTCGTTGTGGTGCGCTTTGGTGGGGTTTGAGTTGTGGATGTCGTTGCTAGCCTCGACGTTTGGACTTCAACCCCAAGAGCGTCCGTTACTTCGACTCCACACAAATGCCTGCATTTTGCCAAATTTTGAACATGGCAGGATCTTTTTCTTGAAAGTAATCGTTACGCACGAGTTGCTTGTGATTGCAATGAATGTTCCGCACATATCTTTTAAGTGGTGTTCGCCCATTGAACTGTGTATAGCACCACCCCAGCGTTTTCGACCTCAAACCTCACTTCACTTCTTGTTGTGCTTGCTTTGCTGTCATCTTTGGTTTGCGGTTGTCCTACTGCCTTGAACTCGAATTTGGTTGGACAAAGTCCGCCTTGCCGTTGTGCTTCGTGCCTGTGACTTGTCGATCGGAACTGCGCAGTCCATAAGAACACAATATGCACAAAACTGCTGTTTGAACGTGTTGCCTTTACAGTAGTCGTTGTAGAAGGGTGTCTGTAGGAGCCTACATCTCTTTTGGAAGAGCAGTTCGTCCGAAGTTTGTGCATGATTCATGAAAATCGTTGTGTCTACGAATGCGCATCGCTTGTTTTGTTTTTCCTAAAGAAAATTTAACTAAGCACCGCAACCCAAACATAGATCCTCTCCACAACCCACCACTACTTTATCAAGAGATCACTTTGCATTCCAGAGTCTTTCTTTTGTGGGGAATCTCAACCAAGTCCGCAGAGTGATGCTGATCGCCTTTGGCAAACCTCTCAAGACAACACGGATCAACCAAGCCAACTTGACACTTGACACCATACCTGCACGACTACGAATAACTCACGGGCTACCTTCCTAAATAGCAAAGCTGGTTGCGTTTATGATATTGGATTCATTCACCTTCCGCAGACTGTTCTTTCAACATAGATAAATTTCGAAGCCCTTCAGGCCACAACTGGTTTCGATTGCCTTAGGCCGTTTGAGGGGGTCTGCCACCACTGATTGCCACTAGCTAGCATCAAAATGACTCGAGGGCTTCGGCTAACTTGCTCTGAACAGGTTCTACAAATACTTCGTCCTCGCCTTCAAACTTCGATCTTCTTCTCAACACACCTTCCCAACTTCCTCTTCAGCCACTTTCTTAATATACACCCATAGTTCTTGTAACTTCCTACTACCTCACTGCGCGTCCTTCGGACACCCCGACAATCGTAATGGCATTCCAGTACGACCCCTCCCAACAGCAGGGCCAGTTTTCACAAGAGAACAACGGCAACGGTATGCAACAACCTGGCCCCCCAAACCAAGGCATGGCTCCTCCACCTGGACAGCAGATGCAGCAACAAGGTGGCCAAGAGGGCGGCTCCCCTGCTCCGTTCGCCCAGCAAGGAGGCGTTGAAGGTTCCACTGGTAGCGTCTCTGGCGATGCTAAGACCACTCTCTGGTATGTCTACACTCGTCACCTTATACACCTCACTCCGCCTTCAATCTCCATCCCCTCCACCATCACCTTCATCCACATATTCGATCTACGACAATCCTAGAGTGGTTTTACCACCTTCGAGGATCATATACGTCATTTTGGGCGTTCATCTGATCATTCCGCGGTCGCGACCTCGTGACTCGAATCCCATCACCGATGTCCGATTCCGGCAACTACCGTCATAGCCCTTTTCCTCCACGCATCTCTCACTTCGATATCTAAACTTAACCCCAGTAAGATTGCTAACGAGATTTTACTCTAGGATGGGCGAGCTTGAGCCTTGGATTGATGAGAATTTCATCCGTTCAGTTTGGTTTGGTATGGGCGAGCAAGTCAATGTCAAGATGATCCGCGACAAATTCTCCGGGTAAGCTTCTACATATTAATAGACTATTGATGCTTCTTTATTAACTCACTGTAGCAACGCCGGCTACTGCTTCATCGACTTTGCCTCTCCTGCTGCCGCTGCGAAGGCTCTTTCCCTCAACGGTTCCATGATCCCGAATACGTCCAGACCTTTCAAGCTTAACTGGGCTTCCGGTGGTGGACTCGCCGACAGACGGTCAGAATCCCGGTTTATATTCCTCAACTCTTATGCTCGCCGCATTCTTGACACATGAGCTGACAAACACAGTAGTGATGACCGAGGACCAGAATACTCCATCTTCGTTGGTGATCTTGGCCCCGAGGTCAATGAATACGTCTTGGTTTCTCTATTCCAGGCTCGTTTCCCTTCGTGCAAGTCTGCCAAGATCATGACAGATCCCATTTCTGGCATGTCAAGAGGCTATGGATTCGTTCGCTTTGCGGATGAGTCTGATCAACAGCGAGCTCTCACTGAGATGCAAGGTGTTTACTGCGGCAACCGTCCTATGAGAATCTCCACTGCCACTCCGAAGAACAAATCTGGAGGTGGTGGACCCGCTGGTATACCAATGCCTGGTGGAATGGGTGCTGGAATGGCTGCCCCCGGCATGTACGGTATGGGCGCTCCTCCGCCTTTGGGTTACTACGGTGCGCCTCAACCGATGAACCAATTCACTGATCCCAACAACACTACCGTCTTCGTTGGTGGCTTGTCCGGATACGTTACTGAGGATGAGCTCCGTTCCTTCTTCCAAGGCTTCGGCGAGATTACCTACGTTAAGATCCCACCCGGAAAGGGCTGCGGCTTCGTTCAGTTCGTCCAACGCCATGCCGCTGAGATGGCTATCAATCAGATGCAAGGCTATCCTATTGGTAACTCCCGCGTTCGTCTCTCATGGGGCCGCTCCCAAAACAACTCTGGACCCGCTGGTACTCCTTACCGCCCAGCTCCTCCTCCACCTCAGTATCAGTCAATGGGCATGCCCCCTGCTCACCCATATGGCCAATTTCAACCCTTACAGGTAAGTGGTTTCAATCACGCGCACCACTTCTTCTGCTAATTCCTCCATAGTAAGCATGCATCTTTCCGTGTTTCGCGAAACGGAGTTTGATATAGCGATCATGGCGTCTGTCTGCACTCGAATTTGCCTTTTTCAATGGCTTTACTTCTACGCGTCCAATGCCTGGATAGCCGTTTCTCCTCTTAGCGTTACTTGAAAAGTATCGGATGGGTGGGGATCTGCATTTTCCATGATGCCCATGTACAAAAAGTGCATTAGATGTCTCCTTTTCATGCGTCCACGAAGGGTCTCGACAAATGCGCTGCTTTCTTTCCTTTTTATTACAGATGTATTCTCTGAGGTTGGGCTTCTCATACAGCTTTGCTTCTTCCTTTGGCTGGCAGGTTGGCTGTTGGCAAGGGGTTGTTTCGCGGGCTACACTTGCATGGCTTTGCTCTAGAGCACCACACATTTCCTTTTCATGTTGTTTTCAAAAGCCCCCAAAAGTTTAGACGATCCTTTTCACACACTTAGGAGCATTGCGGTTTGTATGGTGCGAGCTCTGCAAACCTACATGTACCTTGCAAATCGTGGCTTTACCATCATTGTGTTCGTGTCCTTCGGTGTTTTTTGCTTTCAGTGTTGAGTATTACCCACCCCGCTCGCCATATTTGTAGCATTTCCCCTTCCCCTCCCCTTTCCCCGGCATTGCTGCCACTTCCCGCTTTGTCCCCCAGCCTCCGCAGCTCGACTCAACTTTGTACTTACGTGCTTTTAAGCGATTGAGTGTTTCCCGGTGTGTGTGGTATTAACGAAGGCAACGGCGACGTATCCCCCGATTCCTGTCTTTCCTTCCTCAGGTGGAGACCGTTACCAGATGACTTTTATTCCCTTCTTTTCAATGCTTTATATACAGGAGCAAGCATTGACTCGAGGGCCCCGACTGGACGCATTCGAGACACTTACCATGCCACTAGTTGACGATGCGGACGACCACCCATTGAGGAGAAGCTTCCTCTATCTTTCTTTACATTCTACGCACAGCTGGTTCGAAACACAGGCTAACTCTGCTGATTTTAGGCCCAAGGATGATGGATGCACAGAGATGGTCGTCACCAGAAAATCCTCCACCGATGGCAGTACTCGAAGCATCCACGAGGGGGATCTTCCGAACTGGTATAGGCTCAGACAAGAAGTTGGCTTGGGCGTCGACTCTCGCATTTCCCTTCAAGAAGCTAAGGACGCCCATGTTTTCGACTGGCAGCTACCCATCAGTCTGCAACCATTGCCTCTATAGGTGTCCTCCTTCTCGCTCGTTGTTCTTGGGCTGCGTTGCTGTTCCTATGCTGGGCTTCTGGCGCGGATGATGCTTGCTTCTCTGGGCTTCCTGCGCTGTTTTTTTTAAACGAATTCACGACTTTCGGCTTTACTCGACTTGCTACGTTCTTCTGGCTGCTGTATTCACGGCTGGTTATTCTGCGGTTAATGGTTCTGGATTTCTACGACTTATACGATTGTAGATCTCGTTTTCGTCCCGCCGCTTGTTATTCTGGCTTCTTTAGCTGGATGATACTAAGCGGCTTGGAGAGAGATTCCTGCTAATTATTTTCCTTCTCTTCTTTTGCATGGCTGCTCGGCACCTCCTCAGAGCTGACGAGACTTTGCTAGAGGATTGGATCGATATCATACCTGCTTCTCTTCTTTCCTCCGGCGTTTATGGTCTGGCCTGGTGCTGGATACTCTGCTGAGGGTTGGATGGATATGAGTTGGCCTTTACATCATAAGTTTTCTTTTGTTTCGTCTGCGCGCGCACTATCTGTGCTGGACGGCCAATATGTCGCTGCTGTTCTCATGTTTTCCTTTGAGTCTTTTCTCGAGCTTGTGCCGGTGACATCGCATACAATCGGACAGCCATTTTCTTTCAATGCTCTCTCTTGCGGTTGATTCATCAGACGGCGTTTAGAGGGGCGCTACGACATAGGTTTGATCAACATCGCGTTTGCTTCTTTTTATTGATTCATGAGATACCCCGGTGGTTTTGCTGTTTACGGATGATACCCTGCATGCTTCGAGGTGTTATGGCGTTAAACCTGCGGCTGTTCTCTTTTCTCTTTTGTACATAGTCAATTAATGCTTTTAAACTGGAAATCAGGGATGCTGTGATGTGTGATTGTGAGAGGTCGAGGTAAGAAGGGGACTGAGCGACTCGCGATCAACGTGGCATGTGTCAAAAGTGATTTGTGTGGGTAGTGATGACTATTGAGGGCAGTGTGCGTTTTCAAGAACTACGTTATTCATGATTCAGCAAGTCGATATGTACGGTAAACTAATTAATGGAGAATCTATTGGCAATGAATGGTTTGGTCTCCGAGATAAAGTGACCTTAACAGAACGATTACACTCACTTGCCTCTTGAGAAACCATACGTAGCGTGGGCTAAGCCAGTTTTCGTACAGGATCGCTTTCAGATCTCTATTGTTCGCGGTGAATTGGGTATATCTAAACATGTATCCTTCTCTTTATGTTAATTACTACTTCCGTGTCTTCCTCGCGTGCTTCACCAAATTCTCAATTACACCCTCAAACGCCTCTCTGTCCCCTAACTTCTCATCCGTCCTCTTGGTCCAGTATTCCAACACCTCATTCGCTGTTCCCTGCATCTCTTCCAACTTCTTCACATGCTCTTTCAACTCTTCTATTGTAAGACCATTCAGTGCTTCGTTCGTAATGGTACATAACTGCCTTGCGGATACCAGGTCCAGTTGTGGAGCAGGTGGCGGGCCTTTCCTCCGCCGTGATTCCGATCGTTGCTTGCCTTGAGAATCAACAGACGTGGAAGATGCGTTGCCATCACTTTGCTTGAGGCGTGAGAGTCGGGAGTCTGTAGAGTTGCGTGGAGAGCCAGAGGGAGGATTCAAGTTCATGGAGGGTAGAATAAGTTTCTTTTGCTTGGATGCTGGAAGGATCTCATCTAGGTCGACTGGAACACCAAGTGAGACTAGAAACAGGCGTCGTATTCGAGAACGGATCCAGTTTGGGGGTTGGAGGGGTGGTGGGGCCACAAGTTGGGACCAGAGTGAGGCACTTCTAGGAGTCAGGAATATGGGATTCTCGGCGGTGAGGGGTGGAAGAACTGAGGTGTCGATTGTGTCAGGTGGGAAGAGGGCGTTCATATATAGTTCTGTTGCTGCTTGGATCTCTTCTGGCGAATCAAGATCTGAAAAGTCTAGGACTGGCTAGGGGATTATCAGCACAGAATAATCACAGGGGACACATAGCATGTGATGGAAATGCTGCAGATTTGCTACTTACAAATGCGGGAATGACAGGTATAAATTGAGGTGGAGGTGGAGCTGGTGCTGCCTCCTGAAAACCATCATCGAAATCACCAAATTCAGCATCTTCCTCCCCCTCTTCGAAATCATCGAAATCATCTCCAAACCCGCCCTCCGACCCATCTTCAGCCTCGTCGTAGTCATCTGTAGCTGCAGTATCCCCCTTCCTCGCTGCTGCAGAAGATTTCCGTCTCGTGTGGCTTACGGGAGGGGACCTAGGAGCAGGAGACGTTGGCGACCCTGACTCGGTCAATCGCTCTGAAGCACGAGATGCAGAAATCTCCTTACCTGCAACGTCGCCGACTTCTTCTACTACGTCAGGCTTTGCATCCTCCTTCCTCAGTTCGTAAGCCTTTGTGCCAGGAACTTCTCCATGTCTTGGCATAGAATCGACTCTCTCCACTTTGGTGATGGGAATCGGAAGATCGCCAGGAGTGCTACCGGCCCTTGACCGGGTCACAGTAGAGGCACGGCTGCGTGATCCAGACCGGACCACAAGATCCGGGACTGCATCTGCCAAACGTTTCTCGTGCGCCTCTGTTCCTGGGACTTCACCATAAGTTGGGATTTCGGGGTCAATCTTCTCAACCACCGTCATGGGAATTGGCTGTCCACCAGGAGTGGACGTTCCCGGGGGATGGGGAGAAGTGGTCCCAGAGTGCTTGCCCTCAGGAACTATTTCTATCTCATCCGGCACAGCATCTTGCTCTCGCGTGTGGTAAGCCTTGGTTTCGGGGTCTTCACCATAGCTTGGCTTGTCGTCGACTCTCTCGACTCTCGTATGAGGTATCGGAGAAGCGACTCCGGATGGCGGATCGAGGCCAGACTGGGCATCAGAGAAGTGGTCATCGGATTCAGAGGACTCTAGAAATAAATCAAAATTAGTATTAAAGCTTAACGGGCGTTTCTGCAAAGACTGTAAATCCTTACCTAGATCGTGTGCTCCAGGGTCATCGATGCTCTTCCGTACGGGTGGCTCCAGATTTCCCTGCTCGGCATCTGCCATGCTTAATCGTAGGAGGGCGAGCGGCGAGGTCTGTATTGTTCAATAGAGCCTGCGGGTTAGAATATTGAGGAGAGGGGTTCCTGCGATCCCATGCCGATGCTGGTGGAGGTATCTGGTGACGAGCCCCTTTCAAAGCTGGTAGGCGCGGAGAAAGCCGTGCTCAAATGTTGCTGGCTTCGCGAAAAGTAGAACGCGAGAACAAAGCAACTCGAGGATTCACGCGCTGCGCATGCGCCCTTTCAATTTCCTCAGTTCCGAGCTTTCTTAAGCTGAACGCTCTTTCGGCTTTCCGATCTGAAACCATATCTGGTTTGTGTCCCTCCAATACTCTTCACAGGAAAGCTCTATAATAACCTCACTAGCTCTTAAAGCTCACGCCCACCACAACCCAGAAAGATGGCTTTTACCTTTGGAGGCGCGAGTGGTAGTGGAGGTCAGAATGGAACAGGAAATGGGACTTCGAATGGTTCATCAAATCCCGGCCTGCCAAAGCCGGGTGGCCCCTTTGGAGTTGCACCTGGTACTTCATCGCCCTTCGGTCAACAACCAGCGACATCACAGCCACCATCTAGCGGTCTCTTTGGCAACATTAGCAGCACTTCAAGCACTGGTACCCCCCCTGCGCCATCGTTCTTTGGAGGAGGAACTACGGGGTCCAACCCAGGCTCTGGGACATCAACACCGTCGCTCTTCGGAAGCAGTACTGGAAATGCTCCTGCCGGAGGTGCTTTTGGGAAGCCAGCAGGTACAACTGGCGGGGCGGGCTCACTGTTTGGCGGAGCCGGCCAGTCCACGCCTTCTTTCGGCGGCGGAGCCTTCACGTTCGGACAGAAGAAGGATGAAGGTGGAGCATCGAGCCCTGCGGCGAGCAAGGAGAACAACACAGGAGGAACATCTACCCCGAGCATATTTGGAGGCCTGAACAAACCAACAGGACAGAACATGTTTAGTGGGAGTTCATCTACGAGTGCTTCCACATCTGCACCAGCAGGATCAACGACTCCAGCCCCGAGTAAACCCTTCATGAGCTTCGGCAACTCTACGACTCCTGCCGGTCCTCCCCCTACAGATAATACTTCAAAACCTACTGGAAGCAACCTCTTCGGCCCTACAGGTTCACAAACCCCACTATTTGGAGTATCCAAACCTTCGGATCCGGCCCAGACTCCTGCAAGCAGTGCCTCACCATTTACCGGCGCTTCGGCAACTTCTGATGGCCTATTCGGTGGAGCAAAGCCTGCTGGGCCAAGTAACTTATTCAGTGGCCTAGGCTCATCTACTCCAGCTACTTCTGGCCCTACAGCCACGCCTATAACTGCCTCCAATCCCTCAAAGCCAACATTCAGCTTCCAAAGCAGCACCCCTACATCACAACCTTCGTCATCAGCTCCGCCTGCTGGCAATCTCTTCGGTACTCCAAATTCAACGGCAACCTCTACTACCCCAGCTACCGGTGGAAACCTCTTTTCCGGCCTCAATAACCCACCAGCCTCTTCTGCTCCTTCGTCAACCCCTAGCTTGTTCGGTGGCGCATCTGCAATAACAACCACAGCCCCGAGTACAACCGCTCCTCCTGCAACATCAACTCCGGGTATCTTCGGCGGTTTAGGTGGAAACACCACTTCAAACGCAGCGCCTGGAACCTCTGCCCCGGGTAGTTCTGCACCAGCACCAAGTTTGTTTGGAGCCAAACTAGCGGCCAGTGAAACTACACAATCGTCTGCACCACCTGCTTCTTCAACCTCTGCTCCAGCTCCATCTGGCACAGATGCAACAGCTAATCAGCCCCCGGCTAACGGCCCAAGCCTTGGAGCGTCAACGAGTGGCCCCAACCCACAATCAGCTCGCCTGAAGAATAAGACCATGGACGAGATTCTCGGTCGCTGGGCGAGTGATCTTTCAAAGTACCAGTTAGATTTCAAGGAGCAGGCCGAAAAGGTTGCACAATGGGATAGGCTAATGGTAGACAATGGAGACAAGATTCAGAAGCTTTACCACAGCACTTGGCAAGCCGAGAAGGATAGCGCGGAAATCGAGCGACAACTTGCGAATGTCGAGGGTCAACAAGACGAGTTGGCTGCTTGGCTCGACCGGTACGAAGGCGAGGTTGATGAGATGTTTGCACGTCAAATTGGCCAGGGGGATACGCTTCAAGGTCCAGATCAAGAGCGAGAGCGAACTTATAAGCTTGCTGAAAAGTTGACGGATCGACTTGACGATATGGGCAAGAATCTTACCAGCATGATTGACGCGATCAATGAAGCATCGACCACTTTGAGCAAGACGAGCAAAACAGATGACCCGGTAAGTACACCCTAGAAATTCCCTATATACAAGATTCTAACGTCTTTCCAGCTCTCGCACATCGTCAGAGTCTTGAACAGCCATCTTACGCAACTGCAATGGATTGATGAGAACGCAATGGCACTGCAAGCGAAGGTAGCTGAAGCTCAGAAGGTTGGACAGGGTCTTGGATCGAATGGATATGGCGGTCACGAGAATGACTTGACGGAATCGTTCTACCGCTCAGTGACCCGGAAATGAGTCCTTGTTACGCGTGGTATTCCCAGGCTGGCGTTCAACAAACTGTGGCATCTTGAATTTCAAGAAAGAAAGGGAGCATATAATGGTCATGAAGTCTTTCGGAAATTTGGAGAGCGGCAATTCCAGATCCCCAACATACACGCGAAAGAGTATGTGCATTGTGTACAGTAGAAAATGATAGAGCGATGATGCCGAATATCCGCCCAGTTATCATTTCCGTGAGGCGAAAGTTGTGTAGAGTAGTTGTGTACAATGAGCCATCCCTCGTAAATCTTCCCTTTTCCCCATCAATTCCTCCGCAGGTCAGCTGTACGGGCAGTGACTTTTAGCACTGCTCTGAGCAAGCAAGCCATCCCTCCACAAGCCAGTTATACTTACTTCTGCTCGCCACCTTGAGATTTCGAGATCTCATCACTTCAGAAGAAACATCAGCCAGGGTTCAATTGTGTATCATTGGGGGGACAGAGGGAGGTCTGAGACTAACATGTGTTCCTCGAGCTTCTTGAGGTGTTCGTGCTGCTCTTGAAGCTTCTTCTTAAGCTCCATTAGCTTCTCCTTCTCACGCATTCGGATGGCATAGTCCTCGTTGGCTTTTTCCCGCTTCGTGAATGCATCGCTGTGCAACAAAACCGATTAGTACATCTCTCGGAAGCTTGGGAACAATAGCCACGAACCCTGATGCCTGGCCTCCCACCCGTGGAGCTCCAGTATCTCCTCCGGCCATGGCTCGAGTGGTAGTTGAGAAGGTAGCTCGGGATCGGAGTGTATAACGCAGTGCTGGGCGGACAGCTTGAGCAAGAGATTGCCGATACATGATTGTTGATCGTGAGGGTGGTTGTGAGGGGCGGGAAGGAACTTGGCTTTGTATCTTGAGGGGTATGCTCGTGATGGAGGGTGGTCAGTGGATGAGGTGACTTCTGCGGTTCCAACTGAGCAAGCTCAATATGCAGCAGATCGATACGACCTCAGGCCACCTTCAGGCCACCCTTTGGAATTTCACGTGACTCTATAAGGTGCCGAGCTCCCTGCAGCCAGGCCACGCCCCTCCATCGACTTGGGTCGGCCGAGCGTCATTGTGCAATCATGTTTCATGCATTTGTTTAATTAGCAGGAGGCTCCGCACAGTCGTTGGTGCATTTCTGGATATCTTAAAATCAAGGTATCACTTTTCAACACCCTGTTGCGTGGCCCAGCACTGCCACAATCTTGCAACTAAACTCCATCAGACCAGACCAATATCAACCAAGCAAGTTTCACGGGATGGATGGGTTTGCAACTTTGCCAGTGGGTGCCGCATCAGCTGGAGAGACAAGAGATTACGGCATCCCGAATCGTGTGACAGTCATGCGATCAACTGCCTGGCATCGCATCTCGAGAGCATCAACGCAAGGAAAACTGACGGTCTGCTGGGCTGTCAGCCCTGTAAAGACAACCGCGCAAAGGGGGGAACTGGGGCTCTGATGTGCTTCCCTCGCTCTACAAATAGCACACTCGCCCGGTGATGGTGTTCCCAAGGATTTGAATCTGTGACATGATATAAATATTCTGCGGTCTCTTCCTCTCAAAAAGAAACGCAGCAGCAACTGTTCTCCATTCTCCTGGACCAGTCAGTAAAATAAGTCCAACACACTGAGATCCTCTGCATGGTGCAAACGAAGATCCAAAGCGACCATCCCACCTGCACCAGGCTGTTATCAAAAGTCACCCCTTCCGCCGTCCCAAATTTCAGGCAGGCGCAAGCCAGATTGTTTTGCTGAGAACGCACCCACGTCTGGAGCGTCGCTTCTCGCACTGAAATTGGGCCCCCAGTAGCGAGCCTTTTCAGTCAACTTCGACCCTTCCCAAATCCGCTTCCTTCCAACCTCACCTCTTCAATTCTGAGACCACCACACACCAACGTCTCAAAATCACGTCGCATTTGCAATCCGTCTTCAGACCAACCGTACACGAATCCCCTTACCAGCAGCACATACCCCTTTCTGAGTCCGGTGAGAACCCATTCCTGCTTCTATTTCGTCATCCCTTTTCCTTCCACCTCCCCTGAGTGCAGCTGGCGTCGCCGCCATCGAGAGAAGGCTCTCCGCCATTTGAAATTACAGATCCTACCGCTGGCATGTCTGCGAAGATGATGACCCGCCACTTTCACTGGGCCCAATGTCTCTGCTGGGCTTTTGCGACTGCCCCTCTAGGTGACTGAGGGGCACTTGCCGAATTCTATCACCGGAGAAGGAACATCTCCAGAGGCCTCGGAAGAGCATTGAGATTCATTCAATAGGGATTGTTGGCACATCAGTGCTGGACCGGATGCGTCGCAGATAGATCGCATGAACATGATTCAGCTGGCTGTCAGGCAGACACTAGTTCTCCGCGCCGCTTTCGTTCACCATCTCCACTCACTACTTCCTTTCGAACATTTGCTGGACCTTGAGCAACTTTTACTAACAAACTCCTCTCCAGATTCCTTCCAATCGCCATCATGGGTTACGAAGACTCCGTCTACCTCGCAAAGCTTGCTGAGCAGGCTGAGCGTTATGAAGGTTAGCGACCTCGGAAAACATACAGGAGCTCATTGGCTAACACGAGCAACTCCAGAAATGGTTGAGAACATGAAGCAGGTCGCCTCCGAGGACCAGGAACTCTCCGTCGAAGAGCGAAATCTCCTCTCCGTTGCCTACAAGAACGTTATTGGGGCGCGTCGTGCGTCGTGGAGAATCGTTACCTCGATTGAGCAGAAGGAGGAGTCGAAGGGAAACTCGGTTCAAGTTCAACTGATCAAGGAGTACCGTCAAAAGATCGAGGCTGAACTCGCCAAAATCTGTGAAGACATCCTTGAGGTTCTCGACAAGCACTTGATTCCTTCTGCCAAGAGCGGAGAATCAAAGGTTTTCTACCACAAGATGTTCGTAAACCATTCATTTGAGAAATTCTTATGACTGACCATTTACCACAGGAAGGGTGATTACCACCGTTACCTTGCTGAGTTCGCCATTGGCGACAAGCGAAAGGAATCTGCCGACAAGTCCCTCGAGGCTTACAAGAACGCCACCGAAGTTGCACAGACCGACCTTGCACCAACCCACCCAATCCGCCTGGGTCTGGCCCTTAACTTCTCCGTTTTCTACTATGAGATCTTGAACTCGCCTGATCAAGCTTGCCATCTTGCCAAGCAAGCCTTTGATGACGCCATTGCTGGTAAGTTCCACTTCTCCGCAAGCCGAGAAACCATATGCTGAGACGCGATTCTGCAGAACTCGACACTCTTAGCGAGGAAAGCTACAAGGACTCTACTTTGATCATGCAGCTCTTGAGAGATAACTTGGTAAGTTCTTGATTCTCTATGCCGAACCTGATTTGACGAGCATGGACTGACCACCTTATTACCAGACTCTCTGGACTTCATCAGAGGCCGAACCCGCTGCCGCCGAGACCAGCGCCGCGCCTGCTGAGACCAAGGAGACTGAGGCTGCACCAACAGAGGTTAAGGCTGAGGCTGAATAGAGGGTCGGTTCTGGCGTTGATATACGGTACACTCCGGGTACAAGCGATAAGGGGCTGGGATGGTTGTTTATTGCATGTTTAGCAGAAGATGAGAAGAAGACTGGGCAAGCATTCGAAAAGCTTTTGGAGGTCGATTCGCAACTTGATTGCCGCTTAGATCCAATGATGCACTAGAGTGGTTTCCCCTTTCTTGTCACTCACTGCTTTACATGTTGCACATTACAGCATATTTCCTTCCTCATCAGACCTCCTGGTACGATTGATGCGCTCCACATTTGCTTCCTTCTGCGCTGGCTCTCTCGATTAGATTTGTACTACAAAAAAAAAAATGCAAATTCACCAAGATCCACAATCCTGGTTCTTTATCAAATGAATTGGCTTTCCCCAAGACCAATCTTGCCAATGAGATTGGAATCACATGTGCATATGTCAGGTGGTTTTGTTTTTTATATTTTGATTTTCTGAAATACTCGATTCTTGTTCTCCCCTCTATCCCCTGTATGCAATGCAGCTCATGATTCGTGATAACAAAAGTTACCTCCGCACAACAAGCAGAAAAGGTAGAATCCTCACCACCGTCATCATAGTCATCGTCAAGCCAAACAGCCCAGCCAACCGGATCAACGCAAGTACTCCATCCAAAGCAGCAGCAAAGAGCACAAGGCGAATAGAAAACACGGAAAAGCCGAAGCCAAAGCCGCAACCCCATTATACTCGACAAGCAGACCCAGAAAACTCGAACAGGAAACAGAAAAACCAACGCAGATAATTGAACAAACGCCATTCCCCATCCCCATTCCGTCAGTTTCTCATATGCTTCAGACAGACGCCAGATTTTATGCAAGCACGATTGTACAGCATAGCTTGGTCGATTTGATAGGTCGGTTAAACCTCCTTCATAATAGTCCAGTCGAGACTTCATTTATAACCCGGAGACCTTGCGAGAGGTGCTGACACTGCCTACTCTCCCGCTTGTCTTACGAATGCCGGCACTCTCTTTGCTGCCTCGCAAGCTATCTCCTGAGCGTTTCGGGCTGCCCCGGACTTTGCCGAGTGTGCTGGAGCCGCTCCCTGACTTCATTGCACCAGGTGTCTTGGGACGAGGACCTGCCCCGATATTTTCGATGTCGTTGCTGCTATCGTTGTCGATAGAGGTATATATTGTGGTGGTGGTCTGACTTATGCTTCGGCCTGTTGGGGAACGGGATGACTTTCGACTACTTCGCATGCGGAATTGGATTTCGTCGTCTCCATCGGCATCATCGAGGGAGGAGCGGTGAATCGAAATCATTTCTGTTTCTCGCTGGAGCATGTGCTCATCCTCTGTGGTAGTGTATGCACTTGAGACACTCCGGCTGTATGGATGATGACGATCGACAGCTCTGCTTGCCTTTCGAGGCTGACCTGGAGTTGGAGCAGGAAGACAATCCTCTTGAACGCCAAGGCTGTTTCGTTGCTCGTTATCGACTTCGCCAAGTGGCGACCGTCGACTTGCGTTCGGGGGGGTTGCGGTTTGACCATTCATCATGTATGGCTTCGGCGGCAGTCTTGTTGGTGTGCTTGGTGCCATGTTGGCCAGCTTTTCCTTCATCTTGATCTCAAATTGCTCCTCCACCCACCATTCTCTGAATGTCCCTTGGTTGAGATGCAGCCAGTGCTGTTGTGGACCAACAACCATTCCAGGACGCATGAAGCGCATGAAAGCAATAATCTCGTTGGCTGTGAAACCATAACGGTAGATCAAATATGCTCCGATCAAGCAGCCAGTACGCCCCAAGCCAGCTTTACAGTGGACCGCAATTCCTCGTTGTTTGACTGTGATCATTTCATGAGCCAAGGTAATGAATTTTCGAACAGTGTGCAATGGTGGGCACGTCCCGTCATCAAAGATCATGTCGAGATGTTCAATACCAAGAGCAGTAAAGTATGATGGAGAGTATAATTCCGAGTTCAAACGGACCACCAGGCCGATATTACGTTCTTTGAAATGTTTCAGGACGTTTTTGAACGGGTTGGGGAGTGTTGGGTGAGCAGCAACTGCTTCCAAAGTCGAAGGCAAGGTGGCATAAAGTGGTGATGAAGCTGGTATAGATGCAACAGGAGTATGTTGGGGCGACGCAAAAGCGAGAAAGTCTGGGGTTAACCAGTTGAAATCTCCTTGGTCAACACGCTCGTATCTCTCGTACTCCTCGAGATCGAATCCCGGGAGAGCACAGAATCCTTGTTCTTTCGCGCGCCAGACACCATAAACAACATCTTGAACTGTAATCCCATAATCTGCTTGGCTGTATCCTGCATCTCGGAAAGGCATAAAAGGTGGGTCAGCTTGTGCAATTGGAGCGAGAGCGAGATGTGGTGCCCAGGATTGGATAAGGACCATGTACGAAGCCAGCAGGCAGGCAGCGTTTGCTCGACCTGTTATACCATGTTAGTCCCCAAATATATATTGAAGAGTTAAATCTATGGAGTCGCTTACTCCGCGCATCTGCCTTGCTCCAGAATACAACAGGTCTGTTCTTGTTCTCCGGCGCACCCAAAATATCATGGAATTGCACAGCAAAGCGGTACAAGTGTCCAATGTGCAATGGTCCAAAATCGTGGTGGAATGCGTTGTATAGGAGGGTATCATCGATGGAGAAGTAGCATGGTGGGGTGCGGTCTCTCTCGGACACAATAGACGGCCCTTCAATTGCTCGCGCAGAACGTTTGCTTGGAGAACGACGAGAAGGTGGATCTGGGTATGGGAAGAGAGTATCTGCCGACGGTGGAGTGGTGTAAGATGCTAAATACAATCGGTCTGTGTATATTAGCCATGTGAACGGGAGAACAGTGTCTGCACACGATGGGGAATTGCCCATCGCGCGGCCGTCGTCTTGCTCGATTGCGCCAGATAGACTTGCAAGGACGCCGTCAAGCATAGCTTTACAATCCATTGGTCGCACAATAAAAATGAGTAAGGATGTTGAGCTGACGATGCTCAGTGCTTCGCGCGGCGCACCTCGTCGAGGGAGATGTGTTATTGAAAAGAGTAGCCAGAAAAATCATACCTGGGATAAAGTCTATGATTTGGCCATATTTGATAGAAGGAGACATCTTGAGATCTTGAGGCGCTGTTTGCTAATCGTAAGGATTCCCAGAGAGTCGTGGTTGCCAATTATGAGTCGTGGGCGGGAAGTCTCGATTGACTCAGAAGGTTTGAGTTTGGGGGGAGGGTGGGAAGATGCGATTGTTATGTTTAGCGGGCCACGTTTATAAACAAAGCATAGTCTTCGGATGGACCAAGGACTGGAAGGGGACAATCTGGATGATAGAGATACTCCTCGATATCAAAATTGGGCTTCAGAAGAAGAGAAGGATCAACTGTTGCGTTTCTGGATCAGAAGAATGTTTGGATCTGAAGCAAGCTAGAGGTTGTGTCAAAGATGTCGTGTGCCACCCGCTTGCCGTTGCCATGAGCAACCGCCCCGCAACAACTTTATCCCGATTCAGAACCTCAAAAAAAAATCCCCCACACGTGAAATTAAACAATTATGCATCCCTTTCTTCTTGCAAGAAAGCGCCAAGCAAGTATCATGGCAACCCAGATCGATCCCGAGTTCTCCTGCTCGCTGTTCGTTTAAATTTCCCCCCGCCCTATTTTGGAATACTGACAAGGCTTGCCAGGACCATTGATCTGCCCCTCCCCACCGCACGCCTGGCTTCTGCTGCCCTGCAAGCCTTGCGAGTAGACAAGGAGCTTTCCCCTCTCGTTAGCAGGTCATTCTCAACCATTTCGGCCCCATCTTCTCATGACTCTGGGGACTCGAGCCCTATGGGCTCTTCCCAAGAGAAGATCCTGAGGACGGAATACAAGGCTACTACGAATCGGATGTTGAGAGTTGCGGTTAATGGGTTCATGGAGAGCTTGAGTGTGGTCTTGGGCGTTATGGACGAGCTTGACGTTGATATTCTAGGCGTGGAGGACCCAAAAGAATAGGTGATTGCAGATTTGGCATTTCATTCAATGGCACGCAGTAATCGGTTCGTCGGAGAGGCTTGTCCTGGCATTTCTGTTGTCTCAACAACGCTACGCGTGTGGCTCGAGATTTTGGGCGGCGAGGATTTCGAGATAATCCAAAGACGAAAATGTGGTGAGGCTTCGACGGCACACGTGGATGGTGGAACGCGCGGAAGCCCTTGAAAGCAACCTGCGGCACAGCTCAACATAACCCGCTTGTTTGCAGAAGGGCTGAGAACATTGGTGGGGTCACGCGGCCTTGATGAGTTGTGATGGGGGTCAAGGAGTCAGAGCTCACTACCTCCGGGCAAAGCAGGTACTCCAAGGCGCGGGCCTGCCATGATTGTTTTCTTGCAGAAGATATCTTGAGCATTGGCAGGCATTCTGAGAATCACCACCAAATCAAAAACGCTTTTAGAGAGCAAGCTCAGAAGACTTTGTCATCATGTTTATCGGTTTATGTGTTCGATTGACTATTGACAAATCTGCATAACAGTACTCGAATAACCCCATTACTCGTCTTCTATGTTTGCCAGCGCTTGGAAACAGTTAAACCACAACTGCGCCCCCTATGTCTCCAGACCAGCAAAGCGCAGATACAATGCCCCTGAACGCCAGCCAGAATTATCTAAATCGCCCTCCCATCTTCAAATCATAGAACATGCTCAGGTATCAAAATGATCCAGAACTCCAACGTGATGACACAACAAAACTCCCAACAAAACCTAGGCTTTCACCTTCAACAGCTTCTCAGCCTCCTCGGCTCTTCTGTTCGCCTCTGCTAGATCCTTCTTCAACTGTTTTATATACTCGATAGCCTGTTCGACGGTGCTGGCTTTACTGTTTGCACTCTGCGAACCTCCTTTGCCGTTTGGAGCGTCATTATTATCGCCAGCATCACCACTTCCACTCTTGTCTCCACCACTATCCTTCGCCTGACCTCGAGGTAACAATGTTGCAATTTCTTGCAAGGCAGAGTTGATGCGATTTCGTCGACCTTGTTCCGCAATTTTGTGAGACGTCCTCTTCGAGGTCAGATTTGTCGACAATTCCGTAGGATAAGAGACACCTGGTAGGTGGGTTCCCTCGAGGATATTCTGGTAATTCGACTTAGACGCCAAGAGCAGTGAGGCCGTATCTTCTGCCGTCTTTCCACCTGGGAGAAGAGGCTTTATGCTCGGCGAGATCCTGGGCAGAAGTGCTGGAGATGCAAGCACCGAGCTGCTAGACCTCTTCTTCGTGCTGCGGACCTCGACCGAACTTTTACGCCCCGGGCCATTCATCCCTGCGGAACCGTTCATAGCGTCAATTTGAGGACTTTGGCTTGCAGACAGAGTCGACCTAGGTCGATTGAAAGATGGAGAAGGTAGAGGTTGAAATCCTGGCGCTTTCGACCCTGTGGAGCTCAAAGTTGGCGTGACTTGGCCATCTGATTGTGTCTCGATTCGAGAGAGTTGTGGCCGACTGGTGGCAGCTTCAGGTAGCGAAAATCCATCCACTTCTGGGTCATCAATATCCATGCCTCCTTGATTGCCGATTTGCCGATTCACTTGAGGTGATCCGGCCAATCTCATTAGTGAAGCTGGTGTTGCAGGTGACCCTAAGACTTGTTGGGCTCTTGCGCTGGCCTTTTGCGATTGAATATAGGGAGACCTGCCCGCAGATCCAGGGGGTGGCACGGGAGGTGGTGCCATATCAGACAGGTGTTCGGGGGATATCGAGTTGTTCTCCGAGTCCTCGGTGCTCGCTGTAGAATGTGAAGAGCTTGTCGCTTGTGAATTCGTCATCTGGGAATGAGATGGCTCTAATATGTTGTCAAGAGCTTTGGCAGATATCGAGCTAGAATCCTTCTTTCCTTTCCTCGGTTTTACAATAGGAGACTGCCTTACCCCACGGGTGCTTCGTGGTTTGGGCAGTGATTTTATGCTAGATTTCCTTGGGGGGATATTGGAGCTTGCTGGTGCCGAGTGGGAGTCTAAGTTCATATCAATTGGCGAATTTCTGTTCCCTGAGGCACGCTGATCATAAACGGTTCCTTGCTCGTTTTGTGCATGTAAAGCTGGAGAATTCAAAGGACTGAAATAAGCTCCTGGAACTGTATATTCTGGAATGTTGAATTGTGCCTCAAGAGGGGTCACTGCTGGCGAAACAAGTGGAGTAAAGGCCATCTGCTGCGGTCAGTTATGATCATTCAGACAATCTCGATGATCACTAACCTCCTGGTCCTTTACCTGCATTCGATACCTCTCGTAACTAGCCTGCTGTTGAGGATCTGACTGCGGATAGAATTGAGCATTGTTTCCATGCATCTCTATGCTATTCGGAGTAGGAGGAATCATGCCGTTTTGAGTATAGAAATTGCGTTGTTGCTCCTGGATCTGTCTCTGCTGCTGTTGCTGCCTCTGAAGCTGTAAATATTGTATCTGCGCGTCCAAATCTGCCAGATTTTCATTTGATGGGTGTGCATGAGCAAGAGCCGCCGCGTGCATGGTGGGATGGGTCGTGGCCGTCGTCATGGCAGGCATATGCTCTTGCATTGTCGTGTCCTGCCCCGCCAGTACTCTACCATTGTCCATGCGAGTATCCATGCCTTCTCCATCCTCCTGGTGGACCAATTGTGTTGTCTGAGGTTGTTGATGATCGAAATCCTGAAAATCAAAATGCAGACTCTCGCTGAGGTTCATGTCGAGGAATTGTTGAAAGTCATCTTGAGAAGGAACTGATAAAGTCGGGTCTTGGCCGCTCCATACAGTAGACGAATCCATCATATTCGTTATCGGGGTTTCTCGAGAGGAGGTTTCGATGCACGGTGAAGAGTGGGGAGATATAAATCTCGCACACTTGTGCTCCTGTCCCGCGATACCGTAGACGGCGAGCGATTGTAGAATCTCCAAGGCTCAGTCAATCCATGCGGCTGAAAGTTTGCGTAGCTCAATAATGCTTGCACACAGATATTCGACCGATTCGCGCTCGGTAACTGATGGAAGCCCAGGAAGCGGGAGGGACGGTTGTGGAAACTTATTCCGCTTCGAGGGTTGAGCCTTTAAAGCGACAATGCTTGTTCCAAGAGAAAGGCAGGTTCGCAGGAAGGGAAGGTGCGGTATTGAGGCAAGAGCGAATAGATTCCTCCTCCGAGCTTGGCCACAAATGGAGAAGCCTTTTCTTCAGCGGCGTCGATGGTCGCAAGTTGGGATTTTCAAAGGTCGAAATCCTGCGTTGGAGCGCGGCGCTCGCGCGGAGTGGAGCTCGAGAGAAAAACGGAAGCGGAAGGCAAGAGTGGACAGACAGGCTGGACCTAAGGTTGCGCCATACGAGTGCAGTGAGGGAATAGTGTGCGCGGTGTGAGATCTCCACTGAAGCGTAAGATGAGTTGGTACGCGACCTGAAGTGCGTTTGTCTGCTCGAGATTGAAAGGCTCAAGGAGGGGCTGGTCGTGGTGGGGAGGACAAGCAGGACCAGGAGGGCTTGGTGTTGTTCCCAGGCAAGACAGAGACTAGCTTGGGCCTGGGCTGCACTCGACTCGACTTGACTCGACTCAATCACGAGTGACGTGAAGAGCAAAGCAGAAGGGTGCGATGTCGATGTCGAGGTCGAGGTCGAGGTCGAGGTTGAGGTCGAGGTCGAGATGCGACGCTCAGTAAGACAACCCAACCAACCCCACAGGCAGCTTCATATTCTAATCACGCTCAAGCAGACAGTCACTAGCCACTGCCACTCCAACTGCAACTGCCACTGCAAAAAGTCCAATTACCGGCGCAGCTTTCCCGACCCACCATCACAGAGAGTCCCAAGTGCTTCAGACATCGCGAGGCGCGCGGGGGTGATTCCATTTGATGCAAAAACCTCCATGTTCACATCTGGTGCATCCACCGTAGCCACCTCACCTCCACCTCCACCTCCACTATCGGCCAGATGCTGCCCGCGAAAGACCGTTCGGCTGATTGGGCGCCTCGCCCTCAGCTGCACCGACCAGCTGCGGGTGGCAGGCTGCTCCGGGCATCGGTCATGCGAAGACTCTTCACCAACCATGTCCTTCGCACGTCAACGACTCCACAGCATCGCGCCGCAATGATGATACTGGTAAAACATCCGGATCACACTACCAGCCCGCCGGGTACGGATCTAGATGAGATATACTCAGTAGCAGCGAAGCCTGCCAACACATCCGCCTGCCGGCGATGGAGAAACAGCCTGTAGGACCATCACAGTCGGGACCCAGCGCTGCAGCCTGTTGGCGAAAGCTGCTACACCACATCCCCTGAGGACATCGGGCTGCACCTCGACTTTAGCAGCCTTGCAGCGCGGTCCCAAGAGGGATGCATGATTTTCCAGGATGTCCACCAGCCTGCACTCCACCAAGCTAGTGTATTAGTTAACGGATCATATTATCTGTGGAAGTGTCCATGGCTTCGAGCAAGGCTTTTGCTTATTATCTAGCTACTCTCACTCTTTCAGAGTCTCTTGACTTTCAGGCGCAGGAGGATACATTTTATCTACTTCATATGCCATTTGCTTGACCGAAGGGACAGAAATGCAAGCTGCCTCGCCTCGTTTCAAAGCCTCTGGCGTAGTTGCACTTCGGTTTGAATCTTCTCTCAAAGGCCCGGCCCGTCCGAGTGGACAACTTCTGACTCTGAACTGGATTTTTTCAAGCTCCCGCTGTACACCATCACTGGCCTAAGAAAGGTAAACGTATAAAAGCTGGCGGTCCCTAATGGGGCCAACAATCCAGAGTGCTTCTTTGGACCAGATCGCCAAGTTCGAAATGCTATTATTTGGCCGCTCCGTCACTTCCATAGGCCGAGCCAGTCAGAACTGTTCTGATTCTGATTCTCCACAGGCTCTGTCCCGCATTGCTCTCAAAATCCAGACTACGCTACGGTTTTGGACATGTCCGGGGCAGCGAGGCAGCACACCACGGAAGCCTTCGGGGTTCTACAGAAATTCTAGAAGTCATCTTCCTCAAAAAGGCACAGCAAGGCTGGGATGGAGCGCCACCTTTGGGGGAGTGCAAAAACTACCACCAACTGTGGGGTCTGCCAATGGGAGACAATGTCCCCCCACCCTTCCTTTCTGTGGCTGACGGCTCGAATCTTCCACAGCCTCTTACGGCTCCTCGGCGCGAGAAACGCCGCATGAAAAGCAACCCGCGATCCCGAAAACAGAGGTTTCAATACAAATTTGATGATCCCACTCGACACCCGTATTTCGGTCGAAGAAACCGAAAGTGGAAGTGTGGCTTGCCTTTTTCGTTGCCGGCAAGCTCAATCAGTGTTGCGATATCAGGCGACAAGGTGGACCAGTCAAAGTCAGCAACCAAGTATCCACCTAGGGGTTTAAAATTTCAATGCTTCTTTCTGTCACGATCGTCGAGGAATGAGCACTACATTTGTTTTCTCCTCGTTATTATGTCTCAGCTCTTCGGGTTGGCGTCTGACAACTTTTTGCATTAAATCTCCAAGAAGTCCTGTGCCGCGCCTGGCTTGACAGTTTTTGAACCACACATCGTCTCTTTCCCCACAGGACCGATGAATTTCCCTTTGCATGCGAACCTGGCTCTGGCCATCTTGGGCCATCTCGGAGGCAACAGAGACATTGTGAAATCGATCGTTCCCTTCGCTAAAATGCAGAGACTTTGACAATAACTCCGCCCTCCTTGCTTTCCAAGACTGGGCCAGCATTCTCCATCCCGCTTTATCCCCGTCTCCCCTGGAGTGTTTGCGCCGAAACAAGCGAGGCACGAGAGCACCTTCCTCAGAGGACCCTTGGACGGCAGAGGTTACGAAATTGCACAATATCAAATTTCAAGGGTTCGCTCAAGTTTTCAACACCCCACAGCATTGCTCGTCTATCAAATAAAGGTCTCATCAGGGGCACATCACAACAGCCAACAACACAGCGTCTAATTGTTTATGTCTTGAAGAGATTTTTCTGGTCTCGTGTCCATCCATATTGTGCTCGATCCTAAAAAATTTAACTATTTGTTCACCCGAGGAGGTTGGAAATTCAAAAAGTGTCTTCGCTCATCCACCAAGAGGCTAGGCCACGGTATACTTCAGACTGATGACCCTTGCTAGCTACCACCATTCCAAAGTCTTCTACTCAGCTGTAGAGAGGCTGAATGTACCAAGTTCTCCTAGGCCATTGAACTTCTCTCTTTGGAAATCTTTACGAGTCCCATTTTCATTGTTCCAAGATGTTGCGGAATATTGAGCTGCAGAATGTGCCAAGTTTTTCCAGGACATCGAACTTCTCGTGACTATTAGCGATCTCTACGATGCACATTCTCATTGTTCCAGGCAATTTGAGGCCAATTTCAAATAGACTCTAGCCATTCCCCTGTGACGAATCTTCTTGAATCTGGTGCACATTATTTCTTGGATTGCTCTTCGGTCACTTAATCTAAATGTCTCGCGGGCTTTAGTACACCGAACTGGAAAGTTTGAATATTTTCGAACGCTCTATCAGAATGTGGTGTAACTGACGCAGCATTGTGTGTTCCAACTTTTCCCAAGGTCCTTGGTGCTAGACATTGTTCTCAAAAGACTACCCTACCCCTTGCATTCTCTGCTAGTCTAGCAAAAATTAACCTTCAGCTCTTTCTGACCACCATGACAGTAATTTTTGGAACCTCTATTCCGGTACTTCTTTCGGTACAAAGCCCCAAACCACAACGGCGTGGCATCATCTATTCACACGTCAGCGTTCTAATTCAGACTCGACCAAGAAAGACTTGAACAAGAGAGGCTTGAACAAGAGAGACTGGAACAGGAGAGATTGAAGTGGGAAGACGAACAAAAAATGTCAATAGGATTAAAAGGAAAGTTACTAAACCTATTTTCAATCTCTTAAAACTAACACCTCAATCAATCACGGCTATCAACCCTCCTCCCAAACGAAGAAGCGAAAGGTAACGCACAAGGAAGGCCACCCTAATTAATAAAGCTCACGAGCTTGCAGAGCTCTACGAGGTAGAGGTAGCACTCCTCATTTGCAGTTGTAAGAGAGGTCAATATTTTACTTACAATTCTCTCGATCTCGAGTCGGAGATCGCAAGGGACGTTATTAACAGAGAAGCAGCAACTATCATACCCGCTACCAGTGATCTTGCTCCCACATGATATGGAAGCCAAGCGTAAGAAGAATTTGGGACATGTGTAAAGGTTTGGGTTCAGGTGTAGATACAAGATGCAGCGCGAGTATTCAAGAAGAATAGGATGGATCCCTCGCAATTGCTCGAAGTTTTACAATGACTCGATGTGATATACTTTATCACCGGAAAATAGAGTCAGTTCGCCAACCACGCCGAACCGCTCCGGCTTGATCCTAAACTGCCTGCCTTTTAATTCGATCAACCACCCCCACTAACTCAACGTAAGACGAAGATTAATATACGCAATATTTATATTTACAACCCGGACAAGCTGATACATTGCACTCTGGGCAGTGAAATGACCATTTTCGGCGGGCCTCCCCGCAGAACACGCAGCTTGCCCTGCCATTCTTCCTCGGCCAGCCGAAATGTGGATGGGCGCACTCAGAAGACCCTAAAGGCGCAGGCTCGCTTTCTCGACGCTCTGCCACTTCTCGCATCTTTGCCCAGTTGCGACGAATTGCGTCCTGTCGCTCCTCGATCAAAATGATCTTTAGTCGTTCCTGCGCCGCTCTTTCCTGCTCGATCCTAATTTTCCTTGCCACTGCTTCCAACCTCTCTTCTGCTTCCCTTTCTTTCTCTTTGCGTAGCCTCTCTTTCGCCGCCTGCTCTTGCTGTTCTTGCGCTCTTCGTGCAGCTTCCTGAGAACGCTCTTCAGCCTGCCTCGCTCTCTCCGCCTTAATCCTCTCACGCTCCGCTTTCTCTCTGGCGGCTCGTTTATCCACTTCCATTCTCCTTGCTTTCTCAGCTTCTGCTACCTTCTTCTCTCGTTCGGCTCTTTCTCTGGCAGCACGCTGCTCCTCGTCGGCTCGTTTCTGCTCTTTATCCTTGCGCTGAGTTTCTTGCCATTCCCGGAAACTCGTCCACTGGTCTTGGAGGTCGAAATAAAGTGCATCGTATGCCGCACGCTTTGCCTCATCGGAGAGACATTCGAACGCTTCCCGAATCTGAGTCGAAGACGGAAGGTTAGTTAGGCTCTTGTTTAGCCATTAATGAGCTCAGAGTCCCCCCTCAAGATTCACTTTTGAAGACTAGCCTTGCGGAAATCTTGAGCGTCAATAGACTTTCCCGGCGCCTTTTTATCAGGATGATGCTTTTTGGCCAATTTAATAAATGCTAGTTTGATATCCCGAAAGCTTGCTTGTTGTGTCAATCCAAGGTCTGTATAATAATCTGAAATTTTAGGTTCCGGTAGATCGAATGGGTTCATCTTTATTTGAATGGATCCTGTTCGGTTTGAGAGCAATAATTATCAAGCTTGATCTGAGCTGTGGGCCGCTTTCCTAATGGTCGCCGTCGCTTCGAAATAGCTGCCCATCCGTAGTATATGTAATCGCGAAACAGGCGAATGAAGCTGATCAAACGTGTAAGAACGTGTATTAACATCATTGGCTCTCAAGAACACGTCTTCCAACTTTAAGGGCCCCAATTGGACACGCAGTTTTGCAGATTCGGCAGGATTGATATCGCGCCGGGCAGGGTATGTTCGTATATGACTGGAGGGAGTGAAAGTGGTACGACTCGACTCGGGAAATACAAAGACTTCTTAGCAAATCAAAAGCATCTCGCTGGCCACGGGGAATTCCTCTACTGTAGCTATAGTCCACCTCGAAAGAGACATATGGTCCATGAGTGAAAAGACGAATCCTAAGATGCCATGATGCCTTTAGTGAGGTCACCAAGCCCGAAAGGGAAACATGAGTCCCCTAGCACAACGGCCCAATACCCCAAACTCTCCCCATGTCTCAAAGTCATGATAAGCGACCAGTCGCCCTAAAAAGGGGTGTTCATCATAGGGTGTTACTTAAGCCAGATGATATCCGGTTCGAGGTTCGCGAAAATGGCTGGGTGAGCATCATCCTCAAACATCTTCTCCTCCACTAAGTAACCACCATTCAAGCCCTCCTTGTGCTCCAAACCCTCAATTTCTGCTTCCCAATTAACAAGCAAGAGTGGACACCTCGAATTATTTCCCGGGAAATATCTGCCAGGTTCGTCCTCTATATTAATCAGCTGAGAGATTTGTGCAGCGTGCTGCCAGATTTTGACTCGGATTTCTGCCGGGAAGCTGGTAAATCGGGTAAATATGGTGGGAGGTTCCTTTAGCCTCATTCTCTCCCGGTTATTCGTGACAATGGACTTATGTTGGTCGAGGATTCCTTGCATGCCATAGTTCCCAATGACGGACGATAATTATAGGGACGTAGCATACACTTGCTGGAGGCTAGCGGGGAGATCGTGAATAAATACTGGGGTATGTCGAGGAGTGCTACTTTTCCCCACGAGCTCGTCGTCGTTGGATGATTTGCCGTACGACATTTTGCTGTGTCCTTTTCGGTATCAAGAGAGCGGGGTGAGGAAATGTTGCTTCGAAACTAGGTGATCAGTGAAGAAACTAAAAAAGAGCAAGTACCTCAATACCTGACTCATGAGCACTAGATTCGGTCCAAATTATCGGCCAACAGGGAGGACGAACCATAAGTTGAACTACAATTGACGTTCACTTTGCTAGAAAGTAGGAAAGCCTCTCGGCACAACCTGAAAGACCATATTGGGGCTAAGCGAGACCCTTTCCTTTCTGGGAAAGAAACCCCAGTTCTAAACTCGAATGCCAAAATTTCCAATAAACTCACCAACTTCTCTCTTTCCGAGTTGAGATTTTTAAGAATACAACGTACATTTCGTTGAAAAGCAAAATTTCGCCTTCACATTTACATCAAAACACAGCACAATGTCCCACGATAGCAAGGACATCGTTTCCAGATCAACGAACACCGCACCGCTCGTAACATGGATTCGAGACACTCACAGGCACTAGGACGAAAGGTGCTCATTCTCTTTGGTACCATCCGCACTTCGTTCATTCTCGCATTTAGCACCCTCATCGGTGCTTCCCTATGCTTCATCTTGATTCTTGCAACCACCAAGTGCTTGCTTCACTGACGCATCTCTGGACAAGCAACCTGATGGCGAAATGTGCCTTACTAGCAAGAGAAATAGGGACAGCAGCACCTCTCAGCAACCCGCCAAGAACCTGGCAGACATTCACAAGGATCTACTCAAGTACTTGGAAACAGCCTACCAGTATATCCCTCAGGCCAAGTCTAGGAAAGATGCTCTAGAACACAAAAGAACAATGATACAGACGAGCCAGAAGAAATTCAGAAGGAGCGCTTAGTTTCCACAGTTTGCCCACCTTCCCTCGGAAATACAAGTCATGACCTGGAAAGAAACAGCCAGGCTTCCTCAAGATCCTCAAATACTTATGCTGAATGCTTCTTCACAGCTGTCTGTGCTCAATTAGTGTCCGCTGCTCCGTATCCATCGAGCGGCACGGGAAGAGGCACTGAGTATCAAAACAAAGTTCTGCGACGTTCCCTATCCTAGCTTGAAAGAGAGAAGAAGAGGTGTGCTGGCTTAAGGGAGTGGTAAGTTGGATGTCCTACAGCGACTGGAACATTCTACTCCGAAAGATCTATGCTGACCCCGATTCGTCAAGGAACAGGTGTTGCCAGCTGCTAGGGTCTGAGCTACACGTCAACTTAGACGTCGATACGATATGGACTAAAAAGTGCTGGGAGTTACAGAGGTTCGTAAATAGCTGCAATTCAAGATATGCAGAAGTGAAAGAAGTTGGCTATCAATTACAATGAATGGTTGCGGGATCGCGAGTTTCGTTACCCGGAAGTGGAAATATATATCTTGAGAATGGACCTTGAGGAGTTGAACTCTGTTATGGATTGGGATGACGGTATCAAGAAAGTGATGGTTGAGATTGTGCAGTTAGACCCTCATGCATGGTTTCCGAGGAAACTGGTTGGGGGTCTCGGTAGGGAGTATGGTGAAGGAACTCGTGTGAGCGAAGATTGCAAGAGCTGGTTGGAGTTGAGAGCAGTTGATAAAGTTGCTCGCAGACGCTAGAGAAGAGCAGCAGGACGATTCTGAAGAGCGCCTCGAGGGCAAGCATCCTAATTACTATGAGTATAGGAGTATTGAAGCTAATATCTATCACATCATTCACAGCCGAGCAATTGAAGGAAACGCGACGAAGGAATTTGTCTGTCTAAAAGATGCCAAACATCAGATTCGTCGCGATCAAGAAGAAGATGGACGATGTAAAAAAATCAACAATGCTGATTAGGTACAGAATACTACAGTATCTACACAACTCTAAATGGTTCAAAACACCCCCACGCTCACCTTCGGCTCACTTGAGATACAGGCAGTTGAACCTGCTTTCCGAACACCGCCTAATTTGAAGGATCATCGTTAAGATTCAGTAAAGAAAGACTTAAGAGCAGGGGGGAGGCAGTCAGCGGCTACAAGCTGGGCTAGACTATGAGACATGACACCGTACCGCTCTGCCTAGCAGCTAAGCTCGTAGCGTCCCGCGGGATAAGGCGTGCGATCAACACGAATCCTCTAGCCACAAGCACCGCATTCTGCCTGGAGATAGAAAGACAATTCCAGAATGAACTCTCTCCGACAGGAAGCCCCAGAGAAAAGGGAAGTGCATGGACTTCCCCGCACTCCTTGCGCCCGGTATCCGCGGCTCCAACGAAAAAACGTTGGGAGCAGGAGAGGCTCAAGATCCGGAACCCTATCTCGCTGTACAGAAGAAATTGAAAGCAAAAACTTCAAAAAACAGTTGCAAGCTGATTGGACTACAGGAAGGAACTTGGGGGTACCATGCCGGTGCCTTGAGACCTTGACGGTGTAGCCAAGAGCGGCAGGAGAATGAAAAGCTTGAGCCCCAGCGCCTAAGCTTTAGCATCCTAAAATTTCCAAAGAAGGATCTGTAAGGCGGTGACTCCGCCCTACGATCACCTCCCCCCCAGCAGTTTGAGATATTCGGCCAAAGATGTCTAAGATCTGGTAATCATCGATAGGCTTTCAACTAAGATAACGTGCACGTTGATCCCATGATGCCACAGTGGCTTGTCAGGCTTGCAGAAGCACAGATCGTTATTGAAAGACCGCTTTGGTACTTCAAGCACGCTGGGCCTTGCTTGGTGGTCTCGAGCACCGATGTGAAGGTCTGACCTTAGCACGTGACTATTTTACATTTCGATAAGGTATTTCATTTTCAAAGGAATCTGATTGCTTGCATCTTTAAGTAAGCCTTGAAAGATCTTTAACGAGAATACTTCGTAGAAACCGCTGGACGGCGATGAGCCAAGCCTCTTCAACGGCTCAGATCATTTCTTCATTCGTTTGATGTATCTTGCTTCAGCCTTTCAATAAAGTCGGCGATCCCTCGTCGTTGGGCTCTAGCGAATCAGAGAGTCGAGTCGGCCGCAACCTCATTCTGGCTGAGCGCGCGCTTCACGATCGTCAAAATGTCAGCACATGAACTGAACGAGTGGCAATTCGCATCATTTTCACGAAATGAGCGGGAAATTGAGCGCTTATGTGGGTTTTGGTTGCTCTGGAGGGGCATCGCGAAAATCTTCAGCGATACGATGGTACGGAAGCATGCTGCAGTGCGAGTATCTTCGAGAGCGCCTCGATCATGTCCGTGGCGGCATGGAGGGGCAAATGTCAGGGAGAGAATTTCACTGGTCAGAAGTCGCTCGCCTTCATGATCACCTTCCTTCCCCCCCGGGTTCCTGCAGTGTCGAAGTGCTTTCCTTGGAGTCTCGGTGTGTCCATGCAAAAGGGTTTCTCCCCAGCTGGTGGCAACCAGGAGCCACCGAAAAAATGAGTCGTCCAGCTTCTGGTAGGCGATTGGCTGGCCGTCATCGTCGAGAGGGTGTGGCTGCTCGCCAACCAACCGGTTGTTCAAGATGCAAGTCAAGAGTGTTAGGCAGAACAGCCGATGCTCGAGGCTGGATATGAGCACGCGTCGGCAGAGTCCGAATGTTTCCAGTGCAGCACGGAGAAGTGATCTTTGTTGCACACCACACGGGGCTTTGGAAGAACCGTCTTGGCATGTTGCAAGATATATAGCAGATGCTTCTGAAGCATCACGCTTCTATCACCACACGCACTGCGCTCAGCCACGGACGTTCTGCGACGCAGCGACGTTTGACTGTGAGGAGGCGCGGCTTGTGCGACAGCCTTGCCATACTCTTTGGAATCGTGGGGGGGGGGACGAGCCGTCGGTGCTGGAGGGATGTGGTTGGCTGTGCCTTTTCTCGCTGTGACCGCCGGAGAGTGGGCCAATCAGCCCCCCCCCCCCAGTCGCTGAAAATGGTGCAACGGGCACGGGAGTGGGGTGATTCGGTGCAGGGACAAGCCGCCTGTGCCTCTCTGATGGAATACTGTAGCAGAAACTGCTGCTCGATGCTTGGGGCCTCGTGGGAATGCCAAGGACATTTCCAACAGCGCACGTTATGTCCATGTATGAATATGAAGCCGTTGATATATCGATTTTGTCTGTTCTATTCTGAGATGCCAGAGGGTCTCCATCCCCGAGCTGTTCGTTTGGTTCGGAGTGAAGTGACTTCCATGCTCCGTGTGTGGATGTACCCCTGAACGGGACCAATGTGCGTGCAGGCATTGGCCATTAACCAGTGTTTCAAGCCGTGGCCTCTAACTCGATCGGGGCTGGGCCCAGGTACCGCAGCCCGCTAGCCAGGGGAGCAACCCGCCGCAGCTCTATTTTCTGCTTGAGGGAAGAGGTGACATGGAAAGGGAGAGGGAGAGGAGCAGACACTGCAGAGAGAGGTGCAGAGAGCATGGAGCAAGAGAAGAGCAGACCCGAGCAGACAGACACACAGACCAGACCAGACCCGAGCAGTCCAGACCAGGCACACAGCGCGAATCACAGCGCCAGCTGGAATTAAATTGCTCTGCATCTCGTCCGTTCCTCGGGCTTCACAGTCTGTTGGGACTGAGCCAGTTGATTGACGTCTTGGACATTCTTTGCACCGTCTCCTCATCAACCCACCATCAATCACATCACATCACATTCCCTCCTTCCTCTCCCCCTTCCTCTCCCCCTTCCCCTCCCGTGGAAATCTGGAAAGAAACACGCAACGGTGGTGCAGCACTGCAGACGCAGCTCTTCCACAGTCCCACTGCCAGTCGGACCCTCCACCGCAAAACCAACCAACCAACCAACCAGTCGAACCCGGGGCACGGGAGTATCCCTGCCCACGCTAGCGATCCTCGACGACACCCCTACCTGTGTAAACTCAGACTCAGCTCCCCCAACCCAAAAAAGGGCTTCGAGCACTCTCCAGCGGATGAAATGAAATTGCTCCAGGGCCAACCAAGTCGATCTCTGCTCTCGTCGCTCTCTGCGGAGAACTTCCAGAATCCAATCTATTCCCATCCGCCCATGTGCTCTTCCTCCTCTCCTCTCTCAATCAGCCATTATTGCTCATTGCTCAGATCCGTTTCGACCACAATCTACGTAGTGCAGTTTTATCTGCGACACTTCACTGACCGATTTGGCTGCTCCCCGACGCCAGGTCCCCGCACAACCTCTTCGCATTGAGCATCGCTGGAAACAGACTGCCCTTTTGTTCTGTAGATCAACTTACAGGGCAGGCCCTCGCCCAGTATTCGTGGCCCTCCTCTCTGTGGATCCCAATTGTACGCTGTACCACATTCAATTTGAAGTTCGCTCCGACTCCTTTCCAACGTGTTTCGTTGCATCGCCGTCCCGACACCTCCATTATTGCAAGCATTCGCTGTCAAGTGTTCGAATTGTTCCTTCCCTGAGCAGTTTCAACAGACTCCGGACAAACCTATCCAGCCTACCGTCTTCAGGTCTGGTTCGTTTCAAGCCTTCCTAAACCAAACAATCAGTTCGAACCTAGCAACTTCTGCCTTTGAAGGTTCGCTTGTGGGATCACATCTAGATTCTCATCTTCGAAGGCTCGCCATTATCTAGGGACATTGGGGTGTGGGTGACAACCCATTTGAGTTGAACTCTCCCGACGACCATCTCGCATTCGATCGCTTTGATAGCAAGTTTCTTCTCCTTGAAGGAGATACTATTTTTATCAGGTCGAATCTGCCTACTATGTCGCCATAGTTACTTCTTCGAAGCGGACGACAACCCGGCATCGTCCCGACGTCGTGATTGAACGAAGTCTTCGAACGGACACGAAGACTGTCTTCATCATGACTCTTCCGACCCCCCAATATCCCTTAGTGGATGCTTGTTCTACTCTGTTCAACAACACCCTCTACACATATACATCGGAAGCTTTTCAATCACTACCACTTAAAATGGGGGCGGCATGGTCAGAGTTACCGATGGGCGTTGCTGTGACAGGAGGAGTTTGTGTGAAATCTACACCGAAGAATAATACAGATGCTGCGGCATTGTATATTGTTGGAGGGACTTCGAATTCCACCGACTACCCAGGATTGCAACGCTTTACATTTGCCGATGGAACATGGGAGACGATACGTCCAACGGTGGCTGTTACGCAAAATCGACTCTGGCACAATGCAGTCTACTTGAACAAATCGGATTCGATTCTCGTCTATGCTGGGTCACAAGATGGCTCGCAGCATCCATCATCACAGACCTTTACGATACAGGCATCAGAACCATACGCAGTCTTGGCCTATGAAGCCATTGCCCCTCCTGCGATAAACCCCTTATTAATGCAATGGACCGAGAGCAAAGCAATCTTCATTGGAGGAAGTGAAACTAATACAAAAGCCATGATATTCAGCCCTTCCTTGTCATGGGTCGATTCGAACGCGACATTGGCAGCGCCCCTGTACAATACATCATCAATCAAAGCCATCGTTATCAATGGAGACGATGACAGCAAAAATCTTTACACTTTCGACATGTCGACATCACCAAATGGCGTGAACAGGACGATCTTGATAGACAGTGATGGGAATCCGGTTCAGAACGCACAGCCGATTGTGGAGGCCAGACAAGTGGACACTGAGTTGGACGAGAGATCAGCGCAGCTGGTGGAGAGAGGTAACTTGACTGTGGCTGACTGGCCGGTTTATAACGACACATTCGCCCCTTCGAGCACAAGGACTTCGTACACGATATGTGCGGATCAGAGTGGACTTGTTATCATATCTGGTGGGAACGAAGAGGATGTGCTGTGTATGTTCAAAGCGAGAGATAATTGTTGGGTGAACGCCACGGCAGTACTTGGCTCAAGGGCTGCAACTGTGCAAGTCATTGGTACCCCCTCGACAACCGCTTCAACTGCGAGTCAATCCCCATCGTCAACTGGAGCCGCCAAAGCAGGTGAATCCCCATTTCCGGTCAAGATTCTTGGTGTCGTTCTTGGATCGATAGTGTTAGTTGCCATTATCCTGGTAGCTATATTAGCTTTGCTCCGATGGAGAAAGAGGCGGAGGCAATATAATGATGCTGGCCACCAAAGGCGGTCGAGTGGAGTTCCCGACGAGAAGGACGATATGGATTTTGCAGATGTGGGCTATCCGCAAATGAGCTCGGCAAGACAGTACCTCGGTCACGAACCTCAATCCTCACAGGGGTCGTATTCGTCGATGGCGATATTAATGGGTCGGTACGGGCATAAGAGAGGAGGTGATAAGGCCAATGGAAGTTTGGGAAGTGACTCGAGCAGTCAATTTAATAAGAAATACAAGACAGCCATCAGCAAGCCGATACCACAGGAGCAGCCGATGACCATGCGTGCAGGACCGGCTCGACAGGACAAAGGCGTATCCTTCGCGGCAGCGGCTGAGGAGCCGGCCCCAACACCGAGGCCACGAGGGAGCACAAAAGGCGGGAGAAGAGGAAGCACGAGAAGGTCGTCTGGATGGAACAGGTATTGGTCGGGTGGAAGTGCGATGAATATCCTCGGGTTTGGCTCAAAACGGACAACATACGAAGGCTCAGATCGAAGTTCGGACTCGCATTACTCTGACCAAAGGCTACCGAGCCAGATCACTCAAGGATCAGCTGTACCAATGCCGCTGAAGCTTGCTGACCGACCACCAGAGTTGAACAGAGTCATGTCCGGTAGTCCCACCATTGCATATCATTCGAGACCATTGACTCGGGAGATGAGTGGTACGATTGAGCGACCTGGGTCAGTTAGCACAGTGTCATCATACAACGATGACCGAAACGACGCCTTCTCGAGTGGAGTTCCAGCCAGCGTCCATGAGCAAAATACTTGGACCCCTTTCGACAAGTCTGCATGGGGATCAAGACCTGCTCCAAGCAACTACCCTGAAAATGTCTATGCTACAAAGCTTCATCAAAGTACCGCACCAAACTTCCCACCACTACCGCCGCCTCAACGGCAACCTGCTCAACAATCCTCCGACATGAGTTGGCTCAACCTCGGTGGCAACACCAGGATATGAAGTCCTCATCTGTACACTCCGCTTTTTATCTGTCCCTATTAGCATGTCTGCATTTAGGTGTTCCATCCAATGTCTATTTTCTCGTTGCATATCCTGGGGTTAAGCACATTGCAAATCGTTCTTGGTCAAAACTGAGCATTCCGGGGGGGGAATGTGTATATTTTTTTTCTCTCCCTCTCCCACTGGATCATTAGATATCATCTTTTCTTGCTGTTATCATCCTCGTGTCTTGCACGGAGCAAGCGAGCTTGCGTTGTATGGTAGACTACATGGGCATGACGGCGTCGTGCTCTCTATTTTCGGGTATCTCTCACGAGAGATATGTGTATGTCGATGAGTATGGGAAGAGTTCAAGCACAGGGTTGTGCTTGCTGGGTGGCTGTTGTCGGTTTCGTCTCTGGGACACACTTGGGAGGAAGGTAGTTATTGGATGACGGAGATGAATGAATGCTATACCCTCAAACATAATTCTCTCAAGCTTCTCATTACTTGTGATATAAATCTCTACCCAGTCCTTAGAACGTTCTGGGGTTCCGAATGTTCCAGGTTGGTTCGTTCGTACATTTAGGCGAAGTCCACTCTCATCTTTCGGTGGATCAGGCATTCAGCAAGGTAAGTTGGGGTGGATTGTGCTCGTTGTTTCTCGTACATTATGATGTGCTGAACTCATCCTGAGTCATGATGCTTGTTGCTCGAAAAACAATCTGGTATCCAACGCCCTCGCTATGCTTAATCAATGTTCCCAAGTCCTAGAGAACAATCAACTCCTCTCCTTCATTCCTAAAGAGCTCATAGCTCAATATCGTCTGATCAACGTAATGCAGAATCAACCTCCACCGTTTGTCTACCCACCCTTCCTTCCTCACTCTCTCACTCCCCTGCAATGGCGCAACTGCCATTCCCGCAAGCGGAACATGTGGTCTGTGTTTATCCTCATGCATCTTCAACGGCAGGATCAAGTCCAGACGGAACATAACTACCGGCCCGGCACTGGGGAATTCATCTCCCAATCTCGTTAATGTGATGAGAGCCGCTCGACCGATTTGGGATGCTGCAACGACGAGAGACAGTTCAGGTATGACAGCAAGCATGTTCAGGCGGTCAAAGTGCCGGAGCTGTGGTGGCGAGGGAGTTAGAAGCAGTTGAATCAAGATTGTTCCGGGAGCAATTGAGTCATTGAAGCTTACCTGGTCTCGCAAATTTCCCAGTTGTTGCCGGACGATCCCCCGGAAGAATGTACGAAGTGTGTTGGGATAATCCGGCGTAAGGAGTTCGATATCTTGGTTGTAGGTACGAAGAATTGCATGCCCCGCTGGCAACTGGATCTCGATTTCGTCCGAGTCTGCCTGTGCTTGCGTGGAGGCGTTCCCAAGACTGCTGTTATCAGAAGGGATATCCCCATAGGACCCCGCTTCTTGTTGCTTGATCTCCTGCCACGAATATGGTCGTTTCGCAGGTGGGAGGCTTAGAAGGAATTGCAATGTACTAATCTCGGCGGGTACACTGACTATATTGGCGGGCGCATGTCTGACTTTCGTTGCCAAGTCCGATACCACTTCCGGAAGCACATCGGGTTCTATATACTTTTCTGGATCGTCGAGTTTTAGCCATGGCATGTCGAGATGGCGGAGATGGCGGTCGTCCTCGGGGGTTGTGGATGCGCCAGCAATTCCATAGCCGAAGATCGGATGCCATTGAGAATGCTCTCTTACATCTTGTAGAGTGCATGTGATGTTGAAGCATTGTGGATCCCTGAGTGGTGTTGTTTTGAAGCAACTGTGAAGATAAGGCAGGCCAAGTGCTTCCTGAGGACTACAAAAGTCAGTCTCAGCATGTACCCATTCAGTGGGAACAATCAAGGACTGAGATTCCACAATGTACAGGTCCCAGCTAGAACAACAAAAGTTGAAATAAGATCTTACATTTTGGCTACTTTGAAATATTGTAGTGGTAGGCATAGGACTCCCCAGCCCCTATTCATAAGTTAGTCGATGTCCTTGGGGAGACTGGAATATGAAAACTCACATCACGTTTTCCCTGTCCAGAGAAGTGTGCACTCGAGGCTTGCATTGCTTTTCTCCAGTTGCCAGGTCGAAAATCCACAAATTTCCATTAATATCCGATGCAAGAACGTGACTGGCATTTCCACCTGGGCCGCTGGCGAAGTCCACGGAAGGGATGTTGTGGCCTTGCTCGCCTAATGCTAACGTCATTTGCTATATCAGAGTCAGCAGCCACTCATTAAAGATTGTTCCAGGCAGAATCGGAACATTGAGATGTTGACTCAATAATATTTGTTCCCAAAGGCCCGGGATATTGAGATAGTGTCTCAGAAAAGGTAGCGCCTACATAGTTGTAATGACGATGCCCAGCGATATCACCACCGACGAGTTGCGTGAACTTCTTGTCTCCCGAACTAATACAAGCCTGCACTTCTATGCAGCGGATCCTACCCTCATGGAACATCGATGACTCCTCATCTCCAGCATCTGGAAAAACAGTGTATCCATGAGCAAAAATCGTGACTGCTCGAAGGTTACAGCTGACTGCTATCAGGCGTGATTGTTCGTCTGCCCAGAGTCAGTATCGTGTCATCAAAAGTTTAAATGTACAGCAATGGGCAGAACATTAGGAGAGGGACACTTGTGATTGTACCACAACCACTGGGACATTCTTAGAAGAAAACACTTCTGAATGTACAAACCTTCGTGGAACATTTGAACACGGAGAAAGATGGAGAAACCTACGTAACGCAAGGCCCCATGCACTGCTCCCAACATTCTCATGGAAGAACGGCTCAACACTACTGATCGATGCTTGAACCTGTGGGCTTTGGCGACAGATTTCTTCTGGGAAGAGATGTGTATAATAAGCCAACACGTCTCCATCATCGCACGCAATCAAGAGAACTTCGAGTGAACCAAGATTCCCAACTTTGATATGATTGATACAATGTGGTATTGCCTCGTCGATGTAGCCACCGAGCTTGATTCCTGCCGGTGTTCGGGGGAGGTCTAGTGTAAGATCGGGCCTTCCGGGAAGGGTTTGTCTGAGGTCTCGAGGAACGGTGATGTGTATCTTGTCTGTGGAGGCTGCGAAGTAAAGCTGCCCAGACGTGGTTAGCTGTGGGTAAAGGTTTGTTCATGATGGATCCCGTACATTGTATTGCTGTGATAGGGCCGAAAGGTTCGATCGCCAGCGCGCTAAACGAGGAGGAGGATTCTGAGGCTCTGCGGATGGAAACTACTGACTGTCAGACACCTGAGGTAAAGCAAATGTCCCACAATGGCCTGGTACAATCTCGTAGGATAGTACAGTACAACTATCAATGTTATACCTGAACTAAGCACATTCCACTACAACATTCAAATAGAGAACGCACGTACCCGATCTAGCCTTCGCTGTACCACGAAGTTGCCCACGCCAATCTCGTCGAAGATCCGATTCCCCACGGTCAACTTAGCCCGGGCGTTCTCCATCTTGTTTCTGACGTGGCGGGACTCGACATTGACGGTTCGGCGCACAATGTACTACCAATGGGAATTTGGAGAGAAGACTAGAATGGGGATGTTAGGTTGTTGATGGGGAAAGGCAAGATGCATGTGCGACTGGGGTGATGTTCGCTGGCTAGCGCCGCAAGGCTAATCCGCGAGGCTGACTGGAGGTTATCGATAAGGATACCTCACCTCTTGAATGTACTGATGGAACTGGAGCTGTGTTTTGATTGATTGTCCTCATGAGCTTGAAACATTCAAAAGCCAATATAGTGTCCAGAACATTAGCGAAATTTCAAAGTGACATAGACCCATTTCTTCATTATTTCTTTATTCACTTTGGCGGGGTACGAAAACAATAGACGCCTTTCAAATGTCTTTCAAGTGCTGGTACTCTCAAGTCTTTCAGTAGCTCCACCTTTGTTCTTTTATAGACAATTATGACTTTAAGCAACGCAATTTGAATCTTCTATGTTTCTATAAGTCACGGTACACTGAAGGGTTGAGCTTCAAAACTTCCTGAACCTCTCACAAGGCTCCCTATCAAAACGCTTGTATCAAACACAATAAAATGGAACTTTGATAATACCTGTCAACTCAAAAGAGGAGACGTTAAATAGCACCACAGAGAAATTCCGCCCATCAGCAAGCTATCACGTGGGCACTTACCCATTTCTCGGCACTCTCTCACTTCTCTCAATCAAACTTCCTCACAACCCCCCCAAAAATTTTTTTTACACCCGTTCTCTAGCATACCCCAAAACGTCAAAAACATTTCAATTCATCTTCCTACCCTCATCTAACCCCATCTCCGACAGCCTTCACTGTACAACGACGAAACCCACCCCTTCCCTTCAGGACCGCTGATCAAGGGTACCTCGCTACCAACGCCAAACCTTGGCCCGGAGCTCACCTCCCTCCCATCCATGCCTTCGGATCTCGACGTACATGTAAAGGGGGTGGACACATCGGAGCGAACTCCTGTACGTGCAGCTATATGTCGGAGATGGGTGTTGCTATAGTGAAAGCACATGTCCACCCTGTCTACTAAACTTTTAGGTGTAAAAGCGTCTATGGCAACAGCACAGCGACATATGATCACCTTACAGGAGTTCGCTCCGATGTGTCCACCCCCTTTACTCTGACCTCACGTCCCATCATGCAAATGCCAATCCCTATGATGGCATTCTTGGCATCGGAGTCTTCTCTCCTCTCCTCTCTTATGAAGAGGTGATCTGTGTCCCCAGCCTTATCTGTCACCCCCCGTTCTGTTCCTCGCTTATTTTCCTTAGCGAAGGGGGTGAGTGGGGAGGCAGAGATAAGGAAACGCCACAACGCAACTTTCGTTCTCCCGGCCCTGGGTTTTCCACAGACGGGGAATGAAGTGATGCAGGCGTGCTGGGGGCGGGAGAGGCGGCGGGGTGCAGAGGTGTTGCGTCATGATGGGGTGGTGGTTATTTTGACGTCGTTGCATAGCATGAGGCGTGCGGGAGGTGCAAGAGGTGCAAGAGGTGTTGTGATGACGGCCTTGGCAGGAGATAAGGATGTGCTGATTTTGCGGTGAATAAGCGAGGTGATGGGACGGAGCCAAAGATTGGATCATTGTGTAAGAGGTGGTCGTAGTGTGATGGGTCGTGACCCGAGGTACCTCTGAAGTGAGTTCAAGTTCCTTGGCGAGAGCCGTGGAAAGGGGAGCCGACAATGGGGACTGGTTTTAGACGGAACATTAGGTTCCCAAGTCACAGAAGAAAGTAAAGAATGTAAGAGGAAGGATTATCATTATGATTGTGAAATAAATGTATCATAGATATAGATGTGTATCTCGAGAGTACAATGACGGTATAATATAACACGATCCAAGACGAATGTCAAGGTTTTTCCAAACCGGATATCGCTCCCACCAACTCCTAACAAGAAAACCATCATCACACTCATCTCGCTTCAATATTCACCCATTGCTTTTTCACTTAGCAGTACCATTAGCACCCGGCAAGCCGTTCTTCTCCTTAATTTCATCCTCAGCAGCAATCCCGTGTCGATCACCCTGGATTCCAGTATGACTGTTTCCATTTGCATGCCCATTCTCCCCAACAGGGCTATGCCCATTGATCATCTCGCTGTGCTGAGAAATGCCGTGGCGATCTTGAGGGTTGATGCAGCTCTCGGTCCTCGACGGCTCGTCCTTCGCAGGAGTCCAAGCCAAGTAATCTCTTCTAACTTCAACATAATCGTAAGCAAACTCGCCGAGTTGATCATCATCCATGCCGAGCAATTCAGCTTCTTCGGAAGCTCGGAGGTGCAAGCCTGGGATGAAGTTGATGATGAGTGCGAGGGCGGCGGACATGACGAATGCATAGGCTGTAGCGGCAACGATGTATGCGACTTGGATGTACAGTTGCTTGTAGTTGTGGTTCAGCCAGCCGCCATTGATTATGCCTGTGTTGACGCCGTCGAGACCGATGATGTAGTCTGCAGCGAAGAAGGCGTTGAAGAGGAGCCCGACCATTCCTGCGATACCGTGCTCAGCGAACACGTCCATGCTGTCGTCGATGCGGATCCAGAACTTGACTATAAAGTATTAGTTCCGAGAATAAACTTGGGCGAAGGAGAGACTCACTCTTTGTCGAAAAGTTGGCAACTATACCAGTGACAATGCCGAGAATGACAGAGGCCCAGGGAGTAATGAAACCGCTGGCGGGAGTAGCTGCTACGAGGCCAGAGATACATCCGGAGCACCACCCAACCATGGACCACTTCCTCGCAAGGCGGTAATCAAGAATGCACCAAGTCATAGATCCGAACATGGCAGCCAAGCAGGAGTTCCAGCACGCCATGACAGCGCGGAGGTTAGCACCGAACGCTGAACCGCCATTGAATCCAAGCCACCCAAACCACAGAAGAATCGTGCCCAGAGTGATGAGGGACACATTGTGCGGCCTGAAGTTGAGCATCATCTTTTCTTGACGCTTTCCGAGCACCATCGAGTATGCGAGTGCTGAGAGACCTGATCCGATTTCGACAGGTCCACCACCAGCGTAGTCGAGAACGCCATATTTGAAGCCCCAGCCATTGATGTTCCATGCCCAGCATGCGATGGGACAGTATACGAGTGTGGCCCAGCAAAATATGAAGACCAAGGCTGGGATCAATCGACCACGCTCAGCTACAGCTCCCATGACAATTGCAGCCGTGGTGGCACAGAATTGTAGCTGTATGAAATTAGGTTCTGCGAAGTACGAGAAGCACTTCCACAACTCACCTGATAGAAAGAATACAAGAGCTCAGGGATGAGCGGTGATCCAGGTGAGGGGACCCCCAATGTGTTCAATAGACCGAAATGTTTCAAGTCCCCAATGAATCCGTTGGTGGCAGAGGAGCTGAACGCCAGCGAGTAGCCCCAGAAGTACCACTGGAACACGATCACCGAGAAAGAAGCCATACACGCCCAGATCATGGAAAGTGCAGACTTTCGCCGCGCAAGCCCCGAGTATAGGAAGCCCAGTCCAGGAATCATCAACAGGACCATGCATGATGAGACGATGATATATGCTTGGTCTCCGGGAGAGAACCACTGATTCAAGTTTACGACAGCTAATTAATTGAATTGTTAGCGTTTTGGTCATTTCCCCGAAGTTTAAAGAACCATACAAATTTGTATAAGGGGAGGGGGTGGTCAATTACTTACCGGAATCGCCGCCATCTCCACCAGTTCCATTATACACAGTCGGTGCACCGACCCAAGCGTAACTTGGGTAATATGTACCGTCCGTAGGCTGCGGGGCAGACATTTTGTAGGTGTTTCCTGTTCAATTGGAACTCCTTCAGGAATGTTGTTAAAGTGGAGCCGAGGTCGGACAAAACCTCGAGAATGACGTCGGCCAGAAGTCGTACGTCCGGACGAAAGCAACAAATCCGCGACGAAAAAGAGGCAATTGAGGAGGAGGGAAGAGGAGTAGAAGGTACGGGTATAAGTAAAGAGGAAGTAATCGGAAGAGGACTGAAGATATGGGGAAGAGGCGTTAATATCTCTCTTCGGGTCGGAAGAGTAGCTGGATCCGCTAGTAGCTAGTATGAATCTATGTACAGCTAGACAGGACTGGCGGAAGAAGGATCGGGGGGATCTCATGCTCTTTAGTACTTGCACCGGCCCAGCAATGGCTTCGTCCACCCACGCAGCTCCCAAGAGGAGCCACGCCAAGAGCAGTGACCTCGAATGGACCATACCCAAGACGAAAAGAAACACGCCCACGCTACTGACGGTGGCATTAACACGCGACTAGCTGCAACTGCTTTGCCATGCAAGCTGCCAGAGATTTTTTGCCATGCAGGGAGCACGGCGGCTGCTCAGTGGTCTGCTGGGGAGATCTGTGGTCCACAGACTGTGGACTTAGATCTGCACCGGATATGGGAAAGAGAGACCCTGTCCGCATCGAGGGTTGGCGTGGGATCGGGACGAGAGCTCGTTTCCAGCCTCGTGTGTCCCCCCTTTCCCCCGACTTTGAGAGGGCAGTCGAGGTCCCAAGCATCCCAGTCCTCACTCCGACAGCGGGTAACATGGCATGGCCCATCCGAGTACCGTAGGTTGCTGGCCCTCTCCGATGTCTCGACAGCAGCGAAGAAAGTGGAGTGAGGTCGGATGTCGTGACACAACCCGCGAGCTTTGATACCAAACTGCCACTTCGATTGGCTTGCCCTGGAACTGCGACCCCTGTCCCAGGGACTTCATCATCAACGCTGGGTACCGAAAAGTCCCTTCCAGCCTGGTCGGAGCAAAAATGTTCGTCGTCCAGGGGGTGCTGACTGTCTTGCATGGCAATGCGAGGCTGCGGTGTGGCATGGGGCAGGCTTGCCAGGGGGTTTCCAGTACGTACCTTAAATCTCTGTGAGTCCACTCGAGGGCTGTGAAAACAGCCCAATCCGCACCCATAAGGTAACAGATTTTGAGAGACTGTGGGGTAGAAAAGGCCCATCTTCATGGCTCATGCAGTCCGGGACAAAAGCATCAGATCTCTCCGCCTCAATATCAAAATCAGCCATTGCCTCCCCAAGTCAAAATTTTGCATCATGGAGTAGACATCCAAACCCCAGATGGAGGTTTTGACTTTGTGGCTGTCCCCTAAAGACTTGGTCTTCGCCTTCGCTTGTAACTTTCTTCCCTATTCTCGAATGCAGCTATGCGGCCTAGATATTTCTGCCGATCAGATGCAGAGATGGGGAATATGATGTATTCAAGTACCAGCCGGATCGGCGTGCCATCACGATGCTTTCACTTCCTCTCTAATAAACCCTGCCCCCCGCATCCGTCTCAAGTACCCCCAAAACCCGTGTCTGGCAGAGAGAAGCGAAAAACTTTTCTCAGGCATCAATTCCCAACATTGAGGCATTTTTACACTTTCCCCCTCCCTTACTCACAAGCACGACTAAATTTTCACCTAAGCCCTCCAAGAGGCAGCTCGTTCCCCAGTCCTCGCGCTCTTGCCTCTCTCAGCTGTCAACTGGCCTCACAAGTCAGTGACCATGGAGTCCATGACGTAGTTTTTGCTCGGCGCGGGCTCTGATGTGAGCTCTAACAAAAGTGTAAAAAGTGTTCCGAGATGTTGAAGATAACAAGGAGCACAAATCGCTTCATTGGGTATAGCCTTATCAGACGTTGGAAGCGGCCTATGAGAGGCCTTTTGTCATACGTTTGACTGTTTGTCAAGCTTCGTCTCGGCAGCTTAGGTGGCTTTCAGCCCCGCAGGGGTCACGCAAGCGGCCGATCCTCGGGAAGACCCACTCGATGGACTTGTCACGTGCGGTATTTCGACGTACGTTCCATTGAGAAGAGAGACTTCTGCCCAGTACGATGACTGGCTGCTCCAATTTGTTGATCTTCATGGTCACATTCAGCACCTCGCAAGATTGCATGAAAACACTCTGAAAAGAATTATCTACCTACTTTTGAAAACCTAAAGAGAAGTATACAAAATACAACAATTCCTACAAGTCATCATGATTGCTTAAAGCAGAAAACGCCGGTGAATCTCGCCCAAAGGATATCAACCTTCTAAATGACGCTCCCTTCTCCATAATCGGCAGGCATGGTACTCTGCAATGAAACCCTTGAATGTCCCTGCGTGCTTCCCTGACTGAAGACCCTCACTGACTTCTTGGGCTTGGCCACGAGAACCTGTGCAGGGCAGACAACAATCTCCTCATCACCTTCTCCCTTGTCGTTGCCCTTCTTGACGACCAACGGGAACAAGACAACTCTGACGACGGCCTTTTGTTTCTCCAATTCTTCGTTAGAGACCGTGTCCCCACTGCGTTCGTTCATCAATGCTGCATTGAACGACACCTTGCTTGCGAGGTCTCCATTTGCGTCGTACTCGGGAAGCAGAGGCGGGAGCATCATATACTCCGCACGCTGAGTTCGCATCTCGATCGAAAGATCGACTGCCTCTTTCATCACCCTTGTCAATTGTTCTTCAATCTGAGTCTCCAGATTGCTTGGCGGAGGTAGAATCTCCGATAATGTCTCGATGATTGCGTGCACAACGGCCTGGGTGTCTGTCTCTCGTTGCTGGATGAATGCATCACGTTTCGACAATAACGTGAGCGTGGTTGCACGCCAGTGGTGAACTGCGGCGGCAGGTCCAACTTCAGACAACGTCTTTTCTAACGATTTAAGCTTCTGTCGTTGTTCTCTGTCCATGCCAAAGAGGTATCGTGTGAAGATGAATTCCCACACCATGTTCATTGTCATCGACATGAACACATCTCGGCGCTTGATCCTGTCTGCTAGATAGTGGTCCACGTCCGAACCATCCAAAATAGCATTGTCGAGTCGATCAATGGTCTTGTCATTGTTGATCTCGCTTGAGAGTCTGCAAGCTCTCATGTCAGAAAACTTCGAGAACCGCAGTACCCATTGCTGTACGTGCTGGCAGAGCGACTGGCAAGCGTTGTCGAAGTAATCCTCATCCCTAACAGTTAGGAAATCGATCTCGTTCGCTTTCGATGCGAGTATTTGACGTTGCATCTCTCTGATTCGTTCTTTCGCTGCATCGAGTTCAGCACGCAACTGAGCTATCTCACGATCCTTATCATGTACAGCGCTTTGTACTTCGTTCCTCACGATCGCTTCCATACCCGCTGACAAGCTGTCATGTGCGTCGCGGACCTCCTGCAGCTCGCGCGTGCTCTGAACATGTTGGGATTCGAGCGTGCCATACCGTTCATTATGTTGCCGTCCCAGCTCAACATGCGCACTGTTTAGGCCATCATTTACTTGTGTAAGCCTCGTTACTTCGTTTTGCAGCCAGTCGAGTGTTCGTTTGAGGCTGTCGATTTCGGCATCCTTTTCGATCAAGGATGAGGAGGCATGCGAAGTGGACGCCAATGTACGTTCAGCTTGGGATTTTGCTTCTGCGAGCAAGCGATTTTCGGCAGCTAGTTGTTCGACTTTGGATTCGAGGTCGAGGACCTGCATGCTTTGTCGTCGGCGCATGCTGTGGGGTCGTGTCGGTGATCGCGGCGAGCCCATGCGGCCCTCACCAAAGCCATCCTATTTACTGTTAGCATCGCACCTATCATCGAAGCTCAAGAAACGCACATAGACATCTGTCGCCATGTCCTTGGCCCGGACACGGCCCTCGTTGGCTGTTGGGTTTGCTGTGTGCACTGAAGTTGAAGATGCGAGGGCGGCTAGCTCAGCTTCTTTAGCGAGATCCGGCTTGCTCCGTTGGCTGAGCGACCTCAAATCCCCGCTTAGCTTCCGATCGCTACGGCGGAGGGGAGGTGTGCCCGAGCGATTGCTGGCGACACTGTCAGGTCGTTTAGGGTCTGGAGTTCGCAACCGGTTGATGTTTGATGATGATCTCTGACTTTGGGCGCTAGACGGCCGTTGTTCTTGACTTAGTTTTCTCGCTGCTGCAAAACCAAGAGATGCGCCTGCAATTGCCGCACCTGCTTCCACCTCACTCATTCCTTTAGGTCGCTCAGCTTTAGGCCTTTGGGACGTTGCAAGTTCTGAGTATTTGTCTTCTTTAGGTTTGATAGGATGTTGGAGGTCTGGAGACTCAAATCGCTGCAGGCGTTGCTTAACTAGACTGTCTTCTCTTGGTTTTCGGCTTTCATGGATGGTAGGAACTCTGTGAAGATCCGTGTGCCTCTCCTCCGTGCTATGTTGAGATGGGAGGTAGGCTCGGTTCGTCCCTTCATCACGACCATGATGCTTTCCAGAAATCTCTTCAGTCGATTTGTAAGAGGGGAAGATGTCTCGACTTGTAAGAGGTGCTTTGTCGGGGTGTGTTGCCTTCTCGCCTTGAGATCGGTGCGATTCATGAGGATGAGAGTCGCGAGTCTCTGAAGGGACTCTTTCTTGATGGCGATGACCAGTAGAAGTTTCTACGACAATTCTCTGAGACCGATGGAGGTCAACAGTCTCTGTTTCCTCGTCGACCTGAGGCCAGGAAAGTTTAGCAAGAGCAGCATCTGTCGAAGAGGCGTGTGCTCGTGCTTTCTCCGCTGGTGAAAAGTCGCGAAGATGCACACCGCTGTCACGGACATGCTCATGATCATCAGTGAATTGATGTCGTGGAATCGGTGACCCCGTGACAAACGCACTGTCACGATTGCCCTCAAAATCATGGTGAGGGTGGGCCGGGGGGTGTTCAGATTCTTCAGGCACAACTGGTAGGTCCGAGAACGATGTGCGGCCATATTTACTGGTACTAAGAGGCCTAGCGGGGCTATGGTCGGTCACATCCTCGAATGCGACACTCTTCTCGCTGTAAGGTTGTTTAGTAGAGGATCTCGACGGCGTCGAGATGTGTTCATGGATGATTGGCGGAGGCTCTTCGAACGAAACACCTTTGTCTGAGGGTGGAGTGTCCACGATGCTTCTTGATGGCTGGGAGAAATGTGGATCATTGATGTAGATGTCTTCCCTGTGCTGTATGGGCTCTTGGGGAACATATATGCTGGAAGGAAGTTGGGTGGCGGTTCTCTCGTCTCCTGTTGACGATCTCTGATCCAATTCTTCTGAAATTTGACGCTCTAGTTGCTCTTCCCCGTGAAGATCGTGATCCTCTTGAAATGCTTCGGTAGTCGCATGGCGGTTATCCCAGTCCATTTCTCTTTCGCGGGTGCGGGTAGATTCTTTCGGGATGAATTTGGTTTCAGCGGCTGGGGAGACTGGCCTGGCTTCCTCCACATGCTTATGATGTTCATAGCCAAGTGTTGGCTCTCTGGTCTCGTATGGCTGATGGGTTGATATTGGCTCGTCCATATCTCTAGAAGCAAATCCAAAGCCGTCGCTTCCAGAATCATCATCGACATGCATGACTTCCTCGTGCGGTTTAGGTTCAGCGCCTTCCCACAAGGCAGGATCATCGAAGATATCGTCTCGTGGCGCAGGCCCAAGATCAATTCTTTTGTTTTTTCTTTCTTTTTTCGACAGTTTTCTCTGAGGCGTAGTTGAACCAGCACTTTGGGATGGGATCTCCCGAGTCTCGTCGCCTTTGCTGAGCAATGCTGCACCAGCAAGCGCGGCACCCGTCGCTGCAAGTATTGCAAGATTACTGTGATCGTCAGCCGCTTCATCCTTTGGCATTCCAGATGAAGTCGCAGGTCTGGAAGATTCGACTGAAGACGCGGGTTCTGAAATCCTCTTTTTGCCCTTTTTGCCCTTCTTGGTAGGTCTGAAGAAATCATCGACAGGAGTGGTTTCGATTGTGCTTGCAATGTGAGATAGTGACTCATCCTTCGCGATATCTTGAATAACGGGTATTTGTCTTTCAATTTCGGCCTCCTCGACTTCGTCTGCCCAAGACGTCAACGGTGGCTTAGATGAATCCATACCATCGCCCAAAGAGATATCGGCAACAGTGGCTTGGCGTTTTCGTTTGTCTTTCTTTGATGGAGTCCGGAAAAGATCATCACCAGAAGGGTCTTTTCTCTCGTCGTCAACAGCCTGCTCGACGGCATGTCTTTCGGCCTGATGGGTTTCTTCCAAGTTCTCGTCCTTCATGGTAACCGGGCTCGAGACTATTTGCCCTGAAGGGGGGTGAGTTTCAGCTTCAGTAGTTTCTATCGGCAAGGCATCAGCTGGGCCTAATGTAGAGGCTCTGCTCTCGGAAGGAGCGCGGGATGATCTTTTGCTGCCTTTCCTATCCTTCTTCGATCGTTTGGTGACAGAAGCAAATGCGTCGTCAGTGGCTTCTTGCTCCTTGGATTCTTCATTTGTCGGCCCCAGATCTTCGGAATCTTGGACCTGGGTCTCTGAGTTCTCGGGGACTTCATCTTCAAAAGCTCTGGACAGAGGTTCCTGTTTTTGAACCGTAGGCATGCCGTGTTCTGCTTCGGCGGATTCCAAGAATGGTGGAAGGGGCTCTTCAGTAAATGAACTTTCGTGCTCGAGAGACGAAATCTCCTCTGTTGGTTCGGCAATCTCTTCCGTTGGTTCGGCGGATTCCAAGACTGGTTCAAGGGGCTCTTCGGTAAATGAACTTTCGTGCTCGAAAGATGAAATCTCTGTTGGTTCGGCGGATTCCAAGATTGGTGGAAGGGGCTTTTCCATAAATGAACTTTCGTGTTCGAAAGATGAAATCTCTTCCGTTGGTTCGGCGGATTCCAAGACTGGTGGAAGGGGCTCTTCCGTAAATGAACTTGCGTGCTCGAGAGACAAAATCTCCTCGGTTAGTTCGGCGGGAGTAGAAAGACCAGATTTTCTCTTCTTTTTATCCTTTTTCGACTTCTTGGTTGCGAAAGACGCCCACTCATCCGCTGGCTGCTCGATGTCTTCCTTTGTCGTAGCAACAGTCACTTCGTCCGGTACTCGAGGTACTTCGCTTGCTGATTGCTCCTTGGATATATTTTCTGTTGGCCGGGACGGCTCCGTCATACTCGTTTCTAGTTCGACGATAGGATCTGATAGACTTGGTATCTCATATGGTCCCTCAGACAGACTTCTAGATAAGCTCTTGCTCTTTTTCTTGTCCTTCTTTGATTTTTTGTTTGAAAAAGATGCCCATTCATCTGTTGGCGCCTCGGTGTCGTCTGCCATGACTTGACTGATGGGCACCTCAATTGCTCGACTTGACGGTTCCTCAATTGCTCTGTTTCCTTCCATTAGATCGTTTGTGGGCAACTGGCGCTCCTCAATGGCAACTTCGGGGTCCAGGATAGGCTCTAACCGAGGAATAGATGGTCCCAATGATGCAGTTTTTGAGGCCTTTCTCTTCTTTTCTTTCTTCGATTTCTTGACTGAGAAAGAGCTCCATTCATCAGTGGGTTCCTCTTCCTGTTGTGCCGATGCAGGGACTGTGAACGAATCCAGATCTCGCTCCAGAGGTTGATCACTCGGAACAGTGTCTTCTTTTTCTGCAGGAATGGAGGTTTCAACAATCGGTTTCGGCTCCGCCATAGGGTCCAATGGGGTGGAGACTCCAGAAGTTTCTTCAGAATCATCCTTGGTAGAGTCTTTTCGATTTTTCTTGTCTTTCTTGGACTTCTTGGTCGTAAATGCAAAATCGTGGAAGATATCTGGGGGGCCGCTCGTCGATACCTCATCTTCTGGCTGGTTGATGGAACTGTCTTCTTCGAAAGCTGCTTCACGGGTCGCCGTTTGAGAGTCTTCACGCTCAGTGATGATATTTGCAGGCTGGCTAAGTGATTTGTCTTCGTGGAAAGTCGATTCACGGATAGCTGGCTCTGGCTCAGGAGCGCGATCAGTCTCGACAATTGTAGGTCGACTATCTTCAGCAACGCTACTTAGAACAGCATCGTCTTGCTTGCGAGGTTGCTCGATCTCCTTGGGCAGGTCTTCAGGCATAGTTGTTTGCGGCAAGCTCTTGCGCTTTTTCTTTTCCTTTTTTGACTTCTTGGAGGAATACTCCGCTTCACCGGCTTGATCAACTGCTAATGGAGCAACTGCAGCGCCAGGATCGCCAGCTATATCTTGGCTCTCGGGCTCAGGCGGGGCCTTATCATCTTTGACTTGTTCTGTTGGTGTCTCATCGAGTGTGGAGCTTCGAAGCAAACTGCCACGTTTCTTCTTGTCTTTCTTCGATTTCTTGGAAGAATACTCGAATCCATCATTTTGATCATCTGCTACTGAAGCAAGAGTGGCATTAATACCGTCGCCTAAATCTCGATTCTCGGAGTCATGCTGGAACTTGACATCATTGGCTTGCTCTACGGGTATCTCGTCGAAAGTCGAACTTCGAATCAAACTTCCACGTTTCTTCTTGTCCTTCTTCGATTTCTTGGACGAGTATTCGAATCCATCATCTTGGTCATCTGCTAATGGAGCAGTTGCGGCACCAGCCTCGTCGACTAGATCTCGGCTCTCATATTCAGGTTGCATCTCGCTGGTTATCTCCTCCGGTGTCTCGTCAAAAGTCGCGCTTCGAAGCAAACTTCCACGTTTCTTCTTGTCTTTCTTGGATTTCTTTGATGAGAACCCGAAATCGTCACTTGCCTCATCAACAGCTTCTGATGTGCTGTTGGGCATCGACAGCTCCTGTTCTGGCTGTGTAGAGCTCGCTTCAACTTCAGGTTGACCATACGGCTGCTCTTGAGCAATTGTGCTTTGACGCTTCTTCTTGTTTTTCTTCGAAGGCTTTTCCGGGACACTCCAGTCAGCTTCTGGTACTGCTTGAGCTGGCTCAAGATCAATCTCTCTTGACTCTGTGTCACGAGAGGCGTGCAAAGTTTCAACTTCTTTTCCGAAATCAACAATGGGAATGTCTTCTTCTGCTGCCGATTGTAAGACGATGTCCGGTTTCTTGCCCTTCTTGTCTTTCTTGGACTTCTTGGTGGAGGTAGAGAATTCGTCTTCTGGTTCAACGGCCACGGGCTCAGCAGAAAATTCTGGTGTGAAGTCGGGCTGAGTTAGGACATCAACATTTCGACTTTCGTCTCGGCCTTCAAATCGAGTCTCGGCGGGCAAATCATCCTCAGCAGAGGTTTGTAAGACGCTGTCTCGTTTCTTGCCTTTCTTGTCCTTTTCAGAATTTTTCGTAAAGCCAAAGTCGTCTTCTAGCTGGGCAGACTCGTTGGGTCCTTCTTCAAAAAGTGCAGGCTCTGGCGCATCAATGTCTCGTGTTTTGGCAACATCGTTAGTAGGCGAAGAGATGGTTTCAGACGGGAATACGTCGCCTTGGGTATCCGGCAAAAGACTTGCACGCTTTTTACCCTTCTTGTCTTTCTTGGACTTCTTTGTAACAAAAGCAGATTCATCTTCGGGTACATTGATTGGGCTAGCTTCGGCGAGCTCCTGTTGGGCTTCGAAGTTGCGACTGTCCGCATCTCTCGGTTGAGCATCAAGTGGAAGGTCATCTTCGATATTCGACAGAAGCAAGCTGCCGCGCTTCTTGTCTTTCTTGTCCTTCTTTGACTTCTTTGTCACGAAAGAAAATTCATCTTCAGGCTCGTTCGCAGGACTAGCTTCAGCAAAATCTGGTTGTGGGGCTTCGAAATTGCCGCTCTCCGCATCTCCTGGTTGAGCATCAGATGAATAGTTGTCTTCGGTATTCGTCCGAAGTAAGCTCCCGCGTTTTTTGTCTTTCTTGTCCTTCTTCGACTTCTTGGAGCCAGATCCGAATTCTTCCTTCAGTTGCCGTGCAAGCTTTAGCTGCTCCATCTTATATCCCACGGCCAGTCCATCGCGTGTAGGACCTGTTTCAGCATTTGAATCCGGCATTGAAGCTCCTCGGTCTTGGTCATCTTCATCGTGAAGCGGCGGTTGAGATGGCCCACAAAAGTAATCGTCGCGTGGCTCTTGTTCTAGAGGTGTTTGAGAAGTACTTCGGCGTTTCTTGTCTTTCTTGTCCTTCTTGCCTTTCTTGGAGCCAGATCCAAATTCTTCTTTCAATTGTCGAGCAAGTTCGAGTTGTTCCGAGCTGTACCGCACAGCCAATCCGTCGCGTGCTATATCCTGGACGCTTGGTTCTGGAACTTGGACTGTGGGCTCTTGCTCCATTACATCGGGGATGGGAGCACGAGATGGCTCACCGAAGTAGTCGTCGCGAGGCACTTGATCTTGAGGGGTCTGTGAAGTGCTTCGGCGTTTCTTGTCTTTCTTTGACTTCTTCCCAAACTCTGCTTGTAATTGACGTGCCAGAGAAAGTTGGTCTTCTTGATAACCAGCAGCAAAGCCGTCACCCTTTGGAGCAGTCTCCAAAGTTTCTGGATCCTGAGAATCCTTGCAGATTTCCGGGACAGTCGCTTGCGAATCTTCCACGTCTCTATCAAAACCCATGTCATCTTGAGTTGAGGAGCGCGATAATCCTTGTCGCTTCTTCTTGTCCTTTTTAGATTTCTTGCTTCCCGACTCGGAATCTGCTTTGAACTGGCGAGCAAGCTCAAGTTTATCCTCGCTGTAAGCGTCTGGAGCAGGGGGTCCGATAGAAAGACTCCTTGCCCTCGGATGCGACTCGGGCAACTCTTCCACAGTCCTGGATCTTGAGGCCTCTCGAGCAGGTGTCGGAGGCAAGCTTTGTCGCTTCTTATCCTTCTTTGACCTTTTGCTGCCACCACTGAACTCTTCCTGCAATCGTTTTGCGAGGCTGAGCTGGTCGTTGTCAGAGCCAGCGGTGAAGCCATCAGGAGCGGATTTCGAATCAGATTGTGAAAGTGAAGGCTCGTTCACATGCATGGACTTCGAGGTCGTAGTATCCTTGTATAAGCCTTCAATAGGATGCGAGTATTCTCTCTTCATCGACTCTGCACCAAGAAGAGCAGCACCGGCAGCGACAATTGGCAAGACAGTCTCCGTAAACGGGAACGACTCTTTGCTTTGCAAATCTTCCGGCATTTCGCGATTCAAAGGACCATGAGATGTTTCTGTTGATGGAAAATATTCTTTGCTCGAAGAATTAGGCACGTCACCGCCAGTCCAGGGGGTAGCAGGCGTGATTGGCCACGCACCAGGCCCACCCATAGGCGTGGGCTTTGATGATAGGCTCTCTGGTGCATCGAGAATATTTTCAGGCTCGATGGATTTCACTTGCTCCGTTGTTGGCAAATTCTCTGCTGGCAGGTGGCTTTCCTCGGATTCCGGAACGTCGATTGACCGAGGCGTATCATCTTGAGCAGCGAGACTTTCGACAGGTTCTTGTCGAGCTGTGGAAGAAAGATCATCATCGGGAACAAATGATGATGACTTTCTGTTCATCTTTTTGCCTCTTTTGAATGTAGCAGCATCGAAGTCTTGAGTATCCTCAAATTCTGGAGCTGTCGGTAGTGCTGCGGAATCCTCCTCGGGCTCCCACGCAGTGACTAATTCGCCTCGCTGCTTTTTCTCCTTCTTGCTTTTCTTGCTCCTGGTAACGAAGAACTGGTCAGCGGCCGGTGCATCTTCTGGGACATCTCGACTGGTGTCTTGTTGGGTTTCCTCAGGCACTGATTCGGTGGGAACGGCTTCTTCCTCTTCCTGTCCCCAACTCATCAATGATTTGCCTTTCTTCTTCTTGACCTTCTTGGTCTCAAAGGCTGTGAAGTCATCGCTAACAGGAGGTTCTTGAGCAACATCTTCGACGGGCTCTAGTCGACTATCTTTTGGTGTGAATTCTGCTTCGATGATCTCCTCATGATCTTCGGGCGCTTGACTTATCGTCAAATCTGTGGCAGGCTCTGCGATTGCAGTCTCAGGCGCAGAAGATTCGTGCAATATGGAGACCGGTTCTTCGACAAGATCTCGAGTTGTGTCCAATACAGGGGCTTCAGTCTCATCTTTCTCAGTCCCTACAGTTGAGGTTGGCCTGGACCGCTTCTTATCCTTTTTCTTGTTTTTCTTAGACTTGCCGAAGGAAAAGTCTTCGGTTGCTTCAATCTCAGCAGGAGTTGTTGTCTCTTCCGCAAAGACTCGGTTCTTTTCAACTGTAGGTTCTGCAAGCGGTTGAGATGTGATTTCCTCCTCAGGCTCCCAGGTAGGTGGTTTTGCCTGCTTCTTGTCTTTTTTCTTGCCCTTCTTGGAGTTTGTTGTGAAGAACTCGCCAACTGCTTCATTCTCGACAGGAATTGAAACATCTTCGAACATGGCCCGAGTTGGTTCTTGCTCCGGTTGTTCAATCGTTTGCGGTACGCTCTCATACGCGTCGGGTTCCTCGGTTGCAACGGACTTCCTCTTGCCCTTTTTCTTGTCTTTCTTGGACTTCGTAATGACGAACTCCTCGAGTGGTTCGTTGTCAGCAGCAATAGGGGTATCTTCCAACAGTGTTTGAGTTAGCTCTTGTGGCAATTCCTCGGTAGTCTGTGCAGCGCTCTCGGATGCTTCAGGCTGCCAAGCTGCAACGGACTTCCTCTTGCCCCTTTTCTTGTCTTTCTTGGACTTCGTAATGACGAACTCCTCGAGTGGTTCGTTGTCAGCAGCAATAGGGGTATCTTCCAACAGTGTTCGAGTTGGCTCTTGTGGAAATTCCTTGGCGATCTGTGCAGCGCTCTCGGATGCTTCAGTCTCCTCGAGTGGTTCATTGTCAGTAGCAATAGGGGTGTCTTCCAATAGTGGTCGAGTTGGCTCTTGCGGAAATTCCTCCGTAATCTGTACAGCGCTCTCAGATGCTTCAGTCTTCTCGAGTGGTTCATTGTCAGCAACAATAGAGGTGTCTTCCAATAGTGGTCGAGTTGGCTCTTGTGGAAATTCCTCGGTAGTCTGTACAGTGCTCTCGGATGCTTTAGTCTCCTCGAGTGATTCATTATCAGCAGCAATAGAGGTGTCTTCCAACAGTGTTCGAGTTGGCTCTTGTGGCAATTCCTCGGTAGTCTGTGCAGCGCTCGCGGATGCTTCAGGCTCCCAAGCTACGACGGACTTCTTCTTGTCCTTCTTTGACTTCGGAGTCGAAAATTCATGGAGAGGCTCGACATCCGCGGGCGTAGCTATCTCTTCAGACACATCTCGAGTTATCTCCGCCACAGGCTCCTCGATTTGGTGTGGCACACTCTCAGGTTCCTCCGGCTCCCAAGCTGATATCGATTTGGTCTTCTTCTTGTCTTTTTTCTTGTCCTTCTTGGATTTTGTGACGAAGAACTCATCCTGAGCGGGTTCGGTCTCGGGTGGACCCGTTGTCTCTTCAGCGATATCTTTGCTAGGCTCGGGAATTACCATATCGTCTTCCGTCAGAGAGCGAGAGAGTCCTTTGCCTTTCTTCTTATCCTTCTTAGATTTTGTAATGAAGAACTCATCATCAGTTGGTTTGGCTTCGGCTTGACCAGGTGTGTCTTGAGCGCCGTCTTTGCTAGCGTCTGGGATCGTGAAATCCTCTTGTGTGGAAGAGCGAGAGAGACCTTTGCCTTTCTTCTTGTCTCTTTTCTTGTCTTTCTTGGACTTGGTGAAGGTAAACTCCTCAACTGGTTCGGTTTCTTCAACAGTGGGGCCATCAAGTTCATGTAAATCCTTGGCTAGTAGCTCCGGAATCTCATGAGTCTTTTCTTGGTCGGCGAGGTCATCGTATGGTGAAGTAGAAAGAACATCCGTGGTCTGCTCATGTTCGTATTCGATATCTTCTGGCCTGGCTTTCGGTGATCCAAAGACATCAGTCGCTTCCCGTTCTTGAATGCTCTCCATTGCATTACTGCTGGAACGAGACGACTTTTGATTTCTACTTGGCGAATCCAAATCTCGATCAACAGGTTCGAATTCCTCGAACTTTTTGGACAATGGCGATGACTGAAGTAAATAAGAGCTCCTATCTTTCGTCATTGGATCAACAGGCGAAGGTTGTCGTGGCACAGATGGCAACTCATCCAAGGAGGATTCCTTGTTCTCTGGATAGGTTGGAGATGAAGCAAAATACCCAATCGCGGAAACTAGTCCTGCTGCTGCAGCGGCTTCAGCAACATGTTCCCTGAAGTGAGATTTCGGCACAGGGGAAGATGGTCTTCGCTCTGGGTGTGAAGATAGGCCTGACTCTGCCGTCAGATTCATGTCATCGAATGAGTCGTCAATAGCATGGTCATCTCGAGTCATAACTGCAGCCTTTGGTGTTGATTGTTCCGAGCCAAGTAGCTCGGCCGATTTCGACGATGCTAGGTCAGTGTCAATTGACAGTGGATCTTTTGCCAACTCTCCAATCTCGAGCTGTGAAGAACTGCGCGAAGTCCCTTGACTAGGGGGGAGAGCTGGAAGATCCTCTTCCATCTCCATTTGAGCACTTGACCCACGTCTGTGGCTTTCTACAAGATAGAGAGGCTTGTACTCTTTTGAGTTATCCCAGGAAGTTGGCCTTGATCGAGCTTTTGGAAAAGAGAGAGAGTCTTCATGCGGAGTAGCTGGAGATTGCAATGGAGAAGATCGGACAAAGCGGGGTGATGACGGCTGTGGTCTGTTCCGCATGAGGAAGTTCAATGGCACTGCGCTTTGGCTTGGGGACTTCACCGGAGTCTCTTGGATGTTCTTGCGGACAGCGCTCATAGACTTTTCTCTTGTGATACGCTCAGGCTCCGGAGTATCTGGGCGACTTTCAGGTAGCTCGGGAAGATCATCTATTGGATCCACATTCGGAGATACTGGGTCGCTTGGTGGCAGTGGGAGAAGATCACCATACTGGGGATCGATTGAAGGTCTGAATTGTCGTTCTGTGATCTCGGGATCACGGATTTCGTGGGGTAGGATGGGGCTTGGGGAGCTTTTGCGTTGCTCATGCTCGACGGTCTCCCTGCTGTTCACATTTGCGGCTTTTGATTGCTGATACTGCTGAGCAGCAATTGCAGCAGCAGCACCCGCAATGCCGACACCCGCGCCAAGGGTGCCGGCACTACCTAAAAAAGAATCCTTCTTCGAAGATTGACTTTCGGATCTGGATCTCGTCTTAGTCTTCTCGCCCGAGTCATCGCCATCATCGTAGGCGCTATTCTTGTCGCCGTTTCCATTGGACATCGAGCGCGAAAGGTCACCGACAGACTGAGCACCAATATCACTGTAGATACTCGATGAGTCAGCAACGGAACTTCTCTTGGACTTTTTCTTCTTCTTTGGTTCTTCGAAGTCGTCCTTTGATCCTTTGGGGCTCTCATCTCTGGCACCGACGTCGGACTTAGAGCCAAAAAGACCGAAGAAGCCACCTCCACTCTTCTTGTCTTTCTCTCTGTCCTTGTCTTTATCCTTTTTCTTGGTCCTCTTCGAATCCTCGTAGTCGTCGCCAGCAGGTGCTGAAACTACTGATCTAGAATCATCATAGTCGTCCTTGGTGCTGCTTCTGGACTTCTTTTTGGATCTCCGAGGCTCGTCATCACCGTAACGTGAAGCATCAGCCGAAACCACTGAGCGAGAGTCTCCACGATCAGCACTACTGAAGACACCACTGTCTCTGGTCGATGATTTTCTGTTCCCTCGCGAATCATCAAAGTCTCCATCTCTACTAGTCTCAGATGGTGTGCTAGCCGGCAGAGAGGTTTCAGTTGGGTCAGCCTCATGTTGCTCGCTCTTCCGCTTTGATTTGTCCTTGGACTTCTTGCTTGATGATCTCTCCAACTCTGAAGCAATCTCTGAAGATGGGACGGATCGAGCAGGAGAATCATGGCGATCGCTGTCACGCTTCGACTTCTTCTTGGACTTCTTAGCGTCAGCCCATTCGTCGTCGTCGTTGCGTAAATCATCAAAAGCATCAACAGGAACAGACACCTTTCTGCTATCCCGGGATGTCTCTTCCGCATAGTCATCAACGCCAGACGAGCCCTTCTTGGACTTCTTTTTGGATTTTTTCGGGGTTTCGAAGTAGCTTTCTGGCTCCTCGACAATCTCATCAGCAACGGATGGGGTTATATCGTCTCCTTGGCTGGTTTGTCGTGCAAGCTTGTCACGTTTCTTTTGCTCCTTCTTGCTCAAAGGAGGCTCAAAATATCTTTCAGGCTCTTCGACGACGTCTCTCATGGCAGAAGATTCCTCGAGGGGCGTCACATCTCCACTTCGTCTTCTCTCCTTATCACGCTTCTTCTGTTCCTTTTTGCTTAGCTTAGTTGCAATTCCGTCGCCTTCGGGAGGTGAAACGCTGCGCCAATCTTGCGGTGTGCTGGCTACCTCACCAAGAATGTAACCCTGAGGGCCTGACACCTCTGATGGAATAGCGCCAAGGTCAGAAACTGTCTCGGCGAATGGAGTGCGGTATGGCGTGAAATCGTTGGAGCCTGGTGGAGAGTTTCGTCTTCGAAATGACGGGTCATCGATCACAATATTAGGATCAAAACCAGAGTCTTGCAATCCAGCGGCCACAGTAGCAGTGAAGTCAAGATCATCATTGAAAGCGCCGGGCACACGTGAAGTCTCGGAAGCGGAGGGTTTAGGACCAGCAGGTGGTGCGTCTCGTTGACTTGAGCTTTGTGGAGGACTCTCCGGCTCAACAGCGACGCCCCGGTATTCGTAAGGTGCATCCTTCTTCTCATCTTCTTTAGATTCCGATGCTTTCGAAGTTTCACTTGAGCTCGCAGCCGCAGCCGCAGCCGCAGCTCCCATAAAGGCACCTCTAAGGGCAGCCCATCCCTTGGACTTGGGGCTGGCACTAGGTTGCGGCTCCTCTTGAGATTCTCGAGCGTTGATGTCGGATTTCGACACAAACTCATCTCTGTGCTCGGATGGGCTTTCAACCTCGAAGTGCTTGGTCTCATTTTCGCCCCAAGTAACGCCTTTGGATACATTCGAAGCAGTGGGTGAATCAACCACCTCATCCTTTGACTTGACATCAGAAGTAGAGGACCGTTTTGAGTCTCTGCGATCCTTGGGCTCTGATGAAGTAGCAGGTTCAGAACGATCGGCTTGCTTCTCAGGCGCAGGCGATGGCGTAGGGGTTGGGTGAACAAGATTTAGGAACGGACGAGGCCGGTCAGCATCGGGATCCCGCTTCAGATATGGACCTTCAGCATCAACACGGACCATGTTCGTGGGCGAGATCCTGAAATTCCGCAAGTCTAAAGGATCCTCCAAGACGTGGTCGAGTTGGAAATCAGCGTTTGGAGCATCATAAGGTCCAACTTTCTTCTGGTCTTCCATCCCAGGCGGAGTAACTATTCGGACGGGCTCCTCTTCCTCCTCTGCTGTGTACTTCTCCACAACCGAGCGATCAGGGGAATTGCTACGGGAGCGAATGACTTGTGATGCGATTTTCCGTGCCATGACAATCTCGCGGTATGCCCTGTCTGCTTCTTCCTGAACAGGATCTCTTCCCTTCTCGGGCTTCTTATCACGCGGTTTGGAGTCATAATCATCATAAGAGCTTCCTTTTTCACCACGCCTCTCATCTCTGCGTTTGTCGGATCTAGTTTCACGCTCGGCGTCGGCATGGTGGACGGCAGCAACTGCAGCACCGAACGCAGCTGCAGCAATAGGAGCTGTAGAGTGTGTCGTCTCTTCGTATATCTCCTCGGCTTCATGCAATGCTCGGTCACGAGAATCGTACTCCCGATCTCCCGGACCACTATCCACATATTTGGGCGGATTTTGGCGATGCATATGCATAAAGTCAGGCGTGCGTGCATCCCTAATTGGTGCAATACGACTGAAGTCCGGTTCACGCTCGACAGTAACATAGTGAACTGCAGGAGCTGCTTCGATTGTCCTTTGAGAAGGCTCCGTAGCCACAGTCTCGAAAGCATCATCTGGAACCTGGTACTGGAAAGGATCAATAACAGTTGTAGGCACAGCTGTCTCGCTCTTAGTGCGGCGAGCCGAGCCTCGATCATCAAACCGCTCGTTGCGTCGCTCCTCCCGTCGGTTCTCACGTCTCTCATCTTTCTCGTCCCGGGGTTCGTCCCTAAGACGACGTCTTTCATCCCTTTCTTCGCGAGTCTCGTCTTTACGCCTCTCGCGGCGCTTGTCAGAAGACACTCGAGAGGAATCATCCTTCTCTCGACGTTTCTCTCTGCGTTCCTCTCGGTCCGGACTACCACGCTTCTCTCGGCGTCGGTCGTCTTTGCTCTCTTTCTCGCTATCACGACGTCTGATGCGGGTTCTCTCATCCAATTCTTCGTCTTCTCTTCTCTTTCGATCATCCCTGCTAGAAGCAATTGTTGCACCGACCGCGGCACCGGCAACACCCACTAGGGCAGCTTCAGCAAGCGATTTGCCTCGACCAGACGAAGTTGAATCCCGCTTTGAGATGCTACCTGATTCCCTTCGCCCATAAACACTCTGAGAAATAGGCACCATAGGTTGAGGCTGCTGGATGGGGATAGGGCCTGGTCGACTGACGACAATTGGCTCTGGCCCAGAAACCTCTGAAGCTGCTCTGGCGTCGAATCTTCCCGGGTCTGAGGTAGGAATAGGATAGACTCGTTGTAGTGATGCTTGAGAACCGGTGTGACTTGGACCGATTCCTGGACCCTCTGAAAACTGCTGTCCAAAGTCATTGGTGGAAGCCCATGGCGTAATTTCATCAAATCCAACGGGTTCAGTAACAATACCATGTAGGGTATTCTGGGGCCCGAAAAGTCGGGGATCGACTACGGAGTCCTTCCTACTCAAGGGCCGTCCCTTCTTCCTTCCAAAGAGTCCGAAAAAGCCTCCACTGCTTTTGCTTGGTTCCCCGAACGCTAATCTTGAATCGACACTTTCTTCGGATTCAGAAGCCGACTCCCACCCTTCCTCATCAACAGTATCTGATCCATGTGATGGCCTCGAGTTTACCAATCCGCGACTCGGTCCCTGATTATTGAATCCAGTGGTCGAACCCCCGGCAATTAGATCTCCTCGATTGCTATTCCTTGCCTCCATCAAATCTCTCCTATTCTGATCTCTCGCAAGCTTCGCCAGGCCAGCGCCAATAGCCAATATCTCCGCATCAGTCTGAGCCCTTGCAAGCGGTCCTCTCGCCGCCGCCGCGTCCTCCCTCCTCTCTCCTCTACTTCTCCGATTATTCTCCCTATCACTAGCTCTCTCAGTGCCAATCTCCCTCCCATTCCTAGCTCTAACACCTCTGCGCTTCGGGCGCTTGATAAAGCCCGTTCCATACGCAAGGTCGCTGTTCACGGTCGAGGACGACGAGTTCGCATTCCTGAACAAGCGGCTGCTCCTGCGTCGGCGCAGACGTCGGCGCTCGGAAGGCGCAGTGAAGAATGCGCGGAGCCCGAACTTCCTCGAGTATGTTCGTGAGATATCGATGTAGCTCGAGCTCGAGCTCGAGCTGGAGCTGGAGGAGTACGCCACCTCCTCTGCGCCTGGTCGCATTCTTGCTTGCTCGGTATAATTCGTCATTCTTGGGGGCTCGTCGTAGGCTGCGCGCGTGGGTTCTTTCCCCTTCGTTCTGCTGGAGCCTTCGGGGCTCCGGCGTCGTCGGTCGGCCATCGTGACGGCTGTTGTTGATTTCTAGCATCCAGCGCATGCGAAAGTGTGGTTCGGATCGGGACGAAGAGAGGCCCTTGTTTACCTACTTTAGTCGCCCGCTCGAATGGAGTAAAAGATGGGGCTGGGGTGGTGAGATTTTAGCCCGGGGCAGCTAACGCCACACTCTCAGCTCGCCGTGTGGGAACAAAATGGCTGCGATTAAGTACTCAACTTAAGCTAGGAGTATGATTTAATTCAGAGGATCATGATTGTTTACCCAAGGTGATGACCGAGGTGAACCGGGTGCCAAAATTTAATCCCAGGGTTGACCAGGACATGAAAAGAGGAGAAGTGAACAGTTATCACGTGACCAGTCACTTTGGCGCCGCTTAGCCGTGGATAGAAAAGGCGGCACCAATCAATGTCCCCTAGGTTGGTCATTGCCAATGCTTCCTCTCCAAACGTACACCTGTATTATTGTATATTTGAGGACTTCTCCTTTCAAATGTCCTAGAAACTTCCGTACGTCAGAGTCCCATCGCCGATAAATGTTCAGGGTTAACTGGCGATATTGGAAATTAGTGCCGCTTTTTTCATCCTTCGCGAGAGCCTGGTCAAATTACAAATAATGACAGTCGTCCATAAGCGTTATTGAATTGGTATTCAAAAGCTCTCACCTTGAAGTTTGTATTGGTGGGGTTCGTACTGAATAGAAAATGCAACTCAATAGCCATAACTCGGTCACTTTTCACAGCGCAGAGTCGTCTCTCCATGTTCTCAGCCACTAAATTCAGGACTACAAGTAGTGAGTGATCTAAAAAGTACAAAATTACACAACGAAGTGGAGTCAATGCCTCCCGATTATTTGAGGCCAATAGCGCAGCTAGCTCTAGAAGAAGTGAAGATGGTCGAATAGAACTCTCTATCTATCAAGCGCCTGCGATTGACACTAAAACGCATGAATCAGTACACACATTCACTCAAGAAGAATCACAGGAGCAAGACTCACCATCTGATAATACACCCCTCGTTTCCTCAAGAGTTGGTTATGGTCACCAGTCTCTAAAACCTTGCCCTCACCAAGCACGAAGATGACGTCCGCATTCTGGACAGTCGCCAGCCGATGCGCGACAACGACCATAGTTCTCCCCTTGCCCGCACGCTCGAATGCAGCTTGGACCAACTTCTCGCTCTCGGAGTCGAGACTCGAGGTCGCTTCGTCTAGTAGAAGGATCTTGGGATCACGGATCAGGGCTCTGGCGATGGCAAGGCGTTGCTTTTGTCCTCCTGAGAGTGCGATTCCCTTGCTTCCCACGTCCGTTTGGTAGCCTTCGGGCAATGACATGATGAAGTCGTGGATCTCGGCATCTCGACATGCTTGGTGGAGTGCTTCTGTGCTGGTCGACTCTTCAACACCGAGTAGGATATTCTAGCGGAAGATTTCCGAGTTAGCATTACTTCTTTAAAATGGATTTGAGGGGATTAAAATTGGTCCAGGGGGCAGATGGCATCCTTTGGGAGGAAGAACATGTCTCACAGCTCCCGAAACAACCTGGAAGGAGAAGAAATAACTCGGAGAACCTACCTCTTTAATTGAGCCTTGGAACAGTGTGGGTTCTTGGGCTACAAGGGAGATCATTTTGCGGTATTCTCGGATATTGAGTTCGGCGATGTTGCTGCCATTACACAGGATTTTTCCCTTTTGAACTTCGTAGAAGCTAAAAATAGCGATTAGAATGCCTTCAGTAACACAGAGTAGAACCAGAAATACCGTTCAAGTAGGGATACAATGCTTGTCTTGCCACAACCTGACGAGCCGACCAACGCAGCAAACTTGCCCTTCTCGATCTGGAATAACATTAGGACAGTTCAGTAAGGGTAAAGAATACCTTACTGTCAAGTTGAGACCAGTGAAGATGGGAATGTCCCTCGTTGGGTACTTGAACCACAGGTCTCGCAGTTCAATCTTAACGCCTCCTTCTGTGTCTTGAATCTCTAAAGGCGTCTTAGAAGCGGTCTTACTTCTTACCCTGAAGCTGAGGATCCGGTTAGCCGCCGCTGAAGCTTGAGCCATGTCTGACGCAATTCGTTAGTAGGAATTCTCAGTGATTCAGGACATGAGAGCACTTACTAGGACCGAATGATAGGAATGTCCCTGCTCCTTCTGCTCCATTGATAACAGCCAAATAAACCACAAAGAATTGAAGGGGGCTGTATTCTCCCTTTCCGAGCAGTTGACCGCCATACCAAAAGGCCAAGGCCATGGTGAGAAGTTGAACACTATCACTTGCAGCGAAGACGAGAGATGAGTACTTCGACTTATGGAAAGCCGCAGTGACGTGACCTTGTAACAAGACCTCGTATCGACGGCATATCATATCTTCCAAGGTTAAGGATGAAACGGTTCTGAAGGCCCCAATAGACTCAGCGGCGAACTTTGACGATTCAGCAAATACGGCTTGGTTCATGCTCTCGAACTGGATCTCGTATCGAATTCTGAAGAAGCCGGCGGCAAGAATGATTGGCATCGCCACAAATACCGTGAGCACGGTGAGCTTCCAACCAAAAATGAAAGCAATGATAATACAGCCAACAAGACTGAGTACTGCAGTGTAAACTAGAGCCCTACAACGAGTTAGCAAAATATTTCTTTGGGGGGGTAGAGAGCTGGGAGCAAGCCGGGAGTATGTCTCATGCTCCTATCCAGTGAAATAGGGAGCTCGGGGCATGGGACAAAGAAATAGGTTCGTTACATATTCATGCCGAGCATCTGTTGGAGTTGCGTGGGGTCGTTCGCAACTCTAGCGGTCAGGGTACCAGAGGAGTTGTCCTCATCATCGAAAAAGGTAATTGGTTTCTCGAGAATACTTTCGAAATACTGCTGTCGATACGTACATGAGATGTGCTGTAGAAATCAGTTAATCCCTAGCGTTCCACTTTGTCGGGTATATTCATATTTCCATAAAAATCTATTGCCGACGGGCGGGAGAGAACTAACAGTTGAGATTGTGGTTGAACTCCAACCCAGGCTGAAGTATGCAACCCCAGCTCCAATTCCGAGAATGAAGAACATCAGAGCCCAATGAGCACTTGCACGCGCAAGCTCATCGGGGAGTATTATTGCGATAACTAGTATCAACTGAGAGAAAATCCAAGATTGTAGAGGATAAGCGGATGCTGCACCAGCACAACCGGCACATCTGCGTCGGTTAGTTTCACACTCATGGATCTTTGAAATCTTACTCACAGCAGAAGATACCACGGCCAGTTGCCGGTTTGTTCAGCCAGAAGAAATCCAAAGCTTCCGAAGAAGCCCTTAGGTTTGTAAGCCACTTCGACATCGGCAGCGTTAGCCTCACCGCTGGCAGAGCTCATGTTGCGTTGAAGTGGTTCTATCGAACTTTCGATTAAATCCGATTCTCCAGCAAAATCTTCGCCCATTGAAATCTTTTGAGCATTTACAAGTGCCCAGTAGACTCCGTCCTCATTTGCCAGTAAGCTGTCATGGGTGCCTTCTTCAATCAATTTGCCTTTCCTCATGACAACGATCTTGTCTGCCTTCTTGATTGTTGACAGACGATGAGCGATTGTAATGGTCGTCCTACCCTCGCTCACTTTATCCAAAGCCGCCTGGACCAAACGCTCTCCGCGGACATCGATTGAGCTTGTGGCCTCGTCCAGAATTAGTATCTTAGGTCGCTTTATAATGGAGCGAGCGATTGCTAGTCGTTGTCTTTGTCCGCCAGAAAGCTTGATGCCGGCATCACCGACTTGGGTTTCATACTTCAATGGTAGCTTCTCGATGAATTCGTCAGCGAATGCCTCCTTGCAGGCGTCCTCAACCAATTTCCTCTTGCTCTCGACACTTTCATTCTCAAGTTCAGTGCCGATCAAGCCATATTCGACATTTTGATGTATCGTCGAATTGAAGATGAATGGTTCTTGTTGGACAAGGCCAATCTGAGAACGCCACCACTTCAGTTCGAGGTCGTCTAAGTTCTTTTCCCCGATCATTATCTTGCCGCTAAGAGCAACAGGTGTCTGGGCTTCTTCATCGGGACTTTTCTTGTCGTCATCCTCTTTGTCTTTGTCGGCTTTTTTATCCTTGACAGCACTCTTTGGAAGTTTGTATCTCTTTTCAAGATCGAGGTCGTACCAACGTTCCAGCAAGCCCACAATCGTACTTTTTCCTGATCCACTAGCACCGACAATGGCAGTAATCTTGCCACGTTCGAACCGAAGGTTGAGATCATCCAGAACCTTGACATGAGGCCTGCTCGGATATGCAAAGTTAACCGAGTCAAAGGTGATATCTTCGGTGGCGGAGGCTTCAGGATCTCTCAAGCCAGTCATGATAGGTTTTGGCGCGTCTATGACAGCAAAAAAGTCTGCTGCAGCAGACGCAGCCTTTGTTGCGGCAATAATAGGCGCAGCAGTTTGACTCATGGAAAAGGTAAGCATCATCACAGACATGAGGACAATGATAATCGTCGCAATGCTGTCGATATGATGGGCAAGCAAGAGTTTGAAACCAAACCAAAAACATAAAGCCATTGTGGCGTAGAGGGAGAAGAACACTTTGGAACTGTCAGTTCAATACAAGGACATGAGATTGGAGCAAACGTACAAGGAGCGAATTGTACTCCAATCATGGGCGATAGCTTGAGACCTCTTCGCAGTGATTCCTGGATCCACCCCGCGTATTTGAGCGCAATTCTACCCTCAGCGCCGCAAGCTACAATCATTCGAATGGACCCAAGCACCTCGCCAGCGATGGAGGAGGCTTTTTCGTCCGCGTGCTCAACTTCCTTAGTCTGCTTAACAACAATTGGAATTGTGATTCCGTAGACAATGCCAATGAAGACCAGGAGAGAGCTGGTAACCAAGGTTAGAAGCCAGGAATAGGTAAAGGCAACAACAATAGCTGCTACCATCAAGGACGTAAACTGAACGAATGTTCCAAGCTTTTCCGATATACCAACCTGGAGGACGTTGGCTGTGTTGGTCAGCGTGTTTGATGCTTGACCGCTGGGCAGGGTATCAAGGGTCGAGATTGAGAGTGAGAACAGCGCCTGGGTAACATGTTAGTATTCCTATCCTGAAGAGGCGATTAAGAAATAAGGATAAGCTGAAAAGCATACTTTGAGGTATTCGAGGCGTAATTTTGCCGATATTCGGAGGGCAACAACTCGAAAAATGAGCATCGCTCCATAACTAAGAGCGCACCGCGCAATAAAAAGGTACACGATGATGAGTCTGTAAGTACGGTCAGTACAACGAAGATTTTGAAAGAAATACATGGGAGTCAGATTCATTTCAAGGTAGCAGAACCCGGCAATTGCAGAACAGCAGCTTGCAAGAAATTTAAGATAAAAAAACACTGGGACTGAGAGACAGCTCACGTTTGATGATTGAGATTGTTGAGGAACGCGGCTCTTCCTACTGGCGAATTTGGATCCACATATGTGCTGAAACTTCCCACGAGACGACCTAGAAGAGTTAGAGATACCCTTTCCAGAGAGGAATGCTCAAAGTGTACCAAAGATGATGTTCATTAACGGCAATGTTACGCCAGTACCGATCTCAGCAAGAAAGGCAATTGTCTGATTGCCTTGGGGTCAGCATTGATGAGGGGAGGGGTGCGGAAGTTGAAACAATGTTACACGAGCCCTTTGGTCCAAAGACGTGTCTACAAAGCAAATACAACCCCGAAAATTCTCGGATTAGGGGATTCATCTATAAAAATACTACATACCAAAAGGATTCGATCACCCAGAGTAGAATAGGTGAAGATCCGTAAGTAGTCACTGAATGTTGTCTTCGTGGTCGCCTTGCTCGAGTAATCCGGTTCAGGGTCATCATCTTGTGGGGATGGCTTCTGGGAGTTCTCGTCTTTGATGACATTAGACGCGTTGATGTCGACAGGTGCTTTCTCCATCTTCGCCAAGCATCTATGGTTCACCCATCTAAATTGGCTCCGAAGGTTGAGAGAGGTCGAAGTGAGGGAAGGAACGGTCTAGAAGAGGCCAATCGCGGTGTAATGTACAGGTCGAAGATTAGGGGGATGAAGCACAACGTGGCATCGAGTAGAGAGTCAATGACAGATATCAAAAGGTTGCAGGTCGTTGATTCAGCCTCTCGCAAATAAGCGGAAATCAAACCGGGCAGTTTGAGCTCCGAAGGCAACAGGATTTTTAATTTTTTCCGAGAACAAAGCGACACAGAACCAAACGAAAATCGAAAGAAAGGGAGAGGGAATCTCAGGACATGAAGAGTGATTTGGATGATAGGAAGAGGGGGTGAGAGGCACGAGAGGCAGAGTTCTGGCCTCGTGCAGTGTCGTTGGATTTTCCCCAGATCCACGACCCGAATACGATCGATTTGGTACGCGTACCGAAGGCACGTCGGCCGAGTGCAAACGAACCGACCAATAGCATCCAGGTATGCCGATGCGATGGGTGTCCATCCCAACGCAAGTCACGCGGCATTTGGATGGCCCCGAGCACGTGGTGAAGTCACATGATCCAAGACTTTTCTTCGCGCATCTTCGTCTCGCTCGAGAAAGTGGACAAGCCTCTGGATTCTTATCGTCGTTATTATGATCGCTTTCGGAGTTTCCCAGAGCTCAACAGATCAAATTTGTTTAGCGTTTCTATTTCAGGTGGCTTTCGCTGGTTTCAGTGGAGCTTGAGCTGCTCGAGATCGATGATGTGCGCTGCCCGTGCTCCCAGGAGCGAGGGACACCTTTTGACCAAAGTGGTGATGGCGCAGCAATTCAATTTGACGGAAGTTCTTGACGCGGCATGCCACGGATTCATGGGACGTTGCCAAGTTGGAGGGAGAGATATTCCGTGCCGTCCAGAGAATCTCCTGTTCGAATGATGCAGACCGCAAATAATTTTCAAGGAGACGCAGCCTTCTATCCCGACCTTATCCTTTCTTGGGACTTGCGATAAACTCCCCCATTCGAGGTCGAATCTCCAAAAGTGGGTGCGGGTCTGCTGGGCTGTGCAAGTCGCATTAGACTGATGCATCATGCATCAGACGCCGCAGATTTCCACTCGTATTCCTTGGGCTGGAGCCTGGGCCGGGGGGAGGACTCGTCTCGCTACTGTACTTTTCCCTGGGGGTCGGCTAGGAAAGCTTGTCCAAGACTTTTGATAAAGAGATCATTTCAGCACATCAAACACATCCGGTATCATCGACAGAACGTCATTTCGACAGCGTGGGGGTGTTCTCTGAAAGTGCCAGCGGACCGTCGCCCACGCGGAATTGCACGTCGGGAGAGAGAGAGAGGAGAAGTGACTCTGAACGGCGGGTGACGGTGACGGTGACGGTGATGGCGGCGCAACGCTGTGGCGATGCTTTTTCGTGGGGCCATCTGGCCCAGGGCCCAGGATGTAAATTTATCGAAGTTTCACCATCGAGCTCGTGTTGAACGTTGACAAAATTTTGACGTCGACCGCGTCAACGAATCAGGGGTCCAGTCCCAGCTCAGCTGCTGTCTTTCGCTGTCCTGCTGTCCCAGCCACGGGCAAGGCCGAATGGAACGGAAACCGAAATAGATCCCTGCCCCGTTGCAAGCGAGCCAATGCCGTGCGCGACGTCCTCACCAGGGCTGCTGCTCCCTGCTGGAAGAGACTTCAGTGGCTGGTGATCGCTCCACTTGGCGCCGAAATGGCTGTTTCGTGTGGGTCCGATAGCACATCCCTGGCTTCTGGCCCTTCTCCAAGAACCTCTCCTTCTTGGTCCGGAACAGGATCCTGGCGACACTGCCTGCTCACCCACTCGTTTTCATGTGCCTTGAACCTATTTACTCCGCGTCCTTGTCTGTGTTTTGTGCGTGCTCTGCTCTGCTCTGCTCTGCTCTTCAACTTTCAACATCTGCGAATCGACTCTCGAACACCTCAGCAAAGTCCTCGCCTGCCTGCCACTCGTTCTACCTCCCAGACCCTCGCTTTATCAGATCAGCTCTTGAAATCCCCCCAGCACACAACACGCGACCTTTTTGTGTGTTTCTTTTCCCTTCTTTCCTCGGGTAGATCCTTCGAAGGCCATCTTGCATGTATCCCTTTTAACATACGATATTCGAACGAGCGTCGAGTATTCAACGAATTTTCTACTTCATCATACTACGGGAGGGACATTTGTGCCTCAGAGGATTCGAGGCCCGGATAGGCATTCATTTGTGGGCGAAACATCAGCCGGGCTTGCATTTAACACTGTCGACAAGATGCTACGCCCATTTTCAACATTATCGGCCATTTCCTTCTTGTTGCTCGGATCTCTGTCAGGGAAAGCTCTCGCAGGCCAAGTTTTGACGACGTCTGGATTCAGTACCTGTCTAGCGAGCTCGGACATCACCGTCCAAAAGCTGGACATCACATACGACAATGACGCGAAGACTGTGACCTTTGATGTCGCTGGCACGAGTGCCAAAAGTATGAACGTGACGGCCGTTCTCAACGTCACAGCATACGGAAAACAAGTCTACCAAAACAATTTCAATCCTTGCGACTCTACTACCTTTGTATCTCAGCTATGCCCAGGTAGGTTTGGGACATACTGATTTCATAAGTGTCACGCCACAGGATTTAGCTGACCTTGCAAAACAGTACCCGTAGGTACCTTCTCTGCCACAGGCACCCAAGACATCCCTGCTTCATACGCATCGATGATCCCCTCGATTGCATTCTCGATTCCCGACATTGCAGCACAGGCAACTTTGCAGCTGAAAGCTCTTGATACTGGGACAGATGTCGCTTGTATAACCTCCCAAGTTACCAATGGCAAGACCGTCAGCGTACCTGCAGTCTCATATGTTGCAGCAGGCGTGGCTGGTGCTGCCCTACTTGTCACGGGGTTTTCTGCTATTGGTGCTGCTGCGAACGGAGGAAGCACCGGTGGCACTGGAACGGCGAGTCCATCGTTCGGAGAAACCATGGGTTGGTTCCAAGGAATTGCCATGAATGGCATGATGTCCGTCAACTACCCAGAAGTCTATCGAAGTTTCACCAAGAACTTTGGCTTTAGCACGGGGATGATTCCATGGACTGCGATGCAGACGTCCATCGATAACTTTCGATCAAAAACAGGCGGAAACCTTACCGAAGACAGTGTTCAATTTCTTCAGAATGCAACACTTGTTTTTGGTGATGGATCGACTAAGGCATCGAAAAGGACTTATGAAGCTATTCTTCTAATCAGAGATTCGATCTCAACCAATGTCAATTCGTCCACAACAGCTAGCTCCTCAAACTCCACAATTCAGACCACGGTGAGCGGCATCAAGGCCTATGTTGAAGAGCTGTCAGTACCACAAGCAAACACATTCATGACGGTTCTCCTCATCGCAGCTGTTGTTGTGGCTGCGATAGTTGTAGGAATTTTGCTCTTTAAGGTCATCTTGGAGACGTGGGCACTTTTTGGCTCGTTCCCCAAGGGTCTCACTGGATTTCGCAAGCATTACTGGGGAACAATGGCACGCTCTATTGTTAACTTGATCCTCGTTTTGTACGGTGTTTGGGTACTCTACTGTATTTTCCAATTCACGTAAGTGATAGATTCCCCTTAATTACGTAGCATGGCTGACAAAAACAGACATGGGGATTCGTGGGCTGCAAAAGCCCTCGCGGGTGTCACTCTTGCACTGTTCACCGGTGTTCTCGCCTTCTTTACCTTCAAGATCTGGCAGGCGGCAAAACGTCTCAAGGCAATGGAAGGAGACGTCTCCGGTCTCTACGACAATAAGGATTTCTGGATAAAATATTCGTTATTCTATGATTGTTACAAGAAAGATTTCTGGTGGCTTTTCATCCCAACCATCATCTATATGTTCGCAAGGGGATGTGTTTTAGCAGCTGCAGATGGGCACGGTCTTACACAGACTGTTGCCCAATTGATCATTGAGTGTCTGAGTAAGTGAGGGATGGTCTTAAAATAGCACACCAGACTAACACAAATCCAGTGTTGGGTCTGCTCATCTGGAATCGTCCTTACGAGAGAAGGAGCGGAAACGTCATCAACATCTTCATCCAAGTTGTCCGAGCTCTCTCCGTGGTCTGCATCCTAGTCTTCGTCAAAGAGCTTGGAATTTCTCAAACCACTCAAACCGTCACGGGCGTCATTCTCATCGCCGTGCAGTCCGCCTTAACTGCAGTTCTAGCCATCCTCATTGCGGTAAATGCAATTATCATGTGCTGCAAGGAGAACCCCCACCGCAAGCGCCGCAAGGAACTCGAGAAACTCCGTGACCTTGACAACCTCACTCCTTTGGATGCGCGCAATTCGCTCCTCATGGACCCAACCAACATCCCTAATCACACAATATACGAAAACGACCCAAAGCACCCGCTCGTGAAGCAACAAACACCAGACAGCTTCATGAACGAGCCCGGGAACCCATACTCCAACGACACACCGCTGCGTCCTTACACACCCGGCTCGCAACGAGGATTCGCGCCCACGCCACGGCCGTACACTCCACAAATGCACCGGCCACAGCACAGTGTGGAAAGCGCGGAACATCTCCTTCACGGCCAAAGTCCCCCCCGGCAACCTACTTTACCAAACTTGCAAGATTATAGAGAATATCGAGGAGCTGGGTACTAGGAAACTGGCTCAGCATGACATAATTTCGTTTGTCCCATTAATGCTGCATTAGCGTGGGTATAAAGATAAAATGGTGTATCATAGGAGGCAATCACGGTCTATACTTCTGGCAGAGGAGTTGTTCATACATAGGATACCTTTTATTATATCGGCACATCGGCAGTGCGCCTAATACAAATCCAAATACACAGTACATTCCTCACTTCCTTTTTCACATTACTTCACTTGCGTGCATATATAAATCAGGGGGGGTGTTAGGTTTAAGTGGCATAGAATTCCTATGGAACGAAAGTTCTTTCCTATCACTCACTTAATTGTCTCCTTTCTCTCACCGCAGCCAACCCACTTCTCCTTCGGCGCAGAAGCCTTCGCCTCACACTCCACGATCTGCATTCGCACGACGCTCTCAAACTCCCCTCGGAGCTGCTCCTTCTGGCTCTTCGTGTGCTGCGGCGCGCGAAATGCCTCTTCCCCCGTACACCACGGGCACAACGAGTTGAGGATGAAAGTACCCACGCTCATTCCGGCGCAGCCCGGGGAAGTGCAGCAGGTGCGTTCGGGGCAGGAGTCAGCGTGCGCGACGTCCATGTGGACGTGAGCACAGGGGTGGTAAAAAGTTGTCTTTGCTGTGCAAGGAGGTTCCATTTTCAGTGTTTTCCTGGATCGAAATTGTATTGTTCGGTGGTTAGTTCGTCTGCTGTGAGTGGGAGGGAAGAGAAGCAAAGTTGGATGAACAGGAAAGAGAGGTGTGAGAAGCGGAATATATCTTGGGGAAGAGGACAGTGGAAATCTATAGCTCTGTCGACTTCCTTGAGCTGGATGTTGTGAACAATGGTTCAAACATAGCTCACTTTGAGATTCGAACAATGGGAGGAAAAATTGAAAGAATCTTCGAAAGGAACCCAGCCTCTATAATCCCAGACAAAGCTGGTCGAAAGTGTCTTTGTTCTGAAGGGTTTTCGACGAGACTGCTGCCACTTAACTCCGCAGTCTGGTAGGATCAATAGCATCTGGATGAGTGACCTCCCCCCATTCGATTAAGAAATATAGATCACTCCTCCATGTATCTAAAAAGCCCCTTCTCACTTGAGAAGAACTGCTGTTTTCTCCATCCTATATCATCCACTCTCCCATGCCTGACTTGCCCAAAGACTTGATTCCAACCCTTGGCACTTGTCCTCCTTCGAGCGAGGAGGTTGAAGTCCCAATTTGATCGCTTTTTGAATGTTGGGTATGCAACATGCTCCGGTTCTCGGTGAAGAGTGAAGACTTGCATCAAGCTATACTCTTTCCAACACGAAATTGTTGAGCTCCTGCATCCAAAATGCAGCCGTCAAGTTTCAAAATGCAGGTTGAACTGCGTTGTCAAAGTACCTGTCTCCATGACGGATTGCCTGCATAAAATCGGCCGTCACCTGCAGCAAGACACACGTCAGCGAATCAACCCTGCAGCCCTCCCCCATTTCACCCCACTGTTGCCAATCCAAGCAGGTGAAGCATCACATCCCTCCTCCCCCATCCACACCATGCGCGATTCCCCCCGCAGCAAACGTGTCTTCAACTCAGCTTGACTGGACCAAATTGTTCTCTCAGCCTCCCCAAGCAAGAGAGCCTAGCTGCCTGCTGCTGAACCCCCAAACCGCTGCATGAAAATCACGCGCCGACCATGCCATGCCACACTTGCCACCCTCCGCTCATTCAGCGTGGAATTCTTTGCGAAGACCGCATATGTCTCTTGACAGGTAATCGCCACGCAGCCACTGGCCCGTTGACTCGCGTTGAGGCAGCCTTCACTAGAGCTTGCTTTTTCCTCGATTGGCTGATCTGCTCCCGCGATCAATCGCTTTCCCCCTCCAACAGAGCAGCGAGGCGAGGCAACCACCAACTCGGTGAGAAGAAGTGTGGGTGACACAGCGCGACATAGCCTGGCTCAAGAAATCTCACAGCCGGGCGCACCTTTCCAATTCTTTCCTTCTCTTAAATTTTTTTGTCGCCTACTTGGATTTCGTTCCTGATCGTCCCTGAAAGTTGAGTTGCGATCGACGAGGTATGGCGAGAACGAGGGGAAGCGGGCAGCCTGCCGCCGAGCGTGGAGAAAGGTCGTTGGATGCTGCGATGAGAGCGCCTAGCACCACTACACCAGAAGTCGTTGTGCTGGATTATGTGGAAGAGGAGGTGAAGGTGAAGGAAGTTGCAGATCCACGACGGGATCTCTATCTTTCTACCGTCGATGGGTAAGCTTGTCACTCTGTCTGTCTGCGCATCCCAAGCCTTGTGGAAGCCAATCTTGCGAAGCTTGAGAAGATTGAGCTTGAGGTTATTTTCCATACCCAAAGCTTCAATCTCCCTTTTCAATTTGTCAAATATATAGCTAACAGGGAAGCTCAGTCGCTATTCTTCTCCCATCATCCCCGTCCGAGTCGGACCCCACGCCGAGACTTTCCCAGTACATAAGGATATCCTTACGAAGTCAGAATACTTCAGGAAGGCTCTAGATGGCGAATTCCGGGAAGCTGGGGATCAGGCGATTGATCTGCCAGAAGAAGACCCAGATATCTTTAGCTTTGTGGTTGCATTCCTATACGAGGAGAAGTTCGTGCCCATAAAGCCAATGGCGATGGCATTGGGTGAGCAGGTCTTCCCTTATCTTAGAAAAATGTTGCTAACAGTGTCGGAGTTACTGAGCCAGATAAAGGGAAAGGGAGGGAGGCCGACGATACCAATTCGGGCAGTGAAGATGGAACCGACAGTGGGGGAAGCGCAAGCGATGAAAGGCACGTTATTTTATCTCCACTTACTTCCCTTTCGGATTGACGAGTTTCTAATATCTACCAGCACTAGAAGTCGAAGAAGAGCACAAGCTCGGCGAAGGAGACAAGAGCGAGCTTGGGTTCAAAGCCAGTTGAAAGCACCTGGCAGACACCGGCCGGATTGCACGTGCGCTTCCTGCACATCTGAGAATATTAGCCCGGCATGCTGGAGCTGCGGTGCAGCGCGAAGACCAATGCCTCCTCGGCCACGTGGATACCCTCCCCCGGGTGCTCAGCCAGTGATCATTCGTAATGGATACCCGCATCCCCAGGGTCCACGGAACCGAGATCGAGAGCGCGAACGAAGACGGAATTCACGTAATAATGTTGTTATGGTTGAAGAACCAATTCTTGAGGAGAGAATGTCCCAGGAAGACTTGCACACTTGGTCCTTGGCCTACACCTTAAGCATTGACGTCTACGTATGTGCAGACCGGTATTTGATGCAGGACTTCAAGAGGTGCATATCTGCCTTCATCGTCAACAGGTGCGTGGCGGTTCTTCTTCAATTTTAATTGCTAATCTAATGATTGAATAGTTTCGAGGTTGCTGGATTATATGCATCCATACCAGCCGTTCTCAAGTCCTGCAAAACACTGCAACAAGGAGTCAGCCCTATGGATCCTCTTCTGAAGAAGGTGTTCGCAAGAGTAGGGTTCTTGCAAGCACGCATGTGGAAAAATTACCAAGAAGAAACGCAAAGCTTCTTTGCAGAGAATCCCGACTTGGCCTTCTTGATTATGAAAGAGATGGTTGAGAGAAGGGAGCTGGATATCGAAGACGATTTGCCTGCGAGTAAGTTTTGCGGATCTTCCCCATGAGGAACATTACTGACTGGAGATTTAGTGGAACGTCCACCACCTCTATTTCCACTTGGACCGGAGGAGATATTTGTCCATCCAGGTCGGCCACGTCGTTACCCAAGACAGATGCCTTACTAACAGAGTGAAGGTCCGAGACCTCGTCCTCGTCGAGATCCTTACTATTAAGTCAGTATTCTTGACAGAACGAGCTGCCTCTCAAGACCAAAAAGTCGAGCAAGTGTGTCTCAGATTGGGGAAGAATCAGCGAGCTCTCGGCATAATTTTTGAGACTGCGCCGCGAAACTGTACACCACAACTTCCTTTCGTTACATACACTTCATCTGTCTATTTGAATTGCAGTGTTTTGGATCAGCAAGCAATTTTTGTCAGTCTGCATAGCCAGCAACGGTCGTATGGAGCGCGTTGACTTTTATTGAGTTTCGGAAAAATTAAAGATGCTTTCGGGCTATTTGGAGCCGATCGAAACAATTCATCGTGAAGAACTCCCACGGCTGATCATGCAAGCTAATGATGCTAATTCTTTGAGCAGTTCTGAGTGGTTGGTTTTCATTTACCCTGTGTCTATACCCCGCCAAACTTTTTGCGTGCTGGTCGTCATGGAATTTACTTTAGACCATAACGAAACATATAACTACATGTAGACGATAATGTTGTTCGGTGTATCGAAGGGACGCTGGGATATCTTGACATTCCAGCCCCGAGTCCACCTTGAAACCTCATCAAGTGAACCGTCAATATGGCATCCACCTCTCTTCTCCTTCAATTAGCCATCTTTTTTACCTCCCTGGCCGCAACCCAAAAGCTCATCGCCTCCCTCGACTATGGCACCTTCCAAGGAGCCTACTCCCAAAGATACAACATAACCTACTACCAAAAGATTCCCTTCGCTGCTCCGCCAGTAGGGGAGAACCGTTTTCGAGCACCACAACCACCACTCCCCATCAAGAACGGAACTTACAACTCCACCCAGCCCTTCGACATGTGTCCGCAACGCACAGTCCGTCCCTCCCCCTCCCCCTCCATCTCCCCCTTCATCTCCCCCTCCATCTAAAATTTCCAGGTAAACGGCTCAGAAGACTGCCTCTACCTAGCCCTCTACAGCCGCCCCTGGGTCCCCATGCAACCTCTCCGCCCCGTGGTAGTAGTCTTCTACGGCGGCGCATTCATCCAAGGCAGCGCCTCCATCACGCTCCCTCCCGCAGCCTACCCCATCCTGAACGTCTCCTCCTCCTCCAACATCCTCTTCATCTACCCCAACTACCGCGTCAACGCCTTTGGCTTCCTGCCCGGGTCTCAGATCGCCGCTGATCCAACCTCAGACTTAAATCCAGGGCTGTTAGATCAAGCTGCTGCGTTGAAATGGGCGAGTCAATACGTCGAGGAATTCGGGGGCGATCCACGGGATGTGAGTATCTGGGGCCAATCCGCCGGAGGAGGGAGTGTGGTCGCTCAGGTCATCGCCAACTCTGGCAGAACTTCTCCTGCTCTATTTTCGCGAGCTTTGGCTTCGAGTCCCTTTTGGCCGAAGACGTATAAATACGATGCACCTGAGGCACAAGCAGTCTATAATAAGTTGGTGAACTTGACAGGGTGCAATGATAAGGGAGAGGACAGCTTGAAGTGTTTGAACGGGTTGGATGTGCAGAGGATTAGAGAGGCGAGTTTGCAGATCTCTGGGAGTGGGACCTACGGTGCTAGTTCGTATACTTGGGCGCCGGTTGTAGACGGGGTGTTTTTGAGGGAGACGTTGACTGAGGCGACTAGGAAGGGAGAGGTGAATATTGAAACTGGGTGGGGTATTTATAATACGCATGAAGGTAGGCTCCCTCTCTCAGACCTCGAGGTGCTGGATATAATGACCAGGTTATAGGGGAGAATTTCATCCCTCCTGGACTGGCGAATGCGAGTAATACAGGCAGTCCTCCTTTCAACTCGAGCATTGCATCGTTCAACACCTGGCTACAGGGTTTCCTACCTGGGTTCTCAGATCGCAATATTGACCGTGTAAAATTGATGTACCCAGAGTCAGGTTCCACGGAGGAAATCGCTAGCTACAATACTTCATACGTACGAGCTGGACTCATCTACAGAGACATCGTCCTTGCATGTCCCGCATATTGGATGACAAGAGCAGCACACAAGAAGAGTTATGTTGGGGAATACACAATTTCTCCTGCAAAGCACGCAAGTGATACGGAATGGGTACTTGCCCTCTCCTTTTTTCAATCATTCTATCCCATGTGCTCAGCAAGCTGACAATAGATAGTGGAACCAAGTGAATCCTATTCAGAAATCCCAACCCCTAATCTACTCGGGCTTCACAGGGGCCTTTGCATCATTCTTACAGACTGGAGATCCTAATGCAAACAAACTCACTAATGAAAGTGAGCCAGGTGTGCCTGAGAATTGGGCGACTGGAGAGGAGTTCGTAATTAAGAGTGATGGGTTTGAGAATGCGAAGGTGGAAATGTTGGATAAGAGGTGTGGATTTTGGAGAGAAGTTGCTGCTGATGTTCCAATTTGATACTTATTCAGCGCTCTTTTTACTCTCATATACCCACGGTCTGCGTAAACGCAAATCTGCCTATCTTGCAAGCGCTAAACTGTTTGTACAGGTATCAACGGTAGATTAGACTAGTATGGCCTAAATGCCGCTCACTCCACAGGCGGTATTCAATACGAACAATATTGTATTTCGTGACACAGGCAGTATTTACACTTAAAATACTTGGTATATCGACTTATCTGATATCTGAGAACTGCTGTGATAGACTTGTCAGAACCTCATTGCGGAAATAGAGAACCTGGGGAATGGAAGTAACATTCTTAACTTAATTAGTCCCGGGATTTCCAGATATACCAGTGCTGCCAAGGGATCCTGATCACAGCATCTAGGAACTGCAAGATGATTTGCAAATCTACCATACAAAAATCCGATTGGAAAGCGCAATTTCATCCTTCAGCTGTTTGAATCTACTTGCATAATCTGATTTGTCCTTTCAAGTGTTTCTTGGTTTTGCTCGGCAATCGTAGCAAGAGACCCCATATGGCTCTTATGTGCATGCTGAACGAGTGATGTTGGTCATCTATCCATTTTTTGCTGGATATGCAGGCTTGCCCTATGGGATTCCTTGAGAGTTAACAGGATGTCTTTCTAGATCGCACAAGGGAAGGGAAGAATGTGAACTGAGTGGTCACTCCAACTAAAATCTGAATCGCCCGAGTATGACCCGTCAAGTCCATTTGAAACTTTGTAATATCATCAAATTGGCACAAGGCCCATTTGATCTTCATCATGCCGTCTTTGAATTTGAGCCCTTTGCTTGGTTGGATTGAACCTAAATGTGGCTGATACTTTTGCAATGTTTTCCAGAAGTCCGCTATCGTGCCTAGACATTGTGATGCCGCCTGCTGAGCGCAGATTGGAACGCAACGAGAGACTCGTCAATATCAAGAGTTTGTACGGCGATGAGAGCAGTTTGAAGGCTATGGAGTTGCTTGAGCACTCCTCGATATTGTGTTGCGGCCCTCCCCATGTCCCGGAGAGCATCGATGACTGTTGCAACTAGTTCGAGAGCAGTGATGAAGTCGCCTGCTGAGAAGCCAAACGACATGTTGTCAAGCTGGAGATAAGTACGGCTGATAGGAGAGGAACGTAACTGTAATATGTGAAGTGAAGGTCGTAAAAATGACAGATAGAGAAAAGCAGGACTGAAAGTCAAAGTTCTAGCTCCTTCAAGGCAAAATATCTCAACAGGCATTCAACGATCAGTGAGTGTCGTTTGCTCTCGACGCTTTCACCCAGAATGAGCAAACACAAAGCACATGCTGTATCCAATGCATGGAACTGCTCACCGGCCGCAATTTATGCAGGTATCCGAGCCTCACGTCCGTGGCAAGTCAACAGCCAAAGGTACTTGTCATCGTGCAACAGAACACGACAGTAAAAGCCATGTGTTCAGGCCACTTTGCTACCTATTTGAGGAAACTTCCTCTCGTCTTCGCCAAAATCTCATCATAATACCCCTGAAAACCCAACCACCCCTTCTCAGGTGTCCCGATCTGATCATGCGTAAACTGCGCCTCCTCATCCCCAATAATAATCTTCTTATGACCGCTACCCGCACTCGCGGCATCGACCAGCAACTGAACTTGACACGTCTTATCCAAACTCATAAACCAAAATGCTGCTTCATCAACACTCTTCCCCACAGTTAAGAGCCCATGATTTTGTAGTATGGCAGCTTTGCCGTTCCCCAGACACTTGGCAATTCGTACCCCTTCTTCGCGGTCGAGAACAATGCCGCCGAAGTTGTCGTATACGAAGTGGGAGTTGTAGAAGCGGAGGGCGTCTTGGGTTATCATGTCAAGGGGGCGGCCAAAAGCGGAGTAGGCTTTGCCGTATACTGAGTGTGCGTGGCAGGCAGCGTGGACATCGGGGCGGGCTTTGTGGACTGTTGAGGGTCAGCCGGTGGAATTTGCGATGTCAATCTGAGAGGGGTGAAGTGTGAAGGGGCACATACTTTCGGAGTGGATTGCAAAAGCTGCAGCATTTATGGGCTCATCTCCAACTACTACGTCTCCATCCTCGTTCACAAGAATAAGATCCGAGACACAGATCTGTGAGAAGTGTTGAGACAGTGGGTTGAGCCAGAAGTGATCCGTCAATATCGGATCACGGACAGATCTACCATCGTTAGCACCTCGCCGTTCCAAATTGTGAGCTCCAGCTCCGAGGACTCACATGTGTCCCGCAACTCCCTCATCAAATCCTCTCTCTGCAAATCTGTTGTTTTCAAAATCAGCCTAAGAACTGAAGGAAAGGGACAGTAGGATGGATGGGAAGGCCAACACCCTAAAAGCAGCAGCAAGATGCTGCTTCCGATACAACCTCTCCTCCTCCAAACTCTCAAACTTAGGATACGACCTAATCTTCAACTTCTTCCCATCTTTCGTCCTCCCGAAACTCAAGCTATTCGCGCTTCCTGCAGCTTCGTCTGCTACAAGTGTTGCTGCCGGTGCCATGTTTGTTCCGCTATCATTAGATCTTACTTTAGATGGATACGTATGATGCGAAGATTCGGGATTTGAGGAGTGAGGTGTAAGAAATTGAATTATTGTCCCGAGAGTGGGGAGCGCGCACGCTATCTGACGTGATGAGGACTGTTGTCTGGATTTGGATGGAAAAGGGGCCATCGGCGGGCAACTGCCCCGCTGCGGGGTCTGGCGGGGTGGGGTGGCTGCAGAGAAGCTTTGACAGCCACACTCTTCGGAGGAATTATATTTTCGGCATTGAGCTTGAGGAGCCGAGGCTGGCTTTCTCTCAGCCGTTTGTGATAAGGATGCGATATTTCACAAAGGAAAATGCCCCCGAAGGCCAAAAATGCTAAAGCTGTCTCTTTCGTAGGGCCGTAGTTGTCGACACACGTCAAAGACATGGCCTCGGCGCGCTCGCCCCTATACCTCACCCTAGAGAGGAGCCCAGGAAACATCTACATCATAACCCTCTCCCGAAAGGCGGAGAATAAGCTCAATGGAGCCTTTTGTCAAGAATTAATTCGCGCCTTCCATACCATCCACCGCGAACTCGGTTCCTCTTCAGAAGGAGCAGTTATAACTCGCGGCAGCAATGAGAAGTTCTGGTGCATGGGAATAGATCTCGAGGATCCTGATCCTTGGACCAATAGTGATGGGTTCTATCCAGTTCGCTCACATTATCATCCGGAAGTAGGGTTTGAGTTGGCTGACGCTTATCAAGCTCATTTCCACGATCCTCGACTTTCCCTATCCTACCATTGCCTTGTTGACAGGTCATACTTTCGGAGCGGGCTGTCTCTTAGCCTTGGCTCATGATTATAGAATAACTTCTGCAGCGAAACGATATTTCAGTCTTCCGGCTATTGATCTTGGTCTCTCGTTCCCTGGGATGGGTATTTTGCCTCGATTGAAGCTTGCTCCACCAGTTGCAAGGAAAATGGTGCTTGAAGCTCATAGATGGACTCCCGAGGAGGCTTTGAAAGATGGGATTGTTGATCTTGTTGTAGAAGAGGTTGAGATAGTGGGGAAAGCAAGAGACGTGGCCGAGAAATGGATGGTGAAAGCGAAGCCTGGTGCTTATGGTGTCCTCAGGAACGAGCTATGGGGTGATGCAGCGAAGGCGTTTAGGGAGATCAGTTTTGTGCACAACAAGATAGTTGGGCCATCGAAGGCCAAGATCTGAATGATATTTTCGAAGAAGAAGGAAGAGAATAGAGAATTTCGTGAAGTGAGAGCCTTGACAAAACTTCCGAAAAATGCAAGAGCAATTTCATTGAACAAAGCCTATCGCCCTATGTATAAGACTCAATCTCTGAGTAAACTAGCTATTTTCTACTGCATATAATAGACTTAACCTGTACTTATGATGTAGAAAAAGGTCAATGAATATCAAATCCGGGTCGTCTAGTAGTGGCCAATCAAAAGGCGAGAAATATCGCTTAAATTTCTAAATTTCTCTTGAGACGTGCAACAAACCTCTTCTAATAAGAAGAGAAGTCAGGTGACATCAGCTAAGCTCATAGGACGCCTTTAGGAAGTGGAGGAGTCATTCAAAATTCAAGGAGCCAATCAGAAACTGAGAAACGCCGCGTAAACGTATTAGATGTGCAACAAATCTAGTTGTAGACTCCTAAAGAGCTTCTGGAGGAGACGGGCTGTCCATAAATCATGCAATGGACATCTGGTGAGGCATCCTAAGGCATTTCTCGGAGCCAATGAAAATGCTGAGAGATTTTCCTCTGCATTTTTGAGATGTACAACAAAATTTGGACCACAAAGCGGTGAGGTGTGAATCTCGAGAGTGGTGTCAGAGAGGACAGGTGAGGAGTTTGCAGGTGAGGAGGATTAACTTCAACTTTCCCAAGTGCAACTCCGAACACGAACACATTGCGATTGGAACGAAATTGAGAAGGATATAATATTCTGAAACTATTAGAAAGATTTGAAACAAAGAAGTGTAGGACAAAGGATGGAGGGCCACGACTTTCCTCGAGCCCAAGAATCATGACCTCACAATAACTCTACCCTAAAACCTAACAAATTTCCAACGAAATCAATAAAGTACTAATCAGTAAGAGAAAAATCTCTATTCTTACTCTGTTAATTGCGTGCAGCATTACTTATTGGAACATACAAATTCAAGGCGAGATGTCGTGACGTATTGACTCAAGCCTTCCCCACTCGGGACCTAAAGTAATAAACATCACCACCCCGCACCATTCGATGATATAACATAAATATGCAATTTCTTTCCTCTCTCCTTCTCTGTTCACTCTATCCGAATCCATAGCCTTTTCAATCAAACAAAGAAAGCAACCATGGACGATGACAGCACAGCCAAAACCCACGATTCCGGCGCCAACAGCGCAATCCGCAACACAGAAGGAAGCGACAGCATCCACGAGGCATCTCACCAAGCTGTACCTCTTCCCCATTCCTTTCCCCCATCCTCACCTACCAATCTCTCAAACCCAATCTGACAAAATACGAAGGAACCAGCAGGCGAGAAAACCCAAGGTACCGGCACGCCAGCTTTCTCGAAAGATGGCGCGGTAGGCAGTATGTTCAAGGCTGATGGTGCGATCGGGGGCACGGCTGAGAAGGTCGGAGGGCCGTTTGCGAAAGATGGGTTTGTTGGGTTGGTTTCCTCTTTCTTTCTTTGTTTCCTCCTTTCTTGTCTTTTTCAAATTCTCTGTGCGTGTAGCTGCTAGTTGGGGGAGGTGAGTAGAGGTGTGGTTAACAGCAGCAGAGGTCGGGAGAAAGCTGCGGAATATTATTGGGTTGAGAATCTTCTGGATGAGTTTCCTAATGTTGTGAGAGGGGAGAAGGGGGGTGAGGCGTGGTTTGAAAAGAAGTGAATAAATGCTAATGTTTGTTCTCGTGCAGAGAGATATTCAGCGCGATTGGGGGCAGGGTACAAGAGACCTTGGGCAAGAAGGTCTAGAGTGAATGAGACAATTGCTTGAAATTACGGAACCAAAACATGGTGAGGGTATGCAATTCGAGCTTCTGTACAAACAGACTTAATTCCAACGGATTCAAAATTCCGGGTATTGAGAACGGATAAGTATGAACACCACCATGCTTGATGCTTGTCGCTCCATATATGCAACCCTTATATTACACATCGTGTCCTTCTACAGAGCAAGTGCGAGGACCAGTCCACCGATCAAAGCAAAGGAGCCAGTCGCGACCTGAACAACAGCGGCATTCTTCGTTGGGGAAGGGGTGGCACTACTGCTCGTAGCTGATGTTTGAGTGGCCTTTGTGGGTGTGGCTGTGGTTGTGGCTGTGGTTTTGGCTGTGGTCCTGGCGATGGTAGATGACAGAGTGGCGTTCGAGGAACGCGTGGAAGTTAGAGCAGAGGTAGTGCTGTTCGAGATTGTTGTGGAGCTGGCAACATAATTTGAACCAGTGGAGAGATGCATAGTGACAGTGCTTGTTTTGCCAGAGTCAACGGCGGCGCTGCTACTGCTACCAGAAAGACCGGTGACATGGAACGGGAAGCTGTACTGGAAACATGTAGTATTCGTGTCTTGCGTGATCGAGAATCCGTAGGTCGCAAAATATTTTAGGCTAGTTGGAACGTCCCATGTGTAGGTTCCCACTTTACTATCGATGCCACCTGGACAAGTCAGTTCGAGAAGAGTCCCTCCTGGAAGTTTTTGTCACTCACCCTTGATGACGTCTCCCGCGGACAGAGTGCTGACAGTAGCGCCTTGAAGGAGCTGAATAGTTACGGTTCCAGCGTAGTCCTTTGACGGTTCCCAGACAATTTCAAACGGTTTCCCCGCTGGAACATTCTCGTCCTGAAATGGCGAAGTGATAGGATCGAAGCCGGGTGTCGGGCCTGTCGCGAAAACAGCGCTCGCAAATGCCAAAACGGCACCAGAGACGAAAGACGAACGCATGATGAAGATATAATACGGAAAGAAAATCAATGAGTGTGGTGTATCAAAGATACAAAAGTGACAGAAACCAAGTATTCGTGCGAAGGCAAGGTGAAGCTGGTGGCATTTCTCAAGATGCGAGGCTCTTGAGATATAAAGGGAGATCATTTCAAGCCCAAAGCGCCACATACTTTGCCAGCATTAAGACCAAATCCGACCCGTCGACAGGCATAAGGCCATTGTCGTGGACGCCACTGGGCGAGAAGACCGAAGGAGCGGGTCCCGGCTGCTAGCTGCAGTCAGGGGAAATGAGCACGCATGGGACTTGAAGGGGAACGCCGCACAAGGGGCTGAGCTCTTGCCAGTCTCGCGTGTTGACCAAGGAATACAGTAAGGTTGACCAAGCATGCACCGTGAAACTGAATCATCAATATTGCAGTCCACAGCAGTAACAAGAGGCACATGTGGATTCCAGCTCCCGTTGCAGCAAGATTGCGGAGCTGAGTGAGGATTTCGATGTCGTCGGAGGGTTTCCGGCTGTGCCGTTTTGGTCCATAAAATTGTCGATTGTCCGGGGCTAGAGGCGCTTGACGAGTCCTCATTACGCTTAACCTTGGCGGCCCGAAATTCAGATGCAGGAGGAAACGGCGAGTAGTAAGTGCTGAAACGCGGTCGGGGTTGCTGTGCGATGTCATCGGCGGCCTGCATCATGCGCCCACCAGCCTGTGGTTTCTCATCGGCAGCCACCCGAGTGTGAAGTGTGGCTTACCGTGGTGGACTTGAAGCTGAAGTGTTGTTACTTTTGAACATGACTGATGGCTGCGGCTCCAGAACTCGCTAAAAAAATTAAGTTAGACCACGCTAGCCTGTTCCTGGCAGGGGCTCAGGGGGTAGTTCACGTGTTCTTCAAGCTCAACTTCGGATCCGAGCAACGTTCGGATGTTCCAGAAACAAAGTTTTACCTTCTGCGAAACGCTGGAATGGGGGTTGTGATTTCACTCCGAGCTCAATTATTCACTCGGGAGTTGGAGAGCTGAGAGATTTGCTCACTCTCAGCGTCAAAAAGCATCAGTACGAGAGGAGCAGAAACTCATATTCATGAAGCAGGAGTACAGACAACTTCTCTCGAGATCTAAGCAAGTCCATCGCTCTATCAAGTAGTTTCTTTAAGCCGCATAGACTCTTTTGCTATCGAGACTTTGAACTCCAGGCTATGCACGCTCACCATCTCCAACCATTTCTCCAGGCTCTCAACAGATCATTCTTGACTAGAGATCTCACACCTCACTCCCACTATTGAGTATATTTTCAAGGTCTATGTGTCCAATCGCTGCCCAGAAGCCACTGTTACGAGAGCTGTAGGTATCTTACGGTTCTCGGGAGAGTGGTGAGGACTGAAGCAAAATGAAGGACTCAGTTGCCGGGACTGGACCGCATTGAGATACCGTTCAAGGCCGCCGTGGTCACTCGAAGAGTCCTTTAATTCTTTTCGTCGTTGAATTTTCTTTCGTTATTAACCTGGGCTATGATGTCGAAGTCCATCGCAGACAGGGATCGCTAGAGTCGTTCGTGTTATAAACATAGTTGTCTTTAATGAAATAATGAACACAGAGAAGGTCAACGGCTCACTTTATACTAGAAACGTGGGCACTTGACTCCTTCTAACTGAGCATGGTTCTCCCTATTTGATTGTTATCTTGATTATACATATATCAGCTTGGCAGCAGGTTCTAACCTCGATATTTATGTACGGGGATATGCTTTATTTCACTACTCTTTCTGAGTTGAGCAATAAAAAAGGCAGCTGGCGCACCTAAGGGGGAAGGCAGTGTTCACAATAGAGAATACCACGAGCTGATGCTTCTGCGTTGTTGGTACATAGAAATCGTAGACTGCTGCTTACCTATACACAGAACCTCGTCTGCATCGCCAGTTAACAAACTCCACGACCTCACGGTGCATAGCCATATCCTTGCTGGGATGTGGAACATCTGTCACTAGCAACGCCTTCCATCGTGTTCTCCTGCGAGATCTGCCAAGAACTCATTAGGAAACAACTGATGTCCTAAATATTAGGCGAAATTTCTCGCAAGTCGTCTAGATCTCGGTCTTTCGTCGTGTTTCAAGATCCCCCTTGCTGCCAGGAACTTGCAGCCGTCAAAGAAATACAGACAGCCGGTAATGTAAAACCTACCAGTGCCACTGGGTACCACTGGCTTGTCAGGTAGAGAAAAAATGAAACGGTAAGGTGTTTAGACTCAGAAGAATTTATATTCGGGTATCTCAAAGCAAGCACGATAATAAAGATGTATTTACACCTCTTAAAATTGACCATACCCTCACATGATTTGTCCTTTTTTACCGAAACCCAAAACCCAAAAAGCTATACACAGAAACCCATTAACGACCACCGATTTGTCCTTTAGGAATAGGCTTGATCCAGCAAACAGCCAAGTTGATAGCAATAGTAACAACACCAATAATCCAGAACGTCTTTCCATAGTTCGCACCCAAGTATCTGAAGATGATAGCGAAGATGATACCACCAAAGTTTCCAGTGGCTCCAGTGACGCCAGAGATGATACCATTTGCAAATGGGTGGACATGGGGCACAAGGGCGAAATTTGCGCCGTTTCCAGCCTCGAGGAAGAATGCCATTCCAGCCACCAGACCGAACATAGTAGAGTGAGACTTGGAGTTGAGAACACCGATCGCGATCTGGAAGCAGCCGCAGATAATTGCCAACGAGTGGAGCCAGATCTTCTTAGACCATACGCTTCCAGACTTATTGTAGATGAAGTCAGCGACGAAACCACCCGCGGGACGGAAGACGACGTTCAGGAGACCGAACATAGCGGCCCATCGTCCGGTTCCAGTTTGGCCGAGCTTAGGGAAGTTATAAAGGTAGTAAGCACCGAGGATGGAGTTGATGGCGAGCTCGGCACCGAATGAGCAGAAGTAACAGAAGGCGACCACGGCTGTTTGGGGGGAGAAAACGACGTGGATTGCTTCTTTGAAGGAAGGTTTGACGACTACTTCTCCACGAGCGGTGTCTAGCATCTGTTGTTCGTCCATACTGGCTTCGTGGTCATAATCGCCGTGCTTGGCCTTCGCAATGCCGCCTTCTTCCTCCATACGCTTCTCGTCTCCGGAGTTGGAGTTTGCAACACCTCCTTCGACCTTGCGATCAGTGATGGCACCTGGGACGTCAACGATTCCGGCGCGGATACCATGGGCTTGGAGGTTTTGTTGAACGGCAAGGTGACGTTCTGACCATTTGCCGGTTGGGGTGTCTTGGCAGAGGAGGAGCACACCAAGTGCTGCGGCGGTAATGAGGATAAATGGGACAATGAACGCCACTCTCCATGCCACGTGAGCTGAAAGATGTTGCTTGCTCACAAGGGAGTCGAAGATAGCGGGCATGACGAAGTATGTGATTCCACCACCTGCGTTTCCCCATCCTCCTGTCAATGCATTGGCAGAGCCGACAACATTCTTGTCGAAGAAACCTGTTGACCACACTTGACATGGGACGAAAGAACCCCCGAGGATACCAATGAAGAATCGGAGGACCATGAGGCCTGCGGCAGAGTTGACAGTGCCTGCGAGAGCAGTTGGGATGGCGCCAAGGAGTAAGCAGGCAGCAAAAGTGACTCGAGGACCAAAACGATCACATGAGGGTCCAGCAACGAGACGTACGAGAAGAGTGGCTGTAAGGGCGATGATATTGGAGTTTGCGATCTCATTTTGACTGAGGTGGAGATCCTTCTTGATGGTGACAACCAACAATGGTGGAAAGGCATACCATGAAAGGAATGCAATCATGAAACCGAGCCATGAGAATGTCTGCGGCTGGAGTTAGTTGTTGTCCAAGCCAACTGGTTGTATAGTCGATGGCCATGGATGAGGACATATCTCCCACTAGCAGCATAAGAAAATAGTGATGGCAGGGATACTTACAAATACTCTTCCATATTTGTTGATCGGGTTTAGAATAGGAATCGAACGAGCTTTTCCGTTGACCGGATTGATCTCTGGCACCTGCCAAAGGGAAGCGACATTAAAGCCCATGATTGTCGAGCGATGCCTTGGTAATTTGATATTAAAAGTCTGAAAGATATTGACTACGATGCCAAATAATGATCGAGGATTGGTGTTCGATTCCCAACTTTCGGGAGTTGTAAGACGAAGGTAGATTGCTGGAGGAGGAAACCTGAATGTCCGAGGTGAACCTGCCCTTATAAACTTATGAGATTAGCGACGTCCACCCGCAGTTCAAGACATCTCCGGTACTTCACTGAAGAGAACTCTGCTCGTCCAAAAGAGCAAATCCGCGGCTGAACCGTGCGGAGATCTTCAATGTCATCCAGTGAGTGGCCCAGGAGCTTACTGCGTGGACTTAAAGGTAGTGGAGACGCCAGTCCAAGTTGGGATATGGCCAGTGCTGGGCTGCGTTCTGGCAAGTATCCGCGGCGGTGGACAGCCTTAAATAGAGATGCCACTCACCGATTGAATCCAAGGAGATCTGCTACAGTGTCTGTGAATTTCGATCCCCAGTGAGACAAAGATGAAGGTCTGGAACAGATCAAGACTTAATATCCTTCAATAGCGGCACTGGGAAGGAGGATATGCAGGTCGGAGATGGCTTATCCCTTGGGAAGAAACGAGAGGATGTGCCTAAGAGGAGCGGAACAGCTTGGGCTTGAATTGGGGGCAAGAAAGCAGTGTATGAGAAAAGCTTGTTTGGTAAGGTGATTAAGGGTTGCTAGTAAAACAAAAAAGCAACCATGTTATTGCTGACAGCCTCACTGGAGGGACCGTACGGCATACGACTCGGGAACTTCAGGGTCAGCTTGTGCTGCCAGTGAAGTGCTCCAAACTTTTGTTGAACAGGCTCGCCTACGGAAGCTCTTATCGGCATGCATTGTCGACAATACTGGTAGCTGGCACGGTGCAGAAGAGCCAACCAATCACAGCGGCCTTCGCTGGTAAGCAGCATCTTTCTGGCGCAAGTGCTTGGCCGATTCATGTCGTTGGTGATGGGCGAGGTTAATACGGAGGAGTACCTCCGTAAGGGGCCGTCATTCGGACAAGGTTGCTGAGAGGGCTGAAGCAAGCCCTTATCTTTGACGAGTCCGGAAATGGCATGCAAGCTCTTTTCCGACCCACCTCAAAGATAAGCACAGCAGAATCACATAAATTTGAAAACCCAACATAAACCTCTCGATCTCCGCGGCTTTTGCCCTAGACACTCTTCCCGTCGAATTCGAATGCGAATGATCAGCGTCGATGCCACATGGAGCAGAAGGGTCGAGAATCGAGATTTCATCCGCACCGAAACATCACTAATTCAAACAGCAGCGCCAACAACTAGAATGTTTCCATACGGAGCCTAGATCCTCTCTGCCGAAATCCAAGGGTACTTGCATGCACTCCCTTGGAGGGAGCAAGGAAAGCTTTCAGTCTTTAATAATATCTTCCATCGTCGTTCCTGTCCGGAATTGTGTAACCCCCACATGTCAGCGTTATCTTTTGGCTGTTCACCCAATCATGGACACATTCCTGTCGCCTTTGACGCTGAGTAGTGCGGATGCGCCAGCATCTCGGCCAGCCTAGGATCTGCGCCTGCGCCTGGCTAGTTGCCGACAGAGGTGGAGGTCGCATTTTGAGACGGAGGATCTGAGCTTGGTGTTGGACCTCCAACGATAATTTCTGGAATTTTGGTGAGGAGATCCAAGGTCTCCGTCTGGATATCCCGTAAGTACGACGGTATCCTGCACTCGCTGTCTGGCGGAGATCTAGGAGAATCTGACGGTCAGGGTTGTGGGAGAGGTTTTTCCTGTCAAAGGTTGAAGTGAGGTATGAGACTCCCCGAGGGATCATGCCAATAGAAGTTTTTCTTTTCAAGAGATATTATGCGATATCTGCAGTATCCAAAACATGGCGTGATCGTCTCTCGCACAATTGCTCTCTCATGGGAAGACCGGACCTTCAGTGCGAGGAACTCACTTGTTCTTCTGGCACAGCTGAATAGGAGCTCCCAACCGCAGACGCTCCTTATCGGGAATCAATGCCTCAAAGACCTTTGTGGGCTCGCATACGAATGGGGACTTGGGAGACGCGCGAAGAGAGCTACGCAGGACTGAAGTCCTGAATTGGAATTTCCACAAACATTTTATACATCTTCAACTGGGGAGGTGGAGTGCAGCAGGATCATTTCAAATCTGATTGACGAAAAATTGCAGAAACTCGAAGCTGCATTAAGATATTCAAGAATTGGAAGTAGTTGGAAGATTTGAGAAGGATGGTCTTGGATACCGCACTTGCAGCTTCCATGCTTGGGAAGACACTCCGAAACTTGAGCGCCAGTGAATATAGAAAGCAGCATCTAGTCATAGCAATGCAATGATGTCAATTCCACTTAGAACGACGTTGAATGCATTCCAATGGGACATGAAGAAGTTGCATTTGAGAAATGCCAGAAGCGGTTAGTGAAGCGGGGAATGTCTGAATCACGGTCACGTGTAGGCAAGCTAAGCTAAGACGCGTTCACGGTTCACGATCTCGGATACTTAGGACGACCAAAAAGTAGTCAACAACACCTCGAATTGTGACCCTGATCCGCTGCCAAAGACGGGGGAACGTGCCAATGGATCCATCTGGACATGTTCGCGATATACTGGCCTCATGACTCGACATAATCTCGACAGTCACATTTCTTGGTTGTTATCGCACGAAGTCACTCCGCCCGTGGGCGTGCACGCTGCTCTTCCAACGCATTCGAGACTCGAGGAAGGAGTTGCTGGCGAAGAATTTTTGGGGGAGGGAGCAGATGAGGAAATAATACGACAGTTACCGAGTCCAGCTCGAAACCGTCAGATTTTGGAAGTCGATGTTGTTCAAGATTCCCCACGGCCAGCGATCCCCTCCTCGATAATTCCGAGATCGCAGTGGCCAGAATCTCAACCAGGTCTACCAGAGGGAACAATGGGCACACTCACATCAGCATCGAAACCAACAAGACGGAAACTCATGAGCCAACATCAGCTTGCTACACCAGCATCCACCACCACCTCTACCGCTCCCTCTTCGCTCAAGCAGGGTTATGCAACCTTCTTACGAAATAACAATGGTCGGCTCCAGAGTTTTCGCTCACTTGTGTACCTCTAGCTGACAATTCTAGGCACCCCTTCCTCGAAACCATCGAATGACATACCTGTACCCAGATTCGCGAGAGCATTACAGAACCCCCAAACTCCTCGACAGACACCTCGTCCAACAACAGAGGTCAAAACGGAGACGGTGGACCTGACCGGAGATGACCATAGCCATAGCGAGAGTTTTACCTCACGGTCTAGCAGTGTTGAGGTTTTTGGCGAGTCACAGAAATTATGGGACGAAGGCTCAGCTTCGAGGGCAGAGCCTCTGTCAAGGACATCGAAGAAACGAAAGAGTGATGAGATGTCGCCTGAACGTCTAAAGAGGACGAATACGGGTACTTTACACTCGCCAGATTCTGTCAGAGACCACGAGACGGGTTTGGATGGGTTTGTGGACATCGACGACGTGATGCCTCGCTCTCAGAAGTACTTCACTTCGCCTCAGAACGTTGTCAGCAAATCTGTACGGCCAAGTATCGAAACCACGAATGCTAGGAATGAGTTTGAAGAGGAGTGCCAGGTCACTGAGACCATCAGCAGAGTAACTCGGACTAGAAAAAGCTTTAGCAGAGTTCCATCGTTGACTGAGAGCATTGCCCGGGACCCAGCCTGCCCACAATTGACGCGAACACCTACATCAATAAATACCGGATCTGAATTGGAGGTCGTGGAATCTGGTGCCGCAGTCCAAGTAGTAGCATCACCTGCCTCGGGATCCTTGAAAGCTCCCGCCGAATCTTCCAAGACACCACAAAGGCGGCAGAAACGGCGACTACAAAGGACAGTCCTAGATTCTGAGGACGACGATGTTCTTTCTGATGTCGACAAAAGAGCAAACGGTTCCCCTCGTCCCTCGGTCAAGAAAAGCCCTCGAGTCGTCGACTTCCCCAAAAGTCCTAACCGGCATGGGGTGCCCAATTTTCAGTTCACGGAACTCGAATTTCGAGACGCCAACGAGTCCAAGTCAAGAACCGGTAGCCCGTTGCGACCTATAAACCAAAATCTTGTTGCAAGGCAGGAGAGTGTTCTGTCCCCATTTCAGATAGACTCACCCACGAGATTATCCGTGGTGAAGCAGCAGTCGAGCCAGCCACCACCAACTTCTTCACTTGGACTAGACGACAGGAAGTTGGTAATCTCGTACCTGAATCAACCCTCCTCAATCAGTCTCTATCGCCAACGTGTTGTCAGTTCACTATCCCAAAACGCAGTTGCCGCGGCGGAGTACGAGGATGAGCATGAGGCCGCTCCTGTTCATCTGAAAGAAGAGCGGAAGTCTTTGTTGGAGAAGAAAAAAGCGTATAACAGCTTGGTGGGCCTGGCCGAGCGCTGGCGAAGTTTAACGACAGAGAAGAGGACTCTAACGAAGAAAATTTCCGAGCTCGTCGAACTTTTCGACGACGTTAGCGCCCTCGAGGAGCGGTCATCGGTTTTGACCCGGGATATTCGGACACTCGAGAAGGAGGTAAGACAACTTTTGCATGCTTCTAAGGCCATAAACGATGAGTTTGGGACAGGCTCGGACGCAGATAGTACCGCCGCTATTCGTACGGAGCCGACGGCACAAGATAATACAGCCCTTTTACCATCCGGATCCAGCGTCATAGGCAGCGCTCAAGTCATTCTGCAGACACAGATACCCGTCCTGAAGTCAGCATCCACTTCAAATCAGCATTTGAGAGAGGAGCAACTGCCAAGAAATTATTCTGGAGAACGAATCCCACCGACCTTTCCAATTCATACATCACCACCCCCGGTCCGACGCAAAGCCCAGACTGATTCATTTTCTGTACGTCAAGAATCTTTGGCATCTGGAAATGATTGGACCTCACCAAAGGGCAAAATGAAACAACCAGATTTCTACCGTGATCAATCGCCAATGGATTATGGCTTTGACGCTGATGATGGTATCTTTGATGACTATCTGGTGGGAGAGGCTGAGCTTCACAACGATGCTAAGGTTCTAGAGGACATACCGGATGATGTTGAAGGCGAGTATGGAGACGATGAGGATGACGAAGACCTGCTTGAAGTCGCTCAAGAAGTTGAAAAGAGACACTCTTTGCCAGAACCCCTTAACAGTCGTCCTGGTCGAGCGAGGGTCTCGCAATCTTTCGACAATGCGCCTGAATCATCGAAACGAAATAGGTCAACCGTCAGGAAGACCATGTACTCTCATGTGGACCCTGAGCACGCCGGAATGTTGAGACATCCCTGGTCCGAAGACGTCAAGAAAGCTCTGAAAGATCGGTTCAAACTGACAGGTTTCCGTTATCACCAACTTGATGCGATCAATGCAACACTTGCAGGGAACGATGCCTTTGTTCTAATGCCAACAGGAGGAGGCAAATCCTTGTGCTACCAACTACCAGCTGTGGTCCAGTCGGGAAAAACGAGAGGTGTGACGATTGTTATCTCACCACTTCTCAGTCTCATGAATGATCAGATTCAGCACCTTCGAAAAATCAACATACGAGCAGCAACTTTGAATAGCGGGATAACACAAGAAGAACGCAAAGAAATCTACAATAGTCTCAAAGAGAACTACCCCGAGCAATACATTCAATTACTTTACATCACACCGGAGATGATCACCAAGAGCAATCAGATTAGCACCACTCTATCTCTTCTTAATAGGAACAAGAAACTGGCTCGAATCGTCATTGACGAAGCACATTGTGTGAGCCAATGGGGCCATGACTTTCGGCCGGACTACGTCGCTCTGGGACAAGTGCGGAAGCAGTTTCCAAACGTTCCGATCATGGCATTGACAGCTACCGCCACTGAGAACGTGAAAGTCGATGTTATGCACCAACTCGGCATGAAAGAATGCCCGGTCTACTCCCAAAGTTTCAACAGGCCTAATCTGCATTACGAGGTCCGAAAAAAGAATGGGAAAGTCACGAGTAAAGAGTGTCTTGCAGAATATGTCGATCTTATCAAGGTCAAGTACAAGAACCAGTCCGGTATCATATACACATTGTCCCGCAAAGGCACCGAAAGATTGGCTGCAAAACTGCAAACTGGCTTTAACATCAAAGCCCACCACTATCACGCGGACATGCCAGTGCCAGAAAAGGCAAGAGTTCAGAAGGATTGGCAAAGTGGCAAGATTCAAGTAGTGGTTGCAACAATCGCCTTCGGCATGGGCATCGATAAGGCAGACGTGCGATTTGTTATCCATGACACGATCCCCAAAAGCTTGGAAGGATACTACCAGGAGACTGGCCGAGCAGGAAGAGATGGCAAAAGATCCGGCTGCTATCTTTATTACGGATACCCAGATACAGCAGCTCTGAAGCGATTCATCTACGAGAATGATGCTAGCCCTGAACAAAAGGAAAGGCAGCGAAGAATGCTTTCCAATATGATTCAGTTTTGCGAAAATCGTTCCGATTGCCGCAGGGTCCAGGTTCTTGCTTACTTTGGCGAAAAGTTTGCCAAGGAGAATTGTGAACACTCGTGTGACAATTGTAGTTCCGATGCGGTCTTCCAGGAAGTTGATTTTACAACACAGGCCAAAACGGCCATGAAAATTGTCCAGAAGCTCCAAGGCCAGAAAGTCACATTACTGCACTGCGTGGACATATTACGGGGTACTCCTTCGAGAAAGATCAAAGACAGTGGCCATAATAATATCGAGGGTTTTGGGGCTGCAAAGGATATGGCTCGAGGCGAAGTCGAGCGTCTCTATTTTCGACTTTTCATGGAGAATGCATTGTCGGAGGACAATGTCGTGAGAGGCGGCTTTGCTTCGCAATACTTATGTGTCAGTAATTCAAGCCTGAATTGTGTTAAACAAACTAACTTTTTGACAGCTCGGGCCGAATTACCGTGATTTCTTGAAAGGCATACGGAAGCTCAGTCTACAGGTACAGGTCTCAGCATCGCCCCCGGCAAGACAGAAGCAGACGAAATCATCGAGACCACAATCCACGATGGTATCCTCTCCCGCTGCCCCACGAAGAAAACCTGCCGAGAGACTTGGATATGGCGCCGACGAAGATGATTCTGCTCATGCCGATTTCGTGGTCTCGGATGACGAGGAGGACGCATTTGAGCCGATCCTAGATAGAAGGCGTCGGAGAGAAGAGACCCTTGGACCACCAATCACCCTAGATGAACGAATGGCGAGTCTCCCTGATTTCCACCGTGTGTCGGTTACTCAATTCGTTGAGGCGGCGAAGACCTTGGAGGAGAAGATCCGAAACAAACACAATCTAAGGAATCCATTGTTCACCGAAGCCAATTTCCGAGAAATGGCCATTCGCTGGACGGTGACTCTGAGTCAGATGATGCAAATACCTGATATCAACGGTGAACGAGTCAAGACTTACGGGCCACAATTCATTCCTTTGGTTACTGAGTACCGTGGCAACTACAATGAGACTATAAGCAGATACCAGGACGACCGGATCATTGACAAACATGAGAATGTCATTGATCTAATCAGTGATGAAGAATGTGAGGAGGAAGACAATGACCTCGATGGTGAAGACGAAGCCACGACCCAAGAGGCAGAACAGGGATCAAAATATTTTGCGAAGCCGCAGTATGGTTCAAACTTGAAGAGTGGGAACGCCTCCGGCCGTAATCTGCCCTGTGCTGCTGGACCTAATGCCAAGTCCTCAAGTTACCAGGGCCAAGGCGGCTCGTATCGTGCAAAGGGCCGTGGGGGGAAGAGATCCTTTTCTCGGAAGAGCAACGGATCTGCCTCTGGTCAAAGCAGTTCTGGCGTTAGCAAGAGGAAGTTCTCGGGCGGAGCGAAGAAAACGCGGGCAAGTAAATCTGGAGGCAGCAATTCTTCCCGAGGGTCAACTCTAATGAGAAGTTTTGGCAACAACGGAGGCGGTGGCATGGGTGGTGGTGGCGGAATTGGTATGATGCCAACATAATTCTTAATGCGAGAGAGGCACATTATCAGAACCACCATTGTTTCTTTGGGTGTAGCAGCTTTGCTGGGGTCAATGGAAATGGGCTTCGGCTTGGGGTTTGGGAACTGGTCTGCTGGCACATCTTTTTTGATCGGCATTAACGGTTACGGACATTTATACCACTGTGGTTGATTCTTAGAGCGATCGATATGCTGTAGCTTAGAAATGAAAAGTTTGATGTCCAATGATGATTAAGGGATGATAATACAGTTGCAAGTTATTAAGTTCATTGCACTCATGCTTATCCAATGTCGTATACAGTGCATTGCTTATATGATAATATGTGGCTTATATCAGTCCCTCGCCTTAAATGTAAAGCAAAATGGCCGAGAATCATATGGCAAGAGCAATTCTTCAAACTTGTCGAGAAGAACTTTGATCGAAGTCACGTGCCACATACGGGCTAGACTACTAAGGTAAACGGAAGCGACGACATCACTGCTTGCTTCCACACCGTGCATCTGTCCTCGGCACAAGGACCATCTTTGTTTGTTAAGTTATTTGCATATAGTCGACACAGAGAGAAGCAAAGCTCCACAAGCCCCTACAAGTGCCCTGAGCAAAAGAATTCTTCAATGGATATGTCACCGTGGCAGAAGGTATCGGGTCAACAGTCTGCTTTTATTGACTATCGACAATGTCTCAAGATTCATGCTCAGTATTCCATTCTCAATGTTTTTGTTTTCAATGTTTGCGTCTTCAATGCTTCCCTTCACAGTTCGCCGTTGACATTGCTCCGGCCACAGCGCTCCATTCAAAGTGTTCCGACCACGGTTCTCAGTGATACGCGATACCCATTCTAAGAGAGTCCTAGGAACTTTCTGTACTCGTCCTCCGTAACTCCTTCCGGGATTGCTGTTTCCGATTCGTACCAGTCCGAGACCACATTCGAGACATTCGACACCAAATTCTTGAGCTTGTTCGTCTCACTGGTTACATGCCTCTGCCACCTATACCAGGAGAGAGGCGGCATGTTGATCGGCTGTTTCAAGATGAACGCGGACGAGACGTTCATTTTCTCGGGCATCTTGACTCCCACAATGATATGATGGTCTTTTTCACCTGTGATCTGGTTGTAAACCTGAAGGTTAAGATCAATGAACTCGAAGCCGTATTGAACACCGTGTTCATAGATCATATCCTTAATACCAAAGCGGACGGTAGAACCAAGCTCAACGGGACCCATGTGAAGAACTTTGTCGAGGAGTGTTGTGCCAGTTGGCTCTTGTGGAAATGTCTCGGTCCAGACATGAGAGTAGGACTTAGTTCGGGGCTCAGGGTGGTCGAAGCAGAGACCGATTCGGGCTCCGTTGAAGCGTAACGTGCCTACACACCACTTATCCTTAACACCATTCTGAGGTTCGAGGACACTGGTGATTCGTTGATGCATTGACGCATCGACGATGCCCTTCCTTGGAACCTCCGTAAAGATCGTGATACGATTCTTGAGATCCGGATCGAAGGTCTCGACAACGGATCCGCGTGGATAGGTTCTGGAGATCTTCGGGCGGGCATAGACAATCAAATACTCACCAGCGAGGCTACGTTGGACCTGCCAAGAGTCAGAAAAGTCATTAAAAAGCCTTTGAGTTTACGATTTGCTTACCTGGGGCATTGTCATGTTGAAGAAGTAGGCACTCCCAACGAAGTTAGACTCCGCCTCAGCTTGTTGTGGAACAGTCGTTGTAGTCAAGGAGTAACTTTGTGGGTCCTTTGCAAGAGCCTTTCTGTAACGCTGCTGAACGATGTCCCTGCTATGCTTTGTTGATGGTTGCTTGGCTTGAGTCGCGTTGGCATCTTCGAGACCCATCTGATAATAGAGTTTAGCGTCCTTTGAATCCATTCTTCCCATGCCACGTTCGTCGTTTCCACCTTTGCTGCTCGATCCTCTGTGTCGGTAGTCGGGTCCACCCAATCCTCTATAGTTGTTTCCTCCCATGCCGCTCATCTCACTGCTTTGATCATCCATTCCACTCATAGGCCTGTCGTTTCTACCCTTCTCGCTTTTGAAGTTCATGGCAGCTCTCGCCTTGTTCTTATCTCCACCCAGGTTCATGTCAAATCTGACACTTTTTGCTGGCCAGCTCTCCTTCTCCTTGCCCTTGTCTTTGTCCGCCATCTTGATATACGACCAGATGGGTAGCGGTAAGACCGGTGCTAGGTCAGGTTTTGGAACTTGTTTACCGGTAAGCTTTATGCGGCCGGCAGTAAATACTTCATGAAGAGCTTATACGCACATGTCTAGGACGTGTGTATAACCACTGACTTCTTTGTCTTGAGGTACAAAACAGGGAGACCGTAGAAGGTCGGCGCCGCTTCAGGTTCTGTAAACTTGTCTCTCAGTCAGCACCATGCTGCCGATCGCATATACGCTTCATATAGGGGTTATACTCACAGTCTCGGGACGAGCTCACGACCGCCGACCTCCTTGTCTTGAAGTTGTGTGGAAGACGTTGGAAGATCGACGCGATGCCTTTGTTTAGGGAAGGGAAGGGAATTTTCCAAATGAGGTTTGAATCCATTCAAAAGCTTAAGTTGGCTCGCCGCTTTTCGGATATGTCCGCGCTATACCGTGAGGGGATAATAATGTGAATAGCCTCACAGTCCGAGGCGGCGGCGGCTGCGGCGTACCTTCAGCTTCCTTGGAAGCATCCGGGAAATTTTCGATAGCTCACGGATAATTTGTGCTCGCAATCTATTCTGTTGTCAATCTCTGAAGTGTTCCTTGAAAATAGGGGGTTTGTTTACTTCAGCTCCTGTATTGTCCGAGCTATACCGACATCGATTGGCATAAATTCTGAGTGACAGTTTGTTTACAAGAGCATTATACAATTTATATATTTTATGGATCTGAGAACGTATACCTAGTACTCCCCAAACGTTATCTTCAGAGCTAGTCCTTGGGAGGGCTTCAGAACAAAGATGGTCCACTGTTCATACTTATGCAGCTTCACTCTTTATGTTAGTTGTTGTCCCAAAGACAGGAGAGTCAGCGTTTGGGGGCAAGGATATTAGCAAATTCAACTCTTATTTGTTTGCGTAATCCTTTGGCACGCCCACATAGACTACACATGCTGTAACAAGGGCTACCTAGAAAACTGAAAAGGGGTATCACGTGATTGCAGTTAGAAAGGAACTTGGTTGGCCAGTAATACCAACTATTCCTATTCTTATATAATTTAGAACAATCAAGTCAATCATAATCGAGACGGGTTCTTCCACTACCCCTCTCCTTTTCAGATAATATTCCAGACGGTGTGAATGTTCCAGGTACTTCTAGTATCCCGATCGATCAGATGTTCCAGATATTTTGGATGTTACAGATTGTCTGAATATTCCATACAGCTTTATTTATACTTTGCATTGCTCTACGAAATATCTATAAAAAAAGGTTCAAACACAGGTAAACAAGAGAGCCAAAAAGTGGCACAAACGCGAAGCGTATCCATCTCTCAATGCTTTTCGAGTGCACCAAATCATCGAGTGATCATGTTCTGCCGACCTGGCCCCGTTCCGATGTATTGCACTTTGATTCCAACAAAGTTTTCTATGAATTCGACGTATGCTCGTGCCTCCTTTGGCAGATCGTAGAAGGCTTTGGCTCCTGTGGTTGGCTTCTCCCAACCCTTAAGCTCCTCGTATTTTACCTTTACGTTGGCTAATAGTTCGAGATTTGCGGGGAAAGATTCTAGTTCTTCGCCTGTAGTTGGGTCGAGATATGCTGTTGCTACTTTTATCGTGGGGAATGTGTCGAGGATATCGAGTTTAGTTACGTTGAGGGAAGTGTAGTGGTTGATAGCGGCAGAGTACTAAGGCAAAATGCTAAGTTAGTATCCCCCGCTCCTTGGGAGTATCGAATAGCAATCCGCAAAGTTAAACCAAGAGGAGAATCAATATACCTTGACGACTACCAGGTCTAACCAACCGCAGCGTCTTCTTCGACCAGTGGTCACGCCCCATTCTCGCCCGATCTCTTGAAGCATCGTGCCAACTTCACCCAGGTCTTCAGTGGCAAATGGCCCTCCTCCAACTCTTGTCGTGTATGCTTTAACAACACCAATAATTGATTTCACCTTCGTGGGGCTGAGAGCGAGTCCAGTGAAGACACCTCCAAGACCAGTGTTGGACTAGTAGAGTCAGTAGCATAATTAGTGGGACTGCTGAGGAAGTACTCACCGATGTAACGTAGGGATATGTGCCGAAGTCGAGATCAAGCATGAGGGCATTTGCGCCTTCAACCAGAATTGGTAAGTTTGAATCTTGCGCAGATTTCATCAAAGGGACTTGGTCAACCACGTAGTTGCCCAACTCTTCCCGGTACTCCTGCAGAACACGGGTTAGTGAGATCCTTACTGAGAGATTGAGCGGCGGACATTGAATCTTGAGATCTCTTCCTCCACGTCGTACTTCAGCAAATCACCGTATCTTTTCTTGTAACCGGCCGCAAGCTCTCTTAATCTCTGGTTAAAGAGCGTCTCGTTGAAGACCTCGCAGATGCGAATGCCACTTCGTGCCGCTTTTGTACTATATGCTGGCCCGATTCCCTTTCTTGTTGTACCGATGCTCTTTCCACCCAATTCAACTTCTTCGAGCCCGTCCACGAGTTGGTGTAAATCGAAAACGATGTGTGCTCGATCGCTGATGAGGATGCGTGACCGGACGTCTTTCAAGCCCTGATCACCCGTCAATTAGTGAGTGCTCATTTCGACTGGGGTTCGGAAACGCACCTTGGCTTCCAGATCGTTTAACTCCTTGAAGAAGGAAGGGACATGAACCTAGACCCATTCGAATCAGCTTCGGTTCTTGGGTAACAACAAAGAGCTCGGGGCCATTGTGCCTCTCAGACATAATTTCCCGGAGCAGAACTTCCCAAGCAACCTGAAGTCCTTTCAGAACAGGAGAGAATAACCCACCACAACTCCAGACCCAATCACATTCTGGCATTCGGGATTGATCAATCCAGAAGGCAGAAGGTGGAAATCGTATGTAACCCCATTCGCGACTATAGTGTGTCCGGCATTGTTCCCGCCTTGGGCCCTGGCGCAAAGCTTCACGGTAGGGCAGAGAATATCGACGAGCTTGCCTTTCCCCTGGGGGGTTGCAGTCAGCATTATCGAATTGTCTGTTAATTATACAGGAAGAAGCTCTCAGGTTCCGGGTCATGGAGACGAGGCTGCGAGAATGGGACGTGCTCAGAAAGCAGGGTGAAAATAGGACAAACCTCGTCGCCCCATTGGGCTCCAATAACAATTGTAGCCATTGCTGTTCCTGCAGAACTCACGTCAGCTTCGGGCGGTGGATGTGGCAGGAGAGTTGGCATACCAATTGAGTGTCTTTGAGAAGCGTCGCAGATTGAGAAGACTCTTGGTGGGGCTTTCTGCTTGCCGAAGGCGGGGCAGAAATTTTGACGCTGGCCCCCTCCATTTTATCTAACGTGCTGACACGTGACTTATACCCTAGTTCAAGTTGAGATAACAGGGAGAAACTCTCAATGCTAAACCCACAGAAGTTCAGATGGAAAGGACAGAATATATGGAAGTTCCCACGAGCTCACTGCCTCCCAACACATGCTATCAGACTTTGAGACTTTCCGATGAACACGGACTCAGGTGGTCCGGGGTGATTTTTGCATACGCCCTCGAGGGTGAGATTTGATGAAGAAGACAATCATTGGTCTACCACGAGTCACTCGATCCTAGCGCATCTGATGGTAGTCTGCGCCCCTCAGTCAGTAAGCTGGAGGTGGACCGGTTGGAGAGTGGTTGTAACCTTGTGAAATGCAACAGGAGGACATCGTTGTTGTTCTCCGCAAGTGCTACTCCTGTGATAGGTTGTCGCACGTGGCCACACGTGATTATCCTCCTTTTCATTCGTGCGCGAAAGTGGGTCAATATGGGCTCGGCGGACTTATTAAGACACTCATATCTGGAAGTACAATGCGCGGTAACATAGAAAATGTTTCAGCTGGGTTGTTCCGAACTCTGACTGCATTCTCAAATCACTTTCCCATTTCAACCTTGACCGAGACTTCTCTAATGGGTCTCGTATAAATATTTGATTACAAGCATACTGCAGCTTGTCCCAGTTTGATCCGTTATAAAGGAAATCTCAGCAGAAACTTTGTCTGCATTTTTTCGAGAAGAAGCCAGCCAAAGGGTTATCTCATTTTGCTTGAATTTGCAAACTTTAAGTCGAGCAGCTCGATGGGAAGCCGACGTCAAGCACTATCTCCTCGCACTTAACTTCCTCAATCATAATCTCTCCCCTCCCAAATTGCTTCCTCTGCCCCTCCAAATCACCACGTCCATCGGCTTCCCCGCGCCCTCGCCCATCCTGCTCCCAACTCACTCTTTTCCTCACCACCTTCCCGTCCCTTCCCCTCAAGATCCCAACTACAGGTTTCCTCTCCCTCCTCATCCTCCTCTCCTCAATCATCCACTCCTTAAACTTCTCCTTCCTCCCCCTCTCTTCCCACCAATCTTTACCAACCTCTAAACCCTTACAACCCCAGATCCAACACGCTTTCAACACCATAAGAAATACGGCAAACACCACGATTCTCTCCGCCGTGTCCCGATTAGAGTCCATCCAGACATTGATCCGTGCTTGCTTTTTCTCCAGTTGTTGCTTCCATAGAGGGAGGGAAGACATGAGGGGCTCTGGTGCAACCGGTACTGCGTCGAAAGATGACGAGTTTCCTGGCATCTGAGTTCCCGTCACCTCGTCCGCAGAAGCGAAGAGTGAAAGCGTAATCTGGAAGATGGACATTGCGAAAGTGATGTTTCTCTGTCGACCGACCGCCTGCTGGAGCTTTTCGTATGTTTGGGTGAAGCGTTGTGGTTTTGCTGAGTGGTAGAGGACAGGTATGTGAGTCCGATCTCTTTAATCCGGAATCGGAGTTATTGATAGCGAAGTGTGGTGACTACTTGTCGTTGCGGATTTCATCGCGATTTTAGAATCGAAAAGGGAAAGCGCGCCTCTGGCTGCTTTTTGGATTGTAGAAAGCAAGAGATACCAGGGTTGTACGGGAATGACGTAGATGAGGGGATGTGAAAGCCACGAACCACGGTTCACTTGAACCGTGCTTTGAATGAGGGGCGCCGTGAAGAAAGTGGATTTTAGAGCGGCCCGAGCCATTAGCATGAACCTTACCTACTGAATGACCGACTCGGTTCCAAGAAACAAAGACGGACACAACCTTGACCTAGGAGAAAACGTTTGTTGTATTTCGTCTGGAGGCTAGGAGATATAGATGCCGATCCTACCCACTTCAAATCACCGAGAAGGAGACTGTGATAGATATAATTTGAGTAGGAACAAAAAGATTTTTGAAATAAGTAAGCTGGGTATAATACGATCGAAGCAAAGTAAATCCTCCCCCAATTTCTGCATACAACCCAATATGTACAATAGCGAGCGAGGTCGCTTTCACCCCTCTTTCTCTTAACCATAAGCATTAACTTCGTAAAGCATCATAAGATTACCAGTTGTGACCGACTCAAACTTTTAACTCTCCAGTAATCTCCTCCCTGACTCGTGCACACCACTTCCAAATAGCTTCTTCGAAACCTTTCCAGGCTGCTCTGTCAGTACCATTGACAACTCCCATAACGTCCACGTGCAATATGACTTCCCATCTCAGTTCTGCTGCTTTGATCCAATAGCGAAGATTCTCGGCCATCCGATACGGCTTTCCGAACTCTGTGTGCCATTTATCGATAGCTCCAAATGGTCTCTTGCTCTCCCTCACCAACGCATTATGCAATTTTACCAGCCTCAACCCGGTCTTGAGATCGTTCAAGAAGGGGGTAGGCAATCTTTCGTCCGCGACCTCATCTACAGACCTGAACTCGGGAAGGGTGTCTGCTTCGGGATCCATCGATTTTATGAATGCGTACTCCCTCTCCACACCTTTGCCCTGCCAGGAATTATCAAGCCAAGTCCAGCTCGCTCTCCGCTTCCTCTCGGCCTCTTCCATTGCCTCCTCTTGCTTCAGCATCTCGTAGACACTGGCGACCCAGTTCTCCATTGTTTCCCGTTCGTCAGTCTTCATGCCGCCCATGAAAGTCCTTGTCGCCATTTTCTTCAGCACATCCATGACAGTTAATAACTCAGCTCGAATCCTGCGCTCAGATTTGATGGCTGCGAGACGTGCTGGTTGATCATGCGCAGTGTAGTACATTTTAGCCGCGCGGATTGCGAGAGTCATGATGTCCAGAATGTGCATTCCTTGGAGCTCATACCAGCCTCGATTATCGTCTGAAGACGCGGGGCTCAAGGGCTCGCCATCGGAGATGTGTGTCCCAGAAGGGGATGGAGGTTGGGAACTCGGATTCACTTTCGCATCTTCGAGGACCTTTACCGCAGCAGCGAGTGCCTTCTGCAATTCGTCCTTGAGCTCTTCCAGGGAAGGCGGTTTTGGAATCGGCTTCTCGCGATGGTTGTAGGTGCTGACAGTCGGAGGAAGCATGTGTGGGTGGTCTTCGTCCTCTTCTTCGCCGCTGTAGTATTCAAACTCCTCTTGGGTAGGGCTCTCTGCTATCATGCCTCCGAGTCCTTGTGCGTGAAGCTCGGGGCTGCTTCCCAACGAGGCATATGAAGAGTCGACATCTGAACAAGCCACTTTTGGAGTTAAGAATGATGTATCCAGAGATGATAGATCCAGCGTTGCCCGGCTGTCCTTGTCCTTCTTCCTTGCCAAACGTCCTCCCTTCCCATCAAGCAAACCAGTCCTTGCAAAGTAATATTGTAGGTGTGCTATGCTGCCTAAACTTAAAACACTTTCTCTCGACTTGGCTGACGCTGCGAAGTTCGTGCCTTGTGGGCGGACATAGCCACGTCGTTTTGGCTTCTCGGTGCCGGTAATCGAGAATCGATTCGCGTAGCTCGCAGATGATGATCGTGATACAGACGTGCCGACAGAGCTCACTGTGCTACTTAACGACTCCCGCCCCATGACGTTGGATAGATCCGAAATAGAGCCCGTGGAAGCTGTGGAGACGCAACGAGAGAGCTCTGGACATGCTCCAATTGCAGGCGTTGGTGACGTAGAGGGAGAGGGAGACTCTCTGCGAAAGGATGGTTGTGCTCTGAGTGCTGGTGTCGTCGCCATGATTGCGAATGTTGTGTTGTTTAAAGTCGATTGTGTAGGAGCTGATCCTTTGGTCGTTTGCGCCTTGTTGAAGGAAGGAACGCTGCTATAAATATTATGTTTTGAAGGAGTGGAATGGACTCTGCCCCGCAGCAGCCTCATCAGCCTTTTGATGAAGCTGTCGACACGGTTGCTGTGGAAGCTCGTGATACGAGCTGGCCGAGAATGTGTTGAAATGCTCAGTGGGATGGAACTTGCGTTCCGGATAGGAGGCTGACAGGGGTTGCGTCTGTTTCAAACGGTACGTGCAATAGCTCGAGCGCATATAGGCAAGCATAAACTTCGAGAAGACTTGGAAGCGTTCGGTGTATCAACGGCCATAAATTCGTGAGAGCTGGGTTTGAGAGGAAGTTACGATGAGAGTGAAAACTAACACCCTTACCCGGAATGCCGTCAATCTATTGCGAGTTCATTTTTTCTGACCCAGCAACGCGAAAATACGCCCAAAGTTCGCGTGTTTTCGTTTGATGATCCAAATCTCGCTGATGGCTAATAAGTTCCTGCGCTAGAGCTCGGTCACGATGAATTCCGATGAGAGCCGAATCTCAAATTCGATAGGAGGGCCCAATGTGCCAATCTTGAGAGAACGGTAGAAAAAGACTGGACTGCGATGCTCTTCGAAAACGACCTTTATTCTCCTATGAACTTGTTATCGGAGCGGAATGGTGGCGTTCGAGATCAAGTGACCGAGAGAATTTGAATTTCATGCGAGCCCCTGAATTGAGAACACGTGATCAAGCACAACAAACTTCCTTGTGACATCGTGGCGGATATCAGACTATCATGAGATTCGACTGTAGGCCTTGTCAGATTTATGCTTTCTAAAGGGGGGCAGTCTTCTTCTGGGTCGATGCATTATGGCTTCCTCACGTGTCGCAATCGAGGCTCTCGGTCTCCGTTCTGAAATATACGCCTCTGTACCTGCCACTGTGTATTTATTAGCATAATAGCTCCCTTTTTCTTGCGGTGTTGGTGCTTGCTTCGATTCGACTGACCTTTATCCACTCACCATCAATCAACTCATCCCTTCGGACTGAATTTCACCCCTCATTCAATCTAGCAAGCGTCTCCATACTTGAGGCAATGGTGAACTGGTCTCACATGTCGCAGCGCTCAGAACGCACCTTAGGAAGCTTACAAGAACGGCAATTTCCCCCGATTTCCTCTTCCGGCACAAACCTGGTCTTGCCTCTTTCACACCCAATAAGGCAAAAGATGACTCTCAACCTCTCCGCCTCTTCCCCACTGCATCAGCCGATCATTTTGACAGCCATTCTCGACTCCCTTGACAAGTTTTCTCCCCCGGTACCAATGCCATGTCGCCATGCGGCAACTCTCCCTGTTTCCCCAGTCCTTTTCTGTTTCTTTCCCACTCTTCCCTAGCAGAAATTTGTTCAGTACAAGGTCTATGCACTGGCAGCCGACGGTTCTCCCGAGAAAGGGTCCCTAGGGCCCTCTGGAGTGTTGCAGGCAATGTGTGCTCAACACTTCTGGAAATTTTCACCGCAGGCCTACACTCGAGGCTTGTGGCACTGGACACATATAAGCCTTGCGATTGATAAAACCCCCAAGTGGTACTTGCTACAAGAAGTCTGCATTCTTGAACTTCTATAAGAATCCTTTTCCTGCTTGTACTTATTCAAATTCGAATCCTCCCGACATCTTCATCAGAGACAATTCTACTATCGTCCAATTCTTCCTTCCTTCACACTATTCCATCACTTCTCAACAACACGTAATGGCACCATCAGCTGTAGACCCAGTTCCTCTCTACGAGGATCGAGATGGCATGGCGCTGGAGAACCTCTCAGACAACATTGATGCCGTCAACGTCATGAAAGCCGACATGAAGAGGGAGAAGGCTATGAAGGAGAGGTCCGAGTTCGACGCTGAAAAAGACAAGACAAAATTCCGACAATACGAAGAAGCCTGTGACAGAGTCAAAAACTTTTACCGAGAGCAACACGAAAAGCAGACAGTGGCCTATAACCTGAAGGCTCGCAACGACTTCAAATCCAAGACGCGAGCTGAGATGACAATCTGGCAAGCAATGGAGAAGCTCAACACTCTCATCGACGAGTCCGACCCCGACACCTCCCTCTCCCAAATCGAACATTTACTTCAGTCAGCTGAGGCTATCCGACGAGACGGCAAGCCACGATGGATGCAACTGACTGGCCTCATCCACGACCTTGGCAAACTCCTCTTCTTTTACGGGGCGGATGGCCAATGGGATGTTGTCGGCGATACCTTCCCCGTTGGATGTGCTTTCGACAAGAGGATCATCTACCCAGATACCTTCAAAGGTAACCCTGACCATGATCATCCAATCTACGGCACCAAAAACGGGATATACACTCCAGGGTGCGGGATGGATAATATTATGCTGTCATGGGGTCACGACGAGTATTTGTACCACATCGTCAAGGAGCAGTCAACCTTGCCAGCGGAGTCACTTGCCATGATCAGATATCACTCTTTTTATCCATGGCACTCCGCTGGAGCTTATACTGAGTTTATGGATGAACATGACCATGCTATGTTAGAGGCTGTGAGGGCATTCAATCCCTATGATCTGTACAGTAAGAGCGATGATGTCCCAAGCGTGGAGGTCCTAAAGGTATGTTAAGACTACAAAAGTTAATGCACATCAAAGCTAATGTAGCCTTTTAGCCATACTACCTCGAGCTCATTGATGAGTTCTTCCCCAAAAAGGTCATTAAGTGGTAGAAGATTCAAGCCTGAAGGACAAAATATCAAGCCGGGGCAAGCCGTCTCAAGCTGAGCGTGGGAGCGTTTGCGGAGTTGCATTCAAAGCGGATCGTCGATCACTTTTAGCTGCTGTGCAGCATATACTGTTTTCATACCGATTTGATGCAATTGCAACATAGAGACTAATGGACTTGTTGGATCAAGCTCCTGCTACGTTTTTTTACGTCTTTCATGCATACGCTGGCCCAAGACACACTTCAGGTGGGGACAGGTAGCCTTCCACGGCTCTACTAACTCACGACGCTCTCAAACCAGCTAGGGGTTCGAGTCCAAATGTATTTTCTTCCTAGATGTATCCATTGTGGATTCAATACACTTCGAGCAAGTATATAGATCTTGGGGTAGAGAACAAAAATCTCCAGCTCACAGCATATTATCCTTTGTCCACTCTTCACTATAAATCACTGTTCCTCGTCGCTGTCACTCAAGTATTCAAATCTATGGAGACAAGATCTACAGCCCAATGAATTCTTCTCTACCACTAAGTCTCTCTCTTCAAAACGCCACCATTACTGAAATATACTTTTTGTACCCTTTACCTCCCCATCCACCCGCCATCAACCACCAGTACATGCCCACTAACATACGCACTCGCCCTCCCCGCCAAATACACCGTAGTACCTCCAAAATCCTCCGGCTTTCCCCACCTTCCCGCAGGAATCCTCTCACTAATACTCTTCAACCTGCTCCCATCCGCCAGGAGCGCAGTATTCATCTCCGTCTCGATATACCCCGGCGCAACCGCATTAACATTCACGCCTTTCGAAGCCCATTCGTTCGACAGTGCCTTCGTCAACTGCGCAACCGCACCTTTGGAAGCTGAGTATGCGGGGACTGTAAGCCCGCCTTGAAACGAGAGGAGAGAGGCGAAGTTGATAATTGAACCGCGGCGGTTGGTGATGGATGAGACGGGCAGGGAGAGCATGTGTGCGCCGATGTCGCGGCAGAGGGTGAAGACTGTGGTCAGGTTTACCTGGAGGACCTTTCATTCCAACCATTAGCTCCTTCTCTCCCCCCGGCTCTCTCTACAGAATTGGGGGAATGGCTCACCTCGTTCCAGTCATTATCAGGAAACTCCGCCGAGGGGTGCCGTCGTTGAATACCGGCACAGTTCACGAGAATATTGATCTTATGTCCATCTTTCAGGATCGCAGGAGTGAGGGCCGCAACTTCGGCTTGCGAGGAAAGGTCTGCGGTGTAGATGGTTGCTTTGCGGCCCAGTGCTTCTATGGCTTTTAGGGTTGTAGTGTTCGAGTGGTCGCGCTGAGACTGGTTAGTAGTTGCGTAAAGGTCTATTTCAATTTTTATAGAGATGTGGGAGAGGAAGTACACCTGTATCAAAATAATATCTGCCCCGCACTCCGCCAGCGAAACAGCGACAGCTTGCCCGATTCCCCTTGTTCCGCCTGTGATCACAGCTTTCTGGCCTTCCAGAGAGAACATCGCCATTGTTGCAGAAATCGCCATCTTCAATTCGGAGCTCGATTGTCTTTGATCAAGCTTCCTCAAATTTGGAGAGAGAGCTGGATAAAAGTATTTGGAAATTATTATCTGGAGCTCCGAAGTGAGGGGTCGGCCTTTGCTGCTGCTCGCCGATGCGGGTTGAAAGACGGGGCAATTTTCCGCTTGGGGATGGCGAGGAATGGGGTTGGTGGGGAAAGCACTGGCTATCCTTCCCCTGAATTGCCGTTGGCTTGCCCGTCAGACACCGAGGCCCTGCGAGCTCGGGGCATCACCAAGCTTACAAGGATTTCAAGACTTGATAAAAATAGGTGGTATGTCCTCTTACTTGATCCATAATTCACATGGATCGTTCATGAAATTGAAAAATGGCTGTCAATGGAGAACAACATGTCAACGGGGCGGGGAAGATCGGGGAGGTTGTTGCTTCTGTCTTGCATGGGGTCAAGGACTTGAAGATTGTGAGTTGGGCTAAATAGTGACAACTTCGTGAACAGCTAACTGAGACGTATAGGAACATCGTCAATTGGGAGCACCAGAAGCTGCAGAAGTACAGGTGGCTATCCAAGCAACCGGTCTTTGCGGTTCAGACCTCCATTACTTCAACCACTACCGAAATGGTGACATAATTGTCCAAGAACCTCTAACACTTGGCCATGAATCATCAGGTGTTGTTACTGCTGTTGGCTCACAAGTTACCAAGCTCATAGTAGGGGACCGCGTTGCCCTTGAGGTTGGCTTGCCATGTCTCGAGTGTGAGTTGTGCAAAGAAGGGAGGTACAACATTTGCAAATCTCTCAGATTCAGGAGCTCGGCAAAGTCATTCCCCCATTTCCAGGGAACTTTACAGGCGAGGATCAACCACCCGGCGGTATATTGTCACAAGTAAGCTGCCAATGATTGAGATGAAAGATCAGTATTGACTGGAATCAGATTGCCTGCGAGTGTCTCCCTCGATCTTGGAGCTATCCTTGAACCTCTGGGTGTAGCTATTCATGGCTCAAGAAGAGCAGCTCTCAAGCAAGGGAGTACTGTTCTCGTCTTTGGGGCCGGTGCAGTTGGCCTTCTCTGTGCAGCAATGGCCAAGGTATGCGGTGCAAAGACAGTCGTTATTGCCGATATTCAGGCCGAAAGAGTCGACTTTGCAGTCCAAAACAAATTCGCAGATGCCAAGATCGTTGTCCCAATGAAAAGACCTCAGAGCATTGAAGACAAATTGACTTTTGCGAAAGAGGTTGCGGAGATGGTTAAGGCTTCATCGGGAATAGGCGAAGTAGATGCTGTCTTTGAGTGCACAGGAGTTGAGTCTTGTTTACAAGCTGCGATCTATGTAGGTGATATTCCTTTTGGTCGGTGTTATCAGCTAATTTGCATAGTCAACGAGACCAGGGGGACGTATCATGTTGATCGGAATGGGAAGTCCCATCCAAACACTTCCCATCTCGGCAGCTGCACTGCGAGAGATAGACCTCGTTGGTGTCTTCAGATACGCAAATACCTACGAAGAAGCGATCAAGTTGGTCTCAAGTGGCAATCCATTACTCCCAGATCTGTCAAAATTGGTCACCCAACGATTCAGTGGATTCGATGGTATTCCGGGAGCATTTTCCATGGCTGGAAGAGTTAAAGATGACGAAGGGAATTTGGTACTGAAAGTGGTTGTCGATACGACCAATCCATAGTCGGAGGATGAGACGAATCGCATGAGAACAGCCAAGCTGAACATCAAAATGACAAAATGGTTCTCTTGCCCGCTTCTGTTGCATCACAAACTTGAACTTGAGGTAAATGGAACAAGTATCCATCAGTGTTGAGAAAGCTTCTCCTGGTTCCTGCCCTCAATGTTGAAAATGGTGAGAATATGTTCTCAATTATACGGTGCATGGTTCGAATATCCATGGCGAACAGATTCTTGCAAAACGCAACGCTGATGATGCTTTAGCTTTGTAACTTTTGGAAAAGTGTCAACGGACAGGTTCAAATAGATACAAGAAATGAAGCAACGCGACGGCATTTATGCGAAGCTCCTGGAAGGCAGGTGTCAGGGGAGCCATGCCCCCTAGGCTGCCCTGCAAAGAGCGCAGCTGCTAATGGACATATTTCTGACCGCGCGACGTATTGCTCAATCACATAACAAAAATTACAAGTGGCTGTCTCAAAGTACCCAAGTCACACGCTTGAAAACGTATCAATGTCTTTCATGTTAAAAGACTTGCCTGTGTGGTATCGTCGATATGGGAGATTCTCGGTTCGCCCCTGAGCCCCTTTAACTTCGGTTCGGTCACGTGGCTCTGATGACAACCGAGGGTTTGTTGACATTCAGGTCTCATTCTGATGCATCATACAATAAAATAGGGTGGTTGGTATCTAATCGAGTCTTCTCGGTATCCATATCCCCGTATTGGGTTGAAGTTTGGCATATGGAATGGGGCTATAATTAGTTGATATGAAAAAAATCTCTGACTGAAGGTATCAACAAAAGTTTCTACATTCTCCCGCTGCACCCCTTCGTTCTATTCTCAGAAGAAATACCTTTTATCCTCAGTTACCTATCGCCCTGTCGAAGTTCGTCAAAGAAATGAAGTGCTCAAACTCCAGGAAGGCCAAATCTTAGTCCTTGGGACTGGTTGCTAAGACAAGCCGGATCACTACTAATTCGCACGAAGACATTAATTGACGGCGTAGGGCTATCGAAACGAATAGCATGAACCATGAAGGAGGGCACACGTGAGAATTTGGCGGTGCAACAACAGTGCACGTCGTTCCGGCTCAAGACACGTTAGGGAAGATTGTTCGCTGGGCCATACTATTTCCATGAGTACTGGTAAGTGCACCGAGAAGTGAGACCTTGAGATTTGCTGTCGAGTCAGAGATGAGAGCGAAGGCAAAGAACTGTCCATAAGCCCGATCTGTATTCGCCAGCTTGAAGGTAGGCCTGGGTAGTCCAGACAAGAGATATGGTGGAGTAAAGACCTCGACTCGGCACTCTTGAAAGTCGACAATGTCCTCAGGAGGAACGTCTCCTGACTGGCCGGTCGGTCAAGCACTTGTTCATCTAAGAGCACGATGGCTTCAGAATCGTATAAGTGGTGTTGTGTCGCACGTGACTTAGCTTAGCGCGATACCCTGTATCTTAGTTCTCGAGCTCCCCGCTCCTTCTTCCCTCTTTAGACGTACATTACACACCCAACAGAGCTATTTTCTCTTGAGAACACCAGCCCCGGGTCGTGATAGGCGGGCTACGGTGGTGTTTGCCATGACACTCATTCGTGAATTGACTGTCCTGGTCGGGTCATACATAGAGTACCGCCTTGTAGTTTGGGTCCCTTCCAAGACCAAAACCTGCTGCTCCGTGCTCACACCTGTTCATGACGGTACTTATACCGTCAAGCCGCCCAGCCATGCGCGGCATAACACGCCTGGAAGGCCAAAAACAGCGTTAACATAACATCTGCTTCGTCTAAGAGCATAACACTTACCATTCTCTCTATTGTCCACACAGGATTTGCAACCTCGGGTTGGGCAGAGACACAGTCATCAAGGGCAGAATGACCGCTTGGTGTTAAGCCCCCGCAAATCAAAACTTCCAACGGATCGGTGTATGGATGATGCTGCGGTAACAATACCATTGCACCTTCAAGCGAGTGAATCCGGCCTCCGAGGTCAATGTTAACAGATCCCTGAAAAAATGAATCGAATTAGCAATGGAAATCACACTAGACGATAGAGCCACTACAAAGGGATGGAGATTGTCAGTTTGAGTTCGGTTGAGGAAATCCAAGTAGACGGTTGTGCTGGAGTACCCGCTGATTGTAAGATTCGACAGAGTTACAGGTACTCCGCTGACAGGCAGAAGTTCGAGGAATGGCTGCTCAATATTGTTCGATGGGATCGACCCACCGACCTAAAATTCTAAAGTCAGAATTAGCACCTTTTTATGATTGGATTCAAGAAGAAGCTGGCGGACTGCGACCGGAATAATTGTCGTGCGCACACCTACGGCCATGATAGATTGGTTTGCGACGACTCAACACCTCCCCGTAGTGCAGACTGGAAACTTGTATCTCTACAGAGTGCAAGGCTAATATTGAGTAACAACATGCTATTCTCTTACACATAGTATACCAACGATCCGCTAGGCATCGAAGCTATCATGCACCCCCTCGAGTAACGATGGATATTGCACCGGCATCCCACGTGAAATAGCGGTACTATGCTTAACAAGGACGATACTAAGATACGTAAGGTAATCTTCGATGATTGCCTCGTATAGATTCGATCTTAGAATAGGACTATAATAAGGAAGTGTAGGAACAGGTTCTAAGGGGGAAGGAAAGGCAAGACTTGGAGGAGAGTGGGCATAGCTAAATAGGGGTCAACTTAGTAGCTACAAAAGGCATATCTACGGAAGGAAGATAACTATGACCTCTTTACCGTAAGTCGCATTAATGAATAGCTGTGTCTTGCATGACGCTTTAAATGGCAGCTACATAGGACAATAAACTGGATTCCAAACAAAAAGGACCACTTGGGGATGAAGGGCGTTGCAGACAAGGCGACGGAACTTTCGCACATAGTCCAGACTAGCAGACGAAGGGTATCATTCTGATCAACGTAACGTTCGATGCCACTATTATACACAAAAATGGTATCTCTTGCTCTTTCATTCTCTTCCCACATTGATTCGGTTATCTTCCTCCCCATCAGCCCCTACCTTACCACATCTCGTCTCGTGACTTCGTGCCTGCACGCTATTTACATCTCCTCCAGCCTCATCCTATCTTACTTTTGATCTCCTTTCAAAAAACAGTATCGGACCCACCAAAGCCTCGCTCAAAATCCATCGAATAATCGTTGCATCTCAAAAAGGGTGTGAGATGAGAAAAAGAATTGAAGCGCTGCATTCCCGACAAAGGTAAACGCCTCTGGTGTAAGTAAAATGAAACGCCGAGTTTATAACAAATCGTTCTATGAACCCATCGAATAACGACATTCAATCTGTCGAAAAGACGGAATCTAGCAAGAATTTCATCGCCATGGCTTCTTTTCCGTGCCCTTGCTATCCGTGCTTGTCGAACTACCATTTCGCTTCATCGCACTGGCAGCGCCAGCTATGGCTTGAGGACTCTCCCTTCCAGTAACGCCAGAATTCTGTCTCCCTCTCGGTTGAGGGAGCAAGCTAACCCGTCTGCTTGCAGCCAAAGAACTGGCAGGTCTTGCTGGCTTGGCGACCGGGCTGATCAATCCAGTTGGATCACTGGCTTGCGGTTGCATTGACGCCCGGCGGCTGGCAGTGGAGTTCAGAGCAGACATAGACGACTGTGTGTTAAGAAGGCGTGGCCTGCTTGCGGGTGAAGATTTAGTGAGGACTTGCTGAGAGTATGGACCTGGGCTAGCGATGCGGTCTCTTAAGGCGAGCCGAGAATTTGAAGTACGTGAAGGAGTGACATCGAACGCAGGAGACGCTGTATTATCCCGGCTTAGAGGGCTGCGAAGTGGAATCCTAGACTCATTTGACTTGTTCGAATGGGTCAAAGGAGGCCCAGTACGAGCATGAGGGCTTGGTGTCGTTAGACTCATGGGCTTGTGGTGATGCCCGATGATTGTATCTTTGGTGTTGACGCTGGAGTTCCATTTTGGCCTACCATCCGCGGCGTGAGTCAACGATGGTCGTGGCAACCGGTTTCCTGTTGGTGTTGCAGAACTCTGCCTGGATGCTGATGCGGGAGATGGAGATGCTTGACCTGCAGGAGCACCGATGCTTGAGAGACGGCTCGTCAAGCCTTTTCGAGGGAGCTGGCTCGTTGTCGCTGGCATGCTGGCAACTCTCCTTCCCCCAGGTTGAGGGAGACTGCTCTTGCTGTTGGCGCGTACCTTGCCGTTCGTTGCCGGTGTTGAGGGGTCTAGTCCACCACTGAGGCCATTCATGACCACAGAAGAAGCTGGGGAGCTACCAGGGGTATCATAGAGACTTCCGACGGTCGATCGATCGATGCTAAGCATGCTTGATATCGAATCTCTGAGCTGCTGGTTCTTCTTATCTGCTTGGAGCTCCTCCAAGGTAATATCAAGCTCAGCCATTTGTTCTTTGAGCGCCTCCCATTTCCGCTGCATTTCAGAATGCAGTCGAAGAATTTCGCCATTAACAGTCAAGCGATCCTTCACACCCCGCTCAATAATAGACAAAACTCGCTCAATTGCTGGACCATAATGAAGCTTTTTTCCCTCATAGCTCTCAATCTTCTTGCCCATGGAAGCGGGATTCTCCAAGTGGCTACCCGCATCGATTCCCTCCCTGAGTTTGACAACACTTCGATCAACGGATTCGTACATCTTTTGTGCCTGCCGACCGGCCCCTTTAAATACCAGAACCCACCGATCCTCGCCCAATTCTTTTCGTAGTGATTCAGCGTCTTTTTCCAAGGTCTTCCAGCTGCTTTCAAGTCCCGCCCTCTTCGTCTCAAGTTCTTCACATGCGGTCGGAAATATTCTTTCCGCCCTGGCGTGAAAAGTTGACAGTCGCATAGGAAGGAAGTCTAAAGACGCTCGTAGTGGTTGCATTCTTGCAAATAGCGCAAGAAGACTCGAATCATCTTGAGCCATGGAGGAAGGATTGGGAGAATTCGGGCTCATAGGGAAAGCAACCGGCACGCTGAAGCGATTGTTGGCATGTAGCCTTGTCTTGGAAGGCGGCGTCTCTTCAACAATGGTTTCGAGTTCGTTGATGTCGAGTCCACTTTCCCCACTAGCCTCCATCAATGACTTGTGTCTCTTTTCTTCCATCTCGAAGACTAATCTGGCTAGCACGTCCATTTCGTTGCCAATATCACCCAACACTGTGTTCCATAGCTCCTCCCATTCCATGGCAATTTCGACAGAGTTCTTGACATCTTTCAATGTGTTCCGTATCTTCTCCCATTCCGCGAGTATCGTCTCAACTTGCAGCACGACCTTCTTCAGCTCATCCGCTGAGACGGTTGAAATATCAGGTCGGCCTTGTAAAGATTCGATGGCTGAAACATAAACATTGATGAGTTCTTCGAATCGGGTGATTGCATTATCGACCTCTTCCAGGCCTTCTCTGCCCCCTGCCGCTGCCCATTCCACGTCGTCTTCGCCATCGAGGCCAGCAATAACCTCAGTCGCTTTTGATATCCAGCTTCTGATCTGCTCTGCTGCCCCCATCAACGCTTTCGAGGCAGCTTTTGACGTCGGTATAGCAGAAACTTTCGTCGAGAGCGATTCGGCATCTGGAAGTTGGAGTGATGTCAATTGTGCCAGTTGACTTGCAAAAGAGACGCGGGACAGCGTGTAGATCGAGCCGGCACGTTGCAGACCGAATGGGTTGAAATACGAAGAGACATCTACCATGGAGTCGGCAGGAGTGCCACCTGGCGGCGTGTCCTTGGATATTGGTGGAGGGGGAGCATCCTCTGCTTCGTCTGGCGGGGTGTATCTCTCGATGTGTGCCTGTTTTGTGTCGGACATTGCTTTTGTACCATTGCCATTCGTGTGCTCCGGTAGACGGTACTTCTGCGAGTCCATATCTATCTGCGGTGCATGTGTGGTCATCACCGTCTCGCCCACGCTCGCAGCCGATGATGGACGACGTGTTTCCCCCTCAAAAAGCCTCGAATCATCAATCGTGATCTCGTTGAGGTTGGCAACACTTGCCTGCGGCGTGATCTGGCCGCTCGCACCACTCCAAGCTCGTCCGCGTCGTTGGATGGTCGTAGATTTCGTAGACAGTGCTCGGTGGATGGTGTCGAGTTTGTGAATGTGGTCCTCTGGGATGCGGCCAACGCGATCGCTCGAGGGTGAGCGACTCGTCGGTTTCGCTTTCGTCGAATCCTTTCCAAAACCTAAGGCCTTCAAACGCGCAGCTAGACCAGGCGAGGGCTTGCGCGCCTTGCGAGCGTTCTGTTGATCGGGCTCAGGAGTCGAGGGCGAGGAGTCGAGCTGCTGCAGGTCGTTGGTAGCTGCACTGTACGTCGACCAGGGTCGCGCCGACAAACCATCTCGAAGCGCGGTCATTGGATTGGACTGTCGAGGGATTTAGGCTCTCCCACGGCCTCGGTGTGCAGTCTTGCTCTCAACTCACGCACTCAATTTTGGACTTTGCAAACCAAGGACGCAACAGCGACAGCGACGGCGACAGCGACAGCGACAGCGATGGTCAACCCCTTCGGAGCACTGAACGTGGCTTCCCCAGAGCTCCAGGGGTTGCGGCCTTGTGAAATTGAGACCCGTGGGAAATTTTTGGAGACGAGCGGTGACTTGTGCCTGCGTGTGTGAACAGCGCCGGCCACCGCCTGCTCTAACTCGTCCCGACTCTCTCTTGGTTCATCAGCGGCGCGCAACGGTGACAACGGGCCCGGCAGCGTGATAGGCAGCGAGGACTGGAGGATCTGGAGGCGCTGTTTGAGCGGAGTCTGCTGCTCTTGTCCTCTTGTACCGCGGCCAAGGGGAAGCAAGGGCGAGGTCGATTACGAGGATGGACGGCAGCAGCGATGATCACTTAATTGTACTGTACGGAGTACGACGGCTCAGAGAAGGAGCCAACGTGCAGACTCGGTTTGTGTTCCACCCCCTTCCACCGCAGCACGAACGATAAGTGATCTAATACATGTTTCAACCGGGAAGATCGGTCGTGATCTGGCGGCAATGCGTTCAAAGTTTTCAAAACCTTCCGATTGTTGTCTGGTAGCGACAGGTCTGCTATCATTTATGACTTATGAGCCCAGAGAAGCAACATGCATAAATGTCTTGGATCTGGACAGGGGCAGCAGTCCACCCTTCGGTGCCGGGACCGTCACGTGAATTTAAAGTTTGTGCACAGAGGAACCATCGTCTCCCTTCTCTGGCACCGGAAATTGGATCGAGAATATCACGGTCTTCCCTGGGATGTCTATGATAAGGCTACTAAGAGCGTTGTGAGGAGAACTCTCTGTCTGCGAGGCATAAACCGGCGAAGTTTAATTAATTATTTGGCGGCTCTCACTGTTTCTGTGCTCACAACTTCTGAAACGGAATCCAGATGAACCAAGTCTATCCATTAAATTCTGTATATACATGTTCCGAGATCCTCGCTTTGTTTCATCGATTTCTTCGAACTGGCAATTGTCTATGTATACAGCGCCGACGATATGTGCCCAAACCCACCACTGATTTCCACCGCCAAGTTGACAACGGTTGATATGCACCAGAGTATAATTAAACCCCAGCCTATTTTCTTGCTCATGACCCATTTGTTCATGGGCACGGCAATCAAAAGCCCAACGAGAGTGACCAGCAGTGTGATCGCACTGACCATTAAAGTTCCACTCACTTCTATTTCGTACGGCTTGTACTTTACTTTCTTCCCCGGATGCTTTTCGTGCTTATGATTGGCCTCCTTCACGGTCATGTAAAGCCCACTCACACCGATGCCGAGTAGAATGTTCAGCATCGGCCCGCCAAAGCAGGCTGAAAGTGCCATCACAGGATACCCGAGTCGAGCGACAGTGACATCTGCAACTAAATCGCCAAGAGAATTCCCGACAGCAAAAATGGTAAGCCCCAATATTGCATCCGAGATCCCAAGGATGACGCCGAAAGCTTTGAGGACGCCGACGACCTCGTTCGCAATTGTTGAGATCCAGGCGATGGAGACGACAAAGCCCAGGAAGCAAAGCAGGAATCGATATTTCGGAGGCTTCGAGTTCGTCGTAGTCATAATCAGGATTGCAAATGCAATAAGAGAGCCGAGAAGCGACCAGAGAGTCATTTTCATAAGGAGGCGGGCTGTGGCTTCGGCGGTATTCGCCCAGACGATTAAGACGACAAAGAGAGGAGCCGTGAATATTTGAACAGCGACAAGCCATCGATTCCAGTCCCGGGGCGAGGTAGCATTGGCTTCTACATCAGCCTCCACCGCCGTTTCGGTGGACCTTCTTTTTGGAGGGGTTGGTCTGGGGTTGGAGTGTTGGTGGTGGTTTTCGGCTGACACTGCGACTTCAGCTGTGTTGTGGCTACTAAAACCTCGTGAAGGAGGTTGTGGAAGATGGTCCTGTGATTCTGTTGCTCTTCGATAACGGATCCATTCTGGCTCTACCTCACTGGTTGGGGAATCAGAAACTAATATGGGGCCGCTCCTGGTCCGGCCCCGGGCAAGTGAAGCCGATCTCTCCTCGAGTAATCGACGCTCTTCATCAGCGTCTTCATTCTGCGAATCAGACTCAACGACAGGTAGAGTGATCGCGAGAAGGAAAATGCTTGGTGCTGAAATTACGCTCACAATCTTATCCCATATGCTTTTATCTCGCCAAGTGCACAGCGTTGGGAACAAAACGGATGCAAGAGTGTAAGGGCTCGGCAAGTAGTGGTCTGGCCACCAGGCGATGGGCTTCTGTTGATAATCCAGATCATGGATGGTGTAAACAGATTCAGGTGATCCGTGTGCATCGGGTAGTATAAGACTGGGTAGACTAGGAGGTTTTGAGGCATGACTTGACATCGGTAGAGGGGAGTCTGTGTACATAGGAAACTGAATGACAGGCGATAGAGTTCGAGAGTGGGAACTGTCTCTTGATGAAGGACCGGGAATTTGAAGTCTAGGACGTTGTCGAGTTCGAGGGGAGTCATTCGGGGAGTCCGTTGCGTGCCCGCCAACTTTGAAGGCGTCTTCACGAAAATTTCTCGCGCCAGGGAAGCCATCCCCTGGTGGTGCGAGAGTTTTTCGTTTTGGTCTGTCCTTGGATGGCGCTGGGCTGGGCTCCCTTGAGTCAGTATGGGAGGCTGGAGGGGTGAGGGAGAAAGATGGCGAGGGCGGAACGAGCCCAAGAGTTGTATCTATAGACGGCCCAGGGCCGGCCTGGAGCGTAAGATCGTGTGGGAAAGTGGGTGTTGAAGCAACGATTCCTATGTTTGGCACATCGGCCACCGTGAAAGCCGCTGGATTCAGTTTAGTTGAAGTGGCTGCATCATTCATAGAGATAGCTCTGGTTCTGGTAGAAGGTCCTGCCTTTGGTGGCTCGCTCTCATCCTCAGCAGGTGTCAACAGAACGCCGGAGGAGTTGTCTGAGTATGGCTCTGGCTCTGAATCTGCACTATCGTGCCTGTTTATTGGGTCGTCAGAATAACGGCGCAAATGAATGGGTCGGGCGTGGGATCCGCGTGCTTTTTGCAAGGTCGAGAGAATTGACCTGAATTCCAGAGCACCAACAAGACTCGGGCGGATTGGCGTGATCGTGTTCCTACGATTTCCAGATGGTCTGAGAACACGCATACTGCTGGCCATTTCAGCAGCCAAGTGCATCCCCTGTTCTCCATCCTCGTCGCTCTGGTCATCTGCCTGTGAATCGAAACCAGGACTCGCACCGCGCTCCAATGCTCCAAAATCCTCCACATCTCTGTATCTTCTCTGTCCGGCTGGAGCGTCTTCATCATCCCCGTATTCTTCAGTTCCTTCTACCTCCTCATTGGTCATGGTCAGATAGTGTCCACGAGCAGCTGCATCTCTCTCACGACGTCGTCGTCGCCGGCCGAGATACCAATGCCAGACTACCACTGTGACCACATAGAACAGGTAGAAGCCGATCATGACAGAACATTCCCACCAATGAAGAGCACCATCTGCCAAGAACACCATGCTGAAGCTTGCAGCAACGATAAAGAACCCAACATCTCTGACAAAAGTTTTCTTCCCCACTCGAAATTCTCGCACCAAGGCCATTGATCCAGCGACGACAGCAGTGATGAACCCAGCAGCTCCAATCAGTTCCCCAATTGCCAAGCTCCCACTGTGCGAGTTCATAGCTGCAAATGTTGAGAAGACATCGGGACTGCCGTTTCCAAAGGCAAGAAAAGTAACCCCAGCCATGCTCTCGCTCATGCCCAATATAGATGCAATTGTGCTAAGGTTGATGCAAAAAAAGTCCGATGCGGCAATGCCGATAGTTGTAAAACATAGCGCGAGCCATAGGGAGAGTATTATGAAGGCTACCGGTTGGGCCGTTTCGAGATTGCAGTAGTATAGTGAGAGATACGAGAAAAGCCCTGCTTCTTCATCTGGGCAATTGGCTTTTATGAAGGCGCATTTATCTTCAGCATGGTGAACAAGTCGACACTGTTATAGAAAAGAAGTAGTTAGATTCTAGAACGGCACTGAACAGCAGGACACACTGTGGGGGATCTTGCGTACCTCCTCGTCCCTCTTCACGAGTCGCGTGGTGTCCAGCTCCTCGAGAGCTCTTCGTTGAGCCTCTCCATATTGTGCTCCATGATGGTATCGGGCGCTTTGATCCGCCACCAGGCTGACGACTGCAAACAGAGATAGACATAGAACGGTTATGTAGAATGCGCGAAATCTAAATTTGCTCGGTAGATTTGGTGCGCGAGCGAGCACCGCCTTGGATGATGTTTTCCTCATGTTCTAGCCGCATGATATGGCACGGTAGATGCGGATGACAAAATGTTGTCTATGAAGAGGAGTGCTGGCTATGCCAGGTATTTTTGAGCATTGTGAAAGGCATTGGCATGACTGGAAACTTGGAGGTGCAGCCAAGACCTCCATCATCGCGGTGGCCTGCTTGCGACCCGAATTCGGGGCAGCTTCCTCGGGACCATCGTCATCCAGATAAGATCATTGCTACGGGAAGCGATAATGCACGCTGGCGCAGTTGTCATCTGCGCGTGCCGAGCGCCTCAGTAAACAAAATCTCGCGTCGGAAGTCAACATTGAAGCGTCTCACCAGTTCACGACGGTTCTTCTCAACAACACCGACACCATATCGACTTTGCACAAGATGCCTCGAGTAGCCCAGAATCCGCGTGGCAACAATGGCCGGGTGGCATCAGGCTCCCTGGCTGCGTCGCCATTCAAATCACCCGTCAAGTTGGTGCTTCTGGTTGCGACGCCGTTCAAGTGCTAACAATGTACAGGATTCCCCTCAACGATGATGCTCAAGAGAAGGCCAAACGGCTGCAATCGCGGCACGCGCTTCATGATATCCAGATGAACCAAATCAAAGCTGCAGCATCCCCTATGCGGAAACTCACAAGCTTCGACAGAGCAGGCAGTTCCTCACCATCTTCGAACCCGAAAACGCCGCGATGCACAGCTGGAAAAGAGAATGATCTTGATGGAGGAGTCATGATGGTCGGAGGAACAGCAGTTACCCCTATGAAGCGCGTACCTATACTTGCCAATTTTGAGGAGTGGATGAAGATGGCTACGGACAACAAGATCAACGCAACAAATTCTTGGAATTTCGCCCTCATCGACTACTTCCACGACATGTCGCTGCTGAAGGAGGGAGATGGAGTCAACTTCCAGAAAGCCAGCTGTACCTTGGATGGTTGTGTCAAAATTTATACGAGCAGAGTCGACAGCGTCGCGACGGAGACAGGAAAACTCCTGAGTGGCTTAGCCGACAGCGGAAATAACAAGAAGAAAAAGGGCGAAAACGAAGAAGGAGAAGAGAGCGAGGAAGAAGTGGAGGATGAAGATGGAGTTGTCAGGAAGAAGCCTAAGAAGAGGGTGAGTTGATTGATCCCTTTTGAGTACCTGAATCTGCACAGCCATGCCCCCGTTTGTGTTTCTATTTTCAGAGCATATCTTCTGCTTCATGCAGGCTACATCAGCGGCGAGGCAGATTGTTTTGGGGTTTTTTCACAATGGACAATAGTCGAGGCGAGTGGTTCCAATTCGCAAGCGCGACCCACTTTTTGGATTCCGGCTAGGATTGAACTTCATCTTGTGGGACATAGCATTGAATAGTCCCATTGCTGTCACATACGACCATAGACTGAGGAGAAATGGGCATCCCGTCCGCTCTGCCATACACAAGCCTCAGATCGGCAGATTAGTAGTTGGGTGGGTGACCACCAGCGAATACCTGCTGTTGTATGTTTTAAACATCTTTTTTTGCTGGGATTTTGCGCGGAGAAGTTAGGTTCTAGATGATGAAAAGAGAAGGAATTGGAACTCGGAGCAGTGCTCGGAGCACTTCAAAGTTAGGAGCTGAGCCCCGACCCCGCGCGACTTTGTCGAATGACAGGCGGAATTTATGGCCGTTAGACCATGAAAGATGTTTCGTTGTTCCCCATTCTCCCGAAAAGGAAAGATGTAGTTCATTGCTCCTTTTCTGCATTGGCATCGTTGCTTTACTTCCTTGGAACTAGTAACTCCTCCACGTTAGAGCGGCTTTGCCGCATCACTTGGACTTACCATTTGCATTGATCCAGAATCGCACCCGAGAGTGCACTGGCAAAAACAGTGGTTGGTTTGGCGAGCGCTAAACCAAGTAAAGCAGGCAGGTAAACTAAGTAATAATTTTTGGCGGAGTTAAGCTGCCCCGAGCATCAAATGACTGCGGTTTCTGCTGCCAGATTCATACCATCGCTCGCTCCGGCAGAGTCCAATCCTCGCACGAACCTTATTCCCAGCCACAATATTCGGCGACAATTATCCTCCTCATTCGCTTACATTCAGATGTCCTGAAGTGTAGCTAACATGTTCTCAGGCACAAAGATCATCAGAAGCAACTTTAGCAAGCTCGTTTGCAGCACTTCAACTGAAGAAGTTCGAGCTCGAATTTTCAGTTGATCCATTATTCAAAAAGGCTTCAGCAGATTTCGACGAAGGGGGTGCAAAGGGTTTACTTTTAAATCATTTGGCAATCGATTCACAGGGCCGCATCGTTTTCGACAGTAGTGACGATGCAGGTGATGCGTCGGGTGAGGGCAAATCTACAAGACGAAAAGATGACGCTCTCGAGGAGGAAGAGGAGATTGAGCCCGACTCGATGATCGAAACTACAACGAAAGAGCTAGAAGAGGACGAGGAAGATGTTGAAATCGATGTCGGGGCTTTAGGAGCCAAGTTCTTCCCAAGTCTGGACCGTCTGGACGAGCAAGATATCTGCCCTTCATTGAAGAATTTTGATCTCGGCGATCCATCCGGCTCGATGGATATTCCGTTCTTGAAGACTCCCGAAGACTGGCGGCAGGACAAGGACAAGCCTGCAGAGGACGGTGGAGTTGGGGATAAATCAGGTATATTTCTCGACGATGACAATCCAGCTGGCTTTGAAGACGACGAAGATGGACTTCTCGGAAACTTCGACCTTCCTCCGGACACTGGCTTTGGTGAAGGAGGCGAAGCCTGGGCTCGCGATGCTGCAATCGAAACAAGAATGCGTGTTCACGATATTGGATTTGACAACGATGGTATGGGGGGCGGCGATGGCGAAGATGGGGACGGAGTGGGAGCATTCAATCCCGAGACCGGCGAGTACGCTGTATCGATGGATCATGGTGCGAAGGCTCATGGCGGACATGACGATATTCTGAGCTATTTCGATGAGGCCCTGCATAAGAATTGGGCCGGCCCTGAGCACTGGAGAATCCGAAAGATCAAGGACATCAACAAGCCAGCTTCAGCAACCAAGACGCGAAAGGAAAAGGAGCCATTTGAGATAGACTTTCTGTCATCTCTAAGCTCGACTCTCGCGGAGACGATCTACACGCCGGCTGCGTCGAACACTGTCATCTCACTCCCCAAGAAGGACTGGAAGTCAAAGACTAGGAATCTACTGCCTGATGATAAACATTTCAACTCGAAACAACTTCTTCGTCTTTTCTTGAAGCCAAGAGCCCGCATGGGGACTAGAAGATCTGGATTTGGTGCGAAGAATGCCTTTGGAAATACAAAGGAAGATGAAGCTCCCGAGGGTGAGATGGATGAGGCTTTCTGGGCTCGCAAGGAAGACCCTGTGGGAATCGATGAGGACGCTCCTCTACAAGGCGATTATGATGCCAACTTCTTCCAAGATGACGGCCTACCTATGCCTGGAGAAATTGGCGATGACGACGAAATGGAATTTGCTGATGCTCGAGAACACTTCTCCCCGGGTGCCGAAGATCGTGGAGAAGGCGGCATGGCTGGAATGAACGAGATTCTCAGTGGTGGGATGACGCAGACCGCGGAGGGTGAGGAAGGCGCTTTTGGGACGCAACTTGTCACCCAGAGTCGCAGATTGCGACCAGAATATGTACAATATGCCCGAGTTGCGAAGAAAGTTGACGTGCGTCGGCTGAAGGAGGAGTTGTGGAAGGGTATGGGAATTGACAGTCTCGAACCAGTAAGTGACCGTTGACTGATTGGAGAGGAGAGTTGCTAACAACAAAATAGGGTCTACCACCCCAAACTCCTGGAAGATTGCCAACTCCACAGGCTGAGCCCAAGAAAGGAGCAGATGGCAGTCTGAAATTCACGTCAGTGATGCAGAATTTGCAGGGCGTATATCCAAAGCAGGCGATGAACGACATCTCGACGAGTTATTGTTTCATTTGCTTATTGCACTTGGCCAATGAGAAAGGGCTGGTGATTGAGAAACAAGAGGGTCTGATGGAATTGGAGATAAGAAAGGACCCCACGGCCGAGATCACCGTGGGTTAGATGTGCAGCGGGGAGGTTGTTTTCGTCAGTGTCACGAATTATGCAAATTATACTGTCGGGTCAGCGGCGTCTGGTTGGCGAGGCTGCATGGGGCGTGAAACGGTTTAGAGAGGGCTAATGCAATGGTAAGCCATGATTGAACCACTTCGCACAGGGGTTTCTTTTTATAACACCACACGTGACATAATCAAGGGGCTCAGGGCACGGATGAAAAGCCAAGCGAGCGAGTTGGAGGCGCTGCAGCGTGTCTTCAGCCTCGCTTTGTTCCAATTTTCACCGCCTCGATCAGCAGCAGAGCAGCAGCAGCACCACCACCACCAGCATTGGTACGGAGGCACGAAGTATGTACTCAACCAGAATCCGCCCACCAGGTCCGCTTGTTTATCACCATCTGTCCAGATTGCGCCCTTCTTGCAATACCACCTCCAAATCCGAAGCATTGCACGCATGCCAACTGTCGACAGGCCTACTCAGCCTCCCGCGCAAGCCCTTCCGCCAGCCTGCGTCCTCTCACACGCCGCGCCCGGCGCAGGTGTCATCCTTCGCTCAGGGTGCCTCAGCCTACGCCAATCATCTGGCGCTGGCTGCGGGGATGACACTCTGCTACACCAACCGTGAAAGGATGCGCAAATCGACCATATTGAGGCGCAGCCCTGCGGCATCTGAGTGAGATTTCCTCCCATCCTGACGATAAACCATTTCCTGCCCTGCCTGTCCACTATTAAGTGCTGCGTTCCCCACAGCGCCCGAGCTGAGCTTACTTCTTGATCTCTTTCGAATGATTCTGTGATCCCTGTGACTGTTCGATGCCGTGGTGATTCGTTTTTGTGTCTTGCTTGCTGTGGATGTTATGGTTTTTGGGGGCTTTAGCCTCATTCTTGCGGTGAGCTTTTTGGGACGTCAGGCACAAGCGGTTCCACGTCCCCGAGACGAGGGAGGTCAAGCTGGACAACACCATCAACATCCAGAAAATCCAGCAAGAATCACGATGGGGGAGCCGACGACAGCGGCGGCGGCGGCAGCACCAGTTGTGAGTCCTTCAAATCCAGGTCTACTGGGTGTTTCGAGCGCAGCCAGCGATACTCTTCCGCCTACCGGCGCCCCTTCAACGGTAACCACGTCTACATTTGTAGCTTCAACATCAATCGCCAGCTCTGCTCCAGTTTTCAGTTATTTCGAGAGCAAATGGGTCGCACTCTCGCATTACCGGGCAGATAAACCCGACCCAGTGTCCTACCAGATTCTTTTCCCCCCAGTCTCGTCGAACGGCAACCTATCTCCTTTCAGTCCTGTTCTGTTTGTCTGCCAAACCAGCGGCGGACTAGATCATATGACTTCTTCGAACACATGGGCTATCGCTCATATTCCCAGTATGTGCTCCTCCTTGTGTTGTTTTTTTGGCCCATCTAATTTGCTCAGACGTCAATGGAGATGCCCCCATAAATCCAGATGAACAAACTGAACAAAATAGTTTCCTGGATATCCAACTGTCAAATTCTGTGACTGTAAACCCAAGCGCGATGTTCTTCTTCTGCCTTGCCAACAACACTACATATATCGACCGGTTTGTTTGCAGCTCTTATGGGCCATTCTTCACAATAGAGGCGTCACAGGAAAACAGCCGTGACCTAAGCCCACGACAGCAAGCGCCAACGACTGTGCCAACGGCTGTGCCAGACATGCCCACAACTGTGCTGTCTATTACATCTTTTTCTTCCGGTATCAGCGTTGTTGGAGCAACAATAACAGCGACCGCTCCTACAAGTGCGACTGTTTCAATATCACCCACCGGAACAACCACAACAACAGTCCAATCAACCAAGACAGCCTCGGCCGCCCCTTCATCAATCACTGTTCATTCCAACGGCTTATCAACAGGCGCCAAGGTCGGCATCGCCCTCGGCGCCCTAGTATTGGTAGCCGCTCTCCTCCTCGCAGCCCTCTTCTTCCTCCGCCGCAAACACCGCTCACGCTCCCCACCACCGGAGCAAGTTATGCTCACTCGAGACATGCACACCGACTCCTTCGGCCGCAGCGCCATCATGATGGAGAAAGAAAACGTTGCCAACAACAACATCGCCAACGGTGCCTCCCCAGTAGACGAGACCCTACCCATCCAACGCCACTCCGCCCATTCTCCAACAGCCTACGACTCCACCCCCGCAGCCCCCTATACCGGCGCCGCTTCAGCAGTGCCACGACGAAAACCAACGAACGCATCTGCAGTCTCGCGGATCTCAGGACCCGCATCTCCGCGCTCATTAACGGTTTCCACGCCGCCGGATGAGTATGAAGAGTACCGCGACCAGCCGATGCCCGTCTACGGGGACGCGCGGCATAGTGCGCGGATGTACAGCGCGGGAGAGACACAGGGTGTCAAGGCGCCGTTCCTGACGGAGGATGGGATGAGTGCTGAGGAGGTGGCGCGGCTGGAGGAGGAGGAGAGGAGGATCGATGCGGCGATTGCGGAAGCGGAACGGTCTGGACGGCGATGAGGTTGATGTGGGTGGCTAGGTGATGGAGTTTGGGCTTTTTTGTCGATTAGCGAGTTTGCGTTGGTTCATTGGGTTGGAAAATCCTGGCTAGGTGTCGAGATATCGTAATGACACTGAAACCGTTGAAAGTAACCTCGTTCCCTGGACACTATTAAGATGTCGTCAGTGAGACTTGGAGCTTTGTGTTGAGTCCAATGCCTTCAAAAGGGGGTTATCATTTCATACCAAGCAACGAGACATTTCAAGGTTTCCAGAATCGTTGCTTCATTTTAGTCTCTCGAAAAGCAATACTCAACTAATGCAACCAACCCTGTGAGCCTCTCTTACACCATGCAATGATACAAAAGAGAACGCCAATGCAGGTTTCTCGCTGCTAGCCCAAAGCCCCAATTCCCATCAGTGACCCCAAACGAAATCGTCACATCATTTCATACCCCAATCCTTAATCCTTGTCTGCCCATTGGAAAAAACGCCAAAAAAAAACGCTCGATTACATCATCTAAAACCCATGTCCGTGATATCCTGGACTATTACCTCTCCCCTCACCTCCTGGTTGTTGCTGTTGAAAGTAATTTTGTCGTGGATACTGTTGAGAAGGCGATCCTGCTTGCTCAGGAGGGGTGGGGAATGTGGGAGGTGGGGCGGTGAATCCACCTCCTTGAGCAAAGACCTGGGCTGCCGGCGAGACCCATGATTGCTGTCTTGCGGTATGCCCAGGAAACTGCGCCGGATATTGGCCCATGTTGCCGTATTGCGCCGGAGGAGCACGGTAATCTGCCGCCATTTGTCCAGCGTATTGCTGCTGGTAGGCCATTTGCTGTTGTTGCTGCCTTTGTGCGATCGCCTGCTGGACAGTTCTGCTGTTGATGCCTTGCTTCAATTGCTCCTTTTCCATTTCCCTCACACCTATAGCACCGATGAGTCCTCCTCCGGGAGCAGAAGGTTTGTTTTGGGCCATATTGACGAGAGGTTGACCAGTCATCCGTGAAACGTGCTCTTGTTCACGAGCAGACAAAGTCGTAGGAATGTCCCCCGATCCTGAAGGCCCCAAGGTAGTGGATGCAGCTCGTGAAGAGGGTCGTTGAAGCAAATCGACTGAGGAGCCATTACGTGAATGACCCAATTGACCGAGGTATTCGCTCGATCGGTTACGAACAGGCGGTGGCGTAGGCGTATTGGAACGGTTACCAGAGGTTTGCGGTCGCTGGTGTGCGTAGAGCGGGGTCGCTGCCGCACGTTGCTGGACATATTGCTCTGGAGTAAGAACTTGATAGCTACTAGAAGCAACTCCAATCGAGCTCATTCCTGGCTGCCAAGGCAATGTTCTACTATCCCCTGAGCCATTGCGTTGGTGCATGTTTTCTGTCGAGACAGGTTTCCGTTGCGGCGAGTTTGATAGACCAGAACTTCCAGGTCTGGCAGCGGGGCTTCGCTGCCTCGGAGGTCGGTCAGTACGATAATTGTTTATGGCCGGACCGGGACTGATTGCTCTTCCGTACTGAGGTGCCGCCGCATAACTTTGATTTCGTCCAGGACTCTGGTTTCTTAACGGTCGGTCAGAGGCTAGATTCAGCGTGGGGCCGAAGTCGATGTTAAACTGCGCGCTCGATCCTTGCTGTACCGTTCCGGCTTGAGAATCACCCACGGTCCGCATGACACCGGCCCGTGGCTTATCCACAACTCGCTCGGGTCTCCGGGTGTCATTGGACGCTCGAGTACTAGCATAATCTGGAGATGCCGTTGACGCTGTGTCGTCGTAAATACTGCTCGCCCCACTCTTCTGGCGATGTATGGGATTCTCTTGCATTGGCCCAAGCTTCTGATCGTTACGTCCGATCATGTCAAAAGCAGCTTGGTCGATAACATGCCGGCCTAAGCTGCCTGCACTGTCCGTTGTCTCTGCAGAAGTTGGCGTCTGGATGCTCGAAGTCCGAGCTGGAAGCGGCTTTCGATTTACGTTTGCTCCAGTTTGTAGGCGAGATGGTTGAGATGCTGTGCTATGTGTGGAGTCTTCTGATGATTGAGAAACGTGGCCCTGATACGTTGACGGTGCTTGGTCAAGCGGTTGTGCAGAAGTGAATGTGTTTGGCGGCTCATACGTACGATTACCGAAAGCTGGCTCGTCCATGGGATTTGATGTTGGCCCCGAGCGGGTGGAATTCTGTTGATAATTTGTGGGTGGATTTTGTGAACTAAATGAGAATTGCGGTGGTGGTCGAGAATAGCTCGCTTCCAAGTCGGAATTCGAAGGTCGAGAAGGAGAGGATTGATCGAAAGAAAATCGAGGTTTTGTGTTTGCTACCAAGCCTTCAATAAGACCGTCTCGGTTAGCAGGAAGAACGAATGCATTGGCTTCTGACAGTACCCCTCTCTGGCCATTATCCTCCAAATAGCGACGCCTCTGATCCTCACTTGGCGGTGGCATCTCTTCACTCGCAGGATATCCAACAGCAACACCTCCCGCACCAGCCAACTGAGACAGTGTTGCATTAGACATACGGCTGTTAGCTCTGCGTAGCTCTGGTGAATGATATGGTTTGCTTGCTGGTTTAGCACCAGGCGCATGTGCAAAAGCAGGAGGCGCCGAAACAGGTTCTGGTGAGGTAACAGTCTGAAGTTCCTGGAGCTCTCTCACAGGGGTGATTCGGGCCTCATCCTCAGAACTGACACGCTCCGGAGTGCTAGCCATGTACCGCAGATTCGTTCCTTCGCGTCCGGTTGATGCCACACCAGCTGCATGTGGCGGTGGAGTAGGTGCTGGCTCGTAAGCGCCGTCATAGCCTGATGGTCCCTGATCTTGTAATCGATCCAAGCCCTGTGTGTCCGACGCGGACCTGGTGTGTGCGTGAGATTGATGTTGAGGTTTAGGAGGTGCGAAAGAATTTGCGCCAGGAGGAGCGGAATCAGTTCGTGGGATTCCAGCCAAGGGGCCATCAGGTGGAGGGCCCTGCGAGCCCCAGGTTATCGATGGGGAAGATCTGATAGATACGTTGTCATCGAATTGTATGCGGCTGCGAGATGGGCCAAAGCTATTGCGTGTACTTCTCCGACTGCTGTACCTGCTATTTGAGCGGCTGCCATTTTCGACAGCAGTCATACGTTTGGCTGTCAAGTCCTTCATTCTTTTCCTCCATTCAGACTCCCTCCAGCTGGCGTTTCCTGGTTCTAAGATGAGGCCCGTCACATCTAAAATTTCCAAGTATCCGTATCTTCGGTGCTTGGGCATTGCAAACATGAGACTTTGTGGATCCGATGTATCAGCAACTAGTCGACCAGGTCGGCCATAGAGACCAAAAGTATCAAAAACCGGAAACAGCCAACGGAGCATCATCTCAAACCCCGATACTGCCGGATGCACTTCTGGCATGACAAAGACAAAGCCTTCTGTGGTTGAAGGAGGATTGGAATGAATAGTGATAGATCCTTCGACTTTAACGAGAGTCGACGCATCTATCAGCGGTTTCGATTGTGGATATATGGCAAATGCGGAATATGCATCACTGATTGTAGCGATGGGGCGCACTTTCTTGGTCTTTTTGGAATCGTAGAACTTGATGTCTCCCTTCAAAAGTGGGGGCTTGGACCGGTCGTAGGCTGATCTCTTCTTGTTGAGCTGCTTTTGAAGTTTTTGGACTTCTTTTTCGTCCGGTGGCGTAATTACACACCAGCAGCGCCTCCATGGTGTTCCTGCTCCAAATCTGACTCGGGCCCAGTCTGCAGTCGGAAGCCTTGCACGTTCCATTATTATGCCAATATTATTCAATGCTTTTCCCTTGCCGGCGATAAGAGCTCCAGTATAGGCTTCTTGTAGTGTAGCATGCTCGTACATAGCAAGTCGAATGCCGGCAGTCCACTGAATCAAGGAGTGATGCGAGTTGAAGTGCAGAAGGTAGCGGTTCTTTCCAGCAGTCGAGATACTGAGAACATTTTGTAAGGGCGCCTCGTTATCTTGTCTTGTCGGAAGAGATTCAATCTTGCTTCGTTAGCCTGGTGGGCATTTTAAAGTAGAAGAAAGCTTACCATTTTTATAGAGGCATCTGTTAGGTTGATGAATTTCGGGAGCACCTCGCCATCCTGACCGGCTGCATCAAGTTCTGCGGCATCCCATAATGAGAGTACAGTTCCCACAAGCTGAGCGAAGCATTCGGTCCATGTACGATCTGCATTCGGTCTTCCATCTATTTCAAGTTAAATCGGGTCAAACCCAAGAAAAGAGGTCACTAACGCGTATTCTGGTCATCCAGCTTCAAGAAGTAGCCCTCCTGATACAGCTTGTTCCCATGACTGTTCAAGAATGTAAAAATCGGTTGAAGCTCAGGTAACGTGTCCCGGGACACGTCCATCAGCGGAGGCTGATATGTCTGGACCATAGACATCGGCCTTGAAGGAGCGCGCTCGCGTTGTATTCGAGGCTGAGGCGATTCGCCATCTATGTTGTAAGGATGTTTCGAGCCCGTTGATGTGGGAGCACCCCTCGCCGAATCTTGTCTAACAGGAAATTCATCTCTGTGAGGGTTTTGTCTTGTCTGCACTTGCGTGTTCGGCGTGGGGCTCCGCTGTGTGTCTCGATTTGAGAAGCTTGACATGAACGAGAGAACTGTGGATGGAAGCTCTGTTAGTATAGTTCCTGTATGAAGATTCCGCTCTCACTAACCTCGATTTTTAGTCGACATCTCGGACTTGGTAGAGGTTGCAAGTCACTGGAGAATATGGAGGAAGTACAGTGAGTTGGGACCTTGTTCCCGGCGAATCCGGCAGCTGGGCTGTCAGTCGATCGGCATCCGCAATTGGTTTGGGCGGTCTCTTTGGTACTTGGAGCACAATATTGTAAGCGCACAATTATGTGGTCGCACAGGAACGCTCTCTATTGAGCGAGATTAAACAGGATAATGGTTGTGCGGCGTTGTCGTCTCGACCAAGAATGACGATGGGAAATTTATGGGAGCTAGTACGGAGCTGGAAGGCCACCGATCACCACAAGGCTTGAAGGTCGGCAAACCGACGGTCCTCTAGCAACGATGCAAGTCGACGTTGTGAAGGTGGAAACAAATCAAGGCTCAGTAATGAGCTTGCAGCGCCAAAAAAAAAAAAAAAAAAAACCAAAGTGCTGATTAAGTCATCACATATGGTGCATCACCGCATGACAGTTGCAGCTGGAGTGGTGGTTTTCTAGCGGTGGTTCTGGCTCGTATTGACCCCCAGCTGCCCCTGTGACGCTCGACTTGGCTGTGCTGATGACGCGTAGGGATGTGTTTTAGCGCGTTGATGGGCAACTGCAGGCCAGTCTTCCGCACGCTACTCTGTCTGAGTACGACCTCACGAGTCTCACGCTGCTCGTTCTCTCGGGAGGTCCTTTGCTGCCCAATCCAAGGACACCTGAGACCTCGGCTTGGCAGTTCCGATTGCAAGGGCGCGGGCATAGAAATATCGCGCTCGCGCAGGGCCTTGTAAGATCTTCGGTCATTATGGGGATGCTCCGAGGTCCATGTCCTGGAACCCGGCCCTCCAACATATATTGGGGTCCACCTGGGATATAAAATACAATACATGACAGAGATTCTTGCAGGAAGCATTGCCTGTATAGTTGAGACAAGAGTCTGTCCAGAGAGGAAGGTTTCCTACTCCCTGGCAGGAGCCGAAGCACATAGGATCTGACTGGACATTTACACAGCTGGTGTTCTTGCTCGTACTGTACTTTGTTCCATTTCCCGCTCTACCAACCTAAATCGCCGATGTTTAAGAAGTTCCTCGAGAGCTAGCAGGGTAAAGTCAATGGAGGTCAGTCAGCAGCACATCACCGGATAAACAGCAAGAAGATACTGCATTCGATTTGACTGGGCCTAGAGCCTCAAGCTCCTGGGTCGTTTGTAGAAGAACCACACCACTGTGCTGTTCCTGTTACGGTTCTCGAGTGGGAATGCAACAGTTCCATGTCGGTTTGAGAAGAAGCGTGGCTCGATTGAATCGTCAAGGGGCGCTAGCGTCCGCCTCCTCCACCGAAATTCCGAGCTTACCCAACAGATAAGCCAGGGGGTCTATCGAAAAGCAAAGCTTCCCCTTCCAGCTGCCACATCGAGCAGTCTTTCAGGCCGTCTTCAATCCACGACGCTGGGATGAGGAGGTCGGCTCTTCGACCACAAATAGTGCGAGCCATCATCTCACAGCCTCGCAGGTCTCTCATCCAAAGCATTCCAAGATGTCGGCCTGACTTGACATTCTCAACATCCGCAACCCCTGACTCGCCTACATTGCAAAGGGAGATCTCGCCCTTTCGATTCGAGACTGGACTCGCATTGTTTGCAAAGAGAGCTCCAAGACCGTTTCCCCCTCCTTTCCTATCTCCTCCGTCAGGATCTTTCTCGGACCCTCTCAGCACCCACCACCGGAGCCGTGATCGACGCGCCTTTGTGAATGGGGAACTCATTCGGGGTTATACAAACGGCGATGATGCTGTATACGTCAGTGATCAATTCATTGGCGCAAATGACGGAGTTGGGGCTTGGTCTACCCGGCCGGGCGGGCATGCAGGGTGAGTTCTATCTATGTGTGGAGATCCTTGGTGCTAATATCTTCAGACTTTGGTCACGGTTGATACTACATTTCTGGGCCTTGGAAATAGAGATGGACGCGCATCGAATACGATCCGCCGGAGAAGAGTACGAGCCAAATCCCGTCGAATGTCTACAGAAAGCCTATGAACAGACAATCAAAGCTACATCTGAGCCAAATAACTGGCAAGGAACGACCACTGCAACAGGAGCACTTTTACATTATCGAAAACAGGGATTGGATCCTAAAGCACCGGCGACTCCTCTTCTTTACGTTACCAACCTTGGTGATTCCCAAGTCCTGGTTTTAAGGCCTCGACATTCTGAATTGATCTATAAGACGACAGAACAATGGCATTGGTTTGATTGCCCTCGACAACTAGGCACCAACAGCCCAGACACGCCTCGGGAAAATGCGGTTATCGATAAGGTTGAGATTGAAGAAAACGATGTGATTCTGGCCATGTCGGACGGAGTCATTGACAATTTATGGGAGCACGAGATTATCGAGAACGTGGTGACCAGCTTAAGGAAATGGGAGAGTGGTGAAGGCGGGGAGAGTTCTGGTAATAGATATGGTGGAGCTGGAGGTGGGATGAAGTTTGTTGCTGAGGAACTGATGAAGGCTGCAAAAGTCATTGCTACAGACCCTTTTGCAGAGAGTCCCTTCATGGAACATGCTGTGGAAGAGGGTCTGGCAATGGAAGGAGGTTAGTACCCAAGTTCTCTTTCTAGAATTAAGCTAAAAATTGGTAGGGAAACTGGACGATATCAGTGTCGTGGCTGCATTATGCGTTCGGAATAAAGGGTGACGTATTAGAGAGACGAATTAATGACCCGATCTAAAGGTAGCAATTGACGCCACCAGCTCGGATACCCTGCTCTTGCAACCGGGGAGAGATACAGGGCTCCTCAAAACAAGGAAAGTGGACCAGATGTCCGAGCATCTGAGACAGAGGGGACGCCATGAGGAGACTCAGATGGATGTCACAGACTTGGATGGTAATACTTTAGCGTAGACGTCATCTCGTGGGAGCAGAGGGAGTTTTAAGCAAATATGCGCAGCTCCCAGTTGAATTGAACTATATTTGACCAAACTTGAGAAAATGAAAATGATACTTGGGGGGGCGCGCGCCTCCGGTTAGTCGTGATACACCGAAATCTGGGCCGAAAATCAAACCCCCGATTACTTCCTTTGACAGCCAGCAGCACACTTAGGTTCCCTTAAAAAATAACATCAATTAATGCGCAGTCTATAGCATTACCCTCGAGAAAAGTGTAAAAACTTTATTGTCACTGCTATGGAAGTTAATATAAAAAACATTGAGTTTCGGCCCGGATTTAGGTGTATCATGACTAACCGGAGCCGCGTTGAACCTTGTAGGCGATAAGCTCGTTATCTAGGGAGCTTAATTTTAGCGTGGAAAAATCCCAGATCTCATTGCACGTCCAACCTCAATTATCCCCCAAACCTTCATAAACTTGGGTGAACAAACTCCAATATGAGGGGCAAACGATCGAAGCAATACAAAAAGCTCATGCAACAGTATGGGCTGAGCTTTGGATTCCGCGAACCCTACCAAGTCCTCTGTGAGCTTCCCACCCAACCCAGGTTCGTCCGCGAGTATGCTAATAAGTTGGCTTCTCAGTGGACGCAGACATAATCAAAGATGCCGATAGATTTAAGATGGATCTCATTGGGGGCCTGGAACGAACACTCCACGGACAAGTCAAGCCCAGTACGCTCTTCAGCTACCATACGGAATCGTATCAGGGGCTAATTAGAAACAGTGATAACCCAATGCTCAATGCGACACCTATACGCCGCTGCCAAAGAACCAGGCGTCTCCTTCCTCATAGATAAAGCAAAAACCTACGAGCGACGGCGGTGTGATCACAGACCAGAAGACTATCCTGAACCTCTCAGCACAAAAGACTGTCTCGCCTCAGTAGTGGACGCCAAAGGTAGCAAGACAAACAAACATCGGTATGTGGTTGCGAGCCAGGAACCCGAGGTCAGAAAATTTATGAGAGGTCTTTTGGGCGTGCCGCTGGTAACCAACCAATTTCTTTGTCCCATACCCCGAGCTCCCTATTTCACTGGTCGGGAGAATGAGAGATGCTCCCGACTCTCTCCCGCCTCCTTTCTCTCCAAAGAAGAAGGTTACTAATTTGTTGAAGTGTTACATTAATCGCAGTGTGATGATTATGGAGCCGATGGCAGGGGCGACGGCTGAGAACAGGGAGAAAGAAGAGAGAGGGAAGTTTAGGGCTGGACTAAAGAGAGGAAGTGGGAGTCTGAAGAGGAAGAGGGAGGATGAAGACGTGAAGGAAGAATCGAGTGTTCAAGAGGATATGCCGAAGAGGAAGAAAGCCGTTAACGGACCAAAAGGACCGAATCCATTGGCTGTTAAGAAATCCAAGAAAAAGCCGGAAGGACCAGCTACCACATTTACTGAGGCCGAAAGCAAGGATCTGAAGACTAAAGTATTAAAGCTGGAGCAAGCCGATGGATCAGAACCCATTCTCGCCAGTATCAAAGGAAAACGCAAGAGGAAGCACAAGTCTGGGGATAGTGGTAGAGCAGCTCCTGTTAAACCGGAGATGGCTGATGAGGATGGTTAAGTTTGTAGGGAGGTCTGTTGATAGCCTTGCCTTTCATGTGAACTTTCGGAGTTAATACCCAATAAAGAGTGAATGTTTGCTGAAAGGATTCTCAATATTCACGTGGCCATACGCAGTACGCTCTTATTCTTAGAAGCTCATGAAATCAACAAAGCAGATTGGCTGCCGGAAAGCAAAGCCCTGTCAGATGAAGTTCAGCTCCAACGCCTCATAAAGCTCAACGGCAGACAGAAAGACGTTGCACGACTTGCTGCAGCCACTGAATGTTGGCAGGCGGCCGCCCAACCAACAAGTAAGCTTTCCCGTAGCGCATTAATCCCTGCCATCACTCCTTCGTATCAAGACCTCTGACCCACGACCTGATGATTCAACCAAGCATGAGTCTGCTACAAACGAATACCCCAGCATATACCAGCATAAAGGGCTTTGGCCACACGCAAATGAGTCCGTGTTAGGAGAATTTGTATGCGAGCACACGATCGACACCGGCCGACGAGGTGGTGGACAGCTTCAGCAATATGCTGGGGGTAGACGAGGCAGCAAACACCACAGAAAAGGCTCATGCGATTAACAATGGCGTTGTGGCACAGATTGGGACAGTGCCCGATCTTGACGAGTTTGGATTACCTGTCAAGAAACATATGCCTGCGATGCCGGTAGCGGAGACCGATACTGAGGAGGAAGTGAGTCCGGGGATGTCTCAAGAGAGAGTCAATGGCCATACAGTAAAGGACGCGCCCGAGTCTGCAGACAAGTCGGAAGCCAGACTGAAAGTTGAAACTGGGCTGGGCGGCGGCGAATCGAGCGGAGAGGAGGACTTTAAGGATGCTCGGTCGACACCACTACCAGCGACCCCTATTCCGGATCTGAAGGATATCTCGGAGAAGGCACAGGAATGTGAACCTGCTACAAGTGCAGATCTGAAGAAAACTGCTGAGAAGGAACGATCAGATGAACCACCAACCCCAGATGCAGATGTGACGAAGCCCCGAGAGACTGTGCAAAAGCTAACTCCAGAAAATGACGAGCACCAAGAGTCCTCAAAACCCGCCGCAGAAACTTCGAGACCGCCTGATATCGATGTCTCGAAATCTCAGACGAAAGGGGGGAGTAACAGCCAGAACCGCAGCAGCGTGACATCTCCAATTGGGCACACTCGAGGGCAAAGTTCGAAAGGCGCGGGCATATCAGAGTGGTCTCATCAACATCTTGCACAACCTGATGTGGAACCCCCACAGAAAGAGGATGATGAATGGCAGGCCATGCCCGCGTATGCCCCTTTCGATATGTACGATGACGATAATAAACTTGTTGCGAAGGAGGCACAACTTTCGGACGATGAAGCAGATGCATATGCCGGGCTTGGCGGGGCAGGAAAAGGTTATACGAGGGTACAACTAGATGAAGATGTTCAATCTGCAACAAGTTTGGACGAGAACACGCAGTATCTATTCAAGGAAGTCAATGGAGGGACGGGTGCCGGTCAGGAAGAGGACGAGGAGCAACGCGATGCTGTCTCTCAAATGCAAGCTACGAAGGACTTGTTGACCGAAGGTCAAAGGATTGCCTATGTTGGCATGACTCGATTGATCCTGTCGGAGATGATAAAGCAGGCAGAATCTATTATCGGTGCATCGAAGGGTACCAAGAAGGAAATGCAAATTGCAGCTGAAGCCATGCAAATGTGGGGTCAGAAGATGATGGTCCGGCTGTATGCGCATATGGACATCAGCACAGCCGAACAGATTATGATCGAGCAACTGGCTGAGCATGGCGTTGTACCGGCGGATCTAACTCCTACCCTCATGCAGAATGCTAGAGTAAAGAATCCCATGGCTGAAAAGGAGCCGTCTGTGGCTGAAGCCTCATCGCCTAGACCGGGGTCTGTAACTTCAACGGGACTGAGCTCTAGGCTTTCTGTCTCCTCTCCGAGACCTTCAATATCGTCTCCAACGGGTCACAGGACGCCAGGCCCGGAAGAAGAAGAGGCAGCACAGATGCCTCCCCCATACCAAGAGCACGAGGGTGATGATCTGCCTGAAGTTCGAACCCCCTCACAACTTCCAACAACGCAAAGTCTTGATATCGACCTTCGGTGGACTGTTCTTTGTGATCTGTTCTTGACCTTGATTGCAGACTCCGTCTACGATTCTCGGTCAAGAGTCTTGCTAGAAAAGGTTGGAAAGAATATGGGGGTGGATTGGCTGGAGATCTGTCGGTTTGAAAAGCGTGTGACAGATGCATTGGAAATGCAACAAGCAGCTGAAAAGGAAAATTGGAATGAAGATGAGCACAAAGAAAACAGGAGGAAATTTGCTCTCAAGAAGCGTTATATGATGATGGGCCTTGCTACAGTTGGTGGCGGTCTTGTCATTGGTCTCTCTGCAGGGTTATTGGCTCCTTTGATTGGTGCTGGACTTGCTGCAGGATTTACTACCATTGGCGTCGCGGGTACCAGTGGTTTCCTTGCAGGTGCTGGAGGAGCTGCGATCATCACAACGGGAGCCGCAACATCTGGAGGTATTATTGCCGTGAGAGCTGCAAATCGAAGGACTGGCGCAGTGAAAACTTTCGAGTATCGGCCCCTGCATAACAACAAACGAGTCAATTTGATCGTTACTGTTTCAGGATGGATGACGGGAAAGGTCGATGATGTTCGACTTCCTTACAGTACCGTTGATCCAATCATGGGAGATATCTATTCCGTGCTTTGGGAACCCGAGATGCTCACGAGTATGGGAGATACCATCAATATCTTGGCCACAGAGGTGAGTAATAATATGCCACTTTCATTCAATTATACTAACAAATTAGGCTCTAACTCAAGGCCTTCAACAAGTGCTTGGCAGCACAATTCTAATCGGTCTCATGGCTGCGTTGCAATTACCCGTAGTCTTGACAAAGCTGTCTTATCTAATTGATAATCCATGGACTGTGTCTCTTGACCGAGCTAATGCGGCAGGTCTCATTCTTGCGGACTCCCTTATCGACCAAAATCTCGGCGCTCGTCCTATCACCTTTGTGGGGTACTCCCTTGGCTCAAGGGTCATCTTCTCTTGCTTAAGAGAGCTCGCCAAAAAGGGGGCTTATGGTCTCGTGCAGAATGTTTACTTGTTCGGCTCGCCAATAGTGGCGAAGAAAGACGAATATCTAAGGGCTAGGGCTGTTGTTTCTGGCCGGTTTGTCAACGGCTATGCGAAGAATGACTGGATCTTGGGGTATTTGTTCCGTTTGACAAGCGGTGGTATCGGCCGTGTTGCCGGACTCGCGCCTGTGCAGGAAATCCCAGGGCTTGAGAACCTTGATGTGACTGAGCTCGTCCCTGGTCACATGGCATATCGAACAGCAATGCCTCGACTCCTGCGAGAGGTGGGCTGGATGGTAGAGAGCGACGAATTCACAGAAATCGAAGACCCAGACCCGGAGAACCATGCAAAGCGTCAACGAGAACTCATCAATGAGATCGAAGAAGCACGCAAGGATTTTGAAAAGAAGAAAGGAGAGAAGGGCAGCAAGTTTGGCTGGTTGAGTAGGAAGAAGAATGTCCTCGGGAAGAAAGAGTGGGAGACGTACGAGGAATCCAAGGGCAATTTCGAAGCTAGCAGAACAGAAGATGCTGAAGGTAACAACCACGGCGTACTGTTTGACATCGACGCCATCCGCGCCGAGCTCGCGAGCGAACAGATGGAAGTCAGGGAGCTAAAATCGACACTCCCACCCATGAAGCTTGATCTCGGGTCCCCAAGCACCGCCAATCCTCGCACCTCACTTCGAGAAACAAAATCCTACGACGCGGCTACCATGCTGACGCCAAATCCTCCTCTACGGCCCTCACCAGCACATTCACCACGCGGCTCAATCAGTGAACGCCCCCCTGTCTACAGATCTCCTTCCATATCTGGGAGGGGAGATGACGAAGTCTCAATGACATTCGACACATCCTACCAATCACCACCGCCCTCCGCATCTGGATCATTCAACCACCTACCTCTCCACTCTTCGCCTTCCCCGAATCTCTCGCAGTCATCCTTCAGACCCTCGAGTGCAGAACCGACAGACAGAGCAGCGACGTTGCGGAGGCCGTCGTTGAAGAGTAGTAGCACTCTACCGCTGCCGACAGCGCTGCCGGCTATCAGTTTAGATCATAATGCTTGGGCGGACGAGGACGAGGAGTTTGGGAGGGAGAGGGAGATTGAGATGAGTTTTGCATAGACGGGCAAACAAACACAGCTTGTGGAACAAGGGTGAGAGTTGGATGAGACAGATGAAATGAGGTTTGGAGAGGAAGTCAAGTGGAAGCTGAGCGAGTCTAATATATTCGCTCGTTTTCAGATAATGTGAAGCCCTTGTGCATAGATAGCACATAGGGTATTTTCACTTGAGATTCGAGTGCATAACGAGGGTCATTTAGTTAGGGAAGACGGTTCAGATGTTTTCACAAGGTGGCGTCTGGATTTGGCGGGTTGATGAGATGTGAATCAATCAATCAATTGAATGCTATTGTGTGATCTGAAATTTTTAATGATCTAATTGATCGTTATTTCTCTGCAATCTATCTTCGTCTGGAGACTGAAGTCTCGTCTGCATATGGAAGTGCATCGGTACATTGGAATGTCTTCTGTACAATGAAGTTTCGTCTATATTTTCAAGTCCGTTCTGTAGGATTAACCTTACAATAACCTTTTGCCTTGGACTTCTAGGTCTAGGATGAGCTATGGACAATGCGAATTGGTATCTAGGTTTTCGAGAATAGGAGATCTTTCCACCAGAACGCCGTTTCTCAGTGGTCCCGGCCGTCTATGTACAGTCGTGTGGTGAGTGAAGTCGTGTCTGCAAGCTGATCTTGTTCTGTCCCATTATTCTTGTTGATCATTCTGATCATCCTTAACGCCTCGTCTCTAACCAAAAATCAAGAACTCCTGACCGGACCCAACCTATCCTAAATTGCAATTGTTGCATGACCAAGGTTCAGATGACCTCATCTCTCTCCCATCCCGTCGGCTTGACCGCCAAGCCCTTGCTAGGATGCGGCTTCGATTTATCCTTATATTCACTAAGGAAGGGATTCGGATCCTCCTTCTGCTTCAAGTTCGACAGCGTATGGTTGACTTCCCTATGCTTCGCTTCATCCGCCCGAATATAATAAAGCAGATCCTTCATCGTCTGATGGCCTTCCGGCATCTTCCAATAGTTCACCGCAAGGTCAGGAACCTTGAAGTTGGGATCAGTCCACTTCGGGAGCTTGCCAGCCTCGATGTCTTGGATGGCAAGCGTGTAAGTGAGTACTGCCTCTTCTTCGAGGTAGCCGACGAATCTATGGCAAGTACGGGGGGAGACGAGGTAGGAGAGGAACATGCTGTTGAAGAAGACGCCTTGGGCTCCGAGGATCATAAATCGCATGAACCAGCCTGGTTCGGCCATCTTCAAGAAGGTGAGTAGGTGCATACGCTCATTATACGCCTCCTCTAATAATGTCTCTATCCAGCCATTATCCCGCTTCATGCGGCGGAGAGAGTGCAGATGCCGTAGCATGCCTGCAACCATACCTGGAACTCCAGCTACGGATTCGAGGAACACCATTCGGACGAGCCATTTTCGTTCGCTCATTTCATAGGGCTTGGTCTCGCTGACGGTGTTGGTATCGCCAATCATCTTCGGGGTTTCAACATGGTGTTTATATCGGGTCGCGGTATCCATTCCCCATCTCAAGAAACGGACCATGAAGAGCGCAATGCGGTCGGAGAAGTCTTTCGGCTCGCGGTGGGCGAAGTAGATGTCTTTCTTCATCTTCTCGCCATCGTATCTACAAACATGCGTTAGCACGTCCATTTTTTGATCATATTAGGAGAGCAATTACCCTGGGTGCGGCCATGCTGCTTCGGTCTTGAAGATTTGGCCCTTTTCGGGCTCTGGGAAGTAGTCTCGAAGGCGAGTTCTTGATGTCGAGGAGAATTGGCGTCGGGACTGTAAGGGTTGAATGTGCAGATGCAGACCCGGTGTGCTGGAGATTCCGTAGGAGTGAGAGAAGCTTGCTACAGCTTTTGAGAGCTGTGCAGCTGTTTGTTTGGAGAGCGGTAGCTTCGTTGATACTCGTGCAACGTTCATTGAGGTTTACAAGCAGTCACGCCTGCGTGTACCAGAGTAGAAAATTGATTGATGTGAAAGGGTAGATTAGTGATTGCCACAGAAGCAATGAGTTATTATTTGTGTAGCAAGGAGTAGATGTCTCAGAGACTTGGTCGTCGATGAGTCTTATAAAGAGGACAGGTCGGGTCACGATCGAGGCTGAGCGCCACCATCAGCAACGCACATTTCTCGTAAGCTGCTCGCAGAGAGAAGTGGGGGATAGTCAATGGCTCAGGATCTTCCATATAACGAATGTCGGCGACTTCAAGTTTCAGGTGGATCAGGACCAGGATCCACGTCGAAACGCCTTCTTCCACTCTTGGAATAGCATGTCATCGTCGGCGACTCGAGCCTCTTTGCGCCCGTTTGTGTGGCTCAGCCTTACCCGATCCATCCCGTGACCTCAGATGTCGTCCCGACTTCAGCCGAAACGACCTCGCCCGCTCTATATCCAGTCTGTATACGAGAATGCATTAAAATTGTCAGTGCAGGTGACTCAGAGCCAAAATCGGCATCTCCGTGGCCCCGATTTTGTTGTGCTTGTTCTCCACGGGAAAGAATCAACATCTGGAAATACGAAGTAATGCAGCCAGCTACTGGGGTTTCCGTTCCTTCTCAATGCATATATCGCACCATCCTGAAGCCTCAATCCTCATCTTGGCCAATTATTCCTAAGATGTCAATTACGCCTTGAATAACCTACTGTGCATTCAACACATTGACCCTTCTTGGCCGTTTGTTTCTCCGGCGAGATGACGTCTGAGACCTGCACTTTGCACATTGATCGGACGCTTATATATTTTTTCTCTCCTCCCTAGCCTTGTCATAACATCCAAGTGGCATTGGCATTAACAACAAAAGTATCCTATCCACTCTAGGAACATCACAGTCCCGCCTGATAGCCAAATTAAGCTTTTACTGTCTGATATTTTCTGGGTACACAGGTTTGTGGGCCTTATATCGCAGCCACCCCCCCCCCGAGCGCTCTGGCAGAAGATCCGAAACATGACAAGTCACAAAATATATCCCACTTCACTTGGTTCTATCATCTTTCTTTTCCTGATTACTCAGCAACCAAAATGTCTGTCACTACGAAAGAACCAAGACCTTTCGATATCAATACTCTACTCGTGGTAGGACACCTCGGAAGCAGAACGCACAAGGCAGCAAGCAGCATGCCACTGCGGAGACGTCCAATTTACCGTCACACTAAAGCGGCCATTCCATCTGCCCTACTACTTGTGATAGGCTCTATTTGGCGTACTGCAAGCTAGAGTTTGGGGTCTCATATCGCTGGCCGAGACATCATGTCTCTTGCTGCAGGCCAATCGGAAGCACTATGCCCATTGATTATTCAGGTAAGAGATTCTCCACTTGTTGCCGTCCACGGAAGCTTGTACCTTCCCTCCAGTAAATCCACTCGCTTGCCTCCGCTGGCGATGGACATGAAAAGCAGCACCGAATGAATGGACTAAGCCCAGAGGGACATTTCAAACCCTCCCCTCGAGCTCTCGTACAGTACATTCAATGACAGTTCAAAGTCTCGAACGCTCTATAATATTCAAGTCCTACCTCTCCAAAGTCTAGATTATTGTCCAACTTTGACCAGGACAATGGACTTCAGTGGTTTTTTACGGCCATCCGTACATCGCAAGCTGCCTTCAATTCGCTTACCCCTCGCTTCGAAAAGGAGAAATGCGAAGCGAGCACGGTGTTCCAAAATTTGCAATATTGCAAGTGCTCAAAAAAATCACTTTAAAACCGCACGAAGTGGCAAAAGAAATGCGCGAGGATCCAGAAACTTGGCTTTCGCTCAGTTTACTGTGGCAGAGCATATCTCTTCTAACGAGCACACCTTCAAAAATCCGTGTTTTTAAACCCAATTTTGTGCCTTTTATATTATTTACTAAATCGTTTTATAAGATGTTGAAAACTCACTCTAGCTTCTTTAATTGTGTGCGTATAAATTGTAATAGGTCACAATTAATAGTTGCTGCATATTTGTTAAGTAAAATAGAAGACTTTGGTTTTGCCAATGCCTGGAAACATCGCTAAAAACACGGAGTTTTGAGGCCGGGCTCATAAGCCGTTACCCAGGTTACTACCGCAGTAAAAGTTAGGGCCGGTCACACACAACTATGACTACTATTAAGTGCGTATGTCCAGAAGCTGAACTTGCGCCAAGTTTACAACCAGAGATCTCTTAGCAACAAGAAGGCTTATTTCGAATTAAGGTACCTGGCAGTCGAAATAGTATGTAATGGTCGGTCGAAACTCCCGACCACTTCTAATATGTATTGTCAAACAGCCTTTGAAGTTCCTCAAGATTATGTCATTATCTTACTCGTCATGGTGAAACCTGTTTTCCAAACGACAAACTACTTTTCTTTAAGGCGAGCTCAATAATACATCGATATTTCACATCTTCTCACAGGCATCAGGCGAACAGCTTCTAAGTTTTACTGGTTTATTGTTTCCCTCTATCTAAGCCGGAGGTCATCGATTCCCATTCGGTCCCTTAGGCGGATCGCGGACCAACAATCGTACTTTGCCCTGACCAATCTCATGCCCCTGACTAAGGATATCTACTTCTTGCTTCTCCGCCTCGGGTGGAGCTGCAGCGGTACTGGCGCCCTCTCTAGACAGGGATTTGTCCCACGATCGAGCGTCAATGCCGAGAATACCTCCAACGTTGTTCCTATCACCCGGGACGGAAAATTCGCGGTAGGCGTACCGCCACTCGTTCAAAAAGTTACGGATAGCTTTGCCGACCTTGTCTTTGCCGTTCTTGCTATGATGACCGGTACCAGTGATGGCATAGACTGGTCTTGTTTCCTTTTGATTCTCGAGGAGAACCTTTTCAAGGTATTCGACGGCCTCCTCCGGATGCAGGCCATGGAGATCAACATATAGCTCAGAACTAGAGGAGCTGTTCTTGTTGCGTTCTTCGTAGAGCTCACGAGCTGCCTCTCGATGGGCTTTTCGCATCGCATCATTCTCGCTTTGACCGCGAAGACTCAGGGCTTTGGCAGCCCGTGCATCATTGCGATTCCAGGCTTGAGCGGCACTACCTTTAAATCAGCGATAATTCCACTGTTAGAGACAGAGAATCTTACCTTTGCAGGAACTTATTCCTCAAGCCACCGTGCTTAATAGCATCTTGTCTGGCCTTGAGGTATGTTTTATTCGCCTTTTCGCCCGTCTCCAACCAGGGCACGTGTTGTGGGCTAGGAATGGCTTGGGCGGCAACACTGTTTTCTCCGTTGCGGATACTGGTGGAGCTTCCGTTTCTGCCCATCTTTTTCATATCTTGTCTCATCAAGCCAGGGCCAGGAGATGGGGACATCTTGACCACTTCTGCCAATGAGCTGGGGGTGGGAGCCTCCTTGTGGCCATGTCCATGCCCGCCTCTCTTTCCATGGTGCTTCTTGCCACCCTTCGCAGCAACTGCGCCGAGTGAAGGGAAAGCCTCAGTATCATCCAAAGCAGGAGCGGCTGGGTTCAAGTCTCGAGACTGGTGGCGGCTACTAGGTCGTGATCTCTGGCTAGATCCATCACTTGCGTAGCCCTGCATTCCCTTGAATCCTGGTGGCGGAGTGAAGCTTGTCCCTTGGTAGTTGCTAAAAGCGTTGCTGGAACTATACGAGCTAGGCCACTGGTCCTGCAGGGGTTGTAACGAAGGGAAAGCATTATAATCTTGAAATTGGAAGCCTGGCTGACCATTCTGGAGGGGAGGTGTACTGCTTTCGTCCAGGGCAAGGCGGTTCATGAAGTGTGATGGGTCATGGGAAAAGATGCAGGTATCGCCGGCAAGACAGTTGCCCATTACCCAGTATCTATAAGGTTAGCCTGGGGTGAGTATGGACAAACGAAATGTACTTACTTGCAGATGTGATTGCTAAGATCATGGCTGAATCTGCAATCTGCCCTGAGACATTGTCCAGTTGAAAGCCAAAATCTGCAAACAACACCGCTACGTTGTCCTCCAGCGGGGGTAAGAGGGCGGGGGATCTCTGCAGTCATAGATTTACCAATCAAAATGGCATTCTTCGCATCGGCGGCCTGTGCCTGAGCCGTAGACATATCGCTTGTTTGACCTTCCATGAATGCCATGATGGTAGCGCTCAAGTCATATCCATGCACGGCAAGAGCTGCCTCGATCTCTTCATCTGACTTGGAAGGACCAAGTATTGACCGCAGCATATCATATGGGCTCATATCTAACTGTTGAGGCTGGATGTATTCGGCAGCGGCTGCATTGAGACCACTATGGCCACCAGCAGAAGAAGATGTATTACTGCCCCCATCATCGTTGACCAACCAGTCCACATTATCACTACCAAAGTCTCCGTATATGTCCTGTGTAGGACTAGTGTCTGTGGGAAACTCGTATGCGTTGAGACTTGGGCTGTGAGGTATGGCTGGACTCGAAAAAGCAAGTCTGGGCGAAGGGCGGGGCGACGTGAAAGGAGAAGCTGTCGATGACTTCGCTCTATTGAAATCTCGCGGGATAAATCCAGGGGGGGCAAGAGGGCTTACCCCAAGACGAGGAGACGACGATACTGGGGTACCAGAACCACCTCGAGGAGTCTGCCACGGAGCTGGGGATGGTCGGCGCAAGACAGTATGCCGCACAGGCGGTGGTGAAGTCGGATTCGTTGAAGATTCTCGATATCTCCATAACACGTCCAAAACAGCGTTCTCAATAGCGCTTCTCACTAATGTTGTTTCCTTTTTGAGCAGCTCCTCCAACTTGTCTGTTCTCTCTTCATCGTCGAGGCTCTCGTCCTGGAGCAAGGGGAGACAGATCTCGTAAGTCTCGTCGGACACCATTTTCCCCGGTTTTGATAGGAACTTCGCAGGAATGAATGAAATGCCGTGTATGATGCAAAACACTAAGTGAAGGCAACGAAAGGTACCTCTCGAGGTGAAGCGGATGGGATCGCGATGCGGTTTGGGGCGGGCTGAGGAAGTAGCGCGCTGAAATGCAAGCAATAAGGAAGATGGCGATAGCAACGGCAAGAGCAGGGGCGACAACGGAAGGCACCAGGCTCTTACATTGTCGACAGAAATCCTGATGATAACATGGGAACGAGAGCGACCCAAGAGGGTGAGGTCGAGACGGGTCCTTCTATCGTCCCTGGTGGGTGGTGAGGCTGGGGCTGGATCTGGGGTGAGAGCACGCTAGTCAGTCATCGATTAGTGATTGGCCTGTTTATCGCCGGTCCTGCTGCTGATGCAAGAGAAAGCAACAAAAGGCGAGGAAGGCTATGTTGAGGATACAATATGGGTAAATATGGCTTGGGCAAATCCACCCACAAAAGCATTTCTCGAGTGATTGTTCAACTGAAGTGCGAGATAAGGCTGCACAGCGACTGGACAGGAATTTATGTACCTTCACGTGACTCCACATCCCTCCCATTGGTCTCAAACCACTCCGACTCCAGTGACGTACTGGGGATGGGCGTCTCAGGCGGTTCAACCGCTGCTTACTTTCACTGCCACACTCCAGAGTATTACGACTCCTCCAACACCATTGTTCAGTTCCATCTTGTACACATTCCCTCTGCGCTTCTTCCTTCTTCCGTAGACCATCTCTGGCTGGCACTTCACTGTCTGTTTGCATCTTGTTTCACGTCTGTGCTTGAAACCTCCGGATCCAAACATTTCGCCAACGGCGAAGCGTACAATCACCACATATCACTCCATGATTCCGTCGAGGTGACCGCGAATTACCCAAGCCATCTTCGTACGATTTCCAGCAGCATCTGCTGCGTACTTATTCCAGCCGCACCCGCAATCCTCGAACCGACCATGCCAGCGGGCTACGAATCAGCAGCGAAGGCGCTCGCAATTTCCCCAATATCATCCCCCTCACCAGACCAACAATCTACCAGACCTCCATGGTCTCGCAGAATCTCTGGCACAAACCGCTATTCCACACAAACCTCCCGACAAACCTACATATCCCAATTTCTAAACTCCGCCACGAAAGTGCAACGGAAAATCATCAAGACCTTCCAAGGCCTTACACTCTTCCAGCGAATTCTAGTTGTCGCCGCGGCCATCATCGTCAATGTCTTCTTGATCCTCTTCCTCATCTACAACGAAAAGATCTTCTCACTTCTCGCGGAGCCGGCGAAGAGATGGCACGATGTCAAGGGAGGGTGGACAATCCTTTGGCTCATGACCTTCATCTGCGCCTTCCCGCCATTAATAGGCTACAGCACAACTGTCAGCATTGCCGGCTTTGTCTACGGCTTCCCCAATGGCTGGTTCATCGTCGCATCTGCAACAGTAGCAGGCTCGTTAGCCTCATTCATCGCCTCCAGGACGGTACTTTCGAACTACGTACACAGGCTCGTTGGCAAGGACAAGCGGTTCGAGGCTCTGGCCCTCACCTTGAAGCACGATGGCCTCAAGATCTTGTGCATGATTAGGGTGTGTCCATTGCCATATAGCATCTCAAACGCCGCTATGTCGACGTTCCCAACTGTACACCCACTTTCCTTCGCGCTGGCTACAGCAATTGCCAGCCCCAAACTTTTGATTCACGTATTCATTGGGAGTCGACTTGCTCAAATTGCTGAGAGCGGGGGGAAGATGGACGGATCAACCAAGGCAATAAATTATGCCTCGATAATAATTGGGGCAATCTTGGGAGTTGGAGTTGGGTACTGGATCTATTCCAAGACCATAGCGAGGGCCCGAGAACTCGAGGAAGAGGAGTTGGAGAATGGGCTGCAGGATGGCGGTCTAGTAGTTGGTGGAAGGGAAAGGACTTATATGGATGTGGATGGAACGGAGGAGGATGCTGCTGCGTTAATGGATCCTGACGATATCAGTTTGTGGGATCATGAAGAAATAGAGAGCGGAGAGGCGGGGTATAGGGATGAGTTTACGGATGAAGAAGATGTGTTTGCTAGTGGGGACGTAGATGATGATGCGGTGGGGAAGATTAAACGGTAGAAATGTGTAGATCTGTGACTATCTTTGGGTTATACGGGCTGCATTGGCGTTCTGATGGACATTTGATAGAGCATAGATCTCTGGGTGAAGACTATAAAGAAGTTTCAAACCTCATCTGCATCCTTCTCATAAATCCAATGCGCGAAACGACGGAATATTGGTGGGAAGGAGTTTGAATGTACCAGTACCTCCTGAAAAGTTCACAAGGGGTAGTGAACTGACTACCCCAGTACCTGGCGGGCCTCATTGCTCTTAGTATTCTGTGACATGGGGAGGAAAATGCGGCTTGTCATCATTCGTTGCTGCGTGATATATATTGCCTCTCGTTTCAAAGAAGTCCTCTCCATTCCCTCAATCTAAAACCATCGATGGGTATCTGCAAAGAAAATGACTTTTACATAACTGCGCACTTGGAACCCTTTCCGTCCCCATTGCCCCTAGCCGATTGCTTGGGCCCGAACGCAGAATCTCGTGTCATGTCTGTCCAACCAGCACTTGACGCTCCATCGCCCATCCTATCCTTCTTGAGTTTCTTGTCTCCCCTCTGCATGCTTGACCTCCAGCCTTTCTTCTTAGCATCTTTGATGTTCTTAGCTGCACTTCTTTCCGCTCTACTCGGTTGTCGACCAAGTATCATGGCTTTGTGGGCAAAATATGGTGATGGCTCCGGGCCAGTTGAAGATTGGCTATGAATTGTCTCGAGACGGTGCATTGGTGGACGCAGGTTGGGAGACCTTGATCCATTGGAACCATTCCGCTTGTGCGAATTGCCATTGCTGATGCGACGAGATGGGGCTGGACTGCGTTGCGGAGATCCAGGGTAAGAAATTTGCGATGTTCGGAATGCTTGGTCGGACGTGAGCCTTTGTGGACCATTCCAGCCTGGTTCCAGACTCAGCTGAGGAGGGGTGTTGCTAATGGAGCCACCAGAGGGGACTCTGTTGTGACTGCCTCCGGAGGGAGGCAGTTGAGGACTAGAGCCCACAGAGACACGTCGAGGATCCGAAAGTCCACGCGGACGTCCTTTGCGACTGTTCAGACGGGAAAGTTGATCCGCACTTGGGAGAGCAATTCCAGGGGATATGGGCCCATTAGGTTCCGGTGTGTGGCCAACCGGGGCCGTTTCACTTCGACGAGACATCGCTGGTGGTTCTTGAGCAGGTGACCTATTGACCGGAGCAGTATCACGACGGGTTGGTTTGGAGGTAGGCTGTAGATCTGAATGCTCTTGTCCATCCGAAGTAACAGGTGTTGGGGGAGGCGGTCGAATTGGAATTTCTTGAAGCAGGTTTGATGGCTGGATTTGACTTCCGGAATTGCCGGGGTCCCCAGCCGCAGGCATCGTTTGGCCAGTTAAAGAATTCGTGTCCTCCACTTGCGGCGCTGGTGGTTGCGTGGGCTCTGTCGGTCCTTCCCACTCTCTTAAGCGACGTTCAAAGGCTTCACTAAAGGGTTGATTGCCGGTAGGCTGTGGAATCGGAGATGCAGGCTGTAATATTGTGGCCTGCATTAAAGGTTTTGGAGAGCCTGCGGCAGCTGCACCTAGAAAGTGCTGAAGTCAGTGCTGCTTCGCGAGGAAATTTGAAAAGACGGTATTTTCTAGATGTGAAAAGACACGGCTCGAAACTCGCGGAAGATATGCATATCGAAACGGATGAGGAGAAAATACTTACTGCTACTAGCCGAAGCACCAACAGGCCTTCTCGGAATTTGATTGACTGGACCGGCTGGTACGGGCAATTGAGGGGTAGGCTGCGGGGTTCCCGGTGGAGATACGTCGTACAAGTCATCAAACTCGTCGGGGGAGGTTGGGCTCGTCACCGGTCGTGGCTCATCCTCAAAAGACAAACGCTCTGGGACAACATTGGTAGAATCGCTCGCTCTCCGCTGAAATGAGTATTGCTCTCGACGACGAGAATCACCGGAACGTGTTGATGAAATCGTTGCAATTGTGCGAGAGCGGTGGAGACTGGTCGGGGAGTCCAGACCAGGGAAGTCTAGGCTAGGTGCCCGGTGAGTATTCGATCGCTGTAATGTTGCTGCTGCTGCCTCTGCTAGAAGACTCCTTTGAATGTGCTCGGGGAGCGGTGGAACTGGATCACGAGAATAAGGGGGAGGCGGAGGCACCCAATTATCCGCATCACTTTCGTGAGGATGTTCATTTCGTCCATCAGCACGGCGATACTCAATATGTTCCGGAACGCGAGGATGGAATCTTCGATTGACGGCAGCAGCAGTAGCAGCCCGACGCAGTGTCGTGCCACTGCGCGGGGCTGCTTGAGAATACGGTGCGTCGAACGCTTCTTGGTCATCATAGACAGAAGCAGTATCCGACTGCTCGGTTGTGGTTGTTTGCTGGCTAGGCCTCCTAACGGGTGGGCTGCGTGGGGTAAATGGATCTCCCACGCTCCGTATTGTTGGCATTGGAGGAGGAGCATCTGAGCGAGGAGGTCGAGGAATTGTAGTCGTCGCCGATCGGGAAACGTGGCTACGGTTACCTCGCCGCTGAGCAACGGTCCTCCTTCGAACGATTGCAACCTCAGTATCCAAATCTCTGTGCTCCTCTTCGAGGACTTCGGGCTCATTCATTCCAACCTCAATGGTAAGAATAGTCTTCTTGCCATTGTTTGGAGAATAGCCAAAATCCATTATGGATATACGACCCCCATCCACCGGATTCATGCTGTCATCCTCACTTATTGGGGACTGTCCTCCAACACCAGGGGCAACGGCAACGAGTCTTTCGGCATTAGATGAACGCGAGGGGACATCCACCCATTTCATGGCACTCACACGGTCCAGAGACCCAATCATACGGCCTTCGACAAAACTGTTGCGGAGCCTATCACACAGAAGCTGCCATTGTGGCGTCCTGTTGATGGTGCTTTCACGATGTCGGTTGGCAGATCTCAACGATGGAGCGCTGTTTCGTCGTCCTAGTTGACTCGAAGGCGTACTCAATCCACTCTCTGTGTTGCTGCTGTCATCATCCCTGATGATTGGAAGGGCCTCGAGGTCTTCTGGAACACCATATAGCCAAATGGCGCCTTGAAACCCAGAAGCCACAAGGTCCCCCGACTCAGCGGCGGCAGGAAGCGTGCTTGGCAACAGCTTGGTCACGGAAGCCGAATCGGCGATAGGACCAGTAAAGTAAGTCGTCCCATTTCTTAAGTCTTCTATCCTCACAGCGCGGAAGGTCTCGAAGACCCGGTCGTACGTGAAGGTCCAACTTGTCTCCCCTTCCGATGTGCTTGGCAGGAGCACTGCATGACTGCAATCTCGGCTTCCATTTGGGAACAGAATGGATGTTGTCCACAAGGCGCTTACACTCTCCTCGGGGGAGCTTCCACCAGGGTCATAGTATGGTGCAGTAAGGACAACTGTGCTGGGGTTCCGTGACTGTATGGTGGTACCAATTAGTTGCGTTCCATCCGCCGAAAAAGACAAGGAATCCACGGCATAGCACTTGACGGCCCTCCTGTCCGTACTTAGACCACTAGGGTCAAGCGATGACACTTCCACTCCAGAATCATATGCAGCAGCCAAGACCGAACCCGTGGGTGATAATGCAATCGTTCGAGGAGTGTAATCCAATGCTACCGCTCGAGTATGTTTAGGATGTTCCCCAGTCAAATCATATAAATCGACTTGAAGATCGGTCGAAAGTACTGCAAGCAAGGATCCATCATCAGTGATTGTAGTAGAAGCTGGTCGTCGTAATATCTTCAGTTCCCTTTTAACTTCCACTTCAGGCCCCGTAACATCTATGATATGTATTCGAGAAGAACTATAGGCCAAAACGTAGTGGCCCTTTGGTGATAGACTAAAGTGGAATGCTTCCCCACCGGGGGCGGACGAAGAACTGATCGAGTTTGAGACTAGACTGATAACAGTCTCTCGGGGACGGAGATAGGCTTCGAATAGATTTCGTTTTATCTCTCGTGCAAATAACCGACGCAATCGTGGTAGATTTTCGTCATCCTCCGATATAACACTTGTGGGATGAGCAGCTGCATATGACGGACATCGAGATAGATGATGGGCATATAGATAGGTTTGTTGGGATACCGTCCGCCACCTTCTATTAAGAATAATTAGGGAAGCAAAGGAATTCGGGTTCGTAAGGCGTAATATTCTAGGGTTGAAGTCAGCTGGGAGCGTGCTAAACCAGAACTTGGCCGGACTTACTGTTGAATGATCTCATCGGGCAGTCTTTCGAAAGCTGCCTGTTTCATTGAAAATGAGTCCGCTACAGGCTTTTTGATGCCCTCCGAGTGCAGCGAGGCCACTGTGGCAGACATTTCGAGGTGTCCCCAATGTCAATATCCAGGTGGGAGCTGAGAGAGAAACGTGGGGCACTGGGGTCCAGTATTCGAGGGATAAAGGCCACGAACCTCGAAGAGAGGGACGCAGATGATTTTGCAAAGGGAGGCCAGCCCTGAAGTCCACGCCTCGTCCCTATGTTGGCATGAGATGTAGTTCGAAACACAGGCGCTTGTTCCTCGTATTCAACTTGCGCGTCGCCTCCTTGGTTCTGGAAGGCCACTAGAAACTCGATCTGAGCTAGTCCGGGGTGTGTCGAGGACCCGCATTCAATGTCTCAATTCGTACTTTTATCCCAATGGAGTGCCCATGTGCAAGGGCCTTGGAGAGGAAGCTTTAAGATCACACTGGCCTATCTCCTTCGTCTGACTTCCTGCTGCGGTTGAGGAGAGCTGAGGATGATCTTGCGCAGGCCAAACAGGTCAACCCAAAAGGTCGGTAACATGAATGTCTAAAAAAAAGATTTGAGCTTCTTATCCACGCTGGGCGACATTGGGGCCGGTTTGACTTGAAAATGGGGGTTAGAAAACTTATTCAAGGTAAGGGAGTGCAGATGAACAGCTGGAGGAACTTTTGATATTTTTCTAACTATGAAGAAAGGGGGGATAGCACAAAGTTTTGGGCCTGGGGTGCATAAGCCTGGTCATATGCTCCTGGTGCTCAGCCTCGGGTTGCCCACCACTTAGAGGTACCGCACAAGAGGTCGATTCTAATTCGGAAGGCACCCGTATAGTGAGAAGCGTAAATGGTAATCATGAACCTCCGAAGAATTTAATGAGATTTCTCTGGAGCTGGAACTGAGATGGTCACGTGAAGGCTGCGCTTAGAAATGTTCTGGCTCCGCTTGAAGCCCTCTATTCTGCAATCTTTCCCATCACCACCACCACCCATCGTCGGCTCCCTCAGCCTTCCCTTCCTCCTTTGCGCAACATGCCATACGGCGACCTCGATTATGAGGACCTCACCAGAATCCTGACCGAGAGCTTTAATGTCCTAGCGGAACAGGTCGAGGTACTCAAGCCACTCCATTAACTTGTACACCTCTGACGAGGATCAAGCTACTTTCTAACCGCAAGCTCGTTTTGGAAAATAAATTGGTATTTGCACATGAACAAGTGGGTCACTTTACTTTCATAATGTTCCTAAAAAGAAACATGCTGCTGGTTTTATTATGATGAAAAACATTAGCTCTAGATCTGGAGTTGCCAAATGGCAATGACGACCGACAAACACCATGTACCCTGACTATCAACCTGCCTTGACCCCGCATTCCTCTGTACTTCATACTTCGCGTCGGGATTCTGATGCGGTGAATTATAGTACCAACAACTCGCAGACAAATATGCTGCCGGAGACCTGGAGATTTCGAGCACGTTAGCAAAGCTGCAACTTCCTCCCGACGTCCAGATATCCGGATTCGTTCCACTTCCACAGAGACAGCAAAGCGGGTCGAAACAACAGGCAGCAGTCGCTATAAGAGACGGACGGCGAGCGGCCCAACGTCTTGCCACTCTTACAGGGAAATCGACCGGATCTAGTGGAGGAACCAGTATATCCGGGACAAGCAATAATTTAAGGCTGTCTGCCAGGAGGACGTCTCTCTCAACGGTACTTGAACAGGACTTCACTACGACGGGAAAGAAAAGCTCTCTTCTGTGCCCTTTTGCACGGCGCCCGGTCGCCGAAAACAAGCCCCCAATGGATCCGGAAGCATCCCAAGGAACCGGAACGCAAGAGTCTGATCGACCTTTAACCCCAATAGACCCAACACCACACCAATCTGCCGACCCAATTTGCGCAGCTCTGTATGCCGAAACCATGTCATCACCACCTCCATCTGTCACGGGCTCCGCCGCTAAATGTCCCATCCGTTATCTTGACCAGCACTCACCAGAAGAGGTCGCGAGATACTTCGAAACCCACAAGCATGAGATTCCACGAAGCCATGAAGTATGTGTGAAACGTTATCAGCGGAATGAAGCAGATATCAGGAAGTTGGACGCAAAGTATGGGAATCTTGTTAGCATGATTCAGGGTCTTGGTCAAAAGCACCAACCGATGCTGCCGACAAAGGAAGAGGAAGACTCTGTGGAAGTGGAGCAAGCATCGAATGAGCGGGTGGAGAATTGGGCGAAGGCAGTTAGTACGAATGGAATCGGTTATGAAGAAGAGCCGATTGTACCAGAGGACGATGAAGATCGAGAAAGTCGCTTCGACAGGCCCTTGAAAGAGATCCGAGTCGGGGAATCTCCATCAAGACCGTGGGGAATAAGCGTCCCAATTCTGGATCCTCCCGAAGGCCAAAGACCAGTATCTCCTCCGCCAGCACCTGTATCTGTTGAGCACGCTCCGAAACAATCTGGCAAATGCCCATTTGGACATAGTCCACAAGTGAAAGTCGAAGAAAGGCCAACTTCGCCTCGAACCCAGGAGATGCCTACTCTAAAATGTCCCGTTCCGCATGCTCAGAAGGCGAATGATCAATACGCCGCCGCTCCTTCACAACCAGCTGTCCAGGCACAACCTGCGTTTATCCAGCCAGGAGATATTCCACAAATGAACGGTGGAGTAATTCCCCAGATGATCTTTACAGGGCCTGTCTTCATTGGATATCCCATGGAGCAAGCGATTGCGTTTATGCAGAAGTACAAAGGCGCGCAATGATTGTCGGGGAATTTGAGAGATGTAAGAGTCAGTGATGAAGTTTTTCAGTTTAGCGAAGGCGTTCGGTTTCAGGGGCTTTCGGCGTTGGAGGTTTCCTACCAGATTGCAGCACTAGGAGCGACCATAGCGAATGTTAATACTACAAGTGATTGGAGCACCAGATATTGGCGTATTCAGATGATTACTCCTTGTCAAAGTTTCTAGCGTTACTGACACCATCATATCCTACCGCGAATTCACGTTGCTTTGGATTCCCATCGTTTCCAACACTGATGTGTAACAACAAAGATATTAAAGAGGGCTAGGGCTTACAAGAGCTCCATATGGACAAGCGTTAACTTTGTGCGAAATTCAGAAAAGAGTCTTCACTATTGATGTAGAGCTTACTCGAGACAGCTGTACATTCAAGGACTGCTGTCTCCTCTCCCACTTCTCCATTGGCTCCTTTTTAGCCTTCTTCTTGTAAATTCTCGCCGGCTGCCCTTCTCAGAAATCTAGACACGTATTCTGGCTTGACAATATATGGGCTATGGGGACACGAATAGTCTTTCAGTCCCAACTTTGCCCCCTAATTCCTTTACTCTTGTTATTATTCCATCCTGAGCCTGAACAGGGATAGCTCGATCGTCTTCATAGACGAGATACGACGACGGGATTTTTCTCCATGCTGCAGATCCAGAATTATCGCAAAACGTGCTGAGAGCATCCGGCTAGGTCGCGCTGAGCGAGAGTTAGCAAGTGCTGAAATGGAAACCCCTTGAGAATGGGACAGCTTGGAACAGAAAATGGGCTTCTCTTCGTCGCACTACTTACCCAACCATATTTTAGCCTCTGCCTCCGGCACATCGTGGTAGAGCATGCCCGGGAAGCCGTCCCTGAGCACCCATCCTTCCTTGAAACGGTCAGATAATGGGAGAAGCTCTGAGCATATCATATTCACAGGAGTAATTATCCAAGATTCCGGCCGCCCTCCCACAGCCATTTCTAAGCTGATACCCTCTTCCGCAACAAAGGCTGCCACGAATGATAACTTCGTTACTTCCGTCTTCTTTCCTTCCTTCTCCCTTTCGGCTCTGCTTAAGCCATCAAGGGCACTGCAAACAGGCAAGCCTCGCCTCGTAAATACGAAACCGAGCCCGAGGCCAAAAGCAGTCAAAATCTTACAGCTGGAAACGCCACTAATCCCCCAAATGGTGGGACGGAACGCCCCCAGTGGTCACGCTTCTAGGGGATTTAGTGCTGACAGGCTCCAATTCCCTGCTTCAGAGGCGCAGTACTTACGGTGAATCACTTCAAAAGTTCAAAAGCCATCACTCAACTTGGTGTAAAACATTGACTGGCCACCTGGTGCCAAGTACTACCCACAGGATAGACAATAAGAAATCCACACTACAGGTGCATCCGAACCCGAACCCCCTTTCAAGCATGTATTTTCACTCGAACGCGGTACCACTCAGAACGCACAAGAAGTCACGAAATGGATGTGCAGCATGCAAAGCGAGAAGAGTCAAGGTTCGGTGATCCTCTACTTCTCTGGGTAAGCCTACTGACGAATCCAAGTGTGATGAAGCAAAACCACTCTGCAAGAAATGCTCAATACATTTTTCAAACGTCATAGCATGTGATTATGGACCAAATCCAGAAGTTGTCAAGAAGGCGTCTCCTAAGAAGACTACCGGCATATCTCCCCTGAGAAACGATGTTCCGGCGCGTATGAGACGCAGATGTATCCCTCCTTCGACAAAAGCTTCAGGAGTGACTGAAGGTTCTTCGGATCCCGAGAATGTGCTCTCTATCACCCCGCATCATTGTTCGACCCTGGGTGGGAAGATTGATCCGTTCTCAGTTCTCCCGGGAGAATCATCACCGCGTGTTCACTCCCTCATGCATCATTGTACCTTCCCCAGGTTGTATTGCTGTTTATAAAACTAACAACTCACCAGGGACTACCACACTGGCCCTAGTCCCTACAAAGGTAAACTCGTTCAATCTCTTAGGTCATTCGAGATGAACACTAACTTGAAGATAGATTCACAGCCAGTACTGTACTAATCCAATGTGGCTCTCAGCAGCAATCGCAAACACCTCTCTCTTCAACATAACCCTCTATGCCTGCTCAATCCACGGGGCTGGCCTTCGAGGAACGAAAGAGAGCGCCGAATCAATCTTCTACAAAGCGGAGACTATCCGCAATTTGAACGAGTGTTTGGACAACCCAGATCTAGCACTGGCTGACGAAACACTGGCTACAGTGTTACTACTTACACACATCGTTGTATGTTCATCTCAAGGACAACGCAGTCGTACTTCTGAGTATCCACTAATACTTCATACCACTAGAGCATAATCGGTGAGCCGATGGAGGTTGAAACCCACATCAAAGGCCTCCAACAGATGATCAGCCTCCGTGGGGGCATCCAAAATTACACCTTAGGAGGAGTCTTCCTTCACATGCTTTGCACGTACATCACTTCATCTCCTTTTACTAAACTTCACTGACCCAAACAGCACAAATCATCTTACAGCCGTCTTTTCTGAGGCACCTGCTCTACACCCACCTACCTGTCCTTACACACCCATCAAGAGTTCAACTACTCACTGCGCTGTTTCTGTCCACGAGTCGCCACTTCTTAAACCCTTCGCCATTTCCAGTGGTTTTCACACCGTGATGGTTGACCTGTTACATGATATGGGCTACCTATACGCCGTCTTAGATGTCTTTACACGTCGTTTCCTACTACATTGGCGTGGGGGATTCGAGAATGTAGTGGCGAATATTGAGCAGATGGTAGCAATAGAGGATGAGATGGGGAGACAGTCGACACAGAGGGAGGTGGACAGGCTGCAATTTAAGGGTGTGTAGGAGCTTCTAGGCTTAGGATGTTCTGAATTCTTAGGAGAGAATTTAATACGAATTCACCAATGGTGCATGGGGATGGTTTTGACCCGCATGAGGGGAAACGGAGTGTCAGGGGCGCTTCTGACATGGCCATCATTTACGTGGAATTCAGATATCCCAATGTGCCTGCTGGATTATCGTATGATGCGGAGATGCGGAGGTTAAACCATCCCCTCGGGTACGGTCCTGCTTTGCATATTGCCGTGGCTTCTTGCCACCAGAATCTGACCATCACGCCGCTTCGCGAATTCTCCCAAACATCAGACTATGACGTGGGGATAAAAGGTCGAGATCGTTGATAGGATTGGATCGCTTAAAATTCATGTCATATGTCCAATTCTAAAATTGTAAATGTAACAGTGAGAGAAGTTACCGTTTTGACTTTTCTTTGTTCTTCTGTTCATACTAGATTGGGGTTCTGATAAAGTTTGACTCTAGGTAGAAGTAAGATTTCTCAAGTAAATGCGATGTTCAAGAGATAAATTGAGAATTGACAGGATTGGGAAATTTGGACAGCATTGGATCGAAATGCAGTCGCCTATTGTTCTTTGCCATTGGCTTGCAGCACCAGGGCGAGTCTCCCTCGTATGTTGTTGTCACCTCATTCTGCGGATGAGGGGAACAAAGTTACCCCGCCATGGCATTTCAGCGGTGTATAATTCCATGGTATGCCCCAAGGAGAGTTCATTGTTCTTCAAAAGCCGTTCATTCTTCAGTGAAACAGTTTTCACCACCCAATCCACGAAAAATTCCCCAGCCCAACCATGCCATACGATATCAGCATCAAAAAGGTTTCTTTGGCGGGCGTAAGTGCTTTTCCCATTCATTTAATGTTGATACTGAGTACAATAGGCATCCGGAAATCTGGGTCCTGCCATCCTGAAAGAACTCCTCAAGTCGGGCCTCTTCGATATCACGGTCTTGACTCGCGAAGCAAGCACCCACAAGTTCCCCGAAGAAGTTAAAGTCGTGAAGGTCGATTACACAAATCTCGAATCACTTACAAAGGCGCTCGAAGGACAGGATGCTTTGGTCTCAGCGGTAGCCACACTTGCAGTGCCAAGCCAGAGGATGCTGATAGATGCAGCGGTGGAAGCTGGCGTCAAGAGAATCATTCCCTCTGAGTAAGTGTCCCGAAAATACTTGAAACATTCAGTCCTGTGTTTGTCAAGTGTGCCGGGTGCTCTTGGAATATCCAAAACCCCGAGGCCCAATTTCCCCAAAAGCGCTTTAAAGCATATGCTAACCTTCCCCAAGGTTTGGCTGCAGCCTTCATAACCCACGTGTGCGAGCCTTACCAGTCTACTCCAACAAGGTCCAAATCGAAGACCACCTGCACCAGCTCGCCGTCAAAGGTCTAACAAGCTACACGTTGATATTCAATGGGCCATTCCTCGACTGGGGTCTGAGAAGCGGACTGTTCATCAACTTCAAGGAGAGAAAGGCAGAGGTATACGACGGAGGTGACCAACTGATCAGCGCAAGCCGCTTGTCGACAGCAGGGAAGGCTGTGAGGAGGGTTCTGACCCACCCTCGCGAGACTGCAGATCGTGCTATCTTCGTCAAGGATATCGACGTTTCTCAGAATCAACTTTTGGGGCTTGCCATGCAATTGACTCCCGGGGAAGAATGGGATGTCAAGCACATCAGCACTGCTGATTTAGAAAAACAGTCCCTCGAGCAGATCGAGAAGAAGGAAATCACACCAACGACCATGCTGGGGCTCATCAAGCGGGCTATATTCTCTCCCGAGTTCGGAAACCATTTTGAACATGTGCACAACTCCATCTTGGGCGTCAGGGGTATCACTGAACCTGATCTTGAGGAGCTGATTGCCTCGATATTTGGTACGAAACACTTGGAATAAGGTTAACTGGCTGGCGGCCGTAGGGGCAAAAGATCCTCTTAGGCATTTTATTCTCCTCTTTCCATTGATGTAGTAACACAAACGATTTGGGTACCAAAATAATTGATTCTTGGGGTTCGAGAAAATTCGGCTTGTGAAGACACTTTAAGCTGAATTTCGAACTCAGCAATGTTGCCTTTGAAACCCGAACCGCAGAGAACAATTAATTACGAGATAGGTCTTTTTGTGAGGTCGGGGGTGGAGGATTCCTTCCCTTTAAGATTTTCGGCTGTTTTCGGTTAGCACTCTTTCGGCCTACAGTACGAAGGCGGGCGGCATTAGTTCTAAAAACCGTCCATCCGCAAAAAAGCGAGGAACACCAAAATCGCTACGTTTAGAAAATTACACCAAATCTCAACGTAACATCTAAAAGTCTTCAAAATAGTTTTGCGAGATAGAAAGGAAGCAGATCTAACTTTTATGGAATTTTTGCGATAATTAAATGTGATACAGAATTACAAGAAATTCTTATTGCGAAGGTCAGGATTGTGCCCGCGCTCGCTTAGCGAATTGGACGAATTTTAATGCCGTCTGCCTTCGTATGCCTGGAACTCAACAAACCACTCTCCGAGCCTGGGTCCGCCAAAATGCACCTTTCTCATGAATTTTTGGTTCCATAATTGGGAACCCCGTCTGTGCTCCACCGCACAGTACAGTATTTATTTATTTATTCAATTCTTTTAGGGCCGCACAGGAGGGGGTGGGATTTCGCGGTCGGCGTTGGTAAGCAGACTGCGCATAGAACCGGGCTGTGTGGGAATGAACACATCAGGACAGCCCTAAAGCTTGATATGCACCTTCTCTGTCTGGTGCGATCTGTTGTCTAGGGAGGTTCTCTGAATCAACTCTCTTTCTGTAAAAAGCATCAAACCCCCACAGTCTGACAGGTCACAAGGCCTTCCAAACGGATGACCAAGAGTACGTCGATCACCCACTTTGGCCACAATTTCTGAGGTGATGTACCTTTCGACCAAAATAATTTCATCATGCCGATAGTACCACTCTGTCATAAAGAGCCGTTTCCTCCCAACTTTCTTCAAGTTTTCTCGTTTCTACACTGCTGTTTAAACTCCATTCCTGGGTCCCTTCAAGATGGACAGTCAATATGAGGCGAGTACATGTCACGTGATACTCCTTTGTATTGATTGAGCAGTCTGTGCTAGTTAGTACACAAGGAACAAAGACAGGAGGTATCAGTGACCGCATCCGTTTGCAAAGGAATAGTGTTTTCTTTATTCTTCCATTTAGCTATAGCTCAGGAGAGTCGTGTTACTGTCTTTCTCGGACCATGTTTTGAAATTTACAAAATCACTTGCGAGCGTGGTGAGTAGTGATTATGGAAGCCAATTCTTCATCTCATTATAAGCCATGGTTGCATCAACAAAACCACTCTTCATTCTCCCTTATAGAACGAGGGATGGAGGTGGCAGTTCCCCCAGCACGAGTTTCTCCCCGTCCCTCGCATCATTACGCAAACGAAGCACCTCCTCGCCCCTCTTCTCATCAATATACGAAACCGCTGCCCTCGATCCCTCTCAACATTCCACTCAATCAATATTGGAACCAAATAACCATGTCATGGGAAACTCCAATTCACAGCGAGATGACTTCTTCGAGACGCCTTACGAGTATAGACACAAAGCTGCAAACAAGAATCACCCGAACACCGCGTACTTCACGGAGATACTCGAGAGAAGGCGTAAGAATTTCAGTCCCTCTATTGACTCCATTGTCTCATAAGATTTTGCAGTCGACTGGTTTTGATCCGAGATTTGAGATGGTATGTCCGGAAGAGTATCAACAAATTAATCAGCCAAGAGTTGACTCGCCTGCGCCTTCGAGCTACTCGGAAAGTATTTACGATCTTTACAATCCCTCAGAGACTTCTCTGGGTGTAGATAAAGGAGATCATTCTGATTATTCGGGGAGAATATACAACCCACAAGAGAGTTATACTGCTGTGGTGGAAGAAGAGGAGAGTCGATGGAGTTCAGGTGACTCGTCGCTCATTCCGGATCACGCAGACAAAGGGGGTTTGAAGCCTTTTTACAAGCTCTCTGAGCACATGGCTGATGCGATATCATCGGTGACCTCGCTAAGGCATAGAGATTATCCAACAAAGGCACAATCTAAACAGATCAGTCAACATGAAATAATTACCCTTCGAGGTCTCCTTGCTGAAGAACGAACCCGTCACAATAAGCGAATCACCAATTATGAAAGCAATTTGGAAAATCACTACCCACACGAACAGACAGATGCAGATATCTTGGGTCCCACCCCAAGACCGTTGGTCCTTCGTCCGAAGAGAAAAACGCAAAGGCTTGCGTTGGATACAAATTCTGACCCACTTCGAAATGCTCACGACCCTCTGGAGCGGGATATCGACGACATGATCTCCTCGTTGAATCAGACGAAGCTGTACAACACATCGACAACGCTTCTATTTGACGAAGGCAACCATTTCCAAAAGAAGGCTCCTCCACCACTAAAGCCCCGAAAAAAGCTGTTTGGTACGGGGAATCACCCGTTGAAAAGTCCATTCCCATTCCGTCAAGCGCCAGATGTCCCGGATATTGTCCCAGAAACTGGACCATCAGAAAGGACGTTTGGCAGAAAACTTTCGGGAGCAATGAAGCATTTATCTCTCAGCCCCATCTCACCCAAGAGAAGTGTAATTTCGAATAGTGCCAGGAGACCAAGTGGACCCGACACACCCATGCCAAATAAATCACCTTTCAAGGGGTTCTTTCCTTCGGTTGAAAGCACGATGCAGAAGGGAGGTGTGAATATTCAGGAAGCGGTTTCGAAGGCCAAGACTGTCCATTTTAAGACCCCCGAGGAGAGAAAGAGGGCAAGCTTGAAGAAGAGCATAGTGTATGTTGGGATCTCTGATCAGGGCCCAGGTATGGCTTCAATGTACGAGTGTTGAAAGGAACTGATTGCTGGCAGATGGACGTATTGCTGAGTGGTTTTGAAGCACTGGTGGATGGAATGTACAATAGAAATAAACTTGACGATCGTGTAGAAACTTCCTGTGTCATAAGCCGAGTGGCCCCAAGATGTATGAATTTTAAGAAGATTGGTGTGGCGCTTTCGTTCTAAATATTGGATGAAACCAAAGAAAGGTGTAATCGAAAAATTGAGAAGTCTAACACTCGTCCCAACTGGTTGATTCTATATTCTAGAATGAAACTTGTCCTCGATGGCGAGATGGGAGAAATCCTTCCTCCAGTCCAGCTCTCACCACCACTCGGAGATGCTCGTCTTGGCGTTCGTTCCTGTAGATCGTGACCCCGCAGGGAACAGCTGACCCTCAGTGTTTTGTGGCCGCTCACCACGTTCAAAACTCTTCCAATACGAAGCTCCAAGATACAATTTCCACACTCGCACGATTCAAAATGACCCACTCATGTTGAATCAAGAATGCCGTAAGCTGTCCCCCGATGAAACGTGGTAGCTATGGTGGATCTGGGACCCCAGCGAGTTCCCTGCTGTGGTGGAGCATCGCCCCCCCTGTCATAGCGACGGCGGAGCACCAGCTGGGGAACACTCACTGACATCAACAGCAGCCCTCTTTCAAACCAACATCCTTTGAAGCTTGCACAGTCGATTATCACAAACACAATTATGGGAGGAGAAACATACGAAACAGCGAAGCCAAAGAGCTCGTACCCAGTACGATCGGCGCATCCTGTGGGGCAATGGATCCCAGACATCTACAAGAGTCGAATTGGCCAGTTCTATGCAGGTGGACAATATGAAGAAAATAACCTACGGGCGTAAGCTGTACCACAAAACTCTGCAGTGTATCTGCAAGCTAAAGGTTTGGTACACAGGATGATGAACGAAGCAGTAGTTTCTGGATCCCCTCACGTCAAGCTCTCCGTCTGGCATGCTCCCAATCTTAGTCGACCAACCTTTAAGGAGGCCACGAAACATAAATTCGAGAAGACCAGCGTTGGTCAATCATTTGGCCCCTCATGGTCGACACATTGGTTCAAGATCCAACTCACGGTTCCTTCTGAGCTTCGAAAGAAAGAGCTTCTGGAGTTCCACTGGGATGCGAACAATGAGGGCATGGTGTGGACAGAGGATGGCAACCCACTTCAGGGATTGACCGGTGGTGGTGAACGAACAGAATGGGTCCTTCCAGAGAGCTTCAGAGATGGAAAAGAGCATACATTTTATATCGAGATGGCTTGCAACCGCATGTTTGGAAACGCGGCCGGCGGAGACTCCATTCAACCACCAAACCCGGACAACTATTACCAACTGAGTAAGGCAGATATTGTGGCCGTCAATTCGGAAACTCGCCAATTATACATTGATATATGGGTGATTGGAGATGCTGCCAGAGAATTCCCTGCAGATTCATGGGAGCAGCATAAAGCCCTGAAGGTTGCCAATGAGATCATTGACGCTTTTGAACTGGGCAATCAAGACTCGATTATCAAGGGTCGAAGGATTGCCCAAGAATATCTTGGCAAGAATGTCAGTTCATCGAAAGTCTATGAGACTGGGACTAAGCCTCTTGTTTATGGTATTGGTCAATGCCACATTGATACCTGCTGGCTCTGGCCTTGGGCTGAGACCAAGAGGAAGGTTGCCAGATCATGGTCAAACCAGTGTGATTTGATGGATCGCTACCCAGAACATCGATTTGCCGTCTCACAAGCGCAGCAATACAAATGGCTCAAACAATATTACCCATATGTCTTTGACCGGGTCAAGGACAAAGTCAAGAAGGGTACATTCCAGCCCGTCGGAGGCAGTTGGGTTGAGCACGATACCAATTTGCCCAGTGGCGAGTCCCTTGTCAGGCAGTTCGTGTATGGACAGCGGTTTTTTGAGAGCAATTTCGGTGACAGATGTCAGACGTTTTGGTTGCCTGACACCTTTGGGTACTCCAGTCAACTCCCTCAGTTGTGCCGGTTGGCTGGCATGACTCGATTCTTCACTCAGAAATTGAGCTGGAATAACATCAACAAGTTCCCCCACACAACCTTCAACTGGGTTTCTCTTGACGGGAGCCAGGTCATCTGCCACATGGCTCCTGCCGAAACTTATACAGCAGAGGCAAATTTTGGGGACGTTAGGAGGTCTGTTACTCAACACAAGTCAATGGATCAAGACGAAACCTCACTTCTTGTCTTTGGAAAGGGCGATGGAGGCGGAGGTCCTACCTGGGAGCACTTGGAAAAGCTTCGACGGTGCCGTGGGATGAGTGATACCGTCGGATTATTGCCGAGAGTTCATATGGGTAACTCCGTTGAAGATTTCTTCAACAACATCGAGAAGAGGATCTCGGAAGGTCTCAACCTTGTTACTTGGTACGGCGAGCTCTATTTTGAACTTCACCGAGGAACATATACCACCCAGGCAAACAACAAGAGAAACAATAGAAAGTCTGAGATGATGCTTCGTGACATCGAATTACTTGCATCACTGGCGAGCATCAAAGGAAGCTACAAGTACCCGAAGAAAGATATCGATGATATGTGGGAAGCAGTTTTGCTCTGCCAATTCCATGACTGCTTGCCTGGTAGTTCTATAGAAATGTGTTACGATGATAGCGATGAGGTGAGTCGCACAATGTGGAGCATTGCAGCATGACTAATGGCATTCAGCTATACGCCAAAGTCTTTGAAACTGGCGAGAAGATTTTGAAAGAGCTTCAAGAATTTTTTGGCGTTCAAGCCGTTGAGAACCCAAAATCCAAGGAAAGACTTGCTGCGTTGAACACAATGCCCTGGCACCGCCGAGAGATCATCTCACTTGGAAATGGCCAAGCCGGGGTTGCCTGTGGTGATGGCAATCTGCTCAATATCAAAACGTTCAAGATTGCGGAAACTCCAGAGGTTACTGTCAAAGATATTAAGGACGGCGTGTTTGTCCTACAGAACGATCAATTGCGGGTGCAAGTTGACCGTGGATGCATCACCTCGCTCTACGACCGCTTAGCCGAACGAGAAGTGATTCCAGAGGGAGGCAAGGCAAATCAATTCGTCATATTTGATGATAAGCCACTTTACTGGCAAGCCTGGGATGTCGAAGTCTTCCACCTGGACTCTCGCAAGGTCTTGTCTTCAGGGGCTACGAAGGTCGTTCAGAGTGATGCCCATCAAGTGAGCGTCATGACTGAGACCAAGATCAGTGAGAGGAGCTGGGTCAAGACATATATTAGTCTCTCGGCAGCGTTCAAGGGCCAACAGTCATATGTTGAGATGCACAGCGAAGTTGAATGGAGAGAGGATAAGAAATTCTTGAAGGTTGAATTCCCTGTCGATGTCAGAAATACCGAAGCTTCGTATGAGACACAATTCGGTATTGTTCGAAGGCCAACTCATTACAACACCACGTAAGTCTTCATCTTACTACTCGTATTGCGTTCACTGACCTTGTAAACAGATGGGACATGGCCAAATTTGAGGTTTGCTGCCACAAATTTGCCGATCTGTCGGAGCATGGTTATGGTGTGTCCATTCTGAACGACAGCAAGTACGGCTTTGCAACATGCGGAAATCTCATGCGTCTATCACTTCTTCGCGCTCCCAAGGCACCAGATGCACACGCTGATATGGGTCGCCACGACATCCGCTGGGCAATCCTTCCTCACCAAGGCGACTTGGGATCTACCACTGTTCGCACTGCGTTCAATTTCAACAATCCACTCAAGCTTGTTCAAGCACCAGAGACTCTTGATGCATCGGCATTTAGCAGTCCGATTAAGCTTACTGGTAATAAGTCATTGGTCCTCGACACCGTGAAGAGAGGAGAAGATGACGAGGATGTCAGCCGTGGGGAGCTGATGAAGCGGAAGGGCAAGAGTGTCATCCTGCGCATTTACGAGAGCTTGGGAGGAATGAGTAAGGGGACAATTGAGACGACCTTGGATATCAAGAAGGTCTGGAAGACAAATATTTTGGAGGATGATGGAGAGCTGGTTAAGTTCGAGAAGGGCAAGGCGGATATCACGCTCAAACCGTTCGAGGTTGCTACCTTCAGATTGCAATTGTAGATATTGAGGGGACTTGAGCAACGGCTAGGGCAAGAGGATAAATTGACGACATTGCATGCTTCTTTAGTTGAGAAAGTCAACTTCGGGATAGAAGTAAAAAGATGGAGAAACTTGCGGGGTAGACGCCCTGACTCAACTCCAGAAAACCCACACTTCACCTCCTTCGACACCTTTATTAGACACCAATCACTCAAATAACACCCCTGACCTTCCCCGTCTCAACTTCATAAACCCACCCACTAACCTTAATCTTTTCTGGAATCAACTTACTCCCCTTCAAAAACTCCACATCCTCTACTACCGCGCCTTCCAAATTGGGAAAGGGTAAAAAGTCCCCCTTAAACGCTCCCAATTCTGCTGCAGCTTCCTCGCCAAGATTCTTCCTGACGATGCCGGCAGCGTCTTCGTTCTTGAAGGTCAGCATGCCGCAGCCGGTGTGCTTTATGAGGAGGATTTCTTCGGTGCCGAGAAGTTGTTCTGAAATGACGAGAGAGCGAAGAGCGTCTTTGGCTGAGGCTCCTGCATTGCGGATTACATGCGCATCGCCACTACACAGCAGATTAATAACGTAGAATTGAGAAAATCGTGAAGGAGCTGAGATCTTTGGAGCTGCCTTAGTTTCTTGGACACAAAAAGAAAGGGGTTACAACAGCTCCAATGCCCCCGCCTCCCACAGAATGAAACAGCAAATTAACACGAGAATAGGACCTACAGGTTGATTCCATAAGCTAATGCTGGGTCAATCCGTGCGTCCATGCAAGTTACTTGAGATTGTTATTATGTTTAAGGAGTGCGGGAAGAGATGTAGCACAGTACCAACGGCGTATTTCTTTGCTGGCGGGAGTGCAAGATGGCCATCTGTGAAGCTCGAGGCGTATTCTTTGTTCTTGGTGACAAGATTCTCTTGGATGGGAGTTACCATTGCGTCTTGGTCTTGATCTCTGCTGAGGGGTGAATCTGATGTATTTTAAGGTGTTCCTGTAGCTGTGCTGCAATGAGCAGTTGGGGGAGAATGAGTTAGAAGCAAAGGGAGGGCAGCAAAGCTCCTTCTATACTGAAGAACCCTTCTGCTCTGTACCGACAAAGAGGGGTAGATTTGGCGATCTTTGTCCTCCATGAATAAAGGCAAAGCCATAGTCTGAATTGCACCATCATGCCCCAATGATTAAGGCCCTATTCCGCCATCAGTTCGGGCAAGGCAAATACCATTCCGAATTCGTGGGTTTACTGTAGAAAGGAAGACAGAGACCTAGCTTGATACGACTGACAGATAGAGACACGGGACGGAGCATCTTTCGACACTGTGCAGAATCAACATGTTGATGCGGGAACAATCATCTGTCTGGTGGCAAGCGTCAGCCTCGTGTTGCAAGGCGAAAATGTACGTCAGCAAGTCAGGGGCGCACCTTGAAATAGATGCGTCTTGCCTCTCTGCTGGCTGTTGCCCTGAGAATAATCCACCTGTCAGGGTGTCCGTGATCAACTCGATCCGAACTTGTCAAAACAGAAGCACCGGATCCCAGATCTGAAACGTAAAAATCACTCGGATGTGTCCTTTATATAAACTAAATTAATCGCTCTCCAACCCGCGTTGAAAGTTCGCATTGCCGAAGCGAGCCTGCAATTCTACTCACAGGCATCTCCATACATTGGCTCAGAAGCACTGCGCCTTTTCCGCTCTCTCCAAGCATTTGTTCTTTGGATAACCCTTATTTCGACATCCACCTAGATGATACTGATCATAATACCGTCTGCGTTCGATCGCATTATCAGAGCAAGAGCCTCCGCTCCTGTAATCAACCTTTGAGCGCTGTGGTGGGGTAAATAGACTTCAAGATGGGCAATGTGAGCAGCAGGCCCGACGAGGGCGCTGCGCTCTACCTGAGGGATCAGACTCGATGTCAGTATGCCCCTATCAAGAGAGAAGAGCATGAGGCTGATAAGGATGCTGGAATAGTAACCATTTCCTCGCTGTCGGTTACCAATTCTCGACGTAGAACTGTCCTGAATGTCGTTCCAAATGCGTTCCCCGCGACGAGAGTGTCTGCAACTCGAGATCTTGGAGATAACGCTGTGGTGGAATTTGTCCAGGTATGATAAGAGATATTCTTCTGCGGCAGACTACATGCTGCATCCTGTTGTACGAATGCTCAAATAATTGCCAGGACCCTGAACCCTCGTCTTCTTCGACATACCCGAATTTCATCCTCAAGCTCAACAATGATGACGAACTCACATTCGGATTTACTTTTGTAATCAGACAGACACAACAGATTATTCCAGGGGCCAACGGTGCACAAGATACAGCCGGCGGTCTAGTCGATACCACTTTAAACGGGCTTACATATGTATCCGCTTCGACGGCAAAAGAAGTCGAGACTCTTGTCACTCGAGAATTCCACGCCGATCCAAATCTACACAAGAATGCAAATGTACAATTAGTAGGGGATTATTCGACAGGTGGAAGTCAATCAGTATCGTTTGAATGGTCCTGGAAATGGCGGCCGCCGAAGCCTAGTGAAGATAGGGGAGGCGGTTGGAGGAACAATTGCAGCGTATGTTGAGCTCTCTGAAGGGAGACTAGTTGCTAATAGTGTCAAGTTTGTTGAGTACGATCAAAGAGCCCATCGTTTGAACACTCTTGCCAGCTTTTCATTCTGGGTTTCAAGTAAGTCTTCTAATTCCGCGGCAACCCCTCCAATGCTCATAAAAATACAGACCCACAGCAATTTCTAAGCCAACCGAACTCTCCTTCTCCTATTTTCAACCTTGTTCCTCCTCCGAAGAGCCGTATACCTTCCTCGCAATCCGTGGACTCTCGTTTGAGTGCTTCAGATGCTCGCGATTATGATGAACCTCCTTCTCCGAATATGTTGCCAAGCGAAGGACCAGTGGGCGTAGGACAGATACCACAAAAGGATCTCATCAAGGTCGATGTTTCGTGCCAGCGGCCTGGCGAAGATATGAGTGCTACAGAGGATGGACCATTGTTCCGAGCTACTATGAAAGCCCTGGAGCAAAAGACTGGTAGTATGCGGCAACGCATGAAGAAGGTGCTGAAGAAGGCAGAGGCCGCACACGTGGCTCAAATAGAGTGCAACGATGCGATCGCTGGATTCATGGACGCTCTCCGAGAAGCCTCATCCTCGAACGCAAATGCAGTACAGCCAGCCCTCGAACATTACTTTGACAAGATTGCTCGCGAAATATTGGCCTACGAGAAGCAGAACACTATCAATCTACAAAGAATTATTATTGACCCTATGACCAAGCTCTACCAACTGGATATCAAGCAGGCCGAGGCCAAGAAGCGGGATTTCGAGGAGGAGAGCAAAGATTATTATGCCTACGTCTCACGATATCTAGGCCAGAGACAAGATTCTCTAAAGCAGAAGAAACGCGCAGAAAGCGACTCGAAGTACCAATCCAAACGCCGTAACTTTGAGTTGAAGCGTTTCGACTACTCTTCTTTCATGCAGGATCTTCACGGCGGACGCAAAGAACAAGAAGTTCTGTCACATTTGACGAAGTATGCGGATGCTCAGACAAGGAGCTATTTAGCGACCGCTAAGAAGGTCGAGGAGATGCTACCACAATTGGATGCCTTGAGTACCGAAGTTCAGGAAGCGGATAAAGAATTCCAGTATCAGCGAACGGAGCGAGAAGAGAAGCGGCGGACTCTGGAGAAGAGCACTATCACCTATGTTGAACCTGAGACTGTTCCTGCAGTTGGGGTGCCTCCTTCGAGTTCATATTCTGCAGCCACGGGGACAACGTCCTATATCTCTGATGGTGAGCTCGGTCGAGCAGATAGCACTGCTTCGACACTTAGAGCTATAAATACGAATGGAACGACTACGACTCCATCGGCTAACGGGGGCGGAACTGAGTTCTCTAGATCTCCTGGCAGTTTACAATCAACTGTTGGATCAGTCGGCAGTCCAGGTCCCAATTCGAAATTCAGGGGTATTCGTGATTTGGAAGAAAAAGATCATAGTCAAATTTCATCAAGCGAGAAAAATGGCACCCAGCGGAAGGAAGGGCTTTTGTGGGCACTGAGCAGACCCGGTAGCCACGCCGATCCAAGAGGTTTGAACAAGCAGGCATGGCACAAGTAAGTTGGTTGGCAATATGTATTGAAAGAGACTAATCTTGTATAGATTCTGGATTGTGCTGGATGCTGGTAAAGTGTCTGAGTATAGTAATTGGAAGCAACGACTCGACTTACATATGGAGCCCATTGATCTTCGCATGGCCTCTGTCCGCGAAGCCCGGAATGCAGAACGCCGGTTCTGTTTCGAGGTTATTACACCGCAGTACAAACGAGTTTACCAGGCAACATCTGAAGAAGACATGAACAACTGGATCTCTGCGATCAATAACGCTATTCAGAGTGCGGTTGAGGGCAGAGACATGCGGGACGTGCCTGCTCTAACCCGACACCAAGAACCACATTCGATCCGTAAAGATATTGGCTCGATTTTAACTGGAAAGACGAGTCTTTCCTTGAACCATGGGGGCAGCCATAATTCGAGTCAGACTAACGCGAATAATGTCTTCCGAAGGACAACGGTGGGCGCTAGACCTGCCTATAATCGGCAAAACAGCGCTGGATTCGACGAGAGCCCCGACAAACTCCTCCAGCTGTTGCGAGACGCCGACCAAGGCAATTGCTGGTGCGCAGATTGTGGATCTGGGATCAAGACAGAATGGGTGTCCATCAATCTCGCGATCGTTCTTTGCATCGAGTGCAGCGGCATTCATCGTTCTCTCGGTACACACATTAGCAAGGTCCGGTCCCTCACCCTGGACATCAACTCTTTCACGACAGACATCGTCGAGCTTCTTCTTCTAGTCGGCAATCGTGTAGCTAATATGGTCTGGGAAGCGAAGCTCGATCAGAAGACCAAGCCGTCACCACAAGCAACCCGCGAAGAACGTTTGAAGTTCATCACTGCCAAATATGTGGACCGAGCGTACGTCGAACCGATATCAACAACGCTATCTCGGTATGCTACAGCGGATGAGACGCTTTTGGCTGCTATCAAGAAGAATGAGATCCAACAAGTAATCTACGCACTGGCGCTCAAGGCCAATCCGAATGTCCTCGATAAATCCAGGGGGACGCATTCAGTGTTTTTAGCACTTGCGGCAGCGGACCCAGCAGCGCCTTCGCCGGTCGCCTCAACAACTCGATCCGACTCGTCGGCTAAGGTGACAGCGTTCCCGATTGCAGAACTGCTTGTCCAAAATGGTGCTGAGATTGCATCCGCTTTGCCAGCGTTCCCACTGAGTCGAAGTGCTTCGTTGTATATTGAACAGAAAACTAGTCGAGGAGGGCCTTCTGGGGACACGCTGGGGGCTCTTCCCATGATGAATTCAGGGGGGAGCCAACAAAATCAGCGTGAGGCTCGGCTGCAGAAACGAGTCAGTGCTGGTGGACGTCTAGCAAAAGCTCCTATCCCTGAGAAATGATGAGGTTATGGAATGCATGGGTTTATGATTGATGCAGTGACGGGAGATACCATGGGAAAACTAGCATTCCGGCGTTTGGTTGTCTTTGTTTCTGGGTGCATCGCTGAACGTACAGATGGATACTTGTTGTTGCAGAGAAGTGCCATTGATGGAGCATGGCTCCAAGGGTTGGAAATGATAATGTCGATAATATTAATAGATCAAGGCAGGGCCAATGAAATGGGGCGCTGGCTTGGGAAAATGGAAGACTTTGCGCTTGCTGCCTGTTGTTGGAGTTCAAGTCTGGTGTGCTTCTATATTTTAATATGCTTCTAGCCGTGTCGCCGTATGTCGCTGTCCTCGCTGGACCACAGATGCGGAAGGATCTAATCTCGAGCCACGAGCCACGAGCCACAAGCCGCGATGCACGGATGCACAGATTACGGATGCACGGATGCTCGTTTTCACTCGACGACTCTCATTCAAAATCTGCACAATGACGTAGAATGTGGCTGGCCTCCGTGACGACCCTCGGCCGAGCATCTGCCGCAACTTCGGAAAGGAAATCTTGTCCAAGTTTGCACCTACTGTAGAAACATGAGGGGCTGAGCATGTCATGGCCGCGTCCTGACCCGTCAGCCCCTTTGCACTCTTTAAATATCCCACGAGAAGATTGCTGCTTGGCCAAGAGAACACAAGCTTTTGAGCGCGTTATCTGAAAGCTAGAGCCCTCCTTGGCGAGAAAGACAACTTGGGACCGGTGCCACACTTAAACCTCTCCACATCCACATCCGATCGGGTTGTCACCAAACATCAACTCAGGACTTTAGTTTCAGCCCCCCGCTTCCGCCGTCCGAATGATAAGCCGTGGGTCTGTGAATACATCACGGGGCATTGCAGGACTCCGTAAGTTCGCGGCCGCTGCAATTGCGCTGACGGCATTGTAACACTGTGAATACATCACGAGGCATTGCAGGACTCCGTAAGTTCGCGGCCGCTGCAATTATGCTGACGGTATTGCAACACTGTGAACTCTCACAATATAAGCCGTCGTCCCGCTCGAAGTGAATCCTTCAACTGATCCTGTCAACACAGCCAAGATGTTCGACAAGGAGAAACAGCAGCCCAATGGGCGATCGAACGGACCACTGAACGGCGTATCTGGAAACATGCAAAACGGTGTAGAGAAACATTCAACCGGGAAAATTGAAGCAGCGAAGGACAAGCTCACCGATAAGCAACAAAAGCTCAAAGACAAGCACAACCCTCCGGGAGGGCACGATAATACACCCATCCCAACCGCCCGCGATGGATACACGGTCAAAATCACCATCCACCGCGCAGAAAACCTCCCGGTCTCCGACCTCAATTCTCGCTCCTCCGACCCATACATCCAAGCCACTCTGACTGCGGCGCTTTCGAAGCGACATAAAGAGGATCCAGATCTGGTGTTGAGGACGCCGACAATACACAAAGATACCAATCCGGAATGGAATACTGAATGGATTGTTGCGGGCGTACCTTCAAGTGGCTTCCGTTTGAAGTGCAGGCTGTACGACGAGGATCCTTCGGATCATGACGACCGGCTGGGAAATGTCACTGTCAATGTTGGCCGCATTGGCCTGGATTGGCCGGGGATTAAAACTGAAAGCTTCAATATTGAGAAGCGTATGGGAAGCAAAAGAGCCTATATGATTCGGGGCTGTGCTGCTATGCTAAGTAGCAATGTACACATGGGCGGAGCTCTGTGGCTCAGTGCTGAAGTGCTTGGAGAATCTGAGAAGCCGTATGGGCGAATGTATACTGTAGGGAAGACCTTTTGGTTTAAGCATTATTCGCCCATGATTGGCAGAATTGCTGGTACGAAGGCGCCTGGAAGCTCCCAAGGTTCTCAGAATGAAGACAAGCCCAAAGCGGAGAGGTATGAGTAAGTATCGCTTTACTGGTTGTATTGACCACGATCTGACCCTCTGCAGTTTCCAAGCAAATCAATTTCAACTCCAGGGACCAGTTCCTGAAGAACTATACCACCGATTTGTGGAATTCAAGCCCTTCGTCAAAGGCATGTTCTCGAAAACTGGCGTGCGAGGACGAGTTCTAAACAGAGCTCTTCACCACCAACACGCCCGAGTCTACAACTTCAGCAATGCAACAAAAAATGGAATAGTGAAGCCAAGATCCAAGGAAGCCTCATTACAATTCCTCAAAATGGTGCACTACGATGAAGGAGGGCGAATCTTCACCTACGTCTTAACACTCGACGGCCTACTACGCTTCACAGAAACCGGCAAAGAATTTGGAATTGACCTGTTGTCAAAACATACCATGCACAGCGATGTAAACATCTACATCGCCTGCTCAGGCGAATTCTTTGTCCGTCGGCTCAAACACCCTAAAAAATCAACCGATGCTCCCGATCAAGCAACCCATCCTAACGCCGATTTCCCAGGTGGACCACCAAACGCCCCTCCTCCCGAAGATCCCGAGAACTACGAGTTAGTAATCGACAATGACAGTGGCACCTACCGACCAAAAGGCGAACTCTTGCCCCTCCTCAAGGATTTCCTCAACCAGAGCTTCCCTGGCTTGCACATCGTGACGAAAGAATGTACAGACAAGGAACTACAGAAGATGAAGGACGAACAGAGAGAGCGGAAGAAGAAGGAGGGCAAGAACGTGCATATGGTGCAGAATAGCGATGGTGAGATTAGCAGTAGTGATGAGGAGAACTTGGCCAGGGGGAAGAAGACCAGGAAGCAGATGGCGTTTGATGCGTTGGAGGATCCGCGAAAGGTGGTGAAGGAACTTCTGCCTGGTGGGAAGGGGAGGGAGGAGAGGGAGCAGAGGGAGACCGCTGAGGATAGGGTTGAGGTTGAAGGGGAAAGGAGTGGTTTTTGAATATCCGAGTTTCTGCAGCGATTTCATTTGCATTTCGAGAGAGGTAGGTGGCCATTTCTGCGATTTTTATACTCATTTGATACCGCTGGTCTTACTGTATGATTGTAATATAATGGATTATGGGCTTGGAACTTTTGGAGCTTCGTATCCACACATCATTTCATTCATGACATCTATGTACCATTGATTTTACATTGCCCCTTGTACCAAAACAACACAAAAATTCCTATCCCTAAGTATGCTTGCTAGCTACACATACATACACCACTCTATCAGGGATGAGCCACCAAGAAACCCAGGCAAGCGCAAACCATGCAACGCTGGAAAACTACATCGTAGCAGAAGGGTGAAAGAAAAGAATAAAACGAAAACGTTCGCGAAAAGTGAGAATAAAAATAGGGGGCAAGGACTTGCTAAATACAGCAAGGCTATCTCGTTCGACAGCTTATTCATCCGCGGAAGTCATACACAGCACTAAGTTCATTCATCGATTACCGCTGAGGCGCATGGTTTCCTTCTCGCCAGGAGATTCCATGGCAGGGTAGATCGTTTCCTCGATTTCCCCGGGCCCGGTGATGGGAGAGAAGGCGTCGACTTCTTCAATCTCGTCTTCGTCTTCCTCCTCTATCCCGGTAATCTCGCCAGACCGGCGACCAGCCACACTCGCGCTGCGACTATGGCTCCCGGTGCGCGCGTGGTTTGCACCTCCGGCCGGAGTCGGGGAGGATGTATTCACCATGGGTCCTTTAAAGAGGTTCTTTTTGCGCTTGGCGAAGACCAGCCCGCCCGCACCGTTGCCGAGGTTTCCCCATGGTGCTTCGTTGAAGGTTGATATGGGCGGTTGGCGCACGACGCGGATGTTGGAAGGGAACGAGGAGGTGGTGGGTGTTGCGGGGAGGACTTTCACGGAGTGGTGGGGTGAGCGGGTCGGCATGGAGACTTTGGACATGGACCCTGAGCCGTTGGAAGACGTAGAAGAGGCTTTGGAGTGCGTGTGATGGTGGTGGTGGATGCTGCGGACGGAGGAGACGGATGATGATGTTGATTTGCGGCCACGAAGACCGGTGCTGGCACGGCGGAATGTGGAGCGTGGTGTTAAGGGAGATGGTGAGAGAGATTGACGTTTGTTAGTGGGCGTGGTGTATATCCGCGCAACTGGCGGATGACTTTGTGGTCCTGGTTGAAGTAGGGGTTGTGTTGAAGGAGGAGTCTTTGAGGTCGCTGGTCGTGGACTAGGGTCTTTTTGGCCTGCTCTCGAGCTATTGGTGGATTTTTGGAGAAGATCTGGAGTTGACCGACTTAATCTTCTGCTAGGAGATTTTGCACGTTTAGCAGAATCCAAAAGCCAATGTTTCCAATGAGCAAGCTGGTTGATGAAAGAGTGTTGGTGTTTCTTTCGCGGAGGCTTTGGTGAACTGCCATTGGCATTAGGAGAGAGTAGGTCGTGGTTTGACGTAACAAGCTGTAAGGTGCTTCCTCGAGATCTTGCACTTCGAAGTACACCCTCCTTTGGAGGCGGAACAGGACGGCGATGCCGTGAAGAGCTTGCGGAGCGTATTGAATCTTTCTCAATAGGTGGTGGGGGCGTGACAATGTCTGGCGAGTCGAGTTGAGAATGTTCCGGTAATCCAGGAAGATCTGTCAGGACAAGATCCGGATAATGTGCACTGCGTCTCTCCTTTCGGCCTCTACTCCTTGGTGGGTCACTGAGCTTAATCCCTTGGCCTTCTTCGTTAACTTCATTAATCGTCAGGGCCATTCGCTCAAGACGGCTGCTTGCTGCACTAAGTCTTCGAGAAGCCCGGTTTTCCGCTTCTCTCTCTTTCCTTTTGCGTTCTCTTCGAATTTGCTTTCTTTCTTCCTTTTCAATAAGCAGAGTCCACCATCCAGCCAAGGGATCACAACGCCGTGCCAACACATTCTCAATTACTTGGTCAATATCAACCCCAGCACTGCGCATACGTTCCAAAGTTTCTTTCTCTAAAGGCGTCGTAAATGGCGCTGGTTGTTGGAGCTTTAGAATAGCTTGCTGTTGTGGTGCATGCTCTGCGAGGAACGGATGGGCCAAGATATCGGAAAGTCCAGGGCGGATTAGCGGTCTTTTCGAAAGCAAGACTTCTAGTAAAGAGCGAGCATCTGGGGTAAGGTGATCCGGCCACTTCGGCTCCGTGCTCAGAATCTTGGTCCTCGTCGCATTGTCATCATCCTCGTCAAAAGGTAACTCGCCGGTTAGCAGAGCATATAGGATGACCCCTAAGCTCCAGACATCAACCTTTTCGCCTGCGTACTTCTCTCCTTTCAGCATCTCCGGAGCGCTGTAACATATGGTGCCGCAAAATGTCTGTAAATAACTGGCTTTCCCTTCATATTCCCGTGTGAAGCCGAAGTCGCAAAGCTTGACGTTCTCATGCTTGTCGAGGAGGATATTCTCGAGCTTCAGGTCCCGATGGACGCATTGGGAATTATGAACGTATGACACAGCCCCAACTAACTGAGTAAACACTTTCTGCACCTTCTCCACCGGTAGAGCTCCATGCTTAAGAAGATAATTGTACAATTCGTCCCCTGCAATACATTAGCAAGAGTGTTCCACTGCAGTTCAGATCCTCGCCAGCTCACCTGGGCAATATTCCAAAACTAGCCAAACTAAGCTTTCCGTAACTATTACTTCATAAAGTCGTGCAATGTGGGGATGTATGAATTGTCGATGGTGGTGGATCTCGCGGGCCAGATTCGAGTCGTCCTTGTTCGCAGATTTCAGAACAACCTGCAGTCTCCATCAGCACGAACTCAACCTTCTTTTACATTCTAGCATACCTTTGATCCATTTGTGAGTTTGTGAGTTGCCAGGTAAACCTTGCCGAACGACCCCTTCCCGATTAGACGTCCAGGAGTATAATTTCCAACCGATCGAAGGTCTTTCGACGAGAACTCTCTGCAAGAACCCACGGGTTAGTCTTGGTCTTCTAACCACTCTAGCAGGACAAGATACATACTCCAGTAACTCATGGTATGAACTGGCAAGCTGTTACACAGGATGTTAGCTCTGCGGCTTCCAATAGTGCTCCTTCGTTGCTCAAGGCTAGCACTAAATCGTGGAGAGGTATCACCTTAGCTTTCCGACCTTGCGATTCAGCCTTGAGCCTTGCCGTCTGCATACCAGTCACCGTTCGCACCTCCTGCTGCTGTGGTTAGAAGAGGCTCTAAGCCCGGACATTCAAGAGGGGCGCGTCGCGTTCGTTTCTCGGTGTTGGCTTGCTCGCGGGGGATATGCTCAGCGATGTTGCAGTTGGGCTTGCGATGCGGTATTCGTAAATCTCGGAATGAGCATTGGCTTCTGTCGAGTTCAACTTGGCGAGCAATGGGACGAGGAGGGACGATAAAGAATCATGAACAGAATTTCTGTTACAATCGCAGGGATCTCCTAGGTTCAGGAACCAACGCTTGCTCAAAGGCTCTTTTTCGCTTATAATCTTCTGGACTCCCCTTCTCCGCGATTGTGCTACGGAGCAATGAGACATAGATACAAAGAAGTCAGGGGATGTTGTCAAATAGGTATCCGCATATCTACATTAGAGCTACTTGAACACCTTTGAAGGGAGCTCGACAGATATACCCATGAAAAGTAAGTAAAGGGGAAGGGGGTTTTAAATCTCACGTGACCGACTTCAGTTATCTAGGGAGGTCAGTCATTTGGGAGTTTAAAGGGGGGAGGCCGTGAAGAAATATCCTTTAGCTAGGAACTGCTTTCTTCTTATTGCACTTGGAAGGCCTTGGAGTTATGTCATTGCAGTATGTGAGGCTCATACACTGAGGATTCAAGAATTGAATGCGGTAGTCCTGAAGGCCCGGCATGAATGCAAAATGCTGCGAGTCATGTCTCATGCCATTTATTCTCTAATAGTACAACTAAAGCTCAACCCCTCTCAGTTGACTTGAGTACCATAACCCCGAATCTGATCCGCGCTGCGAAGCCATTTCGTTAGTTCGAGTTTGCAAGGGGGACCGAAGAGTAACTTACAATGCCCAGCTCTGGTTCTCCAACTTCTCATCCTCCTTCAGATCAATACCGTCCGCTGTGATGATCGCAATTGAATACTTGTCCAAACTCCTGGCATCTCTGTAGAACAACACCTTCATGCTCTCCTTGACGGCCGCCAATGCTTGCTCCTTTGATAACTTTGACGCAGCCATCTCATCTGGAGCAACCTTTCTTAACAGCGGTTGGGCCAAGTGTGCTCCAAATCCAGTAGCCAAACTTGGCGCACTGAATGTTGTACCAAGTAAATCCGCACTCGCCAAGAATGGCTTCTTGTCATCGTCCAGACCTGCTACCAAGAGCTGATTCCACAATGGATTGAAGTCGGATCGGCGCTTGTAGAGGACTTTGGAGAGGTAGGTGTGGAGGTTCTTTGCATTAAGAGAGTGACCGGACGAGCTGTAGGCTTCTTCGATATCGAGAGAGTTGAGAAGGCGGTCTAGGTATTGCATGTCTGAAACGTCGCCACCAAAGCCAACAACTGAGGTACCTGCAAACTTTCGGAGACGCTTCACATCTGTGAATCGAGCAAGAGATCCATAGGAGGCTGCAAGGGAATACCATGTCAGCGATGCCTCAAATGGAGCTTCCTACGAGCCTATGTACCTAAATTATCTGCCGCTATCACAACGCCATCCTGGAACTTGAGAGCTATAACCGAAGTACCCGTGACGATGGGCTGTTGAGTATGTTGGTTTGGTCCATGGCTTTGCAGATATGAACCGTCGTAGGCGCCGTAAACATCATCTCTGGGCTGTAGAGCTGTCAGCAACATTGCATGAAACGGATTCCGCAGTCCACTTACACGACCCCAAGCTTGTGGAAGGTGATTCATAGCTGAGGTAGTCGGAGGGTGTGTATGCGGTGGGGTTAGTCGAAGATGAGGGTTTATGGACGTTGAGCGAGATATTTAGAGGTTGATGGAGCTTTCGCGTCGCGGCAGCCTTTCGCAGCTGCAAGCACGGACGACCTTCCGCCTCAGGCTAAGAAATCGACTGGCCCAAATCTGCAACTTCCAAACCTTCAACAACTTACAATGGCGGCTTTGGTAAGCTATGGAAGCAGCGACGAAGAGGACAGTTTGCAAGAAGAGGACCCTAAAGTAAACGCAAGTTTTATTATTGAGTTTCTCAGAACAAGCTGACAGCACAGATCCCAGGTCGAAAAACATACCTCTTCACAAACCACCTCTACAAATGGCGTCAAGTCTGGTAGGCGATAGCGGTCTGCCCAAGTTAAGATTCCTAATATGTTGCTAGACATTCATCAGAATGGGCATGCGCTTTCTGAACATGCACCCGGAAACGATGCACCTCTGGTAGGCCCATCACTGGGACCTATAGATATCCCCACAGAGTTATTGCTACCTGAAGACGACGAAACTATGGCGCCTCAATCACCATATTCTGCGAATCGAGCTCTATTACGGGATTTAACTCTTCCTACGAATCCAAATTACGACATTCCGCCGTCTCCTCCCGGATCACCAATGGAAAGCACGAATTCGAAGTTCAAGCACTTTCTCGAGTTGAAGAAACAAGGGGTACATTTCAATGAAAAATTGGCCAAGTCATCTGCGCTCAAGAACCCAAGTCTCATGCAAAAGCTGATGACCTTTGCGGATATTGATGAGGTTGGTCAGTATGCGACTACTGTACCCAAAGACCTCTGGAACCCCGATGCCTTTCCCGAATACGCGTTCAAAGAAGAACTTGCGCACAGTCAGCAAAAGATCCGAAAGAGGAAGGAAGATGAGAACGCCAAAGGTCAGAGAGACAGCATCGATTTCGTCCCTGCTGCTGCTTCGTCTGAACCACTGAGCAGGAGCGGAACGCCTGGGACAGGTGGAAGGACGGGTCAAAAAAGCGCTGCTGAGAGAATCATGGCAGGACTGGACAGGGGACGATCAAATTCGCCGCAGGTTCAAGGCACCAAACGAAAGACTCGATTCGACAGTTGAAGATGCGCTTATACAACTGGTTTCAACTCGTGTCAATCTGAGCAGACATCTCCCGCAACAGTCAGTAGCAAACTGCACCTGACTACAAGAATGACTTGGCTCTCGAAACAATGTCAATGTCTGGAAGCATCACGGGCTACAGTCATTTCAAGAAGTGCTAACTGCAGCGACTTCCATTCGCAAGGCTGTCGTCACAAGGCTAGGTCACGGGGAGGCCTTGGTCACGGCCACTTAAATAGGGGTCAAAGAATCGCCCCTGAATCTGCGTCCCATAGCCGGCTAGATAAATACGAACATGTCAATCGACGTGCAATAATTTGAAACTGAGAAAACAGAAACTTTGCCGCGTGAAAACCTCATGAAAAATCCCGTTTCGCTCCTGTTCGAAAATGGTCCTGTTTGAACGCTGTAGACCAGGGCTGGCAGCTTGAATCGCTCTTCACCACTCAAAAGCGTCGCCTGGAGGGGGGGGCTGGCTCGGAAGCTGTCATCCAGTCATCAAATCCATCCTCGACCTCGCCAGGGTCTTGAATAATACGACGACCAACGATTTCAGGCTTGCAACTCCATTGCTTCTTGCTCCATCTCGCTGTCCTCAGGCATAAGAGCCACTGCATCTCTCGAGCTTCAGGACTTTACATTACAAAATAAGAATTCAGCGTCGGCCACTATTTCCCGGGTCACTTTCGGGGAAGAGCTTCAAGATTTCGTCTTACTAAGAGGCTTCTGCCTGTGCAGATGGCACCACGCGAGAAGAAGGGTCAATTGAAGCGAGGTCGGGTATGTTACAGATCTCTGCGTGCCTTATGAGATGTCCCACAGGACTTACAATTGTGACGTAGGGCGGAGCAGGCGAAGAGAAAGACTCGAAGAAACCGAGACGGTCGGAACGATTATCGGCGACGACCCCGGGATCGAATAAACAAAACCTTCCTTCCCCAATTACGCAGCAAGATTCCGTATCCTCCAGTGAAGCCTACAAGGAGGCAACTGCGACGCCACCGGAAGGTCGGCCGAGCCAGCTTCACCATCGCCCATACGATCACCACGTCCTCAACGAACCCGGTTTTTCATCCCCGCCGCAAGATACACAACCATTCTCTCAATTCGTCTACCCTACATCCGCGTTATCGGAAGACGTGAATGATGAGACCGAAGAGGGTGTTTGGGGATACTTGCTTCCGCTGGACCCAAAATATGGCAAATCTTTGGTCTTGAAGAGGCGAAATGCTTGTCCATTGCCAGGTGGCATGGAGAATTTCGGCAAAGCCAGTGGGAGCAGGATGTCTACTAACGGCAAGGGAAAGGATTATGAGAAGGAGGAAGAAGCTTATGAGCAAACGAAGTTGAAAGGTATCGCCTCCGGCGGATATCTAATAGGGCGACATCCTGAATGCGGTGAGCATTTCGTTCCATCTTCTTGAGATCATGGACTAATTCGGACGCTGTAGATCTAATCATCGATGACCCTATCGTATCTAACAGGCATTGTCTTCTCTTCACAGAAAATAAAGGAGGCGATACGGTTGCTGTAGTGGAGGATTTGTCGAGCAATGGCACTTTCGTCAATGAAGCTCTAATTGGGCGAAATAAACGCCGAGAACTACAAGATCAGGACGAGATCACAGTCATGGACAAAGCAAGATTTGTGTTCAGATATCCGAAGAACCGAGAGACAAGTGCCTTTTTGCAGCAATACACACTTTTGGAGAAGTTGGGAAAGGGCCACTTTGCCGAGGTCTTCCTATGCGTTGAGAAAGCTTCCGGTCAACGATATGCAGTCAAGATCTTCACCAAGCAACCTGGTGTGGAGGAACGTTCAAAGACCGAAGGTTTACAGCAAGAGATAGCAGTTCTGATGGGCGTGAGCCATCCTAACATGCTCTGTTTGAAGGATACGTTTGACGAGCCTAATGCCGTCTACCTGGTGCTAGAACTGGCTGCGGAAGGGGAATTGTTCAACTGGATCGTTATGAAGCAGAAGTTGACAGAGGCAGAGACGAGAAAAGTCTTCGTCCAGCTATTCCAGGGAGTAAAGTACCTAGTAAGTCTAGAACATCTTTCCCGTTTAGTTTTTGCTGACATATGATAGCATGAGCGAGGAATTGTCCACCGTGATATTAAACCAGAGAACATTCTTCTCACGGACAAAGATCTCCACGTTAAGCTGGCTGATTTTGGCTTGGCCAAGATCATTGGCGAGGAATCTTTCACTACCACATTGTGTGGAACGCCCAGTTACGTCGCCCCTGAAATTCTTAAAGATACTCAACACCGCCGATACACTCGTGCAGTCGACGTTTGGTCCTTAGGAGTTGTGCTCTACATTTGTCTTTGCGGCTTTCCACCCTTCTCTGACGAACTTTACTCCAAGGAGAATCCTTACACCCTCACCCAACAGATCAAGACAGGAAGATTCGACTACCCCTCGCCATATTGGGACTCTGTCGGCGATCCAGCTCTCGATCTCATCGACCGCATGTTGACTGTCGACGTTGAGAAGCGATATACTATCGACGATTGTCTTGAGCATCCTTGGACTACGCAGAAGACGTTAAATGTCAACGACAGCACTGATGGACTAGTAGGTGGCATCGCCAATCTTGATTTCAGCAAACGCAAGGTGGCTCGGGAACGAACGCTTCTCAGCTCTATCAACGATGTGAAGATCACTCGAGTGATCGAGATTGAGTCTGATAAAGACCCTGTCAAAGTCTACATCAAGAACCCCAATGCGAAGTCCGTTCAAAACAAAGTCAGCAAGTCGGTTGAGACAAACGCCAACGGAGTGCCAAAGAGCTATCCAGGAGCACCAAAAGGTCCAAAGCAAGAAGAGACACCCTCTCAAAATCGCGACCCAATAGAATTCATGGGTCTCGGCGGGAAAGGAGATCAAGAGCTCTTTGGCAACGAAGGTTCGATCTACTCGAAAAACGAGTTCCTCGGGACGACGAAGAGCTGATGAGAATATTATGTGACAGTTTAAAAGAACCCTTTCTGTGGTTTCCTTTATCATATGAAGCAGGATTTCAAGATCTTCGACCTCCCCTACCTTCCTCTGCCTCACTGGATCCTATGAACCTTGATCCGCCTCATTTCACATCATTGTAATCAATTCCATGTACATATGTCTTTGTTTGCGTTTGGGAAGGGCCTGGGTTGGGGAAAAGCGTGCATCATTGGGTCGAGATGTGGGCAGCATGCCCAGTATAGTATTTGAATAAAAAGCCAGGATAGGCCATGGTCATGTAGCCCCTGTTCTGATCGAAGAATGCTAGTTTCAGAGGATCATAAAGTCATTCCATTTCTATGCAAGAGCGCCTTGCAGGCTCAGATCTATGTGCGATATTACCACTATGTATGAGCATGCTCCCGAAACTCCTATGCACATTTCCACCAGTACTGAGCCTCAAACGCCAGCCCAGATACCATACTCTACAGAGTCCCAGCTTTTATACATTTCATAAAGTGAGAAGGGAGAGTCATTACTTTCTATGCCACGTTACCTGCCATGCCCATGAACAACGCTTGAATAGCTAGGGAAATCGACCAGAACCCTACTTTCTTCAGCCGTCGCATCCGTGCTTGACTGTCTACCACATCTTTGGCGAATGCTTCATAGGTCTCTGCCGATAAATCTTCCATTAATCCGCTGTCGAAGATCGTCCAGCTGCCATCGAATTCACTGGCTCGTTTTACAATTCGGCAGTTGATGGGAATGAATGTCTTTTGAGAGTTGATGTAAGCTACGATAGGGCGGATGAGAGCTTGGTTGATGTAAGAGAGGTCGCGAGTGAAGAGTGGGACTGATGCTCTCACGTCGTTCAGATGAACGCGGAGGTCCATAACAAGGAAACGCTTATCATCATCCCTACTGACCTTCTCGGCATATGCTGCTCGCTGCTCAGGTGTATCGAGGTCAGCAGTCCGGGGGTTGTTCTCAAGAATGTGGATGTAGCGATTCGAGGTCACGGTAGCCTCCATACGGTCGTAGAAGTCGGACATCACTTTTGCAATACTCTCGTCTTCGTCGGCTGGGAACATGATATCTGCTACGATATCGACGTTCCCTTCATAAATCCATCCAAATAGTCCTTCAACTCCACGATTCAAATGATCGATTTTCAAGCCATCAATCCGAAGTCGGCTGTGCTTCTTCCAGGGATTTGCTTCGTCATTTGACTCCTCGTGATGTGCAGCAGCAAATCCATGCATCTGCCGCGGATGGATAGTGAAGAGAGATCCATCGAACGCTCCCGACATATTGTTTGCGGAAAGGAAGTCATAGAATAGCCACTGTTTCCGTAATTGAGGCAAGTCGCAGGAGAATATGCTCACGGAAAATGGTCTAAATCCATTGGGTTGGTGGACCGTGACCAAGAGATCCTCCATCTTGAAGGAGTCTATTTCGAAGTCCCCTGGATGATGCTTATGAAGATACGTCCGTGGATCGATATATTCGCCTCCCCAATGTACCGACGTTCTGTCGATTACACCCCTTACTCCTTTGACCTCCACATCTCGTAGAAGGCCCTTGCCATTCCACCATTTTACGAATGACAATGTGACATTCACGGTTCCAACCGTTAAGTCAAATTGGGTATAATTGGTATCTTCCTCCTCTTCATCTTTCCGTCCTTCCAGTTCAGCCTGTCTTTCTGCCGCAGCGGCTGCTGCTGCGGTTATGGAAGAACCTTTACTGACTTTCGTCCTCCCTTGCCCAGGTCTTCTGGAAACGAACACATTGTGGAAGGTGATCACTCCGTCTTTCCATTTGGGAACAATTGCAGACTCGAAGACAACCTTCACTCCTGCAGAATGTGTTAAATAGTCACCCACCCAACGTGCCAATGTCTCTGTGTCATGGTTAACTGACCGACTCAAAATCTTGGTGGGGAAAGTGCATACCTTGTGCAACAACAGTATTAATAGAGAGAATGACGAGAGAGAAGAATGTTGTGGTCCCAACCAAAATCCAGACGAGATTTCCCAGCATAAACCAAGAAATAAAAGCGCTCCAATCATCGACATTCCACGGGCGTACGCTCCTTATAGAGAACCATTTGAACCGGACCTTCAATCGAGACCAGAACCCAGTTGCTGCTCCGAGAAGCTCCTCTTTCGTCGGCCGATGGGGCATCTTGGGCAGATGTGGGAGATGAAGGTAATTGCTGGTAGAAGGAGGCTGTTGGACAGGCTCGCTCTTCTTTGCAACAGGAAGTACCTTCGACTGTGTGTTCCCATTTTGGATAGATTTTCGACTGTTCTGGCTGTTGGATGCAGAGCTCTTATTCCTCCTCGCATTTCCCCTTTGTTTCATTTGACAAGCCGAATGTAGTTGCCGACGCCATGCTTGCCGAGCCAAATATGTGATTGGCCTCCGAGGCAGAGTTGAAGTTGTGTGGAGAGTTTTCTCTGCAGTCGTAGCACAAGATGTAATCGCCGGGGACGTTGATGTCACTGTCGGATTTATGTCGAAGAAGAGGAACCCGCACGAAGCAAAACTCTTGGTCACAGATTTCCTTCTGGGCGACTGAGGCTGGAACCTTGGTCTGCTCCAGGAAAAGGCTCGTTTCGAACAGTGTGTAAAGCTCGATCGAGAGACTTGGGGCTTTTGACCCCATGCATGAAGCCTCCAGGGCGAAAAGTAGCTTGCTGGGTCCCAGAAATGGGACCACAGCTTTCGTTTTATGGTCGAAGACATATCCGCGGGGTCATCCTGAATATGGCAGACCGTTGAAGCCCCAAATGGTGTTTGTGGGAGTGAGGCACGCGAAGTGATGAGGAGGTTTTCATGACGCTTCTTCGGGCTTAAAGACCGACGCGATGAAGGGGGATAGTTTTTAGCGTGCACGGGCCACAGCTTTACACTTTTCTTCTCTTATCGACAATCTCGAGATTGGAAATTATTTGAGGTCCCCCACAACGAAACTAGGAATATTGTACCTACGAGAGATTCAAAATGCCAGCTCCCACTGCACTGTTACTACGGCCTGAAGAAGTAGTGGAGGCTGCTGCGAACGTTCCCCTACCTGTGGAAGGTATGAAATAGGTTTCGGTTTATGGAGTTCATAAAATTTAACAGATGGCAGATCAGGATGACGAATTTTTACTCGATGCGCCAGATGCTGTACCATCAGAGACCAGTGCTGTTCAGCCAGCGGAAGGAGATACTGAGATGACTGTGGACGAAGAAGGACGGCCTAAATTCCCAGCTGCCAAGAATACCGTATGGATTTCCATATCGATCTCAAAGTCGTCCACAGTGCTAAAAAAAAGAACAGGATGGACCACGACGAGTCGAAACCAGAAAAGTCCCTATTCCTCCTCACCGCCTGTCTCCTTTGAAAGCAGCCTGGGCAAAACTGTACCCACCACTTGTCGAGCACCTCAAGCTGCAAGTCCGTATGAATACCAAGAATAAGGTAGTCGAGCTACGGACCTCCAAGCACACAACCGACCCAGGAGCGCTGCAAAAAGGTGAAGATTTCGTGAAGGCTTTCTCTCTTGGCTTCGACGTGGAGGATGCGATAGCATTGCTCCGTCTCGACGATTTGTACATCGAGACTTTCGAGATCAAAGATGTAAAAACTTTGCAAGGGGAGCATTTAGGGAGAGCTATTGGCCGGATAGCGGGGAAAGATGGGAAGACGAAATTCGCAATTGAGAATGCGTCAAGGACGAGGGTTGTACTTGCGGATTCTAAGATACACATCCTAGGCGGATTCAAGAATATTCATATTGCGAGGGAGGCAATTGTGAGCTTGATTTTGGGAAGCCCGCCCGGGAAGGTGTATGGGAACTTGAGGACTGTGGCGTCGAGGATGAAGGAGAGGTTTTGAGGCGTATGGATGGGCGATAATGCATTTGACGGCGTTGTAGGGTTTGATCTCAGAGAAAAGCATGGATCAATGTGGAGTTCTGGAGGTGGGCGTTATTGCATGGTATCTGAGTCCCCAAAAGAAGTCCTTGATCTCGACCATCACCAATGAGATGAAACTCTCCTACTGCTACACTGACGTGATGATAGAGGACTTACGATCAATGGAAGGTAGGAAATTCGTCTAATGATGGTGGTACAATGTAAGCAAATGGATATCACAATTTCAAAATCACGCAGAGCAGGTTCAGGTAGGTGTTTTGTTGCCTCTTCATTATCGTATTGTACAAATTAAGGAGTGCAATTTCTCACTATTCTTTCCTTCCCCCAACCGAACAGATGATAGTCAGGAGCAGTAAAGCAGCCAACGCCAAAGATATTTTTTTTTATTTTTTTATTTTTTTTTTGCTTTTCCTTTTCCATGAATGCAATCAACCGCTCAAATGCAAGAGAACGAAAGTCAATTAACTCCTCCAAGAACCAGTCATCATATCATCACCACCCCATCCACCATACCAATTACCAATCCGTGCCGAAGGTTGAGAGCCGTTGTTAAACTCGACATTGAAGAAAAACACCGGCGTTTAGGAGATGGCGATCTTGCGCGGCTCACTCTTCTTGTGCTTCGGAACGACAATGGAGAGCAAGCCGTTCTTCATGGTTGCCGTGACGGCGTCTTGGTCGACACGGGCCGGGAACGTAAAACTTCTGCTGAATTCCCCTACGCTGCGCTCAGACACCCAGAACTTGGACTCGGGCTCCTTGGGCTGAGTGGGCTCCTCCCTCTTGGTAACTTCGGTGGAACGCTCAACAGCACCCTCATCCTCGACAGTAGCCTTGTGGCCCTTGTGACCGTCTGTACCCTCGATGGCACCTTGGGCAGGAGCGCCCTCGACGAAGCCGGCTGGTGGAGTACCAGAGGTGTAGCTGCGCTCGGTGTGGCCTTTGATGGTCAAGGTGTGGGCGTCGGTGAATTCGATCTCCACATCCTTCTGCTCAATTCCGGGGAGTTCGCCGTGGAGTTCGTAGGTATCCTTGAGTTCCTTGACGTCGAACTTGGGGGTGAAGGTCTTTAAGGAGGTGCCGGTGTCGCGGTCGCCTTGGCGGCTGTATTGATCGAAGTCGTCGAGCATGCGGAAGAGTGGTTGGAAGGAGTAGGCTGGATCGGCAGTGAGGAAAGATCTCGGGAAGAGAGACATCTTGCGTTTTGGTGTTGCTGGTTTGAGTAGGACTCTTCTGAGTGGAAGTCTTGAAAGTCTTCGTGTGGCTTGCATGAAGAATTGTTGTTGCAGTGCAAAGGAAGGAGGCGGGTTCAGAGGGGAGAAGCCCTACTTAAATATTGGTTGGTGAGTTTCCATTGATTGCTGGAACTTGCCAGAAATCGAAGAATCAGAAGGTTGTGGCGTGATCCAGGTGCAGAGAGCGCAAAACTAACAGGGAAGTTACATCACTAGCATCAAAGAAAGAGGGGTTGCAATCAGCTGATCCTCTGGCATTCGAGAATTATCCACAGCCAACTAGAACATTCTATGGCATCAAAGGAACGGATTGCGGAGGGATTTCCGCCACCAACGGCCTGATTGATGATCAGATATGGCTTTTCCGCACGATGTGGTTAGATGCATGATTTGACAGTCCAACTTGCATCTTGACAAACGGCGTTGAGGTCGTTGATGATTTTCAGCCTCGTCACGGACCTCAGCCGTCGCTGGCCAATCAGCACATTTGTTCTGTCAGGTTGAAAAGTGGGCACAAAAGGTGGCTTGATTCCACCGCCACAGCACATTTAATTCAACCTCAACTCTTCTCAGTCGCCACCTCTTCACCCTATGCAGTATCGTACAGACAAACCATAGTTATCTCTTATGGAGAATATCTCTCTAGAGCTCTGTTCCCTACAATCTAGGCATCAGATCACGCCAATTGACCCTTTAGAACACTTCACTCCCCTATTCTACATTACATTGGGCCCTCCTCTCTTTAGGCTACATAACGAATAAGACGAGGTGTCATGACGGAACGTTCGCCTGTATTGTTAGCACCGTATCCAGATTCACCACGGCCTTGTTTGCCGAGAAATCGTACGATTTCCCGATTAGTTGAGAGCCGAACAAGGCTGCTAATAGAGAAGAAAATAAACTCACTTGCCATTGTTTGGCAAAATAAATATTTATAGAACAGAACAGTGGCATAAATATAGATAGGGTGAAGAAGCAAAAACAGAAGGGAGCAGACGAAGCGGTACAGGACGAAGCAGATTAAGCAGAACAAATCAAATTTACCAGAAGATATTCCAGATTAAGCAGAACGATTAAAAGGCAAGCAAACCAGTAATAGGATGAAGCAAGTGAAGCAGAACGGAATAGATGAGGCAGTAACATAGTAAACAGGAACTAAGATTGAATAAGGAATTAACAAATGCAACATTGAGAGATTAAATTATGCAGCTACTTTGGCCAATTATCTTGGCAGAGAGCCGCTTAGTTTGATATATGAAACCCCGAGAAATTTGGATTAACATTGCTCCGAAGACTTCCCGACAGCCTTATCTTTTTGGCGGCGCTTCACCTTCACACGGAAAAAAGCATCGCAAAGACGGCTACTAGACTGGAAGTTTGGCTTCACTATTGGTTGGTTCTTTTCCTTTTGGACATTGAGGAGAAGGTCATGTATGCGATATGAGCACGCTCAGCAAGGAACGGCTCTCTGAGGAAGGTGGATGGCGATCAGAGCAGCATTAATTATAGACTAAGAGTACAGCTCGGGATTGTGTGGCTCCTGCTCTGCTATGCAAATGCAATGACTTGAATCCTACCAAAATCTTTCCTAACATCATATTTCGCGTGCAATTTCTCCCATCATCATAAAATCATTACTTGCGGATCATGCTCCTTCGAGCTACCCCGAACATAAGAATATAAGTAAACCCCCGTGCCAGTGGCCAGCAGTGTCTAGGATCCTTCAGCGAGCACATTTGTCGCATCCTGGATTGTTATAAGAATAGCTAAAGCAAGCCTTTTAAGGGAATTGGCGCAAGGCTGGGTACCCATCCATCATTGGCAGAGGCAGTCCGTGAACGTTTGGTGCCACAGGACTTGGTAATCTGTGAAATAGTCCCAACAGCCTTTGCCCAACGGTTGTCTCCAGCTCCGTGCCGTCTCGAGCAATTTTGACCTCGCGATTGGAATTCCAAGGGTTTCGTAATCCTCTCGTTCTGTAGAATGGAAGCCGCGTAGTTGATATCCATTCAAGCTTGAAAGGTTTTCCCCATGCCTTGGAGGGTGGCGCGGAATCAGAGTCGCTTCGATTACTTCCAATCTCCTCCTCCTCCTCTTCTGCTTCATCAATCTCGTCTCTTTCTGCCTCCCAGAAAATCGTGCCTCTTGCAGAGTCATCGATAATTCGACCTTTGGGGGTAAATTCGGTAGCTGGTGTGGGAATCGCCTTCGGAAGTTCAGGGTCTTCCACTGTCGTTGCTTTCGGTGCAAATTCGATAGCTGCAGCTGGATCGTCGTTGATCGGTGATATCATTTTCGCATAGCCGAAATATTCACCCGACTTATTCGCAGAAAAGACGAGATAAACATTGTCGGCGGTCTGTTGGAAGGTCACATCACGTCAGCTTCAATACTTCACGCAGAAGTGTAGAGGTGATCACCTGGTAGGCTTTGTTAAGAGACTCCTCGTTGTGAGATTGGGTTGCCCATATCCCATTGCGCACGCTGAGTTCCAAATCTTCCACCGTAAGGCTCTTCACAATGAAAAACTTATCTTTCGGAGCTTTGGGACTCTCGCCGTCTCTGGCGTCCTCTAAGTTACCATCCACTGATTCTCCTACTTTCATCTCACTCCTAGGAGAAGGACTTCGCGCGACCACTGGGTTGGAGGGGGGCGTGAGAGCTGCAGGACCTCTTGGAACGGATACTCCTGTCCCAGCCCCTACCGAACTCCTTCGCAAACGGCTAACCAACCTCACGGTCTGGAATCTCGAGTCATGGATCTTCACCTGCGCAGCAGAGCAACTCGCCTCATCCTTGAAATTCGCAAAAGCACAATTGCTCTTCGAGATAAGGAAAAGAGATTCGAGTCCAGAAGTCTCCTTACACACATGCAAAACTAAGCTCATTAGATCTGTCTGTGGTGGGAGATTGCCGATCCAGATTGCATGGCCTAGAATATAGAAAATTAGTCCTACTCACCAAAAGAAATATCAATAATAGTAGCTTACCGCTTTGTCGAGGCTTCCGGGGAGGACCGCGAACGACCGAAGATGGTGATGTGCTTGAAGCTGAGTGGTGTGTTAGCTCGACCTTGAAGAGCGGGCAATGATCTAAGAGTCTCAGCTCACCGATATTGCTTGATCTTCTTTGCACTCCATCAATTAAAGTTCCAGTTTGATACTCGCCGCTGCTCTGTTGTGGAAGCGGCCGGTTGTCTCCTGTGAATGACCCTCTGGGGCCATATTGTCCCGATGACGAATTTGCAGAATACATCTGACCCTGGGGCGCATACTGTCCAGGTTGTATGAAATATGGAGCCACAGGTGCCTGACCCATAAATGCCTGGCCCTGATAAAATTGATTGCCAATATTCAAACCAGACTGCGAATTCGCGGATGTTTGGCGACCAGGTACGTACATGCTTTGGTATGGAGCTTGATACTGTACATTATATGGCAAATTGGTCGCAGGCGGATTCATAGACGCAGGGCCACCAAGCTGCGGCATACTTTGAAGCTGATATAAATGCGCAGGTGGCGAAGGTCCAGAAGGATATCTTTGGGGAGACGCGTTGCCATAGTTCATATATGACATGTCTGGCAGTGCGGTTCCGAGAGGCCCCATATTGAAATGCTCCTGTTGGCCTTGCGAGCCATGCTGTTGGGTTGGGAATGATTGTCCATGTGGATAATGACCCTGCGAACCAGGCGCATGGGACCTTCCTTGGAATGCCTTTGCTCCCTCACTCTCGTCAAACGGACTCGCACTCGATCTCTGGGTCGAGTTTGCTCTTGCACCGTGGGTAGTATTTTGAAAATCGCCATCGATAATAGGCCGTCCAGTCGGTGTGTCCCCCATGAAGTCTTCGAAGAGAGTAGGCAGTCGTCACCAGAACTGTACCAAGTAAACCCTTGTTAGCACTTCTCGAAGTTTTGTGTACAGATGCTCTGGGTATCAGTATTGGGAGAGACCGCCTGCCAAACTTTTCATCGTTGAGGAATTACTCAAAAAACTAGAACCATACCTCTGGCAACTTTCTCTGGTGAACACTTCCCAACGTATGCAGCTTATTTTCCTTTTCTCAATACACTTGAAGATGGGTAGTAATGTTCACACGTAAATCTGACAAGCCGTCGAAGCTAATAACAAGCTCAGAGCGTCTGGTAGCGATGATAGAGGCGTCGAGAAGATAGCGGAAATATCATTCGATCTTGCGGCGCATAGAGGCCAAAATTCGTGACTTCGAGAGGCGTGGCACCTGGAGAAGTCTCAAGAGAAGCTAGTAGGTAGGACGGGACGTTCGTGAGCCTCTAGAAAGCTTTCAATGCGTGGCAAATGTGTTTTGCAAGCAGTGGCTACGACAAAGCGTTGAAGGGTGCCGGAAAGTGATCTGTGAATCAATCTTCCAGAGCTTAGAATCTTTTTATGACAGGGTTGTGAGCTGTCAGTGCTTCAGTTGCCTCTGATCGATTTGATGCTGAATCAGATGATTGGGCACTTACGAGCAGAGAGTATCACGTCGAACATGGGCCCTGACTAGATAGACATACCTGAAGATGATCAGGTTGACGTCTGCTGATTTATTAAAAGAAGGGAACGGGACAGGGCTGTCCAGAAATTTGATCAAATGGGCCAAGTGGGTTTAGGGAGAAAAAAGATCCGGAGGTTTTTGGATGGTCTTGTGGCTTTTCCGTCGGAGGTCGCGAGCAGAGTGGCAGCGATCGTCAGGAACCATGGATCGAGTGAGCTTACAACGATGACGGAGCAGAGAAATTATTTGCGAGAAGGAATTTTGACGGGATTGTCGTCTTCGTCGGATGTGGAGTGATGGTGGTTTTCCGTAGTTTAGAACACAACCCTGGACTTGAAGGACATGGAGCAGTTCAAGGGTCCCGCGAAGGCGTGAGTGCCACGCTTGGCCAATCTTTTCCATTTGGCTGTGGCCCCTCGAGCGGCATCAAGCCCTGACCGGCATACCGCGAGGGTCCACTCATCAGAAATAGTAGAGACAGACAGACCTGGGCGAGACCCTGGCCGCCAGTCTCGGACTTTGCAGTTGGCAGATGCATATGGATCAGCCGTTGCCGTAGCACAGGCAGAGGATAGGCATACGGAGTAGGCATAGGCATGTCCGTTGATCTGTAGCGGGCCCCGGCTGCGTCGATGGGATGGCTGGATGGGAATGTGCTCGCCTGTAAAAGCAGCTTGCGGCCAAAAGCCATGGGATTTGAGAAATTCGATTGCGTGGGACACTAGTCAGGGAGCGCAGGGGGGTCTGTTCCTTCATCAGCGTTCGCTGGCGGGGCTGCTCGACCAGGATGGCGCTCTTGTGAAGTGGCAGTGCGCCGGGAGAAGCTGAAGCTGTCTCAGAGAGCAGAGCGGATGGGCCAAGCACCAGTGACGGGACCAAGGAAGCTGCAAGAAATCCGGGGCCTTCGCGGTGGGTGGTGGCAAAAGGAAGCACAGAGCACGCAGCAGCTGTGGCTCAAGTCGTTGCTGCTCAACGTCAGATACCACGAGCAAGCGGGGATCGAGGGGCGTCGAGGGGGGTTGAGGGCCAAGGGGGAGGTCCAGATCACCAGCGGCCTTGGAACCCTTTTCGCCTTCTGTGGCGTCGTCGTCTGGAAGGAAGACTTCAACCTCATCCGACGACTGACCCACCTTCTTCGTGCTTCCCACGGCCCTGGAGCTGGCTACAGACGACGGAAACGGCTCGGCATTGGTCCTGAAGAAGAATTGAATCTTTCTTTGGTGCTTCGAAAGGGAGCCACCTCACCCACCGGTCCACGGTTCACAACAAAGCTTAGAGGCAGTCCGCAAGATTCCCAGTCAATTGGGCTCTCACGGTGCCACAACAACAAAATCGAGATCCAAGGTCCCGTCATTGCCATGAAAAATACGGAAATGCGTCATTCACGTATGTGGCTTGCCCTTCAGTTTCGCGAGCCCGAAGGTCCGCCACCCTCGAGCTTTCAAGCTGCAACAGTGTAATCCAAACTTAGTCTCTTTTTTGCTGAGTGGCCGTTGTGGATTTTGGTATTGACATCACTACCAGCTTTTGTGTCTGTTGTGGCTACCAGTAGTATTCAAACGTCATCTCTATTTTTACCGCAAGCGTTTCACGGGGCACGAAGCTTGGTTCATTCCCCGACTTACAGTAGACTTGGACAAAAATGGACACGAATGAAACAAAGATCTCCGCTTATTTGTTTTTTGTTTTGGAATCTCATTATACCTCCTCTATACGATCTGCCCTCCAGAGAGACTTCAGTTGACCGCCTGTTGTCACTTCTGCACATGCCGTTTCGATGATCACCACGGTTCCATTGGCTCGATGGCTTAACTTGATCTCATGACTAGGAGAGCCCAAAGCCCAAATCAAGGGCAGTTTGGAAATGACTTTGCCGTACAATGCCTTCGTATCCCCGCGGCATTGAAACACAACGACCTTGAAATCGACGATGCGCGCATGCAGTATATTCTTATCAGGCTTCAGGTTCAGATAACGGTATGTGGATGCTATGAGCAGCGTCCGCATCCAGATATCTGGTGGCGAATACAATCGTAGGTCCACTTTGAGGTGGGGTTACCAGGGTAGAGTACAGTACGCTTTCGCCGTCGCATCTTGACGGAGGGCTACTCGGCAAGCAAGCTGGTGGCGATAGTTTGTCTGGTGTCAAAACGAGACAAAACATTCCGTGCCTAGGCTCCACGCTCCCAAACAGTCAAGTCCCATGTGAAAATCAGAATGCCATTATCCTCGCCAGAATTATTAATACTGTACGCGGTTTAGCAGTCTAGCCGGTAATGGAGACATCTAAATCCGCAACGGGAAGACCTTCAAGCCCCTCAGTCTTCATTGCCTCAATTGCCAAGATGGAAACCCTAACGCCACATGGGGCTGTGACCTTGAGAAGATCAGCACTCGTTAATCCCTATGTAGGCGTAGATCACCTGGCTCCAAAAACGTCAAAACGCGTACTCCGGGCGGGCACCTTCAACACCTCCAACCCCGCGGAATATACCATCCTTCGTTGTCAATCAGGGGCTTCGCACCCACCCGCTCAATTTCTGTCGATTTTCAGCAGAGGAAGTGATGAAGGCAACCATGGTTGCCACCGGCTGCTGCTTTACGAGCTGATGCTTCAGTATCAGAGTTTCTGCGGCTCCAAGTTCCGAGCATCTGGGGTCCGGTTTGACAGGTCTTTAGGCCCCGTCAACTAAATGATTGATACCACATGCGTGCTTCGTTTTACGCCTTCCGGATAGTCTGGAACAAAGTCGTCCGATACAAATGATCCTAGTTACCTTCGATGCTCCTTAGCGGGCTCATACACCGGCTTCAGCGAGTCCGGCGATATATTCGACATCAATTTGGATGCCGAGGTTCTGATCGGTGCGTGTGTTGTCGATTGAGGTCTTCTGTCTAGCCGCTCTCAATATTCTCGAACAGCAACAGCCATCCCCCCTCGAAGAAGACCTCTCCTTCACTTCTTGCCAGTGCTCTTTAATAAAAGAGGGCATGATTAATGCATTCCTCCGCCCCATGTCTGTAAAAAGCAAAGCTCATCTGTACTTCAATACGAGCAATGGTGTGCCGATTATTCTTTATCTTTTGAAAACCTTCTGAAGGTTTTGAGAAGGCATCTTTACTACTGCGTGACTGCTTTTGATATCATCTAAGCTCGCGTGTCTCCACGTTTCGAAAGATCCAGCCCAGTACGAATCACTGCATATGTTTTTGTGGTATCGAGCTTGGTTTCCGCCGCCTTAAGATCAAGATTGTTGGTTGTTGGTTGATGTGGCTTTTACGAGGACATTACTTGTAATGAACTGCTGAGACAATAATTGATTTAGAAGAGTTAGTACTTAGTTCTTCGAAAGGCTGCGTGCTGCAATCTCGCCTGAGAACCGTCGATTCAGCGTTTAGCTTCGCGGTTCGAACGGAGCATGTCCCATCACCGCGGCGGATAAGCACATATTCGCTGTGCGCTACCTGTTCAAGTGGAGTGGCCGTTGCATTGACATGTGAAGGCTTGCACTAGATCAAGCAGACCGCTAGAAGCCCAGTTTGCTGAACATTTGACAACCGTGAGGAAAGCGGCCACACAACAGAGCAGGAAACAATCAACTTCACAAGCGTACACTCTGTTTCTTCTCCACAGATATTATGGACGAAGCAAATGGCGCTCCACAATCACGTCTGCCACATCCTGTCGGCTTTGGCTTTTGCCAGCTGAAGTCAATGCACACGGTACACACCATACACACCAGACACACGCATTACCGTTGAGTGGTCTCGCTCAGAACTAACTATTTAGTCACAGACTAGGATTCATGCTTTCGTTCTCTGTAACTGTTCCCACTGACACTGTCTCCAGGCACACATATATAGACTTATGGGGTGATTCGGAGCAGACACGAATAACAGCTCCTTTGCGTGCAGATCCAGCCCAAATACAGACCGTATGCGCTTCCATTAATCTGAGAATGGTTGGTACTGAGTGGTGGGCATTAAGCCGCAGGCTGAGGTGCCCACTGAGGAAGGAAGCCTGGAGTCTAGGGGGAAGAGACTAGGGGGTGGACGACAGGGTGCGCTGCCGAAGGACTTACAGCATCGTACGATCTAGCTGGCCACAGGAGCCCAGAGCAGGTGGTTCACAGAGAGGTGAACTTTGGTGCAGTGGTCTCTGCGATAATTTGGGGGACGGCTCTGCGCGTGTCCGACTTTCTCAATTTTAAGTCACTTAGGTATCAGTGGGATATCATTAGAGGAACTTCTTTTGTACCATCTTGTAGTGTACGGACGTAAATACCCTCATCACTCTATCGCCAATACGATCGAACTACGAAGGCCACTGCATCGACTGTGCTTTCTTCCCGCCTCCCCGTTCACTTCACAGGGCTTTCGGGGGCTCGCGTCAAGGCATCAGGGGGGTGTGCCGCGAAAGTCACCCCCAACACTTAACCATTCCTTGCGACAACAACATTCAAAACACCACAACTCATCAAATCATGACCTAGCCATCTGCAACTCCTCCAGAGACTTTGTGCGAAGTCTTGTTTATATGTATTCAGTATTCGGAGGATACTGCGATGAAGCGCTCACCAACCCGACTCTGCGAAACGCGCTGCCTCCTTCGCAGCCATCGACTTCCCGACTTCTCACAAAACGCTCCCAATTCAAGACGAATATAACGCTCGTATCGGCAGATGAATCGCTACGCCATTACTCATCCTCGACAACTGAAGTGTGCATGAGAATCGAAATCTTGGTTGAACCAGCTGCAGAAACGGTTTCTAACAGCACTCTTAACACACGATCAAGCAGCCACGCCCTCAAAACAACGAGCCACATATGCGCAAACCAAGAGGAGATTTCAGCAGTTGAAACAGATATGTGTTGCCGCTGTTAATATCTTACTGTACCGATTCGAGACCCCTTTGGCAGGACGTAGCATCAGTTGTATCCTCCTCGACTAGCTCGGCAGACGCGACGAACAGCACTACCTTCCCCGATTCGCATATATCTCGCAAAGTATTGTATTTAGTTTCGATTGCATCGGATCCATCAGGAGTCCTGAGGAAGTGTTTCGACATCATGGCGAGGATCTGTAGGCAAGAAGAGCTCAAGTCGATGCAATGATCTTGGATAGAACCTCATTTTCGCTACGGCGCCGAAGAGAAATAACTCGCAGGCTTCTTTGGGAACTCGTTCGATTTTCGCACCATAAAGGCATCTTATACGATAGCGGACGGTGGATGAAAGACAAAGGAGTGATGGGGAAACAACTGCTCCCGTTCTCTTGAGAGTGAACACAAGATGAGGGCCTATACTTCGCCAAGAAGACACAAACCAAACCACCTCTGGGACCATCAAAAGCATGAACAAGTCACAACTGGAGTTTCTGTCACGGTGGCAAAGTCAATTCTCTCATGATTATTTTGCCCCTAAACTAAATTCTATCATAAGCACAAAAGGAGTAAGTAGACACCCGGAGCATTTGCTCCTGGATCATCGCGATCAAACCGCGAGACCCCCAGACGGATTCTAGACCCGGGGAAGCTCCAGAATGGATGGGGCAATAAGGGTTTTTGGTCCGGGCGAATCACCAGCTCCCCTGCATTTGTGCCACCCAGCGTAAAAAAGATGACGACAATGGCAAATTTTGCCTTTGCCATCCTGGCCCTTGTTGTCAAAGTTGATCGGGAACTTATTCGGCGATTTTCGGTGAGGAATCGGTGACGATATTGAAATGGCTACATTGGGTGTTGTTGGATGCACGTGATGCAAGGAACGTGACTTGAGATCTGAGGCTTGGCATTCTGGCTCTTTCCTTCATACAACTTCGACATGGAACGGATGAAGATCTTATTCCTGTAAACTTTTTCATCGACCCGCCATGCGCACTTCCGCTATATTCACAATAAGCTGTTGGATATTGGCTCCCCAGTCCCTCTGGCCAAGACATGGAGGACTCCAATTCAGCTCAACTTTTGTGGTGAGGCTGTAACATGGATAAAATGTAATGTCCGTGGTCCAGTGCAATGAGGAAGGTTAATAGTCAGTCAAGCCACTTGCTCGAATTTCGTTCTATTGTACAAACAGATGAAGCCAAATGCCAGGCCACTCTCTAATCCCTCTTCAAAGGCTTGTAAATCTCCTCAATACCATCCTTCGTGATAATCATCATTTGCAGTCCATCACCAACCTCAATATGTCTCTCAACCGCACTGTCAAACGCATCCTTAACCAAATCCTCCACCTCACTTCTCGGTAACGGAATCTTCTCTCGCTCTTGTAATGCGTGTCCCTCCCCACTACCCGGTATGTATTGGTTCTTGAAGTTCACTTGGTTATCCAAGAACGGCATGATCAAACTCGCCGCCGCTCCCGCCGCTCTACACTGCTCCCGCTCGTAGCTACCAACTGGATCGTAGGAGTAGATCGCACCCTTGCCCTCCTCATCCAGACCCCCAAGAATAGCAGTAACGTAGTACGGGAAGAACCGCTTTCCGTACAGAATCGTCGATAACCTCTGTGCACACGCCTTGACGCTCATAGGTTTGCCGTGCTGATATCTGTACATCTTGACGATCGCATCCAGGCGCTCCTTCAGGGCCTCTCCATCTGCTGCAAATCCGACGACTGAGAGAACGAGCGTGGCATCATCTTGAGATGAGGTTGTTCCGCCGATCTTGAAGACTTTGGGGGCGTAGCGGGTGTTGATATTGTAGCCAGATGTGGATCGTGTGTCTCCTGCAACAATGGTGAAGTCGACGCCGGAGATCGCAAGGGTTGAGCCGCCGTTGTCAGTGTATCTAGATGCATGTTAGAAGAAGGTGAACAGTACGAGTCTTTGAAGGTCTGCATACGGATAGAAGCTGTGCTCCTTGTTACCACCGGCTGCGGTCGTTGGAGTTTGGTTGAAGGAGTAATTCGGGCCGTTCATCAGCGGATTTTGACTGAACATGGCAGCCATCTTTGTTTTTAGTACAGAGGACGACGAAGGGATGTGAGTAGAGGTGTTGAACTTCGGTGTGGAATTTTCGAAGTTTGATAGATGTCTGGCACGTAAAGCTTGAGGTTCACGCGTCCCAGGTGCCTAGCCTTCCCTCAGAACTAGCGTCAAATAAATGACAGGGGTAGCTACTGCCACTTTCCATCATATGCGAAGCGCGAAACCTGCAGAGCGTCGAATACACCAGACTGGATAATGTCCACTTTTGTCTGGGACATTCAGGCTTCAATATCCTATAATTGATAGGACATTGAAAGTGCAATCATGGAGAGGTATTAACTTCAAAATCCGATTCCCAAAATCCTACTAATATCCGGGCCTTCTCAGCGCATCAAGAAATATACGCCGCAAGGCGTTACAAAAGATTGCTGCTCTCTCTGCAACCTCGTGCTCAACAACATTCGATAGCTCAGATCTTGAGAGGTTGTGCAGAGGCTGCTCGAACGATGGTAGGGCCAAGTCGAAATCGAACGGGTACGGGAAAGGGGACTCTATGTCAAAGGCAACTTCACCTATGGTATACTATGGATATTTCTCCATTTGAACCCAAAGTTAATTGGGGATTAGAACATCAGAGAGTTTGAGGTCCTTCTGGCCCTCTGCAAAGCTGCTCCTTTGTTGCAGACTGCTCACAGTGCCGAAAAGCTGGTGGGGCAATTATCACCTTATATACTCGAAGCCCACACGCAGTCCTTCGTGCCTTCGCCTTTCTTCCGTGAAATCGAACCTTCGCCCATCGAATCACTCAGTTATCATCTCACGACTGCGCTTCTTTCACTGGGTATATACCATGACTTTCTGCGAGATGTTGTCTCCCAAAGACTCTGGACCTATCTGGAACATTGCTCCCATGCTGCAGAGGCGATGTCCTCGCCCTCAGGCGTCATTGTAGAAAATGGGAGTTCGGGCGAAGTGGAAGACGCTATCCATGTTGCCACCATCACGATATCGCTTCTAGGCTTTCTGGACGCTGCTGCTACATATGCCAATTTCTGGAGCGCCCCAGAGCGACTCTCGCTGATTGAGCGAGTCAAGGCTATATTCTCCGAACGATTTCTGGTTGCTGTTGAGACAGCGTTTTCCACGATACGTAATTCCCACTTCCAAAACAACCATGTGAAAGAATGGAAACGTTATTCCCGGCATTATGCAGCTATTGGACGCCCTCTTGGTGCTATGCTTCTGCAAAGGAGCTATATGTGGCTTTTGGTTGCTGGATCTTCGCTTCTCGTTGCCGATATTTCTGTACTCAGGGGAAGCGACATTCTAGACTTGCTTATGTCCGGTACTGGAATCACAAGACCTTCTTCGAGCCACGGAGAGGTAGACTTTGCAACTATTGAGACAATGGCTGATATTGCTGCTGATGAGATGAGTCTGCTTGAAGATGGCGCTGATTATCTGCGCCTCGGATCAGCCTGGCAGCAACGACTTGCATTCTCGGTGAAAGCGGGTGCACTGACAAGTTATTTGAATTGTGCTCTGCTTAACGAAGACGCTGCTGATGCAGATGTGTTAATGACCTGGCTTGAAGATACTCTTGCGGACTCGGTGCAAATGGCTGACGAAACACTTGCCAGTGTGGTGCTGAGGTCAATGGCTCTGATATCAAAACTGTCACCTGGCTTTGCACCTAACGTCAGCCGGTTATTACCCCGATTCATCGTGCAAGGCGGACCACGAGGCCAGACTGTGTGCATTGCATCAAGTTGCTTGGCATACGTCCTGCAAATCTTGTCTCAAGATGCTGTCATTACCACACTTTACACGCTTGGAAACGTCCTCAGCTCCGGCGTGGCAAGTGCAGAGAGAGCTCTTGCAGGCGGCATTACTGGCGACTTACTTGGCGTGGACGGGAGTGCGAATTCCGCCTTTTACACTGGCAAGCATTCCACTGGTAGTTCCATCTCTCTTACAATTACCGGGGAGGAGGAGACGTCTGTCGTGTATGGAAATGTGGTGCAAGCCATTTGTGGTATTGCAAAGAGTTGCAATGACCCAAAAATCACAGCCTTGGCCCAGTCAATGCTTCTCCAAAAGATTGATAAAGTCAGCAGATCTATTGATGCTCGAATAATCACGGAGACGACAGAATTGGCTCTGAGTGGAGGACCACTCGAATTCCGTTCATTGCTCAAGTTATATGCTCGCATCAGTGAGGAGGGTGTTATGAAGAATAACGAAATATTATTGGCCGCAGTGAGTAGAAAGATTTACGTCTGAAAATCGTGCCAACTGACAGGCTTCAGGTGATGAAAGGTCGAGACTACCTGTCGACAACATTGCACAAAGAGTCACCTCTATACGATATCTACTTCGAGCATTTGCTGGAAACTATCATCAGCAAAGGAGATGTGCACCAAGCGCAAAACAATCGAGAAGCCGACGTTGAAGTCGCTGCTCGTGAGATTGCCCAGCTCTTGCAGCCGCTCGCTCTGTTAATGTCGAGCAACGATCTTACTTCGGATGATGATTTGAGCGAGGAAACGCTTTCTCTTATTCGAGACGCCTGGTTCAATATCGTCGTTCATGGTTTCGCCACGAATACCGAGCGTGGCGGACGGTATTTGAAAGAACTGCGTCTGATGGCGATACATTCAAAGCCACTTGTAGCAGAGCAGAGAGGTGAGCAAGTGGAGAGTGATATTGAGCTGAACACAGTCCTTCGCCGTGGCATGAGTTCAGAGCATGAGTTGGCGCAGAAGAAGCGACTCTCCCTTCTCTTGCCCTCAAAGTCCTCCCAGATTTATAAGTTAAGCTACCGCAAGGTCATTTTCCTTCAAGCAGCCTATCTCGTGGAAACCTTACGGGCCGATTCGGGAGATTGTACCAAGGCTTTGACATACTTCCTCGAGCCTAGCATGCGCAGGGGTGAGATGAGCACCACCATGGAATCGATCACAGAGGGTGTCATGGACGCCTACTTGCGTAAGACTTTGACTGGAACGAACCCGTCCTTTTCAGCTCCGTATGTTGCAAAGCAACTGGCACTGATTTTCAGTGGATGTTGTTTTCGTATCGAAAGGGTTCAACAAGCAGCAATGCTTTGTGCTGATCGGATAATACATGATGTGCCGTCCGCACTCTGCCAAACATCATCCCTCTTCGCTCTCCTTGAGCTGTTGACTCTGATGTGGAGCAGTTGCCTGGAAGCTGAGACAGATGAATATGAGTGGAGATCATCGTTCGTTTCCACAAGAGGCAAAGTCTCCGTTCAGCTGTCCGACGATTACAGTCTCCGTCGGCGTACCCTGAACAACCTGTACAAGAAAGCCAAAGGATGGGTCACAACTGTGATAGATATTGCACCATTGGATGTCAAAGGACTTCTCCAAACATATCTCTCGGAATACGACGATGATGGTGCGTACGGCCACATCTCTCTGGGCAGATCATTTGCAACTGAGATGGGTGCACTTATTCCGAGCACGGATCAGAGACTTGGTGCAATAGATCGCCACGGAGACTGCAATATAAACACGGCTTCGGATTTCGTCGCTCAGTACACAACTCGACAGGAGTATCGTTACGCGGAAGCTCTTCCGGACCAGGATGCAGAGTGGCTACACTTTATGCAACTCGATCCTCGTCGTGGATCCATTGCGTCGAAACCCGAAAAAGACTACGAAGATGCAAACACGGTTCTGGCACACTTAGAAGCCCGGACCCTGAAGCACAAATATATTCCCATTGGAGAGCTTCGTGACATCCTGAGAAGAGCTGCAGCTTTACTCTGTCGAACGAAGAAGGACGAATGTGGCATTGTGCATCATTTGGTTGGCATTCCGTTTGCCATTTTCACGAAACAGTCTATAAAGCTGGGGATCTCTCTTTGGCTCGGAGTAATCAACGAGAACCCACGAATGGAGCCTCGAATTATCATGGAAGTTGTTCAACAGTGGGAGGCTACAATTCAACGCCGACTGGGCGTCTTTAGTTCGCGATTCCAGTAAGTTGGTTCTCGATTCTTGCCGTTACGCACTGCTAATCCCTGAAGACACCCTGACCCTTTCTACGTCAAGGAAGAGTTTGCTCCCAGCGACAAAGCCGCACTGTTAAAGCGACAACAAACGGCCCATAACCTCCTGGCGCCTCACATGCGCCTGCTGCAGTTTCTTGGAAGTCATTTCAATGCTACTCGCCTCGGAAGCCCCCATACGGAGAAGGTTTTCATCCGACTTTTGACTGCAACACTCGATGGCTTGAAACACTCAACTGGTCACCCACTGGCTCGAGAGATCAGATTTCAGATTGTCTTTTTCGGCTTGAGAGTCCTGAGACACAGCATTGGTATTGAATTCGGTACCAGGTGCCAATTAAAAGATAGACTTCTCTCCTCAGCTCTGAGCTGGTTCTCGTTCCCTCCACAGTGGTCTTTCGGTGGTAATCGACTCCAACTTAAAGCCGAGACTCGGTTGCTAGCGGATGTATCGACAGCTCTTCACAATGTGCAGATGAGTGCAGACAAATCTGTACCTCTGCTGAAAACGATGCAAGCAAAAGAGAGGTTACTTCAAGTACTGATACAAAGCGAGATATCGAGATTGGCTGTCTGGCTTTATCCTGTAAATAACCCTCAAGAGGGCTATTTGTCCAATCTCGGAGCAAAAGGGGCAGCCGAGGTATGTATTCCTGGTCCTGTACCGCCAACCGTTTCTAATATCAATTAGGCTGCTCTCATCGGACTCATGAGAACGGCATGGACGGTAAGCCCGTCTTTAGCCATACAGCTAGTAACTAGGTTTCCTTCAGCACAGCTCCACAAGGAAGTTCGATGGCTCTTACTAAATTTTCCCGACAAAGCGATCTCCGAGCCCGAGGCTATCCAGGTGTTGCTTGGAGAAACCTTACCCAGTGATGTCTCATTCCAGCTAAAGGCAAGTGCAGGCGAAATTTGTAAATTTTCTTACTGACCGTTATAGTATCTTTTGTATTGGGCTCCTGTAAACCCAATCAGTGCGGTGACTTACTTTCTCCCTGCCTATCGAAACCACCCCTTTATTCTTCAATATGCTATGCGAGCTCTGGAAAGTCATTCCGTCGATGTAACTTTCTTCTACGTCCCTCAAATCGTGCAGACCTTGCGTTACGATGCTCTAGGCTACGTGGAGAGATATATCGTAGAGACTGCCCAGTTTTCTCAGCTTTTTGCTCATCAAATCATTTGGAACATGAAAGCAAATGCGTACAAGGACGATGAGGCTCAAATTGTGAGTTAAGATGCACTTTTTGAGTAATTTCTGTGCTAAAAAGTTCAGCCCGATACTATCAAGCCCACACTTGATAAAGTCATGAATCGCATGATAGCGGCATTCTCTGCAGTAGACAGAGCCTTCTACGAGCGCGAGTTCTCATTCTTTGACGAGGTCACCAACATCTCAGGGAAACTCAAGCCATACATCAAGAGTCCGAAGCCCGAGAAGAAGCAGAAGATCGAGGAAGAACTGCGAAAGATCAAAGTCGAGGTTGGGGTCTATTTGCCCAGCAACCCCGATGGAGTGGTTATTGGCATTGATCGGAAATCTGGGAAACCACTTCAGAGTCATGCTAAAGCACCGTACATGGCAACTTTCCGAATCAAGAAGAATAAAGGCGACATAGAAGGTACCGATGAAACGCTCGAGACAAATGCAAATGGGAGCGTGCCACAAGACAGCTCAATTGAGGTTTGGCAGTCCGCCATCTTCAAGGTCGGTGATGACTGTCGTCAAGACGTCTTAGCACTCCAGATGATATCAGCGTTCCGAGGCATTTTCAACAACGTTGGACTGGACGTTTACGTTTTCCCATACCGAGTCACAGCGACTGCCCCAGGGTGTGGAGTAATTGATGTTCTCCCAAACTCCATTTCCCGTGATATGGTAGGACGAGAAGCTGTCAATGGGCTTTATGACTATTTCATCTCGAAATACGGCAATGAGGACTCGTTACAATTCCAAGAGGCACGGAGTAACTTCGTCAAGAGCATGGCTGCTTATTCTGTCATCTCGTTCTTGCTCCAGTTCAAGGATCGCCACAACGGTAACATTATGATTGATGATGCTGGGCACATTCTACACATCGACTTCGGTTTTTGCTTTGACATTGCTCCTGGGGGAGTCAAATTTGAAAGGGCTCCATTTAAGCTCACATCAGAGATGATGGCTGTGATGGGTAAGAGCACAGAACACCAGGCGTTCAAATGGTTTGAGGAGCTCTGTGTCAAAGCTTTTTTGGCCTCTCGGCAATACACGGAAAAGCTTTCTCAGCTTGTTTTGCTAATGATGGATTCTGGCTTACCTTGTTTTAAGCCGGAAACGGTCAAGCACTTTAAGGAACGTTTTGTGCTGGAGAAGACTGAGAGGGAGGCTGCTGAGTTCATGAAGACCCTCATCAAGAGGAGTTACTCGAGCTACAGCACAGGAGGTGAGTTGCTACCCCATCGAGTTCGTCTGATTGATACTGACATAAATTATAGTCTACGACCAGTTCCAACTGTTGACGAATGGCATTCCATATTAGGTAGCTTACATTTTACGTGAATGATATACTATGAATGATAGAACTATGTCTTTGCGTTGCAATATGGAAACACTTCCTGTCTAGACTTCTACTCGTGTTTGCCATTAATTGTCCCCGTCTTACTTCTCAGGGGCGCTCGCTAAACTCGGGACAAGGTGCCGATTTCGCAAAGGTGGCCGACATATTTTCACACTTCACCTATCGGCCTCCATTGACTATAAACAACTCTCTCTCCCCCTCTCTTAAAACTGACAAAATCAACTGAAACATGGCCACTACCTTCGCTCTGAACCCCCGAGCAGCAAGGGGTTTCCAAGACGCCTCGAACTATGACGCGCATCGGCCCTCCTTTCCCGCAGAAGCAGTGGACAAGCTTCTAACCCACTTAGGAGTTGCCGGCCTGAAGAATGCGAGTGTTATAGACCTCGCTTGTGGGACTGGAAAGTTCACGGAGTCGTTGGTCAACAGGGAGGAAGAATTTGACGTTGTGGGGATCGAGCCACATGCGGGGATGAGGGAGGAGTTGGTGAAGAAGAATTTGAGAAGTGTCAAGGTTCTGGAAGGCGATGCGGCACACATGCCTATTGAAAATGGATGGGGAGATGCTCTGATTGCTGCGCAGGTTAGTGGTTTGTCTTAAGGATGGTATAATGAACGAGGTGGATGAGAGCTGATCACGGGTTTGAGTAGGCTTTTCATTGGTATGTGTTGCTGAAGGGTCGGGTGTTGGTTGCTGACGTAGAAAAGGTTCGCTACAGAGGAGTCACTGAGGGAAATTCATAGAGTGTTGAAGCCTGGTGCCGCATTTGGGGTGATTTGGAATATTGAAGACTGTGCATTCTTGCTCTATTAGGTGGAATGCAATATCGCTGATTTTCCGTCCAGATAATGCACCGATTGAATACCTATCGACGACAAAATGGGAACAGAAAATGAAAGATATCATTGCGTCTCTCGATGATGGACACCCTAGATTCAGGCACATGACATGGAAGCAGGTGTTTGAGAAGCAGCAAGATACCACCCCGTTGCAGACCCTTAAGGATACTTTCTCTGGCCACATGCCCATGTTCTCCTTACCCTTGGGGGAAGAGGAATTGAAGTGGACGGTTTGGTTGACTGATGAGGCCGTATGGTCGAGGTACGCCACCCTCTCTATGATCGCCAATGTCGACGAGGACAGGAAGGCAGAGATTCGGAAAGAGGTTTTTAATGCGCTGAAAGAGGATGGAGTTGAGCGAAATGCAAGAGGTGAGGTTGCTGTGCACGGTATGACATATTTGGCTTGGACGTCTCGAGACTGAGGGATCTTTTCTTCCTGTAAATTAGAAAGGCATGATAGCGTAGCTCTTTCAAGTCATTCACCCCTGCATCTGCGAATTTCGCAACACAGATTTTGAGGTATCCTAACGCCGCCCCAATGCTAAACGCTCCTAACTCCCTTCCAATGCTTCTCCTGACGTTGACATGTCTGACTAACGGGCTCCCATCCGCACCTTAATCTGCTGAAATGTACATCACTGTGAAGCCGTTCGTCAGTCAAAGCGCTAACTCCATAACCCACGGCCTACCATTGTTTCCTCGGACGAAGGCATCTCCATAGCTCCTCTTCTTCACGCCATCCACATACTCCTCGCACTTCTCTAGAGCAAGATTCATGTATCCATCAATAGACTGTAGCTCTCCTGTCCCGGGAACATCAGCAAATGCACCTGGCTTTACGATCTCCAGACGTACCCTTGTACACTACCCCGCTGTTCAATTTGACGGTGACAGAGTTTCCAATAATCTCGCTGAGAAAGGCAGAGGGGTCTTTGCCCTCTCCCTGGCTCAAGCTTCCATTCTCCATGTCGAGTATGCGCTGATGGTTATCACAAGGTTTGCTGTAGGACGTGATCGGAGCTTTCGAGAAGCCAGAGAGGGATTCGTTCTCGATCAAGGTTTGTTCGAGTCTGGATTTTTGAGTAGGACGCTCAAACGAGATGTCTTCAATTCAATGCAGATTTATAGGCCGTATCTTTGTGATGTCGACGCTGAGTATGCGTCTTGGGCCTGGTCTTCGTTCACCTTGAAGGGAAGTTCGCTAGCGCGGATTTTGAACTTCTGCACCAAATTCACGTCGCGTCGTCCCAACTCTTTCTTTGTGACCGCTTTCCTGCATGACAACCTGCAAACCAACCCACCATGGCGGATCTCCTCGAGGACAATAGCCTTGTGGAACCTGTAGCTCCTCCAAAGAAGCGATCACTGTTCAATAAAGTCGCGCTTCAAAAAGCCTCCGAGGCGGATGAGGCTATCGAGTTCTTCAGCCGCGCGAAAGAAATATACCCTCAACGATTGGCAGAAGAGGAACGCAGACGTCAGAAAAAGATTGTGAAATCGGAGCGCAAAAGATCGTCTACAAGTGCGGAAATAAAGGAGCCCACTTCCCCGGGTGGAAAGAAGAGGAAGGGTTCTTCGCAAAGAGAGCCCCATGAGAGGCACTCTTCCGAGAGCGCTGGAGAGCTGGGCCAAGATCAGGAACGCTCGTGGAATCGGAGGTGGGTTGAACATATTTGAGAGTTATATCAGTAGTGTTCTAACCAAAGAGCAGGGCCTCATCACATTCTACGTCGAATAGTTCCCGTCGCAAGCCGCAGTCGAGCCCTTCGCAGCAAAAGATCCAAACTCCCCCGACATCTCTTTCAGCAAGATACAGCAAAGATCTGCAGGCTGAGGAAATACCACCTTCTAAGAAAGACAACGCGCCTAAAGGTTATATCTCGTTGACGGATAGCGATAGTGAGGGAGCTGCACTGCCTGTCAGGAAACCAGCCAACCAGCCGATCACACTCGACGTCGGTAATGACTTGTATGGAGCCCTGGCCCCTCAGCGAGCTCCATCCCCGGAAGTCGACGATGGCCTTCAATTCTCAGATGAGGAGTTTCCCGAGTTGATCCTTCGGGCAAGGGAACGCGAACGGCAAAAGCAGCAACAGAAGATGAAGAATGCAAACACGTTTAGCGATCAAAATCACAGCGTGAAAGGAAGTGAAATCCTAGACAACATCTTCGACTCGGGAACCACAACACCAGTTGATACGGACCCTACCATCGAGATCTTAATCACATCAAAAATGGAAGGCACCAAGCCTTTGAAAGTCAGGAGGAAACTATCTCAACGTTTGAAGGAGGTTAGGTTAAGCTGGTGTGATAAGCAGACTATTGATGGACAACCCATCGATCAGGCATACAAAGCGGCCATGTTTCTGACCTGGAAAAGGATTAAATTATATGATGTTACAACATGTAGATCATTAGGTATCAAGATGGACGGACGGGGCAAATTGTCAGGTGACAGAGACGGCGTTGATGCTGAGGGGAGGATTCATTTAGAAGCTTGGACGGAGGAAGCATGGGAATACGATCAGAAGAGAAGAGCTGCCAAGCAAAAAAGAGAGCAGGGTGGAAGTGACGATGAAGCAGCTGCACCGATGGCGAAGGACCTCGTGCCAAAAACCAAGGTTATTATGAAAGCTCGGGGCATGGAGGACTTCAGGATCACGGTGAAAGCGACCACGACGATCCAGAAAATGATTGCGGCGTATCGGAACGCAAGAGAGGTGCCGGATGACAAGCGTATTGCTGTCTATTTTGAAGGCGATGAGCTGGAACCTGCAATAGCAATCGGCCAGACGGATTTGGAAGACATGGATCTTCTCGAGGTTCATATCGGTTGATTTTGGGCCTTTGCCTTTGGTTTGCTGGGCTGGCGTTATCGTTTGATTAAGATACCCGGTCATGGTGGTGTATCGTGGGAGTTTTTGGTGATCTCAAAATGTATTGGCATATCAGATACTTCAATAGAAGTTTCTTATTTCCACTGTAACTGAAAACCGGAGAAGGAATAATAAACCTGTGAGATGGGAGCAGGAAGAGCTAGTCAGAGTTGTTCACGACAGAGCTCAACCGTCTTCCGGCAAGTGGTAAACACGTCTGAAGGCTCGTCGATATTGTCGAGGGCAGATCGCATATGAGTGTCCAAAGCATATGAAGACTTCAAGAAAAAGACTTTCCTGTCTCCGCGGTCCAACAATCCGGCAACTGCCGACTCGGGGAACCTCTCTGCTCATATTTCTACTTCCATATCAATAACATAATGTTTTTATTTCTTGCTCGACTCGAACTGTCGTTTTTCCGAGACCAGGCAATTTTATTGGAGAGTGCGGCTGGGACAATCCTGGCTTAAAGTGACGACGAGGCTGGGCACGGTCCACACCTGCCTATCAAGAGAGGTCCGAAGCTTGAGTTTTGCCAGACATTGCTCTGGGGAAGCTCTTCCCAGCTTCATCAAAAATACCCTGACATCTATCCGCCTTCCAGCATCCTTCCCACCAATATCCCTTGTTATCAAGAGAGACTTACGATGTCTGACGAGTATGGCTCTCCCCCAAGATTTGGGAGGATCGCGCGACCTACAGGCTACCTACTTCTCAATACCGAAGATGTGAATCCAATGGCGACGCATGGGAAAGGGATTTTAAATAGTCTGATTAAGTCGCGTTCTCATACATCTCTCACTGCCTTGCATCGACGACCCTCCTCTTTCCGCGAAGGCAGAGATAACCCAGAAACATTCGATGAGGAGATCGGCCCATTCGAAAGATTTCGCAGAGACTCGAGGGACTTAGATGAACCAGATGATTTCAAGCGTAGTGAAGAGAGGCGCCTCAGTGTTATTCTTAATGGGCCTCAGATGCGAAGCCAACGGCTTATTGGAAACAGCAATCCGAGGTACAAATGGGAGAGATATTGGAAGACGGAGGAGGAATTGAAAAGCATGAAGAAGCCGTTGTAAGCACTACGACACGGATAGCTGGAGCGAGGCTCTGCTGATTTGCATAGACGGGAGTATTACGAACGTACAAATCTCTTGGTACAGCAATATCTGTACATCGACCGCCTCTTAGATTCATCACTACCTCACGACTTATTGAACGAGTACAACGATACCCCGGGTATTGATAGCTCTTCAGCCTTGCGAGCAGGTGTAGAAGTCCCACCCACGATAAATGAGGAGCCTCATACGCCGATTTCAGAGACTGGAGGCTCTACACCAACAGGAAATGGAACTGGGACCCTGACGAAGAAAGTCAAACGAACACCACGAGAGATATATAAAGTCTCAAGCGAAGTTTCGCCTCTTATTGACCATGGTGACGACGATGATTGGGATGGCCCAAAGCCCGAAATCCCTGGAATGGAAGATGATAGTGTTGAGAGCGGCGACCGGATCGTTCAGCTTGCCATTTATGTCAACTTTGCCGCCAATGCTGTCCTTCTTGCTGGAAAAATTGCTGTCATTGTACTCACAAGTTCATTGTCCGTTTTGGCAAGTTTAGTTGATGCCGCCCTCGATTTCCTCAGCACTGCCATTGTTTGGACCACGACGAGAATGATCGCTAGACGTGATCAGTACCAATATCCGGTGGGCCGGCGGCGACTCGAGCCTATCGGCGTCTTAGTTTTCTCGGTGGTCATGATCACGTCCTTTTTCCAAGTTGCCTTAGAGTGTCTCAGCAGATTGAAATCTCTGGACCATTCAATCATCGAACTTGGCCTCCCAGCTATTATTATCATGTCCAGTACAGTATTTATCAAAGCCGCCTGCTGGTTCTGGTGTCGACTGGTCAAAAACTCAAGCGTCCAAGCCCTTGCCCAAGATGCCATGACAGACGTTATTTTTAACATTTTCAGCATCATATTTCCCCTTGGTACGTTGCATTCTCCTCTGCGTTGAAACCTCTCATCACTGACCAATTTTTAGTTGGTTATTATGCAAAGCTTTGGTGGCTTGATGCTCTTGGAGGTCTTCTGCTCTCAATGTTCGTGATCTTCAATTGGTCTGGGAGCGCAGCTGGGCACATTCGAAACCTCACCGGGGCCGCAGCAACGGCCGATGAACGAAACGTCCTCCTTTATCTTACCATGCGATTTGCAAAGACCATCAAGCAGATCCAAGGCTTACAAGCCTATCATGCCGGTGATAAGCTCAATGTTGAGGTGGATATCGTCCTGGATGAGAACATGAGTCTGAGAGACAGCCACGATTTGGGCGAGTCGTTACAGTATGTCTTGGAATCGGTCCCAACGGTGGATCGAGCATTCGTGCATCAGGATTATGCGGGCTACAATTTGCCCACGCATATGCAGCAACAGAGCGAATAGTTCTATTTATGTGTCTGCTCTTCTGCAAGGAAAGTTCACCCACCTCATTACAAAGAAAAGGAACCTGCAAGTTCTAAACACGTGGGATTACCCGTTCCAAATGCGTACCGTGGTGATCTCAACAGAAAACTCACAGCACCCAACTCACCAGCTGGAAGTTCTCTTAAGACTTGCATTAAGATCTTAATTTACAAGAGCAATTCGAACTACAAACAACCAATGATGACATACCCGAACAATATCGTCCCTCTGCTGGGCCCTGATATTTCCTCAACCAATTCATTGGGTGGCATCGCCCCCGGAAAAAGCAAGCTCGGGTCCTGGGGAGCGCCACAAAGTGAGATCTGCGATATTTTCACGCCAGGCGCGCTCGATGGGCCCCGCATTTCAGCTTGGGTCTTAGTCCCTCCGGGGGGTCAGGCTTTTGTGTTAATTTCGAAGCCACTTCATTTTACGGCGCAGCCAGCTGCCAACGGGGGAAGAGGCTATTGCCTGTACGGAGTTTTCGAGTTAGTCATTTCGAAAGAGGGGCCGAGGTTTGGTTAATCAGCTTAAATTCAGTCTTGAGAATTTGATTTGAGAACTCTTGGCGAGTTTGGAACCCAGAACAGATCAAAGGTAAGCCCTGGAAAGAACATGTTGTTGGCCATTCAGCTGTCAAGCAGTGGCTGATACTGTTGCGGTCGCTGGCTGTGGTCAGCTTCCGGGGCGATATTCGAGATTCGGGGCGTCGGGGCTTGGAGGCACGCGGGTGGCTTTTCTTTTGCAGATCCGGAAGCCTGTAATTTGCATGAGATCTTGGGTTGAGTCCGCTCCCAAGGCCGCGTGCTCTCAGTTGATGATTCGGGATGTTGTCTTTCAGAAATCCAGAGCTTGAGTCTTTGGTGAAATAGCTGGACGAGGTGGCGGCTTCAAGATTGTGATGTTCGTACTCTTCCCGTACAATGCTGGTCAGACATGCGGGTGAACGTCATTTAGCCCGGAGCTTTTCAACCCCTGAACCGGCCCTTGCAAATTGATTCTGCAAGAAAAGATCCCCATGGGAGGGAAGACCCGGCTTGGTCGAGGGGACCCTGAAGAGTTCTCAAGATGAAAGACGAGACGAGATAATTTCATAGAAGTTCGAGAAGAGGCCATCCCCGGTTTCCAGGAAGGTTTGGAGAGTGAGGTGGAAATCGATCAGAGGAAAAGAATTCAAACTTGGACCTGAATCAACCTCCATTTATATAAATAAGTCAAAAATGTTGCCATCAGATGAGCATCATGCACCTTCTGTTCATAGCGGCACGGAATTCCCGGACAGGAGTTCATCAACCTGGATTGGGCTCGCCATTGCCTTGGAAGATGCGCTGTCTTCTCCTTTTCGGCCTGAGGTGAAGCGTGGTGGTCTCGTTCCTGGCCGAGCCAAAACTCTCCCAGCATCATGGCTTCTCCTGTGCAACAAATACAATTGAGATCTTCAGGTCAAAGGCCATTCATTGTACCCACAAACTGCGGCTAGCCCTTTGTTTTAGCAATATCGAATTGCAGGCCCCTGAGCTTTCCCTGTGCAGGTCGGCACCCGCTGAAAATGTTGCCGCTGGGCGGAAACGAGGGGCTGAATCAGTGCTAGTCCAGGCGAGGCGAGGAGTCCGAGCTAAAGGCGAACGAACGTTGGACAGCACAACAAATATTGCTCGACTAGCCTCCAACACGAGCTCGTCGTGTCTTCTCCTCATTCCGCTCCATTCCATTCCATCATCGACGACGTATCGAATTCCTCGCTATCCATCTGTGCATTCGTATCAGCAGCATTGACAATTTGGGGTCTGATCTGGTGAGTCGACCTGTTTCCTTGCTCTTCCCTCCAGAAACCTACTGCTCGACGGACGGCCGTTCGTGATCTATATTTGGATCCCAACATCAACACACTTCAGCCTCTTCCGCACTGCAAGAAGACCACCAACTCCACTCACAAGGCTACGGCACAATCTTCAATGGAAGTTTGGGGCATTCGGCGGACCTGATGATCCAATTAGGGGCCCCATCTCACGACAATTAGAGATTTGGCCAAGATTCATCAGCACTTTATCGTGAAGGGCATGCAACCAGCCACCGAGCTCCTCTCTGGATGACCCCACCAGTCTCTGATATCGGATACCTGCATGAAGACACGAGTTTTGCTAACTGCTGGCCTCGACTGCAATAGAAGACCGTTCCTTTCGTTATTTTCAAGTGCCTCCGACGACACGACATTCGATTCTTGTACAACCTAACGACGAGCAAACATTCGAGCTGTTTTTGGACATTTCATTGGACCTATGTCGACTTGAATGCACGAATTTTAATAGACGGTCGTTCGAATTTCCAGAGTTGGAAAAATATCCTGGATAGTCTTCGACAACTACATATACTACATGCCTAAGTTTCCGAGGGCTTTCGCGCGGCGAAAATCTTCCGCAAATGTATTTGAAAATGTCGGGCCTGAGGTGCCGGAACCCTCGTTCAAGGTTTTTGAACGAGGAGAGTCTGCAAGCAAGTCTTTCGATGGAGGAGTGAAGCTTGCCAAAGCTGGGTCACCCGGCAGACCGAGGACTTCACAACTGGACACTGACAACATGTTTGAAAATCTTGGGAACAATCGGTAAGCTCCCAATCGGAAGGGACGAGAACAGGGAGAGACTCGTATCCCGGCAGTGCAATGGCATTGCGGCCCAGATATGGGACCCTTAAATCTTCGAATGCTGACGTTGTGAAGTGGCAGTGGCGCGTCGAACAACGCGTCTTTAACGACGGACAATTCTTCTCGACTGAGCGCAGCATCAACTGCCCCGTCTTCTACGAATACTCCAGAACGCGATGAATGGAGGTCTCCTCACGACAAGCCTTATGATAACATCCCGATGCCTCCAGTCCCGAGGTCAACATCAACATTTTCTCTGAAAAACGCAGGTAGATCTCTGTCCTGGGGAAGAAACAAGCCAATGCCACCTTCACCAAAAGAGTCCGAATCTCCGAAATTTGACGAAGATAAATCAGAGGGCAGAGAGAGAGCCGTGACGACTTCGAGTTATGCGAGTACCACAAAAGCATCGGTACCGGACAAAAATCTAGGCTTAAGTTTAGGCGGTGATTTCTCAGATATGTTTGCCGGTTTCGGCAAAAGAAAGAGCACTATTTTGGATGCGGAGGAAGATAGAACAATGTCCCAGAGTCCTGTCAGTAACGAGCTCTTCCGAAAGTCTCATTTTTTGGGAAATCAAACCTAACATGCAAGTAGGAAACACCTTCGCCCGGACCCGCTAATCGACTCACATCTAGCCGCCACAGTAAACCTTCTTCGCTCACCATTGACAAACAAAAGGATATTGAGCCATCACCATATTCTTGGAACAGCCAACATTCTCGGGACGGATTAATATCAAGATTTAGCCCTAGCTCTTTTGGCCCAAGCCAGGATGACTCCCCACCACCTCCACCTGTTCCTACACATGGATCTTCGCAAGTGAACACCGACAGCCCCTCATCACTTACCCGGATACCACGAAAGGAAGCTGCCGACAATGGGTTGAAGAGGACTAGCGCACATTATGGCCGGAGACAATCTACAATCGACGATTCCATGGATGAGGATGCAAGACTTTTAAAGGAATCTGCCAACGCAAGTCGACGACTGAATGATCCAGGCTATAGAGTCCGTGACAGTTGGGCCCTCCCTTCAAATCCGACATATAAAGTCGATGATTCTGTAGCCTCCAGCTGGAAGGCAGGATCGAATGAGACAACCCCAAAAGCGAAGCGCCACGAATTGATAGAAAACGAGGACAATATGTTCGACAGCCAAATTGCGGCGTCAGCCAATATTGCTCAGAGGTTCCAGGAGAGGGCACATTCTCCATCAACAAAGCAAGCCCCTCAAAATAGAGTCATGACACCAGCTCAATTCGAGAGATATAAGCAAGACCAGGAGAGACTTAGGAGTGTTGGAGGCCAGTCGAATGACGACGCGGATGAAGAAGAGGATGAGACTTATGATGACGATGAAGATGAGGCTGAGAAGGCGAGACAGCTCGCAAAACAGCGAAGGAAACAGGAGGCTCACATGGCTGTGTACAGACAACAGATGATGAAGGTAACCGGAGAAGCGGCTCCTGCCCGTCCAAGTGTGTTGGCTTCGCAAAGCAGTCCAAATCTCGTTAACCCTGTGGATGCCGAAGAGGAGGACGAGGAAGTTCCGTTGGCAATTCTGCAAGCACATGGATTCCCGAACAAGAATAAGCCACCAATGCGGAGCATGGGGTCGAATCCAAACCTCAGGGCTTCTTCAGCCATGGGTGGCGGAGGAGGCCAATTACCAGTTTTTGCAAGAAATCTACCCCAAGATCCATATTTTGGGGCAGGCCTCGTCAATCCAATGCATCGGGAGCCCTTGGCTTTCGGTGGTGGATCTGGTTCTGTGAGCGGCGAACCTTCAAGAGGCTTGCCGCAGGGAGGGTTGGTTGGCGTGATCGCCACAGAAGAGAGATCGCGAGCTATGAGGAGAGGCAGCCCGAATGCCCAAGGGACATACGGGCCTCCACCATCCAACGGCTTCAACGGAATGCAGGGACCTCCGTCCGTGGCTGGCAGCATGTATAACGGGATTGGCCCAGCTGGACCAATGGGTCCTATGGGCCCAATGGGTATGATGAACCCGATGATGATGACTCCCGGAGACCAGGCTCAAATCCAGATGTCCCAGCAAATGCAACAGTTTATGGCGATGCAAATGCAATTCATGCAAATGATGACCAATGGTCAGGGGCCGCCTGGGCAGGGCGGCCATCAATCGCACAACTCTATGGGAGAAACTCACAGGCCAGCGAGCGCTCAACAAGTACGTCCAATAAACGCACAACAGCGTGCAATGACGATGATGGAGCCCAACGCCGCTCCCTGGATGAACCGAAATTCCATGTATACACCATCCATCCATGGCAACGGCGGCTATGCTCCTTCAATAGCACCTTCTGAGCGAAGTAATGTGGGATTGCCAGGTCGATACAGGCCCGTCTCACAAGCTCCTCTAACGCACCAAAACAAGATGATGAGAAGCTCAACTATGATGTCTGGAGGTCTTGGAGGCTGGGAGGACAAGCACGCCTCGACAACAATTAGACCTGTGAAGAAATCCGGAAACGCCTCTGATGAAGACGATGAAGAGGGCTGGGAAGAGATGGCCAAAAAACGCGAGAAGAAGAAGTCAGCGTGGAGAACAAAGAAAGATAAGGACCCTAATGGATTGAAGGAGATGTTTGGTTATACGCTGTAATGGAGGAAATGTCCCCGTTAATAGAAGAGGGAGAAGGGAGAGGATAAAAAGAGCTTTTTAATTGTGTCATATTGCATGGCATGCTGGCGTTAAAAGATCTTCAGGGCAGAAATTGCGTCGAAACCTGCGTCTTTTTGGGTAACATGGATACCGACCATGAAAGTTGTATAATATAATTCAGATGTCTGACTACCCCCCCTTTTTTTAACTCTTCCTTGAATGCCCTCAAACATCAGATGAAAGGAAAAGTTCAGACAAGAGGTGTGTATGTCTATGAGATCTTCCCCGCAGCCCACTCCCGCCTCTTAACACCCAACTCCACAGCCGCAGCGCCCCAATCCTCGCCATGATTATGACTCCCTCCAATAACACCCGCCCTAGCTTTCGCCTGCTCTTCATCCAGGACCGTCAGCAGCCCGAAGATCAGTGGGACGCCGGTATCGAGCTGCACGCGCATCAGGCCGTGGGACACAGACTCGGCGATGTATTCGAAATGCATGGTCTCGCCTTTTATGAGGACCCCAATGGCGATTATGGCGTCGAAGGGGCCGGAGGAGGTTGTGGATTTCCCATCAGCGGAAAGGGAGAGTGCCGTGAGGTCTGTGGTGCTTGAGCCAAGCAGGTCGCCGGCACCCAGGGATGAGGATGTTGTAGATTGGATCTGGGAGGCGGAGTAGAGTCTGTGATGCGTGGTCAGATGGCGTTTGCAAGCGCACGGGAACCGGGAGGAGAGGGAGTTTACTTCGAGCAGGCAATTGGGAGCTCCCAGCTACCCGGCACGGATTGGACAACAATGTTCGACTCTTTTACGCCGGAGGCGAGGAGCTTGGCTTTGGTGCCAACGAGGAGGGGCTCAATTATTGCTAGAAAGGAGGAGCATTAGTATGTTTTCTGAAGCTGGTGGTGAAGTGGGGTGAGTGAGGGATGAGCTTACATGTGTTCCATCGAGCATGCACAATCCCAATCCTCAGAGTGCTGCCATCATGCTGCTGAGCTTCTCCAGGTCCCTTGAGTGAAGTCATTCTAGATGTGATTTGTCACTGGTGGGCTGTTTCGTTTGTCCGATCAATCTGCTTCTGGTTGTCGTTGTTTGATCAAGCTCCATGGAGGGGCACGGCACTAGCAGGGATTCCTCAAGCTCGTCCAGCCCCTGTTTGACTTTGCGTCAGAGAAATTGATGTTTGCGTCCTTCTCTCACTAATCGCCAACCTCAATCTAATCTCGTGTTCAGATTGCCTTTTCAATGCAATTATCTAGGGGATAGCTATAGCTTGGCGGTTTGGAAGTTGATACATTCACGATGACGGGTTCCAAGTTTGTTCTCGGGCCTTGGGTGCGTTTGGAGGGAATCTCTATCAACCAATTACCCAGTGCAGGAAAGGGTGTGCAGCCAAGCAATCCTGCTTCCTCGACGGAGAAATTCAGCGATGGGTCTGGGGCAACAGCTGCTCCCACGTTGAAAGCCTTCATCACGAGTGTTCTTTCAGAATCAATTCCCTTCGTCGATGGTAAGTTTATTCTCATATATTTTTGTTTGAAATTCTGAGCACTAGAGCTTCGCAGGAGCTGTCACGCCCCATGTCTTCGGAGTTTGGCTTCTCAGCTGCTGGGCTTTCAGTTCAAAATCAGGGGAAATCTATACTAATTCGACGGCAGGCGTTGCGCCAAAATCTGGTGGCGCATCGGAGTGGAAAGTCAAAGGGTCACCGAAGAAATTCCCGAATTCAGAAGCTCCGGTCCATCTCTACGAAAAGACGGTATCAGGGAAGGATTTGGATAAAGTGGAGGGGATGAGTCAGTACAGTGCGGATAGAAAGGATGAGACTTGGTTTTGCAGGAGAAGTTGTCACAGGAATTCGACTGAGGAGAGGACTGCTAGTTGGGCGGAGTTCGTACACAGTTTCAAGGAGCACCACGCGCAGTCAGAAGAAGCTTTCACACCAACTGTTATTGGAGCTAGAGAAGCCATGAGATGGGATGCAAGTGGCATTGATGTCCAGGTACATGGTGGACACTGGACGAACATCACCGTTGCGGTGGAAGAGATGAAACACAAGATCGACCCAAAGCCTCTGAAAAATCGGACATTTCCTGTAGTACAAGTGGCGGCGATGCTCGAAGGCAATGAGGAGTTCCTCGTCGTTTCGATACCACTCAATGACTTCGACAAATCACCGTACGCAGAGTTTGCAAGGGACAAGAGCTTGGTTACGGCGGCTTACACATCAATAGAGCGGATTCGTGTACTTCCAAGCAACGGAGACGTGGAGTGGATCATGGCAACAGCTTCAGATGCAGGTGGTGTCCTTCCTCAATGGATGCAGAATTTGGCTGTCCCGGGAGCAATAGCTAAAGATGTTGAGCTTTTCTTGTCGTGGATTCCAAGGCAGCGCGGCGAATCCATACCAGCCCCCAGTTCAAAGTCAGAGGGCCCAGAAAAGTCACTTCCACCTGCACCAGCGTCGAGCAACGATGCACCACCGCCAATATCGAAAACAGAATTCAATCCCGGGATCACGAGACGGGAATCTTCGAATAAGGAGTTGCCAGCTGCTCCACCTCAGTAATCTCTTGTAATATCATGCACTTCAGAGTATATGTTAGAATAGCGAAAATGGAAGGCTTGCAAGGAACCATTTGGAAAGTTTACCATAGTTATCCACTCTTTGATCTCTCCTCCCATAGGTTGTGAATTGCCATGGCGGTCCCCTCAAGTATGAGTTGGTGCTCTTCGGCATGTACTCTGTCCTTCAATTCTTCCAAAGTCTCGGGAGTTTTGCATTGTATCTCCCTGACCACAATAGGCTCACCACGATCCACCTCTGGGACAACGTAGTGGATCATGATACCTGTTCTATCATGCTCCAGTTTCCCTTTGTGATAATCGTCGTAAGCCCGTTTTATGGCATCAATGCCATCGTATTTGCCTGGAAGCGCGGGATGGAGATTGATGACAGGTACTTTCTTCGCTACCAATGGATCCAAAAATTTCGGTGACAAGACATGCATCCATCCTGCACAGATTACGATGTCGGGCTCATCTGCCAGTACTATGTCCGCAAGGTCTGCATCGTACTTCTCCCGTGCTGCTTGCTTTACCGCTTGGTCGGCTTCCCCCTTGGCAAAGTAATTCCCAGACACCAAGTTATGGTATTTTGTCGGTATTGAAGCAGACTTAGCTCGTATCAATCCCTTAGCTTCCTTCTTGTTCGATATAACTCTCTGAAGAAGATTAGTTATGACTACAACTCATACTCTCCATGTCCTTGTCCTCAACTGACCACAATTTTGAGGTATGGAAGCGTCGAGCTGGTCGCGTCGATGAGGGCTTGAAGATTGGTACCCTCCCCTGAGATCAGGATTGTACCTTTTGTTGGCGGTGGGTCATGCATTGTGAGAGTGGAATTGGCAAAGGAAAATTGGAAAGGTTGCGTTTGTGAGGCAGACGGGGTGGGGGAAGGGAGGAAATCGTTCGATAAACTTTGGTGGAAGCCCGTCCAACTAGTCCGTACCTCGGGACCAATGAAAGGGCCGCGTTGTGCTCCAAAAAAAAGTTAAAACCTGGAGGGAAGGCGCGGATCTGCAACAAAACGGCAGAATGTGCTTCACCGCCTCTGAGTCAATTCTTGGCGGCTTCAGAGCATCTTCATCCCCATTCCCAACCTTGAACTGAGGACTAAAAAGCCAGCTTTCACTATGAATATTGACGACATTGTAATGGATCCTGGTCTCAAATTGGCCTTGGATACCTCCAAGCAAACCCGCGAGCAAGCCATCGCCCTCCTTGATCTCGTCTCCAGCCATCCTCCGACCTCTTCGCCATCCCACGAGTTCCAGCTCCAGATCTCTAAGCAGCAGAAACTACTCCTCACATATCTTGCTCAGTTACGAGGTCTCCACCGCAATGCGCAGGTGGGCGCACGAGAGACTAAAGCCTCGACGGCGGAGGCGCGTCAAGAAGTAGACAGATTACATCTCCAGCTCCAAAATCTATACTACGAACAGCGCCATCTACAAGGAGAAATTGCGGCATGCGAGTCTTACGAGTACGTTTCGTTTTGCAAATCCAAGTCCAGTACAATTGCTAATATGTTTTGTGTAGTCACAAATATCAACAGCTACCGCTGATTCCTGTCGAGCAGTTCCTGGCCGAGCATCCAGAGAGAGCAGGCCTTGACGAGAGTGCATTAACCATCGCACGTATTGAGCATGAGCATAAGGGACGCTTGGCGCTGGAAGAGCAAAGACAGAGACTGCTGAAGAAAAAGGAAGGCCTCATCCAAGCCAACAAGAAGCGGAAGGACGATTTGGCCAACTTAGACAAGGACCTGGAGAAGTTCATTGATGTAAGGATTGATCCCTAAAAATTACTAGTATACTGCTAATCTGAGACTTTAGGCTGCGAAACCAATCCAAAAAACGTTCGAGCAAGTCGTCTGAGGAAGAATTTGACAAGACTCGATGCAAAGTCTGTCAAGGAACTCATCCGGTTATCATACACCCTCGCGCCCTCGTGGCAAAAGCCATCTAGCTGCTTTGGCAAACGCTGCCTATGGGGTTGCAGCTTACACAAAAACGCTCCAGTTCGATTGACAGGTCGCCTCTTCCCCCTCGCCAACAGGGCTGGCCTAGCAATGCTGGGCAGGAATAGCGTGCAGATGGAGACCAGCGACACAGCCAAAGCGAATGTATGACCCCCTGAATACACGAATGATAATTGAATCTCCTTCTGCTTCCGTCTCGCTTTTGCTTTTGAGTCCATGTGCAACCGTTTGGAGAAGTCTCTCAGGAACAAACCTCGCTCCACCAATGTCCAACCGCGACTTTATGTCTTGATCCCGCGGTGTCGGCAACGTGTGTCATATCAAGGACGGGACAAGCTTGGAACCATGCTCCTTGTTAGGAACTGTACCATCAAATGGTGCACACGACGGCTTGCCACATCATGGTATTTGTAGAGTTTCCTGTTGACCGCCGACATTCTTATGAAAATTGGCATCTGTTGGTGACCAGATCCTTCAAGAGCTCGAAAATATAAAGTTTGACCGTCCAGCAGTACAGGGATAGAGAGTTTTACCTTAATTTCCATAGACTCGGTGCCTTTCACGGAAGTCTGGTTGTCTGCATATTGTCAAAGGGGACGCTGCGCAGTAGGGCTGTGTGTTCTAAAGCTGTTTGCTTCCAACCAGTGCGTTCCCGCCAAAGTTCCCAGGGTGTGGAACAAGGGAGGGGGCAGGGGATTGCGCCCCAGCCGCACGTTGTCAATCTCGTACCATGTTTGGCTCGCTTTTTCAAGGCAGGAATTCAAATGTAGTCTTGCGGCGCAACACCCTGCAGTCATCATCACTGAGTTGTCTTCCTTCATTAGTCGATGCTCACGTTGGAGTGGAGCGGCCAAGGCCAAATCTTAGAGATATAGATGCTCTGTGTGGAAGCCAAGTACGAGAAAGCGAGATTTGCATCACTTCCAAGCCTCTCGTTAGAGCTGTGCTGTTCCCTCTGCTCGGAAACCTACATATGACCTGAATCGTCAGCATTCGCGAGTCCTATCTATCAAAGACACAATGCACCACTTTGAATAGAACATTCAATTCAGCTCGCCTTCGAAATGCTTTACCAATCTATCTCGGCCTTGAAGATGCTTGTTAGTGCTTTGGCAATTGTTCTTTCCCTGGCGCCTCAGTTTACATTTGCGCACAACAAAAGGGCAGCTTCATCAACAACACTAAGTGCACAAGCGGCGACCCATTCCATAAACGTTGGAGCTGTATGTCTCATGCAAACTCAGCAAATGCAACAGTCACTGACGATTCAATTAGGACGGACTTAAGTTTACGCCTGATTCGGTGACTGCAAGTGTTGGCGATATAATATGTGAGTTTCCCGGCATCCCAAGACCTGGAGATCTCTTAACAATTTCAGTATTTCGATTCTATCCCCAAAACCATAGTGTAGCTCGATCAGACTACCTGAGTCCATGTATTCCCTACGAACTTACCGGTGCCGGCCGGCAAGGTTTCTGGAGCGGCTTTGAACCCATCAATGTCGTGTTGTCAAACGTGAGGTTCCTCGTAGCATATACAGGCCCTTACTGATGTTATTATCTACCAGCCTCCTACATTTCAGGTTATGGTTAACGACACTTCTCCTATTTTCTTTTATTGTTCAGCCCCAGGTACGAGCTTTGAGATCAGATCCATGGAATCTACACTACAGAAACATCCTCAGATGGCCCAAATGCTGACTCCACGGCCCAGGCGCATGTGTACATGATGGGATGGTTGGAGTAATTAATCCAGTGGGTTTACTAGCCTGACCACTTTCTTTCGTCTACTAACAATGTTCAGAATTCTACACAGACGTTAGCCACTCAAAAATTGTATGCTGAAAACTCGACTCTGGCGCTCAGTCCTGGTGAGGGATTTCCTGTTGAGGGCGCACCAACGAGCACTCCAACGAGCACTTTGGGGGCCACGAATACTTCCCCTCCGCCTGTATCCGCATCTTCACAACCACCTTTATCAGCAGGAGCTATTGCTGGCATAGCTGTTGGAGGATCTGCGGTTCTTTTACTTGGGGCAGCCCTGGTTTATTTTTGCGGTCGCCAGCGAACAGTGAAGGAGATATTGCAAACACAAGCTGTACCGCGACCAACATCCTATCAACCAGGAGCTGCGCATATGTCATTGGCATCGTCAGCAGGATATCTACCGAAGTATTCTAACCTCAGTGTCGACCCAATGGGGCCAATGGGGCCTCACAGTTTTTCAAGTCAAGGGATGTACGATCAGCCTTCAGGCGCTGAGACCGAGAGCTATCGCTCAAGAAGTCCACCTCTAGATGAGACCAGAGAGTCGATGATGTCTCATATAAATTACTCCGGGTCGCCAGGAACCACCAGCCCTGGTCGTGTTGACAGCCCTCCAGGGAGGTTGCCGGTTACTCCAGGACGCCCCAATTTATTACCCATCGAGGAGATGTATCAACCGCTTGGAGCAGATGTCCTTCCTGCTTTGAGGTAAGTCTATAATCTTCGAATTGAGTTTCCACAATAATACTAACAACGAGTAGATTCAATCGAGTCCCTTCACAAACAGGACCTCATGAGCTTTCGACAGAGAACGATAATGCGAATTCCCTCTATCAGCCAGTGCCACCACCTCGAGACGAGAGGCGAGATTCGCTGCTAGGAAGGCATCATTCGAGCTCAGGATGATCGAGTTATCTTTCCAAAATCGAAAATTATATATTGGTGTTAGGCCATTAACTATTAATTACATTTATATAAAGATACCAGGTTAGATAGGGTCTAAGATAACAAAGGCCGTCAGGGCTGCAGCAAGCGCTAGCTGAGGGGTCAAATCACCGATTTCGCGCAGAGCCGCTATCAAGAAAATTACATGAGCATCTAATCTCGCTTGGGAATACTGGGTGTGAGTGTGGTGATAACAGCAGATTGAAGAAGGGACAGAGCTGCTGTAGCTAAGTCTGCTCTATGTAAAATGTCAAGTACATTCGTTCACCTTCCTTATCTCTTGCTACATGTCCATGCTCTTTCCTCCATCCCTTCTAGTGTTTGCTGGCTTTGCCTTGTTTGATACTTCACCACTCTGTTTATACTTTTGCCATCTAGACATAGCCCCCCCCCCCCCTATTTCTGCCAGTATTTGTTTACTTCTGATGGGAGAGGATGCATAAAAGCTACAAAGTGACAAAATTGGTTAACCCTTGTGTCACCCATTCCAACGCTGCTTTTCCGTCATTCTTGCTTTAGTATCAATTGCTCTTTTCATCGCCGCTTGAAGTGCTCTTGTTCTAGTACAATATTACTCTTACCAACGCTGCTTTTGCAAGTGCCCTTGTTTGGTATGAATTGCTGGCTTCTTAAACTCTTTCAATCTCGCTTCGTGCACCCTTTCGATCTCTCTTTTTTTCCATCAACATCATCCGTTGCCTTAACAGACAGATCGAAGAGAAGATGTCATCCAACGGCGACAATGACTCGGACAGTGTGGGCGCAGTTCGTGACGACGATAGTGTCCATTACTCGGATGGGGACAACAATATTCTGAACGGTCACCGTCGCCGCAGTGCATCTGTGGACGTTGTTCGGCGACCCGTCTTCGGGGAAGAGGGTGAGCGAGGCGGTGGTGAAAGTCAAGGACAAGAGTAAGCACTGTGGTTCCTTGCACATTGAAGGAAGGTTCTAATTGTCTTCGGTAGACACGACCCAAATTCCTGGGGACGGCCTGACAGCTGGAAGGACTTACCCATGGCGAAGCTTGATGCTCCGAAGTTCTGCTCAAGATTGGCAATGTTTACCTCTGCTCCGGTCACAATCCTGGTTGGTCCTCAGAAAATTACCTTTAACATTCCGAAAGATGTTCTCTGCCACCACAGCCGGTATTTCGATTGTTGCCTGAATGGTGTTTTCAAGGAGGCACGTGAGAATCAGGTCAATCTCGAAGAGGACTCGGTTGAGGCCTTTCAGTTGATTATACAGTGGATCTTCACTGGAAATCTTGCTCTTCCTTGGGTAAGGCCTCTGTCTCAATCTAAACAAAAGCCTATCATGCTAATTCGGTGGGCAGGATCTGAATGTTCCAGGTCAGGTTGGGGCCATCCTCGGGTTCTTGAAACTTGCCGACAAGCTTGACCTTCTTGGTTCGCTGTGCTCTGTAACGGATAGTCTCCGGAATATCTTGATCGCTTCTCGCTCTCGCCTTCAAACCCGTACCTCCTGTCAACGAACCTGGGGCCCCTGGACACCCTGCCGAGGTCATCCAGAGGTCTGGCAACATGGAACGCCTCTGACATATTGCATCGACAACAGCATTGATCTCGACCCGCTCCGTGACAACGCCATCACTGCACAGCACATCCGTACAGCCTTTGAACTGCCTTATGGTCATGAAGCACGCTCGATCATCGTCAATGCTTGTGTCTCTTCTTACTTGTTGACAGGCACGGCAGGAAGTGGGTGGGGCCCGCCGTTCAAATTTCAGAATGAAGTGGACAACATCGAGGGATTCTCTACTGAGTTGTTGGAGGCTGTGCGGAAGTCGGTTCATCTCTTGGCGCTTCAGAACAATCACAATGCCTTAGTCATTGATCCACTTACTGCGGCCAACCTCAGTATTTGATGGGAGGCAAGCAGTGAGTGATTTAGCCGGTACAATCGTTCCAGCTGAATTCCGAACATTCTGTGAGGGGGGTGGGACAGATAGTACCAAGTTGGGCAGAAAATGAGAAAGATGTCAAAAATGAATACCAAAACCTCTAATTTTCCTTGGAAATTTTGTCATTATGCATGCAGGTCTGAGTGTAATACATTTTTGCCGTACAGTGTAAAAAGGGTAAAGTGTATGAAATATATTAACCTCTTATTCATGGACCATGGACGAATCCGTCAAAAGAAGCCCCTAAGTCCTTCTCCTAAGCTCTCCAGATCTTCGATCTTCCAACAACCTCCAACAACACACTTTAGTATACACCAGAGTGTTGCTGGCGCATACCTACCGTTATCTTCTTCAACTTTCGAGCCAAAAATTCTCCCGGTCTACTACTTCCTCTCTCCTCGTGAAGATCGACCAAATCACCTTTTCCATCCATTCGAAGGAGGATACCTACAGCGATCTATCAAGACAGGTGAAAACAGTGGCGAAAAGAGAAAGTTGGTGAAGGATCTGGATCTTGGAAAGTTCATGGCGTGAGTTCAAGCAGGACATGAAATACTCTTCTTTACTAATATATACGCAGCAAGATCCAACACTTCTCGGGCTCGCTGCTCACTGTAGTTGTGGGTGACGAGCGTTTCAAGCTTTCGAAGAATTTGCTCTGTTACCACTCCACTTTCTTCTACAAGACTTTTCATGGCAATTTCAAGGAAGGCATAGGGCAGACAATCACGCTCGAGACTCGCGCGGCGAACTTCCAGATGGTCATCCAGTGGATGCATACAAGCGCGATTTCCCTCCCAACTTCGACAGTTGTGGAAAGCAAGAAAAAAATTTCACACCGTTTCTCGAGTTTCTTGTTCTTGCCGATAAATCGTCTGCTTGGGCCATTCGATAGCGTCATTGCATCGACGAAAGCTATCCTTGTCATCGATCACCAACACTTCCTTGCTGAGCATGTCCGTACAGCCTTTGCTTCCTTGGAGTCATCCAACGCGCAAGCTCTTCGCTCAGTCGTGCCTTGGCCCATGCCTATCTTACATCCATCCTGGAGAGGGTTATACTCGCAGTTTATTCAGCTCTGTTCAAAAAGAATTCCCTTTTGAGAAAGACTTGAAAGAGTCGGACGAATTTGCACCGGATTTGGTGTGAGAATTGTCAAATACAATGAGATCACACACCTGGTTAGAGATTCCGATAGTCAATTTGTCGACCCTTTATCTGGGAAAGAATCCAACTCCGTCTGGCGGTAGCTATGAAGAGGGATCAACTTCAAAGTATGGTGCGCTTGTAAAAATATTCTAGGGCTGTCACAGAGGAGGCTGGTTTGGAATTGCATTCGCGAGAAGCATCACAAATGTAGTTCCGCAATTCAGATTTGCTAGCACGACATTCAGGAATTGAGAAGCGATCACACAACTTAGCCTGCCAAACTACCTTGTGTCATGATGAACACCTCTAATCACCAGACATGTTTATTCAACCGTCCTCGAACCCTAGCGGACCGGACCTGCGGTCTTGATTTCTATGAATTGAGACTATTTCACTGTTCTATATATCTAAAACGCCTATGAAGTGTGGCAACGACCTTCCAAAAAGCATATCACTTTAGCGCTAAAGGCAGCCCTGGCATCTGAAGGACCAGGAAGACAAGAAGGTGTTCTCTTGAACGAGACCATTTGAACAATGCAATATTGGCTGATCAGGTCCACGCTGAGATTCTACGTGGCTCATCCGTCACCTCGACGCATTCGATTGTCTGGTCAGAGAAGTCGGCAGCTAGGCACTTCCCAACCTGTCTCTCGGGTCCACCTCTGCCTGGCATCGTTTGTAGACTACATCTCGGATGCGGATTGTCAACTTCCTTGGTTAAAAGCAGCCGGGTGATATCATTGTTTGTATTCTTCAAGGAATTGACCAGGAAGGGTTTTGCCCGAGGCCTGGCTGACGTTGAAGCAGAGGTTGCCGCTCTTGCATCGTTTTGTTGTGCCTGTTGTGGAGGCAGCATAGCTAGGGAGAGAGTTCCCGCCGGTGTTAGTGGGTCGTGTCGTCTTCCTACTGAGGACGGTAAGGAGTACGCATTCTTGAGGGTTGCTCAGATTATCGATGGCTGGTTTAGAGTCTGTGACAACGTGAAATATCGACACATTTTGGAGGAGTGGACTTTGGGTGAGCACAGTCGACTTCAGATGGGTTATGTTCGGAGTGTTCATGGAAAGCAATCCGAGGAGTATGCTACCGCTGTCCGGAAGTTCGCCTTGTTGAAAACGAGCAGGAGAAATATTATACCATGTAGGTTTTAGTTAGAGAGATTCTCTACTTCATCTGCAGCAGCCCGAGTGTATTTAGCCTGTCAATCATCCGTAGAATTATCAATTATAAACAATACAGAATCAATGCTGGTGTTGAGACCTACTCCTAGCTTTTTGACTCCAAGGAAAAAGATTGACCAGCGAGGTTCATCCCTGCGGGCTGGTATCATTGTCGACGGAGCAGGGGGGCTTTTACTCTGAAATATCCGCGCAGAGGATGGACATCGAGCATTTAAGTTTTGGTGGGTTTAATGTTGCACTCGGAGGTCGAGGACACCGTGAGACAAGTTGTACGTACTGAACTTGAGAAGCGGCTTGTCAAGACCCTCCAGAATTCGACCACTCCCCAAAAGTGCGGGATGTCGAGATACCCGTCGACGAGCCTACAGAAACCAACAAGTCTCATGACGATCCGAAAACGTGCAGTACGCATACGCAGTTCCTTCACTCCTAATTCTGGCATGTTGGCTTCAGTCAGTGATGGATTTGCGGGTTGCATTTCGGCTGCAAGGCACAACGAGTGGCTTGGCTACTGTGCGTGACACAGAGGCAGTGAGCGAGATTTAAGTCACAAAAGTCTTGGGAGGCTATTGGTCTGCTGAATATAGGTGGTTATAATCCCGACACTATGAATGTCCCGTCTTCGGGACAATGTGGTGAAGTGACAACATGCTTGTTGTCCAGGTCGTCCTGAAAGCGGCATCGGCTCAAAATAAATCTTTCCGTTGAGGGATTATTCTGACATTGCAGAGCTTGCATGCCAATCCTGGCTCGATTTCAAAGGCCCAAAATATCTTCATCTTCATCTCAATCTGCTGGTTCGGCCGCGTTAGGTTATCGAAGCCCAATCACGTGATCGATCCCTTAGCCATGCGAGGGGCATCGCGAATATGAGTGGTTGAGGTCGATGAGCCTCAACAAACTCCAGAATAGCTGACGTGACCAACAATAGAAACCCCACATGTAGGCGCTTGACTACGCCGATACTCCCGCCGCCTTGTTGTACGAATGATCCTCTGGGAGAATTCTAGCCGCCCCACGGGATGTTTCGACAATTCTGACAACAAATCACATACCCTTGGCTTGTTTTGTGGCTTCGGGTCTGCGATGCAGCATTCTTTGCAGGAGCGAAGATTGGGTCAGGCTTCGCAAGGCCTCCGAAACCTCCGAAGCCTTCGGAAACAAGAACTGACCAGTGTGTGCATGTTTGTTCCATCTTTGGGTGGGGCTTGACGCCATCCACGAGGGACATGGGGATAAACAATATGGTTTGAATGTGGGGTGCGGCGTTCTGGATGCTCTGAAAATATGAAACGAGACAGCTCGGCTCTGGATCTTCAACAGAGAATGACCTGAAGGATGGCAGCACTGTGGTACCGCCCAGAGGATCCACAGCGACAAGAGCACCACACGAAGATTAGAGATTCAATGGAAAACATAAAGCTGGCCGCAGGCAAGTGACCCAACGTTGACAAGGAGCATAATTAATGTTCAAGATCCATCAAGATCTTTGGATGGAGAGCAGGCGCTGTCAAAACCTCAAGGCGTCAAGGCTTGCAACGAACCAGTGACCAGCCGTTGAATGGGAAGGAAGACCAGCCACAACAGGCCCACAGGAAAGCTCGCTGCTTGAAGCCATCTTGTTCAGCGGGACCAGCTATCCAAAGCTGGAGCCAACCTGAAGCATACCCGCGCGCTGCTAAGCTCTGTCCGGCCGACAACTATGAGGGCAGGTCACGATTGGATGCAGAAGTCATGGCAGCCACTCAGATGACTTTTTTGAGCCTCTCTCCAACATCGGTCGGCCACGAAGTTGTGGCGGGCGGCTGTGATCCCTGCGACTGGTGAAAGCGCGCGCAAATCATCGACCCAACCTCCCCCCCCTCGAAAAGCAGGAAAATGTACTTGAGGAAATCCACCGATTCGATCACCGGACACTCCTCAGAAGATGGAGAAAACGCTGCCGCGCGGGCTTTGTATCAGACGCAAGGACAAGAATAGAAAGCAAAGCAGGAACAACTACATAAGAATAAGGATTCCAAGAGTGTTAATATATTCCCAAAACAGAGCGAATTCCAGGGTTCGCCATTACCAGCAAGCAAGAACACCACCGCCACCAACAGCTACGCCGTACCAACATCTTTTTGCGGACAACCTGACGACTTTGGTGCTCACTCATTCGCAAACGCGTTTCCAGCTACCGTCCCTTCGGTGCAATCGACAGATATCCCGGCCCCTCATCTCACCATCCCTTTCTCGAGAAATTTCCCCGAGTCGCCTGGGACATTGTGTCGGACGGGTCGGTCGGCGCACTTCCTTCCAACTGTTGGCTTCCGGCCCAATCGCTGGGCAGAAGTCATCAACTCGTACCCGGCTCTTCGAGGTTCTTTCGCGCCTCGGATTGACAGCTCTCGTGGCTATCTAAGTATAGCCTGGGGGGAGGAGCTTGATCACGCTCGACGAATCAGACGGGCCAGACTCACAGACGCTGTTCCATCTGCACTGTGCAGGCGCGCATCACGTCCAATCCCAGCAGGCAATACGGCTCCCAGCGCTGGCACGAATCACAGCTGAGCGCACCATCGCCGCCGTACCTCTGCTGCTGGACCAGAGCGGGCTCTGGTCACCTCGTCGTCGCGGAGCTGTTCTGTACTCGGCCTGACGGGTGTCCAATCACGGACAGGCGTGTCAGCGTTGTTTCCGACAGGCCCCTGGGGCCCCTGGCGCAGGTGCTTCGTCGTCCACCAACAGACAGAAACACATCCAACACAGCCGTGGCAGGGGACTTCGCTTCGCTTCGCTTCCCACTGCCACTGCCACCACCGGACTGGACCAGTCCCAGTCACTCCCAGGAATCCGCGGCCTCTTGCATCACTCGCGCCGCTTTACCGCTGCGCTTTTGCTCCCACCCTAAAATACTAAAGACAGCAGCAGCCAGGCCAGACCAGCGACCCGCAGCACAACACCACAACACCACAATAATCATCGCTCGTCGCCTTGCTCTGCACACTGCAGGCCCAGTGCAGCCAACGTTCTCCCGCGCCCCCCCCAAGCGCCTTCACTACTCCCTCCTCCCCCCCCATAGCACTGGCTGCTAGTATCCTATCCTGTCCTCTCGGTCAGGCCCGCCACACGGACGCGCGCTGCCACGCTCCTTCTGCCACAGCTCCACCGAAAAGACGGCCCTCAGTTACACGCCCACGTATTATAATACTTCCCTCCACCCAGCTCCCCTCGGCCTTTTCCTGCCACGGACTACCCGTCATCGCAGCTTGAAGGCCTCTTGTGCTCCGAGTCTACCTTCCACCCCAGGGACACTCGTTATCTCGACCGGAGACAAAATGGTTTCTTCTACCAAGCCCAAGCTCGCGCAGCTCAAGACGCCGATGACTTCGACCTTCCCCTCGGAGCTGTCTGCTCTCTCTGGCAGATCACCTCTGCCGGGCTATGCCGACTTCATCATCAAGCAGGAGGACTTCATCAAGACGCCAATCACCCCTCCGACAGCGTATACGGACTTCCTGAAAATGGCGAGTCCTGTCACTGCAGACAACAAGTCGTCCGGGAGAACCACGCCTACCTCTGCTCCCTCAACCGGCTCCAGCGAACACAGCGATTGCTCGTGCAATTGCGAGAGCCATAAATCTCCTACCTCCGCCTCTACCAACAATCACTTTGTCTTCCCAGCGTCTGCGCCATCATCGTCAAGACTGGGACGGCTCAGGATACCTCCATCACCAGCTTTCACTGGTGCCGACTCGCCACTGAGCGCAACCTCCGCCCACACCCTCCGCTCTCCCTTCAGCGCGCGAAGTGCACGATCACCATACGATTGGGACCTCAAGAGCAAGGGAAGATACTCCTTCGATATCAAGTCACCGAAATCAGCACGATCGAGTACGCGGACAGTTAGAGAAATCGTTACACGGACAGTCACATATACCCCGCGCATGAGCCCAGCGCCAAAGGGCAAGAGGAGGAAGATAGAGTAGTGGATTCACATCGTCAGCCAGTTCTCAGAAAATGTTTCCGTTCTTTCATGTTCCTCGGGATCCCCAGTCACCATCTATCTACACACCCCATCTCGTCATCTACTTTGTCACATCTCTCACTTCACACCACACACATATTTACGACTTGACGTCTTCACTTCTTGTTCATGGACAAAAAACACCCGAGAACTCGAGAAAGTTCAAGTTAGGGAGAGGAGGAAAAACGTCACGCTTCATGTTAGGCTATCTTGCTCGGCGCACCGCCTGGAGCATCGTTGTAGTAAGGTAATGCAAGACCACTTTCGGCATGTCATGCCATCGACCATTTTAAAGGATTGGAGGATAACTTCCTTATGGCGAGAGAGTGCAGCTATGGGCGTTCAGGGCGTTCTTTTGGATCAGGGTCGGAATTGGATTGTATTGGGGAAAGGGGCGTGGGAGGTTTGGATTATGGTGATACCAGAATAAGCAAATGAATTGAAACATCTTACACAAGTAATCAAGCACACTGTTGCACGCGGGGATCTGGATCTGAGCCCCACCCGTGAACCAGATCTAAGACCGAGAATGAGAAATACTTACCTGTCAACAAACAGAGCCCGGCTGGCGGCCAGGCCGAGTCGAGGCCAGCCATAATGCAGGCCTTGCTATTCACGTCCTGCGTACCTTACATGGGTGAATGCCTCTAACCCACGCAGCCCCGATCGCAACCCCAAGATCCTCATAAGCTCATAAGCATAACTCAGCTGTAGCATGTTGGATCCCTTAATCCCAAGCCCTTCCCCTCCCAACCAACAAACCTCGATTTCCTAGCCTAAGTTCTGGCAAGCACTTCCGCTCCGCTGCCCAGTCGCGGCTTTCGTTCTCCATCCAAAAATCCATGGCTAGCGTGCTATGTTTGGACGGGCACAAAAGCAGCCAGTACCCACTAACGGCTTGCGGGCTCGCAAGCACCCGAGATCCTGGGACGTGCATGGGGGGCAAGACTGGGGCTGTCGTTAAGCGCCAGTCCCATCCAGCTGACTTGCTCGCTGGGACGGGGCGCGCAGGGATGCGATCGGTGTGGTGTGCAGCACCGCACGATTGGCGGGGCTGATTGGCTGCAGTTTAGGCATGTTAAGCGCCAGCTTTGAGGAAGGGGACTGCCACGCCCTGGCAGAGCCTGTGCAATCTGGCGGTGCGGGACTGATGGCGACGGCGGTGGAGTGCTTGAAGCGCCTGAGGGATGGAGGCGCCGCCGCACGGGTGGATGGGCGAATGGTGGCCAGTCAGTGCTAAGCTTACTGCCACTGGTCGCGGGGAGAGCGGAGGAGAGTGTGTTGCGCAGATGGAGTTAAGCACGGGATCCAAAGCTGTGCTGTGCGGTGCGGTGCGGTGCTGGACGTGAGCGAGGGGCTATCAGTGCTTCATTGTACTGTACAGAGGCAGAAGGGGCAGGAGGTGCACACTCAGGAACAAGGCCCACCCCCTGCCTGCAAAGAGGCCCCAGACATGCAGCTGGACTTGGAATATCACACGAACAGGTAGTCCGGTAGTCTGCGGCAGTTCAGCACTTTGGGATGGCGGACAAATTGCGTGAGCATCTTCCGTAAGAGCGTGACATCGTCTGTGGGAAGACCGTGATTGTGATTTCCGATGGAGAGGATGAGGGCACGCCACGGCTTGCGCTCTCGGGAGTATTCTCATGGTATCACAATTATGGCGTGTTGGAGCAGGGTTTGGAAAAGGAGAAATTCTGGAAGGAGTGTGTTGATAACGAAGCAAAATAAGCGTAGGTGAAATGTCTCTAAGTTTGGGCTCAATCCCACCTCGCTTACGGAAGCGGCCATGATTTAGGCGATCCAGAGGCGAGCCGATCAAAAGCCCTCCGCCATGACCTCTCCCGTCACCACCAACATCTGCTGCCTGGGCCGCAATGGAGTGCCATCTCACCGGAAACAGCACACTTGCGAAGCGTATCACATTTCTGCTACGAGTCATAGCGTCGATAAGAACTGTTTCCAGTTCTTCTATCCCGGCCCGAACGAAACCCCCACAGAGAAGCCGAAACCACATTCAAGTCGATCCTTCCTCCACGCCACCTGCCTCCTGCACACGCTCAACCCTCGTCTTGAAGCCTGTGCAGAAATCCTCAAACTCTTCGCCAAGAGAGCATTAAGTCTGAGCGGCAATTCATAATTATGGAAAGTAATCCATCCAACATTCTCCTTGCTCGCTTCAAAACGGAAGGAATGTTCCCCAGAAATCACATACCGCAAATCACCCCGCCATTTAAACTCTGTCCCCGTGTTCTCCTATCCCCAAAACTACATTGGTCGGTTTCCATTTCTATTTACGTATTCAATTCCTTCCCTCTGTGCTGGTTTGCTGGTGCATCCCCTTGAGATTAACGGATCCTTGGAGTGGTCCGCTGGCGGTGGGGAGACGCGTGACGGAGCGCATCAAGTCACTTTTTATATCACTCTAGTGCTCTTAGTCGGAGAACTGTAAGGGGTGTATGCTAGGGTCTCGACGTGAAGTGATGAGCGGACTCACGATGTTCCGCACTTCTTCGGGAGAAGCTGCAATTTCGATTTGAGTGCTGATTATATTTGACATTTTGAGGGTTGCAGAGGAAGATTGCAAGTAGTCTTTTATTTTGGATTTCAAGGTTTTCTTGGGGTTTATCCCAATTTTCTGCTCTACTTAGTCTCACAGAGTAATGTCGGCACCGCGCATCGTACATGTCGAGCCATACATTCCCTGCACTTTTTATGGATTTGATTGGCTCTGGACTTCCAGAACTCCACCCCCTATTTGACTTTAGCGAAAAGGGAAAGAAATCAACCCGGTTTAATGACATTCATTCTGCTCGACTATATGCATTTCCCAAATAGCCGTAATGCAGTCCATTCATTGTTCCGCATCCCTGGCGAACAATTGGAAGTCTGGCGAAATGCAGACTGTCGGACCACTGGTAGTTATCCCCTTCCCTTCGGCCTTGCAATTTCGCTCACTTATGTGGCAATGAATCTTCCGTGACAAACTACTTGCAGTAAAGGAACTGGCCGGTAGCTGGATCCTGGACCCTGCTCTGGCCATACGTCCAATCTCCTTTCTTGCGCATTGTCTCGTCGAAGAGCTGGAAAAGTTCTACGGCAAATCCGTCCAGATTCTTCAACTTTTCCTTAAATCTGAAATCTGAAATTGCTCCTGCTCCCCTGTCGACATAGGACCATCCTAAACTTTTCAGATATGGGCCGACACAGGCTTTGAGTATGATTTCTCGTGCCTGTGTGCCAGGTAGCTGCTTCATGGCGCGGTCAAGATGCTCGGAACGAAGATTTGCACGGTTAGAAAGAATGGAACGGATCTGTTCAGTGATAGGATCGAGTGGGCCCAGCAAACCGAGGAAGTCGGATAAAGTCAGAAACTCCAGAAGTTGAGTTAAGTAGTCGGAGTTCTTCATTGTCTTAACTTGAGGGCCCAGTCGACCAGTGTACATCCACTTGATCGCAAGTTCGAAAACGCCGGTGGAGGTGTCAAGGGTTATCTTCTGCTCTTCGCTTTCTTTGAATGTTCCGTTGAAGGCCGCGTTGAACACAGTTGAGTTGTGGCAAACAAGCAGCTTGGGAAGCTTGTACTCCTTGTTCTCCACGGTGACCGTAACCTCGGATCCTTTGTAGTAATCGATCATGCTACCCTGTGTCAGATTGAACATTTAAGAGCCATGCTCAGCAAACAGGGCGACGCTACTGACCTTACAAACTCGTCCACCGGCAGATCTCGCATCAACGTCTTCTTGTCAGCTTCTTGACGCTTAGGAGGCGATGCGGTTGAGGGCGACATGTTGGAGTGTGTGAGATCGAACTGAGATCAGCTTATCGAATTTTCTGCTTTAATTGTCAGCACTGTTCTACGGCCATTTGGTTCATTGTGCCGGAAATCACGAGGACCTTATTGTTCTCGAACCATCTGGGACAATACAAGGACCTCAATGTCCTAAATCGTTTGCTACAATGGCAGGAGCTCACAATGGCTTTTGATACTTGGGAGACGAAAGGTGAAGTACTTGCCTGGTAATGTGAGTCAGATGGGAGTAAGACTTCGGGCAGTGCAGTACGACGGCAGAATCAGTTGGCCTTGATCCCTCACGCTTCGACAGTGGTTGATCGTTGTTTGGGGTGAGATGGAGTGGAGTGGAGGAGAGGCGGAGGTTGTTGTTGTTGAGGACGGTGCGGAGGGAGCAGTCTAAATAATTACCCAACTCGACCCTCTTCAATGAACATCCGCCTTGCTTCAATGGCCTCCCCGTTGAAATCAAGGATGATATCCTGAAGTTACTGTTAGTAGCCGAAGGTGATGTTATCGACGCAGGTCTTGCTGGGCGCGAATATCCGTCACGGCGAGAAAGGCAAGAACGGGCTAGTATAAGATTCAGATGGACTGGTTTGAATCCCTTATACCTCATGTATCAAACATTATGGATATGACACAGAACATGCATTAAACAGTGTAATAGAGGGAAAGTGTTATATGCTCTTGCATAAGCGTGTAGGCTTGCCTAATGTCTCTGAGCTAATACCCGGCTGCGTAATCAATACCAAGGGCTTCCAAATAACACAAAGTCCAACGTCTCTACCAGCGAGCAACGATGCAGACCAAACCCAGATTATCAAATCAAAATCAAAACCCAAATCCAAATCCAATCCATTAGAGCTGCGCCTTTTCCAATCTGCGCTCTCCAAACTCCTCCGTAACCACATATCCAGATATCCCCAAAATGACTAGCGTGCGGCCCTCAGCCTTAAGTAGCTCCTCGAAGACATCTTTCTCTATATTACTACCAACCCCAGTTATTGTGATAGGTTTCAGGTTACCGAGCTTCCAGGACGTTGAATGGTACTCGCGCATCTTTCTCTCCCAATCGCTGGCTCTATCTAAGAAACCATATGCGCCTGCTTTCCAACCAATAAGATAAACATCAAGCGTTCTCAGCTTCTGAAGGCCCGAAGCTAGGTTAAAAGTGATGTAAAGAGTTCTCTCCAGTGGAAAGAAATCTTGGGCCAGTCGGACCTCCAATCCCATAATTCTTCCAAGAAACTCTCCCATCCTACCACCGCTCATCTTCTCAACGAATCTTGTAAGGGATACTAAATATGTAAAGAGAAACCGGTTATATCGGAACAAGATATTACCACCAGCGTTCAGCATTTGCTTACGACCGGCAGCAGCAAAGCATGCATCGCGGAGGGAATTTCAAAAGTCGATTGGGAAATAACGTAATGTAAGCAGAGAACGTTAATTGAATCTTCCTTGATACTGGAATATTACTTGCCAGTGGGTTGCAAAGGAAAGGAAGAAGGGTGCCGAGAGCTAAGCTGAGGGTTTGCTGGGACCGCACGAGAGAACCTTCCTTCCCCTTATCAACACCCCGCTTCCCCATATCAATATGTCAAAAACTTGCCTTCCCCTTGTCAACGAATCACAACATCGAATCATCGACAACTCAAACATTGCCGAACCCTATTGACTCTCTGAGTATTCCTATTTCAGTATTCCTCCATGCAAGCAAGGCAAGACCGGCTTTCTCTAAGAGGGTCGAGAGGTATGACACTGTTTTCGAATTAGCTCTGGTCCCGAAAAAACACATTATAGCCCTTACAATACTTCTCCATGTTGCGTCTTCTTGCTCGAGTTTCGGTTGATCGAAGTCGTGCTGAAGGGATTGGCGTGCGCCGAGAGTTGATACTGTATGATATCTTCTATGCTTATGAGCTTTTATGCAAGCACTGTGTGGATAGTGGTAATGAAAAGGGTCTAAATAATTATCCGAGAACTCTCGCGCTCTCAAGGCAACTCTACGCTCTCACCTTTATCCTCTCATATTCACTCTGGAAGGTGAGCATTTAATATTCCCCTACGCCGTCGACTTCGTAGCGATGACGGTCGCCTTCCAACTTCCGACTCGACAGCCAAACCTTCTTCCAAATTCCACGTTCAACCCAACCTTGCTACTTTATGAGTTGTGCAGATCCTTTATTTCATCTCTTGCAGAAGCTAACTCTTACTGAAAGCATCGATCGCTGAAACAATGCCAGGCAGAAGCTACGGCTTTGGAATGACGACGAGTGTCAGGAGATGGCTGAAGCAGAGCCTGCACCCAGCCACGAAACAGACCCCATGAAAGTCAAGGCGGAATTGAAGTCAAGAAACTCCTTAAAGATCTCCCATTTGATGAACAATTCCAATCAGTCTTACTTCACTTTGAGAGAGGCAAGAACTAATTTCCCCCCCCCAAGAATGCTTCAGCAATTGAGGCGAGGACCCAAGGTCACGGTGCTGGTGGGAATGGAAGAGAAGTCTCACATCTAGCCAAAGAATCTCCTCTGCTATTATTGAAGCTTTTTTGACAAAGCTTTTACTTCGGGATCCCGCGAGGAAACCAAAAGAACAATCCGCCTCCCCGAATGCTCTGACATGGCCTTGAAGATGACTGCAGTGAGTAGACGGCAAATTTACGTTTTGACCTGATACTGACTATCTCAGATGGCTATACTTCGGAACCCTCAATATTGACAACCCAAAGCGAACAAAAGGAGACAAATTGAACCTTTACATCGATTTCATTATGTTTGCTGATCGCATCTTCTTTATGGGATCTTTTGATTCTGTGCTTCAAGGAATCCAGTCTCTGCTCTCATCAAGAACAGCCCTTTTACCGGAGCACATTCGAACTGCCGCTCAACTTCCGTACGGACACACTTTAAGGAATCTTATAGCCCAGGTTTGTGTAAAGTCAAACGCATGGTCCTTGCAGCTCGGAGGCCGGAATGGCGGTAACAAGAGGCGCTTAGATTCCAGGAGGAACTAGACACCCTAGAAGGATTTGCATCCGACTTGGTTCGCGCCTTCACTAGTTCTATCCGTGAAAATCCGAGGTTCATCGACCCTTTGAGCAAGAAATATCTGTATCCGTACGAGTCAAGTTACTACAGTTACCACTTACCTCGGCACCCGGAGATGATTTCAAAAAAGAAGGCAGCCCCGAGACGTGTTTCCTGAGCTACGTCCTTTGGTTAAGAGGATCATGATGCCTAGATTGCTGGTCAATGGTGTTGGATTTTTCTCAATGTGCATATTTGGCTTTCGTTATAAGGAGCGGAACGGATTATGCAAAAAATTTAACAAGTTCTGTGCTTAGGGGATATTCGGACAAAGATACAAGTTGTCGCTAATTCTGATCAATTGCAGATTCTTGGTTGTTACACACCATCTGAATTTATGAAACTTGTGATAGCGAGTCTAGATTGACTCAATTATACCTATGACCCACCGGCGTACGTGATTTCTAGGACTCACTGGTCCAAGCTTTCAATATCTGGAAAGGCAGACGAGCTGGCAGCGGCTTTTGGATTAAAAGAACTTGAGGAACAGGCAATATCGTCAAAGTTGGTGCAATCTCGTCAATGCTCCTCGTGAACCAAGAATATGGAAGGAGGAGGTAGATAGATTGAATTGATCTGTTCTATTCAAGGACGTTTTCAGACCAGGAGATTCACCCAGTTGTAGGAAAGGTGGCTAGTCCGTCACTTGAGGTACTTGCTTATCAATGTGTTGTAGCCTTGCTCGTTCGTGACCACTGTTGTGTGAAGTCCCCGGCTTGAATGAGCCCAGCTGAGCCGAGCCTCTTCACCGTTCAACTGAACCGTGAATGAAGAAGGGTGGGTTTCCTCTCTCTCTCTCTCATGCGGTACTCCTGTGAATCTTCAACGTTCCATGCTAGTTTTGAACCCTCTCCAAACCTTTGCTGAGGCAAAGCATATTTTTTCAGACTCCCAAGCCTTCTGAACCTCCTGGCTTCCCCTGAGCCTTGGGAAAAGACCCGGAGGGTCCACCGCACGCGGCCACACTTGAATCTCAGCTCACACCGTCCATCTACCTTCAATAACGACCCCCGGGATTCTCATGACGATGTGTAGAAATAAAATAGTCGCAGGGAAAGCCACGAGCTCCAATTTCTTGCCATTGGCACATCTCACGACCCCGAAACATGGATGAGCTTCGAGAGGGAAAGCTCGATAGACCCCTCGAAAGGCGATCTGGGTGATGATGTGTAGTGCGGACCACTATCAGCCTGAAGTCCTTATCCGTCCAGTTGGCGAGGGGACCATTATCTGCGCTGATGCTGCTAACGAGAAGTCCGGACAGCTAGCCAGAGATGTCCACCAAGGCGGTCCTGAACCCATCCCGACAACTGCAGACAAGGCAGTGAAGGCTGTCCTTCAACGGAGGCTTCTCTTGCTTTGCTGTTGGGGATATCATTTGAGAAATTTAACCGGAGAGTTTGCTATCCTGGAGTGTTTCTTCTTTTGATTCGTGGAGGGTATAATGGTTTGTTGCCCTGTGGATGAATAGTATGTAACCACTATCCTTTTCGAACACTGTGCCTATGTTCCTTGAGGATAAGGTGAATGACAATCATTAGTAATTCGACAATTACCAAATAACTCATATTGTACGGCTAAGGAATGGTGGGACTTGGGCTTTGGCGACGTCGGTAATGATGATGGGCTGGGCGAGTGAAGATGTTTGTCCTGGATACTGAATGCACCTGTGCCAGAAGAAGAGTGCATTCGACTTTGTGATTAAAATGCGGCAAACGATGGGGAAATAATGGCAAGATAAACCATTTTACGGTCTAGTTCCGTCTCTCCAGGAAGTCCTTGAGGTCGGCTGCAGAGCGTTTCTGACTTTCACAGAAGTCTTCCTGGGCAGCCAAGAGCAAGTAGTAAGCAGCAACCCCTTCAAGCGTCCACCAAGATCGGTATTCGCAGTAGCCAGAGTGGTCTTCTATGGGCACGACCTCTTGAACTCGCTCAGAAGCCAAAAGCCAGGGGATGAATGAGGTAGTAAGAACAGCAAGCCTTTTGCTTTGACGATCCAGGAGGGTCAATTCCGCTTGCATTTTGCGGGACCCGTAGCCATCGACAGTTAACTAGGAATTTGTAAGCCGATTTCAACGTACTCAGGCTCTTTGGGTATTCTCACCTTGAAAGTTCCCGTACTGCCCACCATGGGCACTCCATCGGCGGTCACGTTCTTCCAGTTGAACGCAGAAAATGGAGTCTCAGTCGAATAGTCCTTAAAACTTGCCATCACTGCGAAGACCTCCTCCGCTGAAGCCTTGATCTTAATCGACACAAAGGATGTGAGAATTCCGTTTTCTCGCGGAATGTTCGGAGTAGCAATGATGCTTCTCTCATCCACGGAATTCTGAACAATAGCGACCAGAAATAAGATGGCAATGGCAGCGGCAGCAAAGCTCGCCCATAAGAGAGTGCTGGCCATTTTGGAGTGCTTTTGAAGATCTTATTGTGAATTCTGTTCAAATTGTGCAACTTTTGAGTTGGACATTTGAAAAGATTTTGTGAGTGGCCAAGTCCTCGGTCCCAAGCTGTCATAAGTTCAGGGTCCTTCGGACACCCCGGAAAGCCAAGCTCTCCTTCCCCTTTCAGCGCTAGCGGCTACGCTAATCCAACCTCGAAATGAAGCTCTTGTCGTGGACAGCCGCACTTCTGCCATCAACAACAGACCACGTCTCTGCCCGGAATTCCTTCTCTTCGTGGAGCTTCATATGAACCATTTCGTTTCCCAAGCAACCTCTTTAATCACAAAATCTGGCTTTCACCACCAAGCCATCTCATCGCATGCCAGCCTCGGCCCAGCCACCCCTCCCCACTTCACGCAACAGATAAAGCAGCTCACGTACGAATCCTCCGCAGATTTTTCTCGCGCGCAAACAATCATGGACCCAACCAAAGGCTCGATCTTCAAGACCTACGATAAGCCCAAGGGCTACTCGGCCTCAAACTCGTTTGCGACCTTCATGATCATTGGCCGTAAGCCCCCCCTCCTTTCAAACATCACTCACTGACAAGTAAACAGCAACATGTTTCTTCCTCGGGATGCTCTTCTCCTCCTTCCCTTACGACTATCCTCTCCTCTGGACCTCTGTTGAGACGCCAGCTGCGTACTACGACCAGCTAGAAACGCATCTCAAGTTCTTGCACGCCTCACCTCCCATCATCCCGCGCATACTACACATTGCCGTCTCAGTCGGCTTCTGCGGCTTCTTCATCAAGCTATTCAAGCCATCTGAGGCCAATCTTCTTTTCGACGGCGCGTCGTTGGTTCTATATGTTGTGGGTGTCATAGTGTACATCACCAATATCGTCAAGGGCCTCAGAATCGTGACGCTAGGTGTTTACGGCGTGCCTGAAGGCGATACCGAGATCGTAGTCGGCAGGGAAGACAGCTTGAGAGTTCTGGCTGCTAGTAATACCATCTTGGCACTCGTGCTCATTGGTGTCCTTGTCCTGCAAGCTGGGCAATGGTATGCTGAGCGGAAGGACGCAGACGAGGCTGCCAAGTTCGAGAAGGAGCAAGAGGGGAAGAAGGAGGCGAAGAGCCAAAAGAGTGGAGGACATGTGACGAGATCGGCGTCCAAGAAGAAGCAATGATTGCGTGTGGGAGTGTGGAGATTTCATGCTGTATGATATCTTCTATGCTTATGAGCTTTTATGCAAGCACTGTGTGGATAGTGGTAATGAAAAGGTACGATTCTTGTTTACTATCTAGCGCTACTCCACCTAGCGAAAGTTGGTGACCCGTGACCCATCCCCTTTCATTGTTACTAGTCTAGGATCATCCACCAGGTCGGTGTTGCCGAATTGCAAGAAATAGTTAACCCGGCCCTATTTATTGTTGTTAGTTTGTGGTTCATTCTACGCAGTCAATGTTGTCGAATTGCTGCTCATTCTACATAGTCAACATTTCCGCACTTCGTTGTACCCAGTCAAATATCGTCGAATCACGGTTCATTCTACCAAGTCGATGCTGTCGAATTGCAAGTGAAGGGGAATGGAAGGCTGACTATTCATTGCTCTTGCATTCCTTGGTATTCTAGAAACTGAAAGTTTGCTCCACCATCCAACGCCATGCTGTCATACTTGCTTTTCCTTTCGAAAAATTGCTCAAAGGTATCATCAACTATTTTTACATCTCAATTCTTCAACTGCCGCTTCGTTTGGGAATAGTGCCTTAATTCTTCAATCACCACTTTGTTTGGGAATAGTGCTGAGGAACAAGGACAACGATTCTGACCTCCGGGCCTTCGGGTCCATGCTTGCCCATATATTCGCTCATCATCCAGACTCTGATCTCCATCTCAAGAAGACCCAGCTCAGCGTGTCCGAAATTAATGCCATTTTCCTCCTGAATGGGAGCTTGTTTGTAGTGTCTCAATACCATTCGATCATTCGCACGATGAGTGAAGTCTCCCTCAACGAGGAAATCCAAGTTCTTGAGCTTTGGAAACTTTGCGATTGTAGACTTGACGATTACCTCGCAGAAATCCTTTGTTTGTCTCTGCAGCCAGATCCTAAATCCATCAGATCGCATGGTTGCATGGCATGGAGCGAGTTCGAGATTGACGGCAAGATGTTGAATGTTTGAAAGGAAATCTGGAAGTCTGCCAGGACCGGGAAATGGAGTTGGCGCAGTGTAAGCTTGTTGCATATGTTGCAGATAAGCGCTTCTGCCTTCATCGCTGACAGGAGTCAAAATTTGGGGGAATTGCGTGAGGACATATGTGGGATAGTGGTATCTTGTAGCTGTGCCGACTTGCAATTTGACGCAGTCACTGCCAGGGTTGACGTAGAAGTATCTGTCGGAGTCATCATCCGCCGGAAGCACGCGCCGTTGAGGATGGTTATGGTGTAAAACGACGGCAGTGGATGTATGTCCTGCAAAGGCAACAGATGCAGCAACGGCACCAGCGGGCGGGTTGAAAGCTTGAACTGTGGTAAGTTGCCCGGTGGTATGAGGTTGAGAACTGTGCTGAGTGGAATTTTGTTGTCCTGGTGGAGTCGACTGAAAGCTTCCTCCGTATGGGCTCTGATACTGTGAGGTGTTGTGTGTGACGCTTGGTCCTCCTAGTGCAGTTGTCTGGTGGCTTCCTCCGTACATGCTCTGGTAATGATTGACGTTCTGGGAGAAGCTTTGTTGTCCTGTTAATGTTGACTGGAAACTTCCTCCCAATGAACTCTGCGCCTGATTAAGCTGGTGTTGAGCAATGTTCTGCTGTCCCAATGATTGGCCGGTGGTTTGCTGAGGACCTCCACCAATTGTGAGAGCCTGGAGAGCCTGATGTTGGAACCATGGCTGAATAGCACCTTGAACTTGTGTACCTTGCTGTCCGAGTGGGTGGATAGCGCCTTGATGTTGTAGATTATGCTGAACCTGAATGGCAGCCTGAGCGCTATATGTAGCCGGTGCCAAAGGATTCGGGGCTTGAGGAGTGGCTGTCGGGAGGGCCGGTTGCGTAGGGCCGGGAAGAATATTCACCCATCCATGTCCCTGAGTCGCCTGAGGAAGCTGGTTGCCATTGTGCCATGGAGGCTGATTCTGAAGGTATTGGACATGGTTGGGTGCAAACTGCCATGGGATTGGTTGGACTACAGGTTGGGTTGGTTGGGCTGGCTGGGCGTGAGGCTGTGGAGGATGGCGAGGAGAATTGCGGTTGAGCTCTTCGAATTTGACCAAGGTGAAGTGACGGAGACCAATTGCGCGAGCGCCAGAGGTTGCTTGAAGTACAGCTGGAACAGTAGGTACTTCTCTGAACTGGAACCTGAAGGTGCGGTCGTTGATGAACATGGGAATGATTTCGGGCGCCGAATAGCACGAAACTGTGAAGGTTTAGTAGAAGATATATATAAGGTGAAGGAGACTCAACACTCCCAAATAGCATCTTGTAGCTCGGGCGCCAAGTCCGCAAAGATGTGGAAGTCAACGAGATGATCGCCGCGGACATTTTGCGAGACGGCGGTGGGTGCCTTGGTCGCCGCTTTGGGTCTCGGCGCAAGAATTGCTTTTGCTCGAGCCATGGCTGGGGTCTTGATGATGGGGGAATTCCTATGTGCGTAGATGTAAAAAGGAGGAAGAGTTATGGTCGATAAATGTGTCACACCGATACCAACCGATGGTCGAGGCGGAAAGGTGATTTGAACATTCAAAAGTGAATGCGGTCGTGGTCCCCTTTCGGTTGCTGGGTTAAACTCGGCTCGTAAAATCAACAAATCGCTCGGTCAGTAGAAATGGAATGATGCAGCACATGCTAGAAGCCGTTTTTGGTCAATGGAAGTGGAGAATTGTTCTTTTTTGCGTAGTGCTTGCAATTGCTGGAATTCTTTGAAGGTCCAGATGCTTGGTGCCCTATTTGAAGGTCGGTCCCCTATCCGAAGCGGGAAGGGTCCAGTCTCAGAAGCGTAGAAGGTAAGTCTTAGGTGACGTCTCTTGGAACAGTGTCAAACTTCTCAGAGGCGGTTTTTTATTCTCCTCTGCACTGTGAAACAACTGAATTCGGCGGCATTCAGCCCAAATCAGCCATTGGATTCTGCTTCCTCAGATCACGCTATCAGAAAGACCACCATGAAAAGTACACCAGAGATGGATGGGCACACTAGACGCTTCGGCATAGCTTTGAACACAGAATCTAGGACCAAATCCACATAAGCCCGCCATCTTAGTCAAGTACATGGTCACTTTTTCTAATGCGGTGGACGTTGCCTACTCTTTCGTTCCGCAGATCGATTGTGAGTGACCCGAAATGTGACAGGATCATTTCTGATCTGGCTAGTGACTGGCTGCTTCCCATCAGACGACTCAAAAATTTTATATTTACGACGAATGGCTGAATGGCTGAGGCTATTCCCGGGCTTTTAAGTTGGAACTGCAAGTAATCTGTAGCAACCCTCCTTTTCCCAACAAATCCGCTTGACAAGAAATGCTCGAGCGTCCATGTTTTTCATACCTGACTCCACGTTTCCGTATTAGGGTCTGGGAGTGGAAGGAAGTTCTACTGAACACTAGTATCTGTAAGCAGTCCATATTAGAACTGCTACTCCGGAGACTCTTTATGAAAGAGAATCCCACACAGAACAATTAAGTCAACACAACAAAGAAGGAAACATATCATTGTTCATTGTTCAGACAACTCCTATGTAAGAAGCAGGTAACAGGCTGTGAGGTTAGCTTGGCTCCCCATCTATCCAGAAATCATCTTCATCTACCATGACAAACTATCAACCCCTGGCAAGAGAATACATATCCACGGATTCTATCCTCCAACCTCCAGACAGAGTCCACACACAACCCTCGCGAATCTCATGGCCCCTAGTGCCTCAGCCCATTCACACAGATATCGAGAACCAGAGCCACGGATCTCGAACACCAGATTACAGATCCCGATGGGATCGAATCAAGCCTTACTTTCGCACCAAGAAGTTTTGGTTAATTTCCATACTCGTGTTCGTGATCCTGTGCGTCGCCATTACTGTTGCAGTCGGTATTACCAAGTTAGTCAACGCGGTTTCGAAATACTGTCATGAAGACGGGCACACCTGTAGTCTATACTAGGGGGGGCCCGTGGAACAGAACCTCTTGGAACTCTTGAATATGATGCCCGGTACTTCAGATCGTGGATTCCAAGCGTAAGATTACGAATACAGGTAAGAATTTATTATATTTTCAACCAAATCAAATTTCGCTTTCCATGAACAGCCCATATCACTGAACAGCTAACCTGAGGGTCTCCTTGAAAGAGAAACCAACTCAGGACAATAAAGTCAACGGCATCAGCCAAGGTATCATATCATGTTTATTGTTCAGAACACTCCCATGTAAGAATCAGACAGCCTCATGCCTTATTGTCAGCTTGGCCACTACTTAAAGTTCATTCGAATCCATCATCATGTCACAGCCTCAATCCTCAGCACGCGAGTAAGCATCGATCGACTCGACCCTCCTGGTGCTCCAGACCCCAGATCAAGTCCAAACCGGACCCTCGCAACTCGAGATCGAAAGTAATTCGCTCTCGGGGGCGGCTCTCTCCAACATAGATATAGAGAGTCGGAATGAGCACGCGTAACCCCCGCAAATTTCATGGGCTCCACTCGGTCGGCTCACGAACACAGATATCGAGAACCAGGATCAGGATCAGGATCAGACCCAAAACCAGAATCCCGCTGCGCAACAACCCCAGTCTCCCAGTCCCGGAAGTCAACAACGAAGAGAACGACGAGAGCGAAGGCACTGGATAAAGACACACAAGTCGGTGATCCCGACGCGGTTTATAGTCTTCTGCTTCATTATTGCCTGGTTCGTCGACTTTGGCGTGGCAGTCGAGCTTGGCAGGAAGGATGTGCCTCGTCCGCCTCCTGGAGACAACGGCACAAGTACAAGCGTGTAGCTTGATCTTGAGAGTGCAATGAAACGAAAACAAAATTCCTGAGATTTGATGTCTGGTATATCAGGGAGTGGAATTCAAAATCCAAGCTAGATTGCAAAGATATCAATTCAATACATTGATGTTTCCGATAAAAAGCAAGAATGTAAACTTTCCATGACCGTGCTTATGAATAATGTGAATGTGACAAGTTGAACGGAAAACCTCAATTTAAACACGAAACAATTGAAAGAATAACGTAGGACATGTGACGTGGCTGTTAAAATTTGAGTTAAGCACGTATGTAATGAAATAAGATATCTTGTTTCCAATTCACCGGCTTCGTGGCCGAACGGTACCTCACTTCCCCAAGTACGTTAGCGAATGTCCGGTGACTTAGAGCGGTTAAGAGGAGCTCTTTAATATCCACTCTACCTGGGAAACCGGGGCAGATGTAAGCATGCGTAACATAAGACCTTCGAAAGAAGGCGGTGTGCCGAACTGTTTTGCCATTCCGAAACATTTTTTTTTTTGATAAATGTTGTTTTCAAAATTGCGCGTACAACTCCTATATCACCAGAATGTCCCAAAAATGTTTATACATTGCGATATCTCTGGCCCAAGGCTGGGAATTTGAACGTATTAGATTTCGAGGAACATTCTCAAGAGCAGACCTTGATGACTGGGCCCGAACCCTTCGAGATTGAAATTATCTGGAATAACGTTGTACGCAGAGTAATGACGGCAGCTCTTACTCCTAAGCTGGCATATTTTTGGACCTTCAAAACGGTAAGTACTAGCAATTGACTTCACATTTCCTTCAAGGGAAGAGAAAATGGCAGAAGGAGAAATATATTCACAAAGAAGGTATAGAACAGTAAGATAAAAAGATCCACCAACACCATGCAAAATGCCGCACGCTCGCTCGCTCGCTGAAGATAAAAAAATCACGTCAAAATTGGCCAAATCTGTAAACCATATCATTACCCAGAGCCTCATCTGCCTCATTTACTCCCCGGCGAATTGTACGTCGGCGAGCCTTTGTAGACATACGCTAGATAATTTAGTTAGCTTGAGTTCGGGGGCCTAGACCCATCTAGGGGGAGGCGGTGGAGACTCACGAGAATTCTTCTTCAAGCCAGCAGGCGGCACACCACTGCGATCCATCATATCACTAAACGTAGTCTGATGGCTCGCCCTCACATCATTTCCTCCCCCCTGCAACCTCCCATTTTGCCGTCCCTGCTCTCTTAAACTGCTCGCCGTGTTGCCGTCCGTGAAGATACTGATATCCTCATAACTCGGCTCGCGCTGCATGATCGGTGTCACGGGCCTCTGCTCCTGTGGCATCGGCCTTCTTATATTCAGCGGCATTGGTGGTGCGGGAGAAGCTGGTAGGCCGTTTGGAGACGGCGATTTGCCGAATATTGAGCGCACTCTTTGGATTGTGTTTCGTCGGGTCGGCGCGCTGCGTGTGGTCGAGGGTGTTGGAGGTGGCTTGCGCAGGAAATCGGTGCGCATGTCGCTCGTGGGTTGCGGGTCTGAGATGTTCCCGAAGGAGGAGCCGGAGCGGCGTTTTACATGCTCTTTTCTCTTATGAAGGCCTACAAATGAGGCAATAAGGAGGGCGAGAGCAGCGCCGAGGGCGAGCCCTGGGAAGAAACCTGCTACGACGGCGATCGCAGGGAACTTGTTGCATTGTGCTGTGAGAGGGAGGGGGGCGGTTGTGTTGGAGGAGGGTGTTGAGGCGGGTTTTGAGGTGGTAGTCGCTGTTGAGGATGGTGCTGAAGATGTGCTTCCTTCAGGTGGGATAGTCTGGTCCGCGTTCTTTACGCAGTTTCCGGTTGTGTTGCAGGTAAAGCCGAACGGACAGCAACTGGACCCGCAGGTTGGCAGAGCCACATTAAGCTTTATTGTTTTCAAGGTATTGTCTGGATGTGCAGTGATATTTTGTTGTTGTATATCGCAAACGATCGGTTTGATGACGGTACAGTCTGAGCCGTTAGGACAGCACAAGACCGTGGTATTCGCGGCCAGCGGTATGCAGGTTTGGCCCGTGGGACAGCAGAAATCTGATGGCAGACCAGCTCGAGAACAAGGAACGAAATTTGATACAGGACATGCAGACACCGTTTGTCGCTCGAAAAGGTTATGTGCTGAACGCGCCGCCGCAGAGCTCGCAAGGCAGACTGCCATGAGCAGCGACTGCCCAAATCCTTGAGGCGACCTCATAATGCCACCCACGTTAGTTGAAAGAGTAACTGTTCCTTCAGATAACACTGAAACTTTCAGAGCAGTTGTGGTGTTGATGTAGGGAATTGTGGGAGAGCTCTGAAAGGGACAGACTACACTATGAATAATATCGACGTAGTGAACAGGTGTGATTCCACGAATGTCCGGTTTGAGTCTGCGACAATGACTCCGAAGCAGTATATGACTTGATGAATCAACAAAGAAACATTTCGAGAAACAGCAGGGTACAATGAACGAACGGTCCAGAAGCGGCATCTGTTCTTAACCCACAACGATTTCCTTTGTCCCTACCCGATCACCACCCACCTTCGTCATCGGACGTGTTCCATAGCGGTAAAGGCGTCCGGAAGCGCATCTTTCCAACAGGGAGGCCTTCGCGCGTCGACCGTGTATCTTCGAATAGCTCCTGGGGTGCTAGAATAGCTACAGATTCTTCAACGCCGGCGGTTCAAGGGGCCAGAAAATGGACAGGCTATCGACGGCGCTTTGGGCGAGCCTAAAGTGGTGAGGCAGTGCAGTCTCTCAGAGGCCGTAACTGTTGTCAACGAGAGGTTGCGAAGCGCTGTTCAGACTTCGCTTCAACGTCGCGCTTCACTTTTTGAAACACCTCGCCACTGGCGGCTGTAATTGGCCATTCATATGCGGCCCCGTGCCGTGACACGCGCGATAGGCTGGGACGTCTTCATGGCATTCTGGATAAGCAGAGAAAGCAGGTGTCCGGGCAAAGATGGTCCCTCTGAGACGTATCGCGGCCCAACAAGGCAATTCGGCCATCCGAGAGGACGCACTTGGCTGGATGACTGATGCCAGTACAAGATGAGCTGAACCGAAGCAGAGGAAACGGCCTGCGACGGACCTCACCAGTCGGAATTCCTTCCTCCAGGTCACACGACCGCAACATTCGATTCAGAGTCTGTCGGTCCTGAATCCTCGACCTGCAGGGCGGGCGAAGCAAGAATCCGTTCTCACGAAAACCACCAGACAACCCAGATCACGGGAATGCATGCATATTTCTCAGCTCAGTCCGAAAGATCCACAGATCACCTGGTCGGCCCCGTCTCCGCGTCACAAGGCCTGTTGTGCTGGTGCGTTTTCCGCCGTTTGTTGCAGGTTCTGTTAGTCGGAGTCGCCCGCGAAAAAAATCGTACCCGAAAACCCCAAATCGAACCATCACATGCGAGTTAACGTACGTGAAGAACGAGAACAAATAGATTGGAATACGAACTTGGCAACTTGCGAGAGCCGTACTTTGCCGATGCGATATGCAACAAAGAGTTTAAATCGTCTTTTCAAGAGGTTGAGTTGACCGAATGGTAAGATTTAGGGATCAGAGGTGCTGGATCACGTGGACATTCTTGGTTTCGACGAAGGAGCCTTTTGACTCATGGTTTTGAATATGATTTTCTGTATTGTGTATATGAATGGGCCTTCACTACTATTACAGATCATACATTACTGGCAAATATTTTCATACTTATACCAGGAGGTCTTGGAACGTTCGTTCACCAGGATGAACATTTCACAGCATCACATATCGGAGCCATGGAGGGGTTGGATCGTTTCAATTATATCATCAAGTTACACAAAAAGCGTAAAAACCCTATGATGCGGAACCTGTTGTGCCCCTGAACCGGAACTCCATCGGTTCCCACTATTCCATGTCTCTCCTCTCAGAGTCCTCGAGACACGCTTCTTGTTCCTTCCTTCCATCCTCTGTAGAATGTAATCTAGTCGCAGCCCTGTGCTGCGCTCTGGTGTTGATAGCCATCAAACGCCCCGAAGCAAATTAAAAACAAACCCCAACCAAAACGCCGTTGCTGTGGGTATGCCAAATATGCTTGCTTTCTTGTTGAGCGAGCGATTATTGTACTAGAACAGGAGAGTAGATTCAAGGAAAATTTCGTCGTTGTAGTCGTCACCCGGTGATGCACCGTTCCACCTGTCACCACAGGTCCCACCCATCAGATCAAATTCGTTGATCTTAGTTCGTCCCATTTCATGATGCAATCGGGGGGCCCATTAAGGATATTATTATCCAGCCTAGCCCAGCCCGGAGCTTCGCAGCTCAACCGTCTAACCCCAATGCTTGAATCGGTCGTCTCTAAGGACGCTGCTTTGGGCGCTCGACGTCCGGTCGAAATGAATCGCGATACTCTGTATCGCAGCACAATAGATGTACCAGGAAACCTTCAAACCAGTCGAAGGTCCTTCGGCGTGGATTCTAGATCAACAAGAAATCCCAGCCCTTCATCTGCATAACGTCTCTCCAGGAGACGTAGTGTGCTTCACCTCCACCAGGACTTAAGCGTCCATCAACATGCGACCAGACTTCCTTCAAGAGGCAGGCAACACGGCCGAAACTGCCAAAATTTGCCAGATCGCCGAGAGCCAACAAGCGCTCTTCCAAGAAGGAGCGGAATGGAGAGTCCATTGTGCTGACCGATCCACCGATGAGATATACCCACACGAGACTGCGATCGAACCCAACTTGGCCAGAAGGGATAAATTCAAGCGCTTGAGTGAGCTTGGAAACCAAGCCGACACAGCTCGCTTGACTCGGAGAGAAACCCGGGACAAGACTGCACAAATAAATCCGTGCAGCGATTCGGAAAGCAGCAGTCATGTTCTTGCTCAATTGCTTTGGGCTGAGAACACCGTTGGCGTTGAATGGGATCTTTGGTCCAGGGTCTCCGATCTCGGTCAAGCCAATCTGATCGCCGAGAGCGTGGACGTGTTGGCAAAGTTGGATATCGTCCATGCCGTCTTTCTTCAGAGCTTCCAGACAGGCAATCTCGGAAATCAGATACATGACACGATCTTCGCAACCCATGAGTTCGCGAAGTCCGAGCGACGAATTGGTTGGCGAGAGGTGCTTTTCGCGATAGGTGTGGGCGAAAGTTGGCGCGCGTCCTTGGATGGTTGATCCGAGAATGTCAATCCACGATGTGAGCGTCATATTGAAGGACATCAGATCATGTGATTCTGATACCATGCGATTGAGTTCGAGTTTTTGTACCAAAGAGATGGCGGCTTGGAAATGTTGGTGCCATGGGATATCTGGGAGAGAGTCGTCGAGTCTGCCAACAGAGCATTGGAAGAAGATCATCGCAAGGGTTGCTTCCAAAATCTCAGAATGATTGGTGTCGCGATTGAGCGCCTCGCAGAGTTCTGAGATTGTGGCATATCGATGGCGCATGATGTCGTTGTCAATTTGCTCGCCTTGGATGTTCAGCGTGGCTTTGCAGTGTTGGGCCGCAATGCTGAGACAGCAGTGCAGGTAACATTTGTTGCTTTGCAGAGCGGGCAGAACGTAGTCCGTTCTCGCAGATCCGTGCTGATTCGTCTCAAGAATTGGGAAGACTGTAGGAAGAACATCGGAGACAAAGTGATCAAGTAGTCGCTGATCGCCCTCGTCAAGCTCAATAGCAACTTGGCGAACGGTCGTGGGAGGACCGTGGCAAAAATCAAAGAGGTTTGTGTTCAGAGTCTCTTCCGACAGAGATTCCCTCCGCTCGTCGTACGTGACATCCCACTCGTTGTCGACTGGAAATGATGGCAGCATCGCTTCAGGAGGCGGGGGTGGGTGGTAGGTGCTGAACGTTGAAATTGTCGACTCGCGGCGGGTGGGAATGTCGTTGACGAACATTTGTCGCTCTGTCTTGACGTCGATTTCGTAAGGGGAGAATTCTGGGTACATTGAAGCATATTGTGAATGAGATGAGTGCATTTGCGCATTGTAGGCTGTGTAGTCGGCGATGTGTGGCGGTGCATTGAAGTCGAAGAGTGACAGTTGGGAGTCGATTGATGCTGACCGAGTGCGATCAAGAGGATCGGAAAAAGTAGCCGAAGTTGGTAGAGAATGTGACAGCCCAGGGGGAGTTTCTGCACCGGTGTCCATGACTTGGTTGGTGGCAGAGGTGGTCTTCTCGGTGAGCTTCTTCCTCTTAATGATCATCTTGATATTGTCTTTTTGCAGCCGGCGCTGATCATTGTTGCTCCACCACATGGGCCTCTTGTATTCGCATCGGAGCCCGAGATGTTTGCAGGCAGTGCAGGACGGAGAGCCCTCGTCGCACTTTTTTCGTCGCAGTCTGCATGTGTAGCAGCCTACGAGGTCCGAGTTAGTCGAGGAGAACGCGAGCACGAGGCGACAGTAAGGAAAGTAACCAGAATTAAAGTAAAGTCCAACAAACCTGTACGCGACCGTCTATGCATCTGCATCTTTCCTTTCGGGGCCGAATTTGGCTTTGCAGCCGGCTTGGACTTTTGCTGAGCGACCGCCATTGCGACGTTCGTTCTGCCCATCAACTGCGGATTGGGGGGTTGTGTTGACATTTGTACCTCGCATGCGAATGGTGGGGGCAAGAGCGTGACCGAGCGACCAGGATATGCCGAGTCGATAATTGGCGAGGCCGGGGAGTGATTAAATTATTAATGAGTGACGGGTCAAAGCAAGTCCAGCTTGTCTTTGATATTTGGTGAGGAGGAGATGAGGTCGGAGGAGGGGCGAGAACGAGGACAGACTCACACTGATGGCCTTCAACTCTCGTAGCGTCGAAACCCTATGAGGTTGTGTCTTGGTGCATCTATATATGAGAGCTTCTGCAAATGCATCTCAAGCCATCGATTATCCAGAGAGCTATTCTTGGATACCAACTAAGATGGAAGGAACTATTCCTGCCAGCCAGATCCGGTTACTAGGACTTGCATGCACACGTGCAGCTAGTGGCTTCTGACGGGAGAAGGGCAAGGGAATCAGGCAGCTGTGTGGTGCCGTTTAAGTTGACCCAGGAGAAATGGGTGTCAGCCAGCACGAACGAGAGACACTTTCTCGAGGACCAACATCCGAGCGGAACAACGAACAATGGTTGGGTCCAAATCGGGATTCACACCCAGGCCAGAGTTATTGTGCAGGGGGGCCAAGCTCGAGGCCGCGAGACAAGTGGCCCGCGATTGGGGGAGGTCGATATCGAGGACCAGATGGTCATGGGCATTGCGAGCTATTTTCGCGAGGCGCCTCATGGAGTCATGCAAACCCATGCCCAACCGCCCCGCCCCCGAATACTCAACACCTCTGATTTGCGGCAGGGAAGCAGGCCGGCTGCAGGACGCATAGGACGATGCCCCAAAGTGGGCAGAGCCCTGCTGCATGAGAGCCTCGCTTACTCGAGTATCTCCGGCTACGTTGCAAAGTGGCTGCGTGGGATAATGGCACAATGGCATCGGCTGCCGACGGCCTCCTTCCCCGTCATGGACCCCCTGCCACGCCAAGAATAGCTGGTCCATGCTTTCTGCAGGACAGTATGCATGGCGATAGCTACCCTTGCTGCCGTCCATGAATTCGTCTTTGCTTACCTGCATATTCGTCTAAAGCTCCCACAGACGTCGAGATTGCAGCGCAGCTTCCTGGAGCCTCTTGAGATGAGAGACCAGCTCTGGGGGATCATTCGAGGGCCAGAAAGGCAAATTGGCTGGCCTCGAGGTTTGAGTCAGTCCACCCTGAGTGGCAGGCGTATGCCGCGTCTGTCAAGGACTCGTTCCCGCCCCTGAGCAAGTGACTGTCTGCCGCAACCGAAGTCGGCGGTGAGGAAGCCTCACTCGTCAGTTGTGGAACGAAGCTCCTCTGTGCCCGGGGCCCGAAGCAGCAGATCCTGCCTTCGAATCTCGAGCTCGGCGAATCGTGTAGCGCCAAAGGGCGGTCAGCTCGAGATTGGCCACGTAAATGGACCAGTGAGGCTCGTCCGAAGGGCGAGAATGATGGACAACTCGACGAGGGTTTCACGGCTGATTGAGGGTTGACCAGGGCATGGCAGCCATGATTGCTCAAGCTCCGAGCGACGTCCAGGTTGGCTGCGCAGGTGAGGTGGTACAGGCAACATCTGCGCGGTGCAACTGGACAGGACGTTGTGATAGACTACATTAGCGTCATTCGCGGGAACCAAACAGGAAGCGAGGAGCGGCAAAAGGCAAAGATGAATGATGATGCCGTTCATAGAGCAGGGGGCCCTTGCTACCAGCTTGGGCCAATTGCAACGGCTGTGCGGGTGTCTCCCGTTGCGGGGTGGTGGGCTTCCCTGCACGAACGTGCGTGCATTTGCTGCAAGCCTCCCCGGCCCCATGCATATCAGCAGCAGCGATCCCGCCCCGGCCCCCGAGATATTTAAAGCAACATAATTGCCCGAAAACGGGTCATTTGACGCCCAGCAAAGGGAACCAAATTAGCAATCAATAGCGCCTGCCTCTCACTTGGTTGTCACAATACGCGCCCAATGCAGGTCTATTTTTGCCCTTTAGCCACACCACTTTGAGGGTTAATTAGTCTCGCTCTCATCTCGCTGCAAATCCCCCACCCCGTCATGTGCTCAGTGCCTTGCCATGCAGCAGCCGTGAGCAGCCGTGAGCACTGAGTACGGAGTAGCAACCTCTCACGGCTTTCGGCAGCCTCTGTACACCCTGCCCGCTCCACCCTTATCAGAAAAGATCTGTTCTGCTATCAAATCGCCTGGGATCTGGCAGCCATGCATCGAAGGCTTTTGTGGCCTCGCACAATCGAGCTCTTCTTCATTCCGCCGCGGATGCACAGCTCGGGAGCCAGATGAACTTATCGATGTCACCATGCTTGGTGATATCGAGTGCCGGCATAATGTGTTAAATGTGCAATGTGCAATGTGCAATGTGCGATGTGCGAAAAGGAACATCGGCCGGAAAAACGAAACATGCTGTCCTCGCGGTCGTATAACTGTGTCGAGACGGTTGCTCATCAATTGTCATCACTCGACGAGAGATTTTTGAGACACGAGCTTCATTGTGCAATTCGTCGACGAGCAAGTGCATGGGCATCTAGATTGTGATCTGTCGGGGAGGTATCCCAGTCGTTCGAGAACTTTGAGGTGGCTGTTGAGCTGCGACCTCCCGCCTCTACCGCACTCCGCGTTGAGTTTCTTGCATCTTGAAGATTCTTGGATGCTCAACTGCGATTCGATGTCATGCAAATTTCAGAACAGCGTGACACCATTCTTCTCCAGGTCTCAGACTCGTCGACCATCCGGACATTCTTCGTCTCTTTGGATACAACAAGGAATCTCGCATGAGATTTCAATCATGTGAGTCTGGTGTGAGTGCTTTATCTCGATCAATTGGCCGGAGAGATTCTCAGACCTGGAGAAACCGTTATGGACTCTCTCCGGGGATCCTTCCACGGAGAGTTGTGTCGCACGAGTCCCTTCAACAGTTTCGTAACCATTCGTTGCGGTGCGCAGGATTTTGTAGCCAATACATGTCCCTTTGCGGTAATCCGCGGCCCAACTCTTGTCAGGTGGACTTCCTCCATTCAGCTCCCAAATCTCCCGGCACTGGAGCCGACGGACGTCTGACGTGAAAATTCCTGCCAGCTGCAACATTCGTAATTTGAAACTTTGTCTCCTCTGCCAACCAACAGTGAAGAGATTGAAGCAATCGCGGCCCAGCCCTTTGCAGAGATTGTACACCACACTCCACAGAACGTCGGATCATTGTGCAGGGCCCCCCAACGCCACGGGCTTGCCTTTAGCCATTTGGCTAGGGGCGGGAGCGCACATCGCGGGCACAGCGCATCTTGCATATTGCAAAAATCGATCCTGGTGGGGAATCACGATTCTGCGAACAATGGACGAACCACAGCTGCTCTCGCAGAGCGACTGCAGCAACAATGTAGGATTGCCTGTAGATCACGACACCCCATCACAGATCCAACGTCGTGATCAGTCGAGTATCGATGTACCTTGTCGTTGTAGTGTGGACTGCGGATACGGCCGGTGAGCGTTGCTCCGTCCCTGATTCGACTCGGGCCGCTCCCATCGCTGATGATCCCAATGGCAAGGCGAAAGGGGGGAGGGTTTGAGAGTGCGAGGCCCTCTGCAACACTCCATTGGCCTCGCCGTGAGGATTCGCGAGAGACATCGAGAGACATCGAGAGCCATCGAGAGCCATCGAGAGCCATCGAGAGCCATTGCTCGCTCAGGGTCTGCTCGTCCCGTTCGCACCGAGGCGGTCGTCGGCCCCAGACTGGGCCGGATTGGCAAATGGGAGTGCGAGAATGGCCTGGGCGCGTAGATGCTATTCTTGCCGCCATCCACGGTCCAATCACCAGACGAGGCGGCCAAAATCCTCAGCGTCCCCGCGCTCCCATTGGCGGGCTGCACGTCCTCGCCATCTCTCTCCATCCGGCAAAACCTGAGTGGCCCGCTGGGCTGCAAAGGCGGGGTCTCGCTGCACGAGACAGCCGAACTACCGCCATTCAACGCCATCCTCCGCCATCCACCGCCATTCCAGCCAACTGAGGAAGAAGCCGCTGGCGACTTGCTGCCACTGGGCAAGAATAGTCACACATGCAGAACACTGAAGCACAGGTCACAATGCAGCGACCTGTCCCAGCATCACCCTGCCCCCCATTGGCGCTTTGACGACAAAAGCCCACTGGCCCACGATGTCGCTGACACTGAGCCCGATACATATACTCTGCTAGGCGCCGGCATCACCAACACTTTCTCTTGATGCTTCTCCTCTTTGCCGCTCGTCAAGTTTGAACATCTGCTGCTCTTTCCTATCCCATCATCTCATACTCGTTGTTCCTTCAGTCTTATACAAGAAAGTTGACCGGCAACGGCAAAAGCTAGTCTTCTAGCACTTTTCCTCTCCCAGCGATACCCCACCACATATCGGGCAATATGGTCAGTTTTTGATACCCATGAACACAACTGTGTGCTCTTCCTGACGCTCAGCCAGCCTTCACACTCACCCAGAACACCGATCGATCCGCGGGTGGAGATGTTCCAGAGGGGACAGCCCACAGATGCGTTTTTCAACATGAAGAAACTCGCGCCAAGGCCAGTGTCTGAAGCGACAGAGATGTTCGATACAGACTTCGAGGACGATGAGAGCGAAATAGAAGATAACAACTCACCACGCCTCAGTATAAATTCAGTAAGTGCTATCACGGCTCCACTCTCCGTCTCTACTAACAGTGACCTACAGAGCGGTCAGCAAAGTGGGACAACGATATCTTCTTTTGAAGAAGTACATACACCAAGCCCAAACTCCAACGAATTCAGAGGCTTCGACTTCGGCCTCGCCGCCAAGGCTGCAGTAGAGGGACCTACAGGACCACATCTATTTCGAAGCTCTGTCGACTCTTCGATAAGCTTCCAGGAGGACCAATATACGCTGGCAATGTCTCCAATAACACCTAAACCCTCAAGTATACAAATGGCAGCCTTCGATGCGCCGCGAGTCCCAGAAATCCCAGCCCGCCACCGACATCTCAGTTCGCTGACCGATGCGGTTGAGAGCTTAAACTTGAGCGAGGTTACATTGTGGACGCCACGACAAGTTGCAAGGTGGATGTACGACGCTGGCTTTGAGCCTTCAATAGTCGAGAAGTTCGAGGAGAACGACATTTCAGGCGCAATCTTGACGACCTTGAAGTTTGAGGACCTCCGAGAGCTCGACATTCCCTCTTTTGGACAACGAACAAAGGTCTGGAATGAAATACATGTTCTCCGAGGCAGCGCGTCAAACACTCCGAAGCCAGCTACTCCAATCGAGGAAGTTGCTTCGCCATGCATAGATCTGCGAAACGAGTTCCGAAACCTTTCAAGGCATAGATCGAGATCGACAAGGCGGGATAAGTCAGTCGACTGTCCATCAGAGGAAGAACCAAGACGACGGAAGAGTTCAAGAAGACGGCACCGAAAGCACAGTTCCGATGACATCACACCACTTGAGTCTGTCTCCATTGTCGGCATCGAGCAAGTTATGCCCAAACCTCACAAGTGCGCCAAAGGAGAGAACTGCTCGAAATGGAGGAGACAGCAGCGCCTGATTGACCGCTTCAAGCAGGAGCATCCAATGAGCCAGGAGTGTGGTTCAATATGGGTCGCTGGCGATCCAGGAAATCCAATGACTGCTGAAGCTGTTGCTGAAGTCACTCGACCAATCTCCAACCGACCTGTCTCAGAGGCCGTACCATCAGTGGTGGCTTCATCCGATGTCCTCGGTCCTACAGTCCCTGCCTTCCGCCACTTGGAAGAAGCCAGCCTTCGAAATATCCAATCACGGGACCCACAGGAGAATGTCAAGCAATTCATCAAGTTCCAACACATCGACCCACAGCAAGCCGTTTGGTCTGCCGAGGAGCCACCCACTCCTCCGTACGAGATGTTCCCGGCTCTTCAAACGCCCCATGTTGGGCTGCCTGTATCACCCCACCCAGCTCAGCGTCAAAGCCAAGCTGCTCCAGCAAGCAAAACTCCAGCTAGTCAGAATCCCCACACTGGGCTACGCGGACTTCCCAAGCTCGCTATCCCAGGTCCTCCCCGTCCGGCCCCTCCTCCACGTGCTGCAAGCGCCAATACCTTTGCCCCATACCGCATGGAACGTGTTGAGGCTATGTCTCCAGAGCTCCGCAGCAATAATACTACTACCCCAACGGCCTCTGCCTTCTATCGCTTCGGAACCCCTTTCTCTGAGATGGACGTCCCAGTGACCGCTATCCCAATCGGGCCGGTCCCACGTGAGATCTCACAATCCGTACCACCGAACATGTCGTACCGCAGCGGCACCTCAGTTCCCCAACGTACTCAATCACGTGCATCGCGCCGACCCTCCTTCCCCGCCATGCCCCGCCTGGATGAGAACTCACCGATCCAAGCCAAGCCCCGTCAAACTCAGCCAGCTCAGCCGTGGTCTCCTGTCAGTCAGCCAACCGAACGCGGCCCAGACGATGTCGCCCATGCAGGCCCCATGAAGAAGCGCAAGACCAAGATGCTCCGCCACGAATGGCACGAGCACCACTTCACGCTCAAAGGCACTCGCCTCGCGATGCACAAAGATGCCCGCGCTCTCGAGACCCTCGAGTACATCGATGTCGACGACTACGCCATCGCGTGCTCATCACTCGCTTCTGGTTCCAAGCTCAACGCCGCCTTCAAAGCCATGAACATCTCTCGTGACAAGAAAGACAAGAAAGACGAGGCAGCATTCGCCTTCCAGCTGATCCCAGCCGCCATCGACAAGACTGTCAGATTTCGCAAGAGAGAAAGCGCGATGGTGGCCAATGGTCCTAGCGAAGGCAAGGATGCCGGCGCAAAGTGCAAGACACATTACTTCGCCGTCAAGAGCCGCGATGAGAGAATTGACTGGATGCGAGAGCTCATGCTCGCAAAGGCACTAAAGCAAAAGAATGAAGGCTTCGAGGTCAACGTCAACGGGAACATGATCTAAACACCACTCATTACGAGAACCATTTATATTATTATTTTCATCTATCTTTTGAGCGGGCATTTTGTATTCGATTCGGTGATGATAAGGAAACTTATGAGCAGGCGGCATTATTGGGCGTTTTTTTTTTACCAGGGCTTGGTCTTGAAAGCACTCACTTCGTTGGAAGTTGAAGAGGCTGAGACGGAATTGGCAATAGAACACTCCTTGAGGATAGGATTAGGTAATTTGAATTGAACCGATTGAATCAAACTTGAGAACAATAGCTTGAACTGTGAAACATTGTGAATGCCACTTCCATCCTCGAGAACCTGGAGAGATATGTTGGTGGAAAGAGACAACAGCAAAACAGCACTTCGCAGATAGATTCTTCAAAGAGACATTTCGTAGTCACTAGACTGGACGGAATCGAGGAAACTTCCGAATGTGTATATGCAGTAGAATTTTAGCCTCCATCTTAGTCTACGTCCCCCCATGCTTGTGTAGTCTCCATACACTATCATACACATATCTGTTTAAGCCTGAACGCCGCCTCATTGCTCCCAATATGCTATAATGCCTACCTCGTACCTCAAGTGAGATACTTTTTCTGGGGGTTGACCTCAGCATTTTTCCTCACGACTTCCCAATCAATGACATGCCACCAGCTCTCCGCAAACGCCTTCTTGCCTCCCACACCACCCGCGCCGACCCCGTAATCGGGCAGGTACACATGCTCCCACATATTGATACACAAAATCGGATTGAGATCGATTCCGCCAGGCGCCATCTTCTTCTGGCTCTGGGCGCCATGCAAGCCCACTGTATTCACCGGCTCCCAAGCATTCGTCCTCCTGATCGCCTCTGCCACCGAAGTGTCCCCAGTGTTCATATCCACTGGTTGTCTCCTATAATGCGCTCCTGGATACGGAGAGCCAGCCAAGTATGTGCACAAGATGGAGTATTTCCTGTCTCTTGATTTCACGAGCCAGACGAAGCCGGGCCCGAACATGGAGCTCGCTGTGACGATCAACTCGCGCTGTAAGGTCTCGATTGAGCCGAAGGAGTCTTCGAGGTCCTTTTTGAGCTCGGCGGACATGGGTTTCGGCTCGGGCGTGATGGTGGAGAAGAAGAAGGCGTTGTTGTGTGCCATTGAGGCGTAGTTGAATATCGGTGCTGAGTTTGGATCCCGAGCGTACTTGATCGCGATGTCCTTTGTGGTTTTGAACTCGTATTCTCCTCCTGGGTGCATGTCAGTAGAAGTCTATGATCTGCTGGAAGGAAGAGTTGGATTGGAGGTAAGTTGCTGTGACAGAGAGCCAATTCTCCAGAGTATATGCATACATATGCATGCAAATATAATACCAGCTACATACCTGCTGTAAGGCTACTGAGCTTCTCTAACATAAGACCTTGATATTGAGTCCAGGCCATATCGAAGCCCTGGGGGGAAAGAAGCCCCGGAACCCCCTCTCTGAAATCATGCATGAGCGAAGGAACACTGTGAACGGATCGCCGGAACGTCCTTAGGGAATTCCCTATTCGAAAGAGACGTGGCCGTAACATGGTTGGAAGACGTGAAGCTGTGGACTTCACGATGATATTTCGAATCGAAATCGTGATTTTTATTTGAACCTGGAAAATCAGGCTTCAAACTCTATGAGTGGCGTCCCACGTGAGCAGGCGACCTCCGCTTTCCATTGATAAGAAGTGGGAAATTCCCACGACCCGCTGCTCTCCGGACGCCTCTGTAAAAGCTACTTCAAGAAGGATGCGACTCCATGTTGAGTTGTCCTGTATGTTATTCTCACTGAATGAGGATAACATACTGAAACGACCAGCAACAAAGTACAATTGCCGTTGCAATGGAAACTGGATACAACAGAAATGTTGAAGAGTTCAGGGAAAAGGAATATCCTATGCTCGCGGGTAAGAATTACTTGTGGTGTTTGATGTTAAAGCTTACAACATTTAGATGCCGTGTATCTCGACCATGCCGGCACGACTCTGTATTCCAAATCTCTCATGGAGAGGTTCACCGCTGATATGATGGGAAACTTGTTTGGAAATCCCCATTCAGCTTCAGGGTCCTCTCAACTATCGACACACCGTATCGAAGATATTCGATTGAAAGCCTTACGATTCTTCAATGCCGATCCAGACGAGTTCGATCTCATATTCGTGGCCAATGCGACTGCTGGTATCAAATTGGTTATGGAAGCTCTGCGAGAGTGTGACGGTGGTTTTAAATATGGCTATCACAGAGCTGCACATACAAGTCTCATTGGAGTTCGGGAGAACGCAGTCTCCAGTCAGTGTCTGGTTGATCTTGATGTCGAACGTTGGCTCTCTGGCAGAGAAAGTCTCGTGGACGAGGAAACGGGTTCGAAGACTAATCTCTTCGCATTTCCGGCTCAATCGAATATGGATGGACGACGCCTGCCCCTGTCATGGGCCTCTCGGGCTCGGAAGCTTAACAACTCGACTTCCACAACATACACCTTGTTGGATGCATCAGCCTTTGTTTCAACTGCCCAATTAGATTTGGGCGACGCAAACACAGCTCCAGACTTCACTGTACTCAGCTTCTACAAGATATTCGGATTTCCTGATCTTGGCGCCCTCATTGTCCGAAAGGAATCTGGGGCAATCCTGCAGGAAAGAAGATATTTCGGCGGCGGGACAGTGGATATGGTATTGTGCGTCAAGGAACAGTGGCATGTACCAAAAGCTCAGTCTCTTCATGAAAGTCTTGAAGACGGTACTCTGCCATTCCATAATATACTGGCACTAGATGCCGCAATTGCTACCCACAAACAATTGTACGGAACCATGGACCAAATTTCGCAGCATGCTACTTTTCTTGCCCAAAGGCTTTATGATGGCTTGGCTAACCTGCGACATTCAAATTCTGAGCCAGTATGTGTGATGCACTCTCATGGCTTCAACTCCAAGCCCAGTCCTCATATGCAAGGTCCGATCGTTGCTTTCAATCTCAAGAACAGCCATGGAGCTTGGGTCAGCAACACCGAGTTCGAGAAGCTTGCAGCTGTCCGGAAGTTCCATGTCAGGAGTGGGGGACTTTGCAATCCGGGTGGCGTTGCAGCTTGTTTGAATCTCGAGCCCTGGGAAATGAGACAAAATTTCTCGTCTGGTTTCAAATGTGGCACCGAAGCAGACATTTATGGAGGCAAGATTACAGGAGTCATTAGAGCTAGCGTGGGTGCAATGAGTACAAAGAGTGATGCTGAAGCATTCATATCTTTTGTCGATGAATTCTACTGCGAGACTGTAACTTCTCCGCCAGTTTCGCCTCTCTCCGTCAGTCAAAGCCTGGGTCATCTTTTTGTCGAAAGTCTCACCATTTATCCTATCAAGAGCTGTGGGGGTTTAGAGATTCCTCCAGAGACTGGTTGGGAAGTGAGACCGGAAGGTCTTGCTTGGGATCGAGAATGGTGTTTAGTTCATTGGGGGACTGGGCAGGCATTGAGTCAGAAACGACATCCGCGAATGGCTCTACTTCGACCGATGATTGACTTTGAAGGGGGTTTGCTGCATGTGCGATATCAGGGCACCTTACCGCAGGGCCTGCCCAAAGAGATCAGTGTTCCTCTCTCGGAGAACCCAGCATTCTACAGTGGCTCCGAATCGAAGAAATCTCTCTCTTCACGTGTCTGCGGTGAAGCTGTTGTTACTCGCATGTATGGGAAGAAAGAAATCAACAAATACTTCTCAGAAATACTCGGAGTGTCTTGCGTCCTTGCTAGATTTCCCGCCGGAGGGTCCGGTTTCGGCACAAGACACTCGAAAGCCCATATGCAGAAGCACCAGAGGCCAAAGACAGATTTTGTTCCGGATGTGCCTGGAACATTCCCAGCACCCCCAACGCCGCCCGACTCAGACAGCGAAGTTCAAAAACGCCCTATTCTCTTATCGAACGAGAGCCCTATTCTGGCGATAAATAGGGCAAGCCTTGATGCGCTGAATGAGGAGATCATTCGAAGTGGCGGTAAGCCAGCATCTGCCTCCGTCTTCCGGGCAAACGTTGTTCTGGCCTCTGCCACTTCTGAGAGACAGGAACCATATTCGGAAGACCACTGGACAGGCCTTCGCATCGGACGGCAGACTTTTCAAATGCTCGGTTCATGTCGGCGATGCCATATGATCTGTGTCGATCAAGACAGTGCAGAAAAGAATGAAGAGCCGTTCGTCACATTGGCGAAAACCCGCAGGTTCGAGTCAAAGATCTTCTTTGGTTCTCATATGTGTCATATTCCATCGAAGGAATTGACGAAAGAAGGTCAATATCCAACAATTAGGGTAGGAGAAGTTGTGTTGATAGAGAGTTGATGTAAGATTACAAAATGTTATCAATAAGATACCCATTTAATGCGCTGAAATTCTGTCCATTCATTATGGTGAATTCCGTTCCGCCGGAGCATCAAGTGATCGCACACCCTTGCTAACTTGATTATTGTTGCTATTTTCTATTTGGACCCCCTTTCATTTCAAATACGTTTGATTTGAGTTGGGAGGTTGCTCCGCGGCAGTTGAGGTTCATTTTAGTACAATGTAAACATCATACCTTTCAAGGTCGAAAACGCGATTTATAGGCCCCATCCACTCTTCGGAGGGGTACTTTACCAACTGTTTCACCTTTTCCGAATCTGAACCATTAAAAAGAGCGTTCGCTTTCAGTTATCAAACCCGCATTCAAATTCTGGATTGGAAGTCAAAATGTTAGCCGGTGTGGGTATGGGTGAGTGCTGCCCGTCTGGCAAGGTCCATGATGGCAATCCAACTGGAAAGATCGAGAAAATTGATTCCCTACAGGCTTATGTCGCTGCTCCTAAAGACGGATCGGGAGCGAAGTTAATTGTTTTTCTTGTAGATAGTGTAAGTCTTCCATATCGATCAATGTACTGCAGCTGAGCCAATTTCAGTCTTCGGTTGGGAGTTTAAGAATGTTCGCCTCCCCGCCGATAAATACAGTAAAGCTAGATTTTACTGTTGTATTCTAGAGTTCACCGGGGAGACTCGCTTCCGCTTGAATTCCTCGACTCAGTGGAGCCCAATCTCAGGGATCGTTAGCGACTTACGTTGATCGACAAGACGACAGCCATTACAACTGTTGGGACGGCATTGCCGCCTTGGTTTATCAAACACCGAGAAGCTTTCACAAAACCTCTTATCGATTCATTCGTCAAAGCTGTTCGGAACATTCCAGGAACTGGAAAAGTAGACGCCCTTAGCTTTTATTAGGGTGGACGATGGGCAATCCTCGAGGCCCACGGAGAAATTGACGATGCATATGGACGATGCCGAGAAGCAAGGGATTGAGTTTTTCAACAAGTTCCCAGTAGAACTAAGCGAAAATAAATGGTGTCATTCACACCGAATTGTATTTGGTGCTAGTCTAGGCAGGTTTTTCATTGTACAGACTCAATATTTCTGTGATGGATGAACTGGATCCAAAGCTGGTCGTTTTTGTACACTGAGGTGAGTATTAAAAAGACCGCAGTTCCGGCGTCTCTGAGGACGATCATTCCCACGAAAAGTGCAACTGGGTTGCGAGGAAAGGTACGGGTTGGAGTCTTTTGCGTGGTAAATTCAGTAATTAATAATCAAATTAGTTCCTTCATTAAGAATCGTTAAGGTGATAGTCTGCAGATTGTCTTCGGTATCTGCCTTACCCGCAAGACAAGAGGGGAACTGGGAGATCGTGTAACCTTCATCCAAGGATGGGAACAAGGGATAGTTTACCCCCATGTTTTCGACACACGGTCGAATCGGAACTGGAAATGTAATCTTACACCATGCTCGAGCAGGGCAAGGATGATGGATGAGGCGTCCTGTGGTCAGCTCTCACTGTCTCATATCACGAAAATTTCGGGAGCTAGTCAGCCTCGTGCGTTGCAAGGTACGGAATAGACCGTGCCACTAAGAAAGTGTGATGTAAAGATTGACGAGCGGTCTGTTGGAGACTTTGATCTTTCTTTCCATCTTAATTTTAGAAAGTTCAGACGTATTTTTCATCATCGCGTTCAAGTCTGAGCCTCGATTGTTCAGCATGCATTTGGTCACATTCCCACTCATATCGCTGCTCTTCAGTCTCGCGAGCTCATTTTCAATTCCCAACTTTATTCAGGAACATCTTTTGAGCGCCAGAAGCGAATCCTCTCCAAATCCAATTGCCACACAATATCCAAACAATGTTACTGGCACGATCAATGGGACAATTGCCGTTGTACCTATTCCTTACAAGCTGGCCAGGAGCATCATTCCAGCTCAATATAATATTTTGAGAAAGGCGTATGAGTGTCAATTGTTTGGGTTCCCCCGTGATAGCTACCCGGTAATGATACTTCTTTCACGCTACTTACTGATAAGTTCAGGATCTGACTTAATTTACAGCTTATTGTTCGAGCCGGTTTTGATCATGGCGTCGGATTGTTTTCTTTAGGCCTCTCTGTGCCCGATTTTCAGGTATATCAATGCCCCAATTAGTGAATTATCAACGCTGACACGAAGGTTATAGAAATTAATGATATTTTATCCCTTCGTGGATTTACTTGGAGACGGATACTCGAGTTTTGCGTATGAAAAATATATTCTGATCTCAAGTGACAATCTCGTTGCACTGGGAGGGGCCGCATCGTATGGCCAAATACCTGTGCCAACCAACTTCACCCCTTCACTTGATGCTTACGCATTCAAGAGTGCTGATATGGTGGATAAAGGATCCCAGGAAATATTCTTGGATGCCTACACCGATTTGAGCAGTATTCATCCAGTTGTCACGACAAAGTTCAAGCCAACTCGGGGCATCGCCCCATGGCCTCTTGATTTGCAAGTCCTCTCCATGCCTGGATATCTTAAGGAGATTCCAAACTAATAAAAGACAGCTACGTTAATATAACAAATCAACCGAGTTTCACAGACGGTCTATCGTGTGATAATCAGCTCAATCTTTTCAACACCACCCTGTCCACCGGGAAGAATGCTCCTGTTGCGGTGAGAGGAGAGATCATGGTGAAAGCACCTTATATCCCAACCGATAGTACATTCAGAGACCTCCACGGTATCAAAGTCGATATCGCATTCATCGAGAACAATCAGGTTCCGTGCTCGCAATTGAAGGGGTAAGTCCCATCTTCTTGGACTGTAAATCCCTCTCGTAGCAATGTCCAATATCTCTTAGGACATTCTACTACAGTTAACACCTGAGAGAAGTACGCTGATTCCGATTCCTTGGGAATAGGTATAGCGGAACGGGATCTGGGGATTGATATTCGTCACCTGAGTTGAGGTCCTCCGAGCGGACTCTAATGTCCAAGAGTCAAGACCATAGCCCTATCATGTACTGTACATGCCTCCCCGAACTCGGCTACAGTAAAATAATAAAAAATTCAATAGATTTCCAATTTCCAAAATGTTGAAAAACTAAGAAGAACAGTTCGGAGAGACGTCCAGTCGATTAAAAGGACCTCTCTAATACTTGATTGAGGACAACCCCTATCACCTTTCCCCTAAAAAGGGAGATTGCCACCTCGCTAAAGCGAGTCAACAACGGCTTTAACTTACACGTCGTGTCGCTTGCTGATATCAGGAAAAGCCTTATTTAATACGACCTCCTCTGAAAGCAGGCGAGCTCAGCCGGTCCTATTAGCGAGCAAAAAGGGACAAAGCGACGCGGGGGGAGGAGGGGGCATTGTGGCTTTGGTCTCGGTTGTGAGATTTGTGGTCAATTGACATGGCATTTAGTTTCTGTATAGAGCTCTCCTCTCCGTCTAGTTCGACGATTTCGTATCCCCTCCATATTGCACCCTCCGAATCATGGATCGATTACAGTCAGCAATATTTGCAATCCCAGCAAGTCCCATCGATTGATCAAGGTCAGCTAAGATACCCTGCAAGACCTGCTTTGCTCCTTGCTAAAACTAAAGTTAGCCTTTGTTTCATTCAATGGTAAGACTACACATCAAACTTACCTTTCCGCCAATTGCCAACCCGTAAATGGCCGGTCTTCCAATCAACACTGCTTTGGCTCCAAGAGACAGTGCTTTGATAATGTCAACTCCAGTCCGGATCCCACTGTCAAATAGCACAGTCAATTTATCACCGACCGCATCCACGATCTCAGGAAGCATCTCCAGGCTCCCCACCGCCCCATCTAATTGTCTTCCCCCATGATTACTACATATAATGCCATCAACACCAGCCTCAACAGCCAACTTCGCATCCTCAGGATGCTGTATCCCTTTCAGCACAATCGGCCCCTCCCAATTCTTCTTCAACAGTGCAATCTGCTCCCAAGAATGCGCCGCGCCGGAAAAGATATTGCCGACCCACTCGTTGGAGGCTTGAAGCACCCTCTCTTCTGGCGTGGTATTGAATTTCTCCCGAAATTTTTGGCGGAATACGGGGTCTGTGAAGCCCGTTGCGTTACCAATACCTTTCGCGAAGGGGACGTAGCCGCCATCTAGATCGGCGGGTCGCCAGGCTAGGGCCCAGGTGTCTAGTGTTACGACTAGGACTTTATATCCGCTTGCTTGGGCCCGCTTTAGGAGGGAGATGGTGATATCATCAGATTGTGGCCAGTATAGTTGGAACCATCGTGGTCCGTTGCCGTTTGACTTTGCCACTTCTTCGATGCTGGAGCTGGATGCTGTGCTGAGGATATAGGGGACACCGATTTCTGAGCATACTTCTGAGAGGCCTGTTTCCTTGTCCTCGTGGAAGATTTGCTGCACCCCAACGGGTGCCATTAGGACGGGGCTGTCTGAGATTAATGATTAGGTACAGGCTCCTGAAATTTGATATTGGGGGGAGACTACCGTATTTCTCGCCGAACAAGGTCACACAGAGATCCCGATGTGTCGTTGGCCGCAGCATTCTGGGAACCATCTTCCATTGCCGAAATGCCAGTCGATTTGCATCCATGGTTGCCCTCTCACCCGCTCCTCCAGCTACATAATTGAATGCCGTCGGCTTCAGTATGCTCTTTGCTTGATCCTCCAGATTGTTCGGGTTGGTGGTGACGATTGGGAGCTGTTGCTCGAACATGCCCTCTACGGATTAAATTAGCATCCAAAGAAATGATTGAAGCTTTGTGTGAGGCTGCTCACTTCGATATATCTCGTTCTGAAAAGCTCCATATTGCCGATGCTGCTCAGTGCCATGAACGGACTGGGGCTGCTGTTTATTCATGGATGAAGACGTTCCTGATGCAAGAACAGGTTTTCGTAAAGGGGATATTTCAGTCAAAGTGGGAAGTGATGAAAGGAAGGAGCGAGGAATATGGTCTGAAGAGAAGCGGAACCATTCCTTCCTGTGCTCATAGAGTCATAGAGAACGAGCCGAGGTACGTCATATTTGCCAATTTCATCGGGATCACGTGCAATATTCTCTTATTAACTTCATTGCTTGACAGTTAGCTTGAAGGTAGATCTGCTCTGTGTGCTAATATATACTTCCAGGTGTTTATAAAATTAGGGTTGTGAAGTGAAGTGTGTCGGACTCGACCTGACAATCGGTCACCTCGGAATCACCGCAAGCTTCTCAAAATTTATCTTACATATATGGGATTCTAGATCTCCGATAAATCTGGACTATCTGAATTGGTCAGTTCCAAGAATCTAAGGAAGACTTTGGTCACTAAGATAGGACTTAATTTGCGGCTTTTCGACAAAAAGTCGTGGCCGAGCAGAGGCGGGGTAGCTCGGCCTTCCACCAAGCATTAAACTGTAATTCTATAGGAGCGATCATCGATATAGACTTCATATTAAGCATGCGGTCTGCTGAACATGTTATTAGGTAGTCCTAATCTGAGACTTATTCTCAGAACTCACGTTATCTAAGAAGATGAAAGCGAAACGATGTGTTTGTAGAAGGACACAGGGGTATTGCATTGTATGTCTACCCCGCAAAGACCCCACCTCGCACCCACCAGCTACAGCAGCCCCTCGCTCAAGAAACCAGCAACACCTCGGCGCTCGTAAGAATGGGTCAATTGGATCTCACTTTAGACTGGTGCGGAAGGAGTGCGAGAGATGGCGAGCGGAGCTGTGCCCACATTCATATCGAGAAGATGTATATGTACCTGGCCGCCCCCGGATTTCTGCTTTATTGAACGCCTAATTCTATTGTGAGCTATTTTTCAAGCAAACCAAATCACCAACTTGAATCGCAAACATGGCAGCCGAAGCTACACAAAAGACTTTTGATATTCCAAAGACGTACAAGGCAGCCGTTTATGACAAGCCTGGAACAATATCCACGAGAATTGTGGAGCTCAATACGCCAGACCCAGGACCAGGAGATGTGCTTGTTCGACTCACGCACTCTGGAGTATGTCATTCCGACATGGGAGTCATGGAGAACTCATGGCGTGGGCGTAAGTTCGAGTCATTGCCTCATGTTCGATCCTGACAGATTGGTCAGTACCCTATCCCACGCAACCCGGACAAATTGGCGGCCACGAGGGGGTGGGAGTAGTCCATAAGCTTGGTCCCGGTTCCGATCGAGTAAAAGTCGGCGATCGTGTTGGCATCAAGGTGAGTAGTCCGGCGAAGAACATCAGGCGGCAATGAAAGCTGAGATCTAGGCAGTGGATTGCCTATGCTTGTGGAGCGTGCCCTCCATGCCTTGAGGGCAGAGATGGTGTCTGCTTTGTAAGTGAGTTGATCCGTTGCAACCTACCGGCCTGACCGATTTATCGTGCAGAATCAAAAAATTTCAGGCTACTATCGTATGTTAACCCCCTACCCGGAATCCTCAACCATTGGCGAGAGACTCATTCTGACCGACCCACAGATCCGGGCACATTTCAAGTAAGTTACATTTTGTGGCGCGGATTCGATCGATCCCAAGGCCATTGGCCCGTCCATACTAACCTTCATAGCAATATGCTCTAGCACCTGCCAACTATGTGACTCCTATCCCTGATTCTCTTAGCTCAGAAGACGCTGCTCCAATGCTTTGTGCCGGCGTGACAAGTGAGTTCAAAAATTTTCACAGCCTCAAAAGGTCGCATAAATGGCCGCACTGGCGAGGCTCACACCTTGGCTTTATTTTTAGCATATTCAGCCTTGCGCAAATCCGATGCGAAGAGCGGCCAGTGGGCCGTTATAGGTATGTTGTATTCCATTGCATTCGAAAGAAATCGCACATATTGACATGTGAATAGTTGGGGCTGGCGGAGGTCTTGTAAGATGACCCCCTTTTCCGGCTGTTCGGATTACTCGCTAATTCGAAAAGGGTCATCTTGCCACTCAAATCGGGAGCAGAGGTATGGCCATGAGAATCATCGGGATCGACCATGGTAGTAAGGAGAGCCTGGTCAAGGAATGTGGTGCAGAAGTTTTCCTCGATATCACCAAATTTGATGACAAAACACTCGCTGAGGAGGTGAAGAAAGTTACCGGCGGTAAGGAATAATTCACTCAAAGAAAACAGTGAAACAAAACCGAAGTATTAACGTCCTCCAGGTCTAGGTGCATCAGCCGTGATCGTCTGCACAGCATCGAACAATGCATACGCCCAGGCTCTCGACTTCCTCAGGTTTGGAGGGACATTGGTATGTGTGGGAATGCCGGAGGGCGACATGGTCCCAATTGCAAAAGCTTTCCCAGCTATGATGGTTGCAATGGAACACAACATCAAGGGGAGTGCGGTAGGCAATCAGAGAGAGGCAATAGAGGTCCTCGAGATGGCCGCCCGTGGAGTCGTCAAGACTCGTCTGAGAATTGAGAAGATGGAAAAACTCACTGAGGTCTTTCAGGAGATGTCAGAAGGAAAGATGCAGGGGAGAGTGGTCCTTGACCTCCAATGAGTTTCAATTAGGCATCCCATTGTACTAGGCATCCATCGAACTTTGATCAGTCCAATGCAGACAGAAAGTCAATGTAAAAAGGGGGTTGGACGCGATGTCCCAGTACTGTATGGTAGATTAAACGAGGACTTTAGGGCTGAAGTGGCAAATGAGTGCAATATGAGCATATTGGTCGCTCTCTCAAACAAAGCCTCGTAGCCTTTGATGGCTTCTAGAAGCTCTTCAAGGAGGGGAAGCCCCGGAGTGGAACCCAATGACTTCGGTGGGGCCGTAAGCTGAAAGTTTTCCCCGGACGAACCGTTTCTGGGCTCCTTTTGCGGTGCGGCCGAGTTACCAACGTCCAGTGTCCAGCCTGGACTCCGGACAATGAGTTCATGACTCTGACTTATTGCCATGCATAATATGCAAAGGGGTCCACAAAGACGGAAGCTTATGAACCGTGGTGGGGTTGCTGCGCCACAGCCTTTTGTTGGTTTGTCCAAAAGCCATCCTTGCTGCAGCCGAAGCTCGTCACTTGACGCAAGGTCCACCCGGCACGATCCACGGCAGGCAATTAGGAGAAGACGATGTTGGGACAGTTGGGAACGGCAAGAACCTGCTTGCATTGCATGATGATGCTGCGTGTGACTGAGGGCCGTCGTCGTCTGGCGGGATTCCACCTGCATCTCCCTCCCAGGGAAGCAACGACCACAAGGGCCAATCCGTCCTGATTCCGCTATCTCAGATAGATGAGATGGACACTCAATAGGGGGTTTGGAGCAGAGAGAATGCCCAGCCAACGGGGTAAAGTATATTGCACCGAGTGGTGTTGGCACATTGGCAGGTTAGCAAGAGAGGGCACAGGGACAGAGGCAAACTCAGCTCCAAAATTGGGAGTCAGCCTCGGGGCCCGTGCCTGGCCTCGCATTGGGCAATCTCTCGAGGCTGCTCGACGCGAGGCGGCACATCCTTGTTCTCTATCTCTTTCCCAACATCACCCCTCCATGGCGAGGTGCAGCACGATGGGCAAATCTGGCATCGAGCCAGATTTCCAACATTGCTATATCACAGCGCACTCGCCCACACTCCCAGCCGGCCGTTTCGAAGGCCCGGCCGCGGTCGACGAGACCTCTTTTCCTAGTAGTATGGACAGGGCCCAGCATCCCTCGTCAACGGCGCCTAACAGACGCTTGAAGACTCTGACGTCGAGGGATTCATTACAGGCAGAAGAACGGCCGCCCTCGATATTCAAGTATATAAGAGCCAACTGTGCCGCTATGGATTCTCCAAGCCCATTGCCAACCCAATACATCCTGTGTCCTTATGTCTCCACCGATTTCCAGCTTCAGCAAGCTCTCTATTACACAGGGGATGCAATCACCTCGGAGCCACAGACGCGGTCACTACGGCGGAAAGGGCAAAGGCAAAGCCCCAGCCAGGGACGACGATCCTTCGAGCTCGGATGCAAGCGATGACGATAACTCTGAGGAGGAGCCCGAGGAAGGTCACGAAGAAGGCACTGATGTCTCTTGGAGTGGACGTCTCTTTGCTCTTGACCATTGCCGACAGCATGGAACACGCTATGCCTTCCAAATATCATATGCAGAGGTACGAAGATACAGCATCCGAATCAGTACGACGGACGCTGGGAGTCCAACATGCTCTTGCAACGAGGAGCCAACCTGCCGCCATGTTACATGGCTACTCGAACAGCTGTCCCGGACACGCGCGGACATTGGCGACGGATCACCTGTGACTCCGTATGAGCAAATTTTCAGTATGGGTCTCGACACTCTCTGCGACGAGCTTCATTGGGAGCTCAGGGAAGGAACCGATTCGGATACGGAAGAGACCACTTGGCAACTCAAGAAAGACTACTCAGCCTCGGCAATTCCAAGGCAAACAAGAGGAATGATCAAAGAACGGATGAAGACGGTTCGCGACATAATGGCCACGTTATCTTCTTACGCTACAGACGACTTTCGACCCGATATATTCGATGCGCCTGACGAGATTTCAATGGATGACCCCTTTACTCTTGGAGATTTGGAGGCCACTCTGGCAAGGATTTTAATCAAGGACGACGACATCTTCCATCAGTTCAATGCTCTTGTACCCCGCAATGCTCGTGCTACGGACTACTTTCGCAAGATGGGCCTGAAAGCTCAACACACATTTGTCCGTCTAGACACTTATTCGGAGTTCGGTCCTGCTGCTGCTGGTCAGCAATACGACATCGTCTGGTGCGCTCAGGAATTGGTTGACATTGCCAATGCCATCAGTGAAAATGTTACCGAAAGACAACCTCTCAGTCCATCATCTCGAGAGGAGGCTGCCAAGTCACTCGTCTCCATTCTTAGAATTGTCGTAAAGGATCGCAACCACGATGCTTATCAGAACTCACAATGGCCAAGACGTCGACCACACGCGGAGCCGCAGATCGAGCGCAACCTTTATGAACGGCTCATCGCTACCCAATCTCGAGCGAATCCTGCAGGCGGGAACTTCGTCTTAAAAGCACTCCTAGACTTACCAGAAGCTCAACCATTTGTTGATGACTTGGAAGAGATTCTTCGTGTATTGAAGACAATCGGATGGGGTCCGGCGCCCAAAGCCTACACGGACAAGTTGAGTGAAATTATCGCTCAGCTTAAACGTGGATCTGGGCCAAGTACCTCTCTTAGCGCAGCAGAAACCGGGAGGGAACCTGCGAGCTCAATGGAGGTACTCGCCGCCGCACAACATGGGAAGAGGCCTGCGAGCTCAATGGAAAGAAAAGCCAAGCGTATGAAGTAGGAGAGCGCTTGGGGAGGATGTTCCCCGCTGTTTCTGATGTATTCGCCTTTGGGGAGGATTATTGGGCATTTCTGTTTTTGATCCAGTTCATTTCACACCTGCTACGTTTTTACCATCCCTCTCAATATCTGAACGTTCCTTTGGCAACATCTATAGAAGCAGCATGGAAACTCTTAGAATGGGAGCCTCTCCGCTTGACAATTTTATGTTCCTCTTAGGGCTTTGAATATACTTTTTTCTTCCCAGCTTCAACGGTTGGCGTCAATGTTCCTCGATTGTATTGTAAAATTATAACTTTCCATTCTCAATATTTCTATCACCCCGTAAAAGCGCTTTCACCTTGTTATAGTCAACCACCCTTTCGCCATTCCGCGTGGTTAATTTCCAGAAAACAAAATGTCTGCAGACTTCTCTTTTCGCTTAAACCATCTTAATTCCAGACTTTCTTTCGTTTTCAATTGCTTCCTGGTTGATAATTATGACCGGCTTTCCCTGCATCTTTCCGGAGTGGGCGAGCTCAATTGCCTTTGGCACTTCTTGAATACCATTGAATGCGTTGGTCTTGACCTTGATATTATGTCTGGAAACAACATCGAGCATTTTGAGACACTCTCCTCTCGAACCTATCTCCATCAATATCTACACCTGGGACAGAACATAATTATACTCACTGGTAAGACTACCATGGATTCTTATATCGCGAAAGACCAGCTCCTGGAACGGGACACTAATGTTTGTTGGTTGAGCTATCTGCACAAGAACCCCTAATCATATAAGCATCATTTGTATGACGAATTGTTTTGAACAGATAAAAGCCTACCATGCATCTTAGTAACAGCAGCTCCAGTGGCCGCTGCTGATTCATGGTCACTGACATTCAATGTTGCATCCGCACCCTGCCCTCCTGTCACTTTCTTGACCTCTTCAACGACCTTTTCCTTGCCCGATCTAGCATCGACCAAAGTATCAGCACCGCATTCCCGGGAAAGAGAAAGCGCTTCCTCTCGAGCATCGATTGCAATGACATTTAGACCGAGAGCCTTGGCGAACTGGACTCCGAGATGCCCAAGTCCGCCACCGCCGCCAACAATGGCGACACTTTCTCCAGCTTTCAGACCTGCTCTGACCAAACCACCCCAGACAGTTATTCCAGCGCAAGCAAGTGGTGCAGCTGTCTCAAAGCTTACATTATCCGGCAACAGACAGCATTCTCTTCCATCCACTACCTCGTACTCCGCAAATGACCCATCTCGGTTGACTCCCAGGTACCCTCCGACATTTGGACAATATTGCCTGCCGACCTCAGGGCCGGTGCAATCAGCGCACACACCACATCGATGATAAGTCAGGGAACAAAGGACTCTGTCGCCAACTTCGAACTCCTTGATAGCGGATCCAACTTTGACTACGGTTCCTGATCCTTCGTGGGAGGCAATACAGGGCAGAGGTGTGCCCATGATGCCCTCAGTCACCATTCCGTCTGTATGGCATAGAGAAGCAACAGCTACTTTGACAAGCATATCATACTCGTTCAGATCTTTCCCGGGAGTTGGCACTTTGTGGATCTTGTAAGGTTTTTTGAACTATTTTTTTTATCAACTCATGGTACAATGTGGAGATGGCGGGGAAGCAGAGGAGTAAGTACCTCGACCACTTGGGCAGCAAGCATTTGGTCCGGGATTTTAGCCATTGTTGTTGTATTTTACACTAAGCCGTTACTCGATTATATCAATTGATGATTGAAACTATGGAAATATAAAGTAGTGACTTTATAAGTCGATGACATTCATCATGCGGGGTCGCCTTCCGCGAATAAGTGTCGGGGATTACTGTAAGCTTCGGCGATAAGAAATTAATTTGACGTCCGCTCCCGGCCATCTCAACCAAACTCCGAAATCTCGGTTTCATCCAATCTCACCGGAATCGGATTCCACATCTCTAGTTCGGCCCTGTGTCTGGATTGTCCGAGGTTCGCTCCAGAGATTCAGGAAGCAGACAAACCCTACGCTTCAGTCCCTGCGGTAGCTTCCTGGACCCCTTTCCACGTGCCGCTCCACATGAGATAGCAAGGCATTCATCACGTACTGGTGGAAGACAAGCCTCGGGGAATGAAGATGGGTGCTGTTATGGAGAAGGGCTCTTGGAGCTACTCATACGAGGGCTTGGGAAGTGGGGAAGATGAAGACGAGAAGTCCACGTGGCATCGGACCTCCAAGTTCAACCAGAGCTTGAGGAACTCGTTGCTATTTTTAGGAATCTGCGTAGTCTTTTTCTGTACATCCATGATGCTATCGAACAGCCTACTCGGGATCAGTACCCTTGGGAGTGCTAACGCTTCAAAAAAGTCTGGTGATTGTTCGTCAAGTTCTACGACGGTGCCACAGTATTTCCAGACGAGGTAAGCCTGTTTCCATGGTGTTCTGCTATCTTTTTGCTTGAGAGCTGAGAGACTGGGAGCATCTCTGGAGCTTGGCCCCTCAAGCTCTGAGCTTTCTCTCTCAAAAGTTAGATAAATAACAGACTAATTCGATGGCTTAGCCCCGAGCTGTGGGCTGGTCCTACGGCTACGGGAAGAGCACCCTTCCTTGCCCAAACCAATCCAGTGTCGTTCGCTCCGACAGTCACGTTCGTCCCAAATACTCCTCTCGAGACCGCAGTACCGATTGTTGGTCAGAGTCCGAACCAAAGTATCTTTCAGCTCATGGGCCAACTATCTCCTTACTTCCCGAACCCATCTGGATTTGGAGTGGCTGAGTATCCTCTTCCTCCAGGAGCGAATATCACTCATGTTCAGGTAAGTGGATCTTGGCGTGGAGAGTGAAGGTTGCTGATTGTATGTAGATGCTTTCAAGACATGGATCTAGATATCCTACCACTGGAGCCAATGTCTATGCTCTTGGAGAAAAGATTGCCAATAGCACTGGAAAGTTCCGGGCTACAGGTCTGCTATCCTTCCTCAATGACTGGGCATATGAACTCGGCGCGGAGATCCTTGTGCCCAAAGGTCGCCAGGAGCTTTTTGATAGCGGAGTGTTGCATTATTAGTAAGTTTCCCATATGCTTCATGCACCGAACCTTACCGTTTGGTTTAAAACGAGACCGTGATATGATTTCAATGTACAAATCTATTTCGGACGTTGAAGCTAACATTTATAGTCAATACGCCCAGCTGTATAACCCCCACAGCAAGATCATTGCCCGTACAACAACCCAAGACCGCATGTTGAAGGTAAGTCCCTGGTTTTCTCTCCTCAAGGGCGGCCATTTAACCCAAAAACCAGTCGGCAGAGTACTTCCTGGCAGGATTCTTCGGGTTGGAGTGGACCAACAACGCAACAATCGAAGTCATCATCGAGGCCAACGGGTTCAACAACTCTCTTGCTGGCTATGATAATTGCAATAACTCCAACAGGTAAGCTTATTTCCATACCGTGTTGCTATTTTTGCTTGAGAGCTCGGAGCTTCTCGGGAACCGCCGACATTTTGTCTTGAGAGCATAGCTCATGCTCCCCCTTGAATATCAGGAATTTCCCATACTAATTCGATGATCAAGCTTCCGCAACGCAGGCGGCGTCAACGCGATGAACGAATGGGTAGAGATCTATCTCCAGAACGCAACTACACGCTTCCAGTCCATGATCCACGGCGTCAACTGGACGGTCGCAGACACCTATGCCGCACAAACCATGTGTCCCTACGAGACCGTAAGCCACTCTTCTCCCTCTCGCTCACCTTCCTAACGACAACAGGTCGCCTACGGCTACTCGGCCTTCTGCAACCTCTTCACCTACGAAGAATGGCAAAACTTCGAATACAGCCTCGACCTCTATTTCGCCGGCAGTTCCTCCTTCCAATCCCCCACTGGAAGAGCAGTCGGCGTCGGCTACGTGCAAGAAATGCTCGCCCGTCTGAACAACCATACCCTGGGCTACTCTGGCAGCCAAATCAATACCACGCTCGACAATAACACTGTCACTTTCCCCTTGAACCAATCTTTATACTTTGACTTCTCGCACGATACGAATATCATGAGTATCCTTACGGCTTTTGGATTTAGGCAATTCAATGAGTTGTTACCGAGTACAAAGCACCCAGGTCCCCACAATCTCACCGTGTCCCATCTAGAACCCTTTGCTGCGCGCTTGGACATCGAAATCATCGAAACACCATCACCATTGTCCGAAGATAGAACATATGCGGAGGGACAGAAGACGAGCTATATCCATTTCATCCTGAATCAACGGACGATTCCGCTGGGTGTCAGCTTTCCGGAATGTGGGGGGAGATTGGATGGCTGGTGTGAGCTAGGCACGTTCTTGAAAGTGCAGGAGAATGCAGAGGCGCTGGCGAGGTATGATTATGCCTGCAATGGGGACTATGCTGCAGTGCCTTATGGGAATGTCACCGATGGCGCCCCAAATAATTAGTGTTTGTGGAAAGCTTATGAGAGGTCTCATCAGGGATAATTCGTTGTAAAACATTTAATACACAATCACTTGAACCCTGCCACAATCCGCCCTTTTGCCCCTTTTCGCTTGTTTGTCAAGCCCCTTGGGCTCGCTTATTTTCACGGGAAATCTCCGCAGTACTTTGGTAAAAATCAGATGATAGTAGGATAACGTCCAATCATTTAAACAAGCAGAAACGATCCTCCAATCCAACCTCAATAGCCCGTATTTCAGACCACACCCTCGCTTCTTTCTGCCGCCATGTTGCGAGCAAGATGATTCTTACGACTCCGCCGAACGAAAAACAGAATATGTCGAACATGTAATTTGATATCCCTGAATTCCATTTATCAGAAGACTGGAGTGTGATAGATAGCTGACTCGATCGCCATGTCGACAGATGCTCGTGGAAACGCAGGGCCGGTACCAAGGCAGATGGAGCTCCTAGCCAAGTTTTCCAGAAGTGATGATCGGCAGAGAGACACAGTTCGACTTTGGACCGACAATGTTTTGGGTCTTGTTGAGATGTTTCGTCCAGGTTCGCTTGACATTCTTTCGGGGTCCGACAACAAAGTGTCGAAGTCAAACAAATCGAGATTGTTGGTTGAAGCGTTGGAGCTTGGGTTATTGGCGCCATTGCCGAGAAAGGGGGGAGTTTGAAACTCTGTTGGCGAGCTGTTTGATGTGAAATAGGAGTCCATCGGTATGACTTCTAGCATCCCAAACATCTGTTGCTCTGCTGGCCCAAGTATCGGATTGAGATATTGATCATTTGCAGGGGGGTCGATTTGTGGTCGAACCTCATCGAAGTCCAACAGATAGCTCCCGGTTCCTTCAGCTTCGCTCAAGCCCTGAACCTGGAGTTGCACAATATCCTGGCTCAGATGGACTGCCCCCTTACTCTTGAGGTACTCCTCAACATCCAAAGCATTCATGAAAGCAAGCTGCGGACTTTTATTCCGAGATTCAACCAGCGCTTGTGCGTCAACAAAGGGGCTGAGAACCTTTGCTTCGTTGCTGGACGCAATGGCATTGAAGGATTGCGCTGATAAGGTATGATCAAACCCGAAATTTGCTCGGGAAAGCGATTGCATGGCAAGAAATCCAGGCCCGAGGAACCAACGCAGATTGAACAGGATTTCCTCCATGCTGTGGTATAGCAAAGCATATCGACACATCCTGATGATAAAAGACGTTGGATCATCGTGGTAGTCGACGAGGGAATTGTACGCCATATTCAAAGTTGTTTCAATCAACTTGAAAGCAAAGTCGCCTTTAGGATCGCTTGGACTTGCGCCTCTAAGCGAAAGGTGTGATAAAAAAGGTTTTAGACTAAACCAACCATTACCAAAAATATGACTCTCAGGTAACAGACCGCCTGATGCCGCGAGATTCGAGGCCGAGATATCAGATCCTGAGGATTCAGGTAAAATAGATGGTGATCGTTCCCTAGCAGCTGAAACCAGTTCTTCTCGCGATGGACGCATGTCATTCTCTTCCCCCCCATCTTTGGGGGTTTCCCTGAGCTCTTGAGTTGCAGCCTTAGCAAGACGGGTAATACTCGAGGTTGTCGTTAGTAAATTCTGTAGGATTTCCGGACTTCGTCGTATTGCTTCTGCCTTCAGCATCAATTCCGTGAAATTTATGAAGGCGTTGCTGATGTCTTCGAGACTCTCCTCAAGAAAGAGGATCCTTTGCTCCAATGCCTTCCTTGCTGCCTCCCTCCGATTTCGATATGATTCTTGCGCCCTCCGAACTTGTAGTCTTCGCTCCTGATGATTGATTGTCAGTTGTAGCCAGAAATTTTACCCACTTCGAAGCCGAAGTCATGTCCTTGAGACTAAACTTCGTCTCTAATCGACGTCATTTGACCCTCTCCTCCGGGCACTCACGTGACGTCTAATGTTGAAGAGTGAGGAGTAGTGATGGTACAGAAAGAAGATCTGAACATACTTCTGATACGCTTGAACTGCCCAGATCCTTCACTGGGCGACCTCTCTTCTTTCTGTTCGGCGAATTGGATCTTTTGTCCCCTCCTGTGCAGGCTTTGGTCAGACTTATCGAATATCAAAGGGGCAGAGAAAATACCCATGTTTGTTCCGAACAACAACGTACAGCTACTCAATAGATTGGGGAATCGGATGCTATTCCGGATTTGTTGCTTTTTGAAGACGAATTGAGGACATTTGAAACAGAAGAACAAGGCTGCTGAGAAATCGTCTCATTTGTCAGCGAAAAGGGAATCACGTGGCTGCTGATTGCATGGGGTGAGGCAGGACTTTATTTTGCTTAAGTTTCAGTACGAATGTCGTCCTCGAGATGAGCTTGACAGCGACGAATATCGCTAAGGATGTATTGGCGTTTGGGGACGAGGCCTGATACTAGGTAGTCGCCATCCAGTGGTTGCTGGTCGAATTAGCGATCAAGCCTGGATTGTTGAAATTTGGGACTTACAACATGATGATATCGAGGTAATCCGAGTCCTTTGGGGAATCCTCGTTTTTGTTTGACGAGAGATCTACCACCTGCAGCTCGGGGAGAGAGTAGTCTTGTTGAAACACCCGTTCGAACGCCTGCGGGAGTGTCGCCAATTCGACCTTTATCCAGTCAGAAATGAAGGATGCACACCTTGCTCTAAGAGTGCCTGGCGTGATACTTCGGACGTGATATGTATCACGAAAGGGCCTGTCCAGCAGTGCAGTAGAACTATTGTGGATTCCAATTGTCAATTGCCGAAATTCGGAATTGTGAAAAATAACGTTTGATATCCACAAGACACGGCAGTCCTCATCGCCCAGAGCATCAAGCCAGAGCTCCCAATCCAACCCAATATGTCGCACTCCATCCATAGCATCGAAGAACCTGAACCTCGCAGTGTGATCTTCGGGCTGGTGAACCTCCTCATCGGCTGTAGCCAAGTACCAAAAGTCCTCGATTTCGGTGCCCCTACCGCCAAAGTAAAAGGTGTCGTGTGCTTTGTTGACATAAATATAGGTTCCATCTCTCCGAAAACCGTATGAGCTTGTACAAGGCCATAGTGTGTATGATTTCATCGACAAAGACCTTGAGGCTGGGCAAGCGTGCAGTAGGCTTGGAACGATCCGAAGCTTTGACTTCTTCCTGGCCATGATTCTAAATGGGGCATCTTCGGGGCCCTCAAAGAACGAGTCGGGGGCAATGGGGAGTATGCGTGTCTCCGCTTGTTGGGCCTGGCTTGCAAAGGACCTGTTGCTAATTAGTATGATTTTATGTCATGGGTAACGGCTTAAACAGGTCTGGATCAAGTGAAAGCGGCTACAGCTTACTTACCATATTTCGTGCTGTATCTCAAACGGTAATTTAGGAAAGAGAGTGAACTTTGCAGTCTTCCTTTTCACACGCAGCCCCCGGGCAGGTTGCAGTAGTCCAGTCGCGATGTCAGATTTCTGTTGCGCAGCAATGCGACCCGAGCGTCTTGGGGACGACATCTTGGAGTGATATGTCTCGTGTATTTACGTGGAGTCCAGCTTGGTACTTGCAGCAGTATCCCAGATGAGAGAAGTAGGGGGAGAAAGGTTCATCAATTCGCGATTTGTGTTGTTCCCGTAGCGCCTCATCACGTGAGACTGAAGCAAAACCTGGTCAGGGTCATTTCACCTTATTAATGGCCTTTATACCGGCAAGTCGTCACAGTATGCACCCATGTATGATGAGGTCGATTGTGTACTTTTGTATATTCATTTCTTCTCAAAATGAGAAGTATGCTATTTATCTAGCTTTTCGTACCTGGTCAATCTCGACGGTGCTGCTTTTGCGCTTATTTATATGTCCGTAGACAAACCTTCATCTGAGAGGTAAAGGTGATATGCTCGCCCTTTTCATCCATAACCGGAACGCCACCTAATGCAGTAATGCTCGCTCTTCTGCTCTTCTCTGTGGTATCTCAACACTCAACGCTTAAGTCCACTTAAAGATCTTGCTCTCATCGAAAGCCCGACTGTGATCATAAATATCCTTCGCTTTCAGGTCCATATAGTCACCAAGCCACACCTTTCCACTCGAAGTCCCCATCAATGTTCACCCACCTCCCCTTCACAATCGCATTCTCCCATCCCATCATGACAGCCAGCAATTTACATCCCGTAGAGCTGACAGTGCAAACGATCTGATCGCTCGCCTTCCCGAGAACCGCTAGATCCATCAGATACGCTCTCCCCACCAGCTCCCTCAACCTGATCGCCTCTTCCGTAGCAGGCAATTTTGTATCCGGCGTCGCGACCGCGTTCACTGGTATACTCGACGGCTTCCCCAAGCTCCAGAACATACCAGAAAAGAATCCTCCTTCCCAGCCTACCGTCTCATCAACAAATTTTCGGATCGCGGAACCAGCCGTTGGTTGGCTGCCGCCGAGAGCGGTCTTTGAAGCGAGGCGGATCTGCTCCTGTGCTCGTGAAGCATGGGAGAATTCGTCGGATTCGTAGACATCTGGGTCATCTGATGCAACGATGAATACGCTGCGCATTTCAGCTGCCATGTTCTCGCCGCCATCGGGACCTGTGCCGTTGAAAGTTTGGTGGAGAATGTCACGAGCTTTCTCGCCATAGCGTTCCAAGGGGACATAGCTATCTCGGTATTGGAACTCGTAAGGATGACGGTCGCCATGCCGGACGTGAATCCCGATGATGAGGCCGTTTTCAGGTTCCGGAGGGTCGAGAAGGGTCCTCGATGTGAGCTCAGAGACTCGATTCTCCACATAGTTCTGGTCAGCGTCCGAGAGGTGAAAGAGAGCTTGATAGCCAGCTCGAGCGAAGTCGAACATGTTCTTTTGACGGTAGACTTCCATCTTCCTGGCGTCTTCAAATTCTTCGTTGAAGGCTCCACCAAAAGTGTGAACGGCAGTGGCTGCAGAGACAACGAGATGGCGAGCATGGTGTGGACAAGGGAGCATCTCGTGCCTTGGTGGGGGTCTGCACATTTGCGATGGCGGAGGCATGAAAAAATTGGTGTATTTGCCGTATGCCCTGTGATAGCATTAGTAAAGATCAGATGAAACAAGCTGCGTATCTTACCATCTGGAGTCATCGACAAAGAAGGCTCTTCCCTCCTTCTGAGCCAACCCATAAGCAGTCCACAACATCATCAAAGTCTTTCCTAACCCCGCATTTGAGGTCTCCAACACAAAGGTCATACTCGTCTCGCAAACTTCCTGAACAATCAAGCTATCCGCATGCTCCCCAACCACAGATCCATCTTGAGCCTTCATGCTCGTCTTCCCCTTCGGTCCAGGTAACAAGCCATGCTCCTCCGCCACTGCTACATCCATAAAATTTGGATCCACGTGATAGTACCCATAATGAGAATGCGGTCGATGAACATGAGCGTGCAAGTCCGCTACATGATTCGCAACCTCCATATTCTGTGTGCAAATCTCTGCGTACTGATGTGGCTCCAAAGGGAATGTAGCATCCGGAGGAATGGACACAGTCCACTTCGTCCTTCCCCGTTTGTCCGTCACAACCACCGGCGTGGGGAAATTAGGCAGTTCTGAATCCCCAACCATCTCATATTCATCTCCAGCGTGTGTTGCCCATCCCACCTGTTTCTTTGAACGATCTAATTGTAGCCTCGAGAAGCCATAGTATAAAATCACGAACACCCCCAGCAGCCATACTAGTCCCCTTAAGCACGTCCTCTTACTCCGAGTCGGGGCGAGCTTTCCATGCCTTGGAACCAAAGCTGGCAGACCGGGAGAAGGGGGAGGCGAGGAGATCAGATGGTTGAAGCTGAATCGGGATGATGTTGAGCTCATGGGTCCTCGATCATTCGTGTATGAAGCTGCTCTCCGGAGACTGAGCCGCGGCGAGTTTCTCGATGAGAGAATCATGTCTGCGTGGGTATAGGTTGTCGAGAGGTCAAGGTGAGGAGGCATTGAAAAGGCTGGCGCAGCCAGAGAAGAATCGAAGCGAAATGTAAAAGGAAATACGATGTCGTCGGACTACGAAAGTGCTTCTTCGTGCCTGCACTTGTCGAATCGAAATGCGGAAGGTGACATTAAGGCATTGGATCTGAATGCTGATCACTGGTCGAGAGGCTGTTCAGTGTTTGACTGGCTGAGGTAAACGGCAAAGGTTAAAAGAAGAGACGTTGATATCCGCTTAGGAGGCCCAATAACAAACGGTCAGAAACAAATTGAAAGATGTCGTAGGATGGTGCTCGGCACTGGAGTGGGGAACAGAAATGGATGTGAAAAGGTCTTTTCGGAGGTAGATCATAAAGCGTGACGTGACATATCAGAGTCCCGCTGCCTCTTGGCTCTTGTACGCAGAAGCAGATAACCACGATCTACATGCAACACTTGAAGGGACGAGGGGGACACACATCCAATGTTCTCCTCGAAGTCGTTGGTCGTCCGTCGAAGGCCAGGGGTTGCAGTGGACTGGGGAAGATCAGATTGTCAGTGTGAGGGAAAGAGGAAACAGATGTGATACAATGGCTGCGTGGCGGCCGGCATGGAGGAGGCCCTTCCGAGGGGCATTCGCTTCCTGGGGCTTCCTTGGTGAAGGAGGAGGGGGTGCAGAATGGTTGGATCAGGACAGGTCTGGGGCCGAAAGGATGGCACGGAGTCACGGAGCTGAGGAGGAAAGGACCTGCATGTCTGGCGGGGGCTGCAGGAAGGCTTTTCTCGACTTTCCACTTTCAAGGGATCTGCCCTCCCCTCGAAGTCGGACAACTGCAAGGAAGATAAAAAAAGGGAATTGAGTGACGAGGACGCCTTCCTCATGGCATTGGCTCCTTTTCTCATTTCCTCACCCCCTCCAGACCCACCTCACCAAGGTCACCCAACTGCCTGCTCTCCTGTGGTCGTCAAGCTGCGCCAAGCTGCGTCAACCAGCCCGCTGGATGATCGCTTGCCCACCTGGTTGGGTTCTTTGGCCGGAGCACGCGAAGCTGCGTCGTCGATTCTGACCCCTGCAAAACTCTGAAACGACCCGGTGCTTGCCCCTCCCTGCAGGCGGGTGCTGCTCGTCCAATCAAAGCCCGCCCTTGGCCTCCCTTGGCCTCCACCCCCCGTGACCGGCAATGACCGACGTTATGTAAGCCCCGGATCGAGAATGGCCTCAAACGGCGCAGGTCACACCTTTGGGGCTAGAACCGCGCTGCGAGTGAGACAAAAGACATCATTCATGCCCGCAGCCTGTGCGCCGTCAGTGTGCGGAGGATTCACTTTTCGTCCAATCCTCTCATCAGACCGTTTACACTTCATCTGGGATTCTGGTGGTGGGCAGTACGAACGTACCTCGAAATAACCCCTGAGCAACATACCACAGGACTCGAACCCCAAAGCCTGCAAACCGAATCTCAGCCCAACCCAACAGCTGCACCTCATCCTCCTGCAGCCTCCCACGCGGCGTGCTCTCAGCACCATTTCATCCATCCGAAAAACGCTCCTCACGACCTGACCACCCGTTTCGAAACCACTTCCCCGCGTGCCTTCACCACACCTTCACTTTCATCCTCCCAATAAAGGACTGCGGAGCCATACCACCGCCCTTACATCGCGGAAAAACCACAGACATCTGTTTCCAAACTACATTTGCCCCATCCAGCAGAATCCCGCAAAAGCATATCCTGCAAGCAATGACCCTCCTGTAATCATCCAATGCCTCTTATATAGACCGCGTGAGAACCCATGAAATCAAAGTGCCTCGAGATTAAAACTGCTTTCTTCACCGCAACTTGAAAATCCCTCTTCGTGACACCCTCGGTTTCTAAGAATAGGAAGAGAGCCGTTTACGAACCTTCTCACTATCGATCTTCTATTTCGAGTATGTCCGGAATGGTTCAGCCGCACGAGAACACGGTTACCTCACCCCCGAAGCACGGCACCCCGAGGGAAAGAATCTGATTTTGTAGTACAAACAAACCTCACTATTGATTTTACTTACTCATTGTCCGAAACTAACTTGGGTCAACAAATTCCAGCTGCAGAATCAAAAGGGGCTGCCCTATCAACCTCAACCTCGTGCATGCACCATTGCCTCCCAACGGATCTTACTTCCTCAACGATTCATGCAAACCCCCCATAATCAGATGACACGTCCCCTCCCCCATACGATAAAAAGTTCGCCAGATTTCCGTTCTTGAGAAAGAAGAAAAAGATGGTTACCCACGTCGAACCGCGCGCATAAGGGAGACAGCATGAAAGAACGAGGCTGCGCTACACATCACATCACATCACATCACATCATCCGGCGACAATTGCAAATGCCTGCTTCCCTTCCCTCGATAAATCACTTATATATCAGCCAAGTCAAAATTCTGATCACAAATATCCCTCTTCATTCAACTATGGTCCCCGCACTGGTATCAACACAAACGCTCCCCTCGCTCAATCCAATCATTTCCCATCAAACGCCATCCCATCCCATCACGTCCTGCACAAACCCAGTTAACGCACCCTCCCTAATCATATAATTACATTGGTCTGTTCTTGGTAGGCAGCGAGCCTCTATCGGTCTCTTCTTTTTGGATGGAAAAATCCGAAAATCTGCTCTGCCTTCTTCGCTCTCATCTCATCCCATCCTCACTCATTCTTATCAATTACAGGCAGGAATCGTCCTTGTCGAAAAAGAATAAAAAGGAAGGAGGCCTCCCCGCTAAAACGAATGGATCCGCAAAAGAAAAAGAAATGGGGTATAAGAAGTGTTCAATCAAACGGAAACGAAGCCAAGGCACCCCCCCAAAACGCCAAAAGCACGATCGTTACAGAGTGAGTGTGCCCTCTCCCTCTCATGTAGAATTACAGGCTGTGAAATCTAGACTTCCGCGACCAGGGCTGGAGCCTCGCTGGCCAAAGGCATCGAGTTCGTCCGGTCCAAGCCGGGCATAGGATCGTTGATGTGGCGGTTCCGCTCGCTGGCGATGCGGATGCTTCCTCGGATGCCTTTTATCAAGGTACCGCTCTCAACTCGATCTTGGATCATCTCGTCAAGCATCTTGCTCATCTCATCGACGCTCTTGGTTCGCTTGCGGGTTTTGGGTGAGAGGAGCCCCACGGGACCACCTGCAAGGACTGGAGAGAGAGGACCATTGTCGAGTAACTGCGAGGCACGTGCTGAAACAGGGCTCAAAGGTCCATTCTCCAGCATCGCAAGTGTGTGCGATGCTCGAGGATCTCGATCGGCGGTGTCCCGTGACCTGGCTGCACTTCGAAGCGCGGCCAACATGCGGTCCTTGTCGTCCAATCGAGCTCGGAGGTCCGCGATCTCAGCATCCTTCTCCTTGAGCAGAGCTGCCACCCCGTGGTCCTCCCCAACCATAATGCCGCCTTTGCTGGGGGTCGAAAATCCAACGGATGCTCTGGAGTGACTAGACCGTCTGGCCTGGATCAATCGCTTCTCCAGAGTCTGGCAGTATCGAGTCTTATCCGCAAGATCTGCTTGCAGCGCTCGATTTTGTGCAGCCAACGAGGCCGTTCCGTCGCCGAACTCTCCTAATGAGTCCTCATCCTCAAGTGAGCCTTGCTCGCCGCTGGAACGACGTTCACCAGATAATCGTTGACCTCCTGGAAGTTGACCGATCGTCGATACCGAATTTACAGAAGCTGTACGCTCCAGAGAATTTCGCCCGACCGTTGAAGGAGCCAACGAGGAACGGGCTGACATTTGCGACAAATGACCATTCGATGTCATGGCCGATAATCTTGGATGCATACCCAGGGAAGAATACGATCCGCTGGCATTGACACCAGTTGACTTCGAGCTGAGAATGAGTCGATTGAGATGTTCGATCCGCTCCTTCAACGCTGTTCGAGCCAGTTGCATTTCTAGCATTTGCTCTTCATGACGTTGCTCGGCCTCTTTCTCCCGTTCTCTCTCATCATCTTCATTCTCGTTCTTTGCTTTGCTTTCAAGTTGGGTCCGCAATTCCAGAATCTCCATGCGGTATCTTTCCAGAAGTACTCTTGCTCCGCCGTCCCCTCCAGCTCCCAAGGCTTCCTCTGCCTTCTTGGCATGACTGACAATGTTGTTCTTCGCTCTTGATGCGAATTTCAATGTGTTCAGCGTCTCGCCGGTGTGACTGTTGGCTGCCGCAGCACTACCGGCTGATCCGATCTGGATTGTGCAGAGAATACTGACCAGGGAGTCCCCTGATAGAGCTCCTTGCAACAGACGAGTCAATTTGCTATCTCGATACGGAAGATGCTTTCCATCTTTGTCCGTAGGTTTCCCATCCTTGTCCTTGTCCCCTGATAGGCGAGCGATGACGGTGCCGAGAGTCAATAAACTCTTGTTGATGTGAGAACCTTCGGTTCTTCGTTCCTTGGTCTCAGCAGCTCTTTCTGATCCAGCCAAATCGATCAAGCTCAGTGTCGATACGCGGACACCACCAGGCAGAAGACCAGATCGTTTATTATCACTCATTACTCCATTACCAGGTATTCTTTCTCGGCTTTCGACAACGATCTGGACGACGGCGTGACTTCGGGAACTGCGGGCGTTGAACTGGGTACTGGAAGTTCGTCTTGCATGGTCACCTCGAGCGATGACTCTCAGTAGTTGTGTGGGGCTTTGCACAATTTCCTCCTTCAGAGGACTGGCATAAACACCCCGCTTGCTATCTTCTCGAAGCTTGATCTCTTCTTGCTGAGGGATTCCCGGACCAGTACCCGCAGGAGGGGTACTCAGAAGATCGTGGATTTTCTCGTTGTAAATTTCCAAATAACTCACTCGAAGGAGAAATTCTCGAGACGGGGTTTCGCGAATGTAAGAGAAGATGTCGGTGATGGCGAGAGGAATGACGCCAGGAGAAGTTGCAGTTCCCTGCATAGAGAACGTCTTTCCTGTACCAGTCATTCCGTATGCAAACACAGTGCCGTGGTATCCTTCCATTACTCGTCGAACAAGCCTCTTCGCAGAAGAGTCATAAACTTTAGCATTATTGTCGTGGGTCGCAAAAACATTATCTGAATCAAGATTTAGTTGTCGCCGTCAAAATCCTTTCTTGAAGACATACCATAGTAGTAATCACCCCCTTCCTTTCCTCGATATGCAACTAATGACCTTCTCCCATCGACCATCCATTCGCCATCCGTCTTGCTAGGTTGTCCGTTTGCACCAGCATCGGGCCGCACTCGAACGCTGACAATGACATTGCCCTTGCCTTCACTGGGTTTCGAGGACTGGTTATCATTTGACATGTCAGCTGAAGTCTCTCTTCCTCGAGGTCCCTCTCCATCGGTCGTTGCTGATGTCGAGTACGAATCTTGCGCAGATGAGCTACGGCTTTGAGGTGGTGATGGTAAGCTTAGCAGCCCGTCAGATCCCCGAGCCCCTGGACCGCTAGATATCGATCTGCTGTCCCCACTGCCATTCAATAAACTGGGTGTGGCAATGTTCACATAGCTCTGGTTCTTGGGATTGCTACCAGTCTTCTTTTTTCGAGCTTGCTTGCCAGGGGCGGGACTTGTGTCTGCAGATTCCCTTCTGCTCCCTAATCCGCTGGATAAAGTACTACTGGGTATTGCGCCACCAGATAACGGACTCGGCGGGAGACTTGTTGTTCGTATACCCCGGGGAGGTTGTGGGAATGCATTGATGCTAATAGTTTTTCGAATTGTCTTCCCCGCTGCATTCACACCAGGGGTCGCCCTTAACTTGGGAAGAGTTGTGCTTCCTCCAGGTGTTGTTGGAGCTGAGAGATTCGAATGTGAAGGTGCCCGAAGTCCGCTTTTTGGTAATCGAGGGGGGGAGGTACTAATCTTAGCATCTGAAAGGGTTGAGTCGTTTCCAGTGCTTTTCCGCGTCTTTGTTGTCGGTAACGCAGGCAATGCTGTTGTGGGAGGTCCGTACGAAGGCCTCGACGGTCGTGGTAACGCTGCCGCCATTATGAATATCGCTCTGGTAGATCAAAATAGGCGTACTGAGGACCAAACGATGATATACAACAGTCGTCCTCGAGTGGTCTACCAAGGCGAGGATACCCAGGCGTCCATGAAACTTGGGGCTTGGAGTCCCAGATGCTTAAAATCTTGGCCCGGAGACGAGAGCCGTTGGGGCTCAGTGCCGGGGACGAATTCAGAAATTGTCCAATTAAGCGTAGAAATGATCCGGTGGGGGGTAGTGTTGAGAACAGAAGCCGTCGTCCCGAAATATCTGAAACGATATAGCATGCAGGTTAATATGCCCGAGCAAAAGACTCGTTGTTTGAACCTGAATAGAGTCAGTGCGCTTGCATCCAAAAACAGTACCAACGATCGGCGCGCGAACAGGTATTTATCAGGACGAATCAATCATCCACATTGACAGCACTCATTGCTGAATGTTTCGGGAAGATCGTCTGAAGGGTAAATGGAGATTGGCGAAAGATAAGATGATAACTCACAGACAGAATTCCAGAAGCACAAAAGGCTTCGTCTTCGCAGCTGGTGAAATGTACCGAGGTAGCGTTGTACGATTCGTGAGGGTGTGCAAGGCAGTGCCTCCTTCAGAATATGCGAGTACCCGTGATGTATGGGTGCTGAGTTTCGTGGTGGAATAAGCAGTAATATTCCGAGATATCCTTGTACCGACAGCCGTTGACAGTCTGCCAGGGTATATCCTTAATGCACCCACAAAGCTCAGCAGCGTCTTCGCTTTGGACTGAAAAGCCCTATTCTCTCGGATGACTTTGGTCGGTCGCAAATAAGTCCAATCAAAATCATGCGATGGCGGTCCGTGTGGCTTCGTGTGAGGTTCTTTTTTGTCTCAATCGCTCAAGGTAATACCTGTGAGCCGGTGGGTTAAAGGTGATCTTCGACAGAGCTTTCGTTTCAATATTCGTTTCGATGCGGATCTTCGAGGGCGGACCGGAGGTGTATATCCTCGCTCTGGCCTGCGAGTCGGGCTAAGGCGAGAGGTTGATAGCGGCCTCGTTATAGGTTTCGACTTCGAGAATGTATGCAGTGACGAGAAGTCGGGATACTGCAGGTTCGTGTCACCAAGCAGCGAGCCGTCGATTGGGCCAGGACGGAGGGATTGACAGACGAGTGTGAGTCGCACGCAACGGGCGTGAGTCGTAGAGAGCGTGTAATGGTGAGCAGGACAGTGACCGACACAGTTGGACGATACTTGTAAGGAGTGAATGATTCCAACGAGGGTTGAAAGAGAGTGCCGACGAGGAAAAGAAAAGAGATGATGGAGTCGTTGATGCAGGCGCACGCACGTTCACTTGCACCCTGGTCAGTACAGGCCGCGTCGAGGTGGGAAAAGGTCGAGGAGGTGTGGCGGGCGTGGGGATTGGCAGCAGCACCAGGGCAGAGGGCTCTGGAAAGAACGGATATGTGTGTAGTACCTGCACAGCAAGATGCAATAGACGTCGCACCGCACAATCACACATGCACGCAAGGAGAAACGTGCAGTGAATTGGGTTCAAGATTCGCGTTGACTTTTGGCTTTTGGTGTGATTCGGGAGAAGCTCTCACGACTCGGGAGAGCCAGGGGCAAAAAGGAGGCGTCGTCGTTGGCTCGCTGCGCGGACCAGGCTCAGTTGGCTCCCGGCACGTCTCTCGGTTTTTAGCACCGACTGGGTTGCGCCTGCTCTGTGCCCCCGTCGACGGCCTGCTGGGCCCCAAATTGTGATAGTCCGATTGGGAGATTCAGGGGAAAGACCCCCTCGACTCCTCTCACCCCCAGCCACAGCCCGATAGGAGACGGTCGACGATTGTGGGGATGTGCTGCAGAAGGGGGGTCAATGGAAAAAGTATCGCTGGCAGCAGCGTCACGATCCGTTCGCCGCCTCTTCTGCCACAAGTAATTGCTTCATGTGCATGCGCCGCAACGGACCTCACGGCTGGTAACTGCTGGTATGGCTCCCGAGTCGTAGACGTGAGGGTAGGCCCGAACCAGGCCCGCCACGAGGTCAGTCGCGTGCAATTTCACAGGTGTTCCGATGCTTGGGTCCACGAGTGGCCCACAGACCTCGAGGCATAAGGGCCGGGACGATAACAGCAAGGTTTTGCGGGGGCGAAGGTCTTTGCGCCGGATCATTGGACGTTCGATCAGACGAAATCACTGACCTCGAAGGAGCTTATTTGGCGGAGTGACGATTGATGAGCAATTCTGATGTGCGATTGATCACCAGAAACCTCTCCAGATTGCCACAACGTGGATTTGCCGCACTAAAACGATTGCTGTTTTGTGGCTCCCACCCCCCAAATTTGAACCCCGAGACTCGACCGTATCGTGGCTTTCAATGTGATGCAACGTCGGTTTGAATTTGGAGATCACAACAACGAGACTAGACACGGCTCAGCAGCAGGCATTTGCACGCGGTGCCACACTTCGCCTTTACCAAAGGTCCAGAACCGAAGAAGGGGTCATCTCTAGCATCTTCACTTAAAGGCAAACCCCTCGCAGACACAAATCTCATGCAGTTCATCAAGACAACGGCTCTCCCCTTGCTTTTGCTTATTGCATATTCGATACGCACAAGCCTTGACCCGACTCTTTACTTCTCTGAGCACTTTCAATATGCCGTATCGAGTGTGTGCCTTTCGATTTGAAATCCAACCGACTACCATACTGCCGTCCCAAGAGTCGAACATGTGTTGTGTCATCCTCCTTACCTGAAGGTCAAGATTGTCTGACCGCCCCCAATTCTAATTACAATGCACGAACGCCTCTACCAATACTGCCGGTATCAAAAAGTTCAAGAAGACCTGCGCCGGCACACTCTTCTAGGATCCATTCAAAGGTGATTCCATAAAACTGATTCCATTTTCTCGTGCGGCCTGGAAGCACACCTGCGAATTCGCCTCGAATCCGCCTCGCCGTACTTGCTGCGTCATCTGTTTCGATCCCGCCGTCCCAGCGTTGTCGAAGCAAGGACTCAGGTGCTTCTTGGTATTTAGACTTCCCCAGCAAGGAGAGCAGATGCGCACGAGCATTTGCCAACAGTTTGAGGAATGGTCCCGTTGTTGGAAGGGCGAGAGAGTAATCTCCTGTTGATGGGAGTCTTGTCCCTCCTCCACTCCCTCCAGCAGCATGGACAGCTCCTTCTCCCCCGACAGCAGCCAAGGAACCAGATGCCGCCTTCGAGATACTGTTCAAGGACGTAGCTGTACCCCGCGAGCCATCTCCGGGCCTTGAGAAGACATCTGTGGCTGTCCACGCCGACGTCGAAGATGTAAGGAAGCCTGCATGCATCAGCATTTTGGCATCGTCTTCGGAAAGCTGAGATCTTGGCAGCTTCAACGCCGTAGGATATTCGTGCAAAAGAGCTATGAACCTGATCCCAAGTAATCGGAATTAGCATACTTTCGGGTATTTTTGCACTAGGATGTCCCAGGAGCTCTTGGAGAATGCTTCAAGGCATTCAGACTCCGAGAAGTTAGGACTTACTTTTCCTTGACTTCCTGCTCCAAAGCACTCCTCTCTACTATGTTGTCCAGGTCTCTAACCAGTATTAATGCCTCTCCAAGACTGCCCCTCCCTCCCACCACAACCTTCCGAATAGCACCTCCTCTTATAAGCTCTGCGATCTCCCTCTCGACCGTAGTTGGCGAGTTCAGCAAAGCTTGAACATGTGAGACCGTAACGATAGGTGGTAGTGAAGCACGAAAGTTCAAGACCTCTGCTATGCGCGTAGAGTTCATGCCAGCCCGCTGCTCAGGTATCCTGCTCCACATCTTATCCCGTATATGCGATATTGCTTGGGCCACATCTCGTAGAGTCAAGTCGGTCGCAAGGGCCTTGACAAGGCCGAAATCATCCAGTCGGTCGCCGAAGACATCCTATGGTGCTGTGTCAGTACTGGTGTGGATATTGGTTCTCCCGAAGAGAGAAATATTCATCTCTCTTGTAGCATTGTGCAACCGCTGCTGGAACATGCTACTAGAAATATGCGCAGAATTGCGGGACATTGCTATAAGAGGGATTAAGACTCCGAGAAAGTTGGGACCTACCTCATCTTCATCGTCAGCTTTCTCGGGTTTTGTTGATGTTCTTTGGAGGGGCTTTCGGCGGGGTAGAGAGGAGTAGGGAGAGGCCGATGACGAGTTTCGTTTGAAGGCTGGTGGCTTGGTGGGTTTCTTTATTCGACTTGAATGTGCAGAAGAGAATTTGAAGCTCATGCTGGAGTTCAAGAATGTTTGTAGTTGTGAGAAAGATGATGGCCGCCTAGAATCGGCTTCACAAGGTTGTTCGGGAGCTTTTTCCGGCACCGACGTATCGGCCAGGGGTGGGGCACTAGTGTCTCAAGAGTGGGGCCTTACCTGTTTCTATTTTGAACCTCAACATGTACCTCAGGTGTGAATGTGAATGTATTAGAAGTGAAACATATAGACCGTAGACTAGAAGCTTCGCTGGGCAAATCCTCTATCAACGTGTCCTTGAACTCGACTTTGTCTTTGGGAATTTCAAAAACATAGAATACTTGGTCCCCACACACAAGAGATTGCACAATGGCCCCAACGGTCATTCTAATCCGACACGCTCAAGCACTTCACAGTATGTTCTCACCCGCTCACTCCCTGAAGCATTGCTAACCTTGTTAGATGTTGCTCATATGTCTCCGTAGTTATCCTAAGAAAAAAATCACACAAAGCTGATTCTGAACACAGGACTACCATCTCCATGACCCACCGCTTTCCGATCTCGGCTTCGGCCCACAATGCGATGAGCTTGCCAAGTATCTACAGACAGAAGTCCCAATAGCTCAAAAGGTCGATCTGATTGTCATCAGCCCGATGAGACGCACTCTCCGTAGGAATAATTCTGTTTTAGTATTCACCTTGCCCCAGTTTTCGGGGCTTCTCCAGCACCCCCTTTCTTGTGGCCTGAATTATGTGAAAGAGGGCTACGCCACTTTCCTCTTTGAATTGCTTTGAGCACATTTCCCCAATACTCTTCTTTTCCCAACTGCCTCCAAAGTGTCTAACAGAAATACTGACTCTTCGAGCTTTTAGAGACTGCTCAGCAAGGGTTGGGGTGGCTTATGGAACGAGGTGTTCCAGTCATCCTCCGTGCTGAGTGGCAAGAAAATTCCGATAAACCCTGTGACACTGGCACAGACATATCAGTGATGGAAAAGGAGTGGCATCAATTCGACTGGCTATCGGTTGATCCGGAGTATCCCACCAAGACAGGACTCTACGCCTTCTCGAAAGAGGGGCTGACTCAACGAGGCATTGCTGCCAGGAAATGGTTGAGAGACAGACCGGAGAAGGTCATCGCAGTTGTTTCCCATTCTGGCAAGTTGCTTTCCTTTACATATCCTCAAATATTTCATACTTTGAAGTTCCTTCTAACACCCTTCCAGGATTTCTGAGGGTCGGAGTCAGCTACAGACAATACGCTAATGCTGACTGCAGGATCTTCGACTTTAGTAAAGGAGACGAGGAGATTGGCGGGAAGCTGATTGAATGGGAATTGACAGAAAAAAAGGGCGGAGGTCTCGGGAAGAGTCCGAAGGGCGTTTTCCTCATGAGCAAGGGTGACTATCCCGAAGAGACTGAGAAGGACATTGGAGAAGCTGTGAGCGAGAACCCAACCTAGTTGATCCTGGCGGCTTTGCTCAGCTGCAAGATCTCATGGAGGAAAGCTCTCTAGAACGATCATCGAAGCATTTTCTCTAACGTTCCGTGGAACATGGGTCAATTGTTTACTCGAACGCCTGACAGCCACTAGAAGCAAATGCGTTAATTTGATGAAATCATTTGGTGGTTCCAGGATTCAACTAGTTCTTCATAGTTGGCCTTACAATTGGTCCAACTCTGTAAGCTTCCCACCAACTTGGCAGGGAGATAGGTGGATCCGCAATCCCTACATCCTGTTACCGAGAATCTTTTCGTCTTTTCGTTGCCTGAAGGAGTGCTGACAGAGTCGAGTACAACTCCATTTTTTTTCTGGGAACGAGCTTGAACGGAAATGCCGAGCTCTGATAATTCAGCCCTATGGTTCGTGAGCCTTTCTCCACCCTTACAACTCGGGGATATTCGACACACTCGAAACTGAAGACATTTTGAAACACACGTTTGTAGAGTTGCCTTGAACCTATGAACGACGGAAAGTCTGAGATAGGTCCCTTTCCGGCAACCCCGTGACGGGTCAAAGTCCTACTGACATTTGGTTGGAAGAAGTCCGAGGGATTTCGAGCAGCGAACCAGCCTATCATCTCCTCTCTTCCAATATAGGTGCCTGGGGAGAGGCTGAATTTGGGATGCTTGAAGCACATATCACGTGTTGACTTCGCCACGATCAGAGCTGCAAGCTCATTTGGTGAACAGTACCGAGTACAGTCACCTCCTTCAGAGGCGATCGTGTTCCCGCAGGCGCGGATCGCGTTATGGACAGGGCTCCGGGCCACCCTCGTGACCCCCAATGAGGTACCCGACTGGTCTCAACATCGGAGCCTTTTGAAGCCTTAAGGAAGTCGAGAAGATCAATGTCGATGTGGGGTTGGAATTATGTCATGCCTTTTGCCTTTCATTAAGGCTGATTGAAGCCCCTGGAGTCCGTGTGCGTCACCCCCGAAGAGGTGGTCGTAAGTTCTTTTAGTGGTCGTCGTCTCAGCCGTGGCTTAGTGAGGTAGTTTGTGGCGTGTGTGGAGGCTGGGGGCCGGCCCAGTGATAATGCAAGAAAATTCATCAGCCATGAATGAACAATGGTGTGGCACGGGGGAGCTTTGAGGGGTTCGTCCCGGGAAAGTTCGCCCATCTCAGCTTCCCCTATCAGCAATTTTCCCCATGTTGGACGTCGGATGCGGATGCGGTTCCATGTTGACAACAACCAGTCAATTCCGAGCGCGGTGGCAGAAAAAAGGATGCTGTGGCGCAAATAAGACCTGCCAAGAGGTCTGCGAGAGCAACACCATGCCTTTCTCAACCTGCAGGTGGTGTTCCTTCTTCCGTTTTCTGCTTAGTAGGCAAGGATCTTGCCCGGATTGAGAAGCATTTTTTCTTTGCAGGCTCCAGGCTTGATGCTCACTGTCGGTTAATTCTCCTTGAGGGTGCTCCGCCGGCCAAGTACAAGAACTGGGTGGGATAATGGGGCCGAGGGGAGATTCTAGGAGAGAGATGCTGGTTTTGGGAAAGGGGGTCGAATACCTGAATTGCATGTCCGCTGTACGAAAGGGAAGAAATATTGGCAACTGGCACGTCAGACAACTCTGTGCTTCTGGCTGGATGCAGCAGCTTCATGGAGAAGCACAAAACGCCACACAGGCAGTGGGGCAGAGAATCGAGGAACCGCGTCGGCAGATTATTGGGCCACGAGAAGCGCAGTTGACAGGAGGCTGGAAGGAACCGCGACTCGTGCTATGAATGTCCTGATCCCCACGGTAGTTCTAAAGTTTGACACTGCGGGAGCGAAGTGTAGGTATATCCGTCAGCCCAGAGAGACAATGTTTGGCGCGCAAGCCCTGCGTGGCCTGGGTTTGATAGACGGAAGCAGGTGCGGGTGGAGTACGCGAGGGATACAATTGCTGCCGAGTGGCCATAGTCCACTTCAACAAGCCACCTTTTTCTCAGCCCACACCCCTGGGCGCAATAATTGGCCGCTGCGTGTAGCCACCACCACCAAAGCCAGAACGAGGCGCAGTCTCGCACCAATCCAAGCAGGCACTCGCCGTCATTCTGCACAACGACCGCTGGCGTGGTCAGTCAGCCCTCAGCTCTGTTCCTCGTCTGCTCGTCTGCTCGTACACCTCTCGAGTCCATCCATTGTTGCGCAAATGGGCATCCTGATCGCCTCGACTTCAGCTCATTGATCCTCCACCATCGTCGCGCGAATCACCGACGCTGCTGCTGAAGCTCTCCCGTCGTACCGAGAGAGGCATGTTCAGAGATCGCAGAACGCAAATTCGAATAAACACAGGCTCGGAGCTGCGCGCAACCCGTCCAGCTCCCAGGAACGTCCGAGGCTCTGGAGGCGCACATTTGTAGGTTGGCATTCGCTACTTAACAATTATGCGTAGCTGTTCCTGACACATTCTAGAATTCTTGCCAATCTGAATCAAGGCTCCCTCGGACTCGAGATGAACTTTTAACAGCTCCCAACGTGACTCGAGGACCACTTCGAATTGCCGCCAACTTCATCCCATTCAACTATAGAAGATATCGGAAAAGACACAAACTTAGCCCTCATGGATTCAGAGCAAGGAGGAGTGTCTGCAGCGGCCCCTCTCTTCACCACAACTTTATCGGATCCTGCAACCCTTCCCTCAACAACCGCCATCGTCGCTCAGCCCGAGTCCGATCACATACGAGCAAAGTCGTTAAAAAGAAGCCGAGCGGAGCAGTCACAGAACCCTGGAAATCTCACATCCATTGCAAACGCTGGGTTAGGGGCTTCACCGTCTCCAAAGTCGCCACGGTTCAAGGGCACATTTTCGCCAGGCTTTACGCCTATCCCCCTCACAGGAGCCGCAGCACTGGCTGACGAACAGCGAAAGAGGGAGGAGACTCAGAGGACTCAAAGCAACCAACCGCCGGCGATGAGTGAGAACCCAGGACACAAGGCTTTATCCTCCCTTATGGCCGGAGGAGGCATCGGTATGAGCAAACCGCAAGACGCACCCGTTGCAACAACTGCTATGAGCGAAGGCTTGTCAACCGCGGCGAATGCTATCTCAATCCCGAGCCCTATGCAGTTCGATGAGAAGCCAGAAACTAGTCCTGCAAGTGTCACAAGCCTTGCCAGCCTAGGAAGTACAGCACCAACTGCTACAGCAAGCTCAACTGCTGTCGCTAGCCCTGCAGCATTGACGAGTGCCATAGAGGCCGAAGCTAGAGAAACAAGACCTGGAAATGTCAACCAGTTGCAAGCTGCCGACGAACAGTCCTCGAATCGCGCTCTATCCTTTCCTGGCAACGTAATGGGCCGTTCAGATTCACCACGAGCACCACCGCGGGGTCTAAGCCTACCAATGCCAGGACAAAATCAACAACTAGCGCCAAGATCTCCCTCGCAAAAGAAGCATAAATGCCCCTATTGTGAAACTGAGTTTACCCGACATCACAATCTCAAGAGTCATCTTCTGACCCATAGTCAAGAGAAGCCTTACGTGTGCCAAACATGCACAATGCGCTTCCGCAGACTGCACGATTTGAAGCGCCATATGAAATTGCACACTGGGGAACGCCCTCACATTTGCCCAAAGTGCGATCGGAAGTTTGCTCGTGGTGACGCACTTGCACGACACAGTAAAGGTCAGGGTGGCTGTGCTGGACGAAGAGCCAGTATGGGGAGTTTTGGGGGAGACGACGATTTTGAGGGCTCAAATGCAGGGGATGGCGATGAAGGGGCTATGGATGGGGTAATGTACACGAATGGTACCCCGCATCCCAACGAAAACGAGATGTCTGAAGAAGACCGTCGGCGATTCAGTCTCCCTAGTATCAAAGCCCAACACGTCTCTGGTCCTGGGAGCGGAGACAGCTATTCGCCACATTCGCGAACACCAAGTACGTACCCTCCAGCGGGACCAAGGCCTGTTCAACCTTCAGGGGGTCTTTATCCTCCGAACACCGACAGGGTTGGTTCATCTAGCTCAGGAACTTCACCAAGCGTGCAAAACAGTGTTGTTGGGGGCCACACTCCTAACACTAGCATATCATCCCTGCCACTTAGCACTGGGGGCAATTCTATGTTTTCACAGGCTGGAATGACAGAAAGCCCCAAGCCCTTAAGCCCAGCCGGAATGCATTCTCATCAGTTGGGCCATGATCCTTCGTCTATCAACCGGCAGAGATCGCCAAGCCTGACTACTCAATTTCAGCAGCAGCACTTTGGCCGTCGACAATCAGGCAGAGGATCACCTCCTGGGATGTCACTTCCCTCTCCCCATACCTCACACGGCCCTAAGCTTCCTTCCCTTACAGGTCTGGCACCTCCCGATCAGAGATACACACTGCCGAGCCAAACACCGAACCAGCAAAATACTTCGAACGGAACCCATAGCGGCCAGCAAGGTCAACCAGGCCCTGGTCCTACATCTCCAAGCGCAATATATCAGCCACAGGGAGGCCAGATCCCGGGTCGTGGACCCCCCACTGGGCCTCCTCATCACCAAGGGCAAGGGAGCGGAAATAGTGACAGTAACAATTTGTTCGCTGCTGGTGACCGAGGTGTCTGGGTCTATGTTCAAACTTTAGAAGACAAGGTCAAACAATTGTCTGAAAAGGTCCTCGCCATGGAGACTAAGGAAAAGAGCCAGGAAGACAAGATCAACAGACTTTCCGAAGAGCTTTCCTTTTTGAGAAATAAACTAAATGCTCAAAATCCACACCCGCCTGCAGCGGGTCGCTCATAACATTAATACGCATAGGATACAAGTACACGAAAGTGTCCTATGTTTGGTCGGTCTAGGCGTACATTCTTTTCTACTCGGCGCAGGCAGCGTACATTGATGTGACGATAGACATCAGACTTGTTCTTCTACAATGACCTTCGGATGAATTGCAATTGATGAGGATGGTGTAGGCGTTGGTTTGGGGGGAACATTGATTTTGGGCAGTCTTTAAAAGCACTTGCTATTCATAGAGCGCCGACAGGCTTTCCCTCGCTACCTACATTATGATTTACTATGTTTTCATTTGTAAAAGGGCAGGAAAACTTCGCTGGGGCTATTTTATCACACTGGCTTCGAGAGGGATGGTGTACTATAAGTTCACGGTGTTTACATACTTCTAGCAAGAGATTACTATTGCTTCGTAAGTGGAATGATATTTGTGGCTTTTCATCGGGAGTAAGTTTCGTAGCACGGTTCAAAGTGTTTCCCTCGTAGTTGGTATCAAGAGTATTTTGTCTCTCGAATTTGGGCCCATCCGAATATCATTGAGCATATCAAAAGCGAACATCAAATTTGGGTCCGTTTGGAGTGGGTTTCGGTTACAGATGCTTGCCAGGCTTCACCAGCCACAACTTGCTCACACCTCAGCCGAATGCATGCGTATTGCAAACATCTCACAATTCAATTCCATGTGAAAAGCATGTAGTGAAAAACCAATCAGCATATGAAGGAGGTGGGAAGTCTAATAGCAAGAAACCTCCTTATTCGTGGGCTCCAAGTTAGGACGTCGGTCAAAGTCTCCACACAAAATTATGCTCTGCATTAGAGCATCCAACCAAGTCTGAAAAAGAGGGAACCGGTAATCTATTAGCTGTGTGTTCAAGAGGATTTGTACATCAGAGAAAGCTTCAGGAGGGAATCACATGTTGAGTGGTCTTCCAATGGGCTTGTTTCTGAATCCCTGACAACCGAACCGCACGAGCCAAACACGTCATAGGAAAGCGAGAGCGCAAGCTTTGCTGGAGCAGGAACCCGGCCTCCATCATCATCCCCAACACTCGCGATTCCGAAGGAAAACCCCTAAACCGTTCGAGGAGATCTTTCTAGATCAATTATTAAGACCATCTCCAATGGCTGCACCGAGTGCTGCCCCGCACAACGCTGAGCCCGCGCTGCCCGATGAGCGCAAGAAGCAGCAGCTCCCTCCAAAGTCATACGCTGATGCTGTGGAGCAAGAGCCTCCTGCGAATGGCACCAATGGCACCAATGATGCAAATGGTATAAATGGTGCGAATGGAAATGGAACTGAACATGACGATTCAAAGCAAACGGGGCATATGGCCTCGGTGTTGAGAATTGTCGACACAGGTGCCCCGGAAACAAAAGATAAACAGGAGGGAAGACCTCAGTTCGAGAGGCAAGAGTCTAAGCACGAATACTCTGCGGCTGTGGGTTCTTAGTCTTCCTGTCCATACTCAGCTTTTACTTATTACCCCAAAAGGGCCTCGACGATACCCCACGAACTCCTCCTCGAAACAAACATCGCAAAACCGGATCGAAAAGTAGCAATAGCTCACAGGATAAGCCGAGTGCGGATGAGAAGGAATCAGAATCCAATGGTTTAGACAAGCCTAAGAGGGCCAAGGTCAAGGATCGTCGAAAGGACACCACTGTTTTCGAAAAGGTCGGCGAGCAAAATGGCAGCAAGCTCATAAGTGTTAAGACAACAGGGACTTATGAAAAGCAAATTCAAAAAGATCAGAAGGAAGCTCCAAAGCACGAAAATGGGGAAGGTATTACCTCTGGCAAGAAACCCGGACAGAGATGGGAGAGGAGCGCCATTCGATTCGCCCCACTGAATGTTCCACTACATCGACGACTACAGACTCTTGTCGTACTTTTTCATACGCTCTGCATCGCCATTTGCGTATCGACTTTTTGCTTCCTATGTGCAATCCCCCTTTTCTGGCCGTTATTGATACCTTACATGATTTATTGCATGTCCTCAAAAGCATCAACTTCTGGCACCATGAGCCATCGTTCGGAATTTCTACGATCTTTACCAGTGTGGTCGCTCTTTGCTTCCTACTTTCCAGCCAGGCTTCACAGGACGCAGGAGCTTCCTCCTACCAGAAAATACATTTTTGGATATCATCCGCATGGAATCATATCAATGGGGGCATTTGCAGCATTCTCGACTGAGGCTCTTGGGTTCTCGCAGCTGTTCCCAGGAATTAAAAATGCTCTTCTTACGCTGGACTCCAATTTCAGAATTCCTATCTATCGAGACTATGCTTTGGCTATGGGTCTTGCATCTGTCTCTAAGGAGTCATGTGAGAACCTCCTATCAAGAGGAGGTCCCAATAAGGTAAGATTACAGTTCCTGTCTCTTCGTTCGAGTTGTCTATTTTACTAACGTGTGTCCAAGGAGGGCATGGGACGTGCCATTACTATTGTTGTTGGGGGTGCCCGAGAGTCCCTAGACGCTCAGCCATACCAACTCCGACTTGTTCTCAAGCGTCGCAAGGGCTTCGTCAAGATGGCAATCCGCACTGGGGCAGATCTTGTCCCCGTTCTCGCATTTGGAGAGAACGATCTCTATGACCAGTTCCAACCAGACTCACACCCCAAGATCCACAAGTTTCAACTGATTGTGAAGAAGTTGCTCGGCTTCACGATCCCGTTGTTCCATGCAAGAGGCGTCTTCAACTATGATGTTGGATTGATGCCCTACCGGAGACCAATGAACATTGTCGTCGGAAGACCCATCAGGGTTGTTCAATCACCACATCCAGATCAGGAGGAGATTGATCGTGTTCATGAGCGGTATATTCAGGAATTGGAGAGAATATGGGAGACGTGGAAGGATGACTTTGCTCCTAATCGGAAGGAAGAGCTTCAGGTTCTTGAGTAGTAATAAGTGCAAAAGGGTTGGATTGCATTATGGCAGGAACAGGCGTCACGGATTGGAAAGCAACAATTGCATATGCTGACGATTTTGTATAATGAATTCATCTTTCAAAAGCTTTACAGAACCTGAAAATGTGCAATTGGATCTCTTCTGCCAGTGGGCCGAGAAATGGGTTTATTTAGGAATCGGGGCTCGGCAATGATCCAAAGTAATTTCATTCCTGAATTTCTTCAGTTTATGTTGCCTGATTTTCTGGTCTCCTCATACGATTACGATACACCCAACTGCAGACCTCTCAATCCGTTTTCGTGTTCGTGATAATTTTACCAAGCTACTGCGTCTTGAGAGACGGCATGTTCCTTCCCAAGCAACGTTTGTAGCTGAATTGCGATGTCCAATCCCCTGCAAAGCTGCAAGCAATCCGAACACGAGAGCTCTACAATCCACATCCCGCACTCCATCGAATCAGGGGCCAATAATTTTGCGGAGGCGACGCTTGTCTGACCCCGGCCAAATCGAACGCACGTTGCTGCGAAGGCGAAGCAAGGCACGCGCCAATCAGGGGTCTTGCGATTGCGCGCCATCAGATCTCCAAGAAAACATTAAAATGGGCACATCTTTCTAATCTCGAAATCCCCAACGACCTCGCCACCGTCACCTCAGTCCTTCTCTTCGCCTCTTTTCGCATCGCGCTTGCAAGATGGGTATCCTCGAGATGATTTCTGGGCCATTGGCTCAGCAGATTTCGCAACGTGGAACTGCTGTTGTGGTGGCTTCAGGGTTCGCCGCCTTTTTGGTCCTCGCAGTCGTGCTCAACGTCTTGAGCCAGTTGCTGTTCAAGAACCCCAATGAACCTCCCGTGGTTTTTCACTGGTTGCCTATTATTGGCAGTACCGTTACATACGGTATCGATCCGTATAGATTCTTTTCTGAGAACAGAGCGAAGGTCAGTTCGCCCCTTAACACACAATCCAATGATTGAGTTCACACACCCTGACTCGGGTTTAGTATGGCGATTGCTTCACGTTCATTCTCCTCGGCAAGAAAACTACGGTATATCTGGGGAGAAAAGGCAACGACTTCATTCTCAATGGCAAGCTGAAGGATGTCAACGCGGAAGAAATTTATACTGTCTTGACTACACCGGTCTTTGGAGAGGACGTAGTCTATGACTGCCCGAACTCCAAATTGATGGAGCAGAAGAAAGTAAGCAGGGGAATGATATCCTTGTGGCCCAGAAACTAACTTCACCTTCTAAGTTCATGAAAGTTGGCCTTACTACAGACGCATTTAAATCCTACGTTCCCATCATTCAGGATGAGGTTGAGACTTTTGTCAAACGATCCTCAGTCTTCAAAGGCCAAAAAGGCACTGTCAACATTTCCGAAAGCATGGCCGAAATCACAATCTACACCGCCTCACATTGTCTGCAAGGAAAGGAAGTCCGTGATAGATTTGATGGATCTTTCGCCGCGCTCTACCACGATCTCGATATGGGCTTCAGCCCAATCAACTTCGCGCTTCACTGGGCTCCTCTCCCCCACAATCGCGCACGCGATCATGCTCAACGAACTGTTGCAAAGACATACATGGACATTATCAAGAGCCGTCGCGCCAACAATGAGAAAGAGAAGCTTGATATCATGTGGCAGTTGATGCGCTCTACGTACAAGAATGGAACTCCAGTCCCAGACAAGGAGATCGCACACATGATGATTGCATTGCTTATGGCTGGACAACATTCTTCTTCTTCCTCGAGCTCCTGGATCATGCTCCGCCTTGCCTCTCGCCCGGATATCATGGAGGAGCTATATCAAGAGCAAATTGAGGTGCTCGGAGCCGACCTTCCTCCTCTAAGATACGAGGATCTCTCGAAACTCACGCTGCACAACAATGTTTTGAAGGAAGTTCTTCGTCTCCACACTCCTATTCATTCCATCATGCGAAAGGTCAAATCACCAATGCCTATATCCGGTACGAAGTTTGTTATTCCAACTACACATACCTTGCTTGCATCTCCAGGATGCACATCCCGCGATGCAGAATATTTCCCAAATCCTTTGCTTTGGGATCCTCATCGATGGGATGTTGGTTCAGGCGGCGTCATCGGAACCGACGTTGAGGAGGAGAAGTTCGATTACGGATACGGACTCATCAGCAAGGGAGCATCGAGTCCATATCTTCCGTTTGGAGCAGGTAGACATAGGTGTATCGGTGAGCAGTTTGCTGTTGTGCAACTGTTAACGATCACCGCCACTATGGTGCGAATGTTCAAACTCAGGAATGTGGATGGGAAGAAGGATGTTGTGGCGACAGATTATTCGAGTTTGTTTTCTAGACCGCTAGCTCCTACCATCATCGAGTGGGAGAAAAGAGATAAGGCATAATCAGGGTTGTATGAACGTGGTGTTACGATGTGCATAGCTGGGCGTCTCTGGGTGATGGGACAAAATAATACTTAATACAATGACTTTCGAAGCTTGGTTTGAGGCTTGCAAGAATATAGCTGAGGTCTAACTTCGCAGAATCTTCGGATATAGTCTCCTCACGGTGAATTGTTAGACATTGAAACCTGAATCGCCGTGAAGGCTGTCCCATGTCAGCCTTGGCGCATCGTGCCGAGGGAAGCCTCGCAAGCCGAAAAGGGGTCTTTTTCGCCAACCAATCAGGATTTATACCGCGATGACGATGGTGGGCAGGTTTGATTTCAAAATCTCGCAATCTCACTTTACTACTTCAATCTCATACACTCCTTCGGATTGATCTTTCAACGGTCTCCTACAGCTCCTAGAGTACTTAAAAGAAAAAGGATTTTTTTTGGAGCTCCGACTCCTTTCAGCTGTCAGACAAAGTTGATCGATCCCCTATTGCCGAGTTCGCCTCCTCCCAACAAAAAAGTGGAACTGATCATCGGCTCCCAAGAGCCTCTAAACAAACAACTCCGACGAATTGATTCCTCCTCCGCCTCCTCATGGTACAATGACTCCCTGACAGCTCGCCCTCACAATCTCACCTGCATCTCCTGCCATTTTTGCCTCGCCTGGAGCCGCGTGCATCTATCCTCAGCTCTCCTCTCCCTCTGTCAGCAGCGCCCCACCACCACCCGAAAGTCGCTCCTTTTGAACCCGTACCACGATACAGAATATATCTTTGTGCTGGGGCACACAAGATTGACAAGATGCACGCCACGAGTCCTGCGTTGACGGTCGAGACGTCGTACGAGGAGATTAGTACTGCTGCAAGTGTTACTGGGAGGGAAGAGATGAAGCCGATTTATATGAGGCGACATTCGAGCTTTCATCCGAGGCGGAAGAGCTCTGAATGCATTATGGATGGCGAAGAAAGCTTACTGCTAAAGGTATATACTATTTGATCTCTTTGTAAGGGGGGATGGGGCTAATAGCAGGGTGAAGGTTGATCTCTTCCTTTCGGAACTCGAACGCAGACTAGATTTCCTGGAAAATTACGGGAATCTCAACTTCGATGCTGGAATCTCGAGGGCGTATGCTACGTTACAGGCTGTGAGGACGAGATGTTCACAAGTCTCTGGGGAAGTCATCGGTGAAGGGAAAAGGAGGGCGAAAGTTATGGTGGAGACGGTAGAGACGAGATACTATGATGTTTTGGCGGCGAAAGAGACGTTGAATGAGAAGATTAGTACAGGGATTGGATTGCTTGAAGGGATCTTGTCGGACTTTGAGGCAAAAGCGTATAAGATGACGGAACAGGGCTTTGCTGGTGCAGCTGGCAGTCTGATGGACGAGGGCCGGAGGGTTGTCGATGGGGGCTTTGAAAGAGCTCATGAGATCATCGATGAGGGGATTGAGAGAGCGAAGAAAGCTGCTGAATCACTGGAAGAGCATATCCAGAGCGCCATTGCCCGAGCCCGAGAACATGGTCTCATCCGCTACGAAGATCTACCAATACCATGGCGTGTCAACCCTCACATCGTCAAAGGATACCGATTCAAGGAGTCCAAAATCGAGTGCGTACACTCCATGTTCGGTATCTCCAATGAGTTGGTCAACATCTGGAGTCATGCAATTGGCCTCATGATCGTCCTCGCTATCGCCTTCTATTTCTACCCTACCAGCGTCAATTTCTCCCACAGCACCAAAGCCGACGTCTTCATCGCAGCAGTCTTCTTCTTCGCTGCGTGTAAATGCCTGGTATGCTCAACTATGTGGCATACAATGAACAGTGTGGCGGACCAAACACTCATGGAACGGTTTGCTTGCGTCGACTACACAGGTATTTCACTCCTCATCGCCGCCTCGATCATGACAACCGAATACACAGCTTTCTATTGCGAACCCCTAAGTCGTTGGGTATACATGACTGCAACTGCTACGCTGGGCATTGGCGGTGTCATCCTCCCCTGGCACCCTACTTTCAACCGATCAGACATGGCATGGGCACGAGTCGCCTTCTATGTTACACTTGGAGCTACCGGCTTCGCTCCAGTCCTGCAACTCAACCTAACCCGAGGAGGCGCATGGGCCTGGGAATTCTACGCTCCGATCGCGAAGAGCATCACCGTCTACCTCGTAGGAGCAATTGTTTACGCAAGCCAAGTGCCTGAGAGATGGTTCCCCGGTGCGTTTGACTATATCGGAGGCAGCCATAACCTGTGGCATATTGCCGTACTTGGTGGGATTCTATTCCATTATGTGGCTATGCAGGAGTTCTTCGCTGGTGCGTTTCTGAGAGCGGAGAATGGGTGTGCTGCATATTAATGGTTGAGTAATGAGGTATGAGTTGTGATGAGAGAAAATGGGTCTTTGGCATGGCGACGGCGTTTGGTTTAGATGTATTAGGTAAGATGAGACATGGATGGAAGAGCGTGAACGGTATAATGTCACATTCGTTCGACAATTGTCAAGGGCAGCGTGACCTGGATGAAGCATGAATTGAGAGTCTCAAGAGCTTAGGACCTGAAATGAAGATATCAGGAATTGGTGAAAGGTGACAAGTTGTCATCCCTATTCTACCTTGCAAATATTTTATAGTATATCGTCTCAATGTTTCAAAGTTCTGGTACATTGAGATTGTCACAACCTGTCAAGTGAACCTCCGAAGTCTTCGCTGAACATCGTCCTCAATGCTCCAGGAATTCTGGGACATTGCTACTTAGTGAGAGCCATTCACTTCGGTCTCATCTGATAAATGGCCAGTGTATGTCACTGCAGCCATTATCACAGAATCTGAAGCAAGTGATTGGATTAATTTATTTTTCTTTCCATCTCAAGCCGGCAAGTGCTGCTTTACTTGGACATCGCATTCAATTATCTCCATACTCTTCAACTTTGATCAAGCACAGAAATTCATCGTCTCACTTTACACGACCACCTTCTTCTCACAAATGCAGTTGCTTCTTTGTTGCATATCGCAACGGCTGACAGGGGAGTCTAGGAACCTTGAGGGTAATTGACTTGACCTGGTATCCTTTCCAGACGCACAGGACGAATGCACCACCCTGATGCGCACCTATTCCCGACACACCCTCAGGCACACTTTACTACCACGACCAGATTAGCTTCTAGCATACGGGCGGAGCCAGCTAGATGCTAAAACATGGGACGGGAGCTTGCAGGGCCAGAAGAATGCGGTGTCCGAGAACACTTCGGACGAAATAGGACTGTTCGCATCATCGATATTCTTACTCCCCAAAGCATGTTTGACGAGAAGCCTAAATCGCTGGTAACGGTCCGTGTGCTACCAAATCTGCGGGGAAGCTCGCTTCATCTGGCTAAACTATTGAACGCGCTGGAGATCCGAGAGCCCGAGCCAAGGTCAAGGCTCTGAGGGTACATGCAAGTCACTGCCGATGGCTTGAGATTCGTGGCTCCACACACCTAGCTACTTTCGTGTATCCGTCCCTCGTTGACGACTCGTACGTTCAGGCTGAATAGTTTGGGAAGCTGTTGCTTCCACGCCAGGGGGTCGAGATCTCATCTCCATTTAGGAGCACGTGTGCCATCGTGTTTAGGCTGAATCCGACCAGCATCGTTAGTCGCAGCTCAAAAAGCCTGAATGCACCCGTCCTCCTGGCCAGCCCGTGGCATCAGGGGAAACGCTCCGCTCGCGTGGTTGAGTAGCTTCACTCAGGTAGAAGTGACTCGTCATCTTTCAACACTGCTTGTCTCCCATATTCACTTCAGTTGAGTTATATCTTTCTCACTTTGTTCGGCTGTCACTCAAGTCTCGTTTCTTCAGCCCATGTTTGGAAAATGCATAATACAATCCAAACATCGTTCATCACTTTTCTCCCTACACTCACCCTCTTCTCACAAGCCCAACAATCTCCACGAACGAAGGATATATAATACCTTACCAACTGCTTCAGTGACCTCTTCCGATCTTCCTATGCAGAAATTGACTACCGCACCAACAAATCGCTGTCGGTAGTGTCCGCCCATCCTTCCCCGTCAGATCTCTATGCAGTCATCAATTCATCTTCTTCGATCAATTACAGAGGTAGCACTTAGAGTTCGCTTTCTAGAGCGCCGTTTACATTTACTGCGATGATAAATGAGGATGCTTATTCGGCGAGTGCTGAAACTGCGGTTGGGAATGCGAATAGTAGTTCGTTTGCCGGACGATGGAGTGTGTGAGACTAGCCAGAGTGGTGGTTCATATGTAGAAGGAAGTGAGTTGTTATTCTGATTATGCTTGTATTGATGCGAGCTGATGGTTTGGGGGGATTTCTCAAGGAAACTTACCATGGCGATGGGCTGCTGTGAAGAACTGCCCTGAAAAAGCTTTGGGTTATGCTTTCCGCCAAACTTTTTCGGTATCTGCCCAAGAACTCGTGAAAAGGAGAACTCCGATGATTTGGAAGCTGACTAGAATGATTGCTTGTGTCCCTCCCCAGTAGAGTCACTTCGGGAGTCCCCGTGAGACATTTTCAATATTTCAAATTTCCTTCCTCACTTTAACGTCAATGACATCTCCTATCTAGAAATTTCACTAGATAAAAAGGCAGCAAGGTGCTGATTAGAATAAAGGGAAGTTCCTCAGTGGCGTTGATAGATCACGGTTCGAGTTATTCTTAACCACTACCCATCCCCATCTCAATCGGTATCTCGCAATACCCCTTTCCTGAATATATTTACACATTCTTCGCAACCTTTCAAAGATGGAATCTCACGTATTGAAAGCTTATGTATTGATAGTGTCTTTGTATCAGGTCATGTTCTCCACCCCTTCTCTTTGCAGTTGTGTATAAGAAAGATGTTTATTCCATTACCTAAATCTTCACAGCAGTACATCCACTATCCATCACTTCAATCCAACTGAACCACGGTCACTTCATCTTACCTGCTCTGAGTTTATTTCCATTATGAAGACTTTCATCAGTCTCGGCTTCGCGGCCTCCCTCGCAACTCTCACCTTTGCATACACCACTACCCAACACAGCCCAGTGGGAGACCTCAAAATCAAGAGAGGCTTCCTCACCTGCCAGGAAACCTATGGTGGAGGTTCTGTCACCTGCGGTAACAGTTCCAGCCACTACTGCTACGATCCCACTCTCGGAGAAGTAAGTCTTCATGTCCAGCTCCCTCACGTACATTCCTTCATCTAACCATCTACTCAGAGCTGCTGCCTCCTCGACAATGGTTACTGCAAATCAGGCGATTTCTGCGCCCCTGTGGTGGCTGGATTTTGTTGTCACAACGCAAGTCCCAATCCTATTCTACCAAATTCCATATGTCTAACAACCACCAAGGGCGAAGATCCAGCTACCTGCGCAGCTCGTCTATCCTTCACCATTACCCCTTCCTCCGAAACCGCGGCCCAAACCACCAGTGACATCGCCGCTGCATTCACAACCCACATCCCCAGCGCCGCAACCACCGAAGTCCTCGCTGTTGACTCAACCTCTGTTCCAGTTCCTACAGCTACCTTTAGAAGCTTAGGTGCAGCAGCCTCAACCACGGCGAGCGTAGGCGGTATAACGCCAGATTTCACAGCGATGATTAACCAGACGGCTCCAAGTGCTGCTTCGAGTGTGGGGCTGGGTGCGGGAGCCGTTGCGTTCACGGGTGCGGCGAGGAGGATGGATCTGGGGATGGGTGTTGGTGGACTCCTTGGTGTTGCGGCTGTGGCTGGGTTGGTGCTTTAAGAGTCGGGGTGAAAGGGGGGCTGGAAGGAGAAGGATGGAAGCAAGAAGGGTGGCTAAAAGGTGCTGAGGTGAAGTGGGTGTGAGTAGAGTCGGTGCCTTTTTGTTTAGCTGCCTTGTTTTAGTAGTGTAGAATTCGTATCCACTATGCATAATAAAATGAAGTTCGTAATGAACCATGATTTCCGGTATTATCGCTTTTGCCTAGACAGCCCGCCTATGAAGGTAAAACTCCATTCCATCTATATTCAACCTCGTCACCGTAATCGTCAAACTCACGCTTCTTCGGAACCCACTAGATGATTTCGGATTCAGCATTACCTAATTCGAGGTTGTCTGTGAAGAGGTGTCTTGATTTTATCCTTATCTGAGCGATTCGTGACCGAAGACTCCACTTCTCTTCCATCGTCGTTCCAGATCGTCGGTTCGAATCAGAATGGCTAGTTTGCTCGCAGGCTGTGCAAAGCACCCATTGAATGTTACCACACGCCATGAGTATTTTACATAACGTGGGATTGATTATGAAAGGAATGCAAGAGGTCGGGTTCCATTAGACTGAAATGGGAAGGCAAAGAGAAGACAGGGAATTCTGCCACAGCGCCGTTGCAACGAATCAGCGATAGAAAGGTTCCCCAGCTTCTCCTCAGCTATATTGCTGACTAAGTTAGAAAGATTGGCAGCAACACAAAATCGGAATTGAAAGGGAGCCTGGAAAGCGAACAACAGGAAATGACTTCTATTCATTATCAACATGAGTCTGGGTCATGAACAAGTGTTCCCTCTGTGACTCTCGAGCTGGTACTTCCGAGACCTTCTCTTAACTTGGACCTCAAGACTTCCAGCATCCACCTCTCTTCTGAATCAAGAGACAACCAATCAGGTATTGAAATAAGTCTGTCGCTAACCATTATGTGAGGCCGCCCTGCCGTAGATCTTTTCTCACAGGGTGACCCTTCCAGAACTCCAGTATCGTTTTCACCGACTTGACCTTGTTTCTCAATATCGACTCCATTTGGTCTGCATAAATCGACTGGAGTCCACCAGTATATCGGAAATTGTCGTTGAATATTGTTTGTAACACAGCCAACTGCTACCAGCAGAACACTGCCAAGCAGAATGAGAGGTATGAGGAACCAGCCCAGCTCTGTGATCTCGGGTGTGGTGGCTGCAAGTAGGGCCGTGGCTCCTGCAGGTGGGTGAATCGTGTTTGTGAACCCCATGAAAGCTGATGTAATTCCGACGGACAGCGCACCTGCAACCCAGCGCAGATTTTCGAAGTTTGAGTTCAGTTGGAAGAGTTTCGTGATTCCCACCCCGATGATTGCAGCGAATAGTTCGCCGAGAATGACATTGCGTGGTTGTGAGAGGGGCGAATCAATTGTGTGATATTCGAGGATTGCAGCCGCACCCTGGGATGAATGTGAGTACAAATATTTTTGACGCTGGAGAATCCTTCTTACAAAGCTTGCAATCACTGTCGGGGCACCATGGACTTTTATTCCTTTAGATTGGAACACAGCCTGCACAACCAAAAGTCCAGCAAAGGCACCCACGAACGCCCACAACCAGACCAACACGCTCCCAATTTGGGGCATGGGTTGAGATCGATACCCCAGAATCCATGATATCGGTTTGGGGAGAAGATGAAGTCGTGGACGGGGAACAATGTGGTTGATGTCGTGATGCACAACAAAATCTAGTGCAGGCTCCTGCATCGCTCCAGTGGCCATTCTTTCATTGAAGTTAATCTCGATGTAGAGTGAAAGAACTTATAGTACAAAGAAGGGGAGGAACTATGCTAGAAGGCGAAAAGATCCATGTTGACTTTTGAAATAGAATGCGACCAGGGTAACTCATGACACAAGGAAATAGCATCTCCGGATTTAGGTCGTACAAACACGTTATTCGGTATTCAGGTACAAGAAATCGTTGCATTCATTGCTTCCTAGGCAACGCGGCTACGTTTCGAACAAAATCTGGGGTACATGGCCTCAAAGATTGCCTAGCCATCTTCGGATCTCCCTCGAATCCTCCACAGGACAAATTATAGACTTTTTCTGAGGTATGCTCTCAGTCTTGTGATGGCGATGGTGACGAGCTTCGCGGTAGCTATTTGTAACAGACGTGCTGCTTTAGGTTTCCCGTTGCTGCACTTGGAAGACTATGTGTCATAAAAATCATGGGTTAAGGTGCGGTTGATCGTCAGAAAGGAAGCAAGGGCTCGCTAAGAAAATGATGGCAAAATCGATAGCCCAATCACGTGTGGCAGAAGCCGATATCCCCCCTATTTACCCATTTGGTATGCAGAGGGCTGCAATTGAGTTCAAAATTTTCAGTTTCCATTCATATTCTCTTTGTATGCGCTATTTACGCCTGCTTGCGATAAACCAAGTAGCAAAGGGACAGGTAAGTTCGGCGTTCACCTGGAGAACAAGGAGCATCCCTGGCACAAATCCGTGAATAGCCCATCTTGCTGCTGCATCTCACCTACTTGATTTCTCATCTAGAATGGATTTATAATAATAATTAAGCCAAAAGGCACCTCTTTCCATACCGTGATTTCCCCAAGCTCTCCTGGCCGTTGTGAGAATAATACAGGCTTAAGATACAAAAAATTCACGCCCTTTTGTTCATATTGTTCCTTCCAAAAGCTGTACTGAAAACGACAGTATCAAAAACGTCTGGTAAAGGAAAGGACGGGGAGAGGAACAGTGAGTTGGTCACGTGTGTATTATGCCTTAGGCACCACAAATCGAAACCTGAAATCGAAAATCAATGATTTTTCATCTGTCACCAGCACTTTTCATAGAGATCTCGCACGGAAAAGAAAGAGATTACGTCTGCCTCAGATGGATCGATGACCTACATGCCAACGTACTACAAAGTTCTCGGTCTTCCCGAAGCTCTTCGCGATGACCCAAACCTCTCGGCGCAAACCATTCGAAATGCTTATCGTCGAGCTCTTTTACAGAACCATCCCGACAAAACGACACAGTCGGCCGTGAAAGGAGCGGACTTCTCGATAGATCAGATATCGGAGGCTTTTTCTACCTTGTCGGATAGGAAATCTCGGGCAGAATATGACAAGGGACTGCATCAGAAAGCCTCGCATTACGAGAGAGGGGCCAAAGGGAGAGAGGTCTTCCGCACCGGCATCGAGACTGTGGATCTGGACGACCTAGAAACCAACGAGGTGCAAGGCATATGGTACAAAAGCTGCAGGTGCGGGGATGAATACGGGTTCCTCATTAGAGAGTCGGATCTTGAAGAAGCCGCAGAGGATGGCGAGATCAGCGTTGGATGTCGGGGATGCAGTCTCTGGCTCAAGGTGCTTTTCGGGGTAATGGAGCAGGAGGCACCAGAGAAAGTCAACGACACCTTGGGAGATTCAGGGAAAGGGGAGGCTGAAAAATTATCGTCCCCCATCTAAGTGTGTTGCCTTACACAAGACACCTCTCTTGTCTTCGTTTCCTCTTGCAGAAAGTTCCGATACCCTGGCACTAGGATGAACACAGCGCGAGGGACATGAAACTCTTTTCCAGCCCAAAGGCTACAGGCCATCAAACAAAATATCCAGATGTACCGTCTTTCCTATGGCCAGCCAATCAGAGCTCATAAGAGCGTTTTGGTAGCCTCAAACTTGCGGTAGATATCCTCTTGCAACGAGTAAACAAATTGTTTGAACGAACACCAACATGCCGTAGAGAAAATTGGAGACGTGTTGGAGAACCTGTGTTGCTGATGTAGTTCTTCAAGCAGAAGATCTTGCAAGAAATATTGGGATGCCTCTGACCGCCTTCCCAAACTAGCCGCCACGGTAACTGCTTCGAGGAGGCGAGCCGTGCAGGGGTCTCCAGACTCAGGACGACTCAAGTCATCTGGGGAGCATCACCTCCAGCACCTGCCGTGTCTATGCAGATGTCGGCACTGTCCTGAACCCCACCTTTCCTGTCCTTCCAAATCATTTCTTGTGCCTTCCTTCCTTCCTTTCCCGGCGTCAATGCGTGTCATCACCTCTGCGATTTCCTCGGCTTTGAGACGCCCTGCATTTTCTGCTGGTGTTGCATTTTCTTCAACCACACAGAGAAGAGCTTTCAGTAGCATCCTTCACCGTTCTTCAGCCACCTTTCTGCGGGATTCCATGTTTGTATTCCACATTCCGTTTCTTCGTCATGTCGCGTGCAATTATCATCTTTCAGCCTTCTAGTGGATTATAGAAGCTTGACTTGGCCCCTCGTCTACCAAGAACATATCCTACTTCACAAGCTAACAAACGGCAACAGATTCCCGTCAACTTGTGGACGACCTCAGACTTCGAAATATTTCAGACACACTCCTTTCACAACTGCAGCAGTACGAAGCTGCTCATACCGACGAAGCAACATGTGCAAGCTACGTGGGGAGAGAGACTTGGCCGAGGGTGGCTTGGATGTCACAAAGGGAAGAGAAATCTTGCCTGCAAATGTGATCGCAAAGCACTACGATCTCACATTGGAGCCTGACTTCAAGAAATTGACGTACGAGGGGACGGTTGTTATTGATCTGGAAGTAGCTGAGGATTCCGAATCAATTTCGTTAAACACTCTGGAGCTCGACATCCACAGCACCAAGGTTCTTTCGGGAGAAACCACCATTAGGTCAGTAACTGGCCAACATGGGCATTCGTAGATATGAAATGGTCTAATTCTGGAATAGCTCCTCCCCTGAACTTTCCTATCATGAAGCAACGCAAACTACGAAAATCGCATTCGACAAACAACTTTCGAAGGGATCTAAGGCACAGCTTGAGATGAAGTTCACGGGCCAGCTCAACGACAAGATGGCTGGGTTCTACCGATCAACATACAAGAATACCGATGGCAGTGAAGGAGTTTTGGCGACAACTCAGATGGAGGCGACCGACGCTCGACGAGCATTCCCATGCTTTGACGAACCGTCATTGAAAGCGGAATTCACCATAACTCTAATTGCTGATAAGCACCTCACTTGCTTGAGTAACATGGATGTTGCTTCTGAGACGGAAATCCATTCTGAAATGAGTGGAGCTACCAAGAAGGTAGTCAAATTCAACAAGTCTCCTCCCATGTCGACTTATCTCCTTGCATTTATCGTAGGCGAGCTCAACTACATCGAAACAGACAAATTTAGACTCCCTATCCGAGTCTACGCTCCGCCGAATCAGGAAATCGAGCATGGACAGTTCTCTTTAGAACTTGCTGCACGTACTCTAGAGTTCTACGAGAAGACTTTCGACAGTGCTTTCCCTCTGCCAAAGATGGATATGGTTGCGATCCCTGATTTTGCGGCTGGTGCCATGGAGAACTGGGGTCTCATCACCTACAGGGTGGTTGATATCTTGTTTGACGAAAAGACTAGTGGTGCTTCTGTGAAGGAGCGAGTGGCGGAGGTTGTTCAGCATGAACTGGCTCACCAATGGTTCGGCAACCTCGTCACGATGGATTTCTGGGATGGTCTCTGGCTCAATGAAGGATTTGCAACGTGGATGTCGTGGTACTCTTGCAATATCTTCTACCCCGAGTGGAAAGTATGGCAAAGTTACGTTATCGACACTCTTCAAGGTGCACTGTCTCTGGACTCGTTGCGCAGCAGCCATCCTATTGAGGTTCCAGTGAAGAGGGCAGACGAAGTCAACCAGATCTTTGACGCAATCTCATACTCAAAGGGATCGTGTGTTCTTCGCATGATATCCAAATACCTAGGAGAGGACATTTTCATGGAAGGTATCCGAAGATACTTAAAGAAGCACGCCTATGGCAATACTCAAACCACTGACCTGTGGGCTGCTCTCAGTGACGCTAGTGGTAAAGATGTTTCGAGCGTTATGGACATCTGGACAAAACACGTTGGCTATCCTGTCATTACGGTCACAGAAAACGAGAGCGAAAAATCTATTAACGTGAAGCAAAATCGCCTGCTTCGAACTGCCGATGTCAAGCCAGAGGAGGATACAGTTCTCTATCCTGTTTTCCTTGGCCTTCGCACCAAGGATGGCGTTGATGAATCACTGGTATTGTCGAAGCGAGAGGAAAACTTTAAGGTGCCAGATTTAGATTTCTTCAAGCTGAATGCCGATCACAGCGGTATCTACCGAACATCGTATACCCCTGTACGCCTTGAGAAACTTGGAAAGGCAGCAAGGGATGGATTGTTAAGTGTAGAGGATCGGGCTGGCATGCTCGCTGATGCCGGAGCATTAGCAGCATCTGGGTACCAGAAGACTTCCGGAGTTCTGAACCTTCTGAAAGGATTTGATGGAGAGAAGGAGTTCGTGGTGTGGAACGAACTCATTTCTCGACTTGGAGCCATCCAATCAGCGTGGATATTTGAGGACCAAAAGGTTAGGGATGCCCTCGAAACTTTCCAGCGAGATCTTGTCAGCGAGAAGGCACACGAGAAAGGCTGGGAATTCAAGGAAGGCGATGACCACGTTGAGCAACAGTTCAAGGGCATGCTCTTTGGCGCCGCTGGTATGTCTGGTGACAAGACCGTCATCGAAGCGGCAAAGGATATGTTTGCAAAATTCTCGAAAGGCGACAAGTCTGCCATTCACCCCAACATCAGAGGCAGTGTCTTCGGGATGGCATTGAAGTATGGCGGTAAAGAAGAGGTTAGTTGACAGGGCCTTTTCCCGTGGACCCGAAACTAACGTCCATTAGTATGATGTAATCCTTGATACATATCGTAATTCGAAGAACAGTGATGAGTGCAACACTGCTCTCCGTTCTCTCGGTAGAGCTAGAAGCCCAGAGCTCATCAAAAAGACACTTACCCTTCCATTCGGTGGCGAAGTCAAGGAGCAAGACGTCTATCTTCCATTGGCCGCTCTCCGAACTCACCCTGAGGGTATCGAGCAGTTGTATGGCTGGATGACTGATAATTGGGAGGAACTCACCAAGAAGTTCCCTGCCGGCTTGTCCATGCTTGGAACGATTGTCTCGATTTGCACATCAAGCTTCACCAGCCAGGCGGCACTAGATCGTATCCAGGCATTCTTTACGGATAAAAATACCAAAGGTTTTGACCAAAGTCTGGCACAGAGTTCTGATGCCATCAGGGCAAAGAGTGCTTGGCTCGCTCGGGATCGAGACGACGTCAAGGACTGGGCGTATAAGGCGAAGACTATCAAGGCGGAGTTGTAAACTAATCACTCTCCATACACTTACTTACATAAGACAAGAAGACGAGTAGCCGATGAATTGCTAGCTAAGAAACCTTTAAACAGTAATACAAATCTGTTGCATCAAGTCACTCTTAGCTCTCAGCTCTCGGGTTTTCGTTCAACGACTTAACTGAGAGGACTATAACGACTTTATTACTTTTCAATGTCTTACACAGACAGTAGTGTAACAATTTTAAAGCAGCTGGATAGACGGTCTACGTCGCTGTGTACGGTGTAAATAGATCCTCCCCTTTAATGAGTGTGCTCCCAAATGATATTCCCAACACTAGTACTAGCTCCAGTTGTATTCCGTCGGTCCCCATCTTCCTCCAAGTTTTCTCTACTGGAATTATCAATCATTCCGACTCATAGCACTATCAATCTCCCATATATCGAAACAGGTAGCTCAACTGCTTCCATCGACAATTTCTTACGAGCAGAATCGATGTCGCCATGAGACCTCTCCCTACAATCCACATCATTGGCGGTGGAATCGGTGGCTTGACTCTAGCCAGATGCCTCAAGAACAAAGGCATCCAAGCCATTCTCTTTGAGAAGAGCCCCTCTCCCGCTCGGCACCATTATGGAATTTCTTTGCAACCAAGGACGTGCGAGGCTCTGCTGAAAGTCCTCGGGATGGATGAGTCTACGTTTTGTCAGCGAGTGGCTGTTGACGGTCTAAATGGAGGACGGGGTTTGGTCTATCCTGAGAGTGGAACAAGATCAGATGCTTTGAAGGGGAGGGTCCCTTTTCGAGCTCATCGTGGAAGATTGGAAGGTGTTCTGAGGGAGTCATTGGATATTCAGTGGGGGCACGTGCTCGGAGACATCGAAAGCAGGGGAGCAGAACTTGCTCTGAGCTTCAAAGAGAAGGATGAAGTACGGAGTACCTTCTTAGTGGATACTAGTGGAGTTCATTCCCCCATTCGGAAAGCCTTACTACCCGATGCGCAACTCAATATCTTGCCGTATGTCGTCTTCAGAGGAACACGGCATATCGACCATACTACTTTTAAGAAAATTTATGAACCAAGATTCGAAGGTGGGAATGTCCTTGAGACAAGGAAAGGCGATGTCCTACTGCAGATCTCGATTAATGATCGAGGCAAAGGTGAGGTCGGGGTGGATATCAGCTACATCTATTCCCATCCAGCTCACCAAGATGACCAACTTCATCGACCCGTCCGAGAGTTGCAGCAGGCAGCTGATATCTCAGAGCTCTTCTTCGCAGAGACTTCCAAGCTACAGGAGTTGGAAAATCCGATCAAAGATGCTTTCGATGGGGACAAAATAAGAGGTGATCGGATCTTGCACTGGCTTATGAGGGATATTCTTATCCCATTGGATGACTTGAAGAGCCTCGCTGAGAGGGGGCTTTTGCTGATAGGCGATGCTGCTCATGCGGCGCCTATCCTGGGTGGAGAGGGTGGGAATTCTGCTCTTGCAGATGCGGTTGATTTGGCGGAGTGGATTGAAAGTTGGGGACTTGAGGACGTTGGGGGATTTTATGAGAAGAGGTATGGTGAGTGGGAATTGGAAGTGAAGGAGAGTGAGGAGAGATTGGTGGAGATGCACTCGGTTTCGAGATCTTCCCTTTGATGTTTGATAATGAGAGAGAGAAGGTGTAAGGCGATTTACTTCGGAGGAGATTCAGGGGTTATAAAAAGGGGCTCTAGCGAGGTCCGAGACCAGATGAAATCTAATTTATTATCCCGCTAAAAGAGGTTGAGACTCACTTACTTTTAACTTCCTTCTCGTCTCAGTACTTAAGACGAAAATCGGACAAGAAATTCTTGAGAACTTATTCATTCCATAACGCGCGCCCTGTTCAAACCACACTCTCACCCGCCACAAATGTTTAGAAGCTACTCTTCGTTACGACTGGGGATCAATAAAATCATCTTGTGGATCTGGATACTGGTGTTCTGTACGGTTGAACCGTGCATGTAGATCTTGAACATCGTCACGGGTGGTGATTGGAGCGTGGGCGTTCGGGAATATTGAAGGGTTTTGCCGTTCGCCGCCTGTGGAATAGGCTGCTTCGGAGGGTATTCTTCCGAAGTCCGGGGTCTCTTAAATGTCGAAGAAGGTGGGGTTCGTGGATTGTTCAACCTTTTGGAGACTTCGCTTTGAACTTCATCTTGAAGTATGTGTTCGAACAGAGATAGTTTACGACGAATCTGAAGGAAGACCTCTGGTACTGCACACGAGTTGATCCGGCCCTGCTTTTTATCTGAATTATACTCCAAGGACATACTGTATTGCCATCACGCTACTTGTTCAGAGGGATTCTATTTCCTTTCACGATTCGAATAGCAGAATCATGCTTGAAGAGCCGGTTGTTTCTGTTCTTGGAAGAGATCCAACGAGAAAGCACAGAATCAACGCGAACTCCTTCCAACAGAACGCTATTACCTCCATCAACGGATGGCAGTATGCCGCTTTTTACACAGACGAGATTAACGGAGAGAGAAAAGATGGATGTTATGTAAATCTAGCTCGAAGACAAGTTTCAAGAGCTGGAGTTACAAATACAACAAGAGCGTGGCAAACTATTTTGTTTGAAGACTATAAACAAATCGTTGATGATGGCCATAATACCATTTCAATAGGGGTTTGTAAAGGAGATGGAACTATCCATGTAGCATTTGATCATCATTGCGACCAGTAAGTAACAAACCATTCGACGAGCTATAGTGTCTGATTCTAGAAAGATTGAGACTTAGAATTTCGAAGCTGGATGTAGCCGGTGCAGCTCCAACACAAGCTTGGGATGCTTCGACTTTCACGAAGACCCAGAATTTCTTGCCCGGTATAGCTGCAAATGACCTGATGAAAGAGGTTACTTACCCGAGATTTGTGAACATTGACGATGACCTTCTCCTTACATATCGAATTGGCCAGTGAGTGCCCCCAGTCTCACCCGTCACTTACTCGCCTTGCTAACATCGCAGCAGAGCAGGTCTAGGATCCGATATCCTGTACCGTTACTCCTCGACCACGCATCAATATGTTTATCTCGGTCAATACCTCACAGGTATAGCTAACAGCCCGTACATAAATGGTCTAGATTATCGGCAGCCTCGCCTCCACGTCTCATGGTGTTACCGTAACTTCGTCCAGGTAGATGCTTCAGCATCGGCAGATGCACACAAGCAGCAAGCTGGACCGAACGGGCCTGAGAACAACTATGATCTCAACTATGCCTTCTCCGAAGACATGGGTGAGGCATGGAAAAGCTCGGACGGAAGGGTGCTGGCGGTATTGGGAAGCAAAGAGGCTGGAGTTGGAAGGACAATAAAGCCTGATGTTGATGGGGCAAGGGTCTTTGAAATACCCATGCATAGTGGAATACTGAATCAGGAAGGGCAAGGCGTAGATTGGGAAGGAGGTTTCTGGGCCCTGAACCGAGAGAAAGTGGAAGGAGAGGAGAAGTGGATAGCTTATTATCGAGATGTCGCAGGTGCGGAACTACATTCTCCTTGCTTGCTACGTGCTGACTGGAGAAGGACATTGGACCAAGAAGATTGTTCCCAGCTTCTCGCAGCCAACAGAAACGGGTTCCAGAGGAAGCATATGTGTTGATCGAAAAAACAACGTTTATCTCATTTTGCCAGGAAATTCCGATTCGAGCTTGGAAATCATGCTGGCGCGGAAGGACGGGGAGTGCGCGAGCATCAAGCCGATCTGGAGGAGCGAGGGGTACGATGGCGAGCCTTTGGTTGATGTGCAGCGTCTGGAAGTATCTGATGTCTTGTCAGTATTTACGAGAACGAGCAGAAGTGTTGGAGAAGGCAAGGTTGTTGTACTAGATTTCGCCTTACCAGGTGCTCTAGGTTAGATGTTGAATTCTACTGCAGGGAATATTTTCGACCTAGTGAATAAATCAGTAAAGGGGAAGTCGAGAATTGAGTTGTGTTGGTGTGTAGGGCGTAATCAAACTGGGTGATTGAGGCGAGGAGTCAATTTGGTGAATATACACTGAAGATGAACTCGCGAGTGAAAAAGTGAATCCATCTCGTCAACCGCAAAATCATCACAACTCCACCCAGCCATCAACCCCACAACATCTACACAAACATTGACCCAAGAATACCTACACGCCAAAAGATCCAAAAAAAATTATGGTAAGCGGGTTTTTGAAATCTGGATCGCATTTTATTGACAAGTTCCAGGCGCCGAAGAACCTACCTGCTGCAGCGAAACAGCAAAAGATCCTCGACTACTTCAGAGAGAGCATGAGTGTTTTCACCTTCAAAGAACTCGAAAAGATTCTTCCAGCTGTAGCTTCCATCAACGCTATGCAAGTCAAGGACGTCCTCCAAGGCCTCCAGGACGAGAACCTTATCCGAGTCGAGAAGATTGGCAGCGGCAATTGGTACTGGTGCTTCACGTCGGATGCAAAGAAATTGAAGGAGAACACAATCAATACTCTCAAGGCTGAGGGGAGCAAGCTGGTCGTTTCGATTGCAGAGACAGAGAGACAGATTGAGGAGGAGACGGCCACACGCGAAGACGACAACGAGATGCTCGAGGGCAATGGAATGGGCAGAAAGGCACTCCTCGAGGCTTACGATGCACTGTTGAAGGAGGCTGATCTTCTTGACAAGGAATTGGCTTGCTACAGTGATAGCGATCCTGCCGAGGTTCAGAGGAAGATGGAAGAGGTCAAGAACTTGAAGACCAGTGCGACCAGGTGGACCGACAACATTGAGGCGCTGGAATGTATGCTCGGTGACTTGACCAAGGACAGGCACCAGACTTCCGAAATCATGCAGAATGCATGTGGAGATGAGTATGTTCCTGGTGAAGGTTTGAAGGAGTTGTGAGTTCGAGGATCCGGACAGGACTCCGGAATAGTCGCCAGGAACAGGGAGGCACGGGATGTTGGCCTTATAACAAGTTGGGGTTTGCTGTTCTCCTTCGGCGACATTAACTTTGGCCTTATCATTGACAGATACTAGCTGTTATGCGGATAGATTCTAGCGCTATGCAAGCATACATAACTTTCAGCAGATGTTCCTGAAGAGGCCAGGTATCCCACTTGACTCATGGCCCCGCAAGCTGCATTGATTGGCCAATGGAGCGGTGGTGAGACGGTGAGGTGGTGAGGCGGTGAAGTGATGAGGTGGTGAAGTGGTGAAGTGGTAAGTGATGAAACAAGCAATACATGTTGCAAGTGCACAAAACAAAACAAAACAAGCCCCTGTTGCACAGCCTCGGGTGTCACAATACTGGAGGAAAGACTAGCCTCGTGCCGCGTTTCCAGACGCCACTTTGCAGTCAAGCTTTTTTATCTCTGGCGGATCGGATCAGATAATGGGTACGTGCAGCTGCTGAGATTGGCTGCCCGCGGCGGCGGGGCAAAGTGTGCAGGGGCGTGTGCTCGTCCTCGTCTTTTGTGTTCACGCAAGGCCCTGGCCTTGGCCGCGAAGCATATGTCGAAGCTTTTCAGGTCCTCGGCGGCCTGACGACTGCTGGAGCTGCTGCAAGTGACGAGGCCTTTAGTATTAAGATCTCGAGGACGGCAGGGTCCGTCGAAGAAGGGCAGGGAAAGTGCATGCGAGCCAGGACGGTGCCGCCAATACGCTCCCCGAGCAAGTGCCCAGCCCGGCGACTTAAGCTTTCATGAACAATTTAAACATACGGATCCGTACGGCACCACGGTACTTGGCTCGTAAACTTACTCGAGTGCCAGGACGGCGATGCGTCGTCCCAATTCCAATTCGAACTCCTCCAGAGGCCGGATGCTGGGACAGGACCAAGACCAGAAGAGCTTGCCTCCCTCCGTCAGCGCCATCCATCCTTCGCATGCAGCCTCGTTCTAGACCTCACGCGCATGCGAGCTAGCAACTCCTGCTCGTCGGACTTGGACTCAGCCCCCTTCGTGACTACACTAGATACAAACAGAAAAGAGCGTTCCTTCGGTGGGGTGGACAGAGGGCATCCTCTATCCTTGATCTTCACTCTCCATCCAGCGCTCCGGCGGCAAATTGTGGATTTACAGTACGAGCACCAGCGCCAGCACCAGCATCAGCATCAGCACCACCCCGACTAATCGAGCAGCGCGATCAACGAGCGCAGGGGCTCCCTCCCTCTTCTTACGTCTCCGCCTCCCAAGGCCATTGATCCCACTGCCAGCAGTAAAAAGGTCGAAGATCGCTTGTCCGTGTCGGCGAAGCGTCTCACCCTCTTGCGTGCCAAACAGTTCAAGCGCTCTGACGGTCGCTCTCAGCCCTCGACTGCTCGCTCGCCTGCCCACTCCACCTGCAACGCGTGTACTTCTGAACCCCAACTTGCAAACTCTCCATCATTCGCATGCAGACACCAGCGCTGAGCAGACTACGTGCTGGGCGTTTGTAATACAAAGCAGCACCGAGTCCCAATCCCGCGCCCCAGAGTTTGCACATTGCATGTCCACACCCAGCGGGAGAGTACGTGACCGACGTCCTTGGCACAACCGGTCAAGCTCTTGGCAGCGAACATATCACAACAACAGGAATTTCTGACATGTGCGCGAATGCCACTTCCTCAGATACGCAGCAGCCTTCCGTCTCGTCCACCCGGGCGTCCCTGTTCTCGAAGTTAACGTCGCCGCTGAAGAAGCATGCGCGCAACCTGATCGACTTCCAGATCGAGCCGGACGAGCCTCATCGCCAGTACTCGCCCGGCGACCTGGTCAAGGGTGCCGTCGTCCTCGCCGTCGTCAAGCCTGTACGAGTCACGCATCTAACAGTCTGCCTCCATGGCATTGTGCGAGTATTCAAGCATCCAAATGGGGCGAACGAACCAATGCCAGATACCGGCCCAGTGGCATCGTCACGGCGGACACAATATTTTGGCAACGGACACGCATCGCTCTTTCAAGATGAGCAGACGCTCTGCGGGGAGGGTAGGCTTGAGCCTGCAGAATACCGGTTCAATTTTGAGTTGGAGTTCCCTTCGAAAGGCCTCCCATCGAGCATTGATGTATGTCGTGCCTCTCCCGCCTTGCTGCCCCTCTCCTTGCTGATAGTCCTGCTAGTTTGAAAGGGGGACTATCTCCTACATGATCACCGCGACCATGACGAGGCCCACGTCAATCGCTGCGGCGTCAAGCTGTGATCGCAAAATCTCTTTCGTCGAGACTGTTGATATAGGCCCCATGCCTCCTCCAAAGGCCCGAGTCATATCGTTAGAGCCCATATCGAGGAAGGCGAGAAGGAAAAAGAAGAGCAAAGAGGGTGGATCGCAGGATAACACAGATGCCGGCTCTGTCAATGATGCAGCACGACAAGCAGGATCACCTTTGCCACAGGAGTCGGATAGTCAAGCTGGATCCATCGATCATCATCAAACTCCTCGGAGTCCAGTACCAAGTGAGGCTCAGAGTGTTGTTAGTACAGCCACCAGCACAGATAGTACTGTCAGCAGCAGCACAGGGATGAGCTTCAGACTGGGTCCTGTACCGTCATGTGCCAAATCCACTCAATCCCCGAAGCATAGCAAGAGCGATAGCAAGAACGGCAGCAGCTGTTCTATAGAAGACCAGACGATAACGGCCACCATTCAGTTACTCAAGTCAGGTTGCCTGCCCGGCGACAACCTCCCCCTTAAAATATCTATCAAGCACACTAAACCGATCAAAAGCATGCATGGTATCATTGTTACGCTTTACAGACAAGGAAGAATCGACTCTGCACCACCTCTGTCCCTCTTTGCTGACATCAAGGGCAAAGAAGTTGAGAGATTGAAACATGAAGAGTACTATCCAAAGTCAAAAACGGGTCTTGGTGGGCTTTCTCTGTCATCTGCGGGGTCCAGCAGTATGTTTCGGAAGGATCTAGCCCAGACCTTTGCTCCAATATTGGTCGATCCAGTTACTCTGAGTGCGGTAATCCATGCCTCAGTCAGAGTCCCTGAGGATGCCTTTCCGACGATTTCTGGCGTCCCCGGGCAAATGATCAGCTTCAAGTACTATGTTGAGGTTGTTGTTGACCTCGGCGGAAAACTTGCTAGTCAACAACGCCATCTTCCTCGATTGGGTACTGTGTCGCTTGCCTCAAACTATGGGAACTCCTCTGCTGTCAGAGGTGATAACAACCCTAATATTGTAGCTGCCTATGGTGGGAGCATTGTGGAAACGGACCACATCAGGCGAGAAAAGGGTGTAGTTGCACCTGTTTTCGAGGTCATTATTGGTACTGTTGACAGTGCACGCATTCGGGGCAGGGCCCAGAGCTCGGCCAAGGAGACAAGTGATTGGAATGTGGAATCGTCAGCAAAGCCTGCAACAACACAACGGATGCCGTGCGAGAAGTCGTTTCCCCCGCACGAACCTGGCCAAAACCCAGCAAGCCAGCCATACCCATATCCTTATTATGACCAATCTTACGAAGACCAGAATCACGAATACTATCCAGACGAAGCATACGACTACCAAGTGCTTTACCCGGAACAAGGCCCACCTCCAGCACACGACCATGTCTCAGTTCCACCACCAGATATACAAGCTGAGGAGGGACTCGGTGAGAAAGAGCGAATACGACGTGCTGAAGAAAGGCTACTCCCTAGTCAACCCCCAATTGACGTCCCAAGCACTTCATCCTCAAGCGCAGTTGTCCTTCCATTGATGCCACCAGCTGAACCAGAAGATCTGTACGGAGCAGAAGATGCCACTCCCCCAGCCTTATCCAATGGCTTCTACCCACCCCGTCCCGCCATTTCTGCGGATACTTCTCTCGCCCCGTCAGCGCCAGCACTGGAGGATCTCACGCCAACTAATACTCAAACTCTTGACGACAAGCAAGAGCTTGAGCGGCGGCGATTGTTAACCGAGGCAAGCGCACCGTCGGGTCCCCCAGCTGATGAGGAGGACAATGTCGGCAATGGCAGCAGTTCGCAACATTTTGAACCCTCAGCACCAATACTCCCAGATGAGGATTATGATGGGCAATATTCTCAACACGGGTTTTCGGTCCCATCACGGCGTGAAATATTACCAAAGTACGAACGATAATGCGAAAGAGAAGGATGAACGTATTTACTGAATACATACTGGGCTGTATAGAGCGGGCGCTCAGCTTTGCAAATATGATACCCCTTGAAGCGCTACTGATCTATGCAAATTGTGACACAAATGGCGTGAAAGGATTTAGTACAAACGATCTTCCCGAAGAGTCCGTAAGTTAAGCATCTCCAATCTCATCTTTGCCCCGAGTCAGCAAACATATCACCGCTCGGCCGATATCCCCCTGAGTACAAGCTTCTACACATACGTCGAAACTGGGGCGTTCGCTGTAAATGATCTGCAGCTCGGTAACCCTCAAAAGTTTGGGGAGGTGGGAATCTTCATTGGAGGTTGACAAATATGGGTCCTCACTTGCTCCGAACGAGGATCTTTCATGGCGAAATTCTCGGTATGCTTTGGATCGGCATCACAGGTGTTGGAGAATGCGTTCTGGCTTTTGCATAAATACGACTTATAAATAAAAAAACAAACAAAAGGAAGGAGAAAAAGATCCATCTGGTCAGACAACTGCGTGACTTCTTTGCGTTGTGTCTTTTGTTTTGTGACTACAAGTACAAACAAGCATAGTACATTGAATTTAATGTGGAACTCTTTTGGGGTGGAAAGCCCGGGGGGTGGGAGAGGGGGACGCAAAGCTCTGAATTGGGCAGTTACAGGCAAGTTCAAACTCCAACGTTCACACAGACCTCTCAGGTTAACATTTCTCATCGAGGCAAGTTGTCAAGGCTTCTTGCTCTTAGGATATGGCCAAGGAGTTATGAGCGGTTTTATAGGAGCCAACAACCAATTTGCCTAAGAATGCCACCAACCAGATGCCAAACTCCAAGCCATAATCACCTCTATCTACGACATTGGAGATGAAGCTGGAGCACTCCTCAACTTCTTCTTCGGTGAACAACTCGGCCGCAAGAATATGATTATTGCAGGAGGAACGAATATGATTGTTGGGACGGTCCTCCTTGGCTCCTCTACCACCCTTGCTCAACTCCTCTTCAGACGAATCGTCACAGGTATCGGGAACGGCTTTAACAGCTCAACAATGCCCATGTACCAATACAAGATGTGCAAGCCCTCCAACAGAGGCATACTCCTCAACATGCAAGGAACGGTAACCATTATCGGTCTCTGCATTGCCTACTGGCTCGATTTCGGTCTCTCCTTTGCAAAAGGACCCATTCAAGGGCGCCTCCCCATCTCCTTCCAAGCATTCCTCTCTGGACAGTGGAGAAGTTCGGCAGCAGAACACTGCTCATGTTTAGCGCTATGGGTTTGTATCTTTGCTTTTCCATGGTTTCGATACTATTGAGTACCGGGACGAGGAGCACAGCTTATGCAGTGGCGGCGTTTATGTTCATCTTTCAGATCTTTTGGGGGATTGGCTGGTTGGCTATTCCATGGTGTTTTCCGAGTGAGGGTTACGACGAGGATTAGGTCGAGGGGGCATGCGCTGGGCTTTTGCGAATTGGAGTGAGTTTTGATTCTTACTTCTCCTTTTTATTGCCTTCGTCTGATGTCTTCCCTTTCACTGATCCTTCGTTTTCTCTAATCCCCCTTTCCTCTAAATTCTACTCTCTTCCGAAGTTTCCATCCATCTAGTAGTCCCAAGATCATCTCTTCTCTCCAACTCTCACACTCCAAACCAAACCCCCACTAAGGTTTCCCCTCCCCTGTGCGTCTTCACCGTCGTCCAAATGACGCCCATCGCCATCTCCTCCATCGCCTGACGCACCTTCATCATCTTCGCCGTCTTCTGCGCCCTCTGGGCGCCCATGGTCTACTGCTTTGTCCCTAAAACAAACCAACTAAAGCTTAAGGATATCGATGATTTGTTTGAGAGGGTAGGTGTTACCGGGGATATATTTAGTGCAAAGGGGGACAGTGGAGCCTGGGTGGAGTGAGAGAGGGAGGGGCTGTAAGAAGGGGGAGGTGGAGGAGAGGGTTAAGGGCGGAGAGACGGGCGGGAAGAGGAAGGCGGGTAAAGAGTTTATTCCCAGACGTGTACAAAGAAATCTTGCTCCATTTAATATGTCATGAACCCCTTTCACGCGGCTCCGAGCTTATTCTATCTCTTTAAATTTCGCAAAACATAGTTTTTGATATCTCTTCCTCAGACCCCCCGCGTATTACAAATATTTCAATCATGGATCTTTGATGGTATAGACAAGACGATTTTAAGACGCAAAGCAAAAGTTGAAAAATCCTGCGTTTTTTTTCCAGGAGCGAAGATTGTTGATAGCAAGAAAGTGGACTGATCTAATCGATACGAGAGGTTCCCCGCTTTTAGGCGTCAGTCAGCTCGCCCCGCAAAGCTTTCGTCTTCATTCAAAAACTGCAATCTTCAAATCTTCAATCATTGCATGTTTCATGATATCTACTTTCTCCTGGTTTCTACATAAATGTTGAAATGTTGAGTGGAGTTGTAAGGCCGTGTTGAAAGATCACGTCGCGCGGTAGGTATTATTTGTGGCTTTCCCGGAACTGCCGGGCTACATCCCATACTTGAGAGATACTCTCTCTGCAAGAAGTGCAGAAGCACTTTTGATTATTCCCACTTATATTGAGTGTTTCTCTTTAATGTCGACCGGGAGTTCAGATACAGCTCGTGTTCTGTCCCAATCCCGAGATCCAGACTTTATTCCAGGTACGAAATCAATCCACCGAAGCTTACACAGGACGAATCGAGCTTGAAAGGCGGTATGTACTCTATTTTCGGTGCTTCTATACAAACCAGACTCTAATGGTATCTCGGCGGCAGGGTCTATCACAAGTTCTATCCGCGAGCTTTTCGTCCTTTTGCATCTCTGATTATACCATGCTGGAAACCCATCTTCAACCCCCCAATTCATTAAAGCGACGCCAGAACACCCCCTCAGCAAAGCCGCTGAATCGAAGCAAATATGCAATGCACGCCATCAAGTCCCTCCCATCGGTCATGAGTTTTGGTTCGTTCAGTCGTCGGCACCGACAACCATGGCCATCTTGGCGCTGCCAGCTGCGGGCTTCACCTCCTTCAACTTGAGCGGCTTGGTACCAAGGCCATTTCGGTTCCTGGATTTTTTTGTCAGCAATTGCTTTGGGAGAATTAAGGGAAGATTAAAGCTACCTGAAAAACAAGACCCCCTTTCCTTCTCCTATGGCACCCTCTGATGGCTCGACCCATTGGCACCACCGGGCGCTCGTCCACATACTCTTCAAGAATCCGAGGGAGCCACCCTTAACGTCAGCGCGATAGTGCCGACCCATGACTGGCTTGATTGCTTCGCTCGCCTCATCCGCGTGGTAGAACGGGATGGTGCTAACGTAGTGGTGGAGGACATGGGTCTCAATGATACCGTGGAGGAGAGTGCGGCCGATGAAACCAAATTCACGATCGATTGTTGCAGCCGCTCCACGAACATAGTTCCAGCTTTCAGGGGTGTAGTGGGGAAGCGTGGGGTCAGTGTGTTGGAGATAGGTGATGGCAACGAGCCAGTGGTTCACCCAGAGGTAAGGGGCGAAATACCAGACGGCCATGTTGGAGAAACCGTAGGTTCTGCAGAGCGTGACTAGAACGCTGATAGCGATAGCAAGGCCGAGATCGCTGAGGAGAATGAGTTTGGCGTCCTTGGCCTCGTACAGGGGACTGCTTGGGTTGAAATGGTTGACACCAGTGAAGAATCCGTTGACCTTGCCCTTTCCGCGACCCTCATGCTGACGCTCGTGTTCGTTGTGACCAGTGACATTGCCAAAGAGGTACAATGGCCAGCCTAAGAGTTGTTGTCCGACGGAGTGGATCAAGGTGGCAATAGGGGTCTCTTCGGTTAACTCGTCAATTTCGTGGATCAGTTTTCCGATACGGCTGGCGTATACCTCACGAGTCTTGGGAACGAAGACCATGTCACGCTCCATGTGTCCTGTGGCCTTGTGATGCTTGCCATGGGAGATCTTCCACGAGAAATATGGGACAAGAAGTGCCGAGTGACAGATCCACCCGGTCGTGTCGTTGAGAATCTTGGAGGGAGAGAAAGATTGGTGACCGCACTCGTGGGCGAGAACCCAGAGACCGGTTCCGAACAGACCTTGAATGATGGTGTAGAGTCCCCACAGCGCAGCGCGAATTGGTGTGGACGGAATGGTTTCGGGGGTGACGAATTTGTTAAAGAGGAAGAATGTGGTTGCAAGACTGGCGATATCCCGAGCCACGTAGCCCAACCCCCTCAAACCAGATCGCTCGAAACAATGCTTTGGAATGGCATTTCGAATATCGTTGACGGTGAAGTCCGGCAGCTCGAATTCGTTTCCGTAGGTATCGAGGAGCTTTCCGTATCCCTTCTCATCCATTTCTTCCAGAGAGGACATGGACGAGAGCGAAGTCGAGGAGGGAGACTGTCTGGGGGTGTCACTTGGGGACCCAGCAGCCGTGGAAGGAGCAGAGTTCTCGGTGGTCGAGGTGACCGTCCGCCGGAGGACGGTACGCTTGGGTATCGCGGTCGAGGCCATTGTGAGAAACGTGTGTGTGTATTGTGCTTGGGTTGTGGTAGGCGGAATTGAAGCAATCAAGCAAGCAATTGAACTCTCTGCGGATCGCCTAAAAGGAGGGAAGGGCGAAAATTGCAGGGCGGTCGGAAGTATTTTGTTGAGGTTTTGACGGAGCGAGCTAGTAACGAGGCGAGTCTCTCGCAGGATGCAACAACTGGGGCATGTGTCAGTGAATTGTCTTTCAATTGAGTCCCACTGAGGCAGCAGAACATACAAGCTCTGCACACACGGGCACTGGGAGAGGTAGCAAGTGCCAGGCGGTGTATTATCGGAGGGGGTGGAGGACTGGAGGACCAAGTGACTTCGGGGGAAGGCAGCTTTTTATTTCTTGCGTGTCCCACCAAAATTGGCCCCGCCGCCGCCTCGTTCCCTCCTGCCAGTGCCAGCCAGCCCAAGGGGGGTCTGTTTCGGCTGAAATTTTAAAGTTAGGAATAACCGCGCCGGATACCTCCTGCCGGACAGCTTCTGGAGCCAAGCCCCCCATACGCTCCTAGGCACGAGCGAGTCGTGACCAGTCGACAGAACGGATCTGCATGTATTTGTTGGCCACTTGCTGGACGCTTGCTGGACACTGGCTGGGTTTCCCACCATCCCTCCAAGGCCACCCCGAGGCTATTTTTCTGGACACGGCGGGCTCCTCATCCACCGTCCCACGGACCACGGTATGGCAGCATGAAGGGGCTGACATTACTCCGTACTACTACTCCGTACAGAAAGTATCATTTGTGGGTAATCAATCGCCAGGAAAACCCGGCCGCTCACCCATTCTTTGCCTGGTGCTGGTAGGCTGGTAGCCCGGCTTCCCAAGTCAACATCCGCTCATCTCATCTGCAAATCATTTCACGTGGTTGGTACAGCCTCGGCGGATGCTCCACCCCGCGGCCGATTCTTCCAATGACGCTTCTGCTCCATTCTCGTCTGGCAGTGCAGCAGCAACTTCACCAGTGGGGGAGCCCTTTTCGCGAGCGCACCCAGCTGTGGTCTCTTCCACAACACCATGCAGGAATCTCTGAAGGAGGCAAGTCTGGGAAGTCTGGTGATGCTTTCTTTTTCCCCAAATCTCACCACCGCTTTTGCCCACACCCTCCCTTTGTTTGACCTGTCTCCGCTCTTCCTAACCTCGCCGACTTTACGCGGAGCCTCGATGATCAAATACATGGCGAGAGAGTGGACGACAGCGGCAAGCTCGATCTCGGTTGCACCATGGCTGGCGCCACCGCCTCCCACAGACCGTCATGGCTCGTGGAGAAACCTAGGAATATCAAGTGCAACATGCCTCGAGATGGGTGCTAGTGGGGGGGGGGGGGGGGGGGGGGGGGGGGGGGGGGGGGGGGGGGGGGGGGGGGGCTTTGATGGGGCTCCATGTCTCGGCCACTCCACATTCTCCCTCACCGCCAAGGTCGAAGTGTCCTGTAGAGACGGAAAAGCCCCTCGTCACAGGAGGAGAGCCAGCAGCGCGCTCTCTGCAGGACTCAGCTCATGAAGTGTTTAACCAGATCACAATCTGCCCAGCGGCTGCATTTGCAAGTGTTGGAACAACTGCCCTCGCCAGGCCCCCTGCATCGCCACCATCTTGTCCGTCCCTGGTATCCCAGAGTCCCAAGGGAAGTGTTCAAGTGTCCATCTCAATTCACATGCAAATGCAGCCGCGGAACGGGATCTACTCCGTCGGGCTTTTGCACCGTTTTTCTGCCAATCGGCTGTGCAGCCAGGAACCAGCTGCCACATGACGTGGAGGGGAAAGGAAGCTGGATCCTACAGTATCAAGAGGGGCAGGAGTCGCGGTTGTTCCCCTTCGTGGACCTGAACGGTGGGGTTTTGAACTTTCGATGTTGGATCGACAAATTGTCGTGGGCATTGGCCAATCAGAGCCCCTTACCCCCACGGACCCTGGTCGAAGTCTGCATGAAGGGTCCAAGTTTGTTGGGATTTTTTTCATTTGTGTTGGGGAGCGGCCGCGTGCGGCGGCCTCACATCCAAGGCGAAAAGAGGGTCGTGGTGTTAGTTTTAACGACATGCAGGTGGAACATGGCTGGACCAGATCACATGACGGCTCTCCTCCTGGCCGGACGGTATGTTTTTCCTGTTCCGAGGATGTGGCACAGAGCAAGCAATGCTTCTTCTCTCGCTCGCAATTCTCTACTGCGGTGGTGAGATTGATGACTGGGTGCCCCGTGCCTACGTCACATCATTGGGTCGGTCCCCTCTCAAGGGGTTCCATTTGCTCCAACGTTTTGGTGGCAGTATCTCCCATGTGCAATTCACATGTCAAAATGGTACGAATCTTCTTCTCCCTAAGGCACATTCCAGCAAGGTCACCAGATCGCCCTTGCATTTACAGTCCGGTTTATCTTCTTGAAACCAAGGCCTCGACACTTGCGATTCGATGCTTCTGTAGACGCATTTCATCGTGGGGGGAAGGGGCCTCACTCAGCAGCTCGCTGGGAAGCCTCCAACCTGCTAGGGGTTTTATTCCTTCCTGGTGAGTTGCAGAAAGACACATACCTTAACCGTACGAAGTAATCACGCTTCTATCACATGCATTTGATAACCCCAATCAAGTTTTGTCTGGCAAGACTTTGCTGCATGTGAGGCCACCCCATCAAAACCAGAAACAGGAATATTCAAGCTCAGTTCCCTACGGGTATATGATTATTCCAAGAGGAACAGAAGTGTGCCGCGTTATAGCCACTTGACTAAGTTGTGTTGCCGCTTCAAACCTAGCACTAATTTCATATTTCGAGAAGAGGCATTCTCAGAGTGAGCACTGACAACTGAGAAAACTTCCTCGAATGTCTCCAATAATACACCAAGGGCAAGGGAGACATGTTTAGAATGTTTCAAGCTTTCGTACATTCTCTAACTCCCGAGCAGATGTATTGTCCATCCAACATCGTAGTGGCATGTCTCTAACGCCGGATCCCATGCAGAAGCGTCCAACGTGATGTTTGTACAGAGAGCCTCGGGGCTCCAGGTCCGCAACAATGCAGACTCTTCATCATTGCAGCATTTATTTTGGCCATTTCTTCCATCCACGGCCATGTCCTCGCTGCATGTGATGATTAGCAACTGCCGGGAATTGAAGGCGGTGGATTAACTTACCTCCTTCCACGTCTGTATCATCTGCGGCATCTCCAACATGGCTTGTCTGCGCTTCTCCAATCTGTGACATAACATCGTCAGCAAAAACACATTTCCATGAGATTTTGTGCTGCATCTCCAAATCTCCATAACACAGGAAAAGTCCCAAAACATACCGTCCCTTCAGTGTCCGTTCCGATTCCTTTCCTTTCACTCTCTGCCCAACGCCCGTACCCTTCACCCTCAGCCCATTCTCTGCTCTCCTCCGTAACCTCTCTTCCGTCCCCTTCACAGTATATGGTAATAATTCCTCGACACCATGTTGCCTCGCAAGCTTCACCAGCTCCGCCTGCCTCCGTAACGAAAATACCGGATCATGCCACCTCCCCGTCACCGGGTGCTTCTGGGCTCGAAAAGGCGAAGGGACTGCTAATCCATCTTGGCCGGTTGGTATTTGCTCCACTGGTGATGCAGTGGAATCGGATACTGTGCTGCTTGTTGATGGGGTGGAGGAGCTCGGGAGTGCGGATTGGGAGAGGAGGGCTTGAGGTGGATAGCGGGCGAAGAATTTGGTCAATCGCGGGGGCAATGACTCTGCGAGCTTAATGTACTGCCGAGAATTCATTGCCATGGTGAACGGAACGCAAGAAACTCTGTTGCTGGAGAGCTTGTCGTGGCAATTTTCCGCTTTGGGATGTTGAAGAACCTCGCTTACATAAAATCTTTTGAGCCTCGACTGTTCAGCCTTGCAGGCTCATCGACTACTTGAACTTGAATCCGTCATCTCAAAGACTTCGGACATCAACACTGCCGCGTCGTCTACACATCACTCTCGTTATATTGTGTGGCCTTGCCAGAGAGTGACCGAGGGTTCCGCAGGCTCGAATACCATCGTTGGCGAGAATGGCAGTCTTCAGCAATGGCGATTCCTCAATACCACCACCTCCCCCAGACACATTAGCACCTCCTCCGCCCCCAAGTTCGAGTGCTCCACCCCCGCCCAGCGAGTTACCTCCTCCTCCACCATCAGATGCGCTTCCTCCGCCGCCAGAAGAGCCTGCGAAGAAGAAGAAGGCGGGATGGGGAGCCTCTCGGGACCGTGGACCGCTGAGTATCGAAGACATTCTCAAGAAGAAAAAAGAGGCCGATGAGGCCGCAGCAAAGGTACGTTATCAAGACCACAGCTCATCATCTGGAAGTGATGTTCACAAAGCACGTCTAGTTTGTCGTTCCACCTGTACTGACTTTCTGACTTCACAGCCAAAATTCTTGTCGAAAGCTGCGCGAGAAAAGCTAGCTCTGGAAAAGAGACAGAAGGAGGTCGAGGAGGCGAAGCGCAAACTCGAGGCAGAACGAAATGGGGTCACGCATAGCTCAAATGGACATGCAGCTCCGAATGGAAGAGACAACTCAGAACGATTAGCACCGCGGGAGACCAATGGCCGAGGCTCCTCGTCCGTTCCTACCGGACCCCGAGCAATGCGTCAAGCCGATGCCCCTGCAGGTCCAGCGGCGGTGCGAAACCGAGAACAAAATCGGCCAGGTGGCGACACGGGGGCTCCCACGAAACAGCTTACATCCAGCGGAAAAGCATCTCTGGCTGGCGAGAAGCGTCCAGCAAATGGGGATGATACACAAGCTGCTCTTATTCGAACACGGTACATGGGTGCGGATACGAATCAGTCAACGTTCTCTGCGAAGAAGAAGCGGAGGCGGACGACCGAGAAGAAGTTCAACTTTGAGTGGAACGTTGAAGAAGATACAAGTCCGGACTACAATCCCATATACTCTACCCGCGCTGAAGCCAATTTCTTTGGTAGAGGACGGTTAGGTGGATTTGCCGAAGATCTCAGTGAAACTGGTGCTGCAAAGTATGCTAAGGCGTTGGAAGAACGGGATTCGGAGGCTGGCAGTGCTCGAGCAAGAGAAATTATGGAGATGGAACGGCGGAGGAAAGAGGATGCCGGTGGAAGAAATTCTCTTGACAAGCATTGGAGCGAGAAGAAACTTGAGCACATGCGAGAACGAGATTGGCGTATCTTCAAGGAGGACTTCAACATCAGTACCAAGGGAGGAGCGATTCCAAACCCTATGCGAAATTGGCAAGAGTCCGGTCTTCCGAAGCGTTTGCTCGATATTATCGACCAAGTTGGATACGATCAGCCTTCGGCAGTTCAAAGGGCAGCTATCCCCATTGCGTTACAGGCAAGAGATTTGATCGGTGTGGCTGTTACTGGTTCCGGTAAAACTGCTGCCTTTTTGTTGCCGCTATTGGTATACATCTCCGAGTTGCCCCCTTTGAACGAATTCACCAAGAACGACGGACCATACGCTATTATTCTTGCACCAACTCGTGAGTTGGCTCAACAAATTGAAGTCGAGGCCAAGAAGTTTGCAACACCACTCAACTTTACTTGTGTTAGTATTGTTGGTGGTCATTCCCTCGAGGAGCAGTCCTACAATTTGCGTAACGGTGCCGAGATTGTTATTGCAACTCCCGGTCGTTTGGTGGATTGTATTGAAAGGCGGGTCTTGGTTTTGGGCCAGTGCTGCTATATCATCATGGATGAAGCTGATCGAATGATCGATCTTGGTTTCGAGGAATCGGTCAATAAGATCCTTGACGCTCTTCCCGTTGGAAACGAAAAGCCTGACACGGATGCTGCTGAAGACGCCCAAGCGATGAGCAGGCATCTCGGTGGCAAAGATAGGTATAGGCAGACAATGATGTACACAGCTACCATGCCACCTGCCGTGGAAAAGATTGCCAAGAAATACCTGAGGAGGCCAGCAATAGTCACCATCGGTAACGTCGGAGAAGCCGTCGAGACTGTTGAACAGCGCGTCGAGTTCGTGTCAGGTGAAGATAAGAGGAAGAAGCGTTTGAACGAGATTCTCGCTTCCGGCGAGTTCCAACCTCCTATCATCGTATTTGTCAACATCAAACGCAATTGCGATGCTGTGGCTCGAGATATCAAACATATGGGCTTTTCATCAGTCACTTTGCATGGTAGCAAGACGCAAGAGCAACGTGAGGCTGCTTTGGCGTCTGTGCGATCTGGAACTACAAATGTCCTGGTTGCAACCGATCTTGCAGGCAGAGGTATCGATGTTCCCGACGTCAGCCTGGTGGTCAACTTCAACATGGCAACCAACATTGAAAGTTATACGCACAGAATTGGTACATACTTCCCTTTCCTCCTACAAGTAAGCATGACACAAACTAACACACATCTCAGGTCGTACTGGTCGTGCCGGCAAAAGTGGTGTTGCTATCACTTTCTTGGGCAACGAGGATTCAGATGTTATGTATGATCTTAAGCAGATGTTGATGAAGAGCTCGATATCACGGGTCCCAGAGGAATTGAGGAAACACGAGGCCGCTCAGCAGAAATCAGCCAGGAGTGGAGGAGGGCAGAAGAAGATCGAAGATAGTTCAGGGTTTGCGGGCAAGGGGGGCGGCTGGTAAATTACTCGAGCATCAATCGCAAATTTAGAGTTCTCTGTTTTTGTTTGTTTGTACTTTGATTCGGTTGTGAAAGCCCCTTTTTAAGCGAGTTCCACTTCTTCCAGCGAACCTTCCTTCAATGTTCGTCCGGTTTAGAAACACCTTCCTTAAGCTGAAACCCACTGTTTACTCTTGTCCTAACTTATTACTTCGCCGAAACTTTTCGACTTTTCGCCCGTCTTCATTGGCTCTTCCCTCTTTTCCACCTACTTTGTCACTCCAATACTTTCGCACACTGTCCTCTTTGTTACCTTTACCAGAGCAATACTCCCATATACTTACTATCTTCGTTGCTTTACTAGTCTGACAATTTCGTTCAAAATAGCCTATTCACGCCTGTGTCGAGCGCCTGCAGTGCATTACTTACTAACGCACAATCGATGTCTCCTTTCTTTGTGCCTCCCTCTACTTAGAACAATACTCAGCCAATTACATACCTCTTCCTGTTATAGTAGTTGACCTCTACTAGAACTAGTTCGCGTCAAACCTCTTTACGACACTTTTAAAAGAGTTACTCCGCATTCGCCTTTGCTCGCGACACTTCACTCTACACTGGTGCTTGTTCGCCCTCTTTATAACACTTTTAAAGGAGGTACTCCGCGCCCACCTTTGCTCGCGACACTTTACGCAATATTACTACTATCTGTTTGTCCTTGGCACAACACTCCATGAGTTTCATAACCCATCTACCTTCTCTCCCAATACTTCATACACACTAATGCTTTCCCCCCCTCGCCACAACACTTCCAAAAGAGTTACTCCAAGTTTACCCTCGCTCGCGACACTTCACGCTACACTGGCACTTGTTTGCCCTCGATATTGCAGTTCACATGAATTGAGGATCACGACGCATCTGCCTTCTCTCTCGATACTTCATAGACACTACTGCTTTTTACCCCTCTCCACGACACTTTATAAAGCTTAGTACACACTGATATTCCCCCAGTACTAGATACTTTATTGGCACTTCGTCTGCCCTCTATGCTATACCCTGTAAAGATTACTTAGTATTTAACTTCTCTCGCGATACCTCGTAGACACTAGGACTTCTTTCCTGTATACTCAATACTTCGTAAACATTTTGTGCATGTTTATCTTGTCTTTGACGCTGCACGCTTTACTAGCACTCCTTGACCCTCTGTGTAATATTCTATAACAGTCACTTCAGGTTCACCTTCTCCTAACAGTCCACACGTACTTCCACGTCAGCTACAAATTTGAATTTCCTACTCAGGGCTTTCCGAGTCACACTGGTTCTATTCCTAACGAGCTTTGTCTATTTTATGGTATCATTGCCTTGGATTGCTCCCAACCAAGATGCATCCCCACCATCGACGAATAGAATCAGCAAGTTCTTTGGACCATTAAAGATGTTCACGCCCCAGGAATGGGTTCATGGAAACGGTAAAACTCAACCAGAATATAGGACTCTATTACTTGGCATTGGAGTATTTCTAGGTATTCTAGCCCCAGGCTATCAATCGGTTCTACTCTAGATATACGCCACCGATGTCTTTGGATTCGGAACTTCGAAAGATGCAATTGGAAGTCAGATAAAGTTAGAAGATACCAACACCGCAGGGCCCACCGGGAGGGCGCCGTCGGCGGGACGAGCTAAGACGAAGCCTCCGTAGCATAATTGACAGTAGTGCTCACACTATTGGAAACGCTGTTCTTTATGGTACAACAAATAGGTCGTGCTTTCTATGAAGCCTTTCGCATATCTGCAAAAAGTTTGGCTCATTCTCCGGTGTCATAATTCCGTGCCTGATAAAATATGCCAACCAAACCAGAGCGCGATTAGCCACAAACTCCCCTTCCATCAGCGCCATTTTAACCTCATCCAGCGTCATCAGCGTGAACTTCTCCACTTCATCATCGGGCACTGGAACGAGATGGGGACTGAATTCCATCTCATAGAGATGCGAAATAATGTGTTGACAGCCAGGCAACCCTTTGCTCGTAATAGCCATCTGATAAGAGACAGTTCCGCAAGATCGGATGTGGTCTTTGATATACTCCTTCGAAATCGAGGCTTCGAGTGCAATCTTCCGGACCATACAATCTAACGGCGTCTCTCCTGATCGAATGACGCCCGCAACAGTGCTATCCAGCCTGTTTGGCACTGTCTCTTTGCTGGCTGATCGTTTGGGTACCCAATATCTAGTCTCGTCGCCAGACTTGACATATCCTATCATGTGAGCGCTGAGGCTGACAATGCTGAAAGGGTCGAGACCACTGGGATCCAGGTCGAGCACGTGTTATCCAGTTGCAGAAATCAGAGGAAGGAATTCATCGTAGAACTTCTGTGGGCTTGTTGGGCTCCTTCTTTCACTGCTTGGGAGAGAGTCGCACGCGTGATTTGCATACGGTCGTGGAATGATTCTGCGAGGTTCATGGTTAGGAGACGTTTGGAGTGGTTGATGATCCACGCTGAGGGCAGATTCAAGCCAGATAGGATAGATTTGTGCATGTATCCGAATGGTCTGGGATAGATTTGGATCATGAAATAGTAGTAGTCTGCCATCCAAGCCTTGTGTGCTGACGGGTTTTGCTGATAATATGGCCATCTGGAGCAGTACAGGCTTTCTCAAATGTATTGTTAGAGCATCATCATGTCATCATAAAATGTAGGAAATGTAAGGAGAGGCGTTTTCTCACGTATCGACGCACTTCAAAAGCGCTAGGCCATCGAAAGGCTGGGTAGCCATGGTACTATTTGCGCGAAAGAGGTAGCGTTGATACTGCCGAGATGTGCGCAGAGGCCTGGAGGACGAGCACGGTTTCATGGCAGTACTGACAACGAATGGTCGCTGCCTTCGCACTGCGACGTTGTTGATGCGAAGGCTGTGGCGGCGTTGGTTCTGATATTGAAGAGAGGCTTTCATGCAAAGATGCTCTGCATTCAACACGGGGTTGCCGGGGAAGAGCTCCGGCCTCGTCATTTTGTAGAGGAATGTGCGGTTTGAGACGTGCGGAAATTACACTATTCCAAATGCCTTCTCTGGATTCCATTTCGAGAATCTCAGGCTCGGGGCCCCGGGCGACCAGTAGGCGGGGTTGGAAGATTTGCTTCTTTCCGCAACGCGGCTAAAACTGCCATGTACTCCACGCCTCTGGGACATAACTCTATATTTGTATTACCAGCTGAAAACCAGACGTTGTTCGTATAGAGCCAACATGAAACACCTGACGCTGCGTACCTGCGTACCTCTGAGGAAAAATATTTGCATCCAATCCCGTGCCACCGCCTCAGAACCGGTCTACAGCCCAAACTCAAAGCGGGGTTCCTGAGGCGGAACCTCGGGGACCCATCTTGAATTGAGGACATAAAGTGTATGGATATGTATTTCGGAGGCGTATTTCGATGGCGGGCTGTGAGTTGATAAGTGAGTCACCTCCCTCGTTTTCCTTTAGCCTTTTCAAAGTTCCAAAATCCCCAAGATGAGTGATAGCAGCAACAGAAAAGATGCTAGTGCAAAGCATGTCACGTGGACACCACATCCCTCCCAAGCGGCCGCCTCAGCCCGACCCTACACATCCCTGCTCAAGTGCAATGGTTTGTCTTCCAGCATGCTGTTCTACAGTATCTGTCCTGTGCGTCAGCTCAAACATTCCAGATTTCTCTGCACCTTTCGTCGATGTTCATCGTCACAGCAGTGATGTCGAGGATACACGGTCCACCCAGGTATGCTCTATATTCTGGTAACCCTGAACCTACGCAGGAACTGAGACCTTCCAGGCGCAATCCGGCGACCGTGAGCATGGTGGCGCCGCGTCTCTCAACACGTCGTCAAAGATCTGAAGGGTGTGCTTTGCTTTTGGGCATTTCACTATTTCTGATAGTTCGAAAGGATCCAAGCGAGTGATTTGCAACATTCGCGGAAGTAGGATTGTTTTCAAAACGGTTAACCCGGACTATAGAGTAAGGCTAGATATAGATGAGGCTTTGGGTTGATTGAGGAGGATATTCTACAGAATTTATGACTACAATTCACCCTTAATCCACTTCCTTCCTTCTATATCGTGCCCATGTTTAACCATGTTGAACTTCGTACTTTCCGGAGTTGATACTTCTATATGATTAGTTTTTATCCTCAAATCGAGTGGCGGCGTGGCTGAAGCGGGGCAAGCTGACTTGAGGGCTCCCTTAGCCTCGCCTCAATAAAGAACTTCTGCCTACATGACCATGCCATCCTCCTGACGCTCCACTCCCCGCGATTGAATTTGGATACCTCTCACATCATGGAATCATACCAGAGCCTCGATGGCAACATCCGCAATATACCGACTCCTCTCCGAATAGCTCTACCTTCCGCTCCTCTCACACCCTCATTGGAACACCAAACCGCCAAGTTGCCCCAGAACGCTCGCAACTAGCACCTGAATTCGACTCAGCTATCTCTGAGGGAGTGGACTGGAACAAGAACGAAAGCTCTGGAGATTGCGCAGGACAGTAATGTTGTTCTTCGGCTTCAGGTTCATGAGTCTGTGCCTTTGAATGAGGAATTAGTATCCGATGACGCACGAGGTAACAAGATGTATGGAATACCATGGGCAATAGCGAATCCAGACGAGGCCGCGAAATCTACAAATGAGTATGTTGACCAGAACATGGATACCTACTTGGAGACTGTGCTTGATGACTACTAAACTATAGTTTAAACTAGCGAGGATTATATTCTTAGTAGTCCGTTTATAGTTCTAATAAAAGCCAACTAGTTCGTTTAAACTATAGTTCAAACTATGAACTGCCAAACTGTTAAAAGGCTCTCTAAACCAAACTCCATTCAAGGTATTCTTGTCCCTGCACTTGCTCACCCTTTCTTCACTATTTTCTCTCCGCGCTTTCTCTTTGCTAACTCAGGGTTAGTCACAGGTATTTCAGCTCGCTCATGTGTTCGCCTTCATTTCGGTAAGTTAGTTCCTTGTTTCTATCATCTTTTTCATCATTGATTGCTTTGGCTCCTAGGGGATAGTTTCATTTTTCCTACTCTATTTCTGTCGCACTTCAGCTTTAACCTAACCCTCAGTCAGTTCCCTGGCAACCCAATCATTTCACGCGCCCCCCCCCTCTCCTCTCCTCTTCTCCTCCATTTCGTCCGGTCTTTCCTCCTTTGTGTATTCACCCTTCACCCCTTCATCGACCAGACACACACGCCCTTTTATCTACCACAGCATCTCACAACACCACTAATACCCATCTCCCCGCAGAGAACTCGAATTAGGCAAGTTAGTCCCCTTCTTTGCATGCTCGCTCTTCTCCCCTTTATCACTCAGACACGCACGTCGTCCTTTTATCTATTACAGCATCTCTTAATATCCCCAATGTCCTGACTCTAGCTGCCCGAGTTGGTCCTCCCCTTCGACAAACACATTTCGCTGCGCTAGGAAAAGCTTTCACTTCATTCCTATTTACAGTGCTGCTACACTTTCCGGTATCATTTACCAAAGGCAGCATTCGCGCCGATCTCCTCATCACTTAGTATTTCTCACCTTTATTCAGTTTTGTTTTTCTCTCCGTTGCACGATTCACTTTCCAGAGCATGTGAATCATTCTATTTGCTAACTTCTCTTGTCATCGACACAGTTACCAACCTTACATGGTGTACAAGCCCTCTAACACTGCTATTATCTCCGTGGCAACGTCACTGTTCCCATGAAAGGCTGTGATTTGGTTTTCCTCGAGACGTCTCCTCTCCAATGGGTCAGTTTCACTCGAGCATGTCTTTTGGATTTTCGAGGCAGTGATTTCCGTTGTCTTCTTAAGAGATTCAGCTTGCTATGTTTTCTGACTCTTCGTTAGGAAACGAAATGTCTCAACAAGAAAACACGCCTGGTCGCAGACTACGGTCAGAACGTCGCCATAGCACGGTACCTGTGGAAGATGAGCCAACCAGAAAATGGTCCCACGAAGAGGTTGTGTCTCACAGACTTGCAGGTGGGAGAAAGACTTTAGATCAACTCAGGATTGTTATCGAATCTTCCCTCGATGAGTACTTCGAAAAGGAATCCACCAAGGATTGGGCCGCTGTCATCAAAAGAGTCGCCATTTCTCTCCCTCATAGTTTGTATGAGCTCAGAAGTGAAGCTTATCGAACTCTGCAGCCAGATATCTATCCCTATGATGATGAAGCAGATCGGCAATATGTTGGCAAGGCTAAGGAACACCAAGAGTCGGAACAGCCACAAAGAATGGATCCGTGGCCAAGGCTCAAGCGTTGTGTCGTCACTGATAGTGAGGACGAAGAGATTGTAAAGCCTGCAGAAAAGAAGGCAAAGACCGAGACCGACGCAAACATTGTACAAGAGTCTGCGCATGACTCGTTCACAAGTCAAGCTCTTTCGGAGCCACACAGCCTACCAGGTTCAGTTATTACACCACAGGCCCCGGAGGAAGCCCAAGAATTTGATACTGTCCCCGAAGTTTTTACAGCCCTTGACTCAGAGACCAAATCTGAGCGTAGTCGAGATGTCGACATGGATGGACTGAAGGAGGAGATCAAGGCTTGGACAGAGCAGAACAGGAAAACGCAGAAATGGCTGAAAGAGGCTGAGGAAATGAAAGCGTCAGCAGTTAGGCTCCAACGTAAGGTATCGACCGGAAGAAGCCTATTCAAAAGATCGCTAGAAGAGCTGAAAGTCCAGAATAGGTTTATTCAAGGTAAGTCTATCAAATTCATTCAGGACAAGAGAAATGAATAACGTGGGCCGCAGACAAGGATAAGCAAATCAAACAGCTTTGCTTAGCCAATTCCGAAAAAGATCTTATCATAATACGTCATCAAGAAGACCTCAGAAAAGCAAATGCCGCAAATCGGCCTCATGGAAATGAGTCCCCAACGATTCAGATACTTCAACAAGAACTTTCGGAGAGAGATGGCCAGATTCGAAACCTGGACTTGAGAGTTAATCAAGAGAAGCATTTGAGAACTGCAGCTGATCGAAGAGCGGATCAAAGTGCGAGACAGAGCCAGAGGGCGGGTCAGCAGTATCAAAATGTTCTCGAGTATAGCAGGACTGAGTACCAGAAAGCTTTGACCCTCAAACAACGGCTGGTTAGCACGGAGAGTCGATTGAAGGCTGCTCAGATGAGGGAGCAGCTTCATTTCGCGGAAGACGAGAGACGGCTCCAGGAGAGGAAGGCGGCGATGCAACACCGGGGTGGTGCTGGAAACGTCAAGTAGACGTTCCGGGGATGGAGCCTTCATATTTCGGGCTGTTTTTACGGAACATGCGTTGAGTTTGAATGGGTTCGAGACCCGATGGTTGAGGGGTTGTATTCTTTTTCTCTCTCGCTGGTTTACCAAAAAAGCATTCGCGTCCACTTTTCCACATTTTCATACATGGAGGTCTGAGGGTCTGTTCTCAAAATCAAGCTGCATTCACAAAGCGTATGCCTTGAGTTGCATGGTTAACTAGACACCAAAGTAGATTGAAGGTCTGGAGTGGAATTACAATTTCAACCCAATTTTTACTGCTCTGTCTCTCTATGTAATAAAGATGTTCGGCGATACTTCCCCTTAGGCGACCATCGGGAGTCCATCATTACAATAAACGATGGTCGCAACATATCTCGAGGAGGCAATTTCCCGCCAGATGACCTAAAAATTCCGTATCGAAGTAGGGTTGAGAAGTATCACACATGCTGTGATCACCCTTGATACTCTCGAGGTTCAAAAAACCTATTCCTGACTTTAGTCACTTACATGTTGAAGGGAAAGTAACAATAGCTTTGTGTTCTGATGGGAAGTCTAAGATGCGTCTAGTATCAAAGCCACAGCAAGTCTCTTCCCAGAGGCACTCCAGATACTTCTGCATGGTGTCTTACCACCAAATTTTCCCGCGTCCCACATCCCTTGGATAGAAACATCAAGATAGGAAGTTTGTTTACAATCCCCAACTTCCAAATCTGCACCGAGAACTTTGAGTGCTTCGTCGAGTCTCCCCCTGAGCGCAGCAACATCTTCCGAATAATCTAGCATAACAACAGACTGCGCAGTACCACCAAACGAGCACTGGTGGATAGAATAGCCATCCTCGCCACGACCAGAGTAAAGCTTCATAATCATCAGTTTCTGTCGTCAAAAGATTCATAACGACTTACTTTCACAGACCCACCCGCAACCCCAAGCTGAGCATGCCACTCAACCTCACTCCCTCTCGGCAACTCCTCTACCTCCGCCACCCAAAATGGAGGAACCATGCCCCCCTCCCCGCCACCAAACTCCACAACCTCCCAATCAGGTAACATTTTCTCCACCTTCCCTTGACCCCTAACCTCCATCCCCGCATAATACTTCTCCTCCCACAGATCCCTTGCTTCCTCCTCTTCAGACTCATCACCCTTGAGCTCTCTCTCATGTACCAATGCCCAAGCACGGCTTACAATCGCAGCTTTCTCTGCCACAACCTCGAGAGAGGAGGACGGGAGATACGCAACGGCGCTCGTCCACCACTGGACGTTCATCTCTTGTCCTATCCGCCAGAGATGCTGCAACGACAACACAGTCTGTAACTTGAAATTCCTCGCATCAAATACACTAGTGCTTGGAATCTCGGTGCTGCCGTCGCGGGCCGGTAAGCTCATAGTGTGAGGGATGAGTGGTATCTGTCCTGCAACGGAGACTGCCCAGACGGGATGGTCCTCGCCAGAAGATGAGGGGAGCGGGATAGAGATTGCCTGTGAATATGGCCCAATGTTGGCAGGCGCCCAGTAGGATCGGGATTGCACGTGTAGTGCCTTTCTATCTGGTGAGGAAGGGGAGGGTTTGTGGAGTTTCAGGTGAATGGTTATATTTACGTCTTTGGGCATGAGAGAGCCGCATGCTATTGTGACTCTTGCTGGAGGATTTGGTTCTGTGAAGAGGGCGCCGTAGACCTAGTGTTGTGTTAGAGAGGGTAGGGACTGCTAGCGGGGAGCGGAGTTGGTAGTACCTTGTTTACGGAGGCAAAATCTTGCATTGATCTTAAGATGACGATGGTTGAGATGATGTTGGTGGGATCTGAAGACGCTTCTTGTAGACGTTGTCTTAGTTCCTCGATCAGTCTTCCCACCTCGTCAGTGATTGAACGCTTGGTTGGGTTTCCACTCGCGGTAACAGTCCAACGAAGTAAATTATCTTGTCTTGATGAACGAGGTGACAAAACGGGTTCTTGCATATTGTTTCTTTCTGGCAGTGGAGCTCTGAGGCTATCCAATGTGGGAATTGTTATATCCTCGGGTTCCGTAATGAGAGCATTGAAGATGTTGTTGAACCTGGGTTCGAGTAGGTCCGGGATTCGACATCCTGTCTTCACATCTTCGACCAAGTCTTTCGCAACCACCTTTGCGTCGCTAATATGGAGCCAGGAAGATCCACCACCTTCTCTCACTACCCTCTTGCTTCTCTCTTGAACCTCAATCCTGCCTTTGAACAAGCTGGCAGGCCCATCCACAACCAAAGTCTCGAATTCCCCGCCCTCACCAAGCACAGCCCCATCACCATACGTTCCAAACCTCTTCGTGGATCTTTCTATGCGCCGCATGACTTGCTGATTGGCAACATTTCCCCAAAGAAAGCTCTCATCAAGCCCACCACTGGCAACTTTCACAATCCTTGCGTCCAGACCGACTGTCTGCATATCTTCGAGAAGCGAGGACTGGGTTCCTGGTGGAAGGATTGGGTATTTCCATAGGTAAGCCAAGGGTATGAGACCGAGCCGTATTGCTACCGACTCAATGCGTGTCCGTTGATATGTCGAGAGAATGGCACCAGTGCTGAGAGCGTTCGCTGACGGATGATCTGCCATGATCCTCCTCAACAAAGGTACCAGCGATTCGGTCTCATCCTCCGCCCCACTCTTCGAAGGCTGACTCTCCCCTGCGGATCCCAAGTTTGAAGGAGAGAGCTCCATCAAACGAACACCGGAGTGACCGTAACTCGTCCCAGTCTGTATCGCGGTCCCCACGATTGGCTGACGATACAACGGTATCCCGAGAGCCTGTTGGTACAGTGGGACTACCATGTGACCGACAGTCTGATACATGAAGCTATTGAGATCATGCTCGTCATCCTCGTTCTGCGGCGCGTGATTGGAGCCGCGCTCAGTATCGGGTCTTGGATTCTCAGCCGCGGGGTAAAGATTCCCCAAGGCTACGACTTTGTGCCCATTCTGTATGCAGTGTAGAAGCGAGAAAAAGCTGTCTTTGCCGCCAGAAATGAGGGCAATGACTTCCAGAGCCTCGGTCATGCCGGGCGTTGGGACCAGCCGCGGCTGAAAACTAACAAAACCAACGGGAGCCTTCATTGGCATGGAAGCATTTACGATGGAAGTTTAGGCTTTATGGAGCCTCATCCTTCTTGGGCCATTAATCTGTCAGAGACGGTGTGTGAAGGCAAGTGGTGAAAAAGGTTGGTGTTGAGGACTCGGAAATTCGCTGAAAGTAGTCTTCACACGTGACCCTCGCCTCCCTTGCAATCGAGAAGCGAACAAATAATACAACTTCCGAGCTGAGGGTTGGTGATCGACGAGAGAATTCAATGGTTTGCTATGAAGTAGAAATCACTGATAGCATATTGGAATATTGGTCACAGAGAAGGCTCTAGAGAGGCAAAAAAACTGGTGTACATTTGTGATCCAGTCACTGTTGCTAGAAGAGCATAGCCAGAGGTAGCTTTGCGAAACGGTCTACCAGCATCCGTCGCAATGTTATCGCAATGTTATTACAACGAAGGTAAGAAAGCAACCATTCCAACCACCTGCCAAACCCGTCGTATCAAGGTACACGCGCCCCAATTTTCGTTGGATCCGTCATCACGCTAAATGGGCACGAGAAAAGTCTTGAAAAAGAAAACATAATACAGAGAAGAGAAATCGCGACAGCAAAGCAAGAGAACGACTTTTGATTTCAGAACCCCCCAACCATCATGACGGCATCAGTGTGGTCGCGAGACCCGAGTATCCCTAAAGCCTGACCACGTAAATGGTAGTGGGCGGCTGGTGGTGAAAGATTGTGTCCGTATGTTCGTAATGTTCGTACCCGATGTTCCCCATCGATCTTATCGAACGATGTGAACTATAAGGTTTCAGTCGGACCGCTTGCGCTTCTTGCGGGACTGGTTGTCGCCATCACTGCTACCGCCATCGGAAGTGAGCTCACTGTCACTGCCAGAGGCAGCAGCAGCAACATTGAAGAGGACACTGCCCAAGGAGTGAATGTGTTCGCCGTCACTGGCCGACTCCATGTGATCACTTGGGAGCTCGCCGTCTTCCAAAACACCCATGACGATAGCACCGCTTCCGTGAGTGCGAGCGTGCTGAGAGAGATTATCGCTTCGGGAGAACTTCTTGCCGCACTCGTGACACTCGAAGGGCTTGTCTTGCGTATGGAGGGAACGGTAGTGTCTCTTGAGGTGTTCTTGGCGTCTGAATCGGCGGTTGCAGATATCACACACGAAGGTCTTGGAGGGATCCTCGGTCAGGGATTGCTTTCGGCCTCGGCGGTTGACAGGTGGCTGCGAGGGCGTGGCGCCTGCATCAGAGCCCCCGACGTTGTTGCCAGTGTTAGACTCAGAAGAGCCGGATTGGCTTGGGGCGGACTCTGCTTGTTGTGTGTCGTTGGTGCTCTCTTGAGCCGGGGCTCCACTTGCTGCGTTCATTGGAACGGTGTACTTGCGCGATCGGACGAGGTCGTCGAACTCGGAGCTGTCCTCCTCACAACGTGCGGCTTTCTTCGACTTCTTGGTGCGCTTTTCCTTCTTGATTTCGCCTTCAGAGCCAGAAGCCGGGGGGCTTGGCAAACAAGCGACGGCAAATTGCTCGGAGTCCTCGAAATCTTCGAAATCCTCGAAGTCGTCTTCGTCAATGAAGTGCTCGTGGTCCAGGGAAACGAGATCGGAGCCAGAGTTCGTGCGTTGTCTCTTGCTGCCGAAGAATTGGACGTTGTCGGTCGCAGGGAAGTTCACCAGACCGTTGACGAAATCTTCCTCGGAGTCGAGGTCGGAGAATTGATCGAAGGTTGGCAGGCCGTGGTGGACGGGTGCGGAAAAGTTGAATGTCTTCGCGTGGGTCTCGGCAGCCTTGTTGAAGCTCTCACCCCCCAGCATGAACTGGTGTTCTTCGTCGTCTCCTGCGCAAAGGGTTGGCAGAGGCGGGAATTCAGCAGCGACGGTCTTGGTCAATGGAGGATTGGCGGGTGCACCAGATCCAACCGTGAGGTTTCGTGGGTCGCAAAAGTCGAAGTCCTGTTCGGAAATGACAGATCGTGGGTATGGAGAAGGGGACGGCGAAAGTGAGGGACAAGATGTTGCAGAGAGGAGCTCGCTAGCGTTCCCGTTGCTCATAAGCGAATTTGGCTGGATGAACACTGGAAGAGCAAAGGGCAAGTTAACACCGGCACATCGAATACGAAAGCCTCGCAGAAAGTGTGCAGGAAGAGACTTCGACAGGAAAATGTATCAGCACAACATACCTGGTGTCACCGGCGGGGAGCCACATCGTTGCCAGTCGCCGCCGGAAAGATTCTCGGACTGGACCTCGCCTTGGCATCCTTGCTTTACTCCTTCGAATCCCTCGAGTCCCATGGACACGGTGTTCATCGGAGTTTGCAGCACGTCACAGCTGGATGGGCTGCTCATGACGCTTCCGGAGGCAGACAACGGCGGTGTGGAGGGATAGTAGTACATGTCGCCCTCATGGCAGTCGGAGTCGATCATCAATCGGGGTGAGTGGTCCTGGATCAAGATGGTAGGCTTTTGGTACATTGGGCGAGGGGAAGCCATTGGGGTCATGTGTGTCTGGTATCCAGCGTTGTACATATGGGGATGCATCGGAGGCTGCGAGCACGACGAGTTCGGTCTGGAGTAGATCGGAGTCGAAGGCATTGGCTGCACATGTGGGTGGTACATTGGCACCTGGATGTTACTTGGGTGCTGGGAGAAGTGACCATGCTGGCGGTTGTCTGGCTTCGGATCCGGGTTGTAGTAGAAGAAGGGTGATTGTCCCATTACCTGGGGGTGTGGGTATGAAGAGTCCATGTTGATTGTTCTTGGATTCTAAGCTGCGAGGGATATCTGGCCGAAGTTAGCCACATCATTCGACCCGGACACCCTTTCGACCATCGACAACCCTCGAAATACGATTCCGTTACATACCTACTTATGTTTGACCTCGAAGTTTCGATTCGAAATATTTGATTAAGATACGTTTGAAACGTTGGGCTGGTCTGCAGGATTCGATAAGGCGGAATGGCCGGAATTTCAATGCTCGGAGAGTGAAAAGGAACTGGCTTGAAGGGAGTGACTGGACAACAGTTTTGGGATCACCAAAGACTGTCTAATAGTTGTACTGTGGGGGTGACTGATTATACATAGGCTCGCCGTGGAGAGGGTGAAGTCGACTGGTTTGATATTATCGACGTTTTCGTGGGACAAAGCCGGGATGGAGAACAACAGCAGGATGCTAAAGGAAGGTACGGAAGAAGTCCGAGAAGGCTATATGATGCAAGCACAAGTCGAAGATGTTCCAAAAGGTCCAGGTACAAAAGGGAAACCGGCGGTCGGTATAAGAAGAATGGATTGGGGACAAGTGGACAATCCTAAAGACAGACAAAAAAAGAGTGTGTGTCGGGGACCCTGCGAGTAAAGTAAAGAAGATCACGGATCAACGAGTGTGATAGAAGGCAAAGATAGGCAGGGCGCCGAATGGGGCCTAGGTCTGGGATGAAGGCATGGTCAACGGGTGGGCCAGGGCCCAGGAACAAGAAAGCAATGGGTGGTGAGTCCGCGTCAAGGGCCCTGTCTGGGGGAGCCGGCAGCATGAGATGGGATGGATTGGCTACGGTTCTAAATCTAGCACAGACTGGTGGTGCAGTGGTGGTGGTGGTGCAGTGGTGAGCACTGGGTCGGGACCTGGTCGGGGATCCTGGTCCTTCGTGTTCGACGCTACTTTTCTGTGGCCGAGTGCAGCGAGCCCAGTGGCCATGGGGCCATGGGCCATACGGGGAGGAGGATGGGTGGGTGGATTTTCCGGGAGCTGGAGCTTAGCGGCCACGACCAGCCACGACCCTTGCGGGCTGCAGGCACACTTGAAGCAGGGGATAGGCACCTGCGCCAAACCTCGTCGAGAACGACGAGAAGTTCCACGAGCACTGGGGGGATGCAGCGGTGGCCAGCTTGGGCGGCCGTGGTTGGACGACGCTGGCCAGGATCGACTCGCTGGTCGCCTGGGGCGAGAGAACCCATTATTTTCGCGCTGGCTCGCAGCCAGGCGAAGGCGAAGAAAACCAGCGCCGGACAAAGCGGCGAGTCGTGCTCGTGGATGCTCGTGGGTGCTCGACACCGCGGCCATAGAACGCACTTGCACCACCACTCAACATCCAACCTCAGAGTCCACACCACCACCAGCAAAACCATCCAGCACCACAACCACCAGCCGCCTGTCGTATGCACATGCACAACCCCGACCGAGCTAGCTGCGACCTGAGCATTATTATCCATACGAGCGTGGCCATCGCCGCACCGCGTCACGTCGCCTGAATCTGTTCCTCATCGAATCCTCTGCCCCCCCGCCCACCAGCGACAGGATTGGGCAACCACCGCCTCGGTGCTGCCACATCTCATCATCGCCGCGACAGCCGATCACGCTGGTGGATCGCTGCTGAGCTTGGGAAATTGCGTCGCCGCGCAAGAGTTATGCATTGCGTGCCTCTCACTGCGAGTTCTAAAATAATCTCACCGAAGAAACAGCAGAAAATTCAATATTGTCATGCCTCAAATATTGCCCTCCCAGCCCACTGTGCAGCAAACATGATTCGGCCAAACATGCAGACTTGCTCAGTGCTGCTGCATCATTCGTCCCCGTCCCCGAGTCTCAGGTACGGACGGTGATCCGAATCGCACAGCCCACTCCACCAGCACCTTTTGACAACTAGCATTGAGGTTTCTTGCCAGGGCCTTATTTACGGCTTCATGCGAAGCTGCAACTCACCAAGAAGCACGCCCTCCATGCGGCTTCTCCGTCCTCGAATGCATCCACGCGAGGTGATTCAGAAGCAGATGGCCAAAAAAAACCCCCGCTCGTGAGGTCTGCTTCCCATTCGACGCGATGCTGCAAAGCAAAGACTTGGAGCGAGACGCGAAACATTTGGTTTCGCTGTGAAGAGCCACTCACACCGCGAAGCACCCCTCCCAACATTCACATTGGCCGTCTTGAACGACAGAGACACAATTTGTGCACGGCTCATGATGCAGTTATCCAAGTCACCTCTCCAAGAGATGCTGGGTCCTGATTTTGGCCACGATCCCCGCGAGTCCGCGACGTATCAACTTCCATCCTTTCCATCCACCCCGAAGGTGTTGCCGCCATCCACCACCCACCACTCACCTCGCCCCTCCTTGCAGTCTGGATCCAGCCATTGTGGATAATTGAACTTACCACGGTTCAGCCCTTTGAGCACATGTCATCGCTTTATCAGCTTCCCTTTTAGCACTGATGCCCCGCCTCGCGCTCAAGACGACCCGCACCGCTGTGGGGATATTGAAACATGAAACTCTATGTACCATTTTAAGTAGCCACGAGGCAGATGACGAACAAGACATGTGTGGTTTGCCTCCCAGGTTCGACAGTTTGCAGCGGATAATAGTGTGTCACAAAAAAAAGCCGACACACATAATCATTCCGTTTGGTGGTTTCTTACCAACCAACCGTGATAAGTCAGAATTCAGGTACGGGAGGGGAGGTGAGTGATTCGCGCCCTGGGAAGGCTTCCTGCAGGAACGGTGGTTGCCGTTTCGAACAAGGGTCCGGTCAAATCTGATATTCAGCGCCATCGGTATTGTCCTCATCGTGATGCCCAGCAGTTTCGGCCTTCAGCATCCCCCACTCTGACGAACCAGGACAAAAAGGAAAGAGATTCTTGACCTCCAAAAGGCTCAAAAGCTCCGCAACCAGGCAGCCCCATCACGCCATTGTCCTTATTTTCGTTTCGATTGGCGGTTATTTGGTGTCTTCAAATCAACTCAAGCCATGAGCTGGTGTTTGAAAAGGCCTTTCAACGCTGGTACCGAAGGCATGCAGTCGGTTTTGAGGTTGAAGACGCCACGAAAATGTACGAATAACGTTTGTAGTACAGGGCAAGCGAAGACGGCGGGAGGCGATATCGCGCGCGGGTCGTTCGTTGGATTGGTATCTCATATCGATAAGTGAAAATCGCCGGGCTGGCAATCCGGTCGGTTCCAGTGCGGATCCCACCGTCCCATGAAATTATGAATAATGCACGAGCATGGCATGGCGGCGGCGTGACGCCCACGGTCTGGCAGCACCTGAATAATTGCACGGATGATTGAAGTCAGCGCTGACCCTCCAGAGACGCTCAGGATTATTTGTTCCTGCACAAATCATGGAGCGGCTTGCCTGTGCCACACTCTGGCTTGGCCGGCAGTTGAGAGATTGCATAACAGCAGCAATAATGCATCAGTGGATGCAGACTCGCAGAGTTGTGCGCAGGTGCAAGTGCGCCTAAAGATAGCTCGAGCGCTTTTATTTTTCGGTCGCTGCATTTTTCAAGATGCTTCACGCTCGTGCTCGTGCTGGTGCTGGTGCTCGTGCTGGCGGGCCAGGCCTGCCTCCACCCTGGATCAAGTTGCATCGCTGATTTATCCTCTTGCACTTTTTGGCACCAAAACCTCCATGGTTCGTTTTGTGCAGACACTTCTTCGGTGGACTTCCAGAAGGAGGAGCTGAACAACGACTGGCTCCAAAGTCCGGGGGGCGGATTGGCTGTGCGAGCCAGGTTACACTTTAGAAACGGGTCGGGGGACTCGGGGGCAGTCAGTGGATGCCCTTCCGGCATTGGCGGCCATGCATCCCATTCCATCCCATCCCACTGCCCAGCCCTCTCCAGCGAGCCTGCGTCGTGCCGTTTCTCGGATTCTTGCCAATTGGAGGCCAAGAGACTGTCAGTCGTCGTTCCGCTTCTGCTGCAGGTACACTGCAGGAACCTGCCGCCTTCAAGTTCGAACAACCCAACTTGGACTCGCTGCATATGCAAGCTGGACGTGAGGAACGGAGTACAAAACGACGTTGGCAGCAGTGTGTTTCACCCTCGCCAGCAGGAGAATTGGGGCACTACTTCGTCCCCATTCTGCCCGTCCGTCTTCGAATTCTGATTCGCTTCTTCCCGCCCGGTATTAAATGGCGATTAGCCAGCCGATGGCTGCCTCCAGGGCTAGAGAGAACCAACCAACAATTTTCTGGCTGCCTCCAACCCCACTCCGCGGATCATCTCTCCAAGTCGCCACTGGACCGTGCAAGGATTTGTCCTGAAAAGACACATTTTGTGTGGAGTTGGCCTTATCATCCTCTATCGATGCAAGTGGCGGCTTCGAGAACAGAGATTGAGAGCATGCACGAACGGACGAATCCCGAGGACTTGGAACGCCTCAGACCTCAAAAAAACATGGTGGAGCAAAAGGTCATCCGGACACTTCTTCTGCGTCATTCCATTATTTTACAGTAGGTTCCAGAGAACCACACGTACTCTTTGCTTCTGCTCTTCGTCGATCGCATCCGGTCTCGTCCCATCTACAGTACTTTACACTCCGCTCAAACTATTTTCGGTCTTACTTGAGGTAATCGCACCATCAACGGGCCGCAAATCTGTCCCGTCCTCACCGGATTTCGTCTAACTCAAACACCCTTGTCAAGTCTAGACCCGTCGAGCACAGTTCGTCCAATCATTTTAGGCCTAAACGGACAAACTGTGGTCAAAATTTTGGCTGCCAGCGTTGGACACCACCCCGTCGTCGGTGAATTTACCCAGTCTCCTGGTCTCCGAGTCCCCCGGATTCCATCCGACAAGGGAAGGGGGCCAATTTTGTGGAAACCGCGAACCGGCATGAAAGCAGCAAGATTAGGGCTAGATTTGGTCAAGTGCATTCCCTGCACGTGCATGGCATATTCCAACGCTCAGAAACGTTCCATTTATTTGCAAGGTATGTCATCCTGCGAAAACGTGTGCTGGTCTGCTGGAAATTCTCCAAGAAATCAAGGACACCTTCTTCGAGGAATAAGAGAGTCGATCCATAATCCTCTGCTTGCCGTGATCAAGACCTGATTACGATCTCCTCTAACGAAGCCGTCACCGTTCAACTAAGGCCCAGTGAGGGGATTTGCTACGCAAGGGTTTGAAGATCTCCCCCACACGCCTCGGCCACGGATCATTCGAGGTGTTGTTCCTCGGCCTCGGCTTTCTTTTGTCCATAGTCAACACCATAAAAATACTCTACTAATGCGCTGCTCTGATCCCAAGTGGAAAAACACTCTGGACACCAATTCCCGCACCTTGGTTTGACAAATCCATTGCAAACCGTTTCCCAGAGATCATCGTACAAGTGCATGCTCTCAATGCCGCCTACGGACTACTTTCCTCAATGTAGCCATGTCTCCGGCACCAATGTATCCGGAACCCTGATGATGGGCCTTCGAGAATGTTTCACGCCACAAAAGAAGAAGGCATCGGCAGAATGCGCCGGCGGCCGTCCAGCGATAAGGATTAAGGTGGGGATTTCATGTTTCGATTGCAAACCGTCTGATTATGCACTCGTGCATGAACTTGTGGTCTATTTATGAGTTATCGTTCATGCGATGCAAGATTGAAATTGTTTTATGCAATTTAATTTATGGTTCTCCACGTGGTAATAACGAGGCTGAGCACGCTTGGATCTATTTGCGTGAAACCTAATTTATCTTGGGCACGGTACTTTGGTTCCACATACAGCTGTATCATCACCCTTACAAACAAATTCTCTAATCACATTATGCTCTATGACACCTTCCTCGCGAAGACATGGCGTAGCAATGACTCGAAGTCCGCGTCATCCTATGCTTTGAAGCCCGCAGGTGTGATCATACTCATGAACAAAGTCAAAGGCTTGAAGGATTCCTTGGGTGTAAGTGAGCGCTGCCAGGACTACCATCAGGTGGAAAATTTGATGGCTCGCACCGAGAATATCGAATCTTCTCCTACACCATCTCTCAGGCATCTGGTTGGAGTCAGCCAATTCCAACTCTTTTCCATCCGCGCTCACAATAATATCAACGAACCTTAAAAGCATAGGCCGTGGCGCCAGAGACATTCAATACAAGTGTTATGACAACCCACACAACACCCATCCGCTGACTTTGAATGTCCCAGCCATATTTGTATATTCCATGTACAACTGGGACCATGGTGAAAATAGCCAGGCTGCCGAAAGTCGCCGCTCGTACGGGACGAAGATATGGGTCACAGAATCGTGGCTGGAAAGTCGACATGGAACATGTTACTGCCAGCACTGAGAGCTTTGCTTCTGTTAGCACGTTGGGGAATACGAGTTTGAGGTTCTCACTAGTGTCGAGTACGTTCTTTGCAAGGCGAAGTCACAGTAGAAACCATAGTATAGGAGGGGAACTGTGGCGCCCCACATAAGTAGAATCACTCCTTGAAAGTCAAGTTGTGCACCAAAGACACCCATCTTTTGGCTATGATTCATCACTGTGTGATACCTACTTAGGATGTTAGTCTGGAGTCGTAAGCAGAAGGGTTCGTGTGGACTGCTAGGCATCTGACGTTGCGGACAAACAGAAGCATATTGCTACGCCTAAAAAGTATATCGAGCAAACGGCTACGTCTGCTTGCGTAGCTATAGCATAACGAGCCGGAATTTCTTTCTTGAAGATAAAGGAGGGGAGAGCCAGAAAGATGGCAGCCCCTAGTAAATGTGTGTATACGTTGACTTTAGATGCACAAGTCAGTGGTTAGTCTCATACTGGGGTTCAGAGTAAGGAAATACCAGTTTCATTATGGACGTACGACCAGCTGTGTAAGCATTCTATAAGGGATCCTGAAGCTGCTCTGTACCCCGTCTCAATATAGTGGTTGTCTTCCCTATCTTAATCAGTCACGCGACCTCGCTGAAGTGCGCACACTCATGGCGGTCAAAAAAAGCGCCACTCATTTTCAATAGCCCATATCAAGTTGTACAGTACATTTCAAACGGCCCTCGACTGGTCGTACGTTCAACATCTACCCACTTCGAATGAGTTCTAGAACATTCAAGTCCTCACCCTCCATGTCAGATAAAGTTAAACTTCCAACTTTAATTGGGACATTGAAAATGAGTGCCTCTTTTTTGCCCACCCCGAACCACAGTAAACTCACTGTTGCCAGATCTCTGTACGTAAAATCAGTAAACCCCACAAATGAGTGATTCCTCTAATCTCACCTAATTCCCCCCACAAACGCAATCGCCGCCTCGTCTCGTTTTTGCTTTTTCGTCGAATCATCTCTGCAACACCCGCGGAAACTCCCACTAGGGAAAATCAAAATCAAAAAGAAGAAAACGGCACGGAAATCAGCCCGAAAGAATCTTCATTGCAGAGCTACTGGCTGGCTTCATGATGGCTGCAAGAAGAGACATACATGGAGCTACGGCATCTCCTGAAGTGGCGGTGAAATCGTTGCTGTTACGGAATTCTCTCATCCCGGCACTCTTGGAGGGGTGAGCGCTTTGACTTCACACAGCGATTGACTCGGGTGCTGCACCTCTAAACCCTTTTGCGCGCGCACCCACCCCGTGGGTGAAATCAATGTACGACGCAGGAGAGTGCAACAAAGGCAAGTAAGTGGCCCTTCCTCAACTATCAGTCAGCCAGCTACTGATTTTCACATGTGTGTGGGTGAACATTCTGGGCCGTTCGATCTGGCTTATTCGAATTCAATATTTGTTGCTTTGTCCTCCGTGTTTCAGGGTTGTTATATCGCTGCTTTTTGTCGAGCCCTAAGGACGAGTCGGATTCGAGTGAGTCGATCGCACGGTTTTGGGCAATCATTCTGTAATGTCCTAGAAGGCCTAAGTGCCTTTGGTGTGGCTAGATTGGCTGTCAGCCGTCACATGGCATTTAGTGAGTGTCTGGGTTTGTGGCACATCGTCTAGCTGTGCCCATCGTGACCTCTTGACAGCTTAAACTGTCAAGCTCGACTCAAGTTTTGAGCAGTCTTGGAGGGCCAAGATGCTGCAGCTTCGGCAACTGGTTCTCGTTGATGATGTCTCCACGTGCTTGACTCAGCTACCATGTAGCAATCTTGCCCAGTCGAGCACGTGCCAAAATCGGCAACATCGAGTCCGGGAATCCCACACAATGAAGAGGAGGTTGTCATAAGCTGGCGTCATGGATTCATGAGGGAAGAGCAAAAGAGTAAAGGTATTCGAACCTAATTCTGTCTCAAAATATATAGAAATTGCTTCGAACTTGAGGAGCTTTTTAAAGCACGAGTTAGGAAAGGACCATTTTTCACAACCCTTGCCAATTTTTCTACACCACAAAGCTCTCTTGCTAAATTTAATGCTTGATTATCTAATTTTACTTACTAGAACGGACCATGAAAATTTGGGGCAATGTATCTGAATCTATGGTTTGAATTTCTCCCTGCAACAACTCCAAACACCGTCTTGCGACTTTCATGATGCTTAGGGATATGCATATTCTTCTCCAGCCCATAGCCTTCTTCATATGTTCCGTGTATTAACTGACAGTCAAATACGAGTCCCGACCCGAAACTCTGGTCGTTCTGCCATTTTCGGATCCTTTCGCTCCTCTCCATCTTTCAACCTCTCCCCTATTTCCAGACGTTCAAATACCCTTTCAATTTGGATATGTCATTGTCTCAGGTGTGCTTGCCCACAATGCAACTCGCGAATTCTAGCATATATTACTCTCCTTATTAATTCAATCCTTACTGTAATCTGCGAAAGTAACCTGCGTTCTAAAGCTTTGGTCAATCTGAGCTCTCATGGCCCATATTCGCTCTCTTTGTATACCACGTTTGGTAAAGAAACAGTATCCAATATTCAAGTACAGGATCCACGGTATCAGGTTGGTTATTTGTAAGGATATGGTCGCGGACATAGATTGTTAGTACTTCTCCAATACCTAGGCGGTGATGAGTAGCTAGTCCTCGCTCTACACCCAAGCACTCCAGCCCTTTCAAATTTCCTATACTATTAGAGAAAGTGCAAGTTTTGCATCTATGAGTACTTGCGGTTCTATATATTAAAGGGCTCAAAGTCTGAATAACGCTTTTGAGCGATGATTTTCTCAGGCTTTCGTCAGAGCCAGATGACAAACACTGGAAGGCAAGAAATACACGTGATTGAGGGACCTCTAAAGCTCTGTCGTACAATGAATCGGCATCCTCTCGCTCAGCAAATATGTCAATATGTGGATATCAATGGCAAGGTGAAAGCCGCCAAATTTGTCAATTCAAAACTTCAAGCAGCTACGTCGGGGGCAAGTTCTCACCGAGTCCTCTGGTCATAATGCAAATATATTCAACTTCAAGACAGTTCGAAGTAAGCAGTAGCAAAGTTATCGGTGCCAGACGGCTGATAGCGGGTCAGACAGGCGTCGAGAGGACAACTTCAAGGAAGATCGTGGCCGAATGTTTTATTCCACGAGAATGGATGTAACTAGTCTGGCGAGTCCCATGCCGCAATTATCGCCATCATTGTTACATTATAAAGCATGAAACCCGGATATAGTTGTTCTAAAACCTGGGAACTAGCTGGACGGACGGTAAGTTTGAATAAATCTAAGACTTGAGTCGCTGATAGGAAGTCACCACACCGGGTATATGTGCTTACAAGAGGGTCTTGAAAGGAAAGCACTTGTTTTCATCTAACGTGGATGGCGAAAGCGAAGATAATAATAGGGTAAGAGCAAATGATGATTTCATCCGAAGTAAAAGGTGAAAGCGATGAACGGGACGAAAATCGAGGAAGTAAGGTTGAAGTCTATTTACGGAAAGCACAGTAAACAATATGATCCAGATTGGTTTACAAACCTCTATAATAACGGAAAGTAAAGTTTTGTCTTCATTACTCTTATATATAGAGCATCTAGACTTCTGCAAATGAAAATCCAAGCCTGGCAATACGTGGCAGCTCTCTATACCTTGAATCAAACGTGGTGTTACCGGCTGGCTCACTCCGGGGAAAGAGTCAACGAATTTGCAATTCCCCTAGCAAAGACCGGGTTTCATTACTAGAGAAGTTTGCGTGAGCAAGCATTTTGAAGGCAGTCTTTAGGAAGGAAAACTTCACGTAGGACGGACTACATTTACTGGTGCCGTTTGAGGAGACCTAGAACAAGAAAGCACGAGAGGTTTCAGGCATGAGAAGATTATACTATAACAAAGAAACTCTAGCTAGTGACATATGCGAGGCCAGGGCAAGATTTCTGCGAAGCTGGGCTCGAAACACTAAGTGGAAACGTATCACTGAGCTAGTTCGCCAGGGAAGAAAGTCGCGCAAGACTTGTCTGGCTAAGAGACCCAAATTCCAAAAGGAGGAAGTTGGGAAGTCTCGCAAAGTCGTGGCTTTCGTCAAAATTTAGAATCAAATCGTGGTGGGCTTGAGGAAGCGAGGATGTGCTCACTTGAGAAGGGAGTCGACTCGTTGTCTTATGATTGCACCTCGCCCACTTTTATCCCTTCTCATACTAATCGTTAGTTTCGACCGTTATTCATATGTGAACATGCACTGCATCGATATTGGTGGGTTGGCTTGACTCATTTTGGAGCTGCGCAGCTTGAGGTGAAGTTCAAGAGGCAAGCGGGGGGCTAAGCAAAGCGAAAAGGGGGAGGCAGGAACGTTCTGCTCTACCGACTTCTGCCGAGAGAGGGTCCACCTTATTGAAACGCATATAGCAGGAACTTCCAGCGTTTAGTGCTCAGAAATAAAATAGTCAAGGGTATGTCGCCAGCGTGTAACTATCTTTGCAGGCGGTCGCAAATGCAGCATAAAGGCTCTCGACAATAGCAGTGATAGGGTTTCCTAGAAAGCTTTTTGGTATGCTAAACGATGCTTTGAAATTACCAATGCCACCACTGAAAAGTTCATGGGTACACACAAAAACATTTTTATCTATCAAAGAGTTTTCAGTGAAGTAGAAAGTTTCCCACGCGAAACGCAACCCCTAAAAGGTGTTCGCCTTTTAACGAATTAATTAAATCAGTCCTCCGTAACACGTTTTCCATTCATTCTGCCTTTCTAAAGCCTCTGAAAACATAAACCCGTTTTTCAAGAAGAAAACGGTTGAACACCTCTGCAATTTTCGATTCCCCAAGGAAGGGAACAATGTCAAGTTTTTCGTTTCCATCAACAAGTGCATCGCATTCCCAACTGTGGCTTCCCTGATTCTGGTGATTTTGTTTACCTGTTGTACAAGAAAGATGGCAAGTGGTGCCGGCTCCTCGTCTCCCTCCCACTGAGGTTGAATAGAGCAGCCCACTTTAACGGAGCCTTGCTCCGGACACGAGAAACTTCAGACGAAATAAGACTTTGGCTTCAAATACTGATTACTAGACAATTTGATGATACCGCTATGCATATGGCCCATAATCCTACAATGCTCAGCATCCCAACGCTAACCCATAAAAATACATCGCTGAGCCCCCCATAAACATGGGAAGGACATGGTATCATCAAACATTAACGCATGCTCTCAAGCGAATTAGAAATTCACACTCTGCTGCGCACCTTTCGCTAAAGTGATCTGGCTTAGGCTCAACGTCCTAGGCGCAGTCTTCGTCTTACCTGAATCATGCACGTCACCACCAAAAATCTCGTCTCCAAAGTGACTACCAGGCTCATTAGGAGTCTGAAAGCCTTCTTGCATATAACGCCCTTCGTCATCGCTGCTATCGTCTGGCTCGAAGCTCGAGAATTCTCCGCCTGCTGCATATCCGGCACGGACAGGAGCTGCTGATTGATCCGAACCTTGTACCACGGACTGTAATGAACCTAGTTGGCGCTGAAGATTGCGAACCACGGCTTCAAGTTGCTGCCGTGCTGATCGCTCCTCAAGGATCATATTCATTAGGGCAGTATAATGCTCAGTAGTGAAATGACCATCCTTTGGTAAGGTCGGTGAACTCGATGGAACCCCGCGGATGGTCGTCGAGGTAGAGAGGGGGCGAGCCGTATTTTGTGATAAGCTAAGTGGTGGGTCGGAGGAAGGTATTGTAGGTTGGGAAAAGTTTTCGAAAGAAGGATGTACCGAAACGCGTGTGGATACTGTCGATGGGCGGCTACTCCCGTAAGAAGACGAACGTTTCTGACTGCCTTGCAGCCTGCCCTCTTGAGTCGGCTGAGGTGCCTGGGGCTCTCGGTACCTTGGGTGCTTCGGCAATGATATCTCCGAGTTATCTGTTGTCGGACGCGGTACTGAAGAACGTCGATCGTGGTCTGCAGAACTGCGGTGTTGACGCGAGTATAATACTCTCTCCATTTTGAGCACTCGTTCCTCCAGCCGGCGCACTCGAGTATCTAGACTGGCAGCTTGAGTGATTTTCATTCCAGCCATTTCACCCAATGGTCCAAAGTTGAAGGGCTGGGGTTGCTCCTGAGGCTCGTCGTGTCGGTTATCTTCTGGCTCGTCTATTACAATAGGCTCTTCCGCTTCGGCCTTATGAGAGGACAGTGGTGATAAGATGCCGGGGTCATAGCTTTCCCTCCAGTATCTAATTTCATCACTTCTGCGCCGGGCAACGGTGTGTACCGACGCGGCTTCCCGCATCTCGCCTAGACTTCTCGAACGTCTCTTTGGATGACAACCACTCGTCACAGCCATACCAATGCCAGCCGCTGCCTCGGCCTCAGCATCTGGATTAACCCTGCTTCCTCTCGCATGGCTGCTGGCTGGTCGTGGGGAGAGTCCAGTCCAGTCTCCATAACCCGGTGCCTTTGTTGGAGTCCACAGCCTACTTGGTGTTGTAGCCCTTCTCGGCCGCCTATGTCCTTCAGCATGTATAGCCTCCAAATTTGACTCGCTCTTGGCAGGGGGGAATTCCTCGGTTGCAGTCGAATGCGAACGTAAGGCTCGGTTATATTCGTTGATTGGCAAGGAAGCTGAACGTTTTTGAGACCCTGCACCGCCGGTTGGGGTTCGGTTTAGGGCAGTTGGATCCTGAGTGGTGTCAGCCTCTGAAACTCATTTTAGGAAAGACACAAACTGACACTGCGGTGCTGACCAGCTCTCATTCCACTGGCGCCTTGTTTCGGGGGACTTGACCCTCCATTCTTACTCTTCTTCCCAAACAAACGGCCCAAAGCAGACCTGAAGGATGACTTCTTCCTTTGAGGTTTCCCCATACTGGATCCCGAAGGCACACTTGTTCCTGAATCCCGCTGTGAACTGGGTTGGTTGGTGCGCCGGATTTGAGTTTCTCGAAACGGCTGAGCTTGGTCATGTGTAGACAGGATTGGCAGTTTTGGATCGACAGTACTGCTGGTTGGGACGCCAGTCTGAAGCGCTGTGCTGTCGAGTTCCGCAGCAATAGATGCTCTCAACCGCGGCTCTATGCCATCAGTCCCTAAGGGCACAGCCATCCCCGTACCTGGCGTTCTTATTGGGAATTCGTCGTCCGGGATGGGTATCGGGGCGGAGATTTTCCCTAACATCAAGTTAACGATGAATTTATATTGAAGCCACTCGAAGGAAGTCTCACCTCTTATTGAAGAATCGGTATTTGTTCTTGATGGCCCCTCCGTTCTCCATTTTCCAGCTCCTCTGAATTTACTCATGGCGGAGGGCGGGGAAGGATCCCTTCTGGCCTGTCAGGCGTTCACAGACGGTGCAAGGCTGGTTGTGCTCAAGAGGAATGCATCTGAAGACCAGTTCTTAACTAGCAGATACAGTGGTTACTGGAAACGCGAATCGCATTGTGGGCTCTCCTTAACATTCGTCACCTCATCGTGAGCACATAAAATATGTGAAGCGACGCTGTTGGTTTCTCGGGCCATCAACCAACTCAAGTTATTCATTCGCTCAAGGACCAGGACGCATCACGTATCATATATCCTGCGACACCCTGTCAGCGATAGACAGGGAGAGACCCATGAAACGGATCATGATGGGGAGGAGACAGGCATGGGTTAAAATAGAAAATTGGAAGGACGGGAGATCAATCAAATAGCACGGTGGCGGCATCCCTGAGCCGCATTGAGAAAGCTATCGTAGTTGGCTTACCCCACGAAGACATGGCACGGCTGCTTGGATTTTCCGCAAATGAGATCGTGTCCTAAACTGGAGTTGCTCCGCCTCGCATGTCCCCCGAAACGGGCTCGACAATCCAGCCAAAACTTCCCTCGAACGCTTCATCCAAAACCAACAGAACTGATCCCCCTGTGAGGGGTCGTGAGGGCGTGGCCTGCCGAGGGTGAGGATGAGGATGATTGCCCGCAATGACTGGTAGCGAGCTTGGATCTCGATTCAGGGAGGCCTGGTAGATGATCTTCAAAATCCAGAGAATGTAACCACCTTCATGCCGAATCGTCGACGAGGACCATGCGCAGGCCGGCCGAACTTTCCGAGCCCTGCTCTTTTATGCCCAAGGCTCTGCGTTAAGGCCTTTCCTGAACGGCTTCATTTGCTGGCATGAACTGCGCGAATGCATGCCGCACAGTGGCGCGTGAAGATGCCCAGCGTGTGGACTGCATAAGAGGGTACGAGTCGTGACAACTGAATCGGAGGAACCGCTTTCGTGCCGTGCATATGCAGTGGCCCTGTCTGAGGGCGGAAGGGGCTTCATGAATGGGCTTAATGCAAATGGGCTAGATCTATGAAACAAGACGAGGTGTTGGTCTCAATTGTGCTGTCAAAGCACGGCGGCGTCCGTTAGCTGCACTCTCTCGGGAGTTCTCCGCGAATTGAGCTGGGTAGAGAAAAAGTATTGAGGTAGATTTGCTTTTCGCAGACAATCATGCACCAAGTCTCAAAGCAAGATGCGATAGGTCGTTTGTGCACGTCTCTCTCTCTTGCTTCCTGATGGTGACTGTGTTACTAATACGCTTCATCGTCCTTCACCTCCTTGATGTCAAACCCTACTCCTCGGAATCCAGACCGACAACGTCGTCGATTATTGCTATCGATACAAACCCGTCGCTTGTTTCCAGGTGTTTCACCCAGGGGCCCACGTTCGTCATTCGTCTGATGGATGGAACCCCTGGCTCCGCGTGGCAGCTGCGGAGGTCCAATCTTCGCATTATCAGCAGGCATGGCGTACTATTAATCTACGGCAAGATGCTCCGAGTATCGCATTAGCAGGTTAAAGGCATCGAAGGGTGCGGCCCGAAAGTTATTGCGAATTCAACGCTGACGCCGATGGATATCGAAGATCTCCTTCCTCTAAGAACTCCATCCAACGCTTGAGAAACTTGCTGCCTCTGCACGATCAAACATTTCAAGTCAGCTTGACGTCTCAGTCTCTGATCAGCGCAGAGGCCAGAAAGATGGTCTAAACTCACTGCAGTGTCTCAGAGTCGCCAATGATAGTGAGGGAGCGCCTGGGCCTGGTCATGGCGACTGTGTTTGTAGTTGTTCAGCACTATTCTTAGCATTTTTCAGCTGGAGGATCTTACCATTGAGTCTCCGTTTCTCGGCGACGAACCCACAGTCGTGCTGAGCATTGCTTCTGACGAGGCTCACAATCACTGCTTCTTTCTCTCTACCTTGGAATCCGTCTACACTTCCTAATTCAATGCCGGGGAACGCTTCCTTCATCTCACGAGACATCAGAGCAAGCTGCATAAGTCAGCAAAGGTTGTGCATATCGCATTGATATGACTTCTCGATTAGACACCATGAAGGTTCTCGAAGGTGGAAATTACTCTTAAATGCAGACTGGTCCTTGACTGAAAGTCCAGCCATAGCATGGAAAGAAGGTCCAACATCTAATTATTGAACCTATCTAGGGTGGAACATTCAAGCGATGTGCCTGATTGGCACACGGTAGTCTCCTTCGCGTTGCGCAATCGTCGTGTTACTTGCCTCTCGTGTGAAGCATTGCAAGTAAGACAGCGCAACTCTATATCTTAAGGCTAAAGACGTATGTAACTCGACAACTCTCCGAAGAGAATGATTGAAGGATCTGCAGCACCCGAGATAGATTGCGAACCTTGTCCACAGCCTTCTTGAGAGCTTCACCAGCCACATACTTAGGCTTTTAGACATGTGTTTCTTAGAGTTCAATTTATGCGCAACAATTTTGGCTTTATGTGGGTTGAAAAAGGAAAGAGATCAAACATACCTGGGCATTATATGGTGTGATAATTGCGATGTCGTCTGGTTTCACACCTGCGTCGACTAGATTGCGCACATGCTGCTTCACCAGCGCGGCCTCCATCTCATTGCTCTTACTCTCCCCCATCATACCCTTGCCAGCTTTCTTGTCAACCTCTTCCTCTTCGTTCTTCTCGGGAAAATCGCCACCTTGTGTGTCGAAAAAAATCAGAGGTTCGGTGGTATCTTCAGTCTCTTTTACTTCATAGGGCAAATCCTTCAGAAGTCGGGCCTTCACTGCATCTGCTGCTACCAATTTTGACTCGTATAACTCGTCTGAGGGAAACCTCATGATCTTTTCGTGCATTCGATATTGAGTAGTTAACATTCTCTTGATGCCGGGTCCATGAAGACGTAGTAGTCGATCGAAAAGCGTAGTTTCGAGAGTCATCCCTTTAACGAGTTCTTCCGAGTCTCTCGTTTTCGCTTTGGTGGTCTTCGAATTCAGAGACTTGATGGTAGGTGGCAGCTGAAGGTGGTCTCCGGCAAGAACAACTTTGCTTGCTCTCAGAAGAGGGACCCAGCACTGGGCCTCTAGTGCTTGACTAGCCTCGTCAATTATCACAACATCAAATACTTCATCTTTCGTCTGAAACCCTCCTGCACCATGAAGCGTGGCGAGCACCACCTATTCCCAAGAAATCGGAGTAAGCATGCTTTTAGGTAATTGCGGGGGTAGCATTGCTCAAAAAGCTTTGGGGGGCATTGCTAGTGGAATGTCCCAAGAGCTGGTGGACATTGCTACAAGAGGGATCACTACTCCGAGAGGTTGGGACTTACCTTACTGCTTCCTATTAAGGTACTAATGCATTTCTTTTCTCTCTCCCGGAACTCTCTTCGAAGGTCCTTGATTTGGCCATAGATCTCTCTTCTTTCCCGTCCACTTTTCGTCTTGCGGATTGAGGCTTGTTTCGTGTCCATCTCCTTTCTGACATCTTGGACAATGGCAGCAGCGTCCGATGTCTGGGTGAGAACGTCCAGGGAATGATTCAGCACCGAAGGCAACAGACGTGCCGGATGCCCAAGTCGGACAATTGATATCTTATGTGGGGCCAGACGTTCGACAATATTGTCTACTGAAATGTTGGAAGGCCCACAAACAAGAACTCGTAGATTCTGCTTCAGCATCTGTAGAATCAATTCGATCAATGTATGAGTCTTTCCAGTCTATTGAACAGTCAGTGAAAGGTACAATTCACCACTGACAGATTGAATGAAGATAACTTACTCCTGGTGGTCCGTGGATGAGGGCAACTTCTTTCGAAGTCAACGCAAATCTGATAGCATCTTTCTGAGAATCATTGAGACTCGGATCAACCCACTCAACCTCCTTTCCCTCAACGAGATCTCCCGAGACAGGTGAAGGAGTGGTGAGTCCAAATAGAACCCTGACAAAGCTTGAGTACTCATCCGACTTCATCTTCTGTAATCGCTGCATCGTCTGATTCATCCTGCTCGAAAGTCAGCACTCTCTCAGATCTGGTACCCAGCCTTTGCCATGGTAAAAGTCCCAAGCTCTTCCCGAACATTCGGAGATCCCAGACTATGAATATCGCAAACTCTTCTTGTACACTCAGACAGCACTTGATTCCTAGAGTTCCCCAAGCTCTCCTTGTAAATTCAGGCACAACAAAGATCACTCACCTCTTATAAGTAACATCGTTCGCCAACTTCACCAACCAAAGTCTCTTTCCCCCAACCCCCTCTTCCCCTTCCCTCTCATCCAGCGCAACCCAAACAGCCTTACTCCCCACTCTCGTAACCACGCCTCTGGACCCCTTACTCTCCAACTCCATGACCTCCCTCTTCCTCGCACTCCCACTCGGCATCTCACTCACAACAACAATATCCCCCTATTCCCAAGAACTCGGTGTCAGCATACGTCTTTCAAATGTTCTCATGAGTAGAATGTACTACGAGCTGTTGGAAATTGCTACAAGAGCGATTGATGCACCGAGAAAGTTGCGGCTCACCGTCCTGACACCATGCTCCGCCAACTCGCCATCCTTGCTTGCCGTAGCAGAGTCCGGGCCAAGCTCAACCACCGTCTTACCGCCTAATCCTGTCCTCTGAGATGAGAGGGAAAGGTTCGTGATGGCGAGGCCGGCCTTTTGGAGAGCTGTGGGAGAGGCATTGGAGATCAGGGACGAGGTTTCTGACAGCTCGGATTGGAGCTCGGCTTCTAGGAGGGCGAGCTGGGTTGCGGCGAAGGAGGGGATGTCTACCGCGTCCTTGGGAGCCATGGTTCGTGTGGGGTTTGGGTGGTTTTGTTGCTGGTGGTCATGTGAGGGTGGATGGTGGTTGAGAACGGGATGGTGATTGGAGGTGGTTGGATATAGCAAACGGATTTATTAAATCTTTGAGTCAACAGCAACAAAAATTTGGTCCAAAAATCCGGTTTTCCTGAAAAAGGTTTAAAGGTACGAGCTGATTCGTCCTAGTTAAGTGAACAAGTATTGGATCGCTCGTTTCGAAAATTATGAGTTGATTCATTCTAATCCAGTCAGCAGCTCTAGGATTGTTCGATTTGTTAAAAGTCCAATGGAGGAGGGCAGCCAAGCGCAACGCAAGTTGTGCTTTAGATCGTTTAAGCTTTTAAATTTCGATTTTGATGTTGTATTGGAAGTTCAATACTAGTCTTGAATGGTTGACTCTGCCCACTTGTACCGCAAATATCTTTTGATATATCTCTACAGTAGCTTGAAGCAACGCCAAAGCAAATGCCAACCTTCCCAGACTCCTTCAATGCCACCCATCTGTGCAACAGCTCCCAAACTCCAACGAGTATTCCTATTATCTCTTTTCATATTGCCCAGGCTCCACAACAACCACCACCACCAAACATGTAATCATCAAGGCAAACGTGACGAACGCAACCAGCGCTATGCTCCCCCTACTCGCAGGAAATTTCCCCCGTATGATCCAGTGCTGCGACTCGAAATACCGATGGAACCCCACAAAGAGCATCACAATGCTGATAGCAAGGAACGTCGCACCAAGCGGCTTCCCCATCTGTCTTAGATGCTGGTATGGATCGAATCCCCCACTGCCCGCAGAAGTAGTATTGAGCCGGAAGAGCTGCGTGATAGCTATCCCAATCGAAGCAAAGGCGAGCGAGGTTCTCAGCCATGCAAGAAAGGTGCGTTCTATATTCCAACTCTCAGTCAGCATAGCTCTTTACTTGGAGAGGGAGATGCAACTTACCCAGCGCCAAATGATCTCTCGCCACACTCCCCTTATTCTCCAGCTCCAAGCTCCCATAATCAGACAGCAGCCTCGCCCACCAGCTCTCCTGCTCATCCACCACCGCCTCATCGCCATGCTGCGGCTCCTCCTCCCTATGCACCCTCCCCGCCCGGCGAATACTGCTCGTGCTCGGCTTATTCCCCATCGACCTCGTCCTCGACGACGTCTTCGCCAGCGCCGTGCCCTGATAATTCGCATTCGGATTCGTCTTCCTGGGCCGCCGCATAATGCTCGTCTCCTCGTCCGCACTGCTCTCTGTCTCCGGCAGCCCATCGTTGATGTTGCTTGCTTTCAGCGCGTCTGTCCGCGAGCCGTAGCTCCCTACCTCGTCCACACCGCTGGAATTCCCAGTCCCATCCATAGCCAGCTTCCGCTGTCTCGCGGTCTCGAGGATCCCGTCAAGCCGACTTTGCTCTCGTACAACCTTCGGGGCCGAGTCGCGAACTTTGGCGGAATTGGGGATGGCTGGAGGTGGTGAAGGATTCAAAGGAGAAGACATCGTACGACTACATATATGTATTGTAGATTGAGCAGATCTTTTGCAAGGGTAACTGATTCAGTCAGGTGGTACAACAAAAATAGTTGGATGTCGTGGAAGGAGGCTGTCTGCACGTCCCTCGCAATAAGCCGATCACAAGACGCCATCGCTCTGGAGGAGGCGGGAAAGGGCTGCATGGTGGGGGTTACACGCGCAAAAATTCTCCAAAGGATCGAAGTCTTTTAGAGCGAAGATGTTCTGCTGTGCACTTCATAATTACTCATTCTCGAATTGAGATACTTATGGATCTTCCATGCTTTCATTTCCAATTGAAAACTCTCCTCGGCTTAAGTTTGTGAAGACCTATTTGTGGAAACGAGGCTCTCAAATCAGCCTTGTTCTCATGTCATCCATGCTCGCCTTGTAGCCTAATCAAAAGATTCAGTTTCATGAATCCATTTCATTTTATTACACGGATCGAATCGAATGAGAGTAAAATTCAATGTTGCTACCACGCTTGCCATGCAAATCAAAAGTAAAGTTGGAAATGGTATCAAGTACAGAGGACACAGAATAGAGCCCCATGCTCGCAGATTTAGAAGAACGCGGTTGACGGTGCAACAGATCGAATGTCTTTTGTCTTTCCTGTCCACTAGAGTACCGTACCGATACAGCCATGATCTATACCCTGCAGCCCAGCCACAAGCAAATCCATATTTATCTTTCCTGTCCATCTCAGTGGGGAGAATGTCTGAGAAGACCAAATATGCTAAGTGAGCTACGGCTTTGGTGAGGCCGTAGAAATAACGACACCTGCAAGGAGGTACCACCAGGACATCCTCCTTCGATGACATACGAGATATGGAAGAGCACATGCGCGCAACTAACCAAGGTGAATGATCCATCGAAGGAGTCCGGCCTCCGTAAAAACATCCATCCGCTCAGAACACCATGTCCCTCCGAGACGAGAATTTGGTCCTCGACTATCCACAACAATTCAAGCACTGTGCACGAAGGCGCGTCTCTTGCCATGGCACAGTGATATAACAAACATTAACGACATTGAATACAAAGGAGAGCAGTAGGTTCGAAGGACATCAAAGAACCAGAAGGCGAGGATCTGCAAGCGCTTCAGGTTGGGTATCATTGACTATTAATCGATGCCGGCGAGAAAATTTAGAACCAGATATCGAACGGGATCCTTCGCAAGGTAATACGGGAAAGAAGCAACATTCGTGTTACACATTCTTTGGGGCGTGCGGATGCTGGATCTATTCCGGATTACCCGAAAGGAAGGTGAAAGTTGCTTCGGTTGAAACGGAGACCTAAACCTAGTTAGAAAACTCACAGGACATACGATAGTTGTTACTTACTGTGCAGCCCGTCGATGATACGACACCGTTGCTATAGAAGACTCCATTCTTGTAGGTGCATCTACCGCTGACCCCTCCGTCGATCTCGATGTTGAAGTTAAGCTTGCCGTCTGGGTTTGTTGGAGCATTCTGGAACATGGAGATGAATGTTTCACCAGTGATGGCCTTTCCAACACCAATATTGACGGGAGCCCAGTTACCAACGTTGCCACCAGGAGAACCCCAAACGCAGGCGTCCCCAACAGTGGTTCCGGCGGGGTTGACATAGTATTGAGCGGACGTGTAAGAGTTCTCCCAGACATAGTAGGTTTTGGCATCAGGACAGGTGAGTGCATCGGTCGTTCCAGGCAGTACATTGAGTGCAATGGTCTCGGACTCGGTACCAGGGTAATCGGTTCGGCAGATGGGAACGTTGCTGCTGAGAGTGTTTTTGACGAAAACGTTTCCAACACCAGGTGTACAGAGTTGCGGGTATTCCTCGCGCGAAAGGTGCAGGTACCCATCGCTGCCGCAGTAAAGACCTCCAATAGACTGCCCAGTGGTTCCTTGCGCCGCTGGCCATTGAGACTTCTGGTATCCGGCGGGACATCCGTAAGAGCAGAAGGAGTTTGCAGTACAGCCACTGCCAGAGAGGCCAGTGGAAATGAAAGAGATGGCAGCCGAGACAGCCAGTTCGAAGTCGCTATTCACTGACTGAACTCCAGTGAAGCCTCCAAGATCAAGCCAATCCGCAGCCACAGGACCATATTCAGAGGGAAAATGACTGCACTTGACTTTACCGCTGACGAAATCAGGCCAACTACCTGGAGATGAGCTGTAGGTTGAGGAAGCTTCGGTGGTAGTGGCCGCCGGAGGAGGAGCGGTGGTAGTAGTCGGAGCGACGTAGGTGGAGGTAGGAGTAGTTTTGGTGCTGCTCTTCTCCTGGTAGAAGACCGCTGACGGAGTTGGCGTCGGAGTAGAGGTAGTTGCAGGAATAACGGTGGAGATTGCGTCACCCATGAGGACGTAAATTCCAGACTTGAGTCCAGCTTCAACCACAGCCCAATCGAGGAATTCGCCATTGAGCTCGTATAGGGTCACCGTCGTTGGATCCACGCTTGTGACAGTAACGATGTCTCGTCCTTCGACAGGAGAGCCGTGCCGGGCATGATGGCGAGCATGGTTATGATGCTGGGCGAGCGCGAGGGAAGCTGTGCCCAGCAGCGCGATTCTAGAGAACTTCATTGTGAAGAAGTGTATCCGTGCGGGAATGTATGTACTTAAAGACTGTTGCGAGCCTCGAAAGACTCTGGAGCGACGGAAGTCTGGTCAACAAATACGAAGGCGAGTCGGGAAAAGGTTGGCCACGGTCGAAAACTGAATCAAGGGAGTTAGCATTCCGATCTGTGGCTTGTCGCTTTCGGCTCGCGAAAGTGTGGACATCCTCCAATTCACTCAATCCACACAACTCAAGACCTTGACTGCCACCACAAAGTCTTCTGGGGACAAGTATTTATCGAAGCGGCAACGGAGGGAGACGTACATTGGCAAGCGACCGGACCGTCTTCACGAGTTCTTACTGCTTAATGGAGGATTGATCGAAAATGTAGGTATGTCTAGGGGCTCGTAAGGAGGTCGTATCGTTTTTGATTGCATTCGAAGTTGTAGCTGTTCCAAAGGAATGTGGTAGAGAGTCGAGACTCTCAGAGTTGGGGGAATGCTTCGACGAAGGGAAGAGGAGATCGTGGGCGAAATCTGGGATCAAGATGGTGTAGGTAGAAGTCGAACGAAGGCGAACAAGAACAGGAACGGAACAGGAACAGGAACAGGAAACTAGAAAGGGTGAGACGCCTTGAGATTGGATGGAGGGAGGGCAATGGGACGAACACTCGCTTGTGTAGCTCAATGGGGTTTGATGGCGTCGTAGCTGAGCGGTTACTGGCTGGCAGGGGCGGCCGGGGTCCGCTCGATCTCAGGAACGGCAAGGGGCCCCCTGCATGGCGCAAGGGGCGACGTCGTTGCAGACAGGGGGCGACGTGCCACGGCCACTGCACCGTTTTGCTGGCGAGATCCTGTGGGTTGGAGGCCGGAGGCGAGGCCAACTTGGTGTGTTTCTGCCGTGGTTACCAGTATCTGGAGATTATTCTGGGTTGCAAGCCCACCGCTGGTGGGGACTGCGAGATTTCTTCGACTTCCAAGCTCTGGGGCTGGGCGCCAGGACAAACAACATCAACACCAAGACCAATGCCCACAAGGCCAAGAGACTGCCCAGACAGGCTTCCAATCATTCAGTCCGGGTGCGTGCGGCAAACAACCACGGCGGACGTGGATCGACTGAGTCTTCTCAAACAGGTGCCCATCAGAAGATGACAGCACCCAACTACCTGATTCGCGCGCTGTTCCTGCTGCAGACTTCAGTGCTGCTAGACTAAGGTTATCAAGATGGCCCGCCCGTCTTGCAAATTCGTCACCGACTCACGGCCTGAGATTCCTCTGGGGCTCGTGCTACCGCCGACAGGAAACAAGCGCAATTTCGGCTCAGGCCAAATCTCTCTCAGATGAAAGAGACGTAACCAACCCACTCGCCTACGGAGTGCGGAGATGACTGGGACCAGTGCTGACCACGGAAACCTTCTGGTGCATGATGCCGCCGCCGGAGACCAATCAATGGTGGGCTATGGAGGGGTCGAAAGGAGGCGGGTGATCTTCGAGAACTATCGCAGTTATCCGCCCTCGCTCATCAAGCTATCTTGAGCTGTGGAGAAGAATCGTCGTCAGCAGCTCGTGGGCCTCTCATTCTTGGTTTTATTATCTGCAGCTTTCTTCAATTACTTCTTGCGGACTTGTGCCGGCGCCTCCCTTGGTCGACGACGATAACGAGGCCTCTTCGAAAATGCAGCTATGAGGTGATCTCTGATGAAGGAGGGGCTGGTTTATTAAATGTTATGGGACATCTGGCAGGAAAGTCTACTGATGGGTTGTGTCTAACAGGGGTCGATTTCTTTTTGACAAGAATCTGCTGTATGGAGAGCAGCATTAACAACAGCCCAGGTTTTCTTCCACTGAAGAATCATAAATGCAGCGCATCGGCTCTCAAGCGCCGTAATATCGTGATTTTTATCACCGTTGTGGTAGTGGTTGGTGGCGAATGGCGTCGAAGAGGTGAGATGGAACCCACCCGTTCGGCTTGACATCGACTGCCAGGCCACCCTTGCGTCTTGTGCGATAAACTCTGCGTGGCGGGGCTTATCGAATGGCTGAAGAGAACGAGAATGCATCAATACACTGGCCGATTCCTGTCCAGCAATTATTTTGGCACAGGCTGGCGCTCGAAGATACCAGCACCGAAGCAAAAAGGCCTCCTCCCTCTTGCGTTGGCACGCTCGCAGAACCTGTCGTGCACCCTAGAAGTCTACCCAGTGCCCACGCAGCACGGGCTGGTCCGTTGTTGAATTGCAGCGGCGGTTCAAAATAGACTCTCGCTCGAGTCGCTCCGCTTGCCCCTGACTAAAAAGCTTGATCTCCAGGCACAGCCCTCCTATTCGTGAATGGGTCGGCAGCGAAATTAACTGTGCAGCAGTCGGACCCCGCTTTGTTTTATGTTCTGCAAATCATTGCTGCGTGGCGGTGGCTGAGCGTCGGAAAGCGATAGAGGGGAAATGGGCGCCGAATTGATCGACGCAGTGCGACCACGACGACTGCCAGGTGACGGTTCCAACCCCCATCATCTTGGGCAATTAGAGGAAGCTGCGTGCAGTGTGTCAAATGAATAGAGTAAAATAGAATAATGGCCGTTACTCTTATTTTATTCATATATTATTCAAGTTATTCATGAATATTCATGAATAACTTGAATAACGCACGTGATCTATACACGTGATAGAGCTAGCTTAGTCAGGTAAGGCTCCGGGTGGGCCCGCGCCTAGCGCCACCTCGCTACCCAGTCAGGTAGTAATGGCGCTTGGTAAGCGAATCGAACCTTAGTAATACTTCTAGTTTATTATTATAGAAAATTAGTATTTAAGTACCCTTATATAAGTACTAGCTTAGCTTATGTTATATATAAGGCGGCTTAATAGGTATCTTAGTTATTTTTTTAAAATTTAAATATATGTTAATTTATTATGACCACGTGACTTGCGTGTGACTTGCACGTGATAAATCGTGGTTATTCATGAATAATTATTCTATTTTATACTCAACTTATTTAAGCTACTCATTACTCATATTTTATTCAAGTTATTCATGAATAACTTGACTAACTCGAATAATCCTTTGACACACTGGCTGCGTGTAAGCTTCTCGAAAAGTCTCCTCAAGCAGACTCGAGGTAAATGCCCAAGTGCAGAATGTGTCGGATCACGTGCTTTTCATTACGATCTTCGACGCTATTGCCCGTCTATCTCTGCAGCCGTCAGGGACTATTCGTATCAACAACACCGAACATTATGCCGGATTTCTCCCCGGAATTCAGAAGCTGCAAGCATGGCGCATCTCGGAAACATGAGATGAGAACCTTCCTCACCGTTTGCCACGAGACCATGCAAAGCAAACGACGATACTCGTACCGCAGCAGATCATCGCTGCATGCCACAACGTACAATCAGGCACCAGAGAAGATATTTGTGCTCGTGGATTGGAGTACGAGAGAGAAGCCCGGGACGAACTTGTACAACAATGAGGCGATCATAGGTCTCCTCTCGTAAGACACAACTCCAAGATATCTCATTCCACTTCAATCTTGGCTCCTTCAAACCCCTCTGGCATGAGTACGGCAGTTGAATCCAATTTGCAGGAAAGCACCACAAAGCTTCCTCCTAGCAGCCCCAAATGCTATTAGCCAGCGGCGCTGAGCAGGAATCAGCATGTCACTGTCAATGGCGAATAATGTTACGCCAATGATCACCCCTCGAGTCCGTTTCCAGACGCCGGTGGCGATTTCAAGGCAGCTTACCGGTGTGATTTACTTTACACTATTCCCATGTACGTAAGCCAGAAAGCCCCTGGGAAACACCTTTCCAAACATCTTCGTTGGCAGCTTCGCGACTATGCCAGCATCACGGAATGCCACGAGATTCTACCACGTTTCTCGAATTCGCGGCGCGTTGCACACGGCGAGTCCTCGGCAGCCACTCAGCCAACTCGGGTAGTACACGGAGGAAAGAAAATGTGAATGCAAGTACCCGTAGGGCTGCTGAAAATCCCGAATCCTGCACTCTGTACTTACTATCTTGAACTATTCTGGGAAAAGAAACAGTTAACGACACTCGCAGTGTACTGTACAATACAAATGGGAATCGTGAGGTCAGTCAATCTCAACCACAAACTTCCCCACGCCTCCTTTCCCATCCATAATCTGCTGACACCCTTTCCTCACCCCCTCCATATCACTCAACTTCACCACACTCCCCACAATAGGCTTCACCTTCCCCTCCTCCACCCAGCCCCTCAATCTCTCTAAATCATTTGCATTCCCCTCCAAAACAAGCGCCTTATACTCGACCCCGTACCACCCCGTATATGTCCTCAGCACCCAATCCACCACATTCAAAATCCACGCAATATACGACGGCACCCCCGGATTCTTCTTCTTAAAATCCGTCCCATTCGGCCCCATACTAATACTCACAATCGCGCCCCCCTTCTTCATAACCCCCAACCCCTTAAACGTCTCCCCAACAGTATCAAACATGAAATCCACCTCCCGCTTCCCCGTGACATCCACCGTCTTCTGTTTTGTGTAATCCACAATCACGTCTGGAGTCCCCTCTCCCATCAACTCGCCAATCAACTTGAACTTCCCCGGCGAGAGAGAAGTAACCACGCTCTTGGCACCGAAAACGTTCTTCGCGAGCTGCACGGCGAAACTCCCGGTCCCGCTCAGTCCAGCTGGGACGTAGATGACCTTTCCTTTTAGCCCGCCTGCTACTCGCTCTTCTCCGACGTCTAGCGCTTGGAGAGCAGTCTGTGCTGCGAGCGGGATAGCTGCTGCTTCAGCGAAGGAGAGGGATGCGGGTTTCAAGGCGGTGGTTGACACGGTAGAGAGACAGTACTCGGCGAGCGTCCCCTTATTCTCGCTGCCGACTCGCGAATAGACCTCATCTCCCTTCTTGAACGTTGAGACCGAAGAGCCGATTTCAACAACTTCCCCAGCGAGATCGTAGCCTATCTTTGAAGGGAACCTGCGCGTATGTATCAGCGTTTTGCCTTACAGAGACTTTTGGAGTGCGGCGGATTTGGAAAGCTAAGAACAGGCGAAGGTTTGAACATACGTTCCCCCGACCATCTTCCCGATCCTGAATCAACCAGGTCAGTGTTTGGTTCTCCCAGATATTTGGGAACGTACGAGCTCGCCATCTTCACATCAATCGGGTTCACCGACGCAGCTCTCACTCTAATAAGCAGCTCATCGGGCTTCGTAATCTTTGGCACTGGGAGCGTAGCAAGATTATATTCTGAGGGGTTGCAAAACTTCGTGAGAGCGATGGCGCGCATCATGGGCGGGATTTTGGACATGGTGTTGATTGGTATTCGGTGTTGTCTCTAATTATTCTCTGTGCTGAAATGATAAGTGGGAGACAGTGGCAGGTAGGGTGGTAGTTATATAGATGTCCGGCGAGATTGTGAAGAGTTGCCGTCGGTAGAGAGGTGGAGAGTTTGACCGACTCGGAGACTTTCGGCGGCAACGCGATTTATGAGGTTTTGCGAGGGTTTCTGGAGAATAATAAGATGAAGAGTTCCGAAGTGTATGATAATGCCTAAGAATACTTTCCGGGAGCGGAATTTAAAGTAGGCAAGGACGGTTGGGGGTTGGAGATTCTACAGTCTCTCATTCCCTGAATAGTGACGTACTTGTCGTACTGACAAGGGAGTTCAAGACAACCAGCCCGCCGAACCACCACAAAGGCATCGCAAGTTGTCACCAATCCTTCAGTGATCTATTCTCATTCCAATTTCAATGATGGCATGAGACATTCGGTTTGTCAGGGGAAAAGGTGGATGGCTCAGGCAGGTGACTTCAGCACGTGCCACGATTCCGTAGCTCCGAAAAAGATTTGCTTTTCCTGAAGAATCCGTGAAATCATTAGGTGTCCGACTGAAATTGCCAATGCCATGCAGACCAACGGCCTGGCTTAGTGGTGTCAGATCGTTTGAGACACGGCTTCGAAATGGAGGTGGAGATAAAATGAACACGTTTGTCTTAGACAAACATTAGAACTAGCTCCTCATGTGAATAGAGACAGTGGGGTATTAGAAGCCCTTATAGACTCTTGCACTGTATGGGTTCTTCTGGGTCACGTTGAGGTTAATGTCAAAGAGAAGCCTTGAGCCTCGCATACCATCTCTCATTAGTAGCTGTGAAATGGAGCAATAATCATTCAGTACTGACAAGAATGGAGTTGGGAGACTGCTAGAATCACTGAGATCAGTGTATTTGGTCTGGAGCTTTTAGTGATAGACTGCGCAATTCAAGTGACATTGACTCTGAGAGGCTGGAAAGACTACACGGGCAGGTACCATGCCTTTCTGGCCTTTGGCTGCTGGAGATGGCCAGTGGTTCAAAAAACACCCTGGAGAACCCTCTATTGCTGTGCTCCAACTGAAAGTCAAGCTGGTCTATGAATAGAGCAGACCTTGAAACCACTCACTCCGTCATTGGGCATGGTGTAACTTAACCAAGCACAATTCCTCCGCTTCCAGCATTCCGTCTCTCACATTCCAACAGCCACGCACCTCCTTGTGGCCCACTGGCGTCCAGACTAACTGTCGTGCTTCGGGAATTGCTGATGACTCTTATTGTTTCTCCTGCATTCTTGAAATCTGTCTCGCAGGTAATGTTGGTTTGCTTGATGCGGGTATCTTCCTCAGACCCGCCCTGCCCTGGCTTGTGGGCTTTCACAAATGGAGCTGGCTTGATCTCGACAGTTGGGAAGGGGAGGAAGCCTTCTCGCAAAGGGATTAAGACGACTGGAAATGAATGCTTCTGTACGCCATTTGGACTTGAATCTTTGGGAATCCTGAAATGTCCCTTTCGTTTTCCACCAATAAGCCAGGTATCTGGCGACCCTGAGAGTTCATAGAAGAACTCCAAAAAGTCGTTCTCGGCTGAAGATTGGTCCAACTGCTCTGTGTCCCACATTCTGGTCCACTTGATGCACAATGACCCAGTGATGGGTTGGTTAGCTGCAACTACGACGTTATTGCCGAGCCCGGCTGTCTTCTCAAGTAATTTCAGATCAGCTGTGTGAACAACAGTTACCGAGGGTACGTCGACCGGAATTATGATCGATCGGCTCCTGGAGATGGTCTCATCGTTAATAGAAATGGGCACCAATGGGATCCGAGGCGTTTCTTGTTGCCAAGTCTCAAGTATTTTTGAGAGAATAGAGGCAACCTCCTCGTTGTGTTGCCCTGTTCGGCCGAGGCCCGAGAAGTGATCTCGCCATCTCACTGACGAAAATACAGAGGTCGATACTTCGTTCAATATGGCCGCACGTTCGAAATCGTACGGGCTAATCCGGGCTCGAAGCTCGGAGATAACGGCTGGTAATACCAATCGCGTATAAGGACGCAATGATTCTTCCTCGAAAAGTTGGCGAAGGCTGCCGGTCACTGCATCTTCGACCTCCTCCTCGAGACATATGTAATGTAAAATCAAGGACAAAGAGGACTTTTGTTTCTGCTTAGAATGCGGCCTCGGGGTCGTGAGGGGCTTGGTGATCTTGTACAACATCGAAGCCGGTTGGCGAGGGAAGACGATTACGGGTTTGCTGAGGGCGAGTCCACCATGGGCTTCAAATACCTCCGATTTCTCCAATCTAGAGCTCAACAGTCGTAGGGGACCAGGCGTTGCAGAAGAGATGGTGAATTTAGAGAATAGCGCTTTGTGTTTGAAAACATCCTGAACGTTGACACCCAGGGGAAGCATAATTGATATTGTTGGTGTCGTCGCGGAGAAAAACGTTCCCTTTTCAGTGGTGTAAGATATCTCCAGCTTGATAGAGAGATCGTTGACTTCGTGCTCAAGATTGAAAGGTATTCCGATTTTAGCAGTGGAGCCGGACTCCATGATACCAAACTTGATAACACCCGCTTCGGATCTTTGCGAAACTTCGAGAGATCCGCTGACAACCTTTGCATCGCTGGTTTGAAGCCTCAGACCAGCTGTTGCTGCTCGTATGTGAAGCTCACCACTGCTCACATTGTTCCGTCCGGACGATAGTTCGATCTCCAAAAAGCGATTGCGGTCCAAGTGAATAGATCTGAATGCGTACAGTCGAACATCAAAGGAATCTGATCTCTGATAGATGAGTAGCTTCGGACATTTGAAGAAGCCATCATCCTTTTTAGGTGGGGACACTGTGTTACTGGTTGGATATTGAAGAACGATATTGTTGGCTTGAAGGACAATATGGCTGACATGATAAGCCCCTGGGACGAGAACCTGACAAGGTTAGAAAGGTTGGCATACGGGTTGAGAAATACTCACATTACTCTGGACTGACATCTGCACCTTGCCATTCTTGAATACCAATGGGCCAGTCGTTTCTAGCCACAGATCTCGGTTCGTGTCTCCACTCATGGGAGTAATCTTAACTCTACCCTTTTTGATGCTCAAATCATCCGCAAGGAGATACTGAAGTCGAAGCTGAAGTCCAAACCCATCTATTTCTGAACGATATTGGACGGTCTCATCTACCTCGACCTTGCAGAAAAAGTTCTGAAGAGGCACGAGAACCTCGTGCTGTAAATTCTTGGTAATCTGCATCAACTCCGGAAGGTACGAAGAAGTCGACATAAATGCTTCATCAGAAAAATGCTGACTGCCACCTATCCGGAAGGCGGATTGTCTTTGAAGCCTTTCCTTCTCCATCATTGCCGCTCTCGACAAAAACTTTAGTACGACTCGGACGTAATCTTCTTTGCGCTGAAGTTCCTTGAGGCACTTTGCGTACATTACCAACATCGGCAGTTCGACTCCCGCCCATCCGCCTTCACCGTAGAAAGGGGTCATGCGAAAGAAGTATGACGCAGCAGCAGCGAAATCCGTTACATGGAATTTGAGTACGGCAAGATCAGCCATGCTTGATTGCACAGATTGCACATGATTTGCAACGGTGTAATGGCGAAGAGCCTTGTCGGTTAGTGTTTCGTAGAGCCGGTAGAAGTCGTCTTGATTATCCAGGGCAGTGCGGAGAAGCTTACTGTCAATACCCTGGACTGAAGGTGGTAGCTTTGAAGTGGTACCTGCCTCGCTATCGACTGTAGAGGGTTTGTCAAGGTCGACCTCTTCCATTTCATCCCCAGTCGCACCTTGCCACTGTGCCATTTCTGCCCATCCAACGCCCCATCCATGCTTCTTGCCCAATTGCTCAAGCACATTGCGAGAAAGAAGATACAGTTCTGCCCGATGTGCTGCGAGCTCTTCTAACCCCGACTTAAGGAATGGTGAGGCGGCCCCTTGCTCAGGTACACTATTTCTTCGACCTCCAGGGAAGAGACCTGGGCTTGGAGGTTCACGAGAGCGGGATCGGAGGGCAAGCGAACTACTCCTGGCAGGATGCATCATGGTCTTCGGCTCAGGAATAGCCGCTTTGGGCTCTTGCCCATCTAAGCCAATTTTGCTGCTAGGAGGTGCCAACGTCGAAGGGGGAATAGGTAGAGATTTTGTTGATGTTTGCGCAAGAATCTGCTGAGCGATGGCAAAGGTAAAAGAAGCAACGATGTTGTCAACTACTTGCACCATAACGGGATCTTGGGATGTGGTGTCGTTCACTTGCGAGTCAGAGTTTTGCTGGGAATGTCTCCACGAGGACCACATGTCATCGCGCATAACTCGTGCAATGGAGGCCACAAAGTCCATAGCTCGTCGACACACTTCTCCAAGTACAGCAAGATTCTCAACGTCCTCAGAAGGTTGGGTAGCTGGAAGCCGCGCTGCTACACCCTGTAGACTTGATTCTCGTTGTTCTTTTAGCTTCGCCAGAAGCTCTTCTTGCGATGACCAGGCATTTGCTATTCGGAGCAGTAATGACAGCTGTCGCGCAAACAGATAGCAGCGGAAATCGAATATCGAGATGTCGTTTGACAATATGAGCTCTCGGTATCGCTTCTTCGTTGCATTCAGAGGAATTTCGTTCGCTACATTTTCAGGGGACTGAGAGGTGGACTGAAGGTCGATAGGGTCATCTGTTTCTACCACATCATCTGAGCCCATATCTTTGGATATATCAGACCTGGCGTTTTCTGCCTGACGCTCAAGATCCTCTGTATATGGCAAGAAGGAACCGCCATGTTCAGCCCCTGACCCAGTGGCAGACTGTTCTCTAATGATTGCATCGAGACCTACGGCAAGCTCATCATATCCTACCAGGGCATCCTCAACAAGGCCGACACTTTCGAACCCTCTGGCTAAGCCCTCTTTGAGCACGAAAAATGTGCAGAAGTTCCATCCAGGCAAGCTTCTCTGGGCATCCTTCTCACGGATGTCCTCTTCATATTGACCCACCCGCATGTCAAAAGATGATAGAATCAACGATTTGAACTTGGAGACAAGATCAAGCCATGCATTCTCGTTTTCTTGTGGGGTCTCGCTATACGACCCTGGAATGGCTGGAATGACCCGCGGAAGCATCTCATAAGGTACATCATTGATACCAATGCGAATTTGAGCCACTCGATCAACGGCTGATCTGGAGGATCCATTGAAATCTGCACGCAATTTCTCCAAAATAGTAGATGAGCCCTTCCCCCAACGAGTGCCTGATTTGTCCGATGAAGACCCGGTGCTGCCTTCAGAAGATTTTCCGCCAGTTCTAGGCTGGGTCGCAGCAGCCGTGTTCGGGACGATTACATGAATTATGAGCCATTCGAAAGCATCGTGGTTCTCTTGCGCACTGGACTTTGTGGCTGGGGGGGTTTGTTCCTTGATCCAATCTCGGACTTCTTTCCGTGTCTGTGTCTTGTACGTCTCACTATCATCGCAGCGTACGAAGAGCACCTTCAAATATGGCGTCTGTCTGAGCCCTGGTATCTGATGCCTGCGTTCTTTCATAACAGTCTTGGAAGGACCGGAAACGGATTCTGGTCTCTCGAACGCAGCTTGCCCTAACGGCTGTGTTCGAAAGCCATCGTCGCCACTGGTAGCGGAATCTTCGCTCTTGATTCTCGAGAGGCTCGATGTGCTTGCCGATGCTAGATCCGTTGACGAGAGAGGATAGTTTGCCTGCGCAGACGGAACTAGGTCGATATAGAGGGAGGAAATGGATCGGAGGGGCCCAGCATGGGATTCCCAATGGAGGTTGCGCAAAGGCAATCGAGGAAGGAGACCCGGCGAGAGGAGCTGGTAGACTCCATGTGGGTCAAAGTATTCAACTACCAAAGACTATGAGCCAAGGCTAGCGTTTTGAGGCATATCTCTTACCTGTAACTTTGGAGCTCGATGACGGGTGCTCCATGGCGTATCGTTCCCGTTCTCAGTGCATTGTATCCGACCCGAGCAGTCTTCAGGGTGAAGACAAGATTTCTCAGTTGAGGAACAAAGACTAATTGCCAATTTGTGCTTCATACATGGAATGGGCCTCGCAAACACGGAGTACAACGACGTATATTGCCCTTCTTGGCTGGATTTGGAAGCGGTGAGTGATGCGGACAAGGCTCAGTCGACCAAAGTTCAGGTGAGGCTGAAGGTTACGCAATAGGTGAGCTGGCTCATGCTTCGGTGTGCTTTCTTTCTGTCCTTTGCTCAGCGTGAGAATCTGCTTCATCTTTATTCATTTGAAAGTATCTACGTGATCAAAATGGCTGCAAGTTCCTCCGCCCTTGCGAGTTTGTCAACAGAGCTGCTGCTTCAAATCTTCAGCTACTTAGACCCTGTCCACTCGACGTGCCTTGGCCTCTCTTGTCGACGGCTGTACCACATCCATTTCTCCAAGCATAAAACGGTCCCGCTCGACGCTTTCACTTACGAGTGTCCTATCCCAAACAGCGACCTTTTGACGATGTGCTACCTCTTCAGCCACCTTGACGACTGGAGCCCTGCGAATTTGGTTCATTGTTGGCGATGTCACAAGTTTTGCAAGAGCGATTCCATCACTCAGACCGGGCCCCTGTTTGGGAAATGCAATGCTTGTATGCGCCATGACCGGGACCATTCCCGATCTTCCTTTTGGCAGTTTTCCGTACAGACGAGGCAACTGGGACCTCCACCACCACCGCCGCACGAATAGCCCAAGAATAAGGCGCCCTGTTCATTCTTTTGGCTGGGAGCCTGAGTGTGTGAGGTCCGATTTCTCTTTGGCTATTGCCTTGCCTCATGGAGAAACTCGTCTAGGACTATCCTTATCCCAGCAAAAACATCCCTTCAGCATTTATCTACCATTGCGGGGCTTTAATAACTCGGCGCATCACATAGCTCTCTCCAGGGAACTCTTGAGAGGCCATTTGGAATGTTCAAGCCGCTCGCAGTCCAGGTTGCGAGAATTGTCTCACAAATCCACGCCATCGCTGCTTTCGACCCTGCGTGATGAGGGAGTTTAGTAATTACTCGATGCAGGCTGTTTCGAGAGAACTGGGAGGTTGTCTCGCAAGAAGATCATGACACAAATAGGAAGGGGCCCAAACACTTACAGTGATTCTTATGACCCCAAATCGCAGCCTCACTTACTGTCGCTATCCCGTTAAGCATAAAAAATACCCCGATTCGAATAAGACCTTCTCTGTTGAGGATGGGAGAAAGTGCGTATATATGGAAGATTGCCATAAGAACGAAAGCACCCAGGACACCGAGCGAACGAGCAATTACAACCGGCACTCCGTACTCGGGAAGGCCGTAACGAAGGGGAGTATATGCTAGGGAGGTGCACGGAGAGGCAAAAACATTGTGCCAGGTTTCGGACCTACACAGTCAGGACACTGGCCACACAAAGAATTCTTTCTGCGGAGAACCAACCAGAAACCTGTGAAGCTATCTATCATATAAAGAGGCCCGAAAAGAGCTGGGCTGCTCTTGTATCGAAGTAATAACTGTAGGCTCGTCCATATAATATATATGGCCAACATTACTTCAAAGGCCAGCACAATTGGGAGATTTTGAGGAAGGGTTTGCAGCACGATAAATATGGCAGTATGAACGCCCAGTTGGATTGGCTCACTGAAATTCTCTTGATTCTTCGGGACTCGAATATGGTTTGGCGTGAAGCTTTCGTATCTCAACTCGGTGAGAAGCAAGAGCGCCAGAAGCCAATCTGGTGGCCGCCTCCCAGCTGTATAAGTGGGCATTGAATGGCGACGCGCCCAGATATCCAGCGCTTTCATTGTACCAATTGCAACTGTTGAGGTGTCAGCATGTCCTTGTGAGAGGCATTGAGCATGAGACCCGTACTAGCAAAGCATTGCAGACATCGCACTGACCCGCAAGCAATTGGGGCAACATAAGGAGAAATCCAAAACGTAGTTATTGATAGGAAATTCAGGATCCTGTAGACATTGTACGCTCCCTTCGTGTTGAAGTAGATCGAAAAATATAGCAGTTCTAATGGTATGAGTAGAAAAGCTGCAGCTTTTATGAATTCGTTGCCGGCTGCCTCCATTGCAGGCGGCAAGTTCCTGGTTGGAATTGGTTGATAAGAGATATTCATGATGGCTCCGAGTTTAAATGTGTGGAGGCGAAGATCCTCTGAGTTTCCCAAATCCTGTTAGGTGGTGGTGACCCCTCCTTAAAGGAACAAACTCGCTGTCACGAGCCGCAGGACGATCTGCCAACAAATCCAGTGAATCTCGGTAGTCAACTCTTTGCCCGACTGCTCCGGATTTGAGTTCCAGTCGAGTTACTTTGGTCTTCGGTCCCCTCGATTTTTTTGCCCCGAGATTTCTACGTGCCGGAACTTTCGGAAGGCCGACCAAATCGATCGGAGGGACCTCCGGAATCAGCAGTCGCAAGCCCTGAACTTACGACCCAGAAGTAGTCAAAGAAGGATCGAAGGATCGAAGTCAGAATGAAGAAATGTCGTCAATAAACATAAGATCAGACTATCTAGTAAGCAATATGCTAGTCTTCCTAAAAATGGAATGGCTGGTTTTCAACGACTGGTAGCCTGCGGAATTGTGCGTAAGTCCGCGATACCCTGCATAAACTCGTCTGAGAGATATGCTCGGGAATCGGCGCAAATCCTCGGTGGGATTTGATTCGCCTACTCAAAGTGTGATGCCGTGAACTCCGGGGCTTTTCGAGGGTTTTGTTCATCCCTGCCAACAATGATTTTGTGGATGGAAATGCAAGTGAGTACGCCCGTGGACACAATGTTTCGGGAGTTGAAGTACATGTCATTATCGATCCAGCACATATATCCGCGAGATAGCATCTCACAGCGGGCAGTCTGGAAAGAGCATGGCCTCTGATTCGATATCAATTCCATTTCTTGGCCAGAATTGTCCAGCCAAACCACCTCTACTAAGACATGCCTCATGTTGAAGAATTCCAATGATGCGGTATTGCTTCAACGCCGGTCCTTCCATGCTCGTAACTCCTAACCGATCTAATAACACACTCTCTGTAGAATACCAAATCCCTAATATACAAACACCAGAGCAACTACCTCGCTCTATGCGAGCGATGATCTTTACCCTTTTTGTTTTTGCTCTTGCTCTTGTCCTTTGGAAGCTCCACCGGAGTATCTTTCAGTTGAGCTATCATGAAATCCAACATGTAATCATCCGTCGACTGAACAACTCCACCCCATGCATTAAGTTCATCCTTTTCATCCACGTCCATTGCATCGTCTACCAAGCCGGGAGTTCCCTCGGCAGCGGGCGTCGGAGCCCCATCCCGAGGAGTTCCCGGTCCAGCAGGAGTTGCAGAGGCCGTGATTATATTTTCGTCGAAATCTGCAGCATCGGTCTGCACTATTTCCCGTTCGGCAACTCTGGCTGCGGCCACGTCCTCTTTGTCCTCAGCCTGTGCAAGTACACGTGAAACATCCCGATCGTTATTCGGTCCGCCAAGGACTCGGTCCATGGCTGCATTGGCAGCGGCATCTCCATCCATAAGAGTGGACTCGTCTCCGAGAACATCCTGAACAGACATCTTGTTGAAATAGTCAGTTGTAAATTCTCCTTCTTGAATAACAACATCATCCAACATTCGCTTCTGATTCGCCTTCCGGAGGATGTTGGCTTCAATTGTATGTTCGGAGACCAAACGATATATGTGAACGTCACGGGTCTGGCCAATACGATGGCAACGATCCTGACACTGCTTGTCCATGGCAGGATTCCAGTCTAGATCATAAAAGATAACAGTATCCGCTCCAGTGAGATTGATGCCCAGACCCCCGGATCGAGTCGAGAGAATGAAAGCGAGGATCCTATTATCGTTATTGAAGCGATCAGTGAGAATTTGGCGTTGCTCGACTTTCGTATTACCGTCAAGACGGAGGTATTTATGGCCGTGAATATTGAGAAACTGTTCAAGGATATCCAGAACTTTCGTCATTTGCGTGAAGATGAGAGCACGATGGCCGCCTGCTTGTAGCTTGCGAAGGAGTTTGTCCAAAGTCTGTAGCTTCCCACAATCATATTGTAGCAGCCGCTTATCAGGAAACTGGATAGATAGCCTCATGCGCGCCTCATGAAACGGATCTGGTTCAGTGGTCTGGGTCGTATTCTGAATCGCGGCTACCCCCCTAGGTGTTAGAGTAAACGGGGTCAAATCTCTCGCGATCACTGGTGGTGTAACACAAGCAAATTTCTGTACGAAAGGATGCAATTCCCGGGATCGTCTCGGCAGCGTAAACACCATGTCATCCAGTACAGGAGACTTATTTTCCAGCCAGGTCATGAGACGGTCTCTTCGTCTAGGCTGAGGTCGGTGGGGTCGCATGTCAGCACCCAAGGTGAGAAAGTTGAGAAGCTGCGTCCCATAAAGTGGCTTCTGCTGTCTGCGAAGGGCGTTGAGGTAGACGCAGTGTTGAAGCTCTTCGAAGCGACCCCATCGTGAAGCACTTTCCAAATACACCAAATTGGACTTCGCCGTCGATGGATCCAGATTCGTGAGAGCATTTTGAGCTCGGAGACGCTGTGCTTCGCGCATGTCCATGAGAACTCGCTGTGCACTGAGCACAGCACTGCGTGAAGTAACGGCACCTGAAAATCTTTCGTGTTTTGCGGGAACCAGATTCAAAAATTCCAGGCTAGCTTTGGTCATAGGGTCTTCTCGTAAAAGTCGCCTCCGCACTAGTAGTTCCTTGATCTCAAAATCTGCCACGACCGATTTCTCCATAGGAAACGAGGTCATGATTGCCCTCTCTATGAAAAGATCCGGATGGTTACAAACTTTTCTCAGCTGCATTAAGCAATTGATGATCGACAAATAATTGCCAGAAGCCAAAGTCCCCCTGGTATCATCCCGATTTAAGAATCCATCATACAATTCTCGCTGTCTCTTCGAGAGCCGGCAATATTCGACGTGTTCGTACTTTGCCGGCATCTGCTTCTCTACATCCGCCTTGAGTCTTCTGAGGAGATGTGGCCGGAGAACTCTGTGAAGCTTGCTGATGATGTTCCGAGCTTCGTCGTCCATTTTCTCTCGTCCATGTTCTAGGATCTGATCTGATGGCTTCTTGAACCAGTCATGAAATTCTTGCAAACTTGCAAAGCCAGACACCCCTTCTTGTTGTCTTTCCTCGGGCATCAAGAAGTACAATAAAGACCAGAGTTCGGTAAGATTATTCTGCAGGGGCGTTCCAGTAAGGAGAAGGCGTGCTCGGGTATTAAATTTTAGCATGACCTGCCATCTCTGCGATTCGAAATTCTTAATGTTGTGCGCTTCGTCCAGAATCATGAAATGCCATTGCCTGCGTTTGAATACTTGCTGGTCTGCGATGATGAGTTGATAGGTCGTGATACACACGTTCCATTTATCATCTGACTTCCAACCTAGGCGTTTTCTTTTCCGCTCTTCTGGCGAGCCATAATATGTCATTATCTTAAACCCTGGGCACCATTTCTTGAACTCTATTTCCCAATTTAGCATGACGCTAGTTGGTACAACGACTAAATGTGGACCCCACACTTCATGTTCGGTAGCCAGATGTGCCAGAAGAGCGATGGTCTGGATGGTTTTCCCCAAGCCCATCTCATCTGCCAAGATGCCATTGTTGTTGTTCGCATAAAGTCCAGCTAGCCAGTCTAGGCCATAGTGCTGGTATTCTCTAAGTGTACCTCTCAAAAGGAACGGTACAGGGGTCTTCAAGTTGGTTCCGGGTTGTGGCGTTGCGCTTTGCGTGAATTGCCGGCTGTTCTGATGATCCACGGACGATGCCGAATCAATTTCTGAAGCCTTTGTTTCCGTGGTTCTTGGCGTAGGTTGACTGCTGCGGTCGGGACTGTTGCCATCCGCCTCTACAGGTTGCTTTAGGATAACCGAGTTCGCAGGTCCTGGCTCTGAGAGGGTGTTGGGGACATCGGGCGCGGCATCTGGACCAGAATACGGCTGTGCTGTATCGGGTATCATTGAAACCTCGTCTTCTTCTCCTGCTTCCCCTTCTCCCATACCAACGTCACTCGCCTCGGGAGAGAGTTTAACTTGGCCAAGCTCTGCCGATTTCAGTTCCGATGGGGCAAGGAATCCGAGAAGACTGGTTTCGCCTGCCTCATCCTCCTCTTCGCTTCCGTCTTCATCACTGTCGCGATCCTCATCACTCGAGCCCATGTCGTCGTCCATATCAATCGATTCGTCGCTATCGTCAAAGGTGTCACGAATATCTGACCCGGTAGCATGCTCTACTTCGGAAGTCTCGCTCTGGTCAGCATCTGACATATCTTGGTCCAGGACTTCAGTAGGTAGGTCCGGTATTGACCCATATTTCTCTCTTAGTTGTTCTACTGTCAAATGCTCATCTTCCGCGGCGTCTGGTTGTTGCTGTTCTTCGTCTGCTTCTGAATCGGTTGATGACATATTACTCTCCCTGTCCTCCTCAGACTCGGCATCCGAGCTTGATCCATCGTCTCCTGCAGAATTCGCTTCATTATCCTCATCTTCGTCTTCGTCTCCATCAGAAGATGTATCCGAGTCCAGCTGGGCCCTCTGAGCCTGTAGCATTTGTGTCGACATATCCACAGCTTCGTTCAGAGCCTTCCGAACCCGGGCTTGTTCTTGAGCTTCCCATTCTAATATGCGCCGTCGATTAACCTCAATTCTGACATTCTCCCAAGTTGCTTGTATTGTCTTGACTAAGGTCCGATAGCGATTCTGGCCTGTCTTGATTTCCTCAGCCTCTAATTGCTCCTGTGTTTTTGGTTGCCGGCGGTACCATTCATCGCGGCATGCTTCTGCAAGTCGTTTGGCGGCTGCTCGATGCTTCCTTTCTTCGATTAACATCAACCTTCGGAATTCGATAGCAGCCCTGTTCAGATGGTCCTGATGTGAATATTGTAGGGGAATCTGGTCTGGCTCTTCTGGCTGGAAAGCTGAGCAGATCTCTGTGCACAGGAGGCCGCCAGGCTCGGCAGCTTCTTCGAAACGAAGAATGAGTTTTGCATCTTTGGCAACTTGCTCGGGTGTGTATTCAGAGGCTTCGTCGGGATGGAAGAGGCCGCCTGCATCAACATGGACATTTGCCCCTTTGTCTAAGAACTCCTCCAAGGTCGGGTACTGTCGTGGTCGAGGCAAAACCAATCCTGGATGTGTCAAAGGTAGAGCTGCAGGTTTAACCCGAAACTTAATTCTGGAAAGCCTGGCTTTTGGGCTCTGCCCGAGAGAGTCCTCCATCTTTAGAGATTGGGCGCGGTCATGCTCTCCATCGTTGCTTATTTCGCCGACCCGGCCTGAACGTCGTCCTTTGCCGGGCCTAACTTGTGTTGGTGCAGACTGCGGGTCTCTTGGAGTCGAGGACTTCTTGTAAGAGCGCACTGGGGTGGAGGTCTGTTCACTAGGCATGGACTTTCGATGAGACCGTCTTGGGGAGACAGGTTTGGTGGGGGACTTGACGAGATGTTGCGAGGATGAGGTGCCAGAAGACCCAGGTTTTTTCGACCCGTTGATTGACGCATTCGGTGCATCTCTCGTGTTGAAAGGTGAATGCAGCCTGTTCGCGTTTCCAGTTTTGCTTTTGGCCGAGTATGTTTTCTGGACGGCGCCTCGCGTCTGCCTCTTGTCTGAAGGCGGCTGTAACTCGAGGGGTATATGATTCGTTCTTCCAGACTTTCTGATTCCATCTTGCGTGAAGGACGATGGCCCTTCTGCTACGATCCTCTTCCATGGTGGAGACTCTGGTTTTCGACGTGGTATCGTTGGATTCTCGCTGACTCGACGCTTCTTGCTAGGAGGCTCCCCGTCTTCTCTATTTTCGCCTTCGTGTCCGTTCGTTTGTGGTTTCCCGTCGTCGTCGGGGGAGGTGTCTAAGGACAAACAAGTTAGGTATTACTTTTGTATTTGGGGAGTCCGTACCGTAGATATTTTGATTTTCTTGCGCATCCGACGCGGTCTGTGTCATGACTTCGTAGGAGAGGGGCAAGACACTACCGTGAACTTGATGAAAGTCACATCTGACAGGACGATTCTTACTTCGGAAGATGCGCAACCTCTCAACAACCTAATCTACGAAGTCTGCGCATGCCCAGGGTTTATTTGCGTCCGTTGTTGACAAAAAACGTAGATTCGGGGTGGGATCAACAAATTTGGAAGTTCGGGGGCAAAACGCGGCCCTGCGACATTGATTTCTTGACTAAAAGCCGTTAGCCGAGAACTAGCGCCAGGATCCTTGGACGAGCTGACTACACGACAAGACGAGCTCGTTGAGTCTAACGATACATTCCAGCAGTGGTGACCATACGCAAAGGTGCGATCCTCGATCCCGCGCCTGGATGTTCAATTGAGATTTCTGACTCTTCTTACAGATGCTTTCCCGGCGAATTGCAACAGCCCGCCCGCTGCGAGTTGCCCTGCCCATTGCTCGGCGAACAGCTTTCGGACAACAACGAGGGGCTGCACAGGCTGGATCGGAGTATCTGTCGTTGGTCAGTGGAGATGTCCTTCTCTGGATGCTGCTTTAAACTGCTTTAAACTGCTTGCTGACGTACTTGAGAAAAGACTGAGGCCGAAGACCCTGGAATGGTCCGTTGAATATACCCTACCCTAAATCTTCCATCTAACTCGGTGCATAGAATGGAGGATATATCAACCCACCTCCAGTTAAACGACAATTCCGTGATCCTCACGCAGACTGGTGGGACAAGCAGGAGCGTAGAAATTATGGAGAGCCCGTTCACGAGGACAACGATATTCTGGGCATGTTTTCACCGGAAGAATACACGCATACGAAGCCGGGCAAGGGTCTCTTTCAAATTGGATGTTTTGTGGCAGCTGTTTTCGGTCTCTGTGGTGTCGTTTCGATGACATATCCAGATAAACCATCGGCGCCACGTGAATTTGAAGGTGGATTAGAGAGAGAGTTGGGTGGTCCAAATGCTCTCAGGGTAAGTTTGTACAATCATCAACAAAACGGTTCGTCTCTGACTATTCTAGGCAAGAGCTGCTGGCGATGAGTAAATAGGGATCTCAACAGATTTGTAAATAAGATGAAATGAATCCTTCAAAAACTTGCAACTCGTTGCCCCCCTGTTTGGCTAGGGTGGTGCTATTTCTTTTCTGAATACGCATAATTCACGGCATGTCTGCATCCCTTCGTCGGGAACCATTCATATTCATATTTCTCCTGGCTATCGTGGTATATATTTTCTAGGATAGGAATTACTCATTCTTCCCAAGGATTCAGGAATCTTTAAGAGTTGTTGCACTTCAAATGTTCGTATCAATGCCTGTGCATTTGAGCTAAAACCTGCTCATTGTTCCTATTGATGCTGGGACATCAAAAATTGGTGCTCTTTGGTCTTGGTCACTCTTTCCCCTGTCGCCAAAGTTGAGTGACGACCTTCCTGCTTGCGCGAAGTTGCGCTTTCCCAAAATGGTAACATGGCTCTTTCCCTCACGAAAGGTATGTCACCTGGACGCTTTCCTTGGCAGCCCAATCTTCTACTTCTTCAACTTTCGGCCTCAAGCTTCTCCAGCCAAGGTGTTGGAACATCGTACCTCTATTCTCGGACCCCTCACATCAATTTGCCTCAGCACAATGCGTTACCAAAACTGGGACGTTCTCTTGTTCCCGGATCTCAGCAAGATTCCGTTCCAAGAGTTCAAAACATCTTGCTCGGTTGTACAAGATCCCGGTAAGCTCGCCATATTACCATCTACAGCTCCAGTCATTCGCTTGAAGATTCATTGCACTGACCGGGGAATTAGAGTGTCACACCCTACAAACGAACCCGCTTCTGCTGCCCACAGTGACCTCTTTCGTTGTTGGTCTTTCTGCAGGAGCCGCCTTCCGTGTTTCGATTCATTGCTGGGAGAATCCCGAAATCAGCCGGTACATTCAGAATCTCAAGAAGCCTTCCGATAATATTGTGTTTGAGGCTCGACTGTTCATTGATGGAAGGATCGCCGGGTAGTCTCTTAAATATATTCCAAACTGGTATCCTTATTGACCTGTTCTTTCAGCTCCAAATGGTTCAATCAAACAGGACCATGGCCTACGGTCATTGAACTCAGTATTGGTGTGTACCTACTTTTCTTGAGCCTAAGTGGAATCCTGTCTCTTTCCCCAAAGCCCCTCAAATTTCTGAACATTCAGATCTTATCCACTTCCAGATGTCCCACGAGTTATTGAATATTGGCCATCCTTCCTTCAAGTGCTTGTTCTGACCATCACCAGATTTGGACAAACACGGTGAGTTCGAAAAGCTCAAGTTCCCGACATTCCATAAAGAGCTTCTGTCTCAGAGCTATTGGAACCCCGGAGATGATCTCGGACGAATCAAAGTTATTATTGCCGAAGGTTTTACTAGGGACCATTTGCCCTATCCATTTGAACGGGTCAAGAACATTGTTTCGTTCTCCTTTCAGCACGCTCCGCTCGATGTCCTGGAAGCGTCTTCTATCGCCTGGCCAAATGCTTCGATGTGGCGACACGTTTCCCTCGGTGGTCCGTACTTTGCACAAGCCGCCTCTCCACGAAGCGAGCCCGTCGAACATGGCCATTCTCCCCGCCATGTTGGTACAATGACAACGACAAGAGCTACGTTGCCTGCTCCTCCTAAGATCGGGTCCATGCTACCTCCAGCAGTCCCTGCCTTTCCACGACAGCCGAGCTATGATCCGTTCACTGAGTCTGTTCACGTTGCTTTCAGAGGCTGGCGCCAGGCATCCTCAGACACGTCGATGCCCGACTTTTCAGACCCAAGCACCCGAAGCAATAGTAGGTATTTCCTTCTCTCTTCCTTCAATTGATCCGTAAGGTCTAGAACATTCAGGTGCAAAAGTTCCGCAAGCTGCTCGAATATTGACGTCCTGTCCCTCCCCAATGTCCCGCACGCTTTGAACATCTAAACCCCGTCATTTTGGAATGTTCCATGAGTTCTGGAACATCCAGGACATTATCCACTTCCGAATATCCGTCTAGTTTTGGAACATGCAACCAAGTCCTGTACCTTTCCGAATGTCCTGCGAGTTTTGGAGCATTCAAATTTATTGCTAACTCAACCTTGCCCCAGGCAGAAATGTCAGTGACCCGATGCAGATCTCCCAAACTCTGGATCGCCGATTTGAGCCAAACCCTGTCTTCGACGAGCTCTGTGAGGTTATGATGCCATCTGCACCGGTCAACACGCTTCAGAACGAGGCAGTTGCTCCTAAATGTATCACTGGTAAGTGGAACAATACTCAAATTCGACTTTTCGCTGACTCTATCGATGAGTGAAATCCGAGCCTGAGAGCAAGCACGAAAACGTTCAGGAGCCACTGGTACAATCAGAGCTAGTTATTAACGACAACGCCGTTCGGATAGTTTCCAACCCGTTTTCCAGTACTACTAATAGCGGAACGAAGAGGCAACGAATAATTACACCAGCTGCAGCCAAGGTGATTGATGATGCAGATGAGCCGAGAACCTCTCCATCTTTCAGGAAGACGTCGCTAGGCACAACTAAGCAAGAGTCGGATGAGAATGACCGAAAGATACTTGGACCAATCGAGAATGTTTGAAGGAAGATGCTACCATTACTAATTTCTTTGCACGTCACCTATTGTCGGCAGTCGGGTATTGAAATAGCATGTTTAATTCGATGGATTGGGTGTGTATTTGTATTACCATTGCGGGTGGAAGGCGGGTGCTGTTCTCAAGCTCAGGAGGGAATCACATTACATGTTCGTAAAGCGATATCATTAGAAGCTTAAATACACTTTCAATGACACCTCTGTCAATCCCGGAACCTGTCTTGAAAAGATGCCCCTTCTACCTAGTATCTTAATGTTCATTTCATCGGGTGGGTATGATGGAGAATAGTAGTAGACGCCGACGCTGTATGCCCTAAATCCAGATCCCCAGACCGTATTTCAAACCGAAAGAGTAAATATTACGCCTCTGCAATGCCCGGCCAAGAATGCCACCGTATTGTACAGGTTGGAACCATGCTTCGCTACTTTTCCCTCCCACTAGCACCTGTCGAAGTAATCTTCGACGTTGACATCAGATCACCGATGTATTTTTGTAAGAACTTGTTGTTATTGTCGAGCTTGTCATGCTCTTCTTTCACGGCTTCAATCCGGTTGAATATCTCGAGGAGCGACTTTTGGAGGACTTTCGCGTGTCTGGCGGCAGGTATTAGCATTGATGTTGAGTGAGGGGGCCGAGAGAGACACACTCATCCAACTGCGCTCTCGCCTCTTGGCTCATCTTCTCTAGATCCTGACTACTCCGTCTCGGACTCATGGCTCTCGCATCATCCTCATCAAACTCCTCGTCGTCCTCGCCTAGCTCCACCTTTGGGTGTTCCCTGGGGACTATGATCGTGCCGCTCGACTTTCGGGATGTCATCTTTGGTCGTTTGAGGGGGTCTTGGGGCGTGCGTGGTCGGCGTTCTTCGTGGACGGAAGAGGATGAGGAGGAGGCCGAGGAGGTGGAGTTGGGCATGTCGACTGTTGCTGCTGGTTCGTTCACCGTGGGTAGTCCAGACGGAGACTCTGTTGCCATTCTATGCTTTCCTGCTGTGTGCGCTGTTGCAGTGAGCAGCTCTGGCAGAGCAGACGCTGGGTAAGAGACACCGTGCTCGTGCTGTAGAGAGAGCTAAATATTGAGTGGTTGTGGTGGAGGTGTGAAGTGGGGAGGCTCAGGAGAGCTTCGACTCGGAGTGTTGCATCGACCTCTGCAATGTGCAGTAGTGCTGGATGTAGTGGATGCTCACAGATTTTGGCTTTGGTATGGAGACCCTTGGGGCGAGTACTGTTGGTCCGGCTTGCATGCCGCAGCATAGGTGGATGGGTGGCTTGCGGTGTGGACCCCTACGGAGTATGTCGACAGCGCAAGGATGGGGAGACGGGCGATCTCTTAGCAGAATTAAATGCTCCACGCCCCTACACGCACGCTTCCGAGAATTTCCCCTGCCAGCGGCCGTTGAAGCGATATGGCGGCGATCAGGACGTTGCTGTGCTTAGTATGATGACGGATCTGCGGTTGGCAAAGAGCGTTGGTGGGTGAGAGGAAGGCGTTGTACTGCACTCCCCAAGTTGATGTCGTGCCGTTTGTATCGGACAGAGAGAGAGAGAGTTCTGGCTTGTGCACTTCTTCATAACCCATTTCATGAGGCTGGCTGGTCACGCTGCTAGGGAATTATTCCAAGTGTCCCACGCAACTGGGTAGTCCGCAGTAGGGGTCTCCAGGTTGCACCCAAATTCACTCAGGAGGCGTTTCCCATGCAGCTGAAGCGCCCCTCGACAACGTCGTACTGAAGCACCCAAAAATGTACATTATATCCGCGACGGGATTCTATTCGTCTGGGATCGGGATCCAGTACTGGAGTGCTAACTCTGCTTTACGCCCCTGGGATTTCCGGTCGTGTCTCCCACGGTTCTTTGAAGGTTTTGATACCGTGCGAAGAATGCCCCCGGCACAATCACCGGGCCCCTCGTTGCTGTGATGTCACACTTGCCGCACATCGAAGATCTGCCAAAAGCCTTTCCCGTTGCTGCCCCCCGACCCGTTCTAAGCTAGGAAGGCCTCTGCACGATCAGCACGTACGATTGCTGCTTTGCCTCACAGCAGACACTGTGTGAAACAGAGCCAGGATGCTCATTCATACTTTTCATTGCAACTGGTCATGACAGCTTCTCCACCTTCCGTCTTCTGCATTCGGTCTGAGAGCGGCGGCTTGCCCATCTTCCAGATCGGATTGTTTGGCCTTCCAACGACCAGCGTCTATGAGACGCTAAGTGGGATCCTCGCGTTTTCAAGTTTTGGCCTCGGTGAACAATGGTATTCATCCTCGACCTCACCTGGCGTTAGGAATCAAATAGGGTGGTTGGAGAACTAGTCTCAAATCTTGGGCTTCCCCCACGGTGTACATATGACTTCTTGACTCCGAGGATGACTGAAGGAATTGCACCTTGTCAATAAGGTCGGGGGCATGGAGAATTGTTGTTTGGGTGGCAGTAAGATGACGATGATTGCCTGGAGATCGTCGCTCGATGCCCCTTGCTGGGAGCAATCGTTCGATGAAGACCGGGATTTCCATTTGTCTCGCAACCCCGCGCTTGGCGATCCCCCATATGAAGCGCAAGATCACGGGTTGAATTGTCGGTGTCGAACCTGTTGGATAAAGTCAATAGATAAGGAGAGTTGTCTGCCATGAGAATGGTTCCAGTGCTTGCGAGCCTGATTTCAAGCATATTTCAAAAGCACACTGCAGGAAACCCCACAATAATCCTTTCTCCTGCGGCTGAGATAGTGACAAAGGAATGTATATCACTAGCGGTGAACTGATCGGCCTGAACCTGTCAGGATACAGTCTTCTTTTCGAGTAAGTCCTTTGTATAGCTCCCGAAAATCCGCTTACTCGGCAGTGGTCTCCCGTGGACGCTTCGTCGCAGCAACTCAAGCTTTCAAGAACAGCTTAAAAGACGCACAGTCGTGTGGAGAAGTTCTCAGGCCCAATCTGGTGCAATCACTCTCCCATCTTACCCCTCATTTGCCCGTGCGAATTGAGAGTTTATCCAATTGAGAGGGAACAGCTGTCAAAAGCCAGAAACACCGATGATACCAGTGGGAAGCCGGGCGCTCGACTTCCGTGCAAGGTTGGAGAAAATCCTCAGTTTGAGGCACCAAATTCCTGGAAGATAATGCCCTCAGTCTCGAACGGACTCTTGGATGCTTTCATGTTCCACTGCAGGGCCTACCGATGGAGGAGCAGGTGATACCTCGTATCGGCGTGGAAGTACCATGCATGCACCCCCCTTAGACGGATAGAATCTAAGTGGAATAGGGACCTTGGCTGCCTCGATGCAAATGCAGGTCAGTTCAATGAAAGGTACTGACTTTTAGGAGAGCGCCTGGCTCTCTCCTTGTTTCCTTGGCCTTGCGATGTGCCAACCAAGGGCGATTGCAGACTTCGACCTTATCTTAAGTTCGTAACTTAGAACAAGACCAAGAACGGTTTCTTTGACGATTGGACAAGGAATTGTAAAGTTACAGGTGTGCAGATAAGATTTGTATCTCGTCATTTGATTAACTTGATTCGGCATAAACTGAATCCGACCCTTTCTCCTCCACTCTCTCGCGAACACTCCCTACATTTTCGTTCTTTCCTCTTCTTCTCTGTCACTCATAGCTCGGTCGAGGAGATTCTTTTGCAATTTTATATGAGCATCTGGGCCAAGAATGGCGGGCGTTGCTGATATCCAAGCTGGCAAGTTCTCTCCTGACTTTGAGCGCCTTGACTGGTAGCTGAGACAGGCAGTCCTGCTTCACAACGGCCAAAGTGAAAGGCTATCCAAACGAGAACTCATCTTGCTCTAAAACAGAGCGTTCCAAGTCTCTTGTTCTACAACCGATGCAATCTTTCTCTTTTTCCGCCTGCGTGGGTTGCAACTACCTCTACACAGACAGGGAGGTTGGTCATACCAACTTCGATACGCCACAATACATCTGAAATTCTCCGACTGACAGAGGGGAAAGAAGACGAGAGGGTAAGACTTGTTTGACAGGATAAGAGGGCCTTGGAAGTCACCAAGTCAGAGACCACACTGGACGCTGTCAAAGGATACCGGATGAGAGTCGGTACGGAAACAGGGTTCGAGCATGATCCCACAACAACCATTGGACTTGTCCTCGGACAAAAGACAAACCCTCTCCTTCCCGCAAAGGCGTTTCCCAATATATTGTCCTGATTGCGCAGGTTGGGAAGAGCTCGTGATTCCTTTGATAGGGGAGCTAAGTGAGGGGTTAGGGAAAACCAGTCAACAAGAGATGAAGGGTAGCATTGGCGAATCGACTGGCAGCAAAACGAATTCTCAGCGAATTGCAACGTGCTCTGGCGCTGCAGCAAATACCCTCATCAACGCGCTTCAGGATCTTGTGAGGCGGCCCGAGCTCAAGGGCTGCGATGTGGCAGTTCGTGGCATCGGGTACCTGTACGAACTGGATGCATGTCTCAGAAGAAAGATGAATATTGGAACACGACCATGAACAAGGCAATAAGCAATTGAGGAAACGTTTCTTTTTTTTTTCACGCCGAAGACGTTCTTGGCGGCGAGTGAAGCTTATCACCACGTGTTTTCAAGCACTTTTCGGCCGCCTCGAATCGGGCCAGCTGCAAAACACCCTTAAATGGGGCCAGCCAACGCTTCGCCTCAAAAGCCTAGCCCCAAGATCCCATCCCATCTTCACCCTTCCAAAAGTTCCACATTTCACCACCACACTTCACCACCACACTCATTACTCTCTCCCCACACTCGCTGTCAACCCCTCCCCACATCTCGAATACGTACAATGGCATCCTCAACGCTCTTTTCGGCGCGCTTCCTCGTCCTTATCGCGTCCATTCTAGTCTTGTCAGCACAAGCTTTCGCCCAATCCACCTCCTCGACTGCATCCCAGCCCGCCAGTACCACCGTAGCCAGCATCTTTCCAGGAACATCTCCATGGTCGTATTATGGCTGTTGGAATGAGACGACCCTTATCACTGGAACAAATGGCGCCCGAGCTCTGGGCGGCGGCGTCCAGGAGGATTTGACTACCATGACTGCGGAGCTCTGCATGTCGTTTTGCAAATCAAACTCCTACACTTTTGCTGGGATAGAGTATACCAGGTACGTTCCCTCTGAGTTTTGCGTACTTTGAGCACATAACTGTTGGGGCTTGGCTTCAATTGAATGATTCAATGCTAACTGTTGCCAGGGAATGCTACTGCGCCAATTATCTCAACTCGCTCTCGAGCAAGCTCCCCGACTCGTCCTGCGACCTTGGTTGCGTGGGAAATGGAACTCAGATTTGCGGCGGGAACCTAGCCTTGACAATCTACCAGCAAAAATCGTCAACAAAGGGCGCGGGGACTAAGGTCGTGAGAGAGGCTCATGTTGGCAGCATTCTTGCTCTCGGAATCGCCATTGCCGTCTTGCTGTGCTTGGCTTGATTAATTTCTATCGGGGAAATAAAAGAAAGGGCTGTAATCTTAATGATTGATGAGTATTGTTCATAATCCGGCGTTCTTAGATTCGTGTTCGCTGGAAGACCGTTTTGGATTGGAGGGATAAATATATTGGCTGGTACTTTGGAGTTGATTGTTTGCGTGCTGGACTGAGCTTCTTGGGTTGGGAAATGTTTATAGAGCCAAGCAAGCTTGAATAGACTGGGCGTTGCGGCTTGATGCTGTTGTAATTGGAAGAGACAAATGCTAAATGCTAATATGTTACAAGTCTAGCATGCCAAGCCCGCGTTCCTCCACTGCTGCTTGCACTTTCTCCTTAATGCCCTCTAACGCCGTTGTCCATGCTCTCGTGCCTTTGTTATCATCATCAGATTCTTCAATGAGCCAGCTAAGCCACCTGACTAGACTGACAACCTTGCTCATATCTCGTTCGTCGAGTACAACTCTTCTCAAGTATCTTTCCATGGCTGCAACGTCGTCTGGATGCGGCCCGTCTTCTGCAAATTCTTTATGCCACGCAGTAAGCGTGACTCTCAACTGAGGCACGCTGCTCAATTCTCGCGTTGTGAAAGTAGGCCTTGGCTCCCTTGGAGGAAGACGAAGTTTCCGTTGGCCGAGTTGAGGTGCTTCAGGAGGACGTCGTTTCTTGCCAGCAGTAGAAGTCATGAGACCACCTTTCTTTGCAAGCCGTTTTCGTTTGTGTTCGTTTATAATCTCCTGACGGACATCTTCAGGGAGAGCAGAAAGGAAGTCTGGATCCAAGGTATCTGACGAGTACCCATCGGATTCTGCTCCATTCTCCCTGGATCTTGCAAAAGCTTCAGCTTTGCTTGGCACAAAATTTGACTGTGTGAGGGTTGAGTATGGGTCCTGTCTGTTTTTGCGGTTAAGCGCTCCTGGCGGGCGCCCACGTTTCTTGACGGGGGTAGTTTTCTTTATTGTATTTACTGGGCGTATCTTGCGAGGCGATGGTGGCAGGAGGCTTTGTGCGAGAGATGCGCCAGTGTTTGAAGAGTAAGACTCTAGGATTTCTGCTTTCATATCGTCCGGCAATGCTTCGAAAACTTCCGGGTCCAGCTGAGAAGGTAACGCCATCGATGCTTCTCGACAAGGACTTTGAGACCTTGACTGAACTGCTGGTGATTGGTCTCTCGATGTAGACCTACTTCTACTTTGCGCCAAGAGCTTGGACCTGATGTCTTGTGGAAGCTCTACTAGTACGTTCTGATCTATCTGGGTAGGCAAAATAAATTGAGTACCCGCAAGATTGAGCAACTTCCTTGCACTTTGATCAGAAGCATTGGCTCTAGCGATAGCAGTCGCAGGATGGAGAGGTGTAGCTTTTGCTCTCAGGGGACTATTCTTATCATCGATGGGATCAGAGCCATCAAACAATTTGGTAGTGGGCCTCCTGGGTTTTTGATGAGCGATAGATTTATCAATTGGATCCTCGGGTGTCTTGCTCCCGAATTTGTCTCCGCTCATCGGTGTGGCCTTCCATTTCTTAGGAGTTTGCGGATCATCAATCGGATCTTCAGTCAGTTGTTTCGCCCGCTTTGGTGCGTTCGAAAGACTAAAGCTGATACGTTTCTGGCTACCATCTGCCAGAGGATCACCGGAAGCCCTCAATAATTCGAGTTTGGTCATCTGCACACCGAGACCCCTAAGCTCTCCTGGGGAGAAGCCATAGCTGCGGAGAATCGAAATGGCTTCTCTCCCAATGATTTTGGCGTCATTAGTTGCAACCCCAAGGACGATGCTTTTGTTAAATGTGTCACACTTGCCATGGCCCAAATGTTTTGGTGGGTCAAGCGGAGCGTCTGCAGATTTCCTCATAATCTTCATCGTGAGTTGTCTGCCTTTCACTCTCTGCTCGATCAAACGACGCTGCACCTCAACACATAGATTTTGGACAAACTCCTCAGCCTCCGGTTGGGAGATAAATCTTATGCCCCAATTGACCTCTGCTGAAACTGATTTCCGAACAACTTGCTCTCCAACCTCGGTACGATCGATGCCTCGAGAGTAGTCCCATATCTTTTCACCAGTCTTGGGCCCGAGGACCGTCATAAACCGATCTTTTGTCAAGTGTCGGATGTCTTTCACAAACTTCACACCAATTTCTTCGAGTTTCCCTCCTATACTGTAGGCGACACCAGGTAAGTCTTGAACACTGAGCTCGCCAATGAAGTCCAAGACTTCTTCAGGCTTGATCTGGTGCTGTCCAGCTGGTTTGGCTTTTCGAAGTGCAACTTTGGCAAGTAGGATGTTGCCTCCGATACCAACGGATACCGCACATTTCGTTTTCTCTTTGATTCGCACCCGAAGCTCTTGTGCGATATGATCCGCTTTTTCTTGCTCCTTCCATGTACTGCCTTCATGAACACCAACACCGTCAGTACCACCTGCAGGCAGGCAGAGGCTGCTGATGTCCACGAGTGCTTCGTCAATGCTCACACTTTGGACGACGCCTCCCACATCCAAAATTGCCTCGTAGAAGCCTTTGCTCGCCTCTTCATAAGCTGGGAAGTCGTAAGGAAGCACTTTGATGTTCGGGCACAGCTTCAAAGCATTCTTCATCCACATGCCATTCTTTACCCCAAAAGATCTGGCTGGATAGTTGCAACTTGCAATCTCGGATCCAGTACCGCTACCATGAGCAACCACGGCCGGCTTGTCAATGTACTCTGGTGCACTGAGCAGAGATACAGCGCAGAAGAATGAATCGAAATCCACATGCATGACATATCGTCGCGCTCCAGGCTTCCGTTTTGCAGGCTGTCTCTGAGAAGCTGTTTTCTCAGCAGCCATTTGTTGGAATCGAGATTTGAGCTCGGATTTCCAGGTAGATAGGTAGTGCAGGCGTGATTCCGAATAGTATTGCCTGATGAAGTCTGGGTTTCCAGTCGATGACTTCCGGATATGAGGGTCTGCCAATAAGATAGCATTGTGCTCTTCTGCAGTCATGGCTTTGGCTTTCTTGGAAGGAGAGATGCCGTCAAGGTCGGGGGGCCATTTCCCGAGATTGGGAAAAGGCTGATCAGTTAGATTGTTTGTGATCTCTCGCGAACCTGGAGTGGCTTCGGGGATTTCAGCCTCCTCTACCGTGGGAGCCGCAGCAGATTGCGCCTCAGGTCCAGGTGAAAATGCTGAAGTAGGGTGGCATTCCTTTGATAATGTTGCCTGACCAGGATTCCCCTTCATATCGGCGCTATTGAGAGCATCTTCTAATGAAGACGTAACCTCAAAACTTCCAGAAGAAGCAGGGTTCTGGTAACCAATGTCTTCTCCCTTCGGCGCTGGCACTTGGGCCTGCTCTTTGGAAGGACCTGCCATGTACGTGCCAACCCCATTCAAAGACACAGCCTGCGTGCTCGGAAATTGAGCTCCATCTTCGTTGTCGATATCTTCTGCAACATTCTTGACCTGGCTGGTGTACCAGCTGGTGTTCGTCTGGTCTCTGTAGCCTCCTTGTTGCGTATTGGGTTGGCTCACTATTTTACCTTCATCAAACCCCAGCAGCCTTTGTCCTGAGCCCTCATCAATGACCCGATAGGCATCCCACGGCAGCAGTTTCTGAGCTGCTGCGCTATCAACGATCCACGCAGGCTTCACGATTCGGTATCGTCGAAACTCGATGGCTTTTTTGGGTGTGAGATTTGCCGCAATGATATGAGTGACTGTGGTCTTCCCATCCAAATACTGCATAAATCCGCCCCCATAGCTCACGATGAGATGATGGAGATCATTCAAGGATGGTTGCGTGTAGCCGTTCACATGGGCCACGACCCCCCGGAAGATGGCTGGCTTGCCAGCAGACTGCGAGCGAACTTCGGCATCGAGATTTTGCAACTTGATCTTCTTGCGGCGAAAGTAGTCGGAGAACCCTCCAAACTTCGAACCCTCGTACTCATCGCCCTCTTCATTCTCAAAGGAATGTGCCTCGATCCTCTTTCGGACGGCTTGCGACCCTTTCTCCAGCCTGCTTCCCATCTTCGGCTTGGGAGTAGTTCTCCTGCATCAAAGCAGTCCTAGCTCACGGAAGTGATCATGAAGAGCATACTTGATGGAAGGTTTTGTCTCCATCCGGGAGGGTCAAGGATCCGTGTGCTGCCCGTCAACGCGACATCGCCACGACGAGAAGCGCGTTGAAGCCTATGATCACGTGATCTCACCTAAAACCTCTGTTTGCAATGTCGTCAACACGCAATCGAGGTTCTTCTCTCACGTCAAACAATATCATTTGACGGTTTGACAAGATGTCAGCCATTCCAGATAAATCATGCCAGCTTATGAGTACGTTCATATTCGGCAATCTCCTCCGAGCCCAAAGTTTCGGTTGTGGAGGGCATGTATCGTGGGCAGTTTTTGTATGGATCTATGTGCTCGTCACCGTCCCAGGTCTTACTAAAATAACCTTCGACTATGTTTCATCTCATTCTCATGCAAATGGAATTATCACATATTCTTTCCTATTTCTTCGTGATTCAAAAGAGTTCCGTCATAGCCATGCATCCCCGAACCATGCTAGGTGTCTCGAGCGAGAGGTCGCCCCTCAAGACGAGGAAAGTGAAGGTGGGAATGACAGACAGGTGCATCAACCACTCTTCAAAGAAGTATCTGGCCTTGAAAACAGCTCATCGAGTTCTCGAAAGAAGATCCGTCTAATCCCCGTGCTTGGGGGAAATGGAAGAAGCTGGCAAACATTGCGATCATCGCGAGCATGTCCAGCAAGTCACATATCTCGGGTCTTGGTAACAATTGCGTGGTCCTCAGTCCGCCGCCAAGCAGCATGTTTGCTCTAAGAATCTGGCAGATTGTGGGATCTTTAAAAGCTCGGGAGATTGAAGTGATAGGCTGCCAAACTGGATTTGTGGTCGTGTTGGGAATCGGACCACTCCTTCTAGCACCTCTCAGAGAGACGTTTGGAAGAAACCCCCTGTATCTGATTTGCTTTACCTTATTTACTTTACTCCATTTACTTTACTCCATTTACTTTACTCCAAATACCCACAGCTCTCGCAAAGACTTTGCCTGTCCTCATTACCCTGCGAACGTTCGCTGGGTTCTTCGGTAGTACGTACATATTGATTCATAGAGAATTCGAATTCTGATGGTCGCACAGGTGTAGCTATTCAATGACGGTGGGACGATCAGCGATAATTACCAACCCAGTGAGCGTGCGGTTATATTTGGCTGGTATGCATCTGCTTGGGCCTCTCTTGGGAGGCGTCATTTTGTCAACCCTCGAGTGCCCATGGCTATTTTCGGTGCTTCTTATCATCTGCGGCGTTGCAATTACCGGGGGATTTTTCCTTCTTAAAAAGACCTACGTCCCTATCTTACCCGCTTAGCGGAAAAAAGAGAAGGAGAAATCCGAGGGAGGAAAGTACTATTTTGATGGGGAAGATGACTGGCCCTTGACAACGAAGCTCGCTCATACGATTCAACGGCCACTTTGCATCCTATTTACCCAACCCGTCGTCCTAACAATGACTAGCCACCAGGCTCTCATATTTACAACTAACTACAGTTTGTACACCCAATTTCAGTGAGTAGTGTGACGGCGGGATCAATGCAATGGTCGAAGGCTCAAAGTTCAAAGAATCTCATGTATTAGAAAATACTAAGCTATGGAACAAAGTAGGGAGGATGCCTCGACCTTTAGTATTGTTCCGTCCAAGCAATTCCGGCTTAGCTTCGTTTTGTGCCTGTTTCCGATATCCTGTCCTTGGCAGATCATGCCCTTACGCCAGCCGTCACAAGTAGCCGGAGCGACAATTTCTCTAAGAACCCATGTCCCTATTCTCTCAAAGCCCTCTTCGTTGATTACTTGCTTACTCTCTCGTTGTGCTAGGTCAGTTTCCGGTGAACGGACACGGCTTCAGCATCTTGAAAGTTGGGTTAATATATCTTGGCCTGGGTCTTGGATTCCTCACTGCAGTTTGGTTTCTTGTTCTTAAGATCGACACCGTTTGTACTTGACTTTCCGAGAAGCATAACAAGAGCAAACCCGAATATCGACCTTCCATTGCTAATGTCGGTTTGGTACTGGTTCCAGTCTCTCTGTTCTGTATGTGTTGGGGAGAAATCCTTATCCTACCTCTGACAGTTTCATGATTTTCTCCTAAGATAATGCCCTCTCCCGAAGCAATGTTAATCGAGTAATTGCTGACTCTCCGGTTACTTAGGGTTTGCTTGGACTGTAGAATTTCACGTTCACTGATTTGCTACAATTCTATCAACATGCTTTTACGGCATTGGACAGGCTGCAATATTCAACTCGACTCAAAATTATTACATCGACAGTTTTGAAAAGCATGCTGCATCTGCCACTGCTGCTGGCGCTTTGTTCAGGAGCATCATCGGAGGAGTGGTTCCTCTGTTTACTCCACTGTTACTGGAAAAGTTAGGACCCGGCTGGGGCTTTAGTGTCTTGGATTTCTCGCAATTATTCTAGCACCAAGTCCTATACTGTTCTTTTACTATGGAGGATGGCTGAGGGGAAAGTTCGCCATAGATCTGAACTAGACAACGGGGTCTCAACTTATGTCTACTATCTTCGACTCCTTGCCATAACTTGCGAGGCTCACAAGATCACGCAAACCTAGTTGTCGTCCCCTGATCAGCACAAGTCTCTCTCCAATTACTCATTATAGATAGACAAGAAGATGGTGGAGATGGGAGGATTTTTTGTCGAGAAAGATTATGTTCTTGGCCAGGAAGTAGGAGGATAGGTGGTGGCTGGAGGATCAAACTTTGTTGTGACGTCAGCGTCACATGACCTGGCCCTAGCGTGGCACCCTGTACTTAGCTCGAGCTCCCCGCTCCTCTCTTCTTTTCTCTCTTTAGACGTTTACATACACACCCAAACAGAGCTGTTTGCCTTCAGGTCTTCCGCTCCGGGTCGTGATAAACTTGCAACAAAAATAGCGGTGGCGCAGTTTGTCCCACTGTACAAGAGAATAAATCGTTGACTACACCCCTTCTTCAAATGCTTCAATAGACCGTTCAATATCTGGATGACGTTGAAATGAGGTTCTGCATTCTTTTTCTCGGCGGTTTGCTGGCCGCTGCTGCATCTTCTGCTTTGGTCACACGTCTGGAAAGTCCCGAGTACTGTTCTTACGAACGTGTTGAGTGTTGTATTCTGTGTCCCAACGAATGGGCTGGAGAGTGCGGTGGCTCTCTTTGAATCCATCTGTGAGTAGAAGCTTTTTCGTGATTTTAAAGACCAGGTTTTGACACTTGCATGCTAGAGCAAAGTTATTGTTCGTCGACGGCTTTACAGCAGGGCGGTGCAACGTTCACCCGACATGTGTGGCAGCACGGATGTCCATTCTATTTCCATGAATATTGCCATCCTCCCGCTGAGAACGAAGATATGGGGCCTGCAGATAAATCTCAAGTTTCCTTTCTTAGTGGAAATCTGGGCCTGTCACGAAATCTCACCAGCACCTGCTCCTCAGACTACATCCACATATCCGTCATGTCAGCCCACGGACGGCCACACAGGAATTGGTCCGCGATGGTATTGAAGAGTTTAATAAGAAGTAGAGCGTTTTCTGTACTTGGAGGCTGCTCACCGAATTTCAACAATTCATATAGCACGGCTGACGGACCCCGTATTCGCCTGAAACGATCTTCCTGAATAGCAACAATGGCGGCCACAAAAGAGCTTCGCATTGGTGTTTTCATCCCCAGTGGGGCCCAACTATTGGACCTCTCGCCTATCGATCTCTTCGGAATGATGTCTCCAGAGTATCTGCGAGCTTGTACACTTCCTGCCCTAATTTTCGAGTTGGGTACGCCGTCCACGATCTATTATATTTCCATGCCAGAAAGCGGTACACACATCGAGCTTACGGCAAAGGCAATCTTGAAGATCTCCAAGACGACAAAAGATAAGGAAGTTCAGCCGGGTATGCTTGATATCCTTCTAGTTCCTGGGCCAAACCCTGCTACGATCTTTGATGCCGAGGTGCTGGACTTTGTCAATGGGCATGCTGCTTGGAGAGGAAACGATGGAAGGTCGACTGATATATTGAGCGTCTGTACTGGATGTATCATCCTCGGTCAAAGTGGAATCTTGAAGGGAAAGAAGGCTAGCGGTCCGAGGGGGCTCGTGCCGAAGTTGCGAAAGGATTTCCCTGACACGACCTGGGTTGATGACAAGAGATGGGTGAAAGAGGGAAGCATTTGGACAAGCGGTAAGTAAACCTCATCTACAGCCAATTTTCTTCGTCCTCTCCAAGTTTTGCAATGCATTCTGCGAACCCCTCCATTTCAGCCTAGATTAGGCAGGGCTGATGTCGAGCAGGTGGGATCACAAATGGTCAGGAAATGGTAGCAGAATATATCAGGAAGAACTTTCCCGGACCTGCGTCGGAGGCCGCGCTGGCAATGGCAGATGTAGGCCAGAAGGGCATCGAGTATACCAAAAGTAATACGAGGGAGACTCTATGGTGGCTATGGCAGGTGAGCTCCTGCATGCGCATCTGTCTCTGAAACCCGGCTCCTCAGCTCCTGAGTTTCCTCCTGCATCTCGCGAATTTTCCATACTAACTCGATGATAGATCTTAAGGGCCTTCACGGTGGGAAATGGGAAGCCAAAGAAAGCATAATTGGTCTAAATGATTTGACTTTCGAGCAGTGTATAAAATAAGAATGGTACCGATTTAAGAATTGTTTCATTTACTAAGAGTTGTCCTTCGTGTTGCAAGAAACTCGATGGCCCTAAATGTACCTCTCGTGCCCAATCCCGACGATCGAATTCGAAAACATTTATAGAAATTTAAGAAGATACTTAGCTAGACATTCGAACATGAGAGTAGTGCACAATCGTCAAAACTATCGGTTTCGATGAAAACGATGAGGAAAGGGGGCTCGCAGTGGACCAAAAAGCGGCACTGAAGGTCAACTTGGACTATTTCATATACTTCCTCTCAAGACAGTTCCCTTAGTTTATGATACATTCGAAGTCTAGCCTCTCCGATTGTCTATGAGGTTCTGGGACATTGGATATCGTCTCCCTCCAATGACCAAATTGAGCAAGGACATTGAAGTTCAGTGCCGCTTTTTTTGGCCCTCGAGAAGGGAAGTAAGGTTAAGGCCAACACGTGACCTGTATCAACCCCGGCTTTCTTAGTGGCAATGGTTTATCTTAGCGCTACCGCCAGCCAAAAAAAAAGTTCTGAGCTCGAGTTCTCCTTTGCAAAAACCATCAACTGCGCCGCTGTTGATCACCTTCGTTGGGAGATTCGTTGCGCATTGTGGAATACCCCTTCTCACCATTTTCGAACTTCTTTGAGCATTGACTTTGAGAGAATTGGTTATTAACAATCAAATATGCCTCTTCTTCCTGGTACTTGATTCCGGGGAAGTCTACTACTTTGAACTCGAGCTGACAAGACATCTAGTTGCCCTATATGGGCTCGAAGTCCCATGCGGAGATGTTCTCGTCCCAGCTGTCCCAGACTTTCCAGCCACAGTAAGTGCTTGAATATTCGATCTCTCCTACACCGACGCCTGCCAGAGCTGCGACGCTTTACTTATGGTTACGCAACGAGATTTTTACTGAGAATGGTACCAATAGTTCCGTATCACAATGGCTGCGATTGACCCCAGCGAGCCAGCAGAGATTCAAGAGACTGCCAATGGCACCACCCGTCCCCGAGCCACTTTGAAGATCGTCCGCCAACCTGAGGGTTCCGAGGATGACGAGGAGTCTCAAGAATATATGCGTGCCTTGTTGGCCGACAGCAGCTCTGAAGATGACAGTGACAGCGAGTCTGATGAGGAAGAGGAGGCGAACGGAGGCCCTTCCGATCCAAGCAAGTCTAAGAAGGCCCGAAAGGCAGCTGCTCTCCAGCAACTCATGGACTCCATTGGGGGTGCCTCCGACGAGGAGATGGAAGACGCGCCTAACGGCACAAATGGCACTAAGCTCGACAAGAAGGGCAAGGCGAAGGCCACCAGCGATGATGAGGAAGAAAGTGATGAGGAGAGTGACGACGACGAGGAAGAGATCGAAGTTGAAGAGTTTGTGCTCTGCACTCTCGACCCCGAGAAGGTATGGAAATTGTGCCAACCCTCGAGAACCGTAGGCTTACACAATATAGAACTTCCAGCAGCCACTAGACATTACTATTGCAGAGAATGAGCGCGTTTTCTTCAAGGTTTCTGGTACTCACACCATCTATCTCACTGGCAACTATGTAATCCCCGACGACGATGGTCACAACCACCACCACGAGGTCTATGACTCGGATTCCGAGGACGAGGAGGAATATGACTTGTCACCTGATGAGGATGAGCTTGACATGGAAGAAGATGAGAGCGATGATCTGGACGCCCTCGAGAATCCTCGTCTTACAGAGGTTGATTCTGATGAGGAAGAGGCACCAAAACTCGTTGCCAAGGCTGAGAAGAAGGGAAAGAACAAACGCTCAGCCGATCAGATCACTGAAGGCACCTCTCTTGATGATATCATGGCCAAATCACTCAAGCCCGATACGGATGAGGAGCAGAAGCTCACCAAGAAGCAGTTGAAGAAGCTAAAGAAAAACAATGGTGAGGCGGCAGCTGTCAAGAGCGAGGAAGCGAAGACTACCGAGTCCAAGGACCAACCTTCTACAAAGACTGACAAGACCGACAAGAAAGTTCAATTTGCAAAGAATCTCGAGCAGGGTCCTACTGGTTCCGCTGAGAAGGCCAAGACTGAAGCTGCAGAGCAGAAGGCGGGCAAGGCGGCATTGGGCGTTAAGACCGTCAATGGTGTTAAGATTGATGATAAGAAGCTCGGTTCCGGTCCAGCATGCAAGAAAGGTCACAAGGTCAGCATGCGTTACATTGGCAAGCTCACAGATGGCAAGGTCTTTGACTGTAAGTCATACACAACATCCTTGATATTCTAGTACTAATAAAACATGTAGCAAACACGAAGGGCAAACCATTCTCGTTCAAGCTCGGAGCCGGGGAGGTTATTAAGGGTTGGGATATCGGCGTTGCTGGCATGTCCGTCGGCGGCGAACGCAGATTGACCATCCCAGCAAACCTGGCCTATGGCAGCAAGTCCATGCCTGGTATTCCAGCTAACAGCACCCTGGTCTTCGACATCAAAATGCTGGAAATCAAGTAATCCTGCTCGCGAGAACCTACTCAACTGATGTTTATGACTTTCTGTTGGATTCATGCGATATAATAAGGCGAAAGCTCTCATTATCGACTTCCTCTCTGCTGTACAATTTCCGATACACCCCTCACACCGGTCAATTTCTTTATCTCACTCATAATCCACTTGTGCCGCAAAGCCTGCTTTGCATAAGTCTCCGACCTGAGTGGTTCTGTGATGAACTGTCTTACTTTGGACGGGAAGCAGAAAATGCGACATGGAATGAGGAGGTTTGCATAGCATCATGGGCGTTGTTAAAAAGTTAAGATTGCACATTGTTCACAGCCTAGGTTAAGGGCTTGCTCGTCAGGTAGTAAATGCAAAAATCACATAACCTATGATCTGCTCGTCAAGTGCTGTGGTGTCTCGCACCTGCACTCTCTACTCGCACTTTCCTGCGCGGGAGACGCTAAAGAAACAAGACTTCCATCTCTATTTAATCAACACAACAACTTCCGTCTATGCTAACAGCGTTCTTTTCAGCATCAGTAGCTCTGGTATTTCTAATCGACACAAGAGATTTCCTTCTCCTCCCTACTCGAGATGAAGCGCGTACGTAGCCCCAGCCCCAGCAAAACCGGCGAGAGGCCAGACACATGGTGCTATGAGGATGGCGCTCCTTTAGAGCGACAACCTGGTAGAGTATTTGTCAATGAACCTCCTACTCCACCCGAGTCTCCTGAGCGTAGAGCTTCAAAGGCTAGAAAGCATGGTTCAAAGCTCATGTCAGTCCTGCGTTCCCTGACAAACAGTGGTAAGAGCACCGTTAAACACATCATCCCTCATCACCCTCAGACATCTGGACTGATCTACATTATGTAGTATCGGGTGCATCTGTGGCGGAACCAAGATCAGCATCCCCCCAACCGAGCACGTCGGCACAAAGCCGCAGGTTCTCCATGGTCCTCTTGAAAGGACAACTTGAACCTACAGTGGTACATCGTGCTCAGTTCAAGTCTCGGCCGAGCGTCATCAGCATCGATAGAGGTGTGATCGAAATTACAACAGAGCCTTCCCCGCCTACCAGCCCCGAATCCAGTTCCAACAGTGGGAAATCGTCCATTCCACGGCCCGGAGAATCTACTGGAAAGACTTCTCTCGACTCAAAATTCTCATCAAAGTCCAAAGGTGTATCACAACACTCTTCTGAGAACAAAAAGGTGGTGTCCAAGCAGGCAACTGGGGAAGGAGGTTCGAACGAAAACACCCTTGCACCAATCGCTGAAGTAGAGTGTGTAGAAACGCCCGAGCCTGTTCCAAGTGAGTTCTTTTGTTTTAATGACAGCAACTCAATCTTCTAACACACAGAGCAGCTGTGGTCACAATTGAAAAGGCTGCTTCAGCTAAAGTGTTTTTCGAATGCTATTATAACAGCCTCACATCTGTTCAATTGACCCCTCGCTCCTTGCGCCGTCGCCAGCTGGAAGGTGCCCTTTACCAAGATTCAACCTTGCCTCAGACCGAGAAAGACGAAAGACGCCGAACTTGGGCGAAGGACGAAACGGATCATCTTCGAGAAACTCGTGTCATGAAAGCACGATCTGGTAATATAATGAAGGGGAAAGATAGCCTTGCGTCCAAGTACGAGGTCGTTAAAGTCCTGGGGAAGGGAAGCTTTGGTGTTGTCCGTCTGGTCAGAGAGAAGTCGGAAAATTTGTGGGTCAAACAAACTATCTACACATGCAGATTCTCACAGCAATAGATCTCCTCAAGAGCCCAAACTGAAGAAACAAATCTACGCCATGAAGGTCATTCGTAAGTCTGACATGCTCCGAAACAGTCAAGAAGGACATCTTCGGGCCGAGCGTGACTTTCTCGTTTCTGCAGAGGGATCTCGATGGTACGCGATTACCTGTAACAGTTGCTGTACCCCCCACATGGCTAATTTGTGTAGGGTCGTCCCACTGATTACAAGTTTCCAAGACTCAAATAACCTTTACCTGATCATGGACTACATGCCTGGTGGGGACTTCCTTGGTCTGCTGATCCGCGATAACATACTCACGGAGCCTGTTACAAAGTGGTACATTGCCGAAATGATTCTGTGCATCGAAGAAGCCCACGCACTCCGCTGGATCCATCGAGATGTTAAACCAGATAACTTTCTCATCTCTGCTTCAGGACATTTGAAAATTTCAGACTTTGGTCTTGCTTTCGATGGACATTGGTCTCACGACCAAGCTTATTACAACAATCACCGATACTCGCTGCTCACGAAGCTAGGCATCAACGTTGAAGGCGATTCCATTGACAAAAAAGAGGGCCGTAATGTAGCTGCGGCTATGAAGATAGCCCATGTGATGATGGGTGGAAAAGAGCGCCACGAGATCAACACTTCAAACGGTTCCGACTGCGACTCAATTTTGAATTGGCGCAATCGATACGGCAACAGAACTCTTGCACGATCGGTCGTGGGCACCAGCCAGTATATGGCACCGGAAGTGGTCAGAGGAGAATTGTATGATGCTCGTAGCGATTGGTGGAGTGTGGCGGTCATTTTATATGAAGTGAGGAGAGGAATGTCTCTGCAAGGTTCAATGCTGACCTGTGTTACAGTGTTTGTATGGCCACACACCATTCTTGGCTGAAGAAGGTGGAAGACAACAGACAAAGATTAATATTCTCGTAAGTAGAAAAAGCACCGTCCAAAATGCACATTGGCTAACTTCAAAACAGAATCACAAGACGACCTTCAGCTTTCCCAATAAACCATTGGTCAGCAAGAGATGCCAGGACCTCATCCGAAGTATCATCCAGGAGAAAGATCATCGTCTTTGCTCCAAACGATACAAAGTAAACAATCACCCCTCCAGCACTCATCAAAACCAAGACTATGCCGGTCGCTATGTTTATCCGAACGATGCCGAAGATATCAAGAGTCATAAGTGGTTCCGAGATGTGCAATGGGACCGCTTGCATACCATGACACCGCCTTTCGTTCCGAACATTAAATCAATGGATGATACGCATTACTTCGACGAAGAAGATCCTATCTCCGACTTCTCTGAGTCCACCTCCGGACCTCCACCGACCGCGGAGGAGATTGCTGAAGCGTTGAAACCATTTCCCCAGGAGATTCAAACTATTGCCAAAGGCTTCATTGAACGCCCCCACAATTCCGTGAAGTTGAAGAAAGTTGAAAGAGAGATTGACGCATTTTCAATGTGCGAGGAGCAAAAAGAATACTTGAAAGGCTTCGTCAAACATTATGGACGCAAAGAAAAGAAGAGGCCTAGAGACCGATTGCTGCGGGACAAGGACACCGCCCCGAAAGTCTTGGAGTTGAGAAAGAAAGGGGCTTTTCTCGGGTATACATATCGAAGATACCGGCCTCGCAGACAAAGTATGAGCAGGTCTAGTTCCAGCAGACAGAGCAGTGTAGTAGTTGGAAGTGGAGCAGCCAAGCGGCCTGTCTGGCCTCGACCTAGATTGAGCATTCATTAAGATGCCTCGTAGGAGAGTGGATTTTGTACGTACGAGGATTATTCGTTTCTTTGTTGCGCCGGCTGCTCCTTGAATAGGATTGATTGATGAAGTTGGGCAGGGAAGTCACTCTGAAGTGAAGAACTCGGACATCCCATAAGACAATTGACAAAATTCTGGCTCAATACGTGAATTTAGCTCAAAAGCCTTGGCTCCCTGTCATGACAAAGCTTTGAATGTTGTGGGTGCCGGTAGATTGGCTTCTTTTCGAATGTTATAGAGCAGGAGTGTTGACTTTTTCCATGGCCGTGCCGAGTCTGTTGAGGTACTTCTCCGGATCACTTGTGCCTCCATCCAAGGGCAGCATATTAGCATCGCCGTTGCTAATATATGCCTCTGCAAGTGTGCACTTTCCAGCATTCACGAAACCGAGTCCTTCATAAAGTTTCTTGACCACAACATTCCTTGGATGAATCACGATTCTCGTCCTATACTCCCTACCCTTCGATTCCTTAGCTGCAAATCCCAGGGCCCCATATATCAACATTCTTGCAATGCCTTTACCTCTGTGTTGAGGGGGATTGAATACGGCAGCCATCTGGCATCTCATTTCGACGTCGTCTCCTGCTAGAGTCCTATCTTAGGACCACCGCTCTCCCGGAGTTCATAGGCACCTTTGGTGATGGGCCCAATCAGAGTAGCGCTTCCAATCCAGTCACCTCTATCTATCGTTTGCAGCTCTGAACTCGTGTCTGATGCATATGCGACCGCGATAAGGTAACTAACAGAGGGTCTTTGCACGCGCGCAATCCAATCTGATGCGGTAATCGCCGATTTGATCTCAAATGTTGAGCTGAATGCAGGGGCTGAGACTGTGAGAGCGAAAGTCGGAGGCAAATTTCCCGGCGAGGAAAGGTTGCAATACTGGATCAATGGCCGGCAGGAGGTGGATTTCATAGACACAGGACATTTTGAAGAGAGGATACAGAGGAAGGAAAAGTAGGAAACCTGAAATTTATGTTGAGTTGCGGCCGCATTATTGATCAGATTGCCCCCCTCACGGAACTGCTAACACGTTTTGGGAAGGAGGCGCGGCTCATATTTTAAAAATGCCCACAAATATATACCTGAAGTAATGAGCTATTACCTGGTGGTCTTTCGAAGACGGATTTGATGATTCAAGTCATTTGAACCAATAACACCCGCCTACTTGCATAAATCAAACCACAAATGCTACACATATGCATGACTGCACCTAGGAAGAACTCACAATGGGAAAAGCATCATGCAAAGCGCCTGTAATATGGAAACCAAAACAGTAGTGTGAAAACTAAGTTCTGCTTGCCGTCATTGGATGTTGACCGCTCTCTAACGTGTGGAGGTCGAACTCATCAGAGAGCCGTCGCCACCCGATGAGACCCGATATTCTACGTCTCTTCTCGTGAGTGCCAACGCCCAGGCAATTCGTTAGATGTTGCCGCTCTTTTTGGGGCGCCTGCCGCCCTTGGGAAGGAGGAATAGCTGTGGCAAGGATTTTCAACGCAAAAAATAGTTTAACCATGAAATCAAACCGTAGAGATGCCGACACGTCGCTGGGACCGACGATCTATGGCTCTGTCTAGGGGTGCCGATAACTCTCAAGACTCATAAGCTAATAAAACCCAAACGATAGACGCAAGGCGTAGCCAGACGGTAAAGTTACCGTGTAGAGCTCTCAGAGCCAGCTAGAATTTGAGGAATCTTTATCTAAGAGAGTTAATCCACTGAGGAAGGAGGTCGTATGCTCTAGTCCGCGGAACTAAATCTTCCTTCGACGTTCTCTTTGGCACAGGATCTCTTACTTGAGAGTCGAAGCTAACGTGAGAGCACCACGCCCTTTGCTATAACGCTTGAAATAAACAGTCGGCGGAGGATCAACCTCATCCATTATGTCGTTCGTCTGATTGATATGTGTACAGGTTTGCATGGTTCTCTCAGGAAGTTCTTCGAGATACTGATCTTGAACTTCGCTGGAGCTCTTAGAAGGAAACGTTATGAGGATAGCATCAGAAATATTCCCTCGCCGAACTAGTGAGTAGCATCGTTGCAATTGAGCCTATTCTTGGTGCAGGAGTCTCAATTCAGTTGCAGCTTCGGTGATCACATGGAGCGAGGACTTCTGGTCCATGAGACGAGATCATGGTAGACCTATCTTGAACCTGTATCACTGTCTTTTGTAGTGCCCAGGAAGTGAAGAAGGAAAGATTCATTCCGAGCAGGAGAAGGTTCATATAGACTTCGAGAAGCTTGTAGAAACTAAGCCTCAATTTTTATGGTTTTGCACCAGAGAAAGACAAAAACAGCAACAATCACCAAGGAAGGTGGGGCCAAATCAATTCAATGGGCTAATGGATACTAACATCAAGGCCTCAAGGAAATTGATCACTTCCTAAAGCTATTGTGTCATCCCGTTGCGGAAACCAGGCGGGGCCCAAAAGTCTCCCCTAGCACTTGGTAGAGCGTGAGACCTCACGGCCTCCCGCAACCATGGCACGTCCTTTGAAAGCACCGGGATGGCTCCAAACGATTCTCCAGTTGGCTGGATTGAGCTTTGTTTGAACCATGGCTCCGGATTCTATGGCCCGCGCGATGCGCCGATTCAAATGTAGAATGACGGACTTCTGGGGAAGTTCAAGGAAGCGAGGTAAGAGATTCTGCAGCCTAGTCAGTAGCAGATACACCCTTGGCCTTGCTGAAAGGGGTCGGCGTACGGATTAACATACCAGTAAGTTACTATTGAGGTTCTCCAAGGTAAACTCTCGTGACCGCCGTAGTCCCAGAGAGGAGTACGGCGGTCACAGCTTGAGGCCAGGATCGCCGCTTTAATATATCTGCGATGTTGCAGCAGGGACAGAAAAGCAGCGTTATAAGAGTAGATAGAGTGCGACGCGCTCTGCGAAGGCTTCACGCGTCTTCTGAGTAGATTTCTACTGATCAAACACCAGGTCCAAGGCCGATATTCCAACCATTTAATTGGAAATATTTCGAGGCCACTACGACCATGGAAGCGTTTTTCGGCAACAAGGCACAGAGGAAGGCTGCTGCAACGAACGGCAACTCCTCCAAAGCTCCGGCCACAAAGGAGAACACCCGTCTGCAACCATGGGTTGAGAAATAGTAGGCTTCCACAACTCCTCCAAACCTTTGGACGTGATACTAATGCAATTGCAGTCGTCCCAAGAGTCTGAACGATGTTACTGCTCAAGATCACACCATCACAGTCCTCCAACGAACGCTCCAAAGCTCCAATGCATGTTCTCACCCCTCTCTATTTCAACAGCCTCTAACTCAGCACACAGCTCCCACACATGCTTTTCTACGGTCCCCCAGGCACAGGTAAAACCTCCACCGTCCTAGCTCTAGCAAAAGAGCTCTACGGCCCCGAGCTCATCAAATCCCGCGTCCTCGAACTCAACGCCTCCGACGAGCGCGGCATCAGCATCGTCCGCGAGAAAGTAAAAGACTTCGCACGCATGCAGCTCTCAAACCCCTCTGCTGCATACCGCGCCCAATACCCCTGCCCACCATACAAAATCATCATTCTCGACGAGGCGGACTCCATGACGCAAGATGCGCAGTCTGCTCTCAGGAGGACGATGGAGACGTACAGCAAGATCACAAGATTCTGCTTGATTTGCAATTATGTGACCAGGATTATTGATCCGTTGGCGAGTAGATGCTCGAAGTTTAGGTTTAAGAGTTTGGATCAGGGGGGTGCAAAGAGGAGGGTGGAGGAGATTGCGGAGAAGGAGGGGGTGAAGTTGGAGGATGGGGCGGCGGATGCGTTGATCAAGTGCAGTGAGGGGGATTTGCGGAAGGCGATCACGTTCTTGCAGAGTGCGGCGAGGCTGGTCGGGGCGGTGAGCCTGAGAGAGGACGAAGACGAGAATGCGATGGATATTGATGAGAAAGAAAGTAAGACTGTCACTGTGAAGAGCATCGAGGATATTGCGGGGGTGATTCCAGATGAGACGATCGAGAAACTGGTTAAGGCTATGCAGCCGAAGTCGAAGGGCTTGACTTATGAGGCCGTGGCGAAGGTTGTTACGGAAATGGTGGCCGATGGTTGGAGCGGTACCCAGGTTGTCTCACAGGTATGCTGTCCAAGAAATAACACGCAGCTGAAAGCTAAATCGATTTCAGCTCTTCCAATCCATTATCTACAACGAATCAATTCCCGACGTACAGAAGAACAAGATCACCCTCATCTTCTCCGAAGCGGACAAACGCCTTGTGGATGGTTCTGACGAGCACCTTACAATTCTGGATCTCGCCTTACGAGTATCGAATAGCCTGGCAGGAGCTTGATAACACGGCTGTGGAATATGTGTTGCATAGCATGAGAGGCTCATTTGGTGTTTGGGCGCATTCGGAGAGCCAAATGGCGAAACTAAAACATGGAAGGATATGAATGACTATAAAGTTGTCGGACTTTGAGCGAGGACATAAAAGAGTGTAAATCCATGGATTTGCTAGATTACGAATTGGAATGAATCCTGAAGACACGTTTGGCTACAGGACAAATGGCCCACTACTGTACCGTCTGTTTTCAGAGTGAGGATGCTCTGAGGCCGAATCTCCTGAACTGGAAGTAGGGATCCCACAAGTCGTTGGTAAAAATTATTTCCTCTATCGTATTCAATTTTGATTCATCATCCACATTTCTCCTGTGGATTTTGGACCTCGAGTGTCCTGTTTACCAAAGAGACGACTGACCAAAGTGGAAAGTCTAATATACATCTGAGAACTAGCGTGGAGTATCACGAAACCAACGCAAATGAAAATGCTCCTGAGCTAATATGCAAGACAAAATGCATGGAAAAGAAATACGCTGGCCACCTCTTCTCTCTGTGTGCTGTTCTTCAATCTTCACTCACTCTGTTGTGTACTCATATTCCCCCTGGGTCCTTTCTGCGTGGACCAATTCCTTCAATCTCTTCTCAATCATCTCCCGTCCATCATAAGTCTTCCATACCTCTCCTGGGGCCTTGGTGACGATATCCCAGCTCACAAGCTTTCTGGTCAAGTGAGTCAAGTCTCTCTGTTTCTTCTCCCACTCACTGTCTCTTCGGACTTCGATGCCTGAGCTGATGATCACCAGTGGTGTTTTGTCGAATTGAATGTTTCTTGCACTGCTGACTTCGTTCTTGGTTAAGGAGTTGGCAACCAGAGACTCTTGGAGTTTGGCCTTGATGTACTTTCCACTTTGGTAGGCTGAACGACCATAGACACGATCCTCGCGAGTGCGACCTTTGAAGAGAGCTGCAGGGAGGCGGTCCAGGCCTAGCGGAGAGATGATGCCCCATGCCCAAAGAAGAAAACCTCGGTTAGGAGAGCCGATGCGGTAGAGGAGATCTTCATGAAGGGGGTCGATCATCAAGAGACCAGAAACATCACGCCCATGGCGGGAAGAGAAGATACGGCTGTAGATGCTTCCGACACCAGCACTTGCGAGAATCCATGGACCTTCTTCTCCAGCACGGGCCAGAGCTTCGGAGAGAACGTCCGCTGCCATTCCAGCCGAGAATGGAGATGGAGCATTGTCAGACCAAGCAATCCCTGGACGATCCGAGTAACAGTATCGGCTGATGCTACCATTTGCAATACCATTTTCCGCGACCTGGATCATGCCTCCTTCAAAAGGGCCATCTCCGGCCTCGAACAGAACAGTAGGCAACTTCTTGCCTTTAGAATCGGTTGAGTTGCCAGTGCAGAAGACATGGATCTGGTATTTATCGCCGTCGACATAGTATCGCTCTCCTGGCGGCGCAAGAGAGGCATCCCGCGATCGAAGCATCAAGGTAGCGGAAAGGAGAACGGCAACGACTGCGATGATGACCAAGATCACAGTGGAGGTAAGGACCGAGCACCACTCTCGCAGAGTACGGCGAGTTTCGGGACGACCGGTCAGACGCTCCTCCTCCTCGCGTTTGCCCCAGCTAACAATCCTGTCGGTGAAGACGGTCCAGACACTGATCAGTACAGCCCACACGACGCTCGCAATTCCAACCCACCCTTCCTCGACTCGAAGTCTTGGCACAGCAAGAATGAGGATCATATCAATCAGTAGGATGACTGCAATGACCAAGCAAGTTACTTGTGCAGCCTTGGACGGCGTAGAGAAGAAGAGGAGGACAATAAGGAGCAAGCCCAACGTCAGGGTTGTATAAGAGAAGTCGAAGAAGCCTGACCCGCGAGCATGCATTCCTGGCGGGCTGACGAATATTGATACCAACAATAGCACCCACCAGAGGAAAGTCAATAAGGAGAAGAAGACGGTAAAGTATCTCAACCATCGCACGCTCCAGAGATTGTAAGGGGAAACCTGGAAGCCTGATTAGCACGATTCCAACGCAACGGCCAGGCTTGCCTGGGGTCTTACAGCTGGATCATCTGGGCTCAGGTATGCTTCATGAGTCTGAGGAGGAAGCAGTCGAGTGCGCTCATCTGCTTCGGAAACTCGTGGCTGAGCAATGTGCTCACTGGACTCTCCGTTCTGCGATCGAGCCGCTTCATGGTCATCATCCTTCTTCGAAGAACCCCAAAGAGACACCATGTTGGCAAGTTCGAGATGCTCTCAACCAGTTGGCGGTTTGTTGAGAGGCAGAAGGAAGATATCCTGCGAAATTCTGGGAGGAATGCGGGGATCCTTCAGAGAGATATCCTAGTGGTGTTATAGGGGGAGAAAGCTGGATGGGCAGACTGCAGACTTGCAGGGTCCTCGGAATCGATCTGCTCAATAGCTCATCATCTAGTGAAGATATCGCCAATGAAGGGGACACACTCCTCACCCCTATGCTTTTAGTCGCAGTTGATGTGGCGTGGTGCGCTCCTCTTTTTGTCTGGGTCTGGGCCGGCTGTTTCTCAAAAGTCGAAGTTTGCGTGACATCATGCTGCATGCTTCACTTACTTCAGCACCGAGAAACTACTTCACTTGGCACTTGCCGGGTGGATGCAAAGGCGTGTGCAAAGACTATGCGAATCCTGCAGAATGGGTCGGAGCATGAGGCTTGCGTTCGATCGTATGTCAGTTGTCTGCCGTAGCATGATTCTAGAAGGAGAGTACGAGAAGAGATGAAGTGAATTTGGACAACCTTACACCCCTGCGCGTCATTGTTTGGCGGAGCCCGAGTCCAAGCTCCCTGCAAGGATCAGCTCTGCCCCTTTTTGTCTTATCGGGGATCCGCGCTAACAACACCACCTCGATAATCTCCGACAAAATCACAACAAATTCATCCATCTCCAACGAGTACGCCTTCTGGACTTTCCCGGACACCAACAGTTTCAAAATATGTTTTGTTAGCGTGTGGGACACTGCTAGGCCTTCAGATTCTCGGCTCAACGTTTGGAGTCGCCTGCATCTAGCAGCGAAATCGGCCCACCATGAGCGACCTCCAAAGAGCTTTCGCCAAATCCAGGCTGACAGGGCTCCCTGCCATGCCTCCAGTCATGTTTGATGAGGCAGAGGAAGAGGAACAGGCAGACCACTTCGATCTTGAGCTGCAACAACAAGACGATGACTCCTCTTCTGCTTCCTCGGCATCGTCTGCTTCTTCCACGGGCACCATTATCCCATCTCAGAACCAGAAATTGTTTGCTCGACCCCAGGGGTCTGTGAGCTTCCTTGACCACTTTTGCTGCAAAAGCTAAGATCTAATTTCAACCCAGGTCCCCGAATAAACGGACTCTGGATCAAATTCCTTGGACGACATATTTCGAGCGCGAACTTTTCCTCGAGTCCACTTCCGAGTCCATTACGATAACTCATCATGCATATCTCACCTCTCCAGTGGGCACAGCGCCATTATTCGTTACACATCATGGGGCCGGCTCTTCTGGTCTATCCTTTGCAGCCTTGACTGCAGAGATCCGGAAAAGGCTTCCTTCTGCTGGTATCCTGTCCCTCGATGCACGCGGCCACGGCTCTACACAAGTCATCCCGGAACAAGCTATACTAGATCTCAGTCTAGAAACGCTGGGCGCGGATCTACTGTCAGTTATAGACAAGACCAAGTCAAAAATGGGCTGGAAGGAATTACCACCAATGATCCTAATCGGTCATTCCCTTGGAGGCGCTGTCGTGACAGACGTTGCCAAAGGCGGCAAGCTTGGAATTGCAGTGCTAGGTTATGCAGTACTTGACGTTGTTGAAGGATCAGCCATTGATGCACTGCAAAGCATGCAGACCTACTTGTCGACCCGTCCGGTGGGCTTCCCATCAATGGAATCTGGCATAGAATGGCACATTCGATCAAGGACTATTCGGAACTCTATCTCGGCCCGGACAAGTGTGCCTGCATTATTAAGACGTGACGAGGAAATGAGAAGTTCGAGGCAATGGACATGGCGAACAGATCTCGCAGCAACACAGCCATTTTGGGAAGGTTGGTTTGTTGGCCTCAGCAAGAAGTTTCTCGAGGCTAGAGGGGGGAAACTACTGCTACTCGCTGGAACGGACCGACTGGACAAAGAACTAACAATTGGCCAAATGCAAGGTATGTGGAGTATGTATTCGAGAAGCCAAAGCTGACCTTGAGCGCCAAAGGCAAATATGCATTACAAGTATTTCCGGAAGCTGGTCACTTTATTCATGAGGACCTCCCCGAGAAGACCGCAATGGTTATCGTGGATTTCTATAAGCGGAACGACCGGAGCGCATTGGTGTTGCCGCCAAAAGTATCAGATATGCTTCGAACTGGTAAGAAGGTGTAGGCAAGCTACAAATTCTCACACAAACGACAATCAAGAATGGCTCAAGGGTCAGTAGAGTCTGAGTTGGACACTCACAATAAAGCCACTTGGACAAGGTTCTCTCCCCTGCTGTGGAGCAACCACCGGTAATCCGGCACTCGCCACAGTAGCAAACCAGGACAAACCGGAAAATGAGGCCCTGCGCAGGCCTACCTTATGCCTCGAAGAAGCGTGCGGTTTTGCTGGGCCTTGAGGAACATGTCTCCAATCCATTAGTGAGGACGACATAAAGAATTACTACCAGCCCTCAAACTTCGAACCTACAAAATATACGAGGCGGCGATGGTATAACCCTCATCTACAAAAATGATACTCATGTTGTTCCTGTGTTTACTGAATTGGTCAAAAATTCAAAAGAGCGCCTCTACTATCGTACTCGATACAATTCCTTTTTCATCTCGCATTCTTCCAGTGGGAACGTCCGGACCTCACTTCATCAATTATCCTCCATACCTTCTCTCAAGAACCCCGGCAGACAATTGCACCATTGAGATCCCCGAATTGAGACGGGCACATCTCATAATTTGTCGTGCTACTCGCACCCCTGCTGGTGCTGGTGCCCCCATGATCAAGTTTGACACCAGGCTTAGAGGCAGAGTCAAACTACGAGTTGGTTGGTGATATCCGACTTAGCAAATTAGGCATTTGCACTTGACTTCCGAAATCTTGAGCTCTCCGTTAGCTCGGTTAATTCAAGTCAAGATCAGCATCATCAATCCTGCCCCTCCGTGGCCTTCAGATTACAGAGCCAATAAAAGACATTTCTTTATCAGTCTTGCGAAATTGTCGAGAGGGATTTTCCAGTTTCGCAGATCGGCAATAACAGCGAGGCTGATTTCCTGAATTGCCTCATTCCTTTACGTGAATACCAAGCGTTGTAGGATATCTAGTTGCGAGTCACACAAATACAACACTCTTGTTTGTTTAAATTGAAGCCTCAAATTTCGTTCTCTATTATTATTAATTCAGATTGAGCTTCACTAAAACCGTTTTCATATTATCGACCATATTCAAACATGCAATTCAAACCATTCCTCGCCATCGCTGGCCTCCTAGCATCTCTGGCAGCTGCCAATCCTAACCCTCAACCCCCAGAGTAAGTTCATCGGTATGTTTTCTCTTCAGGGTCCTATGCGGCACACACAATTACAAGAGAATCCAGTTACTAACAACTAACAGACAGACCACAGCCGCTGTCCAAGCCTTGGAATCCTACGTCGAAATGGTGGCAACTCAGGCGGATTTCTTGTCCATCCTTTCCTCCATCTCCACCGACACGGCTGCTCTCGCCAGTGTTACAGATTTCGAGGCATCGGTTTCCAGGCAGCTGAGAGCAGGCCAAACCGTGGGTTCCAACTGCCTCGACGAGTTGCCGAGCGGAATTCGGCCGTTCTTTGTTAGTGTTGTCAGTCAAGAGTACGCGATCTTGGCTAGCAATGGGTTCACGAGTCTCGCGAACCAGTTACATGCTACTGCCACCAGTGCCACTCTTAATACTGCACCCGAGGGAGACTGGTGGGCTGAAGCACGCTGGTGCTGTTGCTGTTGGACTTGTGGGTGCCGTGATGGCTTTGTAATGTTTCAGTGGTAAAGAGGTTGTAGTTTGGGTTTGACATGCATTTTGAAGCAAAGGAACAAAAGATGGAACTTAGGTTGAAAATGAGTATCAACGAACTCAAGTCCTTGGCATGTTGGAACATGGTGCTTTGCAAGCCACAAGTTGAACCTGGTTACGAGATAACGTTGATAAGAAGAATAAAACAAATATTGAAGATGCAATGTGAAATTATTGAATTTCAGAACTTTTACCGTGTCTTCAATTTTGAGAGCAAAACTCTTTTCGGTCTTCCCTTCGAAGCTCAAGCCTCAAGGGAGCTTTAAAGGGGCTTCCGAGTAGGTCGCAAATTGGGGTCCGAATCACTCACCAAATTATCCCTGTACAAGTTTGATGTATGATACTTGACGTATTGTTAATACACATGAAATAAGTTGAATTTGCCATTGCACAGAAATATATTTGGACGAAATTGATGCGGCCATGATCACGTGCGAGAGCTTCAAGCCAAGGCTGCGGCTGGCGTTACTCGTTAGTCTTGGAAGTTTACAGGCAATCAACAAGCGCAAGCTACCGACAAAAGCCGCATTTTAATGCCCGTCCATCTTCCATCTCTTCGTCAAGCCATGTGAAGCTTCACACCAAACACAGCTTCTAGTCGTCCCAATGATGCCCAAAGAGCTATGAACAATGACTCTTCGCCAACTGACCTGCCCAGGAGCGAGAACCCCACGAGCACGAGCGAGGCAGGACAAGCAGCAGATTCGGTAGAGTCTACGCAGAGACGACAGGATGAGGAAAGTCCGGCGGTCAAGAGAGCCCAGGCGCAGATGAAAAAGAAATTTGAGTTCATCACGAGTCTCACGAATAATCTCGATATCCTCATCTACGCTGAGCTGAGCTTAGTATATTACATGGAGTACATGCACCTATGCTTCACCAGTTGCCTATGCTAATGCATCACAGCTGCTCACTCTTCCGACTTCTTCTCCGCGTCCTCAATCAAATGATCTTCCTCACGCCAAAACCCAACTTTATACCGCCTGCGGCTCAACACCGACCCTACATCGGCGCCATCTTTGGTCCCAACCTCGTCTGTATACTCCTACATATCTTTACTGCGCGGTCCGAAGCTGGCGAGGTTATGCGGGGCTATCTCCATGGGGGCGTGATCGTCGATCTCATTGGGCAAAAAGGGCCAACGTCGAAAATACACTTAGTGTTACTGGATCTGCTGATTCTCGGGCTGCAGTGTTTTATGCTTGCAGTCCATGTGGAAAAAGAGAGGTTATCAGCTTTAATAGCAGCATACCTGTCGCCAGCTACATCAGCTACGGATCAACCACGAGCAACTGTAGCCTCAGCACAGGACCATGATGCGGAAGAACGAGGAATCATGAGAACTGGGGTTACGGCTAATGGGGATATGGAACTACAACCTATGACAGCACGAGGTGATGGACCCTCTACGATGGAAACCGAAGGGCAAGAGCGAAACGAAGAGCGGGAACGGCTCTTAGCTGAACCACCTCCGCGGGAAGACGACGAGGATCCTTTGGATACATTTTGGTCTGGAACGGCTATTTTGGCGGATTTCCATGTGATACACAATCTAAAGAAGCAGTGGGCGGATTATGGGAATGCAACTGAATCTGCTATTCAGACTATGGGTTTCAGTGCAGAGTTCGCTGCTGTTGCAGCGAATCGTCGTTTGAACGCTGCTAGTGCAAGGTTTCAGCAAAACCTGACCCCTTGAGGAAAAAAACACGCGTTGTATAATAGCTTCGAGACAAATGTCAATGATTCCCCAACTCTCTCACAACAATTTGGCTCGGATAACTTTGATTATGCTATCTTTCTGCCTACGTTCCCAACCGCAGAGCCTTTGACACTGACGATGATATCTCCACTTCCATCGTCTTCGGCATCTCTTAACCCCCAATTGCTTGCCCCGAACTTTTTGAGGTCCCGTCCCAGTCCTATTATGTCTTCTGTTCCTATCACATCTCTCCCTAACCTTAGTCTCCCGACATCTTCTGAGCCCAAAGCCATGAGAGTCAGGACTGTGGGTGCGCCGACTCTCGTCACACATCCTCCTTGAGAAATATTATCCAATAGCTGGTACGCACACTGCTTCCCTATATCTTCAGGCGTAACGCCACCTGAACTCGGAGCTGGCACATCAGCTGAGTATATCACACCCTCCGAGCTACTCTCAGCAATCAAACAGAGCCCAAACCCAATACCCGTCCTCTTCTTTGCCTTGGGATCTGACTTATCCCCCCTCGACACCAACGGAGCTTGATCATACTGCGCAGCAACATGCACATCACTGACCAGCGGGTTCAGCACTCCCCTTGCAGCATGTATCATTCTTGCATTCCCACTCGCCGCTACCCCCGTACAATAAGCCACGCCTCGTATCCTCTTGACCCTCCCAGGACTCCTGTTCAAATGCAAGGTTTTCGGTAACCTGACCTGGCTCCCAAACCTCAATTCTACTACGCCTCCTCCACCCTTTCCACTAGGACCCGCGCAAGATCTCTGCAGTACCCTCAGCTCCAATTTACTCCCCATGATCCCAAATTGCTCGTACAGCGGTAATATTGCCGTGCGAATAGTATCCACGCACACATCCCCAGTCTCGGTCGCGCTCGTAATGACGCCTTCCCCTTCGAACCTCACATTGACCGGCCCCTTCGAAAATGGCGCCAACATACACAGCGGCAGCAAAAACCAGCTCACGCCCCTCCTACACGTCTCCGGCAGTGCGCATCTCACGACGTCTCCACTCCCACCAGTAACCGCTCCTCCCGTTATCAATCCCGGCATATATGTCAATGTCGTGCCTGTGTATGATATCTGCATGACCGAGCCATTTGTGATACTGTCTAAGAGGCGCAGGAAAGAGATTTCGTGCGGTGTTAGACCAGGATTCGTAGTCGATGAGGAGCGGATTTGGGAGATGTGGATAGGCTTTCCGGTAAGTGTTGAGAGAACGAGACGCTGGGCGAGCGATTTATGGGTTGTGAAGCGCAAGAATTCTGGGGCTGGTGTAGCCATTGTGATTTTCGTGGAGAGTGAGTTGCGTAGTGGGGATGGATTGGATGAAGGCTGAACTTTTTTGATCCGGCAGAAAATGCCCGGCTCACCGCCTCTCGGAAAATCTGGTGAGCAAATGTACTGTACTTGAATCTCGAGGTCAACTCGTTCGTTCCCTTCATTCATTTCACGTGTTTTTCAGTGTGGAGGGAATAGTTTGAGGCGCTTTTATTGCCTAGCGTAAAGAGGAACTGCCAATACCAATCAGACTGATAACGAGCGTTCATGCAGACGATCAAAGCAGACCAATTCTTCTCCTTCTGCCTGTCTCGTTCCTCCACCCCGTGGCGCAATTTTAGAAAGTCGAGAGTCGAAATTTTTACAATATGTGAACCAACCATGTCATGCCAAGCAGCTCCGAAACCAGGTGAAAGATTCCAGCGCATAGTGTTACATTCGGAATCGCAAAGCAGAATCGCAGTGCGAATGCAGAAAGTTTTGCTCATTTGCTTGCTGCCTTGAAGTGAATGCTTCAAAGGATGAGCAATGACTAGCAAAATTAGTGCAGTGATTCATCAATCGACCATCCCTAACGATGTATCAACGGTATCTGTCGTATGATGGCGGGCTGGCGCAACCATCACAAAGTAATCGCAAAGATCAGGAAATTAGCTATTTAAGTAGAAGTTTCTACTGGGACTGGTTCTGGAATCGATTCCTGGGCAACTGTTAGCCTTATCTTCTCGTGGTTGTGATATAAGTGAAAATGGCATTACTTTCGAAGGCTCTTCAATTGATGGAGCAGGGGCGGTTTCGCCAACTGCTGGAATGTCCTTAGCCTCTGGGACTGACGACTCAGCTAGCGGAGCATCTTCTTGGGTTTTCTCCTCAGCCTTCTCCTCTGTGGGAGACTCTTTGTTGCCGTTTGTAGGCTCCGCTGGAGAAGCTTTGCCCTCCTCCGCGTCCGTCTTCGTCTCAGTGGGAGCTCCATTGGTATTTGCCGGAGCGGCAGCCGGAGTGCCCTGCTCGCTTGCGAGGAGCTTGTTCCACTTGTCGAGAAGACTTTGAGATCGAGGTTTGAAGCGGAAATCCTCTTCCTTGGGAATGGTGTTCAGTTTCAAGATAGCCTTGAGCACCTTGTTGATCTTTGTGGCTCTAATGATGCTGACCTCGAGATCTGCATAACCTTCGAGTTTGAGGACATATTCCGACATTTGCTTCATTTCTTCCTCCTTTGGATCCTGGTCTCTGGTCAATAGGCCTTTTTGAAGTTTATGTCGCAAGAACAGAATCTCTTTCTAAAAGGATGTCAACATGTGTCTCCGCCCCAGGCCTTATAATGACCTACCTCCTTCTTGGCTCGCTTCTCCTCAGCTGTCATTTCGGGTTCCTTTGGCACTACGACCTCAGGGGTCTCCGGTGCCTTGGGAGCGGACTTTTTGGTCTTGGGCTTCGTGGATTTGGTTGTAGAGTCCTTGGCGGATTTTGGGGTAGATGTACCATTTGGTGCCTTCGGTGTGGTATTCAATTTGATGCTAGTCCGAGGCTTCTTGACGGAGTCGCGCTGTGGGGTCTCAGCAAATTCAGGGTCTATTTGAGGTGTTGCAGAGGGGATCAACTTACATCTTCTGCTGTGATAGGGGGCTTGCGCTTCTTAGTTTTAGGCTCCTCAACTGCTGTCATGCCTGGCGCCTCTGAGTCCACTTCACCGGGTGCGTCGGCCATATCAATGTCCTCATCGTCCCCATCCTCAACGACCTTCGGTGTCTTCTTTTCCTTCTTCGCAGCTGCCTTCTTTGCCTTTTTCTCGGCTTTTGCTGCTTCCTTTGCTGCACGTTCAGCTTCGCGGGCCTCCATAAAACTCTTCAAAATATCCTTGAAGTAGTCTAAGTCGTGTTGTTCGGCAGCAAGTTGATGTGCAGCAGCCAAATCCTTTCTCATATTCGCCGAGACGTTCCCGACTTCATCAAAGTCCATATCAACTAGATCGTAGTTGGGGATCCAACCACTGATCAGTGGATCAGCATGAGGCACAAACAAGAGAGGATTCGACAACTTACAACTCGTTTGTGTGCAGGTACATGACAGGGAATGACCGATCCTTGACCTTGGGTCCGCCATCCTCGAAGTCATCACGATATTTGCCATCGGGTCTCGCAGCCGTGACTGGTCTTGTCTTGATCAGGGTGTTGGGGAGCATGCTCTCGTCACAGACGATTGCAGGCCACAATGGATACCCCTTCAATCTGACGTAGAAGTAATCGCCGGGCTTAGCGTCAGCATGGGTCAGCTTTGCCTTCGAGGCCTTCTTGTTCAGTTTCTTGCCCTTGTGCTCTGGAATCCCGCCTGACTTGCGACGAGCTTTGCCCTTGCCGGTCGAAGCTGGCGTGTCAGTGGTCGGTTCAGCAGATTCATCACCGGCTGGTGCTGCATCGCCATCATGCTTTGTACTGTCCGCCATATCGGTGTCTTCTTGTGGGGGTGCAGGTTTGTCTTGTGTGACGTCCTCAGGCCTGGTTTGTTTGTCGTTTGTCTCTTCTTGTTTTGTAGCTGAACGCGGAAAGAATTGAATCAGTAGATGAATAAAACGCGAACGTTTGATCGAGGGACTTACATTCAGTAGGTGCAGGCGCGTCGTTTGTTGTAGGTATCGCGACTTCCTTGGGTTCAGTAGCCACCTCGGGAGCACCATTGGGGACTGCCCCATTTGCATCCGCCCTCACTTCTGGATGTGCCATGGCATCAGAAACTGGTACAGGCTCTGCTGCAGGAGAGGGCACGACGGCAGCTTGTGGGTTTGCCTCTTCCGACATCTTTTGTCGCGCCGCAGACAAGGTGAACGGGCAGGGGTGGTGCACGAGTGAGGTTGCAGTGGACGCGACGAGATATTCTCAGGGTTTACAATCAGTTCCGAGTATGCTGATGCACAGATCGATGAACGCCTTGATGCGATGGCGGACAGGCGGAGGGAATGGGTAAGATGCGATGGAAATATGATGCTCAAAAGATTTCGTAGCGGAGCGAGCCAAAGCACCCACAGCCTAGCACCGTCATGTGACCAATGATCATCAACGGCACTACATAACAACAACGGGGGAAAGTGAACGTGAACGTATAAACTCACTGTTTTGATCCTCGTCTTTGACTTGACAAGGCCGACAGTTGCGTGTCAACTAGGACAAATAAGTGAATGAAAAATAAAAAGATAATGGGCAAGATTGAGGTCAACATAAGACACCAACTGGTGATCCCAACAACCACATTCTGACGGTGACACTGAAAAATAGCCCTCTTCCGCCGGCGCCAATCATGACTCACCTATGAACTGTGCGCCGCCGCCCCAACACCACTGGCGGCCAAGCAAAAGAAACCATTGGACGATGCTCATCTCAAGCAGTCCCCGAGGGTATGTTGAAATGATAAAACCCGCGATCTGTCCAAATAAACTTTTCCTTCATTCCAGTCTACTATACAACACAGTTCTTTTGTGGGAAAGCGACAATGATATCTTACTCCTCGTCTTCTTCATCATCTTCATCTTCATCCATCCCCTCTGCAACATTGACTGTGAAGCTCGGATCTTGATCAACTCCAACGTAGCTGTCACTCATCAGGAACAATTTCAACTCGTGCTCTCCAGGGGTTGGCACAGTGTACTCGAGGCGCAAATTCAAGGCCCTTCCAATAGTGATCCGCTTGATCGCAAGGAGTGTCTTTGAGCTCTCCTCACCCACAACCAGCCACCAATTTTCCATCTTGTTCTTCACAGGGTAGAAAGGTGCATGAACAGTAGAGTCCAAATCGACTGACTCTTCATCCTCGTCAACCTCTCTAGTAATTTTGACCTTGATGTACGCTGGAGCTCCAGCTGTGATTTCGTCCGGATCCTCAACTTCGAAATCGAGCTCGATATTGGGATATTTCGAGTTTGTAAAATTTGCTGCCTGAACCAGCTGATTTTGCGACAACCCCAGATGTTTGATGAGTGTAGTGTAATTAGGGTTCTCGGGGTCCATCGCATCCATGAATTCAAATATATCCTTGATCCTGTGATGAGTTTCATAATTAGCATCTAGAGACTTGCAGGGCGTTGAGCATACATACCCAGATTCATTGGCGGCCTTAATGACTTCAGGCGTGAAGTGAGGAATTTGCTTCAGAGGACTGTCACGATCCCACATAGCCTGCACAACCATCTGCGACATTTCCATGGCATTCATCGCATTGATGTGGCCATCAGAAGACAGAACATCGACAGTGGCACTGAGCAAGCCGAGAACCTTGGTCAATATAATCTCCTGGTCCTTTGCGAGATCGATAGGCAACTGCATCCTGGAGAAATGTGCTTGAAGGAGAACAAACGCCTTGAAATGCGGGGAGTCGTAGCTAGGCTGTGCCATCTTGACAGGAACTCTGTCATAGATTCGTCGGAGTAAGCTATCCTCGTGTCTTCTGATCTGGATCGACTCAAATTCTGTGGCCGATGTAACAATCTCGAGGATGCCCTTGAGCTTCGTCCTAGCGCTCAATGACAACAAGAACGTTTGCATGGTAATGTATGAAATGTTGTAGTACGCAGCAATCATAGCAGCATTTAGCGGTGTCACTGTATCTTCTTCCTCGTCTACGTCGATGATCTTGAATTCGGCGAGATCCTTCAGCGTGATTTCCACGAGCTCTGACAAATGGGCACTGAGACCGTCGTGAGAGGTATCTATGAGACTGTAGTAGCTAGGATTTGCGAGAAGGCGACGATAGAAGTATGTGAACGTAGTCCAATTAATGGCATCGTCGGCAGACTCAATCATCTTCGTGCTGATCTCGGAAACGAAAGCATCGTGCAGATAGACCTGGAGATGACTCTCTATTGGCAAGGCCTCGTTCAAAAATTTCTTGTAATACTCGCGCTTTACAGCGGGTACCATCAGCACTCCTCTGCCAAGTTTGTCTTCAAGTGGGCGCGATGCTTTGCCGAACATTTGGAGAACCTCACTCAATGGGTAATCTACATATCGGTGCTCTCGGCCCTCATAGTATTGGGTACCCATAACAATGACCAAGTGTGCTGTGCAATCTAGCTCCCAGCAGACATCACGAGAAGCGACTAGGGCTTGGATAGCCCCCTGTTCATAAAGATGCTTCACGATTCGTTTGTCGTTGGTGCTCAGAGCTTCATGATAGTAACCGATTCCATGAGATATAGCCTCAGCTAAAGCTTCTTCCTGAATTCGTTCCAGGATCGGCATCATTTCTTCGACATTGGCGTGCAGGAATCGGTCTTCATCATCGCTGGCCGCACAAGCTAGCAACAAGTCCCGCGTTGTGGCTCGAGCCTGCTTTCTGCTGGGGACGAAAACAATTGCAGGTGTATCCGGAGACATCTGAAGAATGGACAGGTAGGCCGGCTTCGCCATGGCAAGCATTAGTGATGGGAAGTGAGGAATTGTGAATGACTGTATGTGGAGCTCCAAGGGCACAGAGCGGGCATGCGGGCTGAAATTGTATATGTTGTGCTTCTTTGCATCGATCCACTCGCCAATATCTCGGGCATTAGATAGTGAGACACTAAGCCCGACGATTCGAAGAGGAAGTTGGGTCTGTGATCGGATGTAATGCATTCGAGAAACAATGATCTCATACACAAAACCAGATTGGCCACCAAGCATGTGCAACTCGTCAGCAATGAAGAGTTGAATGTTCTGGACGTTCTTTCGGCGTTGCCATTGTCGTGACAGAACGTCCCATTGGGCTGGAGTTGCGAGTATCAAGTCGCCTCGGTCGAGGAGTTTTAAGTCGGCCGTCGTTTCTCCCGTCAATTTAACGATTTCCTTGCCCCCACGGAGTTTTGCAAATCGACTCCGCCAATCTTGAAACCGGAGATCAACCAGCTCTTGGAATGGAGCGATGTATACTGCCCGATCAGCGTCTTGCTTCGACCAGTGGTGGAGCAAAGCAAATTCTGCGCATACAGTCTTTCCACTGCCGGTAGGTGCGCCAACAAATACATTCTCGTCGGTCGTAAATAGCGAATTGAATGTTTGGGTTTGTATTTTATTGAAGCGTTCCCACTTAGGATAGAGCGCTCGGTAGTCATCCGTCTTCAACGCAGCAACAGGCAAAGGTTGCAAATCAAGCACCGGAGTATGCGGCGGGAATTTCTCTGGGAGAATCAGCTTCTGGAACGAAACTGCAAGCTTCGTCTCTGAGTGCATCCATCTGTCCGAAGTAACCGTAACAAAATAGTTCGGTGGCATGGGTTCCGTAATGGGTACCGTGAACTCGACGATATGCTCATTCATCTCTGCTGTCGCAAAGTCTTTTCGAAGAACGAATTGGTCATGGAACAATATATCCTCTCCGTCACAGTCTTCGGCAAGAATCCAAAAGCTTTCCGCAGTTCCATGAATCTCCTCGTCCCATTCAAACTTCGGGGTAATTGTGAGCTCAATCCGCAACATGGACCTAGTCATGGGTTGAACCTGAGCCTGGACTTCGACTCTTGGGAACTTGGCAACGAGACTACACACGGTCTTACCGGCCTTGGGCATGCCAAGAAGCTCTCCCATTCTTGGCGGATCCAAGTCAAAATAGCTTGACCATGGTACATCAATCCTCTCTGCCTTCTGTATGATATCCCTCGGACACGACGGGAATTGACGCAACGGTGTCATGGTAGGCCACATTCGTTTTTCGGCCATTTTGCAAAGCTGCAACGCTGTCTTCGCAACTGAGGACCAGCCCTTCTTCAAGGTAATCTCAAATATGGCTCGGAGAATTCGTCCAGCCGATTGAGTGACATAGACCAGATCAGCCATCAAGGCAAGACCTTCGAGCTTGAGGCGTGATATGTAGGCTTGCAGGAGTACGTTGATTTTAGCGTGGGGCTCCTCAATGCTCTCCTTGACTGGGATAGGAACGCGGCCCAAAAGTTTGGCAAGTTCCAATTTCTCATCCTGGCGGACAGGGATATACTTGAACTCATCGCTCAGAGCAAATACTCGGAAGAGCTCAATTGGGGTGATTGACGGTTGGATATGGTGGTTGTAGGTCAGCATCGAACTATGGGTAATGTAGTAGTGGGATGCTATGCGTCCCAACTCCGTCGGCTGTAATTTGCCAGTCTTCTTGTCGTACTTGATGAGATTGGATTTCTCGAGTACCACAGCAGCAGAATGAATGAGATCGACACGCTTCTGCTCCAGAGAACTGTCCTCCTCGTAGTCGGCACCAACACTGTACAGACCTGGTGAACGCAGCATGCGAACAAAGAGATAAGTATAACCAAGCCATTCAACGCCGTCATCTCTGCTGCGGATATTACCAAGAACAACTTCGGCGTTTAGATTATCTGCAAGGCGACTAACGAACTGACTTTCGATGGGCAGTTGCTGATTGAGAAGTGAGAGGTAGTACTGCATTTCTGTCGCCGTGGTTATGATGATTCCCTCTCCATAGGTGTCGTACTGGGGACGACCAGCTCGGCCAAGCATTTGAAGAACATCTTGTGGGCTGAGCTCCACCCAACTACCTTTTTCGGGCGAGTAGACTTGGGTGCCTTTGATAATAACAGTATGGGCTGGCAGGTTCACACCCCATGCCAAAGTGGCAGTAGACACGAGTACTTGGATCAGACCATCGTTGAAAAGATCCTCAACTGAAGTTCGATCCGGTCTGCTCATTCCAGCGTGGTGGATGCCAAACCCGTACGGAAGCAAGTCCTTCAATTCTCGATCGTTCACGGACTCTGCCTCAGCATTGAGAGCTTCTCTGCTGCCGGCATCGCTTCTCAGAATTTGTCCAATGGTCTCCATTTCCAGAGCCTTGTCTCTGATATAACGTGCAGTCTTCGAAGTTTCTTTTCTGGAGTGGACGAAAATAATCATTTGATTCCGGTTCGTCCCAACATGCTCAAGGACTTTGGTATAAGTTATGTCATTCATGGTCTTTAGCTGCTTGATGGCCTTCTTCTCGGTAATGCCGATGAACTCCTGGCGAAGGGGACAAGGGCGGTATGAGCCATCGAAATGGAACATACCCGTTGCAGGGTCAACCCGGAGAAAGCTTGCAACATCGCGGTAATTGGGCAACGTGGCTGAGAGACCTACTAGGCGGACGGGATCGCCGGTCTGCTCCAGCTTTCTGATTGTCCGGCTGACGATACTTTCCAGCACCGGTCCACGGTCGTCATGCAGTAGATGAATCTCGTCGATGATGATAAGTCGCACCAGGTTCGTGTAGCTTAGATCTGTAGCTTTTCTGGTGATAACATCCCATTTCTCAGGTGTAGTCATAATGATCTGAGTGTCCGCAATTTGCTGCTTTGTGAGTTGTCGATCACCAGTCAATTCGGAAACTTGAATGCCATAGGGTTTCAGGCGGGCACCAAAATTGCCAACTTGTTCTTGAACCAATGCCTTCAAAGGAGCAATGTAGACAATCTTGAAAGCATCCAGGTTGATCTCTCCAGTTTCCGGATTGCGGTTCTTGCCAATTTCTCGAAGAATCGTGAGCATACCAACATTTGTCTTTCCACTGCCAGTCGGAGCACAAATCAGCATATTGCCATCGTCGTTGAAAGCTTGGGGAAAACATTTGGACTGGATCTTGTTCAGTTTGGTAGCGGAGCTGAAAGGGACACGAGCCCATTCCGGCATCTCTGTGACGGGAATATCTCGATCGCTAGGCTCATTGCGCTTCTTTGGGGGAGGAACGTGAATCTCTTCATAGCCTTTAAAGGTACGTTTAGTAGATCCCTGTGGAAGCGTGACTTTGGGATTCGTCATGAGATGGTTTCCCTGATCAAAAACAAGGTTCTCGAGATTGATGAGTTTCCGCGGCTGTAAGCCTCCGACAAGTGCCCCGTCGCCAGCATGCTCGGCTTTAGCACTGCCGTTCATGTATGAAGCTGGAACATCGATGTCCATCTTGATCTCAAGTTTCCGCTTCTTCGAACCATCGCCAGAAGGAGCTATTCCTCGAAGTTCATCCAGAATCCACCGCAGGCCTTCGGATGCAATTTCTCGCTCAACCACACCTTTAGCCTCCGCATCCTCAGCCCGAGCCAATTTCGTAAGCCAGACAACCTTATCTCGGTTGGCAATAAGCTTATGGACAAGTTCGTGATTTTCGTAATCAAAGAGTTCTGCTAGATCATTCTCGACTTCTCTCAGGGGTTTTTCCTCGCCCCCTTCTTCATCTGGTGCTCCGGATAGAGTCTTCAGAGCTTCTTGAGTCTTGACCTGTTGAGTGTGCGGATCCGAGTAAATAGAACCAATCTGTCGTTGAAGCCAGTAGGCGTCGATCTCGCGAGTAGGAATGAAACTCTTATCCTTGTTTTTACTGCTGCCACCATCGATTGGGGCAGAGTCTATGATCACTGCCTCATCTTCTGGAAGCTCCTCGGCCTCCTCCTCTCTGTCTTCCCCAGAACCACCAGCTGTTGCGACTTCCTCCAAACCTGGACGGTCTTCGATATCGCCTTCATCTTCAGACGATTCGTCGCGGACCTCGTTGACCATCTCTTGACCATCTTCATCTTCAGAGTTGTCATCGAAAACGACCGCCACACCCTGGCGATCATCTATCTCTGCTCCATCTTCCACGCCATTTTCTCCATCACCCATAACCTCGTCTTCGTCCTGAGCATCGTAATCGGTGATCTTTTTGCCGAGGTTCACCAGTTCATTGAACTGCTTAGGGTTCAAGGTTGTGCCTAAAAGGTCATCGATTTCCTTCTTCTTGTCCAAATCTTTCATGTCATCGTCCTTCAGATATTCCAGAACTGCATCCGCAGCGCTACGAACAATTTCGTGTGAAACGTCTCCTAAGTTATTGGCAACGGTCGTAAGAATCAGATCGTACGTGGCTCGTGTGGCAGAAGTTCTGGGTCGGTATACAATGCCCTCCACCAATGCATCTGCTGCCGACAGAATTCCAGTCCCTCGAAGTTGTGCTGGCTCGCCGCGCTTTCGTTTGCGCTGCTCCCGCTCCAGAACATCCTGACCTTCCTGGAGGCCTCCTCGCTCGACATCTGGCAGCCCTGAGGCCTTCTTCTTTTGCTTGGGGATGTTGTCACGAGCATTTCGAGAGCCCATGTCCCTAATGCTCAACCGCCCCGCAAGTGATTCCGGGTCTCCTGTGACCTCATCGTTGCGCCGTGTAACAAATCGACGGTCCGCCTGGAGGACCAGGTTGGACATCGCCGAGTACTTGTACTGAGAGACATCGCGCTGTTGGTCCGTCATCTTGGTGGTTGTGTGAGCGTTTAAGAGAGACAGCGGATTCGAGATCAGGTGGAGAGCCTAGACAAATCTTCAGCGCGGTGGTAAAGACTGTCGAAAATCCTCACAACACTTCGGTGAATTCATCAATCATCAACTACACAGATTTATCAAGAAATCCAGGCAGCTGGATGAGTTGACTCACACCTTGGGACTAGAAATGTTCGAAAGGAGATAAAAATTAAAGGTTTATCAAATTAGCGGGAAAGGTCAAGCCACCTGAGCCTCAGTTGTGGCGCATTTCGGCTAGCCAGCGGCCCAGCGCGTCTCAGAGTGCTGGTAAACAACCACAACCTCAATTGCAGCGTGACTTACTAAGTTCACTCAGCATGGAAGACTACGGTGCACTCCCCGAAGCTTTCAAGAAAATCAATCGCTCTCTACTGCCTTTCATTAAGCAAAGGCAAGAAGTTGCGCAAATCCGAAGAATCTTAAGTTCGCATCTCAGCGGGCATCTCAACGTGGATGGAGGCCTGCCTGTCTCCCGACCACTTTCCCTGGTTGATCCGACAAATAGTATTGATGCAACCCCTCATGGAGTTAGAGGGGTTCAAAAAGAATACCTTCGGTGTGTTCGCGCCAACATCAAGGCTAGGAAAGAGTACTCCAAAGCGAGTAAGGACCACCATGTTGAACAGGAAGGGCAAGGGTCTGGTGTTGGCGTGCGTGAACGTTCGACATCCCAAGACGGGGCTGAGAACTCGATGGAATCATTTCTGGATCTCGTTCGGCAGCGGCAGAATCACGAACGTCTATTGATTACTCAAGATTACATTGACATGTTGAGTAGAAAACCAGCTGCTAGTGTTGACCATCTCGATCTCCAGGAAGTCTTGAAAGACGTGGAAACGTTGCCGAAAGTACCACCAGAAGTCGTGAATGCCTCTTCTTCAAGTCACATGCCTGACGGGAGAGATCTGGAGGAGCTGGTCGATCAGCTAGAGAAGTCTGTTCTTCGCGCCAAGATGCTTCTCAAAAAAGAACAGAAACTCCTTGCAAAGGTCCGGGCAGAGAATTCCGATCCATCTGTTCAGCATGGAAGTCGGCTCCAAGCAGTTGATGCGACAAGACATGAATTGATAAACTGGATCGAAGGCGAACTAGGTAGAGCTGGGGACTGCCCTCCGGAGGATGAAGAGGACCATGGACCAACCACATCGATGAAGCACGGGAGGGAATACATCGATGCCGAATTGACAGCGACCCAAAGACAGTATGCCCGATACACGAAGGTCCGGGAAGCAATAGTTGTTGCATCAGGTGGTAGATTAGGACCACAACCTTCACCAGAGTTCGGTCAGGACAACAGTCTACAACCAGCGAGAGAGGAATTGCAAAACGTCAACGGCATGAACCAAGCAATCTATCCTTACCTAGAAGCCATGATTTTGGTCTCGAATGAGCAGAAGGCGATGATCCAACAGAAATCTCATCTGACAATCACTCTGTCAAAGCAACTAAAAGAGGGTAGTCAGGGTCTCGACCGACTAGCTGATGAGAGTCACCTTCTGCCAGCACATCCAATACCAGCTGCAAGCTTGCAGCGAACGACGTTGGAAGGGGCCGTCTCTTTCGGCGACCAGATGTCAAACCAAGAGAGGCCGGATGCTTCACGTCGAGCTCGAGCTTGGGTATTCGCGTCCGAGTCAGCAACTAATGCAACAAAGGAAGCGATTTCCGAAAAGCTGGAAGAGGGAGAGAAGTTTATCGTGAAAACTCAAAAGACACTGTTAGAACTTGATAATCTCCTTGGTAGCGATGGGAAAGGAGATATATGGGGCACGGTGGATGGCAATTTGGGCGTCATTGAAGGGGAAGCTGCAGGTCAATCATGAGGAGACGCTACTACAGTATTACTTTGCACTGAAATTTCTCAGAGGCTCAGGTCGTGAAGACAGTGCATTATATTGTACTCCATCCTTCTGTAGAATCAATATGGCACTTTTTCTCTCGCTTTAATTTCCTCTAGCCAAGAGAGTCAATAAAATTGCCCTAGTTTGATATGAGTGATCAAAAATGTTGACGTTGCCTTCTTTGAACAAACAGCACTAAATTGGGTTTAAAATAGTGATAACTTAGGGGTCCCGAAGGCGTGCTGGGTTCTGATCGCCCACAGGGCGTCGGTTTATGCCTTACGAGCTAAGGCTGAAACGGGACACGGTCAAACAAATTTCCAGAAGTGAGTCAACCCAACTTCGAATTTAATCACCACAACACTCAGCACAGCTTTTCCAAGTGCGCACGTCTTTAGTGATGGCGGCCAGTCATCATGGCCAACAAGGCGATCTGCCATCTGAAATTCTTGAGCTACTTTCCAAGAACGATCCAATTCTGTCCTCGGAGGCCTTGCCATTACAGAAATCCACGGACGTCAAGGCCGCATTAGACAGATTAGCCTCGCGTTCTATGATCACATATGAGACGATTGACCGAGAGGAAGCGATGCTAGAGGATGAGGGTGCGGAAATCGAGGCCAATGGCAGCCATGAAGCACGAGTATTTGAGGCGCTACGGAAGGCAGTTGAGGGTCTCACAGTGAAGGAATTGGAGGCTGCCATAGGAGACAAAAAAGCCGCCAGTCTGGGACAGGGAAAAGCTTTCAAGTCGAAATGGATCGCAAAAGGCAAAGATGGTCGTCTGGTTGCATCAGTGAGTTAGTATGTTGCAAAGAACGCTCAACTGGTTGCTAATGACTGCAGACCGGATCGATACAAGACACAACCCGCGAGCAACTTCAGATCATTCAAAAGACGCGAACGCATCCTGATCCAAAAGTTGTCGCAGACTTAAAAAAGCGGAAACTCGTCAAGATGCAGAAGGTTATTAGCTTCAGGATTCACAAGGGGCTAAAGTTCGCTCTCGAGATGGTGAAAGAGGAGACGGATTTGACAGTTGATATGTTGGCTTCGTAGGTTATCGTGAAGTGTTTTTAGTTCCGTCACTGATTTGTGTAGTGGTGCGTGGAAGACCGCCGCTTTCAAGCCCTACAACTTCAGATCACTCGGAACAGATCAGAATGCAGGTGCTCTGCATCCCTTGAACAAAGTCCGGCATGAATTTCGACAAATCTTCTTTGAGATGGGATTCGAGGAGATGCCCACGAATCGCTTCGTCGAGACCGGATTCTGGAACTTCGACGCACTCTTCGTACCGCAACAACATCCAGCTCGTGACCTGCAAGATACCTTCTACATTTCGGACCCGAAAACCGCAGACAAACCACATGCAGAGACAAGGGCCGATAAGGCAGACTATGAGGCATATTGGAATAATGTAAAGGATGTGCACCAAGAAGGAAAGTATGGATCTATTGGATATAGGTATCCCTGGGCTGAAGACGAGTCTCTACGACTAGTCCTCCGAACGCATACCACCGCAATTTCAACTGCCATGCTACACAAACTGGCGTCTAAGAAAGGACCGGATGGAAGACCGCCCCCGGCCCGATACTTTTCAATTGATCGTGTGTTCCGTAACGAGACCGTTGATGCAACCCATCTTGCAGAGTTCCACCAAGTCGAGGGTGTCATTGCTGACTACGGATTGTCCCTGGGTGGACTTATGGAGTTTATGCAAATCTTCTTCACGAAGATGGGCATCGAGGACCTACGCTTCAAGCCAGCTTACAACCCATACACCGAGCCCAGTATGGAGATTTTCAGTTTCCACAAGGGGCTAAACAAGCTTGTGGAGATTGGCAACAGTGGTATGTTCAGGCCTGAGATGTTAGAGGCAATGGGTCTGCCAAAGGATATGCGTGTCTTCGGATGGGGTTTGAGCTTGGAGCGTCCAACAATGATAAAATACAAGGTTAGCATGGCATTTCCACAAAAAAGTTCAGGGCACTAACTGGGAAACAGGTGAATAACATTCGGGAGTTGCTGGGACACAAAGTAGATCTGGCCTTCATCGAGAGGAACCCTGCCGTCAGATTAGAGAAGACTTAGACGGGTGCTGGGAGGAACAAAAAGAAAGGATTGTAGATCTGGCTCAATGATATCCGAGTTGCTTTCCAGATGCGCTGTAGCCACACGTGATTACCCCTGACCATGGTAACTAACTTGTCGACGGAAAAGTTAAATTTCAAGTGCAAGCAGCGCAATATCACAGTTCCCCGAATCTGCTCAACCCACAAACCACAGATGTTCGGCGGCCATAGCCTGCCATTCGTGATCTGCCTGTGAGATCATTGGACAGCCGGTTCCTCTGGGTATTTCAAAGGCGAGGGCAACCATTGGTTTCGCTTCCCCGCACGCCAATGCAGCAAGCAAAAAAGTCTGCGAGGCTCTTCCCCTCCCCTCACGACATTACAGGCTCTTCTCAGCCATCCCCGTTCTTCGGGCCTACAGTAGCAGAAGACGAAGATTTCATTGCTCGGCCAGGCGAACAATGGCGTCTGCAGGGCTAGAAGTGGATTAGTTGCCGTTGCGGAGCGTGCAATTCGAAGATTTTCAGTCAGTCAGAAGACGTCTCGAGGAAAAAGTTAGCTGGCAAGCATCTTGTGCCCCGCCGAAGAGCTTGCACGCCTAGCGCATAATTTTTTTGCTGCATCAAATACTAACCAACATCTATCTCTCTCTGCTACTCGTGACTGCAATCCAGAAATCTCTCATCTTACTCCTTCTTCATCGACCATGCTAAGAGATTTCGAGCCGTCGAAGCTTCAGACGTAATTTAATTGCGAGTTCTTGACCGCTCGTTATCACAAAACTTCATCTTGACCGACAAACCATCTGCCTGGGAAATCGACTTGGAATCACCAGCTCGATTCCTCCACACCCACGATATTTGAGACAACGCCGAAGAGATCTCGAGCCTTGAGACGGTAGCAGGCGCTTGGTTGAACCTCCTGGCATTCAATTGAGTTCACCGCTCATACAATGGCTCTCTCCAGCCGTCTCGCAGGCCGTACAACCTTCCTTCTCCGCCAGATCAAGGCTCCAGCCAGCACCGCGAGATCTTTTACCACTCGGTCGTCTACACGATGCCTCTATGCTCAGAGTCAAGCCCCGGCTGGCAAGAACGCCAGATATGTTCGACTTTTCTCGAGCTCCACAGTCTGCCGCGACCAGACACAAACTGCCCCAAATGCAAAGGCATACCTGGAGAGCGGAGTCATTAAAGGAGCTGCAAATCCTGTTAATGTCAAGAAGGTATTGGTAATTGGCAGTGGTGGTTTGAGCATTGGTCAAGCAGGAGAATTCGATTATTCAGGTTGGTTTCCAGAACACTTTTGAATGAGGAATGAGTCACGAGGGAGTCGGCTGAAAAGCATCACAACCTGTGGCACGCGATCAAGCTCAGTCGGTCTCTAATTTGATACGAACACGGTCCTAACTATTCTTTACAATAGGTTCTCAAGCTTTGAAAGCCTTGAAGGAGGCTGGTGTAGCTTCCGTGCTCATCAATCCAAACATCGCAACCATCCAGACCGCCCACGTCCTTACCGATGAGGTTTACTACCTTCCCGTCACTCCAGAATATGTTACATATGTTATTGAGCGCGAGAGACCAGATGGCATCTTCCTTACATTCGGTGGTCAAACTGCCCTGAATCTCGGCGTTCAAATGGAACGGATGGGCATTTTTGAACGCTACGGGGTCAAGGTCTTGGGCACAAGCATCAAGACTCTTGAGACAAGCGAGGACAGAGATCTCTTCGCCAAAGCTCTGGGTGAAATCAACATTCCAATTGCCCAATCTATTGCTGTCGGTACCGTAGACGAAGCTCTAGAAGCTGCTAGAGGAATTAGTTACCCAATCATTGTCCGAGCAGCCTATGCTCTTGGTGGTCTTGGTTCGGGCTTTGCAAACAACGAGGAAGAGCTTCGAAACTTGTCCGCCAGATCCCTCACTCTGTCTCCTCAGATCTTGGTTGAGAAATCTCTGAAGGGCTGGAAGGAAGTCGAGTATGAGGTCGTTCGAGATGCAAGCAATAACTGTATCACGGTCTGCAACATGGAAAACTTCGATCCTCTGGGCATCCATACTGGTGACTCCATTGTTGTGGCACCCAGTCAGACTTTGAGTGATGAGGAATATCACATGCTTCGTTCTGCTGCTATCAAAATCGTCCGCCACTTAGGTGTTGTGGGAGAGTGCAACGTGCAGTATGCATTGCAACCTGACGGGCTCGACTACCGTGTCATCGAAGTCAATGCACGTCTCTCTCGCTCATCTGCTCTTGCTTCAAAGGCTACTGGATATCCTCTCGCTTACACCGCTGCAAAAATTGGACTTGGCCATACTCTTCCTGAACTCCCAAACGCTGTCACCAAGACCACTACGGCAAATTTCGAACCTTCCTTGGACTACGTCGTTACAAAAATCCCACGATGGGATTTGGCCAAGTTCCAACACGTGAAGCGTGACATCGGAAGTGCCATGAAATCTGTTGGAGAGGTTATGGCTATTGGTCGAACATTCGAGGAATCCATTCAGAAGGCCATCCGTCAAGTCGATCCCCGGTTCGTTGGTTTCCAAGGAGACAAATTCGACGATCTGGACTACGAACTTGCGAACCCCACAGACCGTCGATGGCTGGCTGTTGGTCAAGCAATGCTGCACGAGGGTTATACTGTGGACCGCATCCATGATCTGAGCAAGATTGACAAGTGGTTCCTCTATAAGCTGCAGAATATTGTTGATTGTACCCATGAGCTTGAGGATGTTGGAAGTCTGTTCGGCATCAAGAAAGAACTCATGATGAAGGCCAAGAAGATGGGTTTCTCCGACCGCCAGATTGCTTCTCGCATCGGAAGCACAGAGGACGAGGTTCGTGCTCGTCGAAAGAATTTTGGAATCACTCCATTTGTCAAGAAGATCGATACTCTTGCTGCGGAGTTCCCCGCAAATACGAACTATTTGGTTCCTCTCCCATGTCCATTCCAACGAAAACTCATGCTGATATACCTAGTACACCACCTATAACGCAACCTCGCACGATGTAACTTTCGACGATCATGGCATCATCATTCTCGGCAGCGGAGTGTACCGCATTGGCAGCAGTGTCGAATTCGACTGGTGCGCTGTCAGCGCAACACTGGCACTAAAAGAAATGGGCAAGAAGACTGTCATGATCAACTACAATCCGTAAACACATGTTACCTAAAGTTTTCAACCACAATGCTAACTTCTTGCAGTGAAACCTATTCTACTGACTTTGACACTGCTGACAAACTCTATTTCGAAGAGCTCAGCTATGAGAGAGTTATGGACATCTATGAACTCGAAAGTGCAACCGGTGTCGTTGTTAGTGTCGGAGGCCAACTTCCTCAGCTGATTGCTCTCCGACTCCAAGAAACAGGAGGTGCTAAGATCCTTGGTACTGACCCCCGGGATATCGATAAGGCCGAAGATAGACAAAAATTCTCCGAGATTCTCGATAGTATTGGTGTCGACCAGCCTGCCTGGAAGGAGCTCACTTCAGTCGCTGATGCCGAGGCTTTCGCGGATGAAGTTAGCTATCCTGTGCTAGTCAGACCGAGTTACGTTCTCTCTGGCGCTGCAATGACGGTCATTCGCAGCAAAGATGATCTCAAAGACAAGCTTGAGGCGGCCAGCAACGTTTCACCTGACCACCCTGTTGTTATCACTAAGTTCATCGAAGGCGCTCAAGAGATTGATGTTGATGCTGTGGCGTCAGACGGCAAACTCATCGTCCACGCTGTGAGTGAACACGTTGAGCAAGCTGGCGTACACTCAGGTGATGCTACCCTTGTGCTTCCTCCTGTTTCCCTGGATCAAACGACTATGGACCGTGTTAAGGAAATTGCCGTCAAGGTTGCCAAAGCCTGGAGCATTACTGGTCCGTTCAACATGCAAATTATCAAAGCTGATGATCCCAACGGTGCTCTCCCTGAGCTCAAGGTCATCGAGTGTAACTTGCGTGCTTCCCGTTCATTCCCATTCGTCAGCAAGGTCCTCGGTCTCAACTTTGTTGACGTTGCCACAAAAGCCCTCGTTGGCCGTAACGTTCCGGCGCCAACTGATCTCATGGCCATCAAGCGGGACTATCTCGCCACTAAAGTACCTCAATTCTCTTGGACTCGTCTCGCTGGTGCAGACCCCTTCCTAGGCGTCGAAATGTCCAGTACCGGTGAAATCGCCTGTTTCGGAAAGGATCTTGTGGAAGCATATTGGGCCTCTCTGCAATCAACCATGAACTTCCGTATGCCAGAACCAGGAGAGGGTCTTTTGTTTGGTGGAGACATCTCCAAAGACTCCCTGGTGAAAATCGTCGACTACCTCTCGCCACTTGGCTACAAGCTCTACGCTGCCGAAAAAGAAGTCAAACAATTCCTCGAATCTACCGCAAAGAGCAGTGTAAGTGTCGAGGTGATTGAGTTCCCCAAGGAAGACAAGAGGGCTTTACGAGAAGTCTTCCAAAAGTATGACATCCGTGGCGTCTTCAACTTGGCCCTCGCACGAGGAAAGACTGTTTTGGATGTCGACTACGTGATGCGTAGAAACGCTGTAGACTTTGGCGTGCCCCTTTTCATGGAACCCAAGGTATGTTTCCCATTCCCCTATAACTTCGATCCGTTCATTGACACTGCTGTGCTAGACCGCTGAGCTCTTCGCCCGCTGCATGAGCGAGAAGCTGCCCCGAAAAGAAGGCATTCCAGGAGAAGTCCGCAGATGGTCTGATTTCATTGGCGGTAAGCCATTGTAAATAATCGTACATTTGCAAGTGCTATCCCCAGGAGTTCTGCTGAGCTTCGGCCATATGCGTCAAAAGCAAAAACATATAGAGTTCGGAGGTATGAAATTTAAAAGCGCTGTTTCTGCAACCAAATACATGAGCTTTCGTGGAGGAGTGATTCACGTGATGGTTGTTTGAAAGAAGATCCATAGGGTTATCTCCGTGATTGTTTTGTACCATCTTGAGGCCCTTCTTGCTCATACCATGCACCACGCAATGCTCGCCATCCTTGTTCCTTTTCGACGCCTTGGATGCATTCCTCCACCCCAAGATCCAGCGCGAACCAGTATCTAACTGACATGACAACCCCCAAACCTAATTTTCGTCTATCATTCGAATCTCATATCAAAAGGGGGTCCTATATCCACGAGGAGCTGATCTCAGAACTATCTCAATCTAGCCTTACCCCGCCAACCCTCTTAGCAAGGCGTTCGGTGTTGCTGCCATCACCGTCATCCGGCGATGGCCGTTTGGGGGGTCTCTCACCAGTCGTTTGTAATATTGCAAGTAAAGTTGCCCAACCAGGTGTAGATAACAACTGATATCCATCAGCTAGATCATGCTGCGTGGCCACACGGCAGAGGAGTGCTTCCTCTTCCTGCAACAAGTTAGTATCACTCCCAGCAGTCGAAATTTATCAAAACCGAAGCCAATTACCTTGTTCAAGATACCCATGCCGTGGAGGAAGCAAAGTAAGTGGAAGTCGGAGACTGCAAGAACTCCTTCACTTGTCTTTCTGAGCTGTCCATCCTTGTCGACTCCAAGGCGATCAGAAACCGTCTTAAGCTCTTGATCTTGACCAAGAACTGCCCGATTTTCGACTGGGAAACCTGGTGCTTCGGCCATGAAAAGGGGTTTAGGGTCGCTGGGGAAGCCATGTGTCAATGTGACGAGGAGATATTCGACTGGGAAGGAAGGTTTTGCGTTCTCTTGGACACTTGCACCGTACTCGTTGATTCGTCGATAGAAAACCTCAGGGATGTACCGAGTGCGGCTCTCAGAGCCATCATCTTCTTCCTCATTGCGAACGAGCATCACCGTTGGGTCTGCAGAGGGCTCAACGATATCCGCCCTGACCATCTCCACCGCCGAATTGGATACTTGATACGCCGAGATAGTAATTTGACCCGACTCATCGCCAGATACCACACAAGTAACGAAATTTGAGCCAAATCTTCCGGTATCGCTCCATTTGGTAGGTTTCGGAAACTGCGATTGAAGTCGGGCAGCGAATGCGACCTCCAGCGATGACAGATAGTACGAGTCGATATGCCTCTTGCAAATAACAGATCCGTCACCAACGCCAGAATCTACCAGATCCGTCCAGATCACTCCGACTCTCTCCAAACCACATAGCCTAGCAACTTCATCCATTTCCTTTTCATTCTCCCATTCATTCAAAGTCACGCCATCAACTTCGCCGACTTGTGGTGGTTCATAGATGGCTTCGACAATGGCCTTCACACCTAGGGGAACTTCTGTATATTCGGTGTATCTGCCATAAAGGTATCCTAGTCGCTGCGCACCAGACGCCCGCCAGAACTGAAGGAGATTTTCGATGAGGCTAGGGGTCGCAAACTCGACGTGGTCGACCATACGGAACGGTTGTGGTTGTAATGTGATGGCACTCGGTTGACACTTCGTGCAGATTCCCTCCGGCCACTGTGGATGACCTGAAGGACAATCTCGTTTGACTCGGTAATAGGGTTCGGTCAGAGGTGGCATGAAGGAGCTTCCTAACTCGGGTTTATTTGTTGCCGAGTTGATCTTCCGTAAATGAGAATGGAAAGAGAGATTCTTGATCTTTCTCTCTTTCAAATAGTCTGCGTTGAATGGCTCCAAAGGCATGCAGTAATCGCACATGCCCTTCTCTCCATGCCTGCACATCTTGACGTCCCTTTTTCGGGGGATTTTGCCGTTCAGCTTGTCTAGTCTGTCATCCAGGGCGGATTGTTTAACCAGTTCCCACGGGTTCTTGATCTTTTCTGATGGTGAAGTCATTGGGGGCGGATCGATGGGTAAATCTTCGTTAGGGAGGATAGCATGGCCGTTAAGTCGATTTGTAGAGGAGAGAGGATGTGACGAAGTCGTAGTATCACCGTTCGAATTGCCATTCGAGAGTGAGTCAACATGCTTGTAGTTTATGAAAACCATGTCACCATGACTGCAAGTAGATTGTCAGAAAATGCCCGCATCTTTCTGCAGTGACTCAGGCTTACCCTAATCCTATTGCTGAAACCCTGTGTCTTGCTATTTCTTTCAGCAGTTTAATTTCTCCGCCGGCTGGCTGATTTGACAGAGTGAGGGTGTTGAAATCGACGGTGGCGGGCAGCACTTCTGATAGCTGCATATTGTCAATACAGGAACATCTTCTTCGAGGACCAGTGAAAGCAAACCTTTTCCCCGAGCCGAGCAAATGTATCTGCACGCTCAACTGTTATGCGCACCATCCCATCGGGACCTCGAAATCGGAGTAGCATGATTGTTCCTGACTTCAAATTCTGGCTTGAAAAGGGATGACTGATTGTAAATGTTAGAAGACCTCGAATTTGGATGTAGTAGTGGTTAAATTCAAAGGAGTGAATGGGTTGAAGGAATGGAGAAGGTGAAGGGCAAAGGGGACTGGGAGAAGTGCAGAGAAAGCTATCGAGAGCTCTCCTAGTTCGCAAGTCCAGGAATCACGCCCGCCTTACGTATGAGATCAGCCTTGCGGGTGCGGAATTAGGCGAATCTTTATGTCCACACCCCTTCATGGACTACTTGCAAACAAGAAGAACTTTAGAAGACGTTTATGAATGTGTTGGTTTCCATTCTCTCATACAAGTCTGGAATTTTTCTACTGATATTATTAGTGCTTTCCAATTATACAAAAATTTAGTATATCGACAACCGATCCATGATCCAGGGTGAATATCTCGCCGTCACGTGGAAGTGGAAGTGACGGCACGGGTTGCCAAAAGTCAATACTTGGCCTTAAGAGTTAGTTAAAGACCACCTCTCTACACAAAACGAATGTCTCTCCGCAACGCACCAACATAAATGATCCTGTCCCTCACTCAGATCCGGAGATTAGAAGTACACGGGAATCGAAATCCTCGGTATTGCACAGAAATCGGTTCATGATCAAAGTTGCGATTCTTGAAAGACCCCTCTGCCACGATGTTCGACATCGACTGGGTTGGACTTTCAGTCCCCTTTGCCTACATCGCCGTTCTCGTGGGCTCTTTGATTACATTTTCCTCCGTCTATAGGAAGCGAAAAGCAGGTCAGTAATTCCACGTCGGGGGCTACAGCGCCTCTGCTAACATTTGCAGCCCAATCTGCGACTCTTGCGCCATGGTTCCCACCGCACATGCAGCGCAACGTCTATCTTTCTCTGTTACATGAAGAGCCAGCAGAAGGTCAAGAGAAGGCGCCTAAAGTACCAGAAAGCCTGCTGCGTGCCGCTCTTTTGAGACGCGCCGTCGAAGACATCCACCGCATTATCCAGATCAGAAGCGCAAAGCAAGCATGCAGCACGCTTTTGCAACGCGGTAGCGTAGGCGACGACCTTTGGCAAAGATTTCAGAGAGCAGAGAAAGAAATGGAGGAGGAGCTAAGAGATGTGGTTATGGAGGTTTGTGGTGAAGAATCCAGATCCATGCTCTTATTCTAACGATGTCAGGCAAATGCTCTCTCCAATAATTGGGGTCAAACAATATTTCAGTCTGCAAATGAAATTGCAGCGAACACCGTCTTTCGGAAGCGGCTTGACGAGATCCAAGCACAGACAGAATCAGAAAAGGAGTGGTGGGAGAAACGGAGGGACTCGATCAAGAACGAATTTTTGAAAGAAATCGAATCTGAAGCATTGTCTACACCGGCCAAAACACAAGCAAGCAAGTTCAGTAGTGACGATGACGCTATCTTGGTTGACAGCCCTGTAGCCAACGAGAAGGGGAGCATCAGGAAGAAGAAGGGCAAAAAGTGAGCTTGATTAGTTTCGGGAACCAACTGTATTATGGTGCATTTTGAAGCGTTCCGCGGTACATCATGGCGTTTTGCTGAATAGGAGCTTTGCTCTGTAAGATATTTCGGTTAGAAGACCTTCGAAGAAGGAAGAGCTTCGACTTTCCACTGTGGATCCATCCCCGCAAGTATTTTCAGGTTTCATTTTTCCCTTGACGCCTTGAATATCCTCCTAGAACTCTCGGTGCATTACCCACAGAGAGAGCCTACCCTCGAGCCTTCGCTTTGTTCTCGCTTTCATTAAGTGTCTCAACGAGGACGGGGTCAACCGATTCATGGCTCGCTCGCGGACAAAGAGTGTTGAGCTACGAAATTAGAAACCAAATATGAAAATTCCAAAAGATTCTCGAGTGAGACAAAGCCATGACCGTCACCGCGCATAAAGAAAAGGATCACACAAAGGCCTCACAGCCCATACAAGAAGAGCCTGCGTTCACTTTTTTCCACGCTCTCGTAGCTTCAAGTCCGTCTAACTCTCATTCTATAATATACCAGGTTATCATTCACCGTCTCTACTTGCTGCTGGCAGCTGTTGCGATCATCTCATTCATACAATCACCATCCTCCTGAACGATAATATCGTTTTATCTGCATACCCATCATACCCAGGCTACACGCACCCAAGCCACACCGAAATCAAGCAATATGGAAGCTACAAGCTCAGCTCGCAATCCCGAATTCCAAAACAAGATCTCGCAGATGGCTCTTCGTCTCTCGCCCCTGGTCAGCATAACGACAGGAGATGTGCACCCTGCCTTCCCATCCACGCTGTTGAACTTCTGGCTTTTGACAGGCGAGCAATGTGATGAAATTGCACATTTCTATCACCAGCGAACGCCGTCAATTTACACGGTGCATTACCCGTGTCCCATTGTGTGGAGGACTAATGCGAGCCTTGAGGAAAAGAGGAGACGGATAGGTAGATTTATGGGACTGAGGGGGTGTGAGAGTCCGGTGAGAGTGCAGACTGAGGGCGAGATCATGAGAGAGGCCAGAGAGGCGCGAACTCGTGCTGAAGAACAAGAGATATTTCGGCAGAAGATGAGGTGGTATTAGGGCAGATGGGGATGTCATGTGCTTTTAGCCTGCATATTGAAGCTTGAGTTTCTAATCTTGATATATCCAATGGCAATTAGTGGATGACTCTTCGACGTGAGGTGATGTAGGGTGATTTACAAATTGATACGAGTAATTAGCCCTGGATCTTCCTTCACAAACCCTTCCATGCTACCTTTGCCAGATGGTCTGCCTTCTTCTTGCTCTGCTTGACCATACCCAACGACTTCAAATCCGCCAGACCTCTGTAGAACATGACAAGTGCAACCCGTTCATCACACTTCTGTTCCTCGCCACCGCCCAACATCTCAAAGAAAGCTGACCAAAGGTCAAATATGTTGATGAGTGACCCGGTTTCAAGGTACATCTGGTATAGTATCGCTGTTGCCGGGTGTGTTGAGGACAGCCCTTCGACGGACTCGCAGCAATCGCAGCTCAAGTAGCGGTATGGTGTGTGGAGAGCAAGCTCAATAGCCTCCCGAGGTCGTGGTGTGAAAATGCTCTTGTGAGGAACCGTCCAATCGTAAAGCCAAACTTCATTCAAAAACAGTTCCTGGGGATTCCCTGGTTGAGAGAAGCACTCCTGGAGCCGGCCCGTCAGACAGTCCACGAGTGCTGTGAATTCTTTGTCCTGCTCAGTGAGTGTCGAGTTCTCATAGCTCAGCTGTACTCTTTGAGCAATGACAGTCGTCCTCACTCCCTTGCTATGAATCGCGTAACTGCTCCGAATCGGGTTTCCAGTTTTAGCAGAATCCATCTCCAGGGCTGACACTTTTGAGTATATTCCAATTATTGCACCAAGGAGCTCATCCTCCTCATCTCCCCAGCCGACGAGATTCATTTCCGCGCTTCCATTCTCTATGCAATTTGAAAGAGCTTTGACAAAAGTTAACAAATCGTCAGGGTCCATCCGCTTGATTGAGTCAAGTACCCGTTTGACGAAGTCTGACTCGGCGAGAGCTCCTTGAAAAGCAGTCACGTAGAGCTCAATCTTATCAACAGGTTCTGGTGAAGAGGTTGACAGTAAAAACATAGCTCGTAGGAGTTGAGTAATCGACCTCTTCCTAGATTCTTGTGATTTCTCGATTTCCTGGATAAGGGCTTTGTCATCTTTGAGAAGGGTTTTAGCCCGCGTCAATTGCTCTCTTTTGATCAACACATCCACCATCATCTGAAAAGAAGGGAGCGTTTTAATGACTTCAAGGTGATGAGGTCGAAGGAGATTTGGAAGATTACGGCCAGTTAATGTATCATCACAGAGCCAGCTGAAAGGATTACCATAGAAGTGGCACATGTATGCGTACTTAACCGTTAGTATAGTTTGGTGGAAACACAGGTCGTAAGCTTACCTTCAGGGCTGCAATGAACGACTGAACACTCTGAATATGATCATGTTGCCTCTCCATCAGGCTAGAGACAAGCACACTTCCAAGTCTCAATGGTGCTTCAGACCCAGCAACAGCGCTTTGAAAAATTCTCTCCAGTAAACAACTACTCTGCTCGACATCAAATTGCACGCCATCGAGCAAGCGACTTGCTGATCTTGAAAGCCGTTCATGGAAAAGGTCCAACGATGTAGCGATACCAAAAAGCAGAACAAAGGGAATACGATCCATCCAAGAGCTTTTGAAGATTAGACACTACAACTTTGAGGGACAAGATTCTCCCTACCTGAAAAGGTTTATCAGCTCTGATATTAAATCAGAGTCGAAAGCTTCACTATCTTGGAAAGCAATAACCACTGCCAGACTGCCATGAGCCTTCACGTAGCCATGGAGGATTTCCAAGTCATAATTCAACAGTTTCCGGCCCTGCAGAGTCAGCTCAGATCGTCATAAGATTCCGTGATTGCATACGTCTTGATCAGAATAGAGACCTTTCTCATCGCCATCACCGGGTCTCTGGTTTGTTACATCTCGAATAAGCTGCTTAAGAACGGCTTTGAGATTTGAGGCATCATTAGATCTCAAAACAACGGTTGGCCCATTGATCTCTGTCTTTAGTCGGGTAGATAATTGCTTGAACAAGAGTGAGTGAGAAGAAATATTTGGTCCAGTAACAATGAACCCGGTAGGAACTCTTGCTGCAAAGCTTCTGATGGCCATCAGTAAAGCTACTCCTCCGAAAGGTCAGGGCATTTACCCAAGTTTTTTGGTACCATCCACAAATGCGGTGACTTCTCCGAGCGTATCCTCATTTGCTTCATCCAAGATAGACTGCAGAGCTGTCAATTATGGTCCTCGATATTGCCAGACCACAAATACCTGAATTTGCGCCTCTGTCTTTGCCCAGGCGCGCTCAAAGGTCTCCTGGCGCAAGGCTACGCATTCAGGGCTTTCCAGGCCATTCAAAAGAGTCTCGAACTTCAATGTGTGAACAGGCGCATTTCCTGAAACTAAAGCCTCCACCTTTGCAACCTTCCGTCTCTTCGCCGGTCGAGTTGAAGTATCGTCAGGGGCATTCGCAGGAGCGTATACATAAACTAGCTGTGCATAATTTCAATCGCTATCGTTCGCGCCAAGTGGGTTAATCGTACCTGGTGATCGAGGGCGTCAAAGCCATCGTGGCTGTGGATTTCTTCATTGTCGGACATTTGGACTGGAAAAGGGTGCCTTGATGGTTGTGGAGGTCGCGTCGAGCTCGCGGTTTTGGCGACTCTCGATGTCACCTCCCAAAAAAAAAACTTTTTGGTCGACTTGTCAATAAACTCAATAACGACACTTATGCCGCCGCCGCACCGCTTTCTGGCTTCCAGACTTCAAGGTTATGTGTGCAGAGCATGCCTCTCTAAATCACAGGTCACTCTACGACAACAGCCAATATGGTTGTCTCGAAATGCCACAGATGGCCGATGGCCTACAATATTGAAAGGGGCCAGCCAGCAAGTCGATCCGCAAGAACCAGAAATCAAATTGTTCGAACAGACGCCAGATGGCACGCGAGTGGAAGTTCATGCTGACCTTTTGAACGGAATCGAGGGCAAACTTCGGGGCTACGATGAGGAGAACGGCCACTCTATTGAAGAATTGGTCGGCCCTGTCGATTTCGAGAGCTTCCTAGATGGTGATGGCCAGCACTACTCATATGATCCTAAACTTCGCGAGTCTATGGACGCCATGACCAAGGAGACGGAGGAACTGGAAGCTCTGGTTGAAAAGCTGGAAAACATCGATTTCGGTACTTTGTCCGCCGAGGATCGAGCCAAACTTCGGGAGGAGCTCTTGCAGACTGCTACGACTGGTATATGACTCCATTCCTTTTTTATCGCAAAGCTCGTCACTAAATCTATCTATAGATGGATCCCCCACTGAAGGTATCCCTGAGGCGGCTCCATCTCCTGCACCTAGTTGCGAAAGTATTGCTCTATCTACAAGAGTTAACCTCGTTCCAATCCCTATCGAGCCGTTCGCGAAAGAACATCGCCCTCATATCGCAAGATTAAATCGGGCTTTAGTTCGCAATCGGAAGACAGCAGGGCGTGCCCTCGCGTCTCGTTCAATCAACAGAGATCCTGCGAAATATCTCTGGAAAACCTATTTGCTGTGTCGAAACGCTATGAGATCCTCCCCACACGCAATACCTCCACGACTCTGGGACATCCTCTGGGAGATGTTCAATACGGGTAATGGAAGCAACATGGATAGAATGCGGCGCATTAAGGTCATAGGAGAAGACATGAGGAGCGCCGGTATCCACCTAAGCTCTCCTCGAATGCTGCTGTATTTGGAGTCTATATTTATTTCTGGTGACAGAAATATTGCTTTCAAGGAATGGGAAGCTATTGGATATTTGCCAAAAGACCAAATACCCTTCAAAGAATATTATGAACTTGGTATTCGGATGTTCTGTCAAGTTGGCAATGTCGAACAAGCCTTGCGAGTTGCGGAAATATGTCTACACCGCAGCCAGGACCCGAGCCGCTTTCGGGTACTCCTTCCGGTCATTCAGACATATCTGAATTTGAAAGGAGAATATTCGGTCCAACGTGCTTGGGCCTTGTACATCCGGATGAATTTCCATTTTGGCCCTCAGATGACAATGGAAGATTACGATGCAGTTATAGATATTTTCATTACTGCTAATCAGCTGGACCTTGCATTAGGTGTTTTTAAGGACATGATGCTCACTGGGAGCACATCTGCAGCTGAGCAGAATTCGACAGCACAGTATCGAAAGGTTGTGGGTGTGGATCAATTGAGCGAAGTCGCCATTCAGAATCGCGAATTGAATTGGGAAGATCCTCGAGCACTTGTTAATCTCCCAGCTCAATTCAACAACAGGTTCTTCTTTGGTAGCTGGATTAAGAAGCTCATTGGCGATCAACGACTTGACGCCGCCAAGCAAGTCTTTGACCTTATGCAAACACGTCGAATTAAGCCAGATAGCAGACACATGAACGGACTGATCGGCGCCTGGTTCCGACACGGGTACGAGAGAAGTCAAAATTTGGCAGAAGATATGGCGTGGAGGATGATTCGTACAAGACTCGACTTCGTCAAAGCCCGCAATGCAGCTGCAGCATACGATCTCGAAAATTCTACTAGGGTGGTCGAAACACGCGATCTGCCAAGCAGCAAACCTCTTGTCTTTATCCCATCCGCCACAATAGAGACGTTCGCGATTCTCATAACGGAATACCGGCGGCGAGAGAAACCAGCTCTTATTTCTGATCTTTTAGATGCGCTGAGACATGCTCGGATCCGGCCAAATCCGTTTTTTATGAATGAGTTACTATTGTGGCACGGCCGGATTCACCGCACAGGCTGGGCATGGGATACTTACTACTCTTTGTCGAGGGAATTTGGTGTTCAGCCCGACTTCAAAACATATCAGATCCTCTGGAGGCTTTTGAAGAGCGCACTCGATCCTGTCAGAACGTCATCCTCTAAGCAACAGCCAGAATCCTTCATTACCTGCAGAAAACTTTTTGCTGACATGATGGAACGAGGAGGCAAAGAAGACCTTCCTCAAGAAGTATACGATTTGATTATTTTGAGTTTCAGTCAGGCGTTCGACCAGACCGGGACGGCAGTAGCTTTGCGGGCACTGCAACAACGCTTCGGCATGTATCCTACTGGGCAGACAACCCAAACCATCGTGTTGCAATTGGCCCGACTTGGCCTTACGGACGATGGTGGAATTAAACCAAAGCGTCTCAATCTACAGTCACCTTTTACTCGAGAAAGAATCGCCAACGTGATGACGATTTTAGAGAAGTTCAGGGAGCAGCGAGTCGAGGTCTTGTCCCAGCAGGGAATTGCGTTTGACGAGCTGCAAGGCGATGCTAAAGCGGAGGAGATGTTGCTCTTACTGTCAGACCTGCTCCGGTATGTGGCTGACGCGAGGCTTACAGGAGAACAAAGGCATAATTACAATGCCGCTATAGCTTCTAAGACCGCTGCTGAAGAGATGGGGGTGCCTGACTGTGCGCCGTGGGTGGCTTACAATCAGGGTGAAATAGAGGTCGTGTAGTGTTAATAGAAATCTCCGAACAATGTACACCTTGAGAGCATTCTTAGTACTAGAAAGCAAATGGGTATCATTCCTATCAACGCCAGTGATATGTCAATCATGTTCTTCCTCATTCAGACCAGGACAACCCTCCATCTCCTTGTCTGGATATGTGTATTTACACCAGAAACAGTAGTTACATTCTTCCCTCAGGTATCTCACCAGTTTCTCGAGCCGATCTGCCGGGTCCAAGGCGTTGAATTCATCCAGCTCGGGGTCCTCTTCGTCTAAATCTTCCACGAGAGTGTGTTGTATATGGTCTTTGCCAAGAGCCTTTCTGTCATCTCTATCTTCATCCGCATCATCGTAGCTGGGCAGCCGTGACAAGCTTTGCTGTAAGTCATAACGCATTCTTCGGTCTCTCTCTTTTTCTTCCCTTTTGCGAACCACGCCTCGCCACAAAACGTTGATGTGTTTCAACGGCACGGTCGAAATTTTCCGCTTCGTGGAACCATCTTCGGCCCCCAGCTTCTCCGCACTCTCCTCTTCCATTTCTGCATCCAGGCGTTCAGCGACTCTCATTGCGGCACCGACCTGGCCTTCAAGCCTAACCTTCTCTATGTCTTTTCTTAGGCGTTCTCTGTATTCTCCTTCCACTGCCTTAACCCGCTTCCCCTCCTTCTCAACCTCCTCTCTGAACTTCCGTTTCTTCTCCGAATCTAGTCCAATGCCTCCCCGATCCTCTTTCATAGATATGGCAATCGGTTCTGTCCTCGCTCCAGGGTTATCCTTGCTTCCCAGTGCAACACCAGGCTTGAATCCCATCTTTGCCATCATAGCCAAACCTTTATTCGTAGAGGTTGTTGCGGGGTCTCTGAAGAGGGATCTTGAGAGAGCGGCTTCCCGAGCTGCAGCTTCGTCTGCTGCTTGTTCCGCCTTTGATTTGACGCGGCCTCGAGCCTCGGCTTCGCGCTCTTTGCGCAGTCGTCGTTGCGTATACGTTTCCTTCTCTCGTGGCTTCGTAGGTTCGGCAATCACCATGTTCATGTAGTCTTCCTCCTCGTCCTCGGGACCATTGCTGGGCGGAAGGTCATGCGTAGGCATTGTCGCAATAAAATGGCTTATTGGGTAACCTTGCTGTGATTTTACTACGTGTTTTTAGAAAAAAGTTAACCTTTTGAATGTTCATGACGTTGGGGCTCACGTGTCGGAAAGGTGAATTTTTGCCGTTTTTCGCCAATCGTCGTAAGTAATGAAATAAGGAAAAATTCCTTTCAAACATGCCAAACTCCAGTGACGCGTAAGTCGTTCGTCACTGCCTGTGATTACAATCAGAGGCTAATTTGAGCATTAGAGTGGTTAGCGTGTCGTTCTTATATTATTCGGGCAACTGATTAATATGATTCTTTCAAAGAGATGCGAAAGGTACTTTGTTTGAAATGCCTTTTTCTTAAAACAAATGCTGACCATTGCAGTCGTGGGTTCGACACCCGTAAGGAACCAGTTCCCAATTGTTGAAAATAACAAAATTGACCAAAGTAGACCTGGAGTAAACCGCCAATTTTAATTCACTTTTTTTTTTTTTTTTTTTTTTTTGGGGAGGGGCAAGGAGGGGTTTTAGATTATGTTATCCTTTATAATCTTTTTATCTAGGTCCTTCTCTCTTTTTTTCAGAAGGGTGGAAAGGGGGGCGATTAGTAAGGGAGCTTGTTAGAGGGTCCAGTAAAATCAGCGATTATTAAAAAATCACCTTACAAGTTATATATAATATAAAGTCAAGTATAGATTATTTATAATAAAACTTAATACTGACAAAGATAAGCTTTGAAATTCTAGTCTCAAAGAATCTCTGGCTCTGGAGTGTTGTATTGTCGGAATTTGAAATAAGGGTGTATTGCTTGTTTTCTCGATTTTCGCTTATCGCGAAGCTGGCTTTATTTCCTTGCCTCCCACGCGCCTCCGGTTAGTCGTGATACACCAAAATCAGTGTCGGAAATCAACGTTTTCTATAATAACTTCCATAACAATGACAATTGAATTTTTACAATTTTATAGAGGATAATTCTATAGACTGCGCATTATTTGATATTATTTCTTAAGGGAACTTATCTGTGCTGGCTATTAAAGAAATTAATCGGGGGTTTGATTTTCAGGCTTGATTCGCTAACAAATTTGGCGGGTGTGTATCACGACTAAGCGGAGGCGCGTGCCTCCTTCCTCATGCGATTTCACGGAATAATAAGTCGTGATTTGCAGGTTTGTAATGTGTAATTGGCTAAATTTAATGCTTCCTTCAGTATACAATGTGTGTTATACTCCTTGCAGAGCCTGTGCAAGATATTCCCACTATACATTCCCTTTTGCAAGATCAAACAATTCCTCCTCGCGGGGTCCTGTGTACGCCTCGATGCGCAATCAAAAATTGACGACTCAGGGGCAATACAACTGCCATCGTGTCCAGCGCGCCCGCCTCCGGTCTAGTTGAAACATACCTTGAGCCGCTAAACTCTTGCTCAAGTTCTCGAGTGGGTTCATCCCGCTGGCAGCAGGACGACTTTGCCTCGTTCTTGGAGGGGCTGCTCTCAGTTCCCATTTGGCGTTTTAAATCATCTTCGCTAACCCTAAAATCATCCCAATTGAGGGAGTTGAGACGTCGTGCTCTTTGTTACATCGAACTGCCATCCATCGCGGTTATGGAAAGAACCGACTTCGGACAGTCGATAATGAGGATAGAAGGCATGCCGAATCTCTTCTTAAACAGGTCAAGAGAATTATAAATAGAAAAGCCTTTTCAATCGAAAAGGAAAATCGAGATGTCCCAAACAGGAGTGTCAGGACTAAGGAGGAGATCCACCCCGCAACCCCTCGCTCAAAAGAGAATAGGAGCTTCAAGTCTCTGAACCCCAACTCAAGCAAATATTCGTAATTTACTTCGCTGATGAGGAAGTAATCCGGACCACCCGCTTCAACAAGTGTCCCGAACTAACAGCACGGCTCACAAATCCAAATCCGGGCTCCCATCCCCAAACACCGAACCCCTGCGACTCGAAGACCAACACGCCGATGCAGACTCTCTCACTGCTTTGCGAACCCTGCCGACCCCAGAACCCTAAACAAAACTCTATTTTGTTTCGAGAACACGGCTGTGCGTAACTTTCGTGGCATTGGGTGCGGGGACAGGGGCAAGGGGCCAAAACAGTTGGATTTGTTTCCGAAGCGTCGAAACTGTCTGTGTTTCCTCGCAAACTATAAATGTTCTCGGTGCCGTTGCCGAAGAGCTATAAACCGATATTTCGACGACTGCCAAACTGGACGGCGTTCGGACCTGTAGCCCCTTCCGATTTGGAACTCTGACACACCCTTTCCCACCCGTTGCGGCTGGCAGTGGGCCGGCAAGGAAACTGGGCTTGGTTTTGAAGTTTTGTATTTTCGTTCTTGTGAGACTTTTGTAACTCTTGATTACCAACACTGATAACTACAGTAGACTTTTCCAAGCCAAGCCAAGTCAGCTTTCCCCTTTCGACACGAGCCCAAATCTAGTAGTAGTCGATACACAATGCCTTCCCTTCATACAATGAGCGGCTCGAGACCCACTGTCTATGGTTCTCCCGTTCTGTCTGTCATGCGTCCCTGCGTGCTTTGCATCTACAGAAGTCTTTCATTATTCTTCCCATACCCTATCCGTGACGCCAGAAGCCAGAGCCTTATACACCTTGATAAATCCGTAGATAAAATATAGACACAAGAAAGGCCGAAGTGCGAGCAAGTAAAGAAGGTAACCCCCCAAAACAAGACGAAGGATCATATCTTATTCATCGAAAGAGGATCCATCCCAGGGTATGCGAAATTTCTCGCCTGGCTGGCTCTCGGGTCCCAGGTCTGGCCTCCTTGTGGAGGTTTGGGATTCGAGAATGATCTCGCGGGTGACTTGTATCGAGCCTCTCGCCCGAAGTAATCTGGAGTTTCTCGGCCGCTCCTTTGGGTGGGCGATAAAGGCGTGATGGGTTGAGAAACAAATGGCTCGGGGGTCTTGCCCTGGTCTCGTTCCCTGCTGAGCATCTCGTAGGAACTCGGATCCTTAAATGTTCTGACATCTGCGCTGACGAATTCGTTGTTTGGTTTCACCTTGCCCATGACCATCTCATACCAGCCGGTGAACATAGACCACCGACCGAGTAGCAATAAGCACCAGATGCCATTAAACTGGGACCTGTCAGCGGGAAGAAAATTGCTTTCAAGAGCAAATAACATACCGAGAGCAAGACAAGAACTGCCATGACTGTAGCTATGTTTATCCGAAGCGAAGTGGCAAAGTCCAAGCACTTGTTCTTATCTCCCTTTGACTCAATCAAGCACAACAGCCAACTCTGGGCTTTCGTGGGGTCCTTTTGAAGATTTGACTCCGTATTATCCATAAACACGAAAATGACCGAGAAGAAGATGACGTCCGCTATGATTATTAGGACAATTGCAATACCTCTCCACTGGAGTTCGATGACCCTTCGTACTCTGCGATATGCCTGTCGAGGTGAGATGGTCCCTCGAATACTGTTGGTGTATGAAGGTAAGCCAGAACTTTCCGTGGTCGCTGAATCATCAGCGAGAGATGCCAAGTAGACCTTGATGCAGTAGCCGAAGGTCGCAAACTGAATCACAACTGTGACGCCCGCGAATATTAGGAGCGGGATCCAGAAATCCGACAGACTGTTGTCGTGATTGATGTGGCATGTGTCGCCAAAACGGAAAGAGACACCGCTGAACACCAAGGAGACAACCAAGACAATAGCAGGAATTCCCCAGCCGGCGGCCAAAGCACCCCACATGAAAGTGTTTCCAATTACCACCTGCCAACAGATCTGCAGGTGGAGCGCCAACGCCCTCAAGAATACCCACATCACACCACACCAGCCTCCCGCCATCAAGAAAGCGCCAGAAAGGGCGCAGGTAGTGCTGGAGCTCATATCATTCGGGGTGATGGCATTGAAGCATTGCTTAGGCTTCGCACCGAGGGGAATTATGAAGCCGAGCTTTCAATGAAAGTTAGTGAGCGCAGTATGCAGATAGGATTTTCCGATTACTTACCTCGAGCATAATTGTTGCGATTGCTAAACAAACACTCAAATAATGTCGATGAGTCTTGCCAACGGGTAAGAAAGCAAAAGAAACGAGCAAAAACACCGAGCAAGCCATCCCAGGAACATTTAGCCAGCTAGCTGACTGTGTCATTGTGTCGAAGTTGTCTGGATATAACCATTCTGTTTGGGGACATGGGAGGCAACATGTAATATCCCCGACAGTGGAGCAGAATCTTCCTGAAGTGACTAAAACGTTTGTCAGTTGAATAGTTCCAAATTGAGTGGAATTTGACGGTTCAACGAGTCAAAATTCTGTGAGGATAACTTACAACCACCAGAAGAAGGAAACAGGCTGGCATCTAGAAAGGGAGTTGGGCAAGCACCCTGACCAACCACAGAAGAGTTTGACATTTTCGGATGTGTACGCGGTATTTCAACAGATGGAGAATATACGGAAGTCCCACGATCAGGCAAAATAAGAGTGTTTTCAAGTGCAATGTAACGCGGCTGATAGTCGAATTCCACCCGGAGTAGGGCTTCTTGTTTTGAACTTCGAGGTAAGACAGATTGGAATTTTGTGTACTGGATATCTGAGTCGCTGTGTTTCGACGCTATGTGGTGCGTAGGCCCGTGGGGAAAGAGTGTAGTTTCATGAGGCCATTGCCACTCAGTGGAGGGTCCGGACGTCGAAAAAAAGGCTGCTGAACGCGGAGACTCATTCAACGTGACGGGGAGAAGGGGGACGATAAATGAGATATCAAGGACCGCTGGAGTAGGGCTCAAGAAAGAGGTTACTGCATCTCTGATATTGCTGGGGAAAAGCCACCCAGCGTGGGCAATGGGGCATGAACAGAGACCCTCATCGAGTGGGGCAAGGAAAGTGGAATCGAGAGATGCATGGAAGGGGACGCGAAAGAGCGCCAGGGGCCTCCCCTGCCCCTTCACGCGTGAGGGCCACTCGAGGGTCGCTTGAGGGCCGCTTGAGGACTCATCGGGTCAGAAGCAGGGACTGATTGGGGAGAGGCCAGAGGCCAACGGCTGCCCGCCCACCACTTGGCTTCGGAGGTTGAGGCAAGAAGAAGCAGGATGGAGGGAGCTAGTGCCAGGGCTGGGCCAGCAACCACTGAAAAGCGTGCGTGGTACTGAGCGTGGTACTGAGCGTGCTACTGTGCGTGCTAGCGTGGCTGCACCACCGATTCTTCTGGGTCCAGGGGGGGAGGAAATTCGTCTTTCATGGGAGAGTGAGGGGCCAGAAGCGAGAGTTCTGCATGTTGCTGGCGATCGAACGGGAGGCCCCTGGCGCCGGACTGCTTGCTTGCTGTACGTACTACGTACGCTGTACGGAGTACAAGGACGCAGTACTGTACAGGATACGGCGTAATGACACGGGAGCACGGTGAAAGGCCGAAAGACGAGCGGTCGCTGCCAGGCGCCATTCTAGGCCGTGGCCTTTCTGGGCAAAGCGTGGCGCAGGCGAGGCGCCGAGGGGGGTGGCGCCGAGTGGGGGGAGTGGAATCAGTGGATACAATGCTCCCTGCACTTTGCACTTCGCACTTGCACGCCACATACGCGACGACGCCGCCGTCCTGGGAACCATGTTCCTCCTGGTGAAGCAGTGGTGCCCCAAGCAGTGGGAAGCCCCAGTAGTGGTTCACTTCCGTTGCGAGGCCACAGGCCGTTACTTGGAGGCTCCGTGCTGCGGCGCCGGCCCGCCACCAGGACTCGCGTGTCCTCCGTACGGATCCGTATCGGAGTTCAGCGATGCAGCTTTTCGGATGCGATGCGCAGCTGCGGGCAGTTGGGAAGTTGGCTTCCCAGGGCTGAGTTGAGCAGTCTGTTGCCCTGGCCCCCAGCGGGGACAAGAGAGAGTCGAAAGCCTGAGTGAGTGAAGCGTGAGTTTGCCTCGCGTATTTGCGCGTCGAATCAGAACCACCGTTCTGCATGCTCGCTCTTGCTCGCTCCTGCTCGCTCCTGCTCTTGGTGCAAATGCTTACTTGAGTACTGCCTAGTCGGGCAAGCCGTGCACTAGTCTCTCGGCAAGCACCCCCGGTCCCGTCGGCTAGTTGTAAGCGGTGCCCCTGACGGCCTGACCTGACCTGACCGGACCTGGCCTGGCCTGGCCTGACAGTAACCTGACGCCCCTTGTCCCTCTCCGGTCTGCACTTGCAGTTGCAGTTGAGTCCCACTCTCCCCAACCAACAAAGTTGAAAACAACCACAAGACACCCAGAATCGCCGACTCGCCGACTCGCCGACTCGCAGCGGACAAGCCCTCGCTCGCTCTCGCCCTGGAGTCTTCACTAAGTTTGCTGCTGGGCCGGGCTGCACTGGATGGCGCTGGAAAACCTAATGGTCACGACAAGTCCTTCCTCTTCGCTCCAAATCACGAGTTGGAGTCTTGCAGGTATCGGGAAGGTCGGCGGACACCATATCCCATGGTCCAGGAACCTGTGACCAATCAGAAAGCTCAGAACCAGCCCACCACTGATGTCCTCCAGAATTGCCCGATGCGGCCCTTTACGCCCTTCCATCCCCCCACCGTCCTTGCGCACCCGCTGTGCCTTTGCTGTCCCACGCCGCGGATGGTGAGGAAGATTCGGTGCATGGAACGCCCAACCTCCTGGGAAACCGATACAACTCTGTTTTGGGCCTCATGCCGCGTTGCATTATCTGGTCTGTACCTCCGTGATCCGTGCCTCCTGTGAGACACTGATTCCGGAACATGATTCATATCCTCAACGCTGCCACGCTTCAACAAGGACTCTAAGAAGCTGCCGGCCGGTGGCACGAGGTGCCGGTGCAGCTCAACGGGGATTAGACCCCCAGATATCAACGGCCTGCCGAACTTTCACGGAAGTCCCGACGATTGCTCTTTGAGCGATTGGTGATATTTATCGAATAGGGTGTCCAGCTTAAGCGCAGGTCACTTGAGCACAACACAGGCTGAGTTGAGCGTTTCATTGGGTTTTCGTCGACCTCTCACAGAGAGAAGCAGCCTTGCTTCTAGGTTGAGGCATGGCGGGGCAAGGCTGGCTGGGCTTGAGCGGCTGGTCCCTCCGTTTCTGCGCCCAGCGCTGCCCCTGTGTTGTGAGGGCGCAGTTGAGACTTTGAACGATTATGCCTTGGTGGTTGCGCATACTGGCTATATTTGCCTCTCTTTGCACCAACATGTTGAGACGAACGCAGGATCTTACGGATAGGCCGTTATGGATCCCCACCGGCGCTGTTGCGCAGCATTTGCAGTCGCACGTGGAAGGTTTCACCACATCAGAGCTGCGTCGGCTGGAAACCCCAACGACATGGCGTTTCGGGGGCTTTCACGATGTTCAGCACCACGACATGATGACTGTCGATCTGCCGCCATGGCGTAAATCCCTCGCGTGGCGGGGGAGGTTCTCTAAGGTGCGAAGCCAATCAGCTTCGGAATACAGTATTATCAACCAACGACCGACACATTTTGTGGATTGGGGATCTCAGCGGCAAGCTTACAGCGATAACAGCATCCGTCATGTTCTCGGTCGACGGCTCGACTTTTCGCATTTCCAAATCTTGCTCAGGTGACAGACTTCCTGGAGCATTGTGGAACGATTCAACAATGCTTTCACCCCAGGAATGCCAGGTTGACCAATGGATTGAATATTGATATCACCAAAGCTGAAACAGCATTGCCGCGATTTGCCTTCGCCGGTCTGGGCTGCAAGAATGATCTGGTTTGCAGTGTTGGTTCGGGAATTCTCTCCGATTCGTTAGGCGATTTTGAAGTTGCATTGAGGGGTTGCAGATGGCACATTCCTGGTCCAATTCATGATCATCATAAGGCTGTCCATATCCCTACCCAACACGAGGCTGAAGCTATCGCAAAGTCCTGATCTCATCACCAACACAAATCGCCCCTGCTGTATGCCAGGACTCTTTCTGTCAACTATGGTCGAAGAAGATCTTATGAAACTGCTTCTAGTTTACAAGCAGAATTACTGGTCCTTAGTATGGTTTTCGAAACCTCTCACAGGTGGACTCAGGCGAATTAATCACCACGACGGCTTCGTTCATCCCACCTGCAACGAAGGCAGCGAAAACAAAAGCGTCAATTTCCGGTTCAACTCCATTCCGAATATCCCAGACAGCTAGCAGAACCCCGCACTAGATGGTGTTGCAGGTGCTTGGGGAAGACCCGTCACTACCACAACCCAGCGGGGTTTCATGCTGCACATCCTGAAAGCCTGGCCTTCCTTGGTTTGCGTCAACCTACTCTGTCTGGACAGGGGTTTACACATTTCACAGATTGCAGGACGGGGAATAGCCCATGCAATATAATATGCTCTCTCTGGTCGTCTCAACCAGTGGCAGTGAAGCATAGTCTCCTGCTTCTACGATCGACGGCTGACATGACATGGCCGATCATGTCGTGACCAGAATTGCTGTAACCTTTGACCTCCTGGATCAACCTTTCAAGGTTCCCAGAGAGTTAGGATCCCGACAACTTTGCTGCACGGCGGGCCTCATCACGCACAGACAAAGCTCTGAGCGCAGCAACCCTGGTCTTTGTGAAATGACGAAGCATTCTTAAAGCCATGACCGGAGTTCTCTCCCACATGAGAGTAGCTAAAAAATCCGAAGCACCCCAACTCGATTGGGGAGATCCCCTGGTTGTCCGCGCAACCAAAGTTTTTTGTAACTTTCTGGAAGGAAATATCCTCCAGCTTCGAAGAATATCGAGATATGGAATTCCTTCTGGCTGTCAGCATCCTTCCTGGAAACGTTACGTTTGGACATGACTTTTAAGTTTTAAAATGTATCTGCGACCATTCAGCAGCCAAATCCGGAAGCCCCTTTCCACCAGGGCTCCGTTGTGCTGACAGGCACTACCGATATTGAATAAGACGCCAAATTTATCGAATGTCAGCCAAGCTGCTTCGCTTCCAACGGGTTTCTTTACCGCGTTGCCCCTTTTGCAATGCGTCCCAGTTCCCAATCCCGCACGATTCTCAACTGTAAGCTGACCCGCGACGCGTTGCTCTCGTTGGGAACTATCGATATCGCGTTTTGCAAGAACCCAAAGGGTCACATCCAACAAGGATATTTCGCATTTTGAGCCTATGTAATTTACAAAGTTAGTAGTGATCGTCTGGCCTGCACGAGTCTCCAACACAAAATGGTGGATGTGCGGCTGACATTGCATGACTGACATTTTCAAGTTTACATGCGGCCAGTCGCACGTAGATTTTGGGTTTCGCCCGCAAGTCGTCCCAGCCTTCGGAAGCAATCCTGTCTCTCGTGTGTCCAGAACTCGAGCAGCGCACAAACTCTCGAGCGGATTATTGGCTGCAACGTAACTTCTCCAACCACAAATCCGTTTCTCTGCAAGGTCCTTCAGATGGTTTTATGCACGGCTGCACTCTGCATCTTCCGCGCTGTCAAGTATGGTTCAATGCCGGATGTCTTTCCCAGAACGACCAGTGTCCGCCGAGCCGTGCCAGCCCTGTATAAACGTCTCCCTGCCAAAATTTGTCACTGCGACTGAGTGCAGAGTGCAGAACCCAAAAAAGCCCAGAAGAACACACAGCAAAACATCCCACGTCCCCTCCTTGCCTTTTGTATTTTTGACGATGAGATTTGAGGACGCCTTGAAATCTCCAAAAATAGACGACCAGATTTTTGGGAAGTTCGGATTCATCCTTATCTATCTGTAGACTGTCACAGAGACAGATCCGCAAGGAACCAGCTGCCTCATTTGTTCATCTGAAATGTCTATTATTGGGGTCTGCATCGTTTCACAATTTTATTTTACATCCAGTCTCGATCTCCCCCACCCCCTCTCCGGCGCCCCGCCCCGCATACCTTAACGTCGAGGCAGATCTTGATTGGTCAGTTGTTGCGACTCTGCCACTCAGTGCAGCATCCGCACATTGGCACCTGCATAAAAGCCCCAAGCCGAATTAATCAAAAGGCACGACTCGGCAGCCCAACGTCATGCATAACTTTGTGTGCCGGTCACCGAGACCGAAGGCGCGCCGTTGAACTCTAGTTCATCCCCTCCACGATTTCCTCAACTTTCACAAGCTCATCCCAAGGTTGCTACCGAGGCCTCGCGGTTTCCCCAGATTACATCCCTATCCATCTGATGATCTTCCATCAAGAAAGATCCAGAGTCAAGGTCTCCACGTTCTGAGGTCTTCCCGAAAACCGAATCCTTCCCTTTCCAAACTTTCCAACCTGTCAAGCGGATCGTCCCCGCGATTACTGTCCCCCACCACTTGCACTCCCCCTCCCCCTCGTTCTTAATCTCTGCTTTTATTCCCATTATTTCCGCGTAAAGCCACTTGCGGAATGGTGTCAAGGTGACATGGTCGCGGGGAGAAGGTCCGAATAAGGTCCTCTTCCTAGTTTCTCGACAGTCAAAATACCGGGTCCGGGGGTTCTCGCACGTGTCAATCCCGGGCTTATGTGCTGACCAGGAGGAGGAATTGCGTTCAATAATTCCTGTGACGTGCATCAAGGTGGCTTAAGAGGTGTTTATGCCTTTTATGCTGGGTACGTTTGGTAGCTGTTGGCGGCGAAGACTGAATATGGACTGACGATACCGTCGGACGAACTTGTGGGGCCTCGGAGCACGGATTAATGTTGGTTGGTGGTCCTGAGGGAGAGTTAAGCCCCATAAGTCATGCCTGTGGGACGCCAATTTACCTGTCAGATCCTTCCCAAGGCTCTGGCATCCCCCGAAGCAGCGCCTCATAGGGGAAATCCACGTGGAAATTTACTTTTCTAGGCCTCCCCCCTTTTCTCCCGCATCATTTACAAAATCCCTTGTCCATACTTCTCGTCAGCGCTGCTCTGCAGATTGCAAGTATTGGCAATCTCATAAATTTCCCCTTTTCCTGTTTTCCCGTGATCGTCTTCATGGTTTTCTTGGACCCCCCTGTGCCCCTTGCCCAGCCCCAAGCTCTTATTTCTGCAATACAAAGCCCCATGCTCTTCCTGGACATTTCATATAGAGATCTGCATGACGATAACCCTATTTTTATGATCCAAGCAACTGCTTTTGCTTGGTGGACGTCGATATTTAGTCTCCAATTGGCACCGACGGTGGAGCGCCCCGCCGCAAAATGACCTGGGCCCTCTCCACAGTACAGCGATTTCCTCAACCATCTCTAAGATCGACGGCGATGTGGAGAAGCTGACGATCTTCTGCTTGTGCATTCTCCGGGGGGGTTGGGAAGGTGCTAAGGTCTGTGGTTCTCATGTCCTTCCGTATCTGGGCTGCAACTCCGAGGTACACTTTGGGTAACGAGATCAGTTGAGCCGACTTGCAGATCAAAGGAGACATCATTATCCCATTCTCCGGCTGCTCTGTCTATTTTTGGTTAAGACAACACGACTTCCTCGCAGTTGATTGTCACCGAGCAGTGGATTTAGATAGTCTCCTCGTAGTGGAGACGGTGGGTTTGTGTTCTTAGCAGGAAGTCCTGACTGTCATACGGTCATCTCAAAAGTTAGAACGACGATGCTATTTATTACGGTGAAGTATTGTTCCAAGATCTAGGTCGAGGTCAGAGATCTTTTTGGCCGCTGCCACTGCTGTTGTTTTTGAATATTCTACCACGCAAACTAGTCTATTAGATACGGTTCTCAACCTGGTCGCTATTCTTTATCCAAATTCGAGGATTCCAACAACATCAAGTCAATACAGCTAGCTCCCAGCATCTGAAATGGTGACAATGATAGCTAGAAAGGGCTGGTAGTAATTGATGTGAGCTTTAGCAACGAAGCGAAGCGTCCATCCAAAGTCTTGGGTTTAGTTGACCGGCTCTCGAATTGCTAGCCATATAGCCTTCCTTTCCTAGTTTAATGTCACCTGTAAATCGCGTTTCAAATTTGTCTTCATATGTTAGAAGGTTGCATTTGTTGATGCCCATAAAGGCTTCCCGATTTGCCCTAGTTCGCTATCAGCGATGGAGGTCTGCGATTTAATTGTCTTCATCGGCTGACGACTCTTACTCCATGAAGATGCGAGTACGCTCGGAACCCAGTTTACGATGGCGTGTTGTTGTTGGTGGATATCTTTAACCCAACAATGCTGCCCGGTGATAGCTTCTGAGCCGTGTCCAAGCCCCATGGTAGACCCTGTGCCTAATATTATCCTTCAGCACTGTTGCAATCTAGCCCATGCTGTGTGAGTGCAATTCTCTTGGCTGGATTCGGAACAAGATGCCTGGGAAATCCCGTATTCAGTTTAAGCTTGGGAAGTAAGTGCAGTCACGATAGTGACGCGGAAGTCCGGCGCTGCTGCAGACACAGATCCTACATCTCTACAAACATGGATCCATCTTGGAGCAAGTGTGCAGCAACTAGCAGCTCCAATTCATCATGTTGTTCTTTTTTTTTTTGAGATCTTTGCAAGATCAGATGACGGTTCTAGCCGCTTCTCTGGCTAATCCGAACATTGAAAAAGGCCCCGCTTATGCCACGAGAAACTCAACGAGGGTCATGCTTGGCTGTCATTCGCTTCCGGTTGGGGAATGATGAAGTTCCAGGCTAGAATAAATTTCATGGATACCCTATCTTTTTGCTGTCGTGCCTGGGTACCTTCTTCTGGCTCGAGTGCATGCGCAGCTTGGCTAAGCAGACGGGAAAAGACAATATATGGGTGAACTAATTACATATGCAATTGGAGAAAGCTACCGAGTTGATTCAGGCCAGGTGAGCTCTCTCCGTTGACTATTATTGATTAGAGATTGGATGCGGTATTCTTCATTCTTGATTCCTCGAAAATTATGACATCGGGAAAGATGTGTTGAGGCTGGGATTCGAGGAGAAGCTTAAAAATGCAAATGAAAGACGAGGAAAGTCTTCCGCTGAACGAATGCTTTGGCGATTCGACCGTCGGGACCACTGGCTGCTTCATAGGGTATGACCAACTATCCGAAGTCCGCACAATTTCCTCTCCTGACGCAACGAGCATGTACTGGTAGAAGGCTATCTTGGAACCGGGACACGAGACTACTAATGCAGATTCGAATGAGTCAAAGATACCCAGGTGCCAAACACAATGATTTACCCTTTGGGAACTTATTTTCTATCCGAATGAAACGGACGGGGACATTGTAGATATTTCGTGTCCGTCTTTGACACCTTTGAAGACTGTTGACTTCGATTCGTATATTTTGGTCATCAAAATGACCTAGATGTATCAATATTCCCTCACTCAGCATCTACAACTCTGACCTCTCTCGCAACGGCATTACACAACTCAACCCTAATACCTGCCCCGGTGAGAACATGAATCCACAACCTCTGCGTATCACTCAACCTATCATTCTCACTCTTCACCTCCGAGAACACTACTTCTTTCTTCTCCGTATCCCACAAAAAGAGATCCGGCATACCACCTCCTCTCATTCTGTATTCCTGTGCCATGACTTTGCAAACAGTTGCTAGAGCCTGCCCGTCGAAGCAAGAGATGATCTCCAACAAGTCGTCGAGTTCGAAATCCCAATTCAGCCCAATAATACAGGTTCTTTTCTCTCTTTCTCTTTCGTCAACGGCACGAATAATGTCTGCTGCCGAGCCGTTCGCTATTTCCACTAAACGGTGATTGATCTCTGACGCCCGAGAGGGAAAGAAAGCATCGGTGTGCAGATCCAAAGGACATGTTTGATATGCGGTCTGGAAGACGTTCGGGATGTATACGAACAACACGTCGTAGAAGAGATAAGCAAATAAGGTGCGAATGATGCCACCTTCAGCGTGATACCCCTTGAATCCGCGGGAACGGTAGTCAGAGAGACACATGGCCTCAACACTGCATTCGCCTCCCCCTTCAGCTTCATCAACCCAGATAGTCTTCGTGCTGCGTTGTCTTTCCTCTCCTTGTGCACTTACACGTCTTTTGTTTGTAGGATACTCCTTTTTGAGTTGAATACCTTCAACAGTCACTTCGACGGGTTGAGAGAGCAAGACATGTCCGAAATCATGTTGTTCTCGTTTCGGGATCTTGAGATTCTTCTCCAGCTTGCGGATCCGCCTTTGGAGGTCGTAGTGGTATATCATGTGGCAGTCTTTGTCCTGCAGCCCTGCCTCGCAGGTTCGAAGTGAAATCCGCTTCCAGTGTCTCTTCTGCTGCTCGGGATCGGAAATTCCAGATGGCGGTTGTAGGTTGTACATGTAATGCTCCTCCAGAAGAGCTTTGCGCTGATACCAAGCTCCTCGCCGAGCGGCGTGAAACAGTTGCTGGTTAAGCAGTTCAGAGGTCACCTCGTGTTCGCGTTCATACATCTTGAACCGACCTAGGACATAAGTGCCTTTGTGAACAATTCGTGTGTACACCCAAGCTGGTGAGAATCGACGTAGGTACGCTCCCTCGCCACTTTCGTAGACTCGGTCTTCTTTGCGTTGCTCCTCTTTCAAGAGGACTTTCCATCGTGGGTAAACTTCGTCAAAGATAGATAAAACTTCCTCGAGACCCCCCTTTCCAGGATTACCATTAAACTCGAGGATATTGTCAACTTTAAATTGAGTTCTCAGCGCTGCTTCAAATTCTAGCAACTCAGATCGGGTTGGGAAGATATTGGCAGATCTCGAGACAATGTAATCTGGGAAATTTCGACGAGATATTCGGGCTAGTATAATGGTTGTCAAGGATTTGTCCGTCCATTCAGTAGACCGGTAGAAGACAAGATGAACTCGCTCGAAGAGCTTCAGAGTCGGCAGGGAAAGTCGGATACATGATCCTGTGCTAGCCATGATCTTCCTTACAAAATGCTTGTCTCTGTTCATGTCCGACATGGAGTCGTCTTCATCGTTTTCATTTCCACCAGATTCGGAAGCAACAGTGTGTTCACTGTCAGACCTTTTCAATCCAACCCAACCGAGTCCACTCTGATGTTGGCTCATTCGCCTTAGAGCTTTCAGTAATTCAGACTTGTTCTTCCCCTGGACCTTGGCTTCCTTGGCAATGGTCTTCAACTCTTCCAAATTAAGTAAAGACGATGCTTCCTCGAGTGAGGTGATCGTGCCTTCAGAGAAGTCGGCAAAGCTGAAGTTCGATTCAAGGACAGTTCCTTCAGGAGGAGCCAACTCTCCCGGGTTTGATTGAATGCCTGCAGAAGATTTTGGCAACTGTCGGACTGATTGAAGTACTTGAGCGGCAGCTGGAAGATCTGCAATATCACTATAATAACCCAGCCGATTGATACGGTGCCAAGCAGAAGTTTTTCTGAGAAATAAACGGACGTATCTTCTTTGTAAGCCAAATTCACGAGCAAGCTTTTAGAGACGTACAAATATTGAGCTTCATACTCTAGGGCTCTCCATTGGTTGAAGACTTCCATTTCCTTCTCATCGAATAAGTGTCCCTCGTCTTCTAGCACCGTTTCCAATGCCAGGTTGAAGGCATCAACATAGATTGAGCTCTTTCCCTTAGTCCAACTCCTTTGACTGAGACGAGATTTGAGGTCTTCTGGGACATCTTCGGCAGCTCGCATAGCTTCATACTCTTCAATTGCCTCTTTGTCAGTCTTCACCTGTGGCAACGCACTCTCCAACTCGGTCGGACGAATCGAAGTGAGTTTCCCTTCATCCTCGAGAGCATCTTCGTCCTCGGAGTCTGCTGTCTCATTTCGGTAGGCATTCGGGGTGCGGAGAGCATATTCGTCGCCTGACACGTCACGAGAGTCCTCGCCATCGGTGCTCTCGAAAGTCTTAAGTCGTTTCGCAGCAGGCCCAGTGTCATCATTGTGAAATTTGGTCGAGGCCGGATGCGGTACTCCTCTGCCCAGCATCGCATTATGATCTGTCGCTCCCCAAGACCGGAGAACCATAGTGCATTGTCTGAACCAGCTTAGAATCGTCTGGACGATCGAGGTGGAAAGAAGGGATCCTCAGCGCGTCAAGAAGGCAACCGCGAAGTCACGAGACGACGCGAGAACAATTCAAGAAAGCTCTCGACCCGAGAAACGCAGTACAAATCACTGCAACCCATTGAGCACCCCACCCCACCATGTCTCAACCAAACACTCCAGACGTGACAGCACAGGAGCAAATTCCTGCAAGCATAAGTGCTGCAGCGCATGCGTACCAAGTCGCCATGCAGCAACAATCCGCGACACCACCGCCAGCAATCACTCCCGCTCCACTGCCTCAAGCTCTAGACTCTTTAAAAGATGTAGTTATGACTGACGGGACTCCTGATAGGCCTGCCGTGAGTCCTCAAGTTTCTTTCCTTTATAAGATAGAGTACTGAGCATCAAGCAGTCCCCAGCAATCCCCCCCGGCGCAACAAATGCCCCAAGTCCGGCTCCTCAGAGAATTGGCACGCCCTCGCGCAATGTAAATGGCAACGATGCCACTTCTCGAGCTACGTCTCAGCACCCAGATCCGGCGCCTACGATCCCGAAGGAGGCTCCTCCTCATGGTGCGCCGACGAGACAATATCTGAATAGTAAGGTTACGGGGCCTTTATTGGATGGAATGAAGCAGATTGCAAAGGAGCAGTGAGTACCATATCCTTGGGGATACCTATGTTATGTTGGTTGGAATAGTTCTGATCTTATTCTCAGACCAAGGGATCCTTTGAGAGCTCTAGGGGAATATTTACTGCAGAGGTCGAAGGAATTGGAGGGTACATAACGCAGTTCTCTGGAGAACTTGGTTTTGCATTTCAAGAGATATCAAGCGTGCTTGGCAATTTCTTGAGAAGGAGTGTAATTATGATGGACAATGAGTAAAAGGAAACTTTACTGGGATAAAAGCTAGGGCATATTTGGTCACAACCGGCGTAACTGAGGTTCATGACACTTTAGGAGACAGAACGAGCTTATGCAACATTTCTTCGAGTGTGTTTGGAGTTCTGATTCATCCTATGCAGTTTTTATGTTACCGCAAAGTCTACGGAAGTAGTTCAGCGCATGCAATTGACCACACCCAAACTCCATGCCAAATATCAACTATCGTGACCTAACGTCTATGCGACCATGGTGCTTGCAGTGGCGCTCTCGTATCTCCAGGTGGGTGGTAGGACACCGACGGTCTTGTAGTATCGAGACAGACGGTGGATACGGGACTCGATGAGAATCAATCGGAATTTGGAGTCCTTGTCCTTGCGGTTTCGCTCGAGATGCTTGCGGACAGCAACGGCCTTCAGAAGGTTAGTATCATAGCAAAACAGCATGTGGTGTAGAACTGACCTTCTTGATCAACATGTACAGATCCTCCGGAATCTCTGGGGCGAGGCCTATCAAATCAGTCAGCCAATGATTTGGCAAAGGCAGTATTGTTCAACTCGTATTTCACTCCGTCAGTCAAAGACCAAGCAGAGGCAGTATGTAATTCACAGCAATCGCATCACTGGGTTCCAAGCAGTAATGAAGGAGAGTGTATTGGTGAAACCGTACCATTGGACTTGAGGATTCGGAGAATCTTATTACCTGCGAGAGGGGTCAGCATTCGCATCTGGGCAAACGCAGTATTGCGCAACCACAATCAAACATACCAGTAACGACCTTGACTTGGGCGATACCGTGAGAATCTCTGAGCACGACACCGATTTGCGATGGAGTAGCACCCTTCTTTGCGAGCTTGCAGATCTGGTCAACGACTTGGTCGGGGGTGGTCTTCAACCACGCCGGGGGAGTTCGAGAGTAGGGGATTGCAGAGGCCGATATGCCCTTTCCGTTGCTGTGAAGGCGACCCATGATTGCAGTTGTTGGATTGAGTTGAGTTTGTAAAGCTCGCAAGAAAATGAAATAGCGGGACAAATGTGTGCGTTCTCGCTTGTCAGGAGGCACCTTCCTTAAATAGGTCTAGCGCGAAAGCTATCCCAAGCTCTCGAAAATGAAAATCCGAAACTTTTGATCACCTTTTCATTACACGACCAGGGAGGAAAAGAATCAGTCGGCTTCCAACGAGTACGACGATAGGATTTTGAACTTCCATGTCTACGATTGATCTCGAGCAATCTCAACAGCACAAGGACCACAATGTTCAAAGGCGTGCGGAAGATTCATCTCAACCGCATTAGACGTTGGTTACAGATCTGAAGCATGTTTGTTCCAACCAGCAGTACCTTTTCTTGATTGACATGATTCCGGCTTGTCACCTCACTTTCAAAATATTAGGTACTATTTGCCAAACTCGCCGTATTTCGGCCAGCAATGTTTCCAGAGCTTTACGTAAGTGCTTCTTCCTTGTTTATCCAATCGATCGACACCTTCATATGATGAGACACCAATTTACATTATTTTCTGGTTTAACGCTAATAACAGACTAGGGGTTTTCTTCCGCAAAAACTTCTCGAACGCTTCTCTATTTCTCTTTCAACACTTACATGCCCCGTACAATAGCAACGATACTCTGCTTGCTTACACTGCTTGCTTCGATGTGTGCAGAATGATTCGTAAGTATAAACCCGTCTTCTTTTCTTTGCTTTGCCTTTGTGTGATGATAACCCATTTTTGGCACCTCTCATTTTATGTCCTTTACAAAGGGTTAAAGCCTTTTGCGGAGGTCGATGAATTTAACGGACTTCTGATATTTGTATTGATTAATAAACATTTCCTATACCTTACGGGCTATTTCTGGCACTACTGACTATCTTAAATTATCTGCAGAATGAGATATTCGACGCCAACTGATCTACACGCCTGATTTATCCTTTCAGGCAGCTTTACTGATTTTCTTGGAACGTTTCAAAGCTTTCGAGTCGGAATACTCTCCAGCCAAACTCGACTTCAAAACACTTTCTACAATTTGAACGAAATCCTTGACTCTTTGGTAGGGTTTATACACCGGCGCACGAGTAATAGAAATAGTGCTCCATAGCCGGACAGGCATTGAGTAAGCCGGTAGGTGTTACATTAACATGGTTGGTATGGAACTGGAATTTATTGCATGGCTCCAGATCGAAAATATGTGCAAGGAATAAGAAGAACTGATGGTTGCCCATCTACTTATAATCACGCTTGGAATTCCGGCCCGAGACTTGCCCAGATTGTGAGCAGTTGTATAATTATACATCAAATGAAAAATGCGGTTGAAAATCAGAGATGAGAACGAAACTGTTATTTCTGGAAGATGTATTGCGTCCCTAGTCTTATGCGAGAACTGTAGTACTGTCAATAGCGGAATTGAGCTGATTTGGACTCTTAATAAAGTTTCTGACAGACAGAACTCATAGTTCCTCGTAGTACCAGGGCTTTTCCAACTCTCTTTCTTGTCCGGTAGGCTTCTCGAATGGCTTTCCAAGCTGGAAGGGTTCCTTGGGATTGATTGCTTCACCTCGCTCGAAGAGTACGGAGCAAAACTCTTTGAAGATGCTGAGTCAGTCGTTGGGGTTGGATGACTGTAATAACTGCGATATCTATATTTATTTCTCTCTCTATATACTTTCGCTAAACTTCCTTCTGCCAGCTCTGGGCGTATATACGGAATCTATGTGGAAGATGCAATATAGAAGTGGTACACGAGCAGCAGGGTTTCGTCAATACAACGATAGTAGAACCATCTCCCAGGACACGGATATATCTGATACCTCTCTTTCGAAATGAAAGACCTCATTGACTTGGTTCCTCCTCTGGAATCAACCACTCCCGTGGAAAAACCTTTACTATCCGCATTCAATCTGCTTTGTTGCGTGCCTGGAAGCATTCTTTTGCACTCATGTCCGAAACAAAGAGGTTTATTTCGCCCCAAACGAGTGTACCAGTCTTGGAAATAGGTTTTGTATTCCCCCGATCCGCTGTCCCCTCGTCGTACCTCAATACCCTGTGCCCTCAGAAAGAGATTTTGCAGGGCTACTGAATGCCCAAAGCTTATGAAGTCTCACAGGAGATCTTGCCGTACCCTGCGTAGGAAGAATAGCAATGGTCGGTTGGAAGAGAGCAAAAAGAAGAAAGCAAATAATTGACGCAGAGGCTGAAATGGGCAAGGAAGGAATGTACAGGAAAGTGGGGCAAAGCGACTGGACGAGCCTGGATGAGTGAGGGCAATGATGACTACAGATATCAGAAATAGGGTTGGGCGGAGGTAGATATTATTATGTTCAGCTATTGTCAATGAGGTATTCGCCTGCTTATAGTCTCCCCTCATGCATTGATGAAGTCCCGGTAAGTTTGATTATGATTGTCTCAGACTCTCACTGCTTTTAGATATTTGATCATTATCATAAAATTTTTGCCAAAGTGTCTGCGGTCTGTGCGAAAGTGATTAAGGTTGAGGAATTCAGTCAAGCACGCCCGTCTATTCTAACAAACCCTCTTCATTTGAGTGAGCGAGCCTTTCCTTCAAAGTTCTTCTAAGTTCTTCACGTTATGAGAGCTTTGGGCACTCCAATGCCATGTGGACACCGGAAAAGGAAAGCCCATTTCATTCTTTTGTTCATCGATCGCAGCAGTCATATGCATCAGGTTTGATAATAGTCAACTTGGCGGGTTTCAATAATTTGCTTTTTGATGTTACTCCTTTCAAGGTCATGAGCCAACGGGCGGGATCTAAAAGTACAGAGGTATTTGGCTCTGGATTATTGTGATGTCCAGATCTTCATGGCACGAAGCATCCTGAGAGCAATCTCCAGAATCAACTTGAAGAACGCTTGGGTATATGGTGTTGAGGAAGGGGAACTACCAAGCAGAGACTTCAAAGTTTTCCTGGTTCTGGTTAGCTTCTGCAAGTGCAAAATTTGGACTTATAGCTCACCTCCGAAAAGTATGTCGTAACAACGGTGCGATCAGCGAACTTTCGACCGGCCAGAGCTCGAAGTGCCTTGCCTGCAGATTCTGGAGTGTCGAATTTGACGAAAATCTTGCCGACACCATTGGACTGTCTGCTTCCGCCGGTAGGTCTAGGTACCTTCATATCAAGAACCTTGCCATATTTCTCACACTCCTCCTTCACATCTTCGCAAATTTCTAGCACAAAGTTGTCAGTCATGATATACATGCATATCAACATGGTTTATATACGTACCCTCATAGTCTTCGTTGTCAATGAGCTCCTCAGGAGTGACCATGTTGAGCAATTGTAAAACGCGACCTTCATCCAGACCTTGCGAAGTAGTACCAGCAAGCATAGACATTGCGTTGACACCCATTTCGAGACCAGAGACCTGTGTGTGTCCGATACTAGCTCTGAGCACTTTAAGGTGTTTGTCTCCAAGCTCCATACCATTGAGGCCTTCCACTGCAATGTCTGTTGCTGATGGATCGACATATTCGCAGAAAGCAATGCCCTGGATTATGTTAGTAAGATAATTAATAAATCTCTGGTAGAAACGTACTCGTGACTCCTCAGTGCTAGCATCTTTGACAAGAACAAAGGCTTTCAATTCTCCAAATGAGACCAGAAGCTCAGTAACTTGCTCATCAGTCAAATAGAGGGGAATGTCAGATATGAGTATCTTGTTTTGCGTATCCACAACCACGTTTGACACAGCTCCTGGCTCGTAAGGTGTCTCGTCGGTGACCGCAGGAACAATGTAATCTTTTGGACGACGAATTGATAGCCCTTTGGTATCGCCATTGGATGATCCATTCATGTGGTCATCCTCCATGGTTATCCCATCGAGAGCAAGAGCAACGGTTGCATCCGACGCTTGCTTGAACTCCAACAAAGCAAAGGATTTATCCTTTGAGACCTGTGCCGAAATACAAGGGTCAGATCCCTCGATAACATTGAGGCCGTTGAGTTGTAGGTTGAAAAAGTTGATGATGGCTTCTTCGTTAATCGAGGGAGGAAGGTTGTGGATAAGGAGGCGTTTTGCTTGACGGGAGTTGGAAGGCTTGAGGGCAGCATTGGTTACGGAACCACTGGGTTGCGACATGAATGCCTGCAACTTACTCGGGTCCATAGGCTGCTGCCTGGGAGCTCCAGGAAGAGGAAACATTCCAGAAAGCTTTGCTTGCTCTGCAGTGACATTTTCGTATCCAGGGGGCTTGATATCCCACTGGGTAAGACGCCTCTTGCGGTCCAAGACTGGGACAATGTCTGTCAAGTCTGGGGTCGGCTCCTTCTTCTTGGGTGGAGGTGATGCACTCTTCTTGCGCTCTCCTCCTCTTCCTCCAAAATCATCACGTTCACCCCCTCTGCCTCCTCGACGCCCGCCACCCCCTCTTCGGTCATCGAACAAATCTCTGTCCCTCCTCGGTGGTCTGTCATCATCGTCCCTTCGTGCATCACGCCTTGAAGAGCCTCGGTCTCGGTCCCATTCCCTGTCTCCGCCACCCCTTCTATCTCTGCCAGAGTATCTATCTTCTCGCTCTCGCTCTCTGTAGTCACGGCTGGTAGAATAAGAGTCTACTTCGCCATCGCGACGGGATGGGCGTTGGCCTCGATGCCCGGGAGAACGGGAACGTCGTCTGTCGCGATCTCCTCCTCGTTCGCCGCGTCGATCGTCTCGTGAAGACTGAGATTTATTAGATTCCGTCTCAAGAGTGATCGTGAACATACTCACGGGGTAATCTCTGGATGAGCCGTGCCGACCAGAATCTATTGATGCTTGCTTGTCAGTAGTAGCTCCATCTTCTTGTTTAACTTTTGTTGACGATGATGAAGGTGCCATGCCTCTTGATGAGTAGCTGTCGCCGTTCATGTTGACGGTAGCAGGTTGAAGGTCGACTGTCGACCGTTTATATTGACGAGCTGGAAGGTCTGAGGTAAATAGCTGTGTCTTCGCGACGAGGCTTTGCTGAGCCCAGTTGGAAAAAATGCGGACAGCGGGAATAGTAAAATCCGCTAGTTACCTGCGTACCCCTGTCTTCAACCTCCTGTATCAACTTTCCGCTCCATTTACAACTTCACCTGCCCAACATGGCGAATTTACGTATTTCCGAATGGCGTAAACTGCCGGTAAGCCTGGCCGAACTCTGCATAGATACAACTTTGCGATGCGGGCAATCTTTCAGGTGGAAGAAGCTCGGAGACAATGAATGGTAAGCTAGGTGATGTTTGATTCCAAAGAAAGGGGCTAATTATCAGACAGGTCTTGCGCACTTCATGGTCGAATACTGTCCCTGAAACAGGACTCAACTCATCTCCATTATCGGTCAATAAAACCTGCGGTCAAATACCCATTGAGCCCGCCCTCAGCTACTTCGTCCATTCTCGAATCGCCAACTGAAGATGAGGAAACAGAAGCTCTGTTGAAGCATTACCTCAATCTTGCCCCAGACTTGACTGCATTGTATGAGCAATGGTCTTCGGTGGACTCCAACTTCAAGAAAAGGGCTCCAAAGTTCACTGGAGTTCGAATCTTGAAGCAGGATGCTTGGGAAGCTCTCGTGGGATTCATATGCAGCAGCAATAATAACATCGTGAGGATATCACAAATGGTAAGGAATCTCGAATTGCTCATGGCCTTCAATGCTTAGGAAAAACCTACAGGTTAACAATTTATGTCTACATTATGGGCCTTTGATCGGTCATATTGATGACCAGACATTTCACGATTTCCCTCCTCCGGAGGCTCTTACTGGCCCAGGAGTAGAGTCACATCTCCGGGAACTCGGTTTTGGGTATCGGGCAGGCTATATTGCCAAGACAGCTTCAATCGTTGCAAAAGAAAAGCCGGAAGGCTGGCTGCAAAGTTTATGCAATGAAGAGCCTTATGATGACAGTCCTGACCAAAAGCCTCTGCTAGAAGGGGGCCGAGAAGGCTACCGCCGAGCTCACGAGGAACTTCTTCAGCTTCAAGGTGTCGGCCCGAAAGTCGCTGATTGTGTTTGCTTGATGGGTCTTGGATGGGGCGAAGCTGTACCTGTTGATACTCATGTCTGGCAAATTGCTCAGCGAGATTACAAGTTTGGGAAGGGAAAGCACAAGAGTCTCACAAAAGCTACATATAGTGCTGTTGGCGACCATTTCAGACAGTTGTGGGGTAAAGAGGCAGGCTGGGCTCATTCTGTCCTCTTTGCTGCGGACCTGAAGACCTTCTCGGAGCGGCTGACAACCAAAATCGAAGTAGATGTTGATGAGTTCAAGATTAAGCAAGAAGATGGAATTATTCTGGAGTCGACGGTTGTGGTAAAACGAGAGTATGCTCTACACGAAGTGAAGGATGAATTCGAAGAAGAGAAGCCGACGAAGGTCGTGGTTGAAAGTTCTCGCAGTCACCGGGCCAAACGGAGGAGAGTCTTCTGATTATTGTACAATGTAATGTGCGGTGAGTTAGTTTGAAACCATCAAGTAAAATAAAAATGATTTGCTCGTTGTCATGAATCCTCAATGAACACTTTTCACCCCTGACCAAACGCCATTGCTTGACCCATGTCACCAACCTTTCAGAAGCAAGCGAACTTCGTCACTTGAGAACTTCCCCACACCCTCCACAGCCTTCAACACAATGCGATGGCCACCACGGTCTTCAAATTCCGAGAGGGACGGCGATGAAAAGAGACGCCCTGTCTCTTGGGAAGACAAACTCAACGCCACAGATTGGTCGCACTACACGGACCCAAGGACGTTAATCCCCACCCTTCTCCTCACTACAACAATCCTCATGTCCGTTCGAGTCTACCGTTCGTACCTGCGTCGAATCCCAGAAGCTACCCATATACGACCAGGCTTCTTTAGGAAGAGGAGCTTGTTTGGCACAGTTGCAAGAGTTGGCGATGCAGATAACTTCCATCTTTTCCACCAGCCGGGTGGAAGGCTTGCAGGTTGGGGATGGTTGCCAGGACGCAAAATACCAGAGAAAAGGACAGACTTAAAGGGCAAAACGGCAAGTTATTATTTAGCCTACCCAAAATGTTGACTGAGCTCATCCCCATGCCTAGATTCATGTCCGCCTTGCCGGTATCGACGCGCCGGAAGGGGCTCATTTTGGCAAACCCCCACAACCCTATTCTGCTGAAGCATTGGAATGGCTGAAGAACTACATCTTGAATCGAAGAGTGCGGGCGTACATCTACAAGCGTGATCAGTATGAACGAGTTGTTGCTACGGTGTGGGTGAGGAGGTTTCTCTTCCGCCGAGATGTAGGAAAGGAGATGCTGAGAGCAGGGTTGGCTACAGTGTATGAGGCTAAGAAGGGGGCTGAATTTGGAGACTTTGAGGAGAATTATAGGAAAGCAGAGGCAAAAGCGAAGCGGAAGAAGCGGGGGATGTGGAAGGGGAACCCGCAGGATTATGAGAGCCCGCGAGACTACAAGATTCGAACGGCTGCCACGACCGAGACAAAATAAGGATACCCAGTTTATCGGGATCGAAGGATGATTCTTTCGTGGTTTTTGAGACACAGATGAGTAGGTTGGCCGGTTGCTCCTGAAGGATTCAACAGCGGCGAGGAGCAAGGAGTATATGTTTATGCTCGACGCCAAGTATTACGTCCTTGGGATGGAGATACGATCTCATCTCCCCAAGACATCAAGAAATCACCAAGAATAAGAAAGGAGAAAAGTTGCCCTACGTCTCTGTGTAGCGTATTAAGTGAATATATCCATCAGCCTCAACCTGAGAACCCTGTCTGGCATAAGACCTCGGGACTTCACACGTGGGTGCTCCTTCCAACGCTGAAACTGCGACAATTACTATTTTTGAACACTGGCGGATACTTGTACGGAGGCACATCTTTACACGTAACCAGCCAAAATCTTTTCAGGCACCACAACACTAAGTCGAGAGGCAATATGCAACTCCAAGTCGTCTCAAGGCCTTCATAGAGTATTGATTATAGCATTCGGAATGCCAACTCTGTCTGTACGAGCCACCAAAGTAGCCGTATCCAAAGCATTTCAGCCCTGCATCATCTGTTGGGACGCAGAACATTCGACACAGTATCAGAAGGGGACACATCGAGCTTTTGACCTTCCATTTGACACTATCTTGGCACACAAAAGCACCAAGGCACACAAACTTGTTAAGAACACACTTCCCCTAGCAAGAAAAGTTTTACACGTGACGTTAGAACGGTTGTTTGAGCCTGACAGCCCTGGCCCGACTATGCGTCCAGCCACTCGGAGCTTGTTGTGGAGGACGATCTTACCAGCACACGTTTTGGTGGTTTGAGGTTCCCGAATTGCGCGGCTGTGGCGCCTCTGATTGGCTGCTCGCGGGAGATGCTCAATGTAACTACAAGTAGCAACCAGCTGAGAATGCCAGTCACCGCTTCAAGGCCACTGGTGCAAGGCCATGGCCAACTAGACAGGAGATTATGATGGAATCGTTGGCATGTGCACGTAGCACGCAACAAATTTGCAGTCAAAAGGGATACTGTACAGTACTGCAATGAAAAGGGGATCAAGTAAGGTCAAGTCGGCTCAGATCGAATCCGCTGTGTTTCCACCAGCGTACAACTTCAAACATCGTGTGGCCTCCATCCGGACCGTGCGTGCGCATGAGCAAAGGCGAGACGCAAGTGTTGATCTCAGATGAATCTTGCGCAGACGACGAGGCGAGGCCAGAGTCGCGAGACGAGACGAAGACCGCAGCTGAGGAGAGGCGAATTTGGGAAATTGCCGGCCGGTGGTGCGCTGGTGCTGTGCACTCACCAACCGTCCCGTTCTCGTGACTGCTCAATTGCATCTCAAAGACTCCTCACCATGGAATAACTTCGACCTCGTCGCACATTCAGTTCAATCATCACCACTTCACAGCCAGCCACTCATTTCGAATCGAACATTTGTCTCGTGTTTACTCGGTAAGTCCTGCATAAACACAATCCAATATACCCCCTCCCCCCTCTTTGACGCAAGAATACGAACGGAACCTGACGCAACAAGCAGGTCGTCGACGACCTCCACACTCCTTAGGAATCCGAACATCTCTGCGCTTTCATACACTCAGATACTTCCCGACCTCATCCATCTGCGCATCCAGCACTCGTGCGACTTAATCGGCAGGTTCACAACGCGGCTCGCGGACCAAACTGCACAAATCCTGGGCCCCTTCTTTAGCCCAGGTACAACGCACAGCACCGCAAATTTGACCACCACAACAACACCATCTGTGCAAATCTTCCCTCTCAAATTCGCCCTGGCAACGGTTCAACGGTTCAACGGCCAGGCCTCACGAAAGACAGCATTCCACAGTCCCCCGGAGCCCTTCACGCGGTCAACAAACGATCGCTTCTAAAATTTGTCGGTGGCTTGATCTAATCTGCACTCTAGCGAACTGAGTCGACTCCTCACTCTTGCATTTGCGGTCGCACACCTTCTTTCAACCTCGCCTCCCCACGACGTTCTTTCCTTCTACAACGACCTGCGACACGATTGAGCTCGAGCTCATCGCAGACAATTGGTGTGCAGGGATCCGGGCGATACTTTCAGTGATGGAATAAAGTCGCGTTCGATGACTCGCCAAAAGTGAAGCATCAGACCGTCCCAGCCACCGAGCTACACGACTTCATTGTCCGAGGTTCAAGGCCTCACAGCGCTTCTGGCGCTCCTTGGACCAGCAATGAAGCTCCCTTCATGGCTGTGTCCATCAGATGCAAATCGACCTCCTTTATTACGACTGTTTGTTTTATTGACATACCTTAGACCGTTCGCCCAAGCCATCACCTTCAACCCCATACCACCCGCTAATCTTAATCTTGATGACTTGGGTCGAGTTGGTCTGGCCGGCGATTTCAGTGGCATTTCACTCTATCAGTTCGAGGGACAGAATGAAAATGGATTCAGCACAAACGGCAGCCAATCCGTGCTCGGGCGATTTCCGAATGGCGGCTTTGCAACGTTGGCATTGGCGGATGCAGGGATTCAGGCCATGTGCTCCTTTATAATGCAGAATGGAGTAATGGCCGGTGTGGTTGTGGGAGGGAATTTCACAAGTTTGGGTGGCATCGAGTCGCAAGGCGCCGCATTGTTCAATCAGAATACCTCCGCCATAACACCACTCACTGGATTATCTGGGCAGGTGTCTGCGTTACTGTGTGATGAAGCGACAAACACCGTGTATGTGGGAGGAAGTTTCAAAGCAGCAAACTCGACAAACGCCATTGTTTGGGTTGGGACCGCCGGCTGGACAAACCTGCCCTTCTCTGGCTTCAATGGACCTGTCACATCCATCAACAAGGCGTCCGATGGTCATATTATTTTTGGGGGATCATTTACGGGCTTGGGAAACGCTACAGGTCCCAGTCTTCCAGATCAACAGGTCATCAACATCTCTGGGGGAAACATCACAAGTGGCTCTTCAACTTCAGCAACAGGTTTCAGCGATCCCAGGAACATTGTCTGCAAGACTAGTGGCACCGACGGGGCTGGCAACACTTGGCTCCTTGCTGATAATACCCCAGGCTTCTGGAAGGCTTCTTTTGGCTTCGGTTTTCAACCTACAAAATTGAGGCTCTGGAATACTCATCAAGATGGCCGAGGAACTCAGACATGGAGATACACGGCGTTCCCAATCAATGGTATCATGAACTTCACTTATATCGATCCGGCAACGGGACAAAACGCTTCGTGCACATCTGAATGCCCTCTGAGCAGCAACTCGAGCGTAAAATTTCAGGATTTCCATTTCGTCAACGTGATTGGGATGAACGGGTTTCAGATCGATATCTCGGCTTGGTATGGCAAGGGGGGTGGTCTTGACGGAATCGAGTTGTTCGAGGACGATATCTTCTCTTATGCAATCGACGACTTCAACGAGCCGACTTGCGCTGGAATTCAAATAGCGTCGAGCGTAACCAGAACTGGGCCGTGGGTCGTCACTCCTTCCCAACAGAGCTCCTCCGAATACCTGTCAGCTTCTCTTTCAGCTTCTCAGTCTGCATCCGTTGTTTTCCTGCCAGACATCAAGCAGTCTGGAAATTACTCGGTCAACATGTATACACCCGGGTGTATTCAAGACAATACCTGTACCACAAGAGGCAGGGTCAACATCACGGGCGTCATGTCATCCGGGATGACCAATTCTGGGTTCCAAACTGAAATCTTCCAGACAAATAACTTCGATAAGTATGACCAAATATACTTCGGATATATCGAAGCTGGGAGTGCTACTTTCCGTCCCTCTGTCACCCTCTCGCCAGCTACAGGTCAGGATTTAACCAACTTCTCAATTGTCGCTCACCGAGTCGGCTTTGCCCTTATTTCCCCGAGTGGTGGACTAAACAGTCTCTTTGAGTATGATCCCACGCAGGCAGTAGTGGATACATCGACCTTCGCCAATTCAACCTTTGATCAGGCTGGGGCGAGCCTTCCAACTGGTGCTGGAGTCAATGCCCTGCAAACTTTGGGAGACACGACTTATGTGGGCGGAAATTTCACCACCAGCACGTTCAACAATATATTTGCGGTCAGCAAATCTGGGACCACCACGCTAAGTGGAAGTGGCCTTAACGGCGAAGTCACGACAATGTTCCTCAATGGCTCACTACTCTACGTTGGAGGCAGATTTTCAAACACCAGCACTGGAGGAAGCATCGGCCTAAACAACGTAGCCGCCTACGATACGTCGAAGAACACCTGGGACGCTCTTGGTGCGGGTGTGAATGGGCTGGTGACGAACATTGTTCCTCTATTGATGAACATTACCTCCAACCATCCGGAAACTGTCATAGCCCTCACAGGAGACTTCACCCAGATTCTCTCTTTTGGAAGTAACGGCTCAGTAGTTGCCGCTGGATTCGCTGTCTGGGTGCCATCTCGAAACAATTGGCTCCAAAATTTACCAACCTCAACAATGGCCATCAATGGAGTACTCACGGCGTCTGCAGATCTTCCTGGCGGTGGATCTGTCTTCGCCGGTTCTCTGTCCTCGTCACAGCTCAGCGCCAATGATGCAGTCGCTTTATCTTCAGGAATCAGTTCTTTCCCAGTGCATATTCAGCCAACAGCGCAAACATCAGGTAGCCTCTCGAAGCGTGCAACGAGCAGCCAAAATATCAGTGGCGTTGTTACCGGATTGTTCTATAATAACGGAGGACGAAATGTGACCATCCTTGGTGGCCATTTTACCGCGACAGGCACTAATGGATCCAATGTCAACAATCTCGTCTTCATAAACGGATCAAACTCTGACACGGTCACTGGTGTTGGTCCTTCGCTTTCACAAGACTCGACCATTCTGGCATTGGCTCTGCAGGGAGATACTCTTTATGCTGGAGGAACTCTGACTGGAACCGTAAATGGTGGGAGTGTGAACGGCTTGATCTCCTTCAATCTGATTACGTCGTCCTTCAATACCCAACCACCAGCTCTTGCTGGAGGGAATGTCAATGCCATATCTACTCGACCAAGCTCTGCCGATGTATATGTTGGTGGAAGCTTCTCCGCTGCTGGTTCACTCAGCTGTCCAGCTGTCTGTGTTTTTTCCGCCTCGCAATGGGATCGACCGGGAAGCAGTCTCGGTGGCGTCGCGAATGCAATGGTATGGGGAAGTCAGAACAGTCTCGTTGTTGGTGGGGCTCTATCTGTGAACGGAGCCAATACTTCTCTCGCAACCTACGATGTCAAGGCTCAGAACTGGACGGCCGGGGTTGGAGCAACTGCGATTCCTGGTCCCGTCACCGCTCTTGCAGCGGCCAACAGTGACGCATCGCAGCTCTGGGTTGCAGGAACTGCAATGAATGGCTCGACCTTCCTCATGAAGTTCGACGGCACGAATTGGAACTCGGTCAGCGCAGGCTTGGGCAGTGGTTCTACCATTCGTGGCCTTCAAGTCCTATCGCTCAGCAAGAACCACGCATCCACCAGCCTCGTTCCTGCAAGCGAGACACTACTAGTCACTGGTTCATTGAATCTCCCAGGTTTTGGGGATTCGTCTTCAGCTCTCTTTAATGGCACGACCTTCCAGCCCTTCGCACTCACAACTACCGCTGCCAACACTGCTGGAAGTCTCTCTCAAATCTTCTCGCAAAACCAAAATTTCTTTTCCAGCCCAGGTATGTTCACTTCCCGGATCTCATGATCGAAATACTAACATACGTGAAGGTGGCCATCTTGCCAAAGGCTTCGTTGTTCTCATCGCCCTGGGCATCGCTCTGGCCTTGACCTTCCTTCTCGTCGTGGCCGGTGTCATCGCTGAACGGATCCGGAAAAAGCGAGAAGGCTACTCACAAGTATCCGCTTTCGACCGGAGCGGTGGCATGTCGAGAGTCCCACCCGAACAACTCTTCAGCTCTCTGGGCCAAGGCCGGAGCGGAGTGGAAAAACAAAGCGCCATGATTTGAGGTGATTCTATGCGGCGTACGGCTTGGTTACGGCGTTCTGGATAGGCCAGGTGGCCATTTCTCTTCTTGTCGATCTTTTGCGGCATACATTTCGGAGTTTTTACATAGAGCAGTGCGCTCTTGCCTCGACACGAGCACTTTCACGGCCTCTTTCACGACGAGCAAAAATTGCTGGATCTATGGCTTCACACCTTATTCCCTTCTTCAACGGAGAGCCTAATGTTTAGAGCTACTACCCCTTTATTTTCATCACTCGATCTTCTCTTTGTAAGATAAATCCTTTGCGGTCCCGTCATCAGGCTGCAAGGAGGGTTGACTCGAGGTCACACCCCATGTATGTTGGAATGGTATAAATGTGTCAAGGACGTTTTGCGCAGTTTTCGAGCAAAGAAAAAAAATGAAATGAAGTAAAATAATTTAAAAATCTCCATTGCAGTTTTCGGATCGTGACATCGGGGTGATCCACTATTGCAACTCCCTTGCTCATTCTTGCCATGCAAGGAAACATCCGGTATTATTGTCGGAGTATCTTGTCATCTCGAGCAGCAATGTCCAAGACTTCAAGAAAGAGATTGTGGTTGGTCTGGCCAGGAAACATCGCACGCGGCACGCCTTTCTCCAGGAACACCAAAGATCATCATGATGTGGACTGAGATTTGAGATATCACAGGCAAAATAGGGCCGATGTCGAAGGGCTCATTCTGGTGATTTGTGGGCGAGTGTTGAGGCGGGTCATGATATTTTCTCGAATAGGTATCCATGTACACATCAATAATGGTCTCTCGTTTCTTGGACCAGAACAGGTGGTGGAGGCGCAGGGCGGGTATGGGATTATTATTCCGAATCTGAACCATGTCTGACAGCGCTCAGCTCATTTTATCTCAAGTTGCGTTCCAGCCTCCCGGCACGTTGTTGGGCTTGTCGTGGTTTCTCGTGACTCCAAGACACGTTCGGCGAGATGCTCGGGCGATTCAGATTTAAGCTCATCTCAAACCGCGGTCTGAAGTGTAGATCGCCAACGGTTTTGGCCTGAGCCCAGAGGAGGATTGTGGTTGAAGGAAATGAGCGGCGACAGGGGGGGGGGGGGGGGCCTCATCCGCCTCCATTCAGATGGTGGGGGATCATCTCGCGAAGGCCCCAGCGCCCAGGCCCGGAAAAACAAAGCGCATTGACGATCCACCGGCCCTAACCGCAAGGTGAGCGGGTTGGTGAAGTTGAAACACTCGGCCGATCTCAATCCAGCAAGGCGGGGCTGTCGAGGCCGGGGGGAGGGAGGGGGGGTGCACGATGGGCTGATGAGATGAATCTGGGCAAGGTTCACCGCTGCTGCTGCTGCTGCGACTCTGCGAGCTCTCTCCCTTTCTGAGCTGGGCTTGAAGGCTGGAGGGCTGGGGGGCTGGGCGCGACAGACATGGAGCTCTGATCTCCCGTCTGCACAGGGCCAACGACGGCGCCTCGTCCCCGGCAATTGGGAGATAGGGCCGGCCAAGCACACGAAGGCATGTCCAGATGGAGCTCTGGTCCTCTAGGATATCGCAGCAGACTGGGCAGGTGGGGCGTGCGCTGGGATTGACAGGCACGGGCAGGGCAGGCATGGCCTAGCATGGCAGCATGCCTTGAGGATCACCGCTTTTGACCTGGGGAGTGGGAGTGGAGTGGAGGAGGACTGTGGGAGTGGATTCCGATATCACATCAGATCAGCAAACAGCCATTAGAGTTCAGAATTCGCACAGATGCTGATTGAGCCTTGCATCATGATTCATGAGCTTCTTCCCAATTTCCTGTCAACCGTGTGAACGACGAGTCCACCGTCCAGCACGGATTATTGGGACGACTCTGGCGGGCAACAAGTTCAATAACAAATAACAAGGGGAGCAGGCTTGGGGCTTGATGAGGGTGCGGATTTATCAGGTGCGTGCCGCCTTAGCCGAAAAATTACCCCTTGTTGACCCCGAGGCTCGAGGAGTCCCTTTCTCAACACAACCTCGCGGCTCTTGCCCACCCCTGCTACGATTCACGATACTCGGTGCTCGAGGCGCGATGCGCGATGCGCGATGCACGATATCGATCTCCCTCTCGTCTGTTCTCTTCTGGCTTGACCTAGCCTCGCCTGCCAGCTCTGCTGTTCTCGTGTCCCCGTATCTGCGGGCTCTAGGCTGGGCTGCATCCAACGCTCATCGGGGTCTCGCGCTTTTGCAATGGCCTCTCGGACAGCCAGTCTCCGCCTCCAGCGTTGAGATTCGTTGGCGGTGGCGTGGCATGGCTGTTGATGGAGGAATGGCCATCTCAACTCTCGTGCTGGCACCCGCTTGCCATCAGCGAGTCAGAGCCTTCCAGGTCAGCGTTCCGACGCGGAAGCCGAGTTCGGATGTCCGAGGTTGAGTCTCTGAGTCTCTGAGTCTCTGAGTCTTTGAGTCTTTGAGTGCAGCAGGCAGGCAGGCAGGTACAAGCGCTGGTGCGTCCATCGGAACCACAGTTTGATAACTGGTGAAGTTTGGGACCGTCAGCAAGCGCGAGACTTGGAAGCCTTAGAGACCGAGGAGCGATGCCCGAGCTTCGGTCCCCGGTCGCACTGGTGTCCCAGTACCGTAAATGACTGCCGTACTGCACTCTGGTTCCGGGGGTTTGCATGTCCGTTGTGTTTCCGCGAGCGAGGCAGCTGGGCGAACCTTCAAAGGCTTCAATCAAAATCAAGAGTGGCGTTGAGTAAGTCAGCCTTCACGGGGAATCACGTTGACCGCCAAGCCAAACGCCAAGCCAAACGCCAAGCCAAACGCCAAGACAAACGTCAACGTTGAAGCGTCCACACTCCACAGGCGAGAGACGAGAGACAAGGACAAGGACAAAGGACAAAAGACAACGACAACGAACGACAACGAACGACAACGAACGACAACAACGAACCAGGTCACCAGAGCCAAGCGGCGTCTGATTTGCGCAGGCCGGTGGGGAGGAAGCAGGGGTTGGCCTGCACATCGCAGCAAGGGTCCACACCCCCCCAAAGCTTCGCTCTCCTCGCTCTCCTCTCCGCCCAAATCCCGCCCTTCTCACTGGCTGCGGCCGCATTGAGGATCGCGGAGTGACGTCTTCGTGGAAAAAGGGGGCTGACCGCCTCTCCAAGAACGGCAGGCTGTGAGTGGCTGGCCCGACTTTCCCGCATTCCGCAGACCTTCCTCCGGCCGCCTGACACTGGGTCGCGATGCGCTGTGAGCCTGTGATGTTTTATCGTTCGATGAGGCCTCTGCGGCATCAACTGCCTGCACCGGCACCTCTCGAATTGCTGCAGGCCGTTCCTCTACCCGTCATGAATTCTACCGTAGCTCCGAGTCCAAGGTCCGTTCTGTCGCAAGGCGATAGGAAGGGCTGCAAGGCGCCTGCCTGTTTTTGAGTTTGGCTGCATGAATAAGTGCTGCTTCTGCTGCTTCTGCTGCTTTCGCTGCTTTCGCTGCTCGTGCTGCTTGTGCGAGCTCGCCATTCCAATGCGGTAGCGCAGCGCAGCGCAGCGCCATGCCGTACACCACTGACATCCCCCCCATTGGAACGACGACGCCATTCCGCCTTTCCTCGGCCTTATCTCCCCTCATCCCCTCATCCAGCTCCCCTGCCGAGTGAGGGCAAGCCACAGTTGTGCGCCAGACGTCAAAGCCCTACCTTATTTTCACCACCGCTCGCAAAAAAGAAAATGTGGAGAAGAAGGGCCGACACTGGCCAGCGGGAAGTTGATGCATCAACGTTATTGATCTGCACATTTTGCTATTGAGACATCCGGAAAGTCTCACAAGATCGCAACTCTTCTCTCCTCTTCGGTCCAGAGAGCCAAAAGAACGGATGCGTTTAATCACCACAATAGGAGACTTTCGGGCCGGCATACCCCCGCCCCCAATACTCCGCAGCTAAGTACAGTCATGTGAGATCTGAGATGTTAAATCACGATTCACGACAATAGTCTCAGGGACCGAGAGGCTAGATTGGCGGCACGCCAAAGCAAGTCCCATATTTCGCCATCGACGGATCGAAAGCGACCTGCGACCTGAGAGTTCTGCCTTCGTTGCAAGCGCAGCGCCACCTCGCAATAGTAGTTAGTACTGGAGCCAGCGAGTAAGTAGGACGGAAACAAGACCCGGAAACTATATACACGACATCCGGATTTGCTGGGCAAGCCCCAACATATCCAATAGCAAGACGTTTCTATCCTATTATTGCTATCTCCGGTTAAATTCTCACAAACTTTCACGCCAAAAGTCTGTACGTCGCCATTCCGGCATTTTCAGGAAATCGGAAAACAAGCAGCTATCGGAGGAATAATAGAACTCCGACAACTCATGTGCTTGCAGGTTCAAAAGAAACGAGGCAAAAGCAATGCAAAGGAGGAACACCTTCCAACCTTCTCCACCAATGAGAGGCGCTGTGTAACAGCCCCATTCGGATTCTGTGGTGGAGTTTTTGCTGCCCTGCTGTGATTGCCGTCCCGCGCTGGCTGCACGGAGTCAGGGCGCCCAGCCTGTGAGGCTGGTGTTCTATCCAAACATTGGCACACATCTCAAGGAATTCAGGAAAGCGATTCCCCGGATCTATTCTTCCCAACAGGTAGTAGGGCAGTCTTGCGGATGGAAAATGCGATGAAGACGTCTGTCAGGCTCGCTCTGCTCCCGTGGCACCCATTCTTGTGCGAACGATGGGGGAGTCAAAAACGAGGCAGGTAATAGGGAGCATCCATCCGGGCCGCGAGATGTGCACGGTGTGCAGGGAGAACGGGTCCGGGAAATGCTGATTGGCCCGCTTCTGTTCTTCCTGTGGATCTGGACTGAGAAATTCATGCTTTATTCCTTCCCCACACGCCCATCTGCCGAGGCGATTATATGTGCGGGCGGGCGGAAAAGAAAACGGCCTCAGCAGTTTACTTTACTAGCGGGCGAGACTAGAGACGCCATCAGCAGCCAGGAGAGGGAGAGGCTTGCGTTAGCTGTTGGAGCAGAGACAACGAACGGGGAAACAACAAGCCAACTGCTCGCAGCCTGAGATGAAGATAAGAATTGCGCCAAGAGCCCAAGACCGAAAAGAAAGGGCGGACGGGATCAGCGTGGCTTGAACGAGGCGTTTGGGGGCTTTTTGATGGTGGGGCAGGTGGGCCTACTTCTGCTGGCCGCTGATACGCCGGCTGGGACAGAGCTTCCGCTCGTCTTGGCTCTGGGCACTATTGGGCAGAGGAACAGACAGAGGAGCAGGCAAAGGAGCAGACAGACGTGAACGGCCCCGAAGAGGACTAGGCACGGAGCCAGCCGGGGGGTCTGAGGGACTGGGGGACTGGGGGAGGGGACCCTGTGGACTGCTTGCTGCCAGAGCGATGCGGGAGAGATCTTGATGCTCGTACTGGGGCCTATCTGGGATTTGGAGTGTTCGGCCAGGGCTTAAATCTATTATTATTCGCCGGACGGCGATTCGAGCAGGGAGGATGGCAGGGGGGCGGGCAGGAGGCTTGGCTAGGGGGACGCTTGCAAACGCCACCGACATTGGCAAGCCCCCGGCCCCAGCATTTCTGAGCCTGCCTGCCAGCCAGTGCCTTCCTGCCTGTCTGTCTGTCCTCTGCTTGGCACTTTCTCTGGCAACACTCCAGTGACTCCACTCCACTACTCCACTCGCTCGACGGCACACCGCGCGCCCCCTGCCCCCCCAGACGTGTGGCCACTGGCCAGCGTCATTTCGGGGTCCATCGTCTGAACTGCGATTTCTGTGACCAGCGACGAGCAGAGCAGCGCGGAGGAGCAGAGCAGAGCAGCCCCCTGCACGTACATCACTCCAGTGCCACAGGGCCAGTCAGAATCGCTGCCTCCAGTCGCTGCATCACTGGACTTGGACTCCTCCCACACCACACCCGCTGGACATCCCCACTGCCCACTGCCCTGTACGTCAGTCGACGGAAGTAAATAGTAGTGTCAACTTGCAACTTGTTGCCGTTGCAGCAGTTGCAGCAGGAGCAGCAGGAGCAGCAGGAGCAGCAGGAGCAGCAGGAGCACGAAAGCCTGCCCTGCCCGCCTGTGCCCGTCACTACGGACACTGCTGGCCACCTCGCGCTGCCATGGCATCAGCAGCTCCGTCACCGTCCCAATCCCCTCCCACACTGCTGTACACCTACGCCATGGCTGCCCTCATTACCGCAATCGTCGTGCACATCCATTCCACCCGCCCAAAGCAGCTGCGCGGGCTGGCAGGCACGCTGGCCCATCCAGTCGGGTTGGTCAGACATTCTCCAGGTCCTGAGGGCCTGGCAGCACAGAACAGCGAGTGGCGCCCTAGGCCGCTTTCGATCCTTTGAAACTCCCACGGCCCACCTTGCCTTGATACACACACCCCCTTCTTATTCATTGTGTGCCGTCGCTGCTATTCGCTCACGCCTCACGCGGAGGTGGCTGCCCACTGGTGGGTGCTCTAAAAAAGACCTTCCGCATGTCTCTGCGAGGAACTCTGAAATACCCGTTGTGGAGGCGCGCCGGCTTCACACTCGACCAGCCCGCCATCTGAGCAAATATGGAGGCCCTGCACTTGTTTATTCTGCTTTTGGCTCTGCTTCCACCATGCTAGTCGGTCCATTGAGCTGGTCCTACACGCACTTTGTGCAACCGCGATCTTGGCCTGCTCAAACTACCGTGCGTCCCAGCTAGCTGCTCGGGATTTTTGTTTATGGCACCCGCATCCCTGCCGAACCTCCATCATAGATAGCACATACCCCTACCTATGAGGAAATCTTATGTAAAGCATCTTTGCCCCCGGCCTGGTGATCGTCCATATACTTCCCGTATCCTCACGTCGTCTCTCTCCATCACCATTATTTCTTCCCAACGACGCCCCTAAAGTACCACCAGCTAAGAAATACCGCCGACTACACGACGCAGAGGCCTCAATCACCCCGTGGCCTCTGATCATCACTATTCTCATCCAAGTCCCCAAGCGTGATCTCGCTGCATCCGACCACAAACACGTTTTGGCATCTCTCTACCAGTCGATCTTCAGACTGCGGATAGATATTGACAGCTTCACTACGCCCTCGAAGTGGATCTATTTCATGAGCTTATTTTCCAACGACGCCTCCGCTCATTCGAATTGAGAACCTTGCACTCCCCCACCTCACGAGTAGGAGCACGTTCTTAGCGGCAGGAGGGAATTAAAAGAGACTACTTGTCTGGTGTCGATCTTTCCTGAAGACATCACACATTTGTCCACGCCCCACTGTTCACTCTTCCATCCCAGAGTTCAAGGAGAGGCAGTTCATAAGCCGCCCTCTTCGCCATCCTTCATCAGACGAATCATAAGCCATTCACCCAAGGACTACCTCCAACAGATCTGGGGACCAACCAGATTCCTGGACCCTTGACCTCGCCTTCTCTACCGACAAGCACATAAGAACGCTGATCCCACCCACCAAGACGAAACTGATCGTCTCTCCAACTCGTGCGAACTCACCTCGGCCTGACCTGACACGCTCTTCCTCGGGATCCTGCATCTGATCCACGCATCTTTGACACTACTACTGTAATTCTCCTTGGAGAATCTACACATCGTTGTCGCATTTGATATAGATCATCTTTGAAAAAAGATGACTATGACCATCGACAATCAACAACGCTTCGGCGGCATGAACTTCGACCACATGCCTTACTCCAACTCCCCTCAGTTTACCAACCCATGGACTTCAGCTCCCGCTCAAGGCCACACCCTTTATGCTTCCTCTCACAACCACCTCAATCCCAATCTGGGACTCGATGGCCTTGCAAAGCAGCAACACGCCCGGATGAACAGCAATGTGTCCCTGGGATCTTATGCTAGTGTACCCATCACCACGGCATCAGCAGGTAGCCCTCTCTTAGCGGATGTCTATGGTTCGCAGGATTTACTCACCATGCCCCAAGATTTGTTGAGTCCAAACCGTTCTGTATCAACTGGATATGGGAATGAAACTGGATACGCAAATGCTACTTCGCCGGTGCACAATGCCTATGCGCCTACATCAACCCCTTACGACTCAATGGGCTACGCCCCAGCACCTGTACGATCTACATACGCCCTCCAGCAGCAAGATAACTCGAGACGATTATCACAACCGTCAGTGCCCTCAACTTCCTTCCTCGACCTGTCGGAAGACGCGCAGCGCCTCCAACGCCAGAACTCCCTTATTGACTTCAGTGACAGAGGCCTACAAAACGAGTCGACTCGAAGCTTCGGCGAGGCGATTGATGCCAGCCGAGGGATGATCGCCATGAGCCAAAACGCCACTCCACGCAACATCTATGGACCCCAAGGTCGTGGCGGAAGAGGATCGGGCGATTCATACGGCTTCCCCACGACAACCCATTCAACCAGCTCATCAATATCATCAACGAGCAACTACCCGTCTTACTTTGGCGGCTCTGTTGACTCCTCCGTGAGCGATTACTCGAATGCGGGGTCAGACATTGAGTCGGTCTCGTCGCGGACACTCCCGAGACCCTCAGGTCTGCTCAATGGTGGTATCCCTCCTGCGCCACAATCGATGATGGGCCAGTTTAGTTCCAAAGTGTCATCCAGCACACAAAAGAAGCACAAGTGCAAAGTCTGCGACAAGCGATTTACGCGACCCAGTTCGTTGCAAACACATATGTACAGTCATACGGGAGAGAAGCGTAAGTTTTCTGCTTAGCAGTTTCAGTCAATTATGTACTAATATGGAGTAGCATTTTCATGTGAAGTTGAAGGCTGCGGGCGACACTTTTCCGTTGTCTCGAACCTGCGCAGACATCGCAAAGTCCACAAGGGTGAAGCCCGCTCGGAGGCTGGATCTGAAGACCATCAATCGGATGATTAGCTTCCTCACGCTCAACTTGTACGAAAATCGGCGGTGACTTGTTGATATGCGCGGTCTCTGGTCACTTAGACACTTCACGAAAAGTCGGTCAAAAAGTCGGAAGACGCATCTGTCCCTTGAGTTTTTGCGGTTGGCGATATCCCTTCTGCGAGTTGATATCCACTATGCGGGAAATTGATTGTTTTTAATGCTACGATTCCGTTATGCCGCTCTAGACGAATATTCGGTTCTAATACTTTCACTAAGAGAGCGTCCTTGGTCTGGGACGGTCATATGGGAATGGGAATCACTCCTCGGGAGTGTTGCTTTTACAGGCGTTCAGGAAGGTTAGCAGCGACTAGCGAACACGTCGATATGGCGAGGGCTTTGTACTGGGGTATTATTGTACTACTAGGTGCTGATTTCTTACTCTCGTTAGATATACCCCTATAGCCTGAAGAGGACTGTAGCACTGTCATTACGACGATTAATATAATGAATACAATACAATAAAGCACTCCAACTCAGTCGTTGTGACGCTGACAAGCACTTCTATCCAGCAGCCATGCCTTCCACCCCAGGGTCTCTTCACTCACCAACTTACCAAGGCCTTACCGCCGTCGCAACTGTGGAACTGGAAATTAAAAAATCGGGCGAACCCCACCAGCAAAACCGAAAATCCCCAGTGCGCTCACGCCGATCAGCGCCCAAAAAAGCCACGGTCGCCGACCACGGGTTGGCTGATTGGCAAATCCCGTGACATTTCTTGGGGTTTGGCAACTTGCAACGGCCGCAGCGCTGATACGAGGCAAAGGGCCGGGTATCAGATGCTGCTGATGTGCTGCTGCAGAGAATGACGATAGAGCTGGCCGGGGGGCAGACCAACATGAAACAGCAGGGCTGGCTGTCAAAGATTGTTCCGCAGCCTAAAGAAGCCAACGGCCCCATGTCTGGTTCCAAGGACCCTGGGGGCTTTTGTGGTGGTGGCGGAGCAAACCCTTACCATGGTATGATGAGATCTCAATGCCTTCATTCCAACGCGCTCGGCGCTTCCCACAACGCGTCGGCTTCTTCCACCACACACGAAAAAAGGGAGAGGGAAAGGGAGCAGAGGGGGGGGGGGCTTCAGGGGAAGCGGCAACGGCTGGAGACAAGCGGTTCGAGAGATGGGGGGAGGGAGCAGTGACGCTGGAGCATCATCATGCCTCGACGAGGCAAACCATTCACGGACCCTGGCGCGGGCAAGGCGCAAAGTATGCGTTCATCTTGCGGTGCATCATTGGCAGAGCAGACAAGCACCAACGGGAGAGCAGTTTTTTCAGGGTCCAAAGGCCCCACCATTGCGTGGTGCCCTGCAATGTTCGAACGGTGGGTGTTTGCAGCAACCTTGTCGACCTTGTCGACCTTGCCAGCCCCTTGTCAATGACATCGACCGCGGTTGCGGCGATGCTCTTGCTTACTTTTGCTTGCTCAAGCTTGCTCCAGCTCGCTCAAGTCTAAACTTCACTTCGCACTCCGCTCCGCACTCCGCTCCGCTATTCCGTGCTCCGTCCATGACTGACCACTGGCACTGGCCGTGAGGGGAGACGGTGTGCGCCAACCAGCGGCCCAAATCGTCCGGGCGGATGAGGGAAGGGATGCAGCTGCTTTGGGAATCTTGTGCGACGTGGACTCGCGCACTCGTGGAGGGCTGCCCCCCCTCGACGTAGGTGGCGTCGGCCCTCGCAGGGATGGCTACCAGGGAGTTCGATGGGGGTGCATTGCCGTCAAGGGTCAGGGCGCTGGGCTTCCCTGCTGCATTGGAGCCTTGCGACTGAGGCAGCAACGACTTCTTCCGGGCACGTGAGGTCCGCTGTCTTCAAGGTACTTCTGAAGTCATCTCCATTCTCCAATTTCCAGCCCAATACACAATGTAACCAACGTGCTGCGGGCTCCGCGAGACGGGGTTCCACTTGATTTTGGCACAGCCCCCACCCGCAGACCGTCCCAGCAGCTTGGGATAGGATGGATCTTGTGCTCAACTCTGCTACCAGCATCAAACTACCTGGTGATGATGGTAACACCACTTGGTTTTGTCGCACGAGAGGAAAGTTGGACAGAGTAGGTTGCACCGCCGCAAAGGAGGCCTCCTATTTTCCCTTGCAGTCGCCGACCGTCATTCAGGAAATCGATATACCGAGCATCTGGATACCTCCGGAATGCTGGTGTCACGGTTTTCCCATCAGACGCCCGTGCGAAATGGAAATGCAGGAGCGGGTGTAGCAGTCGACCCCAAAGTTCTGGGTACAGTACAGGAGAGGCCGTAAGGATGTGGTGTGCCTGTCGGTGGTGCTACAGGCCGGCTCAACAGTAGAAGAAGCGCGGGGTGAGAGGGGTGAAACAAAGAACAGAAGAAAAGAAATATCGCACTCCAAATTTCTCAACTTCAGATTGGTTCCCCTATGATACAGCCAGCGAACTACCCTCCCTCCAGCTCACTAGCACCCTTTAATCACACATCCAGAAACGCCTCCCTTCTATTCTGCACCCCCAACTTAAATAACAATTGCCAGCTCGTGTCTCACCATTTGCTCGTCGTCCAAGTCGGGGTAAAATGGGACCATCGAATCCGCACTTTGGGTGTATGCAGAATTGTAAATTCGCCAATATGGAACGCGAACCTTTCGTGCTGGGTGGAAAAGTCCAGCCCAAACATAGTTCATGACCAGACCCGGTCCAATAGCCATCCTGATTGCATCTACGGCTTCAAGAACCCGATCGATGACATGAGGACTGGTCTCAAAGAGGTTGGGCCACAGCAAGTTCAGTAAGTGAAGCATTGCATCCTCACAACCAAGACCAACCACGCCCAGTGCAACGTGCTTCACGACAGCGCTTGCAGTTTGACGATGAACCTGGTCCCGGTCAATTAAGGCGTCCTCAAGCAGAGGCGTGACTGCATAGACATAATCCTTTGCCATTTCGCCAATGTATTCGAAGAGGAAGGAGAGTGATTTCAGAACGCCATTCTGGACGTTCAGCTCAGGTACTCGATATTCGTTCATGAGGGCGGGAAGGACAGTGAAGGGTGCACATGTTTCCGCAACAATGCCAATCGCCACAGCAGTGCAAACCCGCGATTGTCTCTCTTGAACTCGCAAATTATTCAGCAGCGTCGCGAGCACGTCCTGTGGTCCAATTGCTTTCGCAATGAATCCGAAAGTGTTGTTGGCAGCTCGACGAATTCCCTTCTTGTGAGCCTTAAGCATGTCGAGGAGTTCGAAACAAATTCTCATCCACTCTCTAGCGTTGACACTTTCTGGACCGCGATCCGCGATACGGCCAACCAAGTCAATCGTGTTTTCCTGCACCTTTTCGTGCCGATTTCGCAAAATGGGTGTAAGGCGGGGAAGTAAATCCTTGATCGGTGGTTGCATCTGGTTGATGCCAACAACTGTGACGATGGAGCGGAGAGCGCCCAGAATTGAACCGAGAACCTCCGGATACTCTTCTCCAAGGTATTCGTAGAGGACGATACCAAGTTTGCCCATCAGGGCATCTTCGCCACATTGCTTCATGACCATGGCAATGCGCGAAATCAAGTCGGCGGCTTGCTGTCGCACAGTTGCGGACTTGTTGTTTAAGCGCCACAAAATTGTACTGACGAGCTGGGGAATATAAGGCTTACATCGGGCCCCTAAGGCATTTACAACCGTGCCGAAGCCATTGAGCATCACAATATCCTCAACGCTTTGTTCTTGGAAGGAATAGAGAATGCCGTCAATCAGTCGTTCCTCCAGTCGCTCTCCAATATCTGCAGCACCCAGGCTGGCAATGACTTTCTCCACCGTCTCCACTGTCATCTTCCGATAAGCTTCACTCTCATCCTTCAAATTGTTGACGATCCGCTCAACAATTTCACTGACGCCAACCTTTTGACCAAGATCAACGGTAGTGTCGACAACCTGTCTGTAGTTGCGCTTGTCCAGGGCCATTCGTCGAACCCAAAAACTTTGGAAGAACTCGTCCAAGACGTGCTGCTTTAGGTAGCCAGCTGTGACACCATCTGTACTTGCACACTGAGAAACCACCTTGAGCACAATTTTCTTCATCTCCTCATCTGGAGATGAGAACTCGCGAAGCAGAATCTCCATGATCTGGCTGGTGTAATAATTTGCATACTCCTCGTCCATCAAGGGAATAACAAATCCAACGGCTTTCAGGAAAGCTGCCAAACCCTTGCCTCGTTGCTTCCTTAAAAAAAAACAAGTTAGCGATATTGAGAGGTTATTGACTGTAAAGAGAATGAGTCCAGTCCAAGGAGAGGTCCAAAAAGAGGTTCCAGGGAGTGCTTTTAGTCGAGCTGGGAGCTCGACAGGGCAGCAAGGTGCCTACCGCTGCGATTATGCCTCTTCAAGTGCTAAAATGTCTCAAAAGCAACGCTGCAAAAAGTACATTTGTGGGGTTTGTTAGGTCAGCGAGGGCCGTGGCCTTCTGGAGGCGGGATTCAGTCTTGTTGTGCTCATCTAAACTGTATTGTGAAACCTTGGAGACTTTGCAAAGCGCGCAATAGAATGTTTTGGCTTTTCTAATCCTGCGTTCTGAGGTCTTATTGGATGCTTGGTTGTTCTCGTAGCGTTGAGCAGCTTGAAGTCGCCGGAGACTGTTTCGGTCAAGCAACACTGGGTGCAGCAGCCGTCGTACTCCAGGGTGGAACGGTCCTAAGGACACATTGAAGACATGCCATAATCCATATTGACTGTCCGCATTGCCCAGAAGATGTAGGAGAATGCAGCTTCAAGAGTGACGAACAAGATACGGATCGAAGGTTGTAGGGACATCAGTGGAAGAGGGATCCAGCAGATTAGCCCAACATGAGTGATCTTATAACCTTCTTTAAGAGCTTTTTTAACCAAGTCGGGTAAGTTGTCGCCTCGCCTGTAATTGAGAATTCGTCTGTGGACGTCAATCTTTTTCTGTCTCGCTACCGATATATATCTTCGGTCGGGAAGAGGGTTTCTCGAGTTGAACGAGAAAAATAGCCCAAAGCCGATCGGTGTCCAGAGGGGAACGCAAAGTTTGAAATGTTGGATAGTGGGCGGCGCAGCAGCTTGAAGTGTCTCCCAAAGACCTGGAGCAAACGTAATGGAGACCGTAGAGGCGATGTCCTGGAAGATTGATTGACTTGGGAGGATCTGACCAATGAGGCTGTTCTTTTGGTTGGCAGGTGTGCTGCTCAGACAGATTTAGGTCATTAGCAAGACCAGTGAGAGGATGTCTGTTGCATTGAAAGCGATAGTGGTTCACGATCAAAGCTCTCTGGAGGCGTTGGGCCAAGTTTGCAGCTTGACTGTACTCTGACAGCTGGATCTAGACACCATGTAAGCCATTGGTTCCTAAGTTGCTATAGATATTATACTTACATCGAGCAAGAGAACGTACGAATCGACAGCGTCAATTTGCCAGCTCTGAAGATGGTGACAGTAGTTGGTGAAGAGTGTTAGAGAGGGCGAGACGGAAAGTACTCTTAAGTGAGGTCCATCCAGAGGGAGGTCCCATCCGGTGTTCAAGGTGTCCGGGTCCATAGAGGGCAAGTCCAATCCAGTTAGACAAAAAGAAAAAAAACACACGTACCTTGCCCCAATCCAGAGGGGTTTCAAGATATCGTCGAAACTCTCGATACCATATGGGTGAGCTGCTTCAGCTAGTGCTGCAATAGACAAGCTTGCCTGTGTTCTCACTTTGCTTTGGTCATCTTGGAGGCAAATGCCGATGCAGTCGACGAGGCCTTTGAGGTGTGGCAGAACAGCACAGCCCATCATGATCGGAATCTGTTGAATGACTCTGCAGCCAGTATGTCGTGCCTGCCAGGACTTCTTGCTTCTACATACTGCTCGCAAAAAGGGAAGAAGGGCAGGAATGCCAAGAGCCTTGGCAACGACAGCGAAAGCTCTTGCGGTAGTGTTGCGTACGTTCTCATCGACATGATCAATATCAGGTCGCATGGTGCTGATCATGTGAGCGAGACCAGCGGCTTTGCTAAGGTTGGAGATGATTTCTTGACCTTCCATCCGTGCATAATAATCTTGGTCGATCAAGAGTGGTTCAATGACAACCAAGATCTGGTGGACGTGGGGTCTAACCAGTTCATCAAGTTTATAAAGAACGCGGTCGATGACTTTGACCAGTAGATGTCGCTCCTGATCTTCTAGGGACCGTTCGAATAAAAGTGGTAGAATTTCCTTGAAAAGAGGGCCAGCACCAAACTGGCGGGCATTATCGGTGAGCTGACGAAGAGCGGTCTTTCTCATCGGTGGGGTGCCATTTTTGACCTTTAGCAAGAGTCTGAGAATTTTTCGCTGTTTCAACTCCTCTACAGTCATTTCGTTCTCATCGCTTCCGTCGGTAAGCTTGCCGAAATAAGCCATATCTTCTGCTTTGAAGAATTGGAGATCTCCTACTCCGGGTATTTCAGTTGGCAGCTGCTTTCCGAGGGCCCTGCCACTTTCCGGATCCTGCATCATGAAGCCTCCAAAGCCGGAAGCACCTCCAGCTGGAGCTGGAGTGGCCATGAGTTTCTGGGCGATGGTGCGAATGGGGGCATATCCAGGAGGCGGCTCAAGAATCTTGTATCCCTCGCTAGGCAACATCATGTCCAGCTCCTCGTCTGAAAGTGGAGCGTTGCGCATCGAGATATCGGTACCAAAGGCTGTTGGCATCACCGGACCTCCCATTTGCGAAGGGTGCATCGGTGTAACTAACCCTTGATTGCCAATAGGCGTGGCAGCGGGTGCTTGATCCCATCTTGACCGCCGTCGAGGGGTCTCATCAACGGGTGCGCCACCAATGGCAGGTGTCTGATCCCATCGTGAGCGTTTGATTTTCGACTCTGCAGACTGAGCAGCGGCATCAGCAGATTCCGAAGCAACATCCCATCTCTGCTTTCTCTTGCGGCCAGCAGGGACGACATCTGTGGATCCGGCATCCTTATTGTCCTTGTCGCTTGGAGAGCCACTGTCTTCTTTCGTCAGCGTAGCTACGTGGGGAGCCGTCTCGCCATTTGCTGCTTTCTCCTCGATCGCCCTTTTGACCCGTTCCTCTTCCCTCTCAAATTCCCTTCTTGCCATAATCTCCCGATAGCTCTCTCCATCCTCAGCCGCTCCATTCGCAGCGAAAGGGTCCGCCCTCGTTGGAGTTAGAGCTCGGTTGAAACGTCGCTTCTGGTATTCAGTCTCACGATCTATGATACGTGCACTCTTCTCTCTGCCTAAAAGGATGTCCTCCTCCTCGACTCCGTTGCCGTGGGCGAATTCATTCATCTGCTCCTTCGAAGCTGTATATTGACCGACCAGCCGCCTGCTCGTGTCTTCCTCCATAGCGTCATCATCATCGCCATCTGCCACAGCTATAGATGTGTTGTAGCCTGCAAATTTGTCCCCTCCGTCGCGCTCGTAAAGGGACGTGTCGAAGCTTTCGGTCAGGGAGGCCTTCGTGGAGACATCAGTTCGCTGACTTGACGGATCAAATGTCTTTGATCCCTTCTTACCAGCAGAAGCGGCATTCCGCTCAGCTTGCAGCTTCCTGATCGTGTCAAAATCGGAGTCCGACATGGTTGGATGGAGTGGCGTGAACTGGTGAAGAATCAATCATTCTCGTCGTTCGTCGTGCATATATGATTTCGAAGACTCGCTTAATTAGCGGCTGCACCATGCCCCAATGGGGCAATTTTACCACATGCTGATCACGTGATATTTCTTGAGTTCCTGTCGCCTTTTCTGGCAACATCAAACTCTGAGCTTCGTATTAAGGGATTACCGTATGAAAAGCTAATTGGTACGGTTTAAGTAACAAAGGTGTTTTCGTAGTCACTGACTCCCACATGGCAGAACGAGTGTGTGAGGAACCCTGAGTGCGCAACAATCGTGTTCATCTCCACTTTTTTGATTTGATAATGCCTTGCAATAAGTTACAGTTGGGTGGAAGATTTATGCCTCTTAGCTGCAAGAAAAGCAATTTGGGTCTAGTCGACTGGCAGGCAGATTAGTTCCTGGTCTTGATATCTCCAGTTCATTTTAGACCTCATTATTTTGGCAAGCTTCAAGGTCAACTTCGCACTACAGACAGCAAGACTCGGCTTCATGTTACACAAGCAATCATCACATCAACTAGGAAGAGAAAGTGCTATCGGGTAGAAAAATGGAAATGAAGTAGGGAAGAGAAGAAGCAGAATGGAATTGAAGAGCTCGAAAGGGGGTAGATCATGCTTAGGTCAAGTTTTGTGCACTTAGTGCAGCAGGTGCTCATGATCATGACAATTTTGAATTTTTGGGCCACAATTGTCATTGACAATTCCTTCAGCTCCCCTGCACCTTGAACGTACGTCCGCTGGCTGTCTTTCTTTCCTTTTCTTCGTTTTCCGGGCGGGCTCTCCGTAACACTTTTTTGTGTCAGCAGAAGCGTTCAACATCTTGTTCGGAGGATCAAACCTGCCTTGTAGGAAATCCGCGGTGCGTCTGCGCATTCTTGAATGGATGTACGCCTAGTATTCGTCAGAATCAAACATGCAAAGTTCGGGCGTGTTTCCCACCTTAGAGGCTTTAATGTGGTAGTGAAAGTAGTCGCGGAATGTCTGGATGTGGGAGATAACCTCATCTCGTCGCTGTCGAGTCAGATGCCTTGGGAAGAGGACTGCAAGCAATTTAGCATGGGTCCACAACGAAAGTAATCTCCACGCACCAAAGGTTACATAGCCAATCTCGCCATTTCCAGAGTCCTTAACGCCAGGGACCCCTTGTAGCTCCAAAGGAGGGTCTGTTCTGAACAAGACTTGCGGGGCATTTTGGATGGCTCTCCGCCTTGCGTCAACGAATTCTTGAATAAAGACCTTGCCAAACACTCGATCTGTTTCTTCCCGAAAAATTGTACTGAAAATCACAGTGACTCTGTCGTGGCTTGCCTTGATGTAGATTGCCTCTTCATCACGATAATGAATAGCCATTACTTGGCCCCCTTCTCGAACACCTTGTGGTGCTTCTTCTGAAGTAAATTTAGAAGCTTCCTCCTGCAGTTTGTGATGTTCGTCGAATGCGTGCTCGAAGGGCGCAGCCATTGCATTTCGCTTCAATAGGGAAACCCTCCGGATCAGGTCGTCTCGTGCTTCTTGGCGGTGGACTCATATCAGCACTCAAATGAGAGCCGGCACAAAGGAGAAGAACCTTACCTCTGTCATCAGGGAGACTGTCCAAGTCCACCTGCACCGAGAAATTGTAGCCATTTTCCGGGGCAACGACATATGGGCCGTATTCTCGTTCCAGTACCTCCTGCGCACCATATTTCACCAACTCATTGAAGCATTTGACTTGGATCGAAACGAGGATCTTGGTTTTGGATTCTGGAGTCGAGATATGGAAGGTTACCCCATCGAAATCCGACACAGTCTGGTCGATATTGACGGGAGAGGCACTGGACGAGGCACCGTTAGAGGGGTCAGATGCGGAAACAAGTCTGGAGGCTCACCCCGAAAATCGCTCAGTCAGAACAGATTGAATCAGGACGTTCTGGTAGTCTAGAAGAAGCATTGTGGGTGCTTTCCAATGTAGCGTTGTTTTTTCTCGAGTTTAAAAGGCTATTATTGCTGGCTGAAGGCTGACGTCCCAGGGCTTCGTGGGGTTGTTCATCAAACTAACCCTCTTTTGGCCGTTCTGCGATATGCGCTCCACCCTTATCGCCAGCACTAGTAACATTTGGTATCGCTTCAAAAAAAAAAAGTTCGAGGGCTCATTTTGCGACAAGGCGTAAAGATGGTCAAATCATACCTGTGAGTCTTTTCATATTGGCAAAGCAGACCCGATACTAATGCACACTGTCTCAGGAAGTACGAACAGTCGAAAATCTTCGGTCTCGTCAATTCAAGCACATCAAATGCTATTTGGTCTGCAGATACAGATACCTCCCGAAATACAGGTGCGGGCAGGGCCATAGTCCCTGCAAATGAAGAAGTCCTGTGTTGGGATATCAAGAAGGGGGAGCTGTTGAGTCGGTGGAAAGACAATAATTGCAGATCACAGGTCACCGCTATCGTCCAGAGCACAACCGACAACGATATCTTCGCCGTCGGGTATGAAGACGGGAGCATACGGCTTTGGGATTCAAAAATCGCAACGATCATTGTCAGCTTTAATGGTCATCGATCAGCTATTACAGTGCTGGCTTTTGATCCATCCGGAGTTCAACTTGCAAGTGGTTCGAAAGATACGGATATCATATTATGGGATTTAATCGCTGAGGTGGGCTTGTTTAAGTTGAGGGGCCACAAGGATCAGGTTACGGGCCTCGAATTTCTTCGGGCGGAAGCTCCTAGACCAAAAGAGGAAAATGGAGAAAGCATCGTTGGAGAGTACGACAACTCGAGTGTTCAAGGAGGCTATCTTCTCACTACTGGCAAAGATGCCCTCATCAAACTCTGGGAACTCACCTCGCGGCATTGCATAGAGACTCATGTTGCACAGACGAACGGGGAATGCTGGTCACTTGGTGTCTCACCGGATGGTAGTGGTTGCATTACTGCAGGAAACGATGGAGAGTTGATAGTTTGGTCGATCGACATCGCAGGTCTTGGCCAACTTTCCAGCCGGATGGATGATAATGGAAGTCGCTTCTTGCACAACAGGGGTGTCCTTCATCGCACAGGTAGGGACCGAACTCTAGAGATCAAATTCCACCCGCGACAAGATTATATTGCTGTGCATGGATCTGAAAAAAACGTGGAACTATGGAGGATCCGGTCCGAAGAGGAGGTGAAGAGGAGTTTGGCGCGGAAGCGTAAGAGAAGACGAGAAAAACAAGCTACGGATGGAATGAAAATGGATTTGGACGCAGAAAAGACGGATCCAGTGGAGACGAATGATGATATATCAAGTGTTGAAATCGGAGACTTCTTCGTCCCTTATCTGATCGTTAGGACTGGTGGGAAAGTCCGCTCGGCGGACTGGGTCAAACAGAAAGCTTCAAATGTCGTGCAACTACTGATATCTACGACCAACAACCAATTGGAGGTTTATGCTGTCGATACAATTGATAAAACACGGAAATCGAAAAGGGATGAAGCGTCATACTCCCGAGCCCTAGCGGTTGAGTTACCAGGCCACAGGGCTGATATTCGAGCTTTGGCACTTAGCTCGGACGACAGAATGCTTGCAACGGCATCTAATGGTGGCCTGAAGATCTGGAATGTACGTACAAGAGGCTGCATTCGCACTTTTGAATGTGGCTACGCCTTGTGCTGTGCCTTCTTGCCTGGAGACAAGATAGTGGTTGTTGGCAATAAATCTGGGGAATTGCAACTCTTCGATGTTGCCTCGGCTGCGCTTCTCGGAACCGTGACGGCGCACGAGGGTGCAGTATGGGCTCTGCAGATCCACCCAGACGGAAGGTCACTTGTTTCGGGAAGTGCTGACAAGTCGGCCAAATTCTGGGACTTCGAAGTCATTCAGGAAGAGATTCCCGGTACGAAACGGACCACGCCTAGACTGGGACTTGCTCACACGAGAACTCTAAAAGTCTCGGATGACATACTCAGTCTTCGATTTTCACCGGATTCTCGAGTGCTTGCAGTAGCACTTTTAGACAACACCGTCAAGGTATTCTTCCTCGACTCGCTAAAACTTTTCCTGAATTTGTACGGCCACAAGTTGCCGGTTTTAAGCATGGATATCTCCTTCGACAGCAAGCTGATAGTTACTTGCTCTGCCGATAAGAACATTCGGCTCTGGGGCCTCGACTTTGGTGATTGCCACAAGGCATTCTTTGCTCATCAGGATAGTATTCTCCAAGTTGCCTTCGTGCCTCACAATCAGGATGGCAACGGGCACTACTTTTTCAGCAGTAGTAAAGACAAGACAATCAAGTACTGGGATGGCGACAAATTCGAGCAGATTCAAAGGCTGGATGGCCATCATGGGGAAATATGGGCCCTAGCTGTGAGTCGTACTGGCAACTTTCTTGTGAGTGCTAGCCATGACAAGAGCATCCGAATCTGGGATCAGACAGACGAGCAAATCTTTTTGGAGGAAGAGAAAGAAAAGGAATTGGAAGAATTGTACGAAAATACCCTGGCAACATCACTGGAGCAGGGTGAAGATAAGGACAATGAGGTAGAGGTTGGTACTGTCTCAAAACAGACAATCGAAACTCTTACTGCCGGGGAAAGAATTGCAGAGGCCCTGGAGATCGGGATGGTAGACCTAGGCAACATGAAGGATTGGGAGGTGGCAAGGTCGACGCAGCCCAACATTGCACCACCATCTCGAAATCCTCTGTTTATCGCTCTGGGGGGGGTCAGCGCCGAGACACACGTCCTAACAGTCCTTCAAGGCATCAAGGCCGCGGCCCTGCAAGACGCTCTCCTGGTTCTGCCTTTTGCCACAGTCCCACCTCTCTTTACATTCCTCAACATCTTCGCCACAAAGTCAATGAATATCCAGTTGACCTGCCGGATCCTTTTTTTCATGCTCAAAACTCACCATAGCCAAATTGTTGCGAGCAAAACCATGAAGCCGATGCTAGAGGGAATTAGGGGAAACTTACGGATGGCCTTGAAAAGACAGAAGAACGAGATGGGATACAACCTTGCCGCGTTGAATGTTATCGGTGCCCAGATGAACGAGAATACTGTGGACTATGTTGATGATAGAGAGGGCGATGAGAGCAGGAGTACACGGAAGCGGGGCTTTGTGCAAGTAGCATAGCATAATTTACAATCCCTAGTGACCGCTGCTTGCATGATGCCAAATTCTCAGATGTGACTTAGAAGCTTAGAACTGTATCCCCACGATCCTCGGAAGGAAGAGACATCTCAATCAAATGCACACTTCTCGCGAGTGTTGGCAGAGACGCCTTGCTTGTTCCAGGTCTTCGGCTTGAATTCCTGTTTCCGTGTGTAGGGGTCTCCACAAGCTCCTTACCGGGCTTCTCACTCGAGCTTGCTAGATTGGGTTGGTGCCCGAGCCGAGCCGAGGCTGTTCTGTCAACGACATACAACAACGGCCCTCCGCTCCCTCTTCTAAGATGGCGACAATTTTGCTATTCGATTTCCGCTTCAGTCTTCACAATGGCAGGCGCCGTGAGGCAGCCCATCGATGTGCAGTCGCTTGAGCGGTTTATATCCCAAAATGTTCCGGAAATCAAGACTCCAATTGACATCAAGCAGGTAACCTTTCATACCCGCCAAGCAATCCCCACCCCAACCTCTCTAATCTCTTACAGTTTGGATTTGGACAATCAAATCCCACATACCAGCTTACAGGGAACGATGGAGCCAGATTCGTGATGCGGAAGAAACCTCCCGGAAAGTTGGTTTCGAAAACTGCACACCAAGTCGAGCGGGAATACAAAATCATTCACGCCTTAGAGAATACCGACGTTCCCGTGCCAAAGGCGTATTGTCTCTGTGAGAATGACAAGGTCATTGGAACCCCATTCTACATTATGGAGTTTCTAGATGGGAGGATCATCGAGGATCCTACCATGCCTGATGTAACACCTGCCGAAAGGACAGAAATGTCGGTACAGGATATCTGCTGTGATACGACTGATCGTTAATCTTCGCTGCAGGTGGCACGATGCCGTCCGAACATTGGCCAAGCTCCACCGGATCAATCCCAGAGATGTAGGACTGGAGGACTATGGCAAGCCTTCTGGTTTCTACGATCGTCAGATCAGAACCTTCTCTGCGATCTCTAAAGCACAAGCCGCGACAGTTGATGTTGATACTAAAGTTCCCGTCGGACAAATACCTCATGTTGAGGAGATGTTGACATTTTTTCGGGACAAGAAATTTCAACCGAAGGACCGGGGAAACCCCATTCACGGAGACTACAAGATTGACAACCTGGTCTTTCATAAGACGGAACCCAGGGTCATTGGTATACTAGAGTGAGTAGCTTTAAAACTGTGGAATATAGGCTCTGCTGACCTTAACATAGCTGGGAAATGTCTACTATCGGCCACCCATTATCAGACCTTATCAACCTGACTACCCCTTATTATATGATCAATCAAACGCGAATCAGAAACCTACCTGCTTTTACAGAAGGGGCAACTCCGGGTCTACCGACACAAAACGACCTCATGAAATGGTACGCTGAGGTAGCAGGCTGGGACCCATCCCCTGACTTGACTTGGGGAATCGCATTCGGATTTTTCAGAGCGACATGCATTTACCAGGGAATCGCGGCCAGGTGGGCAGTAAGACAAGCAAGCAGTGCAAAGGCGAAGGACCATGCCCAAGCTCGGCATCCAATGGGACAACTAGCATGGGATCATGTCCAGAGTGCTCTGCAACAAACAAAAGAGAGGCCAAAACTATAGATCGTTTGACGATGAAAATACATCATGATTTTTTCAAACGGCACGGTTGCCACCACTTCTCTGTAGACATTGGCTAATGTTGCTTCTTGGGCCTGGCAAACTCAGGATTTTCTTCACTCTCCCTGCTGTACAGTACTTCATGCATTGTGCTCGTTTTTGGCATTTGGTTTTGTGCTTACTGCAAGAAATGTCGAATCGTAGTCTCAGACTAATCGTCTCGAGGGGCAATGGGAAGGAGATAAGTGAGAATCGGTTCCATAATCTTGCCTGTTGCCCCCATGTTCCTTGCTACCCTGGAAATCATCTTGATTTGCAAAGCCTTGATAAGAGGATAAGCACCTTGAAGAACACCACCGTTTAGACCAACTTCGGTGGGCAAATCCCTTGGCGTTTGCCAAGAAAAGGGCACTCTCTGTTACTGTGGCAGGCCTCCAGAAGAGCTTCTTCCCCCCTGTCCACAATAGACCCATTGTTTGCATGGATGTATAATCACAATTGATAAGATAGATCTATTTGATCAAGCTGGTTTTTTCTTCCAGCGATATCCTGACAACCCTGAGCAAACAATTTGAAGCAGAGGCTCTCTTTATTCGTTCTAGCTTTCTGGGGGCTTAGCTTGACAGTGCCCGGGTCTATTATATTCACTCCCACAATTTCTGCTTCAGAATCACAGATTGAGGAAGTAGATTTGGGTCGAACTAAGAATGTCGGGCGGTGAAGGGTCTGAACTTTGTTGAAGTGATATTCCGCTTGGCAGAACCCCCTTTCACTTAACTTACCCAATCGCGTTAGATCCAAACACACACTTTCTTCAACCCATAACGTGGGCTTCGCTTTAAAATTTCTTCCGACTCATGGATCAACAGCAATATCTTCCAGACGTCCCTCCACAAATACTTCACAACAACACGCTCGCTGTGCATGGCCTTTGCTCTCCATTCTCTGCCTGACTCTTCCTCTTGAATGCTGTGTTCCAACTATGTTCAAGTCATTTTGGAACTGATTGTCACGGAACGAGGGCCCCGTTTGTCTACTCACGTTCTCTCCTCGACTCCGCAACGAAAGCGATGACTGTATTCTCTTTTCGGTGTCCCACAAAATCGGCCCCCGCAGTTTCTTCTCGGACTACCGACGGGACAGACCACTATTTCTTTGGTAGTGCGAAAGCGATCCAGCTAAGGCCAAATGTCGAGTCAATCTCAATCTGGCATCCCCATCCCAGCTTCCGTTCTCATCACGTTCTTTGGTATGGGTGCTGGAACTGGCTGGTTTGCCCACTACATCACCCTGAGCATCTTCGACCGCCTTATTCGACCTCGATTCTTCCCAAATCTCCCAGCGCACTACCGCAATCGACCTGAGCCAGAGAACGACGAGTTCGAGGCCGGAGACGAAGATCCTGTGGACGCTGGGCCCCGACGCTGGGAATTAATCTGACCTCGATCTCTACAACCAAGGCGCTGTAAGTTCGAAGACTATTCCCTCCACCATCAGATCATCCAGTATGCTCAAGCACTGACCTTGAATAGATCGGCACTCACGACGGGCTGAAATGGCGCCTGTTTGCATCTTCGTCCTCCTTGGCTTCGCTTTCATCCTCTCGACTTTCATGTCCCCCTTTATTTCTTCTGTGGTCTTAATTCTTCTGTCCCACATCGAAGTCGCTGCTATCACCCTTCCTACAATCCTCCTTGCGTTGGCCATGGCGGACACTGCAAGCGCTGCTCCAACTTCGCTTTCAGCAGCTCCTGGTTCTATTCACCCCACCCCCGGCGAGATAGTTGGCATCGTCGTTGGTGCATTGCTTGGTACCTTGTAAGCATTGACAGTGAAGTTTCCTCCCATCTTTAACTTTCTCATGGTTTGTATCCAAAGGGTGACACAGCTATTGTGAACAATCTTCATGGAGCAATTGCTAATTTGTTCGTAACCTAGCGTCCTTCTAGTGGTCCTTCTGGAGATGGGCTTGTGTGACTTCCGCATCTACGAAAAGATCAAGCAATGCGTATCTCCGCGCAGATGGCCAATCCCCGCAGCAACTACCGAAGAAGGAGAAGAGAGCGGAATTCAGGGCCATGATTATCGGCAAAGCACTTATGGAATCGCCGAAAAGACCGATGTTGAGCAGCCCCATGGAGTTACTGTCACCCCTAACGCCGCCGAGGATTCTATCGCCACAACTCAGGCAGCGGATGATAATCAGCAAATCCAAGTGCACGACGAGGTGAACGTCGGGGATGACGAACAACCTATCAGTGATGCCCAACGTGCACTAAACCGCGCGGAAGCACTCGCGGCGCTCACTTTCGTCGAACGAGAGAAGGAGACGGCGCGTCCGAGTTCTCCTTGATATTTAGGTCATGGTATCCGAGGACAATTGCCATGAGATTCGTATTTCGTTTCTTGTATCGTGGAGTTCTCTTTCATATCGTGGAGTCAACTGCTCTTGGCTTTTCTTTCTTTTCACATCATGGAGTCAACTGCTTTCGTTTTCTCTCCTATCAGGACTATGGCCCATGTCATTCTGCTACGTTCTGCTACGTTCTGCTGTTTTCTCCTTCATAGCATGGAGTCTGGGTAATCCAAGTGCTCTGTGTGCAGGGGAAATAGGGAGTTTGGCGGTCTCTGATGTTCTTCGTATGTGAGATGCATGGGGATGATAAGTAAATCAAAATCAAAAGTGACACTCAAAATAGACCTCATCGCATATATTGGAGTGAACAATTCAGCAATATATGTGTCATTTCGATTACCACTGCGAGGTAATTCATTAGGCGGGTCTGTCATACCCCAAAGGCACATGCAATGTGTAGTAATTTGCACGTAATTCAATTCTCGATCCTGTCCGTCAACCCGAATAACGAGGGTGAAAATCAAGACCAGCGCCTTCCCATGCAAATCCCTTGCACCTTTTACTCCACCCGCGCCATGGATAATCACCGAATTGAGAGAGAGATGTAGAAGTCCACTTCGACTCTAGGGGTTGAGGGGTGGGACGAAGCTATCTTGACCATCTTGGCTGAGGATTTCCCAGCAATTGACCGTCCATGTCGCTATTTCGATTCGGTTCCCCTTGCTGGAGCCTGTTTGCGTCCGAACCCGTGCCGGACGGGGGGTTTTGGCTGAGAGGATGAGTGGCATCGAGCAGTGTTTGGAAAGTTGAATTTCCCAGATCATTTGAATGTGGCCGGGGCCTGCTCGATTGGCCTAGATTGAACTGATCAGGATACATGAAATTCAAGGGGTCAGAATTCCAACCCGTGCTCGAGGGGCCTGCGGAGAAGTCAAGACTACGGCGCAAGGTAGGCTCACCTTGACGTTCTACCTGACGATCTCTTGATAACCCCGATCCAACAGCAACTGGAGGTGATGCTTCTTCTGCTGGTGGAGACGACGAAAAGCCAGAAAGACCTCGATTACGTGGAGGAGTCTGTGAACTCGAACTTGAAGAGCCGCCACTATTCTGCCTAGGCAGACCAGGAGTAACAGATCTCCTAGGTGCATTGTTGACAGGAGGGACATTAGTGCCACGCTGGGGAAGGTTTCCATGGGCTGAGGCCGGGTTGATCCATCGAGCAGAAGCGGAACCGACAGACGTAGGGCGACCTAGCAAATGAGCTGCTCTGCTGTTCCCAATTCTCCCCCGAGCCTGACGTCTTCTGCTTTCTGGAGAATCCCCTGTCGATCGACTAGGAGGGGAGTAGCCCCACGAGTCGACATTTCTGGTCATGGCTAGTTCATACTCGTCCTGTGCTCGCTGCATGGAGATGGAGGCAGAAGTCCTGTAATGGGTCAGTATCCACAACTTAAAGTATTGTTCTGAACGATAGAAGACAGTATTGTTTCCAATACTCCACAACCAAAACGCCGCCCTGTCCCGCGATTGAATGCATTGAATAAAATGTCGAGCTCGGATAGCTTCAAGCTTCCAATATAAGGTACGTGGACATGAATAGGAAAATACGAAAAAAGACATACCTTGAGGCCCCAGACTCCTCCGAGAAAGGATACCGAAGTGCAAAGCCTTGTCGTGCTCTCTGGTGAGCTAGCATATGCTCCCGTCGTGCAGCCCTGTATGATTCGTAGGCCAGCGTTTTTCTCACGGACAGCTCAGATGGAAGTTTATCGCGGCAGTACGGGCAGCTGTCTGAATCCTCGAACCACTTCTTGATGCATTTGTCGCCAAAAACATGCTTACATCTCGGAAGACGAATGGGATTTTCGGTGATGCCTTCTGGATTACTGACGCCGAATTCATTGTAGCAGATGATGCATGCTAGTAAATGTTAGAATAAGCTGTTCAAGATGCTAACGACACTGAACTCACTTCGGCCGTTATCTTCTAGATCCTCAAGCTTCACAATCTCCAGGGACGCAAGAGCTTCTTTGGAAGGCACCCTTTTGCCTGCAGCTAATGCTCCTCGCATGGCAGCCATCGACCGCTCCTCGTCTAAGTCCGCACCAAATAACAACTCCGCACTTCGACGATAACTCTCAGCATCCATTTCTGGCACGGGATCGTCATCGTCATCGGAATCCCATGTGTGAGTGGCACTGAAGTATTAGTCAGTATTGTCCCATAATCTAAGCCGTGCATGAATCAGGCCGCTCTGCTCGATACGAAACAAGGGGGCCAGTCATGTCCTTCCGCCAGAAGGTCTTTGATAGACACAAACGAATCGTTCTATGCAAGAACAGTCTAAAGGGTTTTGGGAGTACACTTACGCTCTTCTTCGTGAATGCGGAGGATCGAGAGTATTGTTTCGAGGTACATGGTTGTGGCTTTGTCGTGATGTTCGAGGGTAACCTGGAAATTGTTAGCATCTCCCCTCAACACTGGAGGGTATTCTGACTAGTTCTCTGCTCCATGAAGGACATTGGTTGATTAGGGCGAAGAGAACGATCGGTTACATCGTCTGGTCTTCTCTGCGTGGAGTCAGGATTGACGAATCGATTTGACCTGCCTTGGCCATAGATTTGGAAAGCATGGTGTACCTGGACGTCGGTTAGCGCTGCATCTGGAAATCCAAATGTACGAAATCTCGCGGGACATTTAGAGGAGACGAGACTAGGATGTCTCAAGAACTCGTGGTACATTTGGACTTGAAAGTTCCGAGGAAGTCAAGGCACTTTTGGATTTTTAATGTCCAAGAGCTCGAAGCACATTTGGACTTAGATGTTCTGAAACCGGTGGGAAATTCAGCAAAGGTAGAAAGAAAACTCATCCATACCGATCTGGCGTGCGGTTCCTGGCCATAAGTAGAAGGCGCGTGAGGAGTGCCAGCTGCAGCTGATGATGCTTGAGCGGACCCACCAGACGTAGATTCTGAAGGGTTATTGCCGCTGTTTAATGGGCCACCATAAGAGTTGAAACCGAAGGGCGAAGGGTCGAAGGCTCGCATTTCATTCCAGGGCACCCCGCCCATATATCTTGACTGTCTGAATGTTCCAGTAGGATCCTGACTTCCAGAATGTTGCCCATCTGCTAGACCCTGCCCCTGCCCCGGCCCTGACCAGTTCGGGGCAGGTAAATATGGACTGACTCCCCAGTGTACATCTGGTGCTGTGTACCCAGCTCGGCTTGGGACATTGTTGGTTTGGTACCACGAACTGGAATCGTAAACTGGATCATAGGGGTGGCCGTCACGAGTATGGGGGGCGAAAGGGTTCGCATTTGAGGGTTGGGATGGTTGGCACTGATGTCGATGAGCACTTGGGGAGTGATGAGCCTGAGCCTCGTCCATGGTGAAGTCCATCGGGTCCATGGCGATTGCACCTCGATCTCGAGGAACAAGGGTCTGGAGAGACGTTTGCCCCAACGCTTCGTGCAGAAGACGTCGGGCTCACCTCACGAGGTGCTTCGCCTCGAGCTACTTGGTACAATGCTGTTCCTCCTTCAGCGGCGTGGCGAGGCGTGGTGTGGGTGGAGGAAGCAGGTAGCGTTTCGGTCGTCAGCCAACTCGAGAGCCTGGGCACGCAACGACGATGACGAAGAGCCTGATGGAGGTCATGGACTGGGAGGTCCGGGGGTCGCGGATCCGGCAGAGGATGGAGGGTGGAGGATAATAGTCGTGAGAGTAGGAGTGGGAGCTGGAGTTGTCGTGGGAGATGGCGGCCGGAGTGGGAAACGAGGCGGGAGGGAGGGGCAGTGAGATGAGGGGAGGGGATTATATGGCGACGGGCACGGGCACGGCTGGCTGGCGGCTCTCGGTCATACGTGTGGGCAGGCGGCGGATCAGTGACCTCGTCAACTCAACTCACTGCTGTCCTGATCAATTCTGGCTAGCCCAATAATGGCCGGCAGCCTGGCAGCCTGGCAGCCTGGTCTTGCTGAGGTCCAGGTCCAGCTTCCGGTTAGCCTTTTCAAGTCAAATCTTCTTTCACACTTCACTTCACTTCACTGCGCACTTCACCTTCATAACTCACCTCACACTTTACCTCCACACTTCACTTTCACACTTCACTTCACACTTCACTTCACACTTTACCTGCACACTTCGTCTTCACACTTCGCACTTCACACGTACTTCAACACAACACAGGTTCACAGCTGAAACGCCTTTGCCGTGCCGTGCGGCGTCCAAATGTGCGCTCCCTTCATCGCACAGTACATTCAAAGCCTACGACTCCCCCGAATGCGCGCGGCTCGATCTGGATCATCCAAAATTCCCTCCTTATGACATTCGAATTTACTGAGGACATTATTGAATACGTGCCGCTCTTGTTATGCAGCGAGTGTTCCTTTCTCGCTGCCCCTCCTTCTCCCTTCTTCTGCTCTCATCTCCTCCCCTCCTCCCCTCCCTCCACTTCGGCGATCAGGCACTCAGCTCGGTCTTGACTTATCGATTGCTGTGCCGGAACATTTGGGCTGCATCAGAGGGGCCAATCTGTTAGTCTATCTCACTTCCTGCGGCCAGCCTGCCGCGCCTGTTATTTTTAGGGGTTACATACTGTAGGTCCCAGCATTCTCCACCACAACCAAAGCAAAGAAGGGGTGGTGTGCGGCGCAGAGGGAACAACCCTGATCAAAACTCCAGAACCTCTCCCATGTCGACCTTCGCAACTAAGTGGTCTAGTGCGTCCAGCACAGCACAAGCAGGCTCACACTGACTCGGTCGCAAGAGCCGCACTCTCCGCAGACTCCGCCAGTCTGCCTCCTGCTTGCTCAGACGCACGCTCTTACAGTATTGAATCGTGCTGCAATAGAAGGATTTGTTCCTCCGTGCCGTACAGTGCTACAACCGCAGATCCCTACAGCACTTCCAAGGCCTGGCTGGCCACCCCACGGGCCCATCTGTCCCAACCCTGGGTTGTAACCAACCTTCTCCCAACCTGACGACGTGAATCTCCGACCTAAAGGCCCGAGACCAGAGCGCACAGCGGTGAAGCTTGAAAGCGTCCTTGCTTGCTTCACATCTTCCCCACCCTCACACATACATGCACACCATTCTGGCCGTCGTGTTCTTCGCAACAATTGCGGTATCTGGAGCGCGTCCACCAACAGTACCGCAGTTCATCCAAGTCTCCGCCTGCACCCGCTCATATTGCCACGGGACCATACCTCTCTATGGCTGTAATCGACCTTCCAGGGAGTGTCATACTCAATTGGTATTTCTCACTTCTCCACCGAGCATCCCGTAAAGAATACGGAATCATGCTTCGCCCCCCAGTCAACCACCCCATTAAGCCCAATACAAATGCCTTCTCATCCCATCGAGACATTGGGCCTGAGAACCAAGGGTTTCGCCAAAACCCCTCCCCTCCCGCCTTCCTAAATGTGAGAAATCACGAGATGTACTACGAACGCCCTGTGGAAAAGTCCGTCCCGCCTGCAGCAATTCCTGGCCTCTCACGGGTGACGGACTTCTCACCTGTGTCTGCTTCCGCATCCGCCATAATATAATAATAATGATGCAATCGTACTCGCCCGTGTACATTTCTTCCTTGCATTATTTCTTTTCGCTCCGCTTCCACCTCAGGCCGCTGAACGTCTCCCAGCCAGCTCATCCTCCAATTTCTACGTCCTTCCATTCAACTGAAAGATGAGAGGTACCGACCGGCTTACTCCATTTCCACATGATCTGTGGCTCCGCAAGGAAAAGGTTCACTGCATCGGTCCTCGACCCTCGCACGAATAGTCGGGAGCTTCTCCTGTCTTCCTGTTGTGGCTGATCGAAAATGTACATAAGTAGTGTCACTCACGGCAATGTCCCATCCTCTTCTTACACGTATCAGCTTTCCATTACTCTCGTATCCTTATTTATTTCTGCACTTCAATAAGTGATATCGTGTGCCGTGATTGTGACGATTTAGGATCCAAAGTGGATCCCGCTGTTGGTTTATTTAAGACGAATCCCAATGTCATGCGGTTGCAACAGTCGCTTTAACATGCTCGTCGCGAGAAGAAAAAGCGGAATTCATTTTCAGTCTTCTCAGTCAGAGTCGGGTATCGACGGATAGGGTTTAAAAGTTTCAAAACTTCGGGGACATTCGAAGGGAGTAGTTGACTTTGAATAACCGGCAAGACAAATAAGGGAACATCGAAAGCATTTGAAATGTTCAGCATCACTTGGGACATTGGAATTGAGTGCCGCCTTTTCTGTCCACCATGAGACACGAGGTTTTTTAGGCTTACCCGTGGGCCGACTGCTAATTAAATGGGCTCCAGACTTAGTCATTTCTAGATCATATTGTATCATAACTTTGGAGACTGCCATGCCAAACCATGCCATCATCGTTTAAGCCGGTATCTCCCTCCCACCAGCTCTAACGACCCTCCCGCAACCTTGCGGCCCAAAAATTCTTGCAACTCCTCGTTGCTGTGCGGGAATCCTTCCGAGATCAGCATCTTAAGCATCATGGCGATCTGCTGCAATGCCATTGTGGGCGAGCTGTTGGTTAACATGCCCTGAATGAAATTCCAATATATCCCCAACTTCTCCTCCCCGATTCCATCGTTTGCTCCCATTCCTGTATCATCAACACTTTCGTCGTTTGCTCCTGGAACCGAAGAAGCGGTCGATTGTGCTTTAGATCGTGCTCGATCTTCTTGATTTAGCGTCTCCATGACGGCGAACCTATTGGGTGCGACCTCGTGGAGAACGAGCTTCTTGACCCAAAACCTGAGTGCACTGCGAACGAGCACCTCGTCCATTTCTAGGTTTTGCACCAGGTCCTGCACTGTTCTTTCCGCGATCTTGCTTCCCGGCCCATCATTACGAAAAGCCCAGATAACTGTGGCCTGCCAAGTATGAACCTCTTCGGTTACATTGCGGTCGTCCAGTTCCAGTTCGACGGTAGCTTGACCCAAGGTGTGGAGCCAGGTAAGTTTTCGAGAGGCTTTGAGCGACTCAAAACCCTCTTCATATCTCCTCTGGAGTTCGGTAATGGTATCTGGAACTCGATAGTTCTCATCTTGCAGTTGAGGCCAATACAGTCTCGAGAGAATCTTTGCATGCAGAGATGGCTTGAGAAGGCCCTCAGGGCTCATGTTCTCGTCCAACATGTCTGGGTTCGTTCGAGCTGCATTTAACTCTTCTTCACTTGGGTCCAGGTTTTGGTTCCTTCTTACAACACCATTGACTCTGCCTGAATCTTGAATGTCCTTGAGCATTACCTCGCAAGCTTGGAGAGGTGCTTCGCCAAACCTGGTTTTCAATAGCTCAAGAACTTTGATCTGTCGACCGTCAGCGGGTTCTAGTATGTGCGCGACAGCCTATCTACTTACTTCCTTCTCGAAAGTCCCATCGTGTTTCAAGAAGTTCTCTCCAATGATGTTCTGAAATTCTTTGATGAACACCTCTGGAGATCCAAGGACCCCAATCAAAGTGCCTATAACGTCTGCAGTCTTCGACCGTTTATATCCCGGTCCAGCATCGACAGGATCAGGTATCCAGTCCGGATCATGCCAGTCCAGTTCTTCGTCATTTGCTCTGTGTCCAAAATTTTCGGAGCTATCATTTAGTAGGTGTGCCAGCTCTACCAGCTTGTCTCCAGTGGGCTCGATCGGGTTGCCTTTGCTGTCTTCCGTATTTGAAAGAAGTCCAGTAATGATGATGCGCACCGTGTCCTCCCTTGAACACAGGTATAGCTGGAGGGCGTATGCAACTCGATCTAGCAGTACTTTCGAGTGATCCAAGGCATGGAATGACCGGATCATGGAAATGTACGTCTGCAAGATCAAAATCGTCGAGGCCCCTGGATGTAGAAGATTGTTATTTAAGGTATGTGCAAACACATCAGTCAAACGGAGGCGTTTCTCAGCTGTTGTAATTGCAGTTCGAAGATCGTCCAGAGCCCCGCTGCTACGCGGCCAATTGACAACAATATCGAAAAGCTCGTTGATTCGAAGGTTCGCGAGTCGATCAATACTAATCACCTTGAATTTTTCCATGTCAATCCAAGACACCTTAATCTTGGTGTCGAGCATGCTGAGAACTTGCACTGCAAGCTTAGCGTATCTGTTCTCAATCCATTCACAGAGATCAGTAACGCATCTAGAGGGGGATGAGTGATGCGCCTAGTTCACGAGGGTGTCAGCAATTGCTCGATATAGAATGTACTAGGAACCCTAGGGGCATTGTCCCTTGAGAGACAGTCAGGAATGGGAAGGGATTTATCTTCAAACACATACAGTCCTTGGTAGCAATAAGCTGGGGTTGGCCTTCTTGGATGAATGTTCGACATGACCTGGTACATCGAATTCGGAGCGCAGGCCATCCTTGACTGGTGACCAAATTCCTTTGCAGCCGTGATATACGTACTCCGTCATTGCATCGTTCATAATCTCAGCGAAGGCGACGTGGAACTTCTCCCCAGTCAACCCGACATTGTTCAGAGATTCTACAAGCCCTAAGAGCTCACGGCGAGATTTTTCGGTTTCCTGGTTTTCAGCTGCTATGTGGTGACTCTTTGATTCAGTCACCCTGTAAGGTCCGTACAATGAAGTCGTCTTGGGTAAGCCGAGAATTGCGAAGACATGCCAGCCCAAAACCTTCTTGAGAGCATCTTGAAGTGGCTCAATGGAGGAGTTGCTGATTATAGCATGGAGATCCCGTGCGAATCTTGTAATGACCAGTTGTGAGGTTTCCGGTGCTGAGGTGTCGATTTGCTCCTTGATGAAGGAAAGTCCGTGGAGATACTGGCGGTGGGCTGTTTCAAGGATTTTGACGCCTCGAAGGAGTAGCGCCCTAGGATCGGTCTGACTCTTTAAACATGATAAAATTGGGAAAACCTGCTGTAGAAAATGTTGCCGGACTTGGGAGGTGTGCCAAGCGACGATGTCTTCTGTCTGGCGAGCAAGAGGAACGTATTGTTGAGGGTAGAGAACGACCTCCAGCGCATTGTAGAAGTCGGCACCAATGGAATCTCTCTCAGGTCTCAAAGGCTCCAGAACGCCCCGGTTCTCTGGAAAGTCTGGAAGGTGGAGCTGGTGAGTGACCATGTGCCACGAACGGTCCCATCGAACCTGGTCATTGACGTGACTCGCTACGAAAGAGGGAACCTCTCTTGATTGACTTCGATGTCCCGCATCATCCCGAACATTAGCCAGAGATTGTCCCAGGCCATCTGGGACATTCGGCCTAGCCGGCGGTACTCCAAAAATCTGACCCGATGGTGTGAAGCCCGTGGCAGGTGTGGCAACAGGCGTGGGCAGTGAGATGCTGGCTTTGCCAAAGACGGAGTCGAAGACGCGTTGCCGTCGTGCGCTGGCGGTTCTTCCCGGCATTTTCACAGTCCAGAAGAGAATACTTCCATGGGTATGGTTACTGCGTCCTGGCCTTGGCTTTCACAGCAACGAATGTACCTTGTTGTTGCTGAAGAACTGTAGCTCGCGGCTTCCAACTTCCACTTCCACCTCGTTTCGCGTAATCACGTGGGGAGCAACCCTATCAGCTCAATAGGACAAACCGCATCGGTTACAGCGGTACCATACCTAGCCTTGTCCTTAAGCAAGCACTTCTGAACCTGACGGGGTATCAGATCAGATCACACATCATTGTTACAATCAGGGTTGACCCTAGAATAGCGCAAATGCCCCTGCAGGAGTTCCTCAACAAGTGGGTAAATCGAAGTGGGAAATACTTTCCTTCACATAACATTGGGGACATTGCAAACTAAGTCTACCATTATAGCGAAACCTGCCATCATTATAGCCCGGATATCTTATGCTAAGCCACGACACATGGAAAGAGGCAGGATCCGGTAAACATGAGCATCTCTGTATGCTTTACGACGACGCTTTGGCTAAATGCAGATCCATCCATATCATTGAAATCATTAAACGTAATCATATCGACGTTATCCGCCCTGCCGGTGTTGTCCTTCCCCGAGGCCTCATATTTATTACCGACTCCAACTCCCTCAGCATGTGAGTATTGGCTTCCGCTCTAGATTTCATCGAATCTTTTTTCACCCTTTCCTCCTTCATTTTGGAAATACGCTCTTGCCGGGTCAGCGTGCTCCGTTGCCTCGGGATAGCCACTGCCTCGAAAACCTCTTCGGCATCAGATGAGCTAAAATCCATACTTGAACGAGATCGTGGCTCGCCATTGAGTAACTTGAGTGCTTCTGCGGCACCACCCTCCTCGACAGCCGTAAGGCCGCCCAACGACGTTGTCGGCGATAGTATTCCGCTCATGGAAGAAAGACGTCGTCCATTTCGATCTATATTAGATGTCAAGGCGGCCTTTCCGTCCTCCCATTCCTGCATGAGCGCTTTCAAGTCGACTCCGATCGAATCGTATTGGATCATCAAATTCGTCCCGAGTTCAGATATGTCCTCTGTTTCATTGAGATTCTTGTCGGACTCTTCACGGAGTACATGCAATTTTGCTTGGAGTCCTCGGATTCCAGAGGACAAGGAGTTTAGTTTCCGCAGCTGGGCTCGCCATCGCTCGCGCCCTGGAGTCAGTGGAAGCTTTGGTGTTGGTGGGACTGGGAAGCCTATCAAATGTTAGAGAATAGCCCGTAAAACTCCAGATAAACTGCTTACTCTCTTCTTCAGTAAGAATTTCACGGAGTCGGAGTTCAGCCTCATTCGTAACGGTACTGACTATACGGATCTCATCAACTGCGTTACTCCATCGCAGAAAATCCGGCTTTCCTCCGTGTGCATCTAAGGCCATAAGACAACACAAAAATATCTTCCTGGCCGTGTGAAACCTGGCTGCCAATATCTTCAGCACCCGGACGGACTCGATGTCATCAAATTCGGTCTCAGAGTATCCTAACATAGCCTCCGAGAAATCCGTGTCGCTGACATCGTAGATATCAAAGTATTTTTCAAGATCCATTTCTTCGGAAAATGGCTTCAGGACGATACAAGCTTGATTGTATCTTGGGATTACATCAGCCAAGCAGAGGCGCAATGCCTTTCTCAGTCGTGCACATCTTCTCGTCTGACTCCTATCCTCTAGTCTACTGATCGGGGGTAAAGGAGTGCTTCTAAATAATTATTAAACAAGTTCATGGATAATAAACCAGGGATACTCACATTCTATACCCCCGAGAGACTAGCTCAACCTCTTGAACAAGTGTCAATGCCGCTGCTGCAGCCGTGTCAAAGTCGTGCGCAGTCCCAACGAATTCGGAAATCTCCACAAGTGTCTGTTGTCGAAGATACTGAAGCCATTGCCTGCGTATATAAGCATATCCCACGACAATGAATACACCCATCACTGCGAGAAAGACAGCTCTACGTCCTCTCCCAGCTACGAAGTCGCCATCGCCTCTCGTCCAGTGGATCAGCCACGCCAACGCAAATGCGAGTACTGCCGTGACACCAGCTCCTGCCAATGTGAATGAACCAGGAAGCGGGGCATTGAGCGTTCGTAGCGATGAATCTCGAGACTGACCATGAACGGCCTGGCCTAGATATGAGTGTGCACTGAGAAGTTGGGAGGCAACTATGGTGTATCGAAAGTGCTCCAAAAACCTGACATTGTCCGCACGCCCAAGTCTTGAGTTTACTGCCTCCTAAGGAAGTTTCAGTCAATAAAGTTACCTGGTACATGCTTTTAGGCTTACGGAACACGTATTGTGCAGAGCAGCGACAGTGTTGTTTCTTGGTATTGCTAGGCGCAATGGCGGGGGAAGTTTGTTTCGAAATCTAGCACGAACGGTTGGTCTGCCTCGGGGAGCGAAAGTCGGACTGGACGAGCTTGAAGATGCATCTTGCTCACGACCTGGAATGCCTTGTGCTTCCTCGCCGCCCTCACCTAGAAACGGATATTAGCGGCCTGGTCTCCCAGCGCAGTCTGGTGGAAGTGGTGACAAACCTTCTAGATAGCCGGCGAGTGGTGAGTCCTCGAAAACGACAGCCTCCATGGAATGCTGGGCGTTATCGATCGAAGACAAAGTGGCCACCGTCCATTCCGGGTCAAATAGTCGCCGACTCAGCGCCCAAGGTCTCGGTAGTGGTAGTGGTAGTGGTAGTGGTAGTGGTAGTGGCCAAGGAGTTGTTGGAAGAGAAATGACTGCCCTCGTGTCGTCTCGTGTGCTCGCTCTGGTTGTGTCTGTCGTCGACAGCAGAGGTATCAACAATTTGGCGCGAAGAGCTAGCGCGACTTCGGACCAGAATTAGAATTAGAATTACTTTACCTGACTACTCCGGGACAATAGCCTTCGGGGAAGAGATGCCGATCGCCGATCGGGGAAGTTCTGGAAGGCGGAGCGAACAGCAGGGGTCAGCGTGGATTTTGAGATTGCCATCATCTCGTTCCCGACACCCTTCACTCCCTTCACTTCCCTTTGCTTCACTTCACTTCGTCCGCTCGCCAGAACTGCGATTGCAATACTTGATCTTCGACATCCTACGAAAGACCTTGTTCTCCTTCAACTTGTACTCATCAGGGGTGCCAACTTTGAACATTCCCCAGGTCTGTTGTTCCTCTCCTCAGCCAAGGCTGGGGCAGTGGCACCTGTCACCTGTGGTGGCTGCATGGGCATACGGGGCAACGTCTGTGCTTTCAGCCTTGTCACAAGATTCCGCGCGTCAAATGTTAAATCTGGGAGCGCAGCAGACTGGGCAGATCAAGAACGACGGTCCGAACAGTTTTGGATGTTCAGAATGCAGAATGTCCACGTCCATACCAAACGGCTACAGAATCTTGGTAGGGCCCTGCCCTCGCTCCATCCACGCATTGGTAGATTTGCAAAGCCCTAACTCGCAAGGTACCAGCCCATTACCCACCTCATTTAATGCACGTTTTGCGTCATCGATTGTCACGTCTATTTCTTTGGTGTTCTCAGCAGTCTTGCTCGACCTTGGGGAATATTGGTTCTTGCACTTCGCTTGCATGTCCAATTGCAAAATCAGTCGATGTCTACTGTACCAGATTTGTCGTTATTTGACATTGTGCTGCGTGGAAGACGCCAAGCCCGAAGTTCATCAAGAGGGCCTCTTCTTCTTTGGGAAAATGTACGCACGTATCATTGCACAAAACCGATTGTCACTGGTACTCATGGGGATTACTTGCCAATGTCCTGATTTATGGCACAGCATTAGCTTGGACCAACCACCAGAACCTGGCCCCGAGAGATGATTCAGCCTCTTTCCCTTTTCATGAAGATGCAGAGTTCCCAATGTTGCAACGATCTTCGGCATCGCAGCCGAGATGTGGAGAAGTCTTGCAGCAGCCTTCGCCGCATGCCGTCGATACCTGCACTGCATGCCCTGGCTGCTCAATTCTCCACGGCGGTCGCTCGGTGGAATGGAACGAACCCATCTGCTCCCCCCACACATCATTATTACTCCGTACAGTAGCAGGCTTTCAGACAGGCGACGAAGATCATTGGCGCTTCTACCATCGCCCGCTTTCAGCAATCGAACCGTCCACCAGGGGTCGTCTTATTCAGCAGCCATTTCGGAAAAGGGTAAGCCGGCCCCCAAATCATCGTCATCTCGAGGCTGAGGGACACGAGCACCTGTTCAATTGAGTGCGTAACCACCACCGATCGAACTATTCCTTGAATGAGATGCAGACGATACGCTTGCTGCATGAGAACACAGCCAGCTTTGTTTCGTGATGGCAGTGGGGTCGCCGGTCCGCCGACTCGAGAGGGAAGGTGACGGCCTCAATCATCAAATATCACGGCAGCCCAGCCTCGGCCAGTCTCGCATCCAGCGAGGGCGTGCAATGCGCTGCCACGCACTATACCAGTCACTCACCGCGGACTTTTACGAGGCTGAACGCTGAAGCTGAAGGCTGAGGGACGCCTTGGAAGTGTGATTATGTGCATTTTGGCCTAGCCTCGATTTGTCAGCCACTGTGGGTTGAAGCTCGAAGGGTGCTCGCAATCATGACAAACATCCGACTGATTATTATTTGATTACCAGAGACGGGACGATCATTCTGGTTATCTACCAAAGCCATCGCAATCCAGCCCACCGGGTGACCCAGAACATAAGATCAACTACAGTCAGCAACCCAGCCCTGCCTGCATCCTCGCTGCTCGGGTCCATTCCCCTCTCGGCCCTCATGCAGGTCACTGTCCCATAGCCACGTCTTGAGAAGCGAATCTAGTCGTCTGCACAAGCCACTCACTATCCAGCGTCTTCTCTCCAGCACAAGAAAGTTCTCTTACAAATGACCATCTCCAACATACTCTCGTATAAATTCAGTGGCTGTTCGCGTCATAAGCACTGACAAACTTTACATTGGGGCAATGTTTCTTCCCATTCATCTGGCTGCCCCGGTTGGGCCTCTTGGCCTAGATCCCGCAAGAGCCAATGCGTAGCCCGCAAGTGTGGGCGATGTTGTCTTTCCAGATCTCTTACTCAAATGGAGGATCTTCTCGGCGCCTATTAAAAGGCTCTTAGTTGCAACCACATAACCACATGAATGCAAGTCAGCCATTCACACCATCGCACGCTGTGGCTTTCTGTTGCCGAACTCGTGTTCATCCTATCATCTCTCCCCTTGTCTCTGTTGTTGGCCCCCTATTCTCGGTCTCTATCCATCGAGCTGAATCTACCCCCTGCATCCCCAGTCAAGTTTGTACAGTACAGTGTTGACTCTGTTCTATTGTTGTAAACAAGTTCTGGTTATATACGTAGCCATTACCTCGCCACTTTGTCTCGAAGGATAGATGCTTTCAGCCGTGTCTGCACACAAAGCCGCTACTGTTTCTCTGCTTTTGACCAGCCCCTGCACATTTGATCTCACTCGAAAAGTCCACCATCTTCAACGCACACCTCCAATATGTCTCGACATTCGGGTTCGTCTCGCCATCGCTCACACCATTCGAGAAGCACGGAATCAAATCCGGAGGATTTGGTTGAGCAAGTCAAGAGCATCATCACACTACTGTACGAAGTAGTATCCTCTCGCCCCTACGAATGGGAAGCATATTTGCCCTCCGCTCGTTCGGCTATGACGGCACTCGATCATTTACACTTCTTCAGAGACCCTCAACGCTTTGCTGAACAAGTTTGGATGCTTCATGGCCTGCAAGATTATGCCTTCCACGATTCAGATTCTGGGTGTATTCGCGACATCGCTGAATGGTGCCAGACCGCGTGGTTGAGGATCCTCAGAAACTACCCAGAAAACGTAGATACGTTAACAGGTATGCCCAGCCCAAAGTCATTTACAGTTTAAACTATCAATAAGATTGATCTGGTGTGCAAAACGTGGTCTGATATCTCGGCCCAAAAACGTGTATCTCTACTCCTAATGTTTGTCCTTGCAGAGGCTGATATTTTGAGTTGTCTAGGTCTAGGACGCAACTGGCTCCAGAGAGCCCAAGCAACTCTGGCAAGAATTCATCGCGAAGAGGGGAACGACTCGTCAAGTCAAGGAAGCAGCAGCCAGGCAGGTAATTCGACACAAGGTCATTTATCCAATGAAGACAAATACAATGCTGACGAGAGACTAGCATCTCCTCCGGCAGACCCACGCAGGCAGGGTCCATTATACGTCGAAGCTCGGGGATATCTGCAACCTGCAGTTGATTTCTATGCGAGGGCCCTAAGATCTGCAGACGCACTAGGCAGTACGACCGGAGAAATCCTAGCATCTGTAAGTTTTGTACCAGCATTAAACTTGCACGTAGGTATCACTTCTCATACTTCATAGGCCGCTGAATCACAAATGTCTTTGGGGAACGTGACGGGGCCACCAGGAGATGAGCGCCATTTCGCTCAGGCTATCCGCTATCTCCGCCGCGCAGAAGCCGCACCAGGGTACATTCTTTCGGTCTACTTGCAACAGTGAGTTTTCCATCCACAAGTGTAAAATGCCGCACCGCGCTAATGTGCTTCCGAGGTATCTCAATGACTACGGGAGATATGTTTCATAGCTTCATTCGAATACACAACTGGGTGATGTTTTGGAAAAACCGCGAGATAGCATTCGATCGCAGCTAGCAGTTGCGGTTTCTTTGTAATATTCGCTTCCGGCTTTCCGTTCTATATTTTTGTTATACTACGACGTTCTTCTCAATTTAGCGTTGCGCACCAAATATTTCTACAATTTGTATACAATCCAATGACCAACTGCATTATCCCCAATATCATATCGAACTGCATGCTCCACTCCATGTGATCCGATGCATATCCCAGAGCAGAGCAAAACAGCTTGGTTCGGATCGAACCGAATGGGATCAGGATGACATGAGATGTTCCAATCAAATGCTGCTTTCAGCCATCAGCAGCCACGCCAAGAGTTGGGAAAGCCAAGCCGCTTGCAACCCGCCGTCAATTGGCGCCGGCCCCCAACGATGACAGGACAGAATCAGGAGGACATCCCTACAGTACAGTAACGGCTGACAACAAGCCTGCCCACCCAGACTCTCCACCCAGCCTTACAAGCTGAGCATGTCAGCAAGGAGGTTTCCGGCGACGACCCATGCAATGCACAAGAGCATTAAATCCGCGCCAGTGGGAGCCGTTACGTTGACTGGGGCCACGGTTGCCAACCTGCAGAGACGCAGTCAAGTACTGTAGCCGTCCTTGCGGTGCCTCGAGGGGCTCGCTTCTGGGTGCCTGGCGCGCGCGGATCGCTTGACTGCAGGTTCAGGCAAGAAGCGCCCCTTGTCCGACCTGGGTCCTCGGTCCTCCAACGTCCCTTCAAAGCCAGCCGCCGAAAAGAAAAGACGCTCGACCTGGCAGCACTTTGCAACCGCCGGTAGCACACCAATACCAGCAGAGAATAAGGAGGAAACGCGCATCTTGTTGCATCCCGTCCCATCAAATTCTTGTGCCACCGCAGTCATGCTCACGGAACGCGAGTTGCAAATAAACCCCATTGTGCAAGAATCAGTGCTGCACAACACCAAGGTTCGTCCCGTTCCTGCTCCCACGCCCATGCCCTTTCTGCTCCCCCCGCTCAATCACTGCGCCTCTTTTCCTCCTACTACCTCTCCTATCTCCATGCACTGCGTGCAAAGCCCAAAAGCGTCCACCTTTTGGGCCCCATCTTCTCCAGCCCCCCCCCTCAGCCGCTCTTATTAAGCGTCGATGGACTTGTTCTTCAACCTCCCCCACTCCATCTCTCAAGCCTCCACTGACACATCTCCCCCACTCATAGACTCTCACAACCCTCCACAACCTAACAGCTTCCCTCTTCGGTGTTGGCGCTGGCATCCTAGGTCTCGAGTCCTACCTAGGATTTGTCTTCTACCTGATCTTCTCGCTGATCACCTCTGCGCTCGTATATGCATTCCGAGTTCGACCGGGGATTGTCAAGGAGTCCCAAGCCCAGGGAAAATTAGGAAAGGAAAGATATTTTCGGAGCAGCATCGAGCTATGGACAGGAGGCTTGTTCGAGGGGCTTAGTGGGTTCGTATTGACGTGGACACTCTTTTATGGGTTGGTCAGGGCATAAGCCTCATCGACAGAATGGGTCAGGATAGAACGGAGAAGATGTGCAATGCGACATCTTGTTAGATGTTTCCCACATCGTCATGGGTTGGGCCGGCGTCACGGTTGCATGTCAAATTAATACCACGGATTACATCACGAGCCAGGATCCGATATCAATGGGTAGCAATGAGTGAACATAGCATAGATGTAATAAATATCTTGCAAGTCATTGATAGATGATTGTGGTCATCATCTTGTGGGATGCCTGCTTGTTCCAAGAAACAACCTCAGCACTCGAGCCCGACAAAACTCAATCCACGACTTCCAGAACTCGCCCAACAAAGCCTTCTAACCCAGCGATACCTTTCTCCCCCCTTTCGGACCCGTGATACAAACCTTGCCCTCCGCCAGGCATCACAAGAACTTGAGACCCCAATTCTATCCATTCACGGTTTGTCATGAGTTCCAAAGTCACATCAGTAACACCGTCAGAACCGAAGACCAAGGGCTCGGGTTCTTCTGCCTCATCGTCAATGCTGTCCAAACCAAACATATCAACCAAGTCTTCACTCCGGCCAGTCGATTCGTTGTTGACATGGGGTACCAGTCGTACCACTTTTGCGGATGCACGTATACTAGCACTGGGGTAATTGTGTGTCAGTATCTACTTGGTAAGTACCCTCGCGACAGAACTAAGAGGTTACCCCCGAGCAAGAGCGACTTAATACGGAACGGATATCTCCTCCTGCACTTACATGTACACAACAACCAAACTTCCAGGAGTCACCGAGTTAATATCACTATCTTCAAAAGATGCAGTGAACCCGCTCGCAGCCTGTAAGTTGTGACCGGTAACCATCATGTGTCGGGTTGGGATTGCCATTACCAATCCTTTTCGTATTCGAGGTGCCGCCGGTGGCTGTCTTTCGAATGGCCCATTTGACAGTTCTTGCTCTGGAATATCGAAGACGACGCCAACGCTTCCAACTTGGCCTGCCTTCAATGTGTGGACAGGCAGGCGTAAGTTCCGCAGGCTTACGATGTGGGCGCTATGCCATTCCCCCTTGCTAACGGAGGCTGAAACCGCATTGCGAGCGGCGATACGAGGAAGGTCGGTCGCCAATGTATTCGACAGCGATGCACCAAAGCTGTTTGGAGAAGATGTAGAGCCAGATTTGTTCGGCGGTGAATCGTTATCCGCCCATTCAGCGGGAAATGGCCCGATGACAACAATGTCTCCGACGGCCAGGCTTCCACTGAAAGAAGGTCAACGTTGCCTCTTCTAACCGTGACGAGGCCGGTGTCGAACTCTCCTCTTTTGGTATAATATGGAGATAAGAGGCTTCATTTGAAACAGTGGTGATAAAAGTGGTTGTAGGAAAATTGGGGGGAAGAAGTTGTTCTTACAATCGAAGGTACCCCGCCACCACTACCCCGGCATCCGTTTGTTTACCACTGCTCGATGCCAACGGTTCAAAAGATGCCGGTAGGCCAAAGACATCTTCGATGTGGAACAGGCAGGCTGGTTGTTCAGGATTCAATGCTAGGCCAACAAAATCTTGGGATGTTGGCTCCGGTGGAATCGGAAGCTGTTTTAAAAGTGCGTGCAAAGAACGAATTCCGGTGCCTTTCGCGGCACTTGTCATGACTTGGCAATCCCGAGGTCAGTATCTGTTTGATGGCGATAATTCAAGGTGCAGACCACCTAGGTGATTTTGAGGAGGAAGCCTTTGAACGTCTCACGACTGGCGAGAGTTTCTAATAGTGAAAAGATAAACTTAAGAATGGACATACTGATAGGAATAATGGAGGTGAGACCGTCAGAAAGGCCCATTTTCTCAACCACACCTCGAATTACATCTTCCTCGGCAGCGGTTATGGTGGTAAGATCCGAATCAATGGTTTTGCTTTGATCCGGTGGTATGATTGACGGTGTCCGACCCATGGCTTTAACTGCGGAGAGGATTTTCGAGAGAGTTTGTCTTAGACTGCTTTTGGAAGCCAAATCAAGTTTGGTGACGACAATGCACAACGGCTTATCCAGTTTCAAGCAGAGTCCTAAATGGGCCTTTGCTAAATCGATACCAGCTCCCGCACTCCCTAGTATATCTTGGGCAGAAGATGTTCCGCCAGCAGCACTGGGAGCATTTTCACCATCGTCAGCGGCTATGCAGAGAACAGCCCCTGGATGCAAAAGGGGTCAGCAGCTGCTCGAGAATCATTTTTTTTCAGAGAATTCAAACAATAGCTCGGAAGAAGAATGAAGCAATCCAAATTGGGAAAAGGATTTATCCCCATCACTTACAATGAGGCGCCCAACCAACAAGTCCGCGAACCGTAGTTCTACGATACCTGGGATGTCCTGCTGAGTCTGACACGAAAACCAATCTACCATTTTCCGCAGCCGCATGAATGTCGGTCCATGAAGTCACATTCCCAGAAGCAAAATTCACAACGTCTTGGTCCTTATAACCGATTAGCTCTTGCGCCACTGAACTGGTTACACCAGACACTATTTCGTGTCGATGCTTGAGCAGGCTCAGTCTGCTTTTGCCTCGACCATTGTCGAGTGTCGCTGTCGACAGTGTACCCAACAGACTCGACTTTCCAGAAGTTGTAGGCCCAGTCAAAGTTATACGAAGTTGCTCCGTTGCCTCATGTGCTGCCAGCGGAATTCTACCGGAGTCAGCGTCATTTTGAACTGGAGATGGGCTCTCGTGACGAAAGGGCGAATTCGGCTGAGGAGTTCGCATAGGCTTTCTCGAGCTCAAATTGGGGGTTACCAGTGCTTCCGCAACCCATAATTGCGCCTGATGCCGCAGGGGTTCACCTTGCCAAGCCGGAAACTTTACAGGTCTGAATCTCTTTTTCGTAGATTGTGATACTGGCAACGCAGGGTCAACAGGCTCGTGCCACTCGCAATCCCCAACAACCACCATCCTCACAACTTCGACATTGCAACCAAGACTTGCGGCCATGGCCCGAAGATTCGTCAAACTCTCGTCCATCTCATCTTTCGTCAATCCAACGAAAGTTCCATCATCGGATACACCAATTTCATAAAAGGCACCTCGGCTCTCCTCAAGTCCGGCAAGAAGCTTACCTGGATGTGAGGGCGTTTCCAGGCTTTCAGTAGCCTCTGGCAATTTAGGCAAGACCAGGTCACTCGTCGACGAAGCATGATAGGGCGAGGACTGCTGTAGCCGCCATAAAAGCTGCGTTGTCAATTGCTCGAGACGATGTTGACGGGACTGATTCGAAACGGCCAAAGTTGGTCCGGAGTCTTGGGGCAGAGATGGGTTGGATTGCGGCTGTTTGTGCTGCTGGGATCCCGATATTAAGGACCCCGTAGAAGAAGAACTGTACGTTCTTCTAGGTCTCAAAAGCAGATGTAGTTTGTATTCCGTAGGGCCGTCCTGTGGCTCTGCCTCGAGCCTGGTAACTCCATAGTCCTGGAGCTGTCCTGAAGTTGGGAGAGCAGAAGAGATGGCAGCCCCGTCTCTAGGCTGGGGCGTCGAGGATTTGGGGGAGTCAGATGGGGTCAGCCACGGGGAAGAGACCCGCGGGGGATCTGGGTCAAAACTGAATATCGAGGCCATTGTAGCGGATAAAATTACAGTCCTGTAACCTGGATTAATTGTGGAAAGCACGTGGAGATTCACGCCCAAAACGCCCTGGTCTACCGGGCCACTAAATAGTAGAGTTTCAAGATGCTTTTGACCGCCGCCGTATGACTTCTAAGGTCGTTCTTGCATTCGGTTGGGACCAATTGTTTAAAATGTGCGTTCGGAAGAGTTGCGGCAACTGGGGAACCATCTTGATAATTGCGGCTGTGTTGGTGAACTTGATGAGCGTGAAGTGCGGGGGCAGAGATCGATCGAAGAACCGAGAAGTTACGAGGCTTGTTGGGAATGCATTGTATTAGGTGGAGTTGTTGATTTATGGGTCCCTTTGTTTGAGCAGGAGTGTTCAATGTTTGAGGCGTCGAAGGTGACTTGAGGTTGAAATGTACAGTATGTCAAGAGTCATAGCGCGCGCCGGCAGTTGCCGCCAGCCGCGGAAGCATGGGGCTGTGCACAGGCGAAGTCTTGAAACCCAGCGCTGCACCAGCTGCTGCCTCGAAAAACGCACCGTGACAACCGGAGCACATAAAGCCTTCAATTTCGACCTGATTCTCGACTCCAGCTTCTACTCACCGTCCATTCTTTCAGTCTTAGGCTATCAATCTTCGTAACCGCGATGAAGAAATTCGGCTTTGGCAAGAAGGGGGATGGTGATGAGGATTCCAACCGTTCTGCTCTCTTCTCACGTTCAAAGAACAGCTCCCCTGCTCCTGCTGCCTCGAACCCATACGCACAGCCAGCCCAAGCCGCAGATCCGTACGCTCAAGACAACAACAAGTTTGCAAATATGGGCTCAGTCGGACCATCAGGAGCTTCGCCTTACCAACAAGCCAGACAGCAGTATGGGCTGCCCAGTGGACCGGGCGCTGGTCGCGGTGGTCTACCATCTGGACTGGGTGCAAATCGGGGGGGCGCTGCTGTAAATCGTAGCCCAGCACCACCAAATAGTGGTGGATATGGGGCTGAGAAATATGGCAGTGGTGGTGGGTATGGCGCCAACAGATACGACGGCCCTCCCAGTTATGGAGCAGGTGCGGACACAGGTTCCAAGTATGGGCCAGGTGGGTATGGAGGATTGGGGAGGACAAATAGCAATGAGACAACAACAACAGAAGACCAACGAGACGCTTTGTTTGGAGGTGCGAAGGATAAGTACACACAGCGGACCACCCTGCCACCAAGCAATGGGCGGCCAGGTGAGGGTTATTCTGCTGAGTCTGGCACGGCTGGCAGTGAGGGTGGCTATGGCGCATATGGGGAAGAAAGGCAGCTCACCGCCGAGGAGGAAGAGGAGGAAGATGTGGCAGCAACCAAACAACAAATCCGTTTCATGAAGCAAGAAGATGTTTCATCCACCCGGAATGCGCTTCGAATCGCAGCTCAAGCTGAAGAAACTGGTCGCGCGACATTGGCTCGTCTTGGTGCACAGGGTGAACGTATTCACAACACTGAGAAGAACCTGGACCTGGCTGCAAATCACAATCGCATCGCTGAGGAGAAGGCAAAGGAGTTGAAGACGTTGAACAAGAGCATGTTTGCTGTTCATGTGTCAAACCCGTTTACGGCGTCATCCAGGAGGGCCGCTCGAGACGAAGAAATTATCGAGAAGCACAGGCAGGAACGTGAACAGCGTGATGCCACACGGCAAGCCGCTTTTGGGTCTCAGCAAAGAATGGAGCAGGCTTTCAAAGAGCTTCAGCCAGGAGATGTTGGCTACCGTCCGCAACAGACCAAAGCAAGTCTCGCAGAGCGTTCCAAGTACCAATTCGAGGCCGACTCCGAGGACGATGAGATGGAGAATGAGATTGATAGTAATTTGGACGCTCTTGGCCATGCTGCTGGGCGACTGAACGCTCTAGCACGAGCCACCGGGAAAGAGGTCGAGGCCCAGAACAAGCAAATCGATAAGATTATTGAGAAGGTAAGTAGTCTTGGCAGTTCGTTGCAGTTGCCAGCATTGGCTAACTCTTTCCGCAGAGTGATCGCGTGGACGAGCAGATCGTCATGAACAGGGCGAGACTGGACCGTATTCGTTGAGCATCGTGAAGCCGGTTTGTTGTTTTATTTGCGCATCATTGTAGCAGAATTGAACGATAGAATGCCTGAACTGCCCTAGCACGGGATTTGTCCCCTCCATGATTCCCTGTGCCGGCCTGACCACTCGGGGTAAGTTGAGTGCTTGCACATCGAAAAGATAGTTCCATTAAGAATCACAACTGCAAAATGATCAACATGACAAGAACAATCGATTTCCGAATTGCTGCTCATTATATCACACCACTTCCAGGCCCAGATCTCCACAGGAGTTGGCTCGGTTGTCAGTTGCTCTCTAAGTGAATCTTGAATCTGGTGATCAGACCCTGAACTATCCGGAGCTGTTCTCTCCATGGTAAATTGACCTCGAGAGCTCGAACTCGGCCGTCAAAAATGCAAAAGCTCGAGACTGGTTTGGCCGTCAAGTGCGGATTGCCGCATCGTCTTCCCACAAAATTACAGGGAGGGACCGTCCTAATGTAATGTCCCACAGCATGCAAGGGAAATTTGAAGCTTTCATCTCCAGCACAGAAGGGGAAAGGGTAAACCATGGCTGTTGAAGGGGAATAGAAACTCAACATATGTCGCATGGATGACAGGCTCGCAAGCTCCCACGTAATGATCCTTTAACGATGAAATTCAAGTCATTCTTCACTAGACTCGCCGTCCTCCAGTTGCTTCTTCCGTATCGCTTGCATAAGTTCATAAAGTTGACCAAGTTGCTGATCTTTCAAATCGTGAGCTCAAGATCTCAGATTTGCAGCTTTGGGGATCATACCGCTCATCTTATCTATCTTCCCGACATCCATTTGTTCTCCAATCCAAGAGTTGCCCTCAAGCCTCTGAGCATACATTTGCCATTCAGTCAAGAATCCGATCTGAGGAAGCCCGTCAGCCACGCCAAACAGTCCAATTTCATGTAGGGGGTTTACAATGTGAACCGGATTTTCCACATTTCTATGAGCTCTGAACTCGCTCTTTATGTATTGGTCCCCCAGCAGTCGCATCTCCCTTGGTAAATGCTTCCGATGCGCTCGAAGGAGTCTTCTGTACAATGGTATTGGTGGCAATAGCGCAAGTGGTGCGGGTTTGAAACCCTTCGTAATCCCAGCAGAAGTTGGCGCAGCCATCTGTAACCGAGGAATGGATTTCATCTTATGTCCCGGCAGCTGTGTTCATGAGGGCCACATCGACAGATGATGAGTGCTTTGGTTGCGATTGTCGTCAGGACTAGCGAACAAGCCTCGGGCAAAAACATCCGGCAAAAAAACCATCTCAGCCTTGTCCGCCTTGTCCTGACAACCTCCACCGAAGAAGAGGGAGGGAATCATGCTTCCGACGCCTTCAACCTCACACGTGCCCTATGAACGAGTGTACGAGCCAGCAGAAGATTCTTTTCTGTTCCTCGATACTCTATCTTCAGAATCCGAAAAGACGTTTCTTCAAAACTGTTTCAGACAACCCCCAGAAGGACCAACATCCAAGGATTCTCCTTCTCCATTCGTTGTCGAAGTAGGGACCGGATCTGGTGTCGTGCTCTCATTTCTCCATGCACACGCAGAAAACATCCTCGGAAGACGAGATATCCTTACCGCCGGAGTGGATGTGAATCGATTTGCATGCAAGGCTACGGCGGAGACGGTCGGGGTTGGAGAGTTAGAGCAAGACGCGCAAGCATTGTCACATGGATTTTATTTGGGTAATATCCTTGGAGACCTTACAGGATTTATTAAACCAGGGCAAGTCGACCTCCTTATCTTCAATCCTCCATACGTTCCAACGTCAGAGCTTCCACCCTTGCCGGATGAAGAAGCAAAGACTGCAACAACGTACGAGGATGATTCCCGCCTGCTCTCTTTGTCGTATGCAGGGGGTATTGATGGGATGGAGACGACGAACCGTTTACTCCAAAGCTTACCAGAGGTTCTGAGTTGCTCTCGCGGCTGTGCGTACATCCTTCTCTGTGCCCAGAATCAACCAGAGAAGGTCAAGGATCAGATCAAGAGCTGGGGTAGTGCATGGGCGGTGGAAACGGCGGGTACCACTGGGAAGAAAGGTGGATGGGAGAACCTTCAAATACTGAGGATCTGGCGCGCACAATAAGGAAGGAGAAATATGGCAATCCATATCTGACGCAAGGGACGACTTCCACTGTTTTTATTGTCCATAAACGCCAGAAACCCACAAATTTTGCATGAGTGCTCCGCTAGATGCCAGACCTCCAGCCCTCTGCTGGATAGAGCTGCACAAAGATAGCACAAGCCATTGTTCTCAAGTCAAGCGCGTTTCCCTCTGGGATCAGAAGCCTCGTCCACCACCCCTTCCACGCCCACCCCTAAATCCCCCACGTCCTCTTGGTCCTCCCCGACCTCTTCCGCCTCTGGCTCCGCCCCGATCTGCTGCCTCCTTTCTCGCCTTGTTCTTTGGTTTTGGCGCATCATCAATCAGGAGAGTATCCAGGGGAAGAGAGTCGGGTAGGATATAGTATCGGATGGTCGACCCACGAAGATTGATGGTATCGAGTGAAATCGGATCACGGCCACGCTGGGTCATCTTGACTGTACGCAACGCGGTGTTCATTTGCGGCGAAACTGAAGTTATGGTGCCGTGAATAATCGTGCCTTGCAATGTTCCATCAGTACAAAGCCGAAAAACTTAATTTGAGGATCAACGTACCATTTTTAAGCTCAATCGTAACGGTCTCATTCGCACATTTCATCAAGAACCTACCAGGCGCAAGAGTCAGTCTGGAGCTTCGAGTCGGAGCCTTGTGGAAGAGAGCTCAGCTTGTGCCATACCGAGGCCAATCTTGGAGGAGAGCTTACCTGACGAGCTTCATTTTGTCGGCCTCTACGGTTTCAGACCTCGAGGCGGATGTAAGTTCGTTGTTGTAGACTATGCTTGGTGGGCAGAATTTGGAGGCCGTTCATGAAATTCGCGAGAGACGGTGAATCACGTGATTGCTACCAAAGAGGCCACTCTCCAAGGGCTTCGTGGAATGTCTCCACCGAAGCGAAGTGAGTTGCAAAAGAAAGTCTGTTCATTCATATCCATGAGCCATCGCTCTTTCTCTCCATCTTCTACCAAAGAGGGCGCTGCATCCGCCATTTGTGGTTCACTGCAGCCAGCACAACACCTCTCGTGACATTTCTGGGTATATGATAAAAGGTACAGCCATTTCTCCCTTTCTCCATTCATCGTCTTCACTCACTTATCTTTTTCACTCTCCGAGACTCTTTCCCACTCGTCCTCAGTGCTGATCTCCGACTTGTTCCCTCCAGAACCCCCACGGTCCTTCAACTCGCCCTTCCTCTCGGCTACTTCGACCTCTTTGCTGCCCGGCATGGGCTCCCTTGTATCTATCACCGTCTCTGCCTCTGTTTCCGTGTCGTCCCCGGGCCCACACTCTTCTAGACGACGCTTCCTCTCGTCCTCTGCCGCTTGTGCTGCCTTCAGCTCGGCTACGAACCAGTTGATAGCCCACCACAGACCAGCACTCAGGGATGAGAGTATGGCAAAATGGATGCTATATGTTGCGACAAGGAGGAGGAGAAGAACCCCTTGAAGGCAAGCAAATGCCACATTTGTTGCCACAAGGAGGGTGGGGGTGGGGCCTGGGGTGAAGATGGACTGGAAGAGATCGGTAAGGAAGGCCGACATTCTTTCTCTGTGGGTCGCGTTTAGGATGGGAGATTTTGCGCGTGAAGGAGAACGAAGGTAGCTTCGATAATGCCGATATGTAGCGCTAAATGAGCATCAGAATAGACGAAGAGTTGGGGTAAAGAATGACTTCTTGTCGAGAGAGGGGCAACCTTAAGAGGCGCATACGCCGCGCAGGCAAAATAACAGATATATCAGATGCCTGTGGATGTCTGGAGGGAGCGCGTGTTGAGGACAGATTATGGTGTTGTGTTGTGTTGATAAATCAGCGTCACTCGGCAGCTGGTTCTTGGTTCTTCTGCCTGATCACACGTGGACGTGGAGGAGCGCGTTTTGCCACCTTGACCGCCTGCCAAGAGCAGCAGTGACGCCACAGGCTCTTGTAAAAGTGGTGGAAGAAAAAGCGGCATTGGTTTTCAGGGTTCCCGCTCAAAGTTGTTCATTTGCATCCATTGGGAGGGGCCAGGAATTAACGCTCGGGATTTTGGGAGATACGGGAATGAACTTAGAATTTCAATGTCCCATAACTTGTGGGAACATTCTAATATGTTCCAGCTTGACTTGGCAGAGTAAACATTCACAGCCGCTTTTGTCGTCCACGGCAAGCCACACTTCATTTTCCTTATCGTGTCTCGGGCTTATCTATTGACACCACAAGTTGGTTACATACTTAGTCTAAGTCCCAGTAACGGTGCCTCTGAAGTGGTGGTCAACAGCTCAGATCTAGATCTAGGTCTAAACCTCTTCTTCACGCCTATTAACTGCGCATTATGCCTCGCTATCCTGCGTAATGGGACAGCACTCATCCCATCCCACGCCGACGGCGGGGGAGACGGCGGGGGAGACGCACCGGTTACTTTCACCGGACCCAGAGCAGGTCGACCACGATGGGTGTTTTCCACCGCACGGCATCCATGACATATGCCCTGCTAATCCACACGCGGACCTTCCTGTCTATACTACCATCCATAGGTAAGTGCTCATCGTACTGTTTTAATAGGCTGTGTCCGACTCAAAGTTATAGAATACGGAGGGACGTCATTGCTGCGATCGGTAATCTTCCCAATGCCCTGATATATACAAAATCTTACGGGTTTTAATAGATGATCCCTACAGCCTCGAGCAATTAAGAGATCCTCGGATGAATCTTTCGGTTCGTGTCAATTTTTCGGGGCATTGATCCCTAATTCATATGTCCTGCCAACTATTTACTCTCAAGATGCTATGTCTTGAGAGTAGACGATTCACAAGCAACTGTCCCAACCCCCGAATCTACCTTTTTGAGGCAATGCTGACCCAAGATTCTGGGAGACAGGTAGTAAGGCCTTTGGTCGACAAGTTCTATGAGGCCAACGATGTCTCTATGAGTAGGTCGTGCCTTCCACAGCCGCATAGGAACTCTCGTCCTAAGTCTTGAGAATTGCCATTCCTAAGTCGACCATTAGAGAAGCTGACATTTATACCTCAGTATACTGTCTTTTGGTAAATCGTGTCCAGTTTCAAAAGGAGCAGTCAACTCAGCCACATCAACAAAGTGTATGCACAACACGTGCACTTCTTTGCGAGCTGCTGGCCAACAGAATACTGAGACGCTTCCACGAGGATAATACCGGGGCCCAAGGGCTGTTGCTTCTTGCCCAGATCCTTGTTGGGGGTTTTGATCCTTTTCAAGGTGCTCCCCCTGAAGTAGTTGAGGAGAATAGCCACCTCTCATGGACGATCCAGACGAGGACTGGATTCAAGCGAAAGCTCCCTGCACTAGAGATCGCTATCATTTCTGAGAGTAAAGTCTTGCTTAGCTCGTCAGCATGTCAAATGGTGGTAAATGCAATATTTGAAGGACGGGTGATTTACACGCCAACTTCCTTCATTGATATCCTTCCAGACCACTACAAGCAAAAGCCCATCTCATTGTACAATCCTCGAAAGGCACCTCTCTTCAATCAATATCGTCTGATTGTTCCGAGAACGAGGAATATCCTGGAGGTCTGCCAGTTTGTCGGTCTCCTCATGTTATTCTTGCTCGTTATGTCAGACCGGGATGCGTCTACCTTTGGATTGGCCGAGCTTGTTTTCATAATTTACACTTTTGGCTGGGTCCTAGATCAGTTTGTGGGTGGTATTTCATGTCGTTCAATCTTCCGGCATAGGCTGTAACAGCCCGAGCCGGAAAGGAAGCCCATTATCAGCATTCAGCGCAAATACCTTCAATGCCAACCTCCCAATTGCCACCTTTGTTTTTTATAGGGCTAATTCAGTGTAAATTAGGCAAGCATTTTAGAGCATGGTAATTAGCTCGACCTCCGGCTGAACAATCGACACTAACACTGCCACAGGGTGGCATGTCTATACACAGAACCTCGTATGTATACTCCCGGGCTTTCCCAGTCGTGTTTGGCCCGTGGCGAATTTGGACGGAGCATGAATGTTCAATATCTCGTGGAACATTCAAGTCTCACACATTCTCAATGTTCCGCAAGTTTCGGGGCATTGATATTGCTCACTGGGTGATGCTGACTGTGGATTATTCAGTGGTCCTTCCTAGACGTTACATTCTCTGCCACATTCGGAATTTACTTAGTTCTCCGAATCCATGGTTGGAGAACAGAAGCGTTCGAGCCTGGTCAGCAAGCGTTAGACGTTCTTGCGATGGGTGCCCCCGTCCTCATCCCCCGACTCGCATTCAACCTCATGTCAGAGAACATGCTCTTCGTTTCCCTACGAGCTATGATGCGGGATTTCACTATTTTGACTGCTCTCGCCGTAAACCCCCCGCCGCCCGCGCCCTCCCCCGTTCCAAATAAAGTTGTGCTGACTGCAAAAAAGGTTTGGTGTTTTGCAGGCTTTCTCCTCTCGATGACATGGCTAAGTAACGGGGGCCATCAGCCGATTACGATCTCTAAGTGGATGCTTTGGGTATGGTTTGGACTTGATGGCACTGGCATTCAACGATCAGTCGACTTTCACTGGCTACTGGGTCCGATCCTCATGGTAGCATTTGCTTTCCTGGGGAACACCCTCTTCTTAACAATATTGGCATGTCTCTTATTCTCCACCCGAAAGAAGTATGCTGACTCCGGTTTCTTGGGAATAGGTATCTATGCTTAGTACCACATTCTCAACCATCGTCTCAAACGCCACGGCTGAGATTCAGTTTCGGCGCGCCGTCTTAACGCTCGAAGGTGTCAAATCAGATGCAATATTCGCATATCAACCTCCTTTTAACATTCTCGCCCTTTTTGTACTTACTCCACTGAAGTTTGTCCTCACCCCCAGGTGGTTTCACAAAATCAACGTCGCAGCGGTTCGTGTGATAAACGCACCCCTTCTTCTTCTCATCAGTCTCATTGAACGACGCACTCTGTGGGCTGGTGCAAGACGCCAGCGAGAAGCAGAGCAACTGCCCAAAGCACCCAGCCGAGCTAACCTTTGGGACTTCTCACGGGGGTTCTCTGCCCACGGTGATATCCAGGCGGTCTTTGACGCGGAGCCCCCTCAGTCCATAGAGGAAGAAATTACTAATGACGATGATTTGGGCCAACACGCACTTGAAGATGAATTTGCGAGGGAACTCGGACCAGAAGCAGGAGCGAAGTTAAGCAGGCGGAACACTGGCAAGAGTAGACGAGACTCGGTGGCCCCATTTGCAGCCATCACAGGCCGTCTGAGGACTCTAGTGGACGAGGGTAGTAAAGAGGGCGATGAAGAGAATGTGAAAACTAGGCTGGAGGGGCTTGAGAAGGCGACGTTGAGAATTGAGAAGATGCTACAGCGGTTATGCGAAGAGCTAGATGGCGGGATGAGAAGAAGTGCTAGTTTGGATGCAGGAGAGACAAGCACGTTGCAAAGTCTCGATAAAAGTAAGATTACTAGTGCAAATATTTGAGAGTTATTTATACTAATTTTTAGGGCCTTAATTTGAGGTATATATTATTAGTACAAGAGAGTAAAGTTAAGAATTATATAAAATGTAATTTATTATTATTAGTATTATTATTAGAGTATTTTTAAAATATTATAACAAAGTTAAAAAAAATACTTTATATTTGATTCGATTATATTTTCTTTTCATTTAATTATAAAACTATATAGTTTAGCTATTTAAATAATAATTATATTATAATATCTAAGATGCTAGTAATCCAGTTCGCTTGAATTATACTAACTTTCTTTGCATAACTTTTGGCTGTATATACGTGATCGAGAAACATAATAGCCTCAACCCTTTGTCTATACAGAACGCTCGAGGGGTGAATCGAAATGGGATTCCTTCCTACAGCCGTCATGTAAGTTCCATCTGGTGCCAACAGTGCTGTTCTCGTACCAAACGCCTTCAAGAATGCTTTGAGAATGTACTCGACACGTTCAGGCGTGATAGATTCGACGGGAAGAGGATCTGGTGGCGGAAGACTCTTCAGCAGTTTCTGCTGAAAACAGAGTTGACGAAGTTGCTTGCGAATTGCGAGCGCCATTTTCATAGCACGTATCGAGACAAGACGTTGGCGGCACCAACCAATACGATCAGTGTTCTCAGCGGCATACTTTCGCATTGTGTTGAGAAGTGTGATAAGGTCGCCCCATCGATCTGAAATATCATGGCGACCCAACTCAATGTCATCTCTTTCCTCCTCAGACTTCGGTTGAAGAAAAATCTCCGAATCTGTGGTCAGACATGAGATGATGTCTATGACTTCGAGGAGAATATCGGTTTCAAGTTCAGCAGCCGCAATCAACACACGGCCGTACGCAGCTGGGAGGGGGTAACTAGCCATTTTGACCCCAGCATCTGTAAGTTCCCCGCGGTCGTCGAGCGCACCCATTATGTGGAGCTGGAGGAGAGCCTTCTCCATGGCTAGAATGTTGGGCGAATCCATGAGTGAAAATGTCAAGACATCTTTCACTCCACGTGCCTTCATCTTGAGCACGGCCTCGATCACATCGCTACGAAGTATCTCTGGAAGATCGTCTTGATCAAGCTGGAGGTAGTCCTGCTCGGTATATACCCGAAAGCACTTCCCCTTCGCCTCTCGTCCTGCTCGTCCTGCGCGTTGGATAGCAGACACTCTTGAGATAGGTTTTGCCAAGAGAGATTCCATCCCCAATCTTGGCCGGTATTGCTTGACTTTGGCTTTGCCACAGTCCACAACAAACCGTACCCCAGTAACGGTCACTGATGTTTCCGCTATGTTTGTAGCAAGGACGATTTTGCGTGTGAAATGCTCTTTGACCTTTTCGAAAACGTCTTGCTGTGCTTGGGCTGGTAGTGAGCCGTGGAGCGGCATGACTTTTATTTTTGGCAGAGCTTTGACAAGATTCTCCGCATAACCCTCAAGCTGTGTCTGTAACGTCTCGATCTCTTCTTGGCCAGTAAGAAATGCTAGGATATCTCCCGGCAAAGGCTCCTTGACATGTAGCTGAAGTATTGTCTGCAGCATACTGTGGAGGTAGTCTGGAGCGGGATTGACCTCGTAGAAGATATCCACCTCATGTTGCCTGCCTCGTACATACTCGACGGCTACTCCATTCTCAGAGACCCCATAATGCATCTCAGTGCCAGACGAGTCTCCATGAGCCTGGGGCGAGCCAACCTTGGACAGAAGCACTGGCCTATTCTTCGATACACTCGTCGATTTCTTGAGCTGGGGAGTGGAGGATACCAACTGGTTGCTCTCATCGTCCGAGTTGCTGAAACCACCCCAAGAAGAGGACTCATCCGCAGAGCGCCGCGACCGATCCGACTCTAACGCGCCATCAACTTCGGGATCTAACAGATGGGCCGCAAGGACTTTGCCATGATTGTTACCTGGCTTGTATGTCGGCTGACTTCCTGGTTTCGCGAAAAATGCTTCGATACCTCCCAGATCGAGTGTCGCACTCATCACGACGAGCTTCAGTGGAATTCCACCACGGCCTTTCTTGTCACCATGTATGATCTGTCGAAGAAACCCGGCAAGGAGATCAACATCAACACTTCTCTCGTGGATTTCGTCCACAATAACTGCACTGTACTTTCTAAGATTGGGATCATGAAGCATCTCTTGCAGCAACATTCCTTCTGTCACAAACTTGATCTTTGCACCTGTAGGTACAAGCGTGTCAAAGCGAACGGAGTACCCAACTTCCCCACGGGCCCCTTTGATCAATGGAGAGCCCATCTCACGAGCGACACGATGAGCCAAGGTTATTGCAGCAACTCGACGAGGCTGTGTGATTGCGATCATTCCTCCTACGGGCATGACCTTTTCCTCGCTGTTCTGGTTTTTAATCTTCACCATCTGCTTCTTAGACCAGGGTTCTGTACACAAGAACTGTGGAACCTGGGTACTTTTCCCTGAGCCGGTCTCTCCGTTGAGGAGAAGAACATCGTTATGTCGTAAAGCCCAGCGGATGTCTGCCTTTTTGGCCCAAATTGGAAGGTCTTTGCGAACTCTCTCAAGTTGTGCTGCCACTTTTCGAAGATGTTGGAGATTCGGACGCTCTTGCGTTAAATTGCGATTGCCATTGCTGGTAAGCTTCTGGGCAGCGCCATTGATCGAACGACTCGCCACGTCTAACTTGTGTGCTACCCCACTAGCTTCTCGACCACTGCTGGAAGCCCCATTCACAGAGCTCGATTTCAATTGCTGTCTGAATTCCTTGGTGGCTTTTTTTGTCGACGCTGTGCAGGATATCGCTGGCTGATGCGTGTCCTCGTGCCTCGACGGCTTTGGGGTTTGGCTAAGCTTTGGACTGCCATCGCTTAGCCACTTAATTCCATTGGTTTTAGAAGGACCAAGGAAAGTAGAATCCCGGCGATCGATAAGAGCAGTCCGTGGTTCTCGCCCAAACTCATTTTGCGTCCTTGATAGAGGCTCTGGGGCGTCCCCAAACTTGGTATGGACCTTTTCTGGCATTGTCGCTTGAGCGTGGGACTTTTGAGGGCCAGAGAATGCGAGCTCTGCACTTTTATCGCGGATCGGGGAGTCTGGGGAGTAACAAAGAGAGACAGGCTTCGTCCATTGCGGTTGAGACAAAGAGTGGCTGCTGTGTTGGTGTCGGTGTCGGTGTTGTTGTCATTGTCGTTGCTCAGGAAGAAAAAAGATTTCGGTGCACTCGGCTGCGATAAGAGGGCGACAAGAATAAGGTTTCGGGGGTGTGGGTCAGCTGACCAAGGCCGGGCGGGGTGGGGCTCCGCCTCGAAGCTAGACTTTCCCTGACCCACCCGACCTGCAGTGAGCACGCAATAAGGCCTAGGAAACAGATCAGCATCAGTGATGCTGCCACCGAATCTAGTTGCCGCGGCCAAGTAATACAAATAGAGAATGGGGTGGCACAATCGCACGAGTTGCATAAAACAAGCGTCTCCTCCTCTGTCAATCTTCTCTTCTCAGGTTCTTCTCCCTTTTCTCAGTTCTGCATCCCCGGTCCCTTCCTCTCCTGCCACACCCAATCACAGTATTAAGCTCTCTGCGGCCATCCCGAGGCACCATGGCTCCCTCGTTACTTGATGTCCAGCCGACGGCGCCTCACGAGCGGTCCAGTGGGCACACCAGTGTTGACAAAAAGATTTTCCCAGATGGTATAAAAACCTCCGGGCAGCACCCACCCATCTATGAATTACTCAGGCCCTATTCGGATTTCCCCAAAGAGATCACCGGGGAGACCGTTTGGAAAGCCGAGGACTATGCCAACAGCCCTGAGCGATGGGTTCATGTCTTGAATGATCAGGAACTCAATGAACTCAGCCTCGTGGCGGATGAATTTATCGCCGATAACACTCCGTTGACAGGCATTTCAAAGGTCAGTAAAACTGCACAAGCCAAGAATCTATGCCTCATGTTTTACAGGATAATTTCCATCTGCCAAAGTTATCCACGCTGTTGACCGCTATCCGCGCTAAAATCATTAACGGCAGGGGCTTTATTCTCTTCAAGGGATTCCCAGTTGAAAAATGGGGGCTTCACAAAAGTGCTGTTGCATATCTTGGAATGGGAACCTACCTAGGGTATTTTGTTAGCCAGAATGGCCGAGGTCACGTCCTCGGCCATGTTAAAGATCTAGGTGAGGATCCAAAACAAATTGATAAAGTCCGCATTTACAGGACAACTGCTCGGTAAACCCAAGCCCAAAAGTTTCCGCAATCTAAGTCCATGGCTCACTTCCCGAAGCCAATTTTTCCATGCAGACGACTCGGATATTGTTGGATTGCTTTGCATTGCCAGAGCTCTCGAGGGTGGGGAGTCTGATATTGTCTCCTCACACCACGTTTGGAACACCCTTCAGAAGGAACGGCCTGATGTTGCCGAAACATTGGCCAAACCTATCTGGTATTTTGACCGCAAAGGAGAAACCAGCGTCGACGAAGAACCATACATCAGGACTTCGGTGTTCTATCTCGAAAAGGGTGCCAACGGACGGGTTTATTCTAAGTGGGATCCATACTACATTAAATCCCTCGATCGTTTCATGAACGCCGGTGTTATTCCCCACCTCTCTCCAGAACGTATGTGCATCCCAAGCCCTGCCTCTTGATATGAACGCAGGGGTTGTGGGCATCAGGAATCTTTATGTTCAAAAAGCTCGTGGACTGTTTCAATTTGGTTGCCTAAACAGACCTCTTTCGAGTTCGGGCACATCCGAGGTTTGCAATTGAGCAGTACTGACTGAATGAATTACAGAGGTCGAAGCTGCTAAGGTGCTGGAGGAGACTTGCGTAAGTTTCAGTTTCTCGGAGCATTGGTTCTTTGTTCGCTTGCGAGCAGTCTATCATCGAGGCGTGGCTGGGGAGAGGACAACTCGAAAGAGACTACCTTAACTTGATTTCACCCCTTTTAGGCAATACTGATCCGAGATTCTGGGACTTTAGCACCGACTTCGGCTGCATATGATACTTGAGGTTGGAGATATCCAGTAAGCATGACCCGGTTCCTTATGTTCATTCCAGTGTTTGAGATACTCTCTAGAGTATCCAATCTACATCCCAAAACTGGCCCATTTCTTATTTTATTTCCCCTCTGACCAACTGAGAATAAAAAATTGCTGAGGCCACGTTTCCAGATTCCTGAGTAACGAGCACGTAAGTCTCAATTTCAAAATTCGAGTGCCTTGAGACCTGTTTCTGCCCAACCACGTCTCAAGGTAGACTATGCATGAGAAACTTCCTCAACTTCGAATCCTACTATAATTGCCAGGATAGTACTGATCTGAGAATCCGGGATGTAGGTGCTTCATGCTCGCACAGCATATAAAGACCACGCACCGCCTATACCAAGGAGACATTTAATGAGGTTGTGGCTTGCTACACCTGAGAGCGAGGGTGGTTGGAGGTTGCCTTTCCACGATTCGGCACAAAAGAAGAGGGGGGGGATCCAAGTTAATAATCAGCCTCCGGTTTGCCCCCTTGACGCTGAATAATTATTCCTTACTTATATTATATAAGTAATACTAGTACTATTATATACCATATTTATAGTTCTTTAAATATCTCAAGTAGTTTAAATTATTAATAAATTATATATATAAGAAATATAAAGAATATAAGAAAATTATAAATTATAAAAATATAAGATATATAATAATAAAATATTATATTAGTAATTAAGATAATAAGAGTAAAATATAAAATAAAATATAACTAATTTCAAGAGCTAGCTTTATAAAAAAAATTAATTAATATTTATTTCTTTATATAATTTTTAATATTTTATTAAATATATATAAATATTAATTCTAATTAAAAAAGTATAATCTTATATAAATATTACCTTAATTTAATTAATATATAATTATATTTAATATTTTTATTTAAAAGTAATATTATAATTACTTTTTAATTATAATTAATATAATTATAAAATAAAAATAAATAAAAATAAAAATATTTATTAATTAAATTTTAATATTATTTATAATTTATTATTAGTATAGTTATAATTATTAATAGTTATATAATATAAAAATAATTAAATAATAGAATATAAGTAATAAATAATAATTATATAACTTTATATTATATAAATAATTTAACTAGTAACTAGTTTTTATTAGGCTTAATAGATTTTAGGATTATATATTAATATTATAATACTATAATTCTTATTTCTAAATAGTAATTACTTTACTAACTTATATAAATAGTATTTTATAATTATATAATAATATTATATATTTCTAGTAAATTAATATTAATTAATTAGTATTTATAAATTAGAAAGAATTAAGCTATATTTATCCAAGATTTAATTATTTAGAAATAAAGCTATTATTTAAATCAAAGAAAAAATAATTATTAATTCTATTATTTATAATATAGTTATATAAATAAGAAAAATATTTAATTATATTATATTAAAAGAAGAAATATTTATTAATTCTATTATTTATAATTTATTATATAAATAAGAAAAATATTTAATTATATTAATTAAAAAGAAGAAATATTTATTAATTCTATTATTTATAATTTAATTATATAAATAAAAAAGATATTTAATTTTACTAAATATTAAAATAATTAGCTATTTAATTATTTTATTTTATTTTTATTTAACTTTTATAAAATTCTTTTAAAAACTATTTTTTTAATTAAATTTCTAAAACTTTTAAACTTTAAAATTATTAAATTATTTCGAAATCTCGATATTTTATTTCCTAAATTTCTTATTTTAAACTAGATATAAGTTTATAAAATATATAATAATAAAATATATAATAATAAAATATATAATAATAAAATATATAATAATAAAATATATAATAATAAAATATATAATAATAAAATATATAATAATAAAATATATAATAATAAAATATATAATAATAAATATATAATAATAAAATATATAATAATAAAATATTATAATAATAAAATATATAATAATAAAATAAAATATATAATAATAAAATATATAATAATAAAATATATAATAATAAAATATATAATAATAAAATATATAATAATAAAATATATAATAATAAATAATAATAATTTTAAGAAATTAATAAAATTAAAAATTAAAAATTAATCTAAATATTATTAGAATAAATAAAATAATAAAATAATAAAATTTCTAAATATTAAATTATTTTAATATATTTTCTATAAAATAATTAATAATAATTTCTAGAAACTATCTAGATATAATTTTAAGAATTTTATTTATTAAAAGGATTTTAATAAACTTAAACTTATAAAAATATAATATTTATATAAAACCTTTTAATATAATAAAATAATAATACTAATATTATTATAAATACTTTATTTATTATTATTAAAAAAAAATATAATATATATAATTAAATAAAAATATATTAGTAACTAGATTAGATTTTATAAAAGAACTAATTTTATTAGATTTTATTATTTTTATAAAAAATAAATATTTAGAATCTATTATTTTTAATATTTCTATATTATTATTATCTTTTCTATTATTTTTTCTATTATTATATTTTATATTTCTATTAGATTTATATACTAGTATATATTATATAATAATATTAGTTAGAGAATAAGATATAAAAGCTTATTTATTTCTTTATAAAATAAGAATACTTAAATTTATAACTATTATTTATATAATAGTAATTTAATATTATTCTAATATTATAAATACTATTATTAGTTTACTAGTAATATATGGCATTATTATATAGTTATAGAAGTACTATTTATATAAGGTTAGTAAAGTTATTATTCAGAAGTAGGAATTATAATATTATAGTATTAATATGCGATCCCTAAATCTGCTAAGCCTAAAGGGGTCTAGTCTACTAGTTAAGTTACTAATAGGATGCGAGGTTATATAACCATATCCCGTATCCCATATCTCATTACCCATGTCCTATTACCCATTACCTATATCCCGTATCCCGTATCCCGTAACTATATACGTAACTCCTAGAGAAATAGCTATACCAATACTAGAAACTCTCTAAAAATACGAAAAATAGTATCTCCCTCTAATTGCATGCAAATTCCCTAATCCGGCCTAGTGCCAGATTTCCCAAACGCTCTATATATCCATATTGCTTCTGAGGTTTTAATTATATACTAAAGGCCGCGGCCTTTTGCACGTGACTTCCCCTCCTATAATATCCTCCTATCCTATATATCTATTTTCTGCCCTATTCGCACTCGACCCATTCCTCTATATCTAATTATATAATATTCGTATTAATTAGGTACTTGAGGATATTCGTTAGCTTCGATTTTATTATAGAATTGGCAGGATTTGATTTTCCCTTAATTCACTTGACTTTCGCGATTTCTTATTATTTATATGCCTGGCAGAGGTATATTATATTAATTATTAGGCGTTTCTCTCGAATAGTACCTAATTTAACGAGGCATTTATATAATAACTTCGAATCCGTATAAATAACTAGTAGTAGTTCTATTTCTAGTACTTTATTAATTATAGATTTAACTAAAGCGCCCATATTAAAACCGTAAGTCATATTATAGAGTTCCGAAGCTAGAATACTTCTAGTAACTTTCTTGTATTTAGTAGAGAACTAGTAAATAATATTAGTATATCTAGTTCTATTTACTAGAACTAGAATATATCTAATTTGGGAGAAGAGATCTCTATTATTTATAAATAAAGTATTTATAAAAATAATTAAATATAAGAACTTCTTTACTAGCTTTACGAATCTTAGTTCTCTAATAGTATTCTTAATTTACTATTAAATATGCTTATTAAGTGCCTTTATATTAGTTTCCGAGGATTTAATAACTTAAGTAGTAATTAATAGGTTATATAAAGCTTCTAGTTAATAGACTAATATAATATATATTTCTCTTATATATTAGGTAATATATTAGTTCTTAATAGAGAGATTTTAATAAATAGTACTCCTATTACTTATAGTAGTAGTATTTTTTATAGAAATAATTTGGAGGTTCTTATATTAGTATTCCTATATAAGGGTAATTCTAGTAATATTTATATAAATAATACTTTTATTAAATTTGAAATTATAATTAAAAGTAAGGAATTTATATTTCTTAGCTAAGAACTTAGCCTTATAAAGCTTTAGTTACTTTGCTTTTATAAAATTATTAGTTCTAATAAATAGGGTATTATTAGTTTAAAGGCTAATAATTTCAAAGAATTATTTACTATAAAGTAAGTAAGGATTATAAGTCGACTATTTTATAAAGAGCTTATTAATATAATAGAAATAATAAGTCTTAAACTAGTAATTCCTAGCTTCCGGTATATTATATAGTAGTTTTATAATCTTTAGAATAGAATTATTCTTTAGATTTAGCTCTCTAGTAAGCTTATAGGATAAGTTAATATAGAAATTATAATTAAGTAAGATTATTAATTAGATATAAGCTTATAAGATATTATATAAATATAATTCTATAATATCTATTATTATAGTAATAATACTAAGAATAATTCTCTGGCTAATATATTAAATAATAAGTAATTATATTAATACTATATATTTCTTACTATTATTATAAGCTTAAATAACTAGTCTCGACTTCTTAAGCTCTTTTTCTATATCTTTATTCTTAATCTTATTAATAAACCGGAAATTAAAAATATATATCTTCTTTAGTATCTGAGATCTAGAAGTAATCTTAAATATATTCTTTTTTAGGAAGCTAGCGACTTTAACTTAACGGGAATTCTTATATAGTTTATTATTCTATAGGAATACCGTAATATCCGGGATCTTATAAAAATATTCTCTATTATACTTTAGTGAAATAGTAGGAGAAATTATCCCCGTATTACTTTTAGCCTTATTATTAGGTTCGGAAACAGGTTTAGGTTCGGGGCTATTAGTAATAACCTTAATATTCCCTATATAAAAGGGCTTTATAGAAGTTAAATAGAAGATAGTATTATTATATAATAAAGCTACTATATAATTCTCCTTATTAATAGCTACTAGCTTATATAATCTATTCTAATTACTAGATTAACTAGTATTTTCTTTATATTAAACAAGAATATTTGAATTCAGAGATAGTTTATAAATATTAGTAGTACTAGAACTATTTCGGGTATTTAAAGTATTCGTAATTTAATACCTAGCTTAAAGCTTCTAAATTTCTACTATTACCTTCTTAAATACCGCTAATTACTATAATATAATAAGTAATAAGGTATTATATTTAGTTATTTAAAATAAAGTACTATAAATTAAAAGAATTAGAATAATATTATTAGGTTCCATAAAGTTATTAATAGCTTTAAAAGCTATTTAAAGTATAGTATTCTTATTAATTCTATTAACTTTAGCTATAATAATAAAATAGGTATATTAAATCGGGCTATAGTAATATTCTATAATTCTAATAGAGTTATAAGCTTCTATAGGAATAATCTTAATCTTAGTTCCTATAGTATTTGCAAGCTAAGCAAATTTCTTACTAGTAAACTGCTTTCTGGTATTTGCTATAATCTAATTAGGAGGG